GAGAGCATGAGAGCACGAGAGCACGAGAGCATGAGAGCATAAAAAACAAGGTATGTGCGTGGGCAGGACATACGTGCATGGCATGGCATTTCAGTTTCCGGGTCACGAAAGAGTTTATGAAGATTCAAGAATCCCATTTCGCCTCCACGACGACATCCACCATAACAACCACAAACAAACGACCTACGACGACACCTTTTTTCTATATCTAGGGACGGCTATTTGACAACGACGATTCATGATTTAAATGTGTTATGAGATGCTTTATTTGGGGACGAAATGGGAGATAGATTGTTGGACATAGAAGAAAGAGAGTGCACTATCCAAAAGGCATGCATGGTCGAGCGTTGTTTCGGTGAGGGCCATGGTGGTGGGCAGGGTCTGTCTGTCGTGGTTTCCTGTTGATAGCTAATGAAGCAGGAGATTTCTCGGTCTGCTGCTACTCCTGCTATACCACTAGCGTCCCTGCGGAGATATGATTCCTCTTAGGTGTGAAGTAGTGGCGACGTGTGTGGAAGAAGCCGTTGCTCAGATGCGTGCAACGACTCGCACACATGGGGCCATGGGTCCACTGGTTTCGGAGCCAGTGACTCGAGTCGTAGATCTTAGACTGAGCCGCATGCTTGATCTCGTGGCACGAAATCGGAGTTGCGACGCTCTTCGTCGTCGAGCCAGGGGGGCGCGAGTTTCTCGCAAGGAATCCGGTTTGAAGCTCTAGTACTCACCGCCTGGGTACGCTTTCATGGTGGTGCCCACGTTCCAACACCTTGACGGTCATGTCCCACCAAACTTACGAGACGATCCTGCCTTGGATCAGGTTCCAAGAGTGCGGACCGTGCTTGGGGGTGGGGGCCGGGGAGGAGGGTGGAGGCTACTAGGGTCGCCTGTCGGGCGTAATCCGGCCGAGCTGCCTCGTGAACGTCAATCATGCTTGATCGCCGTTCCACGTTAGAGTGATAAGCACGGGACAGGGCTCGCTAATCCGCCACTAAAGCGATGGTCGATAGGCCCAAACGAGTTGCCTGCAGGTCGAGCAAGGCTAGGCTGGAGATAGGAGGATGAAAAGCGCCAGATGAGGACAGGTATAAGGCGCTTTAGAAGCGAAGGTAGCATTCAGTTAGCCTCTACCAGGGCACATACCTAGCGCGGCAGTATTGGAGGGCGATGGTGAAGGGTCGAGGTGGCCATAGAGAGGCTCGCTTGCTGTTTTGGTTGCTTCACGTGTTGTCAAGCTCATGCGAAGCACTTTTGAACGGGTCCACTCTCAGCGCCACAACAACGTTGAGTGCCGCATTTGATGTCTACTCCTGTAGCTTGAGCTAAGCGAGGACAGACTGTGTCAAAGAGACCTCTGATCGGACTTCACATTGCAGCAGAAGCGACATCGTGCAATACAGTCGGAACCCTTCGTCCACAGCACCGAAAGAAGAAGGCGTTGACGGCACTGCGCGCATGGCAGGTATCGATTGAGCGCCCATGGAGATCAAGGATATCGATGATGAATTGAAGTAGTCGCGCGCGAGAGGTGAAGCGCCTATTTGTCGACGGCTGACTGAGACACGCCCCGCGCTCGCAGGATCCTACCAAGTAGGGTACACTCGCGGCAGCTCGGACTGGGGTAGGAGAGGAGGTATGTCAGGGGTACGCGGCGTCGCTTCCGTGGGGATCTGGGATCAACGTCTTACGGAACGGGATCAGCCACACCGCGTTGGGGTCGCCATGGAGTTTAGTCTGTATCTTGTCATCATGACACCACTGCCAGGCAACGGGAGGGGGGCTAGGGCGCACCGACATCATGTTGACAAATCACTGACTGTCGTTGATGGCATTTTCTCTTAGTTTACATGGTGATTGCGAGTCATGTCGACCAGAGCATTGCCCGAGAATATACTTGCTCAAGCAGGAAGCGAGTACAGCGACACGGATGCGACATGGCTGAGGGGGCAGCAGGGACACGATGAATCATTCGACGCTGGACGGTAATGATCTGGTGGTCCGCATCGAACATGTCACAGAGGAGATTTGCATACAGTAAAGAGTGTTAGAGCAAAGGGTGAGGAGGAGGGAGACGAGGTGAAGGTAAGGTTGACTTTTGCTGGGGCGGCTGCCAAGGACATCACCCACCGCCCCGGAGAAAGTTACAGGTCGCTACAACTTCTTATCAACACAGCCAGTTGCTTCTTTCGATGCATCTGTTGACGAAGCGCAATGTCTGCTGCTCAGGTTGTAGCATTCGACCCTTACAGCTGCTATCAGCACCCACCAAGCCACGGCCCCTTCTCCCAGATCGTCGCCACAAGATACTGCTCCCAGTCTGGCCTGACCAAGTGCTCCGTACTGCGGACAGGGACTGTGATACGCCGCGGAGAACAATAGCAGTGCTGGACAAGATGGGAGACCAACGTTCCTTTTATCTGCGGCCCTACACGACGATATCAGTGTCGATATCAGCCTCGAGATAAGCCGGCTCCACCGAAGTCCCTTGGACCTGATAAGCCTCGTCCAACCACGACCGGTCGAGGCCTGACATTGCTTGACGCTTCTACCTTACCGACAGCCCCTCATTTTGATCGATGGCAATTCTGATACAGATCCATCAAGCCAGTACCGGTTCATTGGGATCGCTGACTGCGATCAAGCTGCATGGCGCCTCGCCTCGTATTGACCAAAAGTCAACTTCTACGTTGGGCTGAGCTGCGGTCTTTGTACTACAGCATAATTCACTTCGAACCAACTGTTGGCTAGAGGGATGAAACAGGTACCATAGTACCGAGCAGACCCACGTCTCAAGCATGTCCGCGGTATAGACGCTTGCAGCTGTCAACAGATCAAAATCCCATCGAGACCCTACCTTATCAGTCCTTATCTTGGCGCTCTCCGAGGCGGCTTGCATGTGCTGATTCGTTTCGAATATCAGATCTATGGACTGAGATCGACCGCGGAAGTCTTGTCTGGGGTCGCTTCGGTCCAGAGCCTGATCATTCTTCATTCCCCGGAGAAAGCAACTAAACGTCATTCTGTGGCACACCTCCAGATGCCCCATCGACCGTCGACCTTGGTCTATATCTATCTTGAAGACTGCCACTTCTGGGACACACCTTTCCAGACGTCTATTCCCGTGTCGCCTTCCGTAACCCTGCTGAAGCGACAGCGAGCAGTACCGCCAAGATGTTCAGTCCCAGTGTTCTGTTCAAGGCCCCCGAGGTCAATCCTATCAACCACAAGGCTCGCTCCATTCCCTTCTTCAATGTCGTCAACATGTACGGACGAGTCTTCTTCTTCAGTTGGTTTGGTTTCTTCGTGGCCTTCTGGTCGTGGTATGCTTTCGTAAGTCGAGCCTGGGCACCATTGCCATCCCAACCTTACTGACCGCCCTCCGCTAGCCTCCACTTCTGAAAGACACCATCGGCAAAGACCTTCAACTGACAAAGACCGACATTGCCAATTCCAACATTATCGCTCTTTGCGCAACCTTGCTGGTTCGGCTCATCTGTGGCCCAGCATGTGATCGCTTTGGCCCACGCTGGACCTTTGCAGGTACTCTGGTCATTGGCGCTATTCCCACGTTCCTCGCTGGGACCTGCTATACCAAGTCGCAGCTTTTTGCTTGCCGCTTCTTCGTCGGCATTCTCGGTGGCTCTTTTGTGCCGTGTCAAGTCTGGTCGACCGGCTTCTTTGACAAGAACGTGGTCGGCACAGCCAATGCAATCATCGCAGGCTTCGGCAACGCAGGTGGAGGAGTTACCTACTTCTTGATGCCGACTATATACGACTCGCTCGTCGAAGACCAGGGCTACAGCCCGCACGTCGCTTGGCGTATCACTTTCATCGTGCCCGGCGTCATAATCCTCACTGTGGCTGCGGGCCTGTTCTTCCTTTGCGATGATACGCCGACCGGCGCCTGGACAGACCGTCATCTCGTTGCACAAAGCAATCTCGTTGCCCACGGCATCAATGCCTCTATTGTCGACGCCCCAGCCGGCATCAAAGCCACAAGCCACGACTCCGGTACCGCGTCTCCTGACGACATGGAGAAGGGCACACCGCGCAAGCTCTCCGCCCACGCCGACCACGAGGCGAGCCTCACGGAGCAGCAAATGATCGACACGGCGCGCGGCGAGATCATCCAGCCGCCCACCTGGACACAAATGATCCGCGTCATGTTCCAGCCACAAACCCTTGTCCTCGCCTTCTGCTACTTCAACAGCTTCGGCGCCGAGTTGGCCATCAACTCGGTGCTTGGCGCATACTACCAGCACAACTTCCCCAGCCTGGGCCAGACGCATTCAGGTCAGTGGGCCGCCATGTTCGGCCTGCTCAACGTTGTGACGCGCCCGCTTGGCGGCATCATCGCCGACATCCTCTACCGCCACACGCACAGCCTGTGGGTGAAGAAGTTCTGGATCCACTTCTTGGGCATCGTGGCGGCCGCCTTCCTCGTCGCTATTGGCGTCCTCGATACCCACAATCAGAGCACCATGTTCGGCCTCATCGCGGCGATGGCGGTGTTTCTCGAGGCCGGCAACGGTGCCAATTTTGCGCTCGTTCCGCATGTCAACAGCCAGGCCAATGGCATCGTCAGCGGCATGACCGGCGCGACGGGCAACGCGGGAGGAATCATCTTTGCCGTCATCTTCCGCTTCGTGGGCACAACGGGCAAGAGTTTCTGGATCGTTGGTGTCATTGGGGCTGCTATCAATTTGGCGTGTATGCCGATTCGGCCTGTGAGCAAGAAGCAGATTGGTGGGCAGTAGTAGAGGTAGACGTGGGCTTGGTTTCGATTTAACGAGGTTTAACGAGGAAATGCGGTCATGGTTTAGAGATGTAACAGTATCGTACCTATCTGCCGACTGGCCCAAGCGTTTGGCGCCCTACAGGGAGTTGCTGGACCAGGAAAGGTATCGAACAAAAGCACTTTTACTCCCGTAATCCTCTCCTCGAACTCTTCGTGGCGTTTTAGCAGTGGATATTGCGATGTTCTGCGTAGTCGGCGCTTAGTGGGCTGCAGCTTGAAGTTGAAAGGGCGGGGTCCCCGAATCGGGGGAGTTAAAGGGGCCTCCAGCATCCATGATTGCTGCTGACTTGCTACCAGCGTGGATATTTTTTGGGCTGACGACAGCCTACCTATTCAGATGAAGAAGCTGCAAACTTGCCATGATTCACTGAAGCACAGTGCCTGGACATGAAGATGGTAGCTGAGGCAGAGGATGCCTGGAGAATAGTACGGCCGATGTCCGGAATTGGGGGATGCCTTTTGCCAAGAGTTTGCGGTGGTCGGCTGTGGCTGTGAGAGTCGAGCCTCATCCAACGGCGGCTTGAGTCAACCACGTGTCCAGAAAATCCCGCCCCTTCAACCACATTCTAGACCTCACCGCTTCTGAAGCCAAGTCGATATCAACACCTGTCTCTCATCTGCTTAGCTTTGTTGAGTCTTAGAAAATACGCAGAAGTCGACCACGATGTTGAAAGTCCCGGTGCGCGGCGTAAGTCCCCCCCAAGCGAGACAGGGGTTTGAGGAACTCCAAAAGCTGATGACCCCTCGAACAGAAGAATGCCGGCTCCCAAGCTTCCACCAAGGCCGTCATTCTCGTTGGCGGTCCTTCTCGTGGCACTCGGTTCAGACCTCTCAGTCTTGATGTCCCCAAGGTAACGCACCAAATTCGTGGTCCTGGGTGTGGATCAATGCTGATTGACACCCCTTTTAGCCGCTGTTCGAGGTCGCGGGCCATGCCATCGTGTGGCATTGCCTCAAAGCTATCGAGAAAGTCGAGGGCATCAAGGAGGTCATCATGATCGGATACTATGACGAGTCTGTCTTCCGGGATTTCATCAAGGATTCGTCTAGAGAATTCTCCCAGTTCAAGATCACCTACCTCCGAGAGTATCAGGCTCTGGGCACTGCCGGAGGTCTCTACCACTTCCGAGATGCCATCCTCAAGGGTAAGCCGGAGCGGTTCTTCGTGCTCAACTCGGATGTGTGCTGCTCGTTTCCCCTCGAGCAGATGCTCCAACTATTCGAGGAGAAGGATGCCGAAGCGGTCATTCTTGGCACGCGAGTCAGCAATGACGCCGCCACCAACTTCGGTTGCATTGTTTCCGACGCCCACACCAAACGAGTCCTTCATTACGTGGAGAAGCCCGAGTCCAAGATCTCGAACCTCATCAACTGTGGTGTCTATCTCTTTGCGACCGAGACCATCTTCCCTTCCATCCGGACCGCCATCAAGCGCAAGACCGAGCGCCCCCGCATGATCTCTTATCCTTCGTCGGAGAATCTCGAGAGCTCTTTCATTGCTGATGACGACGAGGACAAGAAGAACGAGGTGCTACGGCTGGAGCAGGATATTCTATCCGATCTCGCTGACAGCAACCGCTTCTTCGTGCACGAGACCAAGGACTTCTGGCGTCAGATCAAGACTGCTGGCTCAGCTGTCCCGGCCAATGCTCTGTATCTGCAAAAGGCCTTTCAGCAGCAGTCTCCCGAGATCGCGAAGCCCTCGGCCACCATTGTGCCTCCTGTCTTCATTCACCCTACTGCTGAAGTCGACCCCACCGCTAAGCTCGGACCCCACGTCTCCATCGGACCCAAGGTCATCGTCGGCCCGGGTGCCCGGATCAAGGAATCGATCGTGCTGGAGGACTCGGAGATCAAGCATGATGCATGCATCCTCTACTCCATCATTGGCTGGAACAGCAGAGTCGGTGCCTGGGCTCGTGTCGAGGGCACGCCAACGCCCGTCAACAGCCACAGCACCAGCATCATCAAGAACGGTGTCAAGGTTCAGAGCATCACCATCCTGGGCAAGGAATGTTCAGTTGCTGATGAGGTCCGGGTGCAGAACTGCGTCTGCTTGCCCTACAAGGAGCTCAAGAGGGATATCGCGCACGAGATCATCATGTAGGCGTCCAATGAGCCTGTCGACGTGGAAATGGCATGCGAAGGAGTCGTCACTTATAGAGAAAAGCATCACAGGATTCAATAGAAATGGAGGAGTAACGACTCGTCACGTGACCGCAGCAGCACGCAAGCAAGAGGATTGATTACTCAGGTGGCCTTACCAAAGGCATCCCATAAGATGTGCCGTGTCCCCAACTCGTATCCTTCTTTCCCCAGACCTCATTCCTATATTCATGCGGCATATAGCTTCAACTTCCCTCACCGACAGCACTGCCAATCTATGGGACCCTCGACCGGACCGCAATTCCTCCGACGGCGCTATGGACTGGTGCCATGCCTCTCCACCCGTAGCATGGGCGACTCAATCGAGTAGCGACATGGGCGCCTCGCCAGCGTCACGCCTACTGTCTCCGGGCAGCTATTGGTAGTATGTAACACTGTTGCCAGATTCATCATGCACACCAATGGTACGTGACGAGTGAGTGATGCCGAATGCGTGTCGGCGGCCGGAGCCTTGGCTGTTGCTGCCAGTCCTTCGCTGTTCGGCCGAGCTGGCGGCGTTTCGTTGAAAGCTTCAAAACTGCCACCTTGATGTTCTCTTCCCTCGTTTCCGCGTTCACAGTTTTATCTCGCCTATACACTGATAACAAAGATGGCATCAACAACAATCATCCTGCCAGCCGACTACGGGTGCGTTCTGAGATTGTGGCGGCTGCGGTACCTCATCAGCTGACATCCACGCAGCTATGTCGTTCTTGTTGCTCTGGGTGCAATTCCCGTGCTGGCCTTTGGTCAGGGCATGGTGGTCTCAACCAAAAGAAAAGCAGCTAAGGTGCCATGTAAGTCTTGATGCCGAGACACAGCTACGTGTATGGAGGGATCCTGCGGTCGTTGCTTAGCCGCGTTTCAATTCATGCTGCTAATCTTCGCGACATTCGCTCACATACATGTCTAGATCCCAACTACGAAGCTTCAATCCAGCAAGTCAAAGAGTCGCGCGACGCCTACGTCTTCAACGCCGCCCAACGCGCACACGGCAATCTGCTGGAGAATATGTCCCAGACTGTGCTCATGATGCTGGTTGGTGGCCTAGCCTATCCCAGGCTGGCGGCAGCGATGGGCGCAGGCTGGGTGTTGTGCCGGGCACTCTTCGCCTATGGTAGGTTCACCTTCCATCTATCAAGCCGGAGTCTTGAGCTATGTCGCGGTATCAGGAATAGATCCTCGTTCCGACCGAGTCGTACCCCGGACCGCCATATGCTCGCTCCCTCTTTGCCTAAACCACTCTGTATCCTGAATATTATGAATGCTGACTCGTGTTTCTCAATGTCTTTAGGCTACGTTACCAGCACGAAGCCGCACGGCAAGGGCCGATATTTGGGCGGTGCTTTTTGGCTGTTTCAGGCAGGGTTCTGGGGTCTGAGCTGCGCTGTGGGTTTCAAGCTCTTGAACGGCAGCTTGATTTGAAGAAGCATCAGTAGATGTCAATCGGTCGCGGATGATTTGAAGCTGCACAGATGATGAAGCTCGTATACCTAGACATCTTCAAGTATCCGAAAACGATGAGGTCAATGGTTGTGATGCACTGTACAGGCGACATCCGAATCCCGCACTTTAGTTGCATCTTCCTTCCATTCGAACAATGTACAACCTTTGATTCACGGTATTAACCAGCACTAGCACTTCCACAAGACACTTTTGTAGTCGTTCCTGCATGATAGCGCGGATGCAGGGGTGACAGAAATTCTCGGCGAAGTGAAGCCCCACCAATCTGGCCGCGCTTCAAACAATAGAGTCATTATATTTTCGCGGTTCTAAAGCATTGCGCAATAAAGAGCCGTCTGCGCAATTGAAGACCTTCAACGTGCACCTGTGATCTTCCACTTCTTTGCACTCTCTTCATATTTCCTACCCATAGGCTCCAGCCCTCACCACAACCTCTTCACCATGGCCGACACCACAGGCATCGAGAATGCTACTGCGAACCTGCACCTCGATGAGGTTACCGGCCAGCGCGTTTCCAAGTCCGAACTGAAGAAGAGACAGAAGCAGAGGCAGCAAGATGAGAAGAAGCGCGAAAAGGCTGCCGCTGCCCCGCCCAAGCCGGAGAAGAAGTCCAATGCAGAACAGGATGAAGCCGATCTCAACCCCAATGTGCGTTGTTGCCTCCAGGCCTTGGGAATGTTCAGTGTTGACCTGAATAGCAATATTTCGAGATCCGGAGTACGAGGGTGAATCGTTGGCGCCAGACAAAGGAGATAGAAGCATACCCACGTATCTTGACACCCCGCCTTGAGCCACAACAGCCATACTGACCCATTCAAGACAAGTTCCAAACCAACACCGACCTCCGCCAGTTCGTCAACAAGTATGACCACCTCAAGCCCGGTGAGCATGAGAAGGACACCGAGATCAGAGTCGCTGGCCGTGTCTATGTCAAGAGAGCATCCGGCGCGAAGCTTGTCTTTTATGACATGCGAGCCGGCGGCGTCAAGGTCCAGATTATGTGTCAGGCACAAGAAGCCAAGGGCGATACTCCTTTCGAGCAACAGCACGAACACCTGCGTCGCGGCGACATCGTTGGCGTTGTAGGCTATCCCGGTCGGACAGCACCCAAGAACCGTCCCAACGAGGGCGAGCTCTCCGTCTTCGCGACCGAGGTCAAGCTCCTCACTCCCTGTCTCCACCAGATCCCCTCGGAACGCTTCGGTCTGCAGGATGTCGAGACGAGATTCCGACAGAGATACCTGGATCTCATCATGAACGACAAGTCCCGAAGCATTCTGATCACCAGAGCCAAGATCGTTTCATATATCCGCCGATACTTTGACTCCAATGGCTTCGTTGAAGTTGAGACGCCCATGATGAACGCCATTGCCGGTGGAGCCACGGCTAAGCCTTTCGTCACTCATATCAACGAGTACGACACCAACCTCTTCATGCGGATTGCCCCCGAGCTGTACTTGAAGATGCTTGTGGTCGGTGGTATCGAAAGAGTCTATGAGCTGGGCAAGCAGTTTCGCAACGAAGGTGCCGACCTCACTCACAACCCCGAGTTCACGACTTGTGAATTCTATGAGGCCTATGCCGACATGTACGATGTGATGAAGCGTACTGAAGAGCTGGTCTCTGGCCTTGTGCAAGAGGTCACCGGTGGCCAGAAGACCACCTTCCACACTCAGAAGGGCGAGGTGTATGAAGTGGATTGGTCCGCCCCATGGGCCAAGGTCGAGATGATCCCAGAGCTCGAGAAGGCCACAGGCGAGAAGTTTCCGCCGGGCGACCAACTTCACACCGATGAGACCAATCAATTCCTCAAGAAGGTTCTCAAGAAGCACGACATTGTCTGCCCCCCACCAGAGACCAACGCTCGCATGATTGACAAGCTTGTCGGCGAGTTCATCGAGGAGAAGTGTATCAACCCCACCTTCATCATGGGTCACCCTCAGATGATGTCGCCTCTTGCCAAGTATCACCGTGATATTCCCGGCTTGTGCGAACGCTTCGAAGCCTTTGTGTGCAAGAAGGAGATTGCCAACGCCTATACCGAGTTGAATGACCCCTTCGACCAGCGTATGCGCTTTGAGGAGCAGGCTCGCCAGAAGGAGCAGGGTGACGATGAGGCGCAGCTCGTTGACGAGAATTTCTGTACATCACTGGAGTTCGGCTTGCCCCCCACCGGCGGTTGGGGAATGGGTATCGATCGATTGGTGATGTTCTTGACCGATAACTACACCATCCGAGAGGTGCTTGCGTTCCCTTTCATGAAGGATGACAAGAATGCGAAGGAGAAGGAGAGTGCTGCGGAAGTTGTCGGCATCGAGCCTACTCCCGTCGAGGATCTTCGTAAGTGAGCAGTCCGGTCATGGCTCTGACCTAACCGCAGCAGCACGCCCATGAGTGATTGTGGCATCCGACGGTCACATGAGTGAAGGAACAGAGCTGAGCGCCCCGGTGTAGACGCGGATAGGAAAAGTCCGATGCGAGGCTGGTAGCCCCTGGAAGACCGAGCCGCCACGACGCCATAGACGATTCACATGAGAACGATGAATAGATACCCCCCGGCGGCATCAAAATCAGACAGTGGAAGTTGGGAAAAGCCATTGAAGCTCTCTTATCTCTTCGAGCTTTGAACCGCCCCATCTGGCCCTTACTGCACCGTCGAGATTCACCAGACAAGTGGATAGCTAATGCGACAGGTTGGTCAGTCACATCGCGCACCGGTCACGAAAACCTCGCCAGCATTCACTCCAAGTCAACCGTATCTACCCAACAGTCATCAGTCTGCCACTGTGCTCCACAACCTCGGCCACCCCCAACCCGCAGAGTCAGCTGCGCGTTTGGTTGCCGTGACACGATTTCATACGCGTTGCAGACACACTCTTCTACCGCACAAACGACCTTTTTTCGCGTCAGGTCAAGATCCTCGAGACTGCACCTTGTCTTTGACCTCATACCTCTCTCTAAAAACCTACTTCCTTCTCGTGCTTGACCCATCTTCTGACTGCATCGATAACCGCAAAGCATCGCAGCAATCACCTCAACAGACCCACACACCATGCCAGCCGAGTCTGAGGGCAGCGATAGGCCTGCTAAGAAGGTGTCCGCCGCAAAGATGCCTGACTCAGATTCTGATTCTGATTTATCCTCACCAACTTCTCTACCAAGCTCGCCTGGCTCCGAGGCTGCCTCAAGTGTTGGAGAAGAAGGACCAGATGCTCGTAAGAACTTCATAGACCTAATCGCTGGTCGGGCTCGTCAAGTCCTGGGCCAGGCTTACGCCAATGTGGTGCAGAATAACATCGCAGTGCCACCGCCAAATATCCCAAATCAGCAGCCTACCAGCTCGAATTCGGCTCCCCACCAAGTGCCCAGCTCCAATGAGCCTGTCGAAGAAAACAGCGATGGCGATGCTACCGGACAAGAAGATGATGGTACATTCAACTATCCTTCGCCTATGTCTCAGAACATACCTTCTGCTCAGGAAATTGGACCCATTGCACACCTCAGAAGACGTGCTCAGATGTACGAGGACTTCGGCGCACGCGACTCGTTCGTCAACCGCGAGTTGCCCTCTGAGAATCCCGAGCACTTCACTCGTCGCTCGACATTGCACACCAAGTTCTTCATCAAGAAGGTCTCCACCATTCAGTGCGACGAATGCAAGGCTAAGGGCAAAGGAGAGGAAATCTACAAGTGCAGCCAATGCGTAAAGCAGATTTGCCGTTCGTGCATGGAAGGTCTTCTCAAGCGTGAACGTCAGGCGCAACAGGAGCAGGACTCGAACACAGACATCCAAGATGGCGAGCGAGATATCTACAAGTGGAACTGGCAAGGCCAATATCGTCACGAAGGCTTCAAGCTGTGCTATCTTGCCCGCGAGGACGCGAATAGCAAGGGAAATTTCCAGATCGACATTCCTCTCTATCTACTTGGCCCGCTGGACCCCGACTTCGGTGCTGGCACTGTTACTATCTACATGGTTCGAGACAACGGCCATGACGACGCCCCTCGTAAGGGAACGAGACGTCGTCGTGGTTTTCAGCTTGAGTCGGACACTTCGAGCGAGGAAGCTCCACCCGTCGCACGGCGCCGTTCTCCATCGAAGCCTCTCAAGAAGCCGGCCAAGAAGCGTCAGCGCATCTCTTCGTCAGGCAGCCCTGTCCTACTATCACGCCCAGCAGTTCCTAATCAGGCTCAGAATCATGCGGTCCGACAGGAGTTGTCTGGCATGACCTCTAGGAATCTGCAGCGGCTGAATCGCATCCAGGATGCGGCTGCTACGACAGCGGGTAGACCTCTCGGTCCAGCCCACCACGCTGATCACGCTTCTGCCCGTGCTGCCACTGCTCCTTTGGCTCGACCTAATGCCTACCAGCAGCACGCGACATCGTATGCTCCTCGAACACAGGCGCCGTCACAATACGGTCCGACTCCCACACATAATATTCATGGCCTTCATACAGGTCTAACTCACTATGCTGGTCCTACTGCCCCGAACCTTCCTCAGGCACAGCAACCTGCTCCGAACTTTGTTCCACCTCCTCCCCAAACTCTGATCCATTTACCTGATGGCTTAGGTGGAGTCCAGGTGATGACATGGGCTGATTTCCAACGCCAAAACCAGGGGTTCGTTCCTTTTCATGCTGGTACATCGCACCGTCAACCCGAGCCTCAACGTCCTGGTCCTGCTCGTCCGACCAGACAAGTCCCCACTCCGATCGACACAAGCCTCGCTCAAGCTTCAGAGCACCACGAGCTGAACCCTGAATATGAGCCACGCAACCTCGTTCGACGAGCGAGCACCGCGCCACGGGTGGTTCAAGGACGACGTGCTACTGCCAGTCAGCGTCCTGGAGTTGCTTCGGCCCGTAGAAACACCATGCGTCAGGCTATGGCCGGATTCAGACTCCAAGCTGAAGGTACAGTCTCTGGACGTCAGGTTGCGTATCTGCCCTTTGCAAATGCGGGCCACGGTGCACCCATGCCGCGTGTGCCGGGACCTTTGGTTGCGTTCTATGATGCCATGCCATATCAACAAGTTGTGGCTATGGGCGACGCGCGATGGAGACAGGCGACGCAAGCTGGAACTATCAACGCTGCTCGCAGACCTTCCGCGGTCACGATCTCTTCTGATGAAGACGATAAGAACCATGAAGAGGAAGATGCTGGAGCTGTTCTAGACGCTCCTGAAGTGGCCAGTGACCGCATGAATCAGGACTCAAATGACAGTACAGGGCTATATCAGGCTCCAAGTACTCCTGGGTCGGGCGACAGTGTCGTCGACTATGCTATCAACTCGAGCCCTCCGCTATCTACGCCTCAGCAGCCGGATCGCCCATCAGCATCCACTAGCGCCCCTCCTCTCGTTGAGCAGCCGCGTCACGCGCCAGCTTTGCGACCTTCCGCTCCTAAACCGTCGCCTCTGCGCAACCTTCTCGCTGCCAATTACTTCGCCGATGATGATGATGACGCTGACGATGAAGCTGAAGCTGACGACCATGGCAACGACGAGGACGAAATCGAAGTGGATCTTGCTGAAACCAAAGATGAGCCAAAGGCCGAAGATGACAGTGCCACCATTATCTTGAGCCCCAATCAGCCAAACACCCCCAACGAGCCCAACGAACGCCGTCAGCAGCTCGCAACTGGTTCTTTGCTATCTACAGCACGCTCTCCAGGACTTCGCTCCACCCGTCCTCCGTATTACACCGCGCACCACAGTCCTCAGCGCGCAGAAGACCAGATCCGCGAGAACCGCCAGGAGGCCTACGTGCAGGCCCGTTTCCGCCAAGCCCTGCGCCAGCTTCCAGAGTCTGAAGAGCTGGGTCTCCCTGCTGGTCCTCTGGGCACGCGTCACATGGATGTTGTCTCTGGTGTAGGTGTCGTCCGCAACAACCCTCGCCCGAGCTTGCACATTGACGAGAACGGCCATGCGTCTATCATCACGCAGGCGCCTGTAGGTGGCATGCTCCCTCCTGCTCAGCCATCGCGCGGTAATGCCCAAGCCGAGCCTCGTGATGAGACCGAGGCCGAGGACGAGGACGATGCCGGTGACGACTACACCGCCGTCCCAGCCAGCTCCCCGCTCCCTTCGGAGCAGGCTGACGAGAGCTCCCCGGCGCCCGCGTCTTCTCTCTTCGCCGCCGTTCCGCCCACCCCCACCCGCCGCACCCGCTCCGGCATCGAGTACACCGGCCTGGGCATGGAGGAGACCGGGCGTGTGATCCGCCGCACGCCGCGCAAGTACGCCGGCGGCAGCAAGGGCAAGGGCAAGGGAGGCAAGGGCAATGAGTCCGACTGAGCGAGCTGCGGGCTGCTCTTTGGGAGGGAGCACACCTTTGGGGAGGAAGGAGGGGAATGAAAGGGACCCGGGGGGGAGGGGGGGTTTCTTGCTGTACGACCATTTTGGGGAGACTGTAACAACACCGACGACGAGCTTCGACGACGAGATCGCGAGGCTTCTTTTGTTGTATGAGTAATGAAAATTAGGATAGATAAAAAAAAATGAGGAGAGAAAAGTTCTTGAAAAAAAAGAGTCTCACAGTCGTCTTTCATGCCCGGGTGCCCTCCTGATGGACATCAAAGCTCGCTCAGCCTTAAGGCCCGGTGCCCTCCTGATGGGCATGAAGATGCTCACTCGTTCACATAAGAGTGGAGAGTCTCGCTCGGCTTTTATACCCGGGTGCCCTCCTGAAGGGCATGACAGCTCACTCGGCCTTAAGGACTGGTGCCCCCCCAGTGTGTATAACATCTCACGTGTCCTCAAGGCCTAGTGCCCTCTTATTGGGCATGACAGCTCGCTTAACTATCAACTTTCAAGGCCGGGCGCCCTCCTGAGAGGTGTGACAGCTCACTCGTCCTTAAGGTCCGGTGCCCTCCTGATAGACACGTACTGCACAGGGTGGACTAGTAGGATAAGAGGACCTTGGGTAGAGAGACGTTGAAGTTGATATAGGTACATGTATCCGCTCAGTCAAGAGAAGTCGACTTTCGACTCGTACTAACACAACAAGAGGGACTATACAGCAGCAGGCGTCACGCCAGACTGGCCAACTACACGCTGGCTTGCATTGGCCGACTGTGGCTGCCTGACCTTAGCACCCAGAGCCTTCTGCACCTTCTGCGCAGCCTCCGCGACCGCGACGTTCTGATGAATAGCCACGTTCCTGGTGCCCAAACGACCATGCTTCGCAAAATACTCCAGCGTCTTGATCGAGGCTCTAGACATGTGCACGCGACTGCCGAGCACCATGGTCCACGACAGCAATGCCAGTGCGCCGGCCTGGTGGGCGCTCGCGAGCGGGACAGGAACCAAGTACAGCAACGTGCTGATGCCGAGGATGACCTGCAGCCAGGCGAAGCCGAAGACGCCGTGTACGGCGCGTTTTGCGTTGGCGGGCAGGATCTTCTGAAGGTGCGCCGAGGAGCGTGACCAGGCGAAGAGGGCCATGACGGCGGTGAAGGTGGTGGTGGCCATGAGACGGTGGTCGAGCTGCACGAGGCTGGGGTTCTCGAACATGTTGCGCCACACGAGGTCGGTGTGTTCGCCTTTGTCATTGGCGGGCACGTGTGAGTAGAAGGTGTCGAAGAGCTCGGATTTCGGTGGCGTTAGGCCCAAGCCCATGTAGGGAAATTCGTTGTAGATGAGGCCGGCGTCGAGGCCGGCGACGAGTGCGCCAGACATGGCCGTTACGAATGTTAGAGCAAAGAGGGACAGGGTGGCGAGTTTGAAGGTGCGGAGGGCTGGGTTGCGGAAGGCTTGGAGGGAGGCTTGCGCTTCCTGATGTGTTAGATGGGTCTGAAAGCGGTTATCGCGGAGCGTCGTCAGGCCATTCCAGAGCATAGAGAGATAGACGACAAAGGCGGCGCCGAGGTGTGCCGTCAGGCGGTATTGGGACACGCGAGGGGTGCTGCCAGGCGCAAACAGGTCATCTTTGAGGCCAGACTTGACCATCCACCAACCCAGGAAGCCTTGGAAACCGATGAGTCCGGCGATGCCCCAGACCTTGAGCGTCAGAGATTTGGTCATACGTCCACGAGCCGTGAAGTATATGGCGGGCAGGAGGAATGTGATGCCAATAGCGCGACCCCATATCCGGTGAATCCATTCCATCCAGTATATACTCTTGAACTCGTCGAGTGTCATACGGCTGTTTAGCATCGCGAATTCGGGAGAGGACTTGTACTTGAGGAACTCGGACTCCCAGTCAGCTTGGGACATCGGGGGCAGGGATCCGGTGACGGGTCGCCATTCTGTTATTGAGAGTCTACCATGATTAGTGGTGTGACCAGAAAAAGGCGACGCTGTGCCCTACCCAGACTCTGTCAAACGTGTAAGCCCACCAAATATGACAATGCCAAAGACACTGGCTGCACTGCCCAGCAACCAGTATGCGACAGCATTGGAGCTTTTCGGTGGGAAGAAAGATCGTTTCCCGCTCTTTGATTTGATGTCGGCTGCACGGAGGGAACTTGACGAGAAGGCTCGCTTTGAAAACGCTTTCGGAAGCGTCACTCGAGGCGCCGGACTCGGTCGCAAGCTGGTGCAGGACGAAGCACGTCTCTTGAAGGCATCTCTGCTAATCGACCGTAGAGCTTTGGTCTGACCCTGGCACCGACAGTCGAATAGGCGTCGGGTCAAGGCCGGAGCCTCGGCGCGCAATGTGCGCATCAAGCTGGCACCTGCTTGCATCGAGCCAGTGTACAGCTGAGCTGCAGGGTGAAGGGGACCGTCTCGAGTAAATGCTCAAAGAAAGTAATCTACGTTGACTGCGCGAGCAATTCTAGAATGTAAGTACGGAGTATTGTAGAACCCGTCAAATGCCCTCCTCCGATTGGCTAGCCTTATAGCTTCTCGTCTCATCCAGTCATTGCGCAGATGATGAGCATGAACGCAGCAGACGATGAGTAAAACAAGTATTAATATGGCTGGTAGCTGTCTTCTATTGTACAGGCTTGCCTTTCAGCCTCTTCAAAGCACCTTCTACAGTCGATTTTGGCAGCTCTGGAATACTCAGCCATTCTTCTCGTCCCTCTCGGACATTGTCAATTCGATGGATACCGTATCTCGCCGGAGCGAGATGCAATCCTTCCCAAATATCACTAGGGAGGTAGTCGCCCTGATCTTCACGGAACAGTTGTCTCTCTTTCAGGTCGTCATCGTGCAGAGCATCGAGCCGTGCCTGTGCTTCATCAACGATCTTCTCCATCTGCTTCTTTACCGCCCGCCTTCGTGCTGCCTCAATGATGAGTCGATCATAACCATGGAGAAAATTGTCGTATGTTTCGCATAGCTCCTCCATGCCGGCGATACCGTCTTCGATGCGAGCTTTGTCCTCTGTCCAGCGAGATGCGTGGCGAGCAGATTCAGCCAGGAAGGTTGGCAGCCGTTGGCCGATAGTCTCAAGGTGGCGGAAAGCGGTTGCAACATCTTCGTGAGAGCCGTCTGCCCGCTCCTTCCAATGTAGAATCTCATTGAGGTGACCGTCCATTTCCGCAGCATGTTCTTGAATCTCCATTACCACATCATCCACCTCGGCAGCGTCGGTAGAAAGAACCTGCAACATCTCAGCGCGTTCTCCCTCGTTCATGGGTTCGGCCGGGCCTTCGAGTTTCTCAACATCAACATCCTCGGGTAAGTTTCCAGCCTGGTAGTTGCGGACAATGGCGTCACCGGCGCCTTCAGTATGTCGAATAGCAGTAGCACATAAATCGAAGTGGTTGACGAGTGACTCGAGGGATTGAGCCATGGAATGGGCATAGTCCTCGAGTTTCTTGAGTAGATCTGGCATATTTGGTGGCTGGAAGTCACTGCTCGCACTGGAGAGGCTCGACTGCTTGTCAATGAGTAGCTCATTGATGACTTGCAAATCCTCTTCCAGGTTGCGGATTGATCTACTGATCTCCTGTTGGTTGTCCTGAACATTGTCAATGACCTCTTTCATAGCATCCTTTAATTCCTCCACAGGTCTTTCTTCTACGAAATCGTGCAGACTAGTTTTGGGGAGCACAGTTGGTCCTTCGTCTTGAACGGGTGGCAGTTTGAAGCCGTCATCTATCCTGGTCTGCTTCAGCTGCTGGATGTTCTGTTGCAACCGGCGGCCTGCAGCATCCAGCTCCTTAATGGAAGCCTGGAACTCGACTCGGATGGCGTTGGCGGAGCCTTCCAGCTCAAATTGAATACCCCGCAGAATCTTCAACTGTGACAGTAAACTTCGGCGAAGGTATGTGGTGCGGGCCCCTAGCACAGCAGTCGATTCGACCGAGGAACGAGCTTCTGCAAGGACGTTTGTAGCGCGATGGACATGGTGGATACTGGAGAGTGAGCGCTTGGCTGCAACGAGGTAGGTGATCAGAGTGTCAATAGTTACGGGCCCCGGCGCGTGCTCGGACTGCGATGGAGAGGAGGATGCGTCTGATTGCGCCATACCAGGCAGGACAGAGTGGTCAGCGCAGCATTAATCACGGGGGTCTGGCGGTCTGGACAGAGTCCGGATTCTGACTTGTAGATGAGTAAACGCAGTCTGATGCCATCGAGGACAATATCGCGTGCGATGAGGTGCTCGCAGTGGCGGGAGTTGCCTTGTCGGGAGCCAGTAGCGGACCTTCGCGGTGGCAGTTGCGAGTTCCACTTTAGAGGCGTGCTCCTCTTTCTTCTCCAAAACTCTGATCTGCCTCTGACTAACAAGAATCCGTCCCCACCGCTTTCGGCATCGTCAGTTTCCATTGCTACGCAGCAGGCGAGCACGCTTTTGCTCTGTACCGATTGCTGACTGATTGTTGACCGCTGCTTGCACCATCTTTGAGTGTCTGGCAGATTTCCCGCCCGATTTCCGTCCACGGACGTCTGCTGAACCACTTATCTCACCCAAATTCCCGCTCTTGCGCCCGCATCTACTGCTTGCGATGAAGCCATTCTCCCGACCTTGTGCGACCTGTTGAGAAGCCCCGAGAGCACCGAGATTCGCAAACATGACTAGCCACGCCAGAGTGCACATCGAGACGGACGATGACTGGCCCCAGTCACCACGAAAGAGACTACGCTCCGATTCCAGTGGTGCCCATGCGCCTATCCATATGTATGATCATGGACACGACCACACCCACGACCACGATACCGACCGACACAAGATCATGACTTCCGCCTCTACAGCCAGATTGGCTCCGAACGCCGTTGCGCCCTTCCTGGCCAAGCACGTCCCTGCGCAGTACGCTCCCCTTGGTGGCGTCGACCGAGACCAAAATGCTCTCGAGCAGACACTTGATCCCAACTCAAAATTCTGTTACCGACATCGTCCAGATATGCTGTGTCGTAAGCAGGCCGACGAGCCCTCTATGGAGGCTCTGCAGAAAGATCTTGAAGCCATGCCACAAGAGGATCGCCAGGGAATAGTCCAGGTGTGGTCACTGTTCTCGGCTGCTCCAGCCAAACACCGGAAGCTTATGCTACAGGGAATACTCGCTCAGTGCTGCTTTCCCCAGCTCTCATTCTTGTCGGCCAATGTGCGCGAGCTCATTCGCATCGACTTCCTCGCCGCTCTCCCAGCGGAGGTTTCGTTTCGCATTCTGTCCTTCCTCGATACCACTTCGCTCTGCAAGGCCGCCCAGGTCTCACGCAAATGGCGCCAGCTAGCCGACGATGATGTGGTCTGGCATCACATGTGTGAACAACATATCGACCGTAAGTGCGTCAAATGCGGCTGGGGCTTGCCCATGCTGGACCGCAAGCGTCTCCGAGCGACCAAGCGACAGATGCAGCTGCGCGCTGCTGGACGTGGTCTTAATGAGTGGTCACCCGCAATTACGCCAATCCCAGAGGAGTCTACTCTTGTGCAGCCACAGCACGAGCAGCTTGGTGCTCCTGCCATCGAGCAGCAGTCTGATGGTCGTTCATCACCTGTCTCTATTCGAAGTCGTCCTGGTGTTTCCTCGCATGACAGCGACTACTTCCGGCGTACTCGTCCCTGGAAAGACGTCTACAAAGACCGCTTCAAGGTCGGTACCAATTGGAAATACGGTCGCTGCAATGTAAAGGTCTTGCGGGGGCATTCAAATGGTATCATGGCTCTGCAGTTCATCGACAACATTCTTGCTACTGGCTCCTACGATGCAACAATCAAGATCTGGGATCTCGATACAGGCGAAGTGCTCCGCACACTCGAGGGCCACACTTCAGGCATTCGCTGCCTGCAATTTGACGACAATAAGCTCATATCTGGCTCATTAGACAAGACCGTCAAAGTCTGGAATTGGCGGACTGGCGAATGCATTGCCACTCACACTGGTCATACCGAAGGCGTGATCTCCCTGCATTTTGACCAGAAGTTGGTCGCCTCTGGTTCTGCCGACAACACAGTTCGTATCTGGAACTTCAAGGAGAAAACCACCTCCGTCCTTCGCGGGCATACGGACTGGGTCAACAGCGTTCGCATCGATTCCGCATCCCGGACTCTCTTTACCGCATCCGATGACTGCACAATCAATCTCTGGGATCTAGATACCGGCCGAGTCGTTCGCACCTACGAAGGGCACGTCGGTCATGTCCAACAAGTGATTCCACTTCCACCCGAATTTGAAGCCGACGACCCTATTGACGATCATCTCTCAACTAGCAGTCGCTCTTTTAGTGAGGCTGACGAAGGCACTGAGCTGAGAAGAACCGCGTCTGTTGAATCCTCCGTTGAGAGCAAGCTCTTCCCATGTCAGCCAGATCGCCCATTACCACCACGCTATATCCTTACATCTGCCTTAGACAACACAATCCGTCTATGGGAGACAGCCACCGGCCGCTGCGTACGAACATACTTCGGCCATGTGGAAGGTGTTTGGACCATCGCCGCCGATACACTGAGAATAGTCTCGGGCAGTCACGACCGCACTGTCAAGGTATGGGATCCACGCAGTGGAAAGAGCGAAAAGACATTCGCAGGCCACGCCGGACCCGTGACATGTATCGGATTAAGTGACGGGAGGATGTGCTCTGGTGGAGAAGACGGCGAAGTGAGAGTCTATGACTTTGCTTCTTGATGCGAGTCGAATTGATTGTCTGGAGCGTTTAGCCCTGATTCAGGAAAAGAGGACATCGCGACGAGTTATGCAAGGTGTCCGGCGTCTTCCATTTGCTAGCTTATGTTCTTGCCATCGTCCGTATAGTGAGTGGACATTGCTATGCGACAATTCGAAGGTAGCTTCTGACCGCTCGATGGTATATACAAAGAGTACTCTTCTTCTGTGATCTCTGAGCGTGTGGCCTGTGTGCATGTACGCTCTATGCCAACACGATGCAGGCTACTCTCTTTCTAAACCTCCGTCTACTATCGTCTAAGCTGATATTACCTCCAGGAAGCCGCTTTAATATATCACCTCGCGCCACTACCCTCACCACCTCCACCCCCAACAAGTTCGCTCTGCACCGCCTTGACGCCTCCCTTCCCACCGCTTTTGCCACTGCTGTCACCCCCACCAACGGGCTTCCCATCAAACTCCACAATCTCCTCAATCACTAACCCGCCATCCTCCTCACCACTGCGCCTCTCCCCACCCATCTCAGCATCTCCCCTCACCACCGCTGCTCCCGCGACCTCCTCATCCCTGTACGGCGGCCCGAGCTCGTTATCTCCCTCCTCCTGCGGCCCCTGCGCCTGCACCATCGTAACAGCCCGTTTCCTCGCCACCCACCTCTTGAAGCGCCCAAAAAGCAGCAGGCTCGTGACCAGCGCAACCACGAAGCTCGCACAGATGGCGCCGCCGATGATCTCGTAGTTGTCGCCTGCGGCCTCGACGCCGTCCCAAAAGGGTCCGGTTGGGTGCGCGGTGTTGAGGATGAGGGAGAGAAGCTGGATGACGCCGATGACGATGGCGCAGATGACCGTCAATGTTGTGAGGACGATGGAGTAGTAGAGGAAGGTTAGAGGGTCTTTTACTCTGTTCCTGCCCTGAGGCGTTGCGGCGGGTGGTGATGGGGTGGAATTGTCGTCGTCGTTGTGGTGGTGGATGGAAGTGTCGTCTGCGTCCACGTAGCCGACACCGAGCTCTTGCGTGCGCGCGTCTTCTGCCGCCAGCGCTTGGCCCCGTGCTTCTGTCTCTTTTTTGTCCCCGCCCATGCCCATGGGCGCCACGTACATGGACATCATGAGCGCCCCGTCCGCGGTGTCGACTAGACACATGCCCGCCGTGAACAGCACGGGGAATATCAGAATCAGCCACAGACTCGTGCCGCTGGCGCCCTGGATGGAACTGATTCCCAACAGGGCAATCTCGCTGCTCGTGTCGAAGCCCAGCCCAAACAGCACGCCCAGCGGGTACATCTTCCACGGCCGGTCGATGAGCTTGAACATGCGCTTCAGCACGCGGAAGAGGACGCCGCCGCCCTCGATCTTCCAGCCCTCGGCCGCCGCGGCGTGCGGGCTCATGTCCACGACCCGCCGCATTTGCAGCACCAGCTTGTAGAGGATGTACGCGTTCATGACGCCCAGGAGGATCAGGAACACGGCAGACACGGACGTGCCGATAATGCCGCCGACGGTGCCGAAGCCGTCAAAGTGTTTAGAGACGCCGGCGGCGGTGGCTGCAACAACAATGCTTGTGACGACGACGATGGTGCTGTGGCCTAGCGAGAAGAAGGTCCCGACCGTGACGGGTCGCTGGCCGGTCGCGATCAACCGCCGCGTCATCAGGTCGATGGCACTAATGTGGTCGGCGTCCAGAGCATGGCGCAGACCGAGGCTGTAGGCTAGTGCGGCCGTGCCCAGGAGGTGCGTGTCTGTGTGGAAGGCGAGGATTAGGCCGCAGATGGCCCAGACTATAAGGTTGACGAGGATCAAGAGCAGAATGATCAGGATCGCGGGTAGAGGTAGCGCACGGAGATACGGGATGCGGGTGTGGATTTTGGAGAGGCGGGTATGCGTTTTGGTTTTGAACGCCGAAGCCCGCACGAGGAGGGGATGCCTAGAGGAGGCAGAGGCGTTTGTGGCATCTGTGCCATGCGACGTGGATGTGGCGGAACGGGGACAGGCGTGAGTTGAGTCATCCATCGCTGCTGTGCTTTTGGAACCGTGTCTCCGTTGGTAGAGGTACAATCACTGCCTGAGAATTTACGACCCCTCCCTCGAAAGGACTGAGTTCATTCGGTCTCGTTTTGACGAAGGCGAGGCAAAGGAGACTTGAGAGAAGAGTCCAAGGGATACAGTCGTAATGGACCGCCCCGGGCTGATGGCTCCGCTACTCCCACGTCCTCTCCGGTGAGAGAATAACGACGACCTTGAAGCTCTAGAACACGAGCAAAAGCTGCCGCCAAGCCGCAGCGCGGGGTCGCCACACCCCACCCTCGTATCGATAGCGATAAGTCGGTAGGACCTCCGATATCGTGAGACAGTGATTGGCTGGGTACCTGAGCGGCCGAACCCATCTATTCTGCGCAACTTGAAACGTCCCCCAAGTGCCTGGAATCAAAGCACACCGCCAGGTTGCGCTAGAGCTGCTACAGTACAATTCTCTTGAATCTCGTCACATCCATGTCTGGCACATAGAACTTTCCAAGTGACGTTACATTTCCACCTCTGTACATCGTCCTTCGACATGAGCGAAAGCGAAGCCCTGCCCAGCCAGACCACCATGGCGGCACCGGCAGCAGAATCAAGCACGCTCAAATCGCTCCCTTTCCGTGCTCCATCTACCTCTCCAGCCTCTGGCACTACCTCCTCCACTTGGAACACACCTCCGATCGAGTTCCTCACCGGCCGCTGGTATGTCACGCACTCGACACTACCGATGTGGAAATCGAATCGCAATGTCACCATCACCTACACCCCACTCGACAGTCCGGCTGACGCCATCGACGACCTGGTCGAGTACCAGCCGCTCAAGAGCGAAAAGCAGAAGACAGTGCGGGGAGTAGACTCTCCCGACCCGCATGTGGCGGCGGCGTACAACTGGCGCGGCCGCGGCTGGCTCAAGATCGCGAGCAGCCACTGGGAGGTCCTTGGCTGGGGAGAGGAGGAAGGAGGCTGGGCCGTGACGTTTTTCGCTAAGACCCTCTTCACGCCGGCCGGTATCGATGTGTATGCGCGGCAGAAGGGCGGCCTTTCCAAGGACCTGCTGGACCGCATTCGGGGCGAAATGAAGAAGGTGCAGGATGATCCCTTCAAGCAGCAGGCGGAGCAGATTTTTGAGATTCAGCACGATCAATGAGCCTCTCCGTTTTGCTGTTGGCGCTCGAGGGCACAGGCTGAACCTGACAAGGTCGCGTCGGTGTAAGCGCCTGTGGAGATGAGATCGCTCTCCATCTTGGCCCATTTGTCTAGATTGCCAGAAGATGAAATCTTGAGGTCGAGGTCTGCCAGCTTCACGCGTGAGATGCTGAGTTTGCCACCTGGTGATTTGTTGAGCACCATGAAAACACTGCAGTCACGCAACGCCATGGCGACGGCATAGTCTCGATGCTCGGGGTTGCTGGCGTCCTGCAAGCCCTTGGTGTGATGCTCTTCCTGCAGATCTGCCAGGTGATGGAGCACGGGCTGCACTTGCCTCCTGAAATCGTCAACGAGCTCTGTCGAGTTGCCATGGGTGCGGTCGATCTTCTCAAGAATCGCTTGGATAAGGGACGGGTCGTCCGAGAGTAGATCCAGAGGACAGAAGCCTGAGTCGCCTTTGCCTTGCTTGCTGCCTTTGGCTCGCTTGAAGCCATTAGCCGCGCACGTCCGGCACCGGCGGGATCCTGGCGGAGCATTTGGGCTCTGCCGCAGCCACTTTGGCTTGAACTCTCTGAAGAGGGCGTTTTCGCCGTGCCGAAGGTTGGGCATCAGCACGGCGTGCGGCTCCTCTTCAAGGGCAGGGTGGGAAATGTCGCTTTTTCCCAGGGCGCGCACCGACTGGCCCTTCTCGGTGCACTCGGCGTCCAGCTCCGCAAGGATCTGCTTGGCCTGGTCCAGCAGCTCGGGCGTCAGCTGGTACAACATCTTGGGCATAAGCACGTCTTCGTACGCGCGCTCAAAGAGCGGCGTGATCCGTTCCCGAATGGCACTCAGGTTCTCGATACACGGCCGGGTCGTGGGCAGGTCCTTGCGCAGGCGCAGCACACAGCAATGATCGTGTGCGGCGATCTGTGGGTCTGAGGTTATTGGGGCGATGCTGTAGATGACATTGGCGTTCCCCTCTGTAAGGTAGTGCAAGGTGAGGGGAGTATTCTGGAGCAGATCCATGCATCGGCTGGGATCTTCATGTGGGGCGGTGCTGTCCATGTCTTTGTTACAATGCAGTTGCCTGGGACAGTCGAAGTTATGCAAATTACGTCTGAAAAACTTTCCCCATCGGGCTGATTAACACTGTTGACGCCTCAGGTGTTGGATAGAGCAACCCATCATCGTCATTACCCTTTCGCTTGGGTACCCTTTTCCGGCTTGGGTGGCTTCCACGAGGCTGGGGTTGCAGGAGCCGCGGGGATGCCACTTGCTAAGTGGGTTCTCTATCACAAAAAAGTTTATTGGACGAATTAAGAAAGCCTTTAAAATTATGTAGCTGTTGTAGAAGACTTGTATGAAATTTCAGACGAATTGATTTCGGAGGAAGTGGAGGGGCGGTTGCTGCCGTCGCCGTCCTTGGCGTTGTTCAGGCGGGCGGCCAGGCGTCGAGGTGAGGACCAGCGCACCCCGATGCCTGATAAAGGCCTCGCGAAGGCTCTGAATGTGTCAACATGCACCTTTGTGCGGTATGGCAGCGCTTCCCCAACCCTGAGAGCAGGCTGGCTGCTTCTGGTACCTTGGAAAGCCCCTCCCTAGGGTACCAATATGGTAGATAGTGTGGCAGTCTACACATAGGCTTGCCGTAGGCCTCAGGGCTCAAGGTGCCACCCGCAAGTCCCATCGCCAGCGCGGTATAGCTTACTTACGCTCGGTCCGATGCTCATCTCCCATGAACAAAGCTTTTCCTCTGCCTGGGCTAACACGAGGTTCTTTTGTGACGACCGAGCTGGTCTTTCCTGTATCGAGCCAGAGAATGCATCGACAAGTGAGGTGTGGGCGACCTGCCTAGATACTGATAGGGCATTCGTCCTAGAATAGGAGAAAGCCGCCGAGCACCAGACTTCTTCATTTGCAGACTGCCATGGGGTGGCAACGCTGATGTCGAAGAGGCGTCGTTGAAATTCAAGCTCTCCTCAACAGTACGCGCTTCTGAGTTCGGGTGGGCATCTTTCTGTTTTGAGTGACTCTCGGCTGATGTGAACGTCGAGGGCGCCGAGATGTCATCTTGTAGACCAGAACTGGTTTGGATGATCGGCGAGAATGCATCGATGGGCATGAGATGATGTTCCGGAACCGAGTTTGTGGGACCACGATGCGCGTAGCCATCAGTCTTCTGCACGAGCGGGATTGGAGGATGGCGGTTCGTGTTTGTGGGGACTGTGGTGGACGACAGGTTGCGGTTCCTGAGAAGCGGTGACTCCGTTTGATGCGCCGGATCAAACGGCGCAGAGACCGACGGTTTTGGTGCGTTGATTGGTGTCAACGTCTGGCCTTCGTTGGATGTGTGGCCGGGGTTGGACGGTGAGGCTGTCCGTAGCTTTGGAGTCGTTGTGGCACCATTTCGGGTCTTTGACCGGAGTGGCAAAGGGTCTTGTGATTGAAGTACCCCCCCAGATCTTGTTGCCATTTTGGGTCGTCGCCAAGGGTAAGTTGAGGATCGCGGTGAAGATGACACACGGATGTGGCTGTTGAATGCTCGGCCACGGCTTGGCAAGCGCAGGGTCTTTCGCTACCGTGCAAAAGCACCAAGGCGATCTGCACGTCGCGCACAGGAGCTCACAGGTAGGTCAGGCTACTGACCTGGCATCAACGGTGTGCATGGAGAAGTGAGGTCATCAGCGTTGGAGGCTCCAAAAAGTAGCGAGGTTCCGAGGTGCAACAAGCAGAGGTGCTTCTGAGGCTGGCGACGTTTTACGTCATCAATCGTTGCGTCTGCACCACATAGCACACGGCCTGCAGCTTATCCAGTCACTCTCTGGGTACAAGATATCAATATCAACGCAGAAACCCAAGCAGGGGTTACACAGGTCACCATGTCGAGCGTAGCCACAACCAAGTCGCTGGATCATCTGGTGTTGACCGTGCAGGACCTAAGTGCCACCATCAACTTTTATCAAGAAGTGATGGGCATGAAAGCCGAGTCTTTCGCTCCCGCAAATTCGTCAGGGACTAAGCGACATGCTCTAAAGTTCGGATCCCAAAAGATCAACTTACATGTCCATGGCAGCGAATTCGAGCCCAAAGCACAGTTATGTCACATTCCTCATTGCGGCTTCTGCTCCAGATCAACGCTAAACTCGAGTACAGACCGTTCAACCGGGCAGTGCCGACTTGTGCTTTCTTGTCGAGGAGTCGGTGGACCTTGTCCTCGACCGTTTGAAACAGAGAGATGTTGAAGTTTTGGAAGGAGGACAGGTCGTTAAGCGGACTGGTGCCCAAGGAAACATCCGCAGGTCGGTATACCTAGATGGGGGCTCCGCAAGGCCTTCGCTGACACTCCCAGTGTGTACTGTCGAGACCCAGACGGTGAGTTGCCATTCTTCTAACATGATGAAACCGAGGTCAAGGCAAGGCTTTGATCCAGTACGAGTACTGACCCATGTATCGCGATGGTTGCAGGTAACCTCATCGAGCTATCCAATCTTTGCACGTAGAAAGGACTGTAGGCCAGTACAAGTATTTCCTACAACTTCGTTAGCTGTTAGCTGGCAAGGCGCCGAGCATCGAGAGCAAGAAAGCAACAGATCAATACGACCTCGCTTTCTGTAGGCGAGCGTGCTAGCGGACCAGACAAAGGTTGCCGAGCTCTAACAACAATTGCCGGTTTGATGTTTTCCAGAACTGCCGACTTGAGACGGGCCTGGTACCTGAGACATCCGAGATAAGGGTCCCTCGCCTCCATCGACGTTGCCAAGTGTGGAAGGTGCGAATGGCGTTTTCCCATTGCTGTTTCGACCAAGGTACCATGAACATCACGCCATGCAACTTGACGAAGCCCATCACAGGGGCATACTCCGTAGCCCAAGAATGTCCCGGTCCAGAGCTGAGCCCTGTCTTTCTGGAGTCCTGTCTTCTGGAGTAAGGGGGGCGTCCCAGATTCGATCCCTGCTGCACCGCCGTGCCTAAGAAATTCTCCGACAGGCGAGCCTACGAGCCTGCCCGCCTCTGCACCACTTGGTACCTGTACCGCTTCGCCCGTACCCACACCCGGCTTCATCTCCTCGCGCAGCTCGCTTCGTTCTGGTCAATTCAATAGTGCTCTCGTCTGTTGAGCACCTAGCGCTGTGCATGGCAGCCGGAGAAAATATCATACTGAGAGAAATAACCGAAGGCTAGCCTCAGACTAGCCGCGCATCATTTGTCTGGTCTCTCTGATCCGAATTCGCGCAGTCCAGCATACTCCGTATCCGAGTTTGACCTGGACACAATCGTAACACCTACGGAGGTACGGAGTAGACATGGGCCACATGTCACTCGTCCGCGACTCCGGCCTCCAGGACTTTGCGCGCCGCGGAACAAGATTACCGTCTCCATGACATGGAGCCCGTCGCTGCCAAAGTTTCCACAACTGGCTTTTAGTCGCAAAGTCTCGAGTGTGTAGGGTGTTAGGGAATGAAGCTAATCAGCCCGTGGGGCAGAGGTTTGTTGGTGTTACAGTGCCATGGCCCACGAATGCATCCCATTCTCGCATCAGCACCGGCCGCATAGCCTGATGGGCCTAAGGCTACCGCGCTGGTAGGGGTCCTGCTTCGAGCAACCCTGGTCAGTTGCCCGCTTCCATGCAGACTCCAACCTCCAACAGAGCCAGCAGAAGCCAGCAGCAGACTTGCCCAGACAGAGCTTCCACTTAATCGATATCATAGCTCTAATGCTGTTGCTGCCTTGGACAACTGCCGCCACCGAGCTATTCGTCTAGTCTAAATTGCGGTATCCTCTCCGCTGTGGCTTTGCATCTTTGCCAGGTAGATCCCAGATGTCGTCGTTTCAGATGGTGGAAATCCTTCTGCTCCGGTGCTGCCTGCGCCGTTGTGACTGGCAACGACCTGCTGTACAAAAACGACAGCCTGCGGTGCAGATCCAACCGTGCCCTCGCACGGATCGCCCAACCAGTTCTCGCCTGCTAAGACAAAATACCTCTACATCGACGTGCTTCGCTTACGCCCCTTCTGGATTTCTGAGCTTATGCTCGTGTTCCAAACCGCAAGCGAACCAAGTACAATCGCTCGCCGTGTCCCTGAGCGGCTTCCTCCGCTGTGGCTCCTTTGCAGGTGGCTGCATATCGAATCCTGACCAAAAAGCTTCCGTTGACGCTGCTTGCTAGCCCATCTGATCGTCGGTCTTCGGCTGCGCAAGCATTCTGTCGATCCTCTTGTCTGCTTTTCGACCAAGATCCTCACCCCGTCCGTCATCCTCAGCCTAGTCCTATCCAGGAAACGTTAGTTCCTGCCCACTCTTATAGTGGCTACTATGAGCATGACCGTCACTAACATCTGAAGCATATATCTCTGCCTCATTCGCCAGAACCGCCACCACTCAGTATACCGAACCCTAGCACCATTTTTCTGTCTTAAATCATTGTACCCATCTCTTCATCACGACACCCTTGACAGTCTTTTACACTGCCATCTACAATTAACCATACCACACATTCCTTCCAAGCAAACAATTAATGCACAGCCACTTGGCCTCACGCCTCTACGCATTATCCGGCAGACGTCCTCTACCTGCAGGTGAATACTGGTGGTGGAAGAACAACCCGTCCTGAATCAGAAGCATTGACTGGTCAAGCAAAGATTCTAGGCGAGTCCATACCAGATTGCATCTCGCCCACATATCGATATCGCTGTGTCACCATCCCAGCAGCTACCCGTTTTCGGTTGCAACCCAGAGATCCATGGTCCCGACTTCAGGTCTGCGAGGCGTGCAACACGGATTCTATCGCAAAGAGCCCCGCGCCGACGACACGTGAGTCCCCTGCCTGGTTATGCAACCGCGTCCTGGCGCAGGAGATCGACAGTTTGAGAGCCCTCCGCGCACTCGCCCACCGAGTACTACTGCCCCCGCTCAAGCTCCCTCTTATCCTCAACCTCCGGACATGTTGGCCGCTCCTTACCAGACCCCGAAATTCCCCGAGGCTACTGTCCCGCATCTAGCACCGTCTGCCTCTCAACCCACGCTTCCACCATTGTCGCAGTTCCCACTGCAGCCTGGGCCACCGTACGGTTCTTCCTCTTACACCGCGCCTCCTCTGTACCAGCAGTCAGCTCTCCACCATGCACCGCTGCATCCCTACCATGCAACAGGAGCATATCAGTCATTTCCTCCATCAAGTGGCGTCGTCTCACGTTGTCCGAATCAGCCCTCCCTGCGAATTGGCGAAACCGAGTCGGCGGCAGTCGCAAATCCTGGAGTTTCTCCATCCTCACGCGGTCCCCTTGCTATTCCTCTCAAGCGGCCGTACGACCTGGCAGAAGAAAGGCAAGACGACTCGGAGAACGTTCACCGCTCCGGCCGACATCCCAGGCTTCCCGGCGAGGCTACGTCTTCTCAACAGCCGCACTTTGGTGATACAAGCGAGAGTCGGATTTTTATGTCCTCAACCTCGGTCTCGAGTACGTCCACGCCGACCACTGCAAGCTACCAAACCCTGGGCACTGGCCCATGGTCAGCTGGCCAGTCCGTGGCTTCGATCAGTCCCCGGGCTACGCGATTCTCGCTTCGTATTCGTCAACAGCCTCGAGCGGCAAGAGCAGGACCAGATGGCAAAGACCGGCGCCCAATCGATCCACCTCCGGTGCTTCAGTTGCTGATGAGCAATTTTGATCCTCAGTCTCAGGCCGATCTCGATGAACTACAATCCCAATTCGTGGTCCATTGTCGACTTGTCTCTGCAAATCCTCCGCGGCGGGATATGAGTACACTGTCGTCGTACAGCGAGGATGGTTCACGGGAGATACAGAGGTTACTATTAGGCACGTCGGTGGCTAGTCCCTTCCATACAAAGGATGACCCCGACGTCGAGACTGCAGTACAACATCCACCGAGTGTGGAGCGCGCGTCCGGACCGGGCTCTCCCAGTCAGCGATTCTTCGCGTCTGGGGCGGCCAATAACCCTGGTAGCTTCGGACAAACACGACCGGTCTACGGACTACCATGTACATTCTTCATCTTTGCTGATCTATCGGTTCGCAAAGCTGGCGAGTACAAATTGGAATTCAGCCTCATGAAGATGGAGCCGGGCTACCTCATGGCTGGCGAAAAGCTACCAATACTGCACACGGTGGCCAGCCATGTATTTCGAGTGGTCAATGCCAAGGACTTTGACCAGGTACAACCGAGTACGCCGCTAGTGCGAGGTCTCATCGAGCGCGGCGCTGGCTTTCCGTTGAAGCTGAAGAAGGGAACAAGGGAAGGTGGCCGACGTCGGACCGGGAGAGGAGATGACGACAGTGGCAGCGACGACGACGACGAATAGATGGACATTGAACGAGTTGATGCTTCGCTGCCTTTCCATTCCTAAGCCCTGGACTTGACCAAGACACCGGCTTTTCACCCGCTTCGGATACAGACCATCAGGAACGTACACGCGAGAGATTACGGCAGGAGATTCGACCCACGAGAAAGTTTCAACGTATGGCTTGATGACGACACATTTGGGGCGGCATGCGTGAATTTTACGCGATGTACATCATGATCTTGGAGGCCTTTTCATGCAGAAAGAGCATATGACACAACACACGCTCCTACAGGCACATACGCGGGCGGAAGGTGCTTGGAAGGACGAGAAGGTGGAAGTATAACAGGCCAGTCAAGCGATTGGGGCGGAAGCAACGAATGACGATAGAAGGTTGTTGAAGTAATGGCTGCCAGGGAACGGGGACACCAAGGAAGTTGTAATACTAATCTAATTAGACGCATTACAAACAATGGACACCCTCATCCAGCTACCACCGTTCATTTGTAGACCACGAGCAGAGTCGATGGTACACTTGCACGTATCCTGCCGTGAGGTCCAGGACTTGGAATAACGCAAGCAGCATTGCTATGCTCTCTAAGTTCAGTCCTCGTGTCGTCTCTGACACCTGCCCAAAACGGCATATTGCCGAGTTCGGACTGTGGGCGGGGGGACTTCGAATGTGAGGTTGAAGTTCGACAGCGGTTGAATAGATCGACAAGTGAATGCTTCCAGTGCATCGGTAACTCTGAGGATTTGACTTTGGACCAAAGTGGCGGCCATTTCTACTTGTAGCAAACGTTGAGGGGCGGAAGGTTAAGGCTGAGGATCTGGCTTTGTACATTACTGTGTAGTGCTCCTGTAGTCACTGCATAAAGCGTGCCTCTGTCCCGAGTTTCCGTTCGATGCAACCGGCAGCTTCTCGAGGAAATTTCGTCATACCGTGCTTGAGGTGCCCAGGATCTCCCTCTAGTGGAGGGGGCCGACGAACTCTCTTGAAACGGTAATGTCAAGGTTCTCATGCAGAGAAAACCACCTTTGTGGTGATGTTTCCCATGTCCCTAATCCGCCTCGAAATCGTCATGTGTAATAGGCCAGCCCGCCTCTCCGGGCTCAGCCGACAAAGGCCCGAACACAGGGACAGGGATCCTGCAGCCACCGTTGGCTGTACATTGTACTCTGTAACATGCGCGATTTCCTTTCTGCCCAAGAGCTGTAGACGAGGAGACGAGCAAGGCGAAGCGTTCCGTGACCACGGAGAAGCTTTTTCCTGCTCCTCGCGCTACACAAAGCCGCCAAGGGGAAAAATTTGCAACCCAACCCATAGATCGGGGCTCATGCCACCTCGAGCGCGGAAGATCGAGACCAGAAAGTCCCAGATTAGGGAGGCTACCACACCGTGTCAGCCCCCACGCCCACCCCGGATATAAATATACATATAAAATGGGTCGAGGAGCAAACAAAATCGCAAGGTCGAAGTTTGTTCTAACATGCTCAGAGCCACGGGGAATATGGTGGTGGTGCTACTCCGTACTCGAGCAGTAGTGGGGGGCACTGCTGCACCTTCCGAAGCTCACTTGTGGTTTGGCGCCCAGCGATCACCAGCGATCACCAGTTTTCGGTCCTCGGTCCCATTAGCCCTAGAGCAAAGATCTCTATATCCCTGCATCCCTCTGGCATCACACCAAGTCTTTTCCATGCCGCCATTTACCACTACCACGCTCTAGACCCCCTCCCCTTCTACTGGCCCATACTAGCGCTCCGCCTGCTCAGAATCGTGATAGCTAAAACAAACGACGGAAAAATCACTCATGACATGTCCCTGGAATCCGGCGTGGGCAGTGACGTCGAATTGAGCTAACAGCATGCAAGATACACTTCGGCGTTGTGCTACCTGAAATCACTGCGGGCCAACGTTGCTATTCGCTGCAAGGGTCGACCGTCCCCAAGATGCTGCTCATGGCTCCGCACCAGAGTCGAAACGAAGTCAATAATACCGACACCACAATATACAGAGGTCCTCCCGATCCAAGCACGGCTTCACCAAGCTTCTCCAGGATGCATACTGGAGCCAGCCCAGATGCCAGGTCTTGGTTGCAACTGTCAACCGCCACAGCCTGCGGTTCCGCAACGGCTAGCCATACCCGAGTATCAGATCGCCCCTCTGACATCCACCTCCATATTAGCCTCTGCATAAAAAGAAACTCACTCTCCTGCAACTGCATGCAAGGCTGCCAGCCCGCCTCACTGATCTCCTCGGCTCAATGACATAACCCTGAAGTATGCCACCGCTAAGAACTTTTTGAGAGGTACGGAAAAGTACGGAAAGGAACGCCGCCGGCTACCGAACCGGGACGATCTCAGTCGAACAAAAGCACTGGGTAGTCAAGGTTGATCTCCCTGCCTTCACCGCTTGATTGCCGTGTCCAACATATCCCGGTACTCTGTACACCCCACATTATGCCCTCTGCGCCACGACCCTCAAGAGATGATTGCCAGGAAGAATGAATTGCTCGAGGTCGAATCGTCTGACCGAGGTTACAACCGAGGTCACGACCGAGGTGTGGTAACCCACTTTCTGGGACAAAGCTTACCTGTGGGTGGATAAGAGGCCTTGAGGTACAGATGCAAGACTTTTGGGAATACCGACAAAGTATGGTCCAAGCTTGACATTTCTGCACCCCGCTACACAGCCCCCAAGAACCCCATACCTCTACCAGCTCGAGGGACGATCAAAAGCCATAACAGAGTTCGCTGGATGGGAGTTTGGTCCAAAAAGCATCCCCAGACTGGGTTAAGTTTGGGAAGTGAGCGGACGGTCGATCACTCGGTTTACGCCCACAGACCCAGGGGGCCAGGGCAGGGAGCGCCCGGACCTTGGTGTTGTTCATCAAAGCTACTACTGGACAATCAACCCAGACCAGGATCGCCGTTGGCAGAAATACGGACTGCAAAGACTCTTCTACGGCACGCTAAATATCGATCTCGGACGATCGCTCAATTCTCGGTGTGCTGTAACCGGCTAGCCTGCAGTCCTGTGCATCGTGTGCATCGTGTGCATCGTGTGCATCCGGCCACATTGCTGGTCCATGCATCTGTTTCAGGCTTCAGGCAGAATCTTCGTTTCGACACGTCAAAATTTCACCCATAGTGACGGCGACTGTCCTATACCTTGAGCAACTCTGACTCAGCAGCGGGGTACATACTTCTTTGCATCACCCATTGTCGTGTCGTCTAACTTGCAAGCGGCTCATGATCGTCAGGCTTCACTAGCCCTCATCGCCCGGATGCATTATTGTCCATGATGGTGCATGTCCATATCCGCGTTGACGATACTTTGAAACAGATTCCTCAATCGGGGAAGTTCGGACACAGCCCTCCCTGCCGTGTACATCATTTTCCGGCTTCCGTTCTATCCGAGGAGACACCCCCTGGGCAAGAGGCAATTGTTCTATTATAACCCTCAGATCGCCATCACCATGGCTTCAGACCAGGGATCACGTCTCAGACAGCATGTAGCTGTGTCGCAGTTAGGGTTCGTTTGGCGACTCTCCAGCCCACATTTCAAGCATGAGAAAATAAGATGCCCGCTGCAGGACCCCGGCTGTTACGATCCCCGAGTGCACCATGCGCATCAAGCCTAAGTGGCCTAAGTTTGGCAAGGAGCAAAGACAGATATCAAGCCAGGTCACGATCTGGAGACGACCACCAAGAAAACGATCCAAGGAGATATATCGGTCCAGCCCAATCATGGTGATTCAGTGGCCGCTCTAGCCATTCAACTCGAGTTTCCATCGCAGAGATCAATTTTGATGGCCCAGTGGCTAGCCAACTCTCGTATCACTCCCGCAACCACCTTTCATGCTGCAGTGGTAGCTTTACAGCTGTCTCCACAACCCAACATCAGATGCACATCGTCACCATCGCCAGTCCCATCGGGGGCTCAAGGACCTTTCTTTCCTCCTTCCCGGACATTGCCAAGTCTTTCACTGCCTGATTCCCTTCAACGCCGTCAAGTCCACACGTATCAATGGCGCAACTGACTTGTCCATCATGCTCTCTGCCTCCACGTCGGGAGCTGAGTCTGTGATTGTGATGTCGGCATCATGCACGAATGCACCAAAGATATACCATCTCTTCCTTTCTCGTCCTCTCATCCATTTATGTGTCTGGGGCATGGTGCCCGAGATCAAGCCATAACCAAGGTCACAAAAGCGTATACCAATACTTTCCAGCTTCGGCCCTGAGACGGCAGATTTCCTGCTTGCTAACGCGAGTCACCGAACTCGATACCGCAGTTCGGTTCTTAATTGCCATATAACCCTCCACTTCTCCATTTCTAGCTGCGTGCGAAGGATAGGCTTATGTGTGCCATGCGTCAAGGTAGGGGCAGCGGCAGCAGCAGTAGCAGCAGTAGTAGTAGTGGAAACAGTTCCAAACCAGCAGCCGGCTTCTCTCAAAAAGGTGGTTGACCCCAGCAGCTTGATTCAGTGGTGTGAGAGCGTACGTAATGTAAATATTGTAGGGCCGGGGACGTTTCTCCTCCCTCCCCTGTTCTCCCGTCTCCTTCTCTCTGCTTCCTGCTGGCAAGAGACGGCCTCAACGGGCGGCGCTGTTCTTTTAAACGTTGGAGCAACGTTTGTTCATGTTCAAATGTGCCTTCTTGCCATCATGCCAGCCTGCCATTGATACAGCCCCCCCTCTCACCGGCTCGGCCAGACATCAGAGCTTGTGATGGCCCCAAGTTTGAGATGTTGTATGATTTTTTCACTCCAGTGAGGTTGGGGCGAGGGGGGTTGTATGTGACTCTGTGGAGAGAGCGTGCCAAGCTTTCCGCTGCCTGACAAGACTACCACCACTTTACATATTTAGTATTCCCGACGATGCAAGACGCTACGGCCATCCTATAAGTGTATTGTGTGCGTATACACCGTTTGCGGTGAGGGGTTCTTGAGAGTTCCTTTGTCCAACACTTCCCCCTCCCCTCTTCTGACTCTTAACGCCTCATCGCAAGTACAGTAGTACTGCTAGCATAGCAGCAGCAGCAGCAGCAGCAGCAGCAGCAGCAGGAGCAGGAGGAGGAGGAGGAGGAGGAGGAGGAGGAAGAGTCGCCACTGCGACTGCAATGCCACCTAAAAGGCAGTGGTCGCTCGAAGCACGTGAGCAGATTGCATATCGGACAGAAATAAACAAACACGCAGGGCAGCTCTATCATAGGAGCGACTTTCGGTTGCCTTTCATCAACACCGATTTCGCTTGGTCGTTCATCCATTCAATTCAGGTGTGGAGGGGGAGAACAGGGATGAGGTGTTTTGGGGGGGCTGAGTTGATTTCTGATTTTCCCGAGATACTGCATCTACCTCAATGTCCTGTTCTCCGAGATATACTAAAATCTTTCTTCTGTGGCACAGCTTTTCCTAGCTATCTTTCTGTGGCACGCGCCTTTTTCTCCGATGATGTTCCAATTGCCTGATGATCTCCCCGCAAAAATGCCGTTGCTCTCGTTGGACTTTTCCAAGATTCTCTCCACTTCCGTCCGCCCCTTTGCCGCCCAGTTTGCACGGCGTGGAAATTCGACTGGACAACCTTGCCAGACCATGTCTGTCTCCTCTGTCGTACTGTCCTCGCTGCCGCACCTTTCAGAGGAAGAAACGAGGGTTTCCTCTAGTGACCACCGGTCGTGGGGAGGCCGAGGTAGACCTTGAACGAGTCGTAGCTGTTGCTTTTGTCAGTAACCCATCTCCGGGGCCGGGCACATCGGGGGGGAGACACGTACATGAGCCATTGGAAGGCCGTCAAAGTACCGATCATGGCAATGCGGACGGGCAGACCGTTCCATAAGCCGGTGAAGCCGATATTGCCGTAGATGCGGGTCATGGCTTTGCCGGAACTCTCGCCGGCTGTAAGAACACATATTTGTTAGCAGTTGAGAAGACGTCGTGGGGCGGAATAGAGGAGAGGAGGGGGGGGCTTACGTTTTCGATCACTGTTCAGTTTGCTGACCATGACATCGGCCGGGTGGCTGACAATCGCACAGGCAATACCCGCGATATAACCGCCCAAGAAGCTGACGCCGGTCTGCGCCACCTTGCCGTACTCCTCTTTGGGCTTACCCAGCTGTTTGTAGATGACGCTGACCGTCTCCTCGAACGTGGCGAACTTGCACATGGTGTAGGGGATCTGACGGCCCCAGAGCGGCACGATACCCTTGTACAAGCCCGACACGCCCTCCTTGGCCACGACCTTGCTCCAGCCCTCACGCAGATTCTGTGCGTAGGGCGGTAGGGTGGTCTGCATGCGCACCTTGATGGCCTCCCAGGGACACAGCAGCATATCAGCGATGAACTCGGCCGAGGCGGAGGCGGCCAGAAAAACAACGGTGCGGTTCATGTTGGGGAACATGTTGTCGCCGTACTGGTGCTTGAAGATCTCGTAGAAGCCGTACTTGCCCAGCCCCTGGAACGAGTAGCCCACAAACGTCGGGCTCCAGCCGAAGAAGACGCCGCGGAGCCCCTCGGCCTTCCAGATCTGGGACCAGCCTTGCAGGTTGGACTTGTAGATGCCCGGCGAGACCTGCCGGCGCGTCTTGACGAGGTCGAGCGGCGTGACGAGCGTATGTGTGGGACCGCAGGCCACGACGCCCTGGTGGAGGAGGTTAGTTAGTTGGGGGGGTTTCAACGAGAGACGTGGTGAGTCAAACGTACACCTAGCATGCATGCTGCAAAGTATTTTGTCGAGTTGGGCTCGATTTTGCCAAAGGGGCCATAGTTGGCGGGTGGAGAGATGGAGGGCGGTTTGAGCGCCGACTTGGTGTTTGACGCCATGATGTGTACGAATCTGAGAGACGAGGAAAATCGAAGAACGAGGTGAGTGCTCAATGGGGTCGAGGTGCGCTGCGTCGGGAAGCTTGTGGGAGCAGAGAGTCAACCAGTCACCACCAGAGAGCCCAGACTTGGTCCAGCAGGTCTATGAAGCAGCAGCAGATACAAATCACTTTGTCAACGACAGCGGAGAGCACATCAATCGACACAGAGCAGGACGTGCACAGTACAAAGGCTGTAGCTTGTTGGGAAAAGATGGCTCATCAAGAGCCGCGGCAGCCGTGACGCGCGAGGGCGAGAAAGTCAGATCGCCAGGAACAGACAGGACACACACGAGCTCAACACCCACCGAACAAACAGGGAGCTCTATCGCAATGCTGTGAGTGGATGAGGACAGCGGGAGGTCCGGATGTAGGCATGGAGCTCGACGTCACCGAGTAACAGCATGCCGCTGAAGCTTGTTGGCCATCAAGCACACGTTCGCCTACGTCAAGCCTGGCGTTAAGCCTGCGGCAAGCTGATTCAGCGCCCATTTTCAGCCCTTAAGGGTCGCCAATCAAAATAGGGACCAAGCACTCGACGCTTCACGGCAATTTCACCGCCTGAGTCTCTACTGTATTATCATCTCTATCACCAGGTGCAGCTCTTCTCTGCCAACAGCCGCTTGAAATCCTCGGCCATGCATTCAACCACTACTCGCACGTCTGGCTTCTTTGCGCTGGGCTTCACCTTGTCGCCCTTGGCCTCTTTCGCCGGAAACTCAGCCAGCTTCTCGCCATCGACATCCTTGGTACTTTCGTTGACCACATCTTTGCTGCTGGCCTTCAACACCTTACCTTCCTGGGTATGGGGTGTAATAGGCGTGTTGTCGAGGATGTCTTGCCACCTAGAAAGAAAAGCGCCTGGTCCGGCGTCAGATTTTATGACCGGTGTCGGCGCATCTGGATCTTTGCGGGTCGATTGCTGCTCGTCGTGCTGTGGAGGCGCCGGTGAAGGAGCCCGTGATGGTGGTCTGCTCGAAGGCCTGCTATTCAACCCCGAGAAGATGCTGGCTATCGTCTTATCCTTGGACGGCGGTGAGTGCAGAACCGACTCAAGACGCGCCCTCGAAGCCGCATGCATATCGTCCAAATAACGAGATTGCGCGTCCAGTAAGGGCAGGATCTGTTCCTGCTTCTCGGAAGGCAAATTTGCAAACATCTTACCCAAGTCTTCAGTCACGTTGCCTGCGTCGGATAGCGTTCCTCGCTCCACCGCTGGTCCAGGCCGCTTGAACTGAGCAGCTGCTTGTTTGGCCCAGACAAGGTACCAGTCCGTGAGTGCTGGACCATTCTTGCAAGCCTGGTGAATAAAGGTATGACACGAAAACTGATGTTTCTTCAACAGCATGACAAAGTCTCCGATGGTAGGAACGGTGGAGCGCCCTTTGGCGTCCGTCTGAATCCTGGCCAACTTGATCATGTCTCTCAGGAAGTGCTCAAAGTCGCCTATGGTTCCTGATAGATTGATCGAGTTGTGCATCTGCCTGATGACCGGGTCGTAAGCATCGACCAGCTCTCGGATTGACTGCGTAAAGTGGTCCGGGCTAGCGTGACAGAAGGCTTTGATGATCTCTTTCCGATCCCGAATCGAGAGCTGTATAGCAAGATACTCCAGCGCATGCTCGTGTTGCTGTTGGTTCAGATTCGAGTCGAGACCTTTGTCTTTGAGCATGGAGCTGACAATCGAGATCGAATCCTTCTGACTCTGAGTACGAACGCGAGTCTGGTCCTCTCTCGACCAGGTTGGATATTCTCGCAGAAGCTGAAGTTGCTCCTTGCCATCTTTGCCACGTTCTTTCTCGATTTTGCCACCCCTGCTCTCCAAGTCGCGGATATCCCAACTCAGGACCTGAGAGATGATGCTATCGCCTGTCAGCTCAGGACAGACACGGGATTGGAGCGACGCACTGCTGCAAAAGGTTCATGCCCTCGTCCGCACCAGAGGTGAGGCCAATCCAATTGGTTACGCTCGACACGCTCATCTTGGCCAATCCGATGCGGACCATTGCACTGATCATTGATGCAACATTTCCGATGCGCAGGGTTTGCTTGACGAGCATGTAGGGAATGAGCTTGTTGGCGTTGTCGATCAGCTTCAGTAGGTACTGGCCCTTCGGAGACAAGACCAAGGTGTAATGCATGAAGGAGGCAAGACTAGAAGACCAGTCAGCGTCGGGGGGCACACGCTCGTGCAAAAGGCACCCACTTGACAAGGACGAATTCGTGCACCCCTCTGATCAAGGAGGTATGCTGACTCAGATCGTCGGTTTCCGATGCCTTTGCGACCGTCTCCTCCAGCACACTACCGTAGATACATCCATCCATAAAGTCTCGGAACGCTCGTGCTATATCATCGGCCTTGGTCGTATCATAGCTGGGATTAGGGTCCTTGACCTCTGCGAAACCACCGAATGTGCCACGGACGGGATACTCAATGAGAGCGGAGATGGCGGTGGCGAGGGTCTTACGGCTTCCTATAGCGCCCTTGTCGTAGCTTTCACTGAGGTTGGATGTTTCAAGATTCTCGATGATGTCGTAGCACTGGACTTTCCACCAATTCTCGGGGAGATCTTTCAGCCCTGGAAGGGTCAAGAGGTAGCGAGTGACCAGCGTCTGGAGTGCAGGCGAGGTAGAAGGATGGCCGCTGTGGACTTGGAATGGTGGTCCATAATGGCTGAGTGATCCTGGGAAGCGAAAGTCTCTAATCTCGGCGTAGGTGTCGTAGTGGGAGAGGATGTCGAACAAGGCTGCTGACTGGGTCGGCGTTAACTGAGGAGCCATTCTGATAACGCCATGGAAGTCAGGACCGCTAGTATAGATAAGTCAAGGAGGTAAGTCTATGTCTATGTGCGGGACGGCATCATGCAAATCATGCTTGAATACACACGCTCACTTACCCAACATACCGGGAGGCAATGGAAAACACTCACAAGAAGCGACGTGACGTCAAGGCAGCGTCGGCCAAAGTGCAGCAAGCACAGCCACAGCCACCACCACAACCACAACCGGCCAGCGCCGCCCTGATTTTCAGGCAACGAACCCCTACGGCATTCTGCAAACATCAATGGAGCCACTATGTCTTGCAGCCGGCGCCCATGTGGGATACCTTCAGGTCTGCTCGGGTCTTCTCAAGGTGGCAGCGCTCGACGAGGTTCAATCCGGTCTGCTGCTAGAATGATCTCTTGCTGTTTTGATGGGCTCGACAGTAAAGAAGCCCATGCACGATTCGACACGATGGCGCTCGATCTCGAGTTAGCGAACACCTACGAGTCAAGGGCCCGGGCCCTGGACACGAGCCCCCGGAGCAGCCCCCCGCTTACATAACCCCGCCCTCGCCGAAAAGTCCCCCCGCATACACCTCTCGCCTCTCTAAACACCATCTTACAGCGGCAGGTGATTAGTCTACCAGCATGCGTGGCGGCGCTGATTACACAATGCATGTCTGCGCCAGCGAGCCACGCTAGACCGAGTCAGCATAACCCTCAACTACCTCACTGAGATCAGTGTTTGAGCATGAACCGCTCTGCATATATATTGCCGCTTGACCGCAGCGCAGTGCATGGTAAGGAGTATTTATACAATGTTATCTGCTTGCTGAGCCATTGGCCCGGATACCATCGACCTCGCCACCATACCACAGACCACAGCTGTGCTATACTTCCGAAGGCACACTGAGTGTATCCTCACCCCCCCTTTGCGACATATTCAACACAAACACTACCTGTTGCTCGAGAAGTCGTATACTGCCGAACAACGGCTCCATCCGCCTCATCAACACCCCCACCACCATGGCCTTTCACGAAGGCATGTCGTGGCACTCGGGCGAAGTCCTCGCCCACAAACTCACTGGCGTCGACCACATGGACAACCCGACCACGCCCTTCCTCACACCCCGCGCTGCCCACCTCGTGCAGCGCTACCCTCTGATGGCGCTCGGCACGCTCGATGACCAGGACCGGCCCTGGACAACAGTCTGGGGCGGCGAGGCCCCGTTCGCACAACAGGTCGCGCGCTCCGTGCTGGGCGTGCGCACCGTCGTGGACACCGTGCACGACCCCGTTGTGCAGACACTGTTCCGGGGCAAGATGGATGGCGAGGTGCTCAGGGAGGAGGGCGCGGGCAGGCTAGTGGCGGCCTTGAGTATCCTTCTAGAGGAGCGGGCCAGAGTCAAGTTGATGGGGCGAGTGGTGGGCGGTGCTTGCTCGAGGCACAACGTTGAGCAGGAAGACAAGGATGAGGGTGTCAGTGCCGGCGAGGCGCAACTGGTGCTCAAGATCGAGCAGTCGCTGGGGAACTGCCCCAAATATCTGAACCGCAAGAAAATCACGCCCGCCATCCCGCACGCGAAGCTGCTGGACAGCGGCCCGCGGCTGGGCGACGCTGCAAGAAAGTTGATTGACAAGGCAGACCTGTTCTTCGTCGCCTCGGCCCACGAGCACGAGGATATGGACTGCAACCACCGCGGCGGACCGCCTGGCTTCGTGCGAGTCCACGACTCCGAAGATGGCACCACGAGCGAGATCGTCTGGCCCGAGTACAGCGGCAACAACCTGTACCAAACACTCGGCAATCTCATGGCCACGCCGCGGGCCGGTCTGTGTATCCCCGACTTCGAGACCGGCGATGTCCTGTACGTCACGGGTGAGACCGAAGTCCTCATTGGGAAAGATGCCGCGAACGTCATGGCAAAGACCAAGTTGGCCGTCCGGCTGCGCGTCGCCGACTCCAAGCTCGTCACCCAGGGCCTGCCCTTCAGGGGCCACAACATGGACGACGCCCAACAAGGTCGCTCCCCCTACAACCCGCGCGTCCGGCCCCTGACCACCGAAACCACCCCCGAATTCACCAACACGGCCACCTCGGCCGCCCCCGCAACCGCCACCCTCATCAAGAAAACCCGCCTCACCCCCACCATCACGCGCTACCGCTTCTCCCTCTCCGACCCCAGCGTCCACGGCCCCTGGCTCCCCGGCCAGTACGTGGCGCTCGACTTTTCCGCCGAGCTCGACATGGGCTATACGCACATGCGCGACGACGACCCCACCGCGCTGAACGACGACTACCTGCGCACCTTCACCGTCAGCTCCATCCCCAACGCCCTCGGCGTGCACGGCGAGGAATTCGAAATCACCGTGCGCAAGGTCGGCAGCGTGACGGGCTGGCTGGCGTGGCAGCGCGAAGGCGGCGGCGGCGTCGAGCTGGGCGTGCGTGGCTTCGGCGGCGAGTTCCGCTTCGACATGCGCGGCGCCAAACGCGTGGTGGGCTTCGTCGCGGCGGGAATCGGTGTCACGCCGCTGCTGGGCCAGATGGGCGAGCTGGACGTGGCGCGCGTGCACGTCGCGTGGAGCGTTGGCATCAGGGACGTGGGGCTCGCGCTGGACATACTGACGCAGTTCCCGTCGCTGCGAGAGCGCATGCAGGTCTTCCTCTCGGGTGACGAATCGGTGCTGGGCGACGAGGAGCGGACCCAGTTGGACGAGCTGACGCGCCTGGAGGGTGTGAAGGTACAGCGGCGGCGGCTGCGCAAGGAGGACCTGACGGCCATTGATACTGGTGCGGGAGTCGATGACTGGTATTTGTGCACGGCGCCGGCCATGAGGCAGGAGATCCAGTCGTGGCTGCCGGAGAGGAGTTTCGTGTTTGAGAATTTCGATTACTAGAAAGAAAGAAAGGATCGAGTTCGTCGATGTGATGCACAGGGACAGACAAGTAACGATTAAGGAGTTTGATGTCGACTCAACTCACTGGGCCGCCTACCTCAGCCAGCAACCACGACAGATGGAACACGCACAGACGGTACTCCGACAGATAATGATGTTGGGAACAATTATTATTTTTGGCCACTCTTGATGCCTAAAGTCGTGCCTGGCTAAAAAGACCCGCTCGCGTTCGTCTGAAGCGCTTGCTTTCGTAAGAGATATAGATTCTTCGCCTCTTCGTGGCTGCTAGAATTCGACTGGTGGATGCTGATATCATGCCACATATGCATATCCCTCTTCCATATGGTGCCTGTCCCACATGCCTTTGCACACCTTTCGCCGGTTCCTCCTTTTGCCCGCTCCTTGAGAAGCTGTCCTGGCATGCGTGTCGTGATGCCATTCGTAACAAGGAATGGCGATATAGCGTTGCTGTACTTTTCTTGGGTATCATCATGTAAACCGTTGCCGGCGCAATCATTTGTGCCGCGTAACCTCGGTCTAACGGTCAGTCGCGCATCTGCACGTCGCTGCTTTCACCTGCAGCCTCGATCCTGGACATTCGGTAGTCTTCCTCGATGTCCTTGTCTGGAAGGCTCAATGGGGTTTCGGACCTCGAAATGGATCCTTCTCCAGGAGGAGAGAACGACCACACCTGATCCATGTTAGCATAATGTTTTGGGCAGCGGCTATTGTCAACGTACCTCCATCACTGTTCTGTTGGAGCGGCTAGCCATGATCACTGCCTTCTCTTCCTCAAAAGCCACCCTCCATACGGCTTCGGCAGGCTGGCTCAATTCTCTCACAAGCTGACCTGTCTCTACGCTCCAGATCTTGACTCGTCCGTCGCTGCCTCCGCTGACGATGCGGTTGTCATCAAACTGCAGGCTCGTAACACTATTATCGTGCGCTGCTAGACGATGAATAGGCGTCATCTTCTGGAGAGACCAAACCCGGACTGAGCCGTCAGAACCGCCGGTGACAAGAGTGTTGCCGCGCATTTGTAGTTGTCCAACCAGAGACGTGTGTCCCTGTAAGATGGCTTGGCACATGCCAGTCTTAGGATCCCATATCCTGACGCTGGTATCGAGACTACCCGTGGCTATCCTCTGGCCGTCAAACGCAATCGCATATATCTGGCTGAAATGGCCTGTAAGAGTTCGCAGGCATCGGCCTTCAGAGATGCTCCACACGCGAGCCGTTGTGTCGTAGCTGCCAGACACACACATGTCACCGTGGATAGCCAGACACCTGACGCTCGCTTGGTGGCCGACCAGGACGTTTTTGCACATACCAGTGGGTATATCCCAGATACGTAACGTGGTGTCTCGGGAGCCGGAGATGGCTGTGTTGGCGTCTGACATCTTCAAGCATCGGACAGTGGATGTGTGGCCTCGGAGAGTGTGAATGCTCTTGCCAGTAGACATGTCCCAGACACGGACGTCTCGGTCGCAGCCACCACTGACAAGAATGTCATCCCACGGGACCATCGCCCAAACACCCATGACATGGCCCTTCAGCGTCTTTTGATGCTCCCCAACAGTGTTGAAGACATGTATCTTGGCATTGTCCATGGCGACCACAATGTACTTGTCGGTTAGGTGTAAACTTGTTACCACGCCTTGATCTGGAGTAATATGCTTGATGATCGAGTCGCCTCCCTTCCTCCACGCAGCCTCAATCATGTACTTACGGCGGAACTGGTGATGGTATGTCTGTGACTGTCTCTTTTTCGACCGAGGGCTGGACGGAATCTCGCTGGTATGGAGTGCCAAATTCGGGGCACTGTTGGAGGGACCGACGAAGCTACCATCGAGGGACCGCTTTGGCGACCGGTTCGTGAAATTGTAAGGACCTCGAGCGGCTTGTGGCAAGTATAAAGGCTCAATCTCCTCCAATGCATTCGAAGCCTTTCTGTACGCATGTTTGTCACACATGTTCTTCCAGAGCATGTCGTCATTGAGAAGCTTATGCCAGCGATGAGAGACCTGGGAGGCACGGGCCAGACTTCGCGGGTCATCGATAAAGGAAAGGACCTGTATTGTCAGCGCCGAGTTACTGATGCGAAGAGGGGAACGTACTCTTAAGCATAGTTCATCGGGTAAGTGCTCGAAAGGGTCTTTCTTCAACCTGGGAGAAACAAAATGGTGGACAAAGCTCAGCAAGTTGCTATCGCACATATTCAGCAGCTCGGCAAGATGACGCTGCCTCTCCCCAGCATTCAGACTGGCGAAATGACTTCTAGCATCTCGAAGGAAGGAGTCCTCGTTCTCACTAGCTGAGTTCCAGCTTGGGGCTCTCTGATAAGGGGTCGGCGAAGGGGCAGGAGTGGGAGGCGAGGCGGGAGCGGAGGGAAGGACACCGGCAGGCATACTGCTCTTGTTCGCATTGGATAGACGCTTCACTCGGGTATGTGGTATACTGTGTTTTGGTCTCGACGGGCGTATTGAGTCTAAAGGCGCGGGTTGTGGTGCAGGAAATTGGTAATCGATATCCTGGTCAATTGAGTTGTGTCTCGAGTATTGAGATCCCCTCGTAAGTTGTTCTACATCAATCGGGGGTAGTTTTGCGCGTGGAGACAGCGGTCTGTCCACGACCATATCGTCTGTATCCATGGTGAAGGACGGCGGCAAAAGCGGAGAGAGAGTGACGTCGGAGAAGGGGCGGACAGACGCAGAGAGTCAAAGGGTCGATAGTCAATGAACCGTTGGCGGTAGACTAGCTGGAGAGCATGCTTAACATCTGGAGCCGATCAATACGCAGGAGGAATTGAGTCGTGGCGGATGGGGTGGTGGGGAGGAATGAGCGGTGGTGGTCGAGGTCGCGATGACAACTAGGATGTTTTGCGGAGGTCGAAGTGGTTGGAATCGAGGCACTTCAGCCGCAACGACTTAAGATCGCGATCTGCTGCGTTTGTTTACGAAGAATTGTCGAGTTGACTGGTGTCAAATTGTGAAAAAGACGATGAATGGCGAGGAAGGTCATTCAAGGGAGCGTTTAGACACGAGGTTGGAAGCACTGGTTTCTGCGCTAAAGGCCTGTTGCAGAGAGCACCTCGAGGGCTTGCCGCGCCTCCCTGCTTCTCCAACCTTCCAGTCTTTGGCCTTCACCCAACGCTCGCTGTCGTTGCAGGAGCGATTATAACATCACATGGACTTATATCGCGTGATTACACATCTTGTGACTGGGAAGTCCCGTCATGAACCATCTGTCAATCCTCCATACCACCCTAGCCAGAGCGAAAGCGCATCTGGAGGGCTGCGCCTAGACTCACATTGGCCAAAAGTTGGTACCCGAAACTGGGTTCGGACATCACACGCTTGCTTCTATCTTACAGTAGAGATATATAGTCATAGTCTCGCCCATAATCGTCCTTGAGCACTTCTCGCGTGATTGCGTTATGGTGATACACGGTGGTCGGGTATCGAAGGTTGAATCCTGACTTCCTAAGTGAATGCTTCTTAATGAGCATGACCAATCTGAAGGAATAAAGGCAGTATCATGCCAAAAACTGCTGCTCCTAAGTCCCGCAACGACGGCTTCTCCACTGCTTGTTGGACGTCTCTCCCATCAACATAGCCGTTGGCGCTGCCGTTGGAATGAGATTCGTGATGTCCTTTAGATGTTTCCTGCATGGCATGCATTGCCACATAAAGGAACGTTCCGCCCGAGAAAAGGAGTAGCATTCCAGTCCAGAACGTTGTCCCCTCCACCGTTCCGCCCCGCAAACCTCCCAAGATGTTGGCAAGAATATACGTCGCCAACGCACCGGCTGGGGCGGCCAGACTAAACAAAACCAGATGGCCGCGAGCTGATCGCTTCGACAGGCCCTGTTTCAGAAGGATCGAGGTCAGACCGAAGGCGGCCGGCGCCTTGTGGACCATAATCGCGAAGAAAATAATCAAGCTCAGGTCTCGGTGAGCAGTTGTTGACGACGCGCCGAGCGCAATACCATCTGCAGCAGCATGAATGACTAGACCGATCGTCGTTGCGAAGCCGCGCCTATGCGTCGCAACAGCCTCGTTCGAATCCAGAAAAGTGTCAGATTCATCGTCCCGGTCGAGTGAAGTGGTCAAGTTGAACCGCCGTCCCAGATTGTTTAAAGCAATGTGGTGAGTTTGTGGTTTGTTCTGCGAAGGCTTCGTGTACTGCGGTACCTTGTCGATGAGGTACATGAGTAGGAACCCCGAGACCAAAGCGATGCCGATCCATGCATGAGGCGAGTGGTCCTCCTCATTCTCATTCTCGTCCTTATGCTCATCTTTATTTCCATCTTCGGCGAGCGCGCCAACGATGCCTGGTTCGGTAGGTGTTTTGGGAGGGTCGAGAGATCCGCCCGCGGGGATAACTGGTCCGGGGAGATCGAAAGCCTCCGCAGGAGGAGGATCTACTGGGCTGCGCGCAGCAACTTGTGCAATGCCTCCTGACGGCGACAGTCCCGACCATCGTACATCTAGGTTGCTGTAATGTCCGAGGTCCCTCTTGTGCGCGTGGGAGGTACTCGAAGCGCTGTAGAGAGTTTCAACTCCTTCTGGTATGATGACGATGAGTGAGGTTCCCACGAGCACTCCCATTCCGACCGTCGATATCAGACGTAGCTGGGCTTGCGACAGAGTCAGCGATAGTGGTAGGATGCCGGCGAGGAAAGATGCTGCGGCCATAACCACGCTCAAGCTGAGGAGTGTCAGCAAACCCGCCATTTTGGCAAATAGACTGAGCTCGCAGGGTCAAATGATACTGTCAGCGAATGTATGCGAACATGTCTTCGACAACTCTACAAGGGAATGTAAGCAATAGATTTGGTGTAGTTAGTACTTCGCTTGCAATTAGGTATCCCTTGTCCGTCCTCTCTCCCCTCCGCGCAGGGGAAGCGACAAGGCTGAATGATTGGCTCGGCAAGGCTACATATGTTTACTAGGTACTCACAAGAGTTGCTCGACTGTACTCGTACTGCTTGTCATGTTATATGTACTCCGCTTCGGTATATACATGTACGCTTGATGGATACAGGTCGTGCCTTTTCTGTACTTCTAGGACAACGTACCCTCCCTCTTCCTCGACTGCTGCGATAACCCAACCTTTCCGGCCCAAGTCGGCAGAACTTCCCTGACAAAGGCTGTTCTCGTAGCTTCCTAAGAGAATTCAAGGCCGCCATGTCGCGGCCGGGGCTGGTAGTGCTCGCCGGAGATGTGTGCCGGCTCGTGACGCGCATTGCCTGCTCCTCACCCTGCTTGGAAGGCTCGGATGTCACGGTCTCCATTGAGAGTCCTCGTGAATATGAGGTCTCGACTGTCGTCGAGGTATGCTGTGATTGTGGATTTCATCCACTCGAAACAGCGGCCTTTCAAGGGATATGCCTACTCCAGGCTTTCTCATCATCGCTGCTCCTCGTTGCTGACTCGCTTGTCCTTGCTCGTTCAGGCAAGACCGGAAGTTGCGGGACATCCGAATGCGATGCCGCAGGAGAGTCGAGTGACGTCCAGAGTTCTGGCCTGCTGGCTCTGCGTTGTCTTTGAGCCGATTTGCGACGCCGGTTGAGTTGAAAGCATCCGTAAATTGTTGGCACGTTCGCCACGAAGGTTGAAACGAGCATCTGAACCGATGCCCAGAAACTCCTTACAGGCTGGTAAGAATCTTCGGCATAGATATAGGCGATCCTCAAGCACGTCACAATGATACAGAAGAAACCGAGTATGAACAAGGATCCAACACGGAGTTTCTGCGACAACGTCCGCTTCCGTACGGCGATCAATGGATATGAGATGGCGAGTAGGAATAAATCCAGCACAATGTTGCAAGTTCCCTGAGTGAGGAGCTGGGCGTACGCTCGAACGCATTTGCCGGGGTTAGGGTCAACCTGCCAGTATAGTCGAAATGGTGTGCACTCCAGGAAGGTGACAAGGACGACCGTTATGTAGGTAACAACGATGGCGAGCCAACAGGCTTTGATTGTATTGACCCAGTGGAATTCGCGAACCATTCCGCCGTAGAAGAGCAGGAGCAGGCATATTTGAAGCCAGTAGAAGGTGGTAATTAGAAATCTCGAGACCAAAGCCAAGATGCTGCCGGTCCTGATATTGGAGAGATCTTCTGATGAGAACCTATCTCGAGTGCTCGAGTAGAAGTAATCTTGAGATGTCCCATAGTAGAGATAGAAATAGACTACGACAACCCGAACGATCAGGACGAGGATGGATGTGCCTGTAAGCGCTGAAGCAATGTCGAATTTCTTATCACGGTGTCGGGTAAGGATCAATCGCCCGCAGAGGATGATGAGAGAGACAGCAGAGCAAACATAGTTCGCAATTTTGGCGTTGTATGAGTCGATGTGGTTCATGTTGATACCGGAGTGAAGCTACCGAGTGCTCATTGCTTTGCGCGCTCCTAACCCGGCGCTTGGGTCGGTGCACAGTCCGTTCAGGTGGATGTTGTACTCGACATAGGTGGTAGTGTGACCAGGCTACCCTTCCGATAGTGGCACGATGCGTGTCGAGGCAGGCGTAGAATGTTCGAGGTAGTGCGCAAAAATGGGAGATGTGAAGAGCAGGAAACGAAGCGAGGTGAGGGCGTCACGCAGGACCGGACACGGACCGTCGCTTGTGTGAGCTGGAGCTGGAGCTGGGCTGGGACTGCCGGCGGTTTCGACCTACTGGGGTAATGGGGTTCTCTAGTGTGGTCCCAGTGAAGACAAGCACACCCGAGGAATTGCCTTACCAACCCGATGGTGACCGACTTTTGCGGAGAGCGAAGCCTATGACTGGCCCATCTGGCCAGCCAAGCTTAAACATGCTGCCGTTGGAGACGCTGGGCGCGGCACAGGTGCTGCCGCCCAGGAACTCTACCCCGTGCTTGGTGGTAGGAGGATGCCCACTCCCCATGGTTTGAACCCACCGAGGGTTCTCGGGTGACGTGAGTCCTAGCACGAGTACACAATCATCACGGCTCCCGTGTCTAGGGCTCTGCGCGCAACTTGCGAAGGGAAACGACGTCGGGCGACCATTAGAGGTGGGAGGTATTCCACTACTGTGTTCTCACAGAATTTGGTACGAGGCTGAAAATCAGGCATGCCTCGTGGAATAGTCTTGACCAGTAGTGGCTTGCCCACCACGGCGGAAACTCTGGTTCAGTAGTTCCCATCTGCGGTGTCTCGGGCGAACAGTTGGAGATTGTTACTCATCACTAGAGGCCGATGTCAACCAGACCCCGACTATGCCGGCACGGTGTGGTCGACTTTAGCTCTCTCATCTGCATAACAACGTCCTTAGTCATGTAAGCGCATAGCAGAAGCTGTGCGTGCGTAGTCATGAAAAATCTGTGGCTATCCGAGTGAGCCATAGGACGAGGGCTGATGCGGGGGCCCAGCAATAATGGGGTTGCAGAGTCCGCACGAATGCCAAGGCCTTGCGCGTACCGTTACGCGACGCGTTCCGGCGATTTTGACCCAGTTGCGACCAGCCTCAACTCATCTGTAACGTCCGTTTGGACCATCATCGAGAACATTATTCACCACCTCATGTCAAGCTAGTTGTTGACATTGGTGACCTTGGAAGCAAAACGACCCAACCACTGATCCCTAGCCTATCCCCACCATGGCCGCCCAGGACGAATGTTAGTCTATCTCATTTCATCACTGCAGAGATAATCATGCTGACTACGCATTAGGGTCTGTCGACTCCAACGATGCTATCAGTGTGTCGCTCGTTCAGCCTTCGTCTGATGGTCTTCAACCTGTCATCCAGTTCCACCCTCAATTCACATATCCTATCTTCGGCGAAGCAGAATCAATATTTGGCTATAAAGATCTTGAGATCGGTCTAAGATTTGCGGCGCATGACCTAAGACCAAATTCCCAAATCTCGTATAACTCCAAGTTCAAAACAGTTGGCGACACCTCTGCTCTAGATCTGAACAAGACTTTGAAAGATTTCCTGCCGTCAAGCGCATTCGAAAACACCTTCGACGATGCCCTCTTGAACGATGTCTCAGCAAAAGATTGGACGCCACCAGGAGAGCTCGTCAAATCATACTCTCGGAATGGTGAGACTTTCGAAATCTGGGCTGCGGCTCTATCTGATCCTCGGATGAAGGAGCTCGTCGGCAATATCCAGATCTTCATCCTCTTCTTCATCGAAGGCGGCCAGTATCTTGATCTGGACGACGTGGACTGGACCTTGGATCGATGGCGTGTCTATCTTGTCTACAAGAAGCTCTCTTTGCCACCTACGCCACAAGCCTCACCCTACTGCTTTATTGGCTACGCGACGACGTATCGGTTCTACCGATTCCTCGCGCCGGCGCGCAAGCCTCAAACTCCGGAGCAACTCGAGCCCTTTCCACCAAAAGAAGCTCTCAGCGCCAAACGCTTGTCTTCGAGGCTCCGTATCTCACAATTCTTAGTTCTGCCCAACTACCAAAGAGGAGGTCACGGCTCAGCATTGTATGAGGCAATCTATGGAGAGGCGATGGCGGACGATACGATCCTCGAACTGACCGTGGAGGATCCAAGCGAGGAGTTCGATAAGCTACGAGACGTAAATGACTTCAAGATCCTAAGACCAGAGTTCGAAAAAGCTGGAGTCCAGCTCAACACTGATCCTTTCGCCAAGGCGTCTCGTGGTAGTATCAGAAGAGTCCCAACGGCAACTCTCCTACCTGTTGAGAAGCTCAAGGACATCCGCAAACGTTACAAGATTGCCGCAAGACAGTTCTCGAGGCTGACAGAGCTGTTTCTACTGGCCAACATAGCTTTCTCACATCGACAGCTAGGTGGCGGGTCCTTGACAGCTCTCAAGGTCAAGGGCGCAAGGGCGTCAGATCCTAACGATCGGAGCTACTATTGGTGGCGTATTCTGCTAAAGCAACGGATCTTGAAGAAGAACAAAGACGTTCTGATCCAGCTGCCCGTGGAGGATCGCGTCTCGAAGATTGAAGACAGCGCAAGTGGTCAGGAGGATGAGTACGAGGGTATTCTATTGCTGCACGCCACTAGCCTGCAAAAGGAGCAAGAGCGGAACGGTAACGGCAGTAGTGAGACTGGCCCGTCGGTGATTCGCAAGCGGAAAGTGGTAGACGATGATGATGATGAGGATGAGGACGCCGAGGATGATGTGTCATCTAAGCGGCAAAAGGCGTAAACACGTTGCGTCCATAACCATATAGCTCCACCCGAACGGCCGCGTTCAGGCACATCCTGCGTACCACGAAGATGCGAGAAAAGAGATGTGGCTTTCACCTACGTCCACAACTGACGGGAGAACTTTCGTGTGATCAGTGTTCGGCCAGTTCAAACACACGCGTTCTCGCGGCAATACTGTGCTCTTCGGAATTGCTTGCTAAGCCCCTCTGGCCGTGAAGTAAATTGCTGTGCTTCTCCCAACCCTCCATCGATGCCAGGCAGTAAAAGTCTTGGCAGAGCGTACACACAATAGGTAGGTCATATTCAACTTGTCTCTTAGCCACGGGCCCATTTCACATGATCAACGACCGCACCATCGCTGGTAGACTGCTGTGGAAGCCAGCAGACAACTGTGTCGCTAGATCTGAAGGGCTGTATGGACCTCCCTCTCAAATGCCATGCTTGTGACTGAGCTCACAAGACTCGAAGACCGCCAGGTTTTCGTTTGCTGCACCGATTCTTCGGCTGCTTCGAACTTTCGACCGCGCGTGCTCGGCACCAGATGGGATCGTGGATGAGATGTTCTGTCACGGACAGTGGAACGATACTGCTCGAGGTTGCGTCCCCGGACCATGGACTTATGATCCGGTCTTTGCTGGAAGTATCTGCTGACGGTGATGGTGTTGACGTGTCGTGATTCTATAAAAGGTAGTTGCGGACGGCGGTCCAACTCTCATTGGGAGGCTGTTTGCGCGAGTTGCATTGAGCGCTTCGCTGCCGCGTAGCTGTGGAGCGATGTGCGGATGGAACATTCGTCATCCTTATATCGAGGACCACCAAGTGGTCAAGGGTGCTGAAGTCGAAAAGCTCTCTGGAGGACTGCAAGACTGCCGTAGATAGCCCGAGGCTTGCGGGAACGCCGTTTGTAGAATGAATTCCTACGCCGCGACCCCGCCATCCGCGCCAGCATGCTCCCCATGTCCGGCATGTGTCCGGCTCATCGTCAAAGCGTATCTCGCAAATTGAGCTCGCTCGTCGGCCTCTTCCTGAGCAATTGCGTAGTCCTCTTCGCCCAGGTCACTTCCGTCATCCCACATTTTCTCCAGCTCCTGCTCATCGTCGCCGGCAACAGCCCATACGCCTTCCCGCAAGCGCTTGTTGCGTTCTCGATCTTCTTCGATGCGCTGCTCGATGGCCTTTCTGTCCCTGTCTGTGATATCTTTGCGAGGCTTGCCCTCTTTGTCCTTTCTCGGTGTCGCCCTTGTACTCTCGACGCCCTCCATTGGTCCCTCGGTGGCTTTCCCTTCTTCCGGCTCGCCAGTCTCCTCTTGGCCCAGCAATCGGCCCATGGACTCCTCCTTCTCTTTCAGGCCTTCCTCAATACCTGTCACCATGTCTGCTTCGAGCACACCTTTTTCACCCAATCCTCCCATCACCCGCCGTACGACCTTCACATTCGCACCACTCTGGGCCACTGCGTTGACAATCCTGCTGATATCCCGCCTCACCATCTCCACATAATTTTCATGACCGCCATCCTTTAGGTTGGCATCGACATGGTGCTCCAGGAAATACATTATGTTGGCGCGATTGTTCATGTTGTTACCCCGCTCCAGATTCTCGAGGATGCAGGAGTGTAGGTCCTCATCCATATCGCGATGCTTAAGCGCATAGTGAGCGGCTTTCATTTGTGATGTCGTGGAGGCCGATAGATGTGTGAGGAGTGCGGTGAACCGCATGCGAACTTCAAAAGGGTCGGCCATCGTGTTTTATGTGTGAGTTGGGAAGTGTCGTGGGCACCTTCGTGACGCAGACTTCCCTGCCAGGGGACTGAGATAGTAATATCTCACAGGCAGAGGTGGGAATCGATCCGACAGGTGTCATTCGCAGTGGTCTGGGCGCAGAAGGAGAGATGTGAAGGCAGTGAAATACTAGACCTCTCAACATACTCACCGCTGACGAGGCTGACCACGAGACAACAAGGCCCCGGATTTGGCGCTCTCCGATTGGTGTGCCTGGCTACCCCGCCGGCATCGCGGGTTGAAATATTTCCAACGCTCTCCCCGCCCTTCGCTTCTACACAGACACGCTGGGTCAAGCTCAATCATAGTCTAGGTGTGTTGTACAGTGCGCTCCAATCTTGCATAACATTGAGAGAATCTCGAACTGGTACACCTCTACCGTCATCATGTCAGCTCCACTCCGAGTCCCGTCCTCATCTAATTTTGCTTCTTCCGAACCTCCCATGACCTTGACTATCCTCGGTTGCGGTACACTTGGAATCGCGATCCTGAGCGGCATTCTCTCCTCGATCTCGCACCATCCTTCCACTGCCCCCTCGCCTGCGTACCCAGACTCAGGCACCGCAACACCCACCACCGAGAGCTCCCCCACCCCTCCACGTACGCCGTCGCGCTTTATCGGATGCGTGCGTCGACCAGAATCCGCCAAGCGTATCCGCAATGCTGTGTCGGCCTTCTCTGCTTCCGAACACGTTACCATCCTGCAAAATGACAACGTCAAAGGCGTTGAGCAAGCCGACGTTGTGATTCTGGGTTGCAAACCCTACATGGTAGCAGACATACTCGCAGAGCCTGGCATGCACAAAGCTCTGGAAGGCAAGCTCCTTATTTCAATCCTTGCCGGTGTGACTGGCAAGCAGATCGAGGACATCCTGACTAGCGAGCCTCAATCCAATCCCACACGTGTCATTCGTGTCATGCCCAACACCGCCGCCGTTGTCCGTGAGTCGATGACTGTCATTGCCACACCTACGCCTCCCCTCCCTCAGCCACTGTCTCAGCTCGTCGAGTGGATCTTCACTCGTGTAGGCCGCGTCGTGCACCTACCACCCTCAAACATGGACATCTCCACAGCGTTGTGTGGATCTGGCCCTGCTTTTCTGGCGCTCATGCTTGAGTCGTTGGCAGATGGTGCAGTAGCTATGGGCCTCCCGAGAGCCGAGGCGCAGCTCATGGCTGCCCAGACGATGCGTGGCACGGCCGGCATGGTCTTGAGCGGGGAGCATCCGGCGCTGATCCGCGAGAAAGTCAGCACACCAGGTGGATGTACGATTGGTGGCTTGCTGGTACTGGAAGAGGGCCGTGTGAGAGGCACGATTGCACGTGGTGTGCGTGAGGCGACAGTCGTTGCATCCGAGCTAGGGAAGGGTGGCGTGGGTGTCAACGGTACGAGATTTGGAGGAAGATAGCCTGCATGTCATGTGTATGCTATGTTCACCGCGATGTCCAAGTGGAAAGCTCTCCGGCGCCTCGTCATGGTTAATTTGCCTAGTTCATCCTCTCCACTGATCGGTTTTGCACCCTGAGGTCCTAGAGACGCGTGGTAGATTCAAATCTTGCGATCCGTGGGAAGGCGAGACGGCAGATGTGGCGACAGGGTATTACGAATATGGAAAATTCCTCCTGAGGTTTGAAGTGGAGATTGTTTACTGGAGATACTGACTACGTGAGAAGGGTCGATCTCTGCTGATACCCAAGATCTGCAGGTAGTGGATAGATGCTGCAGTGAAAGAGCCCACAACTTTGTACCAAGTCGGCGACGGGGCACGACCAGCGTCCTCGCACCCCTGAAGACGGGGTAGGAAGCTGGAAGCTCCAGTAAGCGGAACTTGGCAGCACGAATATAGACGCAACTTGCTGGCTGCACTTTCTTCCAATAACTCATGATCCCTCGTCATTCAAGGTCGATATCGCTCCGTCGAAGAGAAGCTCAGGATCGCCCTGGCCCAAGCACTGCGACTCTGGACGCCGCTCTAGATTCAGGTCTAGACACGACACAAGTTCCGTTGACGTCGTGGAAATCTGTGTCTGACTTGCGGCCAGGATGCCAATTGCGCGTCAATCTGGGATCATGCTTATTCCTTTGTGCATGTATCAGCTACGACTCGAATGGCCGATTCCTACCTCTACCCAACGAGCATTGGGTCAGTACCGAGTCTGCTGATCGAAGCTTCTCTAGAAACACGAAGAGGGCTAGTGACGAAGTGCATCCAGATGGCCTAGACGAGACCACAAGACTGGAGAACATTCACCGGTATTAGGCATCTATGCAGCAAGCACTTTGTGAGGCGAGCAATGACAACTGGCCATCTCTTGGCAACATGGTCTCTCTATCCAACTACTCGCTCGGCTTCCCGAATACCTAATATGACCGTAAGGGTTGGATCTTCCCCCAACCTATCTACTGAGAGCAGCCCTTGGAGCAAATATCGAATGAGATGCGAGACTTGAAGGTGGCTGGCATTGTCTGGCACTGTCTCGCAGCATGGCTGACAGATGAACAATTCGTTCTGCAAAGCAGACAGCCACACAAAGACTGATTGGCCCAGCCGCGCGTATGCTGGACATCGAGGATCAATGAGATGTGCTACCATTGACAAGGAGCTAGCCTCACGCTCCCATGCACCAGTCGCAGAAGGACACATTGGACACCTACGCGACAATGCCTAAGCGGACGCTCAAAGTGAAAGTGCTGGTGCTACGATGCGGCTCTGCCATCTGCGGGGGCAGCGATCACTCGATCGTGGTGCCGTACTTATATTTCGAGACCTTCTGCGCCTCGAAGGAGATGTCGCGATCAGGTTTAGGAGCTTGCGATCATGGATGTTGGTCACCGTCGACTATACCTCGAGTGTGTAGTTCCTCTGCCGCAGACTCGTACGTTTCGCTGACCAGCAGTAGATGGTGCCAGAGCAAGCCCGCAACGCTGGTTGTGGACTTAGAAGATGGCTCCGAGAAAGAAGTTCGAATTCCTTTCTACTTCCTGCACTACCGATCTCGGAAATTCCGGGATCTGTTGGGTGAGAAGGTAGTTGGCGAACCAGACAGCTTACCTCTCAAACTCAATGGAGTGTCACTCCAGACGATCGAAGACTTTGTTCTCTGGTCTCTCAACCCGAGACCAGCAATCGACGAGGCAGCAACGTTCGAAGAGGCTACCAAGCTAGGCATCTTCGCACAAAAATATCATGTACCCGCTCTTAGCAACCAAGTCACCGATGTGATCCGAGCTCACATCGCCAGCGATGAATGGCAGCTTCAGGCTTCTATCGTGGACGACATTTACAAAGCAGCTCCCGTCGGCAGCCCACTCCGCGAAGTTATCCGAGCTGCGCTGGGCAAGCTACCTCGCTCGACCATGGAAGGCAGCAGCAAAGACCGCAATGACTGGAAAAATACCGTACTGGCACACGCGGAGCTGGGATGGGACTTCATCGAGGCTCGCGAGACCGAGTGGACGCCTCAGGCGTACCTCTCTAACTACTGCCGCTTTCATGATCATCGAGATGTGCTGGATCAGAAAAGTCACGGCGCTCTTTGCGACGGGTGTCCTTTTTCACAAGAAGACTGCTACCCTGTGGAAGTCAGCCGTGTACCCGTCGAGGCTGCCAGAGTAGACAGTCTAGATGCCGACACTTCCAAAGTCAATGGAACCAGTGGAGTCAATGGAGACGCCGTTACTCAGGTATCGCACAAGCCCGTGGATGGATTCGCGGATGATACCAACCCTTCCCCCAATGGACCTCGCGTCGGCAACAGCATCATGATCGTGGACCCGGCGGATGACCGGCCCCAAGACCCGAAGCTCGACACCATATCTGAAGGTAACGAGGAGCCCGAAGGAGTGTCCGACCCCACGGTGGTAGAGGCCAACGGAATTCACGAGTCCGAGGATGACCTGAACGAGATGAAGAGCACAGTGACATCGGAGGATGCTGTCGATGGATCGGTCACATCGCCAGATGCCATTCCCACGCCTACTGTGCAAAACGCAGGCACCATGACCGAGAACGGCGTCAATGGCCATGAACCGGAGGAGAAGGCTGAAGAAGAGGTCAAACTGTCCAAGTCAAAAAGCAAGAAAAAGAAGAAAAGGGGGAGCATGTCAGTTGGCACCAATTGATCTGGCGGTAGACGACGACGACGACAATAGCGTCGACCGTAACGACAAAGACGACGATGATGGCTGGATGAAAAGCTTGCTGTGGCTTTGCTTCATTGCATTGGACCCGTCCCTCGCTTTGGCATGTTCATTGGTCTGGCTTCTGCTACAGGCGTGTTGGTGTGACGGTTTCTCAGCGTATCTGACACAGCAACACATGTAGTAAAATGGACTTATTCTGTCTGCTCTGGATGACTCCCTGAGTTGGAGAATGCCCGATGCTGATCACCTACAACAAGGACTACCTGATGCAGCAACTCTCCCCCCGCATACATCTACCCCAACCGCCCGATCTTCCCCCCACAACTAGACGGCACCACGGCACAGAATGTGCGGAGAGGGCCCGAGGCCTGCGAGGTGTTATATCCCTCGTTCAGTAACAACAACTCCATGACATGCACCTGACACAGACAGGGGCGAACTTCTACACTACCAATCGACCCGACGACCATCGTTCACCACCTGAACCACAACACCATAGCTCATCATGCGACCCAACAACATGCCTCTCGGCTCCCTCCGCCGTCTCTCACACCCCAAATTAATGGCACCCAGTACGTTCATGCGCCGCCCCTTCAGTACCACATACACGCTCTCCTCCCGCAACTATGCCACCGTCACCAGCGCTCCATCCCCCACCGTCACACAAACCGTCGACCTACCCTCCCTCCCATTCGGCTACGGCAGCTACACGCCCTCGTCCAATAAAGCGCAAGAAACCCCCATCCAAAGCATCCGCATCCCACGCTTCGCCTCGCTAGCCGCCGAGCGCGCCTTCCGCAAGCTGCACCACGCCGCCGCCCTGCGCTGGTTGGGCCTCAACGGCTACAATAACGAGGGCGCGGGTGGGCACGTCACGGTGCGCGACCCCCTGCTGCCGGACCATTTCTGGATCAACCCGCACGGCAAGTCGTTCAGCCACATGACGCCGGCGGATTTGGTGCTTGTGAATGAGGATGGGCAGGTCGTCGATGGCCAGGGCGGCAACATGCACGCCGTCAACCCGGCGGGCTACGTCATCCACAACGCCATTCACCGTGCTCGGCCCGATGTTGTTGCTGTCGTGCACTGCCATAGCGTGCCCAGCAAGGCCTTTAGCAGCTTGGGATGTATGTTGGAGCCCATCAATCAGGATGCGTGTCGGTGAGTCTTGTCTTTGCCTTGTGTCCCCGTTTTACCCCCTCCCAAACCCTCCTCCCTCACCCTCCCCACGGCCTAGCGAGTGTCTTCCAAGCAAAGTCGCTGAATAAGCTGACCCAACCACCGTAGGTTCTACAAAGACCACGGCCTCGCGCCCTTTGGCGGCATCGCGCTCGAGAAGCACGTGGAGGGCGAGCACATCGCCGCCGCCCTGGGCTCTACCAAAGCCTGCATCCTCCAGAACCACGGGCACCTCACGGCGGCCAAGACGGTCGACGGCGCGACCTTCCTCTTCGGCGCCTTCGACCGCTGCATCCAGGCGCAATTGATGGCCGACGCTGCCGCGGCGGGGCGTGCCGCTAGAGGCGAGAGCACGGGCGTGGACACCATCAAGGCGAGCGAGGAGGTGGCGAACTATACGCGCGATATCTATAATGACGAGATGGCGTATATCATGTTCCAGAGCGCGTTTGAGGATGTGGTCAAGGCGAGTCGGGGCGAGTTGGCGTTGAGGGTCGAGGGGGAGTTGCCGAGGGAGGGGTGAGCTTTCGTGAGAAATTAGGCTGGGCTGAGTGCAAGTGTGTCGGATATAAGAAGCAGAGAGCAGAGTAACGATATGTTCACGAATTGATCCCCTTGTTATCCATCTGTCCTGCAAAAGCTCATCCTGAGTGTGCTAGCACTAGCACGTTCAACTCTGTAGAAACAGCCGCTCTCTTGCATCTCCCATCTTCATCTCCATCACCACTACAACTTGTCAAAATCCCCACACGACCCGATCGCAAACTTGACCACCCATCCCCCGCACAGCCATGGCTATCCTCTCCTTCCCACTTTGTCACCTGTCCCAACCTGGTACCAGAACGCCCGTGTCAGCCCCTTTGCGCGAGAGCCTCGCCGCGATGCCAAGCCCCCGACCCTCTGACCCACTACACTACACCTTACCCACCGTCACCGCTACTAGGACTTACTACTTCTGCAACCTTAGCTATATGTCTTCGCATCAGCTTCTAGGGAAACTCAGGGGAATGGGAAGGGCTACTGCGACGACCACTGTCGTAGCTAGTACACCTGCGCACGCGAAAGGTGATGATGTCGCTGAACTTAGCTTCGCATCGGATAAGTGTATTACATGCATGTGTGAGGTGTGTGGAGACGGGGTGAGGTGAGACAAGGTGAGACTTTGGAATTGGGAAAGCGGTAGCTCAAAGAGGGCTACCACGAGGGGAGTTTACTTACATCTGGGTTTGGAGCTTGTTGATTTGTATGGTAAGCTAGCTAGTCACTACTACAAAAGGTATAAACATTAAATTTCAGCTTCCTGTTGTTGTTGTTTTTTGGGTTGAAGGATCGTAGAAGCGTAAAGACCCACGCCGCCAAGCGGCGACGACCACCATGATGGGTCATTCATCGTAAAAGTTCGTAAGCAAAAAAGCCATACGTGAGACTTTTGAGCCCTGTCTGTTACCTTGCCTGTTGCCGTGCCGAGGTGAATGCGTATCCCAGAGCTGTTGAATCATTTTCATTCGGCCAACCCCCCCCAACAGTGACCAGCCCGTACGTGTTACAAGAGCCTGAGCCAGCAACCAGCGGGCGATAGTGGACCACAACTTTAGTAGTTCTTCCAGCCGGTCTGCTTGCAAGGCTCCTGCTTGGTGATGGTCTCGTACTTGACGACGGGAGCAGCGGTGACGGTCTTGTATTCGGTCTTGTAGACGGGCTTCTCCTTGTACTCGGTCTTGTATTCGGTCTTGTACTCGGTCGTCGTGACATACTTGTCGACGTACTTGGTCTCGACCTTGGGTACATATTTCTCGACGGTCCTTTATGGCAGGGAGAATGGGCGTTAGTGACTTTCTGTAACGTGTGTCTGGCCTAGTGAGATACAGAAGGATCACATACTTGTACTGGATTGAGGTCACAGTCTCAGCCTTGGGGCATTTGTATTGATTCTTCCAGTCATCGTTGGGGACGGCAACGGCGGCGACAGCGGCAACAAGGCACGCCCATGATAGCAGCTTGACCATGGTGAAGAAGACTGGGAGGGTTTGAACCGAGGAGTGGCAGTGAAGGGCTTTGAAGGGCTTTGAATTGAAGGTGTCAAACGACGGAAGAAACGAAGGGCGGCTGATGTTGTGAACACAAGCTATTCTTCTCAACAACATTGAGGTACATACGAGGTACTTATACTCCCACTTGAGCTGTGTCAGGCATCACGATCGCGATCTCGCTCGTGGTTGCTCGAGAGTTACATGTTGTTCACTACCCGGGACTTCAGCTGACTGTTGAGCAAGCCGTGGCATGCACCTCTGCCTTGCTGTTCTGGTGCTCAGCGGCCAGATGCGAGGTGCCGGCTCAGAACAATGCTGCCGTTGGTCGGCCTGTGGGCAGCATTCGCGATGCGGGAGTAACAAGAGGATCCTTTGCTCGAAAATTACCAAATAGATACTCCGAAGAGGCATGGTGTAGGCGGGCAGTATTGTAGAATAGTCTTGGCATGCATGTCCTCCGCAAAAGCGCCAGTGCGCTAATGCATGTGGACATGGAGGAAATGTATTGGCCATGTTTCGGGATAGAACCGAGCGGTATGTCTCTTCCGAGCAGACATCTCTTGGTCTGGCGATCGGCCCTCTCAGACAACACCATCACAAGTCATACGGCAGTACCTTCCGCCAGGCGAAGCGCGGATGCCCGGCACATGGCAGGGCCTGCGAAGCAGTACAAGCGACCGAGCTGCATTGCCGTTGAATGGCGGCCTTGCCAACAAACCCCTTGAATGATGTCCCGTGGGAAGAAATCAGCTCATCAGCTCGTATTGGCTTCTCCAATATCAAAGGACATGCTCAGGGAGTGTCTCTGGGCGACCAATCTGAATGAGCATCAACCCTGACACTGAGCTGAGATCATGCCGTGACATTAATGTACCATTCATGTGAAGGACTCGCCTTCTCACTGCAAACACAGGTGGGCTCGCCAAAGTCAAATCACATACACAGTTGCGTGCCAAGCGTGCCAGCAGCCTACATGCTTCTAGCGCATCGCTGGAAAAGCTGTGGTACTGTGAGCACGGCAAGGGCTCCAAATTTAGTCGCGGCGTACCGGCGCAGAGACGTCGAAAAGGCTTATACGCGCAGGCAGTGGTGCATCATCTGGATTCAGGACGGGGTTGATCAGACTGCATTCATGATAGGCCAGCATTCCTTAAACAGCCCCGAGCGGAAAGACGATCTCTTGGCGAAGAGTAAGCAGAGCAAGTGGCCGGTTTTCACTGCAGGACGCTTTGCACTAGCCGAGCTTTAAAGTAGCAGAACGTGGCAGTCGGTTTCCCTAACTGGCTGTCCTGAATGGAGACACGGGTGGTAGCCATAGGTCGTGTTTAAACCGAACTGCGGGGTCTTCCATGGCTCAGAAGAGAAGTCCGGAATCTTGACCTGCAGTCTGGTGAATGCCCGGTCAGCAGAACAGCTGAGGATTGTAAGATCATAATGCCTGTAAACAATAATGGAATCGAATCGGGGCTTCCAGACGACCGCCTTCAGCCGTGTGACTAACGGTGGAAGTATGATCGTCTGCCGTGCTGCCAGACAGACGAGCTATTGGGCAACACTCCCTCGAGGGTTGTCCATCAACCCATAGCGTATGGCGTCAAAAGTCGAGTTATACTTCGGTAGGCGCCGGGAATAGCAACTGCCAAGCCGCGATTATCTCATTAGACGGCTGAGTATGGGGAAACGCTCGGATGCGGCAGAGGGTTGGAGAAAATCCACAAGGCCGGCGTGCATCTAGGCATCCTCTTGTAGCCGTGTCGTTACCAGACTGTGCAGATGATGTTGCCCCAAACCAGGAAGTCACATTGGTGCCCTCAAGGTGGCCGCATCGTGGCGCTCAGGGTCTATGCGGACGGATCCATGTTCGAGTGAGGTAGGGTGGTTTCCATTTCGCTGCGACTTGCCCCCGGCCGCGAGCAATGGTCTGTTCTGGCGGAGCGTTGCCTGTGACTGATCCTCACCTGCGGGCAGTTAATTCGACAGCATGTACGCTCCCGTGAACGCCCGTCCCCGCTCTGAAAGACTGCATGACAGTCATCTCTGACTTTTCTGCTAGACCACATTGGCTTTCTTTTCGCAAACGTTCTTTGTAATGTGCCCAGGAAACCATCTAATGAGGAAAACTTCTTCCCTGCCGGCTCAAGTGTTGCCATTGCCCAGAGAAATTCCCCAGACATGCCATCAGAATGTCTCAGAAACAGCCTGGACGCTTGTTGTGAGCTAGATCCGGACCGGCAGGATTCTCAAGCTGCTCATGCAGTCGACAGAGGGTAAGAGGCCGTTCCCTGCTGCACTCACCCAAATGTAGAAGCGTGAACTTGGGTTAAGACTAGGTCCAAGTTGCTCGCCCAGGAAGGTTCAGCCCAAATTGGCAGGCTCAACCTGACAACGGCGCACCATCTCGAGCTAACGCCCATGTATACTCTCCAATGGGATCATGGTCGGATCCGGCCCCGTGACGATCTCGAAGGCTCCACGCCCCAGCTTGGCTATGTTTTCGACGTCCAGAACTGACTTAGAAAGTCTGCCGAACGTTTTGATGTATTTAAGTCTCAGTACACAGGGCATCGTGGCGAGAAACTCAGGATAAGTGGTTGGTGAGCCGGTTTCCTTCTTGTGAAGGTTAGTTACATCGCTACCACTTCTTACGCTGTTCGACGACCTGGCCCGCGGTCTGTTGTCCAGCATTCACTAGAGTTCCCTGCTGGCGTGATTTGTCAAATTCACGTACGAGGATCTGGCAATTGATCTCCTGGCAAAGACGCCTTCGTCGTTCTGCAGGCAGTCGATCGGCGAACGTCAAGCCACTGGCTCGTTCGACAGCTTCGACCGGAACCTCGAACTCAGTCAAGCTTTTTTGATTGGGGATTGGGGCATTTGGAAGTACAAAGGCGGCCAGAGCGACTCGACCTGTAGGACTGTGGGGAGACTCCTCGCCGAAGATGACCTTGTAGAAGTGAGTCGGAACGGCTACATTTGGTGGACTGCCGATGACTTCGTATGAAACCCGCCACTTGCCGTCTCTCTCGTCACGTTTGGGAAGATACAGAGGACCCGTGACAACGCGAACGCTTGGGTATCTCTTGGCAAGGCCTCTGCAGAACTCCTCGAAATGGGCCCAGTAATCGCGGTTGAACCCGTCGCCAACCTGGGGGCACATATTGGTAAGAGTAAAAGTTGAGTCCATCGCTTCTTGCGACCATTTAGCATCCGCAGCTGGAACCTGATGTCCCCGGTCGTATCCACTTCGTGCGTAGTCTGATAGTTTGGCTCGGAACATGGGTGGGACTGTAGGATCCTCAAAGAAGACGCTATGCCTACGATCGGCGTTTTTCAGCATCAGAGATTGAGGTGTAAAATGCTCAGCTACCCAGTGTGGATTGCGTGTAAAGCGGTTGAACGATGTCAGGTGTGAAGGTGTGGACAGCGAGTCGGATATGGGTCCAGGAAATCCATACTGTAGGATACCCTGCGGGTTGACAGGCGACACCAAAGTTGAGGGTGTGGTAGGAGTAGCGGGGATGCTAGGGTACGATGGAGAAGGCGGGGGTGGCACTGTGGGAGTAGAAGGGAATGGCGCGGTGGTAGTGGGTGGCAGTCTTGACTCTTTAGGTCGTGAGAAGACAATTGCGCTCAACGACGCTCCCGCGGCGGCTGAGGCAGCTGCCACGATCGCCAGTGTTGTTTTGGACATGACCCTGAGAATACGCCGACCCTATGGTCGCTAGCAATTGAGGCACTGCGAAAACAGGTAAATGCTCAGAGTGGTAACAGAAAGCAGTCGACCGATCAAACGCAAAAAGGTCAGATGGCGCTGCTCAAGAATATTGCCCAAAAGCCGGCGCGTCAAAGCGCGTAGCCAATCGGCGTCGCTCCATTTAGGCGATACAAGGCTGCATTTCAGCCTTGGAGGACCTTGAGCGGCTGCGATCGAGAGCGACTTCGACATCATACGCCGGACTCGCCTCACTACCTTACCTGGAGACAACTTCCATACCTCGGATTCCCATTCACGGGACATCTCTATGGTTATACCACAATTCCTTGACTTCCAGTATCTGTTGCAGCATTCGTAGCCACTGGTCCTGCGCAATCCGACCACATGCTTCATAGACACTGAGAAGAGCAACTTCACCAAGTTGGTCATCGTCGCCACCATGGCGCTCGACAATGATACCAGAGGCTGGATCATGACATGTATCAGCGGGGTTGGTAAGGTTTCTCGTTTCCTTCGGGCTGCTTCCTACTAACCATTCTCAGCCTGTGTTCTCGGCGCCAGTGTCATCTGCATTGATGTCTTCGTCCGTCTCTTCCCCGGGATGCGGGATTTCCGCGTCGCCGAAAGCGACACCTTCCTGTCCGCTTCCCTCAGTCTGAGCATGGGCGTCATGCTGTTCTCTGCTCTATATTCAATGCTCCCTCAGTCCAAAATCTACTTGCAAGATGGTGGTCACTCTCCCAGAATGGCGTCCTTCATCTTGATCGGCTTGTTCCTTGCAGGTGTGGCTGGAATCAGGATATTATCTACAATTATGCATCACTTTATGCCCAGCCATGTGGTGGATTGTGACCATACTCACGAGGACAAGGCGAGTAAGGAGCCCTTGGAGGAGATGGCCGAACATCCACATGATGACGAGCACGTGGGTGCTTACCAAGAGGTCAACAACTCTCCGGTGGATGTGGACGAAGAGACTCCACTGCTCTCCAGGACTACGAGTGCTAGTCCTCCAAAGGCACAAGAGACTGTGGCAGCACTTGATGCTTCAAGAAAACCCTCGAGCGAGAATGGTTATGTTACTGCTCCAACATCACGACGACCGTCTTTAATGCCGCGTGGTCTTACTCGGACTCTGACGCGCTATGTATCCGGCCAGAAGGACAATTGTGACGAAAACGGCCCTTGCATGGGATTTTCCGACCCATGTGGCCAGGATTGTTTCAAGGCCAAGCAACGAAGAGGAACTCTTCTTCCTATCTCAAACGTACCTGTTCGGGCTGCGACCTGGCGGAAACCCTCAGCAGATCTGCGCTCCATTTCCCCAGTCCCAGAGTCAGAGGAGGTTAGCGACGAGCATGCAAATGTTGCGATAGGCGACCTAAACTTGGGCAAGACTCGAACTGTAGACGAGTATGCCACGAACGGTCGTCTTACTGCAGTACGGTCGAGATCTGCTACGCACCACTATCATCATCCACCTCGTGAACACATACATCACAGCGATCCGCAAACCCGTCGAGAATCAGCGCATTCGCATTCGCATTCAGTGACGAATGAGCACCACCATCACGTACCAAGCAATGCCTTCATGTCCATCGGGCTGCAGACTTCCATGGCTATCGCTCTGCACAAGGCACCAGAGGGTTTCATCACATATGCTACAAATCATGCGAATCCGACTTTGGGATTTGCCATCTTCATGGCTCTTTTCATACACAACCTTACAGAGGGATTCGCCATGTCGTTGCCCCTGTACCTGGCGTTGAGCTCTAGATTCAAGGCTATCCTGTGGTCATCGTTGCTAGGAGGTCTCTCGCAACCCCTAGGAGCAGGTGTTGCAGCTCTGTGGTTTCATTTGGCATCAAACGGCAAACTTGGACTGGGCGCACCAAGCGAAGCGGTCTACGGTGGTATGTTTGCAGTTACGGCGGGTGTCATGACCAGTGTTGCCTTGTCCTTGTTCTCTGAAAGCCTTCAGCTCAGCCACAACAAGGGATTGTGTATAGCGTTTGCGTTTATTGGCATGGGAGTGCTCGGGTTGAGCTCGGCTTTGACCGCGAAATGAGGGACAAATTCGGTTAGGCGCAGTCAACATTCTTATGATGCACGGTTCGAAAGCAATTAAACAGAGACTATACCGCTTCTCCTCGTGGTGTGACAGCTCAATACCCTTCGCCTCCTTGAAAGCTTTCAGCCTCGTAGCCTTGTATACATTTCTGCCAAGCTCCTGGCAGTGACGGTTGAGTCTCACAAGTGTTGCGCTCCAGGACCGACCTTGATTCATTGCACGAGTTATACACTCTCCAGACTACCGCAGGAAGTCTGAGAAAATGACACAAGTCTCTTTGCTTGACTCGAAAAAGCTTTCGGACTTGCTTCAACAGGCTCTGGCCTGGCGGGACGCTGTATCGTCTTTAATGGTCTCTGCCACCAATGGAGCGGTACTGGCGTATGCATTTCGTGATGGCACGCCAACGATGAAGGAGATCAGGTCCCTATCTACAACTACAACGACTGCTTATACGGTTGCGTCCGAGGACGTGCTCGTTTTCGAGGCGCAGCTGTCGAGAGCGCTTTCTGTGCTCGCCCCAATCGCCGACCACATTCTTCTTGCCGTGCAAGGACCGGATCGAAGGCGTAAGCCTCGTGAAGATGGGATCACAAATGCATCGGCAATCAATGGCAGCAATGCTCAAGGAGATGGGGAACAAGAACAGGTGGCAGAGAGGGCAGACACTATGGACAATGGACAAGAGCAGGACAGCACACGGGAAGACCTCGAATATGTCAGCGAAGAACTGTCGGCGATACTTCGAGCTGAGCTTCGTGGCATGAGGTGGCCAGAGGACATCTGAACGCGCAAGTCTCTGGTGAGCTTCGCGACGCCGCTCGCCGCAACGAACCCGGGACGCTCTCCGCAGACGACTATGCGCCTTTACAGCTGCCGGCCACCATGTGTCCATTCTTCTTTCGTAACTAGACCACGATCCCGGCCACCATCCAATCTACGTCTACCCAAAATGCCCTGGTTATCCTCAGGCAGAAATAATGGGCAGCATTGGCCGGCTGAATTGGAGGGAAGCTGCTACCCCGCAATGCCCGGAAAACGCCCTTTAGGCGCCCACCTATCGACCCCCTAGAAGCCCGCCCTCATGGCACCGCGTGGCTAAAATCCACTTTCTGGCATGTCACTCGTCCCGCGAAGGGCTCGGCCGCACGATTTAGCCGAAGTCTCGTCGCAGTTCCAACTGCAACCTCGAAAACACAGCCCACCTCTAGCTGTTCGTCGCTCTTCGTTGTCGCTTCCGACCACACCGAGTTGTACTCCGTGCACATAGGAGGCTCACACAAGCATTTGGCATAGTGGCGCCGGCATGACCACCATCGTGTAGTGCCCGATATCTGACAAACCCGCCGAACCCTTATTGTCAGAACGGTGTCTATCTTCTCTTGCTCAATTGTGCACTGGCCTCCGTCCCTGCGCCATGTTGTAGGTGCCTCCGAATCAGTCGAGCTGCGATGGTCGCTAATCTCATCTTCCAGCGCGATTCCTCCCCCGCCCCGTTACCCAACCACAAATGGCCTGCCTCCCACGACGTTAGAAACGGCCAATATTCTGCACCATCCCGAAGGCCCGGAATATCGCTTTCAGGTTGGTGAAGGTAGGCTGCAAGAACACTCAGCACGTTGGTTCACCCTGACGCCCCTTCTGCAGGCACCTACATACTTCGCGACGACCTACAATTAGCGACTCCGCCCCCTCATCCTTCCGAGGCGCCTGTGGTCAATCCTAACCCACTCGCAACAGGAGCTGCGCCGCCGACGGCTGGAGTACAGCTATCCCTGGTGTCTCTGAACCCAAGCCGTGCCCGTTTGGAGCTTTACAAGACCAACACCACAACTAGCAGCTTGCTTCGATGGCGGTCGCTCGGCCTCAATAACTCCAAAGAGAAGGAGACTAAAGAGCCTGAGAAGGAGCCGAGGACATCTCTCGAATCCAAGAGCGACATAAGCAATAACGAAGGCAGCAGCAAGTCATCCAGCGTCCCAGCTTTTGGTGAGACCAATGCCGTACTCTCGCCCGTTGTCAGCCGGGAGGGCGGCCTCAAACGACGCAAGCCCAAAAACAACATCATAAAGTCAAACTCGTCGTTTGTGTCTCGAGTCATACCACACGAAGCGCTGGCTAAGAAGCTGTCGGAGCGAGATCAAGGAGGCACATTCGCGTTCGTCAATATCAACCGCGCATTCCAGTGGTTGGATCTCTCGTCCGGGACCAAGTCGGAGCCCATGACCAAAATCTTGTTCACCAAAGCGCATATGCTTTGCCACGATGTCAATCCACTGACGAAGCATTCAACGCATGTGGACCTGATAATGGGCTCTTCGGCCAGTGATATTATCTGGTACGAACCCATGTCTCAAAAGTATGCACGAATCAACAAGAACGGCATCATCAATGGTTCCCCTGTGTCGAAGATCAAGTGGGTACCAGGCTCAGAAAACCATTTCTTGGCCGCCCACATGGACGGGAGCTTGGTTGTGTACGATAAGGAGAAAGAAGACGCGCCATTCACATCGGAAGAGGTGGTGGATGAGGCCATCAGCATCGAGGACGAGGAGTCGTCAACCTTGAATATTACCAAGAGCGTGAACTCATCGAATCAGAAGGCCAACCCCGTGGCGGCGTGGAAGGTCTCCAACTCGAGCATCAACGACTTCGCGTTCTCGCCCGATAGTCGTCATCTGGCGGTAGTTGCCGAGGATGGCTATCTTCGTATCATCGATTATCTGCAAGAAAGGTATGACAATTGTCGCTGATGGAAGACCGCGCAACTAACAGGACTCAGACTGACAGACATCTACACGTCGTATTATGGAGGTTTCACCTGCGTGACCTGGTCACCTGACGGGAAATACGTGTTGACTGGAGGGCAAGACGATCTCGTATCAATCTGGTCCTTGAATGAACGACAAATCGTAGCACGGTGCCCGGGACACGATTCATGGGTGACAGCGGTCGCTTTCGACCCATGGCGTTGTGACGATAAGACGTATCGTTTCGGGAGCGTGGGAGAAGACTGCAAGTTACTCCTGTGGGATTTTAATGTTGGGATGCTGCACAGGCCTAAAGGGGTGAGTCGCCTGAACGATGATCGGACAACCAAGCTGACAGACAACAGGCTGGAGGACGAACCAGGGGGAGCATTTCGACGCAGTCTGTATCATTAGCAAGACATCGAACCGAGAGTGCCAGCGCCAATCGAGTACGGTCGGATTCCAACAAGACACAGAGCATGCATCAACCTGAGCTGGATGACGATGCGGAATTCCTCAACCACCCTGTTGAGCCTCGAGCCCGGACGGCGCAACTCCCGCCGATACTGTCGAAAAAGGTGGATGAGCATTCATTAAGTGGACTTGCATTTGAGCAAGACTCTATACTGGTGGCCTGTCAGGAAGGTATGTTCGCTTCGATATTTCAGGGATATAGGAAATGCTGACAGGAGTCTAGGTCATGTTCGAACTTGGGATCGGCCTCGAGAAGGCGTCAACAGCAGCCAACTGGATCTGAGCAGCAGCACTGATTCAAGTAAAGCATGAGGCTGACGAAGCACGCCTGTCCTGGCGTTAGATGGGTCCGGTAATCATGCTCTTCTGACACGCAGCCACGCAGCGAATAGGATAGAACAGCACTGGAGGTACTGGTCTGTCGCCTTGGCCTGGCATGCTCCAGACCTGATTTATGCGGCAAGTGGGCAAACGCAGTGCTTGTCTACGGGACAAGACCGGCACAACGATGCCTTCGGGCGCTAGAAGGACCTTCTAGAAGCAGACTAGAGGGGGAAAAGCGAGCCAGACGTACATATGTAGCAGTAGCACTCGGACCTGATGGCTGGGCTAAAAGCAGAACCGAACACGCGAGATGCAGGCCGTGGTGCCACTAGAATAGCCAGGGCCAAGTCTGCAACCGGGCTTGAGTTGCGAGAAGTGTGGTCTGCGAATGGGACCCAAGCAGCAAAGATACCGACAGCTGATATTTGTTTCTGGCTTTGAGTTGCGATGAGCTGAGCACGACCCTGCATTGGTAGGGTTAAGACTGACCCTGGTCAACTGTCCTTCGTGTTTGGGAGTTCAGGCCGCAGCTGACAGCAAGCGCCGCATAGGTTGAATACGAATTACGCGGGTTTCAGGAAGAGCACTCCAATGCTGCCGGCTAAGCCGGAGGGGCTTAGATGCTGGCAGTCAAACGGGAGCAATGTAGCGTTATCTCTCCAAAACGGGGCCGGAATTGCGTGTTGGCGTCCTTTCAGCCTGAGGGGAACCAGAAAGATCGTGTAAACTTGTCTTTGGAGACGTGGGATGACGGCAAGCGGCTGCCGGATGGACCAGGGGAAAAAGAATGCTACACGGACCGATGTACTGCTACTCCTGAAGGCCGAACTTCAAGTCAGTCAGCAAACAGACCCGCTGTTGAACTTCCTCTTTCTTTCACATGCCGTGGTACTTGTGTTGCAAGCAATCAAGCTGCCAAACCACGCCCAGCAGAGGGGCGTCATGCGCATCCCATCGCCGCTATCGATAGCGATTACCGGCGCACCTACGAGCGAGGCGAGCGACAGCGGAAGCGACACCGGCCATGAGACTCGCTCGATTCGACAGCACATCAGACTGCGAACCTCGTCCTCGCCTACGCGCCGCAAAGATCTGCTCTCCGCCCCGTGTCCAAACGTCGACGTCGACCACAACGAGACAACGGGAAAGAGTCGGCATAATCACCGTCTACAAATCAAGCAACGGTCCAGAGGGACATCTGGGTCATCGTTGCTAAACCCTGCTGTGGGCATTACGACGACTGTGGTTGGCGAAAACTCGCAATCGCACGCACCTCAGGCACATCCACAGGGACATCCACAGGCACATTCACAGATACCGATTCAGCCTTCGGTGCGGTTGCCCGAGGGTGGCTGTTCCTTGGGATTAGCCGGCTCCGCTGATAACCCACCGGCGTCGGTCGCCGCGCATCACACCAGCTCGGTGGATCATTCTTTTATCGCTGCCGTAAGTCTCATCACCACTCATATCTTCCTTTTTCACATGGAACCTCACGTTCCTACGATAAAAGGCATGGCCACGATAATGTTGCTTCGCCGGATGGAGCCGCTCATGTCTATGCCCCTGTACTATTGATTTTTTGCGTAATTTTGTCGCCAGTTGCCTTGCAGCATCTACCTTTGCCATCACACCATCATTTAAAAAAGACCCGATCTGACTTTGCTCTCTTCCAACCACAGGCTGCCCGGCCACCTCTTCCGCAGTTCCATAGCCGTCAACGTGTACCTTCGCGAAATGATCTTCTGACCTCATCGCCTTTGACCGATCTTCGCACCTCAACTCTGGCGGACCGACATCTCGTCGACAATCACCGGTCACGGTCATCGACTATGGCCTTGAAGTTCCTCAGTGGGCACAGCACTGGTGGTAGCAGTTCCGGCGTCAAGCATTTTGACATCAGACTTGACAACGACTATATCGTCTTTCGAGGTGCCGAGGACGAGGCTGCCAGCGCACAGCTTGCTGGCTCGCTGGTGCTGTGTTTGACCGAACCTCTGAACATTTCCCATGTACAACTAACCCTCAGCGGCATTATACACATGTCGTATGTCACTGCAGCCATCCCACCACGACCGCGCTGACTCGTTGCAGATGGCAAGCCACCTCCGCATCGTCCATGTCCGGCCGGAAGAGTGCATATCGAGAGAAGACCTTTTTCGAAAAATCATGGCCGTTCAAAGTAAGCGGGAAAGAGAAAAGTCAAATGTTGCTCCCAGACAACTATGAGTGGCCTTTTGACTGTATCTTGGAAGGAAGTCTTCCGGAGAGTGTCGAGGGCCTCAAAGACGCATGGATCATATATCGCCTCAAGGCCGAGATTGGCCGAAGACGAGGCAAGGACATCGTGGTGAGGAAACCACTCAGGCTCGTGAGGACGCTCGATCCCAGTGCTCTCGAGCTTGCTCATGCTATGGTAAGTCGACGGTGCTGTGGCACGGCCCGTGGCAAATTATGGACCGCTGACCTGTGCCAGAGCGTTGAAAACATATGGCCCAACAAGATCGAGTACTCAATCAGCGTACCGAGCAAGGCCATAATATTCGGCTCGTTCTTGCGTGTCGACTTTAAACTCATCCCACTTCTCAAAGGCCTCGTCATTGGCAACATCTCGACCCAAGTCCGTGAGGAGCAGGAATTCGTTGTTGACCCTGAATGGAATGTGTCGGCATTGTCAGGAGGGATGTCGAAACACGACCGTGTCATTGCGACCGACAATTACACGATCGATTCGACAAGGGATGAGCAGATCATTGACGAGGCCGCTGAGGGGTATCAGTTTTCGCGATTCGTGGAATTGCCCAAATCGTTGCACCAGTGTCTGCAGGACTGCAATGTCAAGGGCATCAAAATCCGGCACAAGGTCAAGTTCAACGTGCAGTTGCACAATCCTGATGGACACATATCGGAACTCCGTGCCAACCTGCCGGTTTCTTTTTACATTTCTCCCAACCTCCCAATCAACGAGCACAACGACTTGGTGGACCAAACACCGCAAGCCAGCCGTGCAGCGGTGGAGAATGACATGAATCATTCGGCACCCCCACTATACGGTCAACATACACTGGACAAGCTGTACTCGGAGGTGGACCCGAGTGGTTATCTTACTCCTGGGCTGGCTCTGTCGACACCAGGAACTCCGTATCTGCACAGTCGTCAGCCTTCGCTCGAGAACCTGCGGTCACTGGATGCTATCACTAGCGGTTCAACTGGTGCAACCACGCCCAATGGTGGATCAGTGAACCCGGCTGCTCTGCAAGACCGCCTGCGTAACCTGCACGTTTCGGGACCGTCGAACCTTGACCGAGAGCCAGCGCACAGTCATGATGCATCTCGACGCAATTCCGATCCTAACAACGACAGCTACTTTGGCTCGCAGTATGCGTCAGGGGACAACACACAGAACAGTAGTGGTGTACTCTCGCGACGTGAGTCGGAGGAAGACGATGGATTCCAATCTGGAGCTCGGACTCCATTCCCGCAGTACGCGCACATGGAGGACCTGGCAAGAGTACCATCGTATAGCACGGCGGTCAAAGCACCTGCACCCCAGTCAATAGGGGCCGACCTCCCCACGTACGGGGCCGTGTGCACCAGGCCTGGGCCGCCAGCACTCTCGGCCCCACCCAGCGCGTATCTGAGAGATTCGAGAGCTGCGGGTAGCCTGAACGGGACACTAACTGGGCAGTCACCACCACTAAATCGAAATTTGAGTACACTGCAGGACGACGAACGCCGATTCAGGCTAATGCAGATGAGAGGTCGGTGAAGGGGATCAGTGACAACATTACCGTGTGCATTTCCGGGGCGCCATGATTACATGTTTGGACAAGACACAGCGGTTGCATGATAGAACATACCCATTGAGCATGGAAAGGGCAGGCGGGACAGGGCATTTGGGATTTATGGCGTTTGGATGTGAATGAAACCTAGCCCCAGGGATTTGATGTTTGGATGGAATCAAACAGGTATTTGCGGGCACGAGCAGACCGGTGCCGGGACGATTTACGAGGACAATGATGATCAGCTCCGGGAGCACAAAACGTATCAGCCACGAGACAACTCGGTTTGAGACCACACCCGTCAAGTCCCGAGTCGGTGTAGCAAGCGTTCCAGTAGTGTGTCAGCGCACATGATCCGGGGGGCAGTAATGCAGCAGGGGTCGGACAAGCCAGAAGCAAAGTGTCATGCGTGAAGAGCTTGTGGGGGAGAAGGGCATTGATGAAATATTTCCCATACTTGTAGCTTGCCACTTTGTCGATGGGAAGATCGTGTCCGGTGTTAAGTGGGCAGCATCACTGCCATCCTACTAGCTTGCAGCCGGAAGCACAGTGCCTGTATAGCCGAGCCGCGCCTGTAGACTGCCGCGTGGGATGCCTGCAGGTTCGCAAGTAGCATTCATCACATGAGATTCGTTGACGAACGTGGTCCCAGAAACAATCACAGTCATCAAGGTTCGCTTATCACCGAAGTGCCCGAAGCGCGGTCGTGCGCGCCGCGACGGGTGGCGGGAAAACCGTACTCTCTTCTTCATGTAAATCGTGCGATACGATATGGGGCCCTGCGCTATTGGCACTCATCATCCCGTCCTCGGCGCCGCAGTGCAGCCGCAGCCGCCAGCCGAAGCCCGCCCCCTACCGGAGTACTGCGATGGCGGCCTGTGACTCTTTCTTGGGTTCAGGGCCCAGGGCCCCCGATGAGACATTGGCGTGTGCCAAAATCCATATTTGCTCCCGCTGTCTCCGTGATCCTCTGCCCCCTTGTCGTTATCGAGCCGTGAAGCCGGGTGATACAGCCAATCACCGCAGGCTGTTCGGGGGAGTGCTACGCCTGGGCTCGGTCGTCTACCCTGGCAATATAAGCGAAGGCTGCTGCTCCCTCTGCTCAAGTGTGAGCCCACTTCTGACCACGCGGTTACTTTTTATCCCTCTACTCAAGGTACCCTCGCTTATAGAATATATCTGAAGGTTGGTGCCACTTTCCTGCGCTGTTCGATTACTACAGACGCTACTGTTGCTCCTCTACTCTTATCTGCCTATCTGGTCACCGCGCAAACACTTCGATGAACCCCACCGCCAGGACCTCGTCCTCAGAATTTCCCCAACAAAAATACCTCTACCATACCACACCACACCACACTATACCATCAAGATGAAGCATGCACCAGTCGTTCCCCCCACGATCTCCGCCCCGATTCAACACCATACTCACACACATCACCGCGAAAAAGTCCACTTCGCCGGCTCTCCACCCCCACCACCATACAAATCCCGCTCCTCCTCCTCGAGCAGCACCTCCTCCACCCGCTCCTCTGACCCACCCACCACACCTGTGGACCTGCACTCACGCGCTCTCCACCTGCTCGACACGCTCTACAACAAGCACGACCTCGCCTCCGCCCGGCCACTCATCCACCCGGACGTCTCCATCTCGCACAACGACGACGCCGCCATGGCCAGCCGCGACGAGTACCTGGCCTACTGGGCGCGCCGCACCAAGCGCGTGCCGGAGCTGAGGGCCAAGTGTCGCGAGTGCGCCGTGGACGAGAGCCAGCGCAAGGTCTGGGTGGTCAGTGAGATCTACACGGAGCCCGCAGAGGAGGTCGCGACGCTGGGCGTCGATATGCCCGCCACTACCACCGCCAAGAGACCAGGTGGGTTGCAGAGGCGGAAGGAGAGTGTGGACATGCTGTGGTTCGATGAGGCGGGTCGCTTGGTTGGTGGGTGTGATTGGGTCAGGAGCGTGAGGAGGAGGGAGGACGATGACTAGATGAGTCAATGCCTAGGAGAATTGGACGGGGTGGTATCAAAGAACGCTGAAGCATGATCTGGACTGGACAGTTGGTTATCGAATGCGGTACGGGAAGCGATTACTGCCGCGATGGGCAATTCGCCAAAATTTTGGCGTCTTGACACGCTGAGAAGCCGCGAGTCGAGCACTTCAAGCGACGGTTTTCATGCGGGCGCCATGGAAGACCGCATGCACACAGAGATGCGTCAGGGTGGAGACACAAGATCCATGTGCCAGAAGGAGCATATCAAGGCAGAGGATGTGTCGCCCCGAGAAACACTCCAGACGGAGACTGAGGCCGAAGCCTCCAGACCGTTCGATCACATGCGCCCACGTGTGCGAAGGGCTGTCAAGAGTGCAAAGGACTGTTTGACATCTATACCCAAGACGACGGCGTTGGTGGAGGAATACCAAAAGCACCACCAGAAATCTTACAGAAAAGAGAGAAGGACGTTCTTCGTAAGTCGCGGACATGGGAGATGATATGAATAAACTGGGGGTGTAAAGCTAGCAAAGCAGAGTACGGGGACGCGAAGGACAAGAAAAGAGCGCAAAGGCGTTCGGGAACGCTGAATCAGGAGAAGATGAATTTTTCCATGCCATTATATCCACATCTGAGATACCTGGCACATGTACATCCACATTTCCACCACTTCTGCGAAGCCAACGGTGATTGTGATTGGATCTTGTTTGGGAGTATGTACAGTACCGTAAAGAAAAGAAAAGGTGTCGCCCTGATTGGTTCGTATAGACTGCTGCCAAGAGGCAGTGAAAATGGGTTTCGTCCACCACTGGCTTTGTCGCGTCGTTTTGTGTAAGTGTAACGGCCCAGATCTCAGGCACCGACCTCTGTAACAACAGACTCGGCAGCAGCGAGCACTCGCCGCCCCGTCCGGTCCCTCCGCGCCACGAGCCACCAGCTCCCCGCCATCATGGTGACCGCCCCGGCCAGGCATCGACATCGAGATATTGTACGACATTGTGTACTGCGGGCCGGAGGGGCCCTGGTACACCTGTGGGCTTATGATGCCTGCGAGCTGAGCACGACCCGGCGGACGGACGGCCCTCATTCAAATGATGTCGACTCTGGAGTCCAAGGGCTGTCATAGGTATTGACCTCCTTGCTTGCCATGGTGACGAGCTCGAGAAATGCTGGGCAGCCGTCTTATTTTGATATCCTAAATTACAGCTGTAGGTCAGGAGACAGTCAGCTGTCAGTTGAGAATTGGATTCCCAAGTATCGCTGCCTGAGGCTTGCTGAGCTCACATGGCCGGCTTCAAGAGGTTTTTCACAGCCGTCTCCGAGGAGGATAGCGGAATTAGATTCTCTAGGAAGCCGACGCGTCCATCGCTAAAGTATCACGCAATCGCTGCGGACGTTATTGAATGGATCCGTTGGCTGGGACTTTCCCCAGTCCAGGAATCTGTCGTGGCCAACGGGCCCGATTTGCCCACATATAGAGAGAATATGAACATCGCCACCAGGCCGGACTGTCACTGGCTGAGCGTTTTCAGGGAAGCACGCCGTCGTGTCCATACTGCCTGGGGAATGGCATGAGGTGAAAGGAACACCCATCGAGTGGAGCCCTGGCGGAGACTAGCGTGGGCCCAAGGCGACAAGGCATCCACCAAATCCTCCCAATGTGGTGTTTTTCCTTGTAGTGGTTCACTACTGCGAATCTCGAAAGGTCTCTGCCATCAGAACGTCAGAGAATCGATGCCAAAGGTATCGTTGGTCTGAGTGAAGTGTACTCGGAACAAGCTCGGTAGCTCGGCAATTCAAGTCGCGCAGTCCCTTGCCCCGATCACGCAATCCGATCAACATCCAATCCCGCACTACGCTGCATGAGGTTATGTTGCACTGCTCAGACATGTCCGCGCTCAGTGTACAAGGTGCGGGGTGTCGTCTTCGGAGGCTGGCCAGTTGGAGAATTGATGGAAGTGGCATCATATAGGAGGAGGGGGTGGCCGACCCTGCATTGTTTGGAGTAACTACTCCTGTAAACATAGATCAGTCAAAATGGCGGCAGCCGTACAGACAGCACCTGGCGTTCCGACGCATCGTCCTATTGAGAAGTATCAGCAAGTCCAAGAGTCCTCGGCTGAGCGTAAGTAGTCAAGAACCTCAGTGTAAGCGGGCGCTGACAGAATCCAGTACCATGGGCCGATCTTGTCACGCTCGATTTGTCCCAATTCGATGTCCCAGGCGGCAAGGAGAAACTGGCGCATCAATTGGCAGATGCTGTCCACAGAGTTGGTATGTCAAGTCTGTCCCTGTGCGCGACCGCCTGCTGACCTAGCTTAGGATTCTTTTATATCACCAACTTTGGCTTAACCCAAGACGAAGTCGACAATCAGTTTGCGATTGGTCGAGAGATCTTCAAGCTGCCGATGGAAGAGAAGCTCAAGCATGAGGCGGACATGAAGAATGGCCACTACTCCGGGTATCGTCGTCTCGGCATATCGGAAATCGTGCCGGGCCTGAGAGACAATGTCGAGATGTACAATCTCTTCAAATTCAACGGCAAACTGGACCGCTCGCAGCCGGACATCATTCACGAGAACCGACCCGAGATTGAGAAGTTCCAGCGTCACATCGCCCAAGACACGGTGCAGAAACTGCTGACCCTGATCTCAATCGTCCTCGAGCTACCCGAGGACTATCTGAGCCAGGGCCACAAGTGGGACGACATCTCCGATTGCCACTTGAGATACATGATCTATCACGCACGAACCCCCGAGGAGAACGCGCGCGCCGGCGGCTTGTACTCCAAAGGCCACACCGATTTCGGCAGTTTGACGCTCCTGTTCCGCCAGCCCGTCGCCGCACTGCAGGTTCGCATGCCGGACGAGACGTGGAAGTGGGTCAAGCCCTACCCCGGCAGCATCACCGTCAACATCGCCGACGTGCTGCAGTTCTGGACCAACGGCTACCTGAAGAGCAGCATTCACCGCGTCGTCGTGCCACCGGCGGACCAGGCCAACATTGACAGACTCGGCCTACTGTACTTCCTGCGCCCGTCGCACGATCTGAATCTGGCCACGGTGGACAGCCCACTCCTCCGGCGACTGGGACTGAAGGCTGACAATGAGGTGGCTGAGGTCAAGGCTGTCGACTGGGTTCGTGCCCGCGTGAAAGGAAACTTGGACAAGCCTGAGACCAGGGACAGCAAAGAAGGGAAGCAGGTACTTAACGGTGTGAAGATGAAGTATTACGACTGAACAGAGAGTTCCAGAAGGAGGACGACGAGATGGGGGAAAAATTGTACAGAAACTCCTTTCATTGACACGGTTGCACTCTTTTGTTGAACTGGCAACCGTACTCTCGACGACATCAGTCTATGTTACATACAGCCTGCTCAGACTACCTGACAATGCAGCACTTTCGCTCCTTCCGGTAAACCAAATGTGCTTTCCCATGGTGACTCATCGCTGTCGTCTGCAGACGATCTTCTGGTGAGACAGAAAATTGAAGCATCACTGGCCGTCCAACAACACCCATCCTTCAACCCCTCCCATAAGCCCGTCTTGGAATGGCCGCCCACTCCGCCTTCAACTCGTCCACGCCCGGCATCCCGTACCCGTGCGTCAAGTCACCTTGGATCACGACGTCCTCGCCGTCGAGCAACCCAAAGAATCTTCCCTTCACGCCACCCGCCTGGTCGAACTCCAACTGACCGCTCAATTCCATCCGGAACATGTACTGGCCGGTCTCGTAGTCCTCAGCTCGCCAGGAGAATGATCCGGTGGCGTCCAGCATGCTGCTGATGCTATCGGCGAAGAGCATGCAGCGCATCTTGCCCAGTATGGTCATGGATCCCCACAGCTGCTGATTGGGCTTGTCGACGACGAGGACGAAACTGGGATTGAAAGTGACGTAGGAATCGGGTGTGGTGGCTGTAATGTCGTAGTGGCCAGAGATTTGGACTGTGCCGCCTCTCTGTGCTTGTTTGTGGCCTGAGGAGGGGGCGCTGGCCCGGGAGAAGTCGTGGGAGTCGTATGGAGGTGGGCTGTCGTCCAGGTCGCACTCCGAGTTTTGATCATGGAAATATGTGGGCGGATAGCTTTGCACCTTCTGAGGCGAGGCGTCCTCCCTCTGGCGGTAGCTTGGAGTGTGGCCCATGAAGGGAGCGCTGCGTCGACCAGTTTGCTTGGCTCGTGGCTTTGTCGTCGATGTCGAGGCAGTTGCGGTTGACAAAGGAGCCGCAGCGGTCCCCTTCCTACCTCTACCTACAACCGAGGAGCCATAAGCACGAGTACCATCGGTCTCTGCTTTCTGGGTCGTTGTAGTCTTTGCCGCAGGTCTTGATGCAGGTTCGCCCTTCATCTTCTTCGCCGTCGCCGTCGCCGTCGCCTTCGTCTTCGGTCTCTCAAACTCGTGCCCAGCCAGACCAAGATCGACATCAACAGTAACCCTGATCTTTCCGTGAGGTACCGCAGTCCCAGCATCGTTGTCATCCTCCTCCTCCAGCTTCCGCTTCTTCCCCTTCACGATCACATCAGCCTGGCCCTTCTCCTTTTCAACCTTCGTCACCTTCCTCATTACCGACGCATAATCCTTCTTCATCGCCGCCTCCATGACCCTCACCTCTGCTGGAACGCTCAACCCCCCACCATGCAACGCCTGAGTCAGCCGCAGCTTGGCCGAGTTCTTGTCCTGAGTCCGTGGCAAGCCATAGTGTAGCAGTTGCGCCTCGTACCAGTGAGCAACCTGATCCTTAATCGGAACTGCTGAGGAGGAGCCGCTGTTCTTGGTCTTTGAGGGGAGAAGCAAGGCGCGGAGTTCAGACTCGCCGGCGCGTGGGTGGCGTTTACCGCTGCCGAGGTCGACGAAGAGGGCGTCGTGGTAGATAAAGTCGCCGCGGCGGACTTCGGATACTGTGGTTGCCATGGTCGTTGGTTTGCTGCTGTCGATTGCGGGAGGCTTACGTGCGTGCGTCCGTATCTGTGTGTTGTGGTGATGTTGATGGATATTGATGCAGCACTTCTGCGGCATACTGAATACTCCAGCAACATTGAAGGCGGGGGGGTTGGCGGGTGAGGTGGCTGGCCCACTGAAGGTTCAGCATCAAGTGAAGCACTTTGCCCCGCCAACCCGCACGTTACGGCGCTGCTATCCCGCATAGGGGACGAGAAAATTGAGACGAATGTGCGAGCAGACAACTCGATTATGGTAGACAGGTTGACTCGTCGAGAACAGGTACGGGGCTGATGCCAAGGATCACCAGAGATCAATACGAAGGTGAAATTCGTTGTTGCCTTGCGCTTTAGATACTGGAAGAGGGACTTGCTGTCGACCGGGCGTTCTTCTGCGGAAGGCTGTTGACAGTCCTCCGCTACTCACTCGTGGCGAGTATTGACGCTGCTCCGGCGCTCGAGACTCCTAAACCGGCGGCGCACCTCCTCGGGCTTCGAAGCCTCGGTGGACGCTTGCATCTCCGTTCCCTCTTCCGTCTTCCCTTGACCACTCCTCTCGAACATGAACAGGACCAAGTCGTTTAAAAAGTCTTCATGCCAGCCCGTGTATCCCCCGTCCATTGACCTGCTCTTCTCCCCACTCGCAAACAACCCTTTAGCACTCTTCCCGCTCAACTCTGCAAACATCTCCAGAACAACCCTCTTCAATCCCACATCCGCTTCCTCCAGTCCCTCATCCCACAACGACGCCACGTCGTCTCTCTCCGGCACACAATTCGCTTCCCTGCCCACCCGCCTAATCCGCTCACAAACACAGTACTTCAACCCTTTCCCCACATCATAGCGATCCGCAACGATATACAACCTCACCAGCGGCCCGAACGACGGCGGCCGCGGCCTCTTCTTCACATAAGCTTCCACCTCTGCCGACGCCCTGCCAAAAGTCTGCTTCAGCACGCGCTTCTCCTCCTGCCACGTATGGTACGCGTGTACAGCGGCGTCGACGAGGTCGTGGCGCAGGCCGAGGTCCGTGGCGACGGTGGTGTTCATGTCAAGACTCACTTGCGGCGCTTCCCGCGCATGTGTGTCCCACAGCTGCCGCCAGTAGGCCCACTGCAGCAGGAAGGCGATGTCTTCTGGGCGCTCTTCGGGGAGCTTGATGACGCCGGTGGCGGCTTCCTGGAAAGTGTAGGCCCCTCCAGGAGAAGAGCGTTGTAGGGCCGCGCGGAAAAAGGGCGAAATGGAGCTAAGGAGATCTTCGTGGGCGAAGTGGGAGACGGGACTCTCTTCTTTGCTAGGTGAAGACGTGCCTCCGACCAGCAGGGTTATGGGTCGAGAGGTAAAGGGTGAGAAGTGAAGGTGGGGCAGCTGCGGCAATGGACATGTTGGCCGTAGACCCGGGCCAGCTTCCCTGCTGTTGCGACTTCCTGCGTCGAAGTGGAATACCTCCGACGGCGGCCAGGGCTGCGGATTGTGAATGGAGTCGACGCTGCGTAGGATGGCAGATGCTGGTCGCGTACTGGAGACATCGGTCGTAGCGCGACGAGGCGTTTCGGGATCATCGAAAGGCTTGGGGGATGTGAGAACGGCGCCCTCCATTTCCTGTAGCGACATGTTGTTTGGTTCTTGAAGGTCCATGCCAATGAACGAGGTCTGGGCTACGTACGGGATCGCGGTGCAAGATATCGTCGTGGTCGGTACGTAGCCTCGGTCTTTGGATCGAACGACCATTTCTAGGATCCGCGAGGAGCTGCCGCCTGATAAATCGGCACGTATGCCACGCAAACGAAATCGAGTGACGTTACCGTGCCATGTATGGTTGGGCGAAGCTTCTGTAATTGTGACGATATGGCGAGACTATACTACTCCATGCCTGGTTTGGTCCAAGGCAATAGCGGGATGTTTTTGACGATACCTTCATCTCAGACAGTTGGCCAAACAACAAAGAAGTGTGTTGTTGGTAGTCCACACCATGACGCAACACTGCAATCAGCCTCAAGCAAAGAACAAAGAACTGGAACAACGCCACGAAGCCAGCGCCACTTCGGCATGCCGCGTGCAGTCCACCGGCCCCAACACATCAAGCCATCTCTCCTTGAGAGATTTCACAAACAGCAATTTTCAGACTGCGCGCCACAATTGCTCACCGAGGTGACTGGTGCACATGTGGGAGGAGCCTGGCGCACGCACTCCCAATCCATGCCGGTGAGACTTTGGAAACAGCCTTGCAGCCCGTCGTACGTGATCGTCACACATATCTCTGCGCCAGCAGAATCCTGTTTGATTTGCGGCTCCTGTCGAACGCCGACTCTGCGAGTCGGGGCAAAATTCGAAGCTCGGATCGCGATTTACTGTCGCACGAAAACCCTGATCCGACAACCCCGCTAATCTTGACTGCAGCGCCAAAACGAGACCAGATGACAGTTTCGACCGTGGCGGATAGACTCTGGCAGCTCTGCTTGAATGCCTGTCGTACTACCTGCAAACGAGGTTCGCCAGGCAGCGGTGCTGCGAACGGATAATTGTCAAGACGCACGGACCGATTGAGAAACAAGCTATTCGCATGAGCGAGATGGTGGAAAGGAGGAAGACACACTCAGAAGCAAGTTGATGACAATACGCGCACAACGGAATGGAGGAAAGAGTGGCCACGAATTATTGGGGCTGTAGGAATCATACTCCACTAAATTCCTTCCTCGAGCTCCTAGACTCCTCGATGTTTTCACAACAATAAGGTCAAGTCGTCGTAATGGCAGGGCTCGGTATCCTCCCTCGGACCCGAGTCCCTCATATCTAGCTGATCAGAAATGTGCTGCGAAGAGCAGATTTTCAGAAACTAGACGCGGTGCTTTTCATTCTCTGTAGAAACATTAGCACAGAAATTTGCGGAGGTCGGGATTACATACCGAGTCGAGAGTAGAGCATATAAAGTGCCATCTGGTTGCACTCCGCAGTACCGGTGATGGTGACGAGACGCTCGTTGCTGTTGTCTTGTGGCTCGTTGATCTTGATGACACTACCAGAGAGATGTCTGATCTCGTTGATCTTGGCACCGCCCTTGCCGATGATGGCGCCGACCATGTCATTGGGAATGTAGATCTGCTGAGTGATAGGCTGCCCGGGCATTGCGCTAGGCGGCTGAGGGTGCTGACCAGGTTGGCCCTGTTGAGGTGGCATCTGACCATAACCAACACCCTGCTGTGGAGTCGCTTGACCTCCGTAACTGGGTTGACGAGGAGTGTTCGGGTATTGGGCGCCCTGCTGCTGATATGGCTGCTGAGGTTGAGCAGCAGTTGGTTGCCCGGCATAAGGAGCCGTCGGCCCACCACGCTGGGGAGGCTGGGTGCCGTTTCGCTTGTACATCTCTGGGTGACCGTACTGGCCACCGGCTGGCTGAGGCACGTATGGGACGACCTGCATGCCACCAGGCACAACGCCAGCAGGGCCACCGCTGCGGGTAGCATAGGCAGACGCGGCAGGGCCACCGAACCGCTCCGTCAGCTGCTCGACAAGAGTGACAGCAATGTAGTAGGTCGCAATGTGAACAGAGTCAGCAACACCAAGTACGACGAGCGAGCGCTCGGTGGAAAGTGGCAGACAAGAATCTGAAGCATTGAGACGTGCACCTGAAGCTTCCTGAATCTCTCGGATACGAACACCTGATTTGCCAATGATAGAGCCAATGAGGATGTGAGGAACGAGGAGACGGAGCGGGTAAGTCTTTGACTGTGAGGTTGAAGGCTGGTCAAGAGGCTCGTTGTTGAGAGTGCGAATAATAAGACCAAAGGCTTTGGCTACAGCGTCTTGAGCACCACTGACCGTCAAGATTCTTTCAACAGCACCTCTGGAGTAGTCGCTAACGGTGCACTTGGCGCCAGACATCTTTCGGATCTGCGTGACGTTCTCACCTCCTTTGCCGATGCACGTGGCTGCCTCGGCGCTTGAGATGACAGCTCGGATATGGATCCACTTGGTTTCATCTTGTGTGGCTGTGAGAGGCAGTGCAGCAGCAGCATCGCTCGAAGTGGAGGGAATGGGCTGAGGCTCCTCCGCCTTGACAGCAGGCTCGCTGTCAGTAACTTCAGGGTGAGTGGTAGAAGTACCATTGGTGGTAGCAGCCTCGACCTTGACAGGAGCGTCGATTGTCACAGCTTCATCGCTGTCTTTGGCAGTCTTATCGAGGGCTGGTCTCTTGGCGTCTGGAAGATCAGTTGGGGCGGAGGGAGAGGAAGGGTCTTCTAGGGGCCGTTTGGCGGAGGGGACGGCTGCCGAAGAGGACGGCGAGGCAGACATGGTGGATTGGAGTGTGGTATGGTCAATTCTTTTGTTTGAAATGGTGTCTTTTATTGGGTTTCGTTACGTACACCAGATCGAAAGAAAACGTGCTGGTGCAGGAAGGGGTTCGGTGAGGGTAGACTGAGTATTCCAGGGGGAAGATCGTGGGACGATTGGATTGGGTAGATCCGTGCTGTGACAAACGAACTCGAGCAGTGCTGTGGTGTGGTTCGTGGAGGTGGGGTAGAAGGGTGGTTGAAAGAAGCTTCGGCTGGTAGAAGGGGTCTTGAGGGTTGATAGAGGCCTTCTCAAGAGTGATGGAAGAAGCAAAGGGCACCAGGCGGATCGATACTTAGCTGAGTATGGGTGCGCTTGCCTCAATAGACACACCCTGGAACCCGCTTGAAGGTAATAGTAGTCGCGCTTTGAGGGCGAGGAAAGAACGCACGACCTCTTTCTGTAGCTGGTAGGCTTATGCGCTAATCAAATATCGCGGAGGGAAGGCGCGACTCGAGCGAGGTGGAAGTGATGATTTGAGAAAGAGAGAGGGGGCTCACGAGGAACAAGGCGGTGGTCAAAATCAACTTCTGCCGATCGAGCAGTCCCAAGCTCACGTGACACTTGGCATGCCTTTAGCGCGATAAAGCCACCTGGGCACGTACACAGGCAGATAGAATTGTGCTAGAGCTGCAGTGGACGAAGCGTGAAAGCGCCACAATAAGTGGTGGTGGTGGTGGTGGTGGTGGTGGTGGATCATGCGTGTTCTATCCTACAAGTAGCCTTCAAGCCAATTGCATGGACGATACAGTGAAACCATATCTGTATCTCCCATCAAGCCTTCACATTGCCAGGCGCCTTTCGCTGCTCTAGGACTGCCTTGAGCATATTCGCAACCTCCTTCTTTCGCCGAGCTTTGGCTTGCCATTTCTCCTTGTCGTCTGTTGATATCACTGGCCGACCACCATTCACGCCCAAGCGACCTGGGGTTGACCTCGTGCTCCCGGCGAATTTCGAGCCCGGGGTGTGATAGATGCTGCTCGTGCTCCCTGGAGTGTTTGGCCTCATTGACTGCCGTTGTTTGGGCGTACCATTTGGTGTTCCATGGCTGGACATAGTCAGCACGCCCTTGACTTCCAACTTTCGCAATTGCGATTCGAGCATATCAATGTCCGAGCTCTTCTGCTCCGCCATCTTCGTCATCTTCAATACAGTATTGGTAACTGCCTCCACAGTCGGCTTCTTTTGGCCGCCTGATCCTCCAAAAAGACTTGAGTTTCTCCCGTTCTCGGCCGGCGCAATCTCTGCAACCTTGGCTCGTAGCACGGCAAGTGCATTCTCGACCTGTACAAGCTTGCTCTGCACGGACACTGAACATTTGCGTAAATCATGCTGGACTGAAGCTTGCTCAGCGGACAAAGGCGCCGCCAAAGTCGCGTCGGGATTTGTCCTGGCGTTCAGGGTCTTCCTGATCGAACCGAGCTTGGTGCGTAGGTCTGTAACGTCTTCAGAGAGCAACTTCTGGCAGCTCTGCAGTTTGCCTTCAACGTCTTGGATCTGCGCCTCCTGAACGCACCGATCAAGCACCGCTATCCCTTCACGGAGTCGTGGAATATCACCTAGAAACCACTCGTCATTCAATGTATCGGCAGGGGTCTCCGACTCGAGTATGTCGGGCCAGTTGCTACTCGGCTCTTGCTCCTGCTGATATTTCATGTACGCGGCTAGGGATCTCGAGTTAATACCAAGCGTGTCGACCATGGAATTGATGTCTCGGTAGAGTCTCTCGATCTGCGCCGGTACACCTGATTTGGCGCCCTCTTCTGGAGCCTTCGCCTGGTAAGTCAGGAAATCGTCAAGAGTTTCAGCTGCTTGGATGGGGGCTTGCAACTCATTCCGCAGTTGCTCGTCTTCGTCATCTTTCAACTCTTGAAGCTGCAATTTTTCAGCCTGTTGTCTGTTTCGAGCCAGCTGTTCCTGTTGCTGTTTCTGCCTCGCCAACTCCTGTTGTTGAGCTTCTGCAGACTGCCTCGCGAGACCGGACTGTAGGTACTCGTTCTTACGCTGGTCGATAACTGATCGAGGATGTGCCGGAGCACTTACGGACCGAGCTGCCTCAGAGTTAAGTCTGTCCGCCGAGAGAAGTTGGCGTACTGGGCTCGGTGATCGCGGACTCTGCTGTGGCTTGGGGGGAGGTAATATTGGCCCTGTCGTTCCAACCTCGCCGAACAGCGGTCGTGGCTTCTGCGGTACGTTTGTAACCTTGGTAAAGACGCCACCAGTTGGGCTAGCCTCAGTACTGTGTTCTCCGCCCTTGAACGAACTCTCGGGCGAGGTCTGCAACTGGTCACTCTGCTCTTCACCTTGTTGTTCATCAGCACTGCTGGCATTTTCTTCGCCATCTTCTTCACTACCTTCAAAGCCAGACAGTTCATCCTCTTCTTCGCTTGGAAGTTCGGGCGGCTCATTGGTAGACTTATTCGCAGGGACCCATGGCGGAGGGAGAGGAGCATCATCAGTGCTTTGAGTGCTTCTAGAGTTAGATGAGGAAGCCGAAGTGTCGCCGGAGACATACCGTGGTTTAGAAACCGTATCCGGCGGGAGGGGAGCCTGGGGAATCTGGTTCAAGTCAACCGACTCGTCATCACTAGCTTCTTCCTGTTTGATTGCAGTTACTCCGTCCACTTTCTCCTTGTTGGCATTGAAGGGCACTGGCCCTGAATGTGGCTTTTGACCAAAGATGGACTGAGGAGCGGGTGTTTCTTTAGGAGTTGTTGAGGGTGGGGCCGTTGGGGGTTCCTTGGGAGTCGTTGACGGCACGTTACCGAAGCTCCAGCCTGTGGACGATGGAGGAGGAGGCTGTGGGGTCGTACTTTGAGTAGTCGGCGCCCCAAAGAGATTCGACACAGGCGGGGCTGGAGTGGCTTTGGGCTGGCCAATACTTGAGGGTGGCGTGACCAGGGTCTTTGGCGGCTCTCTCTGCCCAAAGGATGGCAGTGTCGTGGATGGCTTCTCCGCCGGTGGTTCCGACTTGTCACTGGCGATACCCTCGGACATCTCTTCCTCCTTGTCATGTGTGGGCGATGTCACCTTTTGGGAGTCACCCAGCATGTCATCCAGGCTACTGCCGAAGCCGAAGCCGCCTCCAGCGTTCGTAGGTTTCGGCAGATCATCTTTGGCCGAGCCATCGCCCTTGAACGAGGAGCCAAGCGTGAAACCTCCTGCTTTGCCAAATGACTGGGTTGCAGATTGGGAGACCGCGCCTCCAAAGCCTCCGAATGCACCGCTTGAGCCGCTCGCAAACGTTGTGGGCTTGCCGAAGGCCGAACCGTTATTGCTAGATGTCTGGGCAAAAGGACTGCTCGTCTTTTCATCCTTTTGCCCCCCAAAACCACCAAAGCCACCTCCAGAGGCCTGGCCGAAAGGGCTGGCTGGCTTCTCGGCCTCCTTTGCACGGAGCGTACCAAAGCCTCCGGCCTTTGAGAAGGATGCAAACCCTGAGGTGCCGGAGCCACTCGCACCACCGAACGGGCTTGACGATGTAGGAGCTGTTCCGAATCCAGCAGCCTTGGTGCCAAAGCCAGAATTACCAAAAGCAGGCGCGCCGGCTGCGTGACCGAATGCAGGCTTTCCAAGCGCGCTTGGGGCTCCAAAACCCGAACTACTACCGCCAGCAATGGTAGATGCTGAGCCAAATGCTGGCTGACCGAACCCTGATGCTCCACCTTGACTGTTGGAAGCGCTGCCAAAGCCGGTAGAGGTCCAAGACGAGCTTCCACCACCGATGGTTGACGGCTTCCCGAACGAACTCTCGGCAGCACCGCCATTGACGTTTCCCGAAGAAGATCCAAACCCAGTGCCTGTGCCAAAGCCTGTAGCCGTCGGTTTCGTGGCAGCTGGCGTGGTTCCAAAGCTGGGTTGCCCGAATGTAGAAGCCGGAGCTGCAAATGTGCTCGCGGGCCGGTTCGCTTGAGCCTGCGATTGAGAAGTAGCCGTGGGAGGCGGGGAAGCAGTGCTTTGAGCAACTGGAGCAGACTCATCCATGCCGGGGTAAAGAGTCTTCTCCTTCACGGAGTCGTGATACACGATCCACCATGACGACAGGATGCCCTCATCATTGAGTACGAGCAGCTGAGGTACTGGATTGGGTGACTCAATGATATCGATCTCGGTTGGTATTGGGTTCATGACAGGTTCTTTGCTTGATAGATCAAGAGCCATGCCTATGGGAGATGTGTCTGACTGCTCAACGGACAGGGGAAGTGCAGCCCGCCGGCTGTCGTCGGCGATCGCAGTCATGGAATAATCGTTCGGGCTCACATTGTCGTGAGACAACGGCTTGTCGGATTTGGATATTAGTCCGACATCGCCACTGCTGGTTGCAGATACAACGATCAGTTCTTTGAGATGAGGAGGGAAATCTCGCAAGCGATTCAGGTAGAAGTGAGTGGGCAAGCGATCCTTTCCAAAAAGAGCGACCGCTTCTGGAAGCTTGTTGTAGGTGAAATTCGCAGTCTTCGGCTCTCGATCTACGATGAAGAATTCGGTGGGTGGCGCTGGACCTTCTGTACCCTGCGGCGAGTAGATTATGAGAAAGGTATCGTTTTGTAGCCAGGAGATGGCGGTGACGAAGCTTCCGTCGGCGCTGGAGGTGGCCCTCGGAATGACTGCGACTGTTGACCCATCTGGCTTCAGCTGCACGGCAGAGCCATCAGCCAACCCTGCAACAATTTGCTTGCCCTTGTTGCTCCATGAGACGCAGCTGACACGGTCTTGCAATACGGGACCTTTTGTCCCCGGGCGGATGGCACCTTCCCTCAGATCAGCAAGCAACAATTCCCCGTCCGTGGTTACTGCGGCGACCAATGCGCTCGCATCGGGTGCAGGATTGGGGATAAGGGCTCGTAAAGCTTTCCCTTCTGTCGAGATTTGCAACGCTGGCGTCGCTTGCGCATTATCGAGATCCTGTACCCTGTATGCATCGATGCCTCCGCCCTCTTGAGCCGACACGAGGAGAATGTTCTCATCAGCAGTGAAAGCCACATGTGCGAGCCTTGATCGTGATATTCGAGTGTTGGGCTCGAAATCACGAATTGGAGATTCGTTCTTGGACTTGTCGAAGGTGTCAAGAAAGTGGCTACGAATCTTGTCGGTGGATGTGATCACCAGCTCATCCGGACCGGCAGCCGCAACCAGACCTTTTTGAGAGGCTACTCCGAGTAGAGACGCTGTCGTAGGCGGCAAGTTGTCCGCTGGCCACGGCCGAGAGAGCAGCCTCAGCTTGACGTCGCCATTAACACCCGGCAGCCCTAGCTCGTCGGTTAGAATTTCTAAGAACTCTTTGCCTTCCTTCGCTACCGACTCTGCGCCAACATTTTGCACTGTAGTAGAGTGGCTGAATGCCATCCTCAGCCGAGGGATTTCTGTTGAGAGTGACTTGCGCTTCTCGGAGGAACTAGGTGAAGATGTTGTAGAGGAGGATGAATGCTGCGCATGTGTGAAGCGCGTCGTTGCAGGCGTTGTAAATGAGTGAAAGGCGCTGTTTCGCCAGAAGAGGGGGCGGTGTTGGTCAGGAATCTTGACGACGAGTCATTGAGGTTGAGGAAGGTCCAGGCAGACACATGAGCAGGACACAACCAGGCATCAGCATGGAGTGGACTAGAGTCTAGAAGTAATGTTTGCTACGCTTCAGTTGACGCGGAGAAGTTCCATAGCGCGGTGGCAAGGCTGCATAAGGCTGTGTTGATACAGCAATATTGTCGCGGCTGCCCTCGGCTGCTTCAACTCACTTGCTTCAATGCTCATACCGCTCGCTCCAGCAAGCCATCGGGGAGGCATCGACATCGCCATGCTGGAGACTATGTAAAGCTAAACTCAACGAATTCCTATACCCAAATCGCGTCCATCAACGCTGCCTCGAAGCTAGCAAAGACTCTTTCCACGGAGTCGCTGAACCCTTTGTTAGATGTGCTCGCTATGAACTCTTAAATCATGATGAAGCAGTCGTACCGACATGTCGTGTCGAGATCTATTGGACTCTCTTGCCGCCGGCCTCTGCTCCCGCTGCGGTACGTCTCCAAGCTCTCATTTCGGCCCCAGGATAAGCGCGCGGAACCACGATTGGGTTCATTCTTGGCTTGCGTAGCAGCAGCTGGAATCGCTGCGAGCACCGCTTTGTTCCAAAGTCGCAGACATGTTGAAGCAGAAGCTGCTTCACCGCCGGGGCGGACAATTCGCCTGTCCGAGGTTCGGGAGCATGGGGCGAAGGCTGAGCGTCGATGGGTCGTCAAAGGGACCAGTGTATACGATATCACCGACTGGATCCCCAACCATCCAGGAGGGGAGGTTATTCTCCGCGCTGTTGGTGGGGTTATTGACCAGTACTGGGACATCTTTTCTATACACAAAAAGCAGGATGTGTATGATGTTCTGGAACAGTATTACATCGGCGAGTTGGACCATCAGGATCTCGTGGATGGCAAAGTACCCGTTGATGATATTGAAGATCCCTTCGTGACTGATCCGACCAGAGATCCTTCTCTGATCGTCCATACCGAGAGGCCGTGTAATGCCGAAGCAGCCTTGGAGAGCCTGAAGACTTACATCACCCCCAACAAAGCATTCTATGTGAGAAACCACCTGTGGGTTCCAGCAGTAGACGAGGAAACATTCACTCTGAAGATTGAGCTTCCTGACGGCGAGGAAAAAACATACACCATGCAAGATTTGAGGGCCAAGTTTAAGCCTGTCCAGATCACTGCTACGCTACAATGTTCAGGCAATCGCCGCAGGCACATGAGCGAGGAGGCACGCTATGCTCAAGGCCTGCAATGGGACATCGGCGGCTTGTCTAATGCAACATGGACTGGAGTTCGCTTGCGAGAGGTTCTTGCGCATGCTGGTTTCACAGACGATGATGTCGAAGAAAGCGAGACGAAGCACGTCCAATTTTACGGCGCAGAAGCATACGGAGCTTCAATTCCAGTCGAGAAAGCATTGGACCGGTACGGAGATGTGCTTTTAGTGCATACCATGAATGGGGAGCCTTTACCTCGAGACCACGGGCATCCTCTCAGAGTGCTAGTCCCCGGCCACGTTGCGGCGAGGAGCGTCAAATGGCTGAGCAAAATCGTGCTATCGGAGATCGAATGCCAATCGCAGTGGCAACAGCGCGACTACAAATGTTTTGGTCCGAACCAGGGTGGCAGCGATGTGGACTGGGACAGTGCCCCAGCCATCCAAGAGGTTCCGGTTCAGAGCGCCATCGTCACTTTACGTGATGTATCTGCAGACAATAAGCTTCTGCAAGTGTATGGCCTCGAGGAAGACTCGGTTCAAGTCGAGGGTTATGCCTTATCTGGCGGAGGCCGAAGAATTGTACGAGTAGATGTGAGTGCTGACGACGGACGATCTTGGAATCAAGCGGACCTGCTTCCCGACGAAGCTGAGGGCACCAAATCTTGGGCGTGGACGCGCTGGCGATATATTGTGCCCAAACGTCTGGCGGGGAGACAATTCGTCGTCAAGGCTGTTGACGATTCAAACAATGTGCAGCCGGAGTCCTACGAAGCTCATTACAACTTTCGAGGCAACCTGACCAATGGCTGGCATCGTGTGCCATACAAGAGGAGGAGTCAGGGCAAGCAATAGCGTTGATACGGGCGAGTCAGTGTAATCATCGTAGTATGAGTGGTTCTTAGATCTCACAAGCATCTCTACTCACGGTATCAATAAGTGAGGAAAGTCTAGGCTAAAATTGCCAAGGTTTGCGGGAAGCGCGTTCACGGTGCCTGCGGACCTGCAGGCATTCATTGAGCTTCGTAATGAACCACACCACACACCAACAGTCGATTCAAAGTTGTTAGACTCCTCTTCTCATCGCAAGGCTTGTCTTCAAGGCGTATTTCACAGCCCATCAAGATCAGCGAAACCGGGTTACTTCCTCTCCGACTCCGTGGCTCTCAAGCCTGCTCTCCGTAACAATGCCCGGCTTCGACTTCACCAACTACAACCGCAATACGGCTCTCCATGCCCGTGGTGTTCCTCTCCCTAAAGCCACATCTACTGGTACTACCATCGTAGGCTGCATATACGATGGCGGCGTGGTGGTATGTTTGCTCCCCTACGCTACACTTTCAGCACTGACATTCGTCCCTCTCAGATAGCAGCCGATACGCGCGCCACCTCCGGTCCCATCGTCGCCGACAAAAACTGCGAAAAGTTGCACTATATCTCCCCCTCCATCTGGTGCGCGGGCGCCGGTACCGCCGCTGACACCGAGTTCACTACCGCCATCACCTCTTCGAACCTCGAGCTACATTCCCTCTCTACTGGCCGCGCCCCTCGCGTCGTGACCGTCATGACATTGCTGAAGCAGCACCTGTTCCGATATCAAGGCCATATTGGTGCATATCTGGTTGTCGCTGGAGTGGATCCTACAGGAGCACATCTCTTTACGGTACACGCGCACGGTTCTACCGACAAGCTACCATATGTAACCATGGGCTCCGGCTCATTGGCCGCCATGTCCGTATTTGAGTCCACGTGGAAACCCAGACTTACCCGTGACGAGGCTGTCAAGTTGTGCGCCCAGGCGATTGAAGCTGGTATCTGGAACGATCTGGGTTCTGGCTCGAACGTTGATGTTTGCGTGATTGAGAAGGACAAGCCGACGCAGCTGCTGCGGAACTATATCACTCCCAATCAGCGCGCACAAAAGGAGCGGGACTACAAGTTCAAGGTCGGCACCACAGCTTGGCTGAAGGAGAAGGTTATCACAAAGGAAGATCTTGGCCGGTATGTCACAGTGCATGAGCTGCGCAGTGGGAGCACCAGTGACAGCGACAGTGTGGTAGTCGTCGAAAAGATGGACGTTGACGAGTCGTAATCGGTGCCGAGCATCGAGGCGAAATGGGGAAATCGAATTGTATGTCTACCCAGTGGCCAAACTGGCGCTCCAGAGCTGGAACGGCGAACAAAATCGCTCCGCATAGCGCAATTCCACACGATTCGTCCACCGCTCCAACTCGTTCGTCAGATATGAACCACCTTAGTGGGAAGCATGGATGAGAAAGGGTAAAGGAAATGCATACGGTCCTAGGCGCACTGGCGCACCAGATTCATGGAAGGCTAGTCGGTAGAAAACATCCAAATGTTCTCATCATTTCTCTCAACGTGTAGATGATTGCGTTTATGTGCGTGAATCTGCATTGATACGGACGCTTTGCCGCGTCGCCATCTGCCCTTCGGTCATCCGCCACGATTGACGTTGCCCAGTTGTGCATAAATACGCTGATCTAGCGCAATACAACGAGGCAACTCATGCAGGAAGACTAGTTGACCCTCAGAAGCTGTACGAGCTCAGCAGTTTGGAAGAGCTCGTAGCATATTCATACTTATTTTCTACTCTAAAGTCATGCCTCTCGGCGCGCCTCTACTTCACAACTCTGGGCCTCGCCACATCAGATGCTACATCGAGGGCTGGGCTGTACATATCTCGTGCACATGTGGAGGTTCTGGCACTTCACATTCAAGAAGCAGACGACAACTGCGCAAGCTCACCGTTCTTCACTCGTTTGGCCTCCTTCCGTGCAAACACCCGCTCCATCATCTCCGCAATACGCGCACTGATGACCTGCGCTCGGTCGGCAGCCTCGACCTCCTTCGGATCCGTAACATTGAGGAGAGCCATGCCCTCGTTGAATCTGACAAGCATGTCAGGCTGGAAATCTGGGATACCGCGAGCAAGCTGCTGGAGTGCAACAGATCTCCACTGGCGAAAGCTGATGCTGCGCATGAGCTGTTGCGCGACTTCCTCTCCCTCGACCTTTCGCACCTTATCAAGAATCCAGAAGAGCTGGATGTCGCCAGGCCCTGTCCAGTCGTAGCGTGTGACGCCAGCGTGCCACAACGCTCGAGTCATGGGCGGTTGGATCGGGGCGCCGTAACGCATCAGGTAACGGTAGCACCAGTAGACTTGCCTGAGCGACTGGCGGGGGCTGATGGCTGGAGATGTGGCAAAGGATATTGCCAGCTGATGTACGACGTCCAACACCTGCTCCGGATCTAGGAACGGTTCTGGCTTATTCAAGTGTTGGGTCACATCCGTGACAGTGCTCATTGCTATGCCCATATCCCGGCGTTGCTGCCAATCGAGTCTCTGTGGCCAGGCATGGCTTAGTGCTGTCTTGAAGGCGATACTGCTCTGTAAAATGGGCCTAACAACGCGAAAACTGTCCGCATCTTGCGCTACCAGATGCCGAAGCAATCGTTTGAAACCGTCCATATCATAGGTGACCTTTTCGACTTCTTCGGCAAGGCATTTCTGAGAAAGGTAATGAGGGTGGTTATGGATCGCGCGATCAACAAGCCGCGCCAGATCTGCTTTCAGAAGCGTCGCTGGACCAAGGTCTGGCTGAGTATGATTTTCTTGCTGGCTTCTGCTCGAAGCCATCTCCCTGTCTTTGAACAGACGTGAAAGACTAGCAAGAAAACTCTCCTTGTCCGGTAATGGGAGGGACTGCACGTTCAACACGATTTGACAATGCAAGTCCGAGAGAGTTCCTGTCCATCGGTTATCGAAGATTCGGCTGACGACAGGATGCAAATCGAAATGTTTCAGTTGCTCATGGCATTCCTCCTCCCCTAGTAATTGCCGAAGATTCCACAAAAGGAGTATTTCAAGCTGAGGTCGACCCAGTGACGTGTCGCCACTAGATCCGCGCATTATAGAGAGGTCGGAGGTAGAAATGGTGAAGCGTTTACGGTCACTACCATTTAGGGACCGCAAAATGCTTTTCCAGGTGGTGAAGAGCGACGCGTCGTGTGAACCCTGGACGATGCCAAAGCTCAAAATCTCGCTTACCCTCGTTATCGACATGAGCATCACAGTACGAGGGAGCTCCAACAGAAACGTGGCAATAGCTTCGGGGTCGCGCTCCGCGGAGTAGTGGGTCAAACACCTGACCAGTGCGTCGGCGACCGATGGGGATCCGTGTGGTCGACGCGCACGGCGCAACCGCCAGATGACTCGAACAGTGGTGAGGGTGTCTTCGGCTTGCATTACGGTTTTCGAGAGACGCTTGAACCACATATGATCAATGTCTTTGAAGGAAAGCACATGGCTTTGTTCGAAGCTGTCCAGGAGTGCCATGATAGAGTTGGATGCCGAGCCGAGCGTTCGGTGTAAGAACGGATGATGCTGACCCTGGCGGTATAACGAGAGCTCGATTGATACGACCGCATCTACCACTTTTGCCCATTCGATTGCTGATAACAGCCCGAGTTTCACGGCTCTGCACATACCGTTGAGGACCAGGTCCCAGTCTGGCGACAGCTTGTGAAGCTCAAAATGGGAATCCTGGTATTCGCGTGCAAGCCTTTGAACGAATTTGACGTGATTCTGACACCCTGAAGGATGGAGACCGGGTTCGGCAAAGTATTCCATGAGCGTGGTCGCTGGCCATTGTCTGCTCACAACATGTCTATAGATTTGCTCGGTTTGCTCCGGTGCGTAACGTAGATTGAGGCCATGACTCCTTATGACGGACCTCAGGTCGGCCACAGACTCACAGCAGGCGAGGTCACTCTCGAAATCTGGCGCTTCTGGTACAGTTTCCAAAGAGATCGTCTCTCCATAGTCTGAGGGCTCTGTGAGCCATGAAGGCAGTATGCGAGTGGTGTTGATTGCACTGTCGACAGGTGTAGACTCGACAGGTGTAGCTTTCCACCAACCCGACTCTGACTTCTTTGCGAACAATAAGGTCGAGTCTATAGGAGGGGAGGGTCCAATGTGGGCAAGACTGGTGTTCTTCCTCTTCGCTGCCCGTTTGCGCGCCTCCAGAGGACCTGGTACATGACTGCCATGTCGTACGGAAAGGCTGGCGAAGCGCCTGAAGGTGTCTGCCAGTACATCATCGGTAATCCACAATGCCTCGGGGGTATGTCGTTGAGTAATGCAGCGTGCTGCACGGAGACGTCTGGTCATGACATTGGGCCGCTATAAGTTGTAAGAAGAGGCTGCAATAAGCGACTGCTCGCTTCGTGGGTTGGGTCCTTGTAGTTGCAGTTGAGCTGCGGCGGGCGAGCGCTCGTATGTGCTTCTTAAGGTGCGGTCGCGAGAAAGATGATTTGAGTCACGGCTGTGCTCAAAGCTTTGGCTGCCTGAGTCGTGCCAGAAGGCACTGAGCTTTCAGAGCCCGGATCTAACTGATATTATCTCCGGAGGCGCGGGGGACTTCTAGAAGCATCGTCTTTTGGAAAGAAATAACGTGGACGAGGTAGCACGCGCCCTCTCAGAATCGTCGCCGATCGTACCTCCGTTGCTACCACTGCGTATTATTCTAGTCCATTCGCAACTGGACAAGCTATCCATTTCAAGACTCAGAAGCAGCATTCCTCGCCGCTGTACACGATGCCTGTGGACTACTCCAAGTGGGATGCTCTGGAGTTGTCGGACGACTCTGACATCGAAGTCCACCCCAACGTAGATAAGCGGTCGTTCATTCGGGCTAAGCAAAATCAAATACACCAGCAGCGATATGAGCGGAAGCAAGAGATCGAGACTCTCAAGTACGAGCGAATAATTAACGATGGCCTTCTCGAGCGCATCAACGGCCTGCTGGACGCACTGAAGAAGCACGAATCTGATACGACGAAGACGGATCCGGATCAACTGGTCTTTCAAGCCCTGATAGAAAGTGCCGGAGATCCTGCCAAAGATGATCCACCGAAACCGCCACCAGGTGTTCATGCCCACCAGAAAGAGCCCCAGCCGAAATACTCTAAGATGATGGGCAGTCTGGTTGATCAAGTCAAGAAGGAGGTGGACGAGAAGAAATCTCCAGAGCGGTACAAGGACTATGTCGATGGCGTGTATGGCCACTTGACAAAGGTGCAGAATCTGCAGCAGCAGTTGCTCAGAAAGCTGGCCGAACTGGAGAAGGAAGAGAAGGCCAAGATCACGAGCGAGTCGATTCATGACGGATTCAACAGCTCGCACGTTTCAAAAAACAGTCCCTCAACTTCCACATCAAGTCAGTCCAAACCGAAGACCAGTAAAACCACAACCGAGCTGCTCAACAAGCCTTCCTCTGCCGCTGCCTCAGGGCTGAGCACTTCACACCGCGACGCGATTCAGAGGGAAGACAGCGCTATCTCGTCGGGCGCGGAAGCTGACGTTGAAGACGACAGTCTTATTGGAGAGCACGAAGGAGGGGATGATGAGGAAGATCCAGCCTCAATCAAGCTCACCCCAGAAGGGAAACAGTTCGCCAAAATCAAGCTGAACGACTACCGCACACTTTTACAATTCATATCACAGCACCCGGACGTTGTTGCCGAGTCGACACAAGATGCTCTCTTGGTGGAAGCCTTTAATGCCCAGATGAAAGGAAAAGACACGTACGCCCGAACCTGCGTGCACCACGGCTTGCTACTGCAGTATTGCCGACAGCTTGGCAAAGATGGCGTGGCGCTGTTCTTCAAGCGCATCACAACCAAAGGCCATCAAGCCCAAGACGTCTTCAACAAGGACGTTGCCGAGACGTACGCACGCATAAAATCGCGCGCCGCCGAGCTGGTCAAGGAAGAAGCCGTAGGCGATAACGGAGAGGGTGTCGAGCAGATCCAGCTGCACGCTGTGGAGCCCGGCACCGAGATTCACATCAACATCCCACAACCCAACAGCGAAGAGGAGGTCGAGATCGAGGCGCGCAAAATCTTCGAGTCTTTCCCGCCGGGCCTGCAGCGAGCCCTGGAGTCCGGCAGCCTCGACAAGGTCAACGAGGTGCTGGGCAAGATGAGCGTGGAGGAGGGCGAGGACGTGGTCGAAAAACTCAGCAACGGCGGCATGCTCAGCCTTCAGGAGGGCGTCATCGACGCAACGAATGAGGAGGGCCAAGCCAAGCTGAAACAACTAGAAGAAGAGGAGCGGAGAAGGAAGGCGCAGGGTGAAGGTGAGCCGGGCGAGGCCATTGTGGTGGAGGAGGTTGACAAACCCAAAGGCAAGGAGCCGGAAGCTGTGCGAAATATTGTGGACGAAGTTGATTGAAGATTGTGCCGGATCGGCGAATGATACCCATGGGCGCGAATGACCGCGGTCACAGCAACAGCGTTGCTGATATCGAGGCGGAGGGAAGCATGCAACTGGCAGAATGATGTGCAGACCTTAGAAATGCGGGAAAGCACTTGCTGTTAAAGCATACATCTAGCAATGCGCCCTTGTTGAAAAGCTACCGACAAGGAGGTAAACTTAGAACCTATCGTGGTGTGGATGTGGCGGGACTGTCATGCACAACAGACATTGCGGGTACGAATAATAGCCTTCCAACCCCCTCTGTTACTGTCCCGTCAATGCAGAAGCTGACCCTACGTTCTTGGTGTTCTCACTCTTCGCTGCAACTTGTTCCTTCGACTAGGCGTGGCTGGATTGCTAGAACTTGTCGACTGACGCTTCTCGTGCCGAGTTTCCGTTGCAGATTGCGATTCGGGAGGACTAGTTCTTCGCCGTGGAATGCGTGACTGTGATCGTGCTTGTCTTACAACCTCTGTAGGGCACCCTTCAAGAACAGATGGAGCCCTCCGAGGGCTAACACTCAGCTCATCGTCCTCCGCTAGTCTGGATGACTCCTGAACCATAGACGCAACGTCGAGGGTTGAGAGGCTTGTGGGCAAGGTGAGTGTCGGAGAAACCGTCATAGCTCGAGCCGAGACTTTCCTGTTAGCCATGTCCGGCCCAATTGCTAAAGAGGTCCTTGTCTCGGCTTCTGCTTCCTGTTCATTCCCTGCTCTGTGTACGCCCAGTGGAGTGAACATGCGCTCCGGTGTTGTCTGAATACTGGAGTTTCGGTATCGACCGTGCTCTTCGCCTCTCTGATGATTCACCGGGGTGCTGACCGTAGACTGGCGGCGGTCTTCTGTCGAAGCCGGTTCCGGATGCTTGAGAAAGCCAGCAAGTAGATCATCAAGCGTTTTGTTGTCATCTAACAGGGCTGCATGGTACACTTGAGACGCCGTGGCATTATGCGTGGGCTCACTGGTGATCGTGCTGATTGACCCTATACCTGTGCTTTCGTAATACCTGCCTTCAGCTGAGCTTCGTCTCGATCTAAGCAGATCAGGATTCTCATCGAGCAGACGCCCCAGCTCGTAGAGAGCCACGACGATGCGGCCAAACTTCAATATGGTGTCCCAGGTCTTGCGAAGCCTTGCTGCCCATCTTACTACAGTTTCGCTCTCTTTAATCGGTTGTGGGATATGTCTCGCCAGGAACTGAGCCGATCGCATCATGTAGGTCCGCAGATCTGGCATATGTACATTGGTGTCAGGAGTTGAAAGGTGGCAGCATACATATGCCAATGGTAGCATAAGAAAACGCATCCAAAGCAAAAGAGCCAAAGCCAGGTGTTGTGCCATCTTCCGCAGAGTATGGATCATCTCCCAAGCCAGGCTCATACCAGGATACACGGCGCCCGGGATCGGGGCTGTCAGGCTGTGGTCCTCCATGCTGCTGGGTTTTCACGAGTGTTGCCAGAGTTTCGACGGTGGTATAGGGTTTGAGGTCTTAAGATGCAATGCATCAGTAGGAATGGTTCCGTGGAGCGATGAATAGTCCGAGTGAGTTTGAGACCTACTAAGCCCAGGACTCAAGACCAGGTGTCAGGTCACTCTCAATAATTGAGCGAAACAAGAAAAGGAAGAGCACATGGCAGACACGGAAGGAGCGTGGCCATGTCAATGGACAAAGGCTTGCACTGGCTCTCACACGGTAAGCACGATGAGCCCTGTATGCTTCCCATGGCAAGACCGCGGCTTGAGCAGAACGTTGAAATCGGCATGCAACACGTTCCAGTCAGCACCTCACCTCTGCAACACCAACTTCTCGCGTGATTGGAGACCGTCAATTGAAGGGCAGTGATGCTCGATCGTGGGCAGGTCAAATCAACCCCTTCATAGAACGCTGTTGACCGTCCTTTCAGGGCTTCGATGTCGACTACAGAACACGGAATTGTGGTAGTTCTGCACACACCTCTGCAGCTAATTGTGCGTAGCGTCAGACGATAATCTAAGCAGCGATGAGGAAGCCTCGATGGGGCCTGCAACTAGAAGACTTGGCCCAGTACGGCCAGATGCAGCAGTGCTGCTAATGTCGCAAAAAAGCCATTGATACGGCTGCTGGAGTCCGGAGTGGTATCAGAATAGATATGCATACGATGGGCCGGCTTCGGAGGTCACCAGTTCGTCATCAAACCTGTTGTGACCAGGATCATTTGCATTCTTGCCCATCTCGGCGGCATTTGACTCAAGAGTCTGTTTGCCGCGTCCGAGTACCGACGAGACAATAGAACGAATCCCGGCGAACGCGGTGAATTCATGGGTCCTCTGCGTGGAAATCGGTTCCTCGGGATACTTTGACGCCTAATGCGCGATTGGTCGTTTTTCAGCACCAGGTCAAAGTGAGGCGATTGGCTCCGATCATGAGATATCACAGTATGTGTAACATGACCAAAACAGGATTGGCCTTCGCAGTACTTGGTATCGGTCTTAGACCGCTACTATAGAGTTTCTTCCGAAGCGGTGTGTGACCTACGTCTATATTAGCTGTTCCGCCCTCCTGTGAGTGTGCCGGACCCAGGTAAGAGGCATTATCAACCCTGGATGAACAATGCCAATGGCAACTCATCAACAGCGCCACGCGCTATCATGCCGATCGAGGCAGCTCTCAAGTAGCTCTGGTACATTACCAGGACTAGCTGTGGGAGGGTGAGACTATCTCGTCGAGCGCCAGGCGAGGGTTGATAGAGTGTCATTGCCAATGGTGGCTAACGGTGGATGCCGTATAGTTGTGGCACGCTTGCAGCACCAGACATCGGCGGAACAGCTCACAACTGGTACAGCAATGGTTCATCGGCCAGGGGCAAGACTCGTCTGCGCAGGAACCGCCTCGTCTTGGGCAGCAACGCGCGAACCGCCGCGAGGTAAGATCCCGTGACATCGAAAAAGCTGCTACAATCCCGCAGCCGCAGTCAAGATCACAGACAAAGGTGCTGCATGATGTCAGGTCCTCATAGCCATGGTTGGGGGTTGGAAGTTTGCTTCGTTGTGGCAGCCGACAAGCTTGAGGATCGGGCGAGGCGTCAGTCGTGCGCGTGAGGCGGAAACCATCAAATCCATCATTCTCATCGAGCAAGTCCCTGGCGCCGTTGGGCATGCAAAGTATCTTCAGTCTGCTTCAGTCTGGTGCCAGGACTGCATTGGTCTGCGGCTTAGCTGCCTAGATGTTACGAGAGGTGATTGCAACGATGAGGGCGACTTGCTTGATTGGGAATGGCGGAGTTGAGATTGCCCAGCTGCTGTCGAGATGTTCCGGAGCTGCCACCAACCTCACCCCTTGCATACCTCCCAGTCCAACTGGGGCTACCAATGAACATCCTGCCACTTTGGTCAGCAACCGCGAGAAGGTCTTGGATCATGGAGAGGGCGGGTTCGAGGTGTCCAGGTGCCTCATTCGATTGTCTCATGGTTTCTTGCAGGCGGGCCTCATCTTTCACTCCAGTCGCAGCTTCGTAGACGAAGGGACCGCACGTCGAGCTGTCCTATCAACTGGAACTGATTGGTATGGCAGGAGAGCCACCGGCTCAAGCCCTTAGCAACGCCCGACCGTTTGATGCGGTGCCCAACACAACGTTGGCGCACTGCCCCAGTACCTCTCCAACGCCTACGCTTACTCGTTAACACCGTTTGAGCACGGGGAAAATGGCGGCCAGCCAAACATCGCAGGCTGTCGGACAACTCGTTCGGTTCTTTGCTGCCTGGAATGCGAGAGACTGTGAGGTCCACAGGTTGTTTACTACTGGTTGGTGAGCAGCATGCGGCCTACGATGCCACATGGTGGCCGCCATTATGCCGTCGCCTCGTACAATCGCACCACAAACACTAGATGACTTGAAATGCTTAAAAGATTGCTATAAGTCCGCCGTTCTGAGCAGCTCTCAACTACTTGTACACCGAATCCAGTCAGCACTCGGTTTTCATTACTACTCTTATTGCTCCTTGCTCAACAGTCCAGATAAGCAACGTTATGGGTAAGAGCAGCCAACCGAAGACTTCATCACCCAGACACTCAATGGTAGATGAGCTACGTGCTGCCGCGAAGCGCGACCAAGTGGCTCATCAAGGTACTGTGGATGGCCGCTCTTGTGCTAACTTCGGGGTTCTGATCGAGCATAGACTCGCTTTTTAGTCCACAACGTGACCAAAACAAGGGACAGCCTAGCGGGAAGAAGCATTCTGAGAAGGCACACCAAAGGGCTCCATCGGATTCATCGTCTTCGAACTTTTCACTACCATTTTCTCAGAAGGTTCATGCAAGCTCTAGAGCCGGTATACCCGCTAAAGCCAACAGTAAGCCAGCCGGAATGGATCGTGACAATGCACTCACGGTATGCGCAGATTCAATGGAACAGAAGGCGACGAAACCTAAGCGGCCATATGATAAGTGTCATGATCAAGACCTGGCGGGTATGGGCTCGCAGTTCAACAGGCGTTGATCTCAAGATCTCAGGTTCATAAGCCCGCCTCTCGGGGAGTTGTAGGCCTCTTGGTGCATCGGAGCTACTCTCCGCAGAGGGTGACCGCAAGGCTGAGATATAAAGGAGGCAGCTCACGCTGATTTTATTCTTTGATTGGCTTCGGTATTTGAAATATGGCCACCGCACCAATTCTACCCTTTTGGGCAGGAATATAGTTGATATGTCCTTTTGTAACGCCCTTCCTTCTTGCACCATCTACACCCGGATGATCTCGCAAGTGCTCCCCATGCTCAGCCAGCAAGTCGGTCACGAGACGCGCGTAAACGCTGCTGACGAGATCTCCAACCATTCGAGGGGTTGCCTGCTCTTCCAATCGCAGCTGACCATCCTTCATACATCGAACAAGCGCGACCCGCATCTTCGGAGACATGATAATTGGACAAGCTCAATGTCCCATCGGCACAAGAACTTGATACCCACGTCACTGGATCTCTATCTGCCGCCAGGCCGAGGTGTCAAGGAGTATTCAACACTTGATTTTGGCATACTTTTCGTCTCCTGTGTAACCTGAGGGCCCGAGCGTGGGGTGGTATCATGCACAAGAGCGAATCCGATGGTTCAGCTGACCAAAAGTCTACAGGAGAACAGCATGAGGACAATGGCCTGTGATTGTCATCTTGTCATTCACACAGCCAGCTGTTGGTGCCAGCACATCCTGAAGATGTTGATCCTCCGGATCACTTTGAGTCACGGCAAGCGAGCTGACCTTCGGCTGTTCACGGCTATACTCACCACTGGAGAGCCTTGGAAACATGATCCCGTTCGTACCAACGGGACTCATCCTTATGTTCTTGGCATTCTGCTCACCGAGGCCTGCTACATCAGCACCGTAGCCCACCTTGTAGGACCGAGTCACAAGACGGGACGGGCCATACTTATCGAGAATGGGATCGCTAGTAGTCCAGAAAGAGCTATGTCGCCGGCTCATGCCGTTCACAGAAGGTCCAAATTTGTCCTCTTGTCTACAAAATTTCGCAATCAAGGCCGGGAGGTACAGCATCCCCTCTGAGCTGCCCGATCATCGCACAGACCTTACCGCCAACACAAGAGCAGAGCATCCATCTATTGGCCATGCCTGGGATCTTGAACCAGGATTTCACAATTGTAGTGGCAATCACGGCCTATTGTACGCGAACATGTTGTGCGGTGCTGACGATTTAGCGTCGACAGACTCGTCCAGGACATTGGTGATGCTGGTCTGTCCAGCGCGGAAGAATGGTATAAATACCTGGTCCAGTTCGAAATTCTTGACATTGTCAGTACATTGATCCTCCACCATCGGGCGAACGATTCAGATAGTATTTACATATACCAATTCGCACAATCTCTATCACCAGCCTCAGCATGAACTCGCAAGTGCCCAAAGGAGCTGGTCACCGCAAGAAGGATTCAGGAACATGGTCAACCCAGTGCAACACAGATCAGCACAACGAACAATCGTCCAAGAAAAAAGCCAAAAAGCAACCTACCAACAACCAAAGTAACTCGACGGCAGAACTGTCAGGCGTTGGCAGCTGGAGCAGCAGCAGCAGCAGCACCAATACCACTGGTGGCGGGAGGAAATGACACTCTCAACATACGAGTCCCTCGGCCCAACGCAACAATCACTCTGGACCGTTCGTTCGCAGCATGCGGCCACGTTGACCACTCTGGATGGGCCAAGACGGACGTGGCACAACGGAACTCAATGCAACGAGGCATAGGAAGATATTGGTCTTGGACATGGCAGATCGCAAATCTCGCAATCTTTGTTTCCAGCATTATGTATTGCATGTTTTCGTGCAGGACGGTCGCTCCCATAAGATCAGCGTTTACAATAGATGTGAAGAAATGCTATTTCAACACCTTCCGTTCATCCATCCATAAGACACTTGTATGTTGCCGACGGAACCATCAACTGCGACAGCTACGGTAGGAAACTGTCAATGGAAGTTGGGCCGGGGCGTGCCGTGATACAGCAACCTGCAAAAAACAGGTCTCCACTCCCTCAGGTACCCCATACTCTCGGACCCGGGCTGGTGGGCTTTTTGAAACCCTGGATAATTCAGCCTTGCCAGCCTTGCCCACGTGGCGTCATCAACGTCCTCACTTCTTCCCAACTTGAAGTGAATTTGTTCGATCCTCAATTGCTCCGGCAAGTTCGATACCGCTTCCTACGAGAATTAAGATCGCTAGCTGCTACAAAGTGGTGTTGTTCTCGCCCGGCCTTTCCACAATGCATCGCCACTCGCATTCACATTCTCACTCCCATACGCACGGCGGCGCAGACCACGATGCTTCCCTTTATCCTGCCCAGGAGGAATATAACCTCCTCGGGGCTCTTATATTCTTTGCTTATATCCTTGCTGCGCTCGTACTCACTTCGATCATTGGCTTTGACCTCCTGAAGCTCCCTCGCAAAGGCACCAATGCCAAGACTCCATCACCGGGCAGATACCACTCCATCAGGGTCACCTTCCTCGTTCTGACAGCGACCCTGTCCTTCGCAACGCTATCTTTCCAAATGCTATCTGTCCTAATCCAGTCTTACACCCGCTGGACAGTCACCCACGGCAGCGTCGACGCCAGCATGCTCTATACCGGCCTGTTTCCCGGCCCCACCAACCTCTACGACTACGCCCTCGCCCTCTCCCACTCCATCTGGCATTGGGCCACCACGTCCACGCTCTTCGGTGATTTTGCGACCGCCATCCTCGCCTCCCCGGCGCGCCGCATCTGGACACGTGCCGTTCTGTACTACTCCCTCTGCGTCAACATCTGGATGAGCGACGCCGGCCACCAGCACCGCATCCCACATCTATCGCTGTACTTCTTACTCGCACAGATCCTGCCTGTTTCTTTCACGCAGCAGCTCTTCCTCCTGGCGCTGGAGCTTACGCGTCGCAATGCCGTCCCAGGCCGGCAGCCAGACGTTCGTGCGCCTTCGCAGCGTCGGCCAGCGTACTTCTCCTATCTCGCTCTGTTGGTAGCATATCTTCTTGCCGTCGACACCGCCGCCGCCACGAACGGCAGGGACAGTCATCAGCTCCATTTCCCTGCCGTGCTGCCTATGGTCCTTTTCATCCGTCTGCTGCTCTTCACGCCGCTCTTCATTCCCACGCTTACGCACTGGATGGCCGCACAGCAACATCAGCGCTGGATGCCTGCGCCGGTGACCACGCTAGTCTTCTTCTTCGTGATTGGTTGGCAATCTAAAACCGCGAAGGATGTGCTGGGCTTGGGATGGCGCCACGTCCTGGAGGCAGTGCATGAAGACCCTGCGGTGCGCGCGCTCGGGTATGACCTTGTTTTGGCGATTGTGGGAGCTGCCGCTTGGTGGGTGCTCGAATCCTTAGAAAAGAGCCCCGTGCAAGATATGGTGAAGGAGGGGGTGCAGGGCAAGGCAGCTAAGAGCGAAGGGGAGGTCCTGCAAGGAAAAGTAGACGAAAAGCTGCGGACGGAGGCCGATGGATGCACACACCCTCCACCGGGGACTGGAGAGGGATTGCAAGGACAGCTCGATAACGTACTGAGGGCGCGGGGACAGGCATCTGGTATTAAGTGAGGAGGAGCCTGACCTTGCCTAGAATAGGCTATAATCGTCTTTTAAAGGTATATCGTGATATAAAAAACGACCCAACAGTCAGCAGTCATGAGAAACCTACTGGTTTGATCGAGGCATCACCAGACCTACGAAAAGTGCCCGTGTGCTCCTCCGACCCCGAGTCCATTCCTCATGGCCTATGACTCAAATTTCATTCGATCAGGGAAGAAGGGGGCATTGGGTATTGTTTCGTTTCCTGTTCTTTTATCGCAACATTCATGGGGGGTTTTTCTTTTCATAATCGCTCGTACGGGATTCGTGCAGTCATTTGGAATCGCGATTGGGGAGGTCCACGCCTGGGGGTCCTGGAGACATTTGCTCACACGAACGAGCATACCTTACGGTCAGTAGATAAAAGGAAATGTAGTCCACGTCTTTCGATCGATTGTTCATGGTTTTTTTTTTTGCAACGCGCAGGCGCGCGCGTGCTGTAAGATGCATCACGATTCAATGTAGGTGGAGCAAGTTCTGTTGTCGGATGGAACTTGCGAAGGGGATGACCCATGGGATAACAATCAAACTGGTTTCGCTGATTGCTCGCGGCCTGCTTGATCTCCTATCCAATGATCTGGTCTGGAGCATAACTTCCGGAGATTCCACAATGGGAACCCGTCTTCAAAGTTTTGTGATTCGTTGGGGAGCAGAAATAACAATCAACTCCGCGGACGCGCATCCTTGCTCCGCTGGGCAAGGACATGACCGAGTGCCATCACATGAAAGTACAAAGTTCGCTAAGATGTGATGGAAATGAATGATGGAGAACCGTGAGTCCATTCCCGGACCACGTGGAGCACCTTTGCTCTAAAGGGCTGACTGGCACGGCACAGTCTAAGCTTGTAGGAGTGGGAAATAGGCCCTGGTAGCAGATGGTCACGCGGGGTTCGAAAGATTCTGAAGGTCGCATTCGCAACCAGATTTCGGAGATGGCTTCTCCGGTTTGGAAAGCCACCCGCTTGGCGTCTCTGACATGTCTTTCTCGGACCTAATGAAGACTCGATTCGGCTGAGTCGTCAATAATGTCCAAGCAAAATGGCGCAACCGCTGCCATCTTTCGTGGGAGGAACCGACGCCACTCGATAAAAACAGCCCTGTATGACCCCTATCTAAGAAGATAAGTGTGCCAGGCTGGCTGACGGACAAACTTCGCTGAGCAAGCCCCGAAATGAGGTCAATACCGTCTCAAACTCCCATGTCAACGGCTATCGGCATTGATACTACGTCCTTGGTCTCTAACCCCGGCGCAGCTAGGTTAAGAGTTGATCGCATGACGCCTGGCTTGTTGAGACGTTGCCTTGCAGTATAGCTTTTCTGTGACAACGAAGCGTGAGATGCAGGAAGTTCGGGCATCGTGGAGTGGACCTGCAAATTGGCAATCTTCGTTTGTATATGGAGCCATCTCCAATCAGCATAACGGGAGCATGCGTGAACACCGTGCTTGATGTGAGGCCCTAGGAGTACAATAAATGTGAAGGGCGCACAATGATTGGGTTCGCTATGCCCATGTTGAAGGTATTGACCATTCACACGCCCGTCTGGCGTGCTCTGGCGTGTGTGCCCAAATAACCTGAGTCCGGCGGCTTCGACTACCTGCTTATGGACGGGTCTGGAGCATGAACACTAGTTGAGCCAGATGTGCTCTCGGACCCCGGGAGTGAATGCGATTGGTTTTGTGACTGCGTTGATTGAGCAGAGTCCAAACGGCTGAGAAGTTGCGAGGGGGACGGTAGATCGGAGCCTCCCTCGATGGTTATCGTGAAGTCAATGTCGCGATACGCCTGCTCCACTGCCATATTGGTGTAGACTTCATTCCGGACATATGCAGCCAGGGAAGATAGGTCGATGCCACTACGGATGAAGTCGACAAGGTCGTTGGTTGACCTTGAACCGCCGGCGCGTATTATTGAGATGATGCCTCCGAGCAGTGCTTGTTTGCGAGACAAGTCCATTTCAGCCAGAGCCAGCTCCTGGACATTGCGCTGGTTGGCGATCTTCCTCCTTTGATCGGCTGCGGCGTCGTAGATGCATTCGCTGTTACGGGTGGCGCAAGCATCACAGGGTTCGCCTCCAGTACACTGCCTATTTCTCAGTATTTGTCCCGGAAAGCAAATGACGGGAAGGGTTACCCTAGTTTTTCGCTGTTTGCACGCGCCACAGGCTGTGGAAATCTTGCGAGACTTTGCGAGTGCTGGTGAAGGCGGTCCTTGGTCGCCGCCACTTAGACTTGGGCGGGGTGCAATGGGAAAAGACATCTTGGAAGCATAAAGTATAAAGAACGATCGGCAGGACGAAGAGAGAAAAAAAGAAGACTGCACAGTACACTAAATCAGAACATCTGAACAGATGTCAGGCGAGAGCATGCCTGGCGTACTTTGGAAACGGTTCATCGCCGGATGGTAGATGGATAAATACATTGCGGCGAGGCGACGTAGCCGTCGGATGATATGACTGGTTGGATACGTTTTCCGCCAGTGAATAAAGTAAGTTTGGGATGTCGATCCGTAGGCGCATCCAGAGTGCTCGGACACTCTCAAAGATGGAGCGTAGCGGCTCCCCATGCGCGCCTCGAGTGGCTCATCTAGCATTAGAGAGTACTTAAGCTTCGAAGCCTGGACTATTTGCATCATGGGGAGGCAAAGCACCGGTGACGAAGACGTTTTCGGCTCTGGATAGCGGGCACGTGAGAACGAGAAGCATCAAAACGGGGCCCTTTTCCGGTTGAATGTCCACATTGGAGTTGCTGGTGCTAAGGGAGACGAATTAAGCGAGGATTGCGCTGTGAATTCCGTGCCTGAATGCAGAATACCTAGGTACCTTCCAAGTGACCCTTGTGGCTGAAAGAGCGCACGGTCGATGCTGCTATGGCTGGTCAAAATTGCTGATGAAGGTATTTGTGTAGACTGCAACAGCCGGTGTATCTTGAAACCTTTTTCCCATCCTCACAAGCGCTTAGATCGCGATTTCGATTCGGTTCTTTGATCCATCGGGAGCAGGGGGCCTACCTGGGGACGGTCGTGTCGTCGAATTAGGCGCCCCTCGGATGGCGCCACCCGACGGTATGAAGCAAACTGGAATGTTCGGCTATTCGCAGAAATGCACAAGTGGTGCTTTTGTCTCACTCTACCGCAGCCTTCCAGGTTGCCGCAGCCTTGCCTTGGCATTAGGAAAGTGGCTCTCAACTTGGATGACCCCGCAGCGTTTTTTTTTCGTCGAGAAGTAAAGATTTTGTTTATGGTACTTCGATCTTTCATCCAGTGTTGCACCTTGTCTCTTCCTTCCTTTGTTAGATCTTCTGCTGAGCGTCAGTTACCTCGCCATTGCTTGTTCAGCCTATCTTGATTGTTGGGCCCTTGTTTGGGTCAAGTGTTGAGCATAATAGATACGCGTCTCTTTCCAACGCGGGCGCCGCACATTCCATAATGGACCAGCAACGCTTTCTTCAGCAGCTGCAGATCGTTCTCGGTACGCCTGAGCAACGTCTTTGCGAGTACTTGTCCTAACCGATATTAGATCCCAAGAAAGGCGATGTCAAGGCCGCCACGCAGACTTTGCAAAACGAATTCTACAAGCAGCCTGAAGCCCTTCTCTTCCTTGTCCAGATCGTTGTCTCCCATGATAGCTCAGACTTGAAGCAGCTCGCCGCTACACAAGCGAGACCACTTGTGGCGAAACAATGGCCCAAACTTCCGACCGAGCAGAGACAACAAGCAAGATCACAACTCTTCCAAGCTACCCTCGATGAAGAGGCACCATTACCCCGCCATTCAGCGGCGAGGCTCATCAGCACCATTGCGAAGCTCGACCTGAATGATGGCGAATGGAACGAGCTCCCTGGCAAGCTGCATCAGGCTGCCACAAGCACCAAAGCTTCCGATCGTGCCGTGGGCGTCTACGTCCTCTATAGTATCTTAGAGATTATGGGCCAGGGCTTCTCCGACAAGTTCAAAGATTTGTTCAACCTATTCTCTAGTACCATCAAAGATCCCGAAAGCCTCGAGGTCCGTGTCAACACTGTACTGGCTGTCTCGAAAATGGCTATCGTTGTGGATGGCGAGGAAGACCAAGCTTCCGTCAAGGCTTTTCAAAGTCTTTTCCCGTCAATGGTCGCTGTCTTGAAGGACGCAATTTCCGACGGCAAGGAAGATCAGATCATGGTGGTCTTTGAGGTATTCAACACTTTGTTGACCGCCGAATACCAGCTTCTCGCCAAGCACTTCCAGGATCTCGTTGTCTTCATGAACGAGATTGCTTCCAACAAGCAGCTACCTGATGACACCCGAACACAAGCCATCAGCTTCTTAATGCAGTCTGTCATGTTCCGTCGCCTGCGTGTACAGGGCGCCAAGATGGGTGAGCCTCTCACTAAGAGTATGCTGGAGATCGTCGCCGAAATGGACGACATTTCTCTGGATGCAGACGATGTCACCCCTGCTCGTTCTGCCCTCAGCGTCATCGACACCATGGCTCAGAGTCTGCCCGCCAATCAGGTCATTGTGCCACTCCTGCAGGCACTACCGCAATTTTCCAAGAGCGAAGATGTCAATTATCGCCGCGCCGGCATTCTTGCGCTAGGCAATGCCGTTGAAGGAGCTCCTGACTTCATGAGCACGCAAATCTCTCAGATTCTGCCCATACTCTACACCCTTCTAGAAGATCCGGATGTCACCGTGCGGCAAGCTGCCTTACAGACTACTGCTCGCTTGGCCGATGATCTCCCAGAGGACGTTACGAAGGAGCACGAGAAGCTTGTGCCCCTTCTCGTCAAGAATTTGACCGCAGCCATGTCTGCGTACAAAGGCGAAGAAGAGGGCCCTACCGTCGACATCATGAAGTGTGGTACGGGCGCCATCGACTCCGTCGTTGATGGCATGGACGCTTCAGATGCTGTCCAATATCTTGACCAGGTCGCGCCCCTCCTTCAAAAGCTGTTCAAGCACCCCGACTTCAAGATCAAGGCATTGGCTGCGGCTGCTCTGGGCTCTCTTGCCTCCACTGTCGAGGAGCCTTTCTTGCCCTATTTGAGTGATTCAATGAACGCCATGCAGGAGTACATCACCAAGAAGGAAAGCGAGGAAGAGCTCGACCTCCGCGCTGCGTGCACGGACGCCATGGGCGAAATGGCTGTCGCCGTTGGTGCTGGCCAATTCAAGGATTTCGTCCGGCCACTCATGCAAACCAGTGATGAGGCTTTGAAGCTTGAGCATTCCCGGCTCAAAGAGAGCACTTACATTCTTTGGGGTTCCCTCGCAAAGGTATACGAGGAAGACTTCGCCCCTTTCCTTGGCGGTGTTGTCAAAGGTCTCTTCGAATGCGTCGATCAAGACGAAGGAGATCTCGAGGTCGAGCTTGGCCAAAATGCTCAAGATCTACTCGGCAAGGAGGTGACTATCGCTGGTCACAAGGTCAAGGTCGCAGCTGCTGACGATTCCGACGACGACGACGACGGCATCGAGGATCTCGATATTGGCGATGATGATGATGATAGCGATTGGGGTGACATGGCTACTGTCACGCCTATCGTTCTGGAAAAAGAAATCGCCATTGAGGTTATCGGTGACGTTGTCGGTAACACGAAGACTGCATACCTGCCATACTTCGAAAAGACAATCGAGAAGCTACTACCGCTGGTGGAGCACCACTACGAAAACATTCGCAAAGCCGCGCTTTGCACTCTCCATCGCGCCTACGCTGCCCTCTGGGAAATCACCGAAGAAGCTGGCCAGATGGAGAAGTGGCAACCCGGTCTACCATTGAAGGTCGAGCCAACTACCGAGCTCAAGAAACTTGGCGAGGTGCTGATGACCGCCACCCTCAACAGCTGGCCTGAGGAGGAAGATACGTGAGTTCTCCTTTTCCTTTCCCTTTCCTCTTTTCCATGATGACAAGCATCGCTATCCCAGCTCACTCCGACGCGATATAAACGTGTATGACGTGAAAGCGTACTTCAACCCTCTGAATTTCAATCAGCTTCAGCCTACGAGAAACATCATCTCTCTTGACGGCGTTGACTAACTGTATCTCTAGCCCTACGGTCTCCGAGACCTCCCGCATGCTGTCCGAGAATCTGAAGATGACTGGTCCGAACCTCCTTTCTTACCCCAATGTCCTCGACAAGGTCGTGAAGACCACCGTTGATTTGATCACCAAGAAGCACATCTGTCAGCAGGGCATGGACGATGAAGATCTCGACGACGAGGGCCTTGAGACCACCGAGCTCGATTGGCTAGTTGTCGACAATGCGATGGACGTTATCTCAGGGCTCGCTGCTGCTCTCGGCCCGAGCTTCTTGGAGCTCTGGAAAATTTTCGAGAAGCAAGTCTTCCGCTATGCCTCTGGAGGTGAGAACCTTGGTCGGGCTAGCGCTTGTGGAGTGCTCGCCGAGGTCATCACCAGCATGAAAGACGGAGTCACCCCTCTCACCAATTCACTGTTGCCCTTGCTCCTGAGGCGCCTCTCTGATGAGGATGCCCAGACCAAGTCCAACGCCGCATATGCCGTGGGCCGTCTTGTCGAGATGTCGAATGACGATGCTGCTATCGTCAAGGCATATCCGACCATCCTCCAGAAACTCGAGAACATGCTTGGCATCAGTGAGCGTCGGTGTATTGACAACGCCTCGGGTTGCGTGGCTCGCCTGATCATCAAGCACAAGGACAACGTTCCAGTCTCAGAAGTGCTTCCAGCTCTCGTCAACTCTGGCGCTCTACCTTTGAAGCAAGACTATCAAGAAAATGAGCCGGTGTGGAAGATGATTGTCGGTCTCTACCGCCAACAGGATCCTACCGTTCAGAGCCTTACACCAAAACTGGCTCCGATCATGATGAGCGTGCTCGAGGGTGATGAGCAGCTGACTGAGGAGGTGAAGAAGGAGGTCCAAGCCCTTGTAGACCACCTTCGGAGTCAATAAACGATGTCACGAAGATGATGCGATGCGATGATGCGGGGTGACATTGGCCCCTTGATGACGATGATACCCAAAAGTTCTCGACCAAGTTTCTCTGGAAAGATTTTCGATAGACTAGCTCGATAGAGAATTTCATTCTGATGTGCATCTTGTGTGCCTAATTTTGCCTCGGACAATTGATGGTGTAAACAACATCTTTAGTTGGCTTTTTTGTACTACGGACGACTGGCTTCACACTACAGATACGTGGCGGTGTCTCATTTCCGTTGTAGTCTGCCATTCTCAGTCATGCTTCAGCATTCACCGACAATTCAGTGGCAGGTCTAGCTCGCAACATCTGTTATGAGGGCTCTCTATTCAGCCGCAAGATGTTATGCTCCACCACCACCAAACAAGAGCTAGGCAACGACCGTCACGCTCTATCAGTCATGGCAACAAACGAACAGAACAACAAGTGACGCCTGACCAGTGACACCTAACCCAGTGACGTTAAGCGTCACTCTCCTTGTCACGCCAGCCGCCTGAAAAACTATATAGCCAAAGATCCCCAACTGCCAGAAAAGCGTGAAGAGGCATGGTCACTCGCCGAGATCGTGGGAGAGACAAGGTGTCAGTACCTCGAACGCCTTGATCATCTTGATGGCAAGGTTCTGAACCCGAGACATATGCTTCTGGCACATCTAGTGTAGATGCCGAGGCGAACGTTCAAGATCACGCTATTCGACGGCGTCCTCACACGCGATGCGCCAGGCAGTGATACTTCCTGCCAGCTCGGGGTGTGCTTCGACTGGGACAGCGAGAGAATCCTCCGGAAGATTTGGGCGATGCCAGCGGGCTACGAGAAGCACTTACGTAGCTAGTCTGGCGAGGGAGACCAGGTTCAGAGTTAGTTTAACGGGCCCCTCAGCTGTACGAATGCTTCATACTTGCATTCAGCACGAGTACAGAGAATGAAACTTCGTTCCAACAGTCTAGAGCTCCATATTCATAACCGTCGAGATACGGAAAACCTTGCAGCACGGCCCCGGGTTTCTTGGCACTGATAAGCCTCGGGGTAGCGGCTCCTTCGACAAGCTTGAACATTTGGCCTGCCCTTTAAGGTCTGGTCGTCAGTCCCGGGGGTCCACCTCTGAACTGTCTCCGAGCCACTGACGTCCCCGAGGTCCCTCATTCACGAACCCTCTTCGTCTCCGTGTTGAAGTTCTTATCGCGTAACTGTTGCAGGCAGTGAACCGCAGGCCGTCTTAGACGGCTTGGGGTCATCATGCAACCCTACTTCCATGTCCGCACTAGAGGCCGTCACCATGTGCTCCCACGACGCTGATCACCGCACACTGGTAGTCGCGTGGCTCTTTTAAACCCAACTCCCAATGACCGGTGGATTCCCGCTTTCTCTGCTTTCATCCATTCCGTTATCACCCCTGTTCTCGCTGTATAGCTGCAGACATCGACAGCTTTTCAGCAGGCAGTACTTGCGCGTGTCGCGAATCCACTGTCCTAAAGTTGCCAGAATCCAGCAAGTGGGTGGAGCTCGAAGCTCTGCAGCCCCTCATGGCGGACGAAAAGAAGATCGTCGACGTCGAGGACGACTCCCACCGCACCCCGTCGCCAGTCAACCCAGAGAAGCGGCAGTCGTTACCCAACGCCAGCAAGGCCTCGCAGCGCGTCCTCGCCCATTCTCACGATGCCGATGAGGCGATGAAGGCATTTGAGTCCGGCGAGATCATCGAGATTGATGAAGCTACTAATAAGCGGCTGTTACGGGCCATCGACTGGCACCTGCTTCCTCTGATGTGCTGTGTTTATGGTTTGAATTACCTAGATAAGACTACGTTGAGTTATGCTTCGATCATGGGCATCAAGAAGGATATCGGCTTGGTTGGAGATGATTATCAGTGGTTAGGGTAACGACCAGACTTTCCCATGGTTTCCGTCGCTGGTTGCTGACACTACCACAGATCTATGTTCTACTTCGGTTATCTGGGCTGGGAATATCCAACTAATCGCCTGCTGCAACGCCTGCCACTGGGCAAGTACAGCGCCTTCAATGTTGTCATGTGGGGGACCGTACTTGCACTACACGCCACTGTCTGGTCCTTTGGCTCCGCCGTCGCCGCTCGCTTCTTCCTCGGTGTCTTTGAAGCTGCCGTCACGCCTGGTTTTGCGCTCCTTACATCGCAATGGTACACCAAGCGTGAGCAAGGCGCTCGAACAGGCCTGTGGTTTTCCTTCAACGGCATGGGACAGATCTTTGGTGGTGTCGTGGCGTATGGAATCAACGTTGGCGCAGAAAAGACCGGGTCCGCCATTGCTCCCTGGAAGATCGTGTTTCTGGTCAATGGCCTGTTGACGGCCTGTTTGGGCGTTGTCTTTTTCTTCGTCATTCCGGACAACCAGTTGAACGCGCGGTGGCTGAAGCCAAAGGACCGGGTGTTGGCTATTGCAAGAGTAAGAGTGAATCAGCAGGGAATCGGCAACAAGCATTTCAAGTGGTATCAGCTCAAGGAGGCGTTGCTCGACCCTATGACTTGGGCATTCGTGTTCTACGCCCTTGTGGCTGATATTCCAAATGGTGGCATCTCGAATTTCTTCTCCCAACTGGTAAGTCCATTGGTGCTGTGCCGCAGCTGGGCTGACTTCTTGATAGATCGTCTCCTTCGGCTACACACCTTCGCAGTCGCTGCTGTACGGCACTCCCGGCGGCGCCGTGGAAGTGGTAGCACTCATTTTCTGCGGCTGGCTAGGCGACCGCATTGGTAACCGCATCCTCGTCAGCCTTATCGGCCTGACAGCCGCGTTGATCGGCGTAATCCTGATCGTCGCGCTCCCACTCAGCAACAATGGCGGTCGCCTAGCAGGCTACTACCTCACACAGGCATCCCCGACGCCGTTCGTGGCCATTCTCAGCCTCATCGCCACGAATGTCGCCGGTTATACCAAGAAGACCACGATCGCCGCCCTGTACCTGATCGGATACTGTGTCGGCAACATCATCGGACCGCAGACGTTCAGACCGAAGGACGCGCCGCGCTATGTACCGGCGGAGATCACCATTATCGCCTGCTGGGGTGTGTGCATGTTGGACATGCTCTTCATGTACTTCTGGTACCGAAGGATGAACGCGCAGAAGGCGAGGGTCAGAGCAGAGCCCGAGTACGTCAAGCTGGAGAATCAGGAGTGGTTGGATTTGACCGACAAGGAGAATCCTGAGTTCACCTACGCTCTGTAAACTCCCGTCGAGAAAGAGAGTCGATATGAAGTCGAGATTACAGACCAGGATCGTGCGTGTAGGAGGAGTGCTGCTGCATCTCTCAAGCCAGTCCTGCAGCGTTCCTGGATTGGTGCAGGCTCACCGCGTGGCGTTGTTGATGCATTTGGGGATCGTCACTGATTGATGCGGCAGGCATGGATACCAGATGCATACACAGGGTATTCTCAGATTATCGCGTGCCTTACTGTGAAACACTCTCAACGACTTGCCGCTGCGTGATAGCTCAGTTATTGACGTATGGCCTCGCTCATCCAACCGTGATTCTACAGGAAGGCTTCAAAAACACAGATGCCACGTACAAAAATACGTTGAACCGCCAGACCGAACCTCTTTGCTGCTCCTGTGTCGTGTCACAAAGTTCCAGACTACCATCACAAACAACACAACGACGTGTTACAACCAGCCTGCGTACAAGTGTCTGGCGTTCTATCCTGGGTCAGGAAGCTTTAGTTGCCCAGAGAGGACTGCTGTCCAGAAAGGGAACCGAATCGAGCACAAATCAAACTAATATGCCTCGTTCAGAAGGTGTCAATTTGCTTTAAGCAGCAAGTCTTGGCGGCCTTCCCACTGAGACCACTCCCTAGAAGCGTCAGACATCGCGGGGAAGGGGGAGAGAACACTCAAGAGACTGAAGCGATACCATGGGGCTTTAATCTGCGTCGTGGAGGGAGTGGAACTGTAATGACGAGAAACAGCTCAACACGATTCCGGGACGTTAGGATACTCTACAACTCTGTGTCTTCCACCCACACGTGTCTACCCATTTGGAAGTGAAGCCGAAGGCAAATCCGGAATGCATGTTTGCTGTATGATGCCGAATCACCCCAGTGAGGATCGGTGCCTCACGGGCAAGGAGAGCCACGCGGCTGAAACCACAATTTCCCGTTGCTGGACTGCTCTTTGGGCAAACACCTGAGTCCTTCGTGCTGGATCGCTTGAATGGTCCGACTTGCTAGTCTTGCCTCGGCGGGCAGACCGCATCACGAAAGATCAAAACCTGCTATGAGTATGGGAACCAACCGTGCCAGTGGTGGATTCTTGAACACATATTGCGTTTGGCGGGCATTGTGTAAGGAGGAGAGGGAGAGAGAGAATAGAGGGAGATCAGAGAAGCCTGGAGAGGTGCTGTGGTAGCACAAGATCGTTGGCGATCCGTCTTTGGCGATGCAGCTGACCGCCTGCGGTCACGCGCTCCAAATGTCCATCGGCATCAGATTGGACGTGCCACACGATATAACTGCAACGGCCGGAGTCCCTCGAATGTAATAGCTGAGGTCATGCTATGAGAGCCTTGTGAAGGCACGACTCTCGTTCCTGCTCCCCGCTACCCGTTGCTGCGTTGTCCCACGCATCGTCGTGTAACTCCAGGATCGGTTGCCCGGATGGAGCGTCTGCTGCCATAGTCTCCGCAACGCAGCACGCTCTCTCTCGCTTGACACCATTGTGAACCAAGATCTGCTGACCACGAGCGTGGGCAATACAGGATCACTGGGTGGGACCTGCCCATCCTCAGCTGCGATGTGTAGCTGGTAGTATGATGATTTTCGTGGGTGCTTCTCCCACCATGGAGTGTCTCGGGGTGTCCTCTAAATTCTTTCTCCCGAAGGATTGAATACACGGGGGTAACAGTTGCACCTTGACCCCTGCATTTCAAGACCCAGGCTCGTTTGCAAGTCAACCCGCATGTGCTTGGACCGGTATTCAGCGGACCACTACCACATCATCACCGGATTTCTCTCAGAGGGCGTGAAATGCTCCAGTTCCCAAGCTGACGCCGTGCGACTGGAGCTTGCATGCTGTCGCGTCAAGATCAAAAGATGCTCGGATTTGCCCAGTGTAAGACATATTCGCTATCCAGGGTCTGATCGAACATGGGCTGTCGTACCATCGGCAGCTCAGCTGAATTTTCTGTGTTCGTGGTGTCATTATCATGGCCTGCATGGTGTTGCTCACCGCGGGGGTGCGTCTTGGCGCAGTGTTCGACTTAGCCACAAACACACTTGTGAGAGATAATATTTCCAAAATCCCAACCGCCAGAGATATAGGGAAAATGGTGCTGGAACAGCTTCCAAATTCCTCCTACCCGTCGCACGGTTTCATCGAGCCAGCCACCTACATCGGAGAATCAGATTCACGCCTTGAGAAGCTTGTTGGGCACGGAAAGCTCAAGAACTTTGGTGAACATGTCAGTCCTTCGGGAACGGCCAACCAATATTCTCTTGTGCAGCAACAGCAAGCTCATAGTGGCGGATGCCATGCCATTCTAACATCCGAAGCCAGAGTACCAGTCCTCCGAGTAATATGTGGGTCTTCGGGCGACGGCTGGCTGCCTCTGCTCGACAGTCCATATTACGGACAGCAGCATGGCCCGAAGGCAAGCAAAAAGGCAGCTCGCTTCATTTGGCACTGCGTAGGGCCACGAATCCCAGTTCCAATATATCTCTGACATCATGTAGCATCGCTGTGGATACTCATCGGTGCCTGCTCCAGAGCCGACTTGTCCGGGCTGCGGTCATAATCGTTGCGCGAATTGTCGCGTCCAGAAGGTAGTGAAATGAGTTGCAGTAAAGATGCAGAAGTTGTTGGATACTGCCAAATCAGGGGAAGGACTTGAAAGCCATGATCTCTGCTTCCAGCGATCGAGGTGTGCCAAATTGCAAGTTACTAATGCCGGGAGGTTCGCGTGAGACCAATGCCCATGGAACGACTATACGAAATAGAACAAACAATCATGACTCATGAACACTCGGGACGGAGCATAGTAGAATGTTGTTTCTGTGCCGTGGCCTGAATGCAGGCCTGGAGTCGTTAGCAATGGTACTAGCTGATCTCGAGGTCAGCTTCAGACGAACGGTGAGCACCTAACAACAATAACGACAAACAACAGCTGCAACGGGGTGCTAGCAAGTAATGGCGGAGGGTAGCAATGGTGTCGAGGGCGTATAGAGTTGAAGACTGCATTAGTTCAGGCGTCGACAGGTACAGAAGGACGGTGAGGTAGAGGCCTAGGACCACAGAGGTCCGCAGGGGCCGTCGAATTACACAGCCATTCGGATTGAGCCCCAGGGTGCGGTTGCCCAGCTTCGGAGAAAGTTGACGCGAAGCAAGTGCGGGACGCGTCGATGCGGCTGTAAGTGCCTACAACTGGGGGACCGGAGTCGATAGCATGCTTCAGACCATCAAGAGCCAACGGAAGCTGACAAGAACGCAAGTAGACGATGGATCAAGGTTCGGGCGTTGACGAGGTTGATGAAAGACGATGGATGAAGTGGGAGACAGACGCCTTCGGGAGGGGGGGCGTGTAACAGCGCTTTAGTAGTACAAACACGTAAATAGTGGAGCAAGGTAAAATCCAGTGTTTTCCGACGAGCTAGCAATTAAGGTGGATATTTCCGGCAAAGACGTGCCCTTCGACTGTTACGTGACTTCAGCACCCACCACGACACTCCATTGGACAGTACCTTGGGGCTCACTTGGGCCTTGTGAGCGAGTTGCACGACGGAGGCTCGAAATAAAGATATTGATTTCGACTACGCACGGTGCGCCACAGTTACAACGCCTTTGAGATGAGACCGTGCGCCCTTGATCCCAGACTGTGTTACATCTCAGGCACCGCGCCTGGCTAAAGCTGCTCGCGAAGGCCCAATACTGAAGCTCCGTTGGCCAGGACCAATCTCACACTTTCAAGAAAGGCCAGCCTTGCTAGACTCTGCTCAGAACCCTCTGAGCCTGTGTCATGCTCCCATACCTCTGGCAGCATGTCGATCAATCGATAGAGGTAGTGAATGAGACCCGATGGTTCCATGTGCTTCCATGACGTCTTGAGTATACTGGGGAAATCCAATAGAAGCCGCAGCAGCCCATCGTAAGGCTCGGCTGCCAGCATACCGAAGTCGGTATTGGGACTGGCAAGTGCTTCGAGGTCGATTACTGCGTCTTGTGTCCTGGCCGTGAGCCTTCTCAGCCACATGAGTAGACTGAGGCCTGTCCAGCCTTCCGTAGATGCCAGACTAGCAGCGTCAAAGGTGGAAGTGCTAGCTCTTTTGCCTGACGCAAGCTCCTGGCACACCAGGGCTGTTACGCCCAATCGATCCGCGTCCAGGCCTCCGAGGTCAACCGTGCTTTCAGGATCGACGGAAATGAACTTCTGAACGACGTCACGGCACTCATCCAGGATATCTCCGAGCAGCAGTCCTGCGCTTCCTTCCCGCGGCGACAGCCCCTGCGATTTGCCAAAGCTGATGTGGTGAAGCTTCGCAGCAAGGTCCGTCATATCCATCAGCTCCAAAGCTTTGAAGACCTGCATAAAGTGGGTTTCCTGTCCGGAGAATACCACATATATCATATCGTCGAACGAGTGCCTGCGGCTCCGCTCCACGGCTGTAGCAATGTCGCGGAGGAGATAAGACGTCGTGCCGTTGCGGAAGCGTGCAATGCCGGTTCCAAGTCGCTTAAACCCTAATCCTTTGAAGTCGATGATCCAGGCGTCAGCACTCTCGGTGTAAGCACCTTTGTTCTTGAGGATCGTTTCGACCTCGGCAATGGTTTCCGAGCTGACGCCAGATTCTCCGGAATGCTCGTCAAAGCTGATGTTCATGCGGGCATATAGCTCCGTATATTTCATGATACACGCCGAACGGAAGTGTTCCCAGAGGGCAATGGCTTCCACATCGCCATCTTCCATCTTCTTGAAGAAAGCATCCCGTTCCTCCTCCAGCGTCTGCGTCGTCTTCATGATATCACTGGGCGGACATTTTGCTGTCTCTGGCACGCCCACATGCAGCTGATCGGTAGCCTCTGTGACAGATCGAACATCACTAGCAGCATCCATCGATTCGCGGCTGGCTTCCGACCCACTCGTGTTCTCCGGTGCTTGTTGCAGAGAGACTTCATCCTTTGGCTTTTCTGCTTCGGCTTGCTCTTGTTTGTGAAGAGATTCCGCCTGAGTGAAGCAAGTGAGCATATGGCCCAGTGGATCAGTCGCAAAAAGCTCTTCCGAGCCGAAGCGTGCCCACCCGGAGGCCAGTGTACCAACGTTCTTGCCCCAGTCGCCAAGAAAGTTCATGCGGTACACTTTCCATCCCATGAACTCGTACATGGCTGCGATGTAGGCTCCGTAGATGGTGCTACGAAGGTACTTGCCGTCGAATTCTTTGCCCAAATTGGGCGAAGAGAACTCGATGACGACCTTTTTTTGCATTCCTACCGGCACATCAAGCTCTGTAGAGCTCTGTGAGGCTGGAGCACCGTAGCGGGCGCCGCGATCCAGGATGTAGGGCAGAAGCAACCGAGCCAGGGTCTCCCCGCGAAGGAAGATTCGCTGATGAATCCCGTCGGCAAGCGGGAACCCGAAGAGAGGAGACAGATGTTCAATCTGATCACCCACCTGCTGCGCTATGGCATCTGGGTCCGCGTTTTGCAGCCGCAGCCGTGGTAGAATGATCACGAGATCGCCCATACCCGGCTCATTTGGCCATTGGATCGCATCAAAGGCAACATGTGGTTCGCATGAGGTAGCTCGAACAATTGCCTGTGCTAGGTACGCCACATAGATGCCTATCGGGCTAGAGTTGATGTCTGCCAGTGGAAAGACTGGGATTGGATCACTGACTCCATTCGATCCAAGCAGTTTCTGAAGGCCTTTGGTCGTGAGTGTCGACATTGCGCCGCAGCGATAATAGTAACGAGAACAATAGTTTCCCCTTGGAACAAGGAAATGACACAAGTAGACGGCGGCACTGTCTCCCTCCTCACATGCTGCTTGTGGGCGGATCGATAAGTACCACGTAAGCCCCCGTTGATTGGCCCGGCACTGGTTGGGTATCAATCCTTTGCAGAGTAACTGTTCGTCGCCAGCAGTCAACGTGCATACCTTGCAGTTTGTGGCTTGATCTTACTGGATGACCTATCTCCAGGGGTAGGACTGAGGTTCGGTGGCAGCCTTGCGGAAGTATGCTCATTGCGAACCACCCGGGCCGCCTCACTTTGGCTGTGCCCAATTGAGGCAGTGTACGAAGCTGGCGATCAGTCATGTGGAACGCTTCACTGGAATTGATACTACGCTAGCTGTGTTGCAAGTGCGCGTGCGGAGGCCGACGTGGCAACTCGTGGCCCTGTTATACACCGATCGGACCATGAGTCCGATATGAGCTGGAACCCAGGCCTCGTTCTATTCTCTGAGTCGGTTCCAACTGCGCATCTTGTGCATCATCCTGCAGAGCTGGATTGCTTCGAAATCTAAACCAGGAGAGGAAGCCCTTGTACATTTGGATCACGCAAGCAATCATTGCACATACTCCTCGTAGAGCCATCCGTGTCAAGCTTTGCTGTAGTGCGTGCTGAAGGATCATGCGGAGCCATCGTATAAGTAGACCATTAAGCACATGACACGGTCCATCTCGGAGGTTGTTCCAACGCCATTGCTTCGGTAGCCGAACAAGGTTCTGCTGCATTGCTGCCAATGTGATGACTGCAGTGAAGATGCTGAGTACCTTGAAGAAAGAGGCAGATGATGCTGCGATGCTCGGAAAGGTTCGTTTTCGGACCTCATCTTCCATAGAGAAGATACCCGATGTCAGAAGGACGGGTGTACAGATCATAAGTATAAGAGAAACGGCTCTGTTATCGCGTGCCAGATCTCTTTGATGACGGTCCATGAGAAAAGTGAGGTCGGTATTATAGGTTGCACAAGTCTCTTTGAGCTCACACAGCTTTCCTTGGAGGCGAAGTAAGCTGCCGGTATGTTGCTTGATCATGCCCAGCGATATTCTCTGCGTTTCTGAAACTTCGGGGCTGAACTCCTTGATGTCGCCGTGAAGAAAGCCTTCACATGCTCGTAGGGTCTTGGACAACGTGGACGACACATCAGGAATCAGTCGCTGGATTTCATGCATCCAGTTTTCAGTGCGCTTCAGCTCAGCTTCGCTGGCGTCGGAACTGGGATAATGTTTCTGGGATAGAGGAGTCAGCAAAGCGGTTCCAGAACAGTCTTAAGGTGCACGTGTTGAGCACCGCAAGCGCATACAGAAAGATGCCAGCTTACCTCACGGTAACAAGTCGTGCTAGACTCAATTCGTGATACAACTTCTGTGAACTCTGCGTTGATCATAGCCAGGCGATAGTCGAGCACTTTCAGGAACCAGCAACGAGGATCTGGTCCAATATCCTCGTTGGTAAACCCATAGCCACATGGATCTAAGGACGAAATACCCATTGGTCCCTCTGTATCGTTGAAATGATCCTCTGCTGACTCTCTGCCGTCATTCTCTCCGTCAAAGTAAGTGTCCACAAAGCAATAGGCGACCCATCGCCATTTATCCGGCCCGGCGACCGTACAGGAGTAGATTGCTCTGCACATGACGGACGAGTCGTCGCTGTCCCAGTCGAGGAAGGAAACGTCGCGTGCTCCAGGAGGTAGTGGCCCTGCATTCTGTGGGCGAAAAGCTTGGAACGGAAGATGAAAAGCAAGCTCGAATACTGGTAACCCTCGACCAACGTTTAGACCAATGTAACCTTCTGAGGCATGATGCCAGTACAATGCTCTCTGCAGTGGACCAGCTTGATGAATCGAGGCAGTCGCCATTAGAGCGAGTACGTACCAGCGGTCCAAGTCTGCAATGTAGATGCGCCGTCGTTCCGCATCCGGCTCTTTTGTCTCAATATTTGAGGAGGCGTCAGGATCCCTGGCCATCGTCACTGATGACGGAGTATCTACTGGATCCATCTTCATGCTCGAATCGCTCCTGCAAACGTGAAACCGGTCTTTGGAAAGGAGATCAAAGAGTTGACGAGCCGTCAGAGGCCCGGGGTTCTTCCTTGGGCGGTACCCATCACCATCAGAGGCGCAATCGTAGAGCAGTGCGTTCTTCTCTTTGTCCATTTCTGTCGAATTCAAGTCCTCGAGGAACATTCTCCCATACAGGCGTCCCAACAGGTTTGCCCCAGGGGTGCATGTGCCAAGCACTTCTCCATTGCGCATGAAACTGCGGATGATGTCCCCATCGTCGAGGTTGAACGGATTTTCCTGGATAGCGTGGGTATTCTCAGATCCCAGCCAGAACTCACGGCGTTTGTCGAACTCTGGTAGCCATTTCTCACGCACCATCGCAACTTGCGTCTGATTCAACTCTTAGTCGTGTATGCCGGTACTTTCACACACGCATGAATCCAGTGCTTCTGGAGCCCGTTGGTACTCATCATCGCAGGCGTACACAGTGCTGGCCAGGTAGGGCCAGGATCCAGTATTTCATATTTGCCGGCCATTAACGGCGATGCCGCATGCTGACCAGAGACGCCAATGATTGGCACCAACCTAGGGTTGGGTACAACGACAAAGCATCGATACAAAGTCGCACAGCAGACGTAGTGTATGCCAGTAGGTGACATTTGACCGCAATTAGGCATTGAGAAGCGACCCACAGGCACTGTGTCGATAACGCACCACAGTAAGTGCCTGGCTGCGCCGCAGTGAGACTGCGTAAGACATCCACTCACAGTCCGCTTCAGTGATAGCAGAGATGTACTGCCATATGTATGGTTGTCGTTGACAGGCACGAGAAGGCAACCGTCAAGAACAGGCCAGGCCCTAGTGCGGGCCTATGTGGCCCTGAGAAGTTCGATGGTCGTCAGGCGTCTGTTGAGGGCGCACCGTGGTAGAAGTACTGTCACAAGATCAGATTTCTATGTTGATGCCCAAAGTGATGCGACCACATTCTGAAGAGGGCTAGTCACTTCATCGTGATCCGCTGGTCTAAGATCATAGGCATGGTTGCTCGCGAAGAACGCCCAGGTTCTCTGCAGCCGGCACCACAACAGATCACCGGACTGCATGGCATGCAGCTAGGAGAGGCATCGCAGAAAGTACCACTGTTGGTGTTTAGATCCACTGACTGTTATCGTAGACCGAGAACGCGCTAGTCTTCTCATATGCGTCGTGAAGGTCGTATGGGAACCCCTTGCAGAAGGTCGATGCTGTACCGCCGGTCATCGGAAGAGTCAGTTTTGGGAAGCAGGTTAAGACACAAGAAGGCTAAGATTCAGCTCCCAGAATCAGGCTTGATAGCCAGAGCTAAAAATGTCTTCTGATCAGCTACTGGGCTGATGCTTCTCCAGTTAGGATGAGTCCGAAGCCGCATGCTGCTACGTCTTCCTGAATGTGTACACATGTTCTCCAGTGTATTCGTCATTAGGTCAGACACTCAATTCCAAAATTGAAGAACGAGCCAAGCGAGAATATGTGGCGCTGGCCAGAACGTGATGAAACGGATCGCTGATGGGAGCAAAAGCAAAGCAGGCGAGGTTGCAATAACCCACAAGTCACAGTGGATACTAGTTAAGCGGCACCGCGGGCCACCCCGCACGGTGGATCGCCTCCGCCGGCAGCTCTCCAGTCAAACCAGGGCCGTGCGCTGAATATCCCCATTAAAAGTCAATTCCCAGGCGAGTGCCGGTGGCCGATGGCTCTACCCGTCAGGGTGCGATAAGGAGGCCTGGGCCCGAAACCTGGAAAGTCGCTGCGTTGATGCAATCGAGCACTCTGCTCCTCGGATACTTCTTGACATCGCACACTCAGGCAACAAATTTCACACGTTTGGATGTGAATCACTACAAACCAGATTTCTATGCATACTCTCCCCAAAGCTCAAGGCATCACCTAAGCCCTGCCCTGCTGTCGGTGGTTGCCTCGGGTGTGTGTACAGCACGAATATCGATCGGCGCGTATCAATCGGCAAGAGAAGCTGTTGTTTGGGACACCGACCTGCAGGTACCCTACAAGTCGTAGCATGCCTACATCTGAACTGCAGTCAAGCCTTTGCAGCGGTAAACGAGGTACTGCTATCTAGAACATACATGCATAGGTCTCATATTTTACCCTTGACCTCCAGCGATTGTCCATGCTAGTACCGGCCACTACGAATGGGTAGCACCGGATCTGCTTCAGGCGGTGAGCTTCTGCAATTCTTCAGCTAGGCCCGGGTCCGGACGGGCCCTCCACGAGAACAATGTTTACCAGGTGATCTCGGGGTGTGGCCTTGCGACAGCAGGTTTTGGGGTCTGTCCGAGAGCTCGATGCCCGGGCAAGCACTGCATTCAGTGGACAACAGCAGGTTTCTGTGGGCGACTCATCTTATATGAAGATGCCGAAGCTCCTGTACAAGTGGTTCTGCACTAGAGAAACTCGACCCGGCCGTATCTGTTCTAGTTGGCATACGCACGGGGTAATGCGGCGTACCTGATACTGGCCCCGTTTCGACATCTCTGCCACCTCTCTGAGCCTCCTGTGCCAGCCTCTCCGCCGGTAGATGATGCAGCGCCTGACTCAAACTCAGTCCGGCAGCATGAATGCCTCCTCTGAATCGTGGCAACTTCAAGACCGGGATGCGCACGAGCTTCAGACCCAAGGCCGCTAAGAATAGAATGACTGTGAAGATGCAGAGGACACAAGCAAACGCGGCAGGGTTGGCATGTGGAAGAAGGCGGCCAAATGTGTCCCTGCGGACGTTGTCCTCCATTGAAAAAATGCCAGAGGTCAGGATGAACGGCGAGCAGATCTAGAACCTTGGTAAGCCATCGTACTCATGTCGCTGTTCGGTGAAATGCTTACCACTAAGATGATGGATATAGCGCGACTGTCCGATGCCACCCCCTGCTGCTGTTTCCTCATCCTGAAATTGAGCTAAACGCAGTGAGTCAGAATCCGCAGCCCCAACCGCAACGAGGAAAACTCACATCCTTTGTTAAACTGTTGCATGCATGCTCTGCCTCACGGAGACGCGAACCCGCGTCCTTCAGCTTCTGGTATTGGCCTTGTATTGCCATGAGTTGCTGATTGTGATGTCCCTCGAAAACGTCAGCGTGCGTGGAGTCGAAGTCTTCAAGCGTACGCTGTGTACGATCCAATGACCTGGAAAGGTATGATAGAAGGCCTCGCGTCTGGTATATCCAGTCAGACATTTGCTGACTGGATATATCCTTCGCACGTTCTATCTTCTGTATATTCGTTAGCAGTAGTTGACAGGGTGCGGTGAAAATGGCCATAATCAGCACGTTGTATTCTCGCAGCAAGCAGTCAGTAGCCAAGCTTGGCGAGGGTACAAACGTAGTCGTCGCTCTGCAAAATCAGGGGACTTGGCTCACCTCTTCGAACGATTCGATGCTCTCCTCTATCTTATGAATCAAATGCAACCATTCCTTGTTGCTCGATAGTAGCCGTGCCTCAAGAACCATGAGAAACCACTTTCTAGGGTCTCGTACAGGTGGTTCGAGAGGATGCCGGCCGTGGGTGCAAGGGTCCATGGCCATCCGGAAGGGGGACATGCCTTCACCATCGTGAACATAGTCCTCAACGCTTTCACGATCGTCGGTAGGATCGTAAAGTGTGTCTATGAAGCAGTATGCTATCCAGCGCCACTCGTCTATGCCGGTAACCACGCAGCTGAACTTCGCTGTGCACACGTGCGCGCGCTCCCCATTCTGCAAATCCAGAAATGCTACGTCCCTACTGCCGCGTGGGATATCAGAACCCCGCGTAAGCTGCCACGACTGAAGAGGGAGATGAAAGGCAAGTTCGAATATCGGCAGAAAGAGTGGAGGTATAGCCATGCCAATATAGTTCTGTCCTGCGGCGCAGTGTCGATATAAGGCATTCTGTAGAGGAGTGACTTGATTGGCTGGCGCAGCAGAAGCTACTGCAGATGCAGTTCGCTTATCCAGATCTGTGATAAAGACGATCCTCCGTTCAGTATTGGGCTCTGGGCCCTCTGTGTATCCTTTAGGTTGCATTCGTTGCTCGAGTTGTGGGGGCGTTCCAACCTGTGGAGTAGATTTGCCACGCGCCGTGGCACCAGCACGCGAATATCGAGGTCGTGGTGCTCTCAAGCGACTGCAGAGCTGGTCGGCTGTGAATGCGCCATTAGAAGGTCCTGATTCCCAACTCTCACCCCGAAACACGTGGTCATACACCAGGGCTACCGGTTGAGAATGCTCCCGAACCAGAGGCAAACGTGATCGTTCGGCCTTTTCGAAGTGAGCCACCACAAGATCTGCCTGTGGACAACGATGTGTCGCGCCGCTGTCGCCAATCTCCATGAATGTGCGGATGGGGTCGCCCCCAGCTCGGATAGATTGTGTGTCGATGGCCGGAACATCCTCGGCTGAGGAATTTGGACATTCTTGCCGCTGCCGAAATGAGGCGAGCCATTTACTCCTCAACATTCTGAGGGTTGCAGAAAGACAAGGGTCAAGGCCACTCTGAATTATTTCCTGCTGCGAGCACCGTTCTTACAGTTCGCAGTGTGCATGATCAACGCCTGCCATGTACGCTGTTAGGTATAGACCTGGGATGAGCCAGTTCCCGGAGAACGAAGTGTGGTAGGTGAGTTACCCGCGCCATATCTAAAGAGATATACAACCATAGTAGCTCGAACCCGATGCTGGATCAAACCGAGCTGCCTCCTGGGGAACGGTGTTAAATGCGAATGGATTATTGGTCGTCTTGAGGCGGTGGGAAGATCGCGCTGACAAGCAGCGAAACAAATATTTGACCGATGAAGAGTACCCAATGGCAATATGTTGGGCCGCGAGGGCCCCAGACTCAGCTAAGGCAGGCGTCAGCGACGTGGCTGTATTTCGACAAATGACTAGCGGACGCCCAAGCAGTTCAAGGAGTTAATATCATTATACAAGGGCCAGGGACTTCTGGGAAGCGCAAGGCAACAAGAAGGGGGGGGGGGGGGGGAGTTCGAGCATGGTAATGTTTCGGTACCCGACCAGCGGCTTTCAGAAGTTCTTCAATGACCACGTGCGAATCGGCTCGCGCAGTATACCAATGGCTGTTCTTCGCAGCTCTGATCTTGGATTCAAGAGTGAAGCGGTGACAGCAAATAGAGCGAGTGCAATGACTAGTGGTCAAGGGCGCGTGAGGTGCTGAGACAATAGGTCCAGCTTGTTGTAGACACGGTCCGCTTGGTAGCCTGCCTATCCTAGGGGCGGTAGTTGGGTACCACCGCATAATTCAGCGCTTGGGTGGGCAGAAGATCTGTCACGCGGTCAGAGCACTTGACTAGAAAGTGGTTCGCATCAGGTTGCCTCTCCCGCAAAACACCGATATGAAACGCAGTCTTTTCGATCATGGGAGATCGACTAGCGCCCCGATGCCGCTTCGCAAAGTCCTTCTTACCTGATACCATCTTTTGCAGGCAACACGAGCGGTGGAGGAAGGCGACGACTGGACAACATATCGAGCAAAGTGAGAGCAAGGCCGTAACATGCAACGCGTGTCGTACATTGTGACGTGCCATCAAGCGTAGTGGGGTAAACGAGGATGCACCCGAATCTCCACCGCACAACCCGGCAAGCCGGGAGGAGCCCTTAGGGTATCAGGTACTGTCCTCCATGCCGATCTCATCCATCTCATTCTGGCAACCACGCTGCTTCCTGCTATTTACAACTGGAGTCTTATCAGCATAGCTTGCGCTCATGTGCTACGGGCAACGGCAGATTGCATGTGCAGGGAAAAATATCGGGCGGTCTCCAGCTGACCACTATCATGTCCATTTACATGCGGACGACTCGTGCGGCGTTGCAGGATTGCGAACCGTTCTTGTTGCTTATGCTCACATGATTAGCGAAGGATTTCAAACCAGCACTTGAGCGCCGCGTTCTACTGGGCTGTGGTCAGATGCCGTGTTCAGACTCAACATGTTCCTGAGTCCAAGTTGCTCGCTCACGGTCACATCGTGCCTTCACGTCCGCTTCGTTGGCACAAGTCAATCGCCATCAAATTCACGTCAATGAGCGTCTCAGACGCCTCGGGTGTGCCGGTCACCACCAATCAAACCATCATGGAATTGAATTATTGAAATTCTAAGAGATTTTGAGAAGCGAAGTCTGTACAGCGCACCACGATACCGCCACCAGCAATTTTCCATTTTTGAGACGCCGAAATTTCGCCTGCGCTAAAAGCCACTGATGAATGTTTGGTACTTTTGGTGCCAACCGCTCCATATGGGGCGTCCTCGGGATAGTGCGGAAGCCCAGAGTGTTGCGACATCTTAAATGGTCGTCTATGCGCCAGTGTTATCGTACCAGCTTTTGCACTCGGCAATTGGCACATCTTGCATGGCCACAGCCGCTACACGACGGCGCCTGCGCAGGTATGGGCGTGTATCCGCACCTGTGGCAGGACCAGATGAAGACCGCGGCTCGCTTCTTCGTCTTGGGACCATGTTGACGGAAATTCGCGTCCGAGTCGAAATGCTGTCTTGTTCCGAGGTCGAAGCCGGCGCAGTCACCAAAGCTACGCGGAATTTGGCGAGTCGCTGAGAGGCTGTTCGACTGGTCATCTTTCGCGCCATGATCATGCTCTTGGAATGAAAGTTTGCTCCGATGCGCGTATGCGCGGTCGGATTCGCGAAAGGAGGAATATTCGGGGTTGCAGGTAGGCGGTGACATTACCATGGGCTATTATCGTCAGCGGCAAAGCTTGTGAGAAGAAGCGATCATAATTGGACATACGTGTTGGGAGCGTGCTGCAAGGCTGAGGTGAGTCTAGCAACGATCTTCTCGGGGATTGAATTTACATTACAATTGCCAGGGGTCGTAGCTACGCCCAGTCGGGAATGGACGCCATGCCGACACCCTTCCGGCAAGCTCGACCCCTGTGAAGCCCATGGACATCAGCATTAGTCTGTATGTACAAGCTGTCACTCAGTTGACGTCGAAATAGGGGAGAGTTTTGCGTTCCGGAAGAATGCGCAGGGTTGCATAGGTTGCGGGCTTGGTGCGGCACCTGGCATCAGTCCTGCAGTCGCGGTTATCTTCCAAGAGGTAGACCGCTATAGGCAGGGCTTCAGGAAATTCCAATCGGACTGGAATTGAGTCCAGGCAATATTGACTCTTGTTCATCAGTTGGGAAAGCAAGTTAGATAGATACTGGTACACTTTTTATTACTCCGTAGGGTGACCCGAATTTAGAAGGGCCTACCAAGGGGGCGGTAATAGTGTCCGGATCCCGTACTTGGTGGGTTGTCGGAAAGTTAAAAGCCACTTCGCTTACCACCTACAAGTTACGGAATTACTTATCGTCCTGAATCTGTTGAATTCCAACCAGAAGTGGAATACGACAGGCAATCTGACGTTAAAGATTCGAGAGACCGATTCGCCATTGGGTACGCCGCGACGACTCGATGGAGGGCTATGACGCTCTCAGCTGTGTCAACAATCACATTCTTGATTTGGGACGCAAAGGGGCAACGCCATCATCCTGAGACCTCGTACTACTTAACCAGACTTATTCGAGATGGTAACGGCGGCCCCTTGCCGACATCATGCACTCTCGACAAATCTCGATAGGTATCTGCGTCCAGCGTTTGGAACATAGGGATTTGCGAAACTTCTGACAGGAGTTTCACGCCTCGCGAGACCAAACAACAGGGTACATCCTTCGCATAATCATACCAGCGACTTTCGCTCCGCCGTAGCGATCGCTGTAGCGTGAAGTGAAACTTGTCCTCCCGGGGGTACACAGAGCTCCTGCCGTGGAAGGCTCGCTGACAAGATCACCAGACTCTCAGCATGTAAGTTTTGGCTTGCTAAGTGCTTTCCACTTTGACTTCTCGTGGATGTGCAAGAAGTCATGCTGCCTGCCCTTTAGCGCAACTTGATAGAAGCACCTAGGTCATTGCGCGTCGCGGAAGGTGTGGTAACAGAGGGCATGAGAAACATTGCGATAGTAGCACAAATCACTGAGGCTGTTTCTAATTGGTGAGGCCCTCGGTACACCCGAAAGATCTCGCACGGAAGTGGCACAGAGCGGCATCATTGATGAATCTGGGCTCGATAGATGTACTTCGGATAAACGCCAACAGCACCATGTATGTAGCAGTTCCGCAAGAGCCGCACATTGGGTGTGACCGACACTTGCTGTACGCCCTATCCCGGGCGTCAGAAGGCCAACATACCAGCAGCAGAGGCCATGACTGAAGTACATCTATCATAATTCAGGTTTGGTTGATCAATCAGAATACATAAGTCCGAGATTGACACTCGTCACGCGCACGAGCTACCCGCCTTCTACAGTAAGACAATTTGAGCAAGATGTCTAGGTAGCCGGCTGAATTCCGTACACAATCGCCCCTGTACGGTCGAGACAGCTGAACATGGGTAAGACCGATCAAATCACACCCCTCAGCCTGCCGCAAAGGTATGACTTATCGTCAGCTGTGAGACCCATGGAGTTAGACGGTGAAGCCATGATGCCTTGCTAAAGAAAACACCGTCCACTATGCGACTTGCCTCTCACAAGCAGCACATTCGGGCATTCTCTACCAGAATTCGTTAGTCATTTGTCATGACTCACACAGGGGGCCCCTTGGAAAAGCTCATGTGATGGACCGTGCTCACAGCCCCGATCAGTAGGATAATGGGCGAGCACACAGATCGGTACAGAGGCAGATTGAGGAGGTTGCCATCTTCTTACTAGCTATACCTTTACTAGCTAGGTCTGTGTTTTAGTACCACCATATGCCATCTCTTCGTTGCTGACCCATACAGCTTTTGACCACCGGCTGAATCCATATCCAGGACAACCATTTCAAATTGTCATCCAACGCCAGTGACCCAGCTTAAACACCAACAATTCAAGCACTTCCCATTCGCTTTCTCATGAAATCAAAGAAAGCAAATTGACTAGGCGTTGCGCCATACTCATACACAAACCTGCTGGCCAGATAGCTGCCAAAGACGGCCCTGAGATACTTGTCCGGCACACGTTGAATGATCTTGTCCAAGCCGACCGTCTTTTGGAGGGTTTGGGGGAGTGCTTCTTGTAGCACCTTCAATCTTAGGGCAGAGTTGTTCCACAGCTCCTCGAAATTCTGCAGCTCTTCGTCCAGCTTCGTGATGGCTAAAGACAATTGATCGGAAAGAATTGACCGGGCCGTGCCAGTGAGTTCATGCTCTCGCCAAATGGCCTCGAACTCAAGACGAGCGTTGCGCTGAATGATCGACTGAACTTCCTTGACATACTGCTTGTAGAAGTCAGGGACTGAGCCATCAGCGCCAATACACATGTTCTGCAAGAAGCCCTGGTCGTCGAAGCTCAAGCTGGCGAGGACTTCGAGAGAGCTCGACGTAACACCGCCCTTATTCGCTGATGCATCCTTGTAGAGGATACAGCCAGCTTTTTCGAGCCGGAGTTTAGCATCCTGGGTGATGAAAAGGTTGGCACCCTCGACAATGTACGGGATCTTGCACTTGCCATCGACGATCAGCTTGTTACATGTGCTGAGGTCGATTGATTCTGGACGGCCACCGCAAGGCACGAATGTATCGTACTCCTCCATACCACGGGCGTGGAAGGTATTTCGAAAAGTCATGCCGTTGTTGACTTTCTCTCCACTTGGAAGAGTGACGTTGTTTTCGTCGACAAGCACGCGATAGCCTTGCTGGCTCAATTTCGAGATGTCGTAATTGGAGATCATCACCCTCTCCCTGGCTAATCTTCTTAGCTCTGCCTGATTGAGACCGTGAGGGTCAACGAGCACACCGGCACCGTCGACGATAGCCGTGTATTTCTCGCTGCCCAGAAGAATCTCGTTGGATCCAAGATCGCCGTCAGGACCACCAGTCTGGAGTTTCCGGATCTTCGACTCGTCAAGATTCAGCTTACGGTAGATGCCAGAGACATACTCCCGAACACTGAGGGTGGTCATGCCGTATGAATCGTGGGGAATACCACCGAGCTTGGGTGACTTGCCGGTGAAAAACGACTTCCACCAAGGAGCACCACGATTTCTGGCATGTTCTGTGGCCCAGTTGACCAGATCAGCAGTATTCTCATCCGGACCCATGAAGAGAATCTCCTCCTGGCCGTGCAGGTCAACAATGGGATCCTTGATGCCAGGCGACGTGGGCTTTAGCAGCAGATCCATGATAGAATCGATATACTTCTCGAAGGACACACGAGCCTTGTCCTGATGATTGTGATCAAGCAGCACGACACCTTTAGACCCACCCTCAGGAATGTCTTTGTTCTTGCGTTGCTGTGTGTTGGCCAAGTTGTAGTTCTCATCGAACTGCGTACGGGCATTAATAGCCCAGAATTCCTTGTTCCTCGACTTGACGATACGGATGCCACCTCGGGCAATGTCACGGAAGCGCAGGTGGAAGCCTCTGAACTCAGAACCTATAACCAGGAACATGCCATACAGCGGCTGAGGATACTCATGCTCTGGTAGGAACTCGGCACTTGGCTTCAAGCGAAAGCTTAGAGCGACCTTGGTCGGCGTGTAGAAGTTGGTCTTGAGAACAGCACGATTGAAGATCAGGAAATACTGCATCACCATCTCGTCATGCTGATTGGCAACGGTCTTGGAGATGTTTTGGGATAACGTCTCATCATCAAGAACTTGCTCGACGTTGATTCGGAGGTAACTCAGCGTCGGGATGAAGTCATCACTCTCACCTCGAGTTTGGACGTAGTGGTGCGAGGCGAAAGAGAGGTAGAGCGAGCGAATCAATTCGGGATACTTGTTGATGATCTCGAGGATGTAATCGGCTGTGAAGGTCTCGGTCCTGAGACGCTTCTTGATTTTCGACAGAAGTTCGGCATTGGTGTTGCTGTCGTCTCTCAAGGCTGCCACAAGCGAGGTATACTCCGAGCCCAAGCGATTGAGAAACTGCTGAACAAATATATGTACGCAGTGGGCGTAAATAGATTCCTGCAAGCTCAAATTGCCACTGGCGAATTGAGTCTGTAGCCTGTTCTGCGGAATACAGAAGAGAAGAGACACTTCCTTGATGATCTGGTGGATAGAGGCCTCGATGGGGGGATGGCGAGACTTGGCAAGGTCTGAAGTGGCGGGCTTGAGGTATAACGAAATGACGGTGATGCCATTCGCGAACTGCTCGACGTATTTTCGGGAGCTTGTCACTCCATAGTAATGGTAGAGGTCAGAAAGAGCGCTGAAAATGCCTAATGCAGAACCTTGGCGGTATGCAATGACCAGTCTCTTCTCACGAGTACCCTCCATGTCGAACATTTCGATCACCGGACCACTCCGAGCTACCGCGTATTGGATAATCTCTTGGTAGATAGATTTTGTGTGCTTAGTGGCTTTCGCCAGGAAAGTGGCTTCTCCAATCTTTTCAATGTCTGTCTCGTCGAGGCTGACATTGGGGTCCTGGAACTTGCACTGGTAAACGAAATAGCAGCGCAGAGTCTCGCCGGGGTTTTCCGGCAGAGCATTAGTCGCCCGGAAGGACTCGACTCTGTAGCTTCTCGATGGATTCGTTGAGCCGTTCACGTACTTCTCGTCAATTCTTTGCTCATATCTTGGGCCGTCCAGCACACTGACACCAGGCTTGCTGGTATCGATGTACATGGCGTGGTCTATAGCCTCTTTTGCGAGCCTCACTTCCAACTTCTTGTCATCTCTGGCAAAAGCTGCCAGCTTGGCTGCGTACAGCGAGAGAATGTTGCTGGCGACCGCTTCGACTGTCTCGGTAGAGAAGTACATATCGTCGATGCCGAGCGTGTTGTAGAACCACTCGGTCTCGGAGGCGATGAATTCGGTTGGCAGGAAGCCTTTCTCCTCTATAAGATCCATGACTATCTCTGGTCAGTGTCGTGTGCATACGAGCAGGAAATTAACTGCTCACCTTCCTCCATCTGCGCCTTCTTGCCCTCAAACTTCGGCGCAACATAGCCGGAGCTGTGATCCGACAGAATCTTGTGCAGAGACTGATTGGACTGAGCAGCGCCTGGTACACCAAGCATAGTCGGCTGAGGCGAAGGCTGACGTCCAGGCGTGCGCACAACCTGCTCTACCAGTTTGTGTTTGGCGGGGTTGAGGACCTCACCGGTCCCATTGGGAGTGGGGTTGGCCATGATGTCGGAGGACAAAATGAGAGGCACAAACGAGAGTGTACTTAATAGAAAGCCAAGGAAAAAGAAGAGAGAGCAAGTCCTTGTGCGGTTGGAATGAGCTCGTTGTGTCTATAAGATGGTGTTCAGCTGGCCGAGATGTGTAGGTTGTAGCTAGGCGATGCAGGCAATGACGAGCTTTCCCCTATCGTAAATGAGCCAGGGCCACCAAAAGATGACATGCGCTGTCTGTCTCACGTCCTCTTTGAGTATCGCTTTCTTCCTACCCAACCACTGCTTACGTCGTCTTATATAGCGCCGGGTGTATGAGTACAGAATGTAAAACACTGAAAATTTTGCCTGCAACATGCATCACATGGTTGCAAGGAATGAGATTTATTTACGTACCGGCGAGGAAGCTGGCTTGTCTGGCTGCTTTGGCTTCCCCGCAGCCGCTCCACAGGCGCTTTCTTTTAGGCTGGCTTCAGGTACGTTCGCCTTGGCTAAGCTGGATCTTTCTTAGCGGGCACATCGACTGGACAACATGTTCAATCTGGGGGAGCCGGCTCACTTGCTGCGGCGAGAACCGGCTACTCGCGGCCCGGTTCCTGAAGAGTCTTCTCATGTGCACGTCAACTAGGTCGCGATGGCCGGGTCACGAGCGAAGTGAGGGAGATTAAAGAATTTGAGCGAATAATGCCAAAAGGCGTGGGGATGGCATTCAGATGCCGGTCGAGAATTGCATCCTGTTCTTTACAAGGTTTTGGACTGAGTCTGTCATATCCTGGGCCTGTCCGCGAGGGCCTGTCTCTCCGCATCGCTGCCCAGACTGCTGCTCCCTCCGCCATCCCCAGATTGCCTTGTCTCGGCGTCCAACGACTCTTTAGTCCCGACGGCAGCCTCAGCCGTGGTTCTGTCGGCACTATCCTTGCGCGTCTCATCGTCGTCAGTGAAGTCCCCGTGACCGTGATCTTGGCCGGCCAACAAGCCACCCTGCTCTCCGTGAGCGTCGGTGTCCGGCTCGGTATCTTCGCTTTCTCCGTCAGCGGGTTCCTTCTTCTTGATGAAGATATCGATGATATAGTACTGTATCCCATTCATGATTAGCGGGAAGATGAGCATCACAAACGCAATCTGTATTGCCTCATTGCCCTCGGTCCAGCGAAGAGCCCAGTCTCCGACCTGTACAATCCATGGGCACAGCTGGAAGATGATGAAGACACAGAACTTCATGCCCACTAAGCCAGCAAAGTAGATCAAGCTCTGTTTCAACCACCAGGTGGCTTTCGGCGGACTGCCGTAATGGCCAGACTTAATCGACTCAGGTGGTCTGGCTAGAGGGGTGTAGCTTGCTCCAACGCTGAGCACCTTCAGGATGCAGATGAGGATAGGTATGCCAAGCGTGGTATCGATTCCCAGATTGAGGAGATAGTATGAACAAGGGTTCGGTTGGTATTCAGACTCGGACTCGACCTTTCCCACCGCTACTTTAGCCACGGAAGTCGTGAACTCGCCCGAGGAGAACATAGACATGAGTAGATTCGCGAGATGTAGCAGCGCCGACCCGAAGACCTGCTTCGAGGCATCGAACGCCCATACTTTGACCGGCCGTTGTGGTCTCTCTCGCCATCTTTTGTAGACTAGCGACAGGAGTGCTAGTAGTCCCAACGCTGCCTGCACTATGACTGCGAACGGCCCCAAGAGCCGGCATTCTCCATTGTTCTCTTCATGTTTCGAGCTCGTTGGTGATGCGGGAGCGGTGGTCTGGGTAGATGCAGATGTGACGACAGTAGCAGCGGCTGTCGCGATAGATACCAGTGCAGACGTTACGTTAGGTGAAGCCATCGCGTACAGCAATGAGCAAATCCGTAAGAATTAGATTCGCATGTCAATCGGTGGGTCCGTGGCGAAACAATTTGATCTGCAAAGGCGGGAGGGATGGTTGTACAGAGTACTAGATGCTGATTTTAGTTTTATACTCTAGCGATACAGCCATCTATATGGCATTAAAAAGTCCGCGGGTTGGTATAAAGGCTGTGCAAGTGTGGTGACGAAGGACGAGTCAAGGCAGCCAGCCACGCACTGGGCTGAGGTTGCAGCGCGGGGGCCGACGTACGGATTTGGCATCCGGTAATCACCCGACGACACGTCCACTCCCACAAACTGGCTGGTATTCTCTGAGACTGGCACCAACAGACTTACTGACCTCGTGACGGCAGGTCAAATGGTCCATGCAGCTGAGTAATGTGTTCGTAAACTTGCAACGATCAGGTTCTCGCATCGGGAAAGCCCCTTGAATAGATTGACATTGTTTGCGTACCTCTGTGCGCCGTATCGGAGTCAATTCCACCAAGCTATATAGAGCAGCTGAACAGGAGATGATCACCTATTTGCAACGGCTGTCGCAATAGAAGATACGACTGCCTTCATGGAATCACGTCCAAGTCAGTAGCAACGTTGATCGGACGGGCGACCAGCGCTGCGCCGGCTCCCTTTGCTACTCTGCACCAAACCAATAGACGTCCGCAATCCATGGGCAAGTCTCTAATGGGAGGTGCCGTTTCAGAGAACTCGTTGGCTTGCAAGATGACGAGTCTCGTTCTATGTGAGACTGTGCAGAAGCTGGATGCAAAAAAATGATCAAAGACACTGTGGGCTTTCCCCTCAAATCACCAGATGGAAGACGTTCAGCATTCGCGAGAAGGCGCCGGAAGTCTTAAAATTGGCTTAGCCGTAATTCGTCGCAACCCGTGTATGCGGTGAGGTTGAGAGAGGCAGAGCAAGGAGCATGGCTCAGACGTCGATCGAAGTCAAGCGGGGAATTGCCTGTCATACGCTTGGACGGCAGTGTCGGAGAGCTACTCACACCCTCGAATAGATAGCGAGGGTGATGCTACGTGGTAGTAATGCATGACCGGCAGTGCTGGTCGGCAGTATGGGTCGACGATCTCCAGACAAAGATATGCGAATGAGCATTGAAAGACACAGACCGTGTCAACGATATTCGCCACCACGTACTAGTAGACTCATCACGAGCCAACTTGACAAAGAACCGGGAAACCAGTAGCTACATACGAAAGCAAAGAGATGAGAAGTTGAATGCAACCAGGACATATGGCCGACAGCGCGGCTGTATCATTCATCCAATGAGGGTATCGGTTTTCACCACGGTTCCGCTCTCCGCCCACAAAAGGTGGCACGTAACTGCGCATCCAAGCACAAAGCATTCGAGCCAAGTCAACTTAAAGCCAACACCGTTGCTGTGCGCCGTCCATTCCCGAGCTCTCGCAATATGCACATGTAACTTATGCGCCGTAGTTAGACGTAGCCAAACAGCTAGCTAGAGTACAGGGGTATCAAATCATTCGTTAGTCCATTTCTTCTCGTTTTTCCTTGTCTTCATTTCTGCATGGCTTTTTCAAGCGTTTTTCGCATAGAGCAGGTCGGCAGCCACTGCTCCTTGCTCATCTCTGCCCCATACCATCTTTTTCGTCGGGATCTAGATCGCTAGCCAAGCGTACGTTGTCGGTCCCTCCCAGCCAATGCTTGATGACACATGGGCCCCCCGGTGGACCGGCGCACATCTTCTTCCTGTCTAGGTCTTTGAATTTGGGACCGAGAGGGCCGTTCACATAATGGTATTGTCCCGCAAAACGATATTGGCGTTTGTCCCCGAGAGGGTAGAACTTGTCACCCCATCGACCGGCGTAGTGAAACCATCCGGTCGGCGCATGAGGCGTAAGGTTGGAAGCGCGAAGGGTGTCGTTCTTGTAGTCATAGGTGTATGCGTGCGAGTTGAGCGCCGGGTCCCATAGCGGCCCTCGATCAGTTTCGTCGTGTAATATACCCCAAGGGAGGACGTAGGGGTGTAGACCGGGCGTTGCGTACATAGCATGCGTACCGGTCGCGGAGTATATGACAGGTCGTTTACCAATCTTTTCCACTGCCTCGTAGCTGTAGGCGGAGCCGAAATTGTGCTCGCTGAAAAACACGGCTTTAGGCTTTCCGTGATGGAAGCGGATCGCGGTATGCTCCCAATCGCCAACATGGTTGCCGAAGCGCACATTGAAAACCACATTGCCGAGATTGAAGCTGTAAAAGAAGAACCAGAAAGCGTCCACCACACCATGTCCCTTGTTGACAGTAAGTAATATGGCGGGTGCATCGCTGCGGCCGCCACGCAATTGCTTCCCGGGAGACTCGAGAGGCGACCGTTTGAGCTCTTGCCTGAACGGCTTGCGAAAAGATCCTCCTTGCTTCTTGAAACCTTGACCAGAGCTTGATTTTCGGAAGTCCTCGTCATGATCCATGGCATCCTCACCAGGCGCCCACCAATCTTTGAGGTCATTGAAAGCATCTTTGACGCCTTGCAAATAGGTCTTGCCCGGATGGTGTATCCAACCATCATTGCCTTCGAATGCATCGTCTGGCCTCCGTGGGTTCACAGGAATGTTCTTCTCACCTTCCAACCATTCAGGTCGCTCTTCAACATTGTCGTTGCTTGTCAAATACACCCACCGTCCTCTCCGATATTGATTGAACTTATCCAGATGTTCTAACGAAGGATGGTGAGACTCTGCAGATATAGGCGTATAATTTAGCTCCGGGGTGACATGGGACAGGTGTTCTGCAATATCGCCAGGCCAGAATTGCTCGCCAGAGAATAGATGCACCAGCGGAGCGTACTCCATGACGTAGTCTGGGATCTCACGCAGTACGCGCTCGTCGTCCGTCCAGTCTTCTGGACGGTCGTTACCTTCCGTCCATGCGTTTCGCCAGTCAATTACTGGTGTCTGTATTGACTGTTGTTCGTTTTCAACCATAGGACGGTGGCCGAACCGTTTCTGGACAAATCGCAGGTGGGGGACTCCGCATAGCCCTATCCATCTGCACGCCTTCCGGTCCAACCAGTACTTGGAGGTAGCCCGCCATTCATCTTCTTCACGGTCCTCAGGCCTCCAGACGAAAAGGTCTGGATGGGTCTGTCTCATATAGCTGTTGATCGATACATAGGATATGAGAGTTGAAAGCAGGCCTATGGTGGCCTTGGTCTTCACGTTCTTCATGTCCGCCTCTTCTATTGTAACATTCGTCGCCTCAAGATCAATGACAACAGTATCGATTGGTTCGCCTGCGTCAGGTAGCCTGTCCTCTACTGGTGATGCTGGGCTGCTCCAGGAGTGCTCAGGCGCAGGTGTATAAGCAGAGGTTTGAGGCTGGCAGGATGCGGAGGGATCGGAAGGTTGATATAGAGACGGCACGGTAAGCGGGTAGGATGCGGCGGAGGTAAGCCATCCATATCCACCAAAGGATTGTTGGAGAGACACTGTGAGTAAGTCGACTGTGTTAGCATAAGGTCATACGGCTTAAGGTTGTGCCCGACGGAGCAAGGGTTGCTATTGGAAGACCGCGGTAGAAGCGCAGGCCATCTTGCACTATCAGGGCCGAGTTCCGACAAGGCTCTGGTTCTTCTTGCCTAGATGAAGCAAGTAGGTGCATGGATAGCGAATGAAGGGCGGCCGATGGGCCAGAGGGTGGGCCTCTCACGACAGCACGACTTTGCGGTGCGGATGTAAGGTGCTTCGGAGGTACCGGATGTGGTGGTGGAAACGCGCGAGAATGGCGGAGAGACTTACTAATTGCTATTGGCAGCGGAGGTGCTAGAACCTCAGTCAGAAGGCTAAATGCATATGCCGGAATGAACTTTCCCACATCTAGAGGCTTGCCTGATAACGATTCGGGGGTGGGAGAAGCAGGACGAACGATTACGAGTGGAGGACGATGCCACGCGGCCACTGAGACCAGCACCGGGCCAGGTCCAGATCCAGAAAATGGTATTCGAGGGGTGTCTAGTCAGGGAAAAAGAGTTGGAGGGGCCAGACGAAGTGATGCGAGTGGTTGCCTGTCAGCAAGCACGAAAACAATCCATCCGACCGCTCTCTCATCCTCTTTGACAACCCGACGTGTTCGATTTCATGACGGAGTCAGCAAGTCACAGATGAGACTCGAGGCACGTCACCGCAGGTCCGGGATTCCAGCACCGTTGACCGAGCCCCGAGTCACTGCGAAAAAGCGGCGTCCGGAGACTAGATCACTTATGAGCTAGCGCAGCCTTCGTCTAATCGTAACGAGGCTCCAAACTGGCACTTGGATCTGCTCGTTCACGAATCAATCATCAACGTGCGATGCGACCTTCCAATCACTGTTGACAACTTCACATGGCTAGTACTACCGCACAAAAGACTCTGTTGCATCCAGATGGCAGAGGATGAGTACGAATATCAATATGATGCCAATGAGACAAGCACGTTTCTCGTCGAGCTTGATCTGTCCACCCTGAATGGCATCAATCGTGGAAATCTACCCAAGAAAACTGACAACCGACGAAGGAAAGTTGCGCCTGGCATAGACGAAGATGATGGAGAAGACTCCGATTCCAATGCCGATTCCATTACCGGGCCCGCAGAAGATGGGCCAGATGCTGCCAACCATCGCGACCGACATTCCAAGCATGGTCTGCAGGTTCTGGAGTTGCACAGTATGAACCCCATGGTGTCGTTCAAAGGCGATTTCTACAGCTGCGCCTGGCATGATTTGATTGGCACAAATATGTTCTACAGCATGCCTCATCAGGACATAGGTCACGCGCCTCTGCGATCGACTAAGGACTATAACCTCCTTGGTACTTCTCGCGTCAAGCTGGTTGGGCAACGGGCAAAGGTCTATGAAAAAGCTTCTGCGCGCAAAAGGCAGCGAGTTGATCAGAATCCTGGTGCGAGGCAAGATGGCAATGGCAGTGAGGAAGTCTTAACGACCCAATCAGTAGTTGGGGCCAGCCTTACACCAGCTGATCCCGCGTCAGAGACTAGGGAACAGGCGGACTTTCTCCAGAAACTCAGGATGATTCAGCAATCCCGTCAAACGACAAGCAATGGGACGAGCCTCGCCGATCGCGGTTCTTCTGCCGATGCAAAGCCTTCTGCCTCGGCCTGGCACACCGAGGAATAGGATCTTGGAGAAAGAGCGGTCAATTAAGGCTCAAGGCTGAGTGATGTGAGCTGCGCCGCCTTAATATTGAAATATCAATGCCAGGCAGCAGTAGCAGCTACGGAAGAGTAATGCTGGATCCTCGGTCTATCTATTGAAACACTGCCTGCCCAAGGCCACAACTCCGTATCCGGCTAAAGGTTCAATCCGTTAAAAATGACAGCAAAGATGTCCATGCAAAGTCGTGAGAATGGCGTGAGCCCCGAAATTGGTGCATTACGTTGTGTCGATAGACTTGCGATAGTAAAGCGGTCTGTTTGCGACACGAGTCGAAGAAGGTAGAATCGGCCTCGATTGGCGTGGGGTGCAGTTCTGCACTCTAATGGCGCTGCTTGTCGTATTTCCAGCTCACGGGGCTGGGAGGTGGGGGTGGGGGATGTTCGTTCGCAGGCCGGCGGGCATCGTAGGAGGCGGAAGCATACTTGGGTTGGGGCGATTTCTCGAATGCCTTATGCATGTCTCTTGACGAACTGTCTCTCTCGAGGACTGTAGAGCGATATGATGAGCGCTGCATCGTGGATGGCATGTTGGCGTGATTGAGCGAGTGACAGTGATGGGAAAAAGCGAAAGGGTACGTTTTTGGGGGAATCGTTTATAAGAACGGAAATTCTCGGTGGGAGATATCTGTGGCAGTGATGAGCTTGATCAAATGCATCGGTCGGAGCGTACACGTACGACAAAATTCAGATTTATGGACCCGAGTCAGCGTTGGATCGGCAGGTACAGAGGCTTGTGGTGCAGGCTTAGGAGAGGCAAATATTTCGTCTCAGAGACCTGGTGGAGAGAGGCAGATATTTATGGCTGATCGGTATGAGAGCAGGGGAGATGGGAAGATCCGGAAGGCAAGAAAGGGATGAGCTTGTTCTTTTATGAAGCCGGTTGGCGATGTCGCAAAGCTATCCCTTGAGCAAACAATGCTGCCCAAGAAACAATCTGGCGGTCTGGAAAAAGCGTGGGATGTGGACAGTGGCATCGCCGTCAAGCCCGGCGTGCAAGGATCAGGTGTCTTTCGGCAACGGCTTATGACTGGGGCAGGGGCAGGGGTTAGAAGCATGCCCAAACAGTCGCCCCCTTTCAGGCTTCGTAACCTACATCCGCAGAGCAGCCTCACCAAAACGAGGTTTCCGAGGGCTGCAAGCGGCCGGGGCACTGCCTTCCCCGGATCGTGTCCACCAACCCCAGACCAGTGCTTGGTGAGGCCCGTCGTAGCTCGCATACCTCTGTGGAAGCCCGACGTTTTGGGTAGGCCAATTTCTGCGCGATCGGAGGGTGATCAATTCCTCGCTAGCCAACGGTGCAGAAAGCACTGTGCAAGGCACGGCAGACGAGCGTGCACGGTTGGCTCTACCTCGACCGTCACAATCACGTTCTGCATTACTCGCTCGACATGACACATGTCCAACAACGTTATGCCTCAATTAGGCGAACAATGGGTTTGATTTGTTGCTTATGTGCTTCAAATCACCCCCACCATTTCGTTTCTGGCAGCCGCAAAAACAGTCCCGCGCCAGTCTTTGGCTGATAGCGCAGGACCGGTTCCGTGGATACACATGTCCCACCCGGCGCGCTGCGCGATGGCTTCCGTAGTTCAGGCTCTTATCAACGGGAGCGCTAGACGGGCGGGCGACGGCAACGGCGGGTAGCAAGGGGGTGGAACCGCAGACGCGCCGACCAAAAGAATGTGCGCAACTACCACGCCCAGATTTCAATTTCCCAGTTTCCTATTCTCGTATCTCGTTTCAGACCAGCTGGCCGGGCTCGCTCCGCTGCGTGGGATCCAGAAGAAACAATGATGAGACGTTGCACATCAAAGTGCCTCGCTGCCGGTTCCGCGAAACTATTCATTCTTTGGGCATCTCGACGCTTAAGCGAGGTCACTGGCGGTGGGACCGAGATCAGGGGGAACGTGGCCTCTGGGGAAGCTCCCTAGCTTTGGAAACGGGCCTTCTCTTCGCAGGCTAGAAGGTCTGAGAAATTCTAGCTCCGACTCAGATCAGTCGCGCCGTTACCCCGTTCCAAGCCCGGCTGGCCCCATTTCAAAAGCTCCTTCTTTTGTGTAGCCGCGGAATCGTTCCAGTACCAAGGCACTACCATTCAATGTTGTGAGCATTCGGCATCTGTCGCCCTGGAGCTAGTGTCAGGGGGGTGCAACTCGTCTGTCAGGCAGTGAATTCCAATGGCGCCCTGTGCCAAGCCGTCCCCACGCCAAGCCGAAGCCTTCTCCAACCGCTGGCCCTGGAGAAAAACTTGAGCTGTTCACCGGAAGTAACAGCCCTCCGATCTGGAAACCAAGGTGAGATTCAAGTGAGGCAAATTATGGACGATCTCGTTGTTGGTGTGCTCGGAGGCGGCCAGCTTGGCCGAATGATGGTGGAGGCTGCCTCCCGGCTCAACATCCAGGTGGCTGTCCTTGACAGTGACAATGCTCCAGCCAAGCAAATCAATGCCGTTGCTGGCGAGAAGCACGTAACGGGATCTTTCGCCAAAGCCGCTGATGTCGAAGCACTCGCAGTCAATTCAGACGTGCTAACGTATGAGATCGAGCACGTCGATACCAAGATCTTGGAGGAGTTGGAAGAGAAGCAAGCGACAATTCCTGGCACGAAATGGAATAGAATCCAACCCAGCTGGAGAACGGTGAGGACAATCCAGGACAAGTTCATCCAGAAGCAGCACTACGCAAAATATGACATACCAACCTCGAAGTCCACAGCTGTTGGCACATCTGAACCTCAGGGACTGAAAGAGATTGCCGATAAGCTGGGCTACCCTCTCATGCTCAAGTCTAGAACTGAAGCCTACGATGGCCGAGGCAATTACCCTGTCAAATCAGTATCAGACATCGAGCCCGCTCTGCAGGCTCTCTCAAACAGACCCCTTTACGCCGAACAGTGGGCAAATTTCGTGATGGAGCTTGCCGTTATGGTTGTGAAGACATCACAGGACGTTTCGACAAACTACGAAACCTGCACTCTGGCCTATCCCACCGTCGAAACCATTCATGAAGACAGCATATGCAAGCTTGTCTACGCTCCCGCGCGTGGCGTGCCCCGAAGAATCTTCAAAGACGCTCAAGACCTCGCCCGTCGCGCCGTTGCCACCTTCCCAGGCACCGGCGTCTTCGGCGTGGAGCTCTTCCTCCTGCCTGATGATTCCCTGGTAATCAACGAGATCGCGCCCCGACCACACAACTCCGGCCATTACACCATCGATGCATGCCACATGTCACAATACGAAGCTCAAATTCGCGCGGTCCTCCCCAATCTCGCCCCTACGATCGCTCCAGGCTCAACTGACCTGGCTGTCACTGCCGCCGTCATGCTCAACATTCTTGGCGGTCCGCAGCCAGATTCACATCTCCTGGTTGCCAAGCAAGCGGCCACGATCCCTGGCGCGCGCGTCCACCTCTATGGAAAGGGCGCCGGCCGCCCCGGCCGCAAAATGGGTCACATCACCATAACTGGCTCATCAATGTTCGAGTGTGAAACCAAAATCCACCCTCTAGTCCAGCTAGTGAATGCTATCCGCGCGAAAAGAGGTAACGCGTCCGCTTCCAACCAGTCCATACTTTCCGCCGCAGGTGATCTCATCAAGACCAATCCTACGCCGAGCCCCTCGCCCGTCATCGCCGTGGTCATGGGCTCCGACACGGACCTTGCAACCCTCAAGCCCGGCCTGCAATTCCTCGACGACATGGCCATCCCATACCTCGTCACCATCACTTCAGCCCACCGTACCCCACAGCATATGCTCAACTTCGGCAAAGCCGCCGCTAGCCGCGGCATCAAAGCCATCATCGCGGCCGCCGGAGGCGCTGCGCATTTGCCTGGCATGATGGCTTCGGTGACGTCTGTGCCTGTCATTGGCTGCCCCGTCAAGGCGAGCAGCCTGGACGGGCTGGACAGCTTGCTCAGCATCGTGCAGATGCCAAGAGGCGTTCCGGTTGCGACGGTCAGTATTGGGAACAGCACGAATGCGGCGTTGCTGGCGGCGCGGATTGTGGGAACCAGTGATGCGAGGATTCGGGAATGGGTGGAGGCGCATTTGGAACGGATGGATCGCGAGAACATGGCTAAAGCTACCAACTTGGAAGAGAAAGGCTGGAAGGACTATGTGCGGGTGGAGAGTTGGGAGAAGAAATGAGCGGGCGATGTTGCATGGCTTCGCAGGTCATTGAGACTGAAGGAATCCGCATTTGCGATTACAAACAATTTCCTTGATCAATGGATATCAAGGGCAACTATCTTCCGCAGAAGAAGGGCATCTCATATAGAGTACTCGAGTAGTTCCATCCCAACTAGAACCCAGGTCTGCTTCCTGTTCGGCGTATCATGGGACGCTCTTCCTATCACAATTTGGGAGTCGGGAGGATTTTGATAAGCCTCACAACATCCAAAACTGCCACCTTCGCTAAGCCAGCCACTGACAAAATCTGGACCAGTTGGCTGGCACTTGTGAACTGCACCGTCGATGTCTGACGATTCTTCGTAAGCTTGCCTGGAGCCTCCCACGGTGATTGGTGTAAAGGAAGCATGACCTTCGCCCGGGACGGGCGGTGGCCATATTCATCACTGCTGACGCTCAACGGCGTACATGTTCGAAGTATGTTCTTATGAGCTTATCCACATGGTCTCTGGGGAGGGCCTAAAATGTCTTTGGCAGACTGTAAAATGGGCGCTGTATTAATCGACAGAGGGAAAATTCTGCTAGAAGGGCTTCGTGAAGCGCAACGGCGGCACAAGATCAGGGGAGTTCTCAGTCAACCCCGTGTTCCTGTTTCTTGCGCTCCAAGTCTTCCATGCGCGAAGAAATGTCATCTTTCAGATCCCGCATCTTCTCCGGCTGATGGTATAGCACGACTAGATATCGGTTCATGAAGTTGAAGCCGTTTAGCTTGTCGCAAGCCTGTTTTGCGTCCATAACATCTTCATAGACGACAAAAGCAGTGCCCTTGGTCTTGTTGTCGGTTCCGGCACGAATCTGTCGGATCGGCCCAAATTTGCCAAAGAGGTCGAAGAGGGCGGGGGTGTCAATATTGTAGGCAAGATTCTTAACAAAGAGGATGCGGTTGGCCTCCGGAGCCAGTTTGTTCGACCGGGACATACTGAATGTTGCCGGTGACGGCTATTGAACGTATGCGCTAGCAGGATCAGTGCTGGGTGAGGGAGGACTGTCGAGCAGGTTGGGAGCAGAATGCTCTGCCAACAGTATAGCAGATCTTGGGACTGCGGAATAGACTGCGTCTCGGCAGCGATGCAGGGACACGCGACCGAACAGTTGGTAGATCAGCGTACAGCGACGTGTTACTGGGTTCAGCGCATGCGAGAATGTGTCTGGTGTTCGACAAGGAAAATGAAGGTCGAGGATAAGTTGACTTGCGGTGATGTCCCAAAGGAGTTTAGTGCGTAACTGCGGCAAGCGGCAAGATCGAAGTGACCTCGTCGAATGCGTGTATCTCTTGCTTCCCAGCGCACGCCGCCAGCACTCTCGTTCCCTTTGCTATTGGTCTCGACGCGCTGTCCGATGTCCTCCGGCGCCTCCTGCTCATGTAACTTTCACATGCATTCCGCATCTATGAACTCCCTACCGACTGCGTACCCCGCCTCGCCGTTGCAGTGACAAGACTCCCTCCGAACAGCCACTGTGAGCTCACCATGCCCACATCGACACTATGGCGCCGTGGCGCTGCCGGCCACACGTACAGAGGCACCAGTCCGGAGCCTCTATTACCAGGCGATATTGAACCTCTTTCCCCTGAGCCTTCGCTCGAACCCACGGTCTCCGCCGCACGCCCTTCTACCTCCTCCGACCACATAAGCAACACCACACCATTGGACGGCCTCGGTCTGTCTCATGCTGGTTCCTTACCGAAATCTGAGCATGTGTACCCAGAATTAGGTATTGACAGTCATGGTACTGCCCGCCTGCATACAAGGGCTACCGAGTATCATGAGCGCGTGGAATATCACCAGTCAGGTATTCAGAGCTGGGTACCGCGTCATACTTCTCAAAATCGTAATGCACGCTCAGCGAAAAGCCCCAACCATACCCGCTCTGGCTCTACCATCGATGATCTTGCAAGCGCCGCAATTGCCAACTCTCCCACCCTCACAAATGGCAGCCCACGCCCCTTCCATTCGAATGGCCATGCGTCCGGCTACGTAGCCCCTAGGCCGTCCACCTCCCATATCAGTCCCACCGAGTTTCATAATAGCTACGAGCATCCTGCGAAAAGAATAAAGTCGGACCGACTGCCGACAGTCGAGTGGGGGGCGCAGCCATCCCGACCGATCACAAGCTACGAACCCAATCAAAACAGACCTCCCGATGCCGAAGCGGCGGCCCTTCTGTTGGCCCTGGGGCAAGAAGTCAACTTCAGCAAGCAAATCACGCCCTCCATACCACATGCTCAACTACACCGATCCTCCGACCCTGAACCGCAGCGAATTATCCCCGGCGACCGGATGCAAACTTACGATCGGACGGGGCAAACGCGATGGCCGTCTCCAGACATGATGGAAGTCGACCAGCATGAGCGTGAAGAATACTTGTACGATTTACCAGCGGCAGCGGCTGCAACAGACAGCCAGTGGGATGGCCGGCCATCCTCTAGTGGCCATCAGCAACTGGAAGCTACATTCAGCGACTCCGGCGACGCTACACGGTTCCACGAGCCTATCGCACCTCCTCTGAATCAGAAAAAACCTCGGCGCCTCAAGCCCGAACTTCTACAGGTTGAAGTGTGCGCTGAATGTGGGAAGACCGAGCAGAGAATTGCTGATGGCGACGAGGGTACAATCGAGTGGATACAGTGTAATGCATGTAACAGGTGGTTTCACACTCATTGTGCCGGGATCAGAAGCAAGGCCGAGGCTCGGACGGTGGACAAATTTATCTGCAAGAAGTGTGAACCAGACCATGGCTCAACGACATATGTTCGGACATCTTCCCGTGCCAGAACAGCCATTGATTACGCTGGATTGAACCAGGGCGTCATCAAATCGTCCGTTGAGACATCTCTTCATCACTACATTCAACCGTTGAAGACTGGCAAATATGCCATTCAGGCCGATGATTTCGCCAGAGTCCGACCGGAATTACTCACCGCCGAATTCATGCAGAGCTTCGACAATATGAAGCGGCCTTTTGTCGTACCAGCTGCATGGAATCCTCGTTTCGGCGCGGCTCGTGAGATCGAAAGACCAGAGTCCGACGAATCATCGTCCACAATGCTCGTTGACATTGACGGCAAACAACTGGGACCAGATTACGGCCCCACAGAAGACGTTGTCAAAGAACGAGTGATCGACTGTGATCAAGATCTTCTTGACATGGTCATGCCACGAGATCTCACCGTACGCAAAGTTGCCGAGCTTGTAGGACCAGAGCACAGCCTCGGTGTGATCGACGTGAAGACCCAGGAGACCAAAGGCATCTGGACGGTCGGTAAATGGGCTGATTACTATGAGGAACCTGGCGAGAAACCTATACGGAATGTCATCAGCTTGGAAGTCTCTGAGACGCCTCTAGGCCGCGTTCTCCGCAGACCCAAGGCTGTACGAGACCTTGACCTCGAAGACAGCGTTTGGCCTTTTGAACGCTATCCAGACAAGAAGAAAAAGTCTGTGCAGTTCTATTGCCTAATGTCTGTGGCGGACAGCTATACCGACTTTCATATCGACTTTGGCGGGTCTTCTGTTTACTACCATATCCTCAAAGGCACAAAGGTCTTCTTTTTCATCCCCCCTGAGGACAAATATCTGAGAAAGTACGAGCAATGGTGCAACTCTAGCAACCAAAACGACACTTGGCTTCCAGATCTCTGCGACGGAAACGTCACGAGGGTGGACCTCCATGAGGGCGACACCGCGTTCATCCCGGCGGGATGGATCCATTCTGTTTGGACTCCAGAAGACAGCCTCGTGATCGGCGGCAATTTTCTCACTCCCATCGATTACGAGCTGCAGATTAGGGTAGCTGCTATCGAGAAGAACACTGGTGTTGGTGCGAACTTCAGATATCCCTTCTTCCAGAAAGTCATGTGGTACACATTGATCAAGTATCTGGAAGACGATCCTGTACCAGGAGATGTGATGGAAGATTTCCAGACAGATCCAGACTACATGTATCTTCGCGCACACCCTATCTGGCAGGAAATCGACGATCTGCGGATAGATGCTGAACCTCAGACAGCCGAGTACAACTTCAGGCATTATCCAAAAAGCGAGATAATGGGCCTAGAAGCACTGAGAGATTATCTTTACCGGACTGCACGCATCGCAGCGGATCTACCGGTAGAGAATATCTCCAAAAAGGCCATCGAAGCAGTCAAGCGATCGATTCCAAAGGAGCATGGTGATCCCCTTGAGCTCATCAAGACGTTTGCCATCTGGTGTGCATGGAAAATAGGACACGAGAAAGCCCCTGGCTGGGTCTATAGCGACGATCAGGAGCTCCCCGAGACGGATAAGAAGCCGAAGAAGGCCAAACCAGACAGGATCCCAGGCGAAAGGACGTCGTCCAGAAGAGCCGCGCAAGCACAGAGCTATGAGCAGCAAGACGAGCTGCGGAACAGGGAGCCTTCTTTTCCTTCTGTGGTCACGCCCTACAAACCTGGAGAATCCGCGTCCGGCGTCAGCTCGGATATCGGCAGGAAACCCAAGCCCGCTCAACCGAAGTCAGCCATGGTCAGAATGGCATGCGACGCCTGTCGAAAAAGACGCGTCAAGTGCAGGCACAGGGAAGAGCCATTACCGACATTGGATGCGAAGCCTCCTTTCTCGCGAAGTCAGAGCCCTCTTGAATTTGTCGCCATGCAGGATGGGCTCGTGCCAACTTCTGGCGACAATTTTCTGCAGCTCAATGGAACTCCGAGCTCGAACTCTACCGCACCACAAAACAACCTCTTGTCCATGGATGCGCAAATGACGGATCCACCCAATTTTATGACAAATGGTCTTACACCGCCTTCTAGTAAGAAGAGCCGGAGCAAGGCCTGTGATGAGTGCCGCAAAAGCAAGGTATGTCAGCCCATTGTCGTCTTAACCTCATTACTGACTGCACAGCGTCGGTGTGTGCATGATGAGTTCGGTAGAGTTGACCCAGCGAAGGCCGCGGAGCCAGCCAAGCCTCGCGGGTCAACAAGCTCAAAGAGACCTGCTCGACCTAGCGATGGAGACATACAGGTCAAGCGAAGCAGATTGGACAGCTCCGCGTCCACCAAAGTCCCTGTTGACATCGAAGCTATGATTGACCCAGCTTTACTTGGCGATCCGGCCGGCAATCACGAGCAACTGAATAACAGTGTTGAAATCGACTACAACCAGACCGAACCAGCAGTGTTCAGTTCTGCGCACACAGATGCCATGCAAGTCGATAGTATGCCTGCCAGGTCTCTTACCTCTGCAAGCACAACCGTAAAGGAAGATCCGGACCAGATCCAACCGAATCCCTCAGCCCATCAACCTACGATTGAACTTTCGACAGGCTATGCCGTGCCCGAGCATGCGATTGATGACGAGCTGGAACCTGAGTCAGAACCGAAGGGGGAAAGAACGCCACATACCAGCAATTCACCTGTTTCGCAACGACACTCTTCACGGCAGCCCAAGCAGGTGCAGAGGTTCATTCCAGAAGCCCATCGGTCACCGAGCAAGGCCCAACCGAATCCCGCCCGTCGTGGTTCCAGTGCTGTCAGCGGACATACTGTCATCAATAGCACAAAGAGCCGGCGCTCATCCAGCAATACTTCGGCTACGATATTTAATGGTTTGTCAGCGTCCACGAAAGGACAAGCAACCGTTGAAGCGATAGCTCGGCCAGGTAGTAAAGGTCGAGAAAGTACAGCCGAGAGCGACCTAGACCCCGACGAAAAGCTAGCTCGGGATTTACATGCGGAGGAGCATGGTTTGAGGAGGAGGCAAAGCATGAGAGTTTAGTACTGCTCCTGAAGGGGAAGAGGGGTGGTATACGAAATAATGATGGATGCACCAAGGCGCTTGACTGGACAGACTTGGAGGTCTCCGAGCTCGGGAGCACAACACGATCTTAGGAGTACGGGATGTTTGGACGGGGCTTGAAGCGGGTAAAGCAGGTATAATGGCGTTATGCAAACGGGCTCAGGAGCCTTTGTGCTTAGCATAGTAGTCCATGAGCCACTTATGTAGATACCCCGGAAGTGGTTGTGTGCGCGCTGGGACTGATATTTACCCTGCCATCACCGACGTTAACTTTGCAAATTTGCGATCTCGAGCCCTCTCCCCGTCCACAAATAGTCATGGGGCAGGGCTATTCAATACTTTAAGCTGATGGCGATGCGAACCGAAGCATTCACAAGCTTTACATGTGACTCGTCTGGGGTGATCGCCCTTGCATCATTGCGGGTCCCGAGGCAGTGGCTCGTGTGGGGTAGAACTACTTGCGCTGGAGTGACGCGCTCAACACTTTCTACCCTCCTCACCTGCTACGGCCGTCGACCCTATGTAGATGGCGATGCGGTCGCACCAACCTCCTGACTAGTATCCTCTGATCACACATATTCAAAAATCCTGCTTTCTGCGACAGCGCGACTCGGAGCGATCCAAAATCCGACCATGGGCTCCATCTACAACTCCCAGCTTGACGCCTTCGAGCTCTATCATCTCATTCAAGAGCCTGCTCATCACCGATCGAGTCCCTCATCCTCTACTGCGTCCGCGATTCTTGACGCATTAGGGCATGCTGTGTCCGGCGCCCTGGGTGCGGCCGTCTCTAACGTCGCAATCTATCCACTCGATCTCATCATCACCCGTCGGCAGATCCAACGTCACCTGCGGAAAGCCCAGAGCGAAGCATCTGATGAAGAGTACAAGAGCTTTCAGGATGCTGTGCGGAAGATCTTGTCCAAGGACGGCTGGAAAGGCTTGTGGAGAGGTGTGGAACCTGATACCATTAAAACTATGTTGGATGTTGGTGGTTTTTTCCTAATCTACTCATTCTTACGGGCGAGGCTGAGACATCGCCGGGGAGGACGCACTCTGAGCGGTGCGGAAGAGCTAGCTGTGGGCTGGATTTCGGGCGCGGCTGTGAAGGCAGCCATTATGCCGTGCAGCGTGGTTGTGGCAAAGACGCAGACACGAGGCATGGACTCGCCGAACGAGCAGGAGCAGAGCGGGAGCAGCAGCATGACGGATATCGCGAGGGAGATCTACGATGAGAAGGGCTTGAAAGGGTTCTGGGCCGGGTACCAGGCTGCGATGCTGCTGACGCTAAACCCGAGCTTGACGTTTGCGCTGCACGCCGTCTTGAGCAAGAGTCTGCCGCGGAGGCTGCGGGAGAAGCCGGGCGCAGTTACGACGTTTATGCTGAGCGCGAGCAGCAAGGCCATTGCGAGTGCGATCATGTACCCGTTCTCGCTGGCGAAGACGAGGCTGATGGTTGGTGGGAAGAAAGAAGAGGAATACGAGAAGGACGCGGAGAATGAAGTTGAGGGGAGCGGCAAGAAACAGCAAGTTGAGAAAAAGCTGCTTCATGAAACGCTTTTAAGCACATTGCTCGGCATCGTCGAGCACGAAGGTTACAGTGGGTTATACGAGGGATTGGAGCTGGAGGTCTACAAAGGTTTCCTCAGTCATGGCATCACGATGGTGGTAAAGCAGGTCATCCAGCGGCTTGTCATCAAGCTGTGGTACTTCCTCGGCGTGTTGATGCGGAGATACAAGCGCAAGGTTGGGGCAGGACGACTTCGACAAAAGGCAAAGGAGAATGTCGAGTATTTCAATCTAGCAATGGCGAGGGCTGGAGATAGGATCGAGGACGGGGTCAAAGAGAGCGTCGAGTGGTCAAGAGAGAAAGCAAACGAGACTGCTGAATTTGTACACGAGTATGTGGAAGAGGAGACCGCAGAGTGGAGGAGCCTGTATGGAGAGTTGGGTTTGAGCCGGTGGCTGTTGGGAGATCGGAAGGACCCCGAATGAACACTGTTCGATGCATTGGAGTTTGGAACGCGCCAGATGATATGAATTCTCGGGACGAGCCAGGGGAAGCGGGAGATTCGCGCTGGGGATGACACAATACGGGACAAAAAACGGGAAGCCAGTCCATCATGAGGCGTACAGAGCGGTCTTGAAGATAGTGTATGTCATTTCTCTTGAAATACTTATATCACCGATATGCTACCCGTTGCCCCCCACCTCTCTTCTCCATCTTTGCTTGCCTCTTACTAGTACTCTGGGCTTCACCACCCTCTCCACCTGCACCACCCATGCCGGACAGCATACCCTTGACTCCACTCGCAGTCGTGACCAAAGCGTAGATGGAGTATGCAGGCACGACCAGATACAACCACCACGCAATGTTCCCAAAGATTATCACCGCCACTAGGTTGATCCACGTCCAGTAGACCATGTCCCACATGAACTCCGTCAGGCCTTTCTCTGAAAGGTCCGAGCCTGCGGAGCGGATGTTTCCGTCCGGGCCGTAAGTCGGTGTTGCTAAAACATGGAGGTACCCTTCAGTCAGGAGTGCGGGCACAGAAAGGAGGATATAGCGATATAGGGATAGCGAGCGTCGTAAGGTGAACGCAAAGAAGAGGAAGACAACGTGGATGCCGAGGGTGATGAGGTGCGTTTGCTTCAGGCGTACGCTGTTGCGGACAGCGAGGGATTTGGCGGCCGTTTTGGCCATCTTGGACGAGAATCGTACTTGGATCTACGAGTCGCGTCCCAGAAAGTTCTTGCGCATTTGTGTGAGGGTCGGTATTGAGGCAGGTGCGATTTTCCCGAGATGAGTGGTAAATGCCAAAAGTTCCCCGCCACAAATCGATATTCCAGCCACCGGAGCGTGGTTGTTCCGGCCCGCACCAGCATTGCTCGCAGCCACCTGCGGTGCACTGGTAAGCGCCGGAGCCGTCATGGGCAAACACCAAACACCCCAGCCTCTGCTCTGAACCACTCAACCCAGTATCCGTATTTCCATACCGTACGACCCTAGATTCCTTCCACGACTCTTTTGGGACCTGGAGATGGATCTTAACTCTGCTCAACGTCCGATCTGTTGAGTTACTCCCCGAGAGGGTCCTTCACTGGATCACATCCACGCGCATTGTTTTGCCCGCCGGTCGTCACCCAACCCACCGTACCACATCTTTGATGACCCGCGTTGGCCATTTGCCTCGTCTACAGCAGCTCCCTTAGACACCTGCCTGCGATATTCGAAGTCTCCGCCCCACGGACGCGTTACTTGCCACTTGTCACCGGCTCATGTTCTCATGGCGCCCTCAGCACCTCATATCGCCGCCCAGTTGCGGCACCTCATATATTACGATCTAGACAATAACTTACTCAAAAATGCACTTTTCCTTGCACAAAGATTAGTCGCTTACGAGTCAAGGTCGGCCGAGGCTGCGTTCCTACTCGCTCACTGCCAGTACCAGTCTGGATTTGTCAAAGCCGCTTACGATACAGCCCGGCCCTGTGGCTCTCGAGGGTCACATTTGGGGTGCGCCTACGTGTTTGCGCAAGCATGCTTAGAGCTCGGGAGATTCGTCGACGGACTATCCGCCCTTGACAAGAGCAAAGTATTATGGCAGAACAGAAGTACCTGGAATCAGCACAGTGAGACACGGCGGCAGCACCTTCCAGATGCTGCCGCAGTTTTGTGCCTGAAGGGCAAGCTATGGAAGGCGCACAAGAACCTCGACCAAGCTGTGGACTCTTGGGCGCAGTCACTCAGGCTGAATCCGTTTATGTGGGATGCGTTCGATGGCTTATGCGAAGCTGGCGCACGCGTAAGTCTCCCCAACATCTACAAACTGTCACCAGAAATGGAAGCTATCGCCAAGCAAGCGCATGCACAGTCCTCGAGGGCCGACAATGCAGCAGCGCCTGTCGCAGACAAGCCCTCTGCGACAAGCCTGCCTTTACAAGCTCAGGCCACGAATCTCAACCAGACGAGCGGAGATCCATTTATGTCGACTTCGAAAACCACCGGTCACGGTAGTACAGCACTTTGGGAGAAGCTCAACGGCAGTAAAGTCAGCGTCAACACTCTGGCTAGCTCTATAGAGGAAGACGGAACCGCCACACCGTCAACGATTGCAGACCCAGATGATGGTGTTCTCCACGGCGGACCTGTAAGTGGTATCTACGAGGCTCCACCCGCTCCCATTCGGAAGGCAAAAAGCGCAAACGAGGTTTCGGCTGAACCTGGGTCGAGATTCAAGCCAAGTATCACACGAGCACGAGCCAAGGCCAAAGGTGGATCTGACGAAGCATCAATCCTCCCTGATCCAGCCCCTCCTGCAGCTCCCTCTAAGAGAACGATCTCAGGACATGTTGCCAATTCCGCCGCGTCACAGATCAACGGTGCCGAGGGTACGAGGAGGAGTAACAGGCTGCTGAACACCTCGAGACCTCCCAGTGCCAATGGTGCCACCTCTTCAAAGCTCTCATCGTTCACGAACTCATTAGGCCTTCGAGAAGGTAGGGACATCAAGAAGGCTCGTGCACCGACCATCAAAGGTAGAACCGCAACGGCGTCAACTGTGGGAAGAGTGGTCAGTGGGAATCGTACAAGGACTGGCTCATCCGACGAAGTGGACGGCAGAGAGAAAACAATACCTCCTGTCCCATCGATAGCCAACCACAAAGTCCGGACCGAGCCACAGCCGCAGCTACCCAACAAGCATCTGGAAGCACTGGAAGCACTTTTCGATCTCCACAACAAGATGGGTACTGCTCAAATGGCACTCTCTAACTACGACTGTCACGTTGCCATACAGGTCTACAATTCCCTCCCGTCCACGCAGCGCGAGACGCCGTACATCCTTGCCCAGATTGGAAAGTCGTACTATGAGCAAGCATCCTATGCTGATGCCGAGAAGTTCTTCGTCCGAGTGCGGCAGCTCGCTCCCTCTCGACTTGAAGACATGGAAGTCTACTCTACTTGTCTCTGGCATCTCAAGTCTGATATTGAGCTTGCATTCCTCGCCCATGAGTTGATGGCTATTGATCGCCTGTCGCCACAGGCATGGGTTGCGGTAGGCAATTCTTTCTCCCTTCAACGCGAGCACGAGCAAGCCCTACGCTGCTTCAAACGCGCGACACAACTTGACCCTGGCTTCGCCTATGGCTTCACGCTACAAGGCCATGAATATGTCGCGAACGAAGAATTTGAGAAAGCGCTCGATGCCTATCGGGCCGCCATCGCCGCAGACAGCCGCCACTACAATGCCTGGTATGGTCTCGGTAAAGTCTACGAGAAGATGGGCAAGTGGAGCATCGCGGAACAACACTACCGCACCGCCGCCAGAATTAATCCTACGAACGCGGTCCTGATCTGCTGCATTGGAGTTGTGCTCGAGCGCCTCAAGAAGCCAGTAGAGGCGCTCGCGATGTATTCGCGTGCCTGCAGCCTGAGTCCCAACAGCGCACTGAGCCGCTTCAAGAAGGCACGATGTCTGATGATGCTGAACAAGCCCCGAGAAGCGCTCAGCGAGTTGAAGATCCTGCAGGACGTGGCACCGGACGAGGCGAACGTTTGGTTCCTCATGGGCAGACTCTACAAAATGCTGAGGTCGAAGGGAGATGCGGTGAGAGCATTCACCATGGCGCTCAACCTGGACCCCAAGGTATGGTTTTGCATCGCGTGTCAATGGGATATAGTGCTAATATCTATAATCAGGCCGCCCAATATATTAAAGACGCGATGGAGAGCCTAGACGACGATGATGACGGACTTGATGAAGACGAGGACATGGATTAGTTGAGCTGACGCTAGCTACGACTTCTATGAGATTCATACTCATAAGGCGCCCGATACCGTCAGATCTGGTTACAACGGTATCGTTTAACATCGCAGCCGACGTAGCAGTCCGGCGCTCTTCCGGGATAGCCAATGGCTTTCTTAGCCCAGAAAAATTCGGGCCTCCGCACGATTACGGACAGGCTGCATGAAAACGGATATGGAAACTGACGACTGGTTGCATTTGCATACTGCATGGCTTTTGAGCGTGGGGCATTGCGTGGCGCATACATATAGGCATGGCAGCAGGCGGACGCTTCCATGACATCTAGCATTGTTGGATCACGTATCCGTAACAGAGCAGCGATTAACCCGTAAATATTGTATTGTTCGGCTTGTGGTGTGCGTGCGGGTCCCGCGGCTGGACGTATGTTCGTTTGGATGCCACATCTATTGCCGGACGCACACGCACAATACCTTGCTATGACCAAGAATGTTTCGGATATATATTGAACACGTAGATCACTGACAGGCAAGCACAGCTCGTCTGGCCCACTGGCCGGGGCACAGTAGGTGCGCTCTGTCATCGACACAGCATACGGGCCTCTCAGCTTCCTATCTTCATCACGTCTTCACCCGTTCTCTCCGCCGCTGATGTCTGCTCCCACACTGTCGCCACCGACACTTCCGTCGTCACCACCACCACCACCACCCGCAACGGCAACACCGTCGTCAGCCCCATCGGCGCGCAATGCCGCCTTGCGCTCGCGCTCGCGCTGCCGTCGTTTCACCTTCTTCTCCCTGTTACGTGCCGTGCGCTTCTCGCGATCTTCCGGCGGGAGCTGGATCTCACCTGTCTCGGTCCTAGCGGCGGCCTTCTTCGGTGTGGACTGTAGCTGTTGTTGCCGCTGCCGGGCGAGCTGAGCGGCCAGGCGTTGACGAATGAGGATGCGGCGCTTTTTGTTCGGTTTGGGTCTCCGGGCTCGCGGGCGAGTTGCTTGATTCGTGGTGGTGGCTGTGGTTGTGGAAGGGTTTGTAGGATCGTGGTGGCGGGCGGCTCGCGTCTGTCGGTGAGTCCGGAGATGGGTGACACGAAAGGGCAGGGCGGTGCCTGGCCAGGGGGTGTGGGCGAGGGATAGGATGGCTGAGGCGGAGATGGAGCTGGCGGAGTATTGCGCCAGGAGGGCGGGTGTGGGCGAGGTGAAGTACTGGGAAGGTGGGCGTGGGCGTAGAAAGTGGCCTTCTTGTGTGGTGGGAAGGGAAGACGGTGAGGGGGAGCGCTGGAGGGTGATCAGGGGAGCAGCTGTCGATGGTTTGGAGTTTGGCGGCGGAGTCACTCTGGAAGTGGGTGCGAACAGACGGAATTCGTAGCTCGTATCCTCTGCCTCGTCTGGCCGACTTTGAGTAGGCGCGGCATGCTCCGTTGCAGGCGCAATGAAATCGTAGGTGAAGCCGTAGTCCGGAAGCGAAGCTGTCCCGGAGTCTGCCTCACTGGCCAGCAAATCTGCCGGTGTCTCGGCCTCTGATGATCTGCTCAGCTCTTCCCCGTCCCAACTTTCAAGGCGGGATCTTTTTATTCTAAATTGAATCAGCTGGTTGCAGGATGATCGCAGGGCGCCTGGTACTTTACCTCTTTGCGTCTGGAACATCAAACATGACGTCGACGCCTTGGCTGGGTTGGTGAATGATTTATCGTCTTGAGATGTAAGATGAATTGATAATCTCAAGGTACAGACGGCAGCGCTGAGGTGAACACAGATAAGGTTTGATGCCAAGATCTTTCGTTACGCTAGCTTATTGAGGAATGTGGGCTCTCCACATTACCACCTCTTCTCCTGTTTGATCGGGCTCCTTGCTCATCTCTGGCAACTGCTGGCTCGCACTTGTCAGCATCCGATTCGGGACACTAACTACGTTGTCGTTGTGTCGCAAGGATCCCAAATGGCAGTCCTCTCAACTATGCCAAAGGTAGGATGTGGTGTGCATTTGAGCATCAGGCCCCCTGGGGATCTTGCCCTTCCCATGCATCCCGTCGACGACCTAGCCGTACCAGCGACGTCGAGGGCTTTTTTCAGGGGGCCTACGCTGCGCCAGAACATGTTAGCTCGAGAAAAGTTGGTTATTTATGGCGTTTCAGGAGCCTTAATCTGCATCAACGATAGCTAGCCTCGTTATGCGCCCCAAATTGCCCGTCACAGTGCATTGCATCATTGAACATGGTTGCCAGTTGAAGCATATAAGACTGGCCCAGTCAGGCCCTTTGTCGGAACCATTCTCCACCACCTCAAGACCTGAATTACTTTTTCGTCGCTTCTCAGCATCCACTATCTCGTTTTTCGTTGACCACAGCTTGGAATCATGGCGGATGTCTTTTTGAAGCTTGCCAAACGGCAGCTCCTCGGCGACGATGACGAAGAAGACGAAGACGAAGGAGAAAGCTGCCCCACAAACTTTGACGACCTCAGTCAAGCCGATCCCATTACCGGAAGCGTCACCTTCCACGATCTCATGATCTATATCTCCATACCGTGCATGGTTATAACCCTGATCGTCAGTGGGTACCTTGTCCTCGGCCAGGCACGCAACTACCGAGAGCCTCGCGTACAGAAGCAGTAAGTGCTGGAAACCCCCATACGTCCTGGGCTTTAGACTGACCTTGCTGTCTAGCCTCATCCGGATTATCGTGACGGCGCCGGTCTTCTCAGTTCTTTGCTTCATTGGCGTCGCCAGTTACGGTGCAACGCATTACGTCGAGGCACTTGCCGAGTTTTATGAAGTGTTCACACTACACGCCTTATTCCTTCTGTTTATAGCCTACCTCGTACCCACGACAAACTGGGAAACCCAGGTTGCCTTCTTCTCAAATCCAAAGTACGGCGGCTTCAAGTTTTTCAAGAAGCGGTACCTATTCGTCATGCAGGTCATACCTGTCAAGCTAGCCACCACTCTTGGATATATTATCACAACTGGAGTTGAGTGCTGGATGGACAGAAGTTCGAGGAGAGCTTCAACCATTCTAGCTATCATCGATGTACGTTTCCGCAACTCTGCATATTACTTGATTCTGACTACCATGACAGACTTTGACCCTCATCATTGCGATCATGGGCATTTTCCCGTTCGTTCTGCGAAACCAAGCGCACATTCAAAAATTGGACCCACAAATTCTCAGCAAGCTGATCAGCGTGAAGCTCATTGTCGTTGCCAGAGTTCTCTTGAACCTGGTCCTGAGTATCTTGGGATGGACGGACTCAATGGAGGCCACCGACACACTCTCTTACAACGACCTCAACGTCGGCCTTTCTGTGTTCATTACCTGCATCCTGGCAATGGTCACAAGCCTCATCATGTTGCCTTTCTATCGGCCGAAGCAGTTCCAGGAGAGGCCACTCGTTGATTTCCCGGGAGCAGAGACAGGCTACGCCCCTCGGGTCGCGATTGACTACGATGATGAAGGCAATGCTCAAGTGGGAGAGCAGCTCATCAAGCCGGAGGTGAAGCCCAAGGCAAAAGGGAGAAGAGCACTACTGGATGTCCTTAATATCATCGACGTCCTCCGGGCTGTTGCCAGAGGTGTCAGACTTATCGGGAAGAAGGATGGATATACGGCTCCTCCCGAACAGGAGTTGCCTGAATACCGCCAGCACTAGGAGATTGGGCTGAAATACCGACTGGTTCGCACAGCAAGTCCTTATCATCTCAGCAAGGTTGAATGAAGTTAGTCTACATCCAACAGGAGTCAGAGCAGGCATGGGAGCGCGCATATGATCATCCTTCTTGTCATATTTAATCTCTGATGCTCAGCATACGGCGGCGTTTAATTCATTCAAGATTTACTCATAGCCTCACCAGATCCTTTGTACTATTATGAAACGCCAAGCTTGCAAGAAGGCGGCCACGCGAGGCAGCTTGTCTACCATTTCTCGGATCCTACCCAACCAGAACAGCCTCCAACTAATGTGTCCTACCGAGCTGCCTCATTTTCATGGGTACCGCACCAATTCATCATGTCAATGTCTCCTCGGGCGTCGACCCTCGAGAACGAACTACGCCATTGTGAGTTAGAGTCTTGGCCACTTTCCTGCCTATCTAGGTTTAGCATGGTGGAGTGGTGCTGGCATCAGGCAGCTCTTCAGGCGAGACGGTTGGACTGCGCATCTTAAAACCTTTGCACGTCGGAGAGCGAAATCTGTTCGGATGACGGTATCGTTGTGGTTCAGGCTTCCACGTTGTATTAATATGAAGGCACCGACGCTAAATTCTGGTGCCGCCTCTCCGATCCAAATACCCTAACACAACCCAGGCGGCCGAGGAAATCGTTTGGCACCTTCAGCTGCAACCACCCCTGAAATTCATTCCCAACCATATGGTCCGTGACATGCTCTCGCGTTCCGGAACTCTTGGTCCCCAGTGCGCCAAATGCCGAAGGAGGCGCGTCAAGTGTGATAGCACAACCCCTCGCTGTCTCCGATGCCATCGGGATGGCATCGACTGCCCTGGTTACGCTACACGCACCTCAAATTGGAACATCACCACGCCGAGCACGATAGCTAGCTCCAAAAAGGTCAAGAGTGTGTCGTCCTCGGCGAGCTCTCGGAGTCGTGGTTCTGATGTCTCTTCCGGAGCCCCTACACCGGCCTCCACCTCGACCGAGGCATCATCTACCGAACTTGCGACCACCTCTTACCCGAACACAGATCTCATATCATGGGAGGACTGGGACCACTTAACCGCCTCAATGCACCGCGATCTTGCACTGTCCATTGATCTGCAGCTTCACGCGTTTCGGGATGCGATGGCTTACTTCGAGGTCTGTGTGCGACCCTTTCTCGTTGGCTGCGCGATTCCGAATCAGCCACGCCCGCTCAATGAAGCCGAGTGGGCGCAGCTGCCGCGCATCATGCAGCATGCCTTGGTCTATGCCGTCAGCAGCCACCGCGTGTCGCGCGGGCAAGCCGAGGGGGAGATGGGTAAGGTGGTGCTGCGGCGCCTGCATGAGCACCGTGGTCGAGCGCTGGCGCTCTTGCGTGGTCATCTTGGACTTTTGGAGGAAGGTGAAGAGGAGGAGGACGCGGGGACGTGGACGCAACCTAAACAGGGAGCAATACAGCTTGGTGGTAAGGCTAAGTGGAGGGCACCCGGGTGGTCGGGGCTGGTGTTGATAACGATGATGTTGGGGAATGAGGTTCAGCTGTCCGCTTTCGGAAAACAGGGCTGGAAGTGGCATTTCGAGGCGGCATGGAAGTGTGTTGATATGCTGGACGGCGGGCTGCGTGGCGGTCCGCCGGGTCTGGGTGGGGAGAGATTGGCAGCTCTGGAGAAGAGTTACAAGCATGGAATTGAGCCGGAGTTGGCGTGCACGTACCTGTTGCAAATCGAGGTGCTCAGTGCAACCACGACTCCGATATGGAAATTGGAACGGAGGGAGGGTGTCAGGGAGGCATTGGGTGAAGGCATTCTGGAAGGATTGGAGGATCGCATTCTGATCAGTTCGTGCCCCTGTCCGCTGTCAGTCCTGAGGGCGCTGGCAGAGATCAACGATCTGAGGATAGGGCTGTATCGGCGCAGATACGAAACAGTCGCCATCCCAGACGACTTGATGGGATGCGGAAGCGAGGAGGTGTCGAAACGACTTTGGGACATACTGACGACGCTGCTCTGCTTTGACGCCAACGCGTGGGCCAACCAAGTGTACGAACGGCACTACACAAAGCTCCCACCGTCATCGGACGCCCTTACGCCTCGAGATACGTGGCAGCACTACTGGGCCACGGCGGCAAGATGCTATCACTCCGCAGCTGTGGTCTATCTCGTCCGCGCCTTCCAGTCGAACCACCTGAAATCACCGCTACTACGAGAGTGCGCTGAAACGACCGCAGTCCTCCTGGACGAGCATCGACAGACGCTATCGGACGGCCTCAAATTCTTGACAGAGGACTCTAGCGCAGCTGACCCCGTTGAGCGCGCACCAAGACTCTGGCGCTTCATTTCATGGCCTTTGTTCGTGGATGCGTACAATGCGGTTTCCTGGCCTGATGTCGGCGGCTTGGTAGATCTGGGCAAGATGAGGATTGACCGTCTCACGACTCTTGGCCGTCACATGGGCGTCAACGCCATGCTGGACGCTGTCGTTGCACTAGAGGAGGTTCAGTTTGGCAGGAAGCACACATGGTCATGGCAGTGGGATGACGGCTTTCAGGACCGATGTATCTTCGCCCTTTGAGAAAGTTTGCGAGTCGAAAATGCCCATGCGTGGGCTTCTACTATATTAGTCTGAACTTAACGATACCGAGCGGCAGTGCCTCGACAATTCCAGACGCAAGAAACATCATCAGCGAAACCGTCGAAGATGAAGCTGAATTATGAGGCGCAGTGTAGGCTTGAAGAAGTGAGGTGATGCGGAGAGATGGTCAAGAGATGATGTAAAGATTCGGGCCAGCATATCTATCCTCAACCTAGACTAAACACCGTACGCCTTGCTTGTGCCTGCGTCTAAGGTCCGCTGAGACAACGCCTGATTCCTTTTTAGGATACGGTCCGACCCCCCCTGCGTTTTTGGTTTCATGTTGTCTTAGAAACCAGAAGCTCAACACTGACGACCCGGAAGTGATCTCTCTGGCATCTGGGTTTGTTGCACGACAGTTGCTGCGGTTCTCTCAGAACGTCCAGGTGGCTCGTGCTTACGCCTATAAATGTCGATGAAGCTGTCACCGTCCAAACAGCAGACCCCAGATCCAGCCCAAGACAAACCACGCCACCAGCACCACCGCAATGATAATAGCTGCAAGCTTGAACACAGCTATTTTATCGCCCTATATATGTCGTCAGTATCAGTACAGCATACTTATGCAATAACACAAATTTCGGGTGTCTTACCTGCCGCGCCATCCTCCCCAATCTGCCGGCACTCCCCCTGATGCCATCGGACATGCTGCTGAAGACATCGTTGGTGTTGTCTAGCGTATCCTGTGCGCGTGCGTTGTCGTAAATGTCCAATGTGATGTGCTTGAGCTGTGAGGTCTTGGCTGAAAGAGAGGAAAGGAGATTGTTGTTCTGCCTGTAAAAGGGGAATGATTCAGCCAACGAGTACGGGAGTGATGCGGCAGACGGAGCCAAGAACGGGACTGGGTGAGGTGGGAAGGCAACTCCAATGCTCGGCTCATGGGTACCCAGCAAGATCTTTCCCCGCCCAAGTGCTCAACTTGGTAAAGACTTATGTAGCAAATCAAGAGGGACTCTGAAATGACGAAACGTGGTACCACGGTGTTTCCGCAGAGGCAGAGCATGGGTGGGAAAAGGCGAATGTGGAAATGACATACTCTTCGCGCGCGTAGGCGTCTGACATCCTGGCAAGTTCTTCTCCTTTTATTCAACCGCACAGCGCCGGGTCCTGCTGCTATTTGCTTTGGTCTTCCGTAGATGAGTGGGCTGCGGGGCGGGCGAGAAGTGCGCGCTTGCGAAGTGAAGTAGGAGCGCACACGAAGGCACGATAACGGAGACTGTGTTGGCTGCACCGAGCGAACGAACAAGGAACTTGTGCGTGTCTTGCGCTCGAAGAAGTGGCTAAGTGGCAGGTTACCTAGGCTTGCTTGCGGCGGTTCGGGCTCGTACAAAACGGCGTTGTGGAATTCCAAAAGTTTGTCGGGCTGGAAGCTGGTCGATGCTAGTGGCTGGCTACGCTTATTCGTATGATCCAGATGCTGTGTGGCAGAAGAGGGCAATTATCACATACCTCTCACTACCATCTTTGACGCCTGACGTCGGAGGTTCCGGGGGGTGGGCCAAAAGCGGATTAGTCATTTCGGTCCTGGCAGCCTCGTCTGATATTCCTACCAACGACTCGAGTTGAGCACGCGACCGATACAATACGGAGGCAAGTTGGAGATATGTGCCCTGATTATCTCTCACCGAGTGCCACCAAGAGTGATGATGCTTTGCTATCACTCGAGACAGACAGATGAGGCTCTATACCCTTGCCTCTAGGTTTGCGCTTATATCAAGACGCTCTCCCTACCGATAGTTTTTGACTATCATCTATTATTCCTCTTCTTTATATCTTCTGCTAGGTAGTAGATAGCAGTAACACACAGGTCGTGTCAATATCACCGGAATCAATAGTCATTATCATGTCACTAAATAGCTCCCTGCCCTTCTCAGTCGTTTCTACTCTGTATGCGACCCCTCTCGAGCCACTGAGACGGGCGCATTGTCTGCAGACCGTGACGCCATTACACCAGGCTATATACATCTCAACGCTAGTCGCGTCAAGTCCTGTCAGTTTCGCTGAGGAATCGTTGTTCATCGCCACTCAAAGTATAGCTTCATGCAAAGCGCATCATGCTCGCCATGAAAAGAAATCCAACACATATACGTTTCCATCACCTCAGAGCCTGGCCTGGGTGCAATATCGCCCCAAGCATATCCATATCCCTATGTGCCGAATCGCTATGCTGAGAATGAGCCGAACTGGCCGTTGTCACCTATCACTATCGACCACAACACTGGGTTCAAAAGCACGCCAGGCCTGTCGTCTTCTACCACATATCTTCATCATCGTCATCCCCCTTGTTTCGGTATGCTGCACTCTGATTGCTCTGGTTGTGGTGGTAGGCGTTACCTCCATAGCCGTTGCTCTCCGCATGCGCCTTCTGATGGCTTCCTCTGGAACTCGTTCGCTGTTGTTGACTTGCATCGTAGTCGTACTGGGAATCTACTTCATAGCCTTGCTGCGGCTGGTAAGCGTAAACCTGCGGTTGCTGCTGCGGCTCGGGCGTTGTCGCGGGCGCCGGCGTGTTTTGAGGTTGTTGTTGCTGAGGATAAAGTCAGTCTGGTTTTGAAATCATATTGGACTGTCGCTTACCTGTTGATACCGCTGGTACTGTGTGAACTCCTCAGGCTGCGCTGGTTGCTGCGTCTGCTGCTCCTTCTGCTTGCGTTGCTGCTTGGCGCTTGTCGGTAGATTCATCTGGGGATGCATTTGTTGAACCTTTGCTAGGTAGCTATACATGAAGTTGCTCAGTAGGACTTGCGAGTACAATGCTCGTCGGGGATTCGCTAGCTTGATGTGGGCCATGCGGTAGATCGCGCGTTCTTCCAATATCGAGAATCTTGTCCAGTTGTAGTCGATGTCGGGTTTCAGCTCGCGGAGTGTTGGCTCCGGTGATAGACGGTCTTTGTATTTCTTGGTCGCTTCTTTTTCGGCCTTGCCCTTCTTCCCAAACAGCGAGGAGAAAAGGCCTTCCTTCTCTTTTTTGCCCTCGCCGCTACTCTTACGAGCACTCTCCTTTTTGCGTTCTTCGTCAAGTTTCAGGCTTTCACGGTCGAGCACGACGCTTTCCCGGCCTTTATTTCCTTCTATTGACGTTTGCAACACATCTAAGCGGGTGTTGTCGTGGGATTGAGGCGGCTTGACAATCTTAGCCTTCGGCTTCTCAGCTTTGTCTTTCTCTTTTTCTTCCTTGCCGAGCAACCAACCCCAACCCGACTTTTTGCCCTCTTCTTTCGTCTTATGATCTGCGCGCTTGTCGACCGTCAACGTAGGAATGAAGGAAAGGTCAGTCGTGTTAGTGTTGTTTCCAGGGAGTGGCGAAGGCTGCTCGAGACTCTGTGGGCGAGGATTGTACTGCTGGTTTGACATATAACGCTGAGCTGTTGGTGTAGGTTGAGGCTGTGGCGGCGGCTGCGACTGTTGCTGCTGAAGTGTTGGTACCGCGTTGACCGAAGATGACTGCTTAGGCGGCATACCGGGCCGCTGAAAAGGGGTTTGCTCGCGTGATGACGAGCGTTCAGGGTGTCGCACGGGTACTTGCACAGGCGAGGGCGCTGTCGACGGTCTCTCCAGCTCTTCTGGAGCCGGAGTTTCTATTATTTGCGGCACTGTACGATCGGCCGGAGCGCCTGACACTGATTGTGCCGTCCGGTCTGGCGTGCTCGCTGAACTAGATCGATGCTGAGAAGGAGTTCCAAGAATGCTATCGAATGTCGGAGCCGCTTGATTAGGAGGATCGACAGATTGAGCGGCACCCTGGCGACCGAGAGTCGGTGGTCTGGAGAAGTTATAGACGCCACCTTGTCGATTTCCGATTCGATCTATGCCAGGAGATGTTGGTGAGGGGGGTATTGAGGGATCCTTGAGAGTCTGCGCCAAGTTTGAAACGTCGTTAGACGCGAAGGTAGGCATTTGAGGTACTTCGGGCGTTGCGGGCGTGATGGGGCTGTCGCCATGAGTTGCTACCCTTCGAGCAGCTCGTTGGGCATAGGTCGCTCGCTCTGGGCGACCTCCCTTGACACTTCCGCCCCGTCGATAGTTCGTCCTTCGGGACCTTTTGAGCGAGGCTCCAGGTACTGATGGCAAGATGATATCTTCTTCCTGTGATTCTTGGCTCGGACTTTCGAGGCTCAAGCGATTCATAGGCTCACCTGACACCAACGCCTCTAATGTCGACAGATTGGGATCGGGTGAACCAGTCTGCCGAGACAGGGATTTCTTTCGTTCTAACCGCTCTGCTCCATCTTGATATCCCACCGAGCTGTCGATTTGTCGTGAGAGCATGGACTTTTTGCGGCGCAATCCACCATTGTCAACGCCTAATGACGATGATGAATTAGATCGTGATGTATTAGGGGTGGTGAACTGCGAAAGTTCACCAGATCGTCTCTTAATCTGCTCAGCCTTGCTATCCAGGAAGCTCTTGAATTCTTTCGGCGCCAGTTCAGGATGAAGTCTGGCGGGTACCCAGAACAGCCTCGAAGCATCATCTTCACTCGCAGTCGCCGAGGGCGCCTGTGGCAAAGCTGCCGCATTCAAATGGGGTAAATCTGGATCGCCCGCGGCACCGCCGTCCATCGAGATCATCGACATCCGCCTGAGCGCCTGTAAATTGCTGAGTTCTTGTGCCACGGCGGCCGGACTGGACTCGTAGTCGACATCGTTCAGAGGAAAATGAGCGTGTGCTGTATCCGAAGGTGACCTCTCGCGTGCATGCGGTGATCCATTTGACTGCCTATCCCACGAATTTTGTCTACTTACGTGGGCCCTTGCATTAGAAGGGCCCAACACAACATTTCCATTTGATATTCTGCGTTCGACGGGTGCCGCTTTTCGAGGTATCGAGTTCCGACGTGGGGATTCATTAAAATCTTGCATCCTGCGTTCGACTGGGGAGGTAGGATTCAGTGAGGAGCCGTGCGAGCTCCGTCGGCCTTCGTTATCGTCATCCTCGTACATATAACCTATCGCTTCGGTGACATGATGTTGTTCGTCTGAAATGGAGAGCTGCTGCAGGTGGCCGCGGCGCGGTGCGAAGCTGACGCCGTTGTCACGTTGTCTGACCTGGGTCTTGGTGCGGATGTCAGTGGATGAACGAAGAAATGGGCACTTGGACACTACGAGGTCTACTTTAGGCCCCCATTTATCTGGGCAAGGTGGTGTCGAGAGGCTTGATTATGGGGAGTTTGTCTTGACGTACCTGCATGAGGACAAGCGACGGCTGCCAAACCCGACGATCAGAAGAGTTGTGGGCCAGCAAAGGAGCAATCTAGGGCGATAACTCTCTGAGCGGCCGTGACTCCCCCTCTTGCCATGCGAGAACGCCTTAGGTACAGGGCAGGCGCGGTCATGAACAGATATCTGGCCTGGTAGGGGATGCCCTCCTCGTAACGTCGGTCCTGGGTTTCTTTCGAAGGGTTCGGTGCCAACGTCGTTGGGGGCTCGACTGCCGAAGGAATGAGCCGGGTGGCAAGGTGATTTCGGCGCAGGATAAATTACCAGAAGAGTGGTTCAGGTTGACCACGATGTTGGCAGCGCACACGTCGTGCTCGCAAACAGCGAGGTCCAGTTCTATCAATCTCATAGGCGCGATTAGGCTCTAACTATTCCCTTTTCCGCCTGGGAATAGGTGCGACTTGATTAGCCAATTGTCGTAAGGTTACACCCCCTACCCCTCCCCACTATCGCCCAAAGGTGGCTGTGCAATTCCCCATATCAAAGAACGCCACCGACCGGTCCACATGCTGGCCGCTCATACTGGTAGCCGTATTGCAGGTCACCAAGGTTCCGTGACGTCTGGACATATCTTTGCGGTTCTACGACAACGATAGAATGACACATGCAGTGGAATAGAATGGCGGGCCGGAGTTGAGCAGTCATTTGGGACTTCCAGGCGCCCGCACCTATCCCGGCTGCCGGAGAGGCGTCCACTCGGGCAATTTCCCCTGACATGATTTCCTGAATTACGCCTTCTTGCCGCCGCCCTACACTTCACATAAGGCTTAGATCGCTCTGAAGTGTACAAAGGACAATTTTAGGCGCGCAATCGATTGTCTATGTAGCAAATTACAGATACGCAGGGCTATATTTTGATGTGCTTGCTTCTCTTTCTTCATAGCGGTCAATACATCGTGGCCAGTTCTATTAGCTAGCCCCAAGGGTTGTCAAAGGGATCAGAGGCTCCTCCAAATCCACCACTTGGCTTGGCCGTGGCAGGTGTCTGGGTCGTGGAAGCAGATGTCCACCCTCCGAAATCCTCGTCCGCTGTCACTGATGGCTGCCTTGCTGGCTTGTTCGCCTCGGAGATAGGATTGCCCCATCCACCTGTAATGTCGTTCGGAGTTATACGGGAAGGTACCTTTCCAAGGTCGACGCTCGGGGCTGCAGGTTTGGCAGGCGCAGGAGTAGGCTCGGGGGCTCCCCACGGACTGCTTTCAGCAGCGGACGAGCCCCACGGATCAAACATAGCATTGCTGTTTGAGCTCACGGGTGCCGGACGCGGAGGAGGATGTACAGTTTTGGTAGGTTGCGCAGATAGGTTGAATGCTGAGCCAAAGTCATTAGGATTCGGCGCGGTGGGGGACGCAACTTTAGGCGGAAGTGCGGCAGAGGCCGTCGAGGGCGCTGAGGACCACCCTCCAAAGTCGTCATTGCTGAAAAGATCTGTAGGAATAGATGATGCTGGTTTGGAAACTGGCGCGGGAGCAGGCTTGGGAGCAGGCGGGGTTGCTGGTGTGGCGTGCTGCGTGAAGGAAAAATCGAGGGCATTCTTTGCGGCTGGGCTTGGGGCTGGTTTGGGAGCTGGAGGGCTGGTGGGCGTGGCGTCGAAGAAGCCACCGCCGCTAAGAGGGGGAGGAGAAGTAACTTGCGCGGCAGCAGGCGTTGATTTGGTGGGAATTGGGGGCGAAAAGCTGGACATGCCAGAAAAGGCCGATGGAGGAGACTGAGTGGGTGGTTTAGGTGCGCTCGTGCTGGAGAAGTTGAGGCCGCCAAAAGCATCAGCCAAACCTCCGAATGCTTCCTTCTGCTGTGGCGGAGGCGAAGCCATCCCACCAAAGGACGACTGTCGGTCGTGGGCTGGTTGAGAAACTGGCTGCGGCTTGGGAGCACTCGCATAAAGTGACAGTATGGAATTTTTGAGATCGCCACGTGGATTTGCCGTCGGAGCAGATGGATTCGATGCAGCGCTTGCGGGCCGACCAATACCTGCAGATGGAGGACCCCCGAAGAAGTCGAGGCCAAGGAGAGAGTCACCTTGCTTCGAAGCTGGCTTGCCCAGCTGCGGTGCATTTCTTACGGCAGGCGTCGATTGAGGGATATCTGTGGTGCTGGGCCGGACGGGCGGTTCGGACGCAATGTCTCCAAACAAGTCAATCTGAGGCGCAGGAGCAGCTCGTGGCGGAGGAGGCGCTCCCCTTTGAGTTGAGGCTTGTTGCTGCAGCCGCTGCGAGGTCGAACGCTCAAGCTTCGCCTTCTCTTGCACAATATTAAGCGGAACGTCGTCATCGACGTCGAGTGTAGAAGGATCTGGCATAGGTCCGTCCATGACCCATCTCTTTGATTCGTACTTTGTTCGGATAAAGTTCTCGATCTTGGCCTCGGAAGGGACGTGGCCGGCAGCCAGCTTGTCCTCCCAGTACTTGTTGGCTCGGTTATTGCCCCATTTCAAGATGTTTTGTAGCTGCTCGTCGGTCCAGGCATCGAGATCGACCGACTTGACTCGACTGATGTGCGTTCCCATTCCACGATGGATACCTGAACATCGGATGCAGACGAACACTCCTAGATTCCAGCTGGCCCATCGTGGATGCTTGTTGCGTTTGCAATCTGCACAAACCTTATTGCCTTCCAGCTTGACAAGAGCTTTCAGAGTCTGAGCATTCTGTGCAGCGCGGTCATTGCCGCCGGTACGCCTGGACATGATGTCGAGCAACGACTCCGGCTCGCGTGAGAAAGAGAGAGAGTGCTCGCGGGCAACGAGGGATGCAGGCAGGGCAGGGACAATTAAACAGGTAGATGACCGGCGTCTGAGGTTTCCTATGGATGACTGGTGCCTGCCGGTACCGAGAGAATGTGAAAGGCAGCAGGGTTGTGGTATGTAGGGTGAAAGCCACGATAAGTGGCTTCCGGCAGGAACATTTAGGTACTCCGTACACTCGGCCACAGGACGGCTTGGCAAGATGTGGCGAGTACGCAAGGCTCAGGCAGTGAATTATTCACGGTGGACTTTCTATCTATCAATCTGAGAGGATCTTGGATCCCTGTTGCGATACATATACTACTACCTACTTAGCCTCACCGTTCCCGCTCGTTTGCGGGTCGTCCTTGTTGAACTTGAGGCTGATGCCATTGACGCAATGCCGCTCATCCGTAGGCGTGTTGTACCCTTCACCCTTGAATACATGACCCAAGTGGCCACCGCACTTACTACACACGATCTCAGTCCTCTCCATGCCAAAACTACTATCGGTATGACGAGTCACAGCGCCAGGGATGCTGTCAAAATATGCAGGCCATCCGCAGCCTGATTTGAACTTGTGATTGGCTTTGTACAGCGGCGCATCGCAGCCGGCGCATGTATAGACTCCTGCGTTGGGATGGTGCTTGTCGAACTCGTGAGAGAAAGGCGCCTCCGTGCCCTTTTCGCGGAGTACTCGAAACTGCTCTACATTTGGTCAATATCTCTCAGGCTGATCCTCACCAAGGGTACTCACCTTTGTTTAACACGGCATGCCATTCGTCGTTCGAGCGTTGGTCTGGGTACGACATCTTGTCAGATGCAGAAGTTGATGTGCCAAAGAAGGAGCTGAGAAATGGAATTGTTGGCATAGATCTCAAACCGAAGGTGTTCAATGGCGGTGCGAGCGTTCGCTGAGCGGTCGGTCGAAGATGAGCTGTGGCGTTGGTGAAGGCGACAAATGTGCGGACAAAGCTCGAGAAGGGCGGGAAGCGCATCAAGATATAGGTATTGAGGCAGATTAACGGAAGCTATGAGAGTTATTGAAAGACGCAAGGCCGGATTTGTCGTTCTGCGACTAAGAAGACGCGAACTGCGGGATTGGAGAACGAGGCAGTGATGATGCTATGCGGGGTCCATAATAGCCCGCTTCGGGTTCCTGATAGTGGAATCACTTCAAATACAGATGACTTTCGTGTTCGCTTATCCAGCGACGGTGTGCTGCGCCTCTTGCACCATTGTATCTCTCAAGCTCAGTACTATAAATCTATATGTGGTCATGAATAAAACTGGCTGCAGTGGTCTAGCTCTAGCCGAGGTGTTATGGCTGCAAGCTTCAATGTCTAATCCTGTTGCGCCCTCATCTCCTGGCCTTACCACGAACAAACATCTCGCCATGTCCAACCTCGACTCGCCACCCTTCTCTTACTAATGATTTCGCAACTGCCGGCCCAATCCTTGGGGCATTGTTACGGCTGTGGGTGCCGACTCCAGTCACTATCTGAAAGCTAGCTCGCACGCGCTCGCTGGTAACATATCGCGCATCTCCCAGCCCATCCCACCAGGCCTGAGTTCGAGCGTTTGCTATGCGCACAGCGTCCGAGACGCTGACTCCGTGCAGGTCAATCATGGTTCGTGTTGATTGCTGAGAGACCAGCACATCGGCGGCAGCGGAAGATTGCGCCTTCGCCATTTTGATATGCTCATGACCTATCGAAGCATAATATGCTGCGGCGCCTCCCATGAGTCGGTCTGACTTGGACTTTCTCGCAGCGGCAGCGGCTTGCCCAAATGCACGACTCGCTGCGTAACTGTGATCTGCTCCATAGTTGGTGCGATTCGCGGAGCCGCTCGTTACGGTATTCCACGAGTCATCTTTCTCTTTGCTCAAATCTACTGCAGCATATTGCACAACTCCATGCAACTTGCCGGTAGGCTGATCCTCAGCTGAATGTTCAACCATAGCCTCAAGCAGCTCATATGTTGCGGAAGGTATGTTCCTTGCGAGATGCAGAAGCCCTTGAATCCTGGAGGCTGAAACAGCTGGGAAGTTCTCCTTCAATTCAGCGACTTGCATCTGAACAACGGGATCTGCCGCATCGAAAGATACCAGCTTTGTCTGTTCCATGTCTGCCAGTTCTTTGATCGTGTCGTTCAGATTTGCCGACTTCCGATGATACAGCGAGGTCACAACCTGCGCACTCAAGGTTGTTCTCGAGCAGATAAAGTCCACATCTCCAGATGCGTTGGCCCAGACATTGACTGTGGGCGCATTATCAGTGCCCCAAGAATTGGCCGAATTAGCTCTTGAAGAGTCTGTCGTTCGATGCTTCCGTTTGTTACGGCGTTTGCGGCCTCGATTGGTTTTATGCTCCTCCGCGAAGCCTTCAACTCCCTTGGCTTGCGGTTGGCCATCGTTTGAAAACCCATCGCCATGCGTGCTGAGAAATGCGACATTGAGAAGCTCGTCTATCGCCCCCTGGAGGGAGCCTGCTTCGGTGAGTATGTCTGTAATCTTGGCGGTATCGGTGCCAGGAAATAAATCCTTCAAGTATTTCCGCTTCTCGGTGCCTGATAGATGCTCTAGGTCCTCGCCTAGACTGCCCTCGTTGGCACCCAAATTGAGAGTACTCAAGTCGGAGATCACGCTCGTTATGTCACGGCTGTGGCCATCTGGTGTTGTTGTCGAAGCGTTCTGGGCACTGATAGAGGGGTCTGTTGCCGTGTCCACAGCCGGATCTGCATTCGCCGCTTCATTGACAATAGCATCTTCCTTGAGCGCATCGAGTGTCGCTCTCAAGGCTGCATAGTGCTCTGATATCGTAAGGTCGTAATCAGAAGCGACGGCATAGAACAGACTGTCGTCGAGAGGTGGGCAGTATGTCTTGCGAAGAGCCTGAAACACAGTCAGTAAGATGTACCGTGATGAATGGTAAGACATGCTTCTCGATCGAGTATGTTGTGGCTCATGATTTCTTTTCCTGTTGTCACTGTTGTTGTTATTGCTGCGCTGGTATTGATATTGGTGTTGCCGCGTCTGCTGCATGATGCTCTTCGTCCAGTGAATAAGTGTTGCTATCTGTTGGTCTTTGGTTGTGTATAGACTTCTGGGAAGCAGTGATAAGTACTGGGTGCGTAAGGTCGCATGATTGGTCAACTGAACTGTCGTCAAGACTTAGTTACACCAAGACTCGAAGCCGTTCACGAATCTGGTAGGAAGGTTTAGCCAATGGCACGAGTGTACCAATCTACGTCACTACTTTTGTGGAATAGGGTTAAACGCAGCCTCGCAGCCTCGCTAAGCACCGAAGGGGCCAACTTTTCAACCCTGGAAATGTTGAATTTACAACCCTGGCACCCCGTTGGTCAGCTCCTTTGTGGCCGGGAAACCTCGACTGAACAATTTTGATGCAGAAAACGGTTTTACGGCGCATTCAGACCAATATGCAATGCCATCACAAGGCCGCGTGTGGCGGAGGTCGAGCTGAGTCGAGGTGACTGTCTCGGTTTGCGGCGGACACAATGCAAACACACCAGAGCGAAGGCATCGTAACGTAAACTATTTGTCCCACGGAAAAGCTCCCAACGGCAACAGTCCGGCCAATACTCTCGTGACATTTGACACTAAGACTATGCCCAGCAGTATCACCCATCTCTAGCAGCGCATCTAGGCCCGGAAATGGCCCCTCCTTGATTCGACCAAACCGCTGCCGTCTGCGCCTTCCTCCGTGACAAGAGCATGCTTCAATTGTGTTTGTCTGGGCGCAGAGCTTTGTACGATCACCGTCAAAGAGAACCCTATAATTCCACGCAGCCTCTGACCCTCGTCGCTCCTTGCTTCCGTGATATATGCATATTCTGACAAGTTCGTCCCTCAACTAGCCCCACTACCTGAACCCGAGGAGAATCCACTTTGAGTTCCTCACTCCAACATGCTATACTCAACTACCAATCCGCCCGTGGCCGGCCTCCTACTGGCCCTTGCCACCCTCGCCGCCTCAGAGATTCAGATTACACAGCCAGCGCCCAAGGCCACCACACTTGCCCTGGAGCCCGACCCTGTCCTGCACTGGGTCTACACTTCCTCAGATCCTGGTGTCGTGGGAATCATTGCTCGCCAGGACCAATCAGATAACAACTTCAACGCTGCAAATTTCCTCTTCCGTCGTGGCACGCCCATCTCGCTTGGGCAGATCGAGATTCCTATCAGCACTGTCGAAAGCTTTCAGTCTGGAATGAACATCACCTTGGAGATCACCGAGCTGACCGACCAGAACCAGAACGATCCCACGCAACAGAAGATTCTGGTTAGTCGGGGGCCTCTGAGACTTGTGGAAGGAAATGACAGCATCGACCCGATGGGCTCGAGTTCATCGATTTCAAGTGTGATGCTGTCGTCGAGCACGCAATCGTCTCCTACAGCATCAGAGACGTCTCAAATCAGCGAGGTCGAGACATCTTCTACCTCTTCTGTCAGCTCCACGGCCCTCGAATCATCACCAACGGAAGAGTCGACGTCATCACCAACGAGTGAAAGCACTGCGGCCGCCACCACTTCATCTTCCGATGCATACAAGCTGTCAACTGTAACAGCCGTTTATGTGACGTTACTGATAGTGCTGGCTATTCCGGCGTTTCTGCTCGGCCTTGGTCCTTGATCTGTCCTCGAGACATTCCCTCAGACTTGCGTGAATGGATGAGCCACCGGAGCCTGTATCACCACGACAGCGCGCACGAATGAACGAGCAAACATGGCGCAATGTGCCTTCTTGTACGACTATGCACGATGTTGAACGATGTCAGATAGAGCTTAGATTGCATGAGCGAGGCGTTACGGTACTCAAAACATAGGATTGTCGATTAGCGCAGAGCCTAGTGTTGTAAGAGCAGGGGGTGGGAAGGGGGCATTGCCTTCTTTACATCATGATTCATACACGATGCAGGCGATATTATTCATGTCAAATCGAGCAATGCCTCTTGGTAATTGCTTCAAGATGTCTGCTTATCGGTCGGTCGTGACATTCATTCATCCTCGTGATTTCGTTCTGCGAGCCACACAGGCTGATATACCCCTCTCAGCCATGTGAAGCCGCCTGAATCGCTGCGCACTTAGTACTTCATACATCGTTGGCAATCCAATGTTCCGATTCGCAGGCAAACTTAAACCTCTCGAATCCCTCCAAACCCGTAACCCCTCCGCTCTGCAGTTCGTAGATCCGGTGTCTTTGTTGCATTTCGGTCCGCGAATGGGTCGTCTTCATCCTCATCTTCTTCGTCACTTTCCTCATCACTCTCGCTCTCGACCTTCTTACCGCCGAGACCCGCGCCAGGTCTCGGAGGCATCGCTAGACCTGTAGGAGCTCCTGGCCTCGGAGGTTTCACAGGTGCCTTCTCCTCTTGCAGACTCAGGCCGGCGACCATCTTCTCGGCATCTCTGGCCTGGCTTGCCTCGGCCGCGCGCGCCTGTCGGCTTAGGTGCATCGCCTCCTCCACCTCGCTGTCACTGTCGTCCTCGACGCTGCGGTCCAAGACCTCGAACGCCATGAGCGCCTGTACCAATTCCTCGTTGGCGTGGATCAGGCCACCTAGAAACTCTTCTTGCTCCACGTAATGGATGTATCGCAGAACCTGGCGGCGCAGTTGCTTGCAAGTCTCGAAGCGTTTCTGCACCTCCGGGTCTTCGGAGACACGGTGGGATTCGCGGTTTACGAGCTTGAGGGCATTGTTGAGGTTGGTGGTGGCGACGGACGCAGAAGCGATGGACTGCAGGATTTGTGGCTTCTCGCGCTCGAGCGAGAAGGTTTGTTGACCTTTCGACTTTTTGGACTTCTTGTCCTTGCGTGAGGACAGAAAGCTGCCGGAGGAGCCGAGGGGGATGGGTGGGTTAGATGTCTTGCGAAGAGTGTTGGGGGAGGATGCTTCACCGCCGTAACTGCCGTGTCGAGAAAGTGATTGCTCGGCTTGGGCTTCTTCGAGTGCTCGTTGTCGGCGAGCGTCTTCTTCTGTCTCCCGCAGAACGCGGGACTCTTTTTGACGCTGTGCCATCGAGGGTTTCTGCTTCTTAGGGAGAACGTTGTAGAGAGACTTTGCGCCTTCTAGGCCAGGGGCTGATGTAGAGCTGGCTACCCATTGTGAGAACAGGTCCTTGCACTTCTGCCGCACCTCAGGATCTGACACTTGATCGACCGCCGCGATGCGTAGCCGCTCGAGTAAAGGGCCGTCGGAAAGAATGGTACGCTGCATACGCTGTGGGCCATTCTGGAGGATGCCATCTAGGATTGTGAGGGCACGTAATTGGCGATGTACGCTCCCATACTTGAGCTTCTTGCGAATAGCACGTGCAGCCTCGGTGGGACCGGTTGCTTGTAGCTTTATGGATTCGAGTATATCAGGAATGCCCGCAAGGTCTTCTTCTTCGTACGTTTCTGAAGTGAGCTGCTCGATGGCAACGGAGATGGAGGAAAATGGCTTTTTTTGCTGCGAGTAGCGGTAGCGTGTCAGTAGGGCATACCGGCGGCGGGAGCGAGCGCAGCAAGTGAAATGTTGTAGGAGGGCGATCAGTTTCTGGCAGCCCCGGAGTGGAGGGAGAGACGGGCGGGAGAGGAATGAGGTGCTATGAGGGAGGGTGTTGGGGTAGGCATCGAAGGTAGGTCTGCGGCGTTTGCGAGAGCAACGGTGGCATTGATCCGGGTCAGCGCAGTGTAGGAGCTTTTCGTGCTCATAGGGATCGCCACGGGAGATAGGTCTGTCGTCGTGATGCGGCAATTCTGTCACGAGAGTGTCGGGGCAGGATGCTCCGTAGGCGACGAGTAGGGACATGGTGGGGTGGTGAGGGGCAGATAGCGGAGGTGCAAGTCAAGGCATAATCCAGCAAGAGTACGACGTGAAACTTGACTTACAGAGGAAGCAAACATAGCGCCAGCGGTGGACAGGGGGTATATAATTGTAGAGGGCGGTCAGAGTGGTTCGGGACTTAGGAGGTGGAGGGGGACGGGATCAGGAGCAGCAAAGTTCCAAGAGCCGGTCCAGACTTAGAATGCAAGTCAACGACGCCGGGTCAGCAACGGCTCGGGCTGGGTCGTAAGACTCGTACTGGATGGTAACGAGGCGCAGGGAATGCTTGTGGGTCAACGGCTGATGAGTCTTGAAAATGGGAGATTGAGATGTTCCGGGGTGGACGAACGAAAGGAACGAGGATGGAGCCGTACGCCTTGCATGGAGTCGGGTCTAGAAAGTCGAGATGGTCCATTTCGCCCGCTGAACCCCCATGATTGGTACCCTCCTGGACCTGCGCGTCCACTCTTTTTCCGGTCCCCTGAATTGCAACTTGAAGATTTCTATAACCAGGGATTTCTCTCCAGTGGTCAGCGTCACAATTGCTGGAGACCGGCCTTGATTGTCTGTCTAGTTTTGATTAGAGCGTGCAATGCCGGAATTGCGTATCGATCGCCATACGATGCTATACTTGTGGTACGCTGCTCGCTTGCTACAGTCTACATATGGTCGCTGGGCTGCTGTGTCCCAGCCCCAGACATGGCATGCCAGATGCAGGCACCAAGATCGTTTGACACTGCACCTTACACATTGACAGCCGGTTCGTGTTTTGAGCCAGCTGGACTCTGGATTGCATTCACGTTGAGCCACTCGAGTGCCTAGTCCACCCACGAGTTTGCGCCGAAAGAGAGATCGTCGATGGTGGCTGCAGTTCTGGAGTGCAGCAACCCCTGACCGCCGTTCTGCCACGCGAGTTTTCCGCTCCACTCGCGGCTTGTCCAGTCCCAATACTTCACCGCCAGACAGGGTCTAGCGATAGACGAGAGTATAATTCCTCTTGCCGGTATTGATGAGCATTGCCAGTGTTGCTGCATTTGCCATCAGGGGTACTGTGGGCAACGTTTGAGTGGCATTTGGCAGGCTTGAAGTCTGACAAGTGCCACTTAAAATACCGTCAGAGGTGGCCCGTCAGCTTCGTATATGAAAGGGCCAAAAGCCTGGGTTGGGCACACAGCGGTCGGCCCAGACCTGAATGTCTTACACCGATAGACGTGCCGATGCTCGCTTCCTGGACTCCCTTATGCTTTCGGGAGACGGGAGATTTGCAGTTATCGATAATGCAAGGACTTGGTGGCTGTGTGGCGCTTAGATCAAATCACAATGATGGCCGATGCTCAACGTTCACATAGGCGCTTGCGGATAACCTCGCGTTCCTATGATTTCGTTGTACACATTTGTAAGACACGTGACTACAACGTGGCGGCGATAATGATCCTCAGGTCTAACCAATGTCTTCAATGGCCACGGCGTAAACAATGATATCTATAGCTCGGGAATACCACAGCGCACATTCGACCGGCGGTGCTGTTAGCCTCACCTCAACAAAGCACTAGTCCACAACGAGTGCAATGATACGAAGCGGTGGTAGGTAAGGACTGATATTTCCAGAGGCACATCGAACATCGGCTGAACATCCATGACTGGACTTATGGGCCCCTTTCTGATCCTGCGGATGTAATAGCCTTGGGCTCAATCTGTCGTAGACGGCACAATCACATCGAGCTTCAGAATTTCACAGACTTCACGGGCGGCAGATGAGCATATTGTTTGTATTTGGACCTATCCGCCCGTTGTTTAGGCATCTTTCCGCGGCCCGCTGCTGCACGCCAAGAGGCGACGGAGCTTGCTTATGCCGGACAGCGAATGAAGGCAGCACCGATAGCCGTTGAGGCACAGAGACTTCATCAATCTGCAAGGCCAGCCAACAACGATACGCAACATCCTCAAGCGTTGACGGAATTTTTATGAGACCAGCTCCGCCATTTATCAGGTCTGTCTTTGTAGTTTCCCTTCTTATCGCACTATTCTCAATCCTGGCCCCGCGACTTACCCCTCGACCCCTCCACCGCCTCTCGTCTCTCGTCCTTTCGCATTTCCGCGGCCACGAGAGCTCTCGCCCGCATCTCACCACCGGATATAGCACTTTTAGTCACCCCAGCAACAACTCCACAATCATGGCGTACGAGCAAGAACTCAAGCTTGCCTTGCTTGCGGTTGCCCGTGCCAGCATCTTGACCAAGGCCGTCTTCTCTGCCAAGCAAAAAGGGACCATCTCCAAAGATGATGCCTCGCCTGTCACAATCGGCGATTACGGAGCCCAAGCCCTCATCATCAGCGCGGTCAAGAAGGCCTTCCCATCTGATGAAGTCGTGGGCGAAGAGGAGGCCTCCACGCTCCGGACTGATAAAGCCCTTTCCTCCAAAATTTGGGAACTAGTCAAAGACGTGAAGCTTGATGACGCTGCAAGCGACGAGCTGCTGGGCGGACCTCTGGCAAGCGAGGACAAGATGCTCGATGCCATCGATGCCGGAAACAGTGCCGGCGGTGCGAAGGGCAGAATCTGGGCGCTGGATCCTATCGATGGTACCAAGGGTTTCCTGAGAGGTGGGCAGTACGCAGTATGCTTGGCTTTGATGGTGGATGGGGAGGTGCAGGTCGGCGTGTTAGGATGCCCCAACCTTCCAGTCGATGACAGCGCCCCTTTGACCGAGGATATGAGTGCCGCAGAAGGGGATCAGGAGGGCCGGGGCGTGTTGTTTGCAGCAGTCAAGGGTGAGGGTGCTACATCTCAACCCCTGACGCGCAAAGCCGTTGGCAAAGGTACCCCTATCAGCGTGTCCAAGATCAGCGATGTGAGCAAGGCTGTCCTTTGCGAGAGTGTAGAGGCCGGTCACTCATCAAAGGGCGACAACGCCGACATTGCGGGTAAGCTAGGCATCACTGGTAAACCGGTGCAGATGGACAGCCAAGCCAAATACGGGTCTGTTGCGCGAGGGGCGGGTGACGTCTATCTTCGCTTGCCGGTCAGAAAGGACTACGTGGAGAAGATCTGGGACCATGCCGCAGGTGAGCTGATTGTCAGGGAAGCTGGTGGCGAGGTCACGGATGTCAACGGCAGAAGACTGGACTTCTCCAAGGGACGGACGCTGACGGAGAATAAAGGCGTGGTGGCTGCACCAAAGGACGTCCACGCCGAGGTTCTCGCTGCTGTCAAGGAGGTTCTAGGTGCAAAGGCCGCCAAGGTTTAGATGTCTGAACCGGTCGGATTCGCGGACGTGAAAACAAAAGTCTTGCTTTCCAGGAGCCGGCATACATAGTACAGCATAGAAGTACAGTGGGCTCGGCACAATATCGATATGCCAGCCACATGGCTCGTCTATTTGATCTTTTTCGCCTTCAACTTTATCGTCTCGTCGTTGACGAAGATGCCCTTGCCCTTGTATGGCTCAGGCTTCCTCCATTCCCGGATCTCCGCTGCGAACTGTGTCACGACTTGCTTGTCGCATCCCTCCAGTAATATCCTGGTTGGTTGTGGTACAGTGGCCTTCACGCCCTTTGGTATCCCAAGCTCGACTGGGTGCGCGAACCCTAGCTTAAGATTCACAAACTTCTGTCCTTCGTATTCGGGGTCGACTGTCGTGGCTGTTTCTTCGATTGTTGCTCGGTAGCCCACGCCCACCATCCGCAGGATGCAGATGTGCCCTTCACTCACTCCAGCTATTGAGTTTGCGATGTGTGCTCGAGTGGTGCCCCACATGGCATGCTGATGCTTAACTTCCGGGTCGCTGACTTTGACACTGATCTTGCGGTCCGAGTCTACGAGGCTGGTCGTGACATAGGGAGGAAGATTGACCCTCAGCTCGCCTGAATGATATGTCAGTTTATCTTTACTTTTTCGTGTAGTGCATCCTGTACCTAATGGACCCTTGATCGCAACGACTGAGGTCGCGGCATCAATCTTTCTCGTTCGTGCATTTGATCTCGGCAGCTCGATAAATTGGAGCGACACTTCTGGCGGAATCGTGATGGGCTCTTTTCCAATACGGGAGGACCGCGATATCGAAGTTGAGAAAGACCGCTGGGAGAGTGCTGGAACGAGAAAGCTCGAGATTTCCCTGGTTTGAGCAGCTTGACGCAGAAGCCTGCGAAAGCTAGGTCGTAGCCCTGTACAGGCCATTGCGAAGTGAACAGAAGAGGCACAGGGTTTGCGACTCGGGCTGTAGAGTGCGCTCGAGGGGACGTGCCACGAGATTGGGTTGTTGCCGGTTGAGGAGGGCAATGTGTGAGTGCACACACCAATTCGATGCTTACCGCCACGTTCCAGCGACTGTGAACAAGTGCTTAATTATCTGCAAAGTGAGCTCGTGTCGCCCGAGACGAGGCTGAATTGGTTACCAATCCAGGACTAGCTCGAGACCGCGAGGCTGGGATTTCTATCGATATTGACCTCTTCTCGCTCTTACTTTGATACGTGCTTTACACAGTGCAATCAACCTTCTGACCTTCATTGTGCAGAGATTTATGCCTCCAAAATGTACTCCAGATGTAAGTCAAATCGCCTGATGAGCTTCGAATGAATTCGTCGAATCGGCATCATCACGCGACATATGCCTGCCAGATTCACTGCTAAACCACAAAGCTGTTCACTCGTCCCATCACATTCGCCCTTCAGGCCTGTGTCGTGGGCTATAGATGACTTCTATTTCATTTGAACCTCCTTTGAATTGACTCGCCGTCGATGATACTTATTCTCTACAATCTCTCCTCCTTCAACTCTACTAAACAAAGACTCAAGTACAACAATCCACGATGGTGGTCGCACTGAACACCATGGGTTACTTACGTTGTCGGTTCTTGCTTGTTACATTTTTCTTTGCATCTATCATTATCCGGATCAATGGCGCCGAAGCCAAGCAACCCATATCTCTAGGTTCGCATAGCCGCGTCTGGAGAGCCCAGTACTGACTAGTGCCAGCCGGATTTCCTTCAGCTACCCCTGAGATGGATCTCATTAACAGCATCACACACCGGGATATCAACAACAATGTGGTCTTGAAGAGAGCAGCTAGCATATTCCAAGAGCGACTCGCGGCCTCCAACCCTTTGCAAGAAGCCGCGCTTGATCTCCTCGGCTCGTGCAAAGATGCGAAGGAGATCGATGACCTTAACCTCAGTCAGATCAGTGAAGAGAAAGCCAAGAAGTTGTATGCGATTCGTGCCACCATCGTCGATCTCACCGGCGCCTCCATCGATGCTCCCAAACAGTGCGCCGCTTCGACCGAATCTGCTCGACGGCGGTGGTATCAATCTCTGCGACTTACGCCATTCGGCAATGATGGCTCCTCCGAAAATGACATCAGTGCCTGCTTGAAAGAGCTGTTCAAGGTTGACAATTCATGGACTTCGTTTGTCAGTCATCGCCAAGATGCCAACACTTTGTGCGAAGTGCCTGGCTCGGACAATGCAGCCCGCAGGATCATCGAATTGCTCAACGACGTCAATGGTATTATCCCGGATTGGATCAAAGCCTTCAGAGCCGAACAGGACGCGCACGCTGCGAGTCTCGAGCGTCAGCAAGCCTTCTTGCAACACATCGATGAGCTCGAGAAGAAGTACAAGGCGGGTCGTGAACGGGACCACGAAGCCAACAAAGCCAGAATGTCGGAGCTTCTTGATAGCTTCAACGCTCAGTACGATGCAATGAATCGTCAAGCTCATGCTGGCCTCTCCGACCTCGGTGGGAGCGTTGCTCAGATGCAAAATGTAAGTACTCCTTAGACTGTGACGGAAACACATTGATGAAGGCCTAGGATCTTGTCGCGTATGGCCAAGAGCTGTTCGGTGCTCACCGGGAGCATGAGGATCTTGTAGCTTCGTATCGAGCGGCGATGGTCGAAGCACTTCACCTACAGCAGCGAGGAATTGAAAATGTTGATCAAGTCGCGAGTGGCGTTATTGCTTCTTACAAAGAAGCGAATGCTGGACTCCTCTCTGTGAGTTCCAGGATCTACTCCTCAGAAGTGGCTCCGCTAACAGTTCCTAGCAGACGGAGTCATTCGCAAGTTCGCTGCAGCTTATGATGCATGGGGCTGCAGAGCAACAGCAGCAGCTGTTTGCCGGTCAGGACGAGCTCGCCTCGGCCCAAGAAGAAACCCTGCTGAGACAGCGGGAAGCCCTCGCCTTCACAAGAGAGCTTGAGGCTCGTGTCGCAAACGCAGTAGGAGAAATGAGTCATGTGCTACGTATGTTCGAGCCTGCCATGCGTACAGTCAATGCCTTCGCCTCCGGCAATCTCGGATCCAAGATCTATGTGGCCAGTGTTTGCGCGGCTGTCACGGTTGTCCTAAGCGTGCTTGGTTTCTTACGCTATGCATCGGCATTTGTGGCTTGCACATGTGAGCATTCACCCAGTCCTACCTCGCTTGTCGCTGACCATATTGCAGTCCTTGCCTGGACACTCCCTGACTTCGTGCTTCAACTTGCTGGACCCATCAACGACGGTCTGCGCTACGTTTCAGAGCATATCTCGGCCGTCCTTTGCATCGCCGCTTGCTCAGCGCTGCTTGCCTTGGTGGTTGGCGGCATCAACTACCGTCTTGCCTCGCGCAGGTCCTCAAGCAGGCCATCGCGGTTGCTTTCTCCGGTGATTCATCCTATACAACTCACACGGAGTACAGCAAGCATCCGCGAGATGCGCCGATATCAAAGCGTCGAACCAGGCATGATGTGGTACTAGCATCAAATCGTGGTGCAAAAGGATGAAGCGTACAAGAGATGATTGTCATGGAATAAGAGAAGGGTAGCCGAGCTAATGTTGGTGACACAGGGCCGGTATTGCGGGTATAGGGTCTTCTGCAGCATTCAATTTCAGAAGCGGCACTGCAATGCAACATCCACTGCGCTGAAACCGAGTCAGAGTCGCTACGACGCCTAGTTCGTCGAGTAGGCTACATTTTGCTCATTCCGAATACAACCAAAGTATCCCATCGGTCATTGTATGACATTCTATCTTCACAGTTTCGCCGAGGTTTTCTTCTCGCTGGCTCGCTCTGCTGCAGCTCTCCCTGCTTTCCGTCCAAAAACAGCACCACTCGTCAACCCGCTCCCCCCGGGATAATTGTCATAGAACAGCCCTCCCAGCATCTCTCCAGCAACAAAAAGGCCAGGAATTGCCTGCTCGTTGTATTCAGAAACCACCGCTGCTGTCTTGGGGTCCGCCTTGACACCACCGAACGTAAACGTGACGCCGCACGTCACCTTGACAGCTAAGAAGGGAGCTTTCGTCAACGGAAGCGCCCAATTCGTCTTGTCGAGCTCAAGACCACCCTTAGATGAACGCGTAGAGAGACCGTCCTTCTTTGACGGATCGAAGATAACGCTAGGATTCTCCTGTCTGTGAGCGGAGACAGCTTGGTTGTACTCTTCAATCGTCCGCACAAACGTCTCTGGCCGACTCAGGCCTCGGGCTGTGAGGTTCTTCGCTAAGTCTTGGATGCTGTCGGCGGAAATACGCTCCACAACATCTGGCGCGTATTCTTCCTTCCGCAGCCAACCCGTACCAGTCGCGTCCCAGACCTGGAAGGCTAGACCATTGGGTTGCTGTAAGATTGCGCGCCCAAACTTCGCATACGTATAGTTGCGCATGTCGAGGCCTTCGTCGACGAAGCGGTCACCATCAGTGTTGATCATGAGGCCGAGTGGATAGCCAGATTTGGTGAATTGATTGGTGAGCTGTTGGTCGCCGGCATCGGTGGGCGCATTGGCGTCCCAGCACGTTGAGTGACAGCCGGACCAGTTGCCTACGGCTTTTGCGCCTGCATCGATCGCCATCTTGAGCATTTCGCCCGTGTTATGCGGCGTGCCGCGAACGTAGGCTTTGTCCCACCCCGGACCTAGATTTGCAGCTCGCATAGAGGCGTTGGCTTCGAAGCCACCGGCGCAGAGAATCACGCCACCTGTAGCTAGGATTGGGTATGTTGAGCCAGAGGAGGAACGAACCGTCACACCGAGGACTTCATCAACGTCACTTCTGATTAAGCCCACGACGGGACTCTCGTACCGCACTTCGATGCCACGCTTGACAGCGTTGGTTTGGTGTTGCAGGGTAAGGCCTTTCCCCCCGTCGACCACATTCAGCACCATTCCACCCCAAAACTTGAACCTCCCCTCAATTTCATAGGCTTGCCGTTCGAAGCTCAGGCGAAACTTGATTCCGTTCCGGGCCAGCCACTTGGTCGTGTCATTGCTTTGGTTCACTAACTCATTCGCTAGATGAGGATCAGTGCGTCCCCCTGTCACCCGCTGCAGATCGTCCATAAAATCCTGCTCGGTGTACGGCGTCATGTCTATTCGCTTGGCCAGATCCGGTGTGACATTGTGCACGATGGGAAGCACATCTTCGAGACCTTTGAACACTGTGCGATAGGCACCCGCGGTGAACGTGGAATTACCGCCAGCCCAGGATGAGGGTGCCTTTTCCAGAACGAGTACGCGTAGCGAATGGTTGTGCTCTTTAGCGGCAGAGGCGGCCGAGAAGCCGGCATTGCCGGAGCCGACTACAACGACGTCGTAGTGCTCTGGTTTCGAGCCCTCCATTGTCTGCTGTAGTTGTCCACGGCACTGAATCAAAGGATCCGTAGAAATCGCTTCGCATTCAGCGGCTGGGTGACTATATATGTTGTTGGAACCTCGGAGGAGAGATGCTGCACCAGCAGACAGAATCTTAGATGAAATTAGGCCATAGACCGGCTACATAGAATGAATATTTTGAACAGATTGAACGGCGACATCTTGTCAAAGACTGCCAGATGGTGTCGTCGTCCATTCATGGCCTCGGAATTGCCTCTTTCGCAGCTTCTCCAAATCTTGTCCGCTGTACCCGCGGCGTGTGTACCCATAACATGTACCCAGATCCGACATGTCAGGTACGCTAATGTATCCCGCTCAGCAATCCCTCCCTCTGGCACCTGGGTGGTATGATGGCTAAATAATGGTACCGCCGATGCCGGTGACGCCTCTTCGTCACAGGTGCAGAGTGACCGCCGACCGGCGTGGACTCTCTCCATATTTGCGTTCCAGTCAACTGCCGATTTCCCCAGTTTTTACCCCAACGCGGCCGCTACGATGCCACCCTTGTTGTTGATCTTCACCCAAGAAAGCTTGGAGTGCTTGTGTTAGCTTGTGAACAGCGGCAGGTTACCGGTAAGGTTGGGGTGTCCCCCCACCAACTTAGCAGCCTACCGCACGCTCGTTGCAATGAGCCGCCGGTAGGACCGGACATAACTACTCCGTAGAGTTCGAACCGATCGCGTGTCTCCCACAATGCTTGGAAACTGAGAATCCTCGGCTGATCAGCCTTTATATTGCCTGAACGTGCCGTGTCGTTTCGATTCCTGCCCTCAGCCTTTGTGTCCAACCATCCATCACGTTTGTGTACTTGCAACATGGCTGATATAGAGAAACACCCTATTGACCGCTCGCCGTCGGCAAGCTCCATCGACAAGGGCCGCAATGCTCACATCGAGAACGAGAAAGCCGCCGACATGCCAGTCATCTCCGGCGTGCGACAAGATCCAGACCTCGTCGTGACCCAGGAAGAAGAGGACCGTGTTATCAGGAAGCTTGATTGGCGCTTACTACCGTTCGTCTTTGTACTTTACAGTCTGTCGGTACTTGACCGTTCGAATCTCGGAAATGCCAGACTTGCCGGATTGGAAGACGACATTGACCTTACTGGTAATCGCTATCAACTTCTCGGAACGATTTTCTACATCGCCTGTGAGTTGTGTGAGGCGCTGGTAAAGTGTCCATACTGATCTCCTTCACAGATATCTTATCCCAGTGGCTCATCATTGGATGGAAGATCTTCCCACCTCACATCTACTGTACCATTGCAGTCTTCTTCTGGGGCGTCATCGCGACGGTGCAAGCTGCTGTGACATCGTGGGGCGCCTTGATGGCTTGTCGCTTCCTGCTCGGTATTGTTGCTCCCCATACGCGCCCATCGAATCCGCTGATTTGTTCATCAGGTATCGGCGAGGCAATGTTCGGACCTGGCGTACCGCTATATCTCTCCTTCTTCTACCCACGAGACAGGGTTGGCTTTCGACAGGGCGTGTTCATCTCTGGTGCCGCCATGGCAAATGCCTACGGTGGTGCACTTGCCTACGGCATCAGCCAGATCCATGGGTCAATCGCTCCATGGCAGATCCTTTTCATCATCGAAGGGTTACCCACCGTCTGCATCGCGTTTGTCGCATGGTTCATCCTCCCAGATTCGCTTGCGCAATGCAAGTTCCTCTCCGACCGTGAGAAACAAATAGCCTCCCAAGCGGTGGCCCGAAACCAACAAGCCGATCCGGATCGCAAATCTGGCTTCAAATTCAAGCAGCTGCTCGCGGCATTCAAGGACCCGAAGTCATACATCCCCGGAATCATGTACTTCAGCTGCAACGTATCGTTCGCTTCGCTTCCTCTCTTCGTCCCAACAATCATCTCAGGACTAGGCGTCTTCACCAAAATCCAGTCTAATGGACTCTCGGCCCCTCCATATGTCCTATGCTTCTTCATGATCCTCCTTCTTACATTCTTGAGCGATCGATACAAGATGCGAGCACCGTTCATCATTTTTGCAGCACTAGTCGCAGCCATCGGCTTCATCCTCCAGGCAACTTGCAAATCGCCCGCGGCGCGATATACTGGCGTGTTCTTGGCTGTGCAGGTATTCTGCTGCGTAGCATTGACGCTGGCGTGGGTATCGAATATCCACAGCACGGAAAGTAAGCGCGCCGGTGCCATGACGATCCTGGCAACGATTGGGCAATGTGGACCGTTATTGGGAACGAATGTAAGTGAAGCCCCCGAACTGTGGCTCCTTTCTGACAAGAGTAGGTCTTCCCTGAAAGCGAGAAGCCTTACTACCATAAGGGCATGTGGATCTCAGCCAGCTTCTGCCTCCTCATTGCGGCCTGCAGCGTGGCGTTGGCTGGTATATTGATCCGGGAAAATAAGCAAATGGAGAGACAGGGACTAATTCCCAAGAAGGGAGAGACAAGAGACGGGCTTAAGGATCGTGATGTTGAGGGTGTCCCGCGATATCGGTAAGTGACCTGCCCGTGGACACCAACGCACAGGCACTAACCCTGCTAGGTATATCTGGTAGTCGAAGCTACTATCTCGCCACATTGAAAGTTACTAGTGTACTGTGTAGCAAGCTACTCTCAACGGAGTCGCGATAAAATGAGGTGGTCGTAGCGAGCAAGGTTCTAGATCTTAGGTCGTTACCCCCTTGTTCTAACGTACAATCTTGCTACGTCTGCGAGCTTTTTCCGGCCCACGGTCGTCCCACCGACTTTGAGCAGCTTCGAAACTAGGCTACAAGATCTTTTGCAACAATGGGATATAGAGCTCCTCGACGCTGATAGACCTACCAGGGCTGAAAATGCTTGGCCCACCTTTCTCGCTTACAGGCTTGAACATCAGTATACTGGAGCCAGCCTCGGCCTGGACAGACTGCAAGGGCAACATCATGCAAAGGCTGAGTGCTTAAAGCATGCGGCGGCCGCTGTGGGTGCCTCGGTTTACTTACGTACTCTACAGCCGGAGGTTGTCAGAGACGATGAGGACAACGTTGGAAATCCAAGGTTTATGAACAGAATGAGCGCACCTTCATCATTGGAAGGCGAGGAGTGCAATCGGAATATGAGCCTAATAATTTCGTATCTTTCGATGGATCTAAAGTCCTAAAGGATGCTGAATGGGAGGAGGTCAACATATTGGACCCGGAGGGCTGGGACGAGGATTATCCAGATGATGAAGAGCATTCGGGAGATACTGGTAACGAAGGCTGCACTGCACCTCAATCTATTGGTATAGGAATATTGCCAGTATTGCCTACTTCTTTCCCTCTGATTGTTGACAGACCTCATCAGGCCATTCTCATCGTCCCTTCGAATACGCTACACAGATTCATGTTCAGAGGCGACCGCAAATGGCGCATTGCTCGGCAATGGCTGGAAGAACTCGGGGCTGGCTTTTGGACTAGCCGATCTGCGCCACACAAAGTTCGGCCAACTGTGCACAACACTTCTTCGAGCTGCAGAAGAACGAGACCCGTTCAGATACGTCTATGGTCGGTCACTATACGGACAGAGTTCCAAAGATGGGGACGAAGCTCGGCAGATATGCATTAAGGACATGGCTCAGATTGGGTTGGAGACAGGCACGATGGACATATTGGAATGTGCCTTACCTCGACTCACCGAGGGGCTCACGACCGACAGCTTCCACCAGCTAGGACGCTGCATTGATTTGTTTGGACCGAAATACACGCGCACGAGGTGTGTACTTTCTCGGAACGCCCACCCTTGTTGATGACATGCTGAACCCCGTGAAGTGTTGTGAAGGCGGTGAATTGCCGCTGCGGCATTGACGCGAGATATGAGGCACACCAACTCATTACTGGCGGCTTCAAGGACGCTAGCTCCGCAATGTCTGACGAAGCCCAGACAGAATGTCAGCAGTGGCTGGAGTCGACACTAATCAATTGTGTTGGGTCTGATACGTGAACGTTCCACAAGGCTGAAGGCGCAGCTTTGTCGAAGATGTTGGCCAATACAGACGCTGCGAGCAGGTATGAGAGCCGTCTTTCCATGTCAAACAGCCCGTGTGTCTGTCGGGGAGACCTCACTCTGATAAAATGCCGCAGGACGAGCCTTGAGACCGCTCTTTTCGAGGCCCCTACTAGCTTTCAGGCTGGCTTCTGCCTACGTCTAGGCACTTATCAGCAATTGCTGGGTGCCGGCGAAGATGAACGCACAGCTATAATTCGAAAGGTTCTTGTATAAATCTGGGCCAAATTCAGCCTCGATAGTACCGATATCGCGGCCGCCCTGAGTTCCTTCGACACCACAGAGACACAGAAAGCCGTCATTACGGGCATAGATCTCATGGAGCTCCTGCGCTTGACAGATCATCGGGAGGTCAATGCAATCGGCTGTGACCCTGATGCCACCAATGCGCCACGCCCAGTGGAAAGCTGCCTGCAGGCAGCATGTAGTTCCGCAGCTACCGATGACCTCCGGCACACACTCCTGCCATTTGCAGTACACGTACCGGGCAAAGAAGTCTCGATTCTGCTCATGCCCGACCGATCGCCTACCGACGCCTCTACAAGCATCATCGAAACAGTACCGCATCGGCATGCAAAGAATCACGTTGGTGTGAAGCCTAAACCGCCGCGGAGTTATGCCATGAGGGAAGGCTCCTACATCTGTCGTGATTGCAGCAAGGTAAATACGTTCCTGCGAGATCCTAAAGGACCATCTGCAGGATTCCGGTCAGCAAAAGGCATCGCCATGATCTTCACGCCATCTTTGGCGACAATCTGTCTCTTAATAGATGCGGGTTCGTGGCTTACACTACAACCACGCTCAGGAATTCGAATCCACCCGTACGGCAGATCACGAAAAATCGTGACGCTTATGACGAGAAGCACAGGCTGTGAAGAGTCAGGGAGGCCGACTTCTGGGGCCAGGTTGCGCCGATCGAGCAGACGGGCAGCCTTGTTGAGTTCATTGGCCCATCGACCTATGAAGCGATCAAGCAGAAGGATGTCGAGATGCTCATTACGGACCACGGCAACAACGGAGTTGCACCAAGAGCGCCCCTAAATCATGCATCAGCGAGCTCGACTAACAAGCGTGCCCGGGACGAGGATGATGCCGGAGTCGGGAGTTCAGGTAGTAACAGAGCCGCAACGAGGCATTCAAGGGCCATCGAAGTTGTCGATCTGACCGAAGACTGACGAACTGGCGTATGTGTAAAGCCCCGAGATGGGGGATTGCAATTGCGGCTGAATCATCAATGTGTGAATATGTTCCATGCATGTAGCCATATATTAATACTTTTCGACGCAACGAACGCGGTAGAGATGTAAGAAGGACTTGATCAGTTTATTGGAAGTCATGCTTACACAGGTACCTCGGCTGCAGCACAGCCTCAAGCCCCTTCGGAGTTCGGCACAATAAGCGCCCAGAAGTCGTTCGCTTATGATTTATGATATGACCATGCTGCGGTGCTTACAAGGGATGAACTGCTCTTGCTCAACTATACCACGTCGACGACTGTGCGTGCTGAGTGAGGCGACACAGCCATGGACAAGGCAGATGCCGAAGGGCTGAAGGCGGCGCCCGTTCCGCCAGCGGTCAACGAGAAGCAGATCGGCCTTGATCCGCACGACCTCCCGTTCTGGAGGAAATGCACCATCACGGCTCTGCTCGCGGCCATTACCTTCACAGTCACGTTTGGCAGCTCGGTCTTCTCGTCGACATTCGCGGTCACGGCTGAAGAGTTCAACACCACCACGACGGTGATGATACTGGGTGTATCGCTATATGTGCTGGGATTTGCCGTGGGACCGCTGTTCTGGTGAGTTGCGATCGCTCTACCTGTCTATGTACTCTTAGCGACTTGCTTTACTGACTGTCGCGTTTCCGCGGCCTGCCCAGGGGTCCGACATCCGAGGTCTTTGGAAGAAAGATCCCAATTTTCACCGGTTATGTTATCTTCGCCATCGTCCAGATCCCATTGGCGCTTGTCCATAATCTTGCTGGAATCCTGATCCTACGATTCCTCGCAGGGGCGTTTGGAGCGGCACCTGTAGCATTGGTAAGTGCCACGTACGCCGACTTCTGGTCGCCGGCGGCCAGGGGTACCGCATCCGCAATGTATGCCGTTGTCTGCTTCGTCGGCCCGTGTATGGGTCCGATTGTCGGTGTTTATATTGTTGAGACCTTGGGTTGGAGATGGACCGCGTGGGTTACACTGGTTATGGCTGGCTTCTTCGGCATTCCCGCTGTTATCCTGGTCCCGGAGACGTACTTGCCTGTCCTAAGGAAGGATCCCAAGCCAGAATGGAAAACATTCCTGTCCAAGTACATGATCCGGCCCGTCGCCATGCTACGTCATGAGGTTATGGTAAGTATTATCACGATATACAAGAAGCTGTGCTGACCGGTGCAGCTGGATGTCATGACCATGTACGCAAGTCTCGCATATGGCATCCAATACCTTTCGTTCTTCGCCATCCCATACATTTTCCGCCACGATCGCCAATGGCCACAGTCCGCAGCTTCTCTACCGTTTCTAAGCATGCTCCTCGGCATCACATCAGCATCTGTCGGTGTCTCGATCTTCTATGCCAAATGGTTTGAGCCACGATTAATCGCTCGCGGCAGAGTCTGTCCTGAGGATCGACTCCCGCCCGTCATGCTTGGCTCGTTCCTCTTGCCCGTGGGGCTTTTTTGGCTGGCGTGGTCGTCTGATGAGCATTGGATGGTTCAAGTCATTCCGATCTTCTTTACTGGTGCGGGGATCATGCTCATTTTTGCCGTGGGAGTAGTCTATATTATAGACATATATCTTCCAGTCAGCGCCTCTGCCATCGCTGCCAATACCGCGGTTCGAAGCGCCGTTGCCGCCGGACTACCATTAGCTGCCCCGAGGATGTACGAGACATTGGGAACGAAGTGGGCGACCAGCCTTCTCGGCTTCCTTACTCTGCTACTGATCCCGGCGCCCTTCCTGTTCTGGCGATATGGCGAGCAATTGAGGCGCAACAGCAAGTTTGCAATGAGCTCAAATTAAGGCTCATTGCAGTACCCTTCCAAGAACTTTACACCCAGAGTGTTGTACTTCTCGCCAAGCAGGCGTTCACGACCAACAGCCAACAGTTTGGCCATATCCTGACGACAGTCGATATAGAGACCACGCAGCTCCTTTCCCTTTCCGGCGGCCAGAAAAGCACATGTTTGGCCACAAAGGATTGGCGGGTCCTTGAACAAGGATCTGAAGGTCGCTTCATCGCGCGTGTGGTCTCCGTACTTGGCCTTTACGTCCGGTGCCGCCTCTGAGCCACCCATGTCCGTCAGAACGCCACCTGGATGAAGCGCGTACATGTGGATCGCAGGGTCGAGACCGTCGACTTCCATCTCTCGCTGCATAGTGTGAGTGGCCCGAATCAGTGCGGCTTTGGATGTGTTGTAGCCGAGTGCCATGGGCACATCTACAGTGCCACTTCGAGAGGCGATGTTGATGATGCAGCCGTGGCCTCGGTCACGCATACGCGGTAGGATCTCGGACATGAGAAGCAGTGGCTGGCTTGTTAGGACATGAAGATCAAAGAGCAGAGGGGGTGCTTACGCCTTTGAAATTGACCTCGATCTGCCGCCAAAAGCCACTGAACGTCGACATGAGCAATGGGCGATGCACCATGACACCGGCATTGTTGACGAGTACGCTATCAGAAGGTAAGTCTCTAAGTGCAAGCTGCTGCAAGTACTTACTCGATGGGACCCAAGTCCTTTTCGATTGAGCTAAGAACTTCCTTCACTCTGGCATCGTCCGTCACATCGCACCCGTACGTCTTCACCTTGACGCCGTGAGCGTCACAGGCTGCTGCAGTCTGCGCTAGCGACTCTTCGGAGAGGTCGAGTAAGGCTACATTCGCCCCTGATGCCGCGAGTGATTCCGCAATCGCGGCTCCGATGCCTCGCTGAGCGCCGGTGATGATCGCGACTTTACCGTTGTTCGTTCCGGCTAGTGTGTCTCGGGAGATGATATCGTAGGGCGCATGCTGCAATGGCAGGGTTGAAATACCAAATTCTGCTGGGTCCATGGTTACAGTACTTCTTGCTCTGGATCTGTGTCTGCGATGACTCCCTAATGCTGCTCTGCCCAACCCACCGCAGGCATTCCTCGTGCTTTGACGGCCTCTTCACGGCTATATACCACCGATGCCACAATTCGCTTTCCCCGCTCTCCATCAATTGACCCCACATCCCCAACTTGCGGAGCAGCCTTGGTATGTGGGTGTAGTTGCTCGTGCTGCCATCAGGCACATTGCGTGGTCTTCTTCTCCCCACCTCAGAGCCCAGCCCAGCCTGGAGTTCGAGGTCATGCTTCTACGAGACCCTCAGACAGGTACGATCGTCAAGCTCCCTTACGCTCTCTGGGAAGCTTCCTTGGCTTCGGAGATGGCCTCTCCGGCTCCGGTCTTAGGCTGCAACATCGAAGCAGATCACTGCCAAAAGCTCTCAAAGTCTGAACTCTCCCCCGCAGCGACCCCTGAGGCTTCTCGTCATAGCTCCCGCATAGGTCACAACCTGCCGGACACGTTCCACAACACGTGCCGTCGCTTGATATCTTTGGAACAGCCTCAGTTGGAGATCCAGCGGAACCCTTGATCAACGGAGCCCTTCCCGAGGATATAGGAACCTCCAATCGATAGCCTGCCAGTCAAAAGACAGGCGTAGCCCCAATGTTGCTCGTTCTTTACGTCTACTGTCATCCTCAGTGGACTCGCTCGACCCTCAAGCGGCAATATGGAGAAACAGAGCCTTCCGGCAGGCGTTCACGATGAACAGATCATTGATGTAGGCCCGAAAACGTTGCCTACATACCACTGCTGCTGACACCTCCCAGAAAGAGGCTTCATCACCGCCTGCCGCGGACCACCCCGAACTTGACCTCGAGCTATTGAACGACAGAGCCCGCAACCGCAGCATTGTCCGCCGCGCAGACTTGCGTATTCTTCCTCTGTGCGCGTGGATCTACCTATTAAACTACCTCGACAGGGGGAACATCGGCAATGCAAAGGTACTCAATGCTGAAACCAAGGACGACATGCTCTCGCACACCGGCATGGATGCCACAGATTACGCCGTTGCCGTATCGCTCTTTAGCTTGGCGTATGGCTTGTTCGAGGTTCCCAGCAACTGGATAATGAAAAAATATGTGAAGCCGAGTTTATGGCTCGGCTTCCTGCTCTTTGCTTGGGGAGTTACGACCATTGGCTTTGCCGGCGTGCAGAACTATGCAACAGTCGTCGTGCTGCGCTTTATGATCGGTGCTTTCGAGGCAGGCTTTGTAAGTATCTTTCCCCTTGAAGAACTTCCATCGGTCGACGTCTGGTGTATGGTGACTGATTCAGATTTCCGACGTCTGTAGTTTCCAGGTATGTTCGTCCCAGTGTCTATCCCAGGGCCACCCCAAGAGAACGACGTGCGGTACTAACGAACGGGAGGTATCGTCTACTTCATCACCTTTTGGTATAGACAGGAAGAGCGTTCGCTGCGCATCGCATTCGTAGTTGCGCATGCAAACCTCGCCGGCGCGTTTGGGGGAAGTATTGGTTATGGTATGGGAAAGCTGAACGGTGTGAGCGGGTTGGAGGGTTTCCGATGGTTATTCATCATCGAAGGCCTGATCACTGCCGTTTGCACCGTCTTGGTTGTCTTCTTCCTGCCCGACTACCCCTCTACCGCGCGCTGGCTGTCCGACGAGGACAAGAAGTTCGCCGAAGACCGGCTCAAGATCGATGGGGGCGGTCACACCAAGGAGAAGTCTAGCAAAGAGGCAGTCAAGCAGACCTGCCTTAGCCCCAGAATGCTGGCGCATTACTTTACCTACGTATGTTGCTCACGGGCTGCTTCACCATTCAAACATGCATACTAATAATCCTTTCCCAGATCATCGACTGCATACCCCTCGGGTCGTTCACCTTCTTCACCCCAACCATCGTCACAGGCCTGGGCTATTCCTCGATTGAAGCCCAACTCCTCGTCATCCCACCCTGGATTGTCGGCTACATCTGCGCCCTGTTGGTGAGCTATTCAGCCGATCACTTCAACGCACGAGGCTTGCATATCGCCTTCAATTCTATCGTCGGTGGCTGCGGCTGGCTTGCGGCCGGACTCTTACCGCACGACGCCTATGGCGCCCGCTACGCCTGCCTCTGCGTCGCCGCCGTGGGCGCCTTCCCCGTCTCAGCCCCCCTGAGTGCGTGGGTCACGTGCAACGTACCGAGCGTCACAACCATGGCTATCGCCACAGCGCTGAACAACAGCTGTGCTGGCTTGAGCCAGATCATCGCGCAGTGGATATGGCGTGCGGACGAGAGTAGCCGGGGGTATCCGACGGGGAACTTCGTGTGCGCGGCTTGCAGTTTTGGCGTGGCGGCGATGGCATTGGGGTTGAGGGTCGTGTATGGGAGGATGAACAAGGCTGGGACGAAAGATGCGGAGGGCAAAGTGAGGCGGTGGGCACTGTAGCTGCTGAAGCAGGACAGGAGATTTCTCTGCTTTCTTTCCACCGTCCTCCGAGGGTGGAATCATTTGGAAGGGGACAACAGAAGGGGCAATCTCCGGGTGGAGAAGTGTCCTATCTGAACACTATCAGCCTCAACTATGCCCTGAGAGCTGCAAGACCTTCAGAGAACGAACACGGCAGATACTATTATCCTAAGACGTTGGCCAGTCCGTCTCTTCAACACGGTACACTAATTTCTCCCCGCTGTACCGGCCTTCCCGCAAGATCTGCAGGCCCTCCTCCAGCGCTCCTCTCAAACCACCCTTCTCAAGTCTGACCGGGTGCGTCACAAATTTTCCCTGCGACCAAATCGCCTCTGTCGCTTCTACGAACCTGACACCGTGCTCGAAAAGATCTGGATCTGCTTCGAAGCTCTCGCCCTCAAAGATATACGCCTCGCCACTGACAGAGTATCCAAGGAAGAAGGTCGTTTCGACATCGGATCGAGGACATTTAGGGCCGAGAAGAGTGCAGTACTTGCCGCCAGATGAGCCTATTGCATCTGCACAGATGGCGGCTGTCTCTTCTGTCGAGACGCAGTCGAAGACCTGGGATAGCCGGTTCTGCGTCGCCTCCCGGATCTGCTTGCCCACAGATGGATCTCGCTGGGCGCGTCAGGTGGAACTGTTAAGTGCGGGAAGAAGACTTACGTAGTCAAACACCGCATCGGCCCCAAGGGTTTTCACCCGTTCGAAGTTCTTGGGGGATGCGGTGGCCAAGACCTTGAAACCAGATCTATTCAGAAATGTCAGAGGGCGGTCGACCGCATCGATGCAGCATCTTGGTAGTAGTCTGGACATACAGCTTCGCAAATTGGATTGCAAGAGCGCCCGTGGCTGTGCTCCCACCATAGATCAGAACTTCCCCGTGTTGAGGCGGAGCAGTGACCTCGGGCCACGGCAAGCCAAGAACTTTGTATAGACCATAACCCAAGGTAGTGAGCCCGACACCGACAGTGCTTGCATCTTCGAAGCTAACACCACTGGGGATATGCCACTGCGTATCGCCTTTGACCGTTATGTACCGGGCAAATGCTCCGTGCTCATGATTTGCATCGTTGCCTGATTACAACCGAAACGTCAGTGGCTGAGGGCGCTCATTCGTATACCCCGATTCGGCTTACCCCCGTGCGCGTATCCCGCTACCCGATCACCCGGCTTGAAATTTCTTTTGACACCTTTACCGACTTCCACCACCACTCCAGCGTAATCACAGCCGACTATGGATCCAGGCTGACCGGGAGCGTCGAGGGTAGTCCAATCGGTTGGATTTAGTGCTATCGTTACAGGGCGAACGATCATATAGTCGTCCTGCAGGCGAGGTACAGGGATTCCCCTGAGGACTGCCCGTCCGGTATCGACTCGGACCACACCGAAATTCTGCTTCATCCTGATATTATGTGTGGTCAAGTCGTGACGACGATGAGGCTCCATCATTTGAGATCAACAAATACATATGTCTTTTATGTGGGTGACCAGCAGCGGCAAGCATACCGTTTCTGTACAGAAGCTTACCAAATATGTCATTACTGTTATCAAGCACGCAACTCTTGGCGGGATCCGGAGCCGAACTTTACATGGAGTTCTGGCGTTTGAAGCGCTCATGATTGACTAGCAAGAGATGACCGCCGGGCTGACAAATTGCTGCCATATCCCCTATCTGAGAGCTACAGGCACTTATCTCGCAAGGGCTCTTCGAGTACCAGCACTATTGTTCAGACAATTACCACAACCATCACTGCCGCTATAGCCCGTTCTACCAAAGATGACCTCCTCACTTCCCACAGAACGACAAGCCTGGCGTCGCACAGACGACCACAGCCCCGGTGCTCCCCGCCTCAAGTTAGTTACAGAGCCACTCCCTCATCCTCTGGCGCCCACATCAGTCCTGATCCGCGTCCACGCTGTCTCGCTCAACTACCGCGACGCGAACATCGCTAATGGCGGCAACCCCTGGCCCGTGATACCCAACGGCATCATCTGCAACGATGCCGCCGGCGAAGTCATCGGCCTGGGCCAGAACGTCCGGCGTTTCAAGGTCGGTGACCGTGTGGGACCGACCACCGATACCGAATATCTGGCGCACCGCTCCACGGGCCGGTCATGGCTGGCGGCAAATGAGGATGGCGTGCTTGCGACGCATATCGTGTATGATGAGGCGGTGCTGGGACGGTTGCCCACGTATCTGCCATGGGAGAGCGCGGCGTTGATCCCGTGCGCCGGTGTGACGGCGTGGGCAGCGTTGAGAGGCATGGGTATCGGGAAGAGTGTGGTTATCCAAGGTAGGTGGCTGACTAAGCTTGATGATCCTCGCGAGAGTTGGTGAGTAGATCTTTGTACTGATTGGGCGTGACACAGGTACTGGGGGCGTAAGCAGCTGGGCGCTGAAGCTAGCACGAGCGTCTGGCCTTAAAGTCATCCTGACATCATCCAGCGATGCCAAACTCGACAAGATGAAGAAGTTGTTCGGTACGCCAGAAATCCAGACGGTCAACTACTCCAAAACGCCAGACTGGCACGAGGAGGTGCTAAGACTCACGAATGGAATTGGTGTTGATCTGGTGATTGAGAATGGAGGGGCGTCATCGTTGGTGAAGAGCCTCAAGTGTACGCGGCGAGGTGGCATTGTCAGCCAGGTCGGCTACTTGGGCAAGCAGCAGGCAACAGATCTGCAGGAGCTCGTGCCGACTATCATCGACCGCCGAGTACTATTGAGGTAAGAAGATATCCCTCCATTGTTTGAGACGGTTGCCTGATATATACGTGCCAGGGGAATCAATGCCGGCCCACCAGAAGATATGGAGGACCTATGTGAAGCGTTGGAGGCAACTCAGATGCGATTCGACGACATAATAGACAAGGTCTACCAATTTTCACAAGCTGAAGAGGCAGTACAGTCGCTATGGGATGGTAAGGTGGTGGGCAAGGTCGTGCTTCGATTGTGAACAGCACTGGGCAAGAGATGTCTATGGTTCCTGACAAAGGAACTGGCGTCGGGAAGGTGTGAGACAAAGGTGTTCGCCCAATAGTGATTGGAACTTTGATTGGATTTCCGCCTGCTTCTTTCACTTATCAACTGCCTCTTGGCGCCCTAGTCACTGCTTCGACAAAGACGAAGGATCTTCTGCCCGGGATCGTATGAGTGACGAGGCACACTTGTCACTGAAGCAACTACCCCGTCTGATTTCTACCTATCATAAGTATTTCATCAACGTCTCGTCTGCTGATACACAGCCTTCACTTCCAACAATCCTTCGAGCCCGGCACAAACGAAATACGCCGAATTCCAAACTGTGCCTTGTCACCATTAACCCTCCCCAGAACCGTCTAGTATCAGTTGTCTCCTACGCCACCATGAACGCTCCAGCCTATCTTCGCCAGTTCGAGTTTCTAGTTCTCCCCACCGAAGTGCGTCTCATGGTGTACAAATGTCTGCTCTCAAGGCAAGTTGGGGTCATCGCCTGCCCAGAAGTTTGCAAACATGTCCCCAGACTCAGAGCTACCGAAGATCAGCTCAGAGAACATCCTTGTCTGTCCACTGGAAAGTATTTCCAAGAGTTTCCAGTTGATTATCACCACTTGCACAATCAACACGAAATCCAAACTTCAAGTGCCCTTGGTCTTGCTCGACTCCTTCAGACCTGTCGTACAGTATTTAGTGAGCTGATACCCCTTTTTGGAAGCACCCTCGCTTTCAACATCGCCACGCTCGAGTTGGGCTGTTGGTTTGGAACTCGTATCTCCTTGACCGCTCCGCACATCAAAGACCTCGCTCTTGGCGGTGCTCCGGATCAGGGCCTTGCGAACAACCAGAAACGCTGGCTAAAGGTCTTGCTCAAGCGATTCTCGAACTTGGAGCGGCTGGTCATGAAGCTTGACCGTCGAGCCGACCCGTCCATCATCGGTACCAAGTGGCAAGTTGACGAGTTGCGTAAGATGAAGATCGTGCTGGAGAACAGCCAGATGAAGATGGTCTTCTCAGTGCCACCATGCTGTTGCATGTGCTTGACTCCCGTTCTCTTCTCAAAGGATCCTCCTAATTTATCCGGATGTGCCGCTGGAACAGGTCGATATCGATTCTGAGTTTCAGGCGTGGCAAGGCGGACGCAAGCTAGGCATGGGCGACCTGGAGTGGACTATGCACGGCTGATGCGAGTATTCTGGGAAGTCTTGCTAAATGAACGTCTGAGCGCAATTGGATTCACGAAGTCTGGATATATCACAACATATGACACCGATACCGCCGCTGACTCATCATGAAACGATTCAGAACCCGGTGGCACGGCGTTAGGATTACGGGTTTTGTACCATAGCTGAGATGATTGCGGAGGGCAACATGCTGCGCCGTTGTTGGTATGAGGTCTCCTTCAATGGATCAACAAAGTTGGCAGCAGAAGAAACCTTGGTCTGAAACCCATAGGATCGAATCTATCTGCTTGGACACAAGTATCGAGGAGGTACTTGAATTAGTCAGAAGCGGCTGCCCTCAGACGGGTTAGCGTCATACGGGTTGCAGACACAAGCTTTCGCTGTAGCCAATCAACTTGCCCCGGCCTCGATGCTCTCGTCCGCATGCTCGCACTCTCGCACTGGGCATCAACGCTATTAGCGTTCGTGAGGGCTATCTGTACTTCGACAGCACAGATACCGGACCTTTCAACGGTATTCCGATCGATGTCCTGACGGGTGAGGCTACAGGCCCGGGGGATCCGATCGTTGACAACGCATTTCCCGACGTCGTTTCGACGACTTCGCCATCGACTTTGCTGGCAACGCCTGGATAGTCAGTAGCGTGGGTGAAGTCACTCTGTCGCGAGATGTCACGGCGGGGGCTCAGGTCTCAACTATCGATATCGTTGCTGGCAGCACAACTGACACACCAAGATCACGGGGCATACAGCTGCCAAGTTTGGGACTAGCAGTGTGACCTGAAACACGGGTCGCTATATGCGACTACTAGCGGTGGCGCGTTGGGGTACATGTTCAGCAACTGGACGACGGGCGGTATGCTACGGAGGTATGATGTTGGTACACTCTACTCGGCATAGGTTCGCACCGTCAGTGCCTGCTCCTGTCAACGAGTGACAAAGACGGTTAAGCCTTTTGTGGGAGCTAACGATGTACTTAGTCTAATCATGATTGCACTCGACAAAGCTTGTGCTTGAAGGCTAGTGCTACACTGCTTCTAGCACTAATATTTGGAGGCCATCCCATGGTCTAGAAAGGTAGTTCAAGGTCTGGCAGTCACTGAAATACTTGTACAACTTCACTTTTCAATACTTCTGGAACTAAACGTAACTGCATCCGCCAAGACTTTCACTGCCTGACTCCCATATGTGTTTGTACAACGCTCATTCCAGCAGTAATCATGTCAGGGCTCTGAAAGCTTGTATCCGAGCTTTTGTGTATGTCTTCTATATTCTCTCTGAGTCTTGTGTCTCTGTCAACAATGTCGAGCGTCAACACGGTTTTGATTGTGAAGGCGATCCTTCACAAATCGGCTGTGCAAGCCGTGCAGGTCGAAAATTGCGATTCTGTATCTTAACCCGAGGCGTGCTCAGCATCATACCCGAGTACTATGGGAATCAGCATTCTGATAAATGCGGCTGTGGGCTGAATATAATGCATCGGACGGAACGATTCAACTAGACCGGCAAAACCTCGGTCCAACATAGGAGGCGTCATTTTATACACCAATATCATAGTTGCCTGTCAATAAATACGAACCATGGTACAATACTCGTGGCTCTATGGAGGTGCTATGACACATAAGGGCCATCATGATACCTTCGAGCCTTCGAACGGTTCTCGCATCATGCAGCCGCAGATGTCAGCGGTAATTTGCTTTCAGTTCCAGCCAATGATACCATCTCCCAAAAGCTGTCCCGACCCATCAGCTATTTGCACTGGCCTCCCTACAATCCCTCGGTTTCCAACGGTAAGATCGAACGAAACTTGATCTCTAGGCAGCTCGCAAGATATCGGTACAACTGCTTGCGGCGGTTCGTCGAGTGGGACCATGAACGCTGTGAGTATGTCGGGCTTGGTGGCAGTCCTAATCTTGCTCGAGAGATGTACTGGTCTTGAGAACTTCCTGGAAGATTGCTCAGTCACTACATCGTCTGATAGATGTGGTGCTGGGACTTACTGGACCTCCACACGAAGACGTTGTCCGGACAGGTGTGGTTGGCTCTGACCTTCTTCGCATCTCAACTCCGCCAACACTTGCCCAGTGCATGCTTGGCTCAGCAGCAGACGACATGGCGGCAATGCTGATCGCGTGGGACGCGACTTGGACGGAAAGATGGTTGCGACCAAGTCACCGGCTGGAGCATTGCGAGGAGTCTCTGGACCACACATCGCTGCTGAGCACTATTTCGATAACGCAAAGCAGACAGTATGTGCTTACATACGGGCAGCTCCAGCCCAGCTGTACTACATACATAAAAGTTGTCAATACTTCTCACAACCTACAGCATACGCTAGACCACAGTAGTTAGCGTTTGTTAATGTGCTCAGTCTGGGCACGGCCGTAGTTGGGTTAGCCTCAGTGACACTCCATACAGCTCCATTCAGCAACGCCTTCTCCTGTTGACGCGACACCCCACTGATGAGCAAGTTTCGCGCGACCCTCGAGTGCAATGGTTGTCCGCGTACCCTGCGATGAGATGATACGCATCTCCGCAACGGGACCCACAGGCTACAACCAGAGTCATCTGCAAGCAGAACGATAACTCTCTTTCCTTCTTTTCCCTTCTCCCTTTAAAAGTCGTGCTCACTGATTCAGAGCATCTGATCCGCCGCCATTTGCCATGCCGGAACAATACAGCCAGCCTGAGCTTGGGTACAAGCTCGATGTAAGTACACTCTACCTCTGTGACCCAGAACATCAAATCCTGTCGCTTCTTGGGAAGCCGGAGCCATGAGCCCCTATGTAGAAATGCATGTATCAGCTCCTCAGGTTCAGAATTTAACGCACTGATCTCAATAGGCCCTTGAACCTGCTATCTCAGCCCAGATTATGGACCTACATTATAATCGCCATCATAAGACCTATGTTGCAAATCTCAACAAAGCCCTTGCTTCTTACTCGGATGCGATAAATTCCTCAGACCTCATCAAACAACTTGAACTACAGTCCGCTATAAAGTTCAACGCCGGTGGTCATATCAACCATACCTTGTTCTGGGAATCACTAGCGCCAACTTCGAGCAACTCTGAGGACGTTGCGTCCTCGGCGCCGTCCCTCGCTGCCGCCATCTCCAAGCGCTGGGTCTCTTTCGATAGCTTCAAAGCTGCTTTTGAAGCCGGAGCACTCGCGATTCAGGGCAGTGGCTGGATGTGGCTTGTGAAGGATGCGGCAACCGATGCTCTCGACCTAACGACCTCGAAAGATCAAGATTTACCCGCAGGCGGAAAGCTTATCGTGCTAGGTGTGGACATGTGGGAGCACGCCTACTACCTACAGTATCTCAACGCCAAAGCGGATTACCTGAAGCAGATCTGGAGCGTCATTAACTGGCAGACCGCAGAGAAAAGATTCTTGGGAGACAAACAGGTGATATATGGTGCTCTGGCTGGCCTGACAAGCCATTTGTGATGAATTCAATAAAGTATGCTTCCTGTACTCGAAGGATCCAGTATGATGGCAGTAAGCGGAATCTACAGAATCCCATCGTATCCAAAGTAGTTCCCGCGAGAGAAGTACAACGACAACTCGTGTAAGCAGGAGATACTGCTACTGGGATCAATTTCCACACCGAATCAGTGGATCACTCACACCTTTGACTTATTACTGAGGACTCGTGAAGGCCTGCTCGAGAGCTATCGCGTGAACCTTTCAAGCGTAGCAGTGGACCATTCTCAAGGTCCTCGCGTCCAATCTTGGCGCCCAACCGTGGCTTTCTCTTGGTCCGAGGTTCCAGTAGATGTTGATTGCAAATTTCCCTGAGTGTTGGGAGGACCTCTGCGACCCTCCGGACAACATCACTCAAGACTGGCCGCTGGGTTTTGGCAGCCAAACAAAGTCCCACGATAGATCGATTTGACTAACGCATCGGACAAAGTCATACCCGGTGGACCAACCCCAGGACCCCTACGTTATGTAAGCACACTGATATGCAGTGGTGCAACTGCAGCCGTGACACCCATTCAATTCACGCTACCGCAATCGAACATACAGAATAAAAGAACCATGTTAGACGTCTGAGAAGGTGGTATACGCTCGCACTCAAAGAAGCACGCCAGGACCCGATGCCGACCTACCGACCAGCAATCGCCTCTCTCTCCCTCGGCCGAGCGTACGCCGGCCACAGTCTCGAAGCCAAGCTCTCGGCCGCCGGACGCGCGGGCTTCCAAGGAGTCGAATGCTTCTACGAAGACTTGGAATGGCACGCTAGATCCCACGTTGGCGGCGACAACGACGCCATCTCTGACGAAAACCTCTTGGACGCGGCGCGGGATTTCCGCGCGTTGGCAGACGCCAACGACCTCGAGGTCATTGTGTTGCAGCCGTTCATGCACTACGAAGGATTGCTGGATCTGGAGGAACGGGGAAGAAGGCTGCAGAAGTTGGGGCTGTGGCTGAGGCTGGTAAAAGTGCTCGGTGCGAATATCATTCAGGTGCCGAGCAATTTTCTTGCTGAAGGGGTGACCGGGGATAGATTACGCATAGTCGAGGACTTGCGCATCCTAGCCGATCTCGGTGGCAAAGAGCATCCGCCAGTGAGGTTCGCATATGAAGGGCTGTGTTGGGGCCGGTTCGTGGATACCTGGCGAGGTGCTTGGGAGGTCGTTAAAGATGTGGATCGCGACAACTTTGGGTTGTGCCTGGATGCATTTCATCTTGCGGGTAGGGAGTGGGCGGATCCTGAAACCGCAGACGGGGTCGTGTCTGATGATGGAGGCGCCGGAGACAGATTTCGACAGAGCATGGCAGAGATGGCGACGACATTGGACAGGAGAAAGGTGTTCTATGTGCAGTTTGCCGATGCGCGGAAACCGCAAAAGCCTATTGTTCCAGGGAGTAGCGAGTGGGTGGACGGGCAGCCGGCGAGGATGACATGGTCACGGCGGATGAGGGTGTTTGTGGGCGAGGAAGAGGGCTACTTACCCATCGACCCGATTCTAAGGGCTGTGTTTGACCCAGCACCTGAGGGTCTGGGCTACACTGGGTGGGTCAGTATGGAAGTCTTTAATCAGTCCTTGGAGGAGACAGATGCCCAAATTGTTCCTCTGCATGCGGAGCGAGCTCAGAAATCATGGATGACTATGAAGCAACGGTATAGCCTAGAATAGCCTGAGTAGTAGTGACATGTAAGTGTACCTTGACCTGAGGTCAGTGCCTGCCAACAAGCTCTCTGAATCTTCCCACGATCAAAAGCAGTCATGCTGGCACCGTACCACTCTCTAGCATCGAGGTCTTATTTACTGACGCTAATTAATCTTCAAGGCCAATGTCGCGTCGGAGCTGTGGGAGGGACAAGCGTGTAGTGCTGTTGAGGTGGACAAGTTCGAGGCGGATGCTGCACGTGTTGCATGTCTCTCTTTCCGGGCATGACTTGTGCCGAAGCAAAGCATCCTGCTGCACCCTGTCATTTTGGAGAAAGAGCACTTGAATGCTCAAACTCGAGATTCATACATCTCAGAGACAGGAACGCGATTGCAAGGACCTCTCAATTAGAACCATTGCGGCATCATGGGCTCCTTAGGCCACGAAAAGGTTACGATCGCTGTCATCGGCGCTGGTGTCATCGGGTCTCATCATGCGAGTCTCGTTGCGAACTGCCCGGACAGCTGTCTGAGCGCGATCGTGGACCCCACAGAGGCTGGCCGCCTCTTGGCTGAGGAATATGGCTGCGAATACTTTACGGATACCACAGGCTTGCTGCAGTCTCCGAGCCACGTCGATGCCGCGATTGTCTGTACCCCGAACAGCACACACGAACCCATCTCGAAGCTGCTCTCAGAGTACGGCATCCACCTTCTCATTGAGAAGCCGGTCACGACAACCGTGGAAGAAGGGAAAGCTCTGCTCAAAGTCTGTCGACAAAATGGGATTCGCGTCTGTATTGGTCATCACCGACGCTCGCATCCCTCTATAGAAGCTGCCAAGCAGTCTCTTGATACCGGAAGCATCGGGCAATGTATTGGCGTTTCTGGGGTATGGGTCGCACTGAAGCCGAATGAGTACTTTAACGGACCTGGTGCTTGGCACAGGGAGAAATCTGGCGACGTCGTGCTGATCAACTTGATCCATGAGGTGGATCTGCTTCAGTACCTCCTTGGTCCGATTCAGAGAGTATTTGCCGAGAGCTCTATATCATCGCGAGGGTATGCAGCTGAGGAGGGAGTGGCGATAACACTGAAGTTCACCTGTGGAGTCGTGGGGACGTTTTTGGCATTGGACAACGCAGCAAGCCCGTTCAGTATCGAGGGTGCAATTGGCGAGAGCCCACTATACCCGTTCACGGGTAAGGACTGTTATCGATTCTTCGGCTCCAGGGGTACATTGACGGTACCTGATGGAAGACTGTGGCAACCAGAATGTTTGGACAAGGGCCGACTGAGTGGAATGAAACAGTCGCAACTGCAGTGGAATCACCAAGATGCCTACCAGCGTCAGGTTCGCAACTTCATAAATGTGGCTCGATGCCTAGAGGAGCCTGTTTGTTCCGTTGTCGATGGTCTTTCGGCGGTAGCTGTGTGTGAAGCAGTCCGACGCTCTCTTAGTGAGGGCTCCCCCGTGGATGTGGAACAAATAGATTGACGAGCATTTTCAGTGGAGTGTTCGTACTTCTGTGGCACTTTCGAGCGCTTGCCTCATTGTAGCTTTTGGGGCTCTGTAGCCGGAGAGTTGCTCGAATTGTAGAAGAGCCTGCTCAAAAACAATGTCTACACCAGTCACAATTCTCCATGGGATGCCACATTCGTCGCGGAAATTCATGACCTGTTGGAGGAAAGGCGTGATTCTTGGATTGTAGGATATGCTGACTGCCACACCACCAGACGGGTTTCCGAGTAGTGCTGATGGCAGGGGTTCGGCTACCTGATCATGATCATCGAAAAGAGAGGCTTGTGATGGAAGACAGTTGACGACGATGGTCGGTAGCTCCAGGTCAGCAGGCCACTCCCGCTGCTGTTCATTCCAGGCTGAAACCCGCGACGGTCTGTTCTCGGCCTCACACCAAGCATTGAAATGATCTGCAACTTTGACAGCATTCCCATATGTTCTGTTACGCACGTGAATCTCAGCACATTCGAGCTGAGCAAGCGCATAGATTACGGCACGAGCGGATCCTCCGGCTCCCAGAACCAGGGCAGTAGTCTTGTGCAGACGGGCCGTGTTGCGAGGAGAGAGTCTGTTCAAGATACTGATGTAGACTCCATACCAGTCGCTGTTGTCACCATACAGACCAATGACTTTGCCTGCGTTGTTCCGATTGTCTGCTTGTTCTTCCAAAGAAGCCGTGTTCTCATTCAGGAGCAGACGTAATGGAATCAAGGTATTGACCGAGCCGATGATGGAAGCATGGGGACTCATTGCCGTGCATGCTCGAAATGCATCTTCTTTAAATGGAAAACTAATTGCAGAGCCGCCGAATGTGGGTGTATTGGCAATGGCGAGAATCTCGCTGAATGTTGCGATCTCCCGAAAGGTAAAGCTGTGGCGCAGACCATATAGCTCAAACGCAGCATTGTGCATAGGCGGCGAGCAACTGTAGAACACTGACTGGCCGAGAATGTAGAATTCCAACGAATCCATCTCGAAACATTCGAAAAGGGCGGAGGTCGCATCAGATATGGTGATCTTGTCCTCGGGATCCTCGTCGACGAAGGCGAGCGAGGCACGTGTGCAGTGGCGTATGGGAGTCAGAAGTCGATTGAAGACTCGTGATGTGCGCCCGAGGCGACCGGTATTGTATGCGATGACAGTGATACTGTATGCTCGAGAGACATGCGCAGCGAAATATCGAACGTCTTCGTTGTCCTGCCGTTCGAGCGCGGGCTGCGTCAACCTTATTGTGTCGAAGCCGATCATTTCAGCATTTTCACAAAGCTGAATCCGACACGTATCGAGCCAGCCGCGCGCCGTAGGGTCCGGAAAGACGCCATCACCTATGATTGTAGTTGGACCTTTGTCTGCCAACAACGTGCGATGGACGACCTCATCAAGGGCAAGATTGACCAATAAGTAGTCAATACCAAGCCTGAGAACATACTGAAGGGTACTCGCTGTGATTTCAGGAGTCAAGTTAGCGGCACCCTCCTGTTTCGGTAAGGAGACCACGATTGGTATCTTGAGAGCTCTCTTCAATCGGCTGATTTGCTCGCTGATTGACCTGTAAGTACCTTCCGAGAAGAGGTCTAAAACAAGCTCGATGGCGTCTTCGCCCGAGTCTTGCCAGGTCTCGGGCATGTTATTCTCAAGAAGTGTGCTTAGCTTCACAGACGTAACAAAGGAGTGTCGTCGGCGCTCCAGAGGAAGAGCTGATAAAGAAAAGGGCCCCGAATCGCGAAATCCAGGTCGGTGGCAGATGAAATCGATAAACCTCTGAAAGTCCAGTTTGACGTCTCTAAGGATTCGAGGATTTGGCGGATCACTACTGACATGTGCATCATGTATGTCTCCTAGAGAACTGTCTTCGAGGTTGAAGAACTCGAAATTTGAACAGTAATGATGGCGAAGGTCGGCCTTGTAGAGCTGGGCTTTCTGATCGCCATTGAGTGACAAAGCTTGGGAAATCTTTTGGAAATCACGAACGATGTGGATTACTGGATGAGACTGGGCGAACTGGCGAAGTATGGTGCGTGCACCAGTCGTCAATGTTGCCATGCCACATTCGAGGACACAGCCGGTGCCATGGCTATCAAGCATCTGCTGCAAGACCTCTTCATTGCGTCGGTAGAAGTCATCCTGGCCAAACTTTTCGATGAACGCGGACTTCTTGTATCCAGTGACCTTCTCGAAATACAGGCCCTCACTCACGAAGCGTCGTCGTAAATGGGCTGCTGCGATGAACCCAAGCGACCTCTTCCCTGCACCCCGAATCCCGATAAGAGCGATGGAGGCATTTGGCTCGTAGCGACGAGTTGTACAGGGCTGCTCGGTAGTCTTCGCCATCAGATTGGAGCATCCCAGTCATTGTAACCAGATAGTATGCATGCAGAAGCCACGCAAAGACACGACACGCTTGCAAAACCCCGAGAGGAAGAGCTCGACTCGCCACCAAAGGTCAGTGAAGTTTCGGGCGGCACAGAAGAAGCGAGCAAGCGGACAACTGCTTATAAGGTCGTCGAACGCCCCACCCAATCAACTCTTGTAGGTGGCATGGCCCACGTGCCGAGCCTGAGATTAACCCCTCGCCCCGCATGGCATCGCTAGGCTTTAACTGCTCAAGTAAGCATGAAGCAAGCCCGGGCGAGAATCATTTTGGGCAACTTATCATAGCGATTGATTACCTTTCCATAACATTCATTCTTGTCAGGGCTAAGCATGGGAGGACTAGTCATCGACCAAGTCCTGCATTTAGCCAGCATCCTGACACCTGGTCAGCACATCCAATGAGCTCCAATGCCGACCTCCGACTCAGCCAGAGGCGCATCAAAGCCCGCAATCGCATCGACAAAGCCTGCAACAATTGTCGGCGTCGGAAAGAAAAGTGTGATGGGGCGCAACCGAAGTGCTCCAGCTGTGCTGTCGCCGGGCGAGAGTGCCATTATGCCCACGAAGTCAAACGCCGCGGGCTCCAGGAAGGCTGGGTCCATGCTCTAGAGAAAGCGTGGGCAGTAGCTATCCTGGGCCGGCCTGAAATTCAGTCCGAAGTCGTTGCTGTGCTCGAGAACGGCACGCAGGATCCTCAGCGAGGAGGCTTTGGGGCTCTTTGGACGGATGAGGCCGATGAGGCCGGCCTCTTGAAGACATGGCGTTCCTCCGATCTATGTCGCGAGCTCGAGCGTCTTCTGCCCCGCTTTGAACGCCTTCAACGCCATAAAATCAGTAGTCTAGCTCCTACGGAGCTTGACATTTTTGCTGTGCGTAGTGCCCAGGAACAGACGGCGTCTGCAGAACGTTCATTCGGTCCACCGGGGCAACAGTCTTCTGCACGGCCGCTAACCCAATGGCCGGAGTCGTCGCCGCGGCTCTCGACTGATGCTACCTTGGACATGCTGCCATCTGATCAAGTACAGTTGCCACCGGATGTTCTCCAGGTGGTGGACGACTACTTCCGCTCGACGCATGTCTGGTTTCCAGTGGCAGAAAAGCACAGAATCTACCGTCTCTGCCATACATGGGCGAACAAAGATCAGGCCGAGCTCGGCGGACGTACTTGCGTACTAGCCATACTTAACGTTGGGAAAGCTGTGAAAGCTGGTAGTACTTCCGAAGACACCGTGGAGCATGCCCGGTTCAGCGTCCCGGGTGTTTTGGACTTTACCAGTCTCTTCGCAAACGAAATACCAACAATGTCTAAGCTACAAGACCTTGGTTATGTACAAGCACTACTGGTTCTTAGTATTACTCGGATCACCTCGGGTTCTGTCGAGGAGGCTTGGCTGCTTGTTGGGCAAGCCATGAGACTGGCAATGTTGCGAATCAAGTCAGTCAATAGTGTGACCCAGGGCATGCCACGGGCGACCCACAATCTACAGGACGCGCATCACCGCGCTCTGTTGGCTTGTATGGTCCTTGATACACTATGTGCTGTCGCTCTGGGTCAGCAGCCTCTGTTCCCGATATCATTACTTGACTTACTTGGACCGATCGACGAAGATGGGATTGAAGAGTGGGAGCCCTCTGACGAAAGCAGCAACTCGGCTCGTGCGCCTGCTCTTATGCTGAGCACCTTCAACCGGCTCGTATGTGCTGTCAAGAGCCTGTATCTGGTGTTGAGAGACACACAAACTACGGCAGGGCTGGATTCTTCCGGCGTGCCTATTACACATGCCCAAGACCAATGGTTTACAGATCCCATGCACTTCGACGGCGAGCTAGATGATGCAGTTTCCCCAGCGCTGCCCCAACAAGTGTCTGTATACCTAGTGCGCCTGACTACGAAGCTCATTTCAGAGTTACGCAACGATAATACCGCATCTGCGGCACCTGCCAACGGATCAGCTAGAATGGCGCTCCTACAAAAGATCACAGATCTCATTGACCATGGGCTTCAGCTAGGCACGAAAACCACCGCCAAGTTTCTATGGCAACTCATCTTGAAAGGCCTCTTAGTCCAAGCTCAGCAGTCCAGCACCAATCTATCGACCGCAGAACGCACTCAAATAATAGAATTGGTCATGCAACAAGTACACCTTTTGGAGAGGAAGGACAACGGCAGCCAATCCAATGTGTCGGATCCTCCCTTGATAGATTCTGCGTTTGAACCTGTTCAGCCACTTGTTGATTCCGACAACTATCAAGATCCAGCAGGACTGACATCGGTGCTCAACACGATCGACCGTGCTGTGTCAAATCAAGCAGCCGCACCAGTAAGAAGTGATGTTGGTCCTTGGCCTCCTGAAGATACACCGTGGCTAGGGAGTATCGGCGATGACAGTTCGCACAACGGGTTGCTCGAAGATCTCATAACAATGGACGCCATTGACTGGAACTCGTCATGGGAACAAAGTTTTCAGGGCCTTGGATTTCCTATGAACGACTTTGATGGATCGGAATTCCAGTACGACTTCTCAAACACATGATCGCGTGATGCCACGACCAGATGATATGAGTGGACGAAGAAAGCTGCATATAGATGCTGCATGCTTCCTCCTTGACCTTGAATGTTGGTCTACAGGTACAAGTGAATATGCTGAGCCACATTTCGACTGTCGCCTTCGTATATGTACTACAGAGGATGCAGACCTAAGCTCATGAGGTCTCTCGAATCTTTTGATTATATGATTATTCGGCCACGTCTGCGATCCAGATCGCCGAGCTCGGAGCGGCCACCACCTTGCAATCACTTCGGTCGAGTCCGGAACATCAAATGCTCGTCTTTATCGCTGAAGTCATCTAAGAAGTGGGATGCATGCAGGATGGCCTCTGCCAGCGCTGCTTTAATACAATTTATAAAGAGGATAATGTAAATCGTTGAGATCTCGTACCTACAGCTACCGACGCATCCCGCATTACTAAGTCTCGCCAATCACAGGTGACCGGAAGAATTCACGTCCGGAGAACGTGAGGTAGATCTACACGCTATCATGTTTGGAAGAATAGCCGTGCAAACGATGATTCAATACACCTTCATAGTTATGTAGACTAATGGCACGGATAGGATCGGTAAGCGAGTTCAAGAAGCGAGGTGGACAGGATATGCCACAGCTAAAGTTAGCTCCAACACGACTCTCCGCCATTAAGGCGGATTGATGCGATCGTACCTATCGGTTCTGGACGTTCTATAAGGTTGTTTGAGAACAACTACCGCGGGCAGTCTCGCTTCCCGTCATATACACTATTTCTCGGATACTATCATGCAGACCCATTCATACCAGCCAAAGGGCGGTTCATACAGCCAAAAGTCCACCTCCCTAGACGGAATACGTGTCGTCTATGATAATTACAGCGACCACCTACCGGGACCTGCTCTCGTTTTCATACATGGCTACACCTGCTCCTCCGCTCTTTGGAGCGCACAGCACCCCCTTCTCACAACCCACCGCGCACTCGCGATAGACCTCCCAGGCCACGGTCGCAGCGATGCGCCACAGATCGAATACACAATGGAGCTGTTTGCACGAGCCGTAGAGGGGGTCCTGGCCGCCGAATGCGTCACTTCCACGGTTCTCGTGGGTCACAGCATGGGCGGCCCCGTGGCGACGATGACGCTGCGCCTGAACCCGAAACTGGTCAAAGCGATTGTCTACGTCGATTCATTCTTCGAGCTGCCGGAAAGTTTCCTGTCCCGATCTGAGCGGCAGGCCCTGGCGGCGAAGAGGGTGGATGATGCTTTCTTCGGGAATATGTTGAATGGCTTCTGGGCGGCACGAACTACGGACGTGGTTAGGCAGCAGGTGATCAAGACGATGATGGGCACGCCGAAGCATGTGAGGGTCAACACCTGCACCACAGACGTGCAGCCGCATGCGTGGCGGGAAGGTGAAGTATACGATGTGCCTGCTCTGGTGGTCAACTGCCCTATGTTTCCTGTGGATGAGAGGTGGAAGAAACATATCAGCGGCTTAGAGGTCACATGTTGGGCAGAAAATGGCCATTTCTTGTTCATGGAGGATGCGGAAAGATTCAATACTGCAGTCGACGAATGGTTGCGCGAGAACCGATTGATGGGCGTGACGCAGAGTCAATAGGGCGCGCGTATTCATCCCTCGCCGTCAATGGTCTTAAACAAACCAATACCGAAGATTATACATTGAACTATGTATGGCCCGATCTCTGGCGCAAAGCCCTGTGTAACTCTCCTGCAACCAGATTTTGTGCTCCATTAGGGATTTCTTGCTCACACCAGAGCCGATCCTGCGCCATGCACACGAACCCGACGACATCGACGCCTGTGACGGTCTCCCACCCAAACTTCCTCGCTAGCTTGATCAATGTCGTGGCAGGGTCGGGGGTGTAAGCCATATCAAGGACAAACGCTCTTGTACTCCGGCGTTCCAGGACCGTGCTGACCACATTCCAAGCTTTCCTCTCGTCCGCGCTTGACGGAACTATATCTGGTGCGGTTCCCGTAGCGATGATCGGGTCGACGACCAAGGTCTCCAAGCTCTGCACGCTCTCCAGAAGGACGAACCTCACGGCCACACCAGCCTCTGTCATGGAAGACATCATCGTCCGAGCCTCATCATGCAAGCGGTTGACCACGAAGATCGTTTTGATACCCAAATATCTCCACAGGGCGTAGATTGCCGCTCTGGCCGCACCACCGGCTCCATAGACCAGAGCTGAACGTCCTTCAACGTCCTTCAAGATCGCTGGAAAGGCATTTACAAGCGCATCCCGGATACCTACAATGTCCGTATTCGTTCCGATGTATCGCCTTCTGCCAGTCTTTGGATCCGTCTGGACCGAAACGGTGTTGATCGCACCCACAGCCCTAGCTTCGGCGGTCAGCTCATCCATGTGCGGAATTAGAGCGAGCTTGTTTGGCATCGTGATGGAGCAGCCAACGCAGTCAGGCGAGGCGAGGTGTCTGAGGCATTCTGAGGTATCGGTGGAATCCAGTAACGTGAATCGCCACGGCAGATTGAGCAACTTCCATACGGTGTGATGGACGACAGGTGCGAGAGCGTGTGAAATATCACTGCCGTACAGAAAGGCGCCGCGCGCAAGTCCCGGAGTGGGAATAGCGCTGGCGACAGCGTCTCCGTTGGTGGATGGCATGACCATATTGAACTATCGATAACTGGTCTCTGCTCGTTGAAATCTTCTATCAGTGTATAGGATGCAGATATTCTTGAACTCAAGGATCTGCCTCAATCTGAGTCGCTCCGGAACTTGGCCCACGCACAGCTAGTACTGAGCGACCAGTACAGACAATTTTCGCAAGCAAGGTCTTGGATTCAAGCCATCAGGGATATTCCCAGCATCGGATCGAGTGGCATTGGGGACCTGAATGCTTCCGGTTGTGACAATGACAGCAAGTGCGCCATCCTGTCCATGGCAAACCTTCGGACAAGACTTGGTCCGGATGAGATAGTGGTCCACTATTGACCAAGCCCTGCTGTCTTCTGTGTCTTTCGGTCCAAACCCCAGACCATCAGCTACTGGGGTACTATCCGCCGTAGAATACCCCGGATCGAGCCCCGCGTACTCATATAGCCCACGTGCCAGATCGTTTGTGCCATGTCGACACAAATACCGACCACCTCAAAATGGCTGACACCACGAAGGTCACAATCCGACAAGTCCTCTATTTCATTACGCTCCCTGTCATAACCGGCATTGCCTATGGCTGGGAAGTTGGAGGCATGGGTGGTATCCTTGCCATGCCCCAGTTCCTTGACTACATGGACACACCAACCGACTTCCGCCAGGGATTGATGACAGCAAGTCTGATTGCAGGCGAATTCGTTGGCACCATCCTGATTGGCTTGGTTTCCGATCGCTTTGGACGACGAATGACCATCTGGATTTGCATCGGTATTTATCTGGCTGGACAAGTCGTCCTCGTCGCCGCACAAAGTCAGGGAATGTTCATTGCTGGCCGCGTGATCAATGGCTTTGGTGCCGGTCCATGGTTCCAGACTGTTTCGTTGTATGTATCTTGATCTGCCTTGACCCCGAACTGTTCACTGACCTGCTCCAAGCTACTCGGCAGAAGTAACACCACCTCACATCCGTGGTAGGGTGGCCGCGTCTCTCAATTCCGGCATCGCAGTCGGCATTCTGATGGCATACTGGATGCAGTACGGTGCCCTCAATATCGCTTCCACGGCAGCGTGGCGGCTTTGTTTTGCATTGCAACTCTTGCCGGGTCTCATGGTCGGTGCACTCATCTTTGCCCGTCCTGAATCGCCACGATGGCTGGTCCAACACAATCAAGACAGCCAAGCGATCTCTATCCTCGCCGACCTTCACAGCCAAGGTGACACCAACGATAACTTCGTTCGCATCGAATACGCCGAGATCCGCGCTTCTGTCGATCTCGAAAAGTCCGGACATACTCCTTCATACCTGGCCCTGCTGGTCAACCCTTTGTACCGCCGTCGAACAGCCCTTGCCATGGGCTTGCAATGCATGCAGCAGCTTTCCGGAGCAAACATCGTGCTGTACTACGCCGCAAAAGTTTTCGCACAGACAGGCCGTACCGGCTCATCAGCTGCGCTGCTCGCAAACGGTATCTCCTCAGCCTTGCTCCTGGTCGGCACGGTGTCTCTGACGCTGCTCATCGACTTCTATGGGCGACGCAAGCCCATCTTCGTCGGTCACTCTTCCATGGGCATCTGTCTTGTGATCGTCGCCAGCATCCTCCTCCGTTATGGGTCTCCACACTTCGACCAAGTAACTCAAGCCGTGCAATTCAGCTTCCAGAACACCTCCGCCGGCAACGCCGCCGTGGCCTTCATGTTCTTGTTCCAGTTCTTCTTCGGCGCCTTCTCCAGCTCGTTGCCTTGGACTTACCACTCTGAAGTATTTCCTCTCCTAGCCCGCGCCAGGGGAACGTCCCTAGCAGTGGCAGCAAATTTCTTCACCAATTTCTGGTTGGGTTTATACATTCCACGAGCGCTTAATGCCGCCGGTTGGAAGCTTTACTACATCTTTGGGGCCATAAATTTGGGGTGCGCCCTAATCGGATATCTATTCTACCCGGAGACGGCAGGGAGGATGCTCGAGGAGTTGGATCTGTTGTTCACGCCGGACAGGAACGTTTGGGTCTTTATGGATCGCGATGCCAAGAGCAAGCAGGGACTGGTGGGCAAGGGGCTGGAAGGCGATCCGGCGGCTGTGAGGAGAGAGCTGATGGTGAGACTTGGTGGAAATGACAGGCAGGATACATTACCGGCCCAAGAGGGAGCGCTAGGTGGCGAGAAGGAAGACGTTAGCTTCCATCATCGCGAGCTATAGTGCGGTGACCATCGAGAAAACGATAGCCCATTACGATCAAGACGTGATTGTACTAATTGAAGACGGAAGATTTCGTATAGCGGCGCCCATGTGCATGAGGGTCATCCAAGTGTACCTAGCTGCCGGGGCGAGGCCGTGCCAAGACTGAAGCGCCAGGCTGCTTCCCCTGTTTGGCTCCTGTAGCTGACAAAGCCTGAAGGTTCCAGGCCCTTTCCCGCACCATGTCTCCATCAGCGTGCCCGGAGCGAGTATCCGGGTACGAACGAGAATCAGACCTGCCACAGATGGCAGACAGTCATCCAGCGGTCTCGACTGGAGCGCTTAGCTAAGAATCCTGATATGCCGCCGAAGACACGCGCGATATATCTGGCAAGACTGGCGCTGCGGTCAAGCAGATCACCAAGACCGCAGACAAGACACAGGTACAGCAGTGTCATTTCTCCGCTTACATCGCCGCTATCAACACCATCAACAATGTCTGACTTGTCACACACTCCATCTCCATTGGAGCATGTGCTTGAAACGTGTCTTTATGTCAAATCGGCGCCGAAGGCTGCTGCGTGGTACGAAGATGCCCTCGGGGTGACGCCTGTGTTTGTGACGGTTAGTGGTGTTCCCAACGAGCATCGGGGATCGTGCCCGTCTCCTGTGTGCTGAGCTGTTCAAACACTGACGAGAGGCGACTTCACAGGATCGTATGGCCAATTTTCCCTTGGGACCATCTACGCTCCTGCTCTTTACACTGGGCCAGACAGGCGATGACATCAAGAGCGAAGACGGCATGATTCCCCACCACGGCCCAACGCCAGATCTGCTTAGCCTTCTGAACCAGGAGGGAGGCAAGAGCTTGCTCAATCAGCACTTCTGCTTTGCCGTGGACAAGCCGGACGACGTCGACAAGTGGGAGAATCGGCTGCGAAAGAAGGATGTGAAGGTTCTCTCGACTATGACATGGCAGAAAGGAGGCAAGAGTGTTTACTTCGAGGATTTAGATGGACATATCGGAGAGATTGGCTCCCGAGGCATCTGGCCGCACTGGTGATTGGCCTCTGACATTGACAGTATTCGATTTAGGAAGGCGGCCCATTTGTCCACGAATAGAGTCGGTAGCGAACGCGAGTGCGAGTATCTCGATTTTCCCAAAACCGTGTCTATGATTTTAGCTTTCAGCCCATCGACCCGTGTTGGGAGCGAACATGTACGTCAATCTCTTTCCACGGAGTTGGCAGGGGGAGATAACCCAGAAGTGGCTTTGGCCTCTCAAGATGTTAAGCATGTGGCATTGGATATCTGAGCTGCGCCAATGGAATGGGGTTGCGCATAAGCTGACAGTCAGCAGGATTGCTTCGGCCGGGGACCTCCAGGCCTCCTTCTATCACAACGATGAATTATTGGCTAGTGAATCTACAGTCGTGCAAGGTGACGACGACTCTTTCCCAAACCTGAGCATTTGGAAGCCCGCGGGTCTGCTCAACTCTTCGCAGCCCGTGAATCATGTCCACGTCATTTGCTAGTCCGTGTAATGTCTTTCGAAGACTGGCTACACGCAATAGCTGTTTGAGCTGTTTCTAGGAGCTTTATGCGGCCAGGAAACATCTGTGATGGACAGCAGGGTTTCGCAGGTATGTGTATGCAGGTCGATACCATGAAACAAAGCAATCAATCATACTATAGCTGAGTATTCTGGTATTGTAACGTAAGTTGCCACGCCTTTCCACTTGTTCACAAGGATCTGACCTGGCTGTGGATCATGTACGGCGTCTTGCAGATCGTACGTTTCAGTCTTGTCGCACCGCAGTCGGGAGGTCAGTATGGAAGGAAGGTAGGTGCGGGTCGCCTATTTAATGGCAAGTACGACCGCTGCGGGTGAATTCTGCCGGTCTAGACAATTCAGCTTCACTGCAAGCACCGTCTTACCCCTTTGAGCAATTTGAGCAATCACCCATCTATAATGGCGACCATTACACATGAGTCCGTCCAGGAGGATACGCTTCAACATCTAACTCTTCAGCATCCAGACCGTGCACAACCACGAGATGTCGCGGCTGAAGTTCTCTACAGCAAAGAAGCCGATGACGGCACTCCACTTACACTCGACTCCATTCACTCGAGCGACATCAACTTCAAAGAAAGTCGAAAGGTTCTGATAAAGGATGTCAGGAACGACATCAGCGATTTCACCTTGGAGAAGCACGGTTTCGAATATGTCAACCATGAAGTCCCCCAAGCCCATTTTGTCAACGAAGAAAGCATTAAAGCCGTCCACTATCCCGAGATAGAGGCATTCATTGCTAAGTCGTAAGTTGACCATCAAGTTCTCGTCAACCTCGACATCACGATACTCACAATGACCCAGCACCGGCGCCAAGATGGTCCTGATCTATAATCACATCGTCCGCAACGCTCCCTGGAGCAACGACATCAGGGAGATCAAGTCCTACGTCGGTCCAGCCCAAAGGTGCCACATCGACGTGTCCACAGAGTTCGCGAAAGAGGTTGTGGAGAATCAATTGAAGCGCTTCGAGAAGGGAGACATGGTTTCTGAGGTCCTTGCCGGTAGATGGCAGTTGCTAAACGTCTGGCGACCCCTAAAGACGATACGCAAGAACCCTCTCGCAGTGGCCGACGCAAAAACGGTGCCCTACTCCGACCAGTACATGGTATCTTATGACAGGGAATATCAAGAGGATGGGAAAACCAAGAAGCTCAGGGTCGAGACACCGTTCACGCAAGCCTCGAAGAATGACAGTCATCAGTTCTACTACCTGCACGAACAGCGTCCAGATGAGCTGCTGATCTTCAAGACTGCAGACAGCGACAAAAATACTGCGGCCGGCGCTGCAACGCATACTTCATTTGAGTTGCCTGGTACAGAGCATCTGCCAACGCGGGAGAGTATTGAGATCCGCCTCCTCGCGGTGTACTAGAGAGAGACACCCCTTCTGCCAGGTCTCAGACCGAGTGCTGTGCTTTGCACCCGTCAGCAAGCCCCGTTGATTTGCGACTAGCCTCATTCGATTTCCATAGGGCACAATGGCTCAATTGGAGCTCTGCCACCAGCAAGAATCATCAATTCATCACCCATAGGCATACTCAGGCACATTGATGCCGCCATCCTCGTGATATTGTGGCCAGTGCTCTTTCCGCTCCTCCGCCAGTCAGCAACTGCTCGAACGAAGGCTCTGAGCGCTTCGGTTCCCGGCAGAAGGATTGGCGCGTTGGCCCTTCTAGCTGTCATCATGCATCTATCGTGCCGCTCACGCATTCGATGGCCTCCATTTCTCAATTGCTAGAATGACATCTACATGCCGTTTCATGAAGGGTTCCTTCTTGCTCACAGCCAGCAATTGGCTGGCTTTCAAAATGTTCTTGATCTGCCGCCCGTTCAGCTCCAGGTGACTCAACTGCTCGACGTCGCGCTTGCTGAACTCGGTCTGGTACTTGATGTCCCGCAGGAAATTGTTCCAGATGCGAACGCGTGACTCGGGTTCCAGTTCGGCGTAGTCGATCGTGATGTGGATGCGGCTCTGGAAAGCAGCGTCCATGTTGGAGACCCGGTTGGTGGTCAAGAACAGAATACCTTCATAGTACTCGAGCAGCCGGAGGAAAATGGAGACGAGCTTGTTGCGTTCCAGGTCGTGCACGCTGCGAGCCTCCAGGAACACATCGCACTCATCGATGAGCAGGATGGCCTTCCAACTGGCTACCAGTGTGAGTATGTTGTTGAGATTCGCCTCCACTTCGTCCGCATCGGTGCCTAGATCGCCTGCGCCCATCATGAAAAGCGGCACGCGCATGTGCTCTGCGGTGGATTCGGCCGTCAGCGTCTTGCCCACGCCAGGCGGGCCAGTGAGCAAGAGAATCATACCACGGCCTTTGCCGGCGATGACGTCGTCGAAGGCATTACCACCGCCCACTTGGGTCTGGGCGAGAGCTAGGACCAGCTCCTTGTGTTGTGCTGGGAGTACCAGATTCTCGAAGGCGTTGGAGCTCCATTTGATGTCCTCAACGGCATCGAGCTTGAACTTAAGCCACTTTTTCAGCTTGAGTGAATAACCCCGGACGAGACTTGTAGCGAGGAGTCGCTGGTAATCAGTGAGCTTTTGAAACGACTTCTTGCCCTCGTCGGTCTCACTTGCGCTGGCCGAAACATGGTCAAAAGAGTCGGCGTCACTTTCAATGTCATTCGTGGCGGCTTCGACTCTCGGGATCGGAGATATTTCAACGCTCTCGTGTGGACTATGAGTGTTCCACGAGTCGGCGTCGACGACAATGCGTCCATTCACGTGGATGATCTTCTCCTTCTCATCGCCAGTTCGCCTATCCTCTACCAGTTCGATAGCAGAGTCCGAATAACTGTAAGGAGGTTAGCATTGTTGTCCAGTTCAAAAGCATTGAAACGCACCTCTTGTACTGCCGTCCAGCCAGTGACTCAAACGTCTGCCCACGCTGGACTAGGGACTCCCTAACTACCTCCGCTTGAGGCAAGAACTGGATGGGAACGACTCTGAGAGAGCTAATCTCCCGCGTTCCTTCGAACTTGGAGATCGTCACAGACCGCGCATCCCAGCCAAAGTTTTCTCCATCAAAATCGATGTACCGTGTAGAAATCGAGAACACCAAGCCACACTGAGTCTTGACATAATCACCATACCGGACTTCCAACGCTTCCGTCTGGCGAAAGCTTGACGGAGCAACTATCACGCTAGATGGGGCGAATACACACCATAAATGCTGGAAAGTGACAATTCCATGCTGGACATAATCCTCAAGGGCTTTGATTGTCTCTCCCAGTTGAGCGATGAGGACCGAGTGCAGAAGCTGCAGATGCTCTCTCATCACGGGCTCGTTGTCGGGCTTCTCCATGTATGCCATCAATCTACTCCATCGGTGGACAAAAGGTTTGAAAGGTGCATCGAAGATGAGACGGGTGAGGTCACAGGACACGCCGGGGTACCCTTCAAAGACTGTCGAAAGAGCGCGCTTGAGATGAGGGCTTTGGATCACCAGGGAATGCACCTCGTACTTCTTGCGGCTGTCTTGAGATTTTCCGTTCCGAATGATGATCGCGTGTCCGATTGTCTTCTCATTCTCAGCTGCCTCCGGGACATTCTTTGGTTCGTCGGCTGACCATGTCATTCGACCTGATGTTGTCAGTAAGCAGTCTTAATTCGTGGTCGAACATCTCACCTTCGCTATCAGGCTCCCCTTGGTAAATGCTCGTGAAAGAGGGCAATGAGCCGACAGGTGGAGAAGGCTCGTTGGACTCCTTATCTTCTTCAGCTTGCTCTTCCTCTTTCTGAGCTTCCTCCGCCTCCTCGCAGGTAACTGGGTTGCCATCACTGTCGACAAGAGAGAGTCCAAAGTGCGTAGCAAGGGCGTCAAGCCCAGGAGCAACGACTGGTGTAGCCATGTTGCACAAGGAAACTGCTCTTCGATGTATGACTGGTACGGAGATAGGTTGAGAAAGTTGACTTTGTGAGCTTCATATAAGGCATTTGAGATGTATGTGAGTCAAGGCGTGACTCAAATTTGGTCGCGATATGGAGCTCTCAAAAGGCCCTTGTCAGCCTTGCAGCAGGATCTGAGACGATTGTCGCCTTGAGTCTGCCTGTCCACCAGGGAAGAGTTCGGGGCTGGCTCCACTCATTCAGGCAACAGCGAAGCTTGGCATATGGCTAGGGGCTCCACTCCCTGCAGACGTGGTCCCAACTGCGCGCTGCCAAACGTCCGTGCTTGGTGGTGCATTATCAGTTCTGGGTTTCCATCAATGCAATCACCGAAATGACCTGGCCGAAGGAACCGGTGAGGACTGGCTGCTTACCTCAGATTACCCGATCTGATGACCAGTTGACAACCCTACCCAGTCCTACCCCTAGGACCCAAATCTGGTGGAGAAGGCTTGCAAATACCTCGATGGCACATCCCAAGGATTACTGAACAAAAGAGCGGGATTCCAATTCAAGCCAAATCTCGAGACACTAAAGGTAAATTTTCTCTGATCGTGGTCGTATAATATGGCGTCTCAAATTGGAAGCTTCCTTGAAAGGTTGGTAGGTGGTGACAAGCAACAACATCGCAGTCTCAATCCGTGATGTTCCCACCGAAGCTTTTGCAGCGGCACGCCTTGGCTTTTGGACGCAGTAGTAGTTGATATCCAGCCAGCCTCATTGTCTCGGTCAGCGGCCAGAGTTTGAAAAAGGTCACCTGCGGTGGCTCGTCTCCAGGCACGGCGGTCACAAACTTCTCTTCCGTCACATACGGCGATCTTGTGTAAGTCGCGCGCATGATCCCAGGAGTGCTGAAGTCACAGGCCAAAGGTCGCACACGACGAAACTCCGGTACATCTTTACAGGTCTTGATGTCGTCAAGTCCGGCTTCTTCGAGATCGGCGATGGACTCGGCATGGGAGGCAATGTAGCAGTCATCATCGTGACCACAACATTTTCGATGGTGGCTCCGCATCAGGCTGATGGCTTTTCTGCGGATCACAGGATCACGACAAGCGACACCGATCTGCCACAGTGGCGCCACTGGGCCGGGATCTGTATCGAAATCCGGTTCCAGGAAGTCGTTCACCGTGGGCAGCTTGCCATTGACACATTCATCCACCTCCGCGGCAACTCGAACGATCTCGCGGCATTCATCGACAGCATCGTCCCATTTCATCTCGTCAGCGCTGCAATAGCAGCGAAGCGCAACAATGCAGCAGTATGCCAGAATATCCAGGATCTTCCACTGGCAACTCTGTCGTAATGACAATTTGCTCGGCCGTGATCTCTTGAAGGTCTGATGCCAGTCTTCAAAGAGCTTCGTGACCTCAAAGAACGCCGGGTTTTCATAGGTATCGAACAAAGGGAACTTCCGGGTTAGCATATACATGTGCGTGCCGATTTCCTGGTACCTCTCTCTCGCCTGCAGAAGCGAGGTAAAGGCCGGTGGGAACGTTGGTGGCTGGATAGATACTTGTTCCAGCGGGAGATACCAGCCGGGGTCAGTCTGCTGGAGGCTTCTTGTTGCACTGAGTTGCGCAAATATCGGCATGAGGTACAGCTCGATGATGTCGTCTGGGTCGTACTCGGACCTATTGGCAGTGATCATCCAGTTTCGCAAGATCGCCAGGCCACATCGTAGATGCAGGTACGCGGCGGCCTGATCCCCGCGTACGGATTCCATGGCAATCGACAGCAGACACGAAACGAGCAAAATGTGAATGCTAGGGTCCTGTTGACAAGCGATCATGCCTAACGCTTTGCTGTAAGCCGTCATTGGAATCAGGTCCGGCGTCCGACCCATCTGCATTTCATGTACTGAGGCGGTCGCAACGACCTGATTCCGGATCGCGCCGTCTAGCTCACTCAGCTGCAGAATAATCTTCGTCCAGAAGTACTCGGCCGCAGAGTTGAAGAGGGCTAACGCTTTGCCCGTCTTCTCGGTGAAGAGTTGAATGAACCTCGATTCCTGGCCATGGTATGGACCGCTGGGGCTGCGTGCCGGCCCCAGTGCTTGCCCATCCTGTTTGGGCTGGAAAAGCCAGATCTGCAACACTTCATAGCCTTCACAGACATTATGAGTAGCAGCGCATTTCTTGCATGTCGGTTTCGTCTCGTCACATTTGACGCGTCTCCTTTTGCAGGTCTTGCAACCTGTACGGCTGCGTAGATGAGTACGTCGCAGTCAGCAAGGTAATGAAGTACATACCCCTTAGAGTGCCAGGCGCGCTGCCGGACCCCAGAGCCCACCTTCGGCGCTAGAGCAGTCTTCTCAAGATGCGCTGCTACCGGCATTGACATCGCATCGTAGCGTACAGCAGAGCCAATGCCTGCAAAACGCCAGTCAGCACTTCCACTTGAGCGCTATTTCGACTGTGAATCATGTTAATGAGCAACCTTAGAACTCCGTGCCAGCTCAGCAGGGGCTGAAATTCCAAAATGCTACCAACGCAGATGTTGCGAGGTTCCGGCTTATGTCATCATCAAGCCCCAGCTCAAGAAGTAGGGCGCCTAGTCGAAGCTTGACTCCGGGCGTGGCTCGACCAATGAACGAGTGAGGGTCAAAAATAATCGTGGACCCAAGGGGGCCTGAGATTGTACACCTCTCCTGGACATTCCTACGAATCACATCCGCAGTCTCTACGACCGTAGCATTCTACTTGGGCTAGCCGGTTGTCTGACTCACTCAGAGGCAAGCGTATTGTATACTATGATGTGCAAGACTACAGACCGACGCAAGGTAGAATGCCTTCGTGATCCTCGAATTTGGTGAGAGATATAAAAGTATCTACACGACTGCGTGAGCTCTCCTGCTACCATCCCTCTCTTTGTCTCGACATCTTTTGTATCATCTACCTTACCGCGTGATGATCAAGAGCTAGAGCTTGGTAGCGGAAAGGGGAACACAGCTGGACTCCGATATCCAGCCTTTACACTCCTAATCCCAAACACAACATTATCTTTGCTGAGTGGCACCGTCGCAGTCCCCGTCTTGCCTACGTCGACGGAGTTGGTCCAGAAGGGCGCGTCCGTTGGACGCCACACGATCTCATAGCTATCGACTGCGTCATCGCCATCAACAGGTGCTTCCCAGACGAATTGAGAATTATTGTCGAGAGCAGTAGTGTTGACATAGACACTCGTCGGCTCCCCAGGCGCCTGACTAAGCGACCACAGAGCAGCGGCGTTGACCTTAGCGACACGCGCTGTGTAAGGTGCATCCACGTATTCCACCAGGTCACCATACTGCACGCCGTCCTCCACACGCACATCGTTGTGCTGATGCTCATAGACTTCGTGAGGCTCGGTGAAGCGCACTGCGCTGAAGCCAGCCTCGAGGAATGGACGATGATCTCCGCCACGCAAAAACCTATCTAGGCGGTAGATCACGCTGATGTTCATCTCAGTGTAGTCGTTCTCGCCCACCTCATGGATGAAGCGTGCAAGATTGCGAGCTGGGGAGTCATTCTCGCCGCCGACGCTCAATCGTTGCGCAGCGACTGTTTCGTTTTCTGTCAAGGGCGGACCCTGCGCGAAGACCCGGATGACATGCGGATCTTCTTGGCCCATATCTCCGGTGTAAGAGCCAACAGTGTCGCAGTTTAGCATAGCGGCAAGATTGACGCTGTTGTTCTTGTATGTCTGTGCCATGTATTCTGCGCCGTACAGGCCTTGTTCCTCGCCAGCAACGGCGGCAAACACTATGGTCGCACGGGTTTGGTATTTGGCGAAGACACGTGCTAATTCCAACGATACAGCAACGCCCGAGGCGTCATCATCGGCCCCCGGGGCGTCGTCCTCGTAGTTAATGGGGTCGGTATTCCGGCTGTCATAGTGCCCGGAGATGAAATAGACGCGGTCTGGCTCTTCACTACCTTGAAGTGTAGCAACAACGTTATCGATCTCCACTGGAAAGATAATACGCTCGCCGTCTGGCTGCTGCTCATAGCCTTCGATGCTCACCGTCATGCGACCGTCGGATTCGGCAGCGTACGCTTCATACTGAGATTTGAGCCAGTCTCGCGCAGCACCGATACCACGATTAGGGTCCGTCTTGCTAGAAAGCGTGTGTCGTGTGCCGAACGAGACTAGCTTCTCAACAGTCGCTTGAATGTTGTCCGGATTGATCTGAGATATGATGTCCTGAAGATCAGGATCAGGGAGCTGTGGTTGGATGTACTCTGGCAATTGTGCAGAGGGCCACGAAGCCGCGGAGCAGGAAAGATCAGGGTAGGAGATCACATTCCGCCTTTTGGGGTTTGGCGACTGGAGGGGTGAGGAGAGGGAGAGGGAGACAAGTGCGGTAATGAGCAATGATCGCTTCATGTTGTTTTGCTGAATCGAAGCAGAGTAGAGTCGCGGAAGGGGACCCGGCAGCTCTTAAGACTTACCTGGCCGCTTAGCTCTGCAGCGAGCATCAGCCGTGGCCGCAACCTTTATCACTGACCCTCCGCATGATCCTGCTTGCCAAGGCGTTGGCATGAAGTTGTCGAGGAGAGCTGTTCCTCGAAGAGAAGGTGTAAGGTAGCCGATGTTGTCATCTCCGGCATTAAGAGTTGATCTTTAGCTGTCTTAGGCAGCTCGACAACAAGCCAAGACTTTGGGCCCATCTCCGTCCCTGCAGTTGGAGATAGAGAATGCCCTAGGAACGGCCGAACTACGAGCAATAGAATATAAGTTAATAGATTACCCGCTAGTCGTACCGTGGACAAGGACATTTTAGAGTAGCAGCCGGGAGCGTGAGTGAAGCCTGCCTTGTAGAAACAGTCGCCACTGATCTGGCGGTCCGCTGCGGCACAATCTTACCTATCCTCAACCGTACTGATCCGGCTGCGGGTAGGTTCCAACTGGCCTCATCCCTCAACTGCTCATCAATACCCGCAGCCTAACGGATTTCCACAACCATCAACCTACAATGATGGGCTGATAAGCCGCCTTCGTCAAGCGCTTGAAGCTTCGTCCGCGCCAGCGTCCGGCCTCCACTCAACATGCAGGGGTTCAATATGGGACGTTACGTCCCGCCGGAACTCGAGGGCCGCATCTCCTTCAACCGCGCCTCTGGTAAAGGCCACGCCCTTGGTGGGCGTGCCCGCAAACTCGCCTCCGATGGCATCCTCACAGTGCGCTTCGAATGTCCATTCGCCATCTGGTGTGCCACCTGCGATCCAGAGCAGATCATTGGCCAGGGCGTGCGGTTCAATGCCGAGAAGAAGAAGGTGGGAAACTACTACAGCACGCCGATCTGGCAATTCCGCTTCAAGCATTCAGTATGCGGCGGATGGCTAGAGGTCAGAACGGATCCAAAGGCGAGCGAGTACATGGTTGTTGAGGGCGGTAGGAGGAGGGATTACGGAGAGGGGCGGCGGGGAGAGGAATGGGGTGTCGTTGCTGGGGTGAGTGAGGAAGAGAAGGCGCGGTTGGAGAACGAGGGTGGCTTTGGAGTGCTGGAGAAGAAGGTCGATGAGAAAAAGGAGAGGGTGACGCAGCAGATGCGGGTGCAGGAGTTGGTGAAGGCGAGTGAGAGGGACTGGGCCGACCCGTATGAAAGGAGCCAGGCTCTGAGGCGGGAGTTTCGCGTGGGTCGTAGGAAGCGGCAAGAGGATGGGAGAACGGGAACTGCGCTACAAGAGAGGTTTGGACTGGGTGTAGAGTTGCTGGAGACGACGCACGAAGACACAGAGAAGGCCGCCAAGGTGAACTTCGGAGAAGTGAAGAGGATCGAGGCTGCGGGTAAGCCGTTGTTTGCAGAGAGTCAGCCTTTTCAAAGCCTGCAGCAGAATGGGCGTGGGCCTGCAAAAACGGGAAAGGCTCTGGCTCATCAGAAGTCTGCTCTTCAGGGCCAACTTAAAAGCAACACTCGCGCCAACCACGATCCTTTCCCAGGAGAGGATGCATGGCAGCGACAGGCAAAGCGACGGAAGGCGGATGACGAATCCAGCAATGTGGTCATCAAGCCCCAGATCTCCTCTGGTGCGTCTCTAGTGACTTACGACTCTGAATGATATGATACCCCCGGCCGACAGGTTCAGCCTACTTCTCAGCCGCCAGCAGTCGCTCGACAGCGGCAACTTTGTCTTCCATCGTCTGTGACTTATCTGTCCGTGAACCGACGCGAATATCTGTCTGGACGCGGACAACACCTCGGGCGTGTAGCATAGAGTGGCACTGTCCCATTACCCTCATACACTCGTCCCACGAGCCTTCTGTAGACGTTCGTCAGCACTGCGCCAGCATGGTTTCATGCTACCAAAGCTCTTCCTCTAGTTCACCCGGGATGGCACCAAGGTCATAGTCTGCTGGACGGAGCTATGCGACTTACCAAGCGTCGTTCCCGCAGAGTGCATCGAGTATTTGATGCCACTTTGCTTGAGCAACTTCTGCACCTCCGCGATCTCGGCTGATACCGATGCCGTGGGAGTTCCAATCGGGATCAAACAGAAATCGGCGGTGCATTTCGGCGGCGTGCCGATCTGTGACAGGGCTGACATTGTCGTACACGAGTCGTCGACGACTGTCGACAGCGGGGCCTTCTGACAGAGCGATGGTCGGACGTCGTTCGGAGCTATCGCGAACTGGAGTGACAGAGCGGATCAAGCGAAGAGATTGCTGTGAACAGTGAGACTTGCAGCAAAGATGCTCAAAGAGCCCTACAGCTTGCTTAGTAAAACGCGTTACTCAAGTAACAGGCTGAGGTTGGAAGAACGTAAATGTATTAGGGATCGTGCGGAGCAGGTGTTCCGGTTGCGCATAGGTTTACTGCCTGACGCTAAAGTATCTACACAATCTGCGACAATTCTCACGCTCCTATATAAGAGTCAACCCGGGGGACGTGGGATAATATCTGTGTATCTAGGGCGTGACTTCATTCCTCTCACAATGTTGCGCCCATCCGAAAGCCCGTCTTAGCTACACAATCCTTCCAGCTCTTCTCATCCTGCAAATAGTCCATCCATTTCTCGATGTCTGGCCACTTGCCGTTGCCACTGTTTTCCAAATGCTCAAGACCGAGTTTGCGGTCGTATATCAGCTGCAGACCGAAGAGCATGCCGATATCTGCGGCCGTCAAGCGCCCACCAACGAGGTACTTCCCACCGTTGGAATGCGATTTCTTCAGCTCCGAATTCAGCCAATTGAGTGCATTATCAATGTTACCAGACATTGACTGATTCATTTCTTTCCAGACCTCTGCACGGTTGGGCAGATCTTGCGGCAACCGCGCTCTCGCATACATGATCTGATGTTCGCGTCAGTAGGTCACGGTATCGGTGGCAGGAAGCATCGTACAGCGATCCCATGCATCAAGAAAGTGCCTTCACTTGCACTGAGCCACTCCTTCACCTTCAATCTCTCTTTCGCTTCTGTAGGCAGGAAGACATGCTCCTTGTCATACGTCTCACAAAGGTATTCAATTATAGCCACACTCTCTTGGAGAACAAGATCGCCGTCTTGAATGGTCGGACTTTTTCGCAAAGACCCAGGAATCTTCTGCCGGAATTCGGGCGGCGCAAGACCATTGGAGGCGCGTTCAGCCCGGACTAACTCGTACGGCAGGTTGAGCGCTTGGAGCATCCATGCTATGCGGACAGCGCGCGAGGCATTGAGAAACCACAACGTGATTTGCGGTTTGGAAGTCATTCTGATGGCGGGGTTGGGCTTGCAGGAAGCTGCTGAGTTAGTGATTGTAGGTGACTGGAAGCTATGGTAATCAAGGCAACACAGGATTTCTGCGAAAGTCTTAATAACATTTCAAGATTGAAACCATCAGATATTGCGTGAGGAGAGGCTTTGTCGAACTCCGTCATGGCACTGCTTGTTGAGCCTAAACCTGTAGAGCTGTCGGTTACATTGTTTCGCGCCTCGGATCACTTGCCGAGGGCAAAGCCATTGGCGTCGGTCATCCAGAGAGTCGAGACGATCGACGCTGACAACGCCAGCTGACTAGCTTTGTCGACATGAATGAATAACGCAGCGCCTGTTTGCTTGCGAACCAAACATCTTCATCAGAAGACTCTCGTGTCAGTGTCTGATGGCGGGGCATTGCGGGGAAGTAAAGACGATCAGCTCAGCGCAACACGCCCCAAACACGGTCACGTGCCAATGTCCCATTGCCTGCGAGGCGCTTGTCTTGTGGCCAACAGAAGGTACTGTAGTGTAGGTATACCACAAAGCTCAAGTGGACTTCCGGTTCCCTTGGTGGTAAGGAGAAGCGACGGGCTGGTCGCGTACCTCCACGTGTTTGTACCACACCACCATCCGGCGTGTCCGAGATCCATTGTTGAGAAAATGGCCTTGCTTCTCTCGAATTTGCCCAGCTCGTTCACTATTCGGGGTATGGAGCCAGGCAACATGACAAATGATGACAGGTCCATCTACGCATGGCTACCAGACCTTGCAAGCATGCTGTCTGCGTGATTGCATCGCGGAGTAAACGGAGAAGGCAACATGCATGTGGCTTTTTAGCCTTTCTTCTAGAGCATTTCCTTGTCTGGCCTGGGGGCTTCTAGGGGCGGGCGAACCCAATTAAACCCTGTAGGTGACACGGTAGCCCGCTTATCGGGGTACGAGCACTCCGTACCATTGTGATCTTCCGCTGCCCAAAGGGTCATCATCGGAAGCATCCCTCATCTGGCATGTGCTAGATGGACCATTTGGCCGCCACTCGATCAAGTTTTGCACGATCTGAGATGGCGTGACTAATGTCGCCGCCATCACCAGATACTTCATCGCAAGCACCGAATGATGTGAAAATTTTCACCCATCGAGCGAGGAAAAAATCAATTGAAGTGGGTATGTAGTGTTCTGTATTCATCTCCGTTGAGGGTTTCCAGTTGGTAAAAGGGTGGACCACAAGGTGACATGTCCAATTTCCAATCTTCCATGAATTTCGTGGACAGTTGCAAGCGAGGTTAAGCTGTGAAATAATAGGTTAAGCTTTGCGTGATTCAGAACGATCGGAGTTTTTAGAAGAGCCGGAGTTTCTGCAGCTGGCATCCGTGCTGCATTTGCCGTGGTGCCATCCAGCCATCAGCGCCACAAGCTCGAACCCGCACAATTAATCGGCGGTCGCGGTGCGTAGGTGTGCCCGTTGGTTGTTAAGGAGCCTTGCACGGTTTTGCCGACAGCCGAAACACTTTGTCGATTTCCTCGCTACAAGTGCTGATTTTCTGATTTTGGGGCAAAGACCTTCGTGACCAACGTCGCATCGCCAGTAGCCACTTAGAACCCCGTGGCGCTCCATTGTGGCCTTCGACGTCCTAAATCCAGCCCGCGCCAGGCCTGATGATGTTACTCTACTATGTACCAATTTTTCGCCTGTACCACCCTCAGTGTCAAGGATACTCGTGCTCGGTAACAGGATTCGCTCAAATACGGCTGTCATAGGCCGATCTTACGCGACTGTTCTCCAGAAGGGGCATCTAGCCTACCCGCATCAAACGTGTGGGGATCAGGATTAAGACGAGGGATACGGCGTGACACTCGACACGCATGGATACATCCAGTGATTGGGTTTAGAGGTCTAATGATGCAAAGTGCAGCTGGATGTCAAATGTCCAGGGCCGGAACACAGGCGGCTCTGATGGTGGCGGCGCTGTCATTGGAGGAGTCTGCCATCGTGAAGTCAATCCTGACTCTGCAGTCCTGTTTGCCGTCCTGTAGCACACGTGAGCCATCTGGAGATTGACAGGAACATCTCCATCAAATTTGCTGGAGACCAGGAAAAAGTCGAATTCATCAGGACCCTCTTCTTCGAGTCTCCTGAGCCCTGAGACAGACCCGAGTCTGGACGTGCTCACCCATTCTTCAGGGTTGCAGTGGGCAACGACGTGACGAGGGCGTCCAGGGCTGGTCCGTGAACTCCACAAGCCGACTATGCCTCTTTAGTGCATGTCGCCGGGGCTGGGACATGAGATTTTGGCCCGGGCAGCGGCACCTGACCGGGGAGGAATACCACCAGCGCAGCACCAGAGGAGCACCCGCTTCAAGATCCCCGCCTGTGCCCGCCACTTGTGGGGATCATCTGCGTCCAAGCATGCGCTAGTAGACTTAGCTACGCTGGATTGGTGCAGTCAATATTCTTGACGCTTTGCCTAGCGCGAGTCGCGCGGCGCTCCATACAGCCAGTAGTGAAAGCTGAGAGTAACAGCAGAGAGAGCTTTTTTTGTCTGGTCTCTGCGACGTTGTCGCGGGCCTGCAAGCTTTGCGTAGAGAGGCACGCGCGGGGATCGTGCTTTCCGGCCAGTCAAGTGACATTCGCCTGCGACCGCGTCTGTTTAGCTCCTGCCTCTCCGCAACTACATAATGTCCCCTTCATCCCCCAGACCGCTCCGTCTCTCCCTTCTTTCGGTAACCCCCTCTGCGAGGTGCGACTCTTCTTACACAGCCCGCATTCTTTAAGTGCTCCTCTACCTAACAACGTCTCTTCATCATGGCGGACAAGGAGACCAACGTCGCCGCCCATACCACCGCGCCGCGCTCTGGCTCCGTTGAGCTGCAGACCACTACCGATGTCGAACGTATCGAGGCTCCTGTGACCTGGAAGGCCTATCTGATTTGCGCTTTTGCGTCTTTCGGTGGTATCTTCTTCGGTTATGACTCTGGTTACATCAACGGTGTCCTGGGCTCCTCCATCTTCATTCGCGAAGTCGAGGGCGCTGATCGCGACCCCGACGATGGTGTCACCTCGTCCCACCAGTCCCTCATTGTGTCCATCCTCTCCTGCGGTACTTTCTTTGGTGCTATCATTGCTGGCGATGTCGCCGATATGATCGGTCGCAAATGGACTGTCATCGTTGGCTGCATCATCTACCTCATCGGTGTGGTTATTCAGATGCTCACTGGCCCCGAGGTCGACTCTCTTGGTGCTATTGTCGCTGGTCGTCTGATCGCTGGTTTCGGTGTCGGTTTCGAATCTGCCATCGTCATTCTGTACATGTCTGAAATCGTGAGTTGATTTTCCCCAAAACTGCGCATTTTCGTTACTGACCCATTTCATAGTGCCCCCGCAAGGTTCGTGGCGCCTTGGTTGCCGGTTACCAATTCTGTATCACCATTGGTATCATGTTGGCTTCCATTGTCGTCTATGCCACCAAGGACCGAACTGATACTGGCAACTACCGTATTCCCATCGCCATCCAATTCCCCTGGGGTCTGATTCTTGGCGGTGGCCTCCTGCTCCTCCCTGACTCCCCTCGGTACTTCGTCAAGAGAGGAAACATTGAGGCTGCCACCAATGCTTTGTCTCGTCTCCGTGGTCAGCCTCGTGAGTCCCAGTACATTCAGGTCGAGCTTGCTGAGATTGTCGCCAATGAGGAGTATGAGCGCCACCTCATCCCTAGCAGCGGTTGGTTCTCCAGCTGGATGAACTGCTTCAAGGGTGGTCTCTGGTCATCTAAGTCCAACCTGCGCCGCACCATCCTGGGCACTTCTCTCCAGATGATGCAGCAGTGGACTGGCGTCAACTTCATCTTCTACTACAGCACACCCTTCCTGCAGTCCACTGGCGCTATCTCCAACACCTTCTTGATCTCCTTGATCTTCACCTTGGTCAACGTTTGCTCGACTCCCATTTCTTTCTGGACCGTGGAAAGATTTGGCCGTCGTCCTCTTCTGATCTATGGTGCCTTGGGCATGTTGATCTGCCAGTTCCTTGTCGCCATCATCGGTGTTTCTGTTGGCTTCAACCACACTCACCCCGACCCTAGCGACCCGGATACCTCGATTGCCAACAACATCTCTGCTGTCAACGCCCAGATTGCCTTCATTGCCATCTTCATCTTCTTCTTCGCTTCCACTTGGGGTCCTGGTGCCTGGATCGTCATCGGCGAGATCTTCCCTCTCCCCATCCGCTCTCGCGGTGTCGGTCTCTCCACTGCCTCCAACTGGCTGTGGAACACCATCATCGCTGTCATCACTCCCTACATGGTTGGCGAAGACAAGGGCAACCTGCGCTCTTCCGTCTTCTTCATTTGGGGTGGTCTCTGCACTTGCGCTTTTGTCTACGCCTACTTCCTTGTCCCTGAAACCAAGGGTCTCACCCTTGAGCAGGTTGACAAGATGTTCGAGGAGACCACCCCCCGTACTTCGGCCAAGTGGAAGCCTAGCCAGACCTTCGCCAGCACCATGGCCAACGACAAGGGCGTGCTCGAGAAGGGGATCGTCGAAGATGTCGAGCGTCGTGGGTCTGCCTTTTAAGTGGGCGAGCGATGTGCCTGGCCCCAGACAGATCAGGGGCAGGTGTTGCGAGGCCGCGGTGGCGAAACCCCTACGAGCTGTAATTAATTCTTTGGTGGGCCCGACTCCCAGTCATCTTTTACATGGCTAGGTAGTTGGTCTCCCACATATCCGATACCCTCTTATACCCATTACCCGCTTCCAGACTGAATGAGAAACATTTCAAAGTTGGATTGAGTGATTCAGGGTCCAGGACTCAAGATAACATCCCGGAATGAAGAACGATTTTGAACTTGAACTGTTGCTGTCTTCTTTTGATTATGCATCCCGACATCTCTTACGTCTGGTCAACCCGCGCGGCAAGGCGATATAGGCTCGTGACTTCGTTCCGTGCGCAAAGAGAGCCACAAGTAGACTGCCAATACCAAATCGGTGTCGTGCTTCGGAGACCACCCATGCCTGCTATACCCGCTCACCGACCGTGGCCCCCCATAAGCAATTGCTGCCGCTGCTGCCTCCGCGCACTCGCGATCCCTGAAAGCAGGAGCACGTGAAAAAGGGAGAAGATGTCAATATACACGGGGAAGGAATTTGAGACGTGAAAGAGATCAGAGATGGGGGAAAGAGGAGTGCTATCCTGTCGTGTCTTGTACCGTCCATTTATACTTCCTGCACGCACGTCTTTGGGACATAATAGACGACGAGGAGCAAAGCCTTACGTAGTGTGGTGTTGGTTATTGGGCTTTTAGCCTGATACCTTCCATCCCCACGCTGCCCCCCTCCCAGCCCGGCGTCACTCTTCCAGACCTGGTAGGCAACCAGGTGTCGTCGTCAGAAGCTCATTGAGCGGTGGGACGCTGGTTGAAAATTCCCCTTTTTTAGCTGCCGTGTTCGCGCGGAATCTCTTGGTGTGCCCGTTGACAAGACGGGTATGTACCACCACCCGCTGCAGGCTGGCCTAGAACGGTGGATCCTGGGGTCCCCGGGAGCTGACGCTTATAGTGCTTGTCTGCTTTGACACCTGCATGGCTGCTTTGCCAAAAATGCTTGTATGTGCTGTTTTTGAAGCACGCTGCACTAGCTACATTGATACTTTGAATCATACAAGGAGCCATTCGAATTGGCCAAGATCGAGTCCGTTGGATGGCCAGACAATTGGAGCTGGAGCCGATCACTGCTTCCATGCAGGCTCCCAGCGAGCATCATGTTGCTCATAGCCCCTGGACGACCTAGACTCCGGTTGTGGAAGCATGTCAGTCTTCGTCACTACTGTCCTCCATATCAACGATCTGTGTTCCCCGCCGCGGCTCTCCAGCACTACCGCCAGGGGCACTGCTGTTCTGTCTGCCCTGGTTCTTACGGTCCATCATTTCTTGCTTGACTCGACTCACTCCACTTGAACTATTCCTCCCCAGCGGACTACTTCCAACCCCAAATGGTCGGCGTTGAGTACCTCTGATACCCCTGATACCACCCTCCCTGTCAGCATCGCTCCCGGCTTCATCGTCCTCATCTTGCTGTTCCTCCTCATCTCTCTTTTCTTTTTCCATGATGCGCTTCGCCCGCCGCTGCAGCACTGGGTTCGCACGCAGATCTGCTTCCTGCATCCATCGATTGCACTCAGGACAATGCACTCTCGGCGTGCGGATTTGCCGCTCCCGTCTTGCACGCTGTCCATCCTTCAAGCGCGAGAGTTCTATTTCCTGCTCTGGTGTGAATGGTACAAAGTCTGTACTCACTTTCAGCATGTCCAGTATCGCCGATTTCTCAAGACTGTGGTGGCAGACGTCGCTGGTAACTGGATCTTTGAAGTATTGCAGCGTTAACGGACACTTGACGCTTGTGCGTTCTCCCACCACACCGAGTTCAGTGTCTTCCTCGGGAAAGCCATCGGCGGAGAGACTGGCTGTTAGCCGGCCTTCTTCGCGGCCAAACCATAGCGCGGCGTTGGGTACCGGAGGCGGATTTGGTAGGTGTGCGTGGCGAGCGTCGTGGATAGATTTGTAGAAACCAGCGTAGTCATTGTCATGCGCATAGCGCTCGGTGAGGGTTTTGGAAGCGTGGCGAACCTTGTGACTGCTGAGGGCGACTCGAAGCAACGTCGTGGGGGCTTCTTCTGGCGGAGGGGGACCGGAAGCCGTGGTGTCCTCCTCGTCATTGCCGTCGCTGTTGAGAACATCTTCATTTCCGTAATCTTCATTGGCGAGATCGTGTTGTCGTGGCGTAGCATCTTGTGTGGGAAGTTGGGTAGAGCGTTGGCTGCGTTGGGTTTGCGTAGCGGTAGCATTGCTTGATTTGTTGCCCACATGTCTGAGCGTATCAGAGATGGATTCCATCCAAACCCGATCGTCGATGATGCGTCGTATGGCGTGGTCCATCTTCTCGGTGACATCGTCAACACGCGCTTCAAAGGCTTTGACCTCGCTGTCGTCGTTCAAGTCTTCTCCATTTTCTTGAAGACGCTTATTGTGACGAGAATGCTTTTCGCGACGCTCGACTTTGGCTTCATTGATAGCACTAGCGGTTTCGGCAAGGATGTTGCTAGCGCTACGGATGTTGTCTTGTAGTTTGCGGTCGGCAGCATATGAGCGTTGGAGTTCAGCGAGAGCACGGACTGCTTTCTCGTTGAGCGGCGCCTCGAGAGACTGATAGCGGACGTCGACGGACGGCATGGCCGCGCGTATATTCAGTAAGCGAGCGACGCAAGCGAGGAGGGAGGGAGGGCGAGCGGGAGGAATAAGTTCGTACGATGGTAGAGACATTGCTCAATGGAACTGGCGTTCTACGCGTGACGCGACTGCGCACTCATTCGATTCTCCGCACCGCCAAAAAACTGCCTCCAACTTGTCTCAATGTCTCCCTTTCCTGCGAATGCACACCACGACCTTAACTGTCCCGCACAGCTCTACGACAGCAACTACTCGGTCCTGACTTGACGAGCTAGTCACTCTCACGATTGACTGTGCTCTGTGCACGCGCTGTGCCTTTATCATCTCTAGACGAGGCAATTGTTGCCCTTCACCATCCTTCCACGTCGGACTCTTGTCTGAGCTATTGACATCTATTTCCTTTTTACATCCATCAATTCTCTCGATAAGTCCCATTTTGAATTTGGAGAGGTCTGTGTCTCATCTGCTCTGCCATGAGTGAGTCTCGGCTTCCTCCAGCTGCGAGACGACGCTCATCAGCAGCCTACGATCCAGCACGGGATATCTTCAGAGAAATCCCCGACTCTGTACCCGAGGACGCTGTAGCTGATGGCGATCATGCGACAAACACCAGCCCTTCTGCCACTGCTGAAAGAAAAAGAAAATGGTCACCTCCGGCTAAGCCGCCGAACGAGCAACCGAGCAACCAGCACGATGAGAGCGCTGGCAACGAAACGAAGAGGCCTCGCGCTTCGCCTGTAAGAGACGGTCAATACGATGAAGCACCCTCAAAACCCAAAAATCCAATGGATCTTCCCCGAGTGCCCCGTCGACCACGAGAGGATGGCGAGATTTCATCTCGTGCACCTCCATCCGTCTATAGCAGACGTCCAGACGCAAACGGCTACCCGCCTCGACGACGCTCACGGTCGCCAGGCCCATCCAGAAGGCGGTCAAGGTCTCCAGGAAACCGTGTGCCTAGCGCGTATCGAAGAAGATCTCCGCCCCGGAATTCAGATCGTGCACGTGATCCATCTCCAATTCGCCGGTCTCCGCCTCGAGATGCAAATCCTCGTCAGGGAGCAGGTAGGGGACGGGGCCGCAATGTGCTCGCGGAACAGGAGCGCTTGAGAGCGGAGCGAGAAGCGAGACAAGCCCCACAGAACGTCAACCGCGGTGTTCAAGATGCATCTAATCAGTTCTACAATGCCCGGCCTGAATGGGTAAAGGAACGTGGACGAGAGTGGCGTAAAAACGAGTCTCAGATCAAAGGGCTGCGCAGCTTCAATAATTGGATCAAGTCATTCATGATTCAGAAATTCAGTCCCGAGGAGAAGGCTGAGCCGGAAGAGCTCGGCTGGGGCGAGGAAGCCAAAGCCCCGGAGCAGCTCCAGCCATTACTTGTCCTTGACATTGGTTGCGGGAAGGGTGGTGACTTGGGGAAGTGGCAGCTTGCGCCACAGCCCCTTGAGCTGTACGTGGGCCTTGATCCTGCTGACACCTCAATCAGACAGGCCTCCGAGCGATATCAGGGCATGCGTCGAGGACGAAAGCCGATCTACGAAGCTCGCTTCGTTACCAAAGACTGCTTTGGTGAATGGATCGGCGAGGTTCCCATCGTTCAAGAAGTTGGCATCGATCCAAATGTGGGCAACGGAGCCGTCAGCCGGTTCGGTGGCGGCCGATTTGATGTGGTCGTCATGATGTTCAGCATGCACTACGCTTTCGAGAGTGAAGACAAAGTCAAGATGATGCTCAAGAATGTGGCAGGCAGCTTGAAGAAGGGTGGACGGTTTATCGGCGTGGTGCCCAATTCTGATAGCCTTGCTAGCCACATCAACACCTGGTTCACCAAGAATCGACCCAACGCTCAGGCTCAGGCAAAAGGTGAGCCAGTGAGTCCGAGAACCACGAGCCGTGAAGACGAGGAAGGGCCAAGCTGGGGCAACTCTATCTATAATGTGCGCTTCCCACCAACATCAACCACGGCCCTCACTCCAGCCGATGGATCGGTCCAATTTCGTCCACCCGTTGGATGGAAGTACACATACTGGATGGCTGAAGCCGTGGACGTGCCCGAGTTCGTCGTTCCGTGGGAAGCTTTCCGTGCAATTGCGGAAGGCTACAATCTCGAGCAACGCTATCGAAAGCCATTCCTCGAAATCTGGGAGAACGAAAAGCACGACCACGAGATGTTCGCTCTCGCCAAGCGAATGGGCGTGGTCGATGATCGCGGCCAGATGGTCATGTCGCAAGATGAGCGAGAGGCCGTCAGCTTCTACCACGGTTTCTGTTTCGTCAAAGTGTGATCGCGAAGCGAGGTCACGGCGCTCCGGCAGACCCAACACCAGAGTTCAACTTCAATGACTCTATCATCATCAGCCTTCGTCCTGACTACCACCCATCCATCGACACCGTCACAGCGGATCAGCAACGAGCCTACGAGCGTACTCCATTCGTCTTGCACTTCCATCCAGAGATTCAGCCGCGACGTCCTCGGCTTCGACCCAAACATCATTCAAGACGAATTCGATCCGTTCAGTATCTTCGACCTCTTTAAGTAGCGCAAATACAATGCGAACGTTCCTGCCTAGGATGACCCTACCTTTGTCGATACTCGCAATACGCACAGCAGACGCTTACTGTCAGTCGGCGCTGAGGCTGTAGTGAGTTCACCATCCGGATATAGCTGCAGTCTCAGTCTTTAGATGACCAGGGACTCGGGATACTTCGTGGTCCAAAACAGAGGACGGATAGGACTAGCTCGCGAGGATTATCGTGCCTGTCAGCTACTACGGATCAGCGAGGCGGGAAGGGCTGGTGCGCGATTCTTAGTGAATAGCACGCGAGAAGCTTGTCTGTAGACGTCATCTTGAAGCAGCGACCAGATCAACAAAGCTCATGCATGACCTGCGTCAAGTCCTGTTGTTCTTCATTCGTGCTCATACTCTCATCAAGGTTTTTCCCTGTATGCTGCTTCGTGACTTATCTATTCTCTTGCGGACCGTGCTGGCTCTGTGATGCCCCCATTTTCTCGCCCGTCTGCCCGTCTACACGTCTTCCCCCCTAGAGTTTCCGAAATCGGCGCACAACGGCCCTTCGTAGCCCCTCGAGCGATTCCTGTATCAGCCCGCTTTTCTCCTGGGTTGACTGTGCCATAATATTGCTGCCGGCCGGCGTCTGAGTCGTGCCTCGCTCATCTGGCAGCTGTGCGGACGAAGTGGCCTCTAAATCCATGAGCCCATGAGCCGCTGATATCACAGCGTCGAGTTGTGCGTACACGCGTCTCCTGGCGGCGACGAAGCTTGCTCGCTTGTCGCGATTGGCTTGGGGCTTCAATTTCTGTGTCGTTGTGGTGGTGTCTACTGGTCGATGGGGCCGAAGCTGCTCGTACATCTGTCGCATGGTGGCCTCCCTCTCGAGAACGAGATGAGCCGGCCAGTCCACGTGAGCGATCTCACGATTTGCATCAATGACCAGGCGTCGTAGGCGATGGACGACGCAACGGGCGCGAGATCTCTAGTCCAGCTCCTCGATCCTTGCATCGTCACTGTCGTCACCCTGCAATTCATGCGCATGTCCGCCAACGGTGCTGCCACTCGCACGCTCACTCTCCCCGAAGCTCAGCTCGCCAAATCTCTCCCGTAGCCTCCGTGCCTCGACGGGCCCCAGCCCGACGGCAGCAGCTTCCGCCGCACTCTCACTCGCGGCGCGCCTCTTCCCTTTGCCCATGCCAGCCGCGCCTGTGGCGCCGAAACCGCCACCAAAGCTGCCGCCCTGAAAGCCGCCCTCACCTTCGTCGTACGCGTCCGCCACGCCCTGGCTCTCGAGCTGTGCGACCAAGGCCTGGTTCTCTTCGTTGCCCTCCAACAGGAACTTCAGACACATGACGGCGTGCTCGCGTATGTATGGGTTATTGGCATCGTGCACGGTGCACGCCAGCACAGTGTCAACGCCACGGTGGGCACGAATCTGGTCTTGCACCAGCCGCGACTTCCAGACAAGCGAGCTTAGCACGAGGATGATTAATTTCTTGAGGTTACGCCATTCAAAGGTCGACGGGTCCTCCAGCGGTGGGTTCGTTGATGGAGGATGTGGTGCCGCGGCGTTCGGTGGCAATGACGGTGGTGGTGAGTTGATGGCAGGATCGAGCGGCAAAGGGATTGGAGGAGATGGAGGAGGGGATAGAGAGTAAGGGCGCTCGACTGCGACGGGTGCAGCACTGCTTGTCTGTGTTGGAGCTAGGGATGTGTCGGCATCTCCTAGTTGGTTAGATGGTGGTGGCGCCATTTCGGCAGCCTCACCTTGGTATACCACGCCGACATCGCGGTCGCCATCCCGTGCGACGGCAGCCTTGCCAGCAGCGGTGAGCGGATTGACCTTCGGGATCGCGGCTTCGAGTTCCTTGATTAGGGTGCACAAGTCGTACACAATCTCCCACTCGACCAAAAGCCGCTTCCAGTCATTGTTCTCAGTCAAGACCGCAAAGAACTCGAGGAACTGGTACACGCCTTCGTATACACGTTCCATGTCCCAGAGGTTCAGTGGAAAGTCCTCCGCCAGCGCCAGTCCATGTCGAATCTGGCCCTGCAGATATATCAGCGCGCATGTCTCCGGCACAATGTTGCCCCGGAAAACGGTGAAGATGTACCGGACGGTGAGCACATCGACCCGTGTAAGGGGTGCTGGAACCCTCGACCGGCTAGCATCAATAGCTTCGCGCGGTGCGGAGCGGTCGGCGTCCTTTTGATTTTGGGCGGATGCGGGCGAGTAACGTGTGCGATAAATATGTGTCAAAATCTTGACCACAACAGCCTGAGCGGGAGAGATGATGTCTTTGGCTTGCCCAAAGTCGGCGTATGCGTGGGACATGAGGCCATTCTTGAGTATAGCCTCCATAATCTGCACCATCATCTTGAAGTAAAACTCGTCGTCAGGCAAATCCCAAGCGGCGATGAAGATGAGCAGCTCGCGTAGGACATTTCGACCTGCTTCTTGTGCGAGTAGAATATGACACCGTACAGATTGCATGTTGCGGATGTTCTGGCGCTCTGCAGCCGTTTGAGGTGGGAGAGGTTTGTTGCTGCTGTTGCCAAAGTTGTCTACAATCCCAGCTTGGATGATCATCGGCAAGGCTTCGATTTCCGTGGGACCTAACACAAGCGGTACATCGGTGAGCAGACCGCGCTCTTGGTCGTTGGGATGTCGGTAAGACGATGTTTCAGACACCGACGCGTTGGAAACGGAATCGTGCTCTGATTCTGAAAGATCCTCCTCGGCACTATCAAGCAGCGAATCCTCGAGCACATGCGATGCGGCAGTACCGTCTTCATCATCATAGGGCGCGTCATCCGAGGCATGGGACTGTGGCTCTTGTAGGCGTGCCATAAGCTCGTCTTTGGCTTCTTGCAAGGTCTCAGCAGCGGATTGAGATGTTCGAGGCATTTGCAGGTCAGCAGTGGTGATCTCCTGGCTGGCACCTGTAATATCCGCGTATGATGAGAAGTCGGGCATACTGTTCCATTGACGACCATTCGTGCGCTGAGTTTCGACGCTGGCGTTTCGAGCAGCTTGTTCTATCGGTGGCGACAGGTCCTTATTGGGCATCTGGGCGCGAAGAGCAGCCCCAACTTTGAGCAGTGCCTCCGGATTACCATCCAGCTGATTCGAGTTCAGCCCAGAGAGCCTCTCCATATCGGATCGGATCTTCTCCATAAGCACCTTGGCCGTCTCTTGGGTATTAGCATCTGGCTGCTTGGTGGCGCTCATCATCTCAAATAGCGCATGTACGTCCTCGATGTTGTACCCCAAGCCCCCTTCTGCTCCTTGAGGTAGCTTCTCCATCGCCGATTTGATGCGTTCTTGGACCGCCGCCTCCTCGGCTCTGAGTGGGGCTTGATCCTTTGGAGCCTCCGTCTCCTTTGTCTCCGTTAGGTCCTGGTTCAGGGTTTGTGGCTGTTGCTGTTGCTGTTGCTGCTGTTGTGGCGGTTGGCTGGCTGCGTTCCCGAAAAGATCCAACCACAGCACCAGCTTGCGTTGTTCGTTGTGCATGATGAAGTTGTGCAGAAACTGGAGACATGTGATCAACAGCCTCTTGTACAGGTTCACCACCTTCCCCCATCGCTCTTCGCTGCGAACATTTCCGCCCTCGCCATCAAATCCTCTGGCCGTGACTCGCACGCAGACGTCAATGAGTCGAAGAATCTGCTGATCGAATCCCATTTCCGCCGCCAGGTTCTGCGCTCTCTTCGTCGTAGCCAGTAGATTTCGCGCAATGGTACAAAGATCATTCAGTCTTTCGATATCCTTGACCAGCCCAAGGTAGTTCGCTGCGATGAGATCCGAACTCGAGCCATTGTAGTTTCCGCCATTGGCCGCATGTGTGCCAGCATTCCCAGTCTTCCAGGCAAAGCTGAGGCTCTCTAGGACCGGAATCGCATGCGCTAGCACATTGCTAAGACCGGTCCAGACTTTGGGGGAGAAGCCCAGAGCCTGTCGCGTATCAGATTCTTGGTGCGATTTGTAGAGGATCTGTTTTCCGGCGAGTAGCAGGTGCTCGAGGCGCTTGTCGTCGATGACGCCGCGGAACTCGTAGTGTGACTGCGTGCCGGACAGGACGAGGTTGAGGAGGCATTCGGCGGGCGTCATTTTCGCACCGGCGGCGATGACGCGGGCGCGGAGCTTATTGAGAGGTCAATAAGCGACGGCTATGTCCTCGGCATGAGCAAGTTTGGGCAAAGAGCGTCCGGGGCAACTCAGCGAGCTATCCACATGGAGGTACGAAGGGCGGTGTCCAAAAGTTCGAAGAGCGCATGTGGTGTTGGAGAAAATGTAAGTTGCGGGCGGCTAAACTTCGGGGGTGCTGGAGAGGCAAAGGGCATCAGGCAGTAAATGAATTCAAGGATAATTCATCTAAATCTGTGGGCACAAACTGAGCTAGTAAGTACCAGATTCACCTATGCTCTACCTGAGTTCGACTGAACGGGAACAGTCTGCACAGCCTCGAGAAGACTAGAGTCGCCGCAACTGCATAGAATTGCGAACATTTGTTCTGGCTGGGAAGCCAATCGAGAAATCCGTACAAGACTCGTCGTGGCAAATATGGCTATTCATTCTTTTCGTCCTGTACCTTGCATATCTATGTGGCTTGACAATCTGTCATAGCACATACAGCATAAAAAAAGAGCAGACACAGCTCTACATGGGTATATACTCCACCTTTGATAAATCATACGCCTCCTCTTGCACCGATATGCCGTGCTCCGGATACTTCAGCTCCTCCGTGCTTGCTGAGAGCTGATGTTTCTCGCATGCTTGATCACTTACTGTAGATTGATTAACAAGCTCAGTGACTGCTGTGTAGCCCTGGTGCTTAATTGGTGATGAGCTTCAGGTAGTCGGCAACGATGAGAGTGATCATCCTAGCTCGGTCAGATTCAGCAAGGCGGTACCGGTGGGAAGCTTACGCATGGGGAGCAATTCTAATATAGTAGGTACCGAAGCCGCGGTAGAAGCGCAGTGGACCCTCATTCGCGATCACCTGAGATCATATTAGCATAGGCCGGTCGAAGCACTAGCGAGTTCCTGTGGAGCAAGGGCCAAGAAAGCTCACCTTCCTAGCACAATCGAGGAAGCCTGCGTAAGGGAGTTTGCCATCGGGTCCTTTTGACTGCTTTTGCAGACGCGTCTTAATAAAGTCGAATGGTAAGCTAAAGAACGAGGCGAAAAATCCGGCAATGGCCGAAGCTCCGAACCGGTTGGTGCCCTCTGACAAGTGGGGAAACCGCTCCTTCAGCTGTGTTTTGGACTCGGCGAAAAACGTGAGTTGGCCAAAGTTGAGAGCCATCGCTCGAATGACGGTGGGATAGGCGCCAGCCCACCATGCCGTGACACCTTCTCCTTTCGCAATGCGGCCGAGCGCGTCGAAGACGGACCGATAGTTGGCTCGTTGATCTTTGGGCTTGAGACCATCGGATTGCATTCGGATCAATGCCAGATCAGCGGGGTTGCCAACCATGGCTGCGAGACCACCAGCAGTCAGACCAGCCGCACCTCGCTCGACGAAAGTCACTTTGGTACCCTTCTCATCGGCGCGTGCCTGCAGCATGTTCTGGAATGTGTCGAAGAAACCCAGCCTGGCGGTGGTGTAAACAGCTTGTCTTAGTAGACCTGCAGATAGACCAGTGTACAGGTCCAAGACTCTGCCCGAGGCGATGACTTCCCTTGTCACGCCCATAACGGTGGGTTTCGGGCCGCCTTTTGCACCCTCGCCAGCCAGTTGAAGTCGCACCTTGACCATGTCGACAGGCTGTATACAAGCGGTTGCAAACATGCCTGCCAAGCCACCATTGATGAAGGGCAGGGCACCTCGCATTACCGGAGTATGGAGGAAATCATTCTTGGCCTTAACAGGATTGTTGACTGCTTCCGTTGCAGCCTCTTCGACCTTGGTCGCGGCGGACCGGGCGCTTTCCTTGACGCGGTTGGCGGTACCCGACATGGTTGTAGGAGTGGAGATTCAAGAGGAGTGTTGGAGTATTCTAGCGGGCCTAGGTCAGCAAAGGTTGCGCGAGCAGTGTTTGGAACAGGAAAGCCGTTCATGCTGATCAGCAGGACGACTCGAGCTTCCAACATCGTCCGGAGGTAAGAATACGTACGAGGGACCCAAGCACACGCGTGCGCGTGCTCTCTGCGCAGCGTCTACCCGTGAGCGGTGAGGGGCAGGTCGGTTGCGTCAGCGGGAATACCAATCGACGGTCAGCCTTTGGGGTGAACGATCTGACGCTGTATGCACTGATAACGAGGTCGACAGGAAGCAGAAAACGCGTATGTGCAGTGTGAGAAACAGTAGAATGGCTCTTCGGCTGTCAAGGTGTGCTGCCGGAAAGACAAAGTCCATATAGCCCGGGAGAAGGTCGTAAAGATGTTGCCGGACGAGTGGTCGAAGGAGCGACCATTGGTTGACGAAGCCCAGAGCAAGGCACAATGCGGGGAAGGAGCCACCCTGACGAACGACGAGCCCAGCGTCCAAGATGATCAGCTCCCCAGCCGCAACTCAACAGCTCCCGTTGGGCCGTCACCTGCATCATGAACGCGAGCCGTCTCACCCATTTGTGTTATTTCATGCGTATACAATATTGTTCCTCAATGATTCCTTTCCAGTGATTGTTGAGGCCGTTGAGCGACCTTCACATGCCTGAGTTCCATCCCACGGGCTGTGCCCCACTCGCCGTCGCTAGCTTGCTTCTTGCATCCACAACCCTCATCCCGATTAGAAAAGGCTCATCTTGCCAGTAGAACCATCTCGGTATGCGGAAGATCTCGGCGGGCGTGGGCCTTATGGGATTCCGGCTTTCTTGGATTCGGATGCTGGCTTCGTGCCGTCGCCGATGGTCAGCTTCATGTCCCTGATCCGTGCCTCGCGTCAGCCATGTCGTCACAGGCATCCCCGCCGCTATCGATTAGCGGTGGATCTTATGGCTTGGTGCCAGGACCGGCCTGCTGACCGAAATCTGGGGAAGTCTATGCTCGAGTGAGCCAGCTATGGCTCAATAAGTCATGTATGGAAAAGCCAGAGCCCGGTAAACTGACCATCGCAAACAGCTGCTGTCTCGCGACATGAGATACTGTCGACACAGAAACAAGAGCAAGGGCGACTTGCAGCCCCCTTCAACGGCATCCGTAGATTCTGGCGCCGCATCGGACAAGGCTCCTAGTCCGATCGGGCTCGCTTGGCATGCCGAATTGCAAGTCCTGCTTTACCCGATACTCGCCTCAAGCACATGCCTGACGCTGAAGAGCACGTGTGGGCTCGAATCCCTGCCAATCAGGACCGGGGAGTAGTCCATGCTGCCAGCGGAGCACATCTGAGGGTGGAAGTCCTAGTATTGCCGGTCTAGCTATAGCTAAAGATATTATTGGCTAACTCGCCGTCTTGGGCCGCGCTTTGTCCTTCTTCCGGAGCAAGCTCTTCATGTTGAATGGCTTCCTGAGTTCTTTGATCCGTTTCATTAAATCGCGCGTCCGCTTCTCTCGCTGTTCAGGGGATAGCTCTGAACTGAGGTTACCATCGGCTTCCGAAGACAAGGTAACCGCGGTTTGGGGACGAGAGGCCGAAAGTTTCCGCGCATTTGTCTTGGTGACGGCCTGATAGATCAACCGCCAACCAGCGAGCTTCGTTTTCTGCACAACACCGTCGCGTGTGATCGTGAGTTCGCTGTCTTGCGCCTCCGACGAACGCCACGGGCAATACTCAAGGTGGCCTTCGACTGCGTCGAGTCTCTCAATTGTGGGGTCCTCACCTCTGTACAACCAGAGGCCGAGTGATCGAAAACAGTGTTTGCACTCGATGACGTCTGGACACTTGCGCTGCCAACCACACATAGCCAGCTTCAGTGCTTCGGAGGATGCCATCTCTTGATCGACCTTGAAAGTCTGCAGCTCCGTTTCTTCGACATGGCCTTCTGATAACAACACAGCAGGGATTTCTGACAGATCGGTGTCTATGCTGTTGTATCTCTCTTGCAGCCCAGATATAGCATTGCCAACGTTGAGTAAGCCCTCTATTCGCTGTATTGACGTATCGCAGCCTCGCTTTCTCCATGGACAGCTGGCAGAGTGGCCCGAAATGATCATCTCCTGGTATCGTTTGATGAGGGCATCGTAGACGTCTTTGGCTAACGAGTAGCTCGCATCATCTGCGCCGTCACCAGTCGCGTCAGGTTCGTGGAGGTTCCCATTCTCGAGGTCGAGATCAACGGTTAATCTTTCCTTGCAGGACCCGCAGGAGACAGTGTCTTTGTCAACGCAGACCCAGCCTCTTTTCGCCCACACTGACGCGTTGATCGGTTCGGTGGATGGAATATGCCATTGCGTGACTTGTCGATATGTTTCGAGGCGCTCGAGAAAAGCAGGACGCGAGGAGGGGAGATAGTGTCCGGTCAACGACGTTGTAGACGCGGTTTTACTGATCTGGGAGTTGGGAGTGATGCGGCGCCGCTTAGACGCGTCGGAGCCATCGGAAGGAGAAATTGTAGAACCATTATTTCGTGAGTTCAGAGTTGATCGCACCGACGAGCCGCCATCGGTGAGTGATTCCAGTATACGGTCGAACTTGCGCTTCTTCGCCTCGAGCTCATATGACATGTTGTCTGTGGTGATACACCGTCAGTACTTGAAGGCAAGCCTCTGGTCCCACAGATAAGGTTGAGGGCCAGACTCCAAATATTCAAACAGATGAAGTTGCGCACTTTGGAGTAAACATGATCCTCGGCTACCGTTTGGCCGAGATCTAGCCGTTCGAAAATGCCAAGCATCTGGCACGGTCGACTTCACCCTTACTCCAACCTCACTTTACTTCACTCCACCATGTCACTTTTGCAGCCCCATGGTTGAATCCTTCATCGACTGTCTTCCGTCTATCAAACCCCGCGACAATGAAAATATGAATTTGAAAAATCAAGAATCGCTTCCAGGTAAAGGCAATCACAGAATGTCGGCCAGCTATAGGTTTTGCTGCAGCTTTCCATCTGCTCTTATGATGATGGACTACGAAATACACAAGGTAGAGTGACGCTACGTACTTCAAGAAACGTGAGGTATCTCTCTGCCTTCGAAGTGACATCTAAAGCTCTAGGCTGTTGGTGAAGGTTTAATCAACAACTATCCGTATTAACCGGTACCGGAACATCTCTGTCAAGTGAAGACTGTTCTCTCAATCACGCCCCAGCCCCATTGGTTGTTCGCGCTACACCTGCTATTTCTGTCATGATGTTGTTCAGTCCGTTTGTCGAATGGCTCTGCCGATACTTTATCAACTTGTGACCCGAAGACAAAAATGTTCTTTGTTCCACCGCTTTCTTCTCTTTCACAACCTACTTGTGCTATCGGCGTCGACCTTCTACCACCTAGCTTGCTGTGCAACATAACGGTCTCTACGACCAGTTCTGTGAATCTGCTGCCCAATTATGGTCGACATAACGCAAGATGTGCAGCCGACTTCAGAAGTCACAACTTGGTAAGCCCTTCGCAGCTGCTGTCAACAGGACTGATAAATCAAGGCAACCACGCCCCTGGGCAAGCGTGCAGAAGGCCGTACCTTCTAGCATCCCAGAATACCATATTGTGCCTGATTTGAATGAACTGGACAGACAGTGGCGCTGGGCACAACCCGATCTTCTGGAAAAATACAAGCATGAGGTCCGAACCCTCGCAAACGATCCCAACATTTGCCACGCCGGAGAATCGATCTCGAAACCTCGCCGAGTCACTCAGACAGAGGTAGTAGCCAGCGCCGTTAGCATCATCTATGCCCGATTTCCGAAGCTCGCGAACAGCCGAGTAAATCCACCGTTGCCCAGGAAGCCAAAGCGGCCTCGTGCACTGTCTGAGATTGACGTATCGACTTGCTTTGCGGCCGTTCCCGAAACCCAAGGGCAGCCTAAGAGATCGAAGAAGCGGCAGGCTTTAGAGGTTCTGGCTGACGAAGACCCCTCGAGTCCACCATCTGTCATTCCACCCACTAAGAGACACCGTGCCGACAGCGAAAAGGAGAATGACCTTGGGGAGGTTCCTGCACAACCCACCCAGGAGACTTTTCCATACGGTCTGGATATGCCAATGCAGAAGAACCTGCTAACACCCATGAATGTGTCCAGAAAGCAGGTGTCCAAAGAAGACGATGGCCCTGCTCCGCCGCCCGCAAAGAAAGTAAAGCTCGCGATGAGGAACGCTGCACCCACGCGACCAGGCTTACAAGCTGTGTCAAACATGAAAAGCTCAGACCCCCAAAATGTTCACAGCACATCGAGACTCCCAAGTCCAGACACTCAGAACGAGCAAGCGACGAGCGTATTCATGATTGAGGAGTCGACTCACCCGTTGCCACAGGACTCGTTTTCGGATGAATCGTCGTTGTTCGAAGAGATGATGAGTCAGGAGGCTGCACGCATGAACATTGGAGGCTCAGCCAGGGATTCAAACGCAACAAGATACGAAACAGGCAAGCCGATTATGCCAACACCTCTTCACTCGGCTAGTTTGCCGTCATCCTGGGATTGCCGGCCGTCGGCGCGTAGCTCACTCGCAACCGCCGACATGACAGATATCGCTTCCTCGACTACCGCGCCTCGAAGTCTGATCATACCCTTCATTCGTGGCATTCCCCCGTCTATGGATGCACCCAATCACCTCATTCCCAACATCCAGTCAGAGAACCGCATTGTCACCTGCTTCCGTGTGGCAGAAGCGCTGAAACTTCGCTCAAACGCAGCTTCTACTCCACTTTCCATTGACTGTAATGGAAACAAGTTTTCTAGTGTGACAGTCGAGCTGTACGCTCGTATCAAGCTCACGTACCGCTCAGAAACTACGCAAGTGTTCGTGTTTGAAGACATCTTCTTCCCCAACAAGCCTCCTTACTTACGCGGGGTCCACCAGTCATGGCAGCAGTGCAAAACCGATGCTGCATCTATTCTCGGCGAGAATGTACTGCAGGACGCGGAAGGAGGTCATTTATGCAGAGCTATCGTTCGTCTCAACACCAGTGTGCCACGGAATCTGAATGAAATGATTGAAGGATGTGTACTGAGCGTGCGTGCAGCTGACTGGGGCGAGATCAAACATGTGAGAGGAATTGTGGATCCGAAATGTCTGAATGTATCGATATCTTCTTAATGCGGTAGTAACAGTTGCTAGTACCGAGAAGACGTAGAACAGCGACATGATGAAGTGCTGTGGTCAGTCTATGGACGCCTATGTTGTTGCTAGAGATGGATCAAAAGTTGATGCATGCTTCCTGTCCGTGGCGTTCGCCGCTAATTCTTGTCACAGCTTAGCTTCAAATCCAATAAGTTAGAACACCACAAGGCGTACGAAGCCTGCCAGCTCGTATTTATGCTCTGAAACCCAGGCCCACTCCCATTATTTCGATCCCTTATAGTAGTTACTGGCAGCATCGTCCCACTAGATTCTTATCCCCTCTCACAGAGCTCGAGAGCGAGCCACCACAGGCCGCAGCGCTTCTTGCCGCAATGCCCAGAGACAACTGGTGCACAAGACCCTCACCGTTTCCCATTGCCTGACATCAAGCGGCGGCTGGAACGGGGACTGAGAACCACAGTTTTGGCGCTTCCCCTACTTTTCAGCTTCGTCTAGTATCTGGGCTACTACTATGGCGCATGGAAGAGAATTGCGGGTTTGAAACGACATACCTGGCGGAAACAGCCAACGTCCTACCACCACGACCGTGAGGCTGTGATTGAGCCAGAGCAGGAGCTCGGAGACGTAGAGAAGTAAGGCGTAGGGGTTATTGTCGCGACTATTGACGCTTCGTCGGTGAGTTCGCGGGACCAGATGTAGGTGAGGGGAGGCAGCAGGAGGAGTTGTTAGGAGACGAAGGTCTTGAAGGAGGTATCTGGTGGGGTTTCGCGCCGCCGGCGCCGTCGGTGATGCATCGATAGAGGTATTGTCGGTTCCTGCGAGATCGACGGGGCGGCACTTGGAAGGTGATGTTGTCGGAGTGTCCGTAGACATAGTTGTGCGTTGGAGGGAGAAATGAAAGTTGGGTCGCAGCACCAGGCCAGTAGGTGCAGGTCGCGTCATACATGGCCTGAGCAGCACGAGGTTACACAAAGGCCAGTGCGGGTTATCAGGCTGCGACTTCCACGCTCTCGTTCTCCCTCAAGCACCACATGCGCGCGAGATGCAGGGCGCCGCCGCCGCCAATCAAGCCTGCTCGACGGCTGCTGGTCGGCTAGCTCGCCGCACCTCACCTGCGAGAGATCAGAAGCAGAAGCCTGGGTTGCGCTTCGGTCTGTGCGTTGACAGCGGTAGATGTCTAGAATAGTTGATGTTGGCTCCATCTCGCTCCCTTTTCGCGTGGTGGCCCTCCACGAAGCATGCCAAGATAGACTTTCGTTCACTGCCTGAGAGTGGGTCCGAGCGAGAGCCAACTAGGAGGCCGCAGAATACGGAGTGATGTATTTCTTCTTCCTCTTAATATCGTCTTTATTCCTGCTCGACGCTCTCGCGAAGTCAAGACATGTTTGACGGTGAACTTTTATCAAGAAATGGTCGCGATTCTGAAATATTACTTGCGGTCTAGATTCGCAGTGGACGATGACTGCTCTGCATGAATCCATGGGCAGCAGACCAGTCTCCCTTTGGGCTGCAGAAACCCACGATCCCTCGCAGCGAGGTGTCTGTGGATGCTCTCCATGGAAGAGACGATGCAGAAACTCTCCAGATACATCCAACAAGCCCCTCGTCAAGATGCCAGGGCGAAAGATACTTGGCACCGATTTCCGACCCCACGTCCAGGCCCTTTGATTGCCTTGAGGCTGAAACATGCGAGGATCGACATCCCTGTCCATGAACCGTCGATCGCGAGATTGCTTCGGCGGACCTGGAGCAATTCGCGTCCTGGAGAACGTTTTTATTGCTCAAGATCACGCCGACTGCTCGAAAGTCCAAGTCGATGCAACACCAGACATCCCAGGACAGCGAAAAGGTACGAAAGTGTTGGTGAACCAAAATCAATCTCCGTTCCCGGTACTTAGCCACAGGCCCGGCCCCGCCCTTGATGCCAAAAACAAACAAGGCGACCAGTTCTCAAACGTGGAGCCAAACTCTCTGAGCCGGGATACCCTCTGAGATGCCTGTTACATGCGGAGAAAGAGCTCCCACGAATCTCGTAAACCAAACCTTGTGATGGACAACGACTGCTACTTCAAGCTCTCACCAGATCCCTCTGCGACATCGCCGGTCTCCCAGTCATTCATTCGTTTGTCTCCTCGCACTTCGATTCTAGTCGTTCATTTCGACCGGCCTCGACCATCATGCTTCGGGCTGCCGTTTATTTCTCGCTTATCTCTCAAGCTTTCGCTTGGCTCCCAGGCGAGCATAAGCAGATCATCGGTCGGGATGGGGTCGATCTTTTCAATCGCAGCAGTCTTCACGAGGCTGGCCTCCTCAATAAGCGCTTCCTACCTTCTGACTACGGCAATGACAAAAATGCCATTCGCGGCGTCAACTTAGGTTCACTGTTCATTCTGGAGAATTGGATGTCCAGCACTGTCATGGGCTCCTGGGGTTGCAACACCAAGTCCGAATTCGACTGCGTCTCGTCGCTGCCCAGTCAAGACGATGCCAACAGCAAGTGGGCCCAGCACTGGCAGAACTGGGTTTCGGCTGAGGACTTCGAACGCATGAAGGACTACGGACTCAACACTGTCCGTATTCCAGTCGGTTACTGGTTCCTCGAGAGTATAGTGAACCCCAGCGAGCACTTCCCCCAAGGCGGAGAGAAGTATCTCGATCAAGTCGTGGGTTGGGCCAGGGACGCTGGGCTGTATACGATTATCGTTCTGCACGGCGCGCCTGGTGCCCAGGCCACTGACGCCTTCACTGGTCAATACAACCCCAGCCCCGGCTTCTACGACGACTACAACTACGACCGTGCCGGCAAGTGGTTGGAGTGGATGACCGAGAAGATCCACAATGACGAAGCCTACAAAGGCACCGTCGGCATGCTCGAATTGGTCAACGAGCCAGAACGAACATTTGACAGCAAATACCCTGACGCACAGCAGAATACCGAGAGTATGAACAAGGTAAGGTTTTTGCCCACCTCCTTCGCACCTCGGTCTGACTTTCCCAGAACTACTACCCCGACGCCTGGTCACGCATCCGCAACAAGGAAGCCTCCCTGAACGTCGCCGCCAACGACCGCGTCCACATCCAGATGATGAACGAGAAATGGGGCTCCGGCGACCCCAAGCAGTCCCTCACCGACCTCACCTTCGCCGCCTACGACGACCACCACTACATCAAGTACGCGGGCCTCCCCACAACGAAATCCGCCTATCTGCAAGAAGCCTGCACGACGGACCGCAGCGGCAACTGGCCCGTCTTTGTCGGCGAGTGGAGCCTGTCAGTCGACAGCTCCGTGGAGAACACCGACGACTGGAAGCCCGATCACGACGTTGACTTTTACAAGAAGTTCTGGGCCGCGCAGGTCATGAGCTACGAGAAGACGGCGGGCGGGTGGATCTTCTGGAGCTGGAAGACGACGGGCTTGAATGACCCGCGCTGGGACTATCAGATGGCGGTCGACCGGGGGATCATTGATCGGAATCCCGACACGGCGTACGATGTGGGGGCGTGCTAGGAGAGCGTGCCTGACGAGAGCGTCGCCGCTTCATGTGAGGCGCCTCTTTGGGCCGTCACGGTGGTCGCGCTGCTTCCGCACCTGGCGCTAGGCTGTCTTTCTTTTGTGAGACTATAGGGGCATGGCTTTCTTTGCATGCGTTTCTTCATGCAGCGAAACAGGGAAACGTAGGCCAATTGAATTGGTTGACAACGCCTTTAGACTTGGGATAAAGCTGCCTGGGGACTTCACCATGTTTACCTCGACCAAACTGCTGGCAATCCTACGAGCAGGCTGTATCCAGTGGTACCAGACGCAGGGTGTTGCGGTTCGGAAAAGCAGGGGACGGTCTTCTTGTCAAGTTATCGTTTGTCATCACGAGCGTTTGCCCATGCTCGAGTCGCTGGCCATTCATTGACCTTGTTTACACAATGTCTAAAATCGCAGGCATCTCATATGCTTCGCTAGTCATCAAGCCCAATCTGTCACACTATGTAATCTCCAGAACCCCAACCCATAACACCGGACACGCAGACGTAACTCCTGATTCATGCATTTTAATTATCCCATTGGGCAACCACTGCTGCCATGGTGTTCGCATGCACAAGCACAAGCACAATCACCAACCTCTCGCCTTCCTTCTCACCCCAAACTGCTGCCCGATCTCCCTCTTGCGCTCCTTCTTCCTGTCGCCCTTCTTGCGCTTTAGGCGCGCCGCTGCCTCCGGGTCAGCCACACGCTCGATCACCCGCTTCCGGCGCCTCTCCTCGCGCCTCTCCTTCGCCACACGGGAGGCGACCGTCATGGCTTTGATGTACGCTTCGTCGCCTACCTTCTCTTGGATGGCGTTCATGGCGTCCTGCGCGGCAGTGACGAGGCCTTCGTACGTCCTGGCAAAGGTGGGGTCGGCGGAGTGCGGCGTGCCCGCGGAGGTGGAGGTGAGGTGGATGAGTGGTAGCAGGAGTGTGGAGAGCGTGGTGGGCGCGAGGGATGAGTCGTTCAGGTGCGGGAGAAGTGTTGTGAGGACATAGAGTGCCGCGACTTTGGGGAGGAAGGCGCCGGTTGTCATCGTGGTCGTCTCACGTCGCAGGGCGAAGGACAGCTGGTCCAAAATATACTGCGTTGCTGGAATTGAGCTGGTGGCGTGATTGATCTCCTCCTGCCCCTCGTTTTCGATCTCGTCTAAGGACTTATCGGCGTTGCTGTTGAGTGGTATGGTCAGACCGTTGATGCTTGAGCATCTTCCAAGGAAGACCATGATCGGTACGATCTCGTCGTTGAGCTTAGCGTCTTCTTGATTCAACCTCAGGATCCTTACGCAGGCTCGCAGTGGTTGTTGCAAGGACGCTGCGTCCCAGCGGAGCCCGTATGCATTGGCGAGTGGAATTCTCGACCACGCTTTCGAGTCGCAGCTTTCCAGGAAAGATCTGACGAGTGCAGCTGCTTTGTGCCTTATTCGCAGGCCGCGATGAGACAGAAGAGCTCTTACCGAGGCCCAAATGCTCTCGGCATTGGTCGAGAGCACTGCAGCTGGTCGGGCCTCTGTTAGTATGGAGAGGAGATCAAGAGCTGCACATTGCAGATCAACCGCATCGTCCTCCAACGCTGCTGACAGCAGCAGTCCACCGATCCTCGTTCGACATAGCTGGACTTGGTCGTTATTGCCCTTTTCAGTGACTCTGAAAAGGATGCCGAACGCCTGAAGCGCAAGCTTAATGAGTGATGTGTTCTCATCCTGCTCCAGCCAGCCTTCCAGTGGCCCAAGCATCTCTTTCATTCGTTGTTGATCCGCCTTGACGAATATCTGGCCAAGTAGTGCGCCTGCCAGCTCGCGACACTCACCGTGTTCATCATTTGCCAAGCGGAGAACGACGGGCACGAAGAAGGCAGCAACGAGCTGCTGAGCCGAGTCGCCAGAAATCTTTTTCAGAAGCATGCTCATAGCTTCCATCACTGACTGCCGGCCTTCCGGATAATCGTAGTCAAGGTTCTTGACGAGGAACTTCTGCTGTTTGCTCCATCTGCTCGGCTTCTGGGGATATTCGACCAAGAAGTGAACGTAGACACCTCTTGCAACGTCTCTGGCCTCACGACCTTGGCTCGTTACCATCGTAGCGGCGATCTTGTCGACAATATCGTAAACTTCTGGAAGATCATACTTCCGTGCAAGAACAGCCCGGATGAAGTTGAAAGTTACACCTTGTCGACTGGGATCGTCCATATCCGGCGTGATTCTTTTGAGTATCTCAACCACGTCAGAGTCGCGAACCTTGACGTTCTTCCTTTCTCGCAGAACGGCTGCAACAAGCTTGAGAGCTGCCTGCGCTACTTCTTCGTCTGTGCTGGTACAATTCTTCACAATCTTTACAGCCTCTGCAGCGTAAAGAGGGCAGTTGCTGTCCAACTCCGGCATACGCAGCTTGACTATGGCAGACAGCAGTCTCAAGGCGGACTTTTGAACGTCTTCTTGGCCCTCAATGAGTGCATCACCTATGACTGGCAGAAAACCGTGAACGTTCTCCGGAGTCAGCAGTTCATTATGCTTGACTAAAGCTGACCGCACTAGGTCGATTGCAAATCGCGCCACTTTGTAGACCATCGATGAGGCGGAGCCGACAGCACGAGAAGCAGGACCCTGGACGAGGAAGCGCTCCCGGTTGCGCTCATTATTGGTCTTCGCCTGAGGGATAGGAGCGGGCTTCTCCTTATAGAAGTTCTGTATCGTGTGATATGCGAACACCAGTAATCCTCGCTCATTTGCGGCAGGGTTATGACCAACCCCAATGCCGATGCGATGAAGCAACTTGTCGACATCCTGGACTTGTTTCGACCGAAGTGATCCGGTGAGTAGCGCTGTTATGGGCTGAATCAAAAGTTTCAGGTGATCGAGGCCTGTGCACCGGGAAATGAGTTCCATGGAGTCGAAGCTCTTTTTGCTCTTGACCTCCTTCATCTCGCTGACGTAGTCCTCATTGTCTTTCTCTTGACCCACAGTGCCAAAGATATCGTCCATGATGACCGATGTCAGATCGCTAGTGCAGTAATCCAGATCCGAAAGGCCTAGGCTTGGCGATAGCTTGACCAGAATGGAATGCAGAGTATATGAGAGCACGTGTAGTTGGTAGCCACGCTGCAGCGCTGATCTCATCTGCCGCAGTACGAATTGGACGCTTCCAGAGCCCAGTAGTCCAATGATTTCGACAAGTACCGCCCGTCCAGCATCGCGTGATTCTTGTGCTCGGCTCTTGAGAACGTTTGCAACATCCAAGACAACAGGCGCCGATAGAATTTGGCCTTCTTCAAACGGCAGCAGCTTGATTAATTTGATCGCAACTGTCGCAGCAGGTAGCCTAGCGCTCATCTCTCTTTCGTCTCTGTAGTGCACAAAGTCTGCTAGTTTCGAAAGTAGTTGCTCCCTGACTTCTTCAGCAACCACATCGGAGGGCGGAAGCGATCTTGCAAGATGTGACACATTGCTCGGTGGATCACGCGCGATAACATCCTGTTGAATCCGAGCCTCCAACAAAGCGTCAGCTGCATGCGATAGCATCTTGATCGCGGTCTTCTGAGCTTGTTCTTCACCCTGAAGATCGGTTTTGTATTGTTTGAAAATGCCTTTGAACTGTTTCCACTCGGTCCATTGCAGAAGCACTTTCATAGCCAGGAGACTCTGGCCCTTGGTCCCTTGGGTCGAATCGTCCGGCGACTGATCACGAATGAAATTTTGAAGGAGGGGAACAAAGACTTGTACAATATTGGCGGCACTAATGGCCCCTTTTTCCGTTTCCACAACGAGACGCCTGATAGCCCTGAGGCGCCTGTGCTGCTGAATGTGCAAGATGTTGGAGAAAAACGACGCTTCCTCGTCATTGTCAACAAGCAGCGGCTTCATGTTACTCAGGCGAGGCTCGTCGAGGTATTGAACCAGAAGACCAAACAGTGACACCATGTCGGCGCGAACAACCTCGGAATCATGTGTAAGACCCTTTTGAAGCGCTGGCAGGAGCGTTCCGTGTATCATCTGCGAGACAGCGGTCGAGGAGTCCGGTGCTGCACGCTTGATGAAGCCTCGCATCGAAGACACGGCATTTGATCTGATAGAAAAATCTTCATCACGACAGAAGAAAAGGAGGTTGTGCATGACGGGCTTCCAAGCTCTTACGGTGTCTTCCCTGATCTCTAGAATCGAGGTCTCCTGGAATGCAGCGAGACGACGGTCGAAGTCGACGTTGTCTAGACGTTCACTGGACATTGCGTTGAGGCCTCGACATATTTCTGACGCAACTCTCAGCCGGTCGTCCCTCTCTGTCATGGTCTCAAGAGCGTCACAAAGCGTTATCCGGTTCGGTCTGTCTTTGAAATAATTAAAGAGCGAGGAGACCGAGTCGAGGAGCTTATCGAAGACAGGGCATTCCATAGTTCCACCAGAAGACCTAAGTAGCGCGTGGATTGCCTTCAAAAGGCTGGCTTTGACGACCGGAGATAAGCGATGCTTGGATGAGGCCAGGAGATCGACTAGGAGGGCAGTGACCGCATCCTTGTGACTAGATGAGGTTGTGAGGGGTGCAAGTTCAAGCAACACTGCGGTGCTGGCTTGAAGCACATCAGTTGCCGGTGCTGAGCTCAGGAGTGAAGTCATGCTTTGCAGAATCATCGGTACTTGTCGCTGCAGCACAACGTTCGAAGTAGGATCAGAACCACTTTTCTGGGCATTGTGAAGCAGCTGCAGTAACATGTCGTTCAAGATGAAGGCCTTGACAGCTGGTTTCGTCAAAGGGCTGCCTAGGGTTTCCCACGTGACCGGCAAGAACTGATGATCATAATCGGTGAGGAACAAGATGAATTTTGGGGACTGACACCAAACTGCAAGTAGTCGTAGCAGGGTTGATACCGCCTGAGAGTTCTCTGCAGCGAATGCCTTCATGCGTGGTGTAATGACTCTTGCGAACAATGGCCGTATGTAGGGCTGCCAAACAATGTCGCTTGAGGTTTCGAATATCATGGTCAAGCACTGAATGCCATTCTTTCGTATATTGCGTTCGAGGCTGTTGGAGTTCCCAGATGGACTATCTGTCAGCAATGATGACCGTAGTATACAGTATAGTAGTGGCTCCACGACGTGTTTGCCGAATGAGGCGAACTGGCTTTGCAGCGTCTCCAGAAGAGATAACATCATCCGCACGAAGCCGTATCTCTGATCTGGAGAAGTGATTTCACGGTGCAGAAGCTCATCACTAAAAGTATCATCATGGCCAAGCGTGATGTCTTTGAGCTTTCCAAGCGATATGTTGAGGAAGAGGATGACTTCGGCCTCGTCCATGCGGAAGAGCATTCGTAGAAGAGTATTTCTTCGCGATTGTTGAGAGCCATATGATCCAGATCGACCAACGATGAGCCCATAAATGAGCCTGAGGAGTACCGGCAAGACCGTCGACCGCTCATCGGGCTTGACTATGTTCTCCTCGGATTCAGCATTGAGCATGATACCAATGTCAGCACTTGGTATTTTCTCCTCGATGATCTTCATGAGCATGGTCTCATGCTTCAGAAGTGTAGCATTCTTCCATCGCAGAATAGCAAGCAATGCTTGTTTCCGGATGTCTGCGTTGCCGTTGCTCAATAGATCGAGCAGCTTATCGTAAACCTCTGCCGATCGGAACAGTACTCGTGGGTTCTGAAAATTGGCAAACAAAGTGACAAATAGCTTCCGATCAGCTAGAGACCAGCCTGCCTCGGTTATGTCAGGACTGAGTGTTTCTGACGAATCGGAGGACTCAGCATGCTCGGTGCCGTCGTTGGTTGTGCGTGTGAATTGGGCTGCAAGAAATATGGGTGAGAGTAGTCTGGATCGCCGCTCTACGATCTCGATCATCTCCATGAGAGCATGTAGCGCAAGACTGCGACTCTTTGGCGGTGCTTTGATAGTCTCCAATTTGTGTGCGTCTTTCGCCATTGCCTCCATCCGGTCGGTGGGACTCTCATAGAGATCTGAAACCTCGTTTAAAACCAATTCGATCCGGACTGAGTTGGCATCTTGAAAAATAGAATGTTGCTGCGGCGCCACATGCGGTGCGGACGCCACTGCCGCACTTTCCACAGGCTGCCGTAGCCATGAGCCCAGAATGTCGAGAACCGTATCCTCCAGGGGTGTATTGACGATCATGTCGCCCAAGGCCCGGCTCAAGTCTTTTCGAGTTTGGTCGTGGTAATTCTGTAGCATTCCCAAGCAGAAATATGGGATGACGGTTGCCAATAACTTGTCATCTGGACGGGCCTTTTGACGTTGGGGTAGTCTTCGCAATAACATGGATATGCTTCGTGCGTTAGAAGGAAGATAGGGAATCCGGAGAATCTCGATGAGCGAGTCGAGAGTATCTCTCAGCCAAGGGCCATTTGACCGACTTCCCAAAGTCTGAAGAAGTAGAAGAGACTGCTCGCGAAAAGCTTCCGATGGAGCCAACAAGTTATCTGTTAGACTAGCGACGATGCGCATTCGTGCTGGCTCTGCCAGGGAGTCAGTGACCTCGTACAAAGACGCGAGTCGATTGCAACCACGGAGAAAAGGCAAAAGACGGAGACAGGAACGTGGTCCTAGCATCAGCTGTTCCCATAGCACGGCCGCATCGGTGTGAGTTGGTGATAGCGCAATGTATGCCTCGATCAGCCAGCCTACTGAAATACGACGGCTGCTGTCCATATTGGGGTCAGCTGCATCCAACGCCGCGACTATCCGCAGATGCATGGCATCTGAGATCACTCTTTTGAAGTCACGGTTGACTGGGAAGCGAACAACGTGAGGCAATCGACAAAATGATGCGAGCAGTACGCTGGGAATAGCTGCGTCGCCGGAGAGTCGATCGAGTATCCGTTGATCCCATATGCTCGCTGATTCGAGGCGTTCGGGCCCAGTCATACCACGTTCATTGAGTCGATCAAGCGCAAAGATCAGACCAGCCTCGTCTTCGGAAAACCTCGACACAATGTACTGCTGGAGACGCGGTAACAACAGGTCTCCAAACCTCTCTTTGCCTAGATCAGCGGTCACGGTGCAAAAGCTGAAGAACTGTGTCGGTGTCAACTGCTTGGTTGAGATATCAAGCAGCCGTGCCGCGAAGGGAAGAAGCTGATCCATCGGCGCGTATTGCAGCAGCAAGGCAACTAGGACTTGAACTTGCGGCAGTAATGCTCCAGGCGGCTCTTCGGGATGGTTCTCGGCAAGGGCGACGGCAACAGACAGGACTTCCTTCCATTGAGAAATACGAGTCGCTTTCCATGCTCCCAAAATAGTACGGAGCCACTCTACGGCAAGGTCCAGGCGTTCGTCGTTCCTCGCGGCCAATGCATCCGAAGTAAAGTTGATAATTGCAGAAACGACAGGCTCGAAGCTTGAGCTGTCCGTTTGGTGCACCAGACCAATCAACACCCCTTGCACGGTCCTCCTCGGGTTATATGACGCTCTTGTTGATGCCACAGTCTCAAGCAAACAGTTGATAACCGATTGGGCTCCAGAGTGTAGCTCGGCATCGACCCCGAGGCAGCTTTCGACGAGAAGAAACTTAATTCCGTAGTCAGAGCCTTCGCCCGAGCCGCTTTCCACTTCTAAGAGCTCATTCAGAGCCAATGTGAGAGGAGCTTTTCTTTTTGGATATGCGATGGCGGCTTTACGCATCAGGAACGCAAGCGACTCGGCAGAGAAGCGTGAGATATACTCTTTGCGAGCGGAGAGGTACGGACGGAAGATTCTGAGTAGAGGCCGGAGATCTTGCACAAGAAGGCGGGAGAGGTACTTGAACATCCATGCGAGGCAGGTGAAGCACCATTCGACGACGTCGGAACCATCCTGGGTAGCCGCAACATCTGCCACAAGTGATACAACTCGTCCAAAGTATTTCTCAAACTCTTGACCCAGATCGTGAGCGAATTGTGCAGTCAGATCAAGCAAAGGCTCCAATGCTAAAGAGTCTTTCTTCTCAATATGCTGGACCAGGAGCTCGAAGACGAGGTCGGCATGGTGCAAAAGTTGAGGGAGGGTCTCTGAGAGAGGGCTGGCGCTGCGGAGGAAGCTACCGAAGGTTACCGTGAGGTTGAGCGAGGACCACTCTTCTAGAGCAGTTCGGAAGTAACTCTGTGATAGATCCGAAGATTCATCGATTGCGCTTCGGCCGCGAACAGTGTGTATAGGATCGATCTTGAGACGTGCGATGCGCTTGCTAAAAGGTTCGAAGACATGTTTGTTCGTAGCGGGCGTGCCCTTCGCCTTGCGCGACGACCTGAACATTTTGCTGAGCGATGGTGCGGCAACACAGAGCCGCTACCGGAGTATTTAGTGCATTATGATGCAGCCCAAGATGTGCAGCGAGTTGGGTTGGCAGCCACGCATCTGAGAGACATTTGAGCAGGCAGTGATTTCGCCGTCGGAGTCGCCTACAACATTTTTTTGGATCCCCGCAGCGCTAGAAGTGCCGATCACCTCCTTGATTGAGTTAGACCCGAGACGTCAGCCTTGCCGCTTGGCATGTAGCCTTGTCTCGAAGTTGAGATCAGATTTAGATGAGTGAATGATCATGCTTGCGGCGCCTTTACATAAGGGTCGAAGTATTTGCGATCTGCTACTTCTTCCCATCCTAACGCACTCATGATGCCTACAGCTACCAGCGCTTAGGACAGATCACGCTTTGACAAGGGAAGGTGAAGAATCCCTAGTGCAAACCACTGAGCCCTGTTTCGTTCACGCGATGGGCGTAGCCAAGGTGTAAGTCAAGTCCTTGGGTGCAAATTCTGGGCTAATTGTATATAGTCTGGTGGTTGGTGCTCTGCAGGGACAGCTCCAAAAAGGTCTCAGCAAGATCAACAAAGCCTGTGATAAGCAAGCTTTAGACATCGCTCTCATCGTCGGCGATGTTTTTGGCGAGGGCGAGTCCGCTGATGCAGAACTTGATACCTTTCTCAGCGGAGGCATTACGCTGAGCAGGCCGACATACTTCACCGTTGGAGACCGACCACTGCCAGCTAAAGTAATAGAACGCCTAGAGAGCTCAGACGAAGTCGTCCCGAATCTCAGGTACTTGGGACGAAAAGGTACACTCACCACGTCCGAGGGGATCAGAATCATCTCAGTTGGCGGACGCCTTATCGAGGACGAAGCTTTGCCTGTCCAGAGTCTTGGCAAGTATGAGCCTCGTTTCCGTGATCAGGAAGCGAAGAGCCTAGGAGGTGCTCATTCGGCTCACATTCTCCTTACCAACCAGTGGCCAGCCAACATCGCTCGACTCTCCAACATCGAAGTACCAGAGGGTGTGGACGCCGATGCTGGCGTGCAGTCACTTGCGAGACTTTGCCAGACTCTTCAGCCTTGGTATCACTTCTCTTCAAGTCCAGCCGGGGCCTGGAATCGCGAACTCTTCAAACAGCCACAAGAATATGGCTCATTAGAAGAAGCAAAGCTTACAAGATTCCAGAGTAAAGCAAGCGTGGATCACGGCAAAGGCTGGCACTATGCATTCTCCATCGACACATCGAAGCCCCCATCGGCCGACGAGTGGACCGAGCAGCCTTTCCTCAGCGGCTCACCTCCGCGCAAGAGAGCGCGTCCGGCTGAATACGACAAACCTTCTGATCGGGACTTCAAGGAGCGTGGCGGAGGCGGCCGAAGATCCAAGCGACCTCGCATTAATCCCGATGATTGCTTCATGTGCATGGGTCGAGAGAACTTCAAAGACTACCTTGTGGTATCCATTGCTGACCACAGCATTGTTACTGTCATGCGAGGGCCTTTGCCTCAGCCGAAGACATTCCCGCAGCTGTCGTTCACTGGTCACACCATGATCATCCCCTTATTCCATGCGGCTGATGAAGCGGCTCACGGACTACGCACTCGAGAGGAAATGTCAAAGGAGTTCACGGAGATGAACCAGTATCGTAAGGCTCTGAACAAAATGATCGGGGCCAAAAGCAGTGGTGAGCTTGGTGCAGTCTGCTACGAGGTCAACCGGACCGGTATCAGGCATTTCCACTGGCAAGTGGTGCCCATTCAAGCAGAGAAGATTCGGCGTCGATTGGTGGACGGGGCCTTCAAGCTGGCGAGGGAAAAGTACAAGCACGAAGCATTTCAGGACTGCGACCCTGATCAGCTCCTGGAACAGAGAAGCGATTTCTTCCGGGTGTGGACGTGGACGCCTTCTGCCGATCCGGTGGAGAGAGCCGATCAAGAGGCCAACGGTAATGGCGGCGAAGGTGGTGTGACAACCTCGATGTTCTTCTCCATTCCTGGAAACGCGAGGTTCAGCGTCAACTTTGGTCGAGAGGTCATGGCGGGGTTGCTGCAGTTAGAAGACCGGGTGAACTGGCAAGATGCAATGCTGCCAAATGAGGCCGAAGAACGCCAGGCTGAAGAAGCCGATGCGCAGGGTCTCAAAGACGACTTTGGCGACTTCGATACCGCAATGCAGTAGGCTGGTAGCTGCGAATGGCCGATGTCTAGCGGTGAAGTGCATTGGCCTTGCTTTCACAAACGATTTTGTTGCAACGTAAATAGTTAATTGGCGGCAAGCGAGCTGTAGGGTAGGCGCAGGGCAGCCTGGAAAGCCAATGCTCCCTTGCCTGGAATGCAACTGCATCGAATATGTCTCACCTGCACCTGCACCTGCTTCCCTCTGCGGTAGTCCTGCACGATCTCCTTGCCTACTACCTTGACTGTCACGACGATACCCATGAAACGATGGCCCAGCACGAATGTCATTGCCGACCGACAGTGATTATCTACCAAGTCTCCGTTTCGCCAGATGCTGCGATGATGTGCACCGCATATGTTCAAAGTTCGAAGACGCTTCGGTTGCACAGATCTGGCAGCTCGCAGCCACCGCATCACCTCGAGCAGTACCGCGTCTTCAGGCTCGATCAAGAAAAGGATACAACAAATGTTTGGAAGAGATGCAGACCCATCAAAGACCACACAAAATCCCCATACTACCAGACTTTTACGAAGCCCTGCCTGAGAACACTAGGCGAAGCAGCGCTGTTCCCTCGATCACGCCTCCGTCTACCAGATCTGGGCACCTAGCCGCAGATCCGAAAAATCGATCAAGCCCCGGTCGAGTACCATGAGGTCGACGGCGTGCATCAGGGGCTAAACCGAAGTTTCGCGCCCTCAGTAAGGCGGGAAGCCGGCTAACGCAGGTACCAAAGCAAAAGTCGCCACATCCCTGCAGATTCACTACCCCTGAGTCCAAGCCACATGCAGCTCAAGCAAGCGATACTGGACATGCCGCACTGCCCGCCTTCGCTGTCCAGATTACAGTACAACGATATGGCATGAGATCAAGTCGTCTGGGCCCCACGACCTCTGTTGACGCAGAAATGATCGTCTGTTTGCTCTATTCCCATGCGATGGACCACTAGCCCTGGAAGCGAGAGACAAGCATCATCTACGATAAAATTGGCACTGACAAGCGAAGAGCTTGGTAAACCTTGGTTCTCATTTCAGATAGGTCGTTGGGAGAACTGAGACAGCTCAAACCGGGGCACTCGCTGAGAATAGCCCAGAACTCGCCTTATTGCAGCCTATCAGCAGCTAGGGAAATCATCAGCGGCTCCCGCGCGGCTGACACAGACGAGACTACTCCCCGCATCATGCTGCGATTCTAATTTCCCATGCCTCGTCAGAAAGCCACGTCAAAGACAAGCACACCAGCATTACGAGCCGTTGAGCCTGCCTGTGTGCTATTGAGAGCTGTTGAAATCGCCTACCAACCGGTGCTTTGATGGGTCTGGGATCCACGGTAGCCAGCTTTCGAGCTCTCTGAGTTTCTCCGATGCGAGGGATACGTATGGAGCACCTCCTATCCACCATGCAGGAGGGTTTCGACGGTAGTCCTCGAACACGACGACTCATCCCCCACGAGATTGGGAGCTCCAGCCGCCAAAGCTTCGGTTGGGGCTAGGTTGTGCTTCGATTGTTCCTTATTTTTAAGGTCTAAACTTTCCATCCGTCCACGCCGTATGTGAGGCGTGGCGCGTCTCGACAATGATGACTGGGTGTCGCGGTTCCATCTGTGTCCACAGGCGGCCGGAGTTGATGTCGACCTGCGACCATCATGCACGCTTCTGGATAGGAGCGGCCATGTCTCGCCTGACTTGCTGGAGATGAACTCTTCCCATACGAAGTCAGCCTACCGGTCAGGGCGTCCTTCAAAACCGCCTTTCGATCCTCCATGTTTGTCCATCTCGTCTGTCGTTCCTTCTGAGCTGCATCTTGACCGCAGTCCGTTCTTTGGGTCTTTCACCCACAGTCACTCTTTCCGTCGAAGGGACGTAAATCCTCACTATCGTTAATTGTTGAGGGGCACATTACCAAAATCCCATTCACTCCTTATCACTTTCTAATACCCATTGACACCTAGTCAAGATGAAATTCTCCAAGACCTCCAGCCTCCTTTCCCTCGGCCTTATTGGCTCGGTCTCCGCCGACTGGCGTGATGCCAGTAGCTGGTCCAGCTCTGGTGTCCCCTCCAGCAAGCCTGTTGATGCTACCAGCGCGACCTCCTCGACTTGGGGCGCCCCTCCTGCTGTATCAACGGTAACTGTTACCGACACCTCGACGGAGACAGAATATGTCGAGCGCACCACTGTCTTCCGCACTACGGTTCTAGTTGGCGCCTCTTTCTGTGCCGCATCTCCTACTGGTGTTGCTCCGGCTGCCAATCAGGCTCCTGGTGCTGGCTCCGCTCCTGTGAGCCCTGCTCCGGGTGCAGGCTCCGACAGTGGCTCAGGCTCAGGCTCTGGCGCGGCTCCTGGCCCCGGCTCCGGCCCCGGCTCCAGTTCAGGTTCGGGCTCTGGCTCAGGCTCAGGTTCCGGCTATGGCGCTGGCAGCGGCAGCGGCAGCGGCAGCAATGCTGGCGCAGGGTCTGCCGCCACTTCTGCTAGCCCCGGTGGTAACTGGGGAGTTCCTGGCAGTGATGGTCACGGCCTTAACCCAGGAATTCCAGGCGGTCACGTGGTTGGCACTGACGGGCAGGTGTACACGTGGACTGGTTCAGTTCCCGTTGATGCCACATCCACGGCCAGTCAGGCAGCCCCTACATACCCCGGCTGGTCTGACTACCCCGGTGATGGTAGTGGAAGTGGTAGCAACGGTACTGGGCCTGCTCCAGGCGGTGCGGCTTCGAATGTAACTAAGCCCTTCCCGCCGCTTTCGGAAGGAGGCTGCAACAGCGCCGCCGATCGTTCCAAGTGGTGCGGTGGCTTTTCTATCGACACTGATGCCTACACCTCCGGGCCCGACACCGGAAAGACGTGTTCCTACAATTGGGTTCTCACCAACACGACTCTGGACTTTGATGGCGTTCCTCGTCTGGCTCTTGCCATCAACGGACAGGTCCCAGGACCCGCCATTGAGTGCAACTGGGGTGACTGGATTGAAGTTCAAGTCACCAACAAGATGCAGGACAACGCTACTTCTGTCAGTATTTCGAGGTTTACACATGATATTGTAGCTAATCTTGTCAGATCCATTGGCATGGTATCATCCAGAAGGGCACCAACGACCAGGACGGTGTTCCAGGTGTGACCGAGTGTGCTCTGGCACCAGGAGACAGCCGTACTTACAGATTCAAGGCGTCGCAATATGGCACCGGATGGTAAGGTGCAGTGATTATCTTGATCCAGCTCGCCAACTAATGGTCTGCAGGTACCATTCCCACGCTGTGACTCAGCTTGGTGACGGTATTCGTGGTCCCATGATCATTCACGGCCCTGCTAGTGCCAACTACGATATCGACTCTGGAACCGTCATGATTGATGATCTCTTCGGCAACGGCACAAACACTATGACTGCTGCCACCACCAATGCTCAAATCGCTCATTTCGGTCCCGGCGGAACATGGAACTACATGCTCAACGGTCACAATACCTTCCCGGATCTATCCCGTGGCAAGCATGCGTTGTGGACGGTCAAGCCCGGCAAGAAGCATCTTTTCCGTCTCATCAACTCGGCCTCGCAGAACATGTTCTCCGTTCACTTTGACAACCACAAGATGCAGGTCATCGCTGTCGACTATGTTCCCATCAAGCCTTACAGCACCGAATGGCTGAACATTGCTATTGGCCAGCGTTATGACGTGAGTCTGCAGCACTCCCAAGTATTCATGATCTAACAATTATCCAGGTCATTGTTGAGATGAACCAGCCTACTGCTGGCTACTTCCTCCGTGCGGTTACTCAACTTGGCTGCCCATCTGGCTGTGCTAACACTGGTCTTGGCAATGCCAACGGTATTTGTGAGTTTGACGCTGCCCACTGCAGACTATTTGTACTAATCCGAGAATAGTCCAATACGAGGGTGCTCCCTTGACTCTACCTACCTCGACTGCTGGCAACAAGACCGTCAATGACTTCCGCTTCTGCCTTGATGAGCCCCTGGCCAAGCTCGTTCCTTGGGTCAAGAAGTCTGGAGGTTCTCAGTCCGCGTTCCAGGCTTCTCAATCGCTTCTGCCAGCCGGCAACGTCGCCACCGTCGCTACTTCTGACGATGGGACCGTCTTCCGTTGGTTCCTCAACAACGGTGCCATCCATGTCAACTACACTCAGCCTACCCTCCAGTCCATCGCCGACGGAAAGGTCTCCAACTCTAGCATCAGCAATCCCATCTTCCTTGAGAAGAAGGGCGAGTGGTACTATTTCATTATCCAGAACCAGTTTTTCGCCTCTCACCCCATGCATTTGCACGGTCATGATATGAGCGTTTTGGGCCAGGGAACCACTGCCTGGAATGGCGATATCAACTCTCTCAACTTCGAAAACCCAACCCGTCGTGATACTGTCATGCTTGTTGGTTCCGCTGGCCCAACTGCGCCGGCCCCTGGCTACACTGTCATCGGCTTCCAGTCCGACAACCCAGGTGCCTGGCTCATGCACTGCCACATCGTCTGGCACGTGGACGGGGGTCTGGCCCTTCAATGGATCGAGCGCCCTAGTGAGATTGCAGCATCAGCCTACGTCTCCAAACCCTCGTTCCAGAAGGAGTGCGCCAATGTGAAGAACTACCTTGCTTCTGGCGGCCGTGCCACTACCTCTGGGGAGTCTGGCCTCAAGGCCCGTTCGTACATTGATGACATGTTCATGAGCCACCCCGCCGACAATGTTGTCCGCCGCTCCGAAACTGCCGAGCGTCGCTACATCGACCAGCATGTCAAGCGCAACCACCATTACTGAGCCATGGATGTATAGTGTCGAACGCTTTTTGTAAAGGTGAGTATATGCTGGTCTAGGGGGTTTGTGTATCTGTATGGATATAATACTGGGGGAATTAGTAGAAATGGGTAGTCATTGGGACAGACAAATGGGCTTGAATGTATTTTCGGATAATGGGTTTCTTCCACTCGAGTACAGACCGATATGTCTCAACATACTGCAGACTCTTGCGTATATGATATGTACATTCTGCCTGAAACCGACCTGTAACTCAATTTCTTTTTCTAACACGGTTCTGAACGCCGCGAACAACTCTTTATCAGCACTTTCTTTTCCTTTTCGTGCCTTTTCGTGCCTGCTCGGACTCCGGCGTCATGGTATTCGGGAAAGGCGCTCGTCCGCAGAAACGGCGGGGTACAGTCCTGTACCAACATGCCCGGACTTAGAATCCGAAGCAATTCTTGTCTTCCTCATAACCCCAATCTGCAGCAAAACGTCAGCACGATTGATTCACCCTCAACGTTCTACAAAGAACGGGCAAATCCCCTCTGGGGTGGGCCTCGGGAGTTACAGTACAGCACTCACCTTTCAAAGCCGGCAATGCCGCCTTTTGGATCATGCCGGGCGGCCCACACAGGAACACGACGCTCCCGTCGCTCGGCGCGAACAGTCGACTTTTGATGACCTCGGCGTCGACGTGCCCGCTGAGCCCGCCCCGGGCCTCCCACTCTTCCCGAGCCTTCGGATGGCTCAGCACGTGCGTCACGCTCACCTTCCCCTTTCCCCCCTCCTTGACCAGCGCGGCCAGTTCGGCCCGCAGCAGAATGTCGTCTTCGGTCTTGTTGGCGTCCACGACCGCGACGCGCGTCCCGTCCTGCGCGTCCTGCGCGATGCGCTTGAGCAGCGCGAAGCCCGGCGTGACGCCGCTGCCGCCGAGCACGAGGCTCACGTGCCGGAAGCGCCGCGGTTGGCCCTCGACGGAGAAGGTGCCGTTGCCAAGGTAGGTGATCTCACCCGTGGGGCCGCAGACGTCGACTTGCTCGCCCGGCGTCAGCTCGTGGAGGAGGTTGCTGAAGGCGCCGCCCGGTTGGTTGGCGTCTGGGAAGTAGGTTTTCACCGTCAGCTCGAACGTGCCGTCGTCTTCGTCGTCGCGGATCGGGCGTGTGGGCGTGTACGAGCGGATGAGCATTTTGTCCAGCATGTGGATGCCGAACTGGATGTGCTGGCACGTCCCGAGCCCGAGTTTCTTGGTGGATGCACCGCCGCCGCCGCCGCCGCCGCCGCTGCTGCTGTTGTTGTTATTCTTCTCGCGGTATCGGAACGTGTACGAGAACGTATCCTGGGAGAGTTGTGTCTTGTCCACGAGCGTCACGGGTTTCCATCGCTTGCTGTTGAGAACCACTTCGTCCCCAGCGCCCTTGGCCGCTTTCTCTGCTTCGGCTTTCGCCTGCTCCTGCATGTATGTCTTCGCTTTGTCCGTTACCCTGCCGATGGCGCACTCGGCAAGCTTCTTGTGCGCGTAGTCGTCGTGGACATTCTCGAACGAGCTCGTCACGTCGAGGCTCAGTTTACCCGCGTTGGCGAGCAGAGCGGCGGTCCCCCCTGGGTGCCACTCGAGCACGCTCGTGGCATCATAGACGTTGCCGTTGATGATGAGCCAGCAGTCGTCGCGCGTGTTGTGCTTCTCAATCTCCTCTCGCGTGAACTGCTTGTCGGGAACGCCGCTGTCTTGCTTGGCTGCGGCTAGTTGGTTCTCGACCGAAGGCTTCATCCAGCCTCCTCCTTCAGTGCCCTCTTGGTCGTACGGGTGGCGAAAGACCAGTTTGCCGTCTTGATCAGTGCTCGACTTGACTGTGTACCAGCCGTTGTTCATCATGCCTGCCGATGTGTTAGGTGGGCACTGCTGTTTCGGCTAGACACAGTTGTATACTCACCCATCAGATTCCACACCCCTTTTTCTGGCTGCGTGTTCTTGAACACATTGAAGCACCTCACCGTGAGAGACTCTGCCCGTACAAAATGGGTTGCGTCGATGTCGATATGCCAATGGATCCAAGTCCAAAACTTGTTTCCGTGGCGAATGGGTTGGTCTGGGAACTGCTTGTTATTAGTCTCCAAGCGAGAAGATCAACCGTGGGGCAGCACGCACATGTCTTAAGCAGTACAACCATGTCTTTCCACCATCCAGGCTCAGCTCGACCCTCTGCACTTCGTGTCCGCCGCCCTCATAAGCATATCCCGCCACACGATAAGTGTCGTTCTTCAAAACCTCCACCACGTCTAGCTTGTCGCCTTGCGCCGGCCTCACGATAACACTGTTCAGATTCTGCTCATTGCACGCGGTGCTGGGGTGGTGGAACATTGTCTTCGCAAAGTCGCCGTCCTTTTCCGTAACGAAGCTCGGCAGAACTCGGTTGTCCCAGATGTGGTAGTAGCTGTCGTTCTCCTTCTCGCTGATCCAGATCCTCGCCAACCACTTCACGCTTCTACCGCCCACGTACCCCGGCACCAGCAGCCGGACCGGAAATCCGTGGTCTGGCGGCAAAGGCTGGTCGTTCATTTCATACGCTAGCAAGACATCGTTCATGTCGTCCATCACATACTCCAGGGGGAAGCATGTGGCATACTTACCTTCGCTCGGCTCATCTGCGCCCTCAAAATTGACCCATCTCCTACTGTGGCTTTCGGCTCTGTCGATGCTGACGCCGGCCGACCGCAACACATCTGCCACCCTCACGCCCTTCCAGTACGCACAGCTCACAGCGCCTGCACCCCAGTCAAACCCTTTACTCTTGCGCACGAGGTTCAGCTCCCCACGTCGATTCCCGTCACAAGCTAGCGCTACGGGAATGTTGACGTTTGCCCAACGTTGCCCACCTGCCAACTCGTCCATACTGACGCGTAGGCGCCCTGAGCACACATCTACCACGTGCTCACCCCAGTATAGACGCGGCACGCTTCCGTGATTGCGGACGTAGTGCAATCGGTTGGGTGTGATGAGCCCCGCGTCCCATAGGGCGCTCAGCTTGGGCTCCGCGTTCAGCGGATGCTGGCCTGTGCGGCGTATGAGATCGTCAGAGCGCGGAATCCAGTTGTCGGGCGTTTGAGCGTCGGAGCCGGAGATGGAAGCATCTATCTTTAGGTGTGCAACCGGCGATGGAAGCGTGCCGGGATTGAGAGTGAAGGCGCGGGTCTGGTGAGCTTCATGCTGGAGGTGTCTGAGGAGGGTGATCTCTTCTGGGGTGTACTTTGAGCGAAGTCTTTGGCATTCGGACCGCAAGCCGTCGGTGGCTTGATTGCGCTGTTGGCCGGTGGTGTGCTTTCCGTAGGCACCGTGATGCTTGTCCTCGTTGTGGCCCGAGGCACGACGCCAGTCATGCTCGGGATCATTGGCTGTGTCTTGGTGGCCGTTTTCCAATCTTGCTGCGGAGTCATTGTCTTCTTTCTGCTTCTTCTGTTGCTCTTCCTTTTCCCGCTGCTTGATGTTGGCTGGAATGGGTTCAGTGAATGTCGTTATGAGGCGATACTAACGCGTTGGCCGGCGTCATATAGACGTGGAGAGACTGAGAAGGTGGCTAACGTACCTGGCCAGTCCTGCTTATACTTGATTTCGTCTTCCGTTGCCCTCACCACAAAGCGCCAGCCAGGCGGGTAGACTTCCGGCCGATGTCGGTGGTAGTCCTGAATATCACCATCAGATTTCCAATTGCGCAGATATCCTCGGTGTACAGCGGCCGTGGTCAAAGAACTCACCGTTTGCGCCTTCATAACATCCACAAAGTTGACCAGATCTCCCTTCTTCGCCCGAGCCCTGAGCTCGCGATACTTGCGGGTCGCTTCTTGGATGAACGCTCGCTCATCCTCATCGGCGGGCTCATGGTCGCCCTCGTGCGTCAAGCCGGCGCGACGGCCAGTTGTATTAATATAACCAACGCGGTGCTGGTGGCCACTGCCCCAATTGGGCTCAGCTGCTATCTCTGCGGTGCTGGAGCCTGGGTGACTGGTCACTGTAGCCGTCCCGGCGGGAGGAGTAGGCATCGTGCACAATCCTGGGTTTCTATGGGCCAAGGTGGGACTATCACAACAGACGTTCCCTGTACAAGAACAAAGTGAGACCTGAGGGTTAATCTGGCCGGCCAAAGGTGCATTTACTGCCATATTGAAGTGGGCACGAAAGGCTGGTGAGGTCATGGCCACCAAGCCGTCGTAGCCGGACGTAATGCTGCCACACGGACGGCACGTCTTCGTTACTGTCTATCGGCAGAAGAGGCTCTGTCAACAATGCTGGAGGGACTGCGGGTTTGACGTCAGCGAGTAGACCCAAAAGCGCTTTGACTTTGTTCTCAGCGCAGGCCGCTGGACGTTTTTCCGCGGCGTCCGGCGTGGAAACGAAGAAGTACCGGCAATGAGCAAGCAGCGCATCTTTTGGGTGCTAGTATAAGACGACGCCCGGGCACGGTGCCCGATATGAAGCAGGCGCAGATCAGTATTTGAATATGACAATGCCAAGAAGCGTATGGCATGCGTCCTTCACTTTGCGATCGCAAGCAAGTGTCCTCTGGATGTTTTACACCCGCCTCCTGTACAACGACTTGTGGCCATGTCCTCACTCAGTGCGTATCCCTTGTTGACACTGCCATTCAAAGGCACAAGCAAAGCAAGCTTCCTCCCCAGCTGGTACGCGCTCTCGGCAGGCACGCCCTCCGCCACTCAAGGCCGGCTGTGGTACCCGGTAGAACGGTGACACATCACAAGTCATCTTCCATTCGGTGGGAGCCCCTCTGTTGACACAACCTGAGGCGTTGTGTGCCCCTCAATGGTCAGCCTGTTCCCGGCCCTCATTGGAAGGTTGCCTGGATCCGTGGTGGGACGGTGGGCAGGCACGATGCGCATGCGTGCGCGAAATGACCATATTTGTCGCGGTAGCGATGCTTGTTCCTGGCTGTCTATATTACTGTTGTTTGCATCGTTGTAAGAATACGCAAGCCTCAATCAGGTCCCACACTCAATTCAAAAATATCGTCGATCCTGTATGAGTTCCGACCGAGTATTCTTCAAAGCACAGAGTGAGAGGCATAGCACAATGCCTCCCACCGACGAACATATAAACTACACCACACAATGGGTCACCATTCCGCTGATCACTGCTTCCGATAATGCGGCAACTTTACCCCAAGCTGTGTCTCCTACACATCGCCGCTCCTCCTTACCTACCCACTTAGGTCCATGGCCGCTGAAGCGCTCGCTCAGCGAAGACGACTGTGTACGCATCACACCTGTCGCTCCACCCTCGACAGATCACTCGACCGCGGTGAAAGTTCATCCTGGCGACCATCGACCCAGCCTGGCTTCAGTGCTCGCCCGCATTGATGAGGAATGCCAAACTGTTGATCGAGCACTTAAGATCGAAGCTGCGCTGAGAAGTGGTTTCACAGGGGCAGATGACCGTGTCAGTCGCAAGCAGGCCGATGGGAACGCGGACGTTAATCAGAAGCTGGGGAATGCGCTCATGATCATCCTGGCTGCGTCGGCAGTCTGCATTTTCATCTCGGCGCCAGTGTTGACAGCAGCTTTTGCGCCAGCTGTTAAAGGAAAGATCATGCTACCAGCCGAAGCGGCGCCCAAGTCCATCTTTGGGCTTCTTTTAGGCGTTCTGGCAATGGCCGTGGGAATGGTAATCGCTATAGCCTTTGCTGCGCTGCTGGCTGTGTGCAAAGGGTGGAAGCTACTAGCGATCCGAAATGCAGTCACCACCGGCGCCACGACAGCAGTAGCAGGGTCAGCATTGACTGCTTGGGTACTGGTTTGGGTTTTACCAATCGTCAGTCATGCTTGAAGTAGTCAGCCCAAGGAAATGCGAACGGAGGCTGGGAATTCGTTGTTGTTGTTCTTGGAATTGCTCGTCACAATCCCGTTTCCGGCGATGCAGCAAGCAGACAATTGCACACTCCCATGTACACTAGCAAAGCACATAGCAATAGAACTGCATACTGCAGCAAGCACTTGCACTTGTAGAACACGGGATCCAGAAACGAAACGGAGGTCGACATTACACCTCGCATCCTCAGGCATTGATATTGGCATCCCCTAGCCCCTTGCCGCCTCAACAGGGGCGCCCGCCCCGGGGCTTGGCATCAATGACCGCCTATTACCCCAATGGCAGCTCCACTCCGCCGCAAGACGGTGCATCCTCCAACTCGCAACCCTCGAACAGCCGCAGCAGCAAGCGTCCTGCACCGCTCACTCTTTCACCGGCCGCCCCTAACCTCCTCTCATCGCCAGACACTCCCAGGCGGAGAGCTGCGTTCCTTTCACCATCCGACGACGACTTCGATCTCGACTTCGAGCGCGCCGTCTCCCCGCGTACACGTGTAGCGCCGAGCCCTCCGTTCCGTTATAAGGGCGGACAAGGGGAGAGCTCTGCGTTTTCGAGGAGTAGAAGAGATTACTTGAGCAGCGCGGCCGGCGAGCGGATACGCTTCGACACCGCTGTGTTCGACTCTGCATGCACAGCCCGTGCTGTAAGACGGAATTCGTGGAGGAAGTCGAACATGGCGACGCCTGGTCAGCCGGAGGAGCACCAGAGTTTATTGGCCGATGTTGAGGTAGACGGACCTACGAGCGACGAAAACCCGAGCCGTGCGGGAAGAAACAGCACCGACAGTGTCTCCAGTGCATCGACCACGAGTCTTGTGCTCGAAAACTTGAATGAATATGGCGACTATGCGGAGAAAGAGGGATTCGTGGGGAAGGGCAGGAGGAGCTCGGGACAAGGCCGGCGGTCTGAAGGCCTGTATCGAGACGATGAGTCTGACCCGGAGATCCCTCCAGCTCTCGCGCACGACGGCGACGGCGCAGGCCGCGGTCATGACATGACCAAGAGCCTGCGGCGCGCCATATGGGCTTGCGCTGTTATTGCCGCTGTGGGATGGGCACTTGCTATTGCAGTGTTTCTATTTTCGGGGAGGCACAAAACCGGTACCTACCAGTACGATGACGAGAACCCACGGATTGGATCCGGCAAGAGGATAACGCTAGATCAGCTCAACAGAGGAGACTGGCATATGCAGACCGCGCCAATCACATGGATTCCTGGACCAAATGGTGAGGACGGACTGGTGGTGGAGGTTGGTGCCCGGGGAAAGGATTACCTCGTGGTTGAAGACATTCGGTCGCGGGCCAAGGACCGATTGAAGGAGGGCGAGCAAGTCTTCGCGACAAGGACGCTCATGAAAACTCGCGTTTTCAACTACAACAGTAAGACCTACACGGCCGAGTCATTGGTGGTCAGTCCAGACATGAAGAAGGTGCTGGTCATGGTCAACAAGGAGAAGGTGTTCCGCCACAGCTCCACAGGGATTCACTTTGTGCTGGACGTGGAGAAGCAGGCTTGGGAACCGCTGGACATAGACAAACCTGACGCAAGGGTGCAATTGGCCCAATGGAGTCCCAAGGGCGATGCGATCGCCTTCACAAGGGACAATAACCTGTTTGTGCGCATGACCGACACAGGTGCCATCAGACAGATTACGGACGATGGCGGAACAGAGTACTTCTACGGAATCCCGGACTGGGTGTACGAAGAGGAAGTCTTCAGCGGCAACTCTGCGACATGGTGGTCTCGCGATGATCAATTTGTGGCCTTTCTGAGGACGAACGAGACCGCTGTGCCAGAGTATCCGGTTGATTACTACATTCAGAGGCCGAGCGGGAAGCAGCCTGAGGAGGGACAGGAGTTCTATCCGGAGACAAAGAAGATCAAGTACCCCAAGGCCGGCGCACCCAACCCGGTTGTAGACCTGTTGTTCTACGATGTCAAGAGAAACGAGCACTTTGAAGTCGAGGTCAGTGGTGGCTTCAGCGACGAAAATCGACTCATCACCAACGTCCTCTGGGCGGACGACGGAAAAGCCTTGGTTCAGGAGGCGAATCGTGAAAGCGACCGCATTCGGTACGTCTTGGTTGATGTCGAGAAGCGGACGGGCAAGACTGTTAGAGATATTAATCTCAAGGAACAGGATCTTGGATGGGTAGAGCCCGCTCAGCAAGTGCAGTACGTCCCCGCCGACCCGGACAATGGACGGCCAAACGATGGCTACATAGACACTATCGTCTATGAAGGTTATGATCATCTCGCCTACTACACGCCCATCGACAATGACAAGCCCGTCATGCTCACATCCGGCAAGTGGGAGGTCGATTCTGGGACTGCCGCAATTGACCTGAAGAACAACCTTGTTTACTTCATCTCTACCGCCGTTGCTATCACTCAGCGACATCTCTACTCAGTCTCTCTAACCAAGCCCGCCAACTCCATGCAGCCTGTCACTCCCGTCAATTCTCCTGGATATTGGGCAGCCACCTTTTCGCCCCTTGCCTCTTACATATTCCTCACGTACGGTGGTCCATCCATTCCCTACCAGATGGTTCAGTCTGCACCTCACATCCACGATGACTTCGCCATCATCCTCGAAGACAATACACCACTGGCGCAAATGGCGGCGACGCACGAGCTTCCTCATCTGATCTATACCAACGTCACGATCAACAACTTCACACTCCAGGTCCTCGAGCGGCGCCCACCACATTTTGATCCCAAACATCAATATCCCGTCGTCTTCTACCAGTATTCTGGACCGGGTAGCCAATCTGTCGCACGCAAATTCAGTGTTGACTTCCAAGCCTACCTCGCGGCAACAGAGAATTACATTGTCGTGACTGTCGATGGACGAGGCACAGGTTTCTCCGGACTTGACCACCGTAAGGTCATGCGCGGACACTTCGGTACCGTGGAACCTGAGGACCAGATCGCCGTTGCGAAGCTCTTCGCCAAGAAAGACTATGTGGACTCTGAACGCATGGCTATCTGGGGTTGGAGCTACGGAGGCTATACAACGCTGAAGACTCTCGAAGTCGATGCTGGAGAGACCTTTCATTACGGCATGGCAGTTGCTCCTGTCACCGACTGGCGATTCTACGACAGCATATATACGGAGCGGTACATGCTCACCCCGGAAGACAATGGCGAAGGCTATGCTCGTGCTGCGGTTAGCAATGTCAGCGCCATCAGCCAAAATGTCAGATGGCTCATCATGCACGGTACAGGTGACGACAACGTGCACATGCAGAACACGTTGACGCTGCTGGACAAGTTCGATCTTGCAGGGGTCGGGAATTATGATGTCCATGTCTGGCCGGACAGTGATCACAGCATCTACTTCCACGGTGCAAACAAGCTGGTGTGGGAGCGACTAAGCGGTTGGCTGGAGAAGGCGTTCGCTGGAGACTACTATCCCAAGGTTGATGGCGTAGTCGATGGGAACGGGTCTCGGTGAGATCTGAGAAGTGATGAGACCAGCTGTCAGTCGAGCACGGGAGGCCTCCGGGTATGTTGATCGACTGATTCCGTTCTGGTCCTATTCACTGTTTCTCTCTATTCAACACCACTACCTAGTCACCACGTGTTCCTATTCACCACATCCCTGAGTCACCACTTCTGCCTATTCACATTCACAGTTCCCAACCTCGTTGACGGCTCACTGCGTTTGCATTCACTCACGTTCCTTTCCCTAGCCTTCCAAAGTCTTCGGCAGGCAGGCAGCCACTTTTCCGTCGACTACATAACTGGCACCGCTGTTCATACTTTCTGCACGCTTGTCGCAAGTTAACCACTCAAGAGGAGAGATTTTAGGTAAGACCCTATGCTTGTGTGAACAAGTCCTTGACTAACAGAGTCATAGCAAGACCCAACATCAAGATGCAGCACCACACAATGCCTGTTCGTGGTTCAAAGTCCCTCCACCAACTCTCGCTCGAGAGGGCTTTGGACGAGTTCGAAAATCTTCCATCTTACAAGGTCTACTCGCTATTCAAGGACTGCCCCCAGCCTGTACGGATTGCGGTTCTCGATCGTCTGCTTACCGAACGCCGCACACATCTGAAGGACTCGTTGCAGCTCGAGCAGAACGTTCCAGCAGCGGACTTTTACAAGTACAGAATGGCAGACATGGACCCTGACGTTGAGGACGACCTCCATCTTGCTCCACAAAACCATAACATACCACACCCCTTTCTCGCTCTCCACGAGCGCCTACTTGCCCTCTTCCGCAACTGGGAGAAGCACCAGACTGGCCCCAACGACCAGGGCGAGTACACATACGAGGGGGCTGTGAGTCTTGCCCCGGAAGGTTCTGCGCTGCCATACATTCTATGCGATTGCTGCAGCACCACCTCTGGCGCCAAAGACCCCAACTGTCCCAAGGCTCGCATCTCCACGGTGATCTCGTATCATCTTCTAAGATCAAGACTCGAGTTTCTATTCGGCAGCGACCTGGCAGTTTTTGAGCAGCTGGAAAGTATCGACACGGAACGATGGTGGTTGGTGAAGCTACGATTCCCTGACAAGAGCAAACTCATGTTTGTGGGTAGCAGCTTGGGTGTGTCATTCGGCTTTGGCGGCAGCAAGGAAGCTCGCAAGAATTGCGAGTTCATGCTCAACTTCCTGTTCAGCAACATGGACTTTGCCCGCCACCGCGTGGCGTTTGCGAACAAGTTCAAGAAGAGCATTGAGGAGCTTGAGGAGGAGGCTCGCAAGGTCAAGGAGGCGGCGGCGGCCGAGACAGAGACGGCGAATGCCTAGATACAGCTTCATCGCTTCTACAAGAGGTTGCTCGTGGGTGTCGAGCTTTTGATAGCCGCTCCGGCAGTTCGTTCTAGAGAATAAAGAACATGTGCCCATTCGTCATTGCTCGTATGCATCACCACGTGACGACCCGCAAACGGGTACCCAATAGTCTTGCTGATCGCGGAGGCCACCGGCGATTGACAAGATCGTGAGGAGGCCTCCCCTAGACTCACACAGCACAGGCTGGACAGCTTTTTTGGAAGCGTTCCCGCCGTTATGGATCCGGGGAGGAGGCCTCCATTCGATTTTGCTGAGCGTCTGCGATGCCTACTCCGTACACTGTGGAAATCGGGGAGGGCTCCCATCGATTTCGTCGCACACCTAGTGGCCCCCCCATCCTTTACACTGAGACCGCGAGTGCCAAGGCGTCTGGCCCCATCAAGAACGGTTGACGTAGACAACGGCAGAATCCAGACCAGGTATTCCGCGACGATAGATAAGCGATCCCGTAGATTGAGCTATGAGCCGAGGCCATTATAATGCTGGGGAAAGGGGGGAGGAGGAGTCTTGATTCTGACAGTACTGTAGATGTTGGCAAGCTATTGAATAGTGTGGATAAGCCTTTTGGGGCGAGACTGGCTTGGCGGCAGGACACCCAGCGCCCAAATGAGACGCCACAGCGCTGATAACAACGTGGGAAAATCTCGAAATTGCCCGTTCGGTCCACGTCTTGCTTCCTTTGGGCATCTAAGTTTTTCTTGACAGGTCTTCTAAGGACCGTGATCCCCTGAGATGAGGTTGATGAGGCTGATGGGCTGTCCTTTGATTGGACGGGCACATGTGCAGAGGCCCTTAGCCGGCAACACCGTTTGGTGTCGAGCGCGCACGCGTCGGTACGTACTCCCAATTATCCTGCTCGGGGCCCTCTCGTGGTTCAGCCACGCCTCGTTCAGTGTGGAACGCTCGAGATTCGAGCCCATGACATAACAGAGGAGTGTAGATCCGATCTCAAGAGGATGGGCTCCGACACAATAATGAGCTCCATTTACCACGCGTGGATTTTCCCCTCTGCTTTGTCACTGTCTGTCACAACGTCGCTCCTTTAGTCCAACCAAGATGCAGTTCTCATCCCAGTCTTTCGTTACTTTGCTTTTCGGTCTCTTGTCTCTCGTTTCTCTGTCCTTCGCTCAGCAGTATGCCGGCGAGAACATCCCTAATAGCTTGCCCGCGGTCGCGGGCTCGGAACTCGCCTTCTTCAAGATCCGCGACACCAAGAACCAGACGGCTACTCTGCTCAACTACTACTCGCTGAATAGCAACGGCGGCCAAATCGACCCTGCCAATGTCAAACGCGCCGTGGTCATCATACATGGCCTCCTGCGCGATCCCTACCTCTATATCGCGAACGTTATGCAGGCGCTGGCGACGGTCCCTGATTCTAGCGTCAATAAGGACAATGTCGCCATGATCGCGCCGTATTTCACGAATGGAGACGACAAGGGAGTTGCGTATCCCTGGACGACGGGCTTGAGAGCTGGAAGAGGGTCTACATCCAACGCGCTTGTGTGGCAAGGCTCTCAATGGGCTTCTGGCGGAGATAACCAGTATCCCGCATACCCGGTGAACATCACCACCGTCTCGTCCTACGATGCTCTGGACCAGATCATCCAGTATTTCGACGATGCGACACTGTTCCCCAACATGAAGCAGATTGTCATTGCCGGCCATTCTCTGGGAGGCCAAACCGTTCAACGCTACGCTGCCGTCGGCAACTTGCTCCGGACCAGGACTCCCGTATCGTACTGGACGGGAAATCCGGACAGCTACGCCTGGTTCTCAACGGACCGACCCCTGGATAAATCGGCTTGTGCCACGTACGACAACTGGCGAGACGGTTTCAGCAACTACAACAACAGATACGGAGCCGACCTCGTCGCTCAGGGCCGAGCAGCCGCCCTTGCAAGGTACTCCTCTCGAAGAATCACCTATGGTCGCGGTACCAGAGATTTTGGAGACGCGTCCAGCGGCTGTGGTCCCAGCACAACGGGCAATAACCGTGGAGAGCGTTTCTACAACTTCATCAAGCAGTTTCCCATTTCTTGCACAAACCCAACGACACCGGGTGGCGCGTGTGCGACGGTTGACTACGTCAATGTGACTCATGATGCTTACGGCATGATGTCTTCGCCGGCGGGACAGGCTCGTCTTTTCCTGGATAATTTCAACGGTGATGGTTCATTCGCTTACAACTTTGGCTATCCTCGCCTGCAATCTGGTGATGACCAATATCCTAACCCAGCCATTGCGCCAACAGCACGGAAATGGACAGCTGATGTGTACCCCGGCAACATGGCGTACCAAGGCTGTTTCACCAATATCAACGCCACGACTCTGGCCTACACTGCTTATCGAGGTAACGGCAGCAACACCATTGCAGGATGCACTAGCACCTGCTTGGGATTGGGATACAGTACTGCCGGCCTTTCGTGGGGTAAGTTTCCCTCTGCCCTCACCGTATGCACTGGCTAACCAACAATAGGGTATGATTGCTTCTGTGGCAACGCCGTATCTTCAAAGGCCATCCAGACTGCGGATGGGGCCTGCACCAACACCTGCAGTGGCAATCCCGACGACTATTGCGGTGGAGACGACGTCCTAGCCATCTACAATAGCACCCTGACGCCCTCGACCAACACCACCTCGCCGGCAAATCTTACCTGCATCAACAATGCCTCAAACGGCACAATCTACCAAGCCTCCAACGGCGGCACGTACCAGATCCTCTGCTCGCTAGACTCCTTTGGGGGTGACATCTCGGGCGCCGCATCCCCAGACCTGGCCACCTGCGTCGACACCTGCGATAGGACCACCGACTGCATCGACGTCAGCTACACCGGCGGCACATGTTGGCTCAAGCGCCAGCTCTCCTCCTTCTACCGCAACACCGCCGTCGTCTCAGCGAAGAAGGTCTCCCTCTCATGCGCCAACGGTGCCGGCGACGGCACAATCGTCACGGCCTCCAACGGCGGCAACTACGAGATCCTCTGCTCCAAAGATTCGTTCGGCGGCGACATCTCCGGCGCCCCGTCCCCATCCCTCCTCGCCTGTCTCAACACCTGCGACCAGACCCCCCAATGCATCGATGTCAGCTACACGGGCGGCAACTGCTGGCTCAAATCCTCCCTCTCGACCTTCTACGCCAACAACGCCGTCATCTCCGGCCGGAAGCTCACATCCTCTCCGTCAACTCCGCCACCATCATCGAACTCGTCGCTAACGTGCGTCAACAACGCCTCAGACGGCACGACCTACAAGGCCGCCACCGGCGGCTCCTATACGATCCGCTGCCAGACGGACCATTTCGGCGGCGACATCGGCTCGCGCACGACCGGAAATCTGGCCGGCTGTGTCGATGCCTGTGACGCGACCAGCGGGTGTATTGATGTGTCGTACGTGGGTGGGACGGCGCCGAACTGCTGGCTCAAGGGCGCGCCGTTGGCGGCCGCGTATACGAATGCGAATGTGGCGACGGCGGAGAAGGTGCTTGCTTAGCTTGGCCATGATGATGATAAGCCGTTAAATGCTTTCTATATACGTACAATGGTATCAAGATCCGACATTGCTAGTTCCTTCTTTTTATATGTTGTCTCCTGCGCGAAAGAGCTATAAGGCATCCAGAGGCATCCGCTTCTCGAGGTGCCGCCCTGGCAGGAGCTTGGGCTGTGGCACAGTTTTGCAGTACCTCACCCCTGTCTCATCTAGCCTCGTTTGCCTTGCCACGCTAGACCGCATGAGTCACGAGGCAAACAAGCAGCTTCGTTGTCACTAGGATAAATATCTCTAGCTCTTATGTAGCAGGTGTAGAGTCGCATGCTTTCCTTTTCATTACCAGCACTCCTACTTGAGGAAGCCAGCGCTTTTTTCGGCAACTTCATTCAGACACTTCTACTTTCATCGATAACCTGCCACTCCTCGAAGGGCTAGCTTGGAAATCCAGAGCAACACTTCAGTCACTCCACACAGGCCACTGTCGGTCCCCCTGCCCATTCCAGCAGCTTTGTCCCCACGATTGTCGCTTCCAAATATCGATGAAATGTCTGAGGACTCGACAATAACCACCCGCGTCGGTGCGAAGAGTCTCCATCAGATCAGCCTCAAGAAGGCGATCAGAGAGCTCTCATACAAGGAAAGCCCTGCCACGGCCGCCGCAATCTTCCGCAAGCTCGAAGCCCCTCAACAAGAAGCACTCTTTAACGAGCTGCTGAGACGCAATAGCGAGTCGGTCAACCATCTGGTGGTACCTCTCATGGACCGAGAGACTTATCTTGGCATAGATCCGAATCATGGCTATGGGAGCGAAGACGAGCTAGACACTGAGGAAGTCAAGGAGTATTTGTCAAGTCGATGGAGCGTTGTCAGGGGTACGCACAGATTTTGACTGCTAGTGAGCGGTGAGAAGGTTGCCCGTGACCCTCCACCTACCGATGTGTTCGCAACCCGATTGATATTGTGTGAAGATTCCACATTGCGCTTTCGTCTTTGCAAATGTTGGAAGAATCGTGGCGAGAGTCTGCAGTTGCCATCACCACCAAAAGTTTGCGGCGACAAACATTACATATTGGCGCAGCTTATAAGTGCGAATTTGCTTCGGATTCGCCTGTCACAGGCGTGGACCAGTAATTCGTTTCGCTTTCGCGACTGGGATTGGGACATTTGTCTACAATTCTTCGATGGTAGTATCTTATCAATTGACAGTTCCGTCGATTTCGAAGTTATTGGTAGCGAGCTTGCAGGCAAGAGTGCCGAAATCGTCCTCAACTACTTGCTTAGTCCTATCGACGGGTGCGAAGCCACCGTCATTTTTGGAGACCGATATGTCTCTCTGATCAGACAATTGGAGGCAGAGTACACAGAGATGGCGCAAAAGACCTCTTGAAGCCCCTGAGGGCGGCTTTGTGTCAGCAAGGAAATCTTCATATGGACCAACTGGAAGAAGCAGCACGGAAACCATCTATCCAAACTCACAACTTCGGGCCGGAGAGAAAGCAGCGAGGCGACGAGCTCAAGACTGGTGTGGGGGGAAAGACTGACCTTCTACTTACCTCAACCTTTGAAAGACTCCTGAGGTTCGCGGAGGTAGCTCTGCATGCAGAAGACGCATCTCCCCGGAGCACACAGCTTTCATCCTGCGGGGGAGAAATTTTGCTTGGTTGGCTGAAATGATGGCACGCATCTCCGGAGGGATATGTCGAGGCTCTACTACTGTTGTACATCCATCACACGAGAAAAACACACTTGCTTTTATGAGAGCGCATCATTTTCAATAATCAGTTTCTCGAAAACACAACACGTTGGGTAATTGGCGCTGGAAACCCCCCCATGAACTTGCATCGCTTGCTTGCTACCTACCTCCTACGCTTAACGGCCAAATAACTCTATCAGACAGTCGCTACTTTCACCACCATCAAGCCTATCACGTCTCTAAAAAAATCTCCTCACTGCCATACCAAAACTCCCACTGCAAAGCATCACCGTCACCTCCCCACGCGCGCGACATCCGTCCTCTCTACTCTTAATAAGTCTAGACCTTGGGCGCCTTCCAAGGCCACTCCCACTCATACGGCAGCTCGTTGTTCGGGCATTTCGCCACCCACGCGCCCGTCTCCCCGGGAGCAACGACGCATTTCTGACCGCCTTTGCCATTGCAGTTGCTGTTCTGGCAGGGGTAGCTGCGCGTCGAGACCTTGCAGCGATCGTTCTTGCACTTGCCGTTCATGTGGTCGAGGGCGCGGGCGTCGAGGATGGAGGAAAGGGGGAGGGTGGTGTTGGTGGAAGGGGAGGGGTCGGAGGTGGTGGGGAGGGCGAGTGTGTGGGGGGTGGAGAGGAGGGGGAGCAGGAAGAGGGAGAGGAAGGTAGTGGGGGTTGGGCTGGTTAGCTTCATGGTGGTTTGGGGGGTTTGGTTTGGTTGGGTGATATTGTTAGGCAGTAGAGGCTCGTGTTGGTCTTGGACTTTTAGTCTCGGATGGCTTGGTGTGCGGAAATAGAACTTGGGAATTGCGCATGCGGGAACTACATATACTCTATAGAAGCGCTCGTTGACTGGCATTGTCTGAAGTCCTTTGGCAGACATCTTCGTCTTGTCCATTGTCTGGCTGCGACGTGGGTTACAGGACAAAGGATACCTTCAAGGACATTTGCCACGGCTGTGCTTGAGAAGGCGCTCTCGCCCTGATTGTCTTTGTTGTTTGGCCGACAATAATGACCGAACAAGCCCACTTTCGAGCTTTGTTTGTCCGAAAGTTTGTGGATGTGGTTGCCATCTTGGATGTGATGCCACGAGACTCGTTATACTGGCTTGTTGATCGAGAAAGTGCGACATGGATATCATAGGCGGTACCTCGACATCTGCTAGAGTTTCTATCGGCATGCCGCAACCGCGGAAGTCCCGGAAAAGCAGGAGTGAGGTCTTTCGTCGTCCACAGCAAATCAGGCAACCGTCTGCCTGAACTCTTGGCAGAGGAAGGCTAGCTTGCCCTATTGCTCCTATCTTGTTCCTTGTCAAAGTGGACGCGTCGAAGAGCCTGCATGGTAGCTCAGCGGCATCATTTCACCTCTAAATTTTTCCCACGGTGACTCACCGCAACCAAAGCGCCCATTGATGGCGCATGGGCCGATTCTTATATGGATCCATCCCTTCGCTACTCCACGCCTCCGCGCGGCGTGAACAGCTTTCAGCTTGCCAGCTTGGCCAATCGATGAGAGGGTGCTGTGGCTATTGAAATGGGTTTTATGACGCGATCGGGACAAGTGGGTGCTAGCAGGAGTGTGAACAACGCACAGGAAGCCAAAACGGCACGCGAGTCGATGGTCAAGCGGCACGAGGCGGTTCGAACATCGCCAGCAAACACGAGGCTATAAAGCGTATGAGTACAGAGTCCTCGGCGTGGTTGAGTCACAGACTGACAGAAGTGGGACAGTATCAATGAGCACAAGATGGGGTATTGAACATGACCACTCCTGGTGCTGACCAAGGTAGTCCCCGCGGGCCATAAGCGTTACTTCTGCAGCATTGGCCTGAATGTTCATCTTAAGCGGTGTCAATCAATGACGAGACAGCTTAGCAGGAGAATAGAAAGATGCATGTGGGTGAGTCGAGGTTTCATTTGCCTGTGCTGGAAAATATGTGTGGGGGTGAGCCCAAAATGGTCTGGCCCGTGAGCATACTCGTCCCTTGAGTTGCGATTCCGTTTTCAGAGCTCTTTTGTACAGCGGGTCTCAACTCTGCCATCTGTGGCAAAGCTAGACCATCAAAGACCCGGCCTGGCCGGCCCTGGGCCCGGAGGGTTATGTGAAATATCGAACTCCTGGATCAGGTAATCCCATTGATTCCAGTCCATGTCCATTTGCATGTCGTTTTGAGCCATACCAGGACCGAGTCCGATATTCGGGTTGAGGGCCTGCATAGGGTCATAGTTGTATTGGTTGGCGCCATATGCCGGCAGGTTGTTGGCGTCCCACATCATAGACATGTCAACCGGCATGCGTCCTGGTACACCGGCGAAGCCGGTTGCACCATAATCGCTGTAAGTATTCCCAGGGAAGAGCGGCGCTGTAGACGCTGATTCTGATCTAGACGGTGTTGGGAGGGTGACGTTTGTGTCGGGTGTTGTTGAGGGCATCTTGCTCGTGGTTTGGTTTGTAGATTTCCGTTTTGTCCCTTTCCTCTGTTCTCGAAGCATCACGATGAACTCCGGCGTCTGTATGGGCATCAGGAACTCGCCTCTTTCTTGAGCCTCAGTTCTGCCGCGCATACGGGCATCCCAGGCCTTCAGAGAAAGACTGCCGACAGCAGCATGGAGAGGCTTCCGATACTCCAAGATGAAAGCAGGATGGTGTTTGTAGGTATCCTCGATCTGCCGCCACGCGAGGTCTACCTCGTCTCCGGTGTGGCGTTTCTTAAGTTCACCGAGAAGGTAGACCAAGGCCTGCCACTGAAAATAGACATCGCTGTGCCACATGAAGCGCTGCAAAGCCTTCGTACTGTGGCCGAGGCTGTCGGATTCGAGCAATTTTAGACTAAGATTCCAGAGCAGACGTCGCTCTGACTCTGGGATATCGGCTTCACTGGCCCATCTTCGCGGGTGATGTGCCATGAGACGCATCGAGGCGATCGCTGCACGGCCGATTATGCTGACCATGAACTGTTGCGGGTTGTTCACATCGCAATACCGGAGAAACTTGTCCTCAAGTCGGCGCTCTAGTTCCGAGATAGTCTCATCACGCTCTTTCAGGGTGCCCGCCCATGGCGTCGGAGGTTTGCCGGTCCAGAGTTGCATCTTTAGCACGGTTGGATCGGCCTTGCTTTTCTGGATCAGTTTCTCCCTCCAGAATGACCCGAATTCACACCTAAGTAGGCATAAGGTCATTTCAGTTGCACGCTCTTCGCCCTTCTCCTTGATGCGATCCTCGAATTCTTGTTCCGTGATACCTGGCCAAAAGTCTTCGTCGTCGACATTCCTCGGTGGATTGGTATCGTTCCAGAAGTCTCCAAATCGCCCGCTACCGGTGAGCTCTGCGGACCGAAAATCCAGGATTGTCAGTTGCCACCAAAGTCGTCGACGCAGCTCAGTCTCGAATACGGGGAGACCGAGTTGCGATCCATCGCGATGCAGGCCCAAACCCTGAGCCATCCGGTTCGCGACGCCAGATAGGGTCCATATTGTGCGTGCGTCAAGGACTTCGCGCATGATAAGCTATAGCTAATCAGTAACGCCGATATAGTTCGTGACAGATACACTTACGACATATAGAACAAAGCTCTGGCAAACCATTAGATCCCCTGTACCCAGGAACTTGGCTCTCGCCAAGGCTCTTCGACATCCAGTGCGATATCGTCCAAAGAGTGACTTCCGCGATTCACCAAACATCATTTCGCATTCATCAGCTTGCATGCTTCCGATAGCTGTAGTGTAGATGGCGAACATGAGGCATTCGAGGCCCCTGGGTATGTTCTCCAGGTCTTGCGTAGCTTTGATGAGCTGTTTCTCCAGTGTTGGTTTGTGGATGATTTTGGTCATGGGATTGATGTTGTCCAAGAAAACGCCCCAAAGCTTGAAGATGACCTCAGGTGTCGGATGAAGCTGGCTCGTGCCGGCAGGAGTTGTGGGAGTAAGACCCAGAATAACATCGCCGCTGTCATCGCCCAACGTATCTGTGTCGGAGTCGTCTGACCAGTCATCAATAGCATCCTTAGGCTGAGCGAATTCATCGGAAACAGTAGTCCAGAGGTTGTTGTCAACGAACCGTGAACGGCCTTGGGACATGATGAGCTTGCCAGCATTGTAAGGGCCTTTAGTCAAAAAGTTGTCGCCGACAGTGGCTAGGCTTGGTTCATCCAATTGTGCCCGCAAGGCCTCTTGCGGTAAAGCACCCGATCCTTGCGTTGGACTTGGATCACTTTTAGCACCCTGTGCGCCTTGTGCATCATTCAGAATTCCCTTGGTGCGAAGAAGATCTTCAGCGCGTTTCAGCCGTTCCAACAGACTTCAAAGCTACAATCAGCAGGAACAGCATCAAGATGGGGTAGTGGACTTACACCTCTTCGGTCGCGCGCTTCTTCTTCCGCCGGGGTGCAGAAGGAATTCGGAATATGCAATCAACATTAGATTTGACACAGTTGGCGCACGGGTGGCTCTTGTCGCATTTGACCTTGCGTTCGAAGCAGCGCAAGCAAGAGAAGGCCTTCACGGGCTTTTCAGCCTTTTCACCCTTGGACGGCGAGCCTGTCTGAGACTGGGGTTCTTGCGACTGATCCGACATGTTGCGACGCTGAGACGATGGGCCCGCCGCGAACCAAGGTGGATTTCAGGACCACGTTATCTCGGTTCTCCAGCGCTTGGGCCGAGACCGAGCACCGCGTTTTGGTCAAGTAAAGACTTGACTATGTTGCCTGTATCACCGCGACAGCGAGCGTGGCTATGAAAGACCAAGCCTATCGCTTGCTTGGTAGCTTGGCGTATTCGTGTCGACACAAATTGAATTAGGCAGCCAGGATTCCAGGAATCCATCGTAGTTAACAATGTTGACGCCCGGAGATATCAGAGCTGGCGGGGGGCTAACCAAGAGTAGCCTGGACCCCACGTTCAGTGACTCAACGACTCAATTACGGCCAGCTGTCAATGGAAACCTTGTTTATTCCTAAAAGGCATGTCATGGGCGGGAGAGTAGAGATACAGTTTTGGCAACGATGCCAAGGGGACGTGCGCGCAACAAGAGAGTCAGTACAGGCAGTGGAGGTCATCTGACAAAGTAGGTCGACTGCAGACCCTCAATTATGATAACCGAGTTTATTCAATGCTTGTCTCAACGATGGGGATAACGGCCATTCGTCGCCCCATGTTCACGACCCAGATGGTGATGCATATGCAGATACTCACGCAAACAGCGTTACGACTAAGCATTATTTACAGGGCCACTGTTCGTACACGAGCCTCACACCGTCATTCACTCAAACCAACCGTCCTCCCTGATCCTAAAACCAAAGCTGACACAGGTAGCGACGAAAAGACCTGCACAAAGGGCCGAGGTACCCCACTTGTCGTAGTATCGGTTGATATTGGCTCTTCGGGTCCGGATCATTTCCACGCGCAGAGCATAGATGACCACCGAATAGACCAAGGCGGCGATGGCCACAAGCGTAAAGGCCCAGGCCGAGATCAGCGAGATATTGTCGCCAAAGTTGAGCAGTGTTGCAGCAATCGACCCAATGATGATACTGAACTCAAGCCAGGACAAGAAAGTCCGTTCCGCCGCAAAGTACACCTTGGGCTCTACTCGCACTGGAACATGGATGCGTTTACCAGGCGGTGCCTTGAATCGTCGAGCTTGCACCTGCCCAGTCATCTGTGTCATCACATTGGCGTTGGCGGGTAACGGAGTTTTGGTTGGTATCGACTTGAATGCGTTGATGATAGCGTTGGATCCCAGTTGCGCATGTCGTTGAACCAATAGTGGGTAGTACTTCCAAGAGCCTGATCGTTTCGCCTCCTCCAGCGCATCGTCGTTCTCCTCGTCAGAATCGTACAGGTATTCTTCATCAACAAGTGGCTGAGCGTTCAGGCGCTCTTCCTCGTCAAGCATGTTGCCAGGGGCGACATGGCTGTCTGTATGGCCATTGGGTCGGAGGGTATCGTCATCGTCATCGTCATCCTGCTCTTGTGCGCGTCGATGTTCATCTAGCGCGCGACGAGCAGCCTTGAGCTGTCTCGTCTGCTCATCATCATCACCGTCGTCCTCAACGTCGCCAGTTGATCCAGCAGCCGCCATAGCTTCAGCTTCGTCATCGGAGTCGATCTCGTCTTCATCAATCTCGGTCGTCGAATAGGAGCCAAGGTTGGCTGGGCGCTCGATGCCGAATTTGTGAGTGACAGGCTTACGAATATCAACGTCCATTTGCGGCATCCAGAAGGGCAAGAGATCAATGCGCTTCGGGAACATGGTAGCGGTTCCGTGGATGAACTTCGAGAACTTGGGTACGGCCTCAACCAAATGACTAGCAGTCAAATCCCGGATCCACTGAGGTGGCTCCTGTCCGGCAGCAGTCTGCAGTTTGACTTCCAGGACAGCATATGGAAAGAGGGCAACATCGCTTTCAGGTAGCTGCGAGAAGGGCCAGTCGATACCGATGTCCGTTCTACGCCAGTTCTTGCCCGCACGACTGACACCGTCCAGGTTATCCTCTCTGGTCATGGACAATTCTGTGTCGAGTGAGATTCGCACACGAGCATCTCCGGGGAGCTGGAAAGCAGTTCGATGATAGAAAGAGCGAGTGACGGGCACCAGCTTGCGGGAGATGACACGATATTGGACCTCCTTGGCCAGCTGCGCCAGATCATTGATCTCCTTTTCGCTCTTTTTGCCTTCCTTGCGCATTTTGGCAAAAGCTTCCTCGACCGTCATCTTGCCTGCCAGAAAGGCGTTGACGTTCTTTTCTTTTAGGGTAAACCGAGCTTTGACCGATTTCTCGCCCGTCCAGTCTTCGCGATGGGTCTTCCGTTCAACGAAGATGGTTTCGTTCTCCATACCGCCATACCAGCGCAAGCGAATCGCTTCTGCGCCTTCGGTCTTCTTCAAGCGACCCATGTAGAGTTCCCATGTTTCGGGATTATCGTAGTAGATAGACGAGATGGCCGAGTCCTTCTCTTCGAATTCCTTATTGGAGTTGAAGACGAGCACAGGCAAGTGCTTCAGAATGATGAGTTTGAGCTCAGTGATGTTGTCGGGATGGACCCAGTATTTTGTGGTCTGTCGCACGAAGTTCTGTTGACCACCTCCAGCAGCACTGTCGCCCTTTACTGGATTGCCTCTTGTCCTGACCAGGTCGTAAAGCTTGGACAGCTTGACAATAAATGCATCGTAGTTGTCCTGGAAGAAAGGTTTTGCCTTCAATCGGGTGGAGAAGGTAGGTTTGAGGTAGATGTTGGTCTGCTTGTCATGTTTCTTGATGATTTTCTGGAAGCCGGTGTAGTTTAGCTGGGTGTACTTTGCCAGGTCATGAACATCGGCAATGATATCACTGAGATCGGCTTCCAGAAGTTCAAAGTCTTCCTCAAGATCTGTATCCGTTTCATCGGATCTGTCTTGTTCTTCTTGCCTTTGCAGCACCTGCTTGACCTCTTGCTCACTGGATTTTATGCGGCCAACGATCTCCTGACTTTTGAGCTTTTGGAAGCTGAAGACTTTGTCGAGCTCGGATTCGAGCTGACGGATAAATGCAGCTTCGTCGTCGTCGTCCCATGGCTTTCGCTCGCCATCTCGGCCATTCACGAAAGGAGTTTTCAGAGCTTCTTTGAGTTCATCGTAGGCAATGTAGTGCCAGTAATAATCTTTGATGAGCGACTGACGCAGCTGCTGGCCGAACCTGAGGGTCAAAGCGTGTTAGCATTGACCGCAGAAGCAAAACGCATGTGCGGGGAATGTTCTGCGTACTTCATTGTTGTGGACTACTCCGAAGGGGTCTCCAGCATCGACACGTCGATTATGTATGCGAGACCTTGCGTCTCACAGTCCCCGGTCAGTGCTTACGGCGAGGAAAGAGTCAGAGATGGAAGAAATCTCGAGATAGCTGGTGCAGCAGAAAAAAAAAAAGCATGATTGTCTCTTTAGAGCTGGAGCTTCAGCGGCGGGTGTGAGCTGCTGCCATCGATAGCCCCCGGCCAATGGCATCTCCGAGTCCTCGAACGTGCGAGGCACGCGACTATGATTTCAGCGCTCGGGCCTATTCCTAAGTCAACTAACTGCCTAGGCTCGCCTATCGTGTTTGCTTTTGCTCTTCTTTTTGCAATCGAACGATAGTGTAGAAATGCGTTTGTTACGTGTCATAAAAATGACAATTGCTCAGATTTGCCCAGACAGCAACAAGTTCATGCAAGTGCAGCTGTTTGGAGTCGGACAAATGCATTTGGCGACCATCAGACTCAAGGCTTCAATCGCTAGGCCAATACCCTTTGGGTTATGCGAGACGCCGGGACTGTCTCGGGACAGAGTCTCTTGGAACTGAATCGTCGTCGTGTCTACCACAGGAAGCAACAGCAATACGTGATAGATCCGTCGTGCCTTTACGCGCTCTATCCTGCTTCGAGTAGTCAGATTGCATAGGCAGTGAGAGGCAGCATGGGCCTTCGACGTTGTCGCTGTCGAAGAGACTAACCGAACCGGTCAGGCGGCTGCTCTGCAAGGCAACAGGCTCCAAGTCCGCCTTGCCCCGCAGTGCAAGTGACTGCTTCTGCTTCACCTCAACCCCCAGCCCCGAGCATCTGATGCCAATAATCATTGACTGACGTTGCGCTCTTCGTCCAGCAGTCTAATATTTGAGCTCTTCCACATGATCAACGACGATGCAGACCAGTACAGCCCCGCCCCACCAGGCACGAATACCTCACCTTCCGGATGAATGCCTGCTCTGGATCGTCCAGCATTGTGACCCACTGACCATCAAGAACTTTCGCCTCGCATCGTAGGTGTTTGCTGGATCATCATTCACCTCTGAGTTGATGCTGATATGAGTGCAGAAGGAAGTTCTCAGCCTTGAGTCTTTCACAGCTGTTTGTGAGCGTCCGTCTGGTTCCTAACGCTGAATGCCTGAGTACCTTCGTCACTACCTTCAGGGACTCTCAAACAGCCCAACACATTAGTAACTTCATGTACGACCTGTCTTGGGAGTCTACCATCTGCGACATCCGAACCAAGTGCGATCCTAGCAACTCCTCGAGCTCAGGCCCTCACAAACCGAGCACTGCGTGGATTCAGAAGGTCGACATAGAACAGTTGAATCGCATCTACGACACGCGCTACTCCAGTTCGGTCGATTCGAGCAATGAGATCGAGCATTTGTCTCGTGTACTGGCATTAGCTCCGCGTGCCCTTGGACTTACCATCATCTCAGATGGCTTTGGTAACTTCGATGAATCCGCTAACATAGTGCAACCTGCTAACGTCTTATGGATCGCGACCACAGCCGACCTGTGCCTCCATTCTACCGCAACCTTCTATCCACTGTCGACCTCATCGAAGCAAGATCCGCCCTACTTCTTCCGCTATCGCCATTGGCTGATGACGGTAAGCATTTACATAACGTCCTCTCAGCCGTCAGGGGTCCAAGGCTCCAGCTCAGTCGACTCAGACTGCAAGACACCCAATGGAGTAGCCTTTCGGGTCAAGGCCCGTCCATGCTCTCCCACGTTCCAGCCTGGAAATCATCTTTCTGGGCCAGTACGCTTGGGAGCCTCAAGCACCTCGATCTCTCATTCCGAGGCAAGGTCAGCAGACATACGATCGACAGCGTGAAGCCTCTGCGTCGACTCTTGAAAGGCTGTCCGAAATTGGAGTCGCTGCAACTATCGTTCAATGAAGCTGTTCAGCGGCGCTACGCTCACGAGCATAGAATGATTTCCTGTCTCGGACCTCTTCTTGCTCAAGGCCATCCCAAGCGTGCTCTGGTGCCTCACCTGAGCAGTCTTGTCCTCAAGAACTCCATTAGTTCACAGCAAGATCTTATACAATTTCTGTCAATCCACGCATCGACTCTACGAAAGCTCAGCCTGTCCAATATCTCCTTGCTACGGCATGAGGACCAGGACCGGAAACCTTGCTGGGTAGCCACCATGAAAGATATCAAGGCCTCACTCTCTCTAACGCAGGTGACATTTTCGGGTTGGTTCACCAATGGAGGCCGACAGAAGTGGTACGTATCGAACAATGCAGCTAGCAATCACCGCATCCGACCGGCAGTACAGCGGTACATGACCAACAGAAACGAGACTCATTTTCCTCTTGAACGAGTTGCAGTACAACCTGGCCATGAAGACGTTGAGAAACCCCCACCAGGGGCGGAAGAGTTCAGAGGCGACTGGACGTGGACTATGACCTACTCACCTCACAAACCACGACATGTGCACGAACAGACATACTCTGGCAACGAGTTCTTCAGCAAAGACGTGTCGCTGGACAGGAGAGATGACGAGCCACTTTCTAGTAGGTCTGTACGAAGGACTTACGCGCTACTGGCGGATACGCAACCAGATGTTTCGACCTTACCTCCCACTGATGGTAGCTGGCACAGCTACTACCAGCAGCCTCCTTCGAAGAAAGTGAAGTCAGTACACTCTCCTACAAGCCTCCAAAGCCCTTCTAGTCTCTGGTCTAGTTCTCCTGAGGCCTGGGACTCATCTACGAGCTCTGTATTCGATTCATTGGCCACGACGGCCAGCAAGACTGTAAGCTCGTCGACGTCGAAGGTATCTGGTACATACCACAATTCAGTCCATACCTCTGTGTATCCGCCTCACGGCTCGATGCCCGGCACGAACTCATGTGTTTGGGGTTGGCCGAAGACTACAGTGACCGATGGTGATGCATGGCTCTCCTTTGGGACAGTGAATTCGTTCCACGAAGAACCAGCGAGCAGCAACAAGCCCCTCAAAAAGCAGATCAAGCCGGACTTTGCGACTTCGTCAAACTCGAAATTAACATCTACTCCTGGATGGAATCTCCCCACGTCTGACTTGCTGTCGATGGACTTAGCGAATGGCCTACCTTCTGGTCCCAGTGGCTGGCTATTGGGTCCCAAGGATGTTCCCGTGTACGATGCTTTCGACTTCGGCTTTTCGACGCAGATGGCCAGCTACAAGGCTCCCGCCATTCCGGAATGCATGCCAGATCCTACTGATCAGGGAAGTCTTGTGCCATCTAGTTACAATAACGACATGTCCCCGACGCTGCCTAAAATTGATTTCTCTGGGAGTTTTGTCTCAGGAGAGAACCTGGACCACGGTGGCACTGGAATTTCCAGCAGCGGCAACGGCGGCTGGGGCCCTCCAAGCGCCTTCAAGTTGAAATCTTGTGCAGAATTGCAAGCCGAAGCCGATGCGATGGATATCGGAAAGGGTAAAGGTAAGGCTGTGATCTGAGCGCAGCTGGCGCAATCGAAGTGGACGATGAGTTTAAAGAAGTCTCGGACCATTCTCGGAGGCGTGGACGAGGAATGGCCAAACATCGTGAGGACACATTCTCAGAGGAGGTTGATGGTCACGGTTGGCAATAATCAGATGTATCATAATACGACGGGGTGATCTTGCAGGATATGTCGGCCTCCACACCTATTACAGTATGAGTAAAGTGAGAAGCTCCTCGCGGAGCAATGGTTGCACGAGAAAGTGACAGCGATGGCGCTCTTGGGTATGTATTTCAGCTTGTCACGGGTCTCTGGGGGACGAAGCATGAGTGATACTGGCATTACTCGCGCACGACACACAATAGTGGAATACAGACAAGTGCAGCTATTGGCGTATAGTCGATGATGAGGAACCAGACAAGTGACTGATTTAGCTCTGATATTGGACTCCTCCTTTATCGAGTCTGGGTTTTGGTGCTTGTTGCTCTACTCAGCTGCCGCCCTACTCCAGCACCATGGTTTTTTCGTTCTAATACATATATACACTCCTCCCGTGAAGTGCCCCAGTCTCACAGCTCTCCATCAGTCCGCATCACCTGCTCCGCTGTGTACGGCTCCTGCAGCAGATTCGTCCGGGTCTTAACATTCTCGCACGTCATCCTCCGACCGCCCTCGCGCTCCTGCGGGCCAGGACGCGGCACCTTGCTCGCATCGTACCCATTCTCGGTGACGCTGGCGCGCAGCGCCCTGAGCAGCTGCACAGCCGTCTCGGGCGTCAGGTCCTCGTAGTAGTCGTCATTGATCTGCATCATGGGTGCATTGACGCAGGCGCCCAGGCACTCGACCTCCAGCAAGCTGAAGACCTTGTCGTCCGTCATGTGTCCGCTGTGGATGCCCAGCTCTTGCTCGATGGCCTTCATGATGGAATCGGAGCCACAGCCGCCTAGCATGCAGGGGGTGGTGGTGCAGACCTGCACGAAGAAGGTGCCCACGGGCTCGCGGTTGTACATGGTGTAAAAGGTGGCGACCTCGTAGACGCGCATCGGTGGCATCTCGAGGATCCGCGCTACCTCGTTCATCACACTGATCGAGGTGAAGCCGTGCTGGCGCTGCCCCAGGTCGAGGAGCGGCATCACGGCTGCTTTCTTGTACTGTGGGGGGTAGCGTTTGAGGATTTCGTCGATGAGTTTTAGGTTCATGTCGTTGAATTTGAATGGGATTGAGGGGTTGTTGTAGGGAGTATTGCGGTGCTAGATTGCTCGTTAGTTTCTGCTAGTCTTCTTATACCTGATGGACAGGGACCAAGGGTGAGAGGGCTGTCGTGGACATACGACCGAGAGAGTCTCGCTGCGGGTTGAGGGAGTGCTCGAGAAGGGGCGCAGATGTTGGGGCCGCAGGCTGCGTCGCGGAGCTGCCGATGATGCTCGCGATGCTGCGCGCAGCAGCGACGGTGCGAGTTTGGACGCCATGCTGGCTGTCCGGAGCTTCGTGGGTGCGAGACAGAGGTCAAGAGTGAAGTTGTGTGGTTAACATCCAATGAGCGGATTGGAGATGTCATGAATCTTTGATGTTTCTGTAGGCCGCCGTATAGTCCTCCTGCATCTGTCCCCATTATGGGCCGCCGTATACCACATCGTCACTTGGAAAGCACGTTGCACAAGCAGTGATGTACTTATGCTGACAGCACAAATACGATAGTGCCACTGTGCTCGAAGGTCAGAGCCTCTGCCACGAACCAAGTAACGATGTCTTACGTTATTCGACTAGAACGCTGCCTTCACACAGCCATCGGACCCTGAATGCATATATATTCAACGTTGAGAAATATGCTAGCTGAACAGATAATGGCGCTTAACGCAGGTGGATTTAAGATATCTATGATTCCTGAAAACAAGAGCCCTTCCCGTGAGTCGAGGTAAGCACTTCTAGTCTGCGTCCAATTTTGCCGCGGGTGCCTGGTCATCTACTTGAATGCCACCCCGCTTCCTCTCTTTACTGTCGGGAAAAGGAAGCCGCCAGCCACCCTCATCCTCACTTGTTGCTAGCCACAATCTCATTAGGTGTCTCCTCGGCTTCCCTGTATATGGAGCATGGTCGGTATAGGCTGTTCTGGCATGGAAAACGTGGGAATTGGCCACGAATTGAATGTCTCCCACCTCCAATACCATGTGTAGAGCCACTCTCTGGCATGTCACCTCCAGCACGTCGATAGCCTCTAGCTGGGCAGCTGAAAGTGGGGGAATGACACCTTTGTCAGAGTATCTCGTGAGTGATCGCACGTAGTACGGATCCCATTTGCTGTACACTCTTTGCTCTTTTCCGTCGGCAGCAGTCTCGAGATAGTACACCGGAGCACGTATCCACTCGGCTTGACCTTTGCTGACCTCACCCTTGCGATCAAAATACCAAATCGGTTGCGCCAACAACTCGGCCACGTCTGGTCGTTCCTGTTGTAGGACATTCCACACACGATGGCTGGACGAGATATCACTCTCACCTCCCTCCATTGCTCGTGCCAAGCACAGCAAACCGACGATATCACATTCGTCAGCGTGGAAGAACTGCCTTGCCGTCGTACGGTAGATACGGGTTTCTTCGGCGCCAGCGTCATCTCCTAAATCTTTGACATGTCCAAGAATATGCCCCTTGCCGTTCTGCGACACTGGGAGACCTAGGTGACTGCCTAGGCCGAAGTATGCGACGCCAGATTTGTGAACCCCCCAATCATTGACGGGGAAGCCTTTGTAAAGCAGGAAGCCCTTGCCGTTCAGTAGCTCATTCCTCATGCTTGCAAGAGCCTCTTTGAAGGGCTGAGTGAGGCGAAAGTTGGCTGGGGAGATGGCGGTCAGCGGCAGATCTTGAGCCATGAAATCGTCAGCTGCAGCAGAGAGCGAGGCGAGTTCCTCAGACGATAAAGGATGTTGCCATAATGAGGGGTTTCCAGCATAGTCAGGCGCTTCCCAGTATGTCGGCGCGGTGGTCGGGATTGCTTTGGGAAATGCGCTATAGGGGGCTATTTGGTCGTAGATAGGGTCATGCTGGCCAGATGTCTTGATACCATCCGGGAAGATGGAGAGGTCGACGTGCTTGGAGTTCACTTTACCACCAGGAGGACTGGGAGTAGCTTGCTGATCGGGTTCTACCACTGCCGGAGCCATGGCTTATGAATGCGTGATCTTGGTGTTGGCGGGTATAATCGCGATGAAACGAGTATAGCCGACTGGAGAGCATAAGCTGAAGAAGCACTTATCTTTGGCGTAAAGACCTCCTGTACTGGGAGGGAGCACAGTACTTTCCTAACGCTGTCAGCTCAAAGGGGATCTCCGCGCAACATTCATCCTGGCATATTTCCACCATAGATATTGCGTGATTCCCCGCATGGCTGACTGGGGGAGATAATCCACTCCAGAATCCACTGGCATGCTGCCGGCAGCGGCGCAGTTCCGCCCATGAAGAACTGGCCTTCACAGGGAACGGATGCTGCGATCTGCAAGCAGCCAAACATAAGCAAGATCACTCTCTGAACAGCTAACCAGAAAAGACCGGATTTACTGTGATACCTACGCTCCTGGTGAAGGGGTGGTCGGCAAATGGTGGAATTGCCCTTTGCTTAATGACATTTGATATCAAAAGACGCCGTGCTTGGCATCAACATCGCGTTGTCGCGTTCCTCACATGTCTAACTACACCAACGATTTCGGAGTGCGCCTGATATCGAATACTTTTACTGACACTGACAGCCGTTGAACAGCATTACACAGTCAGAGGAGCTATGCTAGGGGTCGTCGCGACAGATGCGCTTTCAGGATGGCCAAGGTAGTGGCACCGCCTGTGGCTCGCAACATCAGCATCTTCAACTCGGTCTTCACCTCAAAGTCTGTTCGCGCACCTACAAACCGTAGCACTAGGAGGACTTACCCCGTTGTTGACGTTGCGGAAATCGTCTCCCAGCTCACCGAGACCGTTAAACCACTCCTTGGCATCAACACCGAAGCCTGGACATGGGGCAGAAACGTCGCCACAGAAGACGGTGAGCCATTCCGTTTCCCGCCATCAAAATGCACGAGCATGTCGAGAGTAAGGCAGCCACAGCCCGAAGATTACATGTGGTATTATGACATGCTCGACGGTTCCGATTTAAGAAATGGGCTGGCTCAATCGAAAGTCCAACTTGGGGCTTTCCAGCTTCAAAAATTACTCGCTGATGTCCTCAATCGTCTTGTCAAAGAATATGTTCGCTGGGCCTACAGAGGATTGTACAGAGCCGACGTGGTCGACCATCTCGAATTCTGGAGCAAATACATCCTCGGCCAGTTTTTGAGATACACCGTGGTTATACTCACTAATACTGATCTCTCATCTCCGCTGCCTGATATGTACAAAGACGAGCAGAACAGATGGCATGCCACTGCCCTCACTTACTTGGGCGCATTGAGGACGGAAGAGCTCTTCGCCGCCATCGCCACCGAGAAACCCAACAACACCGTGGTCCACAACATCATCGGAGATCTGAGGCACTTCGTTGTGAATCCAGCGACCAGAACATACTTGACCAACAACTTTATAGCGGTGCTCTCAGACCGAACTCTGCAATCTGGATCATCAACCATAGACATCCTGCATCTGTACATCGCCATCATTAGAGCTTTCCGACAGTTGGACCCCAAGGGCGTTCTCCTCGATCGTGTCGCAAAACATGTGCGAAGATATCTTCGCGAGCGAGACGATACAGTTAAGGTCATTGTCAGTGGTCTACTGAGTGAGCCTGGCAAGGAAAGCGATGTGGATGGAGAGGCTCTTGTTGAGGTTGCTGAAGAGCTGCATCGCGCGCAAGATATGGACGAAAGCGGCGACGGAGAGCTCGACTGGGACAACATGAAGTGGCTTCCGGACCCAATTGATGCTGCTCCAGACTACATGAAGTCAACTACCACAGATGTAATCGGCAGCCTAACTTCACTTTTCGAGTCGAAAGAGATATTCGTCAAAGAGCTGCAGGCGCTACTTGGCGACCGCCTCCTACAAAGCACCGGAAATTACGAGCACGAAGTCAGCGTTCTGAACCATCTCAAGGCTCGCTTCGGCGACAGTGCCCTTCAGGCTTGTGAAGTCATGCTTCGAGATGTGCTTGAATCTAGCAAAGTCGATGCTGCGATCCACCACGATCTGGCCGGCGGAGCAGCGAACAATCCGATGCCTCAACTGCACGCCAAAGTTCTGTCTCGCCTTTTTTGGCCACCTATGAGTGATCAAGCTTTCACTCTGCCGTCTGAAGTTCTACGGGCACAGAGCGTATATGAGAAAGGCTTCGAGCAGTTGAAGCAGTCACGGCAGATCACCTGGGTTCCATCTCTTGGTCGGGTTGACATTGAACTCCAGCTGGAAGATCGAACGGTCCGTGAAAGTGTCTTGCCCTACCAGGCCACAGTCATCTATGCGTTTCAGGATAGACTAGAATCCGCGGGCACTAAGACAGTGTCCGAGATTGCCACTGAGCAGTCCTTGTCGGCAGTTCTGGTGCGGTCGGCCTGTATTTTCTGGGTGTCGAAGAGAGTTCTCGTCGAGGCGGGCAATGACGCCTTCACCGTGCTTGAGACGCTTCCAGATGGAGGCGATGTTGTCATGGCAGACGCGAGTGGCAAGCAGGACGCTTCTGCAGCCGCAGCGGAGGCCGCAGCGGCTCAAGCAGCAAGAGAGGCCGAGGAAGAAGAGCGACGGCAGAAGATGGCCATGTATCACCAGTTCGTGGTCAGTATGCTTACTAACCAAGGCGCTATGCCCCTGCCACGGATAGCCATGATGCTCAACATTGTGGTGCCTGGAGGCTTTCCATTCAGCAATGAGGAGCTGAAGGATTTCTTGGGTAGCATGGTCAAGGATGGACAGCTGGAGGTTGGTCCGGGAGGAAATTACAAGGCTATCGGATAAGCAAGACCGCGACAACGACTTACGAGGGTATGTCCGCTTCTGTAACAAATGAATAGAGGCTTTGCTTCCCAGAATGTATTGCGAGATGTGTTCGCCCCTGATGCTTACTACTTGATCGAAGTACATCTGTACTTAAAATGCGGAGCCCGGAACGATGATTTCTCCGGATATTTGACGTCGATCCAAAGTCGCGGCCCCTAGTCGCGCATGTGCCCGCGCCCGCGAAGACACTTGATATTGTTTCCCGGTTGATGGCTTTTGTGTCTTGCCCCAATCGTCAGCACCCATAGCCTGGCTGGGCAATGTGAACACGATCATCGAGCTGGCGGCGTTGTTTAGCCTCAAGCCATGGCAGTCCCATCCGGCAAACTGTTCGACCAGGACGATTCGAGCCCGATTATGCCGGACGAGGACGATGCGGGAGACCTCTCTTCTTTGTATGTTGTGCTTTCCTCTCATAGCGCGGCAGCGTTGCTTACCGCCAGTTAGATCTAATCAACACAAGCAATCTCGAGTTCTCGATGATCGACTCTTGTCTGACCGTCCGGCGGCCTCAAATCCCCGCTCTAACTACGCCCCTTATGCCGCCTCACCACGCCCTCCCGTCACCACAGGTGCGGAAACGCAAGCAGAAACATCAGGCCCCACTAGCCGTGTAGATACTAGCAAGGAGGCTGTGGATTGGTATGTTGAAGGGGCTGGAGTTCGAAGAGTCGGCTACGATGATCTGAGTGCGATTGACTGGATTTTCGAATACGCAAAAGAGCGACAGAGGGTCAAACGACTACTAGCAGGAGCCCACGGTATCACGCGGAGTCTGAAGCAACTGGCAGATGACAGTCATGTTTGGGTCGTGCTCGTTCTGACCGGCATCTCGGTTGGCATCGTTGCTGCTGCCATTAGCATCGCGTCAGACTGGCTAGGAGATATCAAGCAAGGCTATTGCAAGACCGGTGCCGATGGTGGACAATTCTATCTCAGCCGTCAGTTCTGCTGTTGGGGCCACGACGACTCGACGCAATGCGCGGACTGGACGCCTTGGCGAGAGGCCCTAGGGATATCCAATGGCGGTCTCGGTTATACCGTTGAGTTCGTTCTCTTCGTCTGCTTTGCGGTCATCTTCGCTCTTTGCGCAGCGCTTTTGGTAAAAGAATATTCGACGTACGCTAAGTCGAGCGGCATTCCGGAAATCAAGACCGTGCTGGGAGGCTTTGTCATTCGACGGTTTCTAGGGGGATGGACCCTGGTCACGAAGTCTCTCGGCCTTTGCCTTGCAGTTTCATCCGGCCTCTGGGTTGGTAAAGAAGGGCCACTTGTTCATGTGGCTTGTTGCTGCGCTAACATGATCATGAAGCCTTTCTCAAGCTTGAGTCAGAATGAAGCTCGCAAAAGAGAGGTGCTGTCGGCTGCATCTGCTGCGGGAATCTCAGTTGCTTTCGGCGCTCCCATCGGAGGAGTCCTTTTCTCCTTGGAGCAGCTGTCATACTACTTCCCGGATAAGACCATGTGGCAGTCATTCGTCTGCGCCATGGTTGCGGCCGTTACGCTTCAGGCTCTAAACCCCTTCCACACTGGCAAGATTGTTCTGTTCCAGGTAACGCACTCTAGTGACTGGCACAGTTTCGAGATGTTGCCCTTCCTAACGCTCGGGATTCTTGGAGGAATCTTTGGAGGCCTGTTCATCCACCTCAACATGCTGGTCACACGCTTCCGACGATCCGAGCTTAACCCCCTACGGAATCAACAGCTTCTCGAAGTTCTGGTGATATCGGGGCTGACTGCCGTTATCAACTTTCCAAACATTTTTATGCGAGCGCAACTTTCTGAGCTGCTATCCACACTCTTCGCCGATTGTGCCACCACAGGCAATACAGACATCTTCGGCCTTTGCAAAGCCACGGCTGCAGGCTCTATATCTATGACATCGCTGCTGGTCACAGCGTCAGGACTTGGATCTCTCCTCGCGCTGATCACTTTCGGGCTGCCCATTCCTGCTGGTGTCATTCTGCCATCACTTGCCATTGGTGCACTCGCCGGAAGAGCAGTGGGAGTTGCAATGGAGATGCTCCAGAGGCGGTTCACTGGATCGATCTTCTTTGCTGCCTGTGAACCTGACGTTCCATGCGTCATACCAGGGACGTATGCTATCGTGGGTGCGGCTGCATCACTAGCAGGCGTGACGAGACTGACAGTTTCGATTGTTGCCATTATGTTCGAGCTTACGGGGGCATTGTCATACGTCCTGCCGATCATGATTGCCGTCATGCTGGCGAAGTGGATAGGAGACGCCATTTCAAAGAGGGGCATCTATGAGACCTGGATCTATCTCAACCAATACCCATACATCGACAACAAAGACAATACGCAGCTGCCCCATGTGCCAGTCTCTAACGTGATGACTGAAGTGGCAGATATGACGTGCCTCAATGCGTCTATATCATATACCATCGGGGAACTTCGCGGCATCCTGAAGAAGGCCAAATACCGGGGATATCCCGTGATCACGTCAAGCGTAGGAGACGAAGAAGCGTCTGAGTCGACACACTTTCGAAGTCAGCGGCTGACCAAAAAGACGCTGCTAGGGTACATCTCGCGGACCGAGCTGGCGTTTGCCCTGAATCACGCGGTTGTAACCAAAAGGCCAGGCAGCACGGGGGAGCATGAGCGAGACGATATCAAATGCTACTTCAGATTCAGTCCCGAGATCACGACAGGCGAGGCGCTCGACCTGCGGCCATGGATGGATCAAACTCCCATAACACTGAACGCAAACAGCTCATTCCAACTCGCCGTAAGCATGTTCCAGTCACTGGGTCTCCGAAATCTCCTCCTGGTGGAAAAAGGGGCATTCCAAGGCATCCTCACCAAGAAAGACGTGTGGTGGATCCTGAACGCGACAGAGGACGCCCACAAGTCCCAATCGTTTGTTGCCGGCACCGGAGTCCTCCGAGAAGAGCCTGTGGAACAAGGCGCGGCCGTCGATGACGCACAAGACGCAGAAGCGCAAGGCCTACTGCATGCTGAGCAGGACGCCACTAGGAGAGCCGCCGACTGATGCCAATAATGCAAACCATGACTTCAAAGAAGATCTCCTAATGAAGCGTACCTACATTTAGCACTACCCACAACTCGTACCATTATCCCAGGTGGGTGGGTGAGCACCCTAATGGACCACACCACATGGCACTTCTCCGCCCCTACCTACGTACTGTACACATGGGACAATAAACCCTCCCGGGCTTTCCACCGGGAGGGCGGGCTGTCGTGCGATCTGCACTTGCATTCCCCATAGCTCGTTACTTTGGCACAACCTCACCTGGGTCATGACAGGCTGCGAGTCCACGCCTCTCCAACTCGCCCTTGTTTTTCGCAATCTTACTTTGCAATGTTTCAGCACGCCGCAGTGCAGAAACCGTCGTCAGTCCTGGACTGGGTGGGCCGGCAGGCGCAATCGTCAAAGAGGATCAAGAGTTGGGACTGGGCATTGACGTGAAAGAAGATGCCAATGACGCCAATGATGGCAGTGGCACCTACTGCCCGTATTCGCTTAGTGCACCAAAAGTCTATGGCACAGTACAGCGGAGCAACTTTCGTACATTGCTTTCTTCTCGCTGGAGTCCGCTGAGAACCGGGCGGAGAAGCGCAAGACACCAGAAGACGATTGTTGATCTGTTGATCCAATGAGCACGTCGCAAACCGCATGTGCGAAGCATTCTGCCAACCCGACCGGCGGAATGAGTAGGCGGACGGACTAGTGAGAGAGAGTTTTGGAGTTTTGGAGCCTTCTTCTGGAAGAAGGAAGACACGAAGAAGCAAAGCCACGCGGGAAAGTGCGCAATGAACCTTCAAGCCCGTGATCTCACATCTAATCTTTCGCCAGTCAATAATGGTGATTATCCAGTAACAATTGTTCAATCTGCCTACCCACCCTTTCCTTTGTCCTTGCAAAAGGCAAAAAAACGCCCCTGCCGATCATTTACATACAGTATGTTGTCCTTTTCCTCCCCTGGGATTCGGGGGCCGGTCCCGAGTCACGTTCGCTGACCGCCCCCCCCCGAAAACTTTATGTGTACCATGCCTCCGGCATCCGAGGATCGGCTGGCTGGCAGGCATTGATTTTGGCTTTCGATTTCTCGCAAGCTTGTTGACCTCGTGTTAGGCACGGGGAGGTTCCTGATGATCTTTTCCTTTCGTTTGCGGGACGAGAGTGTGCTCGGGTCCCTACCAGTAGGGATGACAACGATAGCCGTGCTGCCAGGGCCAGATGAAGTCAACGCGGCACGCACGTGGCGGTGGCGGCTTTCCTTCGGTAGGTTGTAAACGCAAAGAAGCATCACGAGGGATTGGCAAGTGGGCATGGCGGCGCCGATATCGAAAGTCGAGATTACGAGAAGTACATCAAGCGTCTTGTGCTGGTCTTTACCTTTCAAGCGTGCTTCCGCACGTCCCGTACGAAAGGTCGGCAACTGTGCGTTAGTGATGGGCCTGAGGGACGTCGCTCCCGCGGCGTGAGGAAGCCGTGGTACTTCGTAATTCTTGGAGCGGGCAACCTAAGGCAGTCCGCGGTTGCTAGCCCTCAGCGCTCCGGCCACTAGCTTCTTCGATAGGCGAGGGCGGATCTTGTCTGTTCAGCTTCCCACATCATTCTGGATTGCAATTCGTGCGAACTATCCATGCCGATCCGGCCACAGAGCAATAAATGATGTTGCCAGTGGCTGAGGTGGAGGTGTCCATGGCTCGTGTTGTGCTAACCAGGAAGCAACAGCGGCCGAGAAACACTTGGTTCGGACAGCTCTTATGAGACGAAGCCTCGCCAGTGGCGATACGGAGCATGCAACCTTCTGTTTCAGACTTTTGGGGTGGGATGGAACGCCAGGGCCGCCCGAGCCGATCCCTGACAAGTTGGCTCGGTCATGGTCAGTTTTCTGGTTAGAAGGCGCGGCGCGCACTTGGATGCCTTCAAGTGGCTTCCGGTTGTGACAGTCAATAGCGGTACACCTTGCACTTCTGTCCCTGCCGTGACACATTGATGTCGATCGACCTTGCGCCTCAGGCCAGGGTGAGGATGCAGTAGTAGCCTTTCGAAAACTCTTAGCTCGAGTGATAGGCGGTGTTCATGCGGTTGTATGTGATGGTTCGACTGGGGGTGACCCACGGGATCAGCGCCTGGAGGCGTTCCCAGATTCACCAAAAGCTTCCTTGTAGCTGCACGATGAGTTGACGGTCTCGCAAGATAGTCATGATGCCCATGGCAAACAACGACGCAGTCCTGCTTGGTGGCTGGCTGGGTGTACCGGATTGTCGCCAATTGTCATCTTCCATTACCCAGCTTCTTACAACCCAGCTGCGGAGTGGTGCTCGCACCTGAGGGTGGCGAGTGGCAGACATGATGCCTGCAATGGACGATCACTTAAGCGAGACAGTGCCTGTTTTGACCTCATTGATGTCCGGACGGTAAGCATTGCATGTGGACGGCCGAGGCAAGACTTCGCTGGACTTTGGTTTCGACGACAGGATTGGAAATTATTTTCCATGGAGGGAGGAGTCCTTTTAGAAGAGGGGCCCATAGAATACGTTGCACTCATAGACCCACGTTGTGAGGTTCCTGTGTTCAGGTAGAGTCCGTCGGGCCACGAACCTGCTGATTTGCGAGACAGGGCCACAACGTCGGGTGGGCAGGGATGCGTTTGACACATCCGCCTAACGCGCCTGCAGCAACGACTCTAGAAATGCCAGCTGCCTGAGTGCAGGGTCGCTGGAAGCTGCAACTGACCATATTGACTACTGTTGCAGGTGTTGCTTCTCAAGCCGGCGAGGTCCGGTGGCAGATAGATGCCCACTTGTACTACAAGAAGAAACGCGTTTTTACTCAATGCCGAGATCTTCATCGACCTACAGACGTTCGCAGCTTACAGTACATCGTGGGTCGTGAAGAACTCGACCCCACGAGTGGGTGACGCGAGATTCGATGTCGCAGAAACCGACACATCGGTAGTTCTCGCTCGCGGGTCCTGCCCTCCACTGCAACCTTTTGTGTAGGCGCATGCACCATCCTTGTCTGCACCTATGCACTGTGTCGATCGTTCTGTCAAAGACGAAGCAGCGGACAGGGCATCAAACATTGTGGCAGGCAGGATTGTGTTTGCCTGCATCATTCTCTAGGACGTCACAGGTAGATTCTGACACAGTGATTGTTACCGGTATTACACATATCGCAAGCGCACGACCTGTTGCTGCGGGGATTTTGTGTTTCATGACTTCGATCCGAAGGCACTTCCCCCGGGGCTGGAGGCCGGCAGATATCCCTGTCTACCGTCGAATGGGGACCAAGCCAAACGAGGCGGCGTGAAACACACCATGTCCGACTGATTTGGCAGGCACTCTCGCTTGCTCCGTGACCCGGCCTGGCCAGCATCTGCCATTCGCAAGGATGAAGTCCTGGAAAGGAAGCGATGAACTGCGCATCGCGTTTCGAGAGACAGGACCTTGCTGAAGATAGCCTATGACGCTCGCTTGAGAGAATCGATCGGCTATGGCAGCCAGCATGGACTACCGGTCGATTTTGAATCGAGACAGCAGCTTGCCACTACTGCTGTCACAAACTGCCAGTATCGTTGAGCTGTGACCATTTGCTGTCTACACGTCAGGTTGGCCACGGTGGCGTTGGCCCATTGACTAGAGTTCCTCTGCGCGGACAAGGGTGCTCCCTGCTCAGCAGCTGCACTCAAGCAGAATTGGCCCCAGCATGCCAGACCGGCGTGATACCCTTCTCTATAGTAAAGATGTCCTAACACTGCCGACCGTTGCACAATGAGCTAAATCATTGTAGCTGCATGGAAGAGAGATGAACGATGCTGCGCACCAATAATCGCACGGCGGTGCCTGGCTGTGGCCGATACATCTCGATGTCGCCTGGCTCGCCATGTGGTGCACGAGCAGAATCCTGCCGAATGGCTTCCTGGTCTTGCGATAACCGGACCACTGGTGTCTTCATGGGAGTGCCCTCAATATCACTGGCTCTCTTAGTATGGCCATGTCTGCGGGCTGCAGCTAAAGCAACTGGCAGCCCCAGTGGCGCCGTGGCTGACACCCTGCAGCAGTAGCCCAAGAGGGGCGTGCAGCAGCTTCCTCGTGCCGTACCTGACATGAGTCGGACGGCTAGTCATGAGCCAGCCTCGCAGGCAGCTGTCCGTGAAATCGTGATCTACAAACACACACAATAGACCTCGGAGGAGAGGCACAGCCTACGCATACAGCGGCTAATCGTTGTATCTTAGCGGATTTCGCATCGGTGTCGGTGGTGTTGAGGTGCTGAAGCAACGCCCCGAGACTCCAGAGGCTGGCATGGAATACGGCATAAGGGTAGTTTCAGTGCTAGGCGACAACCAGATCGCCTCGCCTGCACGCGGCCTCGGCCATCCGCTCTGAAAGCCAGTGCAGCGCCAGTCTCAAATGCTTCCGAGGAGCAAAGTGGAGGCGCAGATGGCGTGAGGCAACAGGGGACAGACAGATGGGTCGGCACTCGAGCACCACGAGACAGCCAGACACAAGCCGACGGATGGTAGGCTAGGCCTGGGCGCTCCGCAGTTCTGGCGTGCAGCCGGAAGTTGACTGAGCTTCCCGTAGCGTAAGAACCTTGCCCTGGCTCCGCAGGCCGTCACCCCTTTTTTCGTGCCAATCGTACGGGTAGGGTTACTGCTTGCTCGTGCCAGCAAGGATTGATGCCAAAGCCTAACGTTCCCCCCTACTTGTTAAAGTGTCGGAATTTTGGGCCCCCGTCCAGGCGGCGTGCACGAATCCTGGGGCGGAGGATTGTGCGGGAAGCCGGCCACTCAAAGGACAGGCTCTTCCCGTGGCGGCTCTGTGCACATTGTGCCTACGGGTCCATGCAGATGCACAATGATATGGGCGAGGGAAACTCCGTCTGGATTGACGGTGTTGTTGCTCGTAGCGATGTCTCGCCGTCGGCATAGCGAGTCATAGCCTGCAGCACTACTACTCTTCGACAGGAAGTACGGCTGTCGATGGTCCCAAGAGCTACGCCATGCTGGACTCAAGGCGCGAATGTGGGTCACGTCATGCTCAAGAGGCACCTCGTGGACCTGTGGCGTCCTGTCCTGCAAGTTGGGCTTAGCAGCTCAGCAAGACCCCGTTATCGTGCAGCAGCATCCGCGCCGCCTGTTGAACGATCAGCGACCTAAAAAGATGGCTCACACGCTGCCAAAGCTCAGTTCCCCACCTTGTGCATCTCCAGAAAGGCAGCTAAGCTAGGTCGGACTGATACTTTGGTGGGAGAGCCCACTCCAATTTCTTCCGCTTGCAAGCTGTGTCTATCGCCTGCTCTTAAATGACTGTAACGCTGGTGCCCTGCTCCCGAGCCCACTCCGACGCCAATTGATGCTTCAAAGGTTTCTGTATCCACGTGGCTCTCGAGAGAGGTGGATGATCTCCTCTTTCTTCTGCGACCTGATTGAGATTGCTTCTCGCTATTGCCCGACCGTTGCTCCAACCGGAAGTTCCCTGCCATATGAACAAGTACAGCCGCTCCAACGCCGAACATTCCCAGCAGACGGAAGAGAATCTTTATGAACTGGGTCTCTTGACTCGTCCCAGGGACAGATCCCGCGCCACCGGCATCCACCAACCTTCCGGGGTCGAACTGCGTAAGACCTTGCTTTGTTCTGTTTCACTTAACATGACCCTGGTTCCCGAGCCCTGTTTCAACTTCCCAAAGACCTTGACTGACCCTTATTCCTTCACTGTAATAGAAGACGCTGCTGGGAGACGTCGCGGCGGAGCCTCCTCATCGGCCCAGAAGACACACCACAGCTCCAAGCAAGCCAGCATCTCGTCGTCAGGATCTACACGCTCAGACACCGGCCGCAAACAGCAGAAGCACGTTCGATACCAGACCACTCGAGAACAGCGCATCCCTCCTTCGCCGACGGCACACGTGCCGGGAGCTGGACATCCTATGACGGCCTTGATGGACACCGACCGATCGCGGTCCAGGCGCGAGAGGACGTTTGTAGGTGGAGAATGCGCCGCCTGCGAAGAGCCGCTCGAACATACCCTCCGAGGAGAGAGGGTGCTGCAGTTCTCGTGCGGCCATGTTGCCCACGAAGCATGCTTCTACGAGTATATCAAGGAGACTGATGCTCAATCCCAATATTGCCCAACATGCGACGCCCCCCTTGGACTCGACACGTTCCGAGGCGGGAGCATCCTTGACTTGAGTAAGTTCAAGGAAACCCAGATTCCTTCTGAGCAACGCTAACGACCACAAGGCAAGCTGAGTAACATTGTAAGGTCAGTCGCACAAAAGGAAATGAGAGATGATCGATCCTCGAGTCATACACCGATGCCATGGGAACGTCAGGCGCCCCCTCCGCAGCCAGAAGACCAGAACAGTGTTCACACATATAGCCGAGACATGTACAGCCGCAATAGCAGGGAGAACCCGAATCGAGACAGCCGAGACAGCCAGCGCATGCGCATCGAGCGGTTAGGTATTGGCAACCAGCCCACCATTCATTCTAGAACCAACAGCGGTCAAGCCTCCTCGGACCTGGGCCACGAGTCGAATGGCCACTCTCGCAAGCACGACTACGATCTACACGCTATGGAGACAAGTGTACCTGGAGCCTTGTCCAAGGACACCAAGGGCAGCATCCCCTATCCCAGCGTAACGGTACGCAGCGAGTTCCCGACCATGAATCGATCGCGTCAGCAGCAAAGCCTTGCGTGTTTAGTCACAATTGAGGTCCCGGAAAGCAGATGGCAGTACGATGATATGCAAAACGCGCCCCCTGTGCCCCCTCTTCCGTCCGATCCCGGTGCCGGGCGTGGATATTCCCATCCCGCGCCGCCACCATCAGAAGTCCACAAACACTTCGAGCCGTACGAGTCACCGGAGGAACTGGATGACATTACCGAGGAGCTGCGCATGCGGGTCGATAACTGGCACGGACTCGAATTTCAACGCTTCGGCAGCCTCCGACTTCACGGTGTCATACGCGTAGGCAAGGACCGACAGTCATGGCAGGAGCTGGAGTGCTATCTCTTCGGCGAGATGCTTATCTGTGTCAAGGAAAAGAAAACAAATCAAGCTCCGATCATCACCGATTCAGGCCGAAAGGTGACACGATGCACCCTGAAGGGATCCATCCTGATCAGGAAACATCTCAAGCAGGTTCAGCCAGCTCCGCACGAGCAGATCTTGACGCTGAATCTGTCGGTCAATGAGTTGCCGACGTTCCACCTAGCTTTCCAGAATATGGACCAATACGACATGTGGCATCGGGCCCTGCTTGGCTTACATGCACCACCACCATCGCTTCGTACTAACGATTACGAGCCCGATACCTCTGGCACGGACGACGATGAGTATTCTCGACACACCAAGGGTGCGCGACGAGCTGCTTCTATCGCATCCTCCTATGGCGGTCCTAAGTCCGCCACCACCGCTCCGACAGAGTATTCTTCCAACAGACCTTCGACAGACCGCCGAGCGCTGGGTATGCCATACTCGCCTCATGTCCCGGTTGATATTGTAGTGGTCATTCCCGTCTCATCGTCTATGCAAGGCTTGAAGATCCAGCTGTTGAAAGATACACTGTCATTTCTCGTCGCAAACCTCGGCGAGAGAGATCGTATGGGCCTAGTCACGTTCGGTTCCAGTGGGGGCGGCGTGCCTCTCGTAGGCATGACCACTAAAACCTGGCCTGGATGGAACAAGGTGCTCAACTCAATCAAGCCCGTCGGCCAAAAGAGCCTCAGGGCCGATGTGGTCGAGGGCGCCAACGTGGCAATGGATTTGCTCATGCAACGGCGAGCGGCGAATCCAATCTCGTCGATCATGCTCATCAGTGACTCTTCGACCTCAGACGTGGACAGCGTTGACTTTGTGGTCCAAAGGGCCGAAGCTGCCAAGTAAGTACAGAAGTCTGTCAGCTTTCGAATCTCGGCTAACATCTCCAGGGTGGGGATCTACTCCTTCGGACTGGGTCTGACACACCGACCGGATAGCATGCTTGAGTTGTCATCCCGCACAAAAGGCGCCTACGTCTACGTCAAGGATTGGATGATGCTCCGCGAATGCGCTGCCGGCGTGCTTGGTGCTGTGCAATCGACATCGCATCAGAACGTGAAGCTCAGGTTGAAGCTGCCAGAGGGATCGCCAGCCAAGTTCGTCAAGATCAACGGTGCACTGCAAACCACGAGGCGTGCTGCGGGTCGCGATGCTGAAGCTTCGTTGGGCGACCTGCACTTTGGCGACAAGCGTGACATCCTGGTGCAACTTGCGATTGAGGCCGACAATACCACTCAGGAGCAGGCCCCACAAGATGCCTGGGAATCTATCGTGTCTGGACTAGAAGCCCTGGGTGGATCGCTGGAAAACGACGACTCCCGTATTCAGAGTGTGGAGGAAGTGCCCATTCTGCAGGCAGATCTTTCATTTGGTGATGTACTTCGGGATGGCACCCTGGTACAGCTCTCTCGACCATCGTTGCTTGCCATCACCATGCTACCGCCTTCGACCAAACAGAGACCCAATAGCCGACCAGCCACGCCACCGATTCCACCTCACCCACATATTGTGCAGAGGCGAATGGAGCTCCTCACTTCAGACATGCTCACCCGCGCTCTGACACTTGTCTCACGAGGGCAGCATGACCGTGCCCACCACTTACTGAACGAGACTCGCACCATCCTGAAGGGGTTGGGCAAAGGCAGTTTGCCACCACTCCCACCAGCTGCGGTGCAAAATGGAAGCAAACGACACAGCCCGAGCGACTTGAAGCAACCAATGATGGATGGGACGCCAGATCGACACCATAGAGACCACAGCCCGCACTCGGAGTCAAGTACCCCCATCGCTCGGCCGTCCGGCATTGACTCGTTAACCATCAATGCGCTGGACGCCGAAATCGAGTCCAGCCTAGAGTGGATTAATCATCCGGCCGTGTTCTCGCGAGATTCACGCAAAGCAGTCCTTCAAGCCATCGGCGTCATTTCGTCACAGCGGGCCTACACTTTCCGGTCTGCAGCCGAGTCTCTCTGGGCAGACCGCGTCGCTGGCATCAAACGATTGACCGAGCAATCTCGCGAATGGCGAGAGCCGGAAGACGATGCGTTGACTGAGGAGTAAGCAGAGCAAGCAGAAGCAGTACCGTCACTTCGATTCACTCGTCCACTTTGAACAATTTCAGCACGTCACGACCACTTCATGTTTATACTACCACCACAGAGCACTGAGACTCATGTATCCCATTTGTGAATGTTACCAGGATGTCATTGTCGATATGATACAACAATCGGCCGGTTTGGATCAGATAAGGAGGACCGGAGATATCAGCTCTGATCAGGGGCAAATGTTGGCCCCACACCCAGAAGGGACTTGAGAAGAGATGGAACTCAAAACGACACCTGGGACAGAGGACAGGGCGAGATATGGTCTCCGAATGCGGTTTGGGTATATCAGCGCCCTTTGATCTTGTGCAATTGATGCGTTCCAGCGCTGTGGATTGGCGCGCGTTGAGCACATGCGCTGGCATGTGTATATGATTCTCTTCTTGTGACATCGCCCACGAGAGTGATAGTCAGCCTTGATAGTTAGACTCGCGAGAAAGCTCGTCTTTGGACAGCAATATTACAGACTACCTTGGGTCATGATCAGGTTCTTTTCCGTACCAGCTACCACTGCAACCTATCTTCGTCTCTTTGAGGGTTCAAGCTTTGTCATCAGTCGTCCCCACACTGCGTGATGGGCACAAGGTTGGTGAGCCCACTCCAGCCGCGCCAAGCGATGCAAGGCTCCAGATTTTTTTGATGCCAAGCCCAAAGGCAAAGTTCCTTGAGGCAATGACTTGGACGCTGAATCTGATTCTTCAAGTTTGTAATGAAGTACGCTGTGTTGTAGTCAAGCATCGTCAGTCGGACATCCAACCGCGCCCATGGATGACATTTCGGTAGACTGCTCATGGGCAGATGCACAGCTGCAGCAGGACTCAAGTCTTGCTCTGCACCTTCCTCCGGAACTGAGGACTCAAATCATCGACGGACACGGCGAACGATATTTGAAGGCACTTTCCCAGGCTTCCCGACTCCCGCAATGCACGGACAAGTTGTACGCGCTTTATGAGCCTGCATTTGTCGACATTGCTGCCCGATGGACGACTCTACAATCTTACCAGCTGGGCGATGCGATTCTTACGGTTTCGACCTTGGCCCGGTTGCTTCCGTTTGCCCCATACCTGAGGCCTCATGCCTTCGAGATCCTCGGATCGCAAGCTCTACAGGACCTCCTATCAAAACCTATTCCATCTGGCCACAGCAACATCAATAATGACCAGCTCCTCGCGCTTCTTACGGCCGTCTTCCGTCTCCTCTCGTACAGACGCGATGATTTCGAGCGTTGTTTCCACCCCGTTTTCTTTACATCTCTTCTTCGCCATGAGTCATTGCCCATCCGCCATCTGTCCGTCGAATGTCTCTGTCTGGTCATGCATTTCGCCGATGCCTTCTGTGACGACTTATTGGCGATGTACATTGGCAAGCAGCCGGTGCTTGGTCGCTGGGAAGGAATCAGTATCGACTACAGATTACTAAAACTCTGGGAGGAACGGCGATGGAAGCAGGCCGAGGAGCATATACTAGAGACTAATGTGAGGAGACTTGCCGAGCGCGGACGGCATGAAGCAAAGCCCATCCAGGAAAGCGACCTGCACGTGAGGGTGGCTCTTGTCGGTGGGGTGCTGGTCCCGCGGACGGAGAACGTGTCGGCTGGCCAAGGCACTTTCGTGCTCACGCCGAGTGCGGAATCGAACCTAAGATTGCTTGGTCAAGTCTTGCTCGAAGAGAAGCCCGTGCTTCTCGCCGGGCCGGCTGGTTCAGGCAAGTCGTCGCTTATCGTTGAGGCTGCCAGATTACTCAACAAACAAGAGTCTATGATCACGCTGCATCTCAACGAACAGACTGATGCAAAGTCAATGATCGGATTGTACATGTCCTCGTCAACAGGAGATTCCTTTGTTTGGCAACCCGGTGTGCTCACCCGTGCGATGCAACAAGGCAGGTGGGTGCTGATTGAAGACATTGATCGCGCTCCAGCCGAGGTGTTGGGAGTTCTGAGACCAGTCATCGAGAGCGGCTCTCTATTCATCCCCAATCGTCGCCAAACCGTCAAGGCGGCGGAGGGCTTCCGACTTATTGCGACAATCAGAACTTCAGGCGATGCTCCTTCGAGCATCGCACCTCGGCACTCCTGGCTAACAAACACACGACTCTGGTCAGTAGTCACGGCTCGGAGCTACGAAAATGAGGAGATTGGTCTTTTACTAGACCAACGATATCCCGACCTGGCGTCGGTACGAGAGATCATACTGGATGTACACCGACGGCTGGATCTTTTGTACCGGGACAATGCGGCGTTCAAGATTGCTCAGAATCGACTCCCTGCACTGCGAGATCTCCTCAAATGGTGCAAACGTATTCAACAGCGGGTGTCTGGTCTGCAGCTCAAGCTCGCTACCAACCCAGTCCCAGAGAGTTTCCAAATCGACGTGTTCAAAGATGGCGCCAACTGCTATGCCTCACACCTTAGCGACCCCTTCCTCTACAACAAAGTAGCTGAGTCGGTCGCCGAGGCTATGAATATTGCTCCCCAGCAGAAAGACTTTTACCTTAATCCGATCGAAGACATCATTGCTGACACAGCCACGACGGTGAGGATTGGCCGCAGTGTGCTGCCCAAGATCTCTTCACGCCGCTCACAGGCTCGTAAACGACCCTTCGCCAATACAGGTGCAGCACGCCGTGGCCTCGAGAATGTTGCTGCAGGCATTAGCTTTTCTGAAGCTTGCCTTCTTGTGGGCGAAACAGGTGTCGGTAAAACCTCGCTCGTTCAGCACATTGCTTCTCTGGTCGGCCAGACCTTGCATGTGGTGAACTTGTCTCAGCAGAGTGAGGTATCTGACTTGCTTGGAGGTCTGAAACCTGTCACCACCAGGTCGTTGGTGTTGCCTCTGATTGAACAATTCAACATCCTCTTCGACGATACCTTCTCGGCGAGTCGAAATAAGAAATTCCAAGCCGCCGTGAACAAAGCCGTGACCAAGGAGAATTGGTCAAGGTTGGCGAAGCTCTGGCAAGAGGCTGTCCAAATGGCCGACAAAGCCTTAAAGAAGACCCTCAAGCCTAGTGCTGAGGCTGACGGTAGTGCTCCTGCGACAAAGCGTCGAAAGCTCGAAACTTCCAAGGTCGAGAACCTGAGACAGAGATGGTCAGAGTTCAATAACGCTATCAAGCAAATCCACGGCCAACTTGAGAAAGGGGACAAGAGTCACACTTTCACGTTCGTGGAAGGCAGGCTCGTTCAAGCAGTGCGTCATGGTGAGTGGTTGTTGCTCGACGAAATTAATCTGGCATCGTCAGATACACTCGATCACGTTGTTTCCCTACTGGGGGATGTTGACGGGCAGAAGCCATATCTTCTCCTAACTGAGGCGGGTAATGTCGAGAAGGTTGTGGCCCACCCAAACTTCAAGGTGTTCGCCGCGATGAACCCTGCTACCGATGCAGGCAAGAAGGATCTGCCCCCAGCCTTGCGATCACGATTCACGGAACTTTATGTGCAGTCTGGCGACGATGATGTCGACGACCTGGTCAAGATTATCCGGTCTTATCTTGGCGACAACCTTGGCAGCGACAAGCGAGCCGCATTAGACCTGGCTCGGACATATCAGGAAGTTCAGCACTTGAATCAACAGCACCGACTGACGGACGGCGCTGGAGATGCTCCGCATTTCAGTATTCGCTCCATGGTACGTTGTCTGCTGTATGTCAACCAACACAGCAAAAGTCATGGTCTGCGGCGAAGTATGTACGAAGGTTTCGCGATGAGCTTCTTCACAGCATTGAGTCGAGAGTCGGAAGCCCTGACATTGCCTGTCGTTGAGAAGCATCTGTTTTCGAACGTCAAGAACGTGAAGTCATTTCTTGCTCAGCAACCTAAGCTTGCGCATGCTCCAGGTGAGTTCATCGCGTTCCGCCATCATCTCATTGGCAAGGGGCCGATGAGCCCTGACCTACAGCCGCATTACATTCGCACGTCTTCTGTGGAGAGGAACCTGATGAATCTTGCACGAGCCGCATCAATGCGTCGCTTTCCAATTCTGCTGCAGGGACCTACCTCAGCTGGCAAAACAAGTATGGTTGAGTATTTAGCTAAGCTGTCTGGCAACAAGTTCGTCCGCATTAACAACCACGAGCATACCGACTTGCAAGAATACCTCGGAAGCTACATGTCTGATATAGACGGCAAGCTCCGCTTCAAGGAAGGTGTACTCGTCGACGCTCTACGTCAGGGCTATTGGGTTGTGCTTGATGAGCTCAATCTTGCGCCAAGTGATGTCCTAGAGGCACTCAATCGCCTACTGGACGATAACCGCGAGCTCCTGATTCCAGAAACTCAAGAAATTGTCCGGCCTCATCCTAATTTCATGCTCTTCGCCACGCAGAACCCTGCAGGCATGTATGGCGGTCGCAAACGTTTGTCCAGGGCCTTCCGCAACCGCTTCTTGGAGATTCACTTTGATGACATCCCCGAGGATGAGCTCGAGGTGATCCTGCGGGAACGTGCTCAAATCGCCCCTTCTTTCTGCACTCAAATCGTTGCGGTGTACAAGCGGCTGTCACTCCAGCGCCAGTCTTCCAGGCTCTTTGAGCAACGAAACAGCTTTGCCACTCTCCGTGACCTATTCCGTTGGGCTTCCAGACCAGTCGATGATAGGCAGCAGCTTGCACAGCACGGCTTTATGCTCTTGGGAGAGCGTGTCAGGGAGGCCTCGGAACGCGAAATTGTCAAGAATGCGATAGAAGAGACAATGAAGGTCAAGCTTGATGAGGCAGCGTTGTACGGTACTAGTGCACTCTCTGACTCGATACGCGAGACTTCTGGCATCGTGTGGACTACAGCCATGCGACGGCTGTTCGTCCTAGTCTCGGAGGCCTTGAAGAACAAAGAGCCGGTATTGCTAGTCGGAGAGACTGGCTGCGGAAAGACGCAGATTTGTCAAGTGGTTGCGACAGCCTTTGGTAGGCCCCTGAATATCTACAACGCTCACACCAACACTGAGACCGGCGACCTGATTGGCTCGCAGCGTCCAATTCGATCGAGAGCGCAGATGGCGGCGGACGTAATTGAAAGCGTCCAGCCGCTTGTGAGTGTCCAGATGAACGGAGCTCACACTGCAGCACTCGATGCTGATGACATGATCGCACGCTTTGCTCAGGTCGATCAGTCCAATGCAGATCCAGAATTGGTGCTGAAAGCAAAGCTGAGCATCGGAGCATATCAAGCTCTTTTTGCTTGGAGCGATGGAAGCCTCGTCCGGTCTATGAAGATTGGCGAGTATTTCTTGCTGGACGAAATCTCGCTCGCCGATGACTCCGTTTTGGAACGCCTCAATAGCGTGCTCGAACCTGCACGTACACTTGTACTCGCGGAGAAGGGGTCAGTTGACAATGTAGTAGTGGCCCGGCCCGACTTTCAATTCCTGGCTACCATGAATCCTGGCGGGGACTACGGCAAGCGAGAGCTATCTGCAGCTCTTAGGAACCGTATGACCGAGATCTGGGTGCCGCCTCTCTCTCAGGATGGTGATGTGCTGCCTATCGTCAAGGCCGTACTCGGCGACAGCAGTCAGCATCTTGCACCACTAATGCTCACGTTTACTGCATGGTTCAAATCAACCTTCCACAACTCAGCCAACACGACCATTCCGCTTCGCGACTTGCTGACCTGGGCGAAGTTCGTCAACGCCGTGCCTGAACTTGGTCTCGATGCGGCCTTTGTCCACGGAGCCGGCTTAGTGTTTGTGGACTCTCTCGGTGCAAATCCCGCTGGCATGACTACTCCAACCACAACCGATGTGGCGAGCGCCCGTCGCTTATGCATTGATTTTCTCCAGAGCCTAATCGGCTCGATTGATGTCACGGCTTTGTACAACGCTAGACCAACATTGACTGCTTCCGATTATGCTATTGGTGTCGGCTCGTTTCAATTACAGCGGGTACCAGGTGCTGTGGTCTCGACACCAGAACTGGTTTTCGATGCACCCACCACGCTCAAGAACACCATGCGGATTGTCCGTGCGCTACAACTCGATAGACCGATTCTACTGGAGGGTAATCCTGGCGTCGGCAAAACTGCGATCGTCACGGCATTGGCACAAGCCGTTGGCAAGCCCTTTACAAGGATCAACCTGTCTGATCAGACCGATCTTATGGACCTTTTCGGTGCTGACGCCCCGTCCGAGAATGAGAGCCTAGGCAAATTCTCCTGGAAGGACGGCCCGTTACTTCAAGCTATGCAGACCGGTGGGTGGGTACTGCTTGACGAGATGAATCTGGCCTCGCAGTCCGTGCTTGAAGGGCTTAATTCTTGTCTCGACCATCGCAAGGAAGCGTATATTGCCGAGTTGGATAAGACTTTTACCTGTCATCCTGGCTTTAAGCTCTTTGCTGCTCAGAATCCGCATCATCAGGGTGGTGGTCGCAAAGGCTTGCCGGCTTCATTTGTCAATCGCTTCACGGTTGTGTACGCCGACCCATTCCTGGAGCAGGACTTGATGGCAATTTGCCGTGTGAAGTACCCTCATGTTAGCGAGAGTCAGCTTGCCACGGTTGTGCGAACTGTTGCGGCGGCTGATGATCTGATGCAACACGGCTCGGCTTTCTATCAAGGCGGCCCGTGGGAAGTCAATCTACGAGATGTGAGTCGCTGGCTGGCACTTTGTGAGAAGCGACCGAAGTTCGACCCCATGTATCATTTCGACACCGTGGTTCGCCAACGCTTTCGCAGTGTAGCGCAAGCGACTCCCTTGTCGATTCTGGAGAAGCAGGTCACAGGTGACCCGCCCTTTGTGAGCTCCTACAGCAGACTTACTAGCCAGGCGCTTCAGATTGGTACCGCGATACTGAGACGCTCAATTACAGACCAACATCTCGGCACTTTATTCAGCATCCGACCAAAACAGCTACCTCAGGCCAAGTCTATCATCAGTGCTGTGGAGCATGGCTGGCCAGTTATTGTTACTGGGCCCGCCGACAGTGGCAAGACTGAGCTTATCAGGTTCCTGGCTGCTGTGAGCGGCAATGAGCTCGTCGAGATTTCAATGAATGCTGATATTGACACTATGGATCTGCTTGGCGGATTTGAACAGTATGATTCTAAGCGCGACCTCGAAACTGTCAAGGGTGAACTATCGAGAATCCTCTCTCGAGCTTGTCAAGAAGGACTCATGCTAGCAAATTCTCAGGTACCCATGGGCGAGATCGTGAGCGCATGGCAAATGTGTCAATCTCCACTTGTTGACGCTGCAGTGCTTCTGTCAGCGCTCTCTTCCTTGGCGAAGTACGAACAGATCGAAGGATGCATAAAGCAGCTGCAGGGGATTCTCAACTCAGACCAGGACGGTCGAAGCCAGTTTGTGTGGAATGATGGTATACTGATTGACGCCATTCAAAGCGGCTCGTGGGTTGTGCTCGACAATGCAAACCTCTGTAATGCCTCTGTCCTCGACCGACTCAATTCCCTACTTGAGCCAGATGGACATTTGGTGATCAGTGAACAGCATGGCAGCGACGGAGGTGTACGGACGATTACACCACACCCGAACTTCCGGATCTTCCTGACCATGAATCCGAAGAGTGGCGAACTGTCGCGAGCAATGCGGAATCGGTCTCTTGAAGTCTACCTCGATTCAAGTGACGAGGCTTTGGGAATGTCGAGAACTTTGACATATCCTGTCGCATCGAAAATGAGCCGCTTACGCGACCTTTGTGCACAAGAACAACTGCCACACCTTCACGCCTTCGCAGACAACATTGCCTTTGAGGATGCGGAGCTGATCACTGCTTCGTCTAATGAGGAAAACACGAGTGACATCTTCAAGGCTCTGGAACCAGTCATTCGCCATCAGCTGACACCATCCAGCAGCTTTTGGGATACACCGGTTCAGCTACAGGCCTTGGCCGATGAAAATCAAGGCCCTCTTGCACAGATCAATGCACAGCCCCAGTTTCTGCTTGTCAATGAACCACTATTTGGCGGTTGTGTCCAGCAATCTCGTTTGGAACAGCTGCGCGACGCTGCTAATCAATGGCAGCTGCGCAAATATCTCACAAGAGTCTCTGTGCAATTGGACCATTCCGTCCAGCGAGCAAGCTCGCTCGTTATGAAAGAGCTCACGGCGTTGGATCGCTCCGCGCTTGTGTTACAGAAGAAAAAGACGAAAGTTCCAGACACACCCGCCGTTTTCCCATTTGCGGAGGCTCTGCTCAAGCAACTCTTTCGGTCTTTGAAGGGCATGAAAGGAATGCCGACGGGTTATATGAGCAAGTCCACGGTCACAGCGGTTGCGCATTTCTTGCTAGATTTCGTTGATCTCGCACATGAGAGAAGCGTCGATCCCGCACGCGTACAAGCCTACCTGCAGATTGGCCACGACATTGCGCTGCAACTTTTTCAGAGTGACAATCAATTAGCACATGGCTTCCAACAAAGCCTACAGCACTTCGATCTTGTGATGTCAAAGTATGGCCGTGGGTTGCAACGTTTCTGGGAAAGCTGGGGGTCTCAAGTACCGGAAAGCCTAGAGCAGCTAGAGATCAAGCTGGCTCTCGAAGATCTTCTGGTCCGCTTTGATCGAGCGATCGAGACTCTGCCGCAGTCGAGGGCCGATATGGGACTGGTCAAGATGAGACTCCTCGACGCAGCTAACAGTAGCTGGGCCCTACCCGGCGCAGATCAAGCTGTGGCCAGGTTTTCCGAAAGCATTGGGGACCTCGAACGTCAGGCCGTCAGTGGCAACGCAGCCAAGATCTACTTTGTTGACGTGTTTGAGCAGTTGTTGTGTCGGCTCCAGCTTGGGCATGTGCTCATAGCCAACCCTAGGATGCTTTCGCTGCTCCCTTTCGTACAGGACATGTCGCAAATGGCCTCGCTATCTGACGGTAAGCATGAAGCATCGGAAGCTCTCGCACAGCTCGCTGCGGTAAAGGGCATGGTGGACGAAGAGGGTACCAATCTGGCATCTGAAGTGTTCTCAAAGCTCTCAACAATCAAGTTGCAGCCTATTCGGGCACTCGATCATCTCAAAGAGGAGCTGCTGCAGATAGCGCAGACCTTTGCCTCATCGTCGAGCTTGATGACAAGAAGCATGCTTGATGAAGTTGCGAAGCGTGCCACAACTGTTTGCGCTGCAATGCTGGACAGTCACCGGCATTTGCTCTCTGACACGGCATGTGCTTGCATCAACTCGACCGAGGCTTCTGATTTCGATCGTCTGGCGAACTTGACAACAGAGGGAGTTTTCATTGCTTCAGGCCAGAATATGTGGCTGGCCGACATTTACGATGCACATTTCAGGCCAGCTATCGCCCTTTTGGCTTGTCATGATCATCGTGCGGATGGTATTGGAACAGCTCTTGTCCATCTTGCTGCTGCCGCTCTAACTCTCATTGTTCCGGACAAACCATTCGACCCAGCGCTATTGCCTCGAATTGTATCTGAGAGGCATGTAGCAAGACGGGCTGAGCTTCAGCAGAGGATTGCTTCACAGATCAATTTCAACCAAAAGACCTCAGGGCAGGACTCTAGCCTTGTAAGTCGGCTGCTTGAGCAAGATCTGAAGGCTCTGGGTCCTGCCCCCCATGTCATGCTCGTGGCACGTCCGAAGGTGTCAAGCCTCGCAAGAGTGCACGAGGAGTTCTCGCTCATAATCCGGACTGTATTACAGGGCACAGCTGTTCATGACCTTCTGCGAGAGTCTCGTGGTGATGATCCCGAGATATTCCATACGGAAGCTACCAAATTTAGGGCTGCCATAGAGCGCATTGGCGAACGGCTCAACTCGATTGATCGTGCATACGACGATATCGTCGTGCCCGTCAAGCAGCTACTACAGGTCCTTGGCGTCGGCATCGAGCTTGTCGTTTCCGGTCAGGGCTCTCACGGACCGAAGAAGGCTGTGTCCAATGCTGTTGTCCATCTTCCTCTTATGGGGCCCACGCCTCGCAGCGTTGAACAATGGTCGCTGCAAAATCTGAAGAAGAGTGAATTCGAGCGGTTAGAGTGGATCCGTCATTTCGGACTGGGCGCAGCTCTGGAGAGCAAGCGCTCAATAGCGCAGACCGGCGCCCGACTCGATGAGTATCTTACCGTCGTCGATTCGTTCTACGTACAGTGGAAGGAGCGGCTGAGAGAAGACCAAGCCGAAGCTGAGACCAAGTCTCGATACTACGCATATCGAGGCGGTGGGGATGAGGATACCGATGCTGAACAACGAGAGATGGCAGAGTTGTTTCCTGTCTTCGAAGACGCGTTTGAGATGGACGAGCAAGCCTCTCCTGGGGTGTCCACCGACAACAGAAACATTGCTCAACAACTGGCCTACAGCCACAACCTACTTTTCGGTAGCAGCCCGAGCTCGGCCCCGAGTGTACGCGATCACGTTCATTCAGTGCTGCAAGAACTCAGCCGCCGAGCGGATGGCATCTCGGTCCCTTTGCGTCAGAGCCTTCCTGCTATGCTCCTGCAGATGGAAAAGGAGACGCAGTTACTGGAGGAGCTGGACCGAGACAAGCTTTTCAACATATATGCTGATCCTAACATCCGAGAGGTGCGCCAACTGCAGAAGCTGCTCCGGGCTGTCGAAGAGCGTTTCAGGGAGCTTGCGGCACGCTGGCCTGAACATGCCATTCCAACGGACGTTCTCGCTATCTGTCAAGAGCTGATGAGCTTCAAGCTGAACGAACCGTTGGCTAAACTACTCACCAAGACTGAGAAATTACTTGAGGCCGTCGCCCAGTGGCAGAGCGTCGCTAGTCGTGAGTGGTCTGTGCTAGGACTGGTAGAAGAAATCACAGCTCTGATCATTAGCTGGCGGCGACTCGAGCTGTCGTCGTGGTCAAGTTTGCTCGACCTAGAGAAAAGAAAGCATGACGACAATGCTGCTTCATGGTTCTTCATCGCCTACGAGTCTATCGTCTACAATTCACGAGCTATTGTTGATCAGGGTGGCGACCTCCATGCATACTGCAATGAGCTTATCAAGACTTTAGAGGAGTTCCTGAGGAGTGCGACGCTGGGTCAATATATTCCACGGCTGACTCTTCTTCAAGGCTTTGGGGTCATGCTTCGGGAGCTCAGTCGCGAGAACGACAAGCTTGTCCCCATCGCAACATGTGTAACGAATATCGTTCAGCACTATGAACGGTACGGCGGTCACATCGAGAAGACAATGCAGACTAGTCGAGCAGACCTTGAGAAAGCGATCACCGAACAGATCAAGCTCGCCAGCTGGAAGGACACCAATGTCACGGCACTGAAGGACAGTGCTCGGAGATCGCATCACAAGCTGTTCAAGATAGTCAGGAAATACCGCGCCCTTCTCAATCAACCTATTAGCAGCCTCAAGTCGGAAGAATTACAAGACGAGATGCCAGCACCAGCGGGTGAGGTACCTCCACCGGAGCAAAGCAACTTGCAACCTGCACTCGAAGTTTGCAGCCAGAAAATCTTCGAATGGCAATTGCGACCGGAGCGCCTGCGAAACCCTACGGTAGCCGCTGCCGGCATGAGACGGATATACACTGCACAAGAGGGATCACTGGATGTCCGACTAGAACTTAACAGCTTCAGAGAAGACCTTGGCAAGTCCATCAAGGAGCTGAGAAAGGAGACTCCCTCAACGCTCACCGAAGAGAATACTGCACTGGTCAAGCACTTGCGCGAACGCAAGCGTAGGCTCTTGGCTGACACCATCAAAGACGTCTCCCATATGGGCATTCGGCGGAATCTCGCGACGGGTGAATTGCAGCAACAGGCTTCACTCGCTGCTATACTCTCGGCCGTCACGCCTCAGAGCAGTGTAAGACTGCTGCCGTCCACGGTCGACCAAGCCTTCCACGAAGTCCTCGACGCGATGCCCACGGCTCGCAATGCGTTGACTGAGCATTCACCGGACCTCACGGATGGTGAGATAAGGCGTGGCATCGGTCTGCTCGAGGGCTTGCTCTCGCACAGCATCAAACAGCGAGAGGAGGTTTTGAAGTGCAACGCCGACTTGGAACGGCTGAAGAACGTACAATCGATGATGTCGGATCTGTGTGTTGCTCCAACATCGATTCGCACCGTTGCTACAGAAGTTTCAGGAGACGCCGATCTTCGGTTGAGGCTCAAATGGCTTCCATCAATCCTTGGACTTGCTGTGGAGGTACTGCAATTCCAGGCTAACGCTGGGAAGCTGGACGTTGAAAGTCTGATCAGCACCCTGCAAGCTGCTGCAGATGACATTCGTGGTTTTAAGGAAGCATTCGCGGAACTGCGGACGTATCCCAACGGACTTATGGCGCAACGCAATGAGGACCTGAAGCAAGAAATCTGGCACCGGCTACAGGAGCTCGGAGTGAGTTTTCAGCAATGGCATGAATCGGAGCCGAATGTTGGATATCTGATCGACCAGCTTCTCCCATGGACCGTACGAGCTGATGAACCAGTCAATGGCACGACGACAGCTGGCATCAACCATCTCTCGCTCAACAGCATCGATCGGACCATTCGAGACGCCACCGACACAGTCTTTGTAGCATTGCAGCAACTGACCACAGTCAAATCGAGGGCTGTGGCGGATACTGAGGATGCTGGTTGGCTGGTGCAGAACGACAAGCACTTCAAGGAGTCTATACGAGCTCTGCATCTGCCTGAAATCGCGGAGAAGCTTTCTGGATCGCTCGACAACCTACAGCATCTCCAGCATGAGAACCTGCCGCTCGCCGCTTCGCTGGTCGCGGTTGCAAGTCCGATTTTCGAGCAATTCTACCTTATTTCAAAGCACGCAATTGACAAGCAAGTGGCGGTACATGTGCAGACAACACAGGTGGCCTGCTTCCTGGCGAAGACCTTCGCTACCGTTGCTCGAGAAGGATTCTGTACTCCATCTGAGCCATCTGACGGTCAGGAACAGGCTGGTAAACTCGAAAGCGGCACGGGCCTGGGGGAGGGTGAGGGCGCGGAGGATATCAGTAAGGATGTCGGAGCGGACGAGGACCTCTCGGAATTTGCACAAGGCGAAAAGGGGGATCAGGAGGACGAGATTGAGGGTGCTGACGATGCTGTCGACATGGGTGCGGATGATCTCGAGGGTCAGATGGGTGATGCTGGCGAGAGACAAGAGGACGGCGACGAGAGCGGGAGCGAAGGTGAAGAAGGCGACATGGACGAGGAGACCGGCAGCGTGGACGATCTTGACCCGAATACGGTCGATGAAAAGATGTGGGATGAGGCGCAGAAGGAGGGTGAAAAGGACGAGAAGGAGTTGAAGGGCGAGAAGCAGCAGGGTGAGAAGACTCAAGAACAGACTGAAGCGGGTGAAGAGCGAGAAGAGGGCGAGAATGAAGGAGAAGTCGATGAAGGTGAGGCTGGTGAGGAGCTCGAGGAAGATGACCAGGCGGGTGAGGGGAAGGCTGAGGCAGAACATGCTGATCCTCATCTACAGGAGGAGCAAGCTCTGGAGCTGCCGGAAGAGTTGCAGCTTACTGGCGAGGAAGAGGGCAAGAGTGATGGTGAAGATGATGAAGAGATGAACGAGTTAAGCGACGTTGAGCAGCCGCCAGTGGATGAAGGTATGCCGGAGGAAATCGATAGTGTGGATCAACCAGATCGTGAGGAGCAGAAGGCGACGGATGAGCAGGGCGGCGAGCAAGACGAGCAGGACGACGATGTTGAGGGCAAGGCTCAGGATGATGACATCGTGGAGGATCAGTTATCTGAAGGCGCTGAGGATCAAGAGCAGGAGCATGAGCAGCGCGATGGTGAGATGCAGCTTGATGTGGACGAGCAGGACGGCGGTGAGAAGGGCGCCGCCAATCAGCTTCAAGACGACGTCAATCCTGAGCAGAGCACCGAAGGTCAGAACCAGGTCGAGCAGGCACAAGATGACAAGCAGGCCCAAGGGGCCACTTCTGCGGACAATGACGATCAGGGCGAGTCTGGCAAGGGCGTTGTGGAGCGTGGTCGGGGCCGAGACGACAGCAACCCACAGCGGCAGCAGAAGGAGGCGCTGCGCAAATTGGCCGATGTACTCGAGCAGTGGCATCAGCGGCGAGAGATTTTGGATCCCGCCGAAGAGAAGCAGGAGGCGAGGGCTGAGCAGGATTTCGATTTGGATATGAAGGATGCAGACTTTGAGCATCTCGATGAGGAGGAGGACGAGGGAGATGCTCAGGCACTTGGTGCCGCAGACGCCGGACAGACGCAGAACGTGGACTTGAGCAAGGCTATCCAGGATGAAGAGGCGCCGGTGGAAGATGATTCCGCCATGCCGGACATTCAGGACCTCGAGGAGGAGCAAGAACAGGCCACGGAGCGGCTCAATCGGCTGCAGGCGAATGCGGATGCAAATGCAGGCGCTGAGAGGCGGGAGGATGGTGCTTTTGTTCCTGATCAAGACCATCGTCGCCAGCAGGGGGGCCAGGAGGGCGTCAACGATGAGTCTGACGTTTCCGACACGGCTGACGGAGTCCAACAGTTGGCTCTTGAGACCGCACCGCCTTCGCCACCTACCTCCTCAGCCGATGCAGCTCAACTGTGGAACTACTGCTCCACCATCACGCACCAATTCGCGCTCATTCTCACGGAGCAGCTGCGCCTTATTCTCCACCCAACCACTGCGACGAAGCTGCGAGGCGATTTCCGCACGGGCAAGCGCCTGAATCTCAAGCGGATCATCCCGTACATCGCCTCGGGCTACAAGCGCGACAAGATCTGGATGCGGCGCAGCGTGCCGAGCAAGCGAAACTACCAGATCTTGCTCGCGGTGGATGACTCAAAATCAATGGCGGAGAGCGGCGCGGATCTGCTGGCGCTGCAGACGACGGCGCTGCTCTGCAAGTCGCTCGCCATGCTCGAGGTTGGCGAGGTGAGCGTCGTCGGCTTCGGCGAGCAGGAGAAGGTCACAGTGGCGCACCCGTTCGGCAGCGTGTGGTCCAGTGAGGCGGGCGTGAGTGTCTTTGAGAAACTCGGGTTCCGCCAGCAAGGGACGAATGTTCGGCGACTGGTCAGGCAGAGTTTGGACATGCTCCGCGACGCGAGGCTCAAGGCGCCGGGCGGCGGGGACGAGCTCTGGCAGCTGCAGATCATTGTGTCGGACGGGCATTGCAGTGACCATGACGAGATCCGAAGGTTGGTGCGCCAGGCGAAGGAGGAGAGGGTTATGATCGTCTTTGTCATCCTGGACAATATCAACAAGGCGCTTGGCTCGGGGCAGCGGTTTGTCACCACGTCCGATGCTGCTGCTGCTACTGCGACCGGCGGGCGGCAGGATGCGTCGAGGGAAATCAACCAGGACCGCACGTGCGAGAGTATCCTCGACCTCAAGGAGGCGGTGTTTGAGGAAGGGCCGGACGGGCAGATGAAGGTGGTCACGCGCCGGTACCTGGAGAGGTTCCCGTTCGAGTACTACCTCGTGGTGAGGGATGTTCGGGAGTTGCCTGGTGTGTTGGGGCGGTGTTTGAGGGGGTGGTTTGCTGAGGTTGAGGGCCGTTAATGAGTGAGGAAAAGGGATTTGCTGGGTTTGGGAGTTTTGTCGTGGGGATCGGGATCGGAATAGGAATAGGAATTAGAAAAAAGATGGGGATGGGGATGATGATCGAGGGAGGGTGAGACTGGATGAGTAGGGCATGCAGAACGCTGTTCAATGTAATAATTCGTGGTCGCCGTCTTGGTGAGTTTCCAGCTCTCTTGGGTCTCTTCCTCTCTGCCTCTTCTCCTTCCTTCTTCGTATCTGGAACCAGATTCTGCCAATTCGCGCTCGCTAATTCACAGCCAATACTTCAACACACTGCACAGCCTCACCCGTCTGCGTACCCCCCTGCCTTACCCTTCCTTCCCTTCCCCTTCCCTTTCGCACTGCAAACCTCATCCCAGCCCAGCCACAGGCGGCCGATACCCCGGCGGCGGCCCCGCCGCCGCGGCAGGGACATAGACGGGTGGTTTCCCGTCCTCACCATCACCACTTCCGTCTTCGGGGCGGTTCACGCCGGCGGCCTGTTGTTGTTGTTGTTGCTCGGCGCGCACTCGGGCCAGGTAGGCGTCGCGGGTCTGGCGCTCGGCATCGATGATGCGGCGCTCGTCTTCGTTGCCTTTGGTCCAGGTGCGGGGGAACCACCAGAGGATGAAGAGGATCTGGTTGCAGGAGGTGTTAGGAGGGAGGCGAAAAGCGGATAAAGCAAAGGAATGGGCCAGGGAGGAGAGGGGAGGGGGGGTGTGGAAGAAGAGAGGGTTTGACGTACGGAGACGCCGACGATGGCGGAGAGGGAGGCGATGGGGATTATGGCGGCTTTGGAGAGGCCCATGATGGCTGGCTGGCTGGCTGATCGATTGGGGGGTTTGGTGGCTGAGTTGGATTGTTGGGGATATGTATGGACGGTTGGGCTTAGTCTGGTGGTAGTGAGTCTTCACAGGGTGTGAAGAGGCCGTTGGGAGAGTTGCCAGGAGCGGGCGATGGAGGATGGTTGGCGTATTCGGTTCGTACAGGCGCGAGGATCGCGTCTGAGAGAACGGCTGTAGTCTGTGGTCTGTGGTCGCAACAGTCCTTGTTCGACGAGAGGCGTAAACCGTGTAGGCTGGCGAAGGCAGCAGGAGACAACGGTAGCTAGCTGTCACTCGAAATCAGAACGTTGTGAGCAGTGCAGGGCAACACGAGAAGGAAAAGCCACAAAAGCCTTATTCTCGGCAACCAGGCGGCCAGGCAGCAGCAGCAGCAGCAGCAGCAGCAGCAGTAAGCCGTCTATATACTACAGGTGCAGAGCCTAGATTAAGCCAACAGGGTGGCGGGCAGCGCTACTTCCTTTCCCCCAGTGCTTGACACTTGAGAAGCCGTCTCGGCTGTTCTTAGAGGGGCGGTGTTAATCTGCTTTGGGTAATGGTTACGTGGGCTTCCGTGTGGGAATTTGGGGGGGGGGAAATGCGACGTTGCAAAAGTGCAAAAGTGCAAAAAGAGCCGCCTGACCCGTCGAAGAGGATACGTGGGCGCTAGGAATTCTGGGGTGACTAGGTCTAATCGCCAGCTTGCAACGAAGCAGGATGCCAGGATTGGGGCGGGGCGGGGCGGTCTGTTCGGCGAGGTTGCGTTCTCGAGCTGGGGGGGCAAGGGTTTATTTGTGGATGGTGCGGGAAGGGGAGTACGGTTGGTACTTGGGCTAGTCCGAGTCGATTCCGGCTGTCCATGCGCCTTGACGTGAGATGACTTGACGAGGGGGTTTGGTATTACCTGCATCTTTGAGTAGAAATGGGATTCTGCTTAGATGTGGTGGGTAAGACACGAACTCATTCGGTAGTGCTGTGGTAGGGATTTGGTGAAAAACCATCGGGGAGATATGGGGATAAGCTGTGGCCCCCCCGGACGACGGGTCCGCGTCAAGGTTACACTTAAGAAGCTTGTGTGGAAGCTTGTGTGTCACCTGAACAGGGGGAGAATGCAGTCAATACCGAATCGAGGCACCACTACAATCTACCTAGGTAGCCTACGCGCATATCAGAGTACCCCGCCATGGTGTTAGTGCAGGGTGGGATTTGTTATTGGGGTGGAATTTCATCGCGAAAGGTCTGATTCTATTGTCGTATATATGGCCCCAGCAGGGTCAAATGAGCTAGTTGGACTTTCAAGCACTAGCACTTCATGTTTATTCCTTTGCGCTTCTCCCCCTCCCGGTGCTCAAACATGACCTGAATGCCAACAAAGAGCACCACCATGGATGTGACCAAGAACGCGATCCCGCCCCAGCTACCGGCGATGCCATGCACGATGGCCAGCAATCCATCCAAACCCACAGCAAATCCGACTAGGTTCGCCGCCATCATCATCAGCACGTTGGCGACAGCGCCCACTCCGCAAAGCATGCGATAAGCGGTCGGCCGATCCTTCCATTTCGATTTGGGGAAGGCAAGCGTGGCGAGGACCTCAGGCAACACGAAGAGCACAATAAGCCAACCCCACATCAGTAGTCGCAGGTTGATGTCGTGCCACAGTGCGACAAACATGAAGACGATGACCATGTTGAAAATGGTACGCGGGATGCTCGTGCCTCTTCCACTGCCGCCCATCGGGATGAAGATGTAGCGAATGGTGAAGCGGTTGAAGCTGCGGTGCCAACTGCGCCAGAACGCCAACGTCGAGTAGTTGTCTGACATGCACCGGACCATGTTCTCTGGTGGATCGATGCCGTCTACCAGTGCCCATAGGCGGAAGAAGCGCCAGGGTATGAGGAGCTTCAGCCAGATGATGTGCAGGTTGAAGTACGACAGCATGGCCAACTGGAACGGCGTGTAGACACTCCAATCAGGTGCTGCCTTGGAGATGGCCACGACATAGGTCGTGTGGAGCAGGAATTCCATGCAGAACAGGATGAGAAGGAAACGGATCCCGTAGAGGATGGTGCGCTTAGGAGTCACGCTTGTTGGTGGGTAGGTGCACTGAGAAATGTAGTCGTTGAAAGTCAGGATCGGCCCGGCGATGTAGAGCGGTGGGTAGAGCGCGTAGGCCAGGTAGGCCGATAAGGAGGTATAACATGTCGAGGGCGCAGGCGTGGATATACGATCCTTTTCCGATAGGGCAGATGAATCGAGTTGCTTCTTTTTCCGCTGATTAGAGCGTGTCAATGGAAGTAGAGGCATGGTACGCGAGTGGCTTACCTCGACAGGACTGGCAGAACGACTCCGGTCCATGGACCAGTAGTAGTCCATATTGAACGAGATGAGTCGCAAGATGGTGATCTTGAAGAGCACCTCCCACCGGGGCATCAGTCCCCCATACGAGTCCAAGTATTGACCGTACTTCACTGCCTGGCCGCTCCAAGGCGCCACAAATGCCGCGATTCTCGCCAAAGGATAGCCCCGGGTGAGCTCATTCGCGAATAGTATTGTTACATTGAAAATCCAGGTTGCTGCTGGTAGATAATGGCGTGGAAGCGTCGTAGCAATGTTGAAGTTGATGTACACGATCAATAAGATCTTGAGGGCCGAAATCCCATAGAGAGCCGAAATGAAGACCAGCGCTGAGAACACGTCAAAGCGCAGCCGTGTGTCCCGCCTGCGCTCGGCAATGTGTGTGTTGTTCTCCTGTTTCGTAAACCCATTGGCTTGAGAGGTTGGCCCTGAGCTGGCCAGCCTCCCGTATAATTTGCGCAGCAGAGGGTGAAGCACGACAAGCCCCGCCAGTGCTGGGATATTGTTGCGGAAGCCCGCGTACTGCAAGTCAGAGTTGTCCACCTTTCGCCCAAATAGCCAGCCCGGGGACAGCAGATGCTGGAATCTGTCGTAGTTCGGTGCCGTGGGTTGGGAGACCTGCACTACCGCCCAGTACATTTGAGGAATGCAAACGAGGAACACCACACCGTACAGGTAGAACTCTGGAGTATTCCATCTCGAGTGTGAGGCACCCTGTGGCAAGTCTTCAGACTCTCTGGCATCTCTTCCGGTGTGTTTGAGAGGTTCACTGTCGTCGACCTTAGGGGGTGTACGCGAGGATGCGGAAAAGCGCGTGTCGAGCGTGTCGAGTGAGTACAGTTGTCGAAGGAGGGAGAGAACGGTCATGACGGTACTCGCATGCTTCAAAGCAGCAGGGCGATAGTATGTATGCTACTGGTCGCGTTCAAAGAGTGTAGGGAATGGTCTAGAAATGGCCATTTGGATCGCAGGCAGTGAAAAGGGGACCAATCTGCCAAGGGGGGCTTCTCCGGGGCAGCGAGGCTCCCAACCATGCACCGGGGGGATATCATGGCACTACGAACAAAACGGCGAATATACAGGGTAGTGGACGGCACACTCTGCGCATCCTCATGATCAATGAATTTTGCTATCCGGACACTCTTTGGTGCCTCCGAACTTCGTGCGCTGTGCGGTGAGCACATTGTTATAGAAACAACTCAATCCCTTGATCCTGCCAGCTTCTAGCAACCATGCGCCCTAGACACATGGCATAGCCGCAAACAAGCCCTTTGGCTCCCCTCCATCAACCATGATGCTTCTTGACCAATTCCTGGGTGTTCAGCAGGGTCGCCATTGATAGCACTCTTTTGTAGAGTATCGGCGAGCACGGGCCCAGCCATGAACAGCTGCGGTGTTTTTGCCTCGACAGACCTTCGGCGACAGTCGATATGCTTCCTCCATATCGTGCATGCTGAGATCGTATCTCAATTCTTCGCAACTTCGGCCTAAAAACCCCTACCTCTACCGCGGCCTCTGCCCCGCCCACGTCCCCGCGGACCGCCACGACCACCGCCGCCACCTCTCCCGCCCCGGTCGCCCTCTTTCCGCGCCTTGTTCTTCGGCTTCGGTTGGTCATCGATCAGGAGTGTGTCGAGTGGTAGCGAGTCCGGTAGAATGTAGTATCTAATGGTTGAGCCACGAATGTTGATCGTATCGAGAGAGATGGTCTCGCTGGGCACTCCCGGTTGCAATCTGTTCTTGACCGTCATCTTGACGGCGCGTAGAGCCGTATTCATCTGCGGCGTGACTGAAGTGATGGTGCCATGGACGATGGTGCCGTTCTTGAGCTCAATCGTTACGGTCTCGTTCGCGCATTTCATAAGAAATCTGCCGGACTGTTAGCTTGAGAAGACGACACGTGAGTGCGCTAGTGCTGTTGCGACGGTCGCTTCAGCAACGCGCTCAAGCGTCAGAGGTGCTAGCGACGTACCTGACGAGCTTCATGTTGTCGGATGGTGACCGCTCGGCGGTCGTGCTGTGCGTGGAGTGGGCACCGTTGACTGGTAGATTCTATGCCCAAACCGGAGAAGTTTAGTGGTTTTAGCGTCGCGTTGTGATAGAGGGCACGGGGAGGTCGCGTGTGGTCTCGAATGGTGATTGCGCCTGGGACAGATGCTGCCATTCGCAGCCGGCAAAAATCCAAGTCTTGGCATATCTGCATTCAGCCTTGCGCAGCCTTACTTCTCACCTTCTGTAGCCAGCACTTATTCGCGAAAATGCTTGAAACTCAACAATCTAGCATGGGATTTATAGAAGTACTTCCTTCTCTGCGATGTTATCGCTAAAAAATACTGTAATGCACGCAACTAGCGCACTTCTATTGTATCAGGTCCATCTAGCCATCTGACTCTCCCTAAGATGCACCGCGCCCGGGGAAATGAGGTGGCCCTCTGGTTGCGTTTCTTCCCTCCAATCCTAGCTGAGTCGATTGATGTGTCCTTTGGTTCTGAGCTCAGAGAGCTGAACATACAATCTATGCCTTCGAAGCTGGGAACGAATGGCATGTGGGTGGGTAAAGCCCATGTATTTGCAAGGCGACGGTGACCTTGCACCCCGGGCGGTCCAGTGTTTTGTCAGAGGTATCAACAATGTGACATACACAGCTTGAACTGGGCCTGATTGAGATGGCGTTTGCTTGCATGCTGATGGAGTTGTCGCCTCCGGCTGCCCTCTTCAAATGCCAAGGCTTTTCAGGCAGTGAATGCTCTTGGCGTTAGATGGTGGACGACGCATAATTTGAGACGCCGTGTGAAACGTAAATGACTCTGCTGTATAAGTACGGCGGGCCAGTCGATCTTAGAGTTTTGACTGAAGAGCAGGTTTCTTGCTGCTCCAGACCTGAACCTCTGGGTCATCGAAATACTTGCCCGGGACGAAGTATTGAGGACCAAGAGTCTTCTTGACGACCTTCCCAGTAGGACTTTTCGGTATCTCGTCTTTGGAGATTCTCAGCAAAGTTGGTAACTTATAACCAGCGAGGCGATCTCGAGCATCGGCCCTGAGATCGTCTATGTTGAGATTCGCCGGATCTCTGCCCTGCTCGCGATAGAACTTCTGAGCAATCTCGTCATTCCTCAGCGTAACAACTGCTGCGACTCGCTGGCCAAACTCATCGTCTGGCACACCAACCACCATTGCTTCAGCGATGTATGGCAATGATAGCAGCTCTCTTTCGATATCGAGGGCCGAGATCTTGTAGCCTCCTGACTTGATGATGTCCACAGAGGCACGACCGGTAATGAAATAATACTTCCCCTCCCTTCTAGCGATGTCTCCAGTTTTGTAATAGCCTTCCTCGTTGTGCGCATTTCTAGTAGCATCTGCATCATGAAGGTACTTTGAAAACATAATGAAGTTCTTCACCAAAACCTCGCCCTCGTCACCTTCAGAAAGCTTGACGTCCAGGCCGAGGGTCAACTCGCCGACGGACCCGTCAGGCACATCAGAGCCGCCTTCGAAAGGCATGTTGAAGACGACACCTGTCTCTGTGGAGCCATAACGCTGAACGATTCTTCTGCCGTCGCGTAGTTGAGCCCAGAATTGCTCGATCGGCTGTGGCAGGGCTGATGTTCCACATATACATAAGCGGATACTGTTGATTCCGAACTTGTACTGCTGTCGTTCTTTCTCGGGGAGCTTCGCTATGGTTTCCTGCCAAAAGCGCATCATTCGCATATAGATGGTGGGTACGCCTGAGAACAAAGTGATGCCGCCTTGTCTGAATCTATCCCACGTCCACTTAGGGTCGAAACTGCCCGAGCGGAATTCGAGACATGCTCCAGTCAAGATAAAGGGAAAGAAGCCTACCCAGATGCCGGTCGCATGGTGGACGGGTAGGAGGTGCAATGATGTGTCTTGTTCAGTTAGGCCCAGCTGCTGGGCAAAAGTCAAGGCTCCATCTGTGATAGCCGCCTTGCGAAGTACGGCACCTTTGGGCGGTCCAGTTGTGCCCGAAGTGAAGATGATGATACCGGGCCCATTGAGATCAACATAACGATTTGACGATACCGACACTGATCGCGGATCAATGAAAGGTCCGTCCTTGTACGACTGTATAGGAACTGCAACAAAGTCCTTATTCGTGGTTTTGCGAATCTCTTTGGCGAGAGCATCTCCCAAGGCAAGGGATGTAGTCGCAACCATGATTGCCACCGTCCGAGCCTTGTTAACGTAGTAGGTCGATTCATTGACGGGCATTAGTGGGCTGAAAGGACTGGCACCTGCCCCAAGCGACAGTACCGCAAGTATGGCGACAGTGAACTCATACCCGCCAGGAGCAACGATACTGATGTAAACCTCCTTGCCATGCTGGAGGTCGTCCAAGGTGTCTTGGGCAAGGGACGCTCTCAGCACACGTCTCAGATTCAGGACATCACTCAAAAGCTCAGCCGATGTCTTCTCGACTTTTGTGTTCACATCTCGGATGACAGTGCGCTGTCTAGAACGATGTGCCAGGGCAAGCAGACGCGTGAACAAAGGATCTGCAGGTAATACCCGGTCACCGGCGTGGCTAGGGACAAAGTCGGTCCTATCGGTCATGGCTCGTTTCTCTGTTCACAGCCGAACCGACAGCCGTACTCGAAACCTACTCACGATTGCTCGAATTCAAAACAGTGTGGTCTGATATAATAAAGAGTATGATACACCGATGGCGGAGGCCATGTCCGGCGGTGATCCCCCCACGGGGGTACCGAACCTCGGCCTCCGACGGCTTTCTCCAACTGATGCATACATTCGAAGAGCTCGTTTACTTCCCCATCTGAATATAACACTAAAACAATCCTCACGGCGAGGAAGCACGTTGAACAACTAAGAAGTCAATGATGTCAGACTTCACAGACCAACTCCAGCCGGCTGAGCCCAGCGGGCCCAGCATCCTCCAGAAGGAGCGAGCGGGTTCAGACATCGATACAGACCAGCTCGCCAAGCATCTTCTGTCTCGCAATGACTTCCTCAACCGCCAGAAGAGGATACTAGCAATCATAAAGGACATTCCGTACTTCAATAAGAAGAACCAGTTGAACATGGCTCGTCCTGACCGCTACCATCTTGGACTTGCTCGGGCCAAAACTTTGAAACGACTCTCAATCAAGCACAACTGGGACGACGAGGACTATAAGATGGCTGATTACTTGATGGATGAGATGGGTCCATATGCACTACAATTCACCATGTTCGCCACATCGATACGAGAGCAATGCAACGAGGAGCAGAAGAAGTACTGGCTACCGAAGTTGGACAGTTGGGAGATCATTGGCTGCTATGGTCAGACCGAACTAGGCCACGGAAGCAATGTCAAAGGCATCGAATGTCATGCCAAATGGGACCCGCAAACCAAGGAATTCATTATCCACAGCCCTACTTTGACGGCGAGTAAATGGTGGAACGGTGCCCTCGGGCGAACAGCGAACCATGCCATTGTTGTTGCTCAGCTTCTGCTTCCCGATGCTAAGACCAAGCAATACAAATCCTACGGCCCACACCAGTTCATACTTCAGATCAGGGACATGAAGACCCACAAGCCCCTTGAAGGTATCGTCATCGGCGACATTGGACCCAAGTACGGATATACTGCCATGGACAACGGTTACATGCTTTTCAAGAATTTCCGGGTACCACACTCAGCGCTGCTCTCCAAGTATTCCGGCATCGACTCTGAGCACGGAACGTACATCAAACCGGACAATCCAGCTGTCGTCTACGGCTCCTTGACTTTCGTCCGAGCCCAGATCATCATGCACGCTAGACTAGTTCTTGCTAGAGCAGTCACCATCGCCACAAGATATCTCTCCATCCGTCGACAGTTTGCAGATCGAGACTCCAAAGACCCCAATGCTCCCGAAGAGGCGGTCTTGAATTACCCGACAGTCCAGATACGCATCTTGCCTCTTCTCGCCACCACATTTGCCCTACACTACACCGGAGAAGCCATGTACAAACTATACTACGGGACCCGAGCTCAGATCGAACAGTCAGGAGACTTCTCTCGTTTGGCCGAGATGCACGCCGCTTCATCCGGTCTCAAGTCGCTCTCCACCATGCTGGCAGCGGATGGAATCGAAACCTGTCGCCGCGCCATGGGCGGCCACGGCTTCGGCGGTGGGAGCGGTATGATCCCCCTGAACAACGACTACCTCTCCAAGCCCACCGTCGAAGGCGACAACTGGATGATCACCCAACAGACCGCCAGCTACCTCATCAAGCGCATGACCCACGTCATCAGCAAACCCAACGAAACCACCCGCGAGCCCATCGACGCCCAGCTGCGCACCTACATGCAAACCCGCCACACCAACCCCTCCCTCCCCATCCTCTCCTCCGACCAAGCCCTCGTGCAAGCCTTCCAACACCGCCTCTCCCACCTCGCCCACCAAGTCTACATCCAGCGCGTCGAGCACAAGAAACCCTGGACCGACCTCATGATCTCCCTCCACAACCTCTCGCGCGCCCACTCGCAGCAACTCCTCGTCAGCAACTTCTACACCGCCGTCTTCGCCTCCACGCCCGACCCGCCACTCAACCCCACCACGCAAGCCACGCTGCAGACCCTCTTCCGCCTCTTCGCGCTGTACACGCTCGACGCCTCGGCGTCCGAGTTCCTGCTCGCGGGCGCCCTCGACGCCGCGACGCTCCGCGACGTGCAGCCGCGCGTGCAGGCGCTGATGCGCGAGGTGCGGCCGCACGCCGTGGCGCTCGTGGATAGCTGGTCCGTGCCGGACTATCTGCTGGAGAGCAGCCTGGGGAGGTATGACGGGGATGTGTATAATGACTTGTTCAGGAAGGCGCATGTGGAAAATCCGTTGAACCTGCTCACCTTTAATCCGGATTGGAGGACCGAGGAGATTGTTATGGGAGAGGGGGCGGAGGGGGCGAGGAAGAGGTTGGAGGCGTTGGCGAGGGGGGTGGAGGGGCATGAGCAGCGGGGTGGGGGAAAGGCGAAGCTTTAAGGTAGGTGGGGGATGGGTTTTGGGGATTTGAGCTGTGATGTTTTGCTTTATATACAGTATGTCAAGTGTTAGATCTTGGCCTTTGGTGCGGTTCCTTCTCGTCTTCTGTGCACGTAGCTGATGGCTTTGATCTTGTCGAGAGCCTCGCCCCACAGCTCGCTTCGTAACAGACCGTAGACGCCCATGGTGGCGCGGTCGGCCTGCTGTTTTGCTAGGTCGATGGCCACATTCAGCATCTTGTCAGGCGGTGCCACGGCGTCGACGATGCCGTCCTCCAGTGCTGCGTTTCCCGTCCATTTGTGTGCCTCGAGGAGCATCTTCCGTGCAATTCTTGGGCCGAGCTTCAGCCTTGGTAGAGAGCCAATGCCGGTGAAGTGGAGGCCAAGGTTCACAGGAGGCATGCTCAGGTAGCCTCGCTCGGAATTCATGACACGGTAATCGCAAGAAAGCGCAAACGGACAGGCGCCGCCAAAGGTATGGCCGGTGACGCATGCAACGGTTGGGTACGGGTAGTCCAAGAGTGTTGCCAGTAGGGGATAGAAGCCATCACTGTTGGCGTAAATATTGGTGTCGCCTTCATCGAGCTCAAGGCCTGTGCACCAGAACTTGGGCGAGAACGAAGTGATGACGACGGCGCCGGGGGCATCTGGTTTCAAGACTTGGGTCTCGATATAGCGCAGGGCTGCGATTATGGTCTGGGCGTACTTGACGTTTAGACGATTCTCAGGACCCTTTTGCATGGTAATGATCTGTACTCGCGGGTCATTGGGGGCAGCTGATATGGTGAGATTCTCGAAAGGTGGTTGTGTGGGGATTGGGTTGGCCATTGTTCTGACTCTGTGAGTGGTGACAGATCCCAGGAGGTTTCTGGTATTCGAGAACGCTACTGTTGATGGGATTCCGCCGGTACGCGTAGTCGACGTTCACCTTCTGGTTTCACGCACGAGATGTTGGGATCTGGGGTCTTGTACGTCTGAAGGGTTTGACTGTCGAAAGATTCGGAGTGTATAGGTGCTGTTACGAACATCTCTCGGAAGTTGGGGTCGCTGCGGGGAAGGCCCAGAGGTGTGGTTGCCTCGGCATGTCGGACCAGATGCTTGGCATTTCGGAGGAATGTTGATGCGGGCGTTCGCAACACGCTAATGACTAAAAGAGAATAGCGTCTGGACGACGTTCCTGACCTCCCATCGCGCCACCCCCCCTGAATCGTAGCCGCCGGTGATGAGTTGTCACACTGGCCGAAGCGAGAGACGGTTCGGACCTTCCCTAGGTCGATGCTCGGACGCGACGTCTTCTTCCTGTACTGCTGATGTACCATGCTACTTGAACGTCCACCAAGGGTGACATCTACGCCACGACACTCTCATCGTCTGCACAAGTCTTTCCGTGTACTCACTTTTCCCCATCGACTGTCAAACCTCAACAGCTGTGGCTGCCGACGACTGCTCTCCCGGCGCGTACATCTCTTGTCATTCTTGCCTTCCCGGGCGTTGCTCCATGAGACGGCGGCTTTGTCCTGCACAGCGTGCATAGCAACCCACCCCCCAAAGTTTGGCCCCTGACAGGTCGGCTTCCTGCCCACGTACTCACGAAAGGCCGAGTATCTGTTGACACCCTTTATGCGACCTCATGTCGCTGGGGGATTGCCAACTTCGAGCGCTATCTCGTTCCTTTGCAGATTCGATTGCAAAAAGATGAATTTGGATGAGGCCAACCCAAAACAAAAGAAACTGTGGCATTCAGCCACGTCCGTGACGATCAGACCTGCTCTGGTTCGAAGGCCTGTGCGGTAATGCCGCGTGCCGATCCGCCGCGCTTCCCTGCGAGTGTTGCGGAATAGGATTGTTGTATTGACCATGGTGGCCACCCCCTACCATGTTTCGGTCAGCCGTGCCACTAGCGATCTGCATGACAAACTCACCACTCAACGAGGTATGACGGTCCACCACATGCTTCATCTGGTCCACATGATGTGCCTGCGAGATGTTCTGCTGCACATGAGTGCCTGCGAGCTGGTCAGTAATTCTGTCGCCCTAGATGTTAGACGCTTACTCGGCTGCATTCCTGTGTGTCGGCTCGCCGACGAAAGGCTGAATTTCTTTGAGACACGGCTGCTCTCCAGGTTGTCGATCGTCTCCTTGAGCCGCTCGACCTCGTTTTCGGCCTTTTCAATGCTTGCCACGAACTTCTTCCCCTCCTGACGCCACCGAGCAATGTTTTGCCGTTCCTTGTCCAGCTTCCGAGATTTGATGTCAATGTCCTTACAGACTCGGCATGGTTCAGGGGACATTGTGACATAATCACTGTGCACCAGCTTCTTGCCACAAGTCTCACCCATGCGATGTTGTCTTTCGCACCTCTCCTTCATATTGCCCCATTTCCAGTCACGGCAGCTATATGCTGTCTGCTCATACCAGCACATTTTGGCGCCCAATCAACAGATACCGAGGTATCTAGGGTCCCAGGCCTTATCACAGGAAAGCCGGCTGGCACTGTCGTCGCCGTTTCCGCTTTTACGGCGTGCTGAGTGGCCGTTGCTCGACCGTTATCGTGACCCTCCCCTGTGGAGTGGAGACTATTTGGTCGGAGTACTTGAGCTTTGATTATTGGCCAAAGGACAAGATCTGTTGTTTATCTCACCTGCCGCAGCTGCACCAGTGGTCAAAACATCGCCCGACAAAAAGTCACGGGGCTCGAAAGGGTATGCCCATTTTATGTGGCCCATTGAGTGCACTGTGCGAAGTACCTCCGAGACATTTTGTCAGCCATTCATCTGCCGGCCAAGCGGACGACAGTCTAGCAGACGTGGCTCGAGAGGCTGTCCACGTCGGTTCCGACTAGAGGATCGGCACTAAGCAAGGTCGTATGCTTGAACATCCACCGGGCTATCTGTTGGCACCCAAGACTCCATGCCTTGCAGTCGCAGGCCCATATACAACATTGATGGGAGAGGTTCGGGCCGCCGTCGTTTAATTTCGCCGCTCTCAGCAGGGACCAGTAAGTCATACGCTGGTCGCGCTACAGCAACCGAGTGGTCATCAGTATCTGTCGATGTGGCAGCGTAGGAGAGGTCAGATTTAACTTGCCACTAAGTGTAAGGCTCTTCATTGCAAGGGACTCCGCTTGCTGCAGCGTCATGTGCGGCAGGTGGCGAGTTGGTGGGAACGGCCTGCACGGTACTGGAGCATCCGAAATGTTTGTCGAAATCCAGCATCACACGATCCCCATCCAGCAAACTCTGTGCCTGTGGATGAGGCCATAATCATCAGCTTCTCCCGTTACCATAGAGTCACAAGAACGGAGAGCATGGATCAAATCTGCCAGGAGTGCCCAACGAAACCCCCGGTCGCGGATGTTCGCCGCAGAGCCGCACGAACACCCTCAGCAGCGCGTGAAGATTGCGGATCTTACCGCTCCGGCAAGCCGAAGGCGCATGCAGTCCTTTCGACCCACGCAGTAACTGTGATCCAGACCCTAATTACTGGATCCTGGGCCCGCCCGAGTGGTCATCAAAGAGGACCCTGCCATCCCCGGTGTGTCCATTGGCTCTTCCTCAAAGCTCGTCTTAACCATGTCGCCCGTTGTTCCACAAGAAACGTGAGCCACAAAGCAAGCATGCTCGGCCGTCATACTGGCCTAACACGTGGCTACAGTGGCTACTGGCCAGCAACTGACACGACGCTACTGATGTGTACTCAGCGTTGCCCGTGCCAGGGCCCGTCTAGCATGATCTGAGGTAACTCCGACATCATGGTGATCTCGGTCGGTTTGCCAGTTCGATGCTCGTTCAAAACTCTACCCTGGCTATCAGACAGGTCCTCGCACCAAGTGGCATAGCCAACGGCTTCTACCACCAAGGTGAAGGACATTCGAGGCCAGTGGTTGACCCCCTTTTTCCAACAACCCATCTAACAGCTGGTGAGCAAGGATTTCTGGCCCATGGTTTAGGATGTCGCTGTGTTGGCATGAATTTATTGGCTTCCCGAAGCCTTTTTGCCTTTTAACGTAACCTTGAGCGCAATGTCCGGCTTTTCTCGATCAGGCCTCAGGAACGGTCGCATGCGTCTTCAGCATCTCCATCCTGTGACGCCAGGCTTATTGCGCCACTGTCCAGCACATTCCTTCCCTGATACTAGCCAGCTCAGCATGGTGGGTCATAGTAAGCTATGTCTTCATCAATGATGACATTGACGGCCGCTCGATCCCCGCCAAACTCGAGATCAACATTGCCTAACGACGACTGCGGCTTGCATACGAGAACTACAACATCTGAAACTCGGGCTGGAGCTACGCCATAGCTTTAGTCGACGCCATCCTCGCTCAGTCAAAGGGTACAATTTGCAGTAGCACCATAGGATCCCTGCAATGAAGTGGTATCTGACCATTTCCGATCACCCCTGCCCCGTTTCAGCTTGGCAGTGCTGAGCTGTTCACTTCATGCCCGGCACCTTGCAGATATGGTGGCAGCTTATCGCCAAGGTTAGCGTTCGCGAGCTGGTGTGCCATCACAGATGGTGTAACTGAAAGGAACGAGCCTGTCCCGACACTAGGTTGACCTACAATTGGGTTGACATATCCCGTCAGACGCTAGCATGTACATGCCCAGGCCGTCGCTAGCCTTTGCAAATTCGCAGAGGTGATATCATCCTGGCTCTGGGGTGAGTAGCCTACGTCCGGATTTCGCGGTCTGTTGTTAAACTCTAGTCACTGGCCGAAGCACTTCTTGGAGCAGAATGCACAGTGCTCTGTGTTGTTTCGTCGCCATTCTTGACAGATTCGGCTCCCTCGGAACCAGACATGCGACACGAGGCCTTCACGACTTTTGTCTCTGTCTCATCTGTTCGTCTCGAGACTGCTTAATTTCAAGGTGGGGGAACAGACTATGTGCCTGTGTCCACCCTCTTAAGTGCTGCTCACAGCAAGACTTCTACCCAAGCGACACTCACTCATACCGACTTCTCGGTCGAGATCGGCTCATGCGCTGCACGTCACGCAGTCTGCCGGTGCGAAGAGCGTCTAAGAAATTTACCATCTCTTGAAACTAAGGCTAACTAACCCTAGGGCACAGGACTCATGCAAGTCAAGAGGAGCGCCGCAGAAGTGGCTCCAGACCGCCGGGACGGACCCTTGAGACCAACGGAGCGAAACGAAAACCAATATTGACTTTGCGCCAGCGACCTCAGATCAGCGTAAGCGTACACTTGCAAATGCCGGTGGCAAAACAGACTTCCAAAGTACTCAATGGACCAGACCTTTTCTTGCGTTGCGATGTCGCTTTGAATATTTTCCACCTGAGCAAAAGCGGACCTCTGACTGTGGATTCAGATATTGGGTCCAGCGGGCATGACCCACACTCCGCTGTGAACTTGGCGACCAAACATTTGTTCACCGCTGATGCAAGATGCGGTCTCGTGGATAGGGAGACTGCCCTGGTCTGATTCTCGGGTATAGACTTCAGCAGTCATGCTGCTCTCGCTCAAGGATGGGGGACAGCCTGGACCTCGTGCCGTCGGAGGCCTAGCAGAACCGACTCCACCATATTCCTCCTGATCCCGAGTTTTCGGGACGTACAACGTCATTCAGCTAGGTCGAGACGCAGGTTGTGGAGGGTCACATGAGTTCGCTTAGCCCGTGGCTGTACGGAGACTCGGTAAGTGTTGCGCTGTTGGTCGATAGAGAACATTCATGCATGTTCTGGAAGCGAGAGAGAGAGGCGTCGATGTCATGCCCTCCGTGCAAATGTTCACACAGGCAATGGACTGGCTCTTCTCTCCTTACCCTTGAATCACGCTCTCACAGGGCGCGAAGGCAGGGTATGCTAGACGATTACAACACCTGTGTGGGTCAGGAACGGATGGTTTCGTAGCCATATCTGTGCATTTGCTCTCTCTCTCTCTCTCTCTCTCTCTCTCTCTCTCTCTCTCTCTCTCTCTCTCTCGTGTGTATATGTATGTACCTTTCGCTGTCATCCAAATCTCATGAAACCCAAAACGTATGCTATCATTGCTTCGCCACCGTTACCACCTGTCGATACGATACCTTCCACAGCCTCAGCCTCGTCTGTCCCTCTCCCAATCCCGCGAACGATCATTAATTATGCGTTTGCTCGGCGTCCTTGGGCGTATGTTCGAAAGCCCCTCCAAAAACGATGAAACGATGCCAAATCGACAAGATAAAAACAGAGGATAAGACCAAGACTGGAAGATACACACCCATGAACGAACATGTCTAGACCCAGGGAAACAAAGATGCCAAACTGCGCGGCCCTCATAAGACAAGTCCGGCCTGACAAGGGAATGAGTATCGACAGCGGTAGATAGCAGACCCTCGAAACAGGCCGCGGCCGCGGCCTCGGCTACGTAACGAAACGTGCCAATCCTTTCACCCCTAAGCACTCCCACTCAACGTCGCGAAAGCGGGCACGTCGTCACCACACCTAAACTTGGGGGCGTACGCCTTCTCGGGCAAGATCCCGGCCTCCAAGCCCAACATCCAGCTCCACTGCACGGCATCCTCGGTCTTCCAGGTCCAGTAGAACCAGCCCCAGACCTTCTCGAAGCTGTCCATCTGGGCCTCGGCGTACATCTGCAGGAACTGCTTGTACTCGGCCGAGTAGGTGGCCGGGTCGGCGTTGGGCATGTCGCAGCTGCAGTCGGGGGCGGTGGGGCACAGGGGCTCGAGCACGTTCATCTTCGGGTCGTTGAGGTTGAGGGTGCCCGTCCAGCGGGAGCCGACGCCGACGTTGTTGAGGAAGGGGGCGCAGTCGGTGTCGGCTTGGGACCATTCGCCGTCGAGGGTGGGGCCCCAGCCGGTTTGCGGGTTGTTGGAGGCGACGAGCAGACCCGTGTAGCCGGAGCAGGAGAGGGCGATGCGCGCCGAGTGGTTGAGGGGGAGTTGGCCCGTGTTGAAGATTTGGTACTGGTGCGTGTCGAGGATGAGCTTGTCGTCGGCGCCTTGGAATTCGCCTTGCCAGTCTGAGAGCTTGAGGAAGCCGTCGCCGAAGTTGAGGTAGGGTTTGGAGAGGCCCGCCCCGCGGATCGTCTTGACGGCTTGTTCGTTCCACGAGATGACTTCGTCGACGTCGAGATCGATCATTTTGGGCTCGTTGACGAGGCCGTAGATGGTGATGATGTTGGCGTAGCGGGGTTGGGCGAAGAAGGTGGATAGCTTCTTGTGGATGTCGAGCGAGCGTTGGGCGTTGGTGGCGCCGTCGGGGCCGGAGATCCAGTTGATGGCACCGAGGCGGCCGGAGTGCGTCCAGCCGTTCTGGGAGCCAGGGACGGAGTGCAGGTCGAGATTCACGCGCAGGCCGTTCTCACGGCACCATTCGATAGCGCGGAGCAGATAACGCCATGCGATCTTGGCGACGTATGGGTCACCGTCGTAGGTTTCGACGGCCCAGTATGGGTATGGGATGCGTACGTGGTCGAAGCCGGCAGCGCGGATGTTGGCAAAGTCTTTCTTGGAAATGAAGGTCGCGTAGTGCTGTTCGAGCGTGCGCGTGGCGGAGCTGCCCAACTTGGTGGTGAGGGTGTATTCGTCGACTACCCTATCGGATGCAGGATACCTGAACAGGGACGGCGTGATGAAGGGCTCGATTACAAGCCAGCCACCAACATTGACGCCGCGGATGGGCTTTTTCCCGTACTCCCAGTCGTCGTTGAGTGCTGGAACATTATCATTGGCTTTGACCGAATCGTCCCATTTGCTGTTCAAGCCCATGACCGAGAGGCCACCGACCATCTCGGCGGTGTAGGTACAGTTGAAATCTTGTGTGTCCATCCAGGTGGTGATGTCGGTGTAGGTACCTTTGGCATTTTCTGGAACGTCCGTGTCCTTGCAGTCATTCGTTGGTGCGGTGTTGCCGCTGTCTCCGGAGAGATTTGAAGTGCTGCCACTCCCGGACCCATCGCCCCTGTTGTTGTTGCTCACGACCACTCCCACTGGGATGAAGATGGCTAGCAAGACCAAAAGACCGCCGATGATCCAGAACCACTTTTTCCTCCGTTTTCGCGAGTCTGGATCATCTCTTTTGTGGACGACATTCTTCTCGTAATACTCGCTTTCTCTCCTTCTGCTATGGCGCTTGCCTCTGCCCTCTTCCAGTATTGCACCACTAACATCTCGATTCTTGCGCTTTCGTTTCCGCTGGGCAGGCTCCGGTGCAGTGTTGATGTTCTTGTACTCTTTCCGTTTCTGCTTGGATCGCTCGCGTTTCTCATCGTACTGTTCGCCTTGGTTGTACGCATTGAGCTTTGACAGCGCGTCGGCGCTTAGAAGATGGGAGCCGCTGTCTGCGGAAGAGCCAGATGTGTATTTGGCCCGGTCTTTGGTGGGACTACTATGCTGTCTCGAGTGATGTCGACGTCGCCGGTCGCGATCCGCCGGTGAGGCTGCAGGGGACTCCTTTGCTTTTCTCCTTTCTCTATCCTTCGTCCTTCGTGGCGTGTTTCGTGGGGTATCATAGTCGTCGTCATCGTCAGGCGGAAGTGCACCGGGAGGGCGTGAAAAGGCAGGTCGGCCATCGGTGCGTGGTCGCGCGGACCGCCGATCGTCTTTGGGCATGTGCGCATACAAGAAGGGGATCCGAGGAATGTCAGCAACTGAATAGCATTGTTGTCACTTTGCCAGTGCTGGAATTGCAGCTTCTCAGACATGCCAAAAGTCTTGGTTGATTGGCTGCCTGTGATTATTTACGTTTATCCATATTGAGCCTAGTGCGTGACGTCGTGCCAAGCTCCGCTGCCTTGTGTGCGGCAGTGGCGGCGACGGCGACGGCGACGGCGACCACCACAGCAGCAGCAGCATTTAACTGTCTACGGTTCCTTTGCAGCATCGAGTGCCTTGGTTCTGTTGCCCTCTGTTGCACGCGCCACATACGAGTTGATGTACGTCGGCAGCTGCTCGACTTGGTTGCCTTTGCTTGGAATTGGCTCTCCATAGGCCTCATATACCGGGACCACGCCAGTCCAAACACTTCCGGTGATCTCGGGCCTCTTTTCATCCTTGGCCTCATCATGCGGCTCTCCTTGTCGAATCTTACCGCTGGCGGTCTCGATAGTAACACGTAAGATCATGGTCGAGGACATCTCGGCGCCGTCTGGTGGTACCCGAGTATTTGCCCATCGGTCAGGAATCACTTTGTTGGTGATCTTCTCCATGGCCCACAACTTCTCGTCGACTTTCTCAACTGGTTTAGCATATCCTTGCAGAACGGCTGAGCGATAGTTCATGCTATGCGAATTCGGTGTAAGGGATAGCACGAGCCCGTCCACTTTGGTTGCTGCAATGGTGACAGGTAGACCTTTCTCTGAGTCACGGGCAAGCCTCATGAGGCGTGCGCTGACATACCCATGGAGATAGCAGTCAAGTGGCTCGCTGATGTCGGCTGATGGATAGTCGAACGACCCCATAACGCCGATCATGGGTAGTAGAGCAGCAAACGGCTCGTCGCCTCCGGGTGGAAAGGCGACATGGAGGACTGGCGTGGTGTTGATGATCTGGTGGATCGCACCGCAGTCATAGGTACCTGCTAGGTCAGTGTGAATCTAGTAGTCTAGACAGCGGTCGCCCTACCTCTGCTGTCGTATCGCTTGACTGTATTCTGTGCCCGCTTAGGGTATTCGAGATTGCGTACCATATTGGAGGGCAGTATGTAGACTGTTCTTGGGTCCAACACCACGCTGGTGATTGCGTTCTTTTGATATCGTCCACTGCCTCTAGATGACTCACGCCTATCGCATCCTTCTGATTAGCAAAGGAATCCATGCCGCTGGTCTTGTGGCCGATGGACATGTGCGACACGAGTGCGGTCGACAACTCTATCGCTGTGTGTGGCAATTGCAAGCGAACTCCGCAGATGCGACGTGCATTTCACAGCCGGTTTCCTCTTTTTCCTTCTCCAATACCTCAGATACGCCCTTCACGCCTATCTCGCAGCCCATCAGAGTGTCATGCGCTCTGCGATATGGCGGCTGTCAAGAGCTCTCGCTGAACCGGCACGGTCATTGACGAGCCTCAAACCAATCCCGTCCGTCGCATCATCCCACCGTGCCGGGCTACGATTTTCCTCCACCGTATCTGCTGCCGATCTCACCTTCGGTCAACCCGTCCACGAGACTCACCCGCATCTCCTTGCGCCTGGGGAGCTCACCCCAGGAATTAGCGCCCAAGAATATGCCGACAGGAGGACTAGGTTGGCAGCGAAATTGCCGGACAAGGCCATCGCAATCGTAGCCGCGAGTGACATTGTCTTCAGATCTGGCAGTGTCTTTTACGAATTCCACCAGGACCCCGACTTCTTCTATCTGACTGGATTCAACGAGCCAGAGGCAGTGGCCGTCATCGGCAAAGATGCTACAGGCACAGACCATACTCTGCATCTTTTCGTGAGGGAGAAAGACGCCAGCGCTGAGCTCTGGGATGGTGCTAGATCGGGTACGCAGGCCGCTCGCGATGTCTTCAATGCCGACGAAGTTGGAGACATCAGTCAATTGAAGCAGACCCTTCCTGATCTTGTCGGCGAGGCATCGCACGTCTATACCGATATCACTCAGCCCGATACCAACCAGAGCGCCCTGCAGCGTTTCCTCTACGGCCAGTCGAAGAAGACGACCGAGTTCGCGGAGCTGGTTGGCTCAAGCAAAGTCGTCCGCCTACGTCCCACAATGAACGATCTTCGCGTTGTCAAAAGTACTGCCGAAATCGACCTCATGCGCACCGCCGGAAAAGCGTCAGGCAGAGCCCACACCGATGCAATGCGGCAAGCATGGACCCGGGAGAAGCAGCTGGATGCTTTCTTACGATACCGCTTTGTGGCCAATGGCTGCGATACCCTTGCATTCGAACCAGTCGTCGCAGGAGGGAAGAACGGACTTGGCATACATTATATCCGGAACGACGATGTGCTACAAGATGACGAGTTTGTCCTCGTTGACGGCGGTGGCAAGTACGGCGGCTACATTGCTGACATTACGCGGACATGGCCGGTCAATGGAAACTTCTCCGACGCGCAGAGCGACCTGTATCAAGCAGTGCTCAATGTTCAGCGGTCACTTATCTCCATGTGTCGTGGCAGCGCGAACACAACGTTGGATAAGTTGCACAACATCGCTCAGACCCAACTGGCGGATCAGCTGCGGCAGTTGGGCTTCGATATGTCGGGCAAAAATATTGAACAGCTCTTCCCCCACCATCTCAGCCATTACATTGGGATGGATGTACATGACACGACTGGATATTCAAGGCGAGCCGTTCTTGCGGAAGGCCACTGTATTACCATTGAGCCAGGCATTTATGTCCCTGACGATGAACGCTGGCCCAAGCATTTCCGGAACATGGCCATCAGGATCGAAGATAGTGTTGCGATTCAGGAGGATAGCCCTTATGTGCTTACGACCGAAGCAGTGAAGGAGATTGTAGATATAGAAGCTCTCCGGGCCTAAATACCCTGTACGAACAATGTACCATACTCTGCTCAAGCCTTGTCAATGTTCTTGCAGAGTTGTTGATATTCTTATGCTCTAAGGCGTCCGCGGCGTCCTCCCAAGTTCGTCAAGGCTTGGCAATCGATGTTCGTACTTTTCGTCACCACAACTCAATCCTGTCAGCTCTCAACCACTCCTCCCAGTGTCATCTGCCGTTCCTTCCCAGTGGTGTCAGTTGAACACAGAACAAGGCATCAAACGACAATGGCTTCCTCGCAGGTCGATGCGCAACCCTCGGAGCGAAGCCCGCTACTCGGCGACGATGGTCAGGCAGTGAATGGTCATGCCGCCGACGCAGAGCGCCTGCCGGGCGATGCACAACACGACGGAACCGATGAGGTCGTAGTAGCGGAAGAAGCATCAAACAAGAAGCTCATTGCCATTCTCGGAACCCTCTTTATCGGCGTCTTCTTCGCAGCGCTAGGTATGGCGCCTCCCAATCCGAAGGAGCCGCCCCGGGGAACATTTTGTGCTGACAATCAGGGATCTAGATACCACCGTCGTCGCCACGCTCACTGCTCCCATCTCCTCCGAATTTGAGTCAATGTCACTTCTCTCATGGATGGCGACAGGCTACCTTATCGCCAACTCGGCCTGCCAACCTCTCTCTGGAAAGCTTACAGATATCTTTTCTCGCCGGTGGGGTCTCGTCTTCAGCAACGTTTTCTTCGCGGTCGGGACTTTGATTTGTGGCCTTGCACCGTCAGCTGAAGCAGTCATCGCCGGCCGCGTGATTGCTGGAGTTGGAGGCGGTGGACTCACCTGCATCACGACATTCGTCACTTCCGACCTCGTTCCGCTCCGCCGCCGCGGCGTCTGGCAAGGCGTTGGTAACCTGGTTTTCGGCATGGGTATGGGTCTGGGTGGCGTTTTTGGCGGCTTCTGTGCTGACAAGCTATCCTGGCGTTGGGCCTTCCTCATCCAAGTGCCGTTCATCGTCGTGTCCGGCGTCCTCGTGTGGTTTCTGATCGACATACCCGTCAACCCATCCACCAAACCCCCTCTTCGTCGAATCGACTTCCTCGGTGCCACTACTCTCGTCGTCGCACTGGTGCTGCTCCTCCTCGGACTCAACTCAGGCGGCAATCAACTTCCCTGGTCCGACCCACGCATCATCATCTGCCTGGTCCTCGCCTTCGTAACACTTCTCGTCTTCTTCTACGTGGAGTCAAATGCCAAAATTGTGCCGGAACCCGTCATTCCGGTCTCGCTCATCTTCCACACGCGGACTGTCCTCGCCGCTTGTCTGTGCAACTGGTTCGCCACCATGGCCTCCTTCCTGTTCCTCTACTACATCCCTCTATACCTCGAGTCCGTCCGCCATCTGAGCCCCACCGCTGCAGGGCTGCGAATCATTCCCATCGCGGCCACCACGTCGCTCGGCAGCTTGATCTCTGGCTTCGTCATGAAATCGACCGGCCGCTACTACTTTCTCATGCTTGGTACCATGGCTGTCTACATTCTAGGCGCTGCCCTCCTATCCACCCTGCAGACCGCGACCCCATCCTGGGCCACCTACGTCTACGGCCTGCCCCTTGGCTGGGGATACGGCGCGATGCTAACCATCACACTTGTGGCCATGATTTCCGCTGTTGAGCACAAGCACCAAGCCGTCATCACCGCCGCGTCCTACGCCTTCCGCAGCACGGGGTCTACCATCGGCATCACCATCGCCAGCGCCGTGTACCAGAACGTTCTCACGCAGGAACTCCGTGCTCAATATGGCGGTATGGACGACAGCGAGAACGTCATTCGAAAAATCAGGGATAGCCTCGATGGCGTGAACCACCTGCCGCCCGGTTGGGACCGGGACGTGGTAGAAGGCGTGTATATGGACGCGCTCCGGGGCGCTTTCCTGACCGGCCTCGGCTTGACGGTGTTGGCGGCGATTACTGGCGCGCTCATGAGGGAGCACAAGCTGCATGAGAACTTGGCGCGGAAATGAGTTGGTAGAAATGCCAAGTGGGAGAGGCACAGTGGAGTGGGAAGCAAAGGTATATATGTACATATTATTGATACCGCTCACGAGCCCGCAGAGGAAGCACGTCGAGCAAAATTGGGCGGTCGCAATATCCATGTGGCAAACCACCTGCAGAACAATGGCCATCTACAGTATTATTCTCGCCTCTCAAACCCTCCTGTACGCAAGCCCCGTGCTGCAGCCGTGCTTTCGAGTCGCACAACGTTTATCGTCGCACGGACTACAGACTGCGAGTCGGTGAATCCTAGAATACGAGGTAGCTTGTGTGCTGAAAGGGAGTCTGATCTGACCGCAACTTCTATGGAAAGTAGACGGCAACGGTATTTCAGCCCTGAACATCCAGGAGACCTAAGGAATGGTAAATATGTGGCCGCAGGTCGTATAGGCGCCGTATAGCGCGGACCGCCCTGTCTCTGGCAGCGCTCGATGCGGCCTATTCTAATACTAGATCAAACGTTCCCCTACAGTGTGTCTCACCTGCTCCTTTCTACGATATATGGAGTCCATAAAGAAACACAGCCTCACATCCCCAAGACTTGCCTGATTCGAGCGCTACCATTTTCTTCCTCGTTTGCCTTGTCGGATGGAAATTATGCCGACTGATTTGGCGTTGGCGCTGTTGCCCGACGGCCAAGCGAGGCGGCGGTTCTGCCTTCCTTCCCTTTTGAGACTCCCGTCGGTCAAGATTTTCCGCTCTTGTTGCGGTGATGAGAGTTGCTAGGGCATCGACTCTGGTGGAGTCGGGTGACGGGGAAAGGAAGTGTCTCGTAAACATGCTCAACGTCTTCCTAGGCAGCGCTGAAACTGTGGCAGCGGTTCAGGGGAGAAGTATAGTGAATGCATATATATTTCGTCGCATTTCCTCTCTGTCAGGAAGAGGTATACTACTACAGATCCTCCTACTACTCCGCAGCAAAGAGCCTCGACCACGCCAGCAGCAGCAGCAGCAGCAGCAGCACAACAACAATTAGCAGCACTCCGCGCACCACACATACCGCCCCATCACCCGCCATGGCACCCCTCCGCATCGCAGTCCTGCACCAAGAAGTGCAACTCTCCGACATCACCGGCATCGACATCTTCGGCAACATCTCCAAAAAGTACATCGCCGAATGCACGGCCGCCTTCCCCGTCTTCCCGAACGCGGAGCTCCTGGCCTCGCAAGCCACCGAGATGCAGTTTCTCTTCGTGGCCGACACGTTGGAGCCCACCGAGGCGACCCCCGGCATCAAGATCCTGCCCACGCACACCTACGCGTCGTGTCCCGTGGACGACGTCGACATTATGCTCATCGGCGGGCCCTTGCCGCACGTGCGGCCCGCGGAGAGTCTGAAGCTGATCCGCAGGTTCTGTGAGCGCGGGGAATCCGCCACGCTGATGACGACGTGTGTGGGCAGCTTGTGGGCGGCGGCGTCGGGGGTGTTGGAGGGGCGGCGGGCGACGACGAATCGGGGCGCGTTGGTCATGGCGAGACACTATCATGGTGAGGCCGAGTGGGTCGATAAGCGGTGGGTGGTGGATGAGGCGGCGGGGAAGGTCAAGTTGTGGACGAGTGGGGGTGCGGGGGCTGGGTTGGATATGATTCAGAAGTATTGTTTTGAGAAGTTCGGCAGGGAGATTGTGGAGCAGGCGCTGTTTGGGTTGGATTATGAGGTCAACGGGAGGGGGGAGGAGTATAAGGAGAAGTTGCCCGAGGCGTGGGGAGGTGAGCCGGAGGCGTGAAGGGGGGAATTGGGAGTGTTAAGAAGCGAGCTTGGGAAAATTGATTCTTATGTCGTTGATTGTGCCTGAATTCTAGTCTTCGCTGCCCAGACAGTTGAAACTGCTGTGTATCCGACATGGGTTCTTGACATGTACGCCCTCCCGATCGCGTCCCTCAACTCCAGCTTCCCCTCCAAGCCAACCTCAATTCCTCTTCACCGTTTCCACCTTCGGCACCATTGCCTTTCCGCTTCTTCTGCACCGCCTCGCCAATCGCACCCGCCACATCCTCCGCCGTGCGCCCACGCTTCCTTGACTCGACCCTCTCGTCTCCTAGCACCGTGTCCTCAGCCACAAACCTATACAGCTCGGCAACACCCTTGAAGACATCCTCGCCGCACTCTAAGCCACCTTCCGTGGCGAACGTGCTGCCGATCTGGCGCATCTCCTCGACCCAGCGGTAGGCTTTGGGCGGCATGCCGGGAAGGGAGCCGCGGGCGTGCTCGAGGAGTTTCGGCGAGTATTTCTCTAGGTGGGAGGTTAGGTGGGGGAGGACGTTGGCTTGTTGCGCGGTGGCGAAGGAGATGGTGGCGAGGGCGCTCATGCCTTTGGTCATGGAGGCGAAGCAGGATTTGAGGGTGGAGGCGGTGCCGATCCTGTGGTCGAGGACCGTCATGTTGAGGGTTTTACGGATGGGGGAGGGGAGGTGCGTGTGGACGTGAGGACCGGAGATAACCAGGGAGGGAAGGATCCATTCGGGGATTGTGGAGGAGGAAGAGCCACCCTCGCTGCTAGAGGGCTGAGGCTTGGGTTTGGGGGGTGGGCCGATAATGCCGCCGTCGAGGAAGGCAACGGGGATGGGTGGAGGAGGGGCCGGGGCGGATTCGGCAGCGGCAGAACGGAAGGAGAGGACTCGCGATAGGGAGAAGCGTCGGGGTACTGCAGAGGGGGACTGTAGTGGTTCGGAAGGGGATGGGGTCGCTGGGCTGGGAGACCGCGGCTCTTGGTCTTCTTTGGGCGCGAAGAGGGCGTGGATGCTGCGCGTGGTACGTGTAGAGACGGCGTTGCAGTCAACGAACACAAGCTTGGCATCTGGTGAATCGATCTTGCGATCTGTCCAGGATTTGATGGCTTCCTGGTTGCGGCTGGCCTCAAGGACGCGGATGGCTGTTGCGGTTGCATCCCGGGGAGGCACAATGCTTAAAAGGATGTCCACGGCGGCGATCAGCTCAACATCAGTATCGTAGGCTGTTATGCCCGACTTCTGGATGCGCTTCAAGGTGTATTTGCTTCGACCGGCTGTACAAGTTGCTACCTTATAATCGTTGGCCATGAGCAGTTGAGCGATGCCGGTGCCCATTTCTCCGAGTGACAGAATGCCGACTACGGGCTTGGGCGGCGCTGATGAGGTCGCCATGAGGAGCTCTCGAAGCTCGTGAATGCTCGAGTCCGTGTTGTCGCAATCAGCAGAATCAACAGGCTGAACGATGAACGCTGTGTTCTGGTGGCTGTGGGTTGCACGATTGGCGGATGACGTAGCACAATCGACGAGGTCCGGAAATATCAAGGACAGAGAGTTGCGCAGCGAGACCTAGACGCAACGGTCGAGTATGTAGGGAAGATCCTTTGTACCTAGGAGTTGTAAGGATAAGTTCAGGGGCCGAAGGTAAAAGCGGTCAGATCAAGGTATGTGGTGGTCATGGGATCGACTGGGGGGTATGTCACCGCCGTACCACCGAGGCCAATCTCAACCTCAACGCGACCCACGCCAAGGCCGGGCGTCTTACCACTTGGCTTCCGCTGAGACAGTCTCTTGACTTCTTCATATTCCCTCATTGACATCGAGAGGCTCGGAAGTTGTGTTCGAAGCTTCGGCGGCGATACCGATGTAGGCAAAGTGCTACAAGCGAAAGCCGCACCCACGCACCCAAAGCTCAGGTACCGAAACCAGGGGCTTGTTTGGTGACAACCGCAATGGGGTGGCAATGGAGTTTATGAGCGACGGTAGGCCCGGGAAGGTGTATGCTCGAGTAGTGAGAATCGGGAGGAGGTGTGCACTTTCAGGTGAGTCCAGATAACGGTGACCTCTGCGCACGGTCTTGGCATAGCAACGACCCTCATTCACTTCACTTCGCTGCCTCTACGCACATTCTCTACCCGACTTGAATCGCACTGCTTGGAAATGAGGCAAAAATCGAATTGGCAGAGTACCAACTGTTTGATCAAAAACCCAAAAATCAAGGCTCTCTCAGGGAGAACCCCCCGAAACGATCCAGCTTGCGAACAAGCCTATACGAGGCGGAATCGTTCTAGTATTCCTAAGATTAGGCTTAACAACCTACGCTCTTTAGCCAGGAACTTCAGGCTTCTGGTGACCCCACGGTTGTGTATTTGAGAGGCTCAAATTGCTTCAAGACCTCCGCCGTACGCAGGGGAGCTAGTTGACCTCTTAGCGGTATATCGAACTGGTGGGCGATGCAGTTTGGAGGCTGCTACTTGCACCAGGGCTATACCGAATCTGTGGTGGAATTGTTGAAAGGCATATTGAATTTTGTAATATTTGACCATTCAAAAAAGCGACAGGGCAACGAGGCTGTGGGCAGCTCAGTGAAGGTCACTGGTCCAGGCGCAACCCGTCAGCCGCAGCACCGTCCTGCGCCCACTCAAGCCTCGCACACAACCACATCGACCTCTTCTGACGGCGCCACAGCTACTTTGACCTCCAATGTGCCGTTCGAGTCCACGTCTGTCGTATGCTGAAGATCCCCATTCACATATATCGCCCACTCAGCCATCGGCAACCCCCTGACAACAATCCGCACATCCTTTGGCTTCTCGAAATCCCCCTCCCACGACTTGAGCGTCACGATTGCCGCTCGCCGCTCTGTATCCCACACTCCTCGAAGAAAGTCAACATCGTCACCCAGGGAGCATCCCTCTACCCATGGTCTGCTGTTCAATCCTTCCTTCGTCCATGGATGCTCCCACATAATCTTCTGCCCGTCCTCGACATTGAGTCTCGCATAGCCAATTGCACTGTTTCCAGAGTGTGGCTCAACATGCACATAATCCCCAGCCGAATCAAAGAAGTCATCTTTCCGCGGATAGAAGAGACCACCTCGCTCCCACTTGGGACTCAACTTCTGGTCGGCGAAGTCCAGCAGATCATTCAATTCCTCTCTGCGTCCAAGCTCAGATAACATCATCATGAAAAGACCTCTTGAAGCAGACTGGAACGGGAATGGATGACGATAGGCATCTTGCGTCGACAGCTCCTTGGCCTTCACTAAGGCAGCAGAGGTGTCCTCCGGCACACCACCGTTTTCAGCCACGATACTACGATACGCAGCGGCGACGTTCGTGGCTTGCAGCACGGTTCTGCCATTGGCTCGGACTAGATGTCCAGTGGACTGGCGTTCCCAGTTCTGGCGAACGAATGAGGAGTTCCATGCGTTCATGAATGCGTTGTTCCTGACAGTGTCAGCATGAGAGCACAGTGGCCATCTTGGTAGCATTGCTCAGGTGTAGGTGAACCTTACCAAGCCGTGTGTGTTCCTTGCTTGGTTGGGGCAGCAACCCTCTGCTTCACGAGAAACGCTGCCGACCACAGACCATCATTTTGAAGCATGCCCTTCTTTTCGAGTGCAGCAGTGTATCTCTCGAGCACTTTTTCGACCTCATTCGTCCCGTCACGAATGTCATTGTACCGCATCGCAATGATCTGCACCAATTATCAGCTTTCTAGGCCACAATTTTGTTTGGGCCTTCTCGCACCGGAAATTGGTTGCAAACCACGAACACGGCATTCGGCTCGCAGCAGACTCCCACCCATTCGTTCTTCTCCATCTGCGCCAAGATGACTTGCTGCAGACTTCGATTACTGTACTCAAACGTCTCGGTGCCCATTCCCCAGAACAACGGATCCCATATAAAGCGGATACTCTTGTCTTCAACGAATTCGTCGTCATCAAACAGCATGGCGTACAGACTTGTCATCAGCAGCAAGTGGCCCGAGTACATGATGTTCTCCTCTTTGACCGGATCGGCCCACGGCTTGCGAAGTTCCGTGAGCGAAGGGTCGAGCTTCTTACCACTGTGTGAAGTCAGAAACCAGTAGCCCCACACAGATTTGTGCAGCATCTTGTGAATCATCTGGCGGACGAGAGTGCGGAAGACAGAGCGCAGAAGTGGTAGACGGTGATAATGCGCAACAGAGGCCGCGTAGCACATGGTTGCGAGCTGGTATCGGTAAGCGTCTTCCCATTCTCCCGAGCCATCGAGCGGCCCCATGTGGTTCCATTCCCCGTCAGCCTGGGTGACAAGATTGTGGAAGTGGCGCAAGTGACCGGCTTGTTTATAGTCTAGCTTTGGATAGATGTCGAGGGAAAATGGTAGTTTGGCTGGGGCAGATGGTGACGCAGCCCGGAGAGTGGTCCCACGAGCTTCGCTGGTGGTTGCGATCGAGGTCGTTGTTGTCGACATGGTGACGGCCTCGAATGACAGGTGAAAGTAGCGCCTCACACTGATGACACGACTCGCCGTGGTAGAAAGCGTCTTATACAATCAGGAGTCCCCGCAAGGCAATACTAATGCAACACATAAGTGCTGCCGAGGCTCAGGCGCCCGCACGGCATGCCTCCGATCCACTGTTATATCTTTGGTCAATGCACCTACACCCCAGCGGCTCTAAAACGGTCATACATACAGGCATCAGTGCGTCTCGTCCCCACATCGCTCAAACACACTAGCCATGCTGGGGCGGTGTTACGTATCAGGAGACTTGTATCTTACCCGTCAGCAAGAGGATTCTGAAGAATCCAAAGCTGCTGCAGATCTTCGACCCGCCACGCGTCCGCTCGCAGTGTAATCAGTAAAACGGAGTTTACTTTCTCCGCATTCGGTATCTCCTACATCTCCAGTGGCCAGTCTTGGATACGAGACTCGTTTGTTGGTGTCGTCGATCCTTGGCGCAACGAGGAGCAAGGCATACTCGGCCGACCGGTCGAACTGTAGAGCCGAGCAAGCGGGCCAATCCGTAATGCGTTGACTGCGTTGGAACTTCGTTGGTCTTCTTAGGCGAAAGAGTCTGCACAAGGTAGGCTTCTCGAAGCGTTGACTCGGAGCCCGTCTCACCTATGTGTCCATTCGGTGGTGGAATGACTGCATACGGGACGAATGGGAGATGGAAGGAAGATACAAGGCGACGATTTACCATCTGATTAAATGCAGGTCCACCTTAGTACTGGGCGGAACATATTACTAACAGCACGCTTGAAAGCACGTTCGAACACTCCGCAGACGATCCGATAAAGGACTCTTGCGAGGATCTTCGAAAAGTCGAGGAAATCTGCTAGAAAGCGTGCCTGAAAATTTTGAGAGAAGCATTGAGCATGTTAATGTAGCTCTTAGAAAAATCCCCGGCAGCACGACCCCCCAAATCCCCACTGCAATCCCTCCGAACCCCAAAATCATATCTTCCATGTTTGAGCTTGTTCGGGCGATGCGGAGATGCCCCTGCCGCTGGTCGTAGTGGTGGTAGCGCCTCTGCAACCGTCGTGGTCTTATGTGTCGCTGAGAAGCCCTCTCAGCGATCGAGGTTGGAGACGTATTCGGGAGGCAATGTTGAGGCTCAGTGCTGTGAAGTGCGAGTTGTTCTCGAGCTTATAGGATCCCAAGGCAGTGCCCACCAGCTAGTCGTTCAAGAAAATCTTTGATCGACATGGATGCTTCTCAATCAGGTATGCTACGTGGCCAAGACCATTGTTGATTGGCTTACTGGTGACAGTGCTTTGTCTTGGGGCGAGAGAGCTGAAAGAGTCAGGCTGGTCAGCTGTGCATTGCTGCGAAGGTCTCGCCATGGTGATGTTCTCAACAGAGCACGCTCCAGACGCTCGCTGCATCAGACCACAAAAATAGCCCGGCTGTTGAAGAGGTCGTCCCACCGGATGTCGCCCCCGAGAATGTCTCTCCGCTTCATTGCCTGGTCGATACATTCGATTGCCCCATCCATGGTTCTTAGCCCTATGGCTAGTCCCAAGGTTTTCATGCGACTGAAACAATGGTGCTGGACGCTGCTGCTCGGCACACGCCACACCAGGAGCTCGAAGGCATGGATGACGAGTGGAAACATTGTAAATCGCCACAGCCCTGGACGGAGTGAAGTCGGGTGCTGCTCACCGAAGCGGAGCATGAGTTGGTCGAGAGTCGTGTCAAGAGTACGGACCTCGTCTTCAAGACGCTCTTCAATGTTGGTATCAGGGACGATTGCGGAGCCCTTGTGTAGGCGCAAACCTGATGAGGCCACGGACCGCAACAGGTAGATCGTGGTTGCGGATTGGAAGCATTGGCCGAGAGCTGCCCACTCGGACACTTCCGACTCTCGAAAAGGAATCAATTTGCGTTCGTTGTGACTCCCGTTGTCTGGAAAGTCTATAATGATCCGAGTTGCCCACTCGTCCGCATCAAAACTGTCCAGGCGTTGGAGAGCGCTCCGGAAAGATGCTTCGAAGCCCTTCCAGCTATCACCCGATGCTTGGGAGGCGAAGGTGTCGACGCGTTTCCGCCAGCTGCTGACCTGTGTGATAATGGTAAGAATAGGAATAGGAACCGGGCAACAGCTGGCGAGAATAATTTGTTCGAGGCTTGGGAGTCGCAAGATGCTATTGCAAGCATCGTCCAGCTCTTCTTGAATTAGCAGTGAAGCTGGAGAAGTCGGCGTGCTCATGATGTCGACAATAACATACAGAGCTAGTGGTAGGCGAATTTGTGGGATCTTGTGCCATGTCTCTACGAGTCCACCAAGACCCTTGAGTAGGCGTCTAGCAGCAAGCAGATGAACATCCCAGCGCGCTATACACGACACTTGTATCTCTGCTTGTAACATCATGAGGACTCCGACGAGCCCCAGGACAGGGTTTCGAGTGGACGGGGCTTTGACCTCCTGTGCTAGCTCTCGCAGTGCCTCGCCGCGATACCGGTACAAATCTGTAACAAGCTCATTCGTATTTCCTCGCACGAGCCTACAATTGTAGACCACCACGAGTAGGGTGCTCTGCAGCATTAAGGGTGCCTTCTTCCAGTCGTCGATTGCCGCAAATAATTGGTGTTGGAACGGGTAGGGGACCAGATCCGGGACAAGAATGTGGTTGCAGTACTCGACTGACTCAGCGATATGCCAGTCTCTGCGGTGAACACCAATGTCGAAGACTTGGCGTGATCTTGTCGGGTCAAGTAGAGCCACTTGTAGATGCTTCGCAGCGTCGACATACTCGTAAACAGGCTCGAGAGGACCGGGGGAGCAACTGCTGCTTGAAGTAGAGGAAGCTGATGGTCGGACGTTGCCCTTCGTCGGTTCGAAAGCGATCCATCTTCGCTGTTTACCGTATCCTGGGCAATTGCGCTGGTCTCGCGCGCAACGACGGCATCGAGGCGTTGAGGAATCGCACTTGACTCGACGTTTTTGACATGTAATGCACTGAGGACCGAGACTTGTGGACAAGGACATGTGGGGCGTGGCTCCAATCCTCCAAACGTTCAGATATTCCTTGTCGTTGCTCTCCTGGAACTTCCACGCGGAATGCGTCGATACATATTACGAGAACTGGGAGATCTGGAATATAGCCAGATGGGATCACTGCCCAGCAATCTTCGCTTTGGTGACCAATGAACAGCGCATCTAATGAGGCGGTGTCAGTCATTCAACTCAGCCTCATCGTATTGCTTCGTATTCACTCAATCGTGAATCTCGAAAGGGTTCTTTGCCGCGACAAGGCTGTCTCAAGGTGACGATCTGGACTTGGAATTTGCAAATGTCATGGTTATTCTATCTTTTCGGCGGGCTTGCCCTTCAGTGCCTGTATTCTGCCAACAATGGTGTGCAGCAGAACCTTAAGCTTGTTGTCCTCGACTTCATCGGCGCCGACGAATCTCCTGACCAGCAGGTTGAAGATGCTTCCAAATGCTAGTGCCATCACCGTACTCGTTAGGATGATGACATTGTATGGCATACTGAAGTCCGGCGTGGGAAGAGGAAGCAACAAGCTCGTTGTTCTGATGTAAACATCCTTTTCACTGCCGATGGCATTGGTCTGGTTCAATACCCGTATCACCGCTGGTGCAACATTGAAGCCTCTGTTGGCGTCTGGTGGATACTCTGTGTATCTCAATATGGCTTTCTCCAGGTCGTATGTCAGCATTACCGTGCTTGCAGGCGGGATAGTCATCATCAGCTCCAGCTGTGTGCCTCGTTCTCGGTCGATGGCAGGACGATAGTACATATCGCCGATCAGCGACTTGTCATCTGCCCAAGGAAACTCGGTTTCTGTGATGCTGGCCGACAATGTGTGCATATAAGGCCGCATGAACCAAGGTAGCGATTCGAAGTAAACGAACGACACTGGGGCACTCGAGGATGGATTGGTAAACAGCACTCGCATGCCACCACTAGCAGCGCCAGTACCGATCATGGTTCGTTCGGCGCGGAGCAGCTCGTGGTCTAAATGGTATGGATTCTCAACATGCTGCTGTGTGAGCTCCACGTCAAATGGTTCGTTGGGCATGAGTTGATAGCAGCGTGATTCGCGTTCGCCAGGGGGAGATTTGAGCTCGAAACCACTGACGCCGATCATGAGCATTCGTGAGTGTGGAACATTGACGCACACCGCCTTGGCATCTGGACCATTCCTCTCACTCAGTGGACAAGTGCCGGTCATCTCTCGGCCAAAGAGGTCGTGGAACGTCCAGGGAAGCTCGTCAACAAGATCGCGAGGGTAGCAGGTATCTTGTGAGTGGTAGTCTTTTGATCCGTCGCAGACAAGCTCCTCCTTGGGTACTGGCCGCGGAATTGGGTTGTCCCTGGGTCGCTTAGACCGTTGAATGTCCAACACAACGTCAATATTTTGCTCCAGTTCCACAATGCACTCTTCCCGATCCGAGGGGCACTTGGGTACAATGTCGATTGACATTGTCTGCCAGTCAGCATCGAACACCTTGTGACCATCCAAAAGGCTTGAAATGCCCGCTTTGCCTTTGCATGGTAGTAGCTTGAGAAATGGTGTCAGATTTTCGGTACAGACCACTTCGCCAGGGAGTACACCATGAAGGAAGTATGTGTCCGGTGCATCCGCCGCGTACTGGCCTGCAGCCGCAAATGTCAGGACGGGCTTGGTCGTTCTGGTCGAGTCCACAAAGTTGAGAGAGGCGCAGAACAATCCTGACAGACTCTGCGTGAGGATAGTCCATTTCTCAAATGCCTCCTTCTCGGAGCCCGCCTCGATCCATGCCCAGAGTTCAACGCCAGTGCCCCCCTCTTTCGTCCCATCCCATGGTCGCGCTCCCCACTCCTCTGGATCCCATCTGCCGGTCGTGAATCTCAAGTGCAGCTCCTTTGTGTCCGCATGTTGCAGTGTTTGCGCCAATGACCTTGGAAAGAGCCTGTAATTCTGCGCCTCGTAATTGCTCACAGTCTCATTGCTCCGAAACTCGAACGAAGCCACTAGTTTCCCTAACGGCAAAGGAGTCAAGTTCAATTGCTCGAAGTAATCGGTAGCAGATATCAGGGAGGCAAGGGCCAGTATGAGGAGAGACCAGAGTCGGGACATTCCTGCATCCTGTCAAGGGACAGGACAGTTGCGGTAGTGGTAGACGTGGATGTGGACTGAGGAGCCGTGAATCTGCGGCCACATATTCGATTTCTCCACCAGGACTTAACGCGAGCCTATGTCCGCCTACTCAGATATTCTTCGAGGCATCGACTTGCAACATCATTTGCCAGGCAACAAAGTCTTGCAAGCCCAGTCGCGCGGCGCACACTGCTCGATACAAGTCTCGAGGCTCTCAGCTCGCGAGTGACTACCTGTACCGCCCTATAAGGCTCCGGCCTGCCCTCATTCGATCCTACAATCCACCACTCCACCAAGAACCATGGCTGCTGAACAGCGCAAGCTCTTGGAGCAGCTCATGGGCGACTCCTTCAATGGCCTCTCCTCGTCGAAAACTGCCAATCTCACACTGACTGCCCCTTCTGTCTGCCGCTCCTACATCGTCGGCACCTGCCCGCACGACCTCTTCACCAACACCAAGCAAGACCTAGGCCAATGCCCCAAACACCACCCGGAGCACCTGAAGATCGAGTACAGCGGCCTCCCGGATCCCGAAAAGCAGAAGCTTGGCTTTGAATATGACTACATGCGCGACATGCAGAAGTACATTGACGAGTGCAACCGCCGCATCGACCAAGCGCAACGCCGCCTAGAGAAAACCCCCGACGAGATCCGGCAGACCAACGCCCTCCTAAAAACTATCAGCGACTTCACCAAGACGATCAACACCGGGCTGCTGGAGATCGCGGTGCTGGGCGAGTCCGGCAGCGTCAGCCTCGCGTGCTCCGAGTTCTACAAGGTGCGCACCGCGAAGCTGGCCAAGGAGCAGGCCGAGCGCGACCTCAAGAGCTTGAGTGACACCAGTGGGCCCAGCGGCCACCAGAAACTGCAGGTGTGTGATGTCTGTGGCGCGTACCTGAGCAGGTTGGACAATGACCGGCGACTGGCGGACCACTTTTACGGGAAGATGCATTTGGGCTACGCGCAGATGAGAAGGACGTATGAAACGTTGCAGAAGGAGTTGAAGGGGCGGGGTCCGCCGCCGCGGAGGGCGGATGATGAGTTAAACGGTCCTGCTGGGCCCAGGGGTGGGTATGGCGATGATTACGATGGAGGTTGGGGTGGGAGAGGTGGTGGCGGCTACGGCAGAGGAGGAGGGTATGGCGGGAGAGGCGGTGGTTATAGAGGCAGAGGCAGGGGGAGGTGGTAAGGGATGCTTACCGTAGCCTTTGACGACTTGGTCTTAGCAGGGCGTTTGGTATGGACCCAAAAGGAATGATGCTTTCGCAGCGTGGTAGCATGAGATACCCTTAGACAGCTGCTAGACGGGGTGAAAATCAAGATAATTTTCGAGAAACCGAAGGATGACGGATCTGCCCCCTGTTGAACCATATCGTTTGTCCTGTGTATGCAGTGCTCGAACGCTCACGATTTGCCCCCCTCGGAAAATGCCATTCAAATTCGCGACACGGGATCATGCCTCCATCTGGTCGGCCCAGCTTTTCCCGGCCGCGGCCCTGTCAGAGTCGACTCGGGCAGGTGGGGGAGGCTTCTGGCTTTTGTCTCCCTCGGGCGTCGGTTTCGAATCCTTTGCGGTGCCAGAGCCAGGCAAAGCAGGAAACTCATCAGGCGCGTTCACATGAGGCTCCCTCTGTGATTCACGACCCGAGAACGGGCCAACTCCTCCGCGAGCACCACCACGTCCGCCTCGACCGCGGCCTCTCCCTCTACCACCTCTGCCCCGGCCTCCACCTCGATCATCATTCCACTCATAGATGGACAAATCCTGCTGCTCTTCATCCGCATCCCGCGCCCGCGGTGTGAAACCCCTTCCAGCAGCCAGCTCTTCCTTGTCTCTGTCCCATTCCCGCCCTTCTCTCGCACCCATCTTCCTCGCTCGGTTCTTCTCACGCTCTCCCTCCATCTGCTTCCGCTCGCCTTCTTCTTTGCGTCTCCTCGCACCCGCCATGCGCTCGCGCTCGGCAAACTCATCCGCATCCGCCTGTGCTCGTGCATGGGCAGCAGCTAGACCGACTGACTTCTCCTTCGCGGCGGCGAGTTTGGCGGACAGCTCCTCTTCTGTGAGTTTTGGTTTGGCGAAGCCACCTGTGGAGGAGCGGTCGCCTCGAACGGCTTGTGGACGGGGCTTGGCAGCAGGGCCGGTAGGGGCAGACGGAGGCGCATTGGCGGGAGATGATGAGGCTGCAGCGTCTGTGTCATTGGGGGGTGTTGGGATTGTTTCTTCTGCTTGCTGCTCCGGCGCTGCCGGTGTTACGGTGGGCGCCGGCTGCTGAGACGGCTTCGTGCTCCATTTTGAGTCGGATAGGTTGTGGGCACCTCGGGCGGTATAGGCACCTTGTTGTCGAGGCGCGCCGCCACGAACGCCGCCCCGTAGTAAATGTTGGGATGGTCCTCTTCCACGTCCACGACCTCGGTTTGAATGTTGTGACGGTGTCGACTGCGGAGATTGGTCTGCAGGAGGGAGTGGTTGCGTCGGGCCTGGTGGGGGTTCGAGGGAGATTTGTTCGAGATGTTGAGTCACTTCTTGTGCGGGCGTGCTCTGCTCTATGGGTATAATCTCATCGTCGAAAAGATCGTCGTCCCCACGAGACTGGGAAAATTCCTCCATTGTCGCTTAACAGGCGTTCGAGGAAAGGTGGTGGTTTGTGTGGGCAGCACAGTCGAGGGGCCATGTGGGGTGCCGACGGCCGAGGGCGGGATTTGGGGGCAGCGGGTGCGCAATGGGCGCTAAAAGAGGCAACGTAGCAAAACGGGCTGTTTGACCATCAATAGCATCTGCCTTGTCTGAACCATCACACAATGTGTAAGCATCTCATGTTTACCATCTCCTTCATTGCCCTCCGCTGTCAGGACAAGACCGTTCTCCACATGATTGTCTTCAGTAATCGAGTATCAGCCGTGACCCTGACGTGGGGTACCAACCTCGATCACCGCCTCCCGTCTGGCACAACCGCGGACCAAGAATTCATATCAACACCTCCGCCACGGAACCAGCAGAAGCGAGCTTGCCCTTTGTCCATGATATTGCCCAATGCGGCTCAAACCAGAGCGGTGACGTAACACAGTACACACCAGGCCTTGTTGTGTGGTACTAGTTGTAGGCCTGTCCCCCCTTTCCCAGTACAGTAAGTCGAATGAGCTATAGATACCAACATCTGCACATCGCCTAGACCATTAGCTCCTTGAGCATCTGGTCAAGGCTCATTTCCGCAGAACTCCACTGGCTAAAACTTTGCCGAATACGCCTTTGCAGCAAGACCCAGGCAGAGTAACGGCGTAGGTTTGGGGGCGCTGCGAAACACCATATGGAGCTAGTGAACGAAAGTCGATTTCATATGCCTGCCGCAGCGTGTGGGCGGCCGGGTGCCGCACCCATCTTCTGTGTCCTCGCCAGAGTAGCTGACAACAGAACTTAACAGAACTTACTTAAAAGCACAGACACTCCACACCGCTGTTGCCTTGCGGGGAAATGCTATCCTCGTTTAACCTCTATACAGCGAATGGCGCCCAAAAAGCTGAAGGACGGCCGGAAGAAGGCTTACGCCCCTAAGGTTCGCACAGGATGCGATACCTGCAAACGCCGTCGCATCAAGTGTGACGAATCCAAGCCTGTCTGTTTCCGATGTCAACGGACCACTGTCGAGTGCCGGTACACTCCGTCTGCAATGTGGCTGTTCGAATCAGGCTCTGGCAATGCAGCATCCCAGCTTTGCAATGCGGCACATACTCCTCATCCAGGCCCTGTGTTTGATCTGGCTAAGACCAGCTGTACAAAGGAGGAGCAACAGGGCTTCCAGTTCTTCTTCTCCAAGACTGTACCCTGGATATGCGAGCATGGCTATGTGCGATCGCGGGACTTCTGGAATGTCATTCTACCACGCGCATTCCACGTGGCTCCCGCTACACGACATCTAATAACTGCCATCGGTCTTCTGGACACACCAGTCGGATCCTCCGATCCACTTGTGGTTGACCAGCGCTGCGAGCGAATACAGTTCAACTACTCGACGGCTGTAACCGAACTCACATCATTGAATCCTCATCCTGCCGATGTTGCCCTCGCTCCAGTCCTGGCGTGGGTGTTCGACGCGATGATCAACGAAGAGTCGCGTGCTGAGGTACATGCCCAGGCCATGGAGCGGCTGACCATCGCGCAAACTGATGGTGAATCGCCGCACCTGGGCTTGGATGCTTCGCCATATATGTTAGAGCAGATCGTTCATGACATCGGACGATACCGGTGTTTGCGCATCCGGATGGATACCAAAGTCATAGGAGACCAACCTTTATTGCGCGCAGTCATGCTCCGAAACCGACCTCCCGACCCGTCGACGCTGCAAGAACTGCTCAAAGAGTTCCAGCGACACTACGAAACATACCAACCCGGAGACATGACACCAGACTACATTGTCGCAGCGGAAGCCTTCGCTTTCAAAACCCTGGCCTCGGTCGTGGCCAACGTATACCATTCAGAGGTGCAAATGACCATTTTCAGTGCTCTCCGCTTCTTGTGCCTGCTGACGGTCAAGCTGCTGCCGATGCCAATCATGGTCAGCCCAAGCGATCCCGATACCATAGACACCGCGCTGTCATACATTCTGGACTGGATACTGGACCTACACAATCGCGCCATACCAAAGAAAACAGACAGAGAGCTACTGATCGATATCCTCGAGATCATGCTGCCGGCGATGCGGAATCTCACGCCAGCAACGTGGCGCCAAAGGCATGAGCTCGACCTCGAGCAATTAAGTGCACTGTTGCAGCACTGTAGAGCAGTGCTCTCAGCGAAATGAGACTACTTTGGTCGGAAAGCGCGTGACGATAAACAAACAAGGCAATGCCGTCTGAAGGTGACTAAGGGCCAAGTTCGGACCGCCGCTGATACCGCCTCCTGGCGCAATAGCAACATTTATCTTCAGTCCCGATTGCCTACGGTCTGCTTCTAGTCCTGCTGGAGGCCATACCCTCTAGTCGACGCCGACTCACGAGCATCAGGCGACAGTCAACGCTTCAAAACAAGGTACTTTGACATGAAAGGGATCTCGGATCGCCAGCGACCTCAACTCTACATCGGCGCCACGCTCTCTCCTTCGTCAGGCTTCCGCCCGGTCACGCAGTATCTACACTGTTTATTAGCCTCGGATATTCACTGACGGGCGATGTTGCGTCACAGAGCCAGCCCAGACGTTTCTAGGGAGGCCTTCCCCTCCTCCAGCGCGCGCGCCCAAAAGTTTGGATAGAAGGGGAATTCAACACTCACACAGGCCAATACAAATGAATCCTCGGATTCTTCACATCCTTCCGCACATTCACGAGCGCGACCTGCGTCTCCTCCAAACTCAACCCCAGTACCCCCGTCCACAACCGCAGCGTGAACCCTTCGAGCCCGGCCAAGAAATTCACCCCGTGCATCCTCCCAATATCCTTGTAATACTTGTCCTTGGGCCAACTCCCCACGGGCCACTTGTAGCGGCGCTCCTCGACATCGACGAACCCGACCTCGCGCATCCACGCGGCGTACTTGGCGGGCGCGTGCGGGTCGCGGTCCACGCGCCGCATGGCCTCTTGCTGGCGTGCGGACCAGGCTTCGGCGGCGGTGGAGACGTGCGTGTCGTCGTCTGAGGTGATGATGCCTTCGATGTCGATCATTTCGAGGTAGCCGTTGGGGGAGAGGTAGGTGAGGGCTTGCTGGAAGAGTCGGGGATCTATGGGGACGGACCGAGAGTTGTTGGTTTTGCTTTAAGCTTTGAGGATTGGAAAGGGAAAGCTGGGGAGGGGCTTATTGGGGAGAAGGAAGACGGCGGCCAGGAAGGGCTGGGGTTTGGGCCGGTAAAGCCTCGGGGGTTGGGGGGATCGTGTGTTGGTGCTGCTGTGAGTGCGCAGGGAAAGCTAAAGAAGGGACTTACAGTTTCCGGAAGCGCCGACTAAGCAGCGGCCGACGATCAGGTCGAATTTCTGCGTGAAGGTCCAGTCGTTGTTGAAGTCGTCGATTTCGAACTTGAGATTCGGTGGTACGTAGTTGGGTTGGATGGGCGAGAGGTCCACGCCGGTGACGGTGGCCGAGGGGTGCGCGTCGGCCATTTCGATGGCCCATATGCCGGTGCCGGTGCCGAGATCGCTGGATTTTGGAGGAAGATCAGCTGATCAGAGCGCCGAAGGTAGGCAAGGTAGAAGGTGGCTGGATGGAGAGGAGAGTGGAAAGGGCCTGGAGGAAAGGTGCGTAAGGGGGCTGGGATCAGGACTGCAGGCTGTGTGGCATACATACAGAACCTGCTTGATCTTCTCCTTCTTGATGGGTGATGTGAACAGCCTGCCCCCGAACGTACGGAACCACAGCTCGTGCTGCAGGACGAGACGCGCCTGCTCCATCTCGTCTTCGGGAAGCCAATAGTTCCCGTCCACGGTTCTGTCGAAGCGGTGGTAGCCTGGCAGAAAGATGGTTACGAGGATATCACTCGGCGCAAGAAGAGGGTGTGGAAAGGGAAAGCTTGTCCGGGGGAGCTGGCTGGCTCGAGGCTGTGCAAAGGTCCTCCAAGAAGCGTGATGTATAGACGGAGTTTCCAGAGTCAGATACAAGAGAGAAAAACGACGCCTTACCTCTGCCATTCTCACGCACGCTTTCCAGCAGGCTCGAGCGGAGAGACTCCGTGAGCGTCGTTGCGTCTTCGCCTAGGGTAGAGTCGACTTCATCGTCATCTGCGCGGACTTCGGAGGCGCTGGTGGCCATCTTGTGTTCGACTGTGTTCGAGGTACAAACAGAATGGGGGCAGGCGCTGCCGTTTGTGTGTCAGGGTCACATAGAATACTCGGTATGGCAGTGAGGTTGGATACGAGAGGGGTAGATGGGACGTATCTACAGCAATAGCCATGATCATGTTCTTCTGCAGTCGCCCCTCCGGGTCGAACGGCTTGTTTGTATCTCTTTTACCGTGGTACGACTGCACCCCGCCTGAAAAGGATGCAGTGTAGGTGGTCTGCCCTGTGGCTTGCCGAAGCGAGAGGCTGAGGAGGAGCGCGAGAGGCCCCCAATCCTGGCGTAGGCTACCACGCTGCAATTGTCTCCGGTCCGAGAAATCTTGAGGAGCTGCCTACCGGAGTATTCTGGCCCTCGCGTGGGTGATTGATGGGCGTTGGTTGCATGTCAGGCTACTCGATCGTGGAAGATCGACATAGAAACTCGCATGAACATGCTTCTGAATCCGCGGAAACTCCTACTAGCGTTCGGGTGTACTCAATTCTTGTTCCGCGCGGGATGTGCTGCTGGTAGCGAACGAATGTCGAGCGGCGATCCGACAGGGTTGCTAGCGGTTAGTGCCTAGATCGGGGGACAGGCCCATGCAAAGCTAGGGCCGGAGGCATGAGCCTACATAGTGTACTGTACGTACCTATGTGTCCGGTGCTCGACCGTCCGACGGGGAAGCCCGCACAATGTCAATTGCCGGTGAGGTGCAGCAAGCGTAAAGCCTGTAGCTAGATAGACTGGTGGCTTTTTGACATCACGCAGCGGAAGCAGGCAAGATGTCCAGTTGACAGGCGGGGACACCTCGCGTGGAAAAGACAACCATTTGAACCTTGGTGAGCTGTCAATGGAGCTACTGCATTGTATCATGCAGGATCCCACGGCACGGTTCAAGTTGATACGCCGATTCGCCTGAAAGAGGAAATGGAACCGGAGAGCTTTGATCGAAGTCCATAAGTCCATAACACACTTGAATGAAAATGCAACAACCGATCAGGAGGACTCAGAGAAATGAAAGACATTGCTATACGTATGAGTGTTATTTTGTAGTCCATGGGTATCATCTAGGCCTCGCCTACAGCGCTGCGTAATTTTCCGTTGAACTTGCGTTCTGCGCTTTCTGTTTCGGTTGTACGTCGTGAGATGGTCATCAAAAAGGGTATATAAGCATAGTCGCCCATACCAATATAAGTGCAGGGATACAAAGTCCCGTATATCCCACATTCCAAGATCGCGTTTCAAGAGCACCTCACTCGTCCCTCGCTGCGAGCCAGAGACAGGCGTAATTCCAGGCCCTCTGGCCGGAAGCGTCGCATTCAGAATCGAGCCAGAGATATGTGCCCATAATGCTTTTGACCATGGGCCAGGCTCGCTTCTCAGCTTTGATGGTCACGCGGTCGAAATATTGGGCGACCGAATCCATCCATGCGGAGTCATTCATGGTCTCGTAATGCTCAAACGCCAGCATGCTGGCTAGGACCAATGCCCATAGGAAGACCCCTGGGTGCTCCTGGCTAAGGACTTTACCTTCTGCTGGTTTAGTCCATAGGTCGAGGACGGGAAGGATCTTCTTCAAGATCTTCTCCGGCATCTGATTCATTGACGCGAGGGGGTAAATGACGAGTTGCATGAATGCCAGACAGGACAGACGGCAGAGCTCGTAGCCCAGCTCGGTCTTACTGCCACCGAGCCGCTGAGAGACCATAGGCAGGGACAGCAGGTCATGGAGCAGAAAGTGCCGCAGCCAGTAAAGACGTCGAATATCGGGCAAGCTCGAAGCCTTGCGCTGCCACTGTTCAAAATCGACAATGATGCAGCGAATATGCTTCAGCCTGACCATGAGCCGAGCGTAGAGCCAGCGCGTATCCATGAGGGAGGCGAAGCCGCTCAGGAGACGACGGGCGAACGAGATGGCGTCAGCATCGGGCTTGTGCCGAGACGCTTTGATAGCTTCTTCGGTATCGATGATGCAGGGAAATTTGGGAGGCTCAAGCTCGCGCCAGGAAAAGAGGACATCACAACTAGTCAAGTCAGCAGGTAGGGGTGCTGCGGAGCGTAAGAGAGCTTACAATGCGATGCCGGTAGCAAGGCCGGGCGACTGGAGAGTGCTCTTGATGCCGCCCCGGTCCTCGACAAATTTGACCAAGGACAGCCAGTGCTGAGTTCCTGGTCTCATAATCGTATAGTAGTTCATGTCGTTGGCAGCACCAAACGCTTTCCGGTTCTGGATCTTGTCCTGTTTAAAGCCAGAGATATCGTCCAGTGCTCCGTGAGAAGATAGCGTGTTTATGGCCAAGAGAACTCGATCTGACGCCACACCGCCGTTGTTGGTGATGTCTTCTCGAATGCCGCTCATGGCCTCGGTCTTGTAAGAGAGGCGAAGCAGCTGCTTTTCCCTCGGAATCTCCGTCTCCCCCCGTGCAAATGACAGATGCGTCACGCCGGCCAAGACAACGGTATACCAAGAGAGGGCGTCGCTCATGACGCTCATCATGATATGCCGCTTGATCACGCTCAAGTCGTTTGGATCGTCTGATGGCACGAACGCCAATGATGTGTGGTTGATGCAGTGATCAATGACTTCGTGCACATATAGGGGCAGGGCACCAGTGCTCTGATAGACGGTGGAAGGGTAGACGCCAAAGGGATCTAGCCGTCCCGCACCGAGTGGCGACAGGGGGCTAGGTCCAGCATCGTTGCTCGGTCGCATGGACAGTGAATCGGTCCAGGCTGTGGATGGCGGGGTATGGGGCGGCTCTGTCTTCATTACCGAATGTATACTGTTTCGCTTGGGGCGGTGCTTATGCGATTTGCCGACGGTGTTGCGACGTTCTTTGCGGTCCTTACGCGACGGCTGTGCAGCCTTTTTGGACAGACTGCGTTCGGATTTGCTTTTAGAGAGTGTTTTGGTTCGGGGGCGGTAGGGCATTGAGGGACCGGGCTGGTCGTCTTCGCTGTCTGCCTCGGTCATGGTTCGTCCAGTCACAAGGTCGAGATGTATTGACGTCCAGGACCATATTTGGTAGTCGCACCGGAGATTGGGAGCGCTGAACCAGGTCCTAGAGGTCTGCACGTACCGACATGGCCGGTTTGTGGGCTTGGGAGCTTTTGGTCGACCAGAGAAAGAGTCGAGAAAGTCACACTCACCGCAGGGTGCGAGGGGAACAAAGACGGGCGATCCTCAGAGCATTCAGAGCATAAAAGTAAGCGTGGGCGACCAGGGGCATGCTAGTATCGATAGCTTGGATCAGTTAAGTTTCGGGGGTGGGTTCCCGCAGGCACAGGCCTTCTGGAGCCTACCAAGACAATGATGAGGGTGAGCCGATCCAGCGCCCATCCCGCCGCTCCGGCGCAACTGCTTTTCACTAAATGAGCCTTTGGTGGCGTGCTCTGGCCACTCGTCTCCACCACACTGTCTAGGCGGAACACTTGGGAGCCCACACGGTACACACCCACACGGTACACACCCACACGGCCGGCTTAAGCTTCTGACCGCACGGATACCGTTGAGCGATTTGGAGTCAGGAACATGAATATACATTTTCAGCCTCAAAGGGTCGCTCGAAAGAGGTGGCCTCAAAAATCTCACTCTTATCGTTACCCAGGCTGAAGATGCAACCAGCCTGCACCGGCGCAGGTCTAGCCGGGTCTAACACCATCGCCTACGAAGCTTGCTCGCCCCTGGCCCTGGTCCAAGCCCAACTGGGTTCCAGAACGCTGGAGCGCCCAACAGTATGCACAGCTGTGCATAAACCCGACCTCCGTGGGCTCGGTACCAAACTTCGTGTGCTACAAGCTGAACTCGAGCCGGTTCCCTGGCAATTGGGAGCGAAACGTCAGCATTCCTTGACAGCTTCCAAACATGTTCCGTAGGCGTGGCACTGCAACTTACCGGCGTAGTCTCGCGCAAAAAACCGCGTGGGATATTCCACCCCTTTCGAACCCGAGTTCGCCTGCCCAGGCTGATCCGCCTGCCTGGGTGCCGACTTGCCGCCTGCCTGAAAATGCTCCCAGATCCGACTTTGCAGTTCGAACAGTGCCTCAGCTGACGGCAGCTTAAAGCAAGGATGTCGCCTGGATTCCACCTCGTCTGGACCAAAAGCTATGTGGACCTGTTGCCCGCTGGTACCGATGTCAAACCATGCAAGAGTACCCCGCTGGAGCGATGGCACCTCGCGCGGCGTCAATCCCAAGGTCTTGCCGTAGAAATCATTGGCCAGCTCAAGACTGCCTTCAGGTACAATCAGGTTGACGTGCGCAAGGCCGACGATAGACATCTTGACTCAATCGCGAAAATCTTGGTGACTCTTTGGACGAAGAGATTTGCTGACGCTCTGTGAGGGAGGGTCATAAGATGTGGTGGGGCAACCCTCCGTTCAAGTCCGTCGCTGCCGAATCCCCAGCCATTGTACATACATCGTGCGGATATGGTAGGGCGTCCTAGACGTCGCCATTACTCACATCCCACATCATCACACCCTCTTCCGCTAACCTTAAGTTTTGACATAAGAACGTTGGTGGATTTTCCTTATCGTCAGCAGAAACTTTGATAGAATCGCTCGATCGTGACTCGACCTGCGAAAACCTATCCCTGCCGCCTGAGCAATTGGTCGCCTGGAAAACAAGGCAACTAGGCACCCTACTTACCTAGGGTGAATCGACCACGGCACCATGCCACCAGCAACACCCGCCATCAACCCCGCCACTCTGCTCTCTACCACCTCCTACCCAATCCCCGGCAAGATTCTCATCACGGAACACTTCTTCACCGTCCCCCTCGTGCACACCGACCCCGCCTCACGCACCCTCCGCCTCTTCTGCCGCACTGCCGAACCACTCGATCGCCCCATTGACCCGTCGCCCGCCCCCAAACCCAAACAACTCCCTCTGATAGTCTACATCAATGGCGGCCCCGGCTTCGGCAGCGGCCACCCGAAGGACCTACCCTACACCGCCCCCCTCCTCGACAAAGGCTACAAGCTCGTCACCATCGACCACCGCGGCATGGGCCTCTCCTCCGCCATCACCAAAGCCACGCTGCAGCGCGAAGGCTCCCCGCAGCAGCAGGCCGACTACCTCACGCACTTCCGCGCGCCGTTCGCCGTGCAGGATTTCGAGGCCGTGCGCCTCTGTTTGATGCGGGGATGGGACTATCCCGAGGAGAAGCGGCGCTGGAGTATCATGGGCCAGAGCTATGGTGGGTTCGTGTGCACGACCTATTTGAGCATGTACCCTGAAAGCGTCAGGGAGGTGTTTATTTTTGGTGGGTTACCACCTGTGAAGGAGAAGAGGCCGGATGAGACGGTGAGGAGGTGTGTGAGGAAGGTGCGGGAGAGGAATGCGAAGTTCTATGCGAAGTTTCCGGGGGATGTGGAGGGATGTAGGCGGGTCGTGGAGTTTTTGAAGAAGGAGAGGGTGGTTTTGCCGGATGGCGGGTTGCTGACGCCCGCGAGGTGGTTGGAGCTAGGGATCACTTTTGGCATGCACGGCGGGTTGGACGATGTGCATACTCGGGTGGTGAGGGCGGTGAATGATCTCGAAGTGTTTGGCGAGCTGACGAGGCCCACTGCGGAATCGGTGTCGGGATACCTAGGATTCGATCGTGCGATATTGTATGCCCTGGTGCACGAGGTGCTCTACTGTCAGGGCGAGAAGTCTAATTGGGCGTTCGATCGAGTGATTGCGCAGGAGCAGGGGTTTGGTGTAGACGAGCCGCGTGAGAGATACCTGTTCACGGGCGAGATGGTCTTCGGCCGAGTCTTCGACGACTACAGCGAGCTACAGGGTTTGAAGGAGGTGGCTGAGATTCTTCACGCCAAGAGCGATTGGGAAGACTTGTATGACCTGGAGAAGCTGGAAAGGAACGAGGTTCCAGTCTACGCTGCTGTCTATGTCGAGGATATGTACGTGTCGATGGAAACGTCACTGACCACGGCTGCTGTGATCAGGGGTTGCAAAACGTTCATCACAAATCAGATGTATCACGATGCGATTCGGAGCAAGGCATCGGATGTGCTCGCATCTTTGTTTGCGCTAAGAGAAGATACCATCGACTGAATTATTGACGACCGTTGCACCGGTAAAAATGTTCAACGTCGGCGAGGACCCGCCTCAATTTGGCGGTCAGCAATGTTCATCACTTCACCAATACCTGCAGCCTCTTGCTCGTCTTCGAGAGCCATAACCTCCTCTCTAGCATCCCACCAGCGCTCTTCCGCATCCGCGAATCCCTTCTTGCGTAGCTCCTTGACGGTCTGCGTCGAGGTAGCGGTGGAGGCCTGTTTTGCCAGCAGCAATTTTTGCCAGTCCTCTGACGTCCGAGCGAAGAAATCTCGCAGGCTCTCGAATGGGCGAGGGAAGGGACGGGGGTCTTCTTGGGCTTTGTGCTCGGTCTCGACCTCGTCCTTGATCTCTGGCTCCTGGGCAATCTCTGTAGCCGGAGTTGAAGGAGTGTCGACTGACATGGTGTCCTTATCTTCCTCATCGGAATCCATCGCAGAATCTTCGTCATCATCTTCATCCTCTTCATCGTCACTAGGAGCAGCTGCAGCATTCCAGTTGACCGGTTCTTCGTAATGAAGTTCTTTTACGCCATCGAGCTTGCCCAGATCGATTGCGTAGAGGTCGGAAAACGTAATCTCTACGTCCTTCTTCTCTATTGTTCCTCCGAGAATGAACAGCGTATCCTCCTGCACTGTGAGCTGCGCATTGAACCGGGCGTGTGGCAGTTCGAATTTGATCGGAACTTCTCTCTTAGTCTCTAGCTCTTCCGGAGGTGTGTCATTAAGCTTCATCTCCACGTCTTCTGTTTGCGTGACAGATCCCTTTGTCTCGAGTGCGGCAAGATTGCGTAGGAGCTCTTCTTCATCAGCTTTACCCCTGTCTCTTCCGCGAGACACCTGGGTTTGCTTTTTGCCCCCTGCCTTGGGTTTCCGCAAAGCCAAAGGGAAAAAGCGATTTCGATCGATATTCCATATCAACAATTCGTTGAAGAATTCGCTGTCGATGCCCTCTTCGCTGTCTTCGACATCATGAACACCACCGAAGAAGATACCTCGACCTTTGTGGTGAGCCATCGTCGATCCAGTTCGCGGCGGGTTTGGTGTGTTTGCCGGTCGCTTCCTTCGTTCCCACCGCATCGTTGGTGGTGTGCCACTCACTGCATCGTCAGGCGGTGGTGTTATCCGCAGGAACCAAGTGTCTTGGTGAATGAAGGGCTTAAGAACATCCCGTTGTGGTCCACCTTTGCCAGGTTTTGCTTTACTGGTTGTAATCTTGACTCGTGAGTATCCGCCGAAAAGCACGGCGCCAGACTCATGGGGGAGAAAGCTGAACGAGGATCTGGGGTCCGGCTTCTGGCTGGTCACAGTTGCAAGTTTTAGTTCGTGCCAAACGTTCTCCCTGCAATCGAAGATCCAAGTGTCGTTGAGGTATCTGGTCTGCTGACTCGTGTCCTGGAACCCACCGAAGAGAATTATGTAGTTCTTCCAGTAGGTCATGCGGTGCCCGCTTCTGGATGGAGGGCTTTTGCCTTTTCCCTTAGGTTCAATTTGAGTCCACTCTCGAGTATCGGGATCGAGCATGTAGAACGAGTTGAAGTGATAGAAAATTCCTTGTTTGGGGCTAGAGAACTCGCCACCGAACAAGTAGATTTTCGCTGTATTTCCGCTTCGACACCAAGCATGACCGGACCTGGGTGGAGGGCTGTTAGGAGAGGTCACTTGGCTAAACTCACCCTTGCTGATGTTGTACACAAAAAGATCATTGTAGAACCGGCAGAGTCCTGTCTGATCCATGAACTCTCCGCCAAAGATGAAAAGTTCGTTGCGATTACTGGGAGAAGCAACCATGGAACAAGACGAACGTGCCGACGGTGGGCTGCATTTCTCTTCTGTCACCTTGAGAAAATGTGCTTGCTCTTCAGCATAGCGGGCCAGCACTGCATCAAAGTCCACATTGTCCTCCGCGTCGCTGTCGACATCTGCGTTTTTGGCCTTGACCTTCTTCTCGCCTTTAGCCGCCTTCTTCGCCTGTTTGGCTTGTTTTTGGGCTTTTGCCTCGGCTTTGGACTTCTTGTCCTTTGCTTTCGGCATTTTCTCAACTTTACAATGCGGCGAGCAGTAGAAAGCCAGACCCAACTCCGGATTTATGCTGCTCTTGCCCCAATATTCTCAGCCTTATTATGTACACGTGACTACCCGTTCAGCCTCGTCGCGTCTGCAGAAACGCGTTCCGCCAATTGCCGACCCCTCGCGAATCTAGTACCTGCAACGCTACAACTCCACCGCTGCACCCGAATGACTCTGATCTTTTGCACCCTCGAACAACAATGCTGCCCAGCAGCATGAGTTTGCTTCCATATGACCTTGCACAATCTTGAGCAGAACCTTACATGGCTTCTTACTCAGCATCATTCTACGTATCATCATTTACAACATACCGCTTTGCCCGTGATAACAAGTTCTCCAGCGGGTGGTGATGATGGACAGACCCAAGCGCCCGAGAACATGGCAAGACTACAAGCTGCCCCTCAGACCAACACTCGTCCACGACTCCTGGCGCAGCACGCCATCAATACTGGCCTCCCGACACCCTCGCCCTCACGATCGCCCGCTCGTGGTGCTGCCTCACGACCGAACGCCTCACTACCGGTGACGCCATCATTAGATACAGAGCCACGGAGTCGTGCTCTAACACGACTCCCATCGTCACGCACTGCCAGAGAATCTCAAGTCGTGGACATTGATGATATCCAAAGTGACGGAGATGAGAACCCATCCACCGATGAGGTAACCACATCAACCTTCGGAGATTGGGAAACACCCGAGAGACTATGGGATCACAACGCCGCGGAACGTATTCATCCGCTCTCCTCGAGCAAAGGCAAAAAGAGAAAGAGCAAGGAATATGACGCCGATGCCGTGGTGCCTTCAACCGGCAGGCGCCCGAAGAAGCGCTTGACGAAAAGCCCCGCCCCTTCGTTAGATCCTGGCGACTTCGACGACAGTCTGATGCAAGCCGTGTGTCACTCAGACAGCTATGTTGGCCCACGAAGGAAGCGATCCGCCACGTCAAACGGGGTCGAGTCCGATACAATATCGAGCGCTGGATTTCACGACCTATCGGATTTTGAAGAGGCTGGCCCCACGCAGCGACCGTCCAAGGTCAAATGTGACACTGATCCGAGTCAGGATCATCATGGCCCATCACGCGTTGATATTGTGCCAGATTCTGACGACGAAGGAGATATTATCAGTCCTACCAAAAAGTCTAAAGCTCTTTCCCTGTCGGATCCGGGCTCCGTAGCTTCTATATCGCTGCCAGAAACCCGACTCAGCGAACCTGTACGAGACTTGGTCACAAATCGGTCTCCGGGTACCCAGGTCTTACGATCACGTGAAGCTTCGCAAAATCCTCCTGCGAGCAGTGGAAAGCAGCCTACAACTGGATCGAGTTCGGCTCAGGAATGCAGCGGGCCCCCTCTTGAAAAATTGACAGTGGCGGAAAAGGCGATCGTCAAGGACTTCATGTTGGTGAGATCAGAGCGTATTGAAGACTTGATCCGCCGCCTCGAAATCTCCTCGAAGGCGGCAAATGCTGAATATTCGCAACACCTTTCCGAAGCCGGAGAGGTATCTGCCAGTCTGAAGCAGAGAAAGAAACTTGCTGCTGATAGGCTGAAGGCCACGCGTAAGGTCCTCGAGCTACGAGACGGACTTGTTCACACTCTGGAGGAGAAGCATCAAAAGAAGACACATCTAAACAATCTGCTGGACGAGGGACATGAAGAGGATTCCGACGACGAGCACAACATACCAAGCGCATTATGCAAACTGATAGTGCGACTCGTACATATTGTCGATCAGCGAGAGTCGGAGCTCTTTCACCAACTTCAATTGGCCGGCTTGTCGAAAGAGTCTACCCGAGCTGAGATGTTCAATACGGTCGCAAAGGGCCGCCCCTCTGCCACCCCTGCTGGCGCCATTGGAGTTCTGGTCGCGTCGACTCAAAAACCCCGTACACGAAGCCCAGAAAAATTGCACGAGCCTCCGTATCGAGTCGAGGATCATGCAAGTCAACCTGTCATTCAGACGCCTGTGCCGAAACAATTCTCACCGAAGAACAAGCTCCATCGCCAACAGTTCTTGCCGCCTGAAGAACCGTCAATGACCCCCTTTCCGCACCGATATTCATCTGAGCGTCCATCTGAGGACCATCATGCTGATCGTTCACCGATGCCACGCCGGATTAAACCGTCATCTTCCGGCATGTCCTTCTCGGCACACATGGGCAGTCCTAGTGAAGTGGCGTTTGCAGATGAGAACTTCGAGATGGACGAGGATGATACAGATCTCCTAGATGCAGTAAATGCATATGATCAGAATTCAGGAGCCCCTGGTATCAGCAGAAACGTTCGTGGAACTAGCCGGCCCGCCATGGGTGAGCTAAGCACCAATGTACGACATTTCGACAGCACTCAATTAGCGCCAGCCTCCATAACCCAGCCAGACCCTGCTTTGGAGAAGCATCCGTGGTCTTCGGATGTGAGAAAAGCTCTTGCCAAGCGTTTCCGCCTTAGGGGATTTCGGCACAACCAACTCGAGGCGATTAACGCCACGCTGGCAGGCGATGATGCATTCGTACTGATGCCCACTGGAGGAGGGAAGTCACTCTGCTACCAGCTCCCATCCATCATTCAATCGGGCAAGACTCGCGGAGTCACAGTCGTCATCTCACCTCTACTGAGTCTCATGCAAGATCAGGTAGATCATTTGACTCAGATACATATCCAAGCCTCGTTGTTCAACAGCGAAATCACGCCTGAACACAAGAAGCTCGTACTCCAGTACTTATGGGGCCCTGAACCTGAGAAATTTGTCCAGCTACTCTACGTCACGCCGGAAATGATGAGCAAAAGCACCAAAATCCTGGAAGTTCTACAGAAATTACACCGAACCAGGAAACTTGCCCGCATTGTCATCGACGAGGCACATTGCGTCAGTCAATGGGGACACGATTTTCGCCCCGACTACAAGGAACTCGGCAAGGTGAGACGGCAGTTCCATGGCGTTCCTGTCATGGCTCTTACCGCCACAGCTACCGAGAACGTGAAGATCGATGTGATGCACAATCTGGAAATGGACAACTCCAAGATCTTCACACAAAGCTTTAACCGGCCGAACTTATCCTACACTGTGCTGAAGAAAGACAGGAGCATACTCACAAGCATGGCTGAAACTATCAACCGCTCTTATCGCGGACAGACTGGGATCATCTACTGCTTATCGCGCAAAAGCTGCGAGACTGTTGCCAAAAAGTTACGGGACGAGCACGGTATCAATGCGGCACATTACCATGCCGGTATGGAACCAGAAAATCGTGTTGCTGTTCAAAAGAAATGGCAACGCAACGTTTTCCACGTCATTGTTGCAACCATAGCATTCGGCATGGGCATCGACAAGCCAGACGTCCGCTTTGTGATGCATCACACTCTGCCAAAGAGTCTCGAGGGGTATTATCAAGAGACTGGCCGTGCAGGGCGTGACGGGAAGCCATCGGGTTGCTATCTCTATTATGGATTTGGTGACACGACTCAATTGTGGCGCATGATCAACGATGGAGACGGTAGCTGGGAACAGAAGGAACGACAGAAGCAAATGTTGCGAAACGTGATTCAGTTCTGCGAAAACAGAAGCGATTGTCGCAGGTTGCAAGTGCTCGCGTACTTCAATGAGCACTTCTCAGCCGACCAGTGCCAAGGTACGTGTGACAACTGTAACTCTTCGAGTGTCTTCGAGATGCGCGATTTGTCCGTCCACGCCCGTCATGTGGTTCGGCTGATTGAGCAGCTGGCCCGGGCTCAAGTGACCATGAGCCACTGTATTGATATCTACCGAGGCGTTGGGGGCAAGAAGATGGCAGACCTAGGTCATGACCAGCTGGAACAATTCGGGCTGGGAAAGGAACTTGAGCGCGAGGATGTGGATCGTCTGTTTTATCGACTGGCCGCAGAAGAAGCCATCGAAGAATATCAGCTGCAGAACCGCATGGGGTTTCCAACTCAATATGTACGGCCAGGTCGTCTCTGGGACGCATTCGATCGTGGAAGCTCGAAGCTCACTATGCAGTGTCGAGTGTCGCCCAGAAGCAAGGCAAAGGCAAAGGCGCCTGCCAAAGGCAAGAAGAAGAAAGTTTCTACGGGGGTCGAAGCTGCATCGGACAATTACCCAGCTTTGACAAACGTTTCCTCACCTCTCCAAGCCCGAACCGCACCTCGTTTGGCCCGCAAACAACGCATTGTCGAATCTGACTCGGATGAAGATTCCCAATTCGAGCCCGTCCGTCGAGCAGGGGTTGCTCAGCCGACTAGAAAGCGTGGGCTTGGGCCGCCAATTACCATTGATCAGAAGCTAGCCAATTTGGATGAAATGCATCAGCACGTTCTCGAAGACTTCGTGGAGAGGGCTCGGGACGTGGTGCAGAAGGTTATGATTGAGAACAACATGCGAAGGAGGGCCATTTCTGATACCATGCTTCGAGAGATGGCGATTGAATTCCCACGCACCGAAGGCGAATTGCTACGCATCAACGGAATGACGGAGGACTACCTGTCAATTTATGGGCCGGACCTGCTTAGGTTGATCGAAACGGCTCACAGCAACTATCTCGCGATCAAGAGTGCGCAGGAAGACGAAGCAAACGACGACGGCCCTGGCCGTGCTGAGTTCGTAGAAATCAGTGACGATGAAGATGACTTTATCGTGGATGATGATGATGACGACGATGATGATAAAAGCGATGCTAGTCCTTCAGGGAGAAGTCGCTACTTTGACGCAGGCAATGATGTGGAGCAGTACAACCGTCAGAGTAGGTCATGCCAGCTTCTGTCGTTAACCTTCTAAAGTGCTAACCTAGAGGCAGTATCTCAGATGTGGACTTATAATGCGGCATCGGAAGACGCCGGGATCAGCGCGACCAAGGCAAGCTCTCAGTCATACCCGACTAACACGAGCAAAGGCCATGGCAAAAAGAAAGCTAGCGCACGTAGCTTTGCCAAGGCAAAAAGCGGCGCAGGTGTTAGCAAAAAGAAGAAATCGTCAATGGGCTCGAGATCCAGCGCTGGCAAGGCAGGCCCAAGTAAGATCACATCCTTCTCTTCACGGAAGAGGGGGCCGAGCAGCAGCAAGGCGGGTGGTCGTTCTGCGAATGGGAGCGGCGGCGGCGTCATTGGCATGATGCCGACCTGATGATGGTTAGGTGGATCTACTGTTCTAACAGTCCTAGAGACGATCATGATGCATATAGTACCCTGGCTCCTGCCGAATCGGCTCCAAACACTCTTCCCATGTTCGACTTTTTTCAGGGCAGGGGCAACCTTGGTCGAAGCAAAGGTGAGCTTCCTGCCGTGGGACACAACTCATTTCATCATCCTTCCTGCCACTCTCCTCGTCATCCCATCCACATTTTCATCTGCATCTCGTCAGCACCAGGCATGATCGTATTCAAGCATGCGCGTTGAGCATGAGAGATGGCCCTGGAAGAGATGTCTGGCAATGTCCGTCGAAGCACTGACCGTCCTCGCGGCAAGGTCGAACCTCATGGGGCATCGTCGGAGCTTGTTGCACCGCCCGATGCAGTGCTTAGCATGCTCAGAACCACTACAGAGCTAGGAGATTTGGGGCAGTTCAGTTCGGGTCCTTCTCGATTGCCTCGATCCGCTTCCAGAGTCCAGACCACGAGAGCTCGATCCGGCTCGTTTGATACCTCGTTCGCTTCCGCTCTCCGGCATCAACGATCTCCATATGCTCGTCCCCCGGGTCGAAACCGCGGACCTCGTCCCGTACATTCTACCTCTACTCTGTCTGCTCGCCACACAAGCCATTCGAACCTCAGCTCCTATGCTCCATCTACCAGAAGCCGACGTCATCCTCCGGGCCGTCACCCGTATCCTTTGCAAGGCCTAGCCAGCCCCAGCCCGAGCCTCTATACGCATCGCTCCCTGGTCACATTGAGAAGCAATAGAGATGTCTACAGCATTCGGTCAGATTCACCAGGGGGTCCGCCGGCTCGTATGCGGATGCGGCCCCCACCGGTGTCTTCCCCCTCGTTCACAGAAAATCGTTCGTTGCATACTCCTCAGCCGGGCTTCATGCGAGCTCCTAGCACAGGCACAGTCGCATCTTCTCCTGCTTCCATGTATCGTCGCCATGGGCCTTTTCTAGGTTATCGTCACAACATGAATGGATCATATACCTCACTCCAGCGTCTGCCATCGCCAGGATATCCACCAAATCCGCACCACTTTCTCCCTGGCACTATTCAGACACCTACACCTTGGCAGCAACCATTTGGCGTATCCTCTGGGAGTACGATCTCTCTCCGTGGGATCCCACAATCGCCCACAGGATCGACAACACCTGCATATTATGACTATTCTGAGTCTTTCGCAGAGGAGAATTGCTTCTCGCCTGAAGGTGACCACCACCACGAGGAAACCCTCCCCCCAGCAGGTGCAGCTGTCGAGGGAGCACAAACACCTCCTGGAAGGCACGCACAGACTCCATTTGGCACCATGCAAGGCTCTAAATTCCACCCGGTGGAGCTGCCAACGAGGCACAACCGACGCCCAAGCGAACAATCCAAGCCAGCCTCAAAACCCGGTTCGAGGCACAGCGCAAAACGTAGCCTGAACGGCGTCGGGCCACCAAAGGTCTCAAATCTCGAGGCCGGCATGGAGCTTGCGAGCCCGAGCAAGCTAGTATGTTGACCTTTATCTGTTTAGTGTTTTTCTGACTCCTCAAGGGCGACATTCGGCGGACTCGCAGTGAAGACAGTGGCCCAAGTTCTGCCTCACGGAAGGATCTCCGACGAGCCTCAACAATTTCTCGCCGCACAATGGCGGCATCGCCATCAGGTGGCTTCTTCCTGAGCGCGTCACGGAGCCCTCGCGACCTGACCATGCTTGCTGCCAGAGTACATTCTCCGCCATTACTGCCGGGCAGAAAAAGTCTGCATGCAACGAGCAAGAATAAGACGAAACTACCGAACAAGGCCCAGCAATCTCCTTACAACCAAGATGCAGAAGGTGAAAGCGCAGCGAGTCGTGATGCAAGGGCCAGGCACACGCCAGATTGGCGACTGCCGGATTTCTCGTTCCGACCCATGTCCTTGATATCAGTTGAGCCTGGCCAATCGACGCGGCCAAAGACCTCCGAAGCCACGCCCAGAAGAGCTCAATCCGAGATTCATTCGCCGATGCCCAAACGTCCGACGTCTTCGCAGAGTCGTAGGCGGTTTAGTAAAATCCTAGACCTAGACACGGGAATAGATGGCGGTGAGAGGCCGAAACTAATGAAACAGCATAGCTGTGTCAAGGAGCCCACGCTGAAAGTGGTTGAAGAAAGTCCTATCAAGCACAGAAACCCATCTGGTCAATCTGCTGCCACTCCTGAATCTGCGATCGGCACTGATTTCTCTTCACTTGGCCAGTGCAGAGACACAGGCGACGAGACGGATATAAGAGTGAGCGAGATAACGAACCACGACAAGTCGACAGTTGAGTCCCTCCTGGACAGGCATATTGAATGTCTAGGTTTGAGTCCAGAGAATGGTGGTAGTCAAGAGCCTACTGAGAGCCACGACGTGCTTGTAGACGAGAGGCATACAAGCACGGATGTATCAACGATCAGACTGACTGATGTGCTGGCATCGATACCGCTTCAATGTGAGCGCCCAATGACAGCTTCGTCACAATTGTACTCCAGTTTGGCAGCATCGTATCGACAAGCAATGAAGCCCCGCCGACTTTTCGGGAGCATGGATGCAAGAGTTCCTGGAACAATCCATGAGCGGTCACTAGAATCCGAGAGAGACTTGCCGCGCTCGGGAGGCTCACGTCCCTCGTATGGCTGGCAGACTCTGCCATCGACAAGTCATTTGCGGCTTTCGTCTATAGGAATGCCCACTCTGACATCTGGCTCTCTTGCTGATGTCGACACTAGCGACACGAAGTCAAAACTACGGATCAGGCGCCGCTCCCTGATGAGTGTAAGCCCGTCTGAGGCATCGGAACTCTCCTCCTTCTCCGTAACAAAGGCACGAGCCATATCGAGACTTTTGCACCAGAGGTCCAGGAGCGACATCATTGTGAGACAGGAGTCACACCGCAAGAGAAAGCTCCGTATTCGATTGAAGCTCAGAAGCAGATCGAAGACGGTGGGTGACATATCCACAGAGACGTTTCGCCCGCCAAGCAGGCCTGAGCTGCCAGCACGATTACGTCCATCCATACCGCCACGGAAAGAAAGCCTGAAGTCACCAGTGGATGGCTATGCAGAGCTTAGCGGTGACTCGGTCCCAGTATCGCAAGCGAACTTACGCCTTTCTCGTTCACCTCCGATTCCAACGCGGTGGTCCAGCATCATCGCCGCTATGCCACAGCCTAGAAGAACAGACGATGAGATAGTCCGGAAGACATCAGTCAGGACCCACAGATCTCAGACAAGTAATACCAGCGTCGTCAAACCCCTCAACAGCACCAGATTGAACGGCCCCATTCCTCGTATGGGGTCCGTACCCCAGCTGGCACCGCCCGAATTCGGCCCTCCACTTACATATTCTGACTTGAATCTCAGCATTCCATACGCGGCGGTGCCATCAACTATCAGACCTAGCCTTAGGGAGACAAAGAGCTTTTTCTCGGACGACAGCTCCGCCAGAAGACAACGCAAGAGCCTGAAGGAGAAATTGCACTTGCACAGCCTGCGCAATGTGGTTCCTGGTTCAGCCGGCACGAGCCTGATTGCCCATACTGCTCGGTCCAACGACGGCATTAAGCTCAGCCATTCGTGCCAACTGAAGGGTCATAAGCCTGCGGCGAATCCGCGCGAGCTGCCTACGGACACTATTCCCATGACTGACTTTACGTATAGGAAGCGAAAGATGCTGGAGAGATTGAAAGAATGGTGGAAGAGGCAGTGCATACAGAAAGTGGTGACGGGAAAGAAAAGGAAAGCGAGGACTGTGCCTGGAGCTCCTGCTTGGTAGGAAATGGATTTTGTGGATGAAGAACACGACGACGATCAAGGTGGTGTTGACAGCAGTCGTCTTTTTGGGAGGGCGAGGCTGAGAGTCAGGGGGAGCATACTTATGCAGCATCGCATACAAGGCATATTCTGTCTGGGAGACGGTGTGAGAGGGGTCGGCAGGGCATAAGGGGCTCCGTCTGATCGTAATGTGATGTGTAGCGTACAGTGATGCTTTATGTGACGAGTGATGACCAGAACCTTCCATTGATATCTCATTGTATCGTATATCATTCCGCGTGCCTTGCCAAGACTACGCCGTTTCCGCGGGGGAGCTTGATGCCACTGCACCGGTTCGCGGTTAGCCTTGTACACACGTTGAGCCCGTGCGCTTGCGAGTCGACACTATGGATGCACCAGATCTTGAACCTAGGACAGATCTCTGGCTAATCGCTAAACGAAGATAGAGGTTCTCTGTCGACATGGTTGGCTCAGAGGGTCAGTCACACTAAAGGTCCCCGTTTCCGCTGATTCGCCGCCCTGCGTGCGAGCATCTGCACCTAGCCGGTGTCATGAAGGTGAGAGGGAACCCGTGAAGGGCTGACAAACGTTGGGGCGGGGTCCGAGCTGTATAGGCCTAGATAAAGCAAGAGAGGAGGCTGGGAGTTGACTTCCAACAGACGGGGATACCACGCATTCAATGGCGGAAATCCTCTACCGCGTACATAACTCGGAAGCTTCAAAGTTCGCTTACATAGGCTGCTCGTCAAGCATGACCTGCGTATGCCCAAGTCTTTCGCATCTCTGTCCGCCCGCGGCGGAGCAGTAGCGTCAAATTGCCGCACCCCATTCGTTCCAAGCACCTAACTGGTCATTCGCATCAAGTTCTTCCGTCGCGGAAAGGTCTCCCATGTCGATGCTTCCGGATCTGCCGTTTTGGCGCATCTTTGGACTCTGTACCTTGGGGCCTTGAGCCGGACATTGTCTACATCCTCGGTGGCGCCATAGGGGATGCACTAGCGCTTGTGAGCTCCGGAGCTTGCTTGATGGTCCCGGGCCGGGATGAGCCACCTGCGTGTGCAGGAGTAGGGCGCCCTCGGACGAAAACATCTTGCCATCCTCCGAGCACGACCGGCAGGGGCCGGTCGATCGAATTGCCGCGTGGAAGATGTATATGTGGCGGAGAAGTTCAAAGAAGTCGGAGAATATGGCGCCGCATGGCTCGCGCGTCAACGCCATCGATCGATCACAGTGGTGGCGTATTTTGTAGAATATCAGGTGGCTATTGTGAGGAGAATTGCTGTTGACAAGACAATCAAACACGAAATCCTTTACCCATGGCTCAGATCCATAATGGTGAACTCGTCTTAGATGCTGAGTGAGAGCATCTTTGCGGTAGAACGTCCGGTCGGCCACTGACTTCGTCCAGCACTGGAGCATGAGATGATGACATGTGCTGGGGTCCCTCAGACACACAGGACATCTAGGCCTTTCATTGGCGACTATCGGTCCGCATGTGCAGCTTGCAACAATTTCGTGAACAGACTCCCGGTGTCTCCGTAAGGTGAACATGGTCTTAAAATTCTTGCCACATTTCGAACAGACATGCTTCCCGGACTGGGTTGCAGACTGACTGTTCTTTGGGTGGCCATAGGACTTGCGACCACGTCTTGAGCCCATCGAAGCGTAGCTGCTCGCTGATCCAGCGCTGCTTCCTGCTGAGCCCGAATTACGAAGATCGCTTGCATCATAATGATCATATTGCGACGAAGAGTGACCGGTGGGACGCCAATTCACCAAGTCTTCGTCGCGCGCAAACCTTCTGAACTTCATAGGTTGATTGGATGTGGAGCCGATGGTGCCTCCGGTTAGATCTTCGTCTCGTGGAAGCAGTTCGGACAATCCGCTGGTGGGCAAAGTGCTATTCAATCTTGCCGTGGCCAACTCCCATTGTTGCTGTCCTCCTGTAGATCCGCTGCGTGACGGGCTTTGAACTATGTTCGAAAACCTGTCCTCTGAGAACTCTGGACGAGGAGCTGTGCCATCGTCGCAATGCGTGTCTATATACCATTGCAACAATGTGCCATCGTATTCTGAAAAAGTTTGCTTGTAGCCTTCAAAATCAGACGATTGAAGACTTGCATCTTCAACTCTCTTCTCGTACGGGGCACTCCTCGAAGAGTCGACTGAGTGTCGACTGGGAGGCCTGGCTTCAAGAGAAGCCTCTGGGGCATCTTGTCCAACACTTCCACGCGACAAATTGTCGGAACAACACTCCAGATTTGCCCCATCTAAACCTAGCGTAAGGGCCTGGTGCAGGCCAAATGGGTGTCCGGCAATAGCATCGGCTGGATGTGGCACGAACTCGGCCTTGGACATGTGTCTTCGACGAAAATTGGAGATCTACTGCTGGACTTGTTTTTTCGGAGAGACCTGTGGTCATGGCCAAGGCACGCTTTTCGTCGACAGTCAGGTAGGGGTCGTCTGATCGCGGGGCTAATCAATCGCTGAGAATGTCGCGCTGCTTCAGCCGAACTGGGGCGGATCGTTCCACATGACAAACTTCGGTTATCCCGCTTACTAGGTCTTCCATTAATCATACAAAACTATTTACTTCGGCGAGTTCAAGACGCGTCGACTTGCGCGTCAATTTGCCCTCTCTGAATGTCTTATGCTCATGCGACTGACCATAAAGAGGCCGGTAGCGATGAGCCAACGCTCATGTCAAACCTTCTCTCCAGAAAGCGGCTGAGATTCGCCTGCATGAAGTTCGCACGAATACGAGTGCCCGGGCGCCAGATCGCGATTGCCCCACGATCAAGACACCGGTCGCTGCCTCGACTATCGCCACCAACATGATCGAGCCTGATCACCGCCAGCAATTTGCTTTGCAATTTGTGATAACACTGTTTCCTTGAAACCCTTCTGATGTTGTGGTGCGCCCGGCGCATTGACTTACAAAGACTATGCCATCTTTATTTCGCGGGCCAGAAATAAACAGGAGAGCTCAAGTAGAGCTCCGCAAAAGTCTCGACACAGTCGCTTCGATTCCTCGAGACCAGAGACATGGAAAGTTCTACCATCCAAATGACGTGAATCAGATTCTCACAGCTGGATCAGTTGGCGAGCTCTTCAAGAGTTTTGACTGGTACAAGCGGAAACACGCCAATGACCTTCGGAACGACATGCATTTGATCATCTGTATATTGATTTCAATCGGCAATTTTGACTGGGCTACGTTCGGGTCTTGCTTTTTTCAGAATTCAATCGCAAAGCCGTCCGAAGCGATCTTCACGGATGCCGACCTGCCCGTCAGCAGAGACAAGTTTCGTGCCGCGGCGCCCTTCGTTGAGTACTTCCTCGACCAACAATACGCTTTCAAGCCAGTCATGATTACTAGAGGGCCGCACGTGAAGTATACTGCATCACATCGCCTTCCCATACTTGAAAAGGGACCTGGCATCAGTGGCTCCCAGGGCACCGTTCGTCGTGTCGAAATCCAGAAGCACTATCTGTGGTATTCTCAAGCTTCAACGAATGCCGGACCTGCCATCATGGCAATGAAATGCATCAGAGCTCGAAATGATGCTGATGCCCGAAACGAGCGCGAAGTGCTCGAACGATTCAGATGCAGTAGCAGTCGCAACGAGCGGATAATGCAGTGCTTCGCAACTTTCATGCACGGCGAGGACCTGATCATCATTTCTCCATGGGCTGCTGGTCGTGATCTCAGCTTCTTCCTAGTCCGTCCCTGGGAAATCTTTCATAACTACGAAGAAAGGTCACACCGCTTTTCACCATACAACTTGTTCCTAGAGGCAATGGAGCTTGCCGTTGCACTACGGTTTCTCCACAACGGGCTGTATCATCAGGGTCGCCCTTTACTCTGTGCGCATCTCGACCTGAAACCAGACAACATCCTCGTCGACATCTCCCGGAGCGAAGTCAGCCAGCCTGTTGGCAAGTGGATGATTAGCGACTTCGGACTCTCCAGAGTGGAAGAGGCTGTCGAAGGCTCACAAGTCGTGACCACGACGGATGATGAGCAACGGAACTCGAGAGCGCCAGGTAACATGCTCCGCGAGATGTCATTTCAGCGACCAACGCGCAAGGAGGGAGCCTTTCAGCCGCCCGAAACCAGGCACGATCAAGCCAGAGTCAGCACACGACGAGATGTATGGTCTTACGGATGCATCTTAGCCACAGTCATGGCATTCGCGATAGGTGGCCCAGCACACGTGGGAAGATTGCGCAAGAGACGTGCGGAAGGAGCCGACGATTTATTCTATCACCGTGTTGGTACACGAATTTATCTGAAGCCTGGTGTCATAAATTGGTTACGTGAACAGCCCGAGAGCTGCGACGAGATACATCGGCCTTGGATCCAAGCGTGTGCAACCCTCGTACCCCAGCTTCTCAACGTAGATGTTATTGAACGACCGGAAATGGACAAAGCCGTCAATGGAGTGCGGCATGTCGTCGATCTTGCTGAAGCAGTCCAGAACGACGGCCGCGTTTGGGATTTCGAAACACATCAGTCGTCGCGACCCACGGCAATGAGATCATCGACATTAGGCGCACCAACGATTCCCGATATGTCAGGGGCATCGTCCGATTCTGAAGAAGCGCCAAGATCACCTGTTCGTACACAACGCGTACGAAGCCGCACGTCTTCTGGCAACCTGTGGCGTTCGCCGCTGAGCGTTTCCTCGAACACAGACGCAAGTCTTACTTTCGCGCTGCTCGTTTCTCCTGAGTCAGGTTGTGTTGCCGCAAAGCTGGATCCTCAGGGACAGTGCGCCATGTTATGGGGTCCAAGCCAAATCAGGCTCTACCTTGTTGGACCCCTGATTGATCTGCAATGGCAGGAGAGACCAACGCGGAGCCTTACGACATTTGAAGAATGGCAACAGCATGCGATCAGCTTTGGGGAGCGGACGTACTGCTATTCGGCTGCTTTGGCAGGCCCTTGGATTGCCTTTATTGAGTACGGGCAAAACAGGAGTCCCGTACTCATTATACACAAAAGAGAGGCGAATTTGGACGCAAAGAGTGAGGAAAAGCAACGTTTTGCTCTCACGGAACTGCCACCGGATACCAATCTCGTTGTTTCCTCAGATGGTGTAGTCGCGATACGGTTCCGACGGAGCATACGGTTCTATAGGCACGACCGTCTGCAGTGGCAGCTGTCTCTTCAAGGGGATTTCTTCAACTCTATGCAGTTCACAGGTGACGGCAAGCACTTCTGCCTTTGGGAGAGTCAGAAAGACAACCATTACTGGACTATATGGAGACTCGATGGGAGCAATAGGCAGATGCCCACAAAAGTCGGTGGTCGACCACTGGTCCACGAGCGGGCGGTAAATGGTCCCCCTCACCACCAAGTATCCCGCTGACGCTGACAGAATTCCGCAATACCCAAGAAAGGGAAGATATTGCTGCTTCCTTTCACGGCGAATCCTCGTTTCGTGGCCTGTGATGGTCGACAGTTCTTGTACCTTGTCAAGGCTGATGGTGAGCCGCAGGTTCATCAGATGCGACAGACAGATCAAGCGGCTGCTGGGGTGGTATTGCTTGGCGATGCACAATTCGTGCTGATAAGACATCCTGAGGAAGCTGATCCCTCGTTCTGGAAGTGTCCGCTGGAGTACGTTGATAGACCTGACTACCGCCCCACGCCCACGCCAGGGAAACTATCGAAGGACTTCGATCCCAAAACAGCGGCTATGGGGTTCTGTAATTCGGAGGAGAATGTTGAACGGCCCGTTGTGTTGGTCCTCCTGCGATCTGGAAAGCTGATACGCAAGAGTCTCTAATGGGCAGATGTGTCGTTTTGTCGCAAAAGTCGGTTCACTCGTCTTTCAGCTCTGCGGATTGAGCTGGATCGCTTTGATTCAAGTACCGCTCAGAAGACAGTTACTGTGTCCGCTTCTTGTCCTTCCGCCTTTTGTCCAGATACATCGTGATGAACAGGACAGCAATCGTGACTACTGTCAGTGGAACAGCTGTTGCGAGGAAAAGCCAAAAGTCATCAGCAAGGCGCAGTCTGTTGGTCTGGTCGGGCAGAACCATGAGGTTCATCCCAAAAAAGGTCTGTCTATGTCAGATGGTAGCTCCTGAGTCGTTGGAAAAGTCTTACGGCGACTCCCTGGAAGGGAAGATATGTAAGGGTAATGAACGTGATGACCTTGACAATATAGCTGTCATGCAACGATTCCAAAGTCAGCTCGCGGCTGTATTCAGCAATAGAATTTGCTGTAGTCTGGCTGCGCTCGTTGAGACTGTCCGAAAGCTGTTCGTCATTCCAGGTCAGCAAGGGTTGTGTTGAGGAAGCGAGCAGTCAGTAGCAGTTGGGGTGGAATTGTGGCTAGTCTTACAAGACCGATAGCGTTGCCAACGCGGTGACGCAGGACTTCTGCGCTTGCTATGAAACCATTCGCCTTCGATTGCAGGACGTCAAGCGACCTCATCTGCTGATCATTGAGATAAGAAGACTTGCTGGCCGACCCTGTCTGTTGACCGACTTTGGGCCTGTGTTCGAGAAGGGCTTGCGCACATGCCTCGAGCTGGGCCAGGATATTGATACTGGATTTCAGAATCGCCTCCATGGTGAGCAGATTCGACTCTAGATCTCGAAGTATCTGCAGGTCGGCGAAATCGATCGATGGATCCTTCAACACAGCTGTGATAAGACGGTCATCCTGGCCTACGGTCAGCAACGTTGCATACATATTGAGGGAAACACGTACCTTTCCCTCGAACATTGAGGCTAAGTGCCCAAGGTAAAGTCGCCAGTTGTCAAGATAGGTGCTGATGATTAGGATATGAAGCGCAATTGGGCCAGTTTCGGTACGATCGCACCTCAGATCACCATTGCAACAAGACTGCAGTCGGCGTTGAGCCTCTCCGTTTCGAGAGCCAAGCACAATCATTCTGGACGTATTGGCAGCTCCCGACTCGAAAGTGTGATATATACCAATCTGACGTTCAGTCCACCTTGGTCCTCTATGATCGACCTTCGGCTCCATGAACCGCAACTGATAACAAAGCTCTTTCAACTTGTCAGCAGGTCGCATGATGTCAACATGAGCAGGCACTGACCGTAGCTCCCAGAAGAAGCCTTCAGGCTGGACCACCAAGAAGTGCCCTTGTTGGACTCAGCAACCGTATCCGTCGTCTGAAAAGCATAAAGCAGGTCCAGGACACTGGCACCTATGGCGTGCCGATACAGCAGCTTGAGTAAGAGCTCTTGAGAAATGAGCAAGTTGGTCAACGAGTTCTCTCGCAAGACAAAGCTATATTTGTCAGCGGAGGTCCTACGTCGCGACCACAAACGATGAGTGCCCTGACATGATTCGTGATCCTGCAAAATCTGCTCCGGCATGGTCGAGTACATCTTCCTCGCGCGTGCAGACTTTCGACATGGGCGATGCGTTGGGATCTGCGGTGACTTCTTCAGTAAGAACCCGCCCTCCACAGCAGACTGGACTTGACGAACCTGCCGCATCCAAGAAGCTCACGTCTACCTTCCTGGACTCGAAGGTGTCTCGAGCTTGTTCATCAAGTCGTTGTCTCAAAGCGACGGCATTGTAAAGAAATCGATCGAAAGATAGCAGAGTCTCAGGATACGAGCTCCAGCCGTTGAAGGGACCAGGCCGGGCAGTGTGAGTAACAGGATTTACCTGCGCAACCGAAGCTGTCGACGCGTTTGGTGCTGTTGGTGCTTGACTCATCTGTAACGTACGCTGCGGCTAGCGTGGACCGGTTCGTCAGATCCCACGGCCGAGTGACACGCAGAGCATCATATATCGCAGGACTGCTCTCTCTGCACAGCTCAGAAATGCCTAGCAGTTTCCGCAACGACTGCGCCTCAGCAAGGACTTACGGAAGCAGCCCTGGGACGGCACGCAAAAAGCCTAAGACACGAGATCTGGTCTGCCGAGCTCCGCATGCGATCATGGCTTGGTCGCCTACACAAAGCTTATGTGAAGATACGAACTCCCCTTGCCAATAAGCCCTTGCAATTGCCTGGAAATTTCGACTCATGCAAGGTGATATTGGCATATGTGCGCCGCACGCCAGCCTTACCACAACAGACGAGTCCAGACCAAATGCCTCAAACACCATCCCCTGCTCAAAATACGAGATTTCCATGATCATTTGACGTTCGGCTCAGCCTCATTATCTTCATCTTGTATACGATGTCGTTCATACCTTCAGGTATGGGGTTGCGGAACTCTCTCCCTGACTTTGTCTACAGCCTGACGGAGCTCGTCCTGGACGAGTCTTAGCTGGAAATTTCCCAATCATCATCACCACATTTAGGACTCACCTTCGATACTTTCCTTGGTGCATAGAACTTCCAACGTTCGTCTCGTCTCTAGGCCCAGAATCAGCATTGGCGCGGCGAGGTGGCCGGAACAGCGGATCAAGCTTACCATTATGCCATACTTGAGCTTGCCATAGTCCCTGGCGAAGATACTGTTGAGCGCTTGCTCCAAGATTCCGCTATCGACATAGCCCGTTTGTTTCGGATAGACAGCGTTATTTACGGTGCACTGGCTAGAGCACTCGGTCTGAGGAGGAAGGGGACTTCCCGACGAAGATGATAGAGGAGAAGGTTTGCGTGCTGGACGACCAAAGCACCAAAATCCCATGCTGTGATGCTGACTGGAACGGTCGGCCACTGGCAACTGTCGAATGGCGGTCGTGAAGTCTTCCACTCGTGATCACTGGATCAGCGTTTACTGTGTGCCTTGCGCAGGAGGCACAGGGTCTCGCAGCGTTATATCACGATTCCGGCTGGCTGCGATTCTCTGAACGGAGTACATTGCGTAGTTTGACCTCCTCCACACTCACGCCAATTGATATGACATCAGTGGTTCGCACTTATAGAAGCGAACATGCCGCTTGTGTCAGATGATTCTGCTCTGATTGCTCTGTTCAGATACATAGCCTCGAATGGCTGCTTTGTGGCCAGAATCACCCACAAGCTGCCAGGCAAAAGTGGCGTCCAAGCCTCTCAAGCCACATTCCTGTGGTCATAGCCTACCCGTGATCAATTGTGCCAGGGCATCCTTGGTACCATGTGTTCTCAGCCTGATATGTTCATCTCTGCTCGCGAAGTAGGTGAAAATTGTAGACCCTCTTTCGTCGATCTTTTTTGCGTGCAACTAAACGACGAAGATGCCCCCAATCGGACAAAGGGCATATCCAAAGTAAGACCTCAGCTCTATCTCGCGCAGCAATCCATAAGGCTCTGTATACTGATAATGAGTGTGCAACAGACGCCAGCTTGGCAAATGGCAGATCTTTGTAGGTGTCTCACTCTTCGAGACGCACCGGCTGGCCGTTAACAGACCACAGTTCATTGCACTAGGTGGCATCATAGGCGTTGGCTTCTTCCGTGGCAGCTCCAAATCACTGGCGACATGCGGGCCCATCGGTGCACTGATTGCCGTTCTGGTCGTGGGCGTTGTTGCCATCTCCGTCATGGAATGCATATCCGAGCTAGTCATCCTGTGGCCAATACCAAACGCCATGGTCGAATATGTGAAGGCCTTCGTTGATGAGGATCTCGGTACTGCCATCGGCGTGATGTACTGGTGAGTCTCCTCCCCATGCGACCGAACATCGGCTAGGTTGCTCACTGCTTCAGGTACACCTACTGCGTCACATTCAGCGCGCTTATCATCGCAGCCGCGGATCTGACCCAGTTCTGGGGAACGTCTTACCTGGTTCGTGCAATGATATACGTGCTGGCTCCGGTCGTACTGGTCATAATCAATGCCCTGCCCGTTCATGTAATGACGGGCCCCACCCCGAGTCGAGTATCATACTGAGAGGGCACAGGTGTTTGGATGGGTTGAGCTCTTTGGAGGCATGCTGAAACTAGCATTGGTGGTGTTTGTTGTCGTGCTCATGTTTATGGTGAACGTTGGTGGTTAGTTTCCTTTCTCTGATCTGCGAATGTTGCGGTTAACGTGCTGCAGTTGGGACTTCTGAGAGTATTGGAACTCAATGTAGGTGCCTCGTATCAGACACACCACACTACCGCTAAGCTGGGCCAGATATCAAGGATAGCGTGCAGAACAACATCAATGTGGCCACGTCCCATTGGCAAGCTGTGTTGTAGGCCATTCCCTCTGATCTAACACTCAATCACTGACAAGGTCCTTAAGTGAAGCAATACCACTTGCCACGTTCGCGTATATTGGCATCGAGCTGCTGACAACCACAGCCTTCGAAGCGTTCGACAATGGTGCATCTCTTAAACTCCCAGCTCGCAACATTGGTTGGTTCTCTGCTATGTTGTACACGTTCGCAACAGGGACTTTTGTTGCCAATGTGTCCTGGCAGGACCAAAACCTTCCGCAGCTCTTCCAGCAGCTCCTCACTCCTACTGACGAGCTCGAGTTCCAAAAGTTTGCTGATGGCCCGAATACCTCAGCGGCGCCCCTGATCGCCTTGATCCGCGCTGAATACTCCATCATTCCCACTGTTGTCAACGCCTGTTTCATATATTCGGCACTGAGTTGCGCTAATACGGCACTCTTTGTGGCTTCCAGGCAGTTGTATGGTCTGACAAGAACCATCACAGTCGAAGAAGATTCGAACGTCGTCCGCCGTATACTAGCCTGGATGAGTACGATCAACCACAAGACAAAGACACCTTGGCCTGCGATCGCCATGAGCGCCTTGTTCTTCTGCTGGCTTCCTTTCATTCGAATCCGTGATACCGAATCCGAATATCTGCAAGATGTATGTGTGACGGCCGTACTTACTTTGAAGCACGTCCGCTGACTTTCATGGACAGGTTCAAGATGCCCTGATCAACGTAGGCTCGGTCTCGTGCCTTCTCACTTGGTGCTCGCAATGCGTCGCATACTTATTCTACCATCACTGGTACTATGACAAGACCTTGCTATGACTCGGAGAGCATCGTGACTGACTGCCGCTTAGGTGTACGAAACATGCTGCGAATATCCAACGGCCTGGGAACTGGAGCAAGTTGCTCGAACCTGGGAACGGAGGCTGGCTTAAAGACTTTCAACCAGCCTGGGGCTACATTGGGGTAGTCTCGACTCTCTGCATAGTCTTTTTCTTCAACGAGATCTGCTTGTGGAATGGCGACCGGCTGACGGTCAAAGCTACCTCCGCATTCGTCAGTGTAAGGCCTCCCACGACAGGTGCACATGTATAAGGCACAAGAAACTGACCATTGTCAATAGCCCGCTGTGGTCTTCGCCATCTGGCTCCTGAAGAAACTCAGCCGACGAGACAGGGGTCGATTCAGCCTGTTCCGCCGCCTAACCACATTCGAAGATTTCGAAAAGGTCCTACGAGGACTTGACGAACTCATCCAGAGTCCTTCGACCACAAAGCAATTCGGCGGCATCAGACTCGACGCCATGGGTCGTGAGACCACGCGTATCGACGAAGCAAGCACCTCACGTTCCGACAGCCACACACCACGGAACTCCGGCATACCCGAGTATAACCCTGATATGCAGCCTGTCTCCAGCAACGATGCCCGCAACTCGTTCGTCAACAGCCCTGCAACGCCGGGTGGACATTTAGAATTGGAGGCACGGACACGTCACGGTGATAGTAGCAGCACGACACAAGGACAACAACAACACCGGCAGGAGGAGTGGCTGTCTGTGCGGAGTGGTCAGGTGTCGGACCCGTACTCGACGTCACCAACGCCACCACCGAACACCTTCTCGCCAAGTCCTTATTCAAGGCCGACTCCATCCACGAGGGGCTTCCTCTCACCGTCGTCGGCGGCGAGCATGACTAGGGCCTCAAGTCGGCCTCATGATGATATTAGTGAGTTAGGGGAGGGTGATAGACGAGCATAGGGACGTCAGGACGTCGAAGTTGAGGAGCGGTGGCCTTCATTCGTCACGATGAAATTGTAGATACAATCTGGTATCGTAGTTACTGATTTATGCTGGAAGCTGGCAGTGTATCTGTAATAATGATGGTGTAAGATGCTACGGCTCAGTTCTCATCACAGGAGTCTCTTTCCGGTAAAGGATGGTACGGACGGCACGGTCTGTATGCAGATTTGCTGTACGCTATCAGCTCTACGAGTGATTGATGCCTTGGCCTCATATTTGTCGCCGATCAATAAAATAACGTCGGAAGTTGGAACGTTAAACACGGCGGCCGTGGATGAGCGGGCACGTGAGCTCGACGCTGGTTTTACCCGTACTTCGTTGCCAATAAGTGGCAACGGCTGTTCTGCCCGGAGCTTGCCTGGGTAAACCCAAGGCCGAGGCCAGTGAGTACAACGCCGCACCTGGGGGAGTTGTAAAACACTTGACACTGTGCAGGCGCCTTGGAGAGCGCGCTCTTGTCCTCGTGCCTCCGTCAGACGATGAAGCTTTGTCCAGCGGCTTGGAAGGCAGGATTGAGCACGAGTCTGTCATCGGAGAGCGGACTCTTTGACTCTCTATCGGCCGGACTACTCATTCTCAAATATTACAGGCTGCGCCGCCACCGTTATTTTGACTTGAGCCTGTGATAACGGTGAGTGCGGTCACACCTGCCTTGGCATCCTACTCGCACCATCAAGCCTCGAACCTGCCTCGCCCCTGACCTAGGACGCTGCCAGCCATCACATAGACTAGTGGATTCGCCATGAGAGAGGGGTTGCCATCTTTTCTGTGGCGGCACCAGCCTGTGGCGGCCGGGCCAGGTCGTCGTGTCGTAAATGCTTAGCAGTTAAGCAAGTTCGAGACGAAACGCTGAGCGCTCAAAGGTTGATCTCTTGTCAGGCCACAGTACGTAAAAAAGAATAGTAGTCCTATCCCATAGCCATCTACTGTCCAGTGAGTCTGAGACCTCCTCATCTTCTAAGCTACATCCTGGCATGCTGACGCTGATCCCTGGCCCAAAGGGGACAATACCGTGAAAGCAGCGAGGATGAATCCGGGCCCTCAGCAGGTCAGCGCTGGGTTGTCGTATCTCAAGGACCCGCTCGAGTTGGAGACGTGGCACTGACTTACCTAAATTTGTACTAAAACAAATTGGGCTTAATGCGTCTTGGCGGACAGCGTTCCCCAGATTTTCGAAAGAGCCAAGTGGGGCAGCCGTCAAGCTCGAGTTCCTACCCCTGCTACGGGATACGCAGCGATCTTCTACAAATAGCTGGGCCTGTTCCAGGCAAAGCAGGCTGCTGATATCGATCTGAGTCAGAGAGTAAAGAAACCCGCTTTAGCCGCGGTCGAAACGCCTGGTCTTGAGACAGCGAGAACGGTAGACTTCTCGCGGTGGCCAGCCCTCCTGCTAAACTACTCACAAAGCGGGTGCTCTGATTAGAGGTAGCTCGCAGACATATCTCGCCTCAAACCGTCGTAGATGAAAATTAGAGAGGCAAATAATATTGGGTATCAATTCCAGGTCCATCCTGGCCGGCAAGAGCGTTGAGAGTTCCGACTTCGATGCACTGCTGTGCGGACCACCAGGCCTACTCCCAATCCTCATCCTCACTTTCCTCCGCTTTCTTCTCCTTCGGACTGCTCGCCGCTCTTGAAGGCGCGCCGCTGACAATGTCGTAACTAGCCTCGCTGTCAGCGACAGACTTTTCGTCGTGTGATCTTCTGCCAGGCTCCAACGTGCTGCCAGTGGGCTTCGGCGTTGCTTGTGCCTGAGATAGCGTGGTTGTGGAGTCGTTGGCGTTTTGGACATCAAGTTTGGCAGGCTTCGAAGGCTGCTCGTCGTCATCGTCGCTGTCCCAGCCAACCTCCTCGTCATCGTTCGCCTTTGCGGAAGCTGTGACAAAGGTCAGTGTCATTTCTTCCAGCGGCTTCTGCTTCCGGAGCAAAAAACTTACCTTTCAACAATTCTCTTCGCGTCTCCTCTTGTGCTTCCAGCACATGTCGCAGGAAGTAATATCTCGTCCAGAAGTCCTTGTATTCCACCTTCTCGGGCACCAGCTCCCCCATCGTCTTTCTTAATTCCGGGTATTTTTCCAGGTCGGCAGCGATGGCGTCGGTCTTCTGATCAATGTCAAAGCCCTGCTTGAAGCTGGTCCACTTCTCTCCAGCCGTCTCCGGATCACTCTCCAGCCCGGTCGGGGTAGTGTGAATAACATGTAGCTGGGCATCGAAGCGGCTTGTGTGGATGACTCGTTTGCCAGCTGCGTCCTTGCTCTCGAACAGAACTTCGGAGGTACCCGAGTCCGCTTCCGGCGCCGTCACTGCGACCGCATCCCTTAGGAAATTCGTGATGTTTGTCCCAAATCGCAGCAAGGCCTCATCGGCTGCATCTTCCGCCTTCTGAACCTCTTTCAGCCGTTTGGCGGCCTCTGCCTTGAAGCGGGTGAGAAAGCCTTCGTTTTCGCGAATCTGCTTGTCTGCCTCACTCTCGCCCTCGACCACCGGTGCTTCCTTGACCGGAGTCGCTCCCGCCTCTTTGGCCGCCCCTTTCTCGTCGATGCTGAGCGACCGGGCACGTGACGCGATAGACTCCTGCAGGTCATTGAGGCCCTTGACCGCATCCACTCTCAGATCTTCAACCTCCTTGACTGCCTCTTCATAGTATGATTGGCTCTGTTTCTGTACATTGCCCCAGAACCCGCCCAGGCGGGTTCCCCACGGCGACGCGGAGAAAGCTTTAAAAGTTTCAGAAAGCTCTGTAGACAGATCTGTACGTTGTTCGGGCTGAGGTCTCGGGGTTGGCGCGTCAGTAGCAGTTGTTGCGGAGGCGGAGTCTTTGGAAGGGGTGGGTGTGGAGGAGCGGGATTGCGATGCATAGATCTGCTCGTTGGCGTAGGCGAGATCCATCACGGGCTGAGAATGAAGGGCACGGAGAGGAAAAGGGAGCAGACTTTGAGGTAGTAAATACCTCTCACGTAAGTGAACCCCGGGCTGTCGTCGACGTCAGCTTGACGGTTGGGAGTGAGTATGGGGCTAAAGGGGTCCATGCGTTGCACGTGATCTGACCCTCGTTCCGCCTTCTGAGTGAGCAACGCAGCATCAAGGAGAAAACAACGTGTGCATGGAGCGGCAATAATCTTTGCATTTCATATCTCTATCTGATGCAACAATTGTCTAGGCGGAAGAAGACTAGCTCTTCGCGTCTTGAGTATGCAAAAACTGCTCTTGGTCTGGCATGCCGCACCACATGCTATCATCTAATCATTCCGGTCATGACCGATTCTTCAAGCAGCACAAACTTTTAGTCATCGAGGATGAGCTTCGTGATCTTGCCCACAGCGATTGTTTGGCCCTGGTCTCTGAGAGTAAATCGACCAAGTTGGGGATAATCCTCGAAGCGCTCGACACAGACCTTTCCTCCGCCACTGGTTACCTGTAACCGTGCAATAATGTTCTGACCCTTGGCTGCGAATGGGGGTGGCTTCTTGCTCTTGCGTCCGGTCTTAGGCTCAAGCTTGTGCAACAAGGCAGCAAACGTGACTTCTTCAGTTGCGGCGTGGACGTGCAGGACACAATTGAAACCGGCGGACAGGATTGACTTCAAATCGACGATGCTGATCTGGGCCTCGAACTCTTTGACACAGTGTACCAAACGCTTCGGTGAGCAAAGAACAAAGCCAGGCATGATATCTTCCTCTTCGATACCTCTTAGCCGGATGCGGACCTGGTCACCAGCTGTAGCGTGCGGGATTTCCTCTTCGGTCTCACCATACAACGCTGAAATTCCGACGTCTTCCCTGTTCGGCATCATGATGTAGTTGGAAGACTTTTGAATGACACCGGCCTCGATACGCCCTTCGATCATTGTTCCTAGATCTCGATACTTTGCGCCGATGGGCATCATGAAAGGCGCGTTGACGTTACGCTGGATCTTGGCCATGCCGTCTAGGTGCTCAAGCAACGAGGGAGTATTCGACCATTTAGCAGCCGAGTCGGGAATCTTTTCCTTCACACCGAAGCCCGTCTGTGCGGAAAGTGGGAGAAAGGTCGAATCTAGGCCAATTCTCTTTTTCAGATATGGCTTTAGCTTGCCAACAATCTCGTCATATCGTTCCTTAGACCACTCAACCGTGGGATCGTCCATCTTGTTCACGGCCACAACAAGTTCCTTGGCACCAGTAGTCTTGATCAGCATAGCGTGTTCTTGCGTTTGTCCACCCTTCTCGAAGCCAGTCTCGAATTCACCCTTCCGTGCAGAGATAACCAGAACAGCGATGTCAGCTTGCGATGCTCCACTCAACATGTTAGGGACGTATGTCTTGTGACCAGGAGCGTCTAGGATAGTGTAACGGCGCTTCGAGGTCTCGAAGAAGCCTCGGCCCACCTCAATAGTCTTGCCCTTGGCGCGCTCCTCCTTGTTCAAGTCCATGACCCAGGATATGTACCATGTTTCTCGGCCAGCATTCTTTGCGTCGTTCTTGTACTTCTCTAGCGTGCGCTCGTCGACCATACCGGTTTGGATGAGCAGTTGACCGCCAAGGGTAGATTTGCCGGCATCAACATGGCCAATAAATATGATGTTGACATGTTCCTTGCCATACATCTCTTCCAGGACTGACTCATCAACATCGGCTGTTTGTTGAGCAGCTAGTTGTTCCGCAGTGGCGCCTTTCTTCCCAGACTCGCCGGGAGTTGGAGAGTTCTTCCCGGATGATGGAACAGGAGATGTCCTGCCCGATGGCTTTGCACCATCCTTGACCGCTTTTGCTGCCGCTACTTTGGCTCCCTTTTCGGCGGGTGTACCTTCTTTGTCCGTAACGGTATCGGCCTTCTTCACTTCTGGCTTGGTCTCTTTCTTTGGTTCGGTCTTCGGAGCGGCAGGAACACCGATTGATAAGACCTTAGCCTTTGGAGGCGCAGCGGCAGCAGGTTTCGGAGCCTCTGCAGCCTTTGGCGCTGGTGCTGGAGCGGCCTCTGTGGCCGGAGCAGGATCGGCGCCACCTCGTTTGGCGATGCTGATAGGTGCGCCTTGTCGGGGTTGAAATTGACTTGGTTGTTGCTGGTTGTATTGGGGAACTTGCCCACCCTGGTTGAACTGCTGTTGGCCGCCATATTGCTGCTGTTGGTATTGTGGGTACTGCTGATAGCCTCCCTGCTGTCCATACTGGGGGAATTGAGTGTACTGCTGGCCACCGTAGCCACCATACTGTTGTTGTCCGTACTGTGGAAACTGCTGGCCAGGCTGAAATGACGTGGCGCCGGGCTGGAAGGAGGAGGCGCCTGGCCGAAAGGTGTTGGCATTGGCGTTGATGTTCATGTTCATGTTCTGCGCCTGGCGCGAGAGTTGCTCATCTTGCGCCGCGGCGTCTTCCCAAGAGTCGTAATTTCCAGACATGATGTCTCGTGCTGTGGAAGGATGGGGAAGTGAGAAGGAAGAAGCAGGGAAAAAACCTCTGCTTATATCGGCCGAAGATGGCAAGAAGGCACCGAGATGAGCACGACTATGCTACAAGCCTTGAGTCACTGCGAGTCCTCGTGTTGGGTAGACACAGAAGCAGGTGCCCGCAGATGCAAGGTGGGCAGCGGTCACTCGATTTTCGGCCCCGCCGCGAGCCCGCCATGACTGAATTTGGCTCACGACTGTCACATTTATGTCTTGGCATAGCCTCGCGACTGCCGACCAATGACGTTGCCTATCGCGTCTAGTTCACCACACCTGTTTGCGCGTCTTTCGAGTAAACACTAGTACATAACGTCACGGTAGATTCACTGCACTTGATATCGTCTGTCGGAGTGAACTTGATGTCGCTTTAGTTCTCTTGCTTGATCGATTGAACCAGATGTGGAAGATAATATCGCTCACTGTCAGTCTTGATAGCTCAGTACCCGGTGCTGCACTGGCAGCCTGCCAAACAGAATGGACGTACTTCTAGGAAAGGTCACTCAACAGGCTATGAACTATGCCATCCGCTCTGGTATTGCTCTGACTGCTTCCTATGCGATCCAACAATCGAACAAATTACTAAGACATGTCCCACGAAGTACGGCCAAGGACGAACTCTACTCGCTACGACAAAAGCTACAAAACAAAGTCCAGATCGTCTCCCCAGCCATTGACATGATCGAGCTCCTCGCAGCAAGAGGCAATACCTCTTTGGAATCCGCTCTCGTCCTCACCAAAGACCTTAGGTATGAAATCCAGACTCTGGGTCAGCGCCTGGCCCGCGCCGCTCAAGCTGTCGAGACAAGTGCAAAGACCCCGCAAGCCAAGGCCGCTGCAGAACTTCAGCATGAGCTCGAATTGAAAGGAATTGTGGCAGATATCAAGGCCTTACTGGGGCACATTGATGATGCTCTTCCCTTGATCAACCTTGCAATAACGACTTCCGGCGCTAGCCTCTCCACAAACCTGCCTCACACCGTCTCTCCATCAAGATTGCTCCAGGCCAGCCATTTTCTTAGTATGGGTGATACACAATACTCCATGTCTCCACACACAGCAAGTCAGATCGGCCCAACATTCACCTTAACCGTCTACATGCTATTCGCTGGTCACAGCCGGCCTCAGACAGAAGAAGATATGCGTGAGACGACCTGGAAAGAAGTTATGCATAAGGCTCGTGTCAAAGTAAGGCGAGTGCCCATTGACACCCTCGTCGGTGGTGGCTTAGGTTCAACAACGAAGTCTGATCTCCATGAAGCCAACTTTCCTGCCGACGCGCGCTCGGACGAGTTTGCCTATCAACTTGTATTGGTGGAGGATCTCGATGATGATCGTGTTCACGATTTTGAGGACGATCAAGTTCAGCCTGGGCCATTTGACGAAGTTGCTCTTGCTGGCATTAGAGAGAGCCTGCCAATCCACGAAATCTCCAAGATATTCTACGCCGATACGAGCAAGGTGCTCAACATCGGTACAGACGCAGAGGCTAATCATCCAGTCCTCCTGCTCAAACGTGACATCAATGCCATACCACCTCGGCGCATGATGCATCGCACGGATGGAGACGGTGCCCAGGAATCCAATGACAGCTTGCATCCTCGAAGACCCAGCCTCACACCTCACCATAACGACCCCTGGCACTTACCGCCCTCGTTGGATCCTGAATGGATAGCCCTTGAAGTCTACTCCACCGACGGTCTGGAAGGTGATGATGCATCCTCAAACGGCGATGTGACCGACACTTCCATCAATGGCTTTCGGCCGACACCCTCCCTAGACGAAGAAATATCTCACTTGCACATCTCCTCTCCCTCCCCCGCATATGCCAGAGACAGCCTCTCACCGAGCGCTGACGCCCGGCCGCTACCTCTCTCCACCTCGCAAACCTCCCACCTCGCCTCGCCCGGTCCCACCTCTCAAGCTTGGACACCTCAGATCCGCACCTCCCTCTCTCTCCTCGAGCTTCTTCTGCGCTTGACCTCGCTCCAACAATTCCAGCAGCAATCCCACCTCTCCATCACCGACGAGCTCCTCAACTTCTTCCTCGAGGAGTCCGCCACCACCGGCGCCGGCGGCGACGAGAACTATCGACAGGCTCTACGTGCCGACGCACGGCGACGTGTAGGCTGGGACCCCTACGACGAGAGCCCCATGAAGCGGCGCGGCGAGGACTACCAGTACGGCGGCGGTCCTGGGTGGTCGTCGCCGGCGCCCTCCGCCAATGACTATGCAAGCCCCTCAGGCTCTGAGAGGGAGGGCACCCAGCCGTCTCAGGGGCCGCGTGCAACACCGGTGAGGGGCCAGAGCTACAACGATGGATGGAACCCGAGCCCGCGCCCGGGCAGTGTGAGTGGTCTGCAGACGAGGAGTATGACGAGAGCGTCGCAGACTCCGAGTCAGAGTCCAGAGCCGGCTAAAGGGAGAGAGCAATGGTTGAGGAGGGATAGTGGGAAAGGAAAGTCCGCCGGAAGTCCTTTGAGGCCGGGAACGGGGAGGAGTGACGAAGGATTGGGGACTAGTCCTGTCAGTGGGATGGATGGTGTGAGGAGTCCTTAGAGAGGGCGCTTGCGGAGGAGGTAGCAGGACCGCATGGAGTGGCGGAACCCAAAGCGGGTGGAGACAGGAGGGGAAGTTAGAATGATTAATGAACGTACGATACCCTCATTGAGCGATTAGCGTTGGCACCGGGGCCTGTGTCTACAGTAAAGAATCTGAAAGGAAAATGGCTTGAGTTGATGTTTCGTTTCTTCTGGCGGGATCAAAAAGCTCTCTGGCTTCACTTCTATCAGGGAATCACATCCATTGCCAAAGAAGATCCTATAGAGACCTTACGCGCTATCGCAAGCCCCTCCAGCTGAAAATGCGTAGATGGGGGCTGTAGGCCCTATTGCATAAACCTGACATATGCTCGTGCTTTTGAGTCGACACATGGGAGAATTCCAAGTCACTGAATCCGTAACGCCTCGCTGAAAGCAACACTGAGCCTCGCCTCAATACCAAACATGCAATACATTTAGCGGATGCCCATCTGCGCCCTCAGTGCCATGATCTGCGATCTCTCTGTCGGTGGCAAGCTGTCAATTGTTCTCTGATCCATGGCCATGACCTGTTGCAGTAACTGCTCTTGAGATAGTGGCGGAGGCGCCTGTTGTGGCGGTGGTTGGGGTGGGTAGGCTTGAGGCGGCGGACGAGGAGGCATCCCAGGCATGCCCTGGGGTGGGGGAGGATACCCAGGGTATTGCTGTGGGGGTGGCTGTTGCGGGACCGGCGCGGCCTGTTGCGTAGAGGCTTGTTCGACGACTTGAGCCAGGATCTTTGGATCGACAAGATTCATGAGGATCAGCGCCTGGAAGAGCGCATAAGACAATTGTGGAGCGGACTTTAGGATCTCGGTCGCCCGCTGTGGCTCTGATATAGCCATGGCTTTCATCTGAGTGAGGACATCCAGGAGCTGCGGGGCCGGAAGCTGGTTGAGGGTCTGAGAGATAGCATCGCTGCACTTGAGGTTCGGTGGAAGGTCGACGCCGGTTGGGAGGGGGGGCACTGGTGCAGCTTGCGGTACGGCATTGTCTTGCTGGGGTGGCCCTGACTGATTATCTTTGGCATCGCTGCCGCTGGGCCAGGCTACGCGCAACTTGCGTCCACCGACTTCGTGACCATCAAGATTTCCTGTATTTGTTAGTCTATTGCTGACTTCGCTTCCCCAAATCAATACTTACGAATAGCACTCTCTGCGGCATCGGGATCTGCAAAGTCGAGGAAACCGAAGCCTTTAGATCGGCCAGTATCTTTGTCGGTGATGAGTCGAAACTTGAGCACTCGACCGACTGGCGCAAATATGCTCACAAGCTCCTCCTCTGTTATGCTGAACGCGATGTTGCCAACGAAAACGGACGAGCCCGGCTTTGCTGCCATGGCAAGATCCCAGGACTGGCGCGAGTCCCCGTTGATAAAATGAAGGAGATCACTTATATGAGGGACGATCAGGCGGATCAGTACCAGTCAAAGGATCCTACGCAACACGCGATAGGTAAATGGGAAGCGTAATTCTGGCACTGTTTGTGGTTGACAGATTTAGAGGTCTCTGCACGAGCGAACTTGGGAGTCGCAGGCGCATCGGCAAGCATTCCTTTTCTGGAAACGCGGAGCTCGATTTCAATTGTATGATGAGTCCATCGCAGCCTACGACAACGCCGTCGCCTCGTCTCTTTCATCCCTCTCAAGCTCTTGAACATCTTGGACTTCGCGGAGAAGGCCACTTCTCAAGCTCGACTATCGAGTCATCCCTCCGAGCCAGCCAATCGAGTCTGCAAAAGCTCTGCAAGGATGGATCCAAGAGAACAGTTCGAAAGACTGCAGCGAAATCTGCAAGCTCGCGGCCGCGGCTTTGGCGGCGGCGCTGCTGGTCCTGGCGGACGTGCTTTTGGCGGACTGCTACTTCTAGGCGCCGCGGGAATTGTTCTTTCAAATTCTCTGTTCAATGGTGCGCACCAAAAGCTGCGGTACATCTCATGCTAACAGTCGGCAGTTGACGGTGGCCACCGAGCTATCAAATACACCAGGCTTGGGGGTGTTAAACCCGACATCTATAGCGAAGGTACTCTAAAGACATTTCGTGGCTCAACAGTGGCTGACATGCACAGGCACACACATCCGGATACCCTGGTTTGAGACCCCGATCGACTACGACGTGCGCGCCCGTCCCAGAATCGTTTCATCTCTCACTGGTACAAAAGATCTGCAGATGGTAAGTCGAGCAAATCGAGCTTTGGCACAGTCGTTGATTTGTCACCAGGTGAACATCTCCTGTAGAGTTCTATCTCGGCCCAACGTCCCGAACCTTGCCCAGATTTACCGAACCCTCGGACAAGATTACGACGAGCGCGTTCTTCCCTCCATTGTCAATGAGGTTCTTAAGGCTGTTGTCGCCCAATTCAACGCCAGTCAACTCATTACTCAGCGTGAGAGCGTTGCGCGGTTGGTGCGCGAGAATCTCTCGCGCCGTGCCGCTCGCTTCAACATTCTCCTAGACGACGTATCTCTGACTCATCTCGCCTTCTCTCCCGAGTTTACTGCGGCTGTCGAAGCGAAGCAGGTTGCTCAACAAGAAGCCCAGCGTGCTGCGTTCGTGGTCGATCGCGCAAGACAAGAGAAGCAAGCGACGGTCGTTCGGGCCCAGGGTGAGGCTCGTTCAGCTGAGCTCGTCGGTGAGGCGATCAAGAAGTCGCGAAGTTACCTGGATCTCAGGAAAATTGAGAATGCCCGACAGATCTCGACGATCCTGGCCGAAAGCGGAGGCAAGAACAAGTTATACCTCGACTCCGAGGGTCTCAGCTTGAACGTGTATGATAGGGCGGACAGGGCCAGCCCCAAGTAAGCTCAAGCCATTGTACTACGACTCGATACATCAAAAAGGCGCTGGAGTGGTTCAGCTTTCGGCTTGTCTAATTAGCGGCACCTTGTCAATGGACACTTCACTCGATATTCAATTTTCTGTCTCTTCCTCTTCTATCCTCCTTCCTGGTGAGCCTTCGTGCTGCATTCTGGCGGCTACGTCTCTCTCTTCGTATCTCTTAAGCCTGGAGGAGTCGGGCTGTTAGCGTGTGACAGCATCAAACCTCTCTTGCCTGTCGCCATCAATGCCAAGAGTATTCGGTGGCCCAGATCGTTTTGCAGCTTCACCCGGGCAGCAAAAGGGGCATCAGCCTTGCATGATGCCCGTCTGTTCGAGTCTTCAAGCACAGATCGCACTCTTGTCCGTGCCACATTAGCCCCTTTCAAGACTTTCTTGGTTCGGGAGACGCTGGTATGTTGAGATTCGCGAAAAGGCTACTGATGTAAGCCGATGCATATAAACGCAGGACTTGTGCACTTGTGAGGTTCAGGCTGATGTTGGTAACACTTTCAATCCCATTACCAGGTCCCGTAGAAGTAAAGTATGTACATGCGAGGAGCAAGGCGAGAGATTGTGGATACAAGATTTCCATCGAAGCAAAAGCTATGCACTCGTGGAAACGATCAAGGTGGTGACTCGTCCCACTGGGCCACTTGGCTAACGTACTAATAGGAGGAAAAAGGAATGATGAATCCCATGTTGGATACTATGTGCTCACAAACAGATGAAACGTAGTTGAATGGCAGCCAGTGGCTACAAGTGTGCGTGGCCTCCCAAGTGTCAGACATCTTGCACTGGCATGCCATCCGGCTCACTTGCCTGGTAGGTGCACTGCCGGATCTGAAGCAGAGCCTAATGGCCCTTAGGTCCTGAGTGCTGAGCAAGATCCAAGGATCCTGTGCTTGCTCAGCACTTAGGACCCAAGGACGCCCTCTATCTATTCAGTCAACGTATTGCTCACTAGACCAACTAAGAGTGGACGATGTCGAGAGCACAGTCGCCAAGTTGGATCACATGGCACAAGGAACACTTGCTTTTCGAGTTCGGTCATGCGTCAGTGGTAGACATCACGAGGGGCAAAAGCTGTGATCCAGGGATTACAGAAGAATATCAATCCATTTGCTGACGATAGAGTGTTCCTTGCTGTGTCGTCCGTAGTAGCTTTGCCGTCGTTCCAGGTCAATGTGCTGGCGGATAGTCGTGGGCGGCTATCAACACCGAGACTGCATATATATCATCCCAGAAGCTCGCACCTGGGCATGAATGTCTTAGTTACCACCATAGCCCAGTGCTGTCCGTGAAGTACCTACCTGTAACTTAATGATAGTATGTGGTGTTCAGTGACTTCCACTGCTTCTATGTCTGTAGTCACTGTCCACCGATAACCCGGAGAGACAGCTAGAAATCACTGTTGTACAGATCGTGTCACATTGACCGAAGATGTGCACTAAATTTGTTTGGGTTCCCAGTTGGCCTGGACTCATGTCCATAAATAAATCATGGATCTGTTCCTCCTTCGTCCTTCGTAAGTCACGCGTACTTTAGTAACGACAACATCGTCCCTTTTCCAGCATTGAGGATCTGGACAATACGATGACTTTCATCATGCTTCCCCAAACCATGATTCTCGTTAGTAGCAACTACCACTGTTCGCAGCAAGGAACCTGACACATCCGACCCTTCGCCGTGGGAACAGTACACCGCATTTGGGATCATGAACAGCATCATCGAATTTCGACCCAAAGGCAGTACAAGCCTAATCCTTGCGACGAGCATCCCACGAGTGACGGCATATCTTGGTCCATTGTAAAAGGCAGGTCGCGACTGACCTGCGCCGTTGGCCATCAACCTCCCGGACATCTGGGATCAAGGGCTCTACCACACCACAACCTCTGACAGCCGATCATCTGCGATTGTGATGAGCACACCATGCAGCGAGAAGCTCATTCAGGCTGCACAGATCCTCGATGGCCCAACAAAGAGCAGGTGAAGAGGTTGGGCAGCTAGGGTAGGAAGGTTGAGCGAGCCAAGCCGGCAAAAGGGTTTACCCGATGCCTAGCGTGGTTTGCATCTTTATCTTGACGGCACACCTTCTCCAACGTACTCACTCCTTACCACACGCACAAACATTATTGTGTGCACCATGGCACCAAAGCATGCCACAAGGGCATTTATGCGATTTGGGCGAACAAATTGTATCCGACGAGAAGGTGCCACACCAGCAGCGACGAGGCTGAGGCCTTTCTTGAAGCACATCGGCATCGCCCCCGTCTCCAGCATGATCTTGGTCTGAGGATGGCGGCGGGCGGCGTACACCAAACGTCATAGCCCACAATGCTTGTGCAAGATCCTTGGTGCTGATATCACCAACGCAAATCAGGTATGTCGCCGTTCCGACGTATCATGACATCCCCCAGGATTCAAAGCTTTCTTCTCAAGACCGGGAGCCCTGGCTGCGATACTGCCGTCGACTCTGTCCCTGTAAGTTTAAAGCATGCTCTGCCCAGAATGTCTGTGCTGCCCATTGCATCTGGAGGTCGTCCTCGAGCTGCAGCCCGGGGTAAAGCACTCGAGGGAGATTGAAACACTCTCAACACAGTAGTCGCCCTCAGTGACGACCTCTCGCCCTTTTCTCGCCACATGCCTGGATGGCCGAGGAATGATCCGCATGGCTGCACAGGGTCGGACCCTGATCTTTGTCATATTCGAAGGGGGTTATGGAACTCCCAGCACAAGGTCATGCGTTGCGGCGCGATCTTCGACACAAGGGGCGGACGTGCTCTTTGCTCGCGGCTCTCATGCTATGCCTTGATCCATAGGCCTGGTATATTTCGGTATGTGATGCCTGCACCGGCGATCAAGTGCGCTGTCGCCTCACGGACTCGAGATCGCAAGCAGCCGCGTCAGCCATTTCGATCGAGGTATTGTTGGAGAGGTGGGCCCTCCCTGAGTTCGTTCGCTTCTGTTACAAAAGCTTTGTTAGCAGTTACTGGCGCTAGACTCGCAATACCTTGGTTGCGCTCGATGATGAAGAGCATCGAGTTCAGGCTGCCGTCCTCAGCTCCTCATACTGGTGGTCGAAGACAATGTTGCATGTTGTGAATGCTTTGTCGAAGTCGAGTTGTCGAAGTCGAGTGAAGCGTAGTCGGCCAGGACATCGCAGCTCGACAACTGCAAAGGGCTCGAGGCCGCAGGTTTGCTGTGCAGCAAGGTCTTGGCATTGCTTTCGCCCTGCGGCTATCCGCCGCTTTGTTGCGTTCTCTCACAGCCACCGATCAAGCACCTTTTCTCAAACACAGAAACTGAATCTTCTTCTGCATCGATCATCCGACATTGGAAGAAATTGGCCTTTGGAACTTGGCTGCTGTACGCTATCCTCTCTTCTTGCGAGACAGCAGCACGTCTAGGACTCATCACACAGTCTTTTTCCTTCGACTTCAATCTCGGTTTTTCCCTGGCCACAACCACCAGACCGCAAACCTAAGCACATAACTTCCCATCCTCCTTCCATAAGCAGCTCGCAAGCAAACCCAAGTGCCTGTACGCGAGTGCAGCGCGCTTCAACAAGGTAGCAGCCTTGCCGCCCACGATCCCAACACTGTTGCCTCGGCCGCAATCACAACTTGCATCCCCTACTTTCTTTCCTGGTAAGCTTCCTCGCCGAATATGTTGATTTCTACACATCTTGACTTCCATAGCAATACTTAGAAATCCTGTTCTTTCTGGCTTGTCCACCTGCTGCTTTGCAACCTTGCCGATCGCCAACTTTGGCTGCAGCTTCGGCAGTACTATCTCAACCAGGCTTTCCACCATAGGATTGCCTTAGGAAATCCGCACTGGAGCTCTCAGTTTCAAGGAACACTAACGACGTGCCTACTTCGAAATGGCCTCGGATCCTTCTACAAGCGCGAAGATAGATGACATCCTCTCGATGTGCGAGGTCTTCGGCCAATCTCTTCGTGCAAACACAACCTCTGACAGCTTCGAATCCGGAGACATCACCGATCCGAATCATTTGGCTGATTCCGCTCCTGTCATAATGCCTCAGAGCCTTGATCGTGTTCGTGAGATGCCGCACATCCCGGCTGCGCCCACGAAGACGCTGACCGACTTCAAACCAATTGCACTAAATCCCCAAGGTCTCGGCTCAGATACCATGACTGTCAACCCTGCTTCTTATGATCGCATCTTCGAAGGCGATTGGAAGACCCAAAAGGAGGACGCTGGCGATGGCGATGGCGATGGCGATGGCGATGGCGACCATGAAGACGTCAACGGCAACACTGATGAAGTTCCCAGACCACAGCTTCGTAATGGCTATGACTACATCAATGGCTACTCTCCCTCATTCATCATTTGCGTGCAGGGTATCCTGAATATCGATGACGATACTCCGGTTTCCAGCTTGGGCAAGGGCGGCAGCAAAATCCACCAAGTGAAGCAAGGTAATGGCGACACCACCACAAACAACCAAAGCACTGCCGGCCCTTCTACCAGCGACCAGCGCCCTGCCAGCGCCCGTCCCAAAAAGCCACGCAAGCCCATGACGGTTTCCAAAGCCACACACAAACATCTGGACTATGACAATGCGCCGTTGTCTAGTGTCTACGAGATCTTCGACCACATGTCTGAAAAGGCTAAGAAGCTCACCACTGAGTGGGATGGCATGACCGTCAGAGTCTTTGAAGAAGCTTGCAAGGTGCTGGAGGCTTCGCCATTACGCATCTTCACCATGTGCTCCGGCACAGAAGCTCCGATCTTGGCCATGGACTTGGTCAAAGAGGCTCTCCAGCGGAAAGGAACCAAATTCATGTACGAACACGTGGCCAGCGCTGAGATTGAACCCTTCAAGCAAGGCTACATCGAACTCAACTTCCAGCCCCCTATCCTCTTTCGTGATGTCACCGAATTTGGAAAGCCCGTTGCCAGGACGGCGTACGGCGCGAAGAAGAGCCTGCCACAAGACTGCCACATCGTGGTAGCGGGCTCTGCTTGCGTTGATTATTCATCGCTCAATCAAAACCCTAAGCAATTTGGCGAGAAGGGCGAGTCTTATGCTACCATGACCGGGGTCATGAAATACTGCTTGTGGGAAACGCCCGCGATCATTCTACTAGAAAACATCAAAGGCGCGCCATGGCCGCTGATCTGCCAGGAGTGGTATACCACTAACGGATATGATGTTCGCGCCGTGACTGTTGACACAAAGAATTTCTACATTCCTCAAACTCGACAGCGAGGTTACATGATTGGTTTCAACCGTGCCCGGGCTCAGAAGGCTGGTTTCGACACCGCGAAAGCGCTGGATTCGTGGGTGGACTTTTTCAGGAAGTTCCAGCACCGAGCTACATCGCCCTACACCGATTTCATCTACGCAAATGACTCGCCTCAGAACGAGCGAGTACGGTACATGGTTGAAAGCACAGCCGACGCCTCCAAAAAGGAGATCTCATGGGCGCTCTGTCGCCACCGATACGCAAATTTCCGACTGGATAAGTCGTATGGCTCACTTCGACCATACACCGAATGGAAGGAGAACGGAACCAGCCTGCCACCGGATTTTACATGGCTGACCTGGTTGAAGCTCCAGCGAGATCGTGTCCTCGATACCCTCGACATCGCCCAGCTACGATACATCTGTGATCGTGACTATGACATGAGCTACAAATCGCGCACAGTCGATTTATCACAAAACATCGATCGTGACCTTGACTCCAAACACTGGGGTATCGTTGGATGTCTGACCTCGACTCTGCTCCTCTACGATACGTATCGTGGTGGAGTGATCTCTGGAACCGAATCCTTGATCCTGCAAGGCATTCCCGTGGACGATTTGATTCTTTCCAAATTATCTACAAAACAAATGACTGATTTGGCGGGCAATGCGATGACTAGCACTGTTGTCGGAGCTGCCATATTGGCTGCTATTGCTGCTGGCGTGCAAAACAGCACGACCATATTCCATCGCACCAAAACTGGGCAGAATCCCGCGCTGGACAATTTCCTTGCACTCCCCGAGCTAAAAACCTTACAGCAATGTGCAGAAAGTTGTAAGACCGCAGGCCTAGAAAAGAGAACACTCTCTCTTACTGAGCGGGAGCAACTGAGCGTTGTTGCAGCCAAGAAACTAGCCATGCGATCTCGACAGCTTTGCGGATGTGAGGGCGTTACAGGAATCAAGCATGCCACGAAATTCTACATCTGCCGGCAGTGTGGCCATACCGCCTGCGAGAAGTGTATGGGCCAGCCCCAACATGATTATTGCCCACTTGACATACCAGGCGGTAGAAAAGATCCGGCGGAATTCATGCTGTCCGTCCAGAAAGCATTGCCCCGCTCACTTTCTCTTGGAAATGTATCCGGATCCTTGGCTTCAAATGCCGAGAAGCTGAAGGCTTTCAGTTCTGGAGAGTCGGCGTTCACAGACCCCGATGGGATGCAAATCGACAAGATTGACTCGGTGAAAGGCAATAGTACCTTCTCCCGCGCTTTGTCTTCCTTGCGTTCTCACGACCTCAGTCAAGAAGAAGTTGACGCGCTAAATGAGGAGTTTCGCCAGATGGTCAAGGACTCGATCTCTGAGCCATTCCACTATCGCAGTATCAAGCGAGACACCGCTTGGAAGGTAGAGTATTCTTCACCCAAGGCGCGACTAGTGCTCTCTTTCGAGCCAAAGTTTCGTCCGCTTAGCAAAGACACGATCCTCTACGAGGAGCTTCCGGATGCTAAGTGCTATTGGCTACTCTACATCAAATGTTCCCCCAAGATCAGCCAAGGCAGCATGCTGCGCGAGAAAGCGCGTCACCCTATCGCTCGCATGTGTCCTGTCAATGGCTTGAGGTTCGGGTTATGGGATGCTTGGAACTTCCACGCAGATCTGTCGACAGATGCTTGCGTGACGGGAGCTGGTGAGAGCATCCATGCAATGGAGAGTCGGACCGGAATCCTGGACCCCAACTTTCAGTCGCTACGTGTGTGCTCAGAGTTGAACATCCACATCAGATCTACACCGCCCATCGAAGCACGGTTCTCCATCGAAGCACAGTCGTGGAATTTTGAGTACCTGCAGGACTGTGGCACCGCCAATGGGCTCTTGTACCGAGCTATGGATGATGACAAAGGCCAGCCTCTGTATTTCTTCCTCAACCCTTATCACCTCCAGGATGCCAAATACGACTCTATGGTCATAGCGACCAGCCATCGGCGCATACCACGGTCTGATTCGCGACTCACCGAATTCGAATTTGCCCCAGGTTGGCGGCCTGTTGCCAAGCACGACGATGGGAGCCAGAGCTCTTTCAAACAAGATGTGAGATGCACGTTTACTGGCCAATGGTCACGACTTGCTGCATTTCCGCTCGTCGTATCGAACAACGAGAAGGACATTTCTGTCTGGGAGCCTAAGACAGCGCCTATCGTATCTGCAAGTTCAACAAATTGCCAGAAAGCATCAGTCCTTGCCTACGCAATTGATCTACCTTCGATCACGGAGGTCATCGACAGCTTCGGTAACAACTCCTCCAAGCTTGAAGATCAGTGTATTCATCTCGACCTTGCTGATAAACGTGGCAAAATGAAACTCTGGAAGTGGATGCTTGGTGCTTTGCGCATACCTGATTTTTTGATTGGGCCCCACAAGGTCACGGATGAATTGTCACTATGCGAAAGCTGCGATACATGCTTCCCTCGCATGCTAGAAATGGTTTGGAAGTGGCACCGCATGCGCATGTCCAAACGCCTGGTCCTCAGACCCGTTGAGGATGAGGAGAACGCTCGGAAACGCGAACAAGCACTCAAAGCGCGGCCCCCACTTGCCACTGCTACACTGCATGTCTCGGAAGGCAAGGCTCATCTTCAACTACAGATCAACATACAGTCTCTAATTCATCGGGCTGTTTCGCCTATGCTATCCGGCAACGCTGGTGTGGAAGCCTGCTGGGAGGTTGCTCCTTACAATGACTTGGAATTGCCGCGCGCTTACAAGATTCCGCGGCTCCAAGACAACTCAAAAGACGTTGAGCATCCGGATCCCACCTCCTTCAAACGTTCACTTTGGCCGTCGCAGAAGACGACGCTGGCTTGGATGGTGGAAGTTGAGCAGGGAGGTCACATCTGGATCGAGCGTAATGTGCAAGATCATCCAATTCAACCCTTGCAATGGAACCTCATCGCACGCGCGGAAACCCGAGTTCCAAGCAAAGGGGGCATCATTGCCGATGGCGTGGGCACTGGCAAGACAACCATTGCATGCGCTTTAGCTGCTCTAGATATCGACCAACAGCCACTAGTCGACACTGATCTCAGCAGCCGGAAAGCGATCAAGGCGACTGCGTTCCTGGTGCCCGACAATTTGGCAGAGCAGTGGGAAGAACAGGTGCGCAAATGCTTCAAGACAAACGCAGTCACACTCCTGGTCGTGAACACATTCGCCGAGCTTGCTCAGTACACACTTGAGGAGATCACGAGAGCCGACATTCTAATCATCTCACTATCTGTTCTCGACGATGCGAAATACTGGGAGTCTGTACAGGCTCTCTGCTACGCGCCAAATGTCCCTACAGCAAGCGGCCGTGCCCATGTGCAGTGGCTCAAGACAACTATGAATGCACTCGAAGAGATCAGCGAAGCTTCTGAACAGTTTGACAACATTGCAAGCATCGAGGCTTGTCGGGCCGAATTATTAAAGAGCAAGCGCCACCTGAAATTCGAGCCATTCATGGGATTTCGCAAACGCGACATGAAAAACATTGACCCTAATGCTCTACAAGTGCCGCAGGTCGAGCTAAATGCAGAGGAGACCACCCAGAACGTCTACCCCGAAGCCGTCGAATCTTTGAATGGTGCAGAAGCTCTAGACAAGGACTGGGAAATTCAGAACCACCCTCTACCCATGAACCATGGCCGGAACTCTGTTGTTGCCCTACTGCACTTGTTCTCGTTCCGTCGCATCGTGGTGGATGAATTTCAGTACTTGTCGCCCAAGATCTATACGGCATTGTTGATGCTGAAATCGCAGAAGACCTGGTTGCTTTCGGGTACTCCGCCAATGGACGATATCGATGGTGTGGACGCTATGGCTAGACTTCTTGGTCTACGAATTACTACCCGTCCAGTTGATCTCATTTCCCCGGGCTTTACGGCTGAAAAGCTCAAGACTCTGCTCAAGGAGACATCGTATGTCGAGGAGTTCGGAGATTACAACCAAGTTTCATCCACGGCGGCCATTAACAACCATCACCAGCTTGCACGCAACTTTTTGTCCACGTTTGCGAGAAGTAATACGGTTACCACCGAAGCCCTGACAGACGTTCAGCACCTCATCATCGTTGAACCTCAAGTCCGCGAGCTGGTCATTTACTTCCTGTTTTACACAGTCCTCAACAACCAAGCGGTCAAGCATTCTGACAAAGATGCAGAGTTGTCGGGCTTGAACGAGATTCTCAAAGACCTGAAGGAAGAAGCGCAAAAGAAAGGCCACCACGAGACGAACATGGCTGCTGGTATTGTTCGCTTGATTGGACAATGCAAGAGCCCCGATATGGCCATGTTGTGCTGCTACGTTGCTGCCGTCTTGAAGACGACCAAGAACGACGAGGACAAGCCACATAGCCTCAACACACTACAAACCTACTTGCGGAATGAAGTCCAAGGCCAGCTACGCTACATGAACGCCATGATTGCAGAGGCTTGCGGCTACTGGCTCAAGGATGTGGATGATCGCGACCTCGTACTGGAAAAAGAAGACCTCGTTCTTTGGGCAGATGAAGTCATTACTGGCCAGCTTGGGGATCCAGATGCTACCAGAGCCATCGATGAGATGCTCGGCCACGCCCAAGACAACAACACCGTGCCGACTGAGATGCTGCACAACAAGCTCAAAAAGCCCAAGGTTCCTCTTGATCCGACGTCTGTTCTCCCCAAGGACAGAAACAAAGAGATGCAGATTCGCATCAGCGACCTTCGCACGGTGTCTGACACACTGGTCCAATCCACCCGGCAATTCCGTTTCGTGGACATCGCCAAGAAGATCTTCAACGGTGAAGATATCACCTGTCCCGCTTGCATGATGGCCTCGGAAACCGAGGACCTCCGTGTCTTGACGACATGTGGCCACGTGTTCTGCAAGGACTGTCTCCAAGTAGCCACCGATGGTGGTTCGGGTGGGCTCTGTCTCGTCCCGGGGTGTTCCTGCATCATGGAAGACTATCTTCTCCTGCCCGCCACGTTGTGCCAGCAAGGGCGCACGACTGAGACGACCGACTACGGCTCTCGCGGAATGGCCATCGCCAAGAAGATCCAAGAAATCCTGGGCAGCAACTACTCGGCGCCCCAAGACACCGACGATTACATCGTCGTCTTCGTGCAGTACTACGCACAGGCCCGAGAGCTGATCTGGGTCCTCGAGCGAGAGGCCATCGGATACGCCGATGCCTGCGTTCCCCCGGGACTTTCGGCAAGCAAGACCACCAAGGCGCTGGCCGAGGCGCGAGGTCTTATCCAGGGGTTCAAGACCCAGGCCATGCTGGGCAACCAGCGGGTCGGGTCTGGGTTCTCCCAGGACCTCGACGGTGGGGCTGGCCCCTACCAGCCCAACAGCAGCAAGCATGTTCTGATCCTCATGCTTGACAGCGAGGACGCTGCAGGCTGGAACCTGCAGGTCTGTTCCCACGTGTTCTTCGCGGCGCCCTACGTCGCGGCAAGCGCGTTCCGCTATCGGAGCGCCTTGCAGCAGGCGACGGGGCGCGCGAAGCGCGTGGGACAGGCAAAACCTGTCCACGTTTACCAGGTCGCGTTGGGGTGGACCAACGAGGTGAACTCGTTGGAGGGCCGTCGCAAGGATGGCAAGGTGGTGGTGAAGGCGGGGGGTGTCGCCTGGTGGGAGGCGAAGGAGGAGGCGGTGGAGGGGGAGCGGGTGGCGGGGCCGTCCTTGCTGGTGAGCAAGGGTGAGGCTGAGCCCGAGGAGGAGGAGTGAGGAGGAAGAGAGCGGAGGGGGGAGGGGGCGGTGGGCCGTGTTTGAGATAGTGGTGAGGGAGAGGATGAGGATGGAGGTGACGGGGAGATGAGTTAGTGTAGAAGTAGAGATCAGGCGAAAGCCATCTCTCGATAACCGAGTTTTGAGAATTCTGTGATTTTGATCGTGATTTTGAAGGGCCGCTGAAAATTGCGGGTGCCCTCCCCGTGATTCATACTGATTCTTGAAAGAGGTTGCTCATATTTGCAGGTGCCCTCCTCGCATACATATGATTATTATCAACGGAATTCGTTAATATTCACCGGTGCCCTCCCTATTTCATAAGGTTCGTTCAGGCGAGGGCCGCCCATGAATGTCAGAGGCATCCCCATGCACTGAACTTTGACCCCTCCAAGATCCTGTCAAAAACGTGGGTGCCCTCCACCTGAGCATGAGACAAGTCACTCTCTTGCCACAAGGCTTCGGATAGAAGGGGTGAAGGGTTTGGTGGAGCCGAATATCTTCCACCAGTCCCAACAAACGCGGGCTTTCACGCGAGCAACGAATCATCTGTAAGCCGAGGTCTTGGGGATGGGTGTGGCCGTGGCAAGGGTCTTGAGACCTCAGATCTCAGCCACGTTTTCTGCTGTACTCACAACACCGCCATTCTAGCTCAGCAGATGAGGGCACGATCTCACAAAAGGGGAGGTACGTTTGATTTACGAGGCACGAATACGATATACGGCAATGTCAAAATGATAAGGCAAATGAGATCCGGCGAGGAGCAAGGGGGATGGAAAAGGCGACCAGCACCGGAGTCCGATTGAGATTTGACGGGCCTTTGGGGGCGGACTCCGAGGGTGTGGCGCCGGGCAAATTGGGGTGCCGAGACCGTGTATAGATAGAAAAGCCGCCCACTGTTGATGGCGATGCTGTGTCTCTTCTGATGCCCCTTCAACGGTGCACAGATGCTGATCGCAAGGACAGTCACAGTCGAAACGCGAAGCGGTTGGCCACAGCGACAGCAGTGACCTTAAGATACATTCACAGTCTGAGGAGTACGTAGGTTAGCTGGATCGGCGGAATAATTTTTTTTGCTGGGAACTCTGCGATCGGCTGGGGGCGACCAGCGGTAGATTTTTGATGGGGCTTGAGCGGGGCCCGATGCCAATACGGGTACTGCCCTGGGACTCGAAATGAGGGGCCCTCAGAGGGAACCCTGGAGTCTTGCCTACTGCAGTTTAAGCCAGCCGGACGTCATCAGCGCTCGGCTCAACGTAGCCACTGCCCGTGCAGTTGGGGATAGCTTAGCTCCCAAAAAAGATGCCCGCTATTGGAGTCTCAACAACAATACGACACTGCGCAGAAAAAGCAGCCGACCCAATTCGCTGCTCAACGCACGCACAATCACTGTGTCGGGCCGGATCTGCGCATCCAACATTGTCTTACTCCCCGATCGATGGGACGTAGATGGCGGCGGGACCTTAGTTAGCATCGTAGTTTCGCAGATTCAATTGATATACCCAAGCCTACTGCTGTGGCACCTCCACCGCAACTGCCACACATCAGTACCCACGCTTCATCTTCACTCCTTCTGCCTCATCTCCCTCTCACATACGCATCTACTCTTCTGCTGCCCTCTGTACTCTGTACTTTCTAATTCACCATCTCAACCACTCCTTCTCCGCATCATATTCACCTGGTCATCGAACTTGGGACATCGGATTTGTTGGCGCACTCCGATCCCCTTTTTCTGACCCCCTCTTACCTCGATTACTCCGAGTCGACCTGCCTACCCTTTCCACGGCCGATTTTCCTTTCGAATAGTACATGGTTCTAGAGTCTTAGACATTTTCAACATGGCTCCGCCTGCTGTCAACGGCGTCAATGGCGCCAATGGCACCAAATCCTCCTGGCAAGCCCGCCACGATCTCTCGACCAGCAATCCCCATTTCATTGGCGGCAATCGCCTCGAGAAAGCCCGTCCGAGCAAGGTCAAGGATTTCGTTCAAAATTCAGACGGTCATTCCGTCATCACGTCCGTACGTTTCTGCCCCTCGCGGTCTGAGGTCGAAGAGTAAGCTGACGGCGAGTTTCTCTAGGTTCTAATTGCCAATAACGGTATTGCGGCCGTCAAAGAGATTCGCTCCGTGCGAAAATGGGCCTACGAGACGTTCGGCGACGAGAGGGCTATCCAGTTCACTGTGATGGCCACTCCGGAAGATTTGGCTGCGAACGCCGATTACATCAGAATGGCCGATCAATATGTTGAGGTACGCCCGTGTCTGCGTCTGACGGCGAAATATTACCACAGAGCAAAGCTAACATGTCATACAGGTCCCTGGTGGCACAAACAACAACAACTACGCCAATGTCGAGTTAATCGTCGATATTGCTGAGCGTATGGACGTACACGCCGTATGGGCTGGCTGGGGTCACGCCTCCGAGAACCCCAAACTCCCCGAGTCCCTCGCTGCATCTCCCAAAAAGATCATCTTCATTGGTCCTCCCGGCTCTGCGATGCGTTCGCTGGGTGACAAGATTTCCTCCACAATCGTTGCGCAGCATGCGCGCGTACCCTGTATTCCATGGTCTGGCGAAGGCGTGGATGCGGTCGAGGTTGACAAGGAGGGAATTGTGACTGTCTCCGAGGAGACATACGAACAGGGCTGCGTCCACTCGCCAGAGGAGGGTCTTGAGGCCGCAAGGAAAATCGGCTTTCCTGTCATGGTCAAGGCTTCTGAAGGTGGTGGCGGCAAGGGTATCCGAAAAGTCGAAGACGAGACGGATTTCATCTCCCTCTATAATGCGGCTGCGAGCGAAATTCCAGGTTCGCCAATCTTCATCATGAAGCTTGCCGGCAACGCCAGACATTTGGAGGTGCAGCTGCTTGCTGATCAATACGGCAACAACATCTCGCTCTTCGGCAGAGACTGCTCCGTCCAACGGAGACATCAAAAGATCATCGAAGAGGCGCCCGTCACGATCGCAAAGCCAGAGACTTTCCGTGAGATGGAAGCTGCTGCTGTCCGTCTTGGTCAGTTGGTCGGTTACGTTTCGGCTGGTACAGTCGAATACCTCTACTCGCATTCCGACGACAAATTCTACTTCCTCGAGTTGAACCCCCGTCTTCAGGTCGAGCATCCTACTACCGAGATGGTGAGCGGTGTCAACCTGCCAGCTGCGCAACTCCAAGTCGCTATGGGTATCCCTCTTCACCGCATCCGTGACATTCGCTTGTTGTACGGCGTGGACCCCCATACGACCACCGAAGTCGACTTCCACTTCGAAAAGGAGGAGAGCTTCAAGACACAGAGACGCCCTCAGCCCAAGGGCCACACCACCGCTTGCCGTATCACATCTGAAGATCCCGGTGAGGGCTTCAAGCCATCCAGCGGTACTATGCACGACCTGAATTTCAGGTCGAGCTCTAATGTCTGGGGTTATTTCTCCGTGTCTTCAGCTTCCAGCATTCACAGCTTCTCCGACTCCCAGTTTGGTCACATTTTCGCCTACGGAGAAAACCGTGCTGCTTCCCGCAAGCACATGGTCGTGGCGCTGAAGGAGCTGAACATCAGAGGTGACTTCAGAACGACGGTCGAGTACCTTATCAAGCTGCTCGAAACTCCTGCTTTCGAAGACAACACCATTACTACCGCGTGGCTGGACCAGCTGATCACCAACAAGCTTACTGCTGAGCGTCCAGATCCGATGCTGGCTGTCTTGGCAGGTGCTGTAACCAAAGCGCACCTTGCCAGCGAGGCCTGCATCGCCGAATACCGTAAAGGTCTGGAGAAGGGCCAGGTTCCGTCCAAAGATGTGCTCAAGACCGTCTTCCCTGTCGACTTTATCTACGAGGGACATCGCTACAAATTCACCGCAACTCGGTCCAGCCTTGACAGCTACCATATGTTTATCAACGGCTCGAAATGCTCGGTTGGCGTTCGCGCTCTCGCCGACGGTGGTCTTCTGATGCTTTTGGCCGGGCGATCTCATTCCGTGTACTGGAAGGAGGAAGCCACTGCCATCCGAATCAGCGTGGATAGCAAGACCTGCCTGCTTGAGCAAGAGAATGACCCAACCCAGCTTCGCACACCTTCTCCCGGCAAGCTCGTTAAATTCACGGTCGAGAATGGTGATCACGTCAAGGCTGGTCAACCATTCGCAGAAGTCGAGGTCATGAAAATGTACATGCCTTTGATTGCTCAAGAAGATGGTATTGTCCAGTTCATCAAGCAGCCAGGAGCCACTCTCGAGGCTGGCGACATTCTTGGCATCCTTGCTCTGGACGACCCAAGCCGTGTCAAGACTGCTCAGAACTTCAGTGGTCAGCTCCCAGATCTCGGACCGCCCCAGATTGTGGGCAACAAGCCTCCTCAGCGCTTCGCACTTCTGCAGAGTGTGCTCCAGAACATTCTATTGGGCTTCGACAATCAGGTACTGATGGCCTCGACTCTTAAGGAGCTCGTCAAGGTCCTGCGTGATCCTGAGCTACCTTACGGTGAGTGGCAGGCTCAATCGTCTGCGCTCCACTCCCGTACTCCACAGAAGCTGGATGCACTTATTGGGCAAATCGTCGACCGGGCACACTCGCGCAAGGCCGAATTCCCCGCCAAGCAGTTGCTCAAGACGATTAACAAGTTCTGCGACGACAACATGTCTCGAGCCGACGCTACCGCTCTGAAGTCCACTATCGAGCCCTTGCTCACGATCTGCCAAAAGTACGGCGATGGCCTCAAAGCGCATGAGTACTCGGTCTTTACCGGCCTTCTAGACCAGTACTGGCAGGTTGAGAAGCTTTTCTCCTCTGGCAGTCTCCGAGACGAGGATGTTATTCTCAAGCTCCGTGAGGAGCATAAAGATGACCCCCTTGCCGTTGTCCACACTGTCCTGTCTCATACCAGAGTCCAGGCGAAGAACAACCTGATCATTGCCATTCTCGACCTCTACCGACCCAACCAGCCGGGAGTCGGCAATGTCGGCAAGTACTTCAAGCCATCTCTAAAGAGACTGACTGAGCTGGAGTCCCGCGCTACTGCCAGAGTCACCATCAAGGCTCGTGAGGCTTTGATCCAGGCCGCTCTGCCCTCTCTCGAAGAGCGCGCTTCGCAGATGGAGCACATTCTGAAATCTTCTGTCGTCGATTCAAAGTATGGCGAGACTGGTTGGGAGCATCGTGATCCTGACCTGGATGTGCTCAAAGAAGTCGTTGATTCACCCTACACCGTCTTCGACGTTCTGCCGTTGTTCTTCGGTCACTCGGAACCTTGGGTTGCCTTGGCCGCTCTCGAGACCTATATCCGCCGTGCGTACCGCGCGTACACGGTCAAGGAGGTCACTCATCATAACGAGGGTGAGACGCCTTATTTCTTCTCGTGGGACTTCGTTCTGCGGAAGGTTGGCCAGTCCGAATTCGGTCTGCCACTGGCATCGTCCTATCCCTCTGCGCCTTCGACCCCTTCGCAACGGGATGATCCATTCAAGCGTATCACTTCCGTGAGCGATCTGTCCTATCTCAACAAGATGCATGGCGATGAGGAGCCTACTCGGAAAGGTGTTATTGTACCTTGTCTGTACATTGATGAGGCTGATGAGGCCATTGGCCGTGCTGTCGAGGTCTTCCCGAAGACCGGGAAACGCAAGTCAAGTCAAAACGGCCTCATGCCGTCGCTGGAGGGTGCTCGCAAGCCCCAGAAGCCCGAGAACGAGGACGACCTTACCGGTGTTCTCAATGTTGCCATCAGGGACATCGAAGGTATGGGAGATGATGAGGTCTTGGCCAAATGCCAAGAGCTGATCCAGGACAACCGGTCTGACTTCCTTGCCCGTAACATTCGCCGCATCACCTTCATCTGCGGACATGGAGACGGTACCTACCCTGGCTACTTTACCTTCCGCGGCCCTACCTACGAAGAGGATGAGACAATCCGTCACAACGAGCCTGCCCTTGCCTTCCAGCTCGAGCTTGGACGTCTGTCTAAGTTCAAGATCAAGCCCGTCTTCACAGAGAACCGCAACATCCATGTGTACGAGGCCACAGGCAAGACGAATGGTGAGAGCGACCGCGCTGTTGACAAACGATACTTTACTCGCGCCGTTGTGCGCCCAGGCCGCTTGAAGGATGAGGTTCCGACGGCCGATCACCTCATCTCCGAGACCGATCGTCTGGTGAACGACATCTGCGACGCTCTTGAGATTGTCGGCAACAACAACTCGGATCTCAACCACATCTTCATCAACTTCACTCCAGTCTTCCCACTGGTGCCGCGAGATGTCGAAGAGGCTCTCGCCGGCTTCTTGGAACGCTTCGGCCGCAGACTCTGGCGTCTGCGCGTCACTCAAGCCGAAATCCGTATCTTGTGCACTGATCCTGATTCCAGCCTGCCATATCCGCTGCGTGTTATCATCACCAATACCTCGGGTTATGTCGTGGACGTTGAGACGTACGTCGAGAAGAAGTCACGTAGCGGTGAATGGGTCTTCGAAAGCATCGGTGGCACTAAGAAGGTTGGATCCATGCACCTCCTTCCTGTGTCTACTCCCTATTCAACAAAAGAATGGCTCCAACCCAAGCGTTACAAGGCTCATCTCATGGGCACGCAATATGTCTACGACTTCCCCGAGCTCTTCCGTCAAGCCATTGCCAACAGCTGGGCCAAGGCTATTGCCGCAACCCCATCGCTGGCCGAGTCTCGTCCAGAGGTTGGCCAGTGCATCGAATATCAGGAGCTCGTCCTTGACAGCGACAGTGATGGACTCATCGAGGTTGCTCGTGCTCCGGGCATGAACAGCTGCGGTATGGTCGGCTGGATCATCACAGCCAAAACTCCTGAATATCCTCGTGGCCGCCGCATCATCATCGTTGCCAACGACATCACCTATCAGATTGGTAGTTTCGGTCCTCAAGAAGACCGATTCTTCAACAAGTGCACTGAGCTTGCTCGCAAGCTCGGCATCCCGCGCATCTATCTGTCCGCCAACTCGGGTGCTCGCATCGGCATGGCTGACGAGCTCATTCCCCACTTCTCTGTTGCCTGGAACAGCCCTGATAACCAGGCCTCTGGGTTCAAATACCTCTATCTCACCCCTGAGAAGAGAGAGTCTATCAGCTCCAAGGATGTCATCACTGAGGAAATCACTGATGAGGGCGAGACCCGCCATCGTATCACTACTGTTGTGGGTGCCAAGGATGGTCTCGGCGTCGAATGTCTGCGCGGCTCTGGATTGATCGCTGGTGCCACCTCGAGAGCCTACGAGGATATCTTCACACTGACTTTGGTCACCTGCCGATCCGTCGGTATCGGTGCTTACCTCGTCCGCCTTGGCCAGCGTGCCATTCAGATTGAAGGTCAACCCATCATTCTGACTGGTGCTCCAGCTATCAACAAGCTTCTGGGCCGTGAAGTCTACACTTCCAACTTGCAGCTCGGTGGCACTCAAATTATGTACAAGAACGGTGTGTCTCACATGACTGCCAGCGATGACTTCCAGGGTGTCGAGAAGATTGTCGACTGGCTGTCGTTCATTCCCGACAAGAAGGGCCAGCCAGTGCCCATCAGCCCGGCGCAAGACCCTTGGGACCGCGACATCACCTATTTCCCTCCGAGTAAGACGTACGACGTTCGTCATCTAATCGGCGGGCAGCAGACTGACGAGGGTTTCCTCACTGGTCTGTTCGACAAGGACTCGTTCCAAGAAACCCTAGGTGGCTGGGCCAAGACCGTCGTCGCCGGTCGTGCCCGCCTCGGAGGCATTCCTATGGGTGTCATCGCCGTTGAAACTCGCTCTGTCGAGAACATCACACCTGCCGATGCTGCTAATCCCGATTCGATCGAACAGATCACTCAGGAAGCTGGTGGTGTCTGGTATCCCAATTCTGCTTTCAAGACTGCGCAGGCACTCAAGGACTTCAACTTCGGTGAGCAATTGCCCGTTATGATCCTTGCCAACTGGCGTGGTTTCTCGGGCGGTCAGCGCGACATGTACAACGAGGTTCTCAAGTATGGTTCGTACATCGTGGATGCTCTTGTCAAGTATGAGCAGCCTGTCTTTGTGTACATCCCACCGTTCGGTGAGCTGCGCGGTGGTTCATGGGTAAGTCAATTAACTCCTGCTGCCATAACTATACTAATCATGTTCAGGTCGTCGTCGATCCTACCATCAACCCCGAGCAGATGGAGATGTACGCCGATGAGGAGTCGCGCGGTGGTGTTCTCGAGCCGGAGGGTATCGTTGGCATCAAGTACCGCAAGGAGAAGCAACTCGAGACGATGGCTCGTCTTGATGGCGAGTATGCCTCGCTTCGCCAACAGTTGGCCGCGAAGAGCATCAGCTCCGAGCAGCAAGCTGAAATCAAGACCAAGATGAACGAGCGTGAGAAGCTCCTTGGTCCTGTCTACCAGCAGATTGCGCTTCAGTTCGCTGACCTTCACGACCGCGCCGGTCGTATGGAGGCTAAGGGTACAATTCGCATGCCTCTGAAATGGGCCAATGCTCGGCGCTTCTTCTACTGGCGCCTACGTCGCAGGTTGTCTGAGGAGGTGCTTCTCAAACGCCTTGTCAGCTCCGCGAATGCTGGCGTGCCCACGTCATCGGGCATGGTGCAACGCACGCATCACCTTGACATGCTGCGCACATGGTCAGGTCTCCTGGACAAGGAGTTCGAGAAAGATGACAGGAAGGTTGCTGAATGGTACGAGAGTCACCGCAAGGATGTCTATGCCAAGATCGACGCAGTGAAATCGGAAGCCATCAGCAAGAAGGTGGCAGACTTGCTCATCAGCAACAAGGAAGGTGGCCTTCGGGGAGTGCGAGAGGTGCTCAGCCTTGTACCGACGAGCGAGCGGGAGGGTCTGATCAAATACTTGCTTGGAAACTGATTTGTGAAGGACTGGTGCGCGCACGGGTCGATGTGCATTCATTCGTTGGCGAGCGGGTTTGGCTTTTGACATTGATTGGTCTCTGTTTGGTGTATGCTATACGGCGGCATAGGTTAAAGAGACACAGATTATTACGTCAGTCGAGGTGAGCGATCAGGGTAGATCGGTGGCTGCATGGAGGCGATGCCCGGGCTTTGAGCGGAGCGCCAACTGCGATGGGCTAGGGCAGAACGGACCATGCAGCCGTTCGTTCTTGAGGAATCGGGAACCGGAAAAGTGTTAGTGTACTATGATAGAGACGGTTCATTCTACATGCTCTGTGAAAACTTCTGCGTCGATGTATCATGTCTCGATTGCTGCCAAATGGGGGCGTGTTCCGTTTCAATATGACTGTGCCAGTGGTGGGAAGGAGCTGAGTTTCGATATGGCCGCTCACTGCACCGTGGTAACCCATGCGCCCCGTCCGTCGCAAACAGCCCTTCTTGCATGCCCTCTCTTTCCCTCCCTCGACGCGCTAGTCGCCCCCACCATCACCGCCACGACCTCAACTCCCGCCTCCATCCTCCCCCTCTTCCCTTTTCCCAACTTGAATCTCGCCCCTTTCGACCCTCTCTCCCCACCATCGATGCAACGGCGGCGCCCCGGAACACAGCAAGTCGATCGGCGTATCGAGCAAGAAGCGATCGATGACTTCGGGATCCGCGACGCCCAGGTCGTCCATGCGGAACAGGCGCTGGCCGTAGCGGGACAGGAAGCCGCTAAAGTTGGGTTGGATGTTCGGGTGGCGCAGCAGGGAGAAGCCGCGCTCTAGGAAGCCGGTGCCTTGGGCGGTTTCCATTTGCGGGAATGCTGGTGCTGTGTGTGGCGGGGGGGTTTTCGTTAGCCGCGTGTAAAAGTGGTTGAGAAACTGATTGGGAGGTAAGGGAGGGTTCGGTGGTGACTTCTCTTTGGGGTTGGGGGGGATAACTCACCCATGCCAAAGCGAATCATCTCCCGCTCGGTTTCGAGGACTTGGTATTTGGAGAAGATGGAGTCGACGGTCTCGAGCTTGCGGGCGTGGATGTGCATGTTGTAGAGATTGACTTCGAAGTTGATGCCTTGGTCAAGCCAGACGGTCCAGAAGTCGGTGGCGTGGGCGGCCGAGACGTACGAATAGAGGTCGTTGATGATGGGCTTTTCGATTATCCATTCGACGCTGGGGAAGGGATTAGGTCTTGGCGTGGGGTGAAGGATAAGGAGGGGGAGCGGGAGCGGAAGAGGAGGGAGGGAGGGAGGCAGGGCTTCTGGGTCCCTTGGCTTACCTCTCAAGCGTCCAAAAGGGGAGGCCGAAGGACTCGATGGACCGACCCAAGACCATTGCCGTGTTGTTCATGATCTCGTGTTGGCCTTGGTTCTTGGACATGCGCGAGCGCCAGATAGTGGGGTGCTTTACGTACGTATCGAAGGTGTTGCGGATGCTAAAGGGACGGACAGCAATGGCCTCTGAGTCGAGCCAAAGAGCCCAGTCATAGTCGAAATGGAAGGCAGCGGAGAGTTTCTTGATGGACTGGTAGATGTACTTGCCGCGGTGGGCGAGCAAGGGACCCGTGTCGTTAGTACTAATGCCTTCGGTTTTTTGGAGTGTAGGTGGGAGGACGTCGTATAGGGTGACGATGGTGGCTCGTGGGTTGGGGCCGTTGATGTTTCCTGGCGGCGTGTCGAAGCGGCTGAAGGTTGAGTGGCAGGGTTCGAGTTGGGAGAGGAGAAGTTCGAGGTCTTGGAGCTCTTGGTAGTCTGAGACTATGATGTTGAAGTCGACTTCTTGGAAATCGGTACAGAGGCATTTTAGGGACTGGAAAAAGTCTACAACGAAGGCGAAATGGCCTGACTGGGGAAAAGGTGGATTAGCAAAGCACGAGAAGGAGGTCTCGATGGGTGTGGCTATACGAAGGTCGGCAGGAGGATGGCATATCGCAACCCCTTGGTGTTTGTGGTGCTGGGTACAATTGGATCACTTGTGTTCAGCGCCACGAGTCTGTCACGGTAGAGATCTTCCTCAACAGTTTGCGGTGGATATGCGTTGAGCTGGAACGGGATGAAGTCTTCTTGTGAAGGTGATAATATCGTGTACGTCGAGGCGGATGTGAAGATGAGCAAGATCGAGACTGCTGCAAGAGCGGCGATGGCCATGTACCGGAAGCCCCTAGCACACGTGAGCTATCATATATTAATCAATTTTCGTGTCATACCGGCTCGAAGAACCTGTTTCCTCCGTACCATCGTCAGTCGTAGTGGCCCACTTGGCCTCGGAGACTGGTAGAGCAGTGTATTTCGACGCCATGGGGGTGTCAGGGAGGACTCGCGTCTGATGCGTGAAGAGAAGGCAGGTAGTGAGCGAGAATCAGGAGAAAAAGGTAAGCCAGACCACCGTGCTGCATTCCGTCGCGTGCAGTACGCTGTACACAAGCCATTGATACGTGACTTGCACACGATGGTCCGTGGGTGTCCGAAATGGAAAGGTTGTTTTGGAAAATGCTTCAAGGGCACGTTCAAGAACACTTTGGTACTTCTAGGAAATGAATGGCCGCAAATACGAGCTTGACGATACAGGCGTCCTATGACTAGGTGCTGGTCGTTATCTCACTCAGCGCGCTCTTTCATCCTCGCTTGAGAGAGATTCTGGAGCGATGAACTGTAGTCAATCGATTAAGCGCGGCTACCGGTGAGTTTGCAGGGTGGCCTTGTAGAAGCCCCAACACATGCTGCAAACATAGTTTGGCTTGGTTTCTGGTGGATTCAACTCAGTAATCGCAGACTGGGGATGCGGCTGTGAGGTGGCCTGGATGGTAAGAAGCACAACCCAATGCCAACGAACATTATTGCGCGTCGAACGCTGTGGCTTGGAGAATGAGGGGACCTCGCCGCAGCCGCTCGATCCGACACGGTCCACTATGAGTGCTTCGAACGTCCCGTGCAATAGCAAATTCTTCCGTTGGAGCTTTGTTGGGACGCAGAAAATCTGGTAGTTGGACGTACTGGTACATTTATGCAGGAATTTGACACGACCCCTCGTCTTGCGGCTGTGCAGTGTTATGGAGGCACTCAGTGATCCAATAGGAAGCCACCTCCGCAGTGGCTTGCCGTGAACTCGCGATCGGAGATCCCCCGAACTCGAGGACTGGTAGCATGCGCTTTTGTCAAAAGTCCATGTTGCGACTGGTTGCGGCTCTTGACCCAGAAAATGGGATGCCCGTGTAAGCAACGGCCGCATGGCCCGAAAGCTGGATCAAGAGACTCCCAGTCAAAAATCGGGTCGACCTGCTTGAGGCTTTGCGCTGACAGCGCAACCCCCCATCGTGCTTTGGCATACACAATTAAACCTGCTTTTGAACATGTAGATCGCCAGATCTCCCCCTCCAAGATTCAGCGTTGGATCTCCTCCCACCTCTCCAGGAGCGACGACCCCACGTTGAGAGTCGACCGTGAGTGAAAATATCGGTGAACGGCCAAATCCCGTCACGCGTGCTTTTCGGCGCAGACGGTATCAATAATATATACACGGATCATGGACAGAGAGAGTCTATTTCAAATTGCCCCGCCGCAACCAGCGTTGAATTCTTCTTCGTCCAGGGTATTGAGATCATAGAAGCCCCCACCCAGCACCCGAAGCAGGGAGTCAGGGACCCTCCATAGGCGAGTGTACCGCTAATAGGCACGCCCCAAGAACGCTCCACACCCGTCAAGCCACACCTGGCCTTGTCCTGCCCTTCTCGTCAGCCGACAGGTGCACTCTGCCTCGTCAAGCACGCCTCATAAGTCATTTTGCGTCGCAGGTTCCATTGTCACGGCGCAGCGTTCGAGGAAGTTGCGACTAGGTGCCTTCATTTTATTAGAACTTGACCACACCTCAACACGGTGCCGAAAGTGAGCCTCGACAACCACCGTCACCACCCCTACATTTGCTGCGCAGCAACATCCTCACATTCGTATCTGCTTTTCAGTATCTGTGCCGCTACTACTACCCCGAATATATTCTTCCGTCGCCCTTTCCTCGCTGGCCTTCGCGACTCTACTATCGCGCCTACACCTCTCGTCCACGCATGGTGGTGACTCTTCGCACCTGATCTGGCGTTCTGCGCCCCTCTGCCGCCAGATCATGCTGGCTTAACAGCTTGAAAGACCAAGGACCTCTGGTCCTCACATATTTTTCGGTCTTTGATCAATAGGAGGGCACATCAAGGCTTTTAGGCCTCGACACCATGTCAAGCCCACAGGACACAGATCCTTCTCCCACAGGCTCCGGCACCACCTCCCATTTTCCGCCTGGGCCTCGACAGACCACTGTATCCATGTTCACTGGCCGCCCCGCTCTGGCTCACCATGAAAACCTCACGACGAACGAACCAGACCGCCCACCTGTCTCAAGGTCCGGGGCCCGAACTCCTGGGGAAGGGCGAATTAGCTCGTCATTCACGGCGAGAGAGGCGCCTGTGTCTATGTTCACTGGCAGAGGAGATCATGCCACATCCCCTCCAAGAGCCTCCAATGATCCCTCGGACGCCTTGAGCCCGGGATCTATCGACCGCGTCTTTCCCATCCGTTCGGCCGTCTCCATTGACCCAACTGTCACCACCCCCATGTACCGCAATGAGTCTTCTGAAGGTTTCCCGGGCCTCAGAATAGGTGGCGATATTGCTGGTCGGAGAGAGTTGAACCGCACTGCCACCGACCGATCAGCATCTCCATCTCCTTCTACGGCTATCGGCTCTCCGCGGCAGCGCCCAGTCAGTCCAGGAGGACGACGTGAGTCGGCATCGATGCAACGCAGATCTACCGATCAGACCTTGGACCGGCGTAGGACGTCTCTTTCCACTCATCGTGACCTGTCTCCAGTAGACAATCGAGTCATTACCAACATGTTGGGAGATGAAGAGGCAGATGCCAATGACGGCATATCGAGCAAGTCGGGTACTGCCTCAAAGGCGAGCTCTATGCGCAACGAAGGTGGCATCATGACTGCGCGTTTCAAACATCTCGTCACCGATGGCGGCCACTCGGTGATTACTGGGCGAGACGGCGAGACCTTGCAACGATGTGAAGACGAGCCCATTCACATTCCAGGCGCCATTCAGGGATTTGGTCTCCTGATCGCTTTCAAAGAAGAAAATGGGAAGCTGGTTGTTCGGGTTGTGAGCGAAAACTCGGCCAAAATCATCGGGTATACCCCTGCTCAACTTTTCAAGCTTGACAACTTTCTCGACATTTTTACCGAAGAGCAAGCCGACAATCTTCTTGATCATCTCGATTTTATTCGTGACGACGAGGCCGCCGATGTCGTGGCCAATGGCCCAGAAGTTTTCATGATTTCAATACGGCCACCTCAACATCGCACTCGAAAATTGTGGTGCGGCATCCATATGTGCCCGTCGGATAAAGACCTGGTGGTGTGTGAATTCGAGATCGAAGATGATCAGGAAAATCCGCTCGTGCCTTTCGACGAGGGCACGCCAGAACCTCCAGAGGACACTCTCGGCAGCCAGCCGACCGCCGAGGAGCTGGCTGAGAGCACAGTCAATGCCAGCAAGCCGCTGCGTGTGTTGCGCAGTGCTCGCAAGAAGCGTGGGGAAGCAGCCGCTATGGAGGTTTTCAACATCATGTCTCAAGTGCAAGAGCAGATGGCCAATGCACCAAACTTGCAGATTTTTCTGAAAGTCTTGATAGGTGTTGTCAAAGAGTTGTCGGGTTTTCACCGAGTCATGATCTATCAATTCGATCAGGCGTGGAATGGAAGAGTTGTCGCAGAACTGGTCGACCCTCGAGCCACGAAGGATTTGTACAAAGGCCTGAATTTTCCTGCGTCCGATATACCAAAACAGGCGCGAGACCTCTACAAGATGAACAAGGTCCGCCTTCTATACGATCGGGATCAAGAAACCGCACGCCTGGTGTGCCGCTCTGCTGCCGATCTTGAGACCCCTCTCGACATGACTTATGCCTACCTTCGAGCCATGTCACCAATCCACCTGAAGTACCTTGGGAACATGGCTGTACGGTCATCCATGTCCATCGCTATTAACGCCTTTGGTGAACTCTGGGGTCTGATAGCTTGCCATTCTTACGGTTCCAAGGGCATGCGAGTATCGTTCCCTATTCGCAAGATGTGTCGGCTTGTTGGCGATACCGCTTCGCGGAATATAGAACGCCTCTCTTACGCTTCCCGGCTACAAGCCAGGAAGTTGATCAACACCACCTCTTCTTCCGCGAATCCGGGTGGCTACATTGTAGCGTCTTCTGAGGACCTCCTGAAACTTTTCGATGCGGATTTCGGAGCACTCTCGATTCGGGATGAAACCAAGGTCATGGGCAGCCCTCAAGGCAATCTTCAGGAAATCTTAGCCATGGTAGAATACTTGCGGCTGAAGAGGCTGAATGCTGTCATGACATCACAGGACATTGCAACCGATTTTCCCGATCTTCGATACGCTCCAGGTATGAAGACGCTCGCAGGCGTCCTGTACGTTCCGCTGTCCAACGGTGGCAATGATTTTATTGTCTTCTTTCGCAGAGGCGTTTTGCAGGAGGTGAAGTGGGCTGGCAATCCCTACGAAAAGTTCATTAAGGAAGGCACCGAGGGGTACCTCGAGCCTCGCAAAAGTTTCAAAACTTGGAGCGAGACAATCATCGGTCGATGTCGTGACTGGACGGAAGAAGAGGTCGAGACGGCTTCTGTACTCTGTCTGGTCTATGGCAAGTTCATTGAGGTTTGGCGCCAGAAAGAGGCCGCACTCCAGAACAGCCAACTCACACGGCTCTTATTGGCCAATTCGGCCCACGAGGTTCGAACACCTCTCAACCACATCATTAACTACCTCGAGATTGCACTGGAGGGTGCACTTGACAGCGAGACGCGCGATAACCTAGCCAAGTCGCACTCTGCCTCCAAATCACTTGTCTACGTCATCAACGATCTACTTGATCTCACCAAAGCTGAAGGTGGAAAAGACCTGGTCAAAGACGAGCCATTCGATTTGATCGCGACGCTCAAAGAAGCCTCAGACCCATTCGCTGGGGATGCACACCGGAAGGGGCTCGAGTATACCGTCTTCCTCAATGAAGATCTCCCCGCTAACGTCATTGGAGATACGAGACGAGTCCGCCAAGTGGTGTCCAATCTCATTGCGAACGCAGTGCAACATACGTCGTCTGGTTTTGTGAAGGTTGAAGCGTCCCTGGCCGAGGCTATGACCCAGCGGGTGGAGATCGAAATAGTGGTCGAAGACTCTGGTGCTGGCATGTCGCAGAAGAAAGTGGACGCTCTCTTCCGAGAATTGGAAGAAGTCTCGTACGAGCTCGATGTAAGTGATACGAAGATGCTCGAGAATGATCCTTTCACGGATGCGGAAAGTGCCGACCTCCCTGCCCTCGGCCTCGGCCTAGCCGTTGTCGCACGTACGATACGCACCATGAATGGCCAGTTGCGCCTCAAGACAGAAGTAGGTAAAGGCTCCCGCTTTGTCATTCAGCTTGGCTTCGCAGAGCAGATGCTGCAGATACAGGGTCCCAAAACTCCCTCGCTGAGGAAAGCGCCCTCATTGTCCTCGTCAAGTCCAGGCAAGCTTTTGGGTCAACCAGTCGAGGGTGAGGTCACTTTGATCAACCGTGCTCAGTCTCCACGACGACCATCAGAGGCCGTGGTTCGGCGGTACAGTGCTGATAGCGTCAAGAGCACAAACAGTAAAACCAGCTTGAAAAGTCAAAAGAGTCACAGGAGTGCTGCCAGTGTACACAGCAACACCAGTCAGAAGAGCGATGCGGATAGACTCATTGACGCCATTCAGCAGCCTCTTCACCTGAGAGACGGCGAGGAAGGCACCACCAGTCCTCGATCAGAAACTCCTGGAAAGCATGGTTCCCGAGTGTCGCAGTCGTATCCATTGCCCGACGGCACGAGTCCCACTGGGCCGCCGCGGCCGAGCAGCCTGGGCTCTGCAAGAGAGCTGAAATCGTCCATGGTTCGAGTGCCTGGCCAAGAAAAGGTTACCGACTCCGGTGTACCAGTCAGAGCTGTGCGATTGCCCGAGGAGGCAATGCAGAAACCATCGGATAGATCACGACCGTCTAGTTCAAGAGTGATGTTTGAAGATCAAACCAGGATGGTGCAGTCACCGGAGCCACAACCAGATCCCATCGCTGTGGACAAATACCACGTTCTCGTGGCAGAAGATGATCCCATCAACAGCAAAATAATGAAGAAGAGGCTAGAAAAACTCGGTCACCAAGCGTACATGACTGTCAATGGTGAAGACTGTGCTTCGGCGCATGGAGAACAAGCCTCGTCTTTTGATGCCGTTTTGATGGATCTTCAGGTACGTTGAGTGCTGCCGAGCACCGATGACAGGCTAACATATAGCAGATGCCCATAGTGGACGGCCACAGTTCCACCAAGATGATTCGATCATTCGAGAAGACCCATCCCGGTGGATGTCTTTCTCAGCGCGCCCAGTGCAATCGCCGAATCCCAATTTTTGCTGTATCTGCATCTCTCGTGGAGAAGGACCGACAAAAGTACATCAATATAGGGTTCGACGGGTGGATATTAAAGCCTGTGGACTTCAAACGTGTTGATCAGCTGCTTAAGGGCATAGTTGATGATGACATACGCAACAACTGTTTGTACGAGCCTGGTAAATGGGAACAAGGAGGATGGTTCATGCACAAGGACGACAGGGACGACGCCTTTTCTGTGGATACACACCCAAGTCAGCACAACCCGACGCAAGAGACAGAGGATGCACAACAGGAAGGCCGAACAAGTGAATCTGGCGATGTCGACAACGAGGCTAGTCCAGCGGGAAGCATCACCCCGAAGCCTGACTCGGCGACAATCGCGCCCGGGCAGGAGTAGGAAGCACAACGGAGATCGTCTCCGCGGATTTGAATTGGCGAAGGGTTATCTCATGACGGCGCATGCGCGAACTCAGCATATATTTGACATGGACTACAACGCATGCATGGCATAGGTGATTTGGGATGGAACGGTGCCGCAGAACCCTGCCTATGCTTAGAGCGTGTCAACGAACAATGGCGCTGTATTACTTTGGTGGAATGTGTACCGATGATCAATAGACTGAAGGCTGCGGCCCACGCACTGTAGGGGAGAAGCATGGTCAATTGGATGTGACACCAGATATTTCTGTACAGTCAACGACGAATGGCCCAACGTTCGAGATCAGTGAGCCCTCTTTTCCGTACCGAAGATGGAGAGCAGTTAGCGGTCGTAGTTTGATGACTCACCAGCTAGGTATGCCGTAACTCGGACAGTACAGTTCGGCAACGTAGCACGAAACGGCCAGTTTCGTCACGCTGCTCGAAGAATCGTGAAGTGACTCGACGGCATTACAGAGTAGCTCGATCGTTTGAGACTCTTATCTACTAGCTCAGCTCAGCTCATTTCGTTGTTGTTGAATTGCATGTGGAAATGGAAAAATAATGGGACTCGCCCGCTCACCGCCAATATGCCGGCTGGGCGGCGGGGACGGATGGATCTACTAACCATCATATGCATTTCGTGCATTTCTACGACGTGACACGAGCAACGACGTGAATTTGGAAGAGAAAAGACCGCACACCGCACCGCAAGAAGAGAGCTGTTTGCCAAAGCAATGCAAAGGACAGTAAAGCAAATCAAACGGCTTCGCCTATTCTCGAACCGGAGAGGAGGGGGCCGCACACACACACACCGCAACTCCCAGCCTGCATCACCCACCGCAAATCCACCCGCAGACAGCGCACCGCTTGCTTGCTTGCTGTCTGCGGTCTACTGGGCGGCCCCGGCTGCCGGGCGAAAGATTATGTTCTAGGCCTGTCATTGTCTTTTGAGAACGTTGGGTTCCTTTTGAAATGAATGAATGAATGAATTGTTCCCTACCTTTGTTTGTTCCTCCGGTCTGACCTAGTCTGTTTCAACCCGGTCCCGTTTTCCTGGGACGGGGATTCAGCGTGTCTGATCAGGTTGCGAGAGACTCTTCTGAACCGCTGGACAGGATAACGCGCGTGGTGTACGCCCGCCAGCTTTTTTGGGGAAGCGATTCCGTCAGAATAGTCCATGGCTGCCTTGTCCTTGCCAACGCCACGGAGTGGACTGGGACCGCTGGGCTTGGCGACGTGCGGGATGGGGATTTTTGGAACACCACTAATCCTGGAGTTGGTGCGTCGACGGAGGGGGCGGCAAGTACAGCAGAGAGGGAAGACGGTGGTGGAAACGGAGACGGTCACGAGGGGGTTGGATCTGGGGCAGGGGTGGGAAATGGGAGAGCGCGGTGTGGCTGCTACGAGATGTACAAAAGCAGCGAGTGAGGAGCATGTGGCTGTGGCAGTCGAGGGTACGAGCGTGATGGCTCGTCCATCTTCCTCCTCTTCACTGTCAGATACAACAAGATCCTCCTCGCGTGATAGTGCACGCAGCAGCTGTGCGGCAACGGCTTCGTTCTCCTCGCCACAGCCGCCATCACCACCTTCACAACAACAACAACAACAACAACAACAACAACCACCCACAATTTGCTATAGGATCCGCAAAGCCACCCCCGACGACATCCCCTACCTCCCAGACGTCGAGCGCTCGGCGGGCGAAGTCTTCCGTTCCATTGAGGGTCTGGAGTCCTTGGCCGACGACGATCCCATGCCGGAGGAAGTACTGCGGTGTTATGCTGAGGCGGGATGGGTTTGGGTTGCTACCGTTGCTTGGGATGATAGGAGGAATGGAGGTAAGAATGAGGAAGAAGAGGAGAATGAGTCGGTGCAAGAGGTAGTGGGGTTTCTGGCCTGCTTTCCCATCGTGTCACAGCGGCGACAGGCACAGGTACAGCCTCAGCAGCTACCCACTCCACAGCGACCGGAGGCGGAAGGCACAGAATCAGAGACTCAAGCGTACCTCCACATCGCCGAGCTCTCGGTGCACGCCTCGCACCAGAAGCGCGGCCTGGGCGGCCGCTTGCTGGATACCATGTTCGTCGAGGTCGCTGAGGGGCCGGTCGTATCGTGCGCTACTATTGCCGTAGGCGGTGGCGAGGAGGAACAGGGTGACGACGAGGAAGCGCTGTCACAGAGACAGGGACAGGCATGTGATGCAGAACATGGTGGTGAGGGGGCGCGCGGGCTCGGGAGCGACGAAGATGGCGGTGAAGATGAGGCGGAGACTGAGGGTGAGACTCTTGGAACGCAAAGAGGGTGGCGGGCGAGGAGAAGGGTCAAGGCAAGGATCAGGGGCTACAGCCTGACGACGTACCGGCACCTCAGCTTCAACAGGCCGTTCTACGAGCGGATAGGGTTTCGGGAAGTGAGCGTGGGGGATATTGAGGGGGTGGTGGGGGCGAGGGGGAGGGAGTTGTGGGAGCAGGAGCAGAGGAGTATTGTGTTGAGGGAGACGCGGTGTTGGATGGTGAGGGCGTTGTCTTAGGTGTCGTTCATTCGATATCGGTACAAATGTGAATGACATGGCCGTAACGTATATGAAAAGCAACTCCCGCCAACACCATGCTTCCCACGCCTGCACGAGGGTAAGGACTCTAGCCTCAATTCGCTCCCAATTGACACTCAAAGAAATCAACTTTCCCGTCTTATCATGCCTTTGGCCGTCTCCCGGAAGCTGATGCCGCCGAAGAGCCAGTCATTCCCGTGGCGACCGTAGTGATCAAGGCTGCCCTTTTCCTTCTGGCGTTTTTGAAAGAAAGTCGCGTCTCGTGGGAGCTGCTGAAGGGTGGGAACGGAGCCTTCAGATTTGTGACGCGGTTTCTGTGGTCCGGCCGGTGCGGTTTTAGTATGGTGCAGGCCGGCTTCTGGAGCAGGGGACTTTGACCGGGAGCGATTGAAGATGGTGTCAAAGGTGATAGAGCGGGTCGGAGAACGGATGGTGTTCTGAGCGCCGTTGTTTTCAGGTGAGGTGGGAGATGTAGTTGAAGCAGGGCTTGTGAGGGGGGATGAGAGATCTGATGGTGATCGAGGGTCGGGAGAGGTCGAGGCTCTGCTCCCAAAGGTGAGTGTCAGAACACTCGGCTTGGAAGGCATTGTTGCTGTGCTGGTAATGTGAGTGTCTTGGTTAGATGCTGAAGCAGCGTACGCAGCGATGTTGGGAGCAGGTTCAATATCAACAACTTGATCAACCCCGCCGTCCAAGCGTCTAGTCGTGGTTACACACGTGTGCACGGACTGTCCATTGGCCTCCTAGCTCTGGTGTCCTTTTCCGAGGGTCAAATACGACGATGCAGGGTTGATGACAATCAAGATCATTGGAGGGTCGGCAAAGAGCAGCTGACATTTCCGCCAGGCGCTCCTAGCGGTGCAGTGTGGGCGTTAGCTGGTGCGGTAGGGGTTTGGGGGGGGGGTACGAGGTCAAGTTTCCTGCTGGCGTCGTGCATCGTATCTTGCTGTCACAGCGCGACTGCCGAGAGCTCACCGGTTTCCCTGTCGTCCTTTCTGCTGCTGCCATGTGACAAGACCATCGATGCCCACACCACGTCCTTGATTCAAACAACCATGATAGATGTTCATCAGATTCGTTGCAAGCCTACTCATCGAATCTCCACCGGATGACGCCTCGTCGTGCATGTCAACCCAAGCCTTTCCGCGGCCATGAGTTTCGGGGCCAGCTCATGCAGCGCATCGCTTCGCTCAGCCGCTCTTCTTGGCCTGCAGAAAGATGCCTGGAATGATTGGAATACACCAAAGGCCTAGGCCTCACAGACCCGCTCCTAGGGCCACGATCGATGAACCCGCCCTCCTCCAACGACTGCGGGGCTAGGTGCTCCTAGGCTACCACACAATTCTCCGCTTCCACGAGCCACGACTGGTCTTCCTTCTTCGATGCCCTGCGCCATGACATGCCACTGCTGCCACTGGTCCGCCGAAACAGCCGCTTCCTCCATGGCTTGGGAGGTGACCTTGGAAGATTAGGCCACCACGGCGATATCAGAGAATCAGAATTTCGACTGTCATCTATGCTCTGTTCTACATGAAACCAAGCCATTATGTATGGAGCCCATAACCAAGGCTGGTGGGTGTCCGACTTCAACCTCAGGGCCCAGCAAGACCAGAGCGGGGCCTCCTCCGGCCTTCGAACGCAGATCATTCATAGACAAGGTCAAAAGGGCTCTCACTCCCCTCGACGCTTCTCATGGCGCTTTGGCCGAACAAATCGTCGTCTACGGTCCACACGGTGTTGGTAAGCGGCACATCGCCATTCAAGCTGCCACCGAAATCTGCGCCCGCGATGGACGAAAACTGCTCCTTGTCAATGCGCGGACCTACGAGGCATTCGTACCTTCGTTCCTGGCGGCTTACACGACCTTGACTGATCAGTCACTGGCCCCAACTGATCACCTGTTCCAGGCACTCCACCAACTGAAATACTACCTCGAGAATCACCGACAACAATGGATCATGGTCGTTCTCGACGTGGAGCTTCTGGCCGAGGAGAGGACAATTCCCGATCCTACCTCTTCTGATCAGAAAAGAGTCATCAATTGGTTTCTACCAACCCGAGGACAAGTCATTATGACGGGCCTGCTTGGACGCGCCATTACAGGCCCATCACTTATACACTGGATCCAAGTCCCGGGACTATCCCCCAGTGATGTCGAGTGGTATGCGCGATCAGAATGCTCGGAGCTCCTCGACCTAGCGCGAGATCCCTGTAGTCCGGTTGTGTCTGATTTGCCCATGCCTCTCGATCTCCAGATCGTGGCAGCCAACTTGAAACTCCTTGGTTGCACTTATCGCCATTATCTCGCCTTCTACACCAGCTACGTGCGAGAAGTTGCAGTAGCTACCGTGAAAGATGGCCTGTGGACTTTCTATCCAGCCGATGTCAATCGACAAATTCTGTGGGACCTGCTGGCAGACCGCAGTCGCTGGGCTATACGACTGTTGTCTGCATTGACGCTCCTTGCACCCTGGGCGATTCCTCTGGCGCTAATGCAGGAGATGCCCATGTTCAAGAACACCATTGCCGATCGACTGGGACCTGCCCTGGATTTGCTCCAGTCTCTCCAGATTCTCATGGTCAAAGATGCTCACGTCTACATCCATCAACATCTGCATCTATGGTTCCGCGGCTATGCTCACAGAAAGCTTCACCCTAATGATTGGTATGCCCTGCGCTCAACGAGTGCCGAGGCTCTGACATATTCTATGCCGCATTTTGCAGCGAAAGGTTTCTATGACTGTTGGACACTCGTCCCCCACATCTTTGCACTCAACGTTTCTATACTCAGAAGAAAGTTGCACTATACCGACCGAATCTTCACCTTTCTGACGAATGCTGTTGAATTGGCGGTGTATCGACTCGAAGACCAAACCATCTCTTACGGACTGTTGAGGACTGCCTCGCTCGTATCATACGCGCTGGCGCCCATACCAGGGACTCATCCAGGTGACGTGGCCGATCTACGCTCTGCCAAACTCAGCGTGGCCAGGGCCCAAGCGTTCTTTACCGAGGCCGTCGCCGATGGGTTCCCTGATTTTGCTACCACTGAAACTGAAGTACACCGAGCCTTACGGTACGTCCGCCACGTGAGAGACGACCATGACTTCTGGCGCATGCGCGAACAACTCTACGCTCTTGAAGCGCGCACGATGCTTGGTCGAGCCCCATTGTCTCGCATCAGAAAGTTCCTCGACCGCGCTCTCGACAAATGCGGGCTCGAAGCATCTGAATTGCACCACCTCATGTCGGTCATTTTGAACACCGAAGATGAACGAAGAGGAGCCCTGGACCACTCTCACGAGGCGATGCTTTATTATGCTCAGTGCTACAAGCCCGATGGACGCCCAAAATTGAACAGAGACGCAAAAGTTGTCGTAGGTCATCACATCAAGATCCTGGTAAAGGAAAGGAAATGGAGGGGAGCCCTGCTTTTCATCCGGCCGTTGCTCGAAGAAGAGTTAACATCCTCTCCCCACCGTTCCACTACAGTTTGGATTCTGACCAGTCAGGCGATCGACTGCTATCGAGCTATGTTGAGACTGTCCGAAGCAGAAGCGCTTTTGTATCGAATTCTCGATGCTGACTTTACGGGAGAAGGCGGCACAAGCGAAGGAAGAACTCATCACTTCGTTGACGAAATTGTGCAAAGATCTTTCATATTTTTCTTGGAAACCTTAGTCTCGATGAGCTCGCTGTATTACTGCCACGGCAGGCTTATAGAAGCAGAAGCCTTGCTCAGATACGTCATATGGGCGGCAATATTCAGGTCAGTGGGCATGGCAGGTCGAGCGGACTCTCAAGTGGCCGATTGGTATCGTAAACTAATCATTTGTCTTGCCCGCCGCCGACATTGGTCTGCATTGATGCAGAAGCAGCTGGACTACTGGTACCTCTTCGGCGATCATTTCGATGGACGTGCAGCGACAGACGGACTAGGAGTCGGACTATACAGCAGTACAGAGACTTACCAGCGTGCAATTTGGGCGTACGAAGATGGAGAATACGACGAATGGAAATTGTCCCTTGCGGAAGACGAGGCCAGGAGAGCTTTCAGCATTGCGGAAACCTCTTGGGGCAACGTTCCCGAACGAGTCGAGGACGGCCGAGACTTCTCCAGTGATCTCGATCTTGACGGCATCACGCATGCAAAGAGGAGCAGATTACTGCATCTGCTAGGATGCGACATTGTTGGTATTACTTTCGTTGGCCGACTCGGTCCTCAGACGCGAATTGCACGCGTTATTTTCCGTGCTGAAGAAGGCGGCATTGACATAGAGTTCGATAACGACACTCCCAAGAGTCCGCCACTGTTACCGGCCACCTCAGCCGAGCAGACTCGTGAAGAGCAGAGTCTCGACACAACTGAAATTGTGGATGGACCCTGTGCACCTGGGGACGGCGTCACATCGGCCGGTGCCAATGCTATCTTGACACAGCCCTCACAAACTTCCGAGTTGCCTCTCGATGAGCCCACGGCTGAAGTTTGTGAAGGGAATCACAATTCGAATGCGAATTGTCAGCAAAACAGCACTTCTTCCACAAATCTCCAAAGCAATGGCCCCAACACCAAAGCCCACGTCGCTGAATCACAAGCGGGCCATAGTGAGGACGACGATGAAGAGTCCAATGATCAAGAACCTGTTCGTGGCCGAAAACCCGGCAACAGGTCGTCTCGCATACGACGCCGAGTCGGTCATTATAGCGACACGCACGATGCCCGTTTGCACCTCATCAACATTTGGGCCAACCATTCCTTTCAGCGCACTCTGCCTGAGTACTGGTCATGGTGCTACTGTAGCCGACACCGGAATCGCAGTAGCAGTATTAACCCGGTTGAGCTGATCGAAGGAGCATTTCTCCGGCAACGCTCTTTAGCTGCCGAACAGCGCGCACGGCCAAAACTCCAGCAGAAGAAGATCACGGATTCTTATCCTCTGCTTCCTCATTCACCAAAGCCTCGTCCTCAAGGCTGTCATGCTAAATGCCCCTGCATAGAAGCCAACAAGCGCGGCGCAGAAGAGTACACTGCCCTCCTAGCCAGCCTTACCACGTGGCCCGATGATGATCCCACTCCGCCACCAGCACCGAAAATCTGTCCACCACTCTCCGTGTACACCGGCAAGCAGCGGCCCAAAGGCAGATTTGTCCGCCCCATGCGGCCCCCTCCAACGCTGTTGCTCGACGAGGTCTTCTACTGTGAGGAGCAGCTAACATCGACGCCGAAATTTGTTCTTTGCCCGACACGCCCAGAACACGGAGGTCAAACTACTTGGCTGCCTGCGAAAGGGGAATGCCAAACCGAGGCAGTTTCTGGTGGCGACGGCGATCAGGAAAAGCGTCTACCAGACTCAACACATCCCAAAGCACCGCCGGGCTTAGGCACCACGTGGGTGTGGATGCAAATGGAGGTCTGGTCAGTGGATGGGCGCGGCGAGAACTACGTGGTGCCTCGCGGCACACCTTGGCTGAACATCACACTCACGGAAGATGACTGGAGCTTGCCCGTGCCCGGCAGAAACCGTTGGTATTGGCGGGACGTCACCGATCAGAGGGAGAAGGATAAGCACAAATCGCTGGGCGAGGGAATGGGAGAGTTAGTGAGCGTGCTGACGAAGAGGAAGGAGAAGATCTGGGAGTATTTTTCACGCAGAGCGTTTGGGCCTGCACAGCGAGTCAAGCAGGAAAGGCAGATGGAATGGAACTCGAGGCTTCCGACGAAGTTGGATAATGTTCAGGAAGAAGAGGATGAGGAGAAGGGAAAGCAGAGGGAGGAGTGTGGCGAGCCGAGTAAGGAGAAGAAAGAAATATGCGAACCCGAGGACGACGATGGGCTATCGTCGGTTAGCGATGTCGATATGCAGACCGCGCTGCTGGACAGCTTCAGAACAGCGACGGTGGCCATCGAGGAAGATTTGGATTCAACGACTTCCAAAGAGGCAGGGAGAAGCTTAGATATCGACGAGCCCGAGCCCGACTCCAAGACTGCAGACGACAATCCAGCTGAGAAGCCCGCAGCGAGTGAAGACGCAGCCGGCTTCCTCCCCTCCTGGGGCGTGCATGAGGCGGACGCAATCACGATGGATTGACACTAAGGTACAATCTTCTGGTAAGATGGCGGCTGCTGCTGCCGTCGATCAGCGGCACCAGAAATCCAGGAGGGTGTTGTGGCGGATCACGGTGCAGGTGCAGGTACAGGTACAGGTACAGGTACCAAGGGAGCTTCGAGGAGCTGGCCAACGAAACAACATGCATGATGACTTTGATGAGCCACGATACGCTTAGCGTTCTTCGGGGAGATTTAGACTGTTGAGACACATTGTTTACAGGTCTAATGGAAGATACTAGTAGCGTCGGATGAACCAAAGGAAGGATGAACAAGGCAGGATAAAAACGAAAATTGAACGAAACGCCATGTTTGGGCGCTGCTGACATTGGATTGTTGATCTTAGATCTTCGTTCGATGCTGTTGCATCTTCTAGAACTGATGACTTTGAAAAAAACCTCCTTCCCTCTCATTGGGATGATGACGCTCCCCATCCTCCCATTGCCATGAACCTGGCTTTTTCTCCCCCGTCACGAACCGCGTCACAAACCGCGTCGCAGGTTTTCCGCACGCCGTGTGAATCCTCCACACAGAAAACTTGCCCTTAGGCTCGCGGAGTTTCGTGACGCTGACTGTCAAATCGCTAAGACACACCACATCCTTTGCCTGTGATGGCCCGTTGATGTATCGTTTCTCTCTTTACCATGAAATGCTGTGATGATGGTGCTTGTTTGGTTTCTGAACCCGTATCCTCAATCTCCGTATCCATCTGCCTTTTCATCTCGCAAAAGTCGTATGCTGAACCGGATAATTCTCTCCCGCCGATCTCAGCGAGAACAGCAAATTCCACATTGTTGGTGGGTCCAATAAATCTCGTGCTTGCTGGTCAGTGAGGACAAATGTACCCGCTCCCGAAGGGGGCCCGCCTTCCTCGTGTTTGCTGCTTCCATTGAGCTTCGCATCGGAGTGATGATTGACGTCTCGCAGAAGACTCAGTGCTTTGGGATATCGCACGTACAAACCAGGCCGGTGGGGAAGTTCGTTCTCCCTGTCCCGCTCCGCCAAGCTCTGAAGAAGTCGTGTTTGTAAGTCTTGAATTTTGGCCCTGTCGACGTCTTCAGAAAGTGCAGCAAGCACCAAAGCTGAACTCAGAGCGGAGAAGATAAAGATCCATGTCCGAAGCGGCACTATACTGAACGACTGCATGTCCACCCAGGCTTGTAGGCAGTCGAATGCTCCTTCCTTACACATGCTCTGCAAATGCTTACTTTGCTGATCCCAGCCCAGACGAGCGCAAGCCTTCATAAGGGTCTGGGACATGCATGAAACCACAAATCCCTGCGAAATTCGAAGTGAGTAATATTCAATGCGATCTTGGATGGTTCGGCAGTTGGCGCGATCCGCTAGCCGGGGTAGCGCCTGTTCGTGGAGGTGTCGAGCAGTTGCCAGAGCATCTATCTCGGATTTAAGACTCGATCGCTCCATTGAAGGACTTGGACGAGCGGAGATGGCAAGCTTGCAAAGCAATAGCATGCAGTCATTGTATGTCAGACTCGATGTCACTCTAACAGGCGGCTCGTCGTTGTTGACTCGGACAACCGATGTTTTTCCAAAGCAGAGCGCTAGCGAGTACTCTTGCCAGAGATATGACCACCATAACTTGTGGTGTCTGATGTGTATGGCTTCACGAGCTCGAGCATCATGGTGCTCGTCAAAAGTCATGGCTTCTTGCAGGCCAGTAAGGTCCGCCATGCGACCAACCATGCCCAGGGTTGTCCAAGCTGCTTCAGGCATCAGATCATTCTCCATGATACGGGCAATCAGTAGTAGTGCTGTAATACAGTTCTCATCCGGGCGACCCAAGTACTCGGCATGTCGGAGGAGCTCCTGGGCGTTACGTGTGTGCACGTTGACAAAGTTGTCGCGTTCCGGTGCGGATGCGTCCGAGTACTGCCAGCCTGTTGCAACAGTGGCTGTGAGTAGAGATAGCCAAGCGAGTCTCGCAGCTTTAGAACGACCGGAGCTTGACCCGAGCTCGTATGTCAATCGGCCGCTATTCATGTCCTCGACGTACTGGCACACACCAGCTTCGAACTCCTCTAGGTCCGAGATGACGGGGTAGATGGGGTGGCAGATTGTCTTGTAGACTTCAAAGTACCGTAACACTGTCTTCTGGGGGGGCAACAGGTCCTTGATTTCCGTGGAGCCGGAATAGATGGGCTGTGCTGAGGAGGAGTAGGTCACATTTAGACCGGTAGGGGCTGGCGGAGCACTCTCGGACGAGTAGTATTGAGAGTGTATCTGCGCTGGAGGAGGCTGCCATGGGGGTTGATGCTGCGGACCGGGGACCACATTGTAGCTTTTGGTAGCATAGGTGCCAGTGGGTGGGCCGGCGTTAATGGCAGCTCCCCAAGACGAGGTGGGGCCGTTGGACGGTGCAGAGGTATAGGCCACACCAGCCGCGTGAATGCCGTCCAGTACATTCTGCGCAGTCTCAGATGGTCTTGGTTTCTTGGGCCTTGGAGCTCCTGGAGATCTAGCGCCTTCAGAAGCACGAGACCTTCTGGTACCGGAGCGGGGTGCATCGTCGTTGAAAGTGCAACCATCGGGCTGACCTCTCTTTGTACAGTTGGTGCATGGCTGTGGGTTGCGCTCGTAGGCGTCACATCTTATTTTTCGGCGGCTGCAGGGGCCACAAGCTGTCCTCCCTCCCCTCGGTCGCACGGTAGAGGAGCTCATGGACAGGTAGCCGCCGGAGGGAGGTTCGGCTGGGGGAGGGCTTTGGGAAGTCGGGTGGGGAGGCTCCTCCATGCTGGGCGACTGGTAGAAAGGAGGACAAGCTGCATGGCCTTGTAGAAGGGGTAGTAGTAGCTCTGGTAGACAGCTGGAGGCGTTGGTGGTGCCAGCCGTGGGCGTGGCAGCTACTGACAGCGGAGAATGGAGAAGCCGAAGGGCATCCGAGTTGAGCAGCGGACGCGGGGCGTCTAGGTACTACAGCAAGCGGCCTTCGGCTGAATATGAAATATGGGCCGGCAGGTGCGAGGTGTTTGAAACCAAGCTGCGCCAGAAGCGGGCATGTATGAGCAGGGGTGTGTAGTAATTGTGTGGTTGTACTGGTTGGGTGTAATGGCGACGGGAAGCTCTAGCGACCGTGCCCCTCCGCGCCCGGCGCAAGAGCCCGGAGGTGACCACTGGACCAGGGCCAAAACGCCAAAACGCGGGTCGGCGCCGTGACTGCCGGCTCCTGGGTCTTTGGGGCAGTCACGGCTCACGCGTGTCTTGGCGGGGGCGGGTTCCTGTCGGTACTTCCGAGTGGCTCAGTCGTTGGTGAAGGCCCAGTGATGTCACCCCCTCTCCGATTGCCCCGCCATCTGTGGCTCAGCAGGGCCAGTCCAACTTTTGGCGGCGTGTAGGCGTTGAGAGGGACAGACCCTGGTCCATACGGCGTCATTGGAATTTAAGTCATGCGTATAACAAGGTGAGACGTGAACTCTGCGCTTCGTGCTTCTTCAAGCCATCCGTGCCACATCTACGTCGAGCTTGCTCTCTCCACTATTGATGTTCCAGCAGACCTCCATCAAACTTCAAGACAATACAGACAGCACCGGTACCATGTCGGACAAGGAGGAATCTCAGCCTCAAGAGCAGGGGCAGGAACAGGAACAGGAGCAGTCCAAAGGCGAAGGTGAGCCCTTCTATGTCAGCATGGACCGCCGTCAGCAACTGACAACCTCCAGGAGGCTCCTGGTATTCAAAGCCCGAGGGTTATGGCAACGCCGCAGGCGATAAAGTCGAAAGCGTCCTTTCTCCAGTTGGCAAACCGCTAGGCAAGGGCCTTGAGACTGCCGGCAAACCCATCGGCGGCCTGGTCGAACCTATCGTTGGAGGCATCTCCAAAGCGGGTGAGACCTTTGGCAACGAGATGAGCATCGGCTTTGGCAATAAGGAAGGAGGGCCGGCCAAGCAGCAAGAGGCCGAAGCTGCCAAAATGAAGGAACCTCTTGGTGGGAAAGAACAAACCGGCGATAACCCATTGGGCTTGTGAGTTGGGACTCTGCTACAGCAGTAACTACTGTCTCTTACTTCTGCCATGTAATTCTATACCCGTTCGAATCGATTAGCTAGCTGCTCTGACTCCACTCAATGCTCTCCCCGAATCTCGGCGATCGCCATCTCCAACTTCACTGCCTACTCCAAGCACAACGGCAAGGATGAGGAGAAAGACGCCAGCACATATACCTTCTCCCTCGGCCATGACTGACATGACCTGATCAAGCCTGAAACACTCCTTCATCCTCCCTTCCCAGTTTCCAAAGTCCTCTCACCCACCGTTCCTCACCATGGCTGAACCCACCCCGCCCCGCCCCTCCCGCTCCCTCAAAGACCGAGTCGCCATCGTGACCGGCGCCGGCGCCCTCGGCGATGGGATCGGCAACGCGCGCGCCGCCGCCATCCTGATGGCCGAAGACGGCTGTGCCGTCGTCTGCGTGGACCTCCAACTAGACCTCGCGCAGCGCACCGTCGCCATGATCGAGGCCGATGGCAAAGGCCGCGCCATCGCGCTGCAGGGCGATGTGACCTCCGAAGCCGATTGCCGCCGGATCGTCGACACCGCCGTCTCTACGTACGGCAGGCTCGATGTACTCTTCAACTGCGTGGGCGTGGGAGGCGCGGCTGGCACGGCGGTGGACGTCGACATCGCGCAGTGGGCCAAGGGGATGGAGATCAATGTGGGGAGTATGGTGCTGATGAGCAAGTATGCTATTCCGGCTATGCTGAAGAACGAGCGGCAGATGGGTGTCAGGGGAAGTATCATCAACATGGGCAGGTATGTTTGTCGTAAACTCAATATGGACTCAAAGGGGGTCCTTTTCGCGCCCGACATACTCTCTATTGCTCCTGTATTCCGATACCCAGTTTACTGATGTCTGTATAGTGTTGCAGGCATTCGGGGAGGGACACCACACCTGCTCTACCCGACCAGCAAGGGCGCGGTGGTCAACATGACGAGGGCGATGGCGGCGCATCATGCACCAGACGGCGTTCGGGTGAACTGCGTATGCCCAGGTGAGTTTCTCCCATCTGGAAATGTTGCACCAGTCAACTTGGGTCCTTTGAGCGCGCTCACACAGCTTCAAATCGAGTCCTCCTCATAGAGATAGTCCTTGAGACTCCAAACCCCCTGATTTCTGCCCCTCTTCGGTATACTCCCAGTCTTGAGCATCGCCACTAACTCATATTTTCCCAACCTCTACCAGGAATGGTCTACACTCCCATGGCAAGCTCCCTCCCTTCCTCTCCAAATCTCACCTGAGCTAACAGCCTCGCAGATGTACGGCGGCGGCATGAGCGACTCGGCACGCGAAAGCCGCAAGAACCGCTCCCTACTAAAGATCGAAGGCAACGGGTGGGACATTGGCTCCGCAGTGCGCTTCCTGGCCAGCGAGGAGAGCAGATGGATCACAGGCCACGTGCTGCCCGTGGATGCGGGCGCAACTTGTGCTGTAGGGACTGACCTGCCCAAGTCGGCGAGTGTGAACGCCTGAGAAGCTCGGTGTGTGCTGATTTGCTTGTGTGTGTTGGTAGATTGAGATACCAGGGGATATACCGATGTTCAAGCCTGAAGAATCGGCTCTTGCAAGCCGTTGAGTGCTGCTATCATATGGATTGCTTTTTTCCAGCTCCTGGCTAAATGCTCTCTGTCATGTTTCGTGTTGAAGAATACCTGCTTTTCTTTTCCCTCTGCCCAACGTCGCGCCAAGCCTTTCACTGCCTGACTTTTTGCCCCCTCGGTTTCCTACCTTCAATCCTTCAACGTTCACAACAAAACACCGCTAACACTCAAGACGCCGCCCGTCCCAATAAGCTCCTTGACCACATGGTCCCCAATCTCCCGATCCACACCCAGGATCATCAACGCCTCCGTCGGCTCCTTGGGCGTCTGCGGCGTCTGCGTGCCACTGCCACCCCACCCCGTACTACTCCCCTTCCTCAACCCCGCCAAGCGCTGGTTCAGCGCCTCGATCCCATCCTTGACACCCGCGCCGTAGCTCGCGGGCGCGACACCCATGAAATTGATGTTGACTTCTTCCCGGCCGAGGATACTGCCGACGACGCCGATCTTGCCGGGCGAGTCGTAGTTGTGGCAGATGAGCATGTTGCCCTCGGGCACGAAACTGGTGGCGAAGCGGTCGAGGCGGCTGATGAAGGGGGTGTCTTCGCTGCAGTAGCCGGCGATGACGTGCTGACGCTCGACCTTGCGGCCGGCAGCCTCGCCTTTGGCGGCGTCCATGGGGCCTAGGTAGCTGTCGTGGCGATTCATGCTCGGCGCCCGACTCCCGCTGCGCGCCACCAGTGTGACCAAACTGCTGTAGCCGCGCTGACCCTGCCCGCCGAGCCCGGGATCCCGACTCTTCTGCTCCGTGACGAAGATGCCGCGCTCCTTGGCCACCATCTCGGCATTGACGATGTTGACGTTACTCCTTTCGTCACTGATGGGTGCGACTAGTCCCTTTATGAGGGCCGCAAACAGCGGCTTCGTGGAGCTCATGCCCGCCAGCTCGCCTTCGTAGATGAGGTCGAAGGTGTTGCGCACCTGCACGGTGGATTCGCCGCCGGGGACGCCCGCGACGGCGCGCGAGAAGTGCTGCGTGTACAGGCTGCCCATCTTCTCGACGAGCCGGACGAAGGGCTGCAGTGTGCGGTACTCCTTGGGCACGATGATGGGCGCGTTGACGGCGCTGCGGGGCAGGTCGCCGGCGAGGATCTGTAGGACTTGTTCGCAGACGTCGAGGGAGACATTCTCCTGTGCTTCCACGGTTGAGGCGCCCAGGTGGGGCGTGGCGATGCAGTTGGGGTGTAGAAGCAGTTTGGAGAGCGTGGCTTCGGGGTCGCTTTCGATTCTTGGGGGCTCGCTGGAGAAGACGTCGATGGCCGCACCGGCGACGTGGCCGGACTCTAGGGCGGCGAGGAGGGCGGCTTCATCGACGATGCCGCCGCGGGCGACGTTGAGGACGCGGGCGCCCGGTTTCAGGAGCTCGAGTTCGGAGGTCGAAAGCATGCCGCGCGTGGAGGCCAGCATGGGGGTATGGATGGTGAGGAAGTCGCATTGGGGCAGGAGGGCGGAGAGTGAGGGGACAAGGGTCACGTTGGCGGACTCGGCGACGGAGGCAGAGGCATAGGGGTCCATGGCTGCGATGTTCATGCCGAGGCCGCGGGCGAGACGTGCCACAATGAGGCCCACTGAGCTATATGTCAGATTCCCGTGTACTGGATGGAGGAAGAGGAGAGCCTGCCTTTGCCCAAGCCAATGATGCCCAATGTCTTGCCTTTCACTTCGACGCCCACGAACTTGCTCCGCTCCCACTTGCCTGCCTTGACGCTCGCACATGCCTCGGGGACCTTTCGAGCCATGCTCATCAACAAGCTGATAGTGTGCTCAGCGGCGGCTTGGATGTTCCCGGAAGGCGAGTTCACGACCACAATGCCCAGCTTGGTGGCGGCGGGAACGTCCACATTGTCGACGCCAACACCGGCACGGGCGACTACCTTCAGGTTCGTAGCGGCAGCCAATAGTTCGGCGGTGACTTTGGTTTCTGAGCGGACGAGTAGAGCTTCATAGGTAGGAATTATTTTGAGGAGGTCGGCGGGGCTGGGCTTGGTGACTTCATCCACCTGTAGGGTCTTGCGGAGAATGGCGAGGCCATCTGGTGAGAGCTTCTCGGGGACGAGGACTTTCGGCTTCGGGTCACTGTCCTGAGTACTGGCCATGGTGACGGTGGCCGTTGGGCTAGAGGGAAAGGAGCGGTGAGAGTGGAATACGTATCGAGAGGTGGAGTGGATCAAACGAGGAGGAAGAGGAAGGTTCAAATGTTATAGAACGCCAGCAGTTGTTTTCTTGGAACAAATGATATTATGGCCCAAACCTTGTACCTTTTTTGGACAGAAGCAACGACGCTCACATTCGGTAGTGCGAGAATTGATGCTTCTCCATACAGCGTGAGTACTGGATCTCAGACGCGTTGTGACGACGTGTGGTGGGCTAAAGCGAGGTGCGGGGGCCCCGAACTCCCCGCGGAGTGCCTGGGAGAAGCCAGAATCCCCAAATCGCAGTCCAATCAGTAAACAGCCAGCCAGCAATTTTGTTGATCATGTGAAATGGTAAGCACAATTGCCCCCAAAAGAACCACTTTTCCCACATGCGCCAGGGCTGTGCGAACCGATGTCGGCCAGTCTGCCTAATAGTCCAGAGCCTCGGTGAACAAGTTACGGAGCTGCTCTCGTTCTTGGTTGACCTCTTCGCTCAAGCTGGGTGCCAACATGAGCACTCGCTTCTGTGGGATGGTACCTTCCACAAGCTCATCGATGTGCGACTCGGTAAACCCGAGTGGCTTGAGCCCACGAGGTTGATCGCCTAGATCGACCAGGAACTTGGCGATAGCCTCGCCGAGCACTTCGCCAGCGCTCTCCTTCTTCACGTTAGAAATATCAACACCGAAGGCTTCGGCGGCTTGAAGATGGCGTTCAGGGTTGCTGGCACCCGTAAACTTGAAAACAGCTGGTGCAGTAACCGCCACACTGACACCGTGCGGGATAATGTTGTTCTCAATCTGATAACCAGCATGCTTGTAACCTGGGTTCTGTCCACTAATCGGATAACTCATGCCGTGACACAGATGGACCCCTGCGTTGCCGAATCCGACGCCTGCCAAGGTTGCAGCAAGCAACATCTCGCTCTGCGCTTCAAAGTCATCCGGATCCTTGGCCGCACGCGGGAGGTATTTGACAGTCGAATGCAGCGCCTTGAGTGAGAAGATATCGGAGATTGGGTTGGCTCCCTGATAGGCCGGGCGATTAATGGGGTTGCTGGGACGAGGCGACCGTTCATGGTAGGGAATGGCAGTCCAGGATTCCAGAGAGTGACACAAAACATCGAGGCCGGATGAGGCGTGCACAGCAGACGGCATAGTTCGGGTGTTGAGCGGATCACATATTCCCAGGGTGGGCTTCAGATTTCGGTGCGCGATGCCCGTCTTTGCTTTCTTCTCCACCAAATCGAAGATGGCTGTGCCCGTTGTTTCGGATCCAGTTCCGGCGGTGGTCGGGACTGCAACCAGGGGCTTGAGCTTGCCGGTGATTGGGAGCCCCTTACCTAGCGGAGCATTGACGAAGTCCAAGAAGTCCGCATCTGGGAAGCAGGTGTAGAGGTTCATCAGCTTGGCCGTATCGATGACCGAGCCACCCCCAACTGCCAGAAAGGCATCTGGCTGGTAGGGCTTCGCGAAGGCGATTGCGTCTTTGATGGAACTGTCCTTGGGCTCGACCCGACATTTGTCATAGACCGTAAATTCAATGCCCTCCCTGGTGAGTCCTTCAATGACTTGTTTCATGGCGTCGAGCTTAACCACGTTCCCGTCCGTGACAACGCAGACTTTCTTCGCGCCCATATTTGTAAAATCCATACCCACCTCTTTCGTGCATCCCGGGCCGAAACGAATAGAGCTTGCCGCCATCTCGAAGGCATAGTCTTTGGTACGGGAGTGGTCAATGGGGGTGGCCAGTCGCCGGCGCGCTTCGCCAAAGACTGCGGGACCATGGTGGTGATTCGGGTTCGAGTGACAGGGGCAGCTGGGAGGGTGCGTAAACTGGACCGCCCGAAGGAGAGACGTTGACCGCTGTGCTGCGGTCCTAGCGACGCGTATCGCGGGAGAGAAAGACATCGTTGCGTATCCGCGTGGTTGTGCGGGGTCGAGGATTGACGCTGACGCTGAAGCTGGAGTTGCTCAGGAGCTTCACAACAACCACCGGGCTGCAATCTGAGCTTGATGAGCAGTATTCCAGATACTATAAACTCAACCAGGAGCGTTCGGGAGGTGAACAGTGTCGGACGTCTCTCCGACTGGAAATGCCCTTGGCCCTAGAGTAGATTAACTCGGGTGGTGAACCCCGTAGATGGTGCCCCGTAGCACGCGGCATTGGAGATGGCCGAGGTCCAGAAGCTCTCTTGACCCTGGAGCAGCCCCACCTCATTGGCACACCCACACGATGCCCTAGGGAGAGAGGGGGAGAGAAGTCCTGAGGTGACGGTCTAGGCGACTGACACGAGAGTGCTCGCGCGTCGAATTCTGACATCACCGCCTGGACTTTTTGTTTGCACAACATTATCCGAAAGGAGGGGCGCCAGCATCAGTGACGACGACTACTCTCATCTCTTGTCACTGCCCTGTTGCAAACTTTTATATGTCAAATTCGAGATTCTCTGCACTGTTCCGGCTGAGCCAAGTTACTCATCAAGCCAAATCCTTTAGCAGACCGTACACTTCCACAAATATATTCGATATCCTTGGCAAGCTGACGCCGGCACAGTTACGCAACAACGAGCCCCTCGCCCACTATGTGTGACCAGTCCAAATGTACAGATCCGTATCTTCCAGGGTGCTTGTAACTGCCGACTAATGCTGGCAATACAGGGAAGTTCAACCATACCATGCTGCGGGTGAAAGACCCCAAGAAGTCTGTCGAGTTCTACAAGCTGCTGGGTCTTACTCAGAGTACGTCGAGGTAGCAGTCACCGCCTACGAATTGCTAAGCTGGCATAGTCCGACAACTTGATTTTCCTGAGAACAAATTCAGCCTCTACTTCCTAGGTAAACGATATTCTGTGGAAAGGCCAAGCATTTACTGACGGACTGCAGCCTACGACGGCCCAACCTCCGCATCTACCGGCGCCCACTGGACTGACCGTGAAGGTGTCTTGGAGCTGACACACAACCATGGCACCGAGAATGACGACAGCTTCCAGGCCAATAACGGCAACAAGGACCCTCATAAAGGCTTCGGACACACATGCATCTCGGTCGACAACATTCAAGCTGCTTGTCAGCGGATCGAGGACGCGGGATACAAGTTCCAGAAGAAGCTGACCGACGGGAGAATGCGGTAAGTACTCTTCACCAGACTTGAATCGTCTATCCGGTTCCTTGTTGGCTCTTCTAAGGCCCCATCTCGAAGGACACCAGGAGTAGCCTCACCCCCATTCAACTCTTCCCCATCTTTTACTCAGAGTTACTGACCGCAGGTAGCTCCATCGCCTTCGCATTAGATCCCGACGGTTATTGGGTTGAGATCATCGGTCAGAGGAATGTCGACGAAACTGCCAATGTTAAAGAGACCGACACGCAGTCGTACCGCTTCAACCACAGCATGATTCGCATCAAGGACCCGGAAAAGAGCTTGGCATTCTACCAGGACGTCATGGGAATGCAACTCTTGCGGACAAGCGAGCAGAAGGAGGCTGGCTTCACCTTGTACTTCCTCGGCTATCCTGGGGACTTTGAAATCCTGAAACCGGAAGATACACCTAACGGCGTTAACCCGCTGGCGGGCAAGGAAGGTCTGCTGGAGCTCACCTGGAACTACGGCACAGAGAAGGAGGATGGCCAAGTCTATCACAACGGCAATGACGAGCCTCAGGGATTTGGCCACATCTGTCTCAGTGTTGACGACCTCGACAAGGCATGCCAATGGATGGACGATAAGAAGGTCAACTGGAAGAAGCGTCTGACCGAGGGCCGCATGAAGAACGTGGCTTTCGTACTTGACCCAGACAACTACTGGATTGAAATCATCCAGAATGAGAAGTTGAAGAAGACAAACGACTGGTAGATAGCGGCGCGTTTAATGCAGATATGAGGCATAAACACTTCCAGCTGACGACTACGAGTATCGTATGGAAGTGCAGAGAACCTTTGCACTTCGAAATGCTATGTGTATTTGACGCCCTGTTGTTTCGACCTCGGGCTCAACGTCGTCCACTGGGCGACTGTGGCTCCCCGCGACGAGCCTAACTTGAAGAGGATAATGCCCAGGTCAAGCCCCCCAAAAGCCTTTTGCCATGCTTCACCTCTCTTCATCTGCCAACACTCCTCCAGACCCGCCGCCTATTGGACTACCACTCTCCAGCGCTCCGATACGAGGCAGCCAAATGAGGAAAATGCCCAATGCCCAAAAGCATGTAAGGAAATTCTTGCTCTAAAACAGCAAGGTCCTTTCGACCACCTGCTGGCTTGTCGGTGCCACAGCCATGCACGCTTTCTGCCCTTTGCCGCGTCCTCAAAGCTTCCGAGCCCCTAACCGTGGAAGGAAAATGCCCTACGCAGGCCTTCGATGAAAGTCCCAGGAGCTGAAATGGGCAGCTAACATGCCCTTCTGAGTGACCTCCTGCATCAATGGTGCCAGCAGAACTGGGGAGCCATTGGTCCACGTACGCCGCAAGAGGCTGAAGGTGTGTTTACAAATCTCGCAAGACATTGCGTGTCTGCGTATCACGACCTATCACCAAAGTGTGATGCAGGCGCCATACCTTGTCCACTAACGTCGCGCATACTCGCTTCCTTTCTTATTACCCAACCAGGCAATTGGCAGGAACGGCCGCCAGACGAAAGCTGCGACAAACACTGCTTGAGGCATCTCACCTTCCCTTTACGCAGGGTTGACATGGTGCTCTCATCTGAGATCGTAGATCTGCAGCGGCAGACTCTCCTCCTTGTCGAACTGCTAGCAGATACATTACAATTTACTTGATCGGGGCAGTGTTTGGTGCGGTCCCCGTTGAAACCTAACAACTTCATCGAATTGAGCAAGACAATTCCCTCTCTCGCCCAGCTTGACGCGAGACGCACCCACCATGGGTTCATCAACACGGCCACGCCTAAGGTGATTGCAGGATGGCACTGACCGAAACGTAACATACGAGCCGGATGGAAATCCTGATATCAGAAGTGCGTTAGTGCCAATACAGGCGGGGCCGTGTCCCCGAGGACTACACCGGCGCCTTGTCTACATGGTTCCAGCCTGCAAAGCTGAAACTTCTGGCTCAACTCATTACTGACAGCAGCGCGCACGATTGAGTTCCAGCACGACAACTCTTCCTGACAACCGATTAGTTCTCAGGAGAGTACCCCAACAGATATCTGATTGATGAACAGAAATTTCATGCTACAACATCCCCGCAGGAACTCCAGCCAAACGTCCTTCTTCCCACCCCCTCCGGCCTCCACGGTTCCCAAAGTATTCCATGCTTCAAAATGTACGCACAGCCAGACACCGAAATATTGCCACTGGAGTCTCATCTTGTCCCAATAAGGAAGCTTTACGTTCCAGGCCGTCGACGAATCCTTCCACCCACTTCCTCTTCAAGCAGGCCTCCTTCCCCTTCTTCCCACACAAGCAAATCAAAAGAAGCAGACTGCATGCACATCTCGCCGGAGGCCAACCGCCGCACGTATGATCGGTGTAATCACAAATGGGGAGACGGTGGCGAGAGAGAGAGAGAGAGGGATATCCAAGCCAATGCAACAATTACCCGAAGCGGTAGTTGGCCCACGGGCAATGATCATCACTCTCCGTACAGAGTTACCGGCAGAATCCAAGAGTTCTACCACGATCCAACTATACCTAACTCAGCCTGACTGACGCAAAGAATGAGAGACAACGGAGCAAGATCAAGAGTCAATTGAGCCATAGGATAATACTCTGTCCCGCAATAAATTCCCAGATATGGCGTATTTCTCTGCGGCGTTTGGTGCACGAAGCGATCTGCAGTTTCGTTTGAAACCTGCTGAAAGAGCATGCTCTGCCTCTCGAGTCCACCCGTACCAGGCGATCTGGTATTCCTCTGGTGTGCTCCCCCGAACCCGTTTGAGACTATGAAAGTCCGATCAAAGTCCGCCATGGCCCAGGTAGAGGAAGGTCACCAGTGACTGCCGGCCTGGACTTTCTTTGAAAGCACTCTGTCAGTACCAGGGCAGTAGTTCGATGATACGTGTTGCAGGGTCAATTTTCTGGCAGCCTATGCCTCTGACAGCCAGCGAATTGCAAGGCTTGATTCATGGTTTCATTCCTCGTTGTTCTCCAGTCTACTCTTCATACTCACCACCAACCGCCCTCAAGAAATCAAAATCACATCCCTCATTAGCCTGGTTGACCCTCCGCTCATACAAACCCCTGTACCCTCTCCTTCCCTTCCTCTCGATCCACCTATCTCCCCTGCCGCCCTTCTCCCCCAGCTTCGCCGCCTTCCTTTCCTGCACCCTCCTCTGAATCTCCTCGTCTGCAACCTCCAGCTGCAGCACCCTCTGCTCCACATCACACACGATGCGATCCCCCGTCCTCACGACGCCAAACACGCTCTCCAAATCCGCCGCCTCAGGACACACATGCAGCACGATCGTCCCGCCGGCCGTCCCGCTCATGCGCCCGTCACTGATGCGCAACATGTCCAATACGCCCTCCTTCCCCAGCTTCCTCGGTATGGGAATCAAGCCCGCCTCGGGCATCCCGGGGTTACCCACGGGGCCGATCCCCTTCAACACCAGCACGCTGTCCCTCGAGACCTCGAGCGCCGAGTCGTCGATCCGTCTCGCCAGATCCTCCGCGTCCTCAAACACGACCGCCTGGCCCCGGTGCTTCAGCAATCTCTGGTCTTTACTGGCACTCTGCTTCATGACGGCGCCGCCGGGCGCGAGGTTCCCGGACAGCACGACCAGACTGCTGCGCTCCCACAGCGGGTCCGTCAGTGGCCGCACCACGCGCTCGCTGTAGTCGAAGCTGCGCCAGGGCGTCGTGTCCAGCAGCTGACCCAGCGTCTCGCCTGTGTAGGTGTGCGCGTTCAGGTGCAGGAGCGGGCGCAGGCGGTGCATCAGCGCGAGCATGCCGCCCGCGTTGTGGAAGTCGGTCATGTAGCCGTCGCCGGACGGCTTGAGGTCGACCAGGAGAGGCACGTTGCGGCCGATGCGGTCGACGTCTTGCAGAGTTAGCTGACCTGCCACCGAAGGGTGTCGGTTGATGATGGCCATCAGGTGGACAACGGCGTTGGTGCTGCCGCCGATGGCCTGTAGTACCGTAATGGCGTTCTCGAACGACTCTTTGGTCAGTAAGGCTTGTGGACGCGTGGCATCGACACCGCCGGGCATGTTGAGCAAAGCCACGGCGCGGCGGCCGGTGTCTTCAGCGACACGCAGCCGGGCGGAAGAGACGGCAGCGGCGGTGGCTCCCGAGCGCAGGTCCGTCAACCCCAGCGCGGCAACGATGCAGGCCATGGTGGAAGCGGTGCCCATGACGCCACAGGTGCCTCCCGTTGGAGCGAGCTCTTCATTCACAGCCATGATCTCCTCCATATCCAGGGTCCCCGCACGGTAGGCAGCCCAGTGGCTACGACAGTCGGTGCAGGCGCCGACGCGCTTGCCCTTGACGCTTCCGGGCATCATGGGTCCCGTGATCAGGGGCAAGAAGGGCTTGTTGGCACTGATGCACCCCATCAGCTGCGCCGGCACCGTCTTGTCGCAGCCGCCGATGGCGATGACGGCGTCGACGGGCTGCGCCGTCGTCATTTCCTCCGTGTCGATGGACATCAGGTTGCGGAGGTACATGGAGGTTGGGGAGGAGAAGGATTCATGGATCGAAATGGTGGGGAAATCGACGGGGAGGCCGCCTGAGGCGAGAATGCCACGTTTCGCGGCCTCGATGAGTTGAGGGGCGTTGCTGTGGCAGGGGTTGAAGGACGAGTAGGTGTTGATGATGCCGATGATGGGCTTGGAGAGTGAGTCGTCGCTGTAGCCGAGGGCTTTGATGAAGACTTTACGCAGGAAGAGCGAGAAGTGCGGATCGCCTGATGGGGTGCGTGTGTGTGAGCTTGTAGAAGTTGTAGATGGATGGAGTAGTATCGGTGGGACAGACTGGGGGAGGTGCCCATAGTACGACTCAGGCAGTATTCTCGCAGGGACTTTCATCACAAATGGGAAGTGGCTTTCTCGCTGCTGGCGTGTTGTATGGCCACAGTGAACACGCAGAGCATCTTGCCCTCCCATTCCACGACCTTTCACCTCTTCACCAACAAGTAAGAAATGACGAGAACTCACCATAGCCCGCCAAACCCTGCCTCAAACCCGTCTTTGACGAAATGGGCTTGGACAAGTCATAGTCCGCCGCGATCTCTGGCGGTATCCGGCTGTTCGATGATACTGGTCCACCACCGTTGACGCTGGTCTGCTGCTCGTGCTGTGACTGACCTCGGAGCGTTTCCGATGTCGTAGTGGTATATTGCTGCTGCTGCTGCTGCTGCTGCTGTGCATCAGCCATTGTGCCTGCCTTCTTAGTCTAGACTGCTATTGCCTTCGTGGGCACGTGCTTCTACGGAGTAAGATTAGAGAGGAGGCGTGGTGTTCATGTATGGCTTGGCTTGAAAGAGTCCTCGAGGCGGATGCGAGTGGTAATGAAGATGGCATCAAACGCCATTGGTGGTCTGCAATAGTAGTCGGGTCGGCGTCCGATCCGCTTTGAGTTGGAGAAAGAGGGTCATGTAGTAGTATTAGTGGTAGTGGAGAGGGGAATGTTGGCGAGGCGGGGTCGAGCAACGCGCCATGCTACAGACTCACTCACGCTGGACAGGGTCGAGCGTAGGGTCGTTGAGTGTTGCGGTCTGATAGTGAAAGTGGAAGGCCAGGACAAGGAAGAAACGAAAGCTCAATTCGCCGGCAACACCCATGGCATTAGCATGTATATTTACTGCGGTATCTGATAACTTTTCACCTATTGGGGTATCATGTTGAATTCATCGCGCATCAAACTTTTTCGATCATACAGTCCCAGTATGCCCATGTATATCATGCCTTAGCAGAAGCTCTACTGGTGTCATTGTTGAAGGACACCAGGATCCTAGTCGATTCTCGACAAGGCTTCCTCAGACGGAGCGGTCGAATCAGGGCTCTCCCCAAACCTCGTTAGCGATCTCGCTGCACAACTTCAACTTGGCTTCCTGGTCTTTGTGGCTCAGCGGGTAGCCCGTCTCATGGGTGCTGAAACCACACTGAGGAGAGATGCCGAGCTGCTTGAGGGCTTCTTGCCTCGTCTGGCCGCTGCCCTCTGCGACAAAGTCGGCGGCTTTGTTGATTCTATCGATGATGGTTTGCTTGTCCTCCAAATCCCGCAGCTTGGTGCTGATGGCGCCAACAATGACGACCTTGTCCTTGGGCAAGAACTTCAGAGGCTCGAAACCGCCGGCACGGTCGGTGTCGTATTCCAAGTAGAAGGTGTTGACGTTCAAGTTCTGGAAGAGTTTCTTCGCAATTATGTCGTAGGCGCCGCTGGCGAAATGGCGGCCGCCAATGAAATTACCGCGGCACAGGTGCACACCCGTATGCATGTCGGCAGGAACCTTGGCGACGCAGTCATTGTAGAGCTTGATGTAGGCATCAAAGAGCTCATCGACAGTGCCAATGTTGTCCTTGTCTTCAGCGTAGCCATTGCGCCAGACGTCACTGCAGAAATACGCCAGACCAGGGTCATCGAATTGCACATTGCGGAGACCGGCATCGTATAGGTTCTGCAGCTCGGTTTGATACGCCTTAGCGACATCGGCGAAATATTCCGCCTCACTGCTGTAGGCTTCGGGCGTGTATGCGCGACCTTGCTTGTAGCGCATGTGGAACCAGGCTGGCGTAATCATGGTGAGCTTGATGTTTCCCCATTTCTCCTTCGGAACAAATTGCTGTACAAGTTGCAGCTCGTGGAGGTTCTCCTTGGTGCCATTGTTCTTGATTTTAGAGCCCGCGATGACCGAATCTCCAGGCATGACCTTGCGGTCCTTCTCGATCAGGGACACGACATCAGGGTGGTAAAGACGGAACATGGACGACTCGGCATCTTGCAGGCGGGTGGTCCCGTCTAGCTCATCCCAGAAAAGGCCCCAGAAACGAGTCCGAGTGTATTCGCCTGGCTCCTGTTAGGAGGATATCACAGAAATTGGGAGGGGCACGTACCGCAGGTCACAGCCTGCAGGCCGCAGTCTAGCTGAGTCTTCACAATCTGGCCAACAGCCTCTTTTTCAATGGCAGCCAAATTAGCCTGTTCGGGGGTCTTGCCATCACGGATCGCAGCACGGGCCTCGAGAAGGTTGTCCGGTCGGAGTAGGGAGCCGATGTGCTCGGCTCGGAAAGGTGGCTGGTGCTTCGCGGAGGCCATGGCTGCTTATCGGTGTCAGGCTGAGAAATCGAGGGGTAACGAGGATAGCAAGAGGTCGAAGGAACGAAGTGGAGGGGGCCTGTTGTTAGGAAGAAGATGGGGCTTTGGGGCCTCGTGGTTAGCTGGAGAGAGAGAGGTTTTAGGGAAGCAGCAAACTCCGAGGCCGGCAGACACTGGTCGCGAGGAGTACCTGATGGACCTACGAGGATATGCCGAACATCAACAGGGTCGACCGCCCATGGCTGTGAATTTTGCAGCTGTTTGGTGGCCGTGAGGGTTGCAAAGAGGGGCCAAGGTGGGAGCAATGTGGAGGGGGGTCGGTCACCACGAAGTGGGGAAGCAGAAGCAGAAGAAGGCGCCAAGGATCTGGCCCCAAGTAACTTTCATTCACTGCCTGAGATTCGACTGGAGGTTTCAGGGGGGCCAACGAGGTATCCAAACGCCATATCGATGCAATGCCGCTAATGCTGAGGTTACAACATCTTTACAAAGTGACAAGGTAGACTCTAGCCTCCCAGGGACTGAGATATTGTCCCGGCGTGTCCACATTGGAAACGATCAACTCCATCTCTTTGCCCTTGCAGTCCGGCGGATAGTGCATGGGTTGCTCTTCATCGGAGAAGCTCAAGAATGTCAAGAGCTTCTTGTTGGTGAAGCCATTGGTCTTGTTCTCTTTGGTAAAAGTGAAAACATCGGGATCGAGGTAATCCCACAGCTCGAAATCGCCAAAGACTGTCAGATCGGCATACTTCTTGCGAATTTGGTTCATCTGCTTCCAATAGCTGAGAACACTCTTGGCATCTTTCTGCTGGTCGGCGACGTTGATTTCGGGATAGTTGTCGTTGACACGCATCCATGGCTTGCCAGTGCTGAAGCCAGCATTGGCGGACGAATCCCACTGAACAGGCGTTCGAGCATTGTCGCGGCCGACGCGTTGGATACCGCTCATAGCCCGCTTCAGCCACAGCGGATCGGCATCATGACGATCCTTGACATCGTTGTATGCGTTCAAAGAATCGGGATCCTTGATCTCCTCGATCCCCCACGAGTCCGGAATGTTGGTCATGCCGATTTCTTGGCCCTGGTACATGAATAGAGTTCCTGTCAGGCAGCCAAGCAGTGTGGCTAGCATCTTAGCAGCCTTCTCACGGAATTCAGGCTTCGAAGTTGCGAAGCGGTCAAGACTGCGGGCTTGATCGTGATTCTCCAAAAAGCAGGTCGTCCAAGCGGTGGTACCACGGGTGAGATGCTGCTGCTTGCGGAAAGCCTCCTTAAATGAAGGCAGATCGTGGGCGTGGACCTGATGCTTCTTCACACCGTCACCATGACGGCCACCAAGGCTGACGACGTCAAAATCGAACACGCAGCTTAGCTCCCGTGCTTCAGCAGCAACGTACTTCAACACTTCAGCAGCTTCGGTACCCGGCAGTTCTCCCACCATAGCCACGTCTCCGTAGTTGTCGAGCACCTGCTGTCGTTGTTCACGTAGCCATTCGTGCATTCGGGGTCCATTGACAAAGTGTGTGAAAGCGGGTTGATAGACCTCACCTGGAAGGGTGACCGGCGCGTCGGGATAACTGGTGTTTTTCGAGTAAAGATTGCAGGTATCCACGCGGAAGCCGTCGACGCCACGATCTAGCCAGAAGACGATGGCCTCTTTGTAGATAGCTTGTCGCACCTCGTCGAGCTCCCAATTCAAGTCTGGTTGCTCGGGTACAAAGAGATGGAGGTAGTATTGGTCACGTTCAGGAACGTACTCCCAGGCGCTACCACCGAAGATCGATCGCCAGTTATTGGGAGGCTGGCGTTTGCCGTCCACAATCTTGGGATCCCGCCAGACATACCAATCGGCTTTGGGGTTGGTTTTGTCCTTTTTGCTTTCCAGAAACCACTTGTGCTCATCACTAGTGTGGTTGATGACCAGATCGAGTAGTAGTTTCATGCCCATGTCGTGGCATTTCTTGATCAGCTCGTCTAGATCCGCCAGGGTCCCGAATTGAGGATCGACATCTCGGTAGTCAGAAATGTCGTAGCCAAAGTCCTTTTGTGGCGACTTGTACATGGGTGAAAGCCACACGATGTCGATGCCAAGATCTTTCAGGTATGGCAGAGTGCCGATGAGTCCTTGAATATCGCCAATACCATCTCCATTGCTATCTTTGTATGAAGCAGGCCAGACCTGATAGGCGGTGCCCTTCTTCCACCAGTTAGGGGTTGGTGCTGACATGGCGAAACTATGGTACTGAAGGCGGCTGTATATAAGTAACGACGAAGTTCTCTAGACGGTCCAGTAAGGAAAGACCGCTATATACCTCCTCGACGACGTAGGAGCCTATGTCAAAAGCGGACCGCTTCCTTGTTGGGGGAAGCGCGTATCTAGTATCTGGTGATGTTGCACTTCCGCCGTGCTGTCGGCGAAACGATGTAGCCTCCAGGGCTCGGGGTCTGGAAGTCTGCTGCAAGAGGGGGCTAGAGAGCGTACTTTAGTCTTTGTTTGGCTCAATGCGCACCGCAGATTGGTCGATGGGTGTTGTGAGCGGATGGATCGGTCAGGGCGAAGGGTTTGGCACGGCGGGCGCGAAGTATATTTCGCCGCGTGAAAGAGCGAAGTGACAAGCGACCCCGCAAGCGGCCGGCAAAGCAGCTTAGTTTGGAGATGTGGCCATCGTGGCGAGCATGGTTCTAGCCGACTTCTGGTTTGTGCCGAGGGTCTATCGCAGCACGCTCGATGATACATGATACGAGTACCTTGCATGGGGCACGTTGGGTTCTCCGGCGCCATGGCGCACAAAATGCTTCTTGCACCGCAAGGATGAGCTCAGTCTTGGCTTGGCGGGGAAGGAGCGGTAAATTCTGTATTGACCTCACATTGGCGCTCACTGCCCCCGCGCCACGTCAGAAGTCACCGCACCCTCAACTTATGCTCACCTCACCCAATCTTCACTTTCAACTCACCCTCGCCCTTTTGCGACACCGTTCTCACGATGTGATCCACCACTCGACGCGGCGCTCCCAATCCGTGTGCCAAAAATGGTCGACGGTAGGCCGCCCCTGTTCTGGCACCTCCCCAGGCGCAGCCGGCCTATAAATCTCCTCCATGATCACATACTCATATACCTCTATCCCAGCTGACCCGCAGCTGTACCCAGCCAGCCGCTACCACCTCTCTAGCTCTGTACGCATGGCAAATCTTGAGTGAACGAGGATGTATCACCTGCCAAAGTGACTTGGCGCCAAGTCTTCCGCTGCCAGCTGGAGCTACTCTCGCGCTCAAGAATTTACCGCACTTATGATCAGCCATCACGGCTCCCGTTCGTTCTTGACTGCAATTTCACCAGAAGCTGCCTAGATAATTTCGGATTCTAGTCGCTGAGGCCGAGTCCACTTGTCACTTGGTTTTATGATCTGTCGTATTGGAGGCATTGACAAGGCGCCAAGGTCAGCTGAACACTTTACTTGAGCTACTGCTATAGAGGTTACAAACAATCCGACGTCTTGACAACAATAAGCACTTGACTCCTGTAGTGCAAGGTAGCTCAGGTTATGGAGGCTCTGACATAATACTGCACAACCATCTACTAATCACCCAACAGCAGCCCTGATGTAAATGGTAATCATAATGTCTGACAGCAACCCAGTCAGGCACCGGGGCTACGAGTTCAGATCTACAAGAAGCCCGGAATTCACGCTGCACCCCTGGTAGCAATGTTCTACTTCTTCGATCTACGACTCTCAAGAAAAGACAAACCGCCTAGCGTCGCAGGCATGCCGATAAAGAAGGAGAAAGGTAAAGCGAAACAAGTCTATCCGGTCTCCATTATTCGCTCTGCAAAGGGGTGCGTGCGATTTTTCTATCTCCCCAGGGCCCCTTGGTACCGATAGCTCATATCATATCACGATGTGCCGAAGAAGTTGTGGTTATCTTGATCCATGCTTGAGTCTCAACCTGCAAAATCTTCTGACGTGGCGCCGTCTTTTCACTCTAACCAGCCGGCAGGTCACTCAACATCGAAGACGCATGGACTTGGGAGAGACTGCAGGTAAGACGAACTGCACTGGCCTACAAAGGACACGTAAGGGGTTGTGGACTAAGCTCAGCATAGATTCTAGGCTGGCTTCATCAGCTGGGGCTTGCCCCAGCTCGTTATGGTGTAGACAAAGTGCACAACGCCGCCTTGCAAATGGTCATCGGTTATATCGATTATCTAGTGTGAGTTTGATCCCGCAAAACTCTCGGCAGAAGTGTAGGATAGCTAATGCTCGACTCACTCCAGGGACAATGGGTGGATAAGTGACCCGACATATTTCGAAGAGCTTCAGCGACAGAGCAGCGCCACGGTCGAGCTTCCCGACACGAAATTTGAGGGAGTTACGCTACCTGTCCGGACTCTTTACGATGGCATCGCCTGGATCCTAACCATCACAGCAGTCCCCAACCCTGCTGAAGAAATGTTCGCTGCCCAAAACAATTATTTCATGCCCCTGCTGGCACTCCTGGGCCGATGGTGTCGGAAGCTGTTGCCGTGCACAATCATGCCCGTCATGGTTCACATCGCGTACTGGACGACTCCTGAGAAAAGGCACGTGACCATTCTCGGTGCTACGCCTGGTGGCGATCAGCTGCTCTTCAGCCCTACTCGCACCGATGATCCATACTTTGACCCCAGCGCTGAGTACCGGTTCAGGCCTCCACCTGGATGGGTGGAAGAGCGTCAAGCAAGGCAGAAAGCAGCGGCAAAGGGGAAGGAGCCCAAAAAGTCAAAGGTGGATACTCCAGAACCGAATGGAAAGGATAGTGCAAAGAAATATTGGGGCTTTCGGGGCTGGGTCGTAGTCTCGGATAGGCAAGCTAGACTTGTTGACAATGGTTTGGAGCCTCCTCCTGGAAACGCCCTTGTCAACCCTGACAGCGGCGAACAGGTAGCACGCAGTAACTACGGCGTCTGCGTAAGTCACTCAGCGCCAAACTTTCCATCCGCATGGGCAGGCAAAAACCCTCCATACTGGCGAAGCGCTGACAATTCCTCAGGCCGAGTCCTTCTTCTATATCTACATCAGCACCCTGAAAGCCAAAGCGCAAGCTAAAGAAATGCCGAGCAAGATCCGTGGCTTCGCACTGAAGGCGTCGGACGACATCGGCGCGCCGCCAGAAGGCGAAACCAAGCCGGTCGTGAAGAAGGTCGGCTTCGCGCGGAAGAAAAAGCTCAACTTGAGATTTATCAGCACCCGCGTACAACAGCCCTGCCACTCGTCCTGTCAAAAGATCATCTTGGACCTCAACGACGGGAAGAAAAAGGGCGCAGACCGGAGAATCCGCTTCACGCTCGCGGACATGGACCCTTTGAACGGATCGGTCACGGACCCTGCCGTTGGTGAAGATGAAGACGAGCCTGAAGGCATCCCCGATGAGGACCCCAGTAAGCCCGGGAGCAGCAGCACCAAGCCGAAAGAGGATAACAAGAAGAAGAACAGAAACTAGAGCGCAGGATAGTAGACAGTCTAGACCAGCGAGTACAACAGACACCAGAAGCGTGGCTCTGCTAATCTCCACCTTGGGTCTGGGGCCTGTTGAAGCAGGCACTCAGCCACACGTGAACACTCATAAACCGCTGCTGAACTGATAAAGGAGTGGACTGCTGCACAAGTACACAGAAAGGCTGCGGAATCGGATATGGTTTCCGGCGCCTCCCATACAAATATTCTTGGCAATAGCGATGACGACATGTCCAGCATCAACGCGTGCTCCTTCCGCGTCGCGGTTGCATGGTGTAACGGAAAGAGCGATTGGAAGAGGTCATCGACTTCTTTTAGCTTCGCCATCCAGCACAATGGCGTTTCCATCAACGCGTCAGACATCCACTGATCTAGTACCTGCGAAGCATAGCTCTCCCGGCTGTTTACGACTGTACAAAACGCCTTGATCGTCACATATTTTTGGTGACTCTCAACATCTGAACATGGCTCGCCCAATGCTGACCGTCTGTCGTAGACTACCGTCAATCACTTCAATATCATCTCTTAGACCTTCGTTCACATCGTTCAGAATGGCCTCCAGCGTCAACTCGAACACCATCTCCGAGATCTCAGAGAAGGAGAGAGCCATCACCGGATCCGACACCCAGGTCAAGGGAGGTCCTGCTGCTCAAGCTCAGAAGCACGTTGGCGATAAGCTTGATGGCTCTGTGGTCTCAGAAATAACCCAGGGCGAGCGGAAGATCACTGGCGAGGACTCTGCTGTCCGAGGCGGTCCTGCCGCCACCGCCCAAGCTCATGCTGCCCAGGAAAGTTCTCTCAACCGTACTGGCTCGTGCATCTTCTAACAACTGACCAGAACGCCAGCACCTCCCAAAATCAGGCCACCGGCAAACTCGACTCAGAGACCATCTCTTCAATCACCCAGGCCGAAAAGGACATCACAGGACAAGAAGGTCCCGTCAAGAACGGCCCTACGGCTCAAGCTCAGAAGCACGTCGGCGAAAATATCGACTCTGACAACCTTCACGACATTACCGAAGGTGAGAAGAAGATCACTGGTGGAGAGCGTCTCAAGGGTGGTCCGACCGCCCAACCGCAAAGCGAACTCGCCAAGTCTCGCAGTGGCTAGATTTCCTGCCGTGTTTGGCGCCCTGCTGACGCCCTCCACACGGCGCGGCTCCTCGGCTTCATCAATCTGCTGAACGGTAGCCTCGAAGATCTGGGCGTTGTAGCAAGTGAGCTGCACACGCTGAGATGCGGGCTTCCAGTTGAGCATCAACGAGTTGCAGCGCTCAATGAGCGAGCCCGTATGCGCCATATCCTTACCAAGACATGCATAAAGTTGATTGGCGTGAGACGGAATCTGAGCGCATGGCGCCGTAACGCCGCACGAGCATATTTGGTTGAGGAGCAGCAATATCGTGTAATCCAGCAGCGAGCGTGGCGGAAGAAGGCCATGGCTCACATGCTCTAGTGATCCGGTGTAGCAGTGTCGAAAGGGCAGCATTAGTAGAATCTATCTCGACATTCGGCAGCCATGTGTGAATAAGGCTTAATTTTGTCTCAGGCTGTGTGTTGAATCCCATTCTATCGAGTCCTACTCACGTCGCATCATATTCCACTCACGCATTTCACTCTACCACTCTCCTCATCTCTACACTCCTAACATCCACCTCACCCCCAGTCACTCAGCCACACAACTCGCACCCTCCTTCAACCCCACCTCCTCTCCCGTCTCCTTCATCACCACAAACTGCGGCTGCGGCGGCACCGAACCACCAACCACCTCCTCGCCACTCCCATTCGCACTTCCACCCTGCGCCTCCCTTCCAGCAACCTGCGCCCCCTGATCCCCGCTCTGTTCCTGTTCCTGCTTCTCCCTCTCCTCCCCCTCCGCCGCCGTCCCACCAATCGGTTTCTTGCCCCCGACGCCCAACCCACCCTCCCACAACGTGCCTCCCCCAGGACCAGGAGCAGAAGCAGCAGCAGCAGCAGCAGGATTTGGAGCCGCAGCGGCAGCCGAAGACGTAGCCTCAGCCTCAATCGCTCCAGCAGGGTTCCCCGCACCACCACCACCACTATCACTACCACCAACAGCAGCGAAAGCAGGCTGATCGACCTCCATCTCAGCCGCGAAACCATCAAAGGGCGGCACTACTGGGCCGACAGGCGTCATCTGCTGCGGGTGCTGAAGCTGAAGCTGAAGCTGATGCGGCGATACCCCGGAGAACGGTGCGCCGAAGCCGGCGAAGCCATGCATCTGCTGCATCTGCATCGGCTGCATGCCGCCAGAAGGATCGAAGGGCGCGGTGCCAGGATATGTAGGTGGGGGGTAGGGGTGCATGGTGTGCTGGCTGGCTGGGTCGGGATAGCCGTAGGATTGGGGGAAGGTTGAGTTCATGCTCATGTTCATTGGCATGGACATGGGGCCGGACATGGACATTGGCATGTTTGGCGGATACGTGTAGGACGGGCGCTGCTGCATGGGCATGGTGGGGAAGTTGTAGGGCAGGCTGAATTGCTGGGCGGAGAAGGAATGAGGCTGTTGTTGTTGTTGTTGTTGTTGAGGGTTGGGGTGTTGGCTCGCTTCGTAGGAGGGTGGTGGGGAGTTTTGCTTCTGCTGTTGCGAAGAGGTGGCTTGGTTGGCATCGTCGGAGGTGGAGGAGGGAGGAGAGTCGGGGCCGGGTTGGTGGAGAGGGATGGAATGCAGCGACGGAGAGTGCCGCTTCTGGTTGGTGGACGCTGGCTTTTCTTGCGACGGACCGATGGCATGGAAGAGTGTGTTTGCAGGAATTTCCGCTGTCTGAGCGATATTTGGGCTCGCTGTAGCTTCGACAGACATTTCGGCTGGGTTGGTTAGGCAGACAGAAGCTCTTGGCATTTGCAGGTCGGCCATTGATAACGTCGCTGGAACTCCCAGCTGCCCGTGCTTGATCGGCAGATCATCTGGATCGGTATTGCTTGCGTGCCCATTCGTTGCAAAGATGTCTGCAGGTGTGATGTTCGCGCTCATTGAGGGAGGAGGCATCATCTGGCCCGGCATGGGAGGTGGCGGCCCTACCCATGGACCAAAGGGTTGATGAGCAAAAAACATCTCACCACCAGACTCCATCTTGATGTGAGCATCTGGCTCATGCTTGATCATGTGAGGAAGACCCATGAAAGGCGGCATGCCTGAACAGCCACCCCAAGACGGAGGGTAGGGGATTGGCCCGCCTGAGTAGCCGTGTTCCATCTTGACCCTCTTTTCGTCACGCTCGTCCATCATTGCCTCCTGCAGACCACCTCCCATTCCATTAGCGCGCTTGCTGCTCTCCTTGCCGCTGTTCTTCTCACTGTCTTTCTTCTTCTTCTTCGTGTTTTGCGTTGGAAGACCCTCTGTCTGGGCCTTGAAGCGACTCCAGCGCATACGTGCTGCGTGACCATTCTTGATGCCAATACCGTCTGCTACTTCTTGCCAGTTGACCGTCTTGAGATCAAGTTGCTTGAGTATTAGGTAGAGAAATTGAGTCTGAGACTCAGGCGTGGCTTGGCTTTTGGTGGTGGAGCGTTTGGTGGTGGAAGTCATGGTTGGTTCAATCATCATGCAAGATAATGGCTGGAATTTCGCTCGCAATGACGATAGTGAGCTCTGCGATGGTGAAGATAGAGGCAAAGTGAATGTGCTGGTGGGTGAGCTGGATATATGCGTTCCAGCGCATTGTGGCTTTCGCTCCTTGTTGCCGGCTAGCTGCGTTTGTGTGTAAGCTGCTAAGTGCATTCTTTAGGCTGTGAAGTCAGCACAGAATGCTTTTCGGATGGTTGGTGGTAGCTTTGTCAAGATGAAAAGGATCAAAGTTTGCTCTCTTGTCCCAGCGCACCACTCATTGTGTACTCCTCCTCTTCAGGTAGCTCACCCAGCATGGCCAGCTCCCGACCACCCCTATGGTTCCACCAGGTCACGCAAGTTGCAGCTCGCTCAACATCCATGTCTCCATTGCTCAGTGTTTCCCAGAACTTTTGTTGGCAGATCGCTCGTTGTGCAGTGCTATCGAGCTTGAAGAGCAAGTCTGCTGAGATGGACAGCCAGTCTACTAGTAGCGACACTGGCAAGAAGGGCAGTGAATCTAGGATGGCGAGCAGCAAGGTAGTCTTTTCGGAGAGAGGCTGTTGTGATTCCATCGGAATGTCAGACATTGAAGGGAGGATTGCTTCAGAGGCATGTATCAAACGTTGACTGAGTAGATCGAGAACGATGGCTTGCAAATGTGGCATAAGGTTCGCAATGGCAGAAGGCGGACTGGCGAGCTTGACAACAGCTTTGATGGCCAGGCGGAATTGACGGGGGTTGAGTACCGAAGGGAAACTGGCCATCAGTGTCTCAATGTAGTGAGGCACATGCTTCGGCAGGAGATCTGCATTCTGCGGGGCAGCGAAGACCGTCAGAATCAGACTGTGAGCGGCCTCGTAGAGTTCACCCAGCCGAGGGTCGCCTTGTGCCTGGATGTACGGGAGAGCAACCTGAAGGAGCTCATCGTTCATTCGCGCACTCACAGTTAGGGTAAGATGTTCGGAAGTGTTGAGGAAGAATAGGTCCAGGTTACGGTCAAGAGGATGTCGTGATATTGCTCCAGCATCCTTCGGCTTCGTCGTCGCCAGGTAGTTTTCAGCCGCTCGTGGGTACTGATTGAGCAAATCGAGGGCTGTGAAGTTGACGAAGACATATTGCGATGACGAGGTCTGGCCGAACCTGTGAGAGATGAAGTACATGTCCCGCAGAGTGTGCAGACATTGTATCGCAATGCCGGGTGCATTGATGTCTGATGCCAGGAAACGGTCTGTCAACAGTCTACCGACGACCGACCTTAGCGCAATGATTGTGGCGAACATCGTATCTCGCAACAACTGGAGCAGGACGGGTAGTGAGACCCTGATAGTCTCTCCATCGAGAACCTGCACCTCCTCGCTGATGTCCACCTCACTGAGTTTGTTTTGACGCCAGGACGTCGCTAACGTCCTTGCAAACTCAGCCAGCCTAGAAACCACATCCATTATGCTTTGTCGATCTTGGGCCGCATCAATAGCCATGGCCAACAGTCTCGATACACCACCAAGCACCTGCACCATTGGCCGGCTTTTGATCTCTTGCACCCTCTGGAAGCTTCTGCTGTTAGCCGACCACCCAAACTTGCCGTCTGGCGACCCCTCGACATCCTGGTCAATGGCTCCAACCCAATAACCCATTTCTAGGCCCTCAAGGCCCGTAAAAGTCGCGTACATCAGCACTGGCAACAGCGCATCGAAGGCCACCTCTGCTCTGGTCGGCTCCCCCAGTAAATGCACCGTATTGACCAGTACCCAGCTCACGACCGCTTTTCCCTCGTCATCACCGTGCACAAGGGCCAAGTTTGCCGCCCTCACCAGAGCTCCTTCGAGCTTGACTCTCAGCGCACGTCCTACGGGCTCTTCACTGCCATGCGGATCGCAACCGGCCAACAACAGCGCGCCCAACAGCAACACATGACGCGACCGTGGACTGTGCTCGTCTGCACCCTTGACTACAGCCGTAAACCAGTCTGGTTCGGAGAGCTGGCTGCCGCTGTATTCAGGCGGCGGTATTTGTTGCTGTCCCTGCGTTGGGTCTCGGCGGCGCTTGTCCTCGCGGAATCGCAGGGTTGCGGTGTAGAAGACGGAGAAGAGCTGGCGTGAGTTCGTAATCGAGGTTGGATGAGGGTATAGAATATCATTTTGCAGGAGCTGTGAGGAGAGCAGGGTGAGGTTGAGCGGATTGGAGAGACGGGTCAAGAGCGCGGTGGCGGTAGGAAGCAGCCTGAAAGCATCGTGGAAGGTCGGAGAAGCCTGGAGAGAGCGCAGGAGGGTCGCAAGGGAGCGATCCATTGCGCTGTGGTCGCGCGCAATGGCTGTGATGGAATAGTGACTTGCGAGTGCCAGTGACTCTCGCGGCCATGCGATCGCAAAGGAACCGAGGCTCGTCGCGGAGCAGGTGCAAACATGCCAAGCTTAGGCGCTTCGGACTGCGGGCGGGCCCGCGCCTAACGCCCAACTAACAACCAACTACCTCACTGTACTCAGACGACATAAGTTACCAGAGAATGATGAAACTTCGCATGTACATGCTTCCCGATCTGTTCGAAGCTCATAGGGACGGTAAAGTTAGAGATCCTGAAGCGGGCTGCACCTCTCACCGTCATCCAACGGCAACCAATGTTCCTGTCGTATGTACTGTCCGATATGTGTACCTAGCGCCTGTGCCCCGCTGTTATCCCGATTATCTTCGCCTTCGGCGACGAGCTTCTGCTCTTGAGGGATAATTGCTGCTTTCCGTTGACCCAGATCTACATAGAGGCTGCGTTGCACAACTCCTTCTTTGTACTGGCAGAAGTCACGTCTGAGGCTGATATTGGTGCCTCATCGCTGTCGGATCCTCGGCTATCTCCATCTCAACCATGCGGACACGCGTCGAGCCTACGGCTGCAAGTCCAGCTATGGCCCTCGCGGCCACGGGCATCGTGGTGGACTGCATACCATGCGTGGCCATGAGGGGAGTATGGGTTGCTCATGGGCGCACTGCATGGTCTTTTCATCGAGTGCGGTTTGTGTCCCTTTGCAATTGTCTTTCGGGATAGACTGTTGAAAGCTGTCATTATATTTGCTAAGTAAGGACCTTCCTTGGGGAGAGTCAATGTGGTAAGTGGCACCGTGCTGCTGTTTCACCTGCACTGGGGATGGAATGGGGCAATCTCGTTGCCCAACCGGGTCATATTTGGGCAAGCCTGCGTCGCAGGAAATGGACAGCATGACCTGGGCTGCAAGGCTCCTGGCAACGATGATGGACTTGTACGGCTGGCTGATCAGTATCGCCTTTTCATATGTTCATCGGATTGCCTATCAACCCAGGCCCATGAATTGAACTGACCCTTTTTGGGGCCTGCTGCTGCTCGTGCCGAGCTTAGGTCGAATGGTCATCAAAAGTCTGATGCTGCGATAGAGAGAAACAATTGGAGCCATCATTCTCAGCAAAACACAAGACATCAAACGATATCAAAGGTCCTGACATGCTTCGAAGCCTCAGGCCTGACCGTCCAACCAAAGCCGTACATCAGACCAAGTACATGGCATCGACCTCGAAGTCGATACCGGCCATTGCCACAATCTCTTAGCACGAACGACTTCTCTGAGCCATGCAAGAAAGCGATTGCATCGTTGACCTGAGCAGTAAAGGGCACCAGTACTGGCCAACCGTCTCTTGTTATGCCAAACACCATCCTGCCTGATTTTCTGGCCCGATTGCGATTTCTTGCTTCTGGCCAACCTCCCTCACAGATGAACCTGCGCAGGGGAGAAGACGCACTCCTGACTGCGGAGGACGATTGGGTGGAATCGGTTTGCTGGTAGTTCCGCAGGTCGCCGTGTTTAGCCAACCTGGCGGCGCATGGGGCCATGTCAGCCGCCGCCGCACCTGAGGTATAGAACAAAATCGACTCGGCGCCGAAGAGTCCTCCCCTATTTACGCGAGGCCCTTCACTCATGTTGAATTCTTCCCACCAACCCGCCCGTTCGACGAAGCTTTCGACTTCGTTGGTCTGGCGGACTGCCGTTTGCTTGTAGAATTCCCACACCAGGTGTAGCCCCGAAACGACTCTTCGGGTGCGGTACGCGTAAAACGAGTTCGCATCAATATCTGCAAGTGAGTCTAATTGGAACCCTCCTATGCGCAGAGCGTCATCTTCGATGGATGCCGACGACCGAGGTATGCTTGGCCATATCAATGATACGGCTACTGGGAGCACATGCTGAAAGTCTATGGTCTCGCCGGTGGCCTTCCAGTTCATATGTAAACCTTCCGCTTGCCATTGTGCAGCTTGCACTGCAGGGGTGGTCCCGTCATTGACATATAGAGTCGGATCTTCGTAGTATGTAACCTGTCCAGTCCTAGTGCGTGACCGTGGGGGTCGGCCAAAGGTCATAGTCCAAGAAGGGATCTTTGCACTCAGCTCCAGCCACAATGCGCCAGAGCACAATATATCATGCGCATAACCCTCGTGCACCAGCCAACGTGAGTGAGTGATACAAGCCGCGTCGTACTTCTGCGCATAGTCAGCCGCTGGTAAGGCTTCGTTCTTAGGTATTAGAGCTCGCAAAGCGTGGATGTAATCTAGGGGCTCTGTTGCGTGGAGGCTGTAAGCCATGGCGAAGACACGGATGGGGTTCATCACCTCGCCGCGTCTAAAATGGTTATGAACCAGTTGCAATGCTGACAGACAGTCGATTTGTTTTGATGGCGCTTCAAGTTGCTCATGCCAACGAAGAAGTGGCATCAAGGCTTCATGACCCCGATGTACATTAGACCACCATTGACCAAGCCGCGAAAGGGGCTGGGGTTTGTGGGATCCGATTTCTTCTCTTTGCAGCGCAATCATCTCATAGCGCCAACTGTGGTAACGCCAACACATCGTACATAGTGCGTCAAAAGGGAAGCGGTGTCCATCGAGAAGAACTTCTGCGCGTTTCGCCAGAGCTATTTCTTGTAGAGGCCATCTACGCTGGGGGTAACGACAGTTGAGAAGGCTCAAACACACAATAGCCTCCTCCATCAATGCCTTGAGCTGAGAGACGCTGTCGCCATGAAGCTCGGAGGAGGCCGCCCGTAGCATCTCTCGCATTTGGGTCTTTGTGACAAGGGACATGGATAGCAGCTCGCCTGTTGTTTTACCTTCGTCCTGGTCTAACAGGCGACGAAGGGCCTGAGACGGTGACATTCGTCGTGGAAGGAAGTCGCAATGCAGCGCTGCGATGAGGTCAGGCAGAAGTCCTAAGAAGACGTAAGTCTTCTGTGCCTGGCGAAAGGTTTTATACATCAATGCCACCTGATTGCTGCGCTCAGCGATAGTTGTTTGGTCCACGCATAGCTGGTCGATCCAGATACGTTGTTCTCCTTGTTGGCGAAGTGCTCGTAATGCGTTGAAGCAGCTCTTGGTGACTTTGATACTCAGGCCACTGCATAGCACAGTATGATCTCGCGACTCGTCTCCCCAGGAGTACGACAAGGCGACGTAGTCGTCGGCGCTGACTGGCTCGGAGTCAAGATCCATGACAGAAAGCGTGCAGACCAGATCATCTTCATAGCGCTTGGAAGGCTGCAGACGCAGCAGCCGCGTCTGCGAGTCCCGGACCGGGAGGGATTGATAAATTTCCTCGTAAGTTGGAGGTGGCATATCTACCAGTGGCAGCAAAGTAATGGTACCACTTTTGGAGCTTTCGGATCATGGAAAAGGTCGGTGTCGTGCTGGAACGGATCAGGCTGAACGGCGCACGGCGAATGCGAGGTTCGTCAAATACGGTGAGGCATAGAGATCAATGGACACGAATACGCGCCTGCTCGCCTGCATGGACGCCTCATCGGGGCTGAGCGATGCCGAGACTGATGCGGGACTATCGTGCCCTTGCATTGTGAAAGGAAGCGTCCTGTAGGTAGCAGTGCGGGCGGCTGTATCATAATCCATCGCTTCATGACGCAGCACCAAGTAACGACTATCATATCGAGCATTGGAATGGTCAAAATGAGAGTGCAGGAGCAACGTAACAGGCAGTCGCATTCAAGAACACGGTGTCTTACCTGACGACACCTAGACCCCAGCTGCGCGTCTCACGACTGCCGCAAATCATTCATTGCACCTCTCACTTACCTAACTGTCCCTCAGCAGCCACACCTCGCGACACCACACCACGCCACACCACACCAGCCAAATACTCACAAAGCTACCGATAAAACCAGTCACTGTTACGTCACGCGGCTCCTGGCCACCATAGCGTATGAGATCAGTTCATGAATCCAATAGACAAGATACCGATGGCCCCTGTTTTCTGCTTTGTTTGGTGTTGTTCCTCGCTTACTGCGAGCGAGCCGTGATAGTCAGGCCCTTCACTTCCCTCCCCCCGAACCACCGTAAGTCCATGTATCTCGCACCGGCGCAGCGGAAGTCCTGCACCAGGCTCAAAACACACCCACACCCACTGCCCTCCTCTCCTACCCCAAGCGATCCCAAGCCCAGGGGCCGGGGGAGAGGGGGCACACTCGCTTCTCGGCACGCAGACGACCCCATGTGGCTCGCGGGGGCTGGGCGGCGGCCTTGGCCACGCACGCACGCAGGGAAGCGGTGAGGTGAGGGTGAGAAGCAATAGACTTACGTAGCGAACATACGAATGATGATGGGAGCGATGCATGGCCCCGCGAGATGCGTAGGAAGGTGTGTAGGGAATGGCGACGGCAGTATCGTACGGTATTCATACCGGACTGAAGTTCCGTCGGCATCGGTACTTGTGTATTTTCACGTAATCCGGACTCGGAGGCGCTCCGGCGTGAGGCACTTCAGGCACTCAAGGTCCTCGAACGGCTGCCTCCAATTGTCAGAGATATGCCTGTTCTTTCTTCCTTTCTTCTTTTTTGCACGTGGACGAAAAGAAGGCGTTCAATACGGCCCCCGTCTGGCGTTCTTACACATCAGCGTCATCATAGCGATTTCGGCCTTCCTTCCACTCATCTGCATCTACTGCCGGAGCCTCTTCTCGTCCCCCTCTTGGCCTCGGCTCCCTATCTGCGTTTATTTTCAGTACCCAGTGACCCGCAAAAACATTTCCCGCGCACCATCAATCAATTGCTTCCGCAACACCGAAGCCGGATCCTGTATACCGTGGGCCCTCCCTATCCCATCACATCGTACATAGCCGTCGGCACCAAGCGGAGCCGAGGCATTTATTCCACGTTCTTCATTAAATATCTGCCATATTCCGTACCCACAGGCTATTTATTTATCCCCGTGGGACCCGCACACCGTGATGGGTACGAGGAACAGCGCTCTCGCTTGACGGGCTCATGCCAAGTGCACCGATCGGAGAATAACCTGCATGCAGCTTTTTCTTCGGGCTTGGTATGCCCATGGAAAAATGACCATCAGCCGATCGCGGGCTTCCCATGTAAGTTTCTGTCGGATGTACATCCCCAATTCTGATAACGTAGAACTTCCTGCGGTTTTTCTTACTTGTGCGCACAGTGCAGCGGCAGCCGATAGCAATGCGGACACCCATGCAGAACTCTCGGGGCCTTTGACTGGGATCCGGTGCCAGGCTAGGGCTAGCCGCACCGCACCTTGACGTTACTGCTGTTCTGGTGGGTGGAGTATAGATATCATTAGCTGAAGCCCCGCACCGCGGCTTCGGCGCGGCAGGTCAAGCCGGCGCGATGAGAAAAGCCTGTTTATTGAGTGGTTCGTTCAATGTTGGCACATGTGTGTCGCCAGCGTGGGCGGGAGCGTGCCAGGGATGGCCTTGATGGCCAGAGGAACGGTTGTTGAAGGTACAGTACCAACTTATTTTCGAGGACCTTTCGCGCTTGAAAGGCAATGGTGTTGATACAAGCGCATCACGCTTCATGCACGAAATTAGACGTGCCAGAAAAAGCCCGGCCCCAGCGAGGTGCCACAACTGGTCTGTGCTCACTGGAGGCAGGCGAGATGGCGCTTCCATTGAAGCAATGTAACCACTAATGGCAAGGATATACTATACCAGTGAAGGCACCTATATCCCGTCAGATGTCGCACGTTTGGTAGATGTCTATATGGATAACAACCCTTCCAACACCGCGGTACACCGAAGCCAGCTCGGGCGCCGAAGCAACTGGCTGTGGGCGAAGTCTATATCGACCGCGACTCGAACGCCGTCCTCGCTGTCGAACTACCGATGTCGTTGGTTGTTTCGCTCTTTGTTCGCCGTCAATACGGCGTCTTTGATCGCGTTGACGCGCCCGCACCTGAACGCCGACGCTGAAATGTTGAAGTTTGAGCAGCGCCATTTCCATGGTCCTCGCTAAAGCCCCGCAGGTCGTCAGGTTCATCTCATCAACCTCATCTCATCAGGATCGCATCATGCTTTGTCGATCGTGGCAGGTACCGATACCCCAGACAACAACATGCTCCTTGAGAGTTGACGTCGCAGTCCGCCAATCAAGGCGCCGAGACAGGCCGTGTTGCGCAAAGCGGAGTCAGCTCAATTTCCTGCATGTGCCAAGCTGACTCAGGCTCCGTTGCAGCCGGGTTGCCGACGCCGTCCGCGCATGGACGACACGGCGCAGAGGGATATCCTGCCCTTGTCCATTGAGCCGTTTTCCAACCAGACTCGCAGGGCACAGTTAAAGGTGGGCGGCATCAGTCATCAGTCATGTCTACAGCAGTCCCCGCACCTGACCCAGAGTCCTTCCAGAGTCATGATGAAATCATGCTTTTGCAGCTGAGCCGCCGAGTGCCCGGAAGCTGTGGCGTCGGGGCGCGCTCCAGGGCTTAAGGTCTCGCTTGGGCCGTACCCCACCCGCGCTAGTGGCGCACCCAGCACCTCAACTCCCCTCCCTGTCCGACTCCTTGTTCCAGTTCGGCCCTTGTCCAACGTCGTTTTCACCTCGTTAGCTTCGCCCCGTTAACCGTCTATCGTAGAGGATGAGGCTTTGCTAGCCTGTCAGCGGCGCGCGCCCGTCCAATCTCTCTTCTTCCTTTCATCGGGATTTCTAGACGTAGTTCGCCATGCCCGGTGCACGCCGCGTGGAAGCATCAGGCGATTGGCTCGTTGACCAATTTTCTTCTGACAATCGCTCGATTTTTCTTGCGCGATACATCACTTCACTTTTCGGTGCATGTGAACCATGCCCAGTGCATTTACGAGTGGTATACGTCGCCGACGGGAAAGATGGAGTCAGGATCATGTCTCACCTTTGGTTCCGCGCGGCTTCGAATGTCAGTTTTGATGGATGTGGCTTGTCATCGAAAGTCGAGGTTGAATCGTTTCCACTTGCCTCCCATGACTCCGCAGCGGGGGCACCCGCGGCGCGTCGGCGCAAAGCCTGGTTGGGTAAAAACCGGACTAGAGATGATCTGGCCGACGCAATCTGAGCATACACCGCATATACATTCCGTGCACGCAAATGCCGTCGACAGCCGCCACGGCCGCGAGCACGAGGCACACAAGACTTTGAATCGTTGGGTCAGTTCTCTCATGCAAGACGCGACCAGGATGTATCACTTACTTTCCAATGTGTCCGCCTTACTACCAAAGGAAGACGATTGCGAATGCTGGTAATTGCGTGCCCGCATTAGCGGACTGGTATTGTCATTGGAGGACGCCGACGTAGGCAGCCCGGATGCTGAGATGTGGAAGTTGTGGCCCGATCCCGCCGACTCGAGAGACTCGACCGACGGGAACGGTTCTGCATCATGCGGGCCGAAGTGATCGGGGGGTGGTGGCGTCAACGTTCGCTGCAGCGGAGATGGATTCGCGTTGTACTGCTGCTGCAGATGACCTAGGGGCCGGAAGCCCGGCGGTAGTGACGATCGCTTCGATGAAGTGCCCCCACCCTCCGCGGCGGATGCAGACAGTCGATGACCGGATGGGCCTGTCGTGATGGGCGGCGGAAAGGCTGATGGAGAGTCCTGCGGCATCTGTATCCACGCCAAGGTATGTTAGCAAGGTCAACTTATCGATAGCCTAAACCAAATCAGATAAATGAGGGAAAATGAGGAGGCTGGGTTATGCGAGATCCCCGCCCAGTGTACACATTAATTAGAGAGAGCGGGAGGTGCATAAACTTTTCCCTCGCGGCCTCCCCCCCTGTCCAAGCCCGTAGGCCCAGAGGACAAGAGGAGCCGACCCGTTCCGAGCTGAGACCGATCGCCCGATTCTTTTTCTTCGCCGTTCATTTATTCCCTCACGGGCCAGCGACAATACATACCATACCCCTGTGATGGTCTTTTTTCATCTGTTTCGTAATCTGGCGTCATAACCGGGTATGGTTCTTTGTGGTGTCGTCCGTAATAGTAGTAAACAGATAGAGTGATAATGGTAACAAGGGACGGACAATAAGTGTACAACGCTCCACGACAACGACGCTCCAGACAATAACATCCTCCGCTTTCCCGTAGTATACCTTGCCTCATACCAGCTCGATCTCTTGGCAACAGCATGTAAAGACGGGTGTGAACACAGGTGTGAACAGGTGACAATCGAAAAATGCCATCTGACTTACAGGGGTGAGATCTCGGTCATCATCCGCTTCTGGGGTCGCACTGGCCGCCGCTTCTATCAGGTCTTCCCAACGCTTGCCCTGCATCCATGCCAGAGCGGGAGGCTCGGCAGACATGGCCTTGACCCGGCCTTCAAGGCTGAGTCGTCGGGAGAGTTCCTTCGCAGAGAACTCCTTGCTCTTGCCGCGGTCGTGCTTGCCTTTCCGCGCATTCTCGCCCATGGATGGCTTGCGGGACCGGCTGATTTTGTCGCGTCGTTGGAATGGAGGTAATGAAGAATATCGGTTGGTAGGTGACTGCAATATCGAGGGCAAGAGTTCACGTTGACGGGCAGCCTGGAAGGCAGGGAGAGTGTCTTCATCGAACTGCGCGCGGATCGATGGCAGATCGTAGCCAGACACATCGCGTTTGATGAGTTCGGCATCCGTATAGACATCCTATAATATGCATAAGTCGACCTGTGCGACGACAATACTTCTCTTGTATACTCACAAAGTCAGACTCCCACTGGTGTAGTTGGGTCAACGCGACTGCGGCATTTGCTGCAGCTGGCGGCTGACCCGTCAGCGGGACGGTCCCACCCAGAGTATCAAGTTCGCCGAGTAGCGGGCCGTGTTCGCTGGCATCTGCTGTATGCTATTTAGCATTGTAAAATGATATTCGAGGTACCAACATACAAGGGCCTCGTCGTTGAGGAACCGCAGCGGCAGGCTGCTGTGGAGGACGATGGGTGGGAGGTGTTGTGATCATAAGCTGAAAGGATTCTTCCGTGGCCGGCAACTTTGGAATGTAATAATCGGGATGTGCACGTCGAATGTGCTCTTGCATGGAGCGATACCGCTTCTCCTGCAGCGCTGTTAGCCTTGAAACGTGGACGCTTAGGATTCGAGACGCACTCCGATGCACTTCTTCCGACAGGGTGAGCCATCTTGGTTCGCGAGAGGGCAGATGACTTCATTTTCGGCGTCGGTCGAGACCTGGAAAGAGCCTGTGAGGGCTGGTTTGGGCGGCATTGCCTGCGCAGAGGAAAGAGTGCAATGTTTGAACAAAGTCACGGCGACGAAGTTTGGCCCATTCGGAGGGTGCCCACACACGCTTGGCCCGGTCGGTCGCCGCAACTAACAGAAATTCGTTCCAAAACAGGTAATTCACATAGTCGATGCCATGGGGCAAGAATGCAGGGGCTGGTGCTGAGAGTACAAGCGGCCTGCGCGAGAGTCGGGAGGAGAGGAGAGGAGATGGTTGTTGTGGGATGGTGTTGGCGGCGGGTTGTGGTAAGGAAAGAAAGAGAGAGCTTGCGAGAGCTGTTGACTGTTTTGGGGAGCAGGAGCCCTCCAAACGAGGGGCAGCCGAAGCCAAACTTAGGCCTGGCACTCAGCCATGTCATTTGAATTAGAATACCTGGCTATTCGTAGGCCGTTCACGGCCAGGCAAGTGCCATGAACTTGGTCTGACACGCCGATAACAGCTCGTGGCCCGGGATCTGGTGCCCAAAGCTCGCCCTAAGCTTGCATGCCGAACTCTCTTCTTCACCAACCACGGCCGGCTGTTTTGGCAGCTTTCTTACTCGCAGCTGACGCCTAAACGATCCTCACTGGCCAAGAGGGCTTGCAACTTGCTGCGGCTTCAAGATTCAGGTACTCGGCCAATTGATGAGCTGGCAGGCATCTATAAGCTCCCACGAGCTCAGGTACCTCCCGTACCACTGTACCAACTGCTTGTGAGCTTCCCACCGTTCTATTTGTGAGCGGAAGGGACCTCGAGTCTGCGTCTGCCCCTGCTTGGTGTGAAGCCGCTCACGGCCGCGGCACGGTAAGCCTACATACATCTTCGATCTGCTGCACGCTGTCATCAGACCCCCACCAGCACAAGCTTTAGCTGCTGTTCACATGTCGATCATAACCTGGCACAATCCCAAGGTCACTTCAGCTAACTAAGCAGGCTCGCTAAGCACAGTGTCTACCATTGCCAACGGCAGGCAGCTCTGTCTAAGATTCGTGCGTTCAGCCCTCATCACCCAACTTGTCGTTCTCTGGACCATTGTCGTCGTCACTCTCGTCATCCACTTCAGCACCAGCCTGGCCACTTGTTTTGACGTTGGGACCCCCCTCAGTCTTCTCCTTGGTCGCCTCAATTCCACCAGAAGTCACGTACAGGAATGTCGACTCCGGATAAGCGTCCACGTGGTTGAAAAAATTGCCGAAGACGTTGTCCTGCTCTTCATCCCGGTACATCCGCTCATAGATCTCCCGCTGCTTAAAGTCGTCCATCTCGCTTTTGTACTTATCAAAGTCTAGCGCATCTCTACCAAAGTCGCCTTTGGCACGTTTATTGTACGAATCGAAAACCGGTCGTTCGAGGAGCAAACCCAGGCTGGGGGCTTTGGGTATAGATATAAGGTCAGATCCGAAACTCTCCACCAGCCGCTGAGGGTCGCAACCCGATCGGACGATGAGAGCGACCATTCCAACCATCTTGCGGATCTGGTGCATCATGAAGCTTTGGCCATGAACTTTGAGGCTGAGCCACTCGGTGCCGTTGATGAGGATTGGTTCCGGATTGACCACGAACGACTTAATGACTCGTTTTGATGACGGATCCTTGAACGTCTTCTGAACGGTAAAGTTGTGGTAGTTGCGAGTACCGACAAACAACTTCAGCGTGTCTCTTACACGGGCGAGGCGCTTTTCTGGGATCCGATATGCGCGCTTCGCCTGTAGATAGGCTTGTCGCAGGCGCTTAGTGCCCTCCGAGATGGCTGGTGACCTGGTCGGTTTGTATTCAGTAGTTGTGTCCTTCTCATTTGGCGTTTCTGATGTCGAGTTTGTGTCGGGATGAGCGGTGTCTGAGCCCTTGGCATCTTTGCTCACTTCTTTCGACGGCGCAGCAGCTCCATCTCCTTGCTCTTGGTTCTCAAGAAACAAGGCTTTCTCCAGCACGCTTTTCGTATGCTCATCGTATTCCTCTAAGATTGGCTTGATGACTTCTTCGTCCACCTTCTCCCAGTATCCCTCGACCTCTTCTTGCCGACTCTTCCATGCTTCATAGTCGTTCTTCTTCTTGGCCCAAGACTCGCACTTCATACCCATGAAGCTTCGTGGGTGCGGGGGTAGGAAGCTGTGTGATGGTATCAAGTACTCATAGATGCGCGAATCGACGAGCTGGTAGGCGCTGAAACTGTTGTTGGTCCTCTCAAATCCCCAGACCCGAATCTGGGGTACAAGGTTATCGTTGATCTTCTTCACGATGTCTTCGTCCTCCACAATCAGCTTCAGGCTGATCACGTTGCCGGCAGCGTGGACACCTTTGTCGGTTCTTGCGCATCGAACGAAAGAGGATTTCTTGGGATCGTCGGCATTGTTCTTAGAGATCGCTCCAGCTCTCACGAAGGCTTGGAAGAGGTCGCCCTCGATGGTCTTCTGATCATGCGCCAGTTGCATGCCACGATAGCCTGTACCCGCATATCCAATTAGGACCGCAACCTTCTTTTTTGGCTTCCTCTCTTCCGCCTTGAGCTCATCTTCGGCAAACTTGGTAGCGTAGACCGGGAGCGCAGCATCGCCCCGATCTACTCGTTGTCGCTTCGCTGCCTGCTCATCCTCATTCCGTTGCCGCTTGTCACCTTTCTGCTTGCTTAGCCGAGTCAGTCTTGCGATGCCTGCTCTCTCTCAAGCTTACTCACCTCCAGTCCGACCGCCCCAGATCTCTCGCCTTGCCCTGACGACCTCCTCGACCACGGCTGTGCTTTCCCCTCGAAAAATTGTTCGAATGCGATCGTCGATCTTCTGATGGATTTCCTCTCTCGGAAGACCTGCTGGACGAGGTATTCTGAGGGTGTGAGCTCGCCTGTGCTGATATAGCAGACTCCGAAGGATTGCTTGAGGACATATTGAAATTAGAGGCCTCATCAATAATGCTACAAGAGTAAAGCAGCTCGAGTAAGCTACCAGTGGTTCAAGCCTGCAGAAACTCCAAAACCTCAAAAAATCCTGCCCCGCAGCTCATCCAGATTCACCGCCTGATTCGTCAGACCACACTTGCTTGGCATAATATCTTGGCGTCTTCGGAGCTGGACCAAGCTCCGACGTACGGAGTCCTCCGAGCTTATTGTCGACAGCAGCGAGCCTACCGGTAGCTCTTAAAGGCTAGGTGCAAGCTCTGCAGCCTCACCGGCGGGCTATCAGATGGGCTACGGTGAGCTCGTCAAGGCACGCCATAACCATGGCGTGAAGTATGTCATTGGCTCTGCTGGTGGCTCAGGATCAAATGCCGTCTTCGATATGAGCACCAGGATCATCAAAGAGCTCTTCAAAGAGAATGTCTCTCGTCCTATGAAGGTCATTAGCGTCTACGCCGAGCTTCTCAATTATCTCGTTTGTCTGAGGCTTGCTGGCGGCCTGGTCAGTTCTTGCATAGGCGGTGTTCCTGGACTGCAGAAGGAGGATGTCGACGATGCAATCAACATTGTCGCCCAGATGGGTATCAAGCCATACGTCAAAGCCAGCAGGAAACCCCCGATGTCGATCTCGTCATAGGTGGTCGAGCTTACGACCCGGCTCCATATGCCGCGTTCTGTGTTCATGTTGGCTCCAACGATCTGGATGAGCAAGGAATGTGGCGCTGTATGTGGGCTCACAAAATCAAGCGAGGCTCTCGCAATTGTTTGTGAGTCGTCCTTAGGCGCCGACTGCAGTGTGCCTTGCCAAAAGGATCCTCAGACATCTTCGAGTGCCAGCCTGATAAGTCCCCTCCTACTGGAGCTTACGGAAAGCCAATCCCACGAAGGTATTGATATCACGCCTTTCGGAATCAAACGTTTAGCGATTAATGTGCCGTGTTTCGCAATCTAGTAAAATATAGATTTGAGACAGTCTCCGTCACCGAGCTTTTGTGGCCCTCGGTATTGCACAATACGCAACACCACTAAATTGTGCCTGCGCGCGCGTACTGGTCATGCCGAGTCCAGACTATAACGTCTACGTGGTACGTTCGGATGATGTGCAATCGGGTTGGGCCCTCGTTATGGAGAGTCGATGCCAGTTGCTCGAAGGTGTGACAAAAACAGACTAGCGCAGGGCCACAACTGAATTTGGTAATTTAATTGGAGGAAACTAGACCGTGGTCAGGGCCACAAGTTCGCAAGTGGAATGCTTCTGTCTGTGGATCACAGCACAAACATATCATGAAAGTTCTCTCTTCCAACTCCCAGAAGTCCTAGTGTGCTCTTTCACTAACCGGTGTGCATGAGGGATTTCTGTCATCCAACTCCTCAAAATCATACGGAAGTGACTCCTTGGGGAGAGGTCTCTCTATTCACTTTCAATTCGGAACTTGCTTAACTAGGACAAGCACCCGCGACCAACGGCATGGATGTCAATGGCGAGTACAACATCGACATCTTCTCTCCATTTATGCTGTCGGCGGGAGTCCATGCCTCGCAAGACCCCTCGCCTTTCTATTGCGACCAGTACGCCAGTTCATGGGTTACTCTGAACTCACTGGAAGCCGCAACAGGACAGATTTATACATTCAATGATAGCAACGATGGCCTGCTATTAATACCGGACACATCTCTTACCGGGGGTGGCGGTGTTGAGACAGACACAGCGAGCAGTATACCATCAACATGCTCAGAATACAATGACTGGATGGGAGCGTCTTTCGACACTTCAAGCCAATTCTATCCCGTGCTTTCGAATGAGAATTTAGGCCGAAGCCATATTAAAAGAAGCAGGTCTTCATCCGCCTGGCTGCGATCGTCTCCAGACGATAAAAGCTCCTCACGTTACCTGTGTACGGAGCCGGAATGCAAGAGCAGTTTCAGGCGAGCCTGTGACCTTAGGTAAGCAAATGAATGGTATTGTTGCAATTGTGATTGACCATCTTCAGAATGCATTACAAGAGACACACCAAGCCCTACAAGTGTCCCACCTGTAAGACCAGATTCGCAGCAAGGAGAGATCTGATACGGCATCATACTACACATCATGCTCAGAAAAGCTATCGATGCGTAGCGTCTGGGTGCTCTTTCATGAGTGCGCGGCAAGACTCATGGCTGAGACATGTACGGGAGAACCACCTGCAGGTTGATGGAGACCAAGAGGTTCTGGAGTAGTAGTTTGAGCTAAGCGATACTGCTGGAATTGGAACGGCAACGTCATTAAATCGTACATCGTTGGAAAAGGGCATTGCGTTGGTGGTCCTCGACCTCGTCGACCTTAAGCGATGTCAAGTTGCTCGGAGGGGACAGCTGCTTGTATGACTACTCAAGGGTGCTTCTGGAAGTCGTAGAAAGTACCATATCCATAGACTTTCTGTCAGAACTCCGCTATCTCGATTGATTTGGTTTAGAGACCGACCAGCCCGTTTAGGAGCGATGCGCCTCGGATCTTGTGAAGTAACCACGCGGTTTTCCACTATAAGGCGACTCCCAGGTCATCAACAGGTCCACAGCTGATCTCTTTTGGCACCTATGATCATGCACCTGGTGCACTAGGCAAGATTAGGTCGATAAGACATACTATGGCTGTGTCATGTATGTAGAGGGCCGCCGAGCAGTCGGCCGCCACGGAGGCGCCTATGTAAAACTTGACGTAAGGCTGGTCGTTCCAGGGGGCCGAGCACAGTCACACAAAGCTTCGACTTGACCATAGGGTGTCATCGGGTCCTGTCACGACGGAGCTAGACGTTCGGGCGCCAGTAGAGACACCACTGACATCTAAGAAGGCTGGACAACAGCGAAATGTGGCTTTACAATCAGTCAGTGCTTCGACATGCGCTAGGCGGCCCACATGCTTTCCTAAGGCTCCCGGCTCTATGGGCGGCCTTCAATGACCACAAGAAGACCTGAATCTAACCTTAAGGAGAGCTTCTACCTGCTGCATAAAGGGCTGGACACCTTTGCGGTTCCCACCAGAATCTCAAGTCACTTAGACGCGGTCACACAGCCAGTCTCCCAGCTTCACCACATGCTATTGAAAGCCAGCACAAGCAACTACGACATAGCTCAATCGCTGTGAAGTTGTCACAATGAACGTTAGACCCTTCATTTACCGAATTCTTCGCCTCACCCTCACCATTGGCAGGATATTGAATTGCGGAGGGGTAGGCCGGTGCGCCAGCTTGTCAGCGTATTCGGCGCCGGGGCTTGACTCTAGCAATCAACTCGGGATCTTCATGATGCTGTCTCGGACACAATAGCTGCATGATTAGTCTCTAATCTCGGAGTACACTGTCCGAGGCAGGAATCCTGGCCTTGCGCAAAGCTTACGGCTTGTCTGGGAAGGCTACCCAGGTAAGTGAAAAGGCGATTTCAGACAGGTTGGGACTGACTCCGTCTGGCAGAACCGACTTCCGTTGCTCGGGGCTGCTTCACAACGGCTCGCTCTTGCGCGTGAAGAAAGCATGGACGTACAGGAGCTATGGTAGTAGACCCGGAGTTCCACTTCAGCATTTGCAAGCTTGGACGAGGCATGTTCGGTTGGAGTCGTGGGATCAGGTCGAACTCAACAGGAGTCTCCGACTGTACTTCATACCGACTACGAGTGCATAGGTTCAGTGGGTGAGTCCCTTCCACGCTATTGATGGCAACGAGGGAATCTGCTCATAGGGTTCTGGGCAAAGCGGACATATCCATTTTGTGGCCCATATCTCACAAATCAGAATTGGACATCCGTGGCGCGCGCCAAAATCTCACTACCCCGGTCCGTGTCTGTGGCCCCAGCCACTGCTAGCGTCTAAGCATTGCCGACGCCTGCTTGTCGTCTTCTCTGTCTTCTTTAGCGCGCCAAAACTGCAGTCGTAGGATTGACTTCGTGCGAATGACGCTCTACCAGTGCGCAATGCAGGATGTGTGCCATTGGGAAGGTGGCGACAGAAGGCAACGTGCCTTGATGCAACGCGCACAAGTCTACCAAGCCACAGTCTCCGAGAGCTTCATTGGTGCCTGATTCAGCTACCTTGAGATCTCTCGAATCATCCTCTCCTCCTGCTATGGAATCTCGGGGCCACACGCCTACCATTGCTCACTCTAACGCGGGGCCACAAAATGCTGGCTTTGCACTGCTTTGCAGGGCTACTCACCCACAGCGAATGCCTGGGAGAGCATCCCCAAAATGGCGCCGCGTGCACTTTTCCTCTCTGACCAGCCTCAGGCCTCTAACATCTCTCTTACTGTGCGTCAAAGGCGCAAACTCACGTGACTTACGATGTGCTCAGCCTAACGAACAAACATCATGATGTCTGGATCTGATGGGCCGGAAAGGCCTTGGTATAGCTACCCTAGCCCCCAAGGCTTTGACAGTGATAATGACGAGTCGGAGGAAGAGGCACGCAATCGCAAGATGGTGGCGAGCAAAAGAGTTGGTGCAAACGGCAGTAAGCCCCACTCGTGGCGATGCGGTGCCTCTTGCAGACAAGGCTGACTTTGATTATACAGTACCACCTGTCTATGATCGAGCCTGTGGCAGTGCAGGCGCTAACGGTCTCCGTCACTGGCAAGGCGAAGTAGCATATGAGCAACAGCTATCAGTTGACGCTGGCAGAGCCGATTTTCCGATCTCAGATACTGTAAGCGGATACTTCGAATCTCAGCTGCCGCAACTGCAACCACCAACCCGCTTTATCAGCGTCGGGGCACCTCTGCGGGACCATTTCAGCGGCCTGAGTACCAATCCGCCCCAAGCTAGCAGCTCGCTGGAGTACCATCTGGATCCAGACCCGCAGAACTTCTCTGCTCTCACGAAGGAATCGCAAGCCCTTCCCTTTGATGCCTGCTGGGATCTCTACCAGCAGTCTTCCCCACATGGATCCAACTCTCTCGATTTCGACTCGTTCTGGACATTTTGCTTCACCACGTTCAACTGGGAACGCCGAGATGTATTTGCTACGTATTCTGGCTTCCAAACAAAGTACAACGCCCTGTTGCTGCCAACCGATAGTACTACTAGCCATCTCGCCTTGATTAGAATTCAAGACCGATCGGACTCCCCACCACCACCTGACCCTACCCATGAGGGCACCGATCACGAGACCTCTTCGGTGCTGACGAGCCGGCCTATAACTGTCACTCAAGGTCAATACCCACGAATCGCTCCGGCTTTGGCAACTGGGCCCACCTTCGGCGCGGGGCATGCCAACACAAGGTATCGACTGGTGGAGGAACAGCTTGCGGAGGCGAGTTTGAGGACAAACAAGTAATCCACTGTCTCCGACCTCTCTCAGAGACCGGGTGTTCTGACTGTCTCTAGTGCTGCCTCAATCGCCCCGCCGGACGCCGTGGAGGACAAACCCTTCAAATGTGATATTCTGGTGAACGGACGGCCCTGCCCCTGGAGCTTCTCCAAGCGTCGTGCCTTAGACCGACACCGCAAGAAGAAGGGCCATGCGCGTCATGTGAACCCTAATGGACGTGTCGGTGGTGTCGAAAACGTATGCCTCCTCCACAACCGCGGCTTCCAAGGCCGAAAGGACTCGTTGCTGCGCCATCTCCGCAAGCAGCACGAGGAAAGCGAGCTGCGACAATTTTACGCTCATCATGGCCAAGGTGGTGAATGGGTGGGGGGATTAGGAAAATTGTATACCAAAGTCACGAAACTCATGATACAGCTTGCCCCGCAGTGGCTATCGTCGGGACAAAGCGAAGACGCTGCCACCATCCAGTGATGTGAAGACTTAAGGGAGGCGAGAGCCTATACTGTGGAAGAGCCCTTCGGGGCGGGACGTGACGACCAACAACGACATTTTCCTTTCCATCTGGGAGGCCGACTTCAGGCGTTTGCTAGTGTTTGGTCTCTTTTCTTATCCGGCCCTATACCCAAGGAGAAACATGGCCTACACATCTCACTCCACCCAAAAAAATAAAAGCCCGAAAACGCCAGAAAACACCCCCCCAAAAATTACCTCGGCGGCACAATGGAACAACATGGCTCAAGCTTCGCTCGATGGATGAAGTCATCTTTTGACGGAATCGACAAAGGTGGTTCTTTACTCCGGCGCGTGAGACTTCTTTCTAGTGTCGACAATAAACATTGCTGTTTCCGGGGCAAACCATTTCCTCAGCTCACCTAGGCCCTCGCTGAACTGTGCTCCGCAACCGTCTCCCCTGTCCACCTTATCTGCCCGTGGCACGCGCAGCCCCTCCCAGTGGGATATGGCATATAGCAGAGAGGCTGTGCGGCTCGTATGGCGGTGCACAGCCCTCTTTGTAGACCGACGACGCAGCGCACAGTTGCAGACGTGACTTTATGTCTTTAAGTACCCATTGCATACCGCAATATGGGGATTCGCTACCTGAGTGTGTCGTTGGAAGTCGCGGTGTCAGACGAGGTGGCTGTGAGCGGAGTGCAGTTGCGGGGATGAGGTGGCGCAGGAGCAGCCTTGGCGGCGTGGCGTGGGGTCAAAGTAGGTGTTCAGATGTCAATGGGACGCAATCGAACGTGTGAAGCTCTTGGAACCGTGGTCTAAGGCGCTGGGATGCGGCGGCAAAAGGCAATCCGATGTCATTTGGGGTAAGTAAATAGAGCCGGCTCATTCGAGGAACAGGAAACATCTTCAGCGAGGTTTTATTTGAGATGGCCGATTACTATGCTGAACATGTTTGATTTCAGTCCCAATACACACCTGGCCCAAAAGAATGGCCTGAGCGTTCAGAAACCCTTGATATACTTATGGTCCTGCGTCGTGCCCAGCACCTCAAAGCGCATGCCAACCTCGACCTTCCCCTCATTGCGAGGCACGCACAGCATGCCGAAGCACGGCTTGAACGTGATACCTTCATCCACCCGCCTATATTTCATGAGGGTATCCCACGGCTGATGCTTGTCCTTCTCCGCAGTATCTGGATTCACGTTCGGCACCTGACAGCGCGCGCACCGTGCCGCGACGTCAATGTCGATCGCGCCCATCGCGGGCCCCGCCACGGCACTGGGCAGCCAGTTCGCGCCCATCGCGCCACTGCCGTTGATGCGCACCGTCTTCCAGCTGTCCTCGCTCCACGGCTCGCCGCCTTTGATGATGATGTTGGGCCGGAAGCGCTCGACGGTGATCTCATCATGGCCCTGTCCCTTGAGTCGGCCGTTTAACTCGGCGAGCGAGCTCTCAGACGCGATCTGCAGGGGCAGCACGTCCGGGAAGTTGACGGTGGCCTTGCGGCCTAGAATGTCTGGTGCGCCGTTGCCGCGACAGATGCGTGGCGCCTTGGGGTCTTTGACGACGAAGAAGACGTCGCTGCCATCGCCGATGAAGTCGCGGAAGAGGGACTGAATGGTGGGGTCTGTGTACATGTAGGCTTCCGTGTCGTACTCCCATATGTTGACGATAATGGGCTTGGCGTTCTCGGCGAGCCAGGCGTCGGTGGCGTAGAGGGGCACGGATATCTGCTTGGATGTGTCGGAGCCGATGGTGATGACGAGGAGTTGTTTCTCGTGGTCGATGGAGGTGTTGATGAGGGTCATCTGTGGCTTTTGGCGGATGGTGAGGAACTTGTGGTCGCCGTCTACGAACATCCATTGTCGGTCGAGGTGGAGGCCGGATGTGGTGAGCTGGGCGGCTGGGATGGATAGACCGCGGCAGGATTTGATGGGGTAGATGCGTAGATCTGTGATCTCCGAGACTGTCATTTTCGCGGCTCGTAGATATCGACTGTTGGTCTGTTTGGGCCGTTGTTCTGTTCGGTCAGAGGAGGCGACTTCAAACGTGAAGCGGCATAAGAACTAGAGCTGTCAATGGGTCGATATATAAAATAGAGCTGTTAATTGAGGCGATAAGGGGGTTGTTATAGCGGAGATATCTGACCTGCGTCATGCGGCAAACTCAACTGTAGCCAGCGGATGAAGAGAGGGGCATTCAGCCTTCCGGTTCCAGCAGCAAGCCAGGCAGTGAATTCTGTAAAGCGGCGCTCGGCAGGCTGTAAAGAGCTAGCACCGGCGAAGAAGTGCCAAGGCGCCGCCTGCTGCCAAATACTGCTTAGCGTGAGAAGACGGGTCCGACTGTGTGTGAACGTTGCATTATGAAGTGCTTGCATTACTCTGTCTGGCTCATTAGGGGTTAGCAGAACAGGCATATCGCTGTGCTGGCGAATCAACGGGCGCTTGAGGACGGAGGGCGCCGTTGTCCATCCTTATCGATATATATACCTGCATAAACGGGCGCGGATTGGCCATCGCGCAAGCTGGTGCCTGAATGTTGTGGGTGTATCTGAACATCGGAGAAGAGGGGTCTAAGTAGAAGCATCTCTCTTCATCAGCACTCCAAGGCAGGCCGGCAAACATAGCGCCATGTCCGATCCTGACTTCGTGAAGCTCGAGCTTCGAACAGCTTATGGGCCCGTGTACCGTGATGTGTCCACCAAGGCACCTCGGGAAGCTCACGCAGACGAGATACCTGTGATTGATATCAGCCCCATTGATGGTGATGCCGATGCTCGAAAGGCGCTGGCGGAACAGATAAAGCACGCTGCCATGAATACCGGCTTCTTTTATGTCAAGAACCATGGCGTCCCCGAAGCTGCCATTCGAGGTGCTCTCGAGGCGTCCAAAACCTTCTTCGCTCAACCAATTGATAAGAAGCAACTCGTGTCCAAGAACCTTGGAAAGTGGTACAACGGATACTCCGGCAACATGACAAGCAAAGCCAGTCCGACGGAGGGCTGGGATATACGTGAGTCGTTCTCCTGGCGCTATGAGCCCCAATACGATCCGGACCCAAAAGATCCCAAGGATGTTCCAGCCGAGGTCTGGCCATATATCAGAGGGGAGAATTATGTCTGGGATGGCACCGATCATTTACCCGATTTCAAGCAGGGTTGTATCACTTATTGGCAGGAGTGCTTGAAGCTTGCTCGGAAGCTCGTCCGCATCTTCGCACTATGCCTGGACCTTCCTGAAGAATATTTCGACAGCCTGACTCAGTACCCTGGAGCGGATGGCGTCTTCAACTACTACCCAGCCATGCCAGAGGGTGAGGAAGAGACCAGGAAGGACATTGGTCTCGGGTCGCACACTGACCTGCAGTGCTTCACTCTACTCTGGCAAGACATGAACGGTGGACTGCAAGTCCTCAATAATGAGGGTGAGTGGATCAAGGCCACGCCTGTTGAAGGGACCTTTGTCGTCAATATCGCCGACTACCTTCAGCGTCTTTCCAACGACAAGCTGAAGAGCACCGTTCACAGAGTGTACAACCGTGCGACTGTTGATCGATACTCGATGCCATTCTTCTATGGCTTCCAGTTCGATCAGAAGTGCGGCGTGCTTCCGACCTGTACCGGACCCGACAACCCGCCTAAGTACGAACCTATCTCTTGCGGAGACTGGTGTCAGCTTCGGTTCCAGCAAGTCGATCAAGAGTCCAAGATGACAGCTTACTAAAGGAATATCATTTCCGGGAGGCCCTCCTAGGTCGGCCATAGGGTATGGAGGGCCACTTCTCCGGGAGAAGGCCGACCTGACATTGTTTGGTGCGTGATCAAGAACTTGTGCTGCGCGTCGAAGGCTGGCAACCAGATGGGGTGGAGTATCTTGTGCGTGCCATTAGTCGCCGAGATTGCACCAAGAACCATCATACCACCGACGTCCGGCGGCGATGCTGGCACTGCCAGTTTCGTCTAACTGGGCCTTACCGTAGCATCTTCAAACTCGCACCTAGCCGCTCATAAAAGCGGCAGGCGAGGTGTAGGCGATATTGGCCCAGTTGGAAAGAGCGACCGGCGAACTTCCCTTGGCGCCCAACCTGCACCTGCGGAGTTGCCGCCTGGTTGCCTCGTCTGTGTGACCAGAGACTTTCAATTATCGATCAGAAGACGGCATCATTCACGCACCGAATGTGAAGACGGCAAGCACACGCAGCGGTCTCCAGTCACTCTTTTAATTGTTTGCAGATTTGTAGGTTCATCTATCTTCCACTCGCTAGAAGGATGCCACTGACCATAGCAGCGATATCGCCCATAATGTCGTCAGCCCTCGTTGATACGTCATTGGCCGGCACAGCCGCTGATCGTCCGGTGCTGTCAGACCTGGTCACTCCATGGCTTGCACAATCGCAGATCAAATTCCACATTCACTCCCAGTCCACCAGCGCCCACGCTCATTTCCGCGCCCATCGTGCCACCATTCACTACGACACAGGCGACCCAACCATGATCATCCAGCAGCGAGCTAGCAAGAAGCACCCGGTGTTTGGCTGTTATGTACTGCCCCTCACCCGAATCAACATCGTTATAGAGAAGCCCAACGATGGCCGCCACGCCTTTCAGATCCAGATCGAGCAGAACGTGCCACGGCAAATCAACTTTCCCCGCGGCTTCCCTGAGACTCTTGCTTGCAGCCTGATGGCAGCCAACGTGTCTCAATGTGACTTGCCGGCATTCTTGGAATCTGGGGCGTCGATCAAAGTACTTAAGGTGGATGGCCACGGCGTCGAGGGTAGCATGAAGGCCTGCAAGCGACTGGCTTCACTCCTCGATGAGATTAAGAGGAAGGCTGTACACCAGCTCGAGAGTGGAATAGTCTAGTCAAAGAGCACAAGAACGCGGAAAAGCGTGTAAATGAGTGGTCGAAGTGGTTTGTGTAAGATGCGGCATGGAGTGTGATGCTGAAAAAGCCAAGGACATATTGGCGACAGCGGAAAGGCCGAAGCAGTTCCAACTACTTGTCACTCCTTTAGAAACATCGGGGTTCAGAACCGTACTCCCTCATAGAACATTCGCTCGTTATCGTGGAATGGCCTCAAGCAACAACAAACGTTTCTTCTTACCTTACTACAGTACCGCAGAGCTCGGCTCATCATAGTTCAAGAGGCTATTCTAATAGCATCCCCAGTGCGTGAGTGCCGATACTCGACCCTCAGACCTTCGGTCTGCAATCCCCAACCACCAGCCCGGAATCCAAACCGTCAAACACCACCCCTCGCCACTCAAGGATTCGTCACATCCGCTGCCCACTCGGGCTTCTTCGCATTCTGCTCGCCGACATCCAACGCGACCAAGAACCGGCTGACCATATTATAACTCGCCACCGTCGCCGTAATCTCCACCACCTCCTGCTCATTGAACCCCACGGTCCTCAACCGCTGGAACGTCTTGTCGTCCACCTTGACATGCCGCGTCATCTCATCCGCGTACAGCAACACGGCCCATTCTTGGTCCGACAGGTCGCCTTGGGTCGTGGGGTGGAGTTGCTTGACGATGTCGAGTTTTGCTTCGGTGAAGTCTGGCGCGGAGAGGAGGATGGGCGCGTGTGCGTTCCACTCGAACCAGGCGGCGTTGAGGAGGGCGGGCCGGCAGATGGCGATTTCGCGGATGGAGGCCGACAGGGTGGTTTTGGTGCGGATGGCGCCGAGGAGAGCGTTCCAGCCTGTTTTGGGGAAGGGGAAAGGGGGTTAGCTTGTGGGGTCGGCGGAAAGGAAATTGGTGAAAGCGTAGGGAATGGTGGGAAAGGGTCTGAGTCTGAGGAGAAAAGGACCTACCGTCCGTCACGGCGGGCGAGTGTAGTAGTGTCAGATCGAGAGGAATCAGGCCATTGGGGCCACGGCGTGCCTTGACGCGCTCGAGTACGGCCGCGTCTGCCTCGGAGAGGTTGGTGGGTGGGTTGGGGACGTAGTCGAGACGCATATTGGGCTGGTGTGAGTCTCAAGGCGGACTGCAGGAATTGGGAATACCGGCTGGAATCTAGAGTTTCTCGTTTCAGAGGACAGCAGAATCAGTGACTATGCTCCAACCACGAGAAATCGTCCAGGTTTATGTTTGTTAGCAACGAAGATGCCTCGCTGATCGAGGTTGATGCGGGGAGTTGGAGTATTTACCCCACGGCGTTCACGACCGATGTCGCCAGGCTCTCCAACTTGAAAGTGAGGAAAGGTAAGGTCAAGAAAAGTCAAAAAGTGAGGTCGAGTTAGTCGAGCCTCGGGCGGAAACGTGCCGAAACCTTCGTGCGGCTTCATGCCGTGACAACAACGAGATGCCAGTGGTGAGGGTGCTGGAACATGGTGCTGCTGTGAGGTCAGACATCCTTTCCGGATAGAAGGGTTGTAAAAGCTCTTTCTGGGATGTGCATTCGTACAATCCTCGAAGAGGGCCAGACACGGGACAAGAAGGTCCGCACAGACATGGAGCCGTCAGCACAGGGCTTGCTCCAAGGGCGAATTCGGATTGCCGTCGACCAGCGCGAACGGACTGGAGAGCAGTCCGTGCGGTGCGAGCAAGGACTCGAAAATGGTGGAATCGAAAGACAGTTGTAGAGCTCGACTCTTTTCAGCAACTCGTCTGCCGTGGCGTACACTATGCATATATGGCGACTGAAACGCACGCCGAGGCCTGGATTCATGTCCATCGGCTTGATATGGTAGGGTCACTCAGACTCACATGCTGTTCGAACTGACAAACCCCCTCCTTCTAGTCTTATATGGACAATACTCCGGATTGCCGCGCCCTCCACGCCCTCGATCAAAGCCTCATGGCGGCACTACGACCTGCCTACCATATCCTTTCAGCCCACTGACACTGCACCGATCGTGAACGCCTCACGAGTCGCGCTTCTGATCGAGGACCGGGTCAGCGAGCTCGTGGCGCCAACTATCACACACTTCATGAGTGTCCTGCCACGAGACTGGAAGTTCGTCTTCCTCGGCAGCCCGGAGGCCGTAGACCACCTCGACACCTCGGCGGTGATGCGCAGGAGTATCCAGGCAGGTCAACTCGAGGCTAAGTTGATTCCTAGCAACATGACCGTGGCGGGCCGCGAGGAAATCAGCCAGTTCCTGACCGATCTATGGGTGTACGAAGTGCTCCTTGCACCGGCGGAGTGGTTACTCCTCTACCAGACTGATAGTACGTTTGAGCATTTGGATAACCCAAGGAGACCAATCTGTGCTAACATTTCTCACTACCTAGGTATCATGTGCGGCAAAGCAGCCTCCAACCTCAACTCCTGGCTCCATTTCGACTACGTCGGCGCCTCTTGGAACACCGAATCCCGCTACGGCGGCAATGGCGGCCTCTCGCTCCGCAAAGTCTCGTCCGTCATCCGCATCCTACGCTCCCAGAAACGGCTGCCGGGCTCGGAGTTCGAGGACAGCTGGGTCACCGAGCGCCTGGGCCACCTGGTCGGCGGACGCGTCGCCAACGGCACAGAGGAGCTGGGGTTCTCCGCCGACGGCGTCTGGAGCGACGATGTCTTGCCCATGGGCTACCACACGGGCTTTGGTGGGAGTGTGTTGAACGGAAATGTGTATGGCACCCCGGCGAAGAGGGAGAAAGTGTTTGGATATTGTCCGGACTTGAAGATGGTGGTACCTATGGATGCCGAGGTGTTCTTTGGGGGCAGGTACTGCCGTACGGTCTGGAAGTAGTAGACTGCGCCCTCGAGTACCAGTACTGCAGTCCATCCCATGGAATTCCACTACACACAAGATCGACTCCGCGAACGAGTGTTTCGAGAGTCAAAGCTCAGGCACTGTTGTTGCATCTCATTTGTCCATCCCCCCTTGCATCAATTCCAACGTACTTTGCTCTCCCTTCGTACTTTGTAAGTGTCTCTTGTCCCCATCGAGGGGCCGACATCCTTATTCTGCCTAGCTTGCATCATAGCGTTCGGTGTGAGATCCCGTCCGACATAGTAGGGATGGTGTATCGGTCAGCACAGCGCCTCGAGGACTGGACTGAGCCAATCTCGGTCATTTCCGTATACCACTACCTCCGCGCGCTTTATAACCATAGGTGCCGACCAGCAGACTTTGATATTGTAGCTCCAGGTCTGGCCTCACTGGCTGGTCCTTCGTACCAGGTCAGCTCGAGGACAATACCAGCCATGGCCCCCCTAGGAAGATCTTCCTCCCAGGTACCGAGGACGGCGCCATCAACGGCATTACTAGCTTCACTCCCTTCACAAGTATCGCGTAACCCACTAGGAAGCTTCCTCCTCCTCCTCTTAGCAGCAATGTAAGTACTCTCACCAACCACACTATTCCCCCACGACACGCCCACTCTGCTGACCATCGCGTCATCCACACAGCTGGCTCACCCCCCGCTCCGCCCTCCCCAGCCTCGCCTCCCACGTCCAACACCACTACCTCGACGTCTTCCCGCGACCCTACCTCGACTTACACCCCTCCACCACCGGCTCGCAGCGCTTCTCCGCCAACAAAACCGCCTTAACCATCCACCCCAACCCGTACACCACGCACAGCACCCCGCAACTCCTGCACATCGCCACGATCCTCCCGCCCGACTGGCGCCTCATCTTCCTCGGCGCCTCCGACATCGTGCAAGACATGCGTTCCAACGACCGCGTAGCCGACATGGTCTCGAGCGGCAAGCTGAGCGTCCTGGAGGTGGAGACATGGACCGACACGTGGCTGCGCAAAGACATCGCCGACGTGCACAGCGAGCCCGAGATCCGGAACCGGCTGCTGACCGACGTGGCGTTTTACGACGAGGTCCTGCCCGGCGTGGAATGGCTGCTGTACTTTGATGAGCGGGCCATGCTGTGCGCCAACGCAAATGGGTCCGTGGAGGACTTCATGCTGCATTATGATTGGGTTGGGGCGCCTTTGTAAGCCGCAGGCCCCATCTTCCTTCCCCCCTCCCCCCCCTCGGGTGTTCAACGTCTTGACTGATCCACTGCACTCAACACAGAACCCAAGACGAGCGCTGGGGCGGCCTCGGCACGCTCTCGCTTCGCCGCCTCCCGCGCCTCCGCGAAGCCCTCGTCGCGCAGACACGACAGCACGACTTCAACCAGCAGGAAGACGGGTGGATGGTAGGACGACTGGCCGCGCTGCCGGATCCAAAGCCCACGCCGGGCGAGGTCAGCAGGACCTTTGTCGTCGAGCGCGTCTGGTACGACAAGCCGCTGGGCTACCATGTTCCGCACGACATGGGGCCCGGGGCGCATATGGAGGTGTGGGGGAATGATGAGAGGAGGAAGCGCATCTTTGGGTATTGTCCGGAGCTGAAGATCGTGACGCCCATGCGGTTGGAGTCGGAGCGGTGCAAGGATGGAGATTGATGGCTTGCTTTGGCTGCGTTAAAGATGAAAGACCATGGCCGCCTCGTTACATAGGAATTGCGATGTCGTCGCCTACCTGAGAAAGTGATAGGGTACGGAGTCTGACAGTCACCGAGGAGCCAGGAGTGCTAGCATGCTATATGTCCATCCCCTCGGTCGGTATCTGCCATTGGCCGTTACGCTGGCCTCGCGTTGTCCGGCACAGTGATAATCTCATTGGTCGACTGGTCCTTAATCAAGTCGTCTTTCCTAGCTCTCGTTTCTTCGCTGGGCCCATCTTCCGTACCATCTTCGCCAACTTTCCCGGCCACCAAGGCTGATGCGAAAGCTGCTCTACGTTTTCTGCACCTACAAGTCAATACAGTCCTCGTGTCACGCGTATGCCGAAGCAAAGGCTTACCGGAGAAAGCGAACGTCATAGACCTTCAGCGAGCAGGTGGCGATGATTGCAGTGCTCAACAGCGCCACATACGCTGGGTAGCCATAAATATCTGGTTGGGGTATTAGCTTTGTTCCACAGACTTAGTTCAGAGACGGGGAATGGTACAGTAAGGCGCCCTATCAGCGGGCCACATCAACTTGTTCGACCAAGCCTGAATCGCATAGTCAAGGGTGATGGCAAGACCAACAGCCAGTGAGCGTACTTCAGGGTCTTGAGGTAGCCTGGAAGGGAGTCAGTATATCGTTCTGCCGTTGCCTCGCGGAAATTACAGGTCAGCCAGCCAGGAGAAGATCACAGGCGCCGTCCCAAGCACCGTGAAGTTTATGAAATAGCTGGCATAAGGCGCAGCAACGCTGACAGTGGCCGGATGTCGCGTCCAGACGCTCATAGTTATCAGCGGTGCCAGCGCGATAGCTGCCTGTGCCACGATGAGCTGCCATCGGATCTGGAAATGGTCGGACACTATAGCCCAGACCCATACAAATACAATCTGGATGGCGCTGCCTCCGATGGGAATAGCGTTCACTTCGGCAGTGCTCCACCGTCGTGCACCATTGGCGGTCTTCAGGCTTTTAAGGAAGAGACCGAAATAGTTGTAGCCGTAGTTACCGAGAACGGTGCAGCAGTAGAGCACAGCGACGATCCAGGCCACAAGTGATGATAGCGTTCGTCTACCGATGGTTAGTTGCAGTTAGCTAGAGTATGACAGGATAATACCGGGCGCCAGGCACTGAGATTTTCTTGGGCTCTTCACGACCATGTCGGGTCAACCTAAGCATAGCCAGATCGGCATACCCATCTTTGAACCACACCGCGCGCGGGTTAGGCTTGTTCGGTAGATCTGGGAGCATGAAGAGTCCCGTGAACCCCCAAACGATCGTGATGATTGAGTTGATGATGAACAACCATCTGGATGAACGTCAGAGAGGGCAGGCAATGCGTGTCATCGGGTTAGCATTACCTCCATCCTGCAATGCCGTAGCGATTCTCCATGGTGCTGCTGATGGCTGCTTGCATCGCCCCAGACATCATGCTACCTACGGCCTGACAAGAATGATAGAACCCCATGCGCTTCGCAAGCTCGTATGGCGTGTACCAGTGCACTGTCAACGACTTAGTCCTGCCTGATTCGCACTGGAAGAAAGCTGGGCGTACTGAACAAAGTCATCATGCCAGGCCAGGCACTGCTCTCGCAGAGACCTAGGAAAAAGCGAATGGCATAGATCTGCCGGTGGTTATGTGTCGTAGCGATCAATCCGGTGAGAATTCCCCATGTGACCTCAAGACCAGACAGCCAGAACGACGGTCGTACGTAAGAAAGTACGACGAGGGAAGGAATAAGCATAATGCAGTAGCCAATGTTAAAGTAGGTGACGAAGCTACCTCGATATCAGTATCGCTTTGCACCAAACGGTATAGTCTCGTACTAGTTCAGCTCATTACCGTAGAGATTGAGGTCTTCTTTCATGCCACTAACGTAGGCATTATTGATGTTCGTCTGGTCGAGGAATCTAGTCCAGGTCAGATGGTATTGCAAACGTCAACAGTATCGCCATCAGTACTTGATAACTATTCTTCGGTTAGCAAGGGCAACATCAGGCCCCAGAAATTCTGCATACCTTGAGAAATACAGCCAAAAGTGAGCAGGAACAAGTCAAGCCTCCTGACGAGGCTCCGTTCTCCTGGGAGACGAGCATGTTGTGGGCGTTCCGTGGAAGGCATGGGGCGTAGGAATCTCATGGCTCTTGGTCTTGCTGTCTGGTAGCACTTATCCCGGAAGCAAACGTATCAACCTTCGAGATAGTTCTGAATCTTTGTAGACAGTGTTCCCAAGCCACATCGAGTATGGTGTATTCTGATTGGAGCGGGCTTCGCCGCCACCCCTGCTTTGGCGGAGGCACCTCCGACGTGCTGGATAATGTCGATCCTGAAAGTCGCGGCAAATAGCCATGCTTCTGCACCCGGTTGAGTCATTCTCAGTGGGACATAGTACTAATATTTGCTGCAGTCTCGCCGGCCTGGCACTGCATAGGAGGGCTGCTCTGGTGAATGTGATACAGGATTTGCCTCCGCGGCTGAAGTGATCGTCTGCACGCTTCTCCGACACGGGCGGCGACCACCGCCCTGGCTGATCTATGAGCGACTGGATTCCTTATCGCCATATATCGCTTATTTTCCAAGTGCAAGTATTTGTGGAGGACATCCTGCATTCATCCTATACGATTTGAGAGCACAGGTGACAGCCATTTTCAAGATAGACATCATGCAGCAACGCGCAGCGAACACCGTTCCAGACAAGGTAATAATCATTGGTGCTGGGATCTTTGGTCTGTCCACAGCACTCGCTCTGGCAGAGAGATACCCATCGACCCAGGTCATAGTGGTTGATCGTCTGACGCCGCCCGTGCCTGATGGAACAAGCGTCGACACCACTCGTTGCATCCGGTCAGGTCAGTGTTCATTCAAATCAATACTGAATCGTTAACGCTTACCGGGTTCCTCAAGATTATGCGGACCCTATATACCGAAGACTAGCGGAGCTTGCGCAGGACAAGATCATGAACGACGCCGATCTTCAGCCATACGTGTTCCAACAGGGCATGACTTTCGTCTGCGATGGTAGACCAAGTCGCTTCACAGATGTCTGGCAGCGGCAAGCTGAAAGAGCGAGGATGAACCCGAACTCCGCGGAATCGACGTCGAGGGAGGAGGTCTTTCAGCGTATCCACGGCAAGGACAGACTACCGCCGGAGCTGTCAGCCTTGGAAGGAAAGGCAGACTGGTGCCAAGCATACACCAACTTATCAGCTGCTTTCATCGATGCCAAAGAGTCTGTCCAAGTGTACTATAATCGATGCCAAGCCAGACCTTCCATCAACTTTCGCTGTGGTTCAGCAGTCATGCAAATTGATGTTATCAACCAGGCGGCGACAGGCGTGACACTCGAGAATGGCGAGAAGCTTGAAGCTGGACTAGTCGTCGTCGCAGCTGGAGCCTGGTCCAACAAACTTGTTTCCCTTGGCACACGCGTGCACCCCATCGGCCACGAAGTCGTGTGGTTCAAAGTGACACCAGAGGAAGAAGAACGCTGGAAGCACATGTCAATTACAACCAACATGTCCACAGGCTTGAATATCTTCCCACCGTATCACGGTGAGGTCAAAGTTTTACGTAGGTCGCCTGGTTATATCAACAGCATCTCAGTGCCGCATCCAGACGACCAGTCAAAAGTACTTCACATCTCGCACCCGCGAACGGCCGTCGACAGCCCAACGGACGTCATACCTGCTGATGCGGAACTCTCCATCCGGCAAAACCTGCGAGAGATCATGCCGCCACTTGCGGACAGACCGTTCGACAGAAGCAAAATATGCTGGTAAGTACCCGCCCTTTATCGTTGATCCTACGATCGGCTGACAATGTCCAAGGATTAGCACAACGCCCACGTCGGATTTCCTGGTTGCTCCTCATCGATCCATTGCGGGTATACATTTGGCTACGGGCGGTTCAGCACATGCCTGGAAGTTCTTGCCGATAATTGGTGACTTGATCGTGGATTCGGTGGAAGGTACCTTGGCTCCAGACCTTGTCGACAAGTGGTCATTTACTAGGCAAGCTGACGCTAGAGACGAAAATGCGCCTCGCATGGATGGAGAACCGCAGGAGCTGAGCAATGTTGTGCGCCATCGTTTGTAGCTGCCAGCGTTGGTGAGGGATCAGAGCCACGAGGGGACAAGAAACTCGTTGGCGGCCTCCACTGCATCCCAGTCAAAGGCTGCACTCTCGAAATCTGCATAAGATAGTGCTGCTGGCTCTGGTTCTCCACTGATCGGCCGCTCAGCGCCAGCTTCAGAGCCATCTCCTGGTGGGCTCAATGCCTGAGCATTGGATGACGTGTTGACAGCATTGAATTGTGCATGCTGGTAAGATAGGGCGCTTGGGCGCGAGTCTCGGTACTCATCTGAGAGGTTTTGGCTACCACTGTAGCTCTGAACATGCATCGAATGAAAATCAGTGGGCCCATCCCGTGTTTCGCCTGTGAGGGGGGATCGCCAACTTCAGTCGTCAGGTCCGTCAAGAACCTTGAGACTGTGGCATCGAACGAGTCCCTCTTATTCCGGAACATGGGAAAGTGCTCAACCATCCCACCAAGGACAGAAGAACATGTTTGAATAAGCATCTGTAGGTGACCCAGGCCAATCTGATTCCGTACTTGCTGCGATGCTCGGTAACTGTGCAAAAGAGCAGTACCAGCCGCTGAGAGGCTATCAACAGCTTGCCAGTATATCGTCAGACGCCGCTCATCAAAGAATCGTCGATACAGCTTGATCATGTGAGCTGCAGAATCTGCTACGGCAGCCAGAGAAGTGTCGTCCTGGGTTGGGAGGTTCTTTGACGGATGGTAGAGGTATAACAGGGCTCGGAAATACGTCAAATCGAAGTTCTCGACGACCTTGCGTTGGTGATCAGGTGAAAAGCTATCACGCGGCACAGAGTTGTACCAGTCTTGAATCTGCCGGTGCATCTGGTGCCTCCACTGGATCAGATCGATTGGCACGTAGCCGGGCGGTGTTCTCTGAAATAGGACTGTTTGCATCTCCGACTGAATCCGCCGGAAGCGGAGAACGTGAAGATTGACACACTTTGGCCCGGTTTGGGAATGCGGCGGTACCAGCGGGCCATCGGCAGTGATATATTCGTCATCGATGTCGCTCGGAAACTTTTGCGGCAGTCAACCAAACCTGTTTTTTTGGGTTTTTTATAAGAGTGAGGGGCTACGTACTTGCGTATCGATGGCGCCATCTGCCAGGCATGTCGGCGTGCACAGGGCGTAAGCAATGTTCCGATCCAAGGCGTATGCCACCCAAAAGGTCCTACGCCTGATGTCTGTTGTTAGGAAATCCAGTTGGCCATCCGGGGGCTCTTGATGGAGCCCAAGCTCGACAGCTAGTCTGATAGCAGCGCCGACAGTTTTCCAGACTGCCCACTCGGTGGGATGATGATAGAAGTACTGGCTCATCAACAGCAGGGCTTGGACACCTTCGATAGTAGCTGGCAGGCTCGCACTAGCCAATGCGGCAGAGGCTGTCCGGTGATATCGATCTGCTAGTGACGTGGGTATTCTGGAAGGGTCTTGCTTCTGGAGGACAAGGAGCGCAACTGCGAATACTTCAAGCACCAAAAAGCTGGCCAACTTTGCCTTCTTGTCGCAATGCGTTCGGTTGAAGTCTATGGTAAGCGGCATACTATACAGGTAGCTGAGCGATTGTCGAAAATGCGGTTCATAGAGTAGCGGCTGACTTAGATTCGCGAACCGGAAGTATGCTTTGGTGAGGCTCTGGGCTGCGTGCCTCGTAGGCAGCACCAGTCGGGAGTTGTCGAGCTCGCCTAAGACGTCCGGTGGCAGATATTCTTCGGATGTGCTTCCCTCCATTTCCTTACCAGCGGCACATGGCCTGTGGGCAAGACCTGATAAGAACAAATCGGAAAGGCTAGGTTGCTCTGTAGGATCTGGTGCCGACATGCGGTACTTAGTCACGTCTGTAGCTGCACCTGCACTTGTCACTCGTGTCCCAACTCCGTGAACATTTATGGGCGGTAGGTTGTTCTGGTCGACCGACAGAAGCGCATCTAGATCTGGGCTTCTGGCTGATGCAGAATCCTGTAGCGGGATATCAACCTCGTTCGCAGCATCCACCGAGATGCCGCGTTCATGGAGCTTTGACTCAAGGAATGCAACGCGCTCCTCCAGACTAAGCACATAGCTTGTCACCAAGAGTAAGCATGCTGTCTCATCTTGGGGGTGGAACATGTCCGAACCTTCTGGGCACACTGGTGCGATTGACGGCGTCATAGCCGACACAGTCTACCCCAGCGGACTCGCACAGGCGACACTGCTATCCTCATAGTACTATCAGTCACCGGACCTGTGGCGGTTGGCAATTGGCTGCTTACAGGTATTCTTCCATCACATCGCTTCTTCTTCCGTCGGCAGCGGTCACAGGCTGTGAGATTGGAGCGGATCACAGAGGACGTGGAGCTATTTCGTTTACTCCCACGTGGAGGGGACATCATGGGCGTGTGCATCCAGGAGAGTCAGAGTTGCTGCTGCACGTGGTACGTCGCTGCAAATTGGATTGAGGAAGGCGCGGGGAAGGCCATCGTGCCAAGATATCATATCTACTACCTATCATGGTAGGTAGGTAGGTCCCTGGTGCCATCCCAAACAAAGACCCCTTGGAAGGTATGGTCATTGAGGTCCTGTGAGACGAGAAGAACTTTGCAGGTGGCGTTCTCAGGCATATATCGTGCTCGTATCTACAGAGAGCAGGAGTGTAGCAACGGGACGTTGTCTCCTGGTATCGAGACATAGGTGTTCTCATCCTCCAGTGGCAATAGTAGGACAGATTGCCCAATTTTCAACGTTCTAGCGCGAAGGATTCATGCGGCGCAGACCCATCCGATCTGGAACATCCAATTTGAACAACAAGGCAAGAAGGCGTCCAAAGGGCACCGTGAAAGTATCAAACATCATCGTGGTCGGCGGAATGAAGCACATCTGCTGCATCCGAGTGTATCAGCGCTCCGCATCCTATCAGCATTCGGTTTTGCAAATCTCAAGTGTTGTCAACAGAATGCCACTGACAACATCAGGTTGCGATAATGCGCAGTCTCAGATGCGGACAGACGACTGCACCTAGGTAGAACAGGTAGTAGGGAAGCCTGGGGTGCGAAGGGCTGCAGGCTCTAGGTCGGCTTAGCCCGGACCATGGTGCGGGCACCTCACCCTGATAAGTTAGGCGTGGGGTAGCCGATCAGCGATCAGCAAGCTGACTTGACACTTTGCGTCACCGCGAAGCTTTGAACACTGAGTGATACGAACTTCACACTATAAGACTGTTTCAAACCAAGGTTCTTGCGGCGTTGCGCAATTCTGCACAGCCCCCTCTTTTGCGTCACAAGACCGCCCTACGATTATCTCACATTCGATAGCCTCAAGGTAAGTCTGCCGCCTGTTTCCTTATTGCCAACCCTCCATCGCGACTGCCTATCATTTCACTCGTAAGACTCGAGCCGTGAAGTTCCGGCTGCCCACTCAGAATTGCCTATAAAGCGATAAGATGCCCGGAATCCGTGCGTTCTGCCTCTCTACCCATCTCCTTCATTCAAATCGCACCTTGTAACTCCCTTACTAAGACCACACCCAGCTCTTGACGCAATGGACAAGCTCAAATCTTTCTTCCGCAAGAAGAAGGGCGATTCCACCACTGCGCCCACCAAGACCGAACCCGCCATCCCCAAGCCCACCACGACCACCACTGCCGCCGCGCCATCTACTAGCGAGCCCACCGCTCCCGCTGCAGGTACGAATAGGATCAGACGCCTCTCTGACAAGACCACCCTCGTTGACGTTTTCTCAGGCGTTGGTCCCATTGATCAAAAGGCTCCCGAACCCGCCGCTCCTGCCCCAGCTGCTGCTCCAGTTGCACCCCCAGCTCAGGTTGCCGACGCCGCTCCGAAGACCACAGCTAGCCCTGCTGGTGCTCCATAGAATGCGTGCGGCAATACGTGCTGCCATAAGTGTGACTGCGCCCGGCCTCCGGACCCAAACGCCGATGCTACCGAACGATCTGCGTAGACATAGCAGGCGGCATGAACCATCCTTTGATTTTCAAACTGCGAATACCCCACAAAGCGAGTCCCAACGACGGACGAACACGAGATACCGTACCCTTTAATACGCCACAACCCTCATTTCAATTCTGACAGAGAAGTGACAATGAAGCTGTGTAGGATCAGCAATGCATAGTCAGCGGTCTCCAGCGCTACGATATGATACCCCTCTTTGTTTCCGGCACACCAAGCACAACAGCAACCAGCGAGAGCATGACAAAACTCGTCAAACTACCCAGCGTAGGGTCTGCGTGCCTCGCAAGGATGCCATTGACTTGGCTTAGCATAATCAATCAAAATGCGAGTTCCAAAATATTCAGAGTCTTATTCCTACATCGTGATGATATGTGTACATGAGAAATGTCGTGCCGTAATCGTCCCAAAACGTCCCCGGAAACCTTGGCTGGAAGTATTGTTCTCAACCAACGCCTCGCTATGCCAGCGAGCAAATACCTCTGTGGGATGGTGGCTTCATCCTAAACAAATGCGAAAGCCACAAAGATGTGCAGCGATATTCTGCCCCCGTGCTCATGAACATGTGACATCCAAAACCCCAGAATGGCACGCCAGTACTTGATGCCAATACCCGAGCTAGCACTATAGCTCGTGACCCGCCGGAGTCCTCAATCCATTTGGACTGTTAGGAGCAAGCCACTTCCGCTCGTATGTGAGGCAGATGATGGGTTTGCTCTTGTCCAACAGATTCGATGCCGCAACAGTAGTGTTGATCAAAGAAGAGGGAGGTCTTCTGCTCGGTCGCGGGGATCAAGACAGGTTCACGTTCAACTTGACGAAGATTCCCGACGCCTTTTCCTTGACTTTGTGGTCTGTCTGGCCATTCGTCCGCTGCGTCGACCGCGAATTCGGTCGCGACGCGGGGAAGATCCGTATCGATCGCTTCGACTTGTCGCCGGGAATCATTGATAACAGGATGTCGTGGTGCAGCTGCTCGGATAGGCCGTTGGAAGGCCCATCGCCGTTCGGTCTCCCCTCTTCCGCGGCGCTATCGTACAGCTGGCTCTGCGTAAGATTGAGGTTCTGTGCGCGATGCTGCGAAGGGAAGATTTCGACGATTTGGCTGCAGAAAGAAGCTTGGTTAGCATCTTGGTCTTTGCACCGCGTGGCTGCAAAAGCCTTACTTTCCTGCCCACTGCGTTATGCCGTCCCATGCGCTCTGCAGCCGCCGCTCCTCTTCAGCGCTAATTCCATGGTCGGGCGGGGGAACCGCGTTGCCGCCCCACGTGCCATAGCTGTTATGGGGGTAGTCGAAGTCGAGCAGTCGTGCACGGTCGCTGGAGTCCGGGGAGCTGCGAAGCCCCAAGCACGAGAGGCATGCGCCCATGGCGCTCAGTCGTGGTAGGGGGGCTAGGATGGTGCAAGGAAGACCGTAGGCGTTCTATCGTTTGGATGTAGACAAAGAGGTCATTGTCAGCCACCGCCGTCTGCCAACTGGAAATCTGTCGGCTAGTGCCTTCAAGCGTCGGTATCACTGTGTCACTGATTGTACATTGGTGGCTTGAAGTCATGTCGCAGCGCGAGTCAACCGAGTCCACAACACGGCTTGCGGAGAAACCTATCGCCGACCGACAACGTCCATGCCAAGGAACGGTAAGCTACCAAATTGTCCGTCTCCCCTTACTCTACATTGTGTCACTTGCATCTCACCCTTGTATCTGGCCGGAGCGCCCCTTGACCCTACGCAGTGTGCCTTTTGCTGCTCGAGCGTCTTTCCCACGAGGTGTCTCGGATCATACCCCATCGACAGCCCGCCACTTTGGTAAGGGGGAAATTGCTGGCAACGGTCTGCCGTCAGGTCGACAGAAAAAATGGCGTTGTCGTATCGTCTCTGTCTCGTGCATTCCCGACATGCTTGAGTAAGACTCATATGCTGTTGTTGCAAGCATGGGACATCTAGCAGACCGCCGACGACAGCAGCTGACGGCAGAAGACAGCGGCACAAACGGTAAGTCCTTTCGTATGATGCTTCTGGCCGGGGCCTTATCCCCATCTCCAAAACGATGGAATGAAGGATCGTGTTCTTATCGGCCAGTATTCGGGCAACGTTCTACGACATGTCTCTCCTTCAAAGAGTATTCTTGGTTTTCCCTTGCAGCCCTCATCTCAACTCCCTGCCAAGCCCTGTCCCGGCCCGCCCGACACGTGGGCGGCGCACGTTCAGGACCTGGCGCAACAGCGATAACCGACCCCCTATCGATACTCGACAGGAGCTCATTCTTGACCTGCCTCCAAAACAGCTCGAGGGGGCGGGGAGTTGAAACATTGCGTTGGGATATCAACTTTCAACGCTGAATGGAAATTGCCATGAGGCAAGGACGAGAAATCACTCTTACACGATGGTCATCAGTGACAATCTATAAGAGCTGGAAGGTGCCCTGTTCACTTTCAACAATCAGCACAGTCATTCGCTTTCACCAGCTCCTAGTCACTCTTTACATCTCTTTGCGACCACTCCTTCGTCGCCATGCATTCGTCACTCTTTACAACGGCCATGGGCCTGTCCATTCTTTCACTCAGCTCGGCCCGTGTTCTCGAGCAACGCCAGGCACGCCCGTCCTGTTACTATGACCCAGTCTTCAACGGTCTCTGGAGCAACACACAAATCAATGCCGACGCACAAACCTTCTGTGCCAGCCTTCTGGGCAAACCGACCCCTTCATACTGTGCTGGTACCATAACCAACACCGAGTAAGTAGTCCGGCCCCTGGGCTTCCACAAGGCTAACAAGCGCAGAACCTTCAGCGCAGCTATCACTGCAACTGTCACTGTATCTACCGACACGACCGTTCAAGCTACAGTCACGAGAACCGACACGATGGTCCAGATGCAACTTGGCAAGAGGGCTGCCGCTGAAGCCCAGATCACGAGTGCCAACTTTCTGGTCAGGGCTCGTGATGCCATCAGGAGACAAGCTGCTTCATCAGGCGCAACCAGTGCAGATTTATACGGCAAGATTTACAGCGCCTGTTCTTGTGGCAACGCAGCTGGCAGTATCTCGCTCCGCGCCATCCCTGAAATCTGCACAACCACTGAGGTGAGTTCATCTACGAGCAAGCATAGTGCAGCAGCTAAATAAGCTAGGTCAAAACCGAAGAAGGATTCGCCACAGCAGAGGTCTTTACTGCTACCGTCACTTCTGGCACAACGACCGTGACTGTCTACGAGAATGTCACCCAGATCATCTCGACCAGCAGATCTGCTACTTCCTTCGCGCCAGTGCCCGTCACTGTCACCTCGGAGACGCCTGAGGCTACGACCTCCGCAGACATGGTCTGGCCTGACTGGGATTTCTCCAGCACAAGGTCGAGCAGCACTTCGGAGGAAACTACGGAGACCTCAAGCAGCAGCACTTCAGAGGAAACCACGGAGACCTCAAGCAGCAACACCTTCGATGAGCCCACGACCTCAACCGACATGTTCTGGCCTGATTGGGAGGATGTCTCGGCGAGCACGACCTCAAGCAGCACCGTTACTTCTCTCCTCCCCGACTCGCCAACTGTACAGGAGACAACGACATCTCCCTCGCCGTCAGCTACCTCGGAGGTGATGGACTGGCCCGACTGGCCCGACTGGAGCAATGTCTCGAGCACGACCGATGGCAGCAGTTCTACTTCTCTCCTGCCTGACTCTCCCACACAGCAGGAAACAACCGCATCGCCATCGCAGTCGACTACCTCCGAGGGTATGGAGTGGCCCGATTGGGATATGACCACAAGTTCTACCAGCTATGAGATTGAGCCGACGGTTTACAACACCACTAAGACTACCTCCGCGTCTGCAACGGCCACACCTACTGGCTGCAAGAATGGTGATATCTTTTCGGAAAACCCAGACAGATGCACCGTTTATGAGTACGTATGCGGACGCGACTATGGCAAGGAGGATGTGAAGTCAGAGCAGTTCTGGACACCTACTGCTGAGAAATGCTCCGAAACCTGCGATTATCAGAACTTTGCCGACAGCGAAACCCCCTGCGTGGGTATCGTGTGGAAAGCGGGTCGGTGCAAGCTCCTCAAGAGCACCAGCACTCCCGTCGAAGATTCCACAACCGTTGCGCTGTTGATCAAGGCCGATCCCAAGTGCGCCTCGACCACTTCATCGAGCTCCTCCGCCACTGGTACCCCACTCGTGTACCCGAATACCACGACTCCTGCCGCTACTACTGCCTCCACATGGGGCGGATGGGGCGATGTCAAGAACTTCACCAGTGTTTACAACAGCAACACCACCACAAGCTTCGCTGTCGAGCCAACCATTATTGAGACCACGACCACCACTCAGCCTTACTACAACACCACCGCTTCCCTCACCAGCTCGAGCGTGTATCCCAATATCACCACTTCCGCGAACATCACGACTTCTTTGACTGCATCACCCGATTATACCAGCACCACCGCCTCGTTGAACATGACAACCAGCAGTGCCTACCTCGCACCCAACGTCACAACGCCCTTCACAAGCTCTACTGCTTGCGTCGCCGAGACTGTTTACCTGGGCAATGTGACCCAGACGGTGACTGAGACAGCCACAGTGGTCCAGTACGCGAGAGGCGGACACAGGTGGAAGGGATGGTAATTTGACGCTCATGGTCAAATTTAGGAGAAGAGGTGTGTTGAGGAACTCGAGATCGGAGGGACACTCTCTTTGGGAGGAAGGTTTTAATAAGATAGACCAAAAAAGCACTTGTTGGATTTGGTGTGGAGGTGGAGGCTGGGAAGTAAACGACGGGAATTTTAAAACACGAGTACACGCACGGTAATGCAATGATATGCTATGATTAAACGGACTTGAGAGCTGCCAATCCCCTAACCCAGGAGCCAGCGATTAATGTTTGGAATTTCTTTCCATTGACCAGATATGATAGACACTGATGGCGGGTGATGTGCTGCATGGAACGCTGGACAAGAGCTTACAATGTGCTGCCCTTGGCGAGGCGATGCCGCTCGGGGAGTCGCCCGCCGCTGGGGTCCGTTGCCTTAGGCCAGGCTGGGCGCTGATGCAACATTAGCGATCAAGACTTCAGGCAACCTCATTTCACACAGCCACAGTAAGCGAAGAAGATCCAGCCTACTATATCGTCTGCCGATCGGGCGCCGGTGTATTCCATTGCAATGCCCACTTACCGCCAGCAACCAGTTTGAAAGTGTGTGACAGGATCAGGATTGAAGCGGGGCCGATGAGAGTGCGTGAGTCACGCCAGGAAAGAGCGAAGCAGTCGCCGCATCATGGAGCTCTCGGTAGGTACCTACGCACATGGCGACACTGTTCTGACTGTATAGTGTGTCCGTTGCAAGGAAAAGAAGGTGCGATCGACCCGCCAGCGAAACCTACCTCTCATTAACCCGCATTGAACAGCTGCGTTGCAATAGGGCCAATCCATGTGCCAGGTGTATTAAAGCCAATGCAGTCTGCGCTACCGCTGAACGCAAGCCGCGCGTATCACATAAAGCTCGGTCAGTGCATCTCTTCCATCCCGGACCGGCATTGACTCGAATCCCAGCGAGACACAAGTCATCACATCCCTCAACGAGCGCATTATCACCCTGGAGCGGGCGCTCCGTGGCTCGAGCTCTCTAGTCACCACTTCTACTCCGCAATTTGATGCCCGTTCAGCAGCTGTGAGTACCCCTGCTTCGGGTGAAAGCTTGCTTGGCTCGACCGGAGATGACAGCAGCACTTCCAAGCTGAATTCTCCGGATGTTAGGGAAGGTATGAGCCTCGCCCAAATGCGCACAATTCAGGCGCAAACTCAGCAAATTTGAATCACAGACTGACTGCTGGGCTAGAATGGCTGGGCAAGGAACTCCGCGCAATAAAGGATTTCTCCATCAGCCAGCTCAACGATCGCGGCCATTTGAGCGTGGACTCGCCTGTCATGGAAGCAATTACTGCGCTGGATGGGGCACTCACAGACTTCAGCAGCATGCACAGTGTTCCCAGGTGGGAGACGACAACCACTCTCTTGAGTCGAGAAGAAGCGAGAGAGGCTGTCAGAGGTATGTCTCCTGGTACATCGCATTTTCGAAGCTATCAAGCGCGAAGCGTGTCACTGGCCAATCGTGGGAACTCAACATCAACTGACGAACCGTAGATGCTCTGGAAAACATGCAAGGCGAGTTCTTTACCTCGCTCCTGGATGTTGAGTTTATGCTGTCGCTTTGCGATGTCATCAATTCACCCCTGGTTCAAGTAGAGCCAGCTGCACGTCTCGTCTACTATAACCTAATCTTCCACGGCGGAGTCCTGGGCGGACCAAGATCACAAATCACTGCTCGCGGATTGTATCTACAGTGCCTTCACGCCGTTCCTGCTTGGCAGGCATGTGCCAGTGGAACAATGCTTGATCTAATCGCCTCGTCATTGATGACCTTCACGACCGCAATCAGCTTGTGAGTACTCTTATTTGACAGTTTACAGCCAGTTTCCGGAAGTACCAATCGCGGCCAATTTCTCGTGATGGAAAGTACTAACTCGAGCTTCTCAATCCCATAGTGACTATACACTCGCCTGGAAATTTCATAGACAGGCATGCGAGTTTGTCAAGCAGCGAGGCTTGGACCGTCTCAATGCTCTGGACATGGTCGGTCTCACGAAGACTGAAATTGATAATCAACGTCTGGGCTTCTGGCAGCTCGTTCTTGTTGATATCTTCTTTCGGTTTTTTGCGAACAAGCCGTCGTCGATCAGCTCCGAGGCGAGCGTCGCGTCCTCTGGAGTACCGCCAGCGACCGATGTGACGCATCAACGACCCCGGGCTGGGCGCACGATCGTCAACACGATCTGGCAGCGTGTTCTCTTTGTGGCGAAGGAGTTCTTCGAGCACTATGACCGAGTTTCAATCATTGATGGAGGCACGAAATCTCATCAATTTCAGAAAAAGGTCGACTCTTTATGCGACGAGATTGAAGAGATGATCGATGACTGGCAGCTCGTAAGTAATCGCTGTGACGAATCACTAGTATCTGACGCTTAGAAGACTCTCCTGATGGAATCTTATGCCAAAAAGCCGATGGACAGCTGGCTATGTGCTGACACCATCGTTGGCACACTCAATATCCTTCTAGAAATGGACAAGCTGCGACAAAGTGGTGCGGAGCCTATGGTATCGGAAAGATCCAAACGAGCTGCTCGCCTTATCCTGGACACGACGATCAACTTTGATGAGATGTTGCGCAATTCAAGCAAGCCTCACGGTGCGCTGTACATGTACTGTATCGCCTTCTATCCCTTCCGCGCGTTCTTCTCACTCTACTACCACATACTTAAATGCGACGATCCTGCGGACTGCGAACAAGACGTACTTCGTCTCGACAAAATAGGAACGGTCATGGTGAGAGCAGCGCAGTCGCGGTTCGAATGGATACCGATAGCCAAAGCCATTGTATCGCTGAATCAAGTCACGAAGTTCATGCAGCAGAGGCAGGATATGTCCTCGACGACGCCCTGGGAGGACGCCTGGCCCGAAAGGAGCAATTCCGGTCATTTGCTCAGCATCGAACAGGCACATATGGCTGACTCGGTATCTCGCGGCCTACCATTGGTTCTACAGCAGCCTGAGTTCGCGCAGTGGCTACCGGACCACGAGGGCATGCACTTTTCAACCGCAGCAGATTTTCAGCATGCTGCTGCTCAGCCCGACTTCAGGCCGATTGAATACATGCAGGCGATTGAAGAACAGTTTGCAGAACGAGGCTGGAACTATGGCTGGTAAACATGTACAACGCTGTCCCTGAATGATCGGAGATTATTGGCCATCCCTTTTTCGGCGGCATCATTCCCGAGGGGACAATCCCATGAGCTTTGCATGGTCTTTCGTAGGGGTATACGAAGGCGCCATGATGGTCTTGACGGTGAGTCTAATATTTCCTTGAAAAGGAAGAAGACGCGAGCAGCCTGCTATATGACGGCCTGTCGCCGATTATAGTTTCACTCGCCGCTGTGCTAAGGCTTTGTCAAACTAGCAAAATCTTGTGCAGTGGTGTGGAAGCCCGCCTACGAATATTCCGGCAGCGCGCCACGGGCGGTCCACCTTGCGATTGGCCCTAGGGGAGGCTGCCAAGAAGGTGATTGCTCACAAGTTCGGACTCATGGACCACCGAAAGTCCGAAAGCCCAGAATCATTGCAAGCCGTTACGAAGTCGTGCTCTTGGCTGAGTAGACTGCCCGGACGCTGGCGGCGATGAAGACTAGGATGATTCATCCACCCTACAAATGCTCCTCTCATTTCGGAGTTTGCCAAGAACCGGCCAAAACATGCTGGGTTTTCGGACGCTGGAGAAGTCGACTCACAGCGGGATCTACCGTCTCCGGGCCTTTCTGGTGCCTTCGGATGTTCTGCTCGGCTATCTGGCGTCACGTCTGATATATTACTTGCCTCGTCTGCTGGTGCTGTTGCATCTGCACAATCTCATGCCACCGTAAAGCTTTGTGGCGCTCTTTAAACAGCTTTGCTCCAACCCCAGTGAGGAGCTGCTGCACATAGCGACTCCGGGGAGAGAAGACGGACCTGGCCATTAAGCAGATATCCGCCTATCGAGGTCAATGGCAGCCAACAACGAGGCCCAAGGCCTTTGGATCTCGACAGATACCACCCCAGCAGGCGCCCTGTCGAGAACATCAACTGCAAGCTCGCTAGGGAAGGAGAAGGAGCACGCTGCTCCCATCACTCGTGACGACGAGATTCTCGACTTAGCTCGACGGCTGACCAGTCACTCTCAACGAAACAACGATCAAAGTCCCTTCCACGCCGAAGTGGGCGGATCTTTGGATCCTAATGCCCCAGGATTTCGCGCTAGGGAATGGGCAAAGGCATTCTACAATGCTGTAAATGCGTCAGCACCCAGGCGGGTCGCGGGGGTCGCATTCCGCAACCTTCACGTTTTTGGCCATGGCAGCCCAACGGACTACCAGCAGAGCGTTGGCAACGTCTTCTTGAAACTGCCGTCCCTTGTTGCTCGACTGGCTGGCGCCAAGAGGAGACGGCTTGATATCTTACGTGGAGTGGAGGGCTTGGTCAAGCCCGGGGAAATGCTTTGTGTGCTTGGCCCGCCGGGAAGTGGATGCAGTACACTGCTGAAGACAATTGCGGGCGATACTTATGGCCTCAATGTTTCGGACGATTCATTTGTCAATTATCATGGTATCCCATCGACAAAGATGAACTCTGCTTTCCGTGGGGAAGCCGTCTATACTGCAGAGGTGGACGCTCATTTTCCTCAACTGACTGTTAACGAGACACTCTACTTCGCCGCCATGGCTCGGACGCCGTACTCGCTACCTAACGGTGTTTCTCCAAAGCACTACGCTGAGCACCTGAGAGATGTTATCATGACCATGTTTGGTATCAGCCATACCAAAGATACCCGCGTAGGCAATGACTTTGTCCGCGGTGTCTCTGGGGGCGAACGAAAGCGTGTGACAATCGCAGAAGCAACGCTCAGCAACGCTCCGCTGCAGTGCTGGGACAACAGCACGAGGGGTCTTGATAGTGCCAATGCTATCGAGTTCTGCAAGACGTTACGTATTCAGGGCGATGTCTTCGGCTGCACATCGTGTGTAGCAATCTACCAAGCGCCGCAGGCTGCGTACGACATCTTCGACAAAGTCACACTCTTGTATCAGGGCCAACAGATTTACTTTGGCCCCGCGTCTTCTGCCAAGGCTTATTTTGAGCGCCTCGGATTTCAGTGTCCTGCATCGCAGACTACTCCCGACTTCTTAACGTCGATGACGAATCCTGTTGAGCGTATCATCAGGCCTGGATTTGAAGGTCGTGTTCCCAGAACAGCCGAAGACTTTGCCAGAGCTTGGCAGCAGAGTGCTGAAAGACAGCGATTGCTCGTCGAGATCGAGGCCTATAATGCTGAGCACCCTCTAGAGGGCGCCAGCTACGAGAAGTTCGCGGCCATCAGAAAAGACGAGAAGTCGGACTACCAGCGGGCAAACAGTCCTTACACCTTAAGCTACTGGCGGCAGATCAAACTATGCATGTGGAGAGGCTGGCAGCAACTGAAGACCGACCCGTCTGTCACGCTGGTAATGTTGATTGGAAACTTCTTCGAAGCGCTCATTATCGCTTCGGTCTTCTACAACCTGCCCAACGACACCTCTGGTTTCTTCGGACGAGGAGCACTGCTCTTCATGCTTGTACTATTAAATGCGTTCGGAAGCATATTGGAAATCATTGGGCTATACGCCAAACGCACCATTGTGGAGAAGCACAGCCGGTATGCACTCTATCACCCGTCCGCAGAGGCTATTGTGAGTTCACCGGCAGCATTACAGTCTACAGCCTCAGGTGCTAACAGAAATTTCAGGCTTCTATGATCCTCGACCTTCCCTACAAGATTGTCAACGCTCTTCTGGTCAACTCCGTTCTGTACTTCATGGGAAACCTACGTCGCACGCCATCGGCCTATTTCTTTTTCTTGCTCATTTCTTTTACTCTGACGCTCTCAATGAGCATGTTCTTTCGGCTGTTTGCATCACTCACTAAGACTATCGCTCAAGCCCTTGCCCCCTCTGCAATCATCCTGTTGGGCATGGTTCTATACACAGGTTTCGCCGTCCCCATCAACTACATGCGCGGATGGGCTAGTTGGATGCGTTGGATCAACCCTGTCAGTTATGGTTTCGAAAGCATCATGGTCAACGAGTTCAACGGCAGGAACTTTTCGTGCTCACAATTCGTGCCGTCTGGTTCCGCATACGAAGACATTGCGCTTGACCAGCAGGCTTGTGCGGTAGGTGGCGCGCGACCCGGCCAGACCTCCGTCACAGGTGCTGAGTATGTCTTCGACACATACAGCTACCAGAACAGCAACCGCTGGCGGAACTTCGGTGTCTTGGTTGGCCTGACGATCGCACTGGCGGCACTTCATCTGATCGTGTCAGAGCTGGTGGCAGCAGAACGCTCCAAAGGCGAGGTACTGGTCTTCAGACGTGGTAAAATGCAAAAAGCGAAGGCCAAGCGTGAGCAGGTTGACGAGGAACGGACTCCAACCGGCTCTCTCGCCCAGAACGAGAAAACGGATCTAGACATCGAAGCGGATGTTCGCGAGGTGGAGAAGCAGACCTCAGTGTTCCACTGGCAGGATGTGAGCTACGAAATCAAGGTAAAGGGCGAGACAAGAAAGATCCTTTATCGAGTGGACGGCTGGGTGAAGCCTGGTACTTTGACCGCCTTGATGGGTGTATCTGGTGCGGGCAAAACGACACTCCTGGATGTGCTCGCAAGCAGGACTACCATTGGTGTCATAACTGGAGAGATGCTGGTCGATGGAAATACTCGAGATACTTCCTTCCAGCGCAAGACCGGCTATGTGCAACAGCAAGACCTACACCTCCACTCATCGACGGTCCGAGAAGCTCTAGAGTTTAGCGCCTTGCTCCGCCAGCCACAAAAGTACAGCAAAACAGAGAAGCTTGCTTATGTGGACACGGTCATCAGCCTATTGAATATGGAAGATTACGCTGATGCCGTGGTCGGTGTGGCGGGATCTGGACTGAACGTTGAGCAACGCAAACGGCTGACAATCGGTGTGGAGATGGCGGCCAGGCCATCATTGCTGCTGTGAGTCCCTTGCTCCTCAATTTCATCCGCGCACTAACAGAGTGGCCGCAGTTTCTTGGACGAGCCTACATCGGGTCTTGACAGCCAGACCTCATGGTCAATCTGTAACCTAATGGAGAAACTCACACGAAGCGGTCAAGCGATTCTTTGTACCATTCATCAGCCCTCAGCTATGCTATTCCAGCGGTTCGATCGCCTCTTGCTTCTCGCCAAAGGTGGCAAGACCGTTTATTTTGGCGATATTGGTCCCAACTCGCGTACGCTCATCGATTACTTCATGCGCCATGGTGGGCCGGACTGTGCGGAAGGCGTCAATCCTGCCGAGTACATGCTGGAGACCATTGGAGCTGCACCAGGCGCGCAAACAGACATTGACTGGCCTGCTGTGTGGCGCGAAAGCGCTGACTACCGCGGTGTTCAGTCAGAGCTCGCGAGTCTCACAGGCCTCACGAAAATTACCACTGCTCAATCCGGCGCCATGACAGGATCCGAGTTTGCCGAATTTGCCGCCCCTTTCACCTCTCAACTACGACTCGTGTTGAAGCGGACTCTTCAGCAGTACTTCCGCAGTCCGTCCTACATCTACAGCAAAGCCCTGCTGACACTGGGTTCCGCCATCTTCATCGGGTTTTCCTTCTTTCGCAGCGAAAACACGCGGCAGGGCCTCCAAAACCAGCTGTTTGGCGTCTTCATCTTCCTGTTCGTGGTGATCCAGCTCATTCTTCAAATCATACCAATGTTCGTCGTGCAGAGAACCCTCTACGAATCCCGCGAGCGCCAGAGCCGCACCTACCACTGGGCCGCGTTCGTCTTGTCCAACGTCTTCGTGGAGCTCATCTGGAACACCTTCGCAGCTATCTTCTGCTTCATCCTTTGGTACTACCCCATGGGCTTGTACGAGAACGCCGAATGGACCGATGCCGTCCACTCACGCGGCTTTTTGACCTTCCTGTTCGTGTGGTCATCATTCATGTTCGCGAGCAGTTTTGCGCACGCCATCATCGCCGGCGTGGACAGCGACGAGGTGGCTTCCGCCATCGCCAACATTCTGAGCATCATGCTCTACGCCTTCTGCGGCATCCTCGCCGGTCCCGATGTGCTGCCGGGCTTCTGGATCTTCATGTACCGCGTCAACCCCTTTACGTATCTCGTCGACGGCCTACTCTCGACGACCCTCGGCCAGGCGCCCGTTCGCTGCGCGGCCAACGAGTATTTCAGCTTCAACAGTCCGGCTGGCGTGTCCTGTGAGAACTATATGCGGCCGTACATGGAGGTTTCGGGTGGGTATTTGCTCGACCCGGGCGTGGAGGGAAGGTGCGAGTATTGTCCACTGGACAGCACGGACCAGTTTCTGGCCACGGTCAATGCGGACTTTGGTCGGCGGTGGCGGAATTTTGGGCTGTTGTGGGTTTATGTCGCGGTTAATCTGGCGGCGGCGGTGGGGTTCTATTGGCTGTTTAGGGTGCCGTCGCGGAAGAGGGGGCAGGCTATGGAGGTGAAGAAGGAGAAGGAGTGAGCTTTATACATGGACACGGTTTCGCAGGTGTGGTTTGGCCCAGGGGTGGGCTAGAAGGCGGAGAGGGCATGGGTGGTTGCAATTGTTGTGGATCGGGATGAACTTTTTTGTATGTGGAAAACATAGGACGCATGGATGGCGTTGGTCATGGTTGACATGGGTCTGGCAAACGATTGAGATATGCGTGGGGCGGGAGCGGAAAAATTATGTACGTGCTTACTTAGACATGTATAGGTTGAGTGTACTGTACTGTAGTACCATCCAAATAGATATATGATAGATTTAAATTCGGATAGGTTGCTGAAATCTACAACCTGAGCTTTTCTGGGAACTTAGAGGGCTTAGGAATAGGACTTGAGAATTCTGGTTCAAGTAGGTCTGATGTATCTTCTAGAACGGAAATAGACTGGAACAGTAGCTGGCGTGTAGGTTCATTAGTTAAGAGCATAAAGTCAGTGAATAGTGTAAGAAGTCAGACAGGTGGTGGAAGACTGTACAACTGTGCCACACTTAAAACTTGAAAGGCAGTGAAAGTCTTGGCGCATAAGTTTATTTAGACATCTGTTCCGTGAGACCAACCACAAGACGTTTTTTGGTTTTGGGATAGGTGAACCGTGAATAGTCTCTCATAACACACTGAGGCCCTGCATCGTCCATGTGCTTATTATATCATTGTTTGTTGGAGAGGCTCCTCCTCTGAATAAGGTCTGCGCTCGAGCAGATCGAATCTCGACTGCAATGTCACACCGCCAGCCACATCATTCTCGGTTGCTTCAGCAGGTGTGTATGCCAGGTGATAATTGCCTCCAACGAACAGCACAGTTCTCACGTCTACAAGCGAGTACTCGCGGATCATGCACCTGATTTCAACTGGTAGAGTAGTCAAGTGTGGTCGCGAGAAAGCCAAGACGAACTGGTTTGAGCCCGCGATTGGAAGAACGAGGATCAGTTCGATCATGATAGCGGTTAACCCGAGTTATTCGAGCAGTCGAGTAAGGATGGAAAAGGGACAGAGAGATCGACGGGAGCTGCCGATCAGGTACTAGCTTGAAAGCCAATGAAGGGCATGGGAGAACAATGTTCGCAAAGAAGTAACAGGTCTTGCAGAGACTTTAATAGTTAGAGTGGTTGATATGCAGTCGCAGCCAAGCCTTACCAAAAGCTTTCTGCAGTATTCGCCCACATATTGACGGTGTTGAGTTGTTTGCATTCTACTGTTCTATCAAAGAATTCATTAAGGCAGCCCTTTGGACCTTGATTGACTTGCAGAAGCTGAAGAGTTGTTTGCTTCTTGCCCAACTCCTTTTAATGGTCCGGTCCACAAAGTTGTGCAAAGAGCAGGAACACCCGGCTCTGCAGCTCTTGCTTGAAGGTGATCAGAATCTGCCAGCGCCACTCAGCATTTTGATCCAACAGATACTCCCGGCTAGCATGGCAGTAAGTCCATAGAAGTATTCCTTCCAAATTCAGAACTAAACATATGCTAGCAACGAACCCCAAAAACTCTCCTTGAGCTGTCTGGGCTGTCTCTACCGAACGACCTACCCCCGAGCCTGCAAGCACAGGTCGACCAGATCAGCCGCCATGATGATCTACGGAAACGATTGCTCCTCAGACCTGCGGTAGTTTCTGTCAGGAAGGAGAGTCGCAAAGCCGATAAATCATGGCGCTATTGGTTCTTACTGACCGGCGAAGAGCTTGCGGTTAAGTTCTACGAGCAGGGCACAGGTACCGGCGGCAAAGTCGGTGTTCTTGTAGGAAGAGCGCCTTCCCTTACGAGTCCTGTGCTGATTGGATCCTCGTCGGGTCCTGGCGCCTTTCGGCCTTGGGCTGGTGGAGAGCATGGATGGGCAAGCAAGAAGTGGGAAATTGTCAAAGCTGTTGAGATGCCTGTCTATGTCGAGCTTGCCCGCTACACGGTTTACTTGTTGAGCATCTATGAGAAGGAGGACGAGCTCTTGCCCTGGAAGGACGACGGTTTCGAGGAGCCTGCCACTGGGACCTATTTCCACATGCATGTTCCTGAAGCACTGGGCGGTATGCAGCCAGCCTCTCTTATGCCAACCGACTCGGAGGTATCAATTGGAGCGAACTTAGCCGTGCCAGACAACGAGCTTGCGTCCGACAGAGACTCTGACGATGAGCATCTCGCACTGCAACTCAATCAGGAGCTCCAGCAGCATGTACACGATGCCGCGGGAACGGAGTGAGCCACGTTGTTGTGCCACTCCAAGTACCAACATACCCAAGCACATAGACACTACCATGCTACACGTTCCTTCAAGAGTGCTCGAAAGCCTCCTCACCATTAACGACCTAGAAGGCCCCATCAATGCTATTCAAGTCAAGGACTTTCCCAGCAATACAGGCTCTCAATTCCATTCGCACTTCTGCTACAACACCTGCATGGAATTAAACAAGCAAGTTGTGGCAGGTAGGCTCGCCACTAGTTTAGACGATAGATCGGCAGAGGTCTTCCACGGGAGGTAGATGCGGTTAGGACCATAATCGCTGATGATTTGGGATTTGCGGAAGCACCAGACGCGGGAGGCTTAGTTAGCTTGGCTAGTGCATCGAAAGAGGGTGCTCAAGAGCTGAAGCCGTTGTTAGTGCACCCAAGCGATCGAGAGAATGGGCTCCTTCTATAGCTGTGCTAGCTAGTAGAGCTGAACGTCAAGTGGAGGTAATTGAAGGCCGCATCTAAGGACAGGAGCGAATTTGCAGTGCTGCTGCTCGTTCATGTGCCATTAAAATGTCTATTCGTTGGACAATCTGGGCAACCGGCCCCAGTACTCGAGCCGGCCCACAGTGGGTGGTGCGTGTATAAGCTACTGACAATATACATATGAGACTTCCATGAGCCTTTTGCGACTTAGTAGCAGCTCACCTATTCAGCACCTCAAGAAGCACTGATGCAGCGATGCTCACGCAATATTGTTCGCTCGCATTCAAGCTCGTAGAAAGCTCAAGATTGTCTGCACCACAGTCACACCTATGTTTCTTGTGGCTACGTGCTTGCCGCCTCAATGAAGCAGACTTGAAGTAGAACCTCCCCAACAGGTTCTGCTTCACAGTCCGTTTGCTCCTTGGATGAGTAGACCTTGTGTCACCTCAATTGTCCAATTGATTTTTGCCTTGGCAAATACCTACCGCACAGTGCCATGAGAGAGCCATCGGATCTCTTCTTGTTAAAGCTACCATTATTCTTGCCAAATTCCAACTTGGACCACATCAACAGGTGCGCCGCCATGTCCAACGAAATCCCACTGCCAGCACATCTTCTCCATCTTGAAGCCATGCTCAGTGTGGTTGATACCAAATACAAATACCGAGAGCAGATCTTTTTGCGCGATAGAGGGCTTGTCAAATTCAATGAAGGTGGCAACAGCAATCACAACGGGCGCAGATACCACTACTGGATCGAGGGTACTGACAAGGAAGTGAATGTCACCTTCTATCCGCGTTTCAAAGAGCAAGGAAGGCAGTTCGGTATCCTCATTGCGTCTTCACCAGACTTTGACGAAATTATCATCGGCCGTTGTCCTACTAAGCCACGAAAATACTTCAAGTTCTGGCGTGGCGTGAGTCATGATTTCGGGGGAGACGAAAACGACGATGTTCTGATCTACAAAGCGCTCGAGGAGCCCGACTTCGTCAAGGCTGCCCGCCAACAACGGACCCGAGAGCAGGATAGTGTCACCAGGACTGCCAGTGAGTCGAGTCAACTGATTGCGTACGCCCGGCTAATGGAGTCAGATGCTGTAGAATCGGCTGCTTTTGACGAAGACGACGAAGACGCTGGACTTCGAGCAAATGGGCCAACTTTGTTACTCAACCTTCGACGCACATTCCCGCAGCCAGCCAATCGACCCAGAAGCAATGACTGGTCTGAGTCGGATGATGAGCCCATTGCTCCTGGACGCCTCAGCTTGAGCACAAGAACGAAATCTGGTTCACAGAGTGTCACTAATCACGTAACCGACGAGGACGTTTCCGACATGGGCGACATCGAGTATGCGAGCGAGACTGAGAAGGCCAGAAGTGGCGGCGACAAAGATCAAAACGGCGACGACAGAAGCGAAGACAACGACGCGTGCATCGTCGTTCCAACAACAACCTCCATCGACAACATCGACGTTGTCTTCGTGAGCACCAGCGGCACACAACTCCGCACTCGCAAATGGAGTTCATGCGACAATGACCAGAAGCTGTTCAACCAGGCCGGCGCAGCGTTTTTCCTCGAAACAGGTGCCAGACCAGATGTTCTCGTGCTCACAATTCGCGGCCTAATAAGTCAAAGCTTTCCTGTGGTTGCCGGCGACATGCAAGACTTTGATGCTCTACTGGGAGGTGTTGAGCAAGCGGTCAGCTCTCAGAGTGCGGGGCAGGTTGTCGTGGAGGTCCGATGCCTGTAAAGAATTGCATGTGACAAAGTATCAAGAGGCATTGAAGGGTTTGGCATAGATTTCACAATGTCCGGTTGAGATAAAATTCACCGAGCTTGATGGGTCAATTTTCTCGAAATGAGCCTGTGCGTAGACACGTACACCAGTCCATAGCAACGTTTTCCCCAATCCAGATTCTAACAGGTCATTCCAAGCACTAAACACCATAAGGTCTTCTCAACCAGTAGAAGAATCATGATGGCGTTCTGGAGGAGGTCGAGCATCTCGTGGAACTCGGGCAGGATGGCCTTGACGTTGTACAGGATACCACTGGCAATCAGTTTGGCCACAGAAGGGGGGCTGTCTTGATCCTGAGGACCCTTAGTGGGTGAGCGCAGCTGAGATCACAAACACTTACATCTTCAGTGACTGGTCAGTGAGGAAGACGGCAATACTAGGGCTAAAGACGTTGTCAGGATGACTGATCATGGCATCCTTGAGGCGAGCATTGTCTGGCTCCGGGCTGACAACTTGGATCGCTCTCATGCAGAGGCTTGTCTCTGCACCCAGCACTAACACCCTCAACGAAGTTGTCAGTCTTCTCCGTCATGTTGAGGGTGGTCTTGCTGGTCTTGGTTGCCGTGATAACCTTCTACACCCGGGTCGTGCTATACTTGCGGAAGGCGTACTCACTAACGGAGTATCAGATAGCCATGACCTCAGAGGAATCCAATTTGTCGTATGTCGGTGCCTCGGACGGTGTGGCTGGAGTAGGCGAAATTGCGATCGATCTCGTGGCGGGCGAGTCGCGTAAAGCGCTTGAGAAAGTCATTAGCTTTGGTGATGATCTCCTTACTGACGGCAATAGTGTCTTCCTGGAGAATGAAGCGGCAGGATTGTGAAGGCAGTGACTCTACGTGGATGACTCCTGATCTAAAGTGACTGTAGGTGGGTCTACTCGTACTAGTTGCCTTTCACGCCGCCTTCTGGAAAATTCCACTTTCCCTGGAATGAGTGGCCGCCAAGGCAGCGTTGAAGGATGCAGAGCGACAGACATGAGGACAAAATTCGTTGCCGGTGCTCGTCGAGCTGCTTTCTCAGAGTTTGCTGCGGAGAAAGAGAAGACTCCAACATTCTCTCATGATTTCATGATAATTCCCATATGGGGAAGAAGTCAAGTCCAGGTCAAGACCACTACATTCTTACCTGATGCCTAATTGCTTCAATCACTTTCAATCAACGTGAGTCTAAACGCTGTCTGTCGAGTACTCAACGCCAATGCCATCTCAGTCTACCGCAAAACGACTCTCCAGATTGCGGTCCATCGATAAATGCTAGATGAAACTCGGTACTACCAATGCCACGCTCGAAAGTGCCATCATGCAAATGGATTTTGCTACTCCTCTGGGCTCATGTCAGTCGACCTCCAAACACCCTCATGTCACTTGAGCTACGCCCACGCACGGACAAATCTCGAGACTGAAGCTCGTGCTTCATTGCGTCCACGGAAAAGCTTCCGCCGATAACCGCGCCAACCTACGTCTGAGTCGCGCGCAAGAACACAGTATGGCGGCCAGAGCTGCCTCGATGGCATGTTCGTCATATCGGAGCCCAGGTGCGAGAAGGTTTACACTGTTGTTGCTCAGCCGATGTAACAATCAGCCACCACCAGAGTGAAGCAAATGATACATCACACGGGCTTGCACTGTCTAATGTCAAGGGCGAACTCGTCTCGGAATCCGTACGAGCCGTGGCCCCATGACTGGCAGGGAGAATGTTTCGAAGCTGGATGCCTACGTTGTGGAACTTGCGAACTCGGGAATCGGGAATCAGAGTCGCCGGGGTGTGTGGGAAGCATGTAATGTATGCGGTGCAGTGCAACCTCGCCTACGAGTATACATTGACAATCTTACGGTGGAAACCAGCTCGGATCTAAGGATTGTTCTCCGTTAAGTGGGATGACTCTGTGGATGGGTGGCCGCGAAGTGGGTGTCATACAGTAGCGAGTCTTCCAGTCCTCACCCAATTGACATTCAATCGTTGATCTTCATTCAGTTGACTGCTTTGCATGGGCACAATAAGTAGCTGCTAGCAAGTTCAACCCGTCCAAAATAATTCGGATTTGCCAGGGGAGGCCATCGAAAAAAATGCGTCTGTCTATCCAGATCCCTGTGCCGTACTCCACGCCGATGTGGCTTTGACATTCTGTTCTGCTTCTGCTTTGTTCCGCTTCTGGGTTCAACAGACGGCCGCCCACCTGCCTGCTGAGTGCTGACCAGGACGCTCGTGGTTCTGTGCCCTGGAACCGGTCGTGTGCTGACCCTCTGCCATGCCATGCAATGTTACCAACATGCCTGAACGCCAGTCATAGGCACGAGGTCGATACATGCATGCTGCTGCCGCCGCCCGCCCCTTCGCCCCCCGTCCTTGCCATGCGTGACCTCCGCATCCGGGGCTATGGCCTTTGGATCTTGTCCGTGAAATATACACCCAAAACTAGCAAGACATGTTCGCTGAAACGCTGAAAGGAGAGTGCCAAAAGCCCACGATTTATCCATTCCCATATCGCCTTCAAAAGTGAAGGGCGAACCGAACTTGTCTCTCCCATAAACGCCATCATTGCCTCCCTTGTCAGGTCTCCTTTCCACCGCTGCTCTGAAAGTCGCTCCGTTCCATTGCGAATGGGAACAACTCCGTCTCATCCTCGTCCATGGTGAGCGTGTTATCTGGCCGACTGCCCGGACGCATGCGTCCGTGCCCTCTCCAGCTCCCACTCGCACTACCGCTGTCGCCCGCACTCTTGTCAGCGCTGCCGGTTCCGCCAAAGCTGGAGGTGGATCCATGGGGAGGTGTCGCGCCCCGCCCTGAACCGCGAGCGCGTCTTGGATGATAAGGAATGGCAGAGTGCGAACCCGAGCCTGACTCCGAAGCACCGTCAGCCGCCAGTGCCGGAGCGGCTGTCTGTGGTCGCCTTTCCGTCAATTCGGGTGACTCTTCTGGCTCCTGGGTGATTGTAGCTCGCAGAGGTGTCTCTGTTCTAGTGGCGGCTCGCCGATCCTGCGCACCCATACTAGCACTGCGCATGCCATACGCATCACGAATTTCATCGCTGAGTGGCCGCCGCTGAGCAGAACTGGATCGCCGGTAATTGTCAAGGAATGGTCTGGGGGAGTGTGGAATGTCGATGGCATTAACGTTGGTGTTCGATCTAGCCTGAGCTGTGTCGCTCGTGGCGGCTTCGGAGGGTGAAGGTGGCTCTTCCTCTATAGCGATCCCGTGCGGATCGTCATCGTGACTGTATGCAGCGCTAAGTCGTGATGGTGCAAACGGCGTATGAGGTGTGTGCGGCGAGATCGGTTTACCCGGGGAGGAAGAGGTCGACGCGGATGTGGCTGCTACCATAGGAGGTACACTAGATAACTGTCTGCTCGAAGAGCTTGATGAGCGATGTAACATCATCGACGATGACAGCGAGTCCGATAGAGCGGTATTGGAGTCGCGCATGCGATGGAATCGATTAAGTGCCGCCGCAGTTCGTCGGGTAGATGTTTCGGCAGCTGCTGCATCTTCAGGGTTCAGCAGATCTTTCTTCGTATCGAGCAGTTTCAAGAAATCTTGAATGCTCTCATCATCTTCTTGCATCGAGTCTGAACTACCACCAGCCGCGACCGCTTCCGTGAGCAAGCCTGAGCCAGGCTGAGCAGATGAAGCAGCGCTCGCTCGACCGCTACTGTTCTGATCTTCATCTGTCTTGGTCATTGTCGTACCACCTGACGATAACCGAGCCCGCCGATGCGAGAAGCTGCTGCTGTATCTGGTAGTTGGTGTAGGCTTTGGCGAGCTAGAGGTAGATGAAGTTACGGCATGTTCTGATAGCGATGAGGGCTTCCTTGCCGCTACCGAATGGGCGTTGGGCGCTGGTCTTGCGGCTTCCTCAGTCAGTGAGCTCAAGGTTGGTACATGGCCGGATGCAAGACGGGGAGACGTTCCCAGTGGAGATGCGCCCAAGGGTGATGCAGACAGGGTCGGCTGCTTGAAGGGTTGAAAACTGAAGGAGCTCCTCCGACCCGCGGCCTGTGCACGTAGTGAGTTCCGGGAGCTGCTGCTGCTGGTGGATGGCTGAGGCTGTGGCGCAGGTCTCGCCTGGTCAGGCGTAGGAGGAGATGCCGTACTGTAGTCCTTGGCACTCCTCAGAGCGGATAAAGGGCTAGTGCCGGTTCCGATACCAGCCTGGTGGAAAGTCGATAAGCTACCATAGGCGTGGCCTAGCTCAGGACGTTGGAACAAATCCGATCGCCGGTCATTAGGCAGTGAACCCATATCTGTTCTACTCCTGTCCTTTTTCTCCTGATCACTTGGCATGGAGGGCCGGAAAAGGTCATCATCGGTGCCAAGGAATCTGGAACTCAGTAACTCCTCTGAGTCATCTATCCGGAAGTCACAATTCTGGCGATATGTGACTCGAACGGAGAAGGGCCCGGCAGGGGATTCGGCGGTCCCAAACGAATAATCGCTGACCACGTCATTGGAGCCGTCGGTCAGAGGCAGATTGAGGTTATCGGAGCGCGTCAGACTGCTCGTAGACTGACCGCTGACGAATCTGTAGCCAATCTTCATAGCCATGGTGGACCGACTTCTTCCTAGCCTGCGTGACAGCTTCCATGCAGGCAAGAAATTGCAGTATGTGAACAGCGCTCGGAAGAGGACGATGCTTTTCTTGTAGACCAGTGGTAGGACTGTGGCCATGTCTGGGGGCAGAGGGGCAGTTTGGTCACCGAGCTCAATTGTCCACCGCTCGAGAAGGATTTCGGTGGATTCGGTATCACGTCGCTTGCCGTATCGGGAATCGGAGGACTCAAGGGCATTCATGACATCCCATCGTTTTCCATCTTCATCGAGAATGACCAGCCGCTGTCCCTGCGGTAGGGTGTCGGTGGTCAGGAACACCTCGATGTTGAGCGGTGGAGGCCTGTCGTCCTTCACATCGCATGTCTTCCACCGTCTGATGTCTTCTCGATAGTCATCCGTCTCTTCTAGCTCGATGTTGAACCACCGGTTCACACGCTTGGTGTCCGAATTCTTCGCGTAGGCAGGGGCAAGGTCGACTCTGGAGTGGAGGATGATCAAGGCGGCTTTGGTGTGGAAGTTCTGAATGACTTGATTGAGCCTCTGCATCTGGGCAGCAGGATCAGTGTGCTGCTCTCGAGGCTGGAAGTCTTCTGAGGAGCCGGAACCCTGAGTCAGCGGAGAATTTGTACGTAGGGCGTTGAGGTCTCGATCTCTAGGATTGTTGGTTCTTGTCGGATTGGTCTGGTCGGATAAGGCAGGGGAGGCCGAGGCCGGGGGGGCACGAGGATGCTGATGCATGGCTTGCCCGGAGCGAAAGCAGTGCAACGTATGGATATAGTTCGAACAGCGAATTCAGCCTAGCGATGGTTGGACGGAGGAGGGCGGACGTGATGATGGAAATGGTCCATATTCGGCAGCGCAGAGAGTAGCGAGGAAGCGTTGGACACGGCAGACGGTAGGGATAGAAGGTGGAGATGTAGTGCGGCGTCGACGCCTGATTTCTAGCTAGGCAGCTATAGAGCTAAGGGTATATCCGATGGTGATTCGGAGGATGGAGGTGATGGGGAAGATGAGGCTCAGATTAGAGAAGGTTGTCTGTGTCGAGCATATGACAGCAGATGGTGATTGGTGGATTGAGCGCAGGTACCAGAACAGTCATGCGCCTGGGACTTGTGAGCAATCCGCCTGGGCGATGACGCCAATGGCGATCTCCAGGAATGGCGGAGAAGCGAGCAACGGCGGACGGCCTTCTAGACGAGACAGGCTTGTACTGTAGAAAGGGCACGTTGAAGACAGCACGTCAACAAGGGATGACTCGAGAGAGAGGATCCGGTTGACTGTTTTGTTGGACGCACTTCTCCCTGAGCTGATAACGAACAGGGTTCTGCCTGGTGCATGTGCAGAGCCAGTGCAGCTGGAGCAACGAGTGTGGGTGACGGTTGACGATGGCCTTGCTGGATCGAGGGTGGGTAGTGGGTGGCCACGGGGATCTGTCGGACGCTTCAGCGCCTAGCCCGCTTTCGGCTTACCGCCCGTAACTCGGCGCGTGGGGGAGTCACGCTCGTCGCGCCTCTGGCCGCGGGATCGCACATGGGTGCTTTCTCGGGTGAACTTCACATGCATATACCTTGCACAAGCTGTGCTCCAAGGGCGTCGCTGGACAGCAGAACAAGACCAGGCTAACGGGCAGAGATCGGGCCGGTTTGTTCGCCGTGATATTACGCGACATACGGGCTCCATCAACAGCGGTACACGTGGAGGCAGACCAGGCACTCGTCGAACAGACCTCTCTTGAAGGGGGGATATTTTGTCTCGACCGGTGAAAGTCAGCAAGCCGAACAGCCCTGCTGCGTTGTGTGATTGATCGCCAGACGGCGGCTGCCTTGACCCGGACTGTGCATAGCCGAGCTGCGGGCTGCAGCTTGTAGTAGCTAGCACGATCCACCTCTTGAGGCAACAGCGACGCTATCCGTAACGGGGACCATTACACAAAGACAGTGCGGTCGAGTTGACAACGTGTATCAAACATGTGCATTTGTGCGTTGCGCAGATCGTCTATCTCTGGGTAACCTGATCTCCCCTCGCTTGCGGGGAATTTGTGTACATGAACGTCCAAAAGTGTACCTACCGTAAGTATGCATCATCATCACTGGCCACGCTCCCGGCCTCGACCACGTTCTCGCTGGGCACCGCCTCCTTTAACATTCTCCTGCTGCGGATGCCGCAAACCCCCATCCTGCGGCTGGACTTTGGGGACTTGTTGTTGCTCATCACTGATGGTTTTCGCACTGCCACCCCCTCTTCCACCGGCCCGTCGCGCTCCACGTCCACGGCCGCCTTTGCCGCGACGACCTGTGGCAGCGGAGGCCTGCGCCTCTTCTTCCTGCACTCGTCGACTTTCACTGTCCCACCATGCTTGAAACTCCTGCTCTTGTTGAATGTCCTGCAGAGAGCGCTTGGCAACTGCTTCTTTGATAGCTGTTTTCTCCCCTTGCTGCTGGGCCAAAATGTCCGCCATGGACGTATGCGCATCGACTGAGCCTGTCGTAGATGACCGAGCAGGTGTATGTCGAATTGACTGTATCACCGGCTGAGCCAGCTTGCTTACCGAGACGCTGCCAAGACTTGGTGTATCAGGCTTCCTGTTGCTGGGAGAGGCGCCTGAAACGGTCTGTCTCATCGTCATTGCGGGTCTGGCGGGAACTTGTGTCTGCTGAGACTTGGGACTTTCAACCCTTCCACTGGCTTTGCGAACATTCTGCCAGGGCGAACTTGGCTTCTGTGTACTAGCTAAGACATCGTTCGACTTGGGCGCTTCCGCTTCCAGTTGCTTGGCTTGCTGCTGTTGCTTCTTGCGTTCCTTTTGGGACATTTTTTGGGGAGGTTTCGCAGGCAAGGTTTCAGCTTTGGCCAGTGACTGGGTCAGGCTAGAGACACGGCTCCTAGGTGTCTCACTCATAATGTCCCTCAGATTGATGCGGTTTGAGACGGGAGAAGGTGTCTGCCATGGTACTTTGGAGGATGTCGAGGCCAGCTTGCCGCCAGATGGTGGAGATGTGGCATCGAATACAGGCCGTCCTGCCGTTAGCGGACCGCCGTCATCAAGGCTCAAGCCCATTTCAGGCGACATTCCCATACTGCTGGCCAGTGAAGCTTGAGTGCGGCGTCTCGGTGGCTCTAGTCTAGGTGAGAGTGGTTGAGCAGGCAGAGACGGCGATCCAAGGGGCCCATCTTCGTCCATGTCAAATGGAAGGTCATCGCCACCATCTTTAGCAGGAATTGCAGGGCTGGGTTCTGGCGTGGTCTCACTGCTGTCGACACCACTATGTTTGCGTGCCAGCATCGGCGAGCTTCCATATCTCTCCACGCTGCCCACCTTGAACTTGTACATCGCCTCCTCACGCTGTTGTGCAGCTGCAAGAGACGACCGAAGACGCATTGCATCTATTCGGCGACGCTTGCCTTCCTCAAGCCGCTCGATGAGCTCTGGATAGCGGTCAAGGAGTTCGTTCTGAGCCCGATTGCTGCGGGCAAACGGTAGGTAAGCAAGCTGGTTTTGCTGCACGACCTCATCCAGCTCGCTCAGGAGCTCTGGTTCGAGATCCTCTAGGAGTCGTTGCTCAAGCATGGTCTCCAAATTGAGGCATATGTATTCGAGAGCTGCATTCTTAAATTCCGTCACCTGGCACTCCGAAACCGTGTTCAAGAGGTGACAAACATTCTTAACGTTGACATATTTGCCCAGGATGCTTTGACAAATTTCTGAAAGTCGATCAATCATGAGCTCATTCGCAACGGAGAGGACTTCGAGTAAGAGTTCCGCAAACTCATCGAAATCTTCCGTGACGACGTCGTCAAGAATCTCGGTGCCGGTATCAGCGTAGAGATGGCGTAATACAAGCTGGAAGACCTGTAAGTCGATGTGCTTCAGGTCGACACGCATGGCTTCCGCTTTCTGCTCGGCAAGACCACGCCTTGCAGACATCCAAAACCCGCCTGCACGTCCGTTGAATAGACCCTCGAAGAATGGACACCTTGCCGTCAACATGACACTGTGTGCTGGTAGCTCCGCATCATTTGCGAGTTCAATCATGACATCGGCGTCGCAGAAGAAGTCCGGGTCAATGATAGCATTCTCCATGTCGTGAGCCAGGCTTCGCACAGGATCAATCATGAGCCTTGCAGCCCGCTCGAGTTGACCTAGATCGAGCGCCGAAGCAATCTTCATAAGTTCCGTCCGAACTGCTCTATACCTGGACGCGGATGCGAGAGCCTTCGAGGTATAGTGCCAAACATCAATGACTTCATCCGTGTATAGGTACAGTACCAGATTGGCCAGGGTCAAGAAGTCCGCGCCGTGGAACATTAGCTGGATCTGGCCATCTTTTCCGTACTCGACCGATAGTACATCAGGAATGGAGAAATAGTAAGATTGTTGAATCCGTGCCAGAGCAGAGCGCATAACGCTGCTTCTGCCAGTGAGAACAAAAGCATGTACGGGAAAGCGCACATCCGTAGTGTTGGAGGTGATCCAGAGGTTATATTGTGATTCCGCCAGCGGCTCAAAGTCCAGGCAGATTCGTTGGATATCCGTCTCGGCATCACTAGCAGTGATAACGGCGGCTTTAAGATGTGCAGGATCAGGCCCCTTGGTCAAAGGTACCCAGAACCTAACAGGAGGATTAGCAAGAACCGAGTCATCTTGCAACTCCCCATAATTGTGGAAAGAAAGCAATGGAAACATGTTTGCCCACAGAGCCGGCGACTCAACAGCAAGCTGCTCCTTTGTAACGTCGCAATCCTTCCGAACGGCAGTGAACGCGCCGAACGCATTGCTGCGCACGGCGATTGCACGTGTCAAATTCGGCACGCGAACGAACTTGTAATCTTTCGGCTTCGGGCCAGATGTCTGCCTGGTCCTCACGGACTTGATGTTGGCGCGCTTTTCCTTTCGCCATACAGATCCTGACATGGTGCAAAGGATGACGGAGCCGTCCTGTCCAACCGCAACATCTGTAGCAGACATATGGCCTTTTCTCAACGACCAGATGCGATTAGATGGTGGCAAGGCATTGCGTGCCTTGGACGGGTTCGTTGTCGACGTACTAGATGGTACGGAGTCTGCTACTTTCGGAACATCGATAGTGAAGACCTCACCAAGCGTAGACATGGCCGCGAGAGCGTTGCCACCACCAGTGACTTTTGTGATATGATTGTGCTCGACTCTTGGAACTTGGCTATCCGAGCTGAAGAAATTCATGAAGCCTTCCAACCTGAAAGACACTCGAGTGTAACCATAGTGCGTGAACACGATCACATCATGGCTCTGCAGCAACACCGCAGTAGCGCGATCGATCGCACACACCGACTCAATCGGTGTGTTCAAGACAGAGGGTGCAACGCGTCGAGGGGTAACTTGATGGCTCAACGAGCGGGCATCGGCATCCATAAGCCCCAACTGACCTTCGTTCTTACCAAAGGTGAATAGTGCAGACGTGGTGTAGATTGCAGAATGAACAGCAGAGGCAGTAGCTCCGATGACAAGCTCTTTCTTAACGAAGCCGTAAAGTTGCCTCGGGACGAGCTGTATCGGTACCTCTTTCGCGGAAACTTCTGGTAATGCGTACCCAAGCTGGCCGTACCTGTTGCTGCCCCAAGTGAAGACTTCACCTTGTGCGCATATAGCAATGGTGTGATCTTGACCGAGAGCAATGGTCGCAACACGTTTCTTTGCCAGGCCACCGCCTTGGACACATTTGTAGGAGAATGAAGTCCTTTCGTCGCCAGTCCCCAGCCTACCACCGACCCCAAAACCGCAGATATGAAGATTGGAGATCGGGTCGTTGGTGAGAATCGCGCTGTGAAACTTGGACATGATCACGTCTTGGATTCCGATCGGCTTGTTCGCAATCAGAGATGGGACCTCGGCAACGGAGCTGGGTAATGCCTGGTGCTTTCCTGCCTCTTCAGGCAGGCTTTTCGAGGCTCGCTCGGCCAGGTGATCCTGGTACAGGCGTATTATCAGATGGTCAGGCCGCCTCAGCTGTATGCGTTCTGGGAAATGGCGGTCATCCTCGTCTCCTGTGCCCAGCGTAAGGTTCTTATTGCTCCCGAATGTAAAAACCTCATCACCCTGTAGATTGACAGCGTAGCGGTCAATTAGTTTCGACAAGCCACGCTCGTCCTCACCATCGTCGTTCAGGTCTACGCTATGAGAGCTCTCTTCGTCATCTCCAGCGCCAATTGCGTGGTGCGTAGCCTGTATGACGCGAGGAGCGATCGTCAGTTGGAACACTTCGAAAGGGCTGTTGCCTTCATGGTCTTTGATCTTCACAAGCCCGCCAGCATTGGTGTGAGCCGCAGTAGTTGTGTAATCCGTAGCATCTTGGATATCCCGCTGCATCAAAGCTTGCGCGGTGGCAATATTGCCCTGATACAACGCACGATGAAGCGGAGTCCAACCACTTTCTGAGTCCTGCGCGTATAAATCAATGAACGGTACTTGGAGCAGTGCCTTGACGAATTCGTGAGCTGAGTCGCCATGCTGAGATGCGGCGTGGTGCAACAAGGTGCGCCCAAAGCTGTCTTTCGTGTTCACATCCGCTCTTGTCAAGGCTGCGCCGCCCGCCCTTCCCCCGCGAGGCGTAGCCTGCGCACTGCCTGATGACTTCCTGAATTTTTGAGGTACACTTGGTGAAGTTCCGAGGGACGCAGGGCTCCCGATCTTCAGCGCAGGCGCTCCCGGCGGGCCACCGGAGGATCTCGTCGCGGTGGCGATATAGGTGGCATTGGCCAGGTATTGCCGAAGTGATTCAGCATCATCTTGTATAAGAGCTTCCCAAAGCCGGTAGTTCATGTGTGATAGAGAGCCAGATATGTCCCGTTTCGCCCGGCTCATGCGCCCGCTGTGACCTCAATGTGCCACGGCGTCTTTAAGGCTGCGCGGGGTGACGGAAATGACTGGTATGGAAGGAGCCAGCGATGTTACGCGACTATCATGACTGCTGACGGGGACTCGTATGTCGATAGCTGACGGCTACTGTTTGAAGTGAATGTGAGCTTGAGAGTTGACGCGACGGGTGTTGAGGGGCAGTAGGTCCAGTTGGGGGACGAGGCATTGTGCGGGATAGTTGCTGGCTCCCAGCCAATCATGGTGAGTCATCAGGGCCACGCCGTTAACCATACTACATTCCATGACGAAAACCTTTCCGACCTCTAAAGTGTGTTCGTGCGAGGAGCGGGGGTTGTCAGACTTGGATCATGATATATCCTTATGATGGAGGTTTGGCCATGCCGACCCAACGCGTCAACGCGTTCAGAGCTCTTGCGACGCGCTACCTAAAGAGCGGTGTATGGTTCCACCGTGCTAGACGATTGCCAATGAGGATCATCAAGGTATGTACCTCGATGCTATCTGGGACCGACATGAACCAACAGCGACCTTCGCCATCATTGCCGTGCCTTCTGCCATCGATCTGAGGACGGGACCATTATCGGCCGCGCAAAGCTGCCCGCCCGTCACGACCTGTCATGGGTTTTTGGCGCCTCCGGTATCACTGGCTCCTGCTTGCTCGGGGGAGCGCGCATGCTACTTCTCAACGGCGGGGCTGACGTCCGATTCGCCCATGGGGCTTGCGTTACGCCGTTGACAAAGCCAGCAGGAGGTGGTGGGGGACGACCTGCCCATGGAGCTGCAGTCGCTGCCTGATTTCCTGGCCTGCCCGCGACATTCGGGGCATTGGCTCCCGGGTTGCGGAGTGGCTGGCTGCTGTTATGAGTTGTGGCGGGTTGTAGCTTCGCTGCCGGGTCTCTCTCCCATCGAAACAGTGAACCGAATGGGAAATGTTGCACGACCGGAAATTTGGACAGTACCTCAGCATTGTACATCTTAACCATACCCTTGTTGATCTTTCCCCAACCGTCCTTGATTCCAGAAATGTCGAACAGCATGGGGCTATGCTCCCAGAATGGGCCTTTTTTAACCTCGAAAATGAAGGCAACGGCGGAGAAATACATGTTTTGGCCCTTTTCCTTATCGACCAGGTTGGCTTTCGACACCGAGCTTGGTTCGGGTGCCTCTGGTAGTGAGCCTTCTGTAGGTGTTTCATTCTCCTCGAAGATTGCCGGGCTGAGTTGAGCCGAGCCGAAGATATACGGGAGGAAGGAGTTGTCGTCCAGACCCCATACTCCGTGCGAACCAGCAGGCTCGAGCGTGTAGACCTTTATGAGCGTTCTAATGAGCCGCAGATATTCCTCAAATACACCAAGGACTATTGCCCTCTCCTCAACGCCGGGCGCTGATTTCTGGAAATAGTCAAGCTTCCAGAGACATCCGAGGAAAGCCAAGAAGCTCAATTCATGGCCCGTCCCATAGTCCAGTCTCTGGGGACTTCCAAAGCTGCCCAACAAGTACGCACCTATTTCCTCAATACCAGGGCTGAGATCAGGCGGAAGTGTCTCTGCTAGCAGACTCGTTATTCGATCTTCGACGAGTTTGTACCAGGTTCGGAAACTGACATTGCCGAACCGCCGGGGACCGGTATCTGGAGGCACGTCTTTGATGAGACTTTCCAACTTCTTGATCAGGGTACGGAGGCGTTGCACCGGGTCCGAGTATTCTAAGTTGGGTGAGTCAAGGGTCCATTGGTGCAGAGTAGTTGAGTTTCCCTCTGTGACTCTACGGGCAACGGTGGCATGGTTGAGTTGGAGTATGAAGGTCATGATATCTCGATATGCATAGGAGGTGAGGAATGACTGTAGATCCGGTCCATCGTGGATTCGCTTGGTTGGCTTCTGGAAGACATGGCTGGAGGGCTTTGGTACAACTTCCAGTGTTGAGAAGGGCATGGCGACTAAGCGTTCTCGCCCGCTCTGTTTCAGGTTGTAGACACACTACTGAGTAGCTTTGCGTGCTGAACGGACGTATCTACAAACATTTCTCGAATGGCATGGGTGTAGACGTCCCCGGACAATGTGAAGAGGGCGAAACAAAGATGACGGCATGCGCCAAGACCATTGAATCCGGCGGAGCCTGCTGGAGACCGTACAATTCAATATCCAGCACCGAAGTCGCCCCTCCACGCGTTGAGCACTACGTGAATACACGAGACACGAGTCTTGCATTGCCAGGACTAGGTTCCGGGCTTCCACTCGAGGACCGAAAGATGAGATTGCAAGCCGTCAGAGGGGAATGAGCGGATCCTTCTGCGTATCATTAAATGCTGGCTGCTAGGCCGAGGGTACGTGTCTATATTGCTTTCCAAAGCCATTCGAACATCTGCCACCTCCTTTATTCCATGATCCTGAAGACAGGATACTCGTCACCCACGTCCATGGGGATGATGTTGAAAGTGACAAAGGAGTCGATGTTCTCGGGTTCAAGAGCAATGAACGCCAATGCCGCATTCTTCTGCCTTGTGCTGAGCAGGTAGCTACCGGCAGGAAGAACAACCTCTCTGTACATGGGCTCTGTTGTAACCGTGTTTAGCACAGTCCCTTCGTAGATACTGTCGTCGAGCTCGGAAGAAGTAATGTTGAGCGCCTCCACAACACCACGGTATTCGTAGTCAAGAGTCTCTACTTCGAGTCCATAGTTTTCTAGCTTCGCAACAACATCAGACCACGTCTTGGGGATGAGGTATGCTTCCGGTCGTGGCCGTGTCAAGTTTGCCACGGAGGGCGTGGATACCCAGTAGTCAATGTCAACTTGTTCGATTTCACCCGTGTTTCGGTTCACCATCGTAAACGTGCGGTTCTTGGGGGTAAAGTAATCGGTGACGACAATGTCATCGTCGCTGCTGATGAATGATTCTCTCGCATCCTCGATGGTGGACAACACATTGTCGAAATTATCGCGGGCAGTCTCAAGAATAGTTTCGAGTTTGAGGAGAGCTGTAGCTACGCGTCGTTGAAAGTGCTGGTCAGCGAGGCGAATTCCGCGCATCTCACACAAGAAAGACACGGTCTGCGTCAGTCCATACGCATTGCGACCGGTCCTGGCTTCGGTCACAGCCTCCTCAAACTCGATCCGAGAGCCAGGTGTAGAGTTGGAAGAGCCGGTCACGTATGGCTCCCACCGAAGACCATGGGATTCAAGCCGGTCGCCCATGGCTGGGATGAAGAGATCTAACAGCAAATCACGGATCTCTTGACGAATGTTGGGATTGATCCCGCCAGAAATCAAAGCATCTGAACCGTGCTGGTAATCGCCACCGTAGACCGCTGGAGCTCTGAACTCGTGCATATCAACTAGAGATGCATCAGTCAGGTCGAGTCAACAACTTTAAGGGGAAAGCTTGGAATACGACAGTGACTGTGCTAAGAGAGCCTTACCAGAAATGTGAGGGCTATAGTCCATGAAGACCTTCTTGATGTCTCGAGACTGCTGTCTGGCCAGCTTAAGATGCTCTCGATTGCCGTCAAAGTTAGATGCCAGCTGACGTTGGAAGTAAGCCACACCATCGACATTGTATCGTGGCAAGATCTTGATATCCATCTTCTCCAGGATTGAGGCTGCCCAGGTCTGGTTGGCATCCATCTTCCCTAGAAGAGCCATAACCGACTGATCGCCAGCGGGTTCGTCTCCGTGGATTGCGGCTTGGATGTATACCTTGAGCTTCGTGCTGTTGACGCTCTGGTCAGACAAGTAGAGATAGTTGATGGCACGACCTTCCTCTGAGGTGAACTCAGCTGCAAGGTAAGTTAACCATTCGTTTCTGCTGGCGAGTGTCCGGTAGAAGTAATCTATATATGATCAGCTAGAGGCCATTGTTGGCTGAATCAATCCCACCCATCTCAACGTCATCGGTTGGGCCATCCGTGCCATCGGACCACCCAGGAGACGTTGTCTCTGGCCTTATAAACGCAGGCGAGAGGAGCTCGATGCCTTCCACATCTGGGAAAGCCTGTGCCACGATATCACTGTCTTTGATCATGCCACGCTGGTTCTCACCATACTGCAACTGGGCTCTTATCGTGGCTGCTGTTAGCGTTAGCACGACAGGACTGCTTGAGAAGCGCATGGTCAACAAAGGTAAGGTCTGACAGAGACCCGGAGGAGACGGCTAGAGAGTCGCAATCAGTTTGACAGAATCCGGGAGCTTTATATCCCGCCCTCGTTGGAGAACCTCGCTACAGACTCGGGGGATTTCGCCGTTTCGTCAGCAGACTGCCCACTGACCCTAGTCGTTGAGCGCGGTATGGTTACAGGATCAGCGGCTATCACCATCTTGTTCAACGTTGTCTTATCAATGCCATGCCACTTGATCGCTTCTAGTGCGTCTTGGGAGGATACATGCATTCCGCCGTTCGCTCTTGGCCGGCTCAGGAAGGAAGGTGAACAGTAAAGATGTGGAGAGAATGGTGGGAGGAGCGGTCGCTGTTCAAGAGCAGATGCCGACTGCTCTTGGCGAAGTATTGGCGCGCGGGCAACTCCAATGGCGCCGTTTGGGGGTTAGAGCGGGATGCGGGGATTTCGGCCGGTCAGGGTTCCCCGGCGGGCGAGCGCTAACCACAACCCCAACCCTAACAACCTCCCAGCTCGGCAACGGACAACAACAACAACAACTTGCACTTGTTTGCCACGCGATAATCACCGCTGCTGGCACGCGTTTACAGCGTCGACGTCGAAGCATCAATCAAACTATGAAGCAGCGACAGCTAGAACGATGCCGAAGTCTGCTGCCCCAAATCCTATAACAGCGCGACAGAGTAGTCGTCTGAAGAACGCGCAGATCAACACCGAGTCGCGTCTCCCAGTCGATGAAGAGGGTCAGGACTATGAAAACGCCGCGACAGATGCCGTAGATGCGCAACTTATTGCTGGGATGAACGAGGCCGCCAACAAATCTCCGGCTGCGAAGGAACGCGAGAGACCGCCAAAGCCTCCACGTACCGGAAAGCGTGGACGTCAAGAGGCAAACGAGGAAGCCACCAGGGAGCAACATGGACGACCCTCCAAAAGATCTAGGAATAGTGAGAGTACGCGCATACTTAGATCTTCGGGTGCCAGTACCGAAACGGTCCAGCCATCTGGCCGTGGTCTGACACGCAGGTCGACTGCGGCTCCCCGACACAGTGTCAACAAGAATGCCACGTTTGATATCCCTGACGATCTTGACGCGGTGCCAGAGGGATCTAATCTAGAGGTCGTCATTCCTCCACTTCTGGGCAAGAAGAAGATGCTCAACAAGGCTGCACGGAACAACCCGTCTCCCCTCAAGGGCCAGGCTGTTGTGGATGTGGAAGAAAATCCAAACGTCGATCTCGCCGACACAACCGCTTCGCGGCCATCCAACAAGAAGAAAACGAAGTCCAATGTCCGGAAGCAAGGCAAGAAAAATGGAGCTGCCAACAAGGGGGCAACAGCTCCAGATGCTGAGACTGAGGAGAACCCACCTAGGCGGCCTCAGCAGCAAGAAGAAGAAGAAGAAGAAGAATACGACGACGACGACGAACAAGCAGGAGAGGCCGAGGTAGATCTTAGAGAGGAAGACTTGCGCCAAGAACTGTTCAAGGACATCGAGCCCTTCGTAGAGCTACATTCATGTGAAGAGCCGTGGGCGACACTCTTGATCACTGGTCATCGTATCAGTGAGGCGGCCGAGAAGTCGGCCAAGAAAGCTGCCGGCGGCAGACCCTTGCAACATGCGCCGGAGTCTGCTTTGGGTGGTGATGCTTTTAAGGAGGTCCGCAACGCGAACACGTCATACGAGGGCGCTGAAGAGCATGGCGGGTACGAAGCAGCAGCTGCGGCGTGGCGAAACGCAATGCGAAAGGTCAATGAAGTCGCACCGGATGAAAATGCACATGAGAATGCCAAACGCGGCAAAGACCTCTATCAGTGGATCATCCCCGAAATGGTGCGCACGCTAAGGGCGGCGCTGAACAGTATGAAACCAACCTCTGATGCGACTGAGGATGAAGTGGTGCCGCTTGTGCAGATGCTCAAGGATTTGGGGAGAACGCTGGACAAAGCCCTAAAGTGGGAGCCCCGTCCTTCAACCCTTCCTCCAGGCATCCGTCGTCCGACTCGCAATAAGATCGCTGCGAGCGTGAAGCAAATCCAGGGGAGATACGAGCAATACCTTGAGAAGCTAATGGCCGAGAAAGACAAAGTACGCTTTGAGGAGCGAGAAGCAAGGCGAGTGGCTGCGGCAGAAACAAATCGCAGACGTGCGAGAGAGGAACTTGCTTGGAGAGAGCGTGCCGTTCGCGAGCACAACAGAAGGCTGCATCGAGAGCTCCACGCCAAAATGCAGCGCGAGGAAGAGGAGAGGCGACAGCGACGACAACCTAGACAACCTAGACAACCTCCTCCGCCTCCGATTCATGACATCGACGATTTTCCCGATGGATCTGCCGCGCCTGCCGCGCCTGCAGCGCCTGCAGCGCCCGCCACTCGTCCGGGAATCCACCGAGAGCCAACTATGGATCTTGATGGGCCCTTTCAGGATGAGTGGACTGCAGAAGAGAACGAGATCCTCGTGGGCGCACTTCAGCGTCTTACCGGGAAGGATCGCTTTTTACTGATTCACCAGTACTACGGCGACCAGTTTGGGAGGCGCGATGTGGACAACTTGATGCGTCAAGCGGCCTTCCTCAAGCACCGCATGATGGGTTTTGTTGAAGGGCTGCCCGGTGAGGAGCGCACGTTCTGGCAGTGGTTGATTACTGTACCAGGTTGATTGACCATGTTTACGCTGAGTGTCTGCGTACTTCAGTGCCTTGTGACGATGCTGTATATCCTAGGCAGTCCTCTCTAGGTACAGTCTCCGCCTCACTTTGGGCATCTCATCAGGCGGCACGAACCGTCCCTTTGCCGGAAACAAATCAAGCCCGAACACGGTGCCTAGCTATTCCTTGGCGAGAAAGTGGGCCCCAGCGGAAAGCCTGAAGTCGCGTCCCGCGATTCAACTTCTTTTGAGATTGAGTCAGGGGACTGCTTCATCGCACGTGCAACATTTACTGCTTCTTCTTGCCGTGATTTTGGTCGTTTTTGCATTTGATTCTTCTAGACCTAATAACTATCCTAATACAACCACCAACCTAGACATGGCCGACAAACTCAAGGATGAGAACGCGACCCCAAAGGCTGGCACCGCCGCGGCTCGGCGGCCGTTGAGCGCACCCAAGTCGACTACCACCACATCGCGGACCACTCCGTCCACTACCTCTTCTCGGCCCGCGCCACCTCCTACATCCAGGTCAACGACTACCTCGTCGTCCCTCAGTAAACCGCCGGTCCGTTCCACCGTAACGAGCACTGCCCGCAGGCCGCCCACCACCACCACTACCACCCCATCTGCCGCAACTGCCCACAAGTCCCGCACTTCCCTTAGTTCGGTGGCCGAGGACAAGGCGGATGACAAGAAAGATGGAATCTCCGCGAGGCCCAAGCGTATGTCAATCGCCCCGAGCACCGGCAGCGATCGCCCCACTACATCGACCACGAGAAGCGCGGTTAGCACTCCTGCAAGCAAAACCGCCGCCCGACCTACCACAACCACTCGTCCATCCGTCACGAGCCCTTCCAGCATAAGAAAGACCCCAGCAACTCCTGCGAGCCGTACAGGCCGCCCTGGTACGGCTGGCAGTGCCACGTCCGCCAGCCGTACCGTCCCAGGCACCGGGGCTAAACGTCTGAGCACCATTCCCGCCTCGCCCGCGGTCAAGGATAGCGCGGATGAGAACAAAGAAAATGTCGATTCTGGAGCCTCCAAAGCACCTGTTCGTCCTTCACTTGGCCATAGGAAATCGACCAGGTCCGTCATGATGGAGCAGCGCATCCGCGAGTATGAACTAGTCACGAGTATGCTGCAGGCAGCTATGGTGGACGATGGCAGCACGGAAACAGACCAGGACATGCTCGAGAAAGAGATGGAGGCACGCACGTCGAAACTGAGGGCTGACCTGGCCAAAGTCCGGCAATTCGAGAAGGACCATGGCCGGGCGCCTACCGAGGACGAACTCGCCGAGGCGGATTCCATTGCGGAGGAGGACAAAGAAATACTCGGCTTGGCTAAGCCTGGTGCGGAAGACAAATCAGAAGAATTGCAGAAAGAGCTCGATGCCGGCAAAGAGCGTGAGGAATTGCTCAAAACTCAGATCAGCGATCTAGAAGCTAAGCTTGAGGCCGCTGTGCTACAGGCTGAGAAAGCTGATGAGGGTAAAGTTACCGAAGCTGCTGCCACAAACGCAAGCAAGCTCGAAACCGACCTCAGTGAGAGCAAGACCCTTGTTGAATCGCTGCAAGCTCAAGTCAATAACCTCACCGTCAAGCTTGACACAGCTACAAGCCAAGCGAGCGGGCATGAAGATGAATTGAGTGATGCTCGTCTCCGCGTAGACTCTTTACAAGGACAAGTTGAGGAGCTTACGGCTAAACTTGAGGCCACCACTGGAGATGGTGAAGTGTCGAAGAAAGACCTGGAGGACTCTCGTGTGCAGGTGCTGGAGCTGACCGGCAACGTCGAAAACCTGAAGTCACAGCTCGACACCTTCAAAGGGGCAGCCAGGGGCGACGAAAGTGATATTGCAGAATACAAGCTGCAGATCGAGTCTCTACAGGGGCAGGTGGAAGACCTGACGTCGAAAATGGAGGCAATGACCACCGAGGGAGCTGATGACAAGAAAGCCCTTGAAGAAAGCAAGTCCATGACGGAGACTATAAATGCAGAGCTTGCGGACCTCAAATCGAAGTTCCAAGCTGGATCAGAGGACAAAGACCAGCAGCTTGTCCAGAGCCGCGAAGCCGCAGACTCACTGAACAAGCAGATTTCCGACCTGAATGAGAAGCTTGAGGCTGCTGGGAAGGCTCACGAAACGGAACTGGCGAGCAGTCGTGCTGAGGTCCAGGCCCTCAGTGCCCAAATCGAGGAGCTGAAAGCCCAGTCGGTTGATGCCAGCAAAGCACGAGAAGAGCTCGCTGTCTCACAGCAAGCGCTGGAGTCTGCCCGTATGGATCACCATGCTGCGCGGGCGAAAAGCTTGTCTGAGTCTGCGACCCTCACCGCGCAGATCGAGGAGCTCAAGGCTGAGCTTGCTAGCTCCAGCAAAGTAGAGGAGGAGACTACTAGTGCGCGGCGGGCATTGGACGATGCTCGTGCGAATCACGAAATCGCACTATCGAAAAGCGCTGCCGAGGTCGCCGACCTCAAAGCTCAGCTCGAAGTGCTGCAGGCTCAGTCAGCCGAATCCGATAAGGCAAGTGAGTTGGCTGCCAGCGCTCAGCAAGCACTTGAAGAAGCCCGCAGCAATCACGAGATGGCGCTTTCAAAGAGCCTGTCTGAGATTGAGACGCTCCGGGCAGAGCTCGATGAGTGGAAGTCAAGAGCCGAGACATCAAGCAAGGTCGGCCAGGAGGATGCAAGGAAGGCGGAAAAGGCTTTGGAAGACATTCGCCAACAGTCGGAAATGGAGCTGGCTCAACTTCAGGCTCAGATTGAGACCCTCACGAAGCAACTCGATGATATGAGCACGAAGCTGGGTGACGCTAATGTTGCGTCGCAAGAACAAAAGGCAGAGGCCTTACGGGCCCTAGAGGCGGCCCAGGGAGAGCAAGAAAATGCGCTTGCGGCAAGCCGCGGAGAGGTCGAAGCTCTGCAGACGGAGTTGCAGGAGCTGCGCTCAAAGACAAGCGATCTCTCAAAGGGCCACGAAGACGCTGAGAAGAAAGCTCAAGAGGCACGAGAGGCTGCTGTCTCGGGGTATGAAAGCAAAATCGAAGCTCTGTCGATCGATCATAAGCAGGCAATGGAGAAGGCTGCTGCTGAACACGCACAGAAACTCGAAGAGACGGTTGCCTCCCATCAGCAGGAGCTGAAGGCCGCACATGCAGATCTTACCAAGCACGAGGAGCTTAACGCGGCACACGAAAACGAGCTCAACTCTCTTCGCGCAGAACATTCCAACAGGCTTCAGGAACTGAGCGCCGACCATGAAAAGGCGATCGGGTCGGCTCAACTCAATGAGGCAACATTGAAAGAGCAACTCCTAGGTCACGAGTCCAAGCTGACGGAGCTAGCATCCATGCACGCAAAGGAGATCGAGGACCTAGCCGAGAAGCACAACAGTGAATTGGACAGCATTCGAGGCAGCTCTGCAACATCATTGGCGGAGCTCGAAAAGATCAAAGCAGAGCTTGCTGAAGCACAGAGCTCGCATGCGTCCGAGCTGGACAGCATTTCCAAGACGCATGAGTCGAAGGTTGCGGATCTTGCGACGGAACATCAAACGACGGTTGAGGCCCTGCAGCAAGCTCATTCCACAGAGGTCGAAGCCATTCGAAATGCTGGAAAGGATTCTGAGGTTGAGATTGAGAAGCTCAAAGCGGAGCTTGCTGATGCACAGACTGCTCATGCTACCAAGCTGGCTGATGCCATGAAGGCACATGAGTCAAAGCTTGCAGATCTTTCGACTGAAAATGAGGCAGCCATTGATGCGCTCAAGCAGGCTCATGCCACAGAGCTGGAGGGCATCCGCAACGCCGGGTCGGATTCCACGGCTGAGATCGAGGAACTCAAGGCCAGGCTACTAGCCTCAGAGAAAGACCACTCAAGTCTACTAGACGAGATCACTAAAAAGCACACTCAAGATATCGAAAAGCTGCAAGCCGATCTAGCCGCGGCACAGGGCGACCACTCGGCCTTGCTTGAAGAAGTAGCCAAGACTCACGAGAAGAAGCTGACTGACCTTGTGTCTGAGCATGAAGCTGCCGTTTCCACGCTCAAGCAGTCACATGCCTCTGAAGTCGAGACAGCCCGAGAAGAGGGCGCGTCAATGGCGGCCGCCTCGGCTACTGAGCTCGCAGCCCTCAAGAGCGAAATCGAGGCCAAAGCTGCCGAAATCACCGCTCTGACTACTCAGCGTGAAGAGTTGCAGAAGTCTAACATGGCTGAATTGACTAATATCCAGAACAAGCTTTCCGCCCTTGAGGAGGAGCATAATAGAGCTCTTACGGGCACCCAAGACAGTCACCAGACTGCCCTGGCCGAACTCGAGTCCCGTCTCACCAGCTCGCATACCTCTGCTCTGTCCGAACTAGAGCAAGCACACGCCGCTCGTGTGGCCAAGCTTGAAGCCGATGCCAACAGTGCCATGAAGACCCTCGACGAAGTCGAAGCCCGACATGCTGCAGCTCTCGAGGCAGCTCGGACCGAAGCCTCTCCAGAATCCACCGAACAGATTCGCGCGCTCGAGCAGCAGACAAAGTCAGCCGCCGCGGATATCGAAGTAGCCCAGTTCCAAGTGCAAAGCCTCAAAGGAATCTTGCAGTCAGTGGAGGGCGAAGCCAAGGAAGCCGAAGCGGAACACGAAAAGGAGGTGCAGGGTCTTGAGGAGGAGCGCGACCGCGCGATCCTAAAGATCAGCGAGATGAGTGCCCGCATGGCGGATATGGAGCGCGGTTATGCCGACCGGCTGAGTGAAGTGCGTGTCAAGGAGACACAGGAGTGGGAGGGAAGGCTGAAGGACGCCGAGGGCCGGCTGCACGCAATGGAGGGTGAGAAGATCACGCTCGTGGCGGAGCTCGAGGAGAAGGTGCGTGTCCTAGAGCGCGAGCTAGAGGCCGCCAGAGAGGCGGCGAGGGCGGTGGAGCCCGACACCCCGACTGCAGTACAGTCCGGGGACAAGGACAAGGACAAGCCGAGAAAGAGTGGTGGCCTGTCAGCCAGTCGCTGGGCGAGTGCGGAGCCGGAAACGCCCACGAGTGATACCGCTTCCGGGCATGGAGAGGATGCCGCGAGCCCGATGTCGTTGGCTGCTGAGGCGGCGAAGAAAAAGAGTCGTGGTGCGGACGACGAGCAGCAAAGTCAGAAGGAAGGGGGTGGTGGTGGTGTCGGCCCCAACGGCAAGAAAAGTAATGTGAGTGGGCAGCTTAAGGGCATCGAAGAGCAGATCAAGCAGCTCAACGAGATCAGCGCCGAGGACCTGGCGGACCATGAGCGCATGGCCGGCATGTTGAGTAAGGTGGCTGGTGGCGCCGAGAGGGGATATGAAGGGGATGCGGATCGTGTGGGTGAGGTGGGTGGTGGTGGTGAGGCTTGAATGTGTTGCAAGTGAGTGAGCGAGTGCCTGCAACCACGATCCTTGGTGGGTGATTGGGCAAAAATATTTCCTTCTTTGGATGATCGGAGATGAAGATGCAGGGAATGAAGGTTTCTTTCTGGTGGTGGTGTTGTTGTTGTTGTCGATCTCGTTTGTGGTCGACTATGGGAAGTGGTTTCGTGTTGGATTGCCCGTCACCTCCCCTTTCTGCTTTTGTGTCTCTGCTTCGCACTGTCGTTTTCAGATACCCCCCTTTCGTCAGCGATCGCATCGTTTTTATCAATAACAACAACAATAACGTGTCATTCTTAAGCGGCCAGTTGGGCAGCGGCCAGCAGCCAGCGGCACAGCGGGCTTGTGCTTCTGTGTATATTGGTATATATGTATATATCATCGTATGAATATTCATACATAAACACACACATATATACCCATTGAGGCGGTGTAGCCATGAGCTGCTGTTGCTGTTGCTGTTACTGTTTCTGCTTCTGTCCTGTTTCTCACTACTTGCGCGCGTGGCCTGGGTGTGGTCACTGGTGGCATGCGAAGCGCTTTCTGCTTGTCCCAAATCTTTTCCCAATCTGCGTCTCCCCCGGCGTTCAACAGTCATTATGCTGTAGGTGGACTAGCTAGACCTTGCGGACTGAGGGGGGGTGGGGGAGCTGCCATTATGGGAACATCGCAGCGAGCGGGGCAGCTGGATGGTTAACCAGCCGAGTGGTTAACGCGTTCAGGCCCGCATCCGCTGGGAGCTGTGTAGATACCCGAAGCGGCAGGTTATATACCGTATACGGCTACCTGCTCTGACGCCAATCATCTCTGCCATAGGTGCAACTTTCGCGGTCTCATCATTGTAACAGTTGCGTCGCATTGAACCAGGGGACCAGCTGGATATAGATCGCACCCAATTGAGGAACATCAAGTGGTGTGGGCAAGTGGGCAGGTAGTCTTCAGGACTGAAGATTCAGGTGTCGTTGACTTTATCGCTCGATGGCGATGGATGAACAGACTTCCACGCGTAGAGGGGGACTTCACGTGGGTGGTTGAGAATCGATGATCAATGTGGCGTGTAAATCGTAGGGTCGCCAAACACCTGCTCGACCTTTCTCGTGTTGAGGGAACGGACATGTTTGGCCCACGGATCATAGCACCAAAAGCCGCATTTTCCAGACTTACTCCTACGTTTGCACCGGCTGCCCCTGCAAATGCCCATCCTCTTTCCGCGGCGCCGCCCACCCAGTCTCCTTGGTCAAGAACGCCTTGATACACGTCTTGATCTTTCTCGCGATCCTCTGCCAACTTTCTCTCGACTCGGCCTCATCATCGCTCTTGGCGGGCGGCGGGATCTCCGTGTTGGCGTGGTGGCCATACTCGCCCAGCAACACGATGCGGGCGCGCGAATTCGCCTTGCGCGTCACCATGGAGGCTCCGCCCACCGAGTCGCGCAGCTTCTCGAGAATGTCGCGCTCGTCGCGCGTGAAGACGAGGATGAAGTCGTAGCCCGAGAAGAGGTCCGCGGGAAGGCCGCGGGCGCGGCGATTGCTGGCGTTCTGGCGGATGGGCGCTTTGTAGGGGTAGTTGAACATTTTGTTGTCGAAGAGGGCGGAGAGGGCGAGGCTGAAGGGTTTGCTTTCGCCGGGGGTGAGGTTCGTGATGGGGGGTGTGAGGTTGCTGAGTTCTTTAATGTAGGCGGAGCCGGAGCGGACGCGGAGGCCGGCCGAGTCCCATTTGGTGAGGATGAAGGGATTTTTGGTGAGGGTGGTCCATTGGTGGAGGAGGAAGAGGTAGGATTGGCCGATGACGGAGCGGCCGGAGTTGAAGGAGTCGATGAAGATGACGCTCGAGGGTGGACGTGGACCTGGTGAAGGGCTCCGAGAGGGTCTGCGTGGTTTTGGGGACGGGGCTAGGTTGGGTTGTGGCTGCTGCTGCTGCGGTTGGAGGAATCCCAGGGCGGCCACCTTGATGAACCAGCTATCGAGTGTCGTCTGATTTGCGACTAGCTTGTCGTTGAGGTCGCGAAGGTCACCGGCTTTGCCTTTGAGCACACCGGACCAGAAGTCTGCCATGGTCGGATTGATCCAAACCGCGCCCTTCAGGCGGCTTCCGATTTTGTTCCAGTCCTTGAGAATGGTATGGGCAACATTCGCGTTCTTCTTGATTTCCTGAACCGTGTCGTGAATGGTATCGAAGAGCTTGGGGCTCGTTGTCCGGAGCACGTTTTCTCTGTCCTGGCGCGGGAGAAGCTCTTGGGCTAGCTCGACCTGGATCTTGACTTCTCGGAGTCGATTTCCCATATTGCTGACCTCTTCTCGACTCGCTTTTACCTTCTGGTATAGCTCGATGCCTAGCTTGATGGCCTCGAGTGCCTCGCCGAATCCGACAGACATGATGGCGTGAGACTGGCGTGTTACTCACTAGGCTTTGTTCCAATGGGGGTTTAACGATCTGAGTCGGGAATCTTCCAATCATGTAGGAAGTTGCTGGTTTGGCGAGAGGGACTGATCACATATAAGACATGATGCTGCCAGATGTTTCCAACAGGGTTTTTGGTGACACACAGCCACCAGGCCGAGCGACATGTTCACATGAACGCAAGCGGGGTCAGGGCTGAGTTCTGAAAGATGTCGAGTATCTGCAGCTAATGCAGGTATTCAAGCGCCTGGGTTGGTCAGCGGCGAGGTGCGTACCACGTTGGCGGGGGTGCCTTATTGCGCCTTGCCCGTTGCATCTAAACCCCACTTCACAGCCCGACAGGAACTTTGGTACAACCTAGGGAGTCTCGATCGACTTAAACAAGCATAAGCATGAGGGAGGAATGGAAATGTTCTGATCACATGTTTGTACATCCAACTATTGCGCCGCCTGAGACTTCCAGTAGCTGTGCGTGAGTCGACCGAAGTGAAGCTGGCCTGGCATTCCGCAAAAGCCTCAAACTCCCCTTGTTGCCTGGAATCTCGTGGAACTTACAGAAATCTCCATACTGGACCACCCCGCGATCCCATGTCTGCGCTCCACACTACCTACCGCGTACAGGAAGTCATGCAGGGCGTTTGTCAAAGCGGCCGAATGCACGCCATGGTCCTGACAGTTGGAGGCCGCAGACACCCAGTCCGTCGAGATTTTTGACTGGTACCTGGACAGCGCCCGCTTGTACCGGCTGCCCAACCCTTCAACTACGCCTCCGTCCTCCCGGGCTGCTGTGGCTCCGACGAATAGAAGCCACAAAAGCAGGTCGTCTCGACCCTTCCAAAGCGCCCTTGAAGAACTAGACCCGGAGATAACGTCTTCAAGCGCAGTTGCATCCAACAGTGTGACTAGCTGTTCTGCGAGCCTTCCAGGTAGCAGTGCGAAATCCCATGTGTCCATATAGGCTGTATATGTGAGGATGAACAGCGCTAGACGAACAGCGTTAGCCACAGCACCAAGTGCAGCCTCAAGACTGATTGGCGCGGCCAGTCTTGCTTCGAGATCAGCTTGCATAGGGTCCAAGCTGACGTGCTTGCCGTGTCTTGGTTCCTGACCCCATTCAGCAACCGCCTCCTGCAGCCTGATGATATCTCCAACGCAGTCGATCAAGGAAGGGGGGATGACATCACGGTGTCTGACGAATCCGCTGGGGAGTCCAGGACGGAGCGGTTTCTGGCACCGCTGCCCAAAAACGCGCCCTAAGCCATGATTGTTAGACTTGGTAGGTACAGACACAAAGATGGGTGCAAACAGGTCCTGCCAGAACAGCGCGGACCGTGCGCGCGGCGTAAGTTGCGACTCGGATGACCGAAGTAGTCGGTCGAGGCCTTGCACATGTACTTCATGGGTCGCACTGTCTTCCCATTTGTACGCAGTTCCCCGCAAGATCATGACGGTACCTATCAATGGCGAAGTTGGAATGCGTGAGCTGGAGGATAGAGAGGCGTGAAGAGCAGAGATAGTCTGACCTCTTAATCGTAGTTGCTCCACCGTGGGTTTGCCGAGGTTGAAAGCTTGTACAATCGAATAAACCAGAGCATGCGCGAAAGCTCGGTTGGTCATGCAGTTTGGAAAGGCTGTGTTCATGTTCATTCGAGAATCAACGTGAGTGGTGTCGAAGAGCGGCTCGGCGGCGTGTCGAAAGGCTTCACTCTTGAACAGAGAATCGAGGCGTCGGATCGGAAGGTCGACATGTGTTGCTGCCAGGGTCGCGAAAGGATGTATGAATACTGGTGCTGATTTCTCGAGCGAGTGGCGTCGATTACCCACAGGTCTTTTGGACGGAACCGTTGCCGGCGGGCTACACTCTACTACCGGGGCGAGTTGAATGACTTCTTCTCTTACGGGCTTTCGACCAGGCGCCCTGCGTGGCTGTCGTGTCGAATTGCTCCCGGCAGTGGCAGGTGCCGTCCTTCTCTTGCGGTTGGATCGGATACCTGTTGACGGGGATGCCACCGGCATGAATTTGACCTGTACAGGTCGAGGATAGGTTGACTTGTGGAATGCCACCATCTTCCTAACATGAGAACGCAAAGCATGGTCGTCGCCAGGCTTGGCAGCACGTCCGGGACTCGAGATAGACACAAATTTCAATTCGGGCTGCGAAGACGCCATCGTTTGTGCTATCAGCGTGTACGCTGTTTCGTAGGCAGAGGCAATTCCGCAAAGCGTAGAGCTTCACATTCATCTCATGGCAACCTCTCCGGGGCCCAAGAGACTTGATAAAAAGCATGTCGGGGTCTACTGGAATTGCAATGGTCCCCGACGGCAATTGTCGGGCCCTGTTAGGATGGTCGAAGACGGCAGGGATCTGAGGTGCGGAGTGAAGGTTATGTTTTAAAGTTCGTATGATTAAATCGTGCTAGGCGGGGGAGAAACATTATGCAGCTATTGAAGGTCGAAATGGTGGACCTGGAAGCCTGGGACCTCCCTGGCTTAAGGTAAACCAGAAGAGAGGTCTTGCTGACATCAAAGTCGAAAATGGATCGCTGGCTGACTAAGGCGGGACACACTCGTTATGTGGCCAGTTGCATCCACAAAGCTGGATAATGGCATTGCGTATTACAGCTAGGTAATGCTGTCCCGATCTGGACGAGCCAGGATGGAACGCCCTGTGAGGCTGACAGATTCATATGCAGGCCGAAGGCTTAAAGTGTCTTGTTCCCCTTGACGGCCGCAGTCTTGTCTTGCTTCAACGTCAACTCGTCTCGTGCCCAGATTGATATCACAGCCATGGCCGTTGGACCGACAGCCAGAGTGATAGCCAGAATCTTCAACAGTGCAGCTACCCATTCGCCGGACGTAGTCTCTTCCTGGGTTCCAGCGAAACGCAATGTCACACCCCAAAGCAGGACAGACACGACCCCCACAAAGGTGTCCCATTGCAGGAACCACAACGCGCCATCTGCCAGGGTGGCGGCTTTGAGGTCACCGACGGGGTTGGCCAGAGAGAACACATTGCTTAGCTGAAGTTGTGCACTGTAGGGGGCAGCAAAGAGCGCCGGGAAAACAGTTGCAAGCGAGCAAATCAGGAGCGGTAGAAGGTGAGCCGAGGCCGTGGAGGCCAAAGCAAACATGTAAGCGCGGCGGAGATACTTAGTCGTCTTGATCTGAGTGGCCTCTGTGGAGGCTACTTGCGACTGAGGATTGAGAGCCGAGATGCCAATAGTCACGGCAATTGTTGCCAGGCAGATCCAAAACGTCCAGCCTTGCTGAATGCCAGTCCAGAGTTGTTTGGTGTCATATGACAAAATGCTCGGTGCAGGGAAAGTCATGATCAATGATGGGAGGCCAAAACCGATCATGATGCCGACTGGGATGAGCGCAACTGAGAGAGGATCCGCAGGGAGCAGATCGTGGCCCGCCGGAATGGTCACGGTAGGAGAAGAGTAGAGTTGGTAGGCGAAATACAATGGCGCTACTACAGCAAAGCCGACTATGGCTACTGCCAGGCCAAGAGCAGTAGTGGAGACGAGGAAGAGCTTGCCCTTATTTCCAGCACGCAGGCCTTCCAAGGTGATGAGGACCCATGCGCCGATAACATGGGAGCCGAGGGAGAGGAAGGCCACTGAGATGTCGCCACGATTGCCATCAATGGCAGTGTAGAAAAATGAAACCAATACTGTGAGCTGCCGGTCGACAGGTCCAATGCCGGTGTAGGTTTGCTTCATAGGCGCCAGCGCGGGCCCGGGAATCGAAGCACCTGGCTCAGTCTGGGCTCCAAGGTGTTTGAGAAGGCCATTGTTGTATGGGAAGCCCCAGAGTGTCCAAAAACCGAGCACGGCAAGGGCGATCTGAAGCGCAATAGGAACGACAAGCGATTTGGAGTCCGGGGGAGCCATGTCGCGTCACAGAGATGGGGGTCGAGCAGATTGCAGTCGTAGAGAGATTGATACAGCTGTTGAGAGGTGACAAATGATGAAAGAAGATTATGTCGGACAAGGCGGCAGCTGGAGGTTTTTACAACCTCGTCAGGCAACCACTGCAGAAAGAAAAGGACAGCAGGGGTGCAAATGAGCTGAAGTCAGCCTCCTTTCGCCAAGGCTGCAGTTCGCGCGTCGGCGACCGCGTCGGGTGGTGTGATTGGTCAGTTCGAAAAGGGCGATGCAACGGGCTTAGGCGCCAGCACTGGGCTGGCGGGCGTCATGCTCCATGGGAACAAGGCCGGCTGCTGCTCTAGTCGAAGTCGTCATCCAGAGCAGTTGAGGTCGTCGTAGTGCCGTGTAGATCGTCACGAATTCGAGCTTCCGTCGAAAAGCTCCGACACGCCAAGACATGTAGATGTGCCAAGCTTTTTTTATCATCAAACTTGCCTCGCTTGCATCGACTTCAACCTTGCTCAATCGGCTATCTCGGGCTCATTTGCGACACGACATTTACATGAGTGAGAGAAGTGCAGAATCATGCCAAAGAGAAAGCGAGATGATGCCAACGACGGACTCTCGACCCGGGCTACGTCCCAATTAGGTGCGCAGCAGCTGGCCAGATTCCGGGGTCTAGTCGAGCAAAGTCAAAAGAGCCTGGTCTCAGCACTCAGACTCGCGCGCGGCTTCGAGCGGCAAAAGATGGGCCGTAGGCAGAAGAATGCCAACAAAGATCCGAAGACTTTGCTGCAACGGCGGGAAGAGCTCATTGTGCTGAAGCAACTCGATCTCAGCAACATCGCCAAGAATCATATGGTCAAGACCTACATGAAGTCCAAGCGGATACGCGAGTCAGCTGCTTTCGTGGTTGTATATGGCCAACAGCCAAAGTTAGATACAGTGACGGCTGTTGAAGGAGTTGTGATTGGCCGGCTCTTCAACTCGCAGCCTGTCAAAGTTGCAGTCAGCAAAATCATGGCGGACGCTTACGAGGTTTTGGGCCTACAGAACCCCGCAGATGGTAAATCGAAAGCCAAGGCGCCTTCAACCGACGCAGACGTAAAGTCCTCCAATACCGCGGTCCCTGAGCTAGATCCTATGGATATCACAGAGGATGAGGAGCAAAGCGCTGATGACAGACCACTTGTTGCATCGGACGATGATATCAGCGGATCAGACGATGGTCTCGAGCGACACCAGGACCGATCGGTCCCAAGTGGAGCATCAATGTCGTTCTCTTCCGAAGAAAGCGATGAGGATGACCGACAACCACGAACCAGCGCCAGAACAGCGAAGCGCCGGGCAGCAAGACCATCAGTCTCTCCACCGCCAATGACAGCACAAACCGCGTTCTTACCATCCCTCAGCATGGGCGGCTACTACTCAGGGTCCGACTCCTCCGAAGATGACGCTGAAACCCGAGGCCCAGCCCAGGCCAAAGACCGCAAGAACCGCCGAGGCCAGCGCGCCCGCCAGCAGCTCGCCGAACTGAAGTACGGCACCAACGCCAAACATCTGCAGAAAACGGACAAGAGCAGTACCAGAGACGCGGGCTGGGACAAGCGGAAAGGTGCGGTCGGACCTGGCTCGGATGGCAAGAGGAGGAGCAAGCTCGGGAAGCCGCTGCACGGCAACCCGGCGAGGGACAAGACTAGCAGTATATCCATGCAGGCGAAAACACAAACGAAACCGAAGAGGGATGATAGTGGCCCGCTGCACCCGTCGTGGGAGGCGGCCAAGCAGCGGAAGATGCAGTCGGCTGCGCCACCGGCTTTTGCGGGCAAGAAGATTACCTTTGATTGAGTCTGCAGAACTTGTCTTCTCGGGTAGGTAGGATAGATATCAGAGACTGCGTGGCGTGGCACAGCCCTGGAGGTCAAGTTCACGCAATGAGACGATTGTCTCTCGTTCACAAAACCTGATACTCGGTTGCATCTTCTGGGTGAAGTCGTACTATAATCTGCGGTCGCTAATGAGCGCCTCTCAAAGCCATGAGATGTGCAAACATCCTCGTAGAGCCTGCTATGAACCTTGGTCTCGTGTATTTAGGACTGATTCGGTAGTCGAGTGTGGTAATGCAGCTCAAAGGACTCTTGAAAGTACGAGAGGCGTTCGAAGGCGCTTTACATTGGAGGATGTGGAGTCACGTTGAGCAGACATGGTGAATAGCAGGTCAAACGTGGAATGGTGGTTCGATGGTTCGAATGGAAGCACTCATCCAGCAGATACGTGGGTCTTTTAGTATTATTATTTGAAACGTATATCGACTAGTAGGTCAATCGTTTTCCCAGCTCATACGGTAAGCTAGATGTCATGAACATCAAACAAGGCACAAGTCCTCCTTCATTGGCTACTGGCTCTGCCAGCTCCGCCACGCTGGCTATTCTTGCACAAACGATGCACCCTATGAGAGGGAAAAAGCAAGCATTGGATTGTTTGAAGTGGCGATTTGTTGACTGAAAATGAAACAGGGGATTTGGGCCGCAAGATCCGGATTCTGGCGGTCTCGTCCCAGCGCGAGATTCCGAATGCCTCACAACCATCGAAGACCAGTGTGACGATTTGATGCTAATAAGTCATCATTCCACCAACAAAATATATGAGTATCGAGCTCATGGTGCGCGCAATGTGTCCATATGTTTATCTCCGAGGTCAAAGGGTGCCTGTGTGATGACATATTGTCCGCACTCTCTCGACACACTCCAGCCTCCGGGCCGGTGGTCGCGGAAAATCTGCTGAAGCCGCGGTTTCAGCTTCTCCTCGTTGATAAAGCGGTCGTTGAAGCAGAAGTCCTTCAGGGCAAGGCTGTCCGTGAAACAGTTGGATGCTGTGGACATGGTGGGCCGACAGGTAACTAGACGATGTGCAGCCGTAGTTCAGTCAAGTGTTTGCGTCGTTCCGGTAAGTTTGTATAAGTGTTAGAGTGGAGTTGAGGGATATGACCTGCGTTAGCGAGTGTTGAGGCTATATGTACTCAAGAGAATATGATGTACTTTGGAGAAATGCCAGATTCCCTAGCCCCCAGGCTGGTGAAATACGGGGCCACGAGTCCCAGTACCGCCCAGTATGTCGACGGCGACCCAACTGGCTAAGTTTTGTCCTTCTGTGGCCCTTGCATGGGGAAGAGCCAGGTCTGTGAGATGTCCAGCTGCTCGCGGAGTGCGCATGCCAAGGGGGGGATTTGAGGCGAGGCCAAGGCGGAAGGTGGCGCAGTGCTGGCACGGCAGGCGCCACGGCAGGCGCCACGGCGCGTATTTGGTCGTGCCTAGCCCGTGGCTTATTCTCGCTTCGCCTGCATCTGCCCAAATCCCCTCGTATCTGTTCCCATCAACACAATCTGCGAGTCCAGCCTGATTCGAATCCTTGCATAATGTCTCATCTCGTACATTCTCTATCGATCTCATACCTGAGCTTTCAACATACGCGGCACGTGCTTGAGCCTCCTTGATGACGCTATTGAAGGAGCTCGATGGGGTCAGCGAGCTGTATGTTAGGCCGAATGAGGCGACAAGGCGTGTGCTTGAACACAATCTGAGCTCGCTCTTCGTCTCGAACGACGATGAGTCTTCGGAGGTGACGCTGCTGGTCAAGAGAAATGCTCTGGCCGACCTTCTCGGAGAAAATTACGTGGCGGGCGAGCGAGACGAGCACCAGACGATGTACTGTGAAGCTGCTCTCAGGAATATCGACAGCATCGTTCAAGAGGCCGTCTTTCACCGATACACCGCGTTATCAGAAGGACTGAAAGTATTCCTCATTCGCAAGGCGAACTCCAATCTCCCGATGACCGTCTCTCACGACATGTTCGCCACCCTATGCTCATCAGCTCATGTTCCAACGCAGTTTTGGGATTTCCTGCTCCACATGGGGGAGAAAGAGCATGAAGTTGAGATCTCACCGCCGCCAGTGGTGTGTCGCGTCTTTGGTGAGGCTGGGGCTATCGAGACTCGGTGGCATCTGATGGGCTGCATTCGTCTCGTGGAACCGAACCGGCGCCGAGGAGCGTTCCTACCAAGTGCGAAATGGTCACTCAGACAGTCAGCGTTCTTTTGCTGCTTTGAACCGACCAGAGGGCAGACAAATTGGGTCCTCGTCGCACTCGCAGATCCCTCCGTGAGGCGCTCGGAAGATATCTGGAGCAAAGTCCAAGATCCAGCACGTCTCTTACCATTCCGAGTTATCTACTCCTGGTATGAGTACGCAACAAGTAATTGGAGGCCGTATGCTGTTGCCCTTGCGCAAGAAGTCGACACACACGAGTCCAACAGCCTAGGTGCCACCCCTGATGATACTGGCCCAGTGCCTATGATGCGTGCGGGCGAGAGGCAGGCCCTCACTGCACTCGATATCAAGCTTGCTTCTGCTCGACTTGCACTCCAATCCATGCTGTCAGATGTGACATCTCTGGCCCATATCTGTGAGCAAGGCTTGCAGTATATGGGATCTAAGCAGGTGAACGAAATGCAACGACTTGGGCAAGCCTTCCACGATAGCAGCCGCGACCTTGAACGAAACATTATGCGTATCGAGCAGCTGCAGGCGCGGCTACGTAACGTGACCAACCTTGTGTCGACTTTCCTGGAGCTGAACAGTGCTCATATATTGCAACAACTGGGTAAGCAATCACACATCGAGAGTGAGAATATGCGGAAATTGGCCGAAAGAAGTACGCAGGACTCGGCCAAGATCACTGTCCTGACCATTTTGACGTTGACATATCTGCCATTGACGGTAGTGTCGAACTTTTTCTCGACATCTTTCGTCGGAACAACGGCTGATCACATCTATATCACTAATGACTGGTGGTTACTTCTAGTCACGTCGCTACCTCTGACGCTGCTGACATTCTATGTCTGGTGGGTGTGGTCGAACATCAAAGCCCACGAGGACTACCCAAGTTGGTGGCCACGATGGTTGATCAAGCAATCAATGTCAGACCATATGGAATAGGTCAGCTCCTTCAGCGTGCCATACAGTTTGCCACGCAGTGGATAGTACCCACCACGGCGCTGTGAGCGCAGCCGAACGGGAGTTCAGTAGCAGCATAGACCGCCATTTCGCAGATTCAAGCGGACCTGTGAGTGCAGGCAGAGCGGGTGCCACGTGCTCGTCTGTTGCCTATCAATCGAGGTCTCAATACCCAGCCAACCTACGGCATCAGGTAAGAAGAGAATGCGAACTACGGTGTAGTCATCACCGGCTAGAACGGCTCCACGGATCTTTCAGCTGGAGTACCAGCCCAATCCACCGTGCTTAAGGCTGCAGTAGTGCGGCAGGGCTCTCAGTCGAGTGTTCGCCTGTTGGACGACTTTATGCAAGCCTCGTCGCGCTAGTGAGCGCCTGCCAAAGCCAGCCTCCAATTTGCCTCGTGTTAGGCGACGCAGCGACAGTGACACGCCGACCTCATGAGGCTCAACACCAAAATCACCACCAGAATCTTTGGTTCTAGGGAACTTTTGGCTGCTTCCACTCCCGGGCAGATTTTGTCTCATAAGTCCTGCATCAGCAATGATTTTCACTGCCACCTTAGAGCATTGTTTCCAGCGACGACAAAATCTCTTTTTCTCACAAGGCTACAGCTTCCCCACTGTATATCATCTTCTGGATTTCACCTTGCTCTGTAGCGGCTGTCTTCGCTTGAGTGCCCCAGACAGCCGCAGCGATAGCGGCAACCTTGCCAACAAAGTCAATTCGTGTACCAATCTGATCTTGACCAACCTCTCCACCCAGACACTATGACAACGAACTCTTCCGAAAGGCCTCGAAAGCGAGGCCGCCTTACGCGTTTTATACCGTCATCACTCCTACCATTGTCTTCAAGGAGTCCATCTCGGAATTCCCCCTCGTCTGAGAGCATATCAGACCAGCAGAGAGTATCACATGAGTCAACTATTCCATCTCGCGGCACTGGGGCCGCAGTGGCGGCCTCACCTACCAAAAGCTTGAACGGCGATGACACACAACAAATGTCACACAGCCGCGTTCATGAGCGTCAGAAGATGAATCCGGATCTGCAACTATCAAACGAGATCGGTACCCCTGTGGCTAATGCCGACACCGCGAGTGCGTCCAAGGAAGGTCTGGTATTCAGTAACGCCATTGACTGCAACGTCGTTGCTTGTCTGCATCCACATCCAATGCAACGCAGCAAGCCCGAAACTGTGTTGTGGCAGGATGAGTCGAGCTTCGGCAGATTAACTACACTGGCAGAAACCCTCTTGGAGCGGCACCATGTACCTGCAGGCTCAAAGCTTTATCTTCAGTATGGCAGCGCTCACATATTGCTCGATAAGCCCGATAAGCCAGAAGTTGACGTTCGCCCACTGGACGACAAAGCAGACTGGTCAGGGGAAGTGCAAACCATGATCGCGAAGGCGCTGGTACGGAAGAAGGAAACCCGTGGGCAAGAATCCTTCATCCTCGAGACCCGCTGGACTCACGGCATACTACATGGGCTGGATTCCGACACCGACAATCCACGGAATAAGATCCGTGGAGTGCTAAATGCATCACTGGTCAGGACCCAGGACGATGTGCAAGGACGTCAGCAGTACATTCCCAGGAGAGTCCTGGATACTGTCTTCAACGAGCAGAGAATTCGCCAGCTGGTCTCCAATGATGAAAGCATCAACCCCTCCATGTTCGGTACTCGAGATGCATTGTGGCAGAATGAGTTGGAATTCGCCCGCGACATCTACTTGAATGGCGTTCGCTTACTAGCACTATTTGTTTACGTCACGGATATAAAGTTATCCTTCCTTCACTATATTCTTGAACGGGCGAAGCAAAGAGGCTTTGAAAACACCCCCCTGGTCCATCGTTTCTTGAATGTTGACGACCTACCACATGATTGTCCACAATTCGAGCTAGATAGGATGCTGGAACAACAATTCAAGTTTAACGCTCACGAGTTCACCTCAGTCAGCCAGATGGAACAACCCATGCGGATAGACCTGGATTTCGACACCATTGTTCCCATTACGCATGTCGTGCAAGATGGTAAGCCAGCACTTGTGGGCAAAGGGAACTACGGCCGCGTCTATCGTGTCCGTATCGAGCCCGGACATCACAGGTTTGACGCCGATCAGTCTAAATGCTACGCACTCAAAGTTTCCAAGCGCGACCTTGAGGTGAGCGAAGAAGCTCTTGAGCATGAGGAACAGGTGTTCCGCAAACTGATCAAGGCTTCAAAATCAAGCCAGTACCTGGTTCTCTACCGTGCGATCTGGACACACAAGAGGAGACTGTACATGCTTTTCGACTTGGCAGAGGGAAGCCTCAAAGAACTCCTTTCGAGTGCGAGATCTCCCATGAGCAATTCGTCTGCGGTGACTTTGTTAGCATTACTTCGTGGCGTTGCCAAGGGAGTACAGCACATACACAGGTCAACCAGACTGAAAGAGTCGAACGAATCTCCTGCTCCTGACCATCTCCCAAAACCAAAGATTAATCCACCTTGGACAGGGTACCATCATGACCTTAAGCCAGCCAATATACTTCGTTTCAAGGATGATCGCGGGAAAGAGGTTTGGAAAATAAGCGATTTTGGCACAGCTCGCTTGACCCGAGCCGCCTATTCTGGTTCTGGGGCCAATGAATACAACAGCGGCGGGACCGGTGCCATTCGTGGCGACTCAGTTTACCGATCGCCAGATTATGAGCTGAACGCCACGTCATCGCGGCCGTCCGATATCTGGTCGCTCGCTTGCATTTTCCTTGAGGCACTTTTGTGGGCATTCAACCTTGCAGTATTGGATGAGAGCGACGAGTCCTTTGAATGGAAGAGAACCAAAAATAGGGGCGCTAAGGGCGGTGAAAGCCAAACAACCAGCAGCGCAACCTTTTGGTACTCCTACTACGACGAAGAGGGTCATGCCATGATCGAGCTCAAGCCCGTTGTCAGGGAGTATCTTAACCTACTGCAGCAACACTGTGAACACTGGGGTGTCTTCGCTGATCTGGTGCGTATTCTCAATCGGATGTTTAATATCCCATCAAAGATCCGACCCAAAGCTCCCGAGATTGTGGATTACCTCAAGCGTCTGCAAACGCAAGCCCAGGCAGATATCGACGCAGGCGCCGACTATTCGAAACCACTCGGAACAACGCCCAAAGCCGAGCGTGTGACTGACCTCCGAGGAGGAAGCGTGCTTGGTGGGGAGGAGTACAACCATGGGCCAGTACCTGTACGCAGGCATATTCGACGGAACACCATATCCAATGCGCAACTACAGAGATCCCATATTACGGATTTTGATGCCGCAAACTTGCACACCACCGGTAGTCATTACGCCTCCTCCTTGCTGACGGATAGCGCACGACCGACGCCACAGACGCCACCGCGACTTGTCCAACAATCAATGGAACAACGATTTGCCGCCACCGTCACAGCTCCTGACGGAACTCAGTCGCACATTTCTCAGACTGCCAGTGGTGGTGATGGAGCTGCAGATCCACTTGAGATGGTAGCGGTTCGTGGTCCAGGTGCCTGGGATGGATTCCAGGCGAACGGTCATGGCCAGACAGAATCTGAAATCAATGGATACCGTCGATCCGAAGAGACGCAGCGATAAAATTCAGGCCGCTGAGTCCACACTATCATTTCCGATGAACCTAAGGAAAAGCGTTGGCGTTTGGTATAAAAATTCAGCAAGCAGAAGCCGCGGCAAGGCTGTGAGAAAGGGGTCGCTTGCCTTGGCTTGGCGCTCCTCGGCCCTACTTATATCATGAGCAACGTGTATAGAACTGTACCAACCATATCAGGTACGTGTGATAGATATTCAATGTTACCCTCAAAACACTCTCGATGACTCCAGAGGTCTTGTGAAGCAGAGACAAGCCCCAGCTTATGCGGCGATAGTTCCACGCCGAAGGCGAGCGGGGAGTTGTGCTTCGACACTAGTTATGGAGTACGCCTCCATGGGTCCGGGCATTGCCGGCCACGCTTCGTCCCGTGATCTTGTCGGAGCTTGCGTCAATATAGGTAGCAAGTTTGTGAAATGCGGCCGGCGCAGGCAAGCTGTTTTCTATCATGCATAACTTCCCTCAGCCAGCACTAGCACCATGCAAGCTTGTACACAACTCGACTCTCCGATATTTGGTTGTATATCCGTATTTCACAGCTCTTGCGTGCGCGACGCGCATACTGCAGCAGCACGAGTCGCCGAGCCCTACCTCAATCCAACTTACCCACCTCTCTCGACACCGGCACCCCCTCCTCGTTCAACCGCCCATCCTCTTTACCCACCCCCACCCCCACAACACCATGCTCCTGCAACCCCTTCTCCCCTCTTCCCTCCCCTTCCACAGTAGTTCCCGCCTCGCCGCCAAAAACTTCCTCCCCATCCAAACTCCCCGGCCCCTTGAAATGATGGCGCGCATACGCAAAATACCACACGGCACTCACAGCCGCAAAGCTACAGAACACGACACTCGCGTAATTCATCGAGCTCGCGCTCACCGGCAGCGTGACGGGCATGCAGAAAATAACGACGGCGAAACAGATCCAGACGAGCGTCACCCCGTTGATGAGCGGGCCGAGCATGTTCCCCAACGGAAAGGGGGAGTTGCGGACCAAGTGGCGCTTGCGCACCAGAGAAACCAGAATGGGAACGCAGTAGGAGGTGGAGAGGCAGATGGTGGCGACACCCGTGAAGGAGTTGAAGGCGGCCGAGGAGCCGAAGTAGATGCAGCCCAGGGCCATGTTGACGAGGGAGGAGAGGAGGACGGCGTTGACGGGCACGTCGACACGGTGGTTTACCCGCCGCCAGAGCGTGTAGCCTGGGATGGCGCCGTCGCGGGCGAAGGCTGGTGATGGGTGATGTGTTAGCTGAATGGCGGAGTAACGTGGGCGGTGGGTTGATTGCTTTATTAGAGGGTAGAGGTAAAAATCGAGGAGGGGGGTTTTTTGTGGGCGCTGGGCCAGGGTTGATTATTTTACACTCGGAACGTTAAACTTACCCCATGTACAGCGTGAAGCGGCAGTCAAGGCGCCCACACCAGCAAAGACCCAAATGCCGAGGATGAGGAGGAGAAGACAAAACCCGCCAGCGTTGGAGCCGGTCACCGTCTTGAACAGTAGGCCGATGGGCTGAGGGACCGACAGAAGCAGCTCGATGTCGGGGAGCACGAATAGGATGGGCAGCAGGTAGATGATGCCGGTCAGACCGGCCGCGGCGACGGAGAGGACCATCGCTTTGGGGACTTCGTGGGCCGGGTTCTGCACTTCTTCGCACATGGCGGCCACCATGCCGTAGCCGGTTAGGACGTAAGCGGCTGTAACATTGTTAGTTGGGGATGGAGGCCTTGGTGAACAGATAAGAGGGGCACTTTACGCTGCAGAAGGCCGACGAAGAACGACCAGCCACTTGGCCATCCACTGGTAGAGGCATCATAGTGTGTGAAGGCGAACTCGGCCGAGCGACGATCCTTGCAGGTGACGAGTAGTGTGATGAGGATGATGACGATGCTGGCGCCGGTCCAGTAGATGCAAGCCTTGTTGATGAGATCCAAATATCTTGAGCCAAAGATATTGACCAGCGCGCAGAAAATGGTCACAGCCCAGAAGCAAAGCACCGTCTGCCACTGGTTCGGCGTGTAGCTATCGTTGAAGATAGAGATGGCGCTCAGTATCAATTGCGCGCCGCCAAAGTTGATGGATAGGGTGACGGTCCAATTGCCAACCAGCGTCATCCAGCCATCGATGAAGCTGACGACGGGAGCGTACTTGCGCGTACTGAGGATGGCGGACCAATGGTACACGCCGCCCGAGGTTGGGTAGACGGCGCAGATTTCGGCCAGGGAGGCCGCTATGCACAGCGAGATGAGAGAAACCAAGATCCAGCCCCATATGATGGTCACCGACTGGCCGTTGGCGAAGGTGACGTAGAAGGTGGTCGAGAGGCCGTAGGGAACGGCCATGATGGCGAAGGACAGGCCCAGCACGCTCATCATGCCCAGCCGCTTTGGGAGCTCCGAGGCATACCCGGCTTGCTGCGCCGTGAGAGAAGTTCTGCGAGACATGTTTGGAGGTGGCGATTCGCCGCGCTCTGGGACGCCGAACGGTGTGATTGAAGAAGACAGCCGGGCGGAGATGAGTTAGCTCGGCGCTCTACCTGCTTGGAAATTCTATAACACGCGAGAGGACTGGCAACGCCTGACAGTATGCAACAGTTAGTATACCGCGTCTAGCAGAACCGTAGTCAACATCCAAGCTGTCTGGGAATCCAAGAGTGAGAAAGCTACCTAGGCAGGGTTTCGGCCCCTCGCACGTGAGATGTTGCATCGTTGATGTCCAGGCCCGCCGAGACTGGAAGCATAAAGGTGGGCGGTGGCCAATGGTTTGGCTTGTAGCCTCGCTAGAGCCCCGACGTCGGTGCCGCTAGCGAGACAAGCTCGACAAGCTTCGGGCCTTCCCCGCTACTTCGTGTCTGGGCGGCCATTGGCTACACATCTTCATGCCAAGGAAGCCCGCCCCCCCTGTCGTTGCCATCCATGCATGCACTGCGAACCACCTCTCCCTCCGCGAACCAAGTTGCTGCTTGGCGAGCTTGCATGACTGCCTAATCTACCTCGCGGTCATCAGGCTGTGCGTCAGTCCAAGACTGTCGACTCCCGCTGCCACATCATCAGGCTCCAGAGGCGTTCCGCGGGGCTATTTAAGCCCTCGCGGCCCATCCCCGATACTCAGCCTTGTCAGGTATGTTAACCCAACTAAAAGCAAAGGCACAGTAGTCTCTTCCTTTTCGTCATCCTAAACCACTTGCCCGCCTCTCGTCCCACCTTTCTTTAAGCATCGGAAGACCCCCCCACCGGCGTCGACGCAAACACCCCCAAAGCAACAACACCCATCACTAGCATTCATGGACGCCCGCATGTCCGAGCCGGAGACAATCTGGCCCAGCAACATCCGCCGCCTCGACTGGCCCGCCGCGGGCATCGAGTACTCGTACCCCGACAGCGGCTACGTGCAGCCCCAGCGGCTGGACCACTGGCTCAATTCGGCCTTTGGCTTTGGGAAGGGGCGCGCTACTGTACGTTTCAACCATCACAGCCTTGAATGTGAGGTGAGGGAGGGGTTTTTTTTTTTGAGGGTTTTCAGGAGTGTTGAGATTACTGTGCTTGACTACTGACTTTTCTGACCTGCCGGTGGAATTTACAGTTGTTTAACGGGAGGCTTTACATCAAGGCGCCGAGGAAGCCGACGCAGGTGAGTCACTGAGTGGTGTTGTTGAGTCTGTGGAAGGATCAGTCCCATGGCAGTCCTGCTGTTTTCCTTGTCTAGTAGACAATTGTTGTTTCGTGGGCCTTTTGCCCGCGCCCACAGCCTATGAGGCCGGGACGAGCATGGCCTTCATTATTCTCCCCTGAGAACTTCCTATGCCGGGCCCCCCCCCCCCCCCCCCAACAGCGAAAGCTTGCGTGAGTGCCGACTGATCTGATCTCATGGCAGGAAGAGTACAGGTGGCTGCAGGGCGAGCGGCCGGAGGACAAAGTCCACGTCGCAGAGATCGGTGGATATCTCTACGCGCCGTAGTTGCCGGCGTCATTGATAACATGGGATGTTCTCCTGTGAGCTACTGTTACAATCAAGGTTAATCCCGCCCTAGGGTGATTTCATGCGCTGTTAAGCAAGACTATCCTATTTGACAGCTCGGATTTGGATGGCCCGAGGGAGCCGCACCATTGAAGTAATGCAACGCGAGGTAATGTAGGCGCTTAGCGCAGGGATTGGGAAGCGATCCAGCCACCTGGAAACGTCGTACGCAGACCACCTCGATCTTCCGGATGCCTCCACTGCGTACGCCGCACAGTAGTCGTCTGCTTCTTCCTCGATGTTTTGGTCCCATAGACCGGCCACGTGACTTTCGCCTGAATCTTTCTCGAGATTGTCGTCGTCCCCGTCATGCGTCTGATCAGAGAGTTCCTCAAGGGCGGCTTCAAGGGTAGCGTTGACATCTTTGCCTGACGGATGCTCGGCGCTGTGAGACGTAGTGCATGGCTCATCAAGATAATCATTCGAAAGTTCGTTCTCTTGACTGAGGCTGTATGTACGCAGTTGATTCTTCGGGACAAGGCGAATCCACGAAAAGCACAATTGGTGTCGGGCAACCTGTCTGTGGCGGTGGGATTGGCGTGATGAAAAGAAGCAAATGGAAACATATGAATGCGCCTGTATATACAGAAAACCGTACTTCCCCTGGTGATAAACGACGCGCGTCTTCCATGGATTGCAATTGTAGATGTGTCGACGATTAACGCGCGTCAAGTAGTTGCGGCTCGAAGTAAGCATGGTGGTGGAGGGTATAGCATATACATACATTACTCGCCCGCATCAAAGCGGCGTCGGCGTGCGTATCTAATGCCGTTGCGTATATACATGTTCGTCGTCTGACACTATCGCTACCTCCCAGGATCACAGGCATCCTATGTATCTTAGGGGCACCACACCTGCAGGCTGAACCAACGCTGTATCCGCCAGCCGTCAGCCGCGGCTCCTGTCACAGCACCTTGATGGTCGTTCAACAGTGCATCCGTCACTCGAAGTGTTTCTGGTATCAATACTCATCCATCTACGTATCCCACGCGTGCTCAATTGCGTCCCACCATCCTCGTGCTAGACATCTCATCCCACCCAGGAATGCACAATGCTTGTTCCAATAAAATGCAATACAACGCCATGCCATCCCATGCCTCGCTGAAATGCATCAAGTTTCTCCCAAATAAATAATGCCGCGCGCTGAGAACGCTCAGTTGAGGTGCTGCATAGTGTCGAAGTGAAGTCCAAAGCAGTCGTCGAAGAATCAAAAATCAAAACGATTGTCGCATTTCGAATGTCGTGTACTTTTGGTTTTCTATAGCTGCCGTTGCCGTAGGCCCAGGGCATATGCTTTCGTTTGTCGGCGAGTCGCTGTTGTGACCTGCTGCATCATGGTTGCTGCAACTTTGCCAGAAGGGCATCGAGCTCTTCCCAATTACTCTGTGTGGTCGCAAACTTGCGGTGCTTTCTGCTGAGAATATGCTGTCTAATGTTAGCTTGCGCTTCAGAGCGAAACAGGTTCGCACTGACCTCCTCAAAGTCATCATATTTATCCCGGCAATTCTCACAATACCCTGGCTTAGGGTCTCTTTGCATGCTCTTCTTCTTGTTATTGCTCTGTTTCATCTTCGGTTGCATAGATTCATCGTCATCCTCCTCGACGACCCCGAGCTTTTCCTGGGCTTTACTCTTGGCGGCTCTCGTCGGCGGAGGAGCTCTAGCATTCTTCAACGTGCCCGCTAGATCATTCATGCGGTGCGAGGATGGAATTGATCCAACGGAGAGCGAGCCAGTATTGGTGCGCTCGAGGACCTTGCGCTTGAGCTCATGAACTTCTTTGCTGGTGGTGCTTTTGACGCCCGTGGCAGCGGTAGAGGAGATCATGTTGGACTGAATGGCAGATGTCATTTTGGAAGGTTGAATGCCAGAAGCAGCAGGCTCGCGTGACATGGAAAGCAGTGAGCCCGGTGCGCGCAGGAAGTCCCCAGACTGTTGAGGCATAGGTGGGAATGACAGGTTGGAATCGGCGCGTTTATGTAGGTGGGCTGGGTTTATGGTGGCAGGCGTCGGCGCTGGATTATGGTGGACTTCTCTCAGAGCCTTCCGAGGACTGACTCGGCGTGGAGGCTGCATCTCCTGGGTTCGGCGCTGCTGTGCGGCTCTGCGGGCCCTGTCTTGCTCTGTTTCTCGTTGTTTGTACCCTGGATCCTCCACAAAAGGGCATTTCCCTACAGCGGCGGACCGGAATTGCGGCCATTCTCCTTCTCCGCGGCGAGCTGGCTTGTATTCACGAACCATAGTTGGCCGATACTTCTCATCCATGTCGTGGACATAGATATAAGGGCCTTTGAAGGGAACAAGATCACGCAGCTGGCTGGGCTGGTCCCTCTCTGATGCGGCAATCTTGTCCTTCCGCAGCGCTTGCGACAACTCTTCCTGCGGACGCGTCGCAGGAGCACGACTGGTCTGGCTTGAGCCGTCGTCCAGTATCGAGGTCAATACACGTTGCAGCTTTTCTGCCGCCCAGATCTTCATGCCCATCTGACGACCGCGGTGGAGGATGTCAACGTTGACATTCTCTCTTCTTTGTCGGATGGTCTTATCGAGCAGTGACGGATTGATTGTCTGTAGCTGGTCATCCTGGCCGGACGAGGCCGATGCAGCAGAGGAGACATCTTCTGAAGGGATGGAACGGGTGGTGATGATGTGGGTGACGGATTTCGAAAAGAACTTCTCTTCTTTCTGGAGACACATTAGCTCAATCCAAACCAGAACAGCCGCATACATACCGCTCCTAGGGCCGATATGTGGCGCACGAAACGGGCTCTGGCATCATCACCAACACTGTCAAAGTAGAAACTGTAGGTCGGAAACAGCCTTCTGTAGTGCTTCTGCCATTGTCTGATCGAGTCTTCCTTTGAGTTAGATTCGACGTTTTTGGTAACACGCATGCTGGTCTTCTCTCTAGCAGCCACTAGCCTTTTCTGAAAGGCAGTCGAGCCAATGGTACCATTGCCTCGCTCGAAGACTTGACCTTCAGCAGTCGGACGAGCAGGGGTGGCAGGGCCATTGTCTGCTCTGTCGACGGCGAGACGCTTGTGAGGATGTTCGTTCTCCTGCTGCGAGACATTGGCCTGGTGTCGGGGACGTTTGGAGCCGCTGTTGGTTAGCAGGCGGTGCGGGCTGTTGGTGGCATTTGGAATGCTGGCGAGCGGCGCTCGTCGTGCAGCGCTAGCCATCTTCGACAACGGATCGTGAGGCGATGGCGGAATGAAAACAGCGGCTGCCATCAACAGGGTATGGGCGATCGTGCAGAAGTGCAGGTGGCGGAGGTATTGAGACAGGGATTCGAGGGGAGGAGCGGCTCAAAACGCGGTTGAACGCGTCGGTGGGCGGGCGGGTTAAGAGGTGTGCATAATTTGATACGTTGGTGACGATAGGGATAATCGGACACACGACAGGGAGGAGAAGATCAACCACTCGAGCCAGACCCGGGAGCGATCTGGCAGAAGGGGAGGGAGCGAATGTGGGAAAATGAAGTGGGTGGTGGTGTTGACAAGCAGAAGAGCTGGGAGCTTTTGGAGATGGGGCGGGAAGCGAGGCTGCGCTGCGTTAGTGTCCCTCGTGGTCCTGGAAACCGCCCACCCAGCAAATAATAAACACGACTGCTGCATTGCATTGAAAACCCCACATCAGGATAACAGAAACACACGGTGCTAGATACAAATCCTGGTATAAAGGGTGGTATGTCATGCAATATTGTATATAGAGAGGAAGCGCTATGTTCACCTCGTCGTCGCCAAATTTGTCTTGAGAGTGTGTCATGAATAGCTGTTGTTACACCCTTTCAACCTCCCCGTGAGCGAATGCTGTGTGCTGCCATCCAATTAATGGCACCAGGGTATCTCCATTCAGCAGCAAATATCCAATACAGCCCTTCCCGTTGGCTATGCATGTATGCTCGATGAACGCTTGCCAAAACCAAATCAATCTGTCGCGAATCTGTCGCAAACTGTAATCCCGGAAAAAAAGCCCCTCAGCATGACTGGGGCCCTTCTAGTTGATGATATGTCTGGCGCCGTATTTGCCCAGGACACCGGGCTCTCGGGGCTTTGGGCTCCTGTCGCGGCCTTTCTTGCGGCTAAGGAAGCCTAGCATGCTCCCTCCTTTGTCGTTCCGGTTATCTGCTCCTGCATCTGCTGGGAGACTGGAGGTCTGGTCCGACAATTGCGACCAGCTTCCGCTCTCGTCCAGAACCATCTGTACTCCTCCGCCTTTACTCATCTGTCGCGAGGCAGCCTGTGGTCTCTGAGGAGGAATCGGTCGGCTAAACGACTTGGATGCCGAGGGTGGTCGCGCCACTGACATCGGATTCGAGGTTTGGGGCAGTGCAGTTCGGAGCTCCTCTAACTGTGGAAAATTCTGTGCTTCTTGAGGTTCGGTAGAGATCGCTGTTGCTGTGATCGGTGGTGAACCGTCCGGTGAGGCTGGCTGTGACTTGGCATGAGATCTGTTCGAGCTGGTTGTGTCTAGTTGGTCATCTGCTGGCGGCACAGTGCCTGCTACGGCTTCTGCCGCTTGTCTATACACTGTTAGGACACATCGAACCACATCCGAAGCAATACTCACATCTCGTAATTAGCCAAAGTGTAGTCGAACGGCTCGAACATAGTCTCGATCATACGATGCAGCTCATCGTCGCGAATCTCGCGGCTAGTCGCATCATGCCGCAATTCAGCACGGGGCTTCTGCTTCCGCGCTCTGGCCTCCAGTGGAGCTTCCTCCAATAATAACTCTTCAAGATCGTACGTCGCATCAAAATTGGTCTTTTCGCTAGATGGCACAAAAATTGGAGGAATTTGCTTTTGTTCGAGCGCATCAAAGTCCAGGGGCTTGAAGAAAGGATGGTTAGTGAAGGTGCTGAACCCAGCCGCCCCTATCCGCTTCCGCCTATCCTTTTCCATCAAGGATGTCAGTGCGTGTAGACAGGGCATCGATACGGGTGGCTTGGTGACGTGGTATTTCGGGTTGGCGGCGCACACATTGTCGGCCAATTCATCGTGGCTTTTGCCATCAAATGGCCTCTTGCCGTAGATGCATTCGTAGAACGTGACTCCTAGCGACCACCAGTCGACCTCACTGAGATATCCTGAGCTTCGAAAGACTTCCGGCGCCAGATATGCCAGGGTACCGGATTTGCTGGTTAATAGTTTTGTGGGCTTGAAATCTGATGCCACATTGAAATCCGCCAGGTGAACGTGGCCTTCGGAGTCGAGTAGCACGTTATCCGGCTTCAAATCGCGGTGGACGATACCCTGCCCATGAATGTATCGCAGCGCACACGCGAGCTCGCCCATCCAAAATCGTACACAGTCCTCGGTGAAAGCCTTTCGCTGAATGTGAAATCGCAAGTCGCCACCGCTCATCAGATCGACGACAAGATAAAGATATTCGATATCCTGGAAACTGTACCTCAGGTTACACAGGAAAGGGTGGTTCAGATGTTCAAGCATTCGCCTCTCGCGGATTATGTTTCGCACGCTTTCGGAACGGACCACTAGACGCTACAGTCAGCATGACACACAGACAGCAAACGCACGTGCCGGCCATCTCACCTTCATCTTTGCGAATGTATTTCAAGGCAAAAGTAAGGCCTGAATCCTTGCGCTCAACAATGCGAACTTTACCAAAGGCGCCTTTGCCCACGACGCGCAATAGGCGAAAGTGGTTCAGATTGACTGGGAAGGTCTGTCAGTAATTCCGGGCACACAGACTGTAATTGTTGCTGCCTACCCTCGTCGGTCAGGACAACCGGCTTGCCTTGCGAATTACCCATTCTGACTTTATACCAGGCCAAAAAGTGGTTGCAGAATGGACCAGGGTGGGTGGTCTGCAAGCGCCGTCATGAAAAAGTGTGGTGAAGATTATGCGCTGCCGTTTCCTCTCAAGATCAAGGCCGTTGGACGAATCGAAAGTCTAGATGCACATGACATCAAGATGAATTATGAAACTCGCCCGCAGATCGGGGTGCAATGCAACGGTCCGGTGGTAGGCGGCACAGGAAGGTCGTAGCAGTAATTATTGTCGTAAAGGAGAAGTGAATGTCGGTGTGGAGGGGGTTTGCTGGTCGTGATAGCAACGAAGACAAGACGACGAGCTGGAATTTTGAACGAAAAGACACTGGCATCCACCATCTGCGACTCGGCTGAGGAATGGGAACAAATGCGGCTAGATGGGCTGGCGGTCGACCACTAATTGCAATCACCAATAATGGAGAGAAGATCAGGGTGGCACATGGCACAGAGCGGAGAAAAAAGGTTGAAGAGAGTTAAAAAAACGAAGATGTGGACGGGCCTGTCTATCAGACATGAACATGACACGCTCTACGGTCTACCGCTCCAGCGCCCACGACGGCGTCAGCCAATCTATCTCCATGGAATCATCTGCCTGTGGGGGCGCGTTTCATCTTCTGGGCCTCGCTCTTCCAGAAGGCTTGACGATCGAGCGCCCGGAAATCAGGGCCATCATCATAGCACCATCGTCGTCTTCCCAGAGTAGAATGGCGGGCGCTGAGGCTACAGTAGTCTCGGGCCCCAGCAAAAACACCATCGGCTCCAACAGGAGCGTGGGCTACTGACGGCCGACAGTTTCTGCAACATACGGGAGTATGCCCATCAAACAAGAGCGGCTTAAAAAGGCCTGGGTCAACCAACAAAAAAGTCTAGCACGGAGCACGACGAGTACAGGGGGCTCCTCCGTGAGAGACGGGGCCAACTTGCTGCAGGTTTTAGGCTTGCAGACTTGCAGCAAGGCGACATGCAACCCCCCGTCTAGCGGCATGGCCACATGTCTCGATAGCTCCAGGGTTTGATGGCAGCAGGGATGCTGGTAGGCTTGATTTCTTCTAGAAGGCCTGTGAGAGGCCAGCGGGATCCCCAGGCCCCGGTGGCTGCCACGTGCCCGTCTCCTTGGGAGGAGTTCCAACGACGTTGTTTCTTTGTTCCCTGCAGCTCTCATCCGTCCAGTCGCGACTCGCGTCCCCTTGCGTACTACAGTAGGGTAGCTTGGCCTCTGATGGTCGCCTGATGGTCGGGCGTTTCGTCTCTTCGCTGACCTCGGAAATCCTTCTCATGCTCAGCCTACAAGTACGCCACGACAGCTGAAACGAACTGAACGATAGGCCATGGCTCCCACCCTCACCAGCCGCGGAACCTTCGCGCGCAGCCCTATTTATTCCGCTCTTCGTATCCGCTCGTGGCCTGCATTGCCCACCCTGCACCATGCCCGCTGTCCATTGCCACCACCGACCAAAAACCACAATAATGCCCAGGCTGCACTATTAGCGGTGATCTCGAAGCCGGTGCCGCCGTCCGCGTATCAACCCTAAAGCACCTGTTTCAGGCCTGGCCTTCTCCATGGCTCACTGCCCCTAACCCCCTTCCGGCCGCGTACCGAGGCTTTTAGTCACAGGCGCTAAGTTTGCCCCAATTCCTTCGGCTTCAAGCGCGATTCCAATTAGGGCCCCACCGTCTCAAAACCTGTCAAGCATGACTGCCGGGCGATCAATCGCTCTCATCACAACTGGTCCGACGCGAATACGCAATTTCGATAAACACGATGATGTGCGGTGTACAGTACGGAGTACGCGTGTGTGCGAGTCGATATCCTTATCTAGATCGAGGTCAGCACCTCGTTGATGACCTTCTGAAAATCGCTGCTCGGTATCGTCTCGGGTGCGGCAGCCGCCAACGGCATCAACCTACCTCGATTTTCTATTGCTTGTAGACCAATGCTTTCTCCTCGTGCCCCGGTGCGATAAGTGCTCGTTTGCATTCAGCACGATGATCCCAGAGCTGCTGCTGGTGAGGGTCCAACACTGCCACAATTGAAAAATATAATTGTCAAGGGCGATACAGTCATACCGCTGCAAGCATCGGAGGTATCATCAGCAGAATCTCAGAGCCTTGTATCAAGAAAACCGTGATGAATCTCTGTTGCTCTTCAATATCCGAAACAATGAAATCTTAGTAAAAGTCGATGTTGACGCCTGCCGTAGGGGCTCCCCCCTGGTTGCCTTACAAGGCGACACCTGCCTTCTTGTTCACATTACATACTCACTTACTTTAGTGCAGACCTTCTTCACCTGCCTCAGTCATCCCTTGTGGTGTGGATGCCATGCTACTGCCTCTTGTATTGTCAGTATCATCACTGTGAATGCTGTCTCCGCCTGTTATAGAACATGCCGGCAACGTGTTGCCTTCACTTCCCCGTAGTACCAGCCTCATGCAGCTAGATCAGTAGAATATTTTCAAACGACGGATAACAGCTTCAAACGAGGGGCGCCCATCACCCAGGCACCAGGTAGCCTGCTTGAAAACTGCATTCTTTGAAGTTTTTCTTCTCCAGCAACACTTTCGAGACCACACCAGACCGTCCCTGACGACGACTTCACCACTTTGGAAGCGTTTCTCTTCGTCTTTCCTCTTCTCTCGTCTTCACCGACAAGCTCACCACTATCATCATGTCCTCCTCGTCCTCCGCCGCCGCCACCAACACCCCCGCCGCCAACACCGGCTCCGGCCCCTCTTCTTCCGCCTCTCCCGCGCTCTCTCCTCGCGCCCTGGCCGCCAATGGTCACTTCTCTGCTGTTGGCGCCCTCTACGCCCAGCAGCTCGACACCCACGATGCCGACGACGACGCCAAGTTCCCCATCCCAGCCATGACCGATGAGCAAATGGACGAGTGGGAGCAGGGCTTCGCGAGCGTCATTGCACCCCACCCCTCCTCCGCCAACACCACCACCAACGCCGCCGGTCCCGCCGCCGGTGTCCGCGCCCGCACCAGTGGCACCAATGCGCCAGTTCCCCCCGCCGCTCAGACTCCCTCCGGAGGAAACGTCGCGGCCTTGGCTGCTCTTGCCCGTGCCCGTCCTGCTCCGCCCCGCGACACCGCGGGCAAATACCTCGGAGAAAAGGTGACCGCCGCTCGTTTCGTTTGCTGGGAGCGTGGTTGCGGCGTCAGCGCAACCAATTCCCGCGAGCTGTCCGTGCACTGGAGGAAGGCTGTGCACGGCATGGAGAGTGGCCGCGGCAAGCGAGACCCTCGCACCAAGGCCCGCTGGCAGGTCACCGAGCCGTGGCGCTTCGTCCACGACCAGACGAACGATGCCGGCGCTGCAGCCCAGTGGGCGCAGAATGTGTGGGAATTTCTCGCCGTCTGCGAGGAGAATGAGCAGGCCAGAGCGCAGCAGCAGTAGCAGCAGCAAGGTTAGGGTTTAGCTTGGATCGAGTCGTAAGTTTACCCCCCAATAAACGAGAACCACCACGAATTAACGACAGAGGTCAACTCCTGGCGTCGACAACGGGTCCTGGCAGCATAAAGAGCCAGGCGGGCGACTCTATGTTGGCCACGGAAGCGAGAACGGGTCTTCCTAAACTTTGGCTCGCGACTTGACCTCACCTTCTCGTGGTGCGAGCTGTGAGTACTCCTCTGGAGGAAACCAAAAAGGTCAAACAACTCTTCGGAGCGCATTGTAAGTAACAAACCCACCTTCATCCTGCTAGAAGCTACCACCAAGAGCAACAGATCATGAGCAAATGCGACCTAGCTAGACACTTAGCTTCGTCGAGGGCCCACAATCAACTCCTTCGGCCTGAATGTACTCACTGCTTATCATGAGTGAAGTTCTGAAGCTGTGAATACAGAAATTCAAGTATGCTTGATGTGAAGCTCCAAAGGTGTGGTTGATGCGCGGCGCCGGGATAATGTTGGACCGAGGACGTGCCTCCATAAATATCGCGTACACTCGTCTTTGTACACACTCCTGCCTTCCTTACTGCATCCGGCCACAATGAATGTAGGTGTTCAATATCTTCTTTGTAGGATCACTACCTCTTTCGGCCATAGCTCTGTGGTCGCCTGTTGCTATGTGTACCTGTTGTCGCTCCGATTATGAAACCTTTCAAGGTAAGCGCTGCTTCTCGCGTGCAAAATGGGCAATATCATCTCCACCATACGAGATGAAGAAGACAGATTCCTAGAGCAGCACCCTCGCCCCGCACTTGACTTGATTCAGGAATACAAGTATAGGGAAACCGGCACCAAAGCAAATTGGACACACGACAGGGAGAAGCTCACACGACGGTCCAAGCGATGGGCTCTGAAGAAGAAATTCAATACCGCGGCTTACAGGTTCCTCACCCAGCGCGCCTTGATCAACAAAAAGGGTCATGGTGACCTTCCATGGGAAGCGACAGACCTGTTGGGTGCAGGCTCGTTCGGTGTAGTAGGTTTGTGGCAACAGATCGATCCCGACACTGGCAGAGTCCTGGACTCGATGGCCATTAAGGAGACGCTGGACGACGATCCCCACGCATACATGGATATGTTCAAACGGAAACACCCAAAAGAGCCCATACCCACCGAAGCACTGTGGATGGACTTCCTCAGCAGAAGATCATCTTACATACCCAACCTGAGACAGCTGGTACACTTCAAAGACATGCCTTCCAAGTGGCGCTTCTACATGGAGTTCTGCCCGAACGGCGATTTGTCAGATCTCTTGAAGATATATAAGGAGTTCAATGACAACCATGGAAAGAGCGACCAGTAAGTACAACAATCCGTGTCGAGACTCCGTTGACAATCACAGCCAAGTCATACCAGAGCCATACCTATGGTTCTGCTTCTACAACATGGCACAGGCGTTGCAGGCCATGTATCTGCCCAAAAATACGCATGCGTGGATCGATCGAGATCTCCGTCATGATGTGCCAGATGCTGACAAGTTCATTCTGCACTTAGATATCAAGCATCAGAATAGTGAGTATACGTGTTCATTGACAAGCGATAGCTAACAGTTATCAGCTCTACTGGGTCGATCTTGGAAGCACAAGCATCTCGCGGGCTACCCTCCAGCTAAGATGGCCGACTTTGGCCTTGCCCAACTCACCAGCGTGAACCACTATAGAAATGCCAAAAAGTTCCTAGGCATGGGCACTACGGTTTGGCACCCGCCCGAGCAATTGGATCGGGGTCACTTCGACTGTGAGTGGAATGATCCCATCGTCCATCCTCGCAGAGACAACACCTTCCCTTTTGATCCACGACATGGCGTGTGGCAGATTGCCGCTATGGTCTACGGGATGGCCACCCTCACGCCAAACAATCTCGGACTGAATAAAATGCTCGAGAGACTATATAAAGACACGGGAGCCGAGTCATATCTACGACGACGAAAATTCTCACTTATTGGTGGCCAAAGTCCTGACATACGCAAAGACTATTCCCACCTCTTGTACGAGACCTTGGACGACTGTCTCAATGTCGATCCGGACAGGAGGCCATACCCGGAGAAGCTGGTGCGAATTTGCGAGGAAGGCATTAGGGCTACGGCTAGAGGGCTAGAAAGGACTGGAGGTTCCGCGCCTCCAGTCTTTTATGGCCCGAATGGGAAGTATGAGCTGGAAGACCATGTGAAAAGAAAGAAGAAAGCACCCGAACGGCGGGAGAGACGGCGAAGTGAGCTTCCAGGGCAGGGGCGTAGACGAAGGGATAGCTATATGCGATAGTCTTTTGAATACAGCTGTGTCTTGCATGGAGAAAGGAAACGGTTGTCACTATCTCAGAAAACAGCAACATGCCATCTTTGCCGCAAACGGAGGACCAGGCTGAGATTCAGCCTCGCGCACATGTCAGCTCGACTTCACCTTAGTACCTGGTCTTGCAGCCTGCCATCTTCTCTACTTGATCTTTCTCAAGCGTCGCAATACTTGCGCATTCACTCCCACCTAGTCGAAGTCTTCTACAGCTTGATTGCTTGTCGGAAGCTTGACATGGCTGCTCCGCTCTTTGCTACGTTGTAATCCAAACGTCTTTCCACCCTTCTTGTCTGCGCGACCCCACCACTTCTCTACCTGTCCGCTGGCCAGGACGGATTCCAATTCACACGCCGCCTCCACCATCAGATCTGATACTCTATATCATATCGCCTACCATGGAAGAAGCAAAAACTCTTGTCCGCACAACAGTGCGTACCTTCAAACCCTCAGAGAAGAAGGACGACAAGCAGGCAGCCGAGATCCAGGCACTACTGGTCGATGCCCTCCTACATCACACAGTCCTCCATCTCGACGATTTCAATGCACTCACCCAGATGCCTCAGAAAGAGCTCCGCGGCTACCTACAACCACTCCGCACCAACCGCCTCATTCATACTGGCTCCCGTCGCGAACACCATGTCGCATCCCAACGTGATGCCACTCGCGAATACTACTACGTCCAGCACTCGGACGCCGTCAACTGCATCAAATATCGCGTCAACAAACTCCGCACAGAGATCTCTAACCAGTACCTCACCAAATCAGGTCCTGACGCCTTCCTTTGCCCGCAATGCAAATCTACCTGGAAGGAGTTGGAGATTGTTCCTGGCGCTGACGGCTCTCTCTCCTGCCCACGCTGCGATTTCCGAGACGTGATTCTCAACGAAGCCGCTTTCAAGAACCAGGGAATGCACGAGAACATCAACAAGCTGAATTCCCAGCTCTCTCAATTCAATACCCTCTTCGCCGCTTTCGACGCCAAGCTCACGGCCGGGCAGTTCCGAGACCTCAAATTTGACGAGCAGTTCCCGCGCCGCAAAATCGTTCCCAAAGAGGCCGGTGGCAAGTCCTGGCAATGGGTGGAAGTGCGACGTCCGCGTGATCGTGAAACCGCCGCGGGCGCCGTGAACGAGACCGACCTCGACCTCAATATCACCAGCGCAGCCAGACAAGCCGCTGAAGAAGCCGAGCGCGAACGCGAACGTAAAGAGAAGATTGCACATGCTAACGCGCGGCCTGAGTGGATCAATGCGGGTGTTGCCAAGGGCGCAACCCTGGATATTCGGGGCGATGATGCAGAGCCCGCCAGTACAGCCAGCAGTGGTCTAGTGCCGAAGAAAGAGGAAGACGAAGACGAGAAGAAACCCGACATCCTGAAAGACACCAAGGGCCAGAACCTTAGCGAGCGCGAGCGGGCAGAGCAGGCCCTGATGGAGCAGTACATGCAGGACATGCAACGCGAGCAAGAGGAAGTCGAGCGGCGTAAACGCGAAGAAGAGGAAGAAGATGGCGAAGAAGAAGAAGAAGAAGACGAAGACGATGAATTCGAAGACGTTCCTGGCACAGGCACCGGCGCGGTCGGCACGCCAATGAGTAGCAGCCAAGGTGGCGCGGACGTCAAGCCCGCCGTCCCCGCCGTCAACGGCATCAAGCGCGAGTACGAGGACGACAGCTCCGAAGCAGCTACGCCCGCCAGCGCAAGCGACGAGAGGGACAGCAAGCGCCTCAAGATTGAGAACGGCGCGGACGTCAAGATGGAGGGGAGCGATAGCACCAGTGTCAGCGCGAACGGGACGCCGATGGCGAATTCTGCGCCAGCCGCGGTATCTGGTGGGGCCCATGGCAACGGCAACGGAGACAGAGAGGAGAGCGAGGACGAGGAGTTTGAGGACGTGTGAGATGCACTTCACTCCACCAGCGACCAGTCTGCGACATTGAGTGACGAGGTCGCGGCTCTTGCATCTCTGCGTACCCGCGAGGGAGCTTCCCCACTAACCTGGTTTCCGAATCGACCATTATCATCTACCCCAGCCATCCGAATCATGATGAACGCCGAACGCCATTGCGCGGACCATTGTGTGTCTCTCGCATCGGGCACAGACAGCCAGATGCAGCAAAGGGCATAGAATCGACAGACTGTCGTCCGTCCGTCCGTCCGTGCGGGTTGTCACGTATGCAGCAGTCGACTGGACCTGGCAGAATACAGAGTACACACAAGAGCTTTTGCTGCGTGCTGCCGACGTCGACTCTGAGAACCGTTTCGACCTCGATGCCTAGTGCGGCACAGCCCTGCGCAATCTGGCAGCAGTAGCAGCAGCACAATGGCGAAGGCGAGGCGACGGCGACGCGTCTCATATGTTCGATCCTCGACCCGCGATGACCTCGACCGCGGTGGCCTTGATGACTCGACACCTTGACAGGATCTGGTCCCCAAGAGAGGGGGAGCTTTTTCTGATCTTACAGATTGATTTCAGATCTGCATTTGCATTTGCATTTGCATTCATCGCCTACACTTACACTTACATTTTATGGGAAAGATTCTGGAGAATGCTCAAAGGCTCAAAAGCATGGCGTTGGTGGGTTGATTTGGTTTTTGGAGAGACGACGATGCTATAACTACGTGGAACCGGGCACGGCGTATGTAGACTACTAGCAGGAACCTTTGCTGAGAACAGGCCGAATTCGTGCATTTGTTTGTGTTCGTTTGAACGCTTACTGCCCTTCATGTCAAGCGAGAGGAATTGTTAATGCGCTGCAAAGCACACTACGCCAGAAACCTGCTTAAGGCAGGCCCTTGCACAAAGTCAATCCAATACTGATACGTCTGTGACGGTCGCCACGCTTCGACTATGCTAACCAAAGCTTCGTCAGCGCCGTACTTATTTTCCACAAATGCCGTCAACGTCGTGTGGGGAGGTCGCCAGGGCACTCGAGTTGGCACTGGTACCGATATGGACCCGAGGCAGAGTGTCACAAACTTCCTTCAGCACCTCTTCAACGCCAGTCGGTCTCCGGTATGAGTAGCCCATGAAAGCACCATTCTTGCGTAGCTGTAGAGCTGCTTTGCCGAATTCGCGATCACGGAGAATCTTGTCACGTGGACGTTTCTTGTCCCTCTTCTTCTGTTTGGCAGGCTTGTTGGTCTCTGGTGGCAGTGGAGAGCCCTGTACTTTCTCGACCAAAGCTTCTGGTGAAGACGGTCGAGGAGAAAGCGGCTTGCTGATTGGTGTCATGGGCCTTACCACCGTGCCACTGGGCTTGAGGGCAATTGAGGGGACAATGTGCTGGTCTTCTTGATGATGCTGGCTCGCTTTGGAGCCACTCAGAATGACCGGAACACAGTTCTCTTTCGTGGCTTCCTCCTCGACTTCATCTTCAGAGGAGGAAGCTTCATCAATGTCCGAGATTGGCTGGTCCTCGTCGAAATACTTGGTATCCTCCCAATCTTTGACCTTGGGAACAAACGGAGGTCGCTTGTGAAGCAGAGTATCCCATTGAATGTGCTTGAAAAAGTGATGCCGTTTCAAATCGTCGGCATCGTCAGGGTAGACGAAGTAGCCCTGATAGTTCTGATTCCGCTTATCAGCAGGAAATCTAATGGCCCGTGACCCCACCATCTGGATGGTGTAGTCATTGAGGTGGTATTTGCGGGAGCACAAACGCTTCTCTTTTTCCACAAGGAGTTGCATCATCAGGTCCAATGCTTCCTGAGATGGTTCGTGGGGATGGGGCACCGCCGGGAATGCTAACGTTTGTTTATGCTTCAGAATCTTCAACTTCGTGCTGTGGCGATCCTCACAAGCAAATGGCGTGTAGCCGTATAAGCATTCAAACATGATGATGCCGACGCTCCACTAGTCGCATCGACCGTCGTACATGTCACCACGGATGACCTCAGGGGCCATGTACTGGGACGTACCAACAACAGACCTGGCTAAGCGTCGACGCTGAGCACGGTTGCGCCAGTCAATGATCGGCTCGCCATCACAGGCTTCTTCCGCGCCAACATGCTTCCTACCGGGCGGGCAGTCAGTAGGTGGAAACAGCTCCGCAACTTTCTGAGAGTTAACAGCCTCTCGCTGTTCTTCGGCATCCTGTTCGTCGCCACGGATCTCAATACCAAGTTGTTCAGCGAGTTCGTAGCGTTGATCATGATAGAAACGCTGGTCGTGCTCCCAGTCGCCATCGAAAGCAAGGCCAAAGTCGGAGATTTTGAGGTGCCCGTCGGCGCCGATAAGGAAGTTGTCAGGCTTAACATCGCGATGGATCCACCGCATGCTGTGAGCTTCCTCAATACAAAGGATCATCTCCGCCATATACCATCGTGTCACGTCCTCACTCAAGATATTCTTGCGGATGAGGAGACCAAGGAAATCTCCTCCGATGCAGAAGTCCATGACAAGATAGAGGAACTTGTTGTCTTGGAATGCAGCAAGGAGCGGGATGATCCACGCTGAGCGCTCCGCAGCCACCAGAAAATCACGCTCTGCTCGTAGATGGCCCTCTTGACCATTCCGAAGCATGTCGGATTTGCGGATGACTTTCATGGCATAAACTTCCTTCTTGAGCTTTAAAAGGTCACGTTTTTGGCGGTAAGGGGCAATGATCTCTGCAGCTGAAGCCTTGAGACTGGAACGAGATTGGAAGTTGATGAGACCCATGGAGGGTTTGCGGCCCGTTGGTGCTCGCTCTTTGACAAGACGAACAACGCCAAAACTGCCTTTGCCGAGAATCTTGACCATCTCAAAACCTCCAACGGCGAGAGACTTGGCTGCCCTGTTGCCAAAATCTGGAACCGACAACACGCGACTTAGTCTGAGATTGTCACTTTCGTGCTTGTACCATGTCTGCCAGGCTTCACACTGTTGGCTAGTCGATGCACGCCGCTGTCGTAGTCCAGCATTGAGGTCCTGCCAACGAATTTCGCGGGGAGCGAAGCCGTTGAACATGGTATTGAAATGAGTTTCGAAAAAGATCTTGGCGGATGCTGTTGCTTCTACTGTTTTGACGGACAGAGATGGAACTGTTGTGCTTTCAGGAATGGTCGACAGCATGGAGGCCACTGTTTCTTGGTTGATGACCAAGGACTGCTCGCTATCAACTAGTGTGATGCCTTCGAAATGTCTGACTGAGGTTGGAGTACTGGGATAGCCGTCAGACGTTGCTGGAGTGGATTTGTTGGCACCCTTGGGAGCAGAGCCGCTACCACTATTATACGTCGAAGGTGATGACGATACTGGGGACTGTATCCATTCTGGCATCTCGTGTTGCGAGGCCTGAATACTTGGACGAGACCTGAGACCTGGCCTGACGACTACAGTGGGATGGTTGCTGAGAGTCTGCTGAAGCTTTTGTTGCAGTCTCGCATGTAGGGCGGGCGTCGATGGGCTCGGACGGATTGACTGACGGCTAGACTTTCGGCTCACACGACCTGATGAAGGTCTCGTAGATTGCTGAGAAGTGTCTGGCCGCAAAGACCCATATGGAGGGATGAGGCTCTCATCTTGGGACGCGCCAACCAGTACCAAGCGCGAGTTCTTCTTCACGATCGTGGTGGCGTTCGAATCGTTAGGGTGGCTGAAGCCAGCCAGCATGCCATTTTGACTGACAGCAGCCGGCGAACCGTTGGAGTGTACCATGATTTCTTTTTCAGGCTTGCCAACTGCTCCGAAGAAGCTCATCATGCTGGAGATACCTCTCCTCACACTCCTGGTGATCGCACTACTTCTGCCGGACAATCCGGTGCTGGTAGACGCTACCGATCTTCCGGAGCCCGTGCCATCGTAGAGAACTTGTTCGATTCTGGGATATTTGTATACGACGGGACGAGGCCATCGTTCTCGAGTAGGGGATCTTTGCCTCTTCCGCTGCAAGGAATTGATGAACGGCATACTGAATGTGAAGGAAAGGATAGGATAAGAAAGACAAGCCGAGAGTGATGTGGAAGTGAGCCTGATGCACAGGCTTGCAGAGATCAAGAAAGGAAGAACAGAGGAGCTGAGGAAGGAAGACCAATGAACACGAGCGGTATGGTCGCACCTGCCGTTCATTGACATCCACATTGAGGGCACTCACTATGCTCAATTGCCACCTGCCTGGCCATTCAGGCTGTAGCAGCTATGCCGTCAAGCTACCGACCTCTCGTAGCAGGTGCCATCTGGAAATTCATGATGGAGTGACTGTGGTGCCAACGTGACATAGATCCTGTGGGTGTTCGTGGTCTGCAAGATCATCTGTTTGCTCGAATTCGTAGATCGCTAGCCTCTCAGAAGTCGACAGGAGGCAAGCCGCGCTGCTGGACAGCGTCTTGGACACTGCCTTGCAGCTTCATCAAGGCTTCAAGCCACGCATTGCCAATCTCACTCACAGCAGGAAAGTCCTGCATCTCAACGACATGGCCCAGCCACTTCAGGATCGATACCGCCTTCTCCATATCGTGCTCATCGCCAACTACTCTACTGAGGAACACGCCCAGCGCCGCGACGTCCTCATCATAAGGTCCTTCCTCTCCTTCTTCGGAAAACTCTCGCACCCACGCCGTCATAGCGTCCCTCATCTCTGGTAAAGTGCTGAGCTTGCGCGAAGTGAAAGTGGGCTTGGGCGGTTGAGATGGTAGTGGTAGGGTCTGCTGTCCTTTGAAAGCTACCGTAGGATCTGCAGGTTTCGACTTTCGCTTGAGTGTCCCGATGCTAAGTCCTGACTTCATCTTCAGCCGCTCTCGCCTTTGTTGGCCGAGAAGCTCCTCACGGAGCTCTTTTGGCAGTGCCGCCAGAAAAGCCTCGTCCATCTCATTATCCGCAATTGACGGGTCCGATCTTGACAACCCGTTCGATCTTGCCATTGATACAAAGTTAGCCTGTGTCAACGTTGAAGTCGACGATCCAGCTTTGGAGCGCCCCTTATTGCTGGCAAGAAATTTCTGCTTCTTCGTTGGCGTTACGCGAAGTTTGTTCGATGATATGGCCGGCTTGTCCTTCCTCGGTGACAGCGGCAATTTTCGTGAGGATTGCCCAGTGTTGCCATACTGCATCATGACATCTCTTTTGACGTCTTCTGGCAGCTCGGCCCAAACGGCCGGATCTATTTGACTTTGATTCGGTAGAGCAAAATCGGCATCGCTGACCTGCGGCGATCCAGAGCGTGATTTGGTTTCTACTGCTGATGACACCGACCGAGAGATGGTGTCCATGATGCGTTTCTGCTTCGGCGCAAACTTCGAGCGAATATCAGCAGGGAGCTCAGCCAGTACCGCAGGATCAACCTGGCTGGGCATGATGAATTGCGTTCCACCAAGGTTGAGAGGACGATTGCCTCCTTCCGTTTCGCCCGCAACCGTTTTGGTTTGAAAAGCCCCTTCAATCGTACGCACGGTCCGGTCCTTCTTCGGCGTCGGAATCTCCTCAATCGTGTCGACACTGTCCGTGAGTGTGGGCCGGATCATCGTTGCCGGTGACTTGCCATGGCCCGCTAGCAAAGGCGCTTGGGGCGCCGGGGATGTTGTGGTGGGCTTCTTGAACTGTAAGCGCCTCTGGCTGCTATCGAGTGGTGCATTTCCGGTCCCCATAGGCTTCAACGGTTCCAGTTTCTGCATCTGTACACCCAACCCCCGTAACTCTCCAGGCGAAAAGCCGTAGCTCCGTAAGATCGAGAGAGCCTCCTTGCCAATGATTGCTTTATCAGTAGTTGCTACGCCGAGGACGATGCTCTTGTTGAAGGTGTCGCATTTTCCATGACCAAGATTCTTCGGCGGATCCATGCCTGCATCGGCCGCCTTTCGCATGATCTTCATTGTCAGCTGCTTGCCTTTGACAAGGTTCTCGAGAAGACGTTTAGAGAGCTCATCACAGAGACATTGCACAAAGTCTTCCGCTTGCTTCTGGTTGATGAATCTGATGCCCCAGTTGATCTCTGCAGAGACAGATTTTCGAAGTACTTGCTCACCCACCTCTTGCTTGTCGATACCGCGTGAATAGTCCCAGATTTTCTCGCCTGTCTTTGGACCAAGAGTGGAGATCAAACGCTCTTTGGTGAGCCCTCTGATGTCGCTGACCAATTTGACACCAATCTCCTCTAACTTGTTGCCAATGCTCCAGGCCACACCGGGAAGATCAGTCACAACCAGAGGCCCGAGGAAGTCAAGGATCTCGTCCGGCTTAATTAAATACTGTCCAGCAGGCTTGGCCTTGCGAAGAGCCACTTTGGCAAGCAAGATATTGTTTCCCATACCTACCGATACTTCGCACCCAGTCCTTGCTCTAACGGCGTTGCGAATCTCAGTGGCTAACATCTGTGCCTTTTCTTGTTCGCGGTAGATTGAGCCTTCTGTAATGGCCCGTCCGTCAGACCCGCCTGCTTTAATGCATTGACTCGAAATGTCGATAAGCGCTTCGTCAATACTGATGCTCTGCACGATCCCATCGACCGCTAGGATTGAGTCATAGAAGTGCCTGCTTGCTTCTTCGTAAGCCTTGAAATCGTACGGCAAAACGTTCAGTTCCGAGCAGAGTTGTATGGCGGTCTTCATCCACATGCCATTCTTGACACCGAACTTGCGAGCAGGATAGTTGCAGCTGGCAATCTCAGACCCGGGACCACTACCGTGGGCAATGACGACCGGCTTGTCAACAAGATGCGGGTTCTTGCGCAGGCTGACGGCTGCGAAAAAGCTATCAAAATCCACGTGCAGGACATATCGTCGTGTGCCAGGAGCTGTCTTGTGACGATCCCTTTGAGAGGAGGACTTCTCTAGTGCTCGAGCTTGCAACTGCGCCTTGAGCTCGGCTTTCCATGTCGAAAGGTGATGCAGCCTAGACTCGCGGTAGTACTGGTTGATAAAGTCCGGATTTGCTGTACTCGATTTTGCCATATGTGGATTGGACAAAAGGACGGCATTATGCTCTTCGGCCGTGAGCTGTCGCTTTTGCGGGCTACTGTCGCTAGGCGTATGAATCCCACCACGACTGTCGGTTGGTAGAGAGCCTTCAGGCGGAGGAACAGCTGGCGTAGGAGGTGGTCTCATCATCTCCCCATCATCATCCACAGCTTCTTCAAGCGTTTCTTCACGGTCGAGATCTTTTAGTAAACCATCCTGTTCATCAACAAGCTCTGATTCTGAAATAGACTCGGTTGCACCATCAAAGTGTGGCGGGCCAGAAAGTTCCTCAGGCCCCTGTCGAGAAGTCGGCGATACTTGTGCACCTGGCGGAAGGACGCTCTCGTTCCCAGGACTCTGCTCCGTGGACGCCTTCTTGAGTTGTGAGGTATACCAGCTGCTCTCGGTCTGGTCTCGGTAGCCATGGCGCTGGCTATTCGGCTGACTGACGATAGTGCCCTTGTCGAATCCCAATACCTTCTGGGTGACTCCTTCGTCCACGACTCGGTACTCGTTCCAGGGCAGCAGATTTCCTGCGGCGACGCTGTCCACGATCCAGGCTGGTTTTACGATCCGATATCTGGCGAATTCCACCTTCTTCTTTGGCGTCAAGTGACTCGCGATAACGTGCGTGACCGTGGTCTTGCCATCGAGGTATTGCAGGAACCCTCCGCCGTGGCTTACTATGAGCGTATGTAGGTCATTCAGGGAAGGCTGTGTGTAACCATTCACATGGGCAACGATTCCGCGGAAAATTTGTGGCTTCTGGCTCGAGTTCGCACGTGTCTCAGCGTCGAGATTCTGTAGCTTGAGCTTCTTCCTGCGCATATAATCGGCGAAGCCACCGAACTTTGAGGCCTCGTATTCCTCGCCTTGCTCATCGCTAAAGGCGTGGCTCTGGATGCGCTTGCGCACATCGTTTGAATTCTTTTCTAGTCGGGAGCCCATGGCGGGCAACAGCGCAAGGTCATAACGAAATGTTCATGCTAGAAGCAGTCGGTTCCGAGATGGCGCATGGATTGCCACCGGTACAAGGGCAGTTTGAGAGCAACGGTGGGCGACGGCGTCGAGGGCGCGTCATCGCGTCGCGGTGCGAACTTCTACAAAGGGTTTAGCCTTTCCTTTATCGATAGTTGCGTCTCCATCAAAATTTTGTCTCCAATGGCAAAGTTGAAGTTCAGGTTTACTGCAAGCTTCTCTCTACTTCAATATTTTGCACTGTTGTCTACTTTCTTGGAACATCAATATTTGCCTACATTAGTCGACTCAATAACACCAAAAGCAGACATGTCTCAACCTGTTGGCGTCTATGCGCTGGCCATCCCGCCTGGCGGCCAGCCTGTGCCCGCTGCTCCTCTTGGAGTTCCCGCCGGCGTGAGTAGTATACAACCCACTGTTCGAGCATGACTGACAGTATTAGTTCCGCGTAACGATGGCGGCCATTGATCCTACTGAGCCAGCCCATAGAGAAGACGTCGACGACACCACTGAGCCCTTCGCTACACTCAAGATCATTCGCTTCCTCGGCGACGAGTCGGACGAAGATGACGACGATGACGACTACGAGGACATTGATAGTGAGGAGGACTCCGACGACGATATGGAAGGTCTCAACGGTGGCCCCAGTGATCCCAAGAAGGTTAAGCTATCCAAGAAGCAAGCTCTTCTCGAGGCTCTTGCTGCTGATGAGGACGAGGACGAGGACGAGGATATGGATGACTCTGAAGACGACTCCGTAGACGAGGAGGAAGCGCAGAAAGTCTTGGCCAAGTTGCAACAGTCCCTGAAGGCTGACAAGGGTAAGGCTGTGGCTCTCGACGGCGAGGAATCTGACGACGACGACGATGACTCCGATGAAGCTCTTGAGGTTGATGAGCACGTGATCTGCACTCTCAACTTGAAGAACATCCCTCAGCAGACTCTCGACTTCACCGTCAGCGACAACGAGCAAGTTTTTTTCAAGGTTATCGGTACCCACACCGTCAACCTCACCGGAAACTACGTCCTCCCTCCCATCGACCCCACTGAGCATGACCTAGAACCGGATTCAGACGAGGAGCTTGATGAGCTCGACGACCTAGATGACCTTGTGGGTGATTCCGACTATGAATCCGATGAGTTGGATGACCTAGAAGACCCTCGTATCACTGAAGTTGATGTCGACGAGGTGGAGGATGCGAAGCCAGAGCCAGCCGAGAAGGGCAAGAACAAGCGCCCCGCCGAGGACTCTGATGATGAGCCCGCTCTGGATGACATGATCTCAAAGTCTCTCAAGAAGGACTCCGCCCCCAATGCCGCCGAGCCTACCACCAACGGCGAGACCAAGAAGCTGAGTAAAGCTGAAAAGAAGCGCCTCAAGAAGCTCAAGAACAACGAGGGCGCTGCCGCCGACGCTCCAGCTGCTGCTACCGAAAGCAAGCCCACCGCCAATACCACCGAAGTCAATGGCTCCAAAGACAAGAAAGTCCAGTTCGCCAAGAACCTCGAGCAGGGCCCTACCCCATCCCCCTCCACTTCTTCCGCAACTGCTAAGCCCACATCATCATCCCCCGCCGCCGCCGCCTCCACTACCTCAGTCCGCACTGTTCAGGGCATCACCATCGACGACCGCAAAGTCGGCACCGGCCCCGCCGCTAAGAAGGGCAGCAACCTCAGCATGCGCTACATCGGCAAGCTCGAGAGCGGCAAGGTCTTTGACTCCAACAAGTCCGGCAAGCCCTTCAGCTTTAAGCTCGGCTCCGGCGAGGTGATCAAGGGCTGGGACATCGGCCTAGAGGGCCTGCAGAACGGCGGCGAGCGCAGAATCACCATCCCCGCGAACCTGGCCTATGGCAAGAAGGGTGCACCGCCTGACATCCCACCCAACGCCACGCTCAAGTTCGATGTCAAGTGCGTCGGCGTCAAATGAGCGACGCCCGATGCGCTTCTCTGCCCCCCTACAACCAGCTCAGACTCATCCACGCGGTGGCTGACGCAGGGTCTGAGGGCACGGATCTGCTTGTCGATGCAAATGACGCAACGGTCTCTACCACATAGGTTGTCTTCCTCTTCATCCCTTTCCTTCCGTACACCGAAGCAGAAGCGAAACGATATCCGACTTGGTCGATGATTGCACATCCGGGCGTCGCAGCATCTCTCCTTTCCTACTTGCTTTAGCATGTCATTTACTGCCTGCGAAAACATCATGTGTGCATAGCCAGGGATGAAGGATATCCTCCCCCCCAAAAAGTGTTGTTTTTCCATTACCATCGATCATGTCATGGGTGTGGGTGTGGTTGTGGGCTTACGTATCTATTGCTGCTTCCACAGCACATGTCCAACCAGACAAGATCCACGAGGCGCAAGGAACGGGACTGCTGCTTTTTAGACCACTGTTAGCTCTATCTACTTCCATTGCCTCTACGCCCTGTTTTGAATGAGGCGCAGTGTAGAAAAGAATGAAAAAAAGTCATAATTTGAAAAACCAAGTCGATATGCTCTCGTCATCAACAAGCTCAGGTTCAGGGTATCTTGATTCCGCAAAGTGAAAGTCACCAATGCACCGTTGATAAGGGCACTGTAGGCGCCTGATTTTTAATAATGCCTCTATGGCAAAACCATGCCATGTCCCACACCGCGCTATGCGTTAACCACCCACGAGCACCTGCAGCCCAATCCATAGATTAAACGCTGAGCCAATGTATCGCCCAGAAAGACCGCTATGCACCTATTACCGATAACCCGTACAAACCATCACCAAGTCAATGTAAAGTCGCGTTGCATCGTACTCGTACCGTACACGTCGCATCTCACTCACCCAAAAGACTGCTCCTAGACCATAGGAGGCGGCGCCATCCCCATGAACGCCTTGTTCTTGCCGACGTCGTCTTGCTTCATCGTGCCGTTGAGGAGAGGGCAGAGTCTGAAAATCGCGCGCCAAAGCTGTTAGCATATCTTTCTTTGCCATGTAGATTCGTGAATTCCAAAACAGGGGGGAAATAGAAAGAAACTCCTCGAGGCGGAGAGTTGCATATTTGCCAGTGCCAGTGTCGCTGGTTTTGTAGCCTGAATTTTTTGCTTCGTCGTTTTCTGGCTAGCTTTCGTGATGGAGGCTCAGTGGCAGTGAGTGCTGGCTGTCGCAAGATGCAATCTCAGGTCCTCGAGCGGAACAATTGTGCAAACGCAGAAAGCAAGTGTGGGGAACAGGGGAAAAAGAAAGAGAATGTCGACAACTGCGAACCCTCAGCCCATGCTGATAGCCCTGGTTGCCACACAGCTCAGCATCGCGCCACGTGGCGGAAATTTCTTCCACGCGTTGGGCTTCGTCGCTCAGGTGGAGGGACCAGGGATGTCCTCTTCAGCCTCCACAGGCGGCGCCGTCACCTTTGTCGCAGACGCAGCCTGGCCACGCTTACGGGACGTGGGTCGGCGTCGCCTTGCTAAGGGCGCCACGGGACCGCTGACGGAGGAGAAGCTCTTGAATAGGCTGAGGTGGCAGTTGGGACAGATGGAGTCTTTTACTGACTTTTTGTTGGTTTTGATGTGGCCAACTTGACCACAGTTGGCACATTTGCGCATTGTAGGCTGCGTCTGCTTCCCAGATGGCGTGCCGTCGCCGTCCGGAGACGCAGCGTCGCCATCGGGAGAACCGGCGGTCGTAGCAGCCTTTTTCGAGGCTCGTTTCTTGTTGCGTGCTTGGTTAGCTTCGAGGCGCGCGATCTCGGCGCGAATACTGTACACATTAGATAAGGTGATGGAAGAATGTAGACTTGAGGCATACCGCTCCTCGTTCTTCGCGTCCATTTCAGCGTTGCCGGATGGGCCCGAGAGGCGGGTGATACTGGTCTTGTTAGTGCCTTCCTGTACACAGAGCACGATACATACTCCAAGTTGCTGTTAGCGAGCTGCTCCTTGCGGCGAGTATAGGCCTTGATGATGGCAGGATCGGACACAACTTCAACCTGCTGGGTCTCCTTGCCATTGACAACAACAGTGCGAGTGATCTTCAACCATTTCTTGCCACCTTGACTGGCACGGCTGAACGAGGAGGCGTTGTCATCATTGGCACGTCGTCCGCCACCTGGGGTAGGCGCCGGGGTAGCTCTAGTACTCTGTCGGGCCAAATTGTCCTCCTGGGTGTCGATGTCACCTTCGAGCGTTGGATCCGAAGGAGGTACTTTGGACGACAAGGCATCCTTTTGTTTGATCCAAATCTTGCGGATGGCTTCTTCATAGTCACGCTGCTGCTTGGCCACGTTGTAGCTGTGCCCACCAAGCTCTTTCTTGGCCTGCACAGTATCGGCCACAGGGGCACCTTGCGCTCGGAAGCCGCCCTTCATAGAAGTCTTGAGGAACGAGTAGGCTTCACCACGACCTGAAGGGTCACCTTCACCGTGCAATTGCAACATAGCCTTGCCTTGATCGGCATAGACAAAGTTTTTGGTAGCACGCCATGGAGCCAGTAGCTGGTCGGTGCTCGCTGTACCTGCTGCATTGTCCTTGTTGTCCTTGTCTTCGTCATAATCATCTTCACCATAGCCTGCGTCACGGAGATACTGAGCACCAACATCCTTGGCCTCGAGGAGGGCGATGTCTTCGGGTTTGAGCAGAGATTGGACAGTGTCTTCACCCGGAACAGTGTTGCCTTTGGCCATCTCCCATTCTTTTTCTTGCTTGTTGAAAACCATGAACTCCTTCATCTTCTGGCGATTTTGCATGTCAGTTGTGTCAGGGAAGTGGCGAGTAACATCCTCAACTCGAAGGCGGTGCGACTTGCGGTGGCGGATAATGCGGTAGGCAATGGCGCGAAGGCGGTATTTGCTGGCTGAGGTGACGTTGCGCGAATGAATCCCAGGCACAGTCATTGTGGGTAGCTCTTGGCCGACAACGAAGGCATTGTCGATGGAGCGGATGTAGTAGCGCTGACCTTCCAGACCGGTGGATTCGCGAACGACCAGGAAGTCCTCGTGACCAGGATTCTGCTCGAATACAGGAGCCTTGTACATCGAGTTGACAAGCGCAGTCATCTCTTCCCCACCATCGATGTGACCGAAGGTGTTGAATGGAGACTTGTCTTCAGGGAGGAGCACAGTCAATTCACCGATATCGTGTTTGGGTCGAGTGGCATCGTCAGCTGACTTTCGTCGATAGTAGTTGACAATTTTGTTGCCCATACCAGTCGAGGACAGCATCGTGGGGTGCTCCTCAGAATACTCGAAGAGTGCAGCGGTCGAGTTGTCGCCGAGAGAGAGGTCTTTCGATCTACTGAAGATCTCCTTGGGCTCTTTGCCTTTCAGGACTTTCCGCTTCTGTCGAGGAGCCTTCGAGAAAGTAATTGGCGCTCTGAAGTGAATCTTTTTCCGGTGCCAGTTGCGGAGCTCCTGAAGTGATAACTGAACTGGGTAGTATGGGTATTGAAGACGAATAGCAGGCATCGAGTGATCAATAGTCGTATGACCAAGTTGGCCTCGGACCTTGTGCTGATGATTCTGCTTGAGAAGATCATACTCGGTATCGTTCGAGGTGTTGAATCGATCAAATAGCTTGTGCACAACAGTTTGCGGACCTTTGGTCTTGACGCCAGGCTTGGACTTTGTATTCATGGCTTCAGGGTCTACCTCTTCGAGCAGAAGATTAGTATCGTTGAGGTCCAGAAGAGGCTTGCTGGCAATCTTCGCTGTCATGCGTTCGAAGTTGTCGAACGAATCCGGCAAAGGAAAATGAGGCATGGTCACAATGTCGTGGTCGGATAACCCGAGTTTGCGCTTTTTGCGAGCTGGCTCGAGAGCTTCGAAATCGTCTTCGTCAAACATGGCATCAGGGTCAGCGATCCTAACTGGCACATCCCGGGCACCTTCAGTGTCTGAATCGGCAGGATGAGAAAGAGTATCAAAGTCGGTGCACAAGAATTCGAGATCCTGCATCGTGATCCCGCCTGGCAATGGCTCATCACCATCAGACTCATCGTAGAGCTCTGAGTCTTCATTGCTGGCAGTAGGCTGCACGATGTGCACGATGTCGCTGCGGGGTTCTTGAAGGTTCGCGACTCCAGCGGAGTTGAACAGCAAGCGTTGATCGGATTCGATCTCGAGGGTGACTTTGGTAGGCCGGAGCGGCTTGGGGGGCTTTAGTGGCGTCTTGCCCTCAAGCCATCTCGAATGGCGAGGAGGGAAAAGGCGATTAAAGTAGGGTATTTCCTGCTGTTTGAAAGTGGGAAACTCGGTGCGAACCCATTCGTCGAGGTTCTCCTCCTCAGTCTCCGGCACCTTGCCACCAAAAAGCATCATTTGTAATAACAACATCTTGGCATCTTCTGTATCGTCTGGTTGATTGCTGGTGAGAGGGGCTTCCTGGTGGTCAGCACCGTCTTGATGTTCGGAAGCGAGCGAGGCTTTATCGCCATCGTCATTGTCGGCAACTGGAGTATCGATAGCATCTGCTGCATCGATGTTGGCAGGCAAGGCAACAGTCCCAAACGAGTCCAAGCCACCCAAGTCGGCATCGCCACCAGGTGGACTGGATCCGCCGAAAAGATCATCATCGAAGTCGTTGAGAGGTCCGTCTGGTGTACCGTCTGTCATCGCAGCGTCTTCTATTCCCGACAATGGCTGGTAGGAACTTTGCACCGGTCCTCCTACGGGCTCCTCATCTGGGAGGTCGTCGTCAGACACGTCGCCATAGTCGACCGCGTTATCAGCCTTCTCGCCTGGCTCAAGTTCCCGGTCTTCGAGGCCACGCATGATCTCATCCAATCCGACTTCTCCTTCGCCGAGCATACCCCCTAACTCAGCATTCTCAAAGACATTTTGTGGAAGCTCATCTGGTAATTCATCCGTCGGCGCATCGAATTTGAGGTCTCCATCAATCGGAGCGTCGAAGTCGAACACGTCGTCATTGTCGCCGAATAGATCGGGCTCCTCTTGATAGCCTGCCATCTTGTAGAAAGTCTTGATCTCTCCCTATCACCTCCGACAGCGGCCCCGCGGGGAGATTAGGTTGCGGAGCGCACTCTGCGCATCGCCCCAAGAAGTCAAGCGCAGCGCCAGAATGTCAGCTTGAGGAATTTATCGATGGAGTCGCACGAAATCGTGCAGCCGTGTGCGATGAGACTCGGTCAATGTTAGAGGTGATGAAAGGCGTGGCGGAGGCGGCGATCAAGTTGTAGTCAACCGCAGTCGCGACGAATAATTTCATGAGTCATGCGGGGTTCTTTCACCCATCTCCAAACAATGACATGACTCAAGCAAGGCTACAGGCTCCTCAGCAAAGCTCGCGTGACGGCGCTGTTTGTTCTTTTCAAGCTTTGCCTAGTTTGCATTGCGGCTAACCTGAGATACGTCAGACTGAAGGCTTACATCGTGCTGACACTGTGAGGATAGTGATTGGATGATAGAAGGTGAAGTTTGGGGTATCATTGCTAAAGTACACTACGAGGGCTGGCAAGGCGACGTGCAGGCACCCGCCAGTATCCATAGCTGCTGTCTATCATGGAATTCTGCCCCAATGGCCATAATAGACACACAGAGCTCGGCTCGCGCCTCTCGTGCAGTAGTGGATTACCTGAGTCTGATCAGAATTCCTGACCTTCTTCGCTATTTGGCGTACGTCACTGGACCTTGGCAAGTACAAAGCGACGTAGTTGGATATCCTCGAGAAGTTGTCATACAGGTGAGTCAGGCTATAAGGAGCCATGGTCTCAACATCGAAGACATCTGAATCCGTGTATGTGGGGCCTGAAAGGTCAGCTGGCGGCTGTGAACGAAGGGAAGACAACTCACCTCCCCACGGAGGACTGGCAAAAATTACGCCATGGCGTTGGATCAAAGTAGCCAACGGCGTGTCGTTCTCCTTGCCTTGCTTCAAGCCTAGAATCTCGAAGCAGTCACCCTCAAACCAGGTGATTTTGTCTCCGACGCCGTAGATGTCGGCATTGTGCCTGGCACAGGCTAGGGTAGCTGGATCTCTCTCAATGGCGTAGACTCGCTTCCATCTCCCAGATAGTGCCAAGGCGATTGTGTTCCCTCCTACACCGCAGAAAGGATCTACCACAATGGCTCTGTCTTGTGGCGCCGCCTTAGCAACGTGGTTGGCAATTTTGATAGCGACAGACTCGTGTGTGACGCCAAACCAGGCATCATCTGTCATCCAAATACCATCGTCGTATTTGGAGAAAATCGAGTAACCCTGATGCCAGTACCTACGAAAGTGTTAGCATCGATGAATGAGAATACAGCGGACGGGAACGGTGGGCTCAAGTCGGTGTCATGCGTGACTTACTTCTGAATATCCCAAGGGACGTCTTCGAGATTCTGATAGTGATGGACACCATTCGGCAAAGGTGATGACAGTTCTTGTCGTTTTGAGGGTTGCAGGTCTTCAACCTGTGCTTGACTCTTGCGTTTTCGTGACTTGACCATTTTTAGGAATCTCGTGCGCCCTTCAGGTGCGGCTTGATAGCCAGGTCAAATTTGTTAAAGACATTGAACTACCAATCCATAAGTTCATCTGCTGGGCACGCGACGAGGGCCACGCGATATATCTCCGCTATCTCCGCTTTCTTCCTCACTCTGCGGGGAACCAAAAAAGACATCTGATTCGAATCATGAGCTATGCTCACATCTGTACGAGCGTTCACTCGGCGCAATGAACAATTCAGAATTCCGGAACTTGCTACAAAAAGATGCAAAGTCAGCAAACGGCAGTGCCATCAATGGCGCATCGTTGCAAAAGCCGTCGCTGGGCTCTCGTGCCCGAGCCGCGATTCCGATGACTCCACGCTCTGTCATGGGTCGGAATGCATCTACAGATTTTGCTCGACAGGTCGCAGAGCATACCAGAAGTGACAGTGGCGAACCACCGGCGAAGAAGTTCAAGTCCAGGTCTGCACCGAGAGGCACCAGACTAGCCCAGGGTTACTCCGATCGAACGACTGCGAGGAGAGATGACGAGGAGGAAGAGAGCGACAAAGTGAAGAAGCTCAAAGAGCTGGAGCAGATGGTGAAGGAAGAAAAGATTGACCGAGCTACATTTGAGAAGCTACGCGATTCAATGGGCATTGGAGGTGATTTGGGTACTACTCATTTGGTGAAAGGTCTGGACTTCAAGCTACTTGAGAAGACACGACGAGGGGATGATTTGAACGAAACACCAAAACAAGCAGTGGATGAAGCGTCATCCGTGCCAGCGGAAGAAGCCCTTGACGAAGAGCTGGATCATGTTTTGGACCACGACATTGTGGCGAGGACACGAGATTCGGCTGATGCAGCAGAGGATGGCCTGGAGACTACAGAAGCGCAGCCCATGACTCGGGATGAGATCCTGCGCAAGCTGAAGGAAGCTCGCAACGCAGATGTGGCACCCGCCCCATTGCCAGCACTTGGAGATCGATTCAAGAAAGTGGCCCGTATCGAAAAAGCGGGAAAGAAGAAGTTTGTCGAAAGCATCAATGGACGTCGCCGCGAGGTTCTCGTCATCACCAAGGAGGACGGTTCTACAAAGCGAAAAACTAGGTGGCTCGATCCTGAACCCGTTGAAGAGAAACCACAAGTCCCACTAGGGATGGAAGTGCCTGCTGAATTTGCAGCCAAGCAAAAGGCACTTGCTGAGCAAGAGGCAGCCGAAGACGAAGACGACGACATCTTCCAAGGCGTTGGAGCCGACTACGATCCTCTGAAGGACATCGACAGTGACGCGGACGATAATGGCACGACGACCAAGCCTGATCCAAGTGATGTCGGCGAGACCAAGGGCCGACCACGAAATTATTTCAACACCAGCGGGTCCGAGGACCAGGATCGGAAGCAGAACCCAATCATGCAAGATCCTACCCTTCTGGCCGCCCTAAAACGAGCTGCTGCGATTCGACAGGATGAGAATTCGACAGCCACCGATGCAACATCACACCCAGATCAAAGTGAGAAGAGTAAACGGTTCCTCCAGAAACTCAAGGAGCGCGAGCGACAGGATGCCAGGGACTTGGATCTTGGCTTTGGCGACTCTCGTTTTGGAGATGACGATGATGAAGATGGCCCAATCTACGAAGATGGAGACGAGCATGAAGGCAAAAAGCGAAAGCGAGGCCCGAAGAAACGCAAGGGCGACAAAGACAACGTGGCGGACGTGATGAGTGTACTGTCACATCGTAAGCCATAGTCCACGCTGGCGTGATCAAACATATAATTTCAACACGGGACTGAATGCCTCCATGGCTCCCAACAAATGACACCGCTGACTCTCGAGCTGCCGAATTTTGATCGTCGCAGGTTAAGCCGGGGAAGGGGCGCGACGATGGAGTTCCGCTGTGGATGAATATAGTCTTTCCACCAGACATCGTGCCCCACTCGGTGGACGTGGACAGCCGTTCGGATTGCCCTGTTGCGGATGAGGCTCAGCAGAAGTCACTGCAAATCCTTGCCGCACGAGATTTGGTCGCACAGAGTTCCAGGATCGGGAAGGCAGTGTTGAAGCCAACTCGTCCTGTTCAAGCATGGGATTTTAAGACAGAGTAGCTTGTTGTGTTCAAGGCTGTGTTCCCCTTGCCGAAGCCTGAGCCGAACTTGGATCGCAGCTGACGTGTTCACCTTGCATGTCCAAGTACCGTCGTACCGGCAAGGAGCTGCCAATTCGACCTGTGCAACGGCGATGAGGTGCACCTTTCAGCGGCGGTTGGGGCCGTGAATGGCGGCCAACCTTTCTGCATGCTCGGACCGCTCAGAAGCTCCAGTTGACGAGTGAGATTTTGAGTCGATGCCATGACTTCCTGCTGCCCCTGCATTGTGCGAAGATCTGGACTGGAGCCGAGTTGAGGATGAAACAGAGTTGTTTTTTGCCTCCGCGCTAGACCGGCCACGTCGCAGTCGATTGGATGGAGTCCGGGCCAGTGGGGCGCCATGGCTGGCAGCTGCGACGACGCTAACGCAGGAACCTCGATCGCCCAGGTGGCCCCCTTCCCCTTTTCAGCCTCCACTCCTGTGCCGAGTCACATCGTCTCTGCCTCTTCCTGGTCTTTTGTCAGCCGCCAACACCCACCTCCTCGGCGCGGTTCTTGGGTGGACATGGTTTGCCCATGTTGCTGGGCTGGCGCTTTCGGGCATCTGCAATCGGCCGGACTGCCCCTCGCCTGAAACACCCGATGGTCATACCCATGATTTCTACCTTTCATCCAGCCTTCCCACGCGTTAAGCGGATGAAAAGACGTGTTTGCCGGCTGCATCTGGGCCTGCTCCATGGTCCAACAAAGGTGAAACAACTCAACCCTCGCGGACCACTCGCAAGATCGGTCAAGCCTTCCACACCGCATGGTATAACACCAACCCTCCTGCTTCCCTCCGACTCTGATTCTCTTTCTGTTCCATCAACACCTCCGTTCCCCGTCCTGTTCTCTTGACACGTTTGTGCAACACACCGCACCCACCATTCTTTCTATCTCGAGGCTAGCCCTTGCATTCTTTCACTTGAGCTAAGCTCGTGGCTTTTCGCTATCGTCCATTCCTTTTTGCCGACAGGATCGCATATCCCCCATCCTACCAATCAACAACCAGATCTATACCTGTATACCACAAACAGTCAATATGGTCTCCAAGTCTCTTGCTCTCTTGGCTCTGTCCAGCCTTGCTATTGCTAAGCCTCATGGCCACCAGCATCAGCACGTTCCTAAGCACATCCCTCAGGGCACTGGTCCCCGTGGACCCAGGGGTACTGGACGTCCCGGCTTCTTTCCCGGTGGCAATGGAACTTGGGGTGATGCTCCCTTTGCATCGGGCTCTGGAGCTGGCTCTGTCCCGGTAGTCACCCAGACCGTTGTCCCAGTGCCAGGTGAAGGTGCTCCTGGCATGCCCACTGGTGCTCCTCAGGTGCCTGGCGGTGGTGAGGGTGCTGCCCCTCCCAAGCCCGAGATCCCCGGCGGCGATGAGGGTGCTGCCTCGCCTCCTGCCGCTGGCGCTCCTGGCGGTGGTCAGGGCGGCATCAGCGGCCCTCCCGATGTCAACAACAACATTCCCGCTACCGATGTCGCTGGCGGTGCTGGCGGTAATGCCTGCGTTCCCCAAACCACAACGACCACTACCATTCAGTATGTCACTGTCACTGCTGACGCCGGCTCGCCTCCTCAAGGTGGCGCTCCCCCTGCTGGCGGCGCACTTCCTTCTGGTGGCGAAGGTGACCTGACCAACACCAAAGATGCCTCCGCTGGTGAATTCTTTGGCGTGCCCACTGGTGGCTTTGGTGGTGGATATGGTGGTGGTCATGGTGGCCAGGGTGGTGACTTCGGTGGCGCTGCCCAGTCAACGACCTTCGCTACCCTGCCGGCTGGCGGCAACGCTGCGCCTACCCCTGCCGGCGGCTACGGCGGTGCACCCTCCGGCACTGGCTCTCCTGCTATCCCAACTGGTGGCAGTGGAAGCGGGAGCGGGAGTGGTAGTGGCAACAGCACCGGCGGCGGCGCCTCTGGTGGCAAGGCCGGTCTTTCCTATAACTCTGCCGGTCTCCTTTCCGCCTTTGACGGCGCCGGCATGAGCTGGGCTTATAACTGGGCCGCCAAACCTGACGGCACACTTCCCTCTGGTGTCGAGTACGTCCCCATGTGCTGGGGTGCCAACGACATCGACACCTGTGCTCAGGCAGCTGCTGGTGCCAAGCATGTCCTGGGCTTCAACGAGCCCGATCTCGGTGAGCAAGCTGACATGACACCTGAGGCCGCAGCTCAAGGTCACATCAAGGCACTGAACCCTCTTGGCGCTGCAGGAGCGCAAGTCGGCTCTCCCTCCATCACCAACGGCGGTGCTCCTCACGGCATTGACTGGCTGAACAAGTGGTTCAGCGCCTGCGGTGGCCAATGCACTGTCGACTTCGTCACCTTCCACTGGTACGACTCGGCCTCCAACATCGGATATTTCAAGCAGCATGTTCAGGATGTCATTGATACTGCCAAGCAGAACGGCGTCAGCAAGGTCTGGTTGACCGAGTTCGGTGTCACCTCCGGTGACGCTGCCAGCTTCATCACCGAGGCCAAGGCCTTCCTCGACAGCACTCCCGAAGTCGAGCGTTACGCTTACTTCATGGCTGCTGAGGGCAACTTGATTCAGGGCGGCGGTCTCTCTGCCGCTGGCAAGGCCTACGCCGGTTCATCATAGTTCGGTCACGGCACCAAATGCGGTCACTTGACCCACCTTCTCGGAGACATGTTGTTTGTACAGCACCAATCTTTGGAGCCAGATGCTCTTGTGAGTGTTCGAAGATATAGCGATGACCGGACAGAAAAGCAGATGTCTGACCAAAACATTGGTGTACTTTTTTCCTTTTGATAGATACAGGGACAGGGGAATCGGAAAATGAGACGAATCATAACAACCCCCAGACGTGGAAAGATTGTACGCTGCCGCAGTATTGGTAGCCGTCTATCAGAAGTTGGTGCACGCGAGATATGTGACCATGATCTATAGAGATATATTCAGCAAGTGAACCCAATGTTGAGATATACACCTAACGTTGCGTTTGCGCTGTGCGCTTCTGCTTCCCTTCTTTACTACTCAACTCGATCACACCTGCGCTCCACCCATCAGCTAGTCAACATCGAGATTTCGTCTTGCAATCGTCGATGGCGTGGATCAACGGCCCTTCGAATGCCTTGCGAGGGCTGTGCTACGGTGCCGTGCTTGCATTTATTACTCTGATTGCTCTGATATACATCGAGGTGATGTTCCGCCAAGCAGATTGCGAGGGTTGGACGGGTGGAGAGCTGGAAGGAAAAGTGGCGAAGAGACTGTAGCTTGAAATACATTTGCAGGAGTACAAGATGAGTAACGATGATACAGTGTGAGGTACCCCAGAATGCCTTCTGGGACATAGGTTTTGAGCAGCGACAACCTTTGTAGATACATTGTTGCACTCAGATCCAACCAGACCTCACATTGGGTGTAGCTCTAACCTCGGACACTCGCCCTTGGGGTGATGGTGCAAGTCTTCTCTTCCCCGCCAACGCTGTGCCCACTCCCTCTCGAACGAGATCAATTCCCCACCTCTTCCCACTCCCCTTCCAACTCGGTAGATCCCACCACCCCAGCAGAACCTTTTTGTTGCTGCTGCTGTTGCTGCCGCCGGCGCCTTCTCTTCCCCAGGGCTCCTCACCTTCCTTCACGCCCCTATAGACCTCGCCAGCCAACGGCCCCCCAACAACCAGCTGCAACCTCCCCCAGATCTGGCACGGATTCCCCTTGACGACCTCTCGGCCTGCCCGTACCGCCCAGACCGCATATCCCATCAGCAGCACCATCGCCGCCAGCATCGCCTGCAACGCCACTTTACTCTCCTGATGCATCGTCAACTTCAACTTCTTCCTCCCATTATGCACCGTGACCCTCCACACCTCGCCCTCACCATCCTCGGTCCCGTTCCCCGCATCCGCCTGCGCCGCCGCCGCTGTCGCCACCGCTCCGGCGGGCAGCGGCTGCCGCATCGCCAAGCTCACCGCCTGCGCCATATAGCGACGGTAGAACTTCTGCACGCTCTCAAACACGACCCTCCGATCTGCGTCTTCCACGGACGCAAAGGCCGCCTCGCCGGCCGGCGACGCAAAAAGCCCGGTCTTGCCGAACAGCACGCCCTGGAAGAAATGGTCGACGGGCGTGGCGGCGTTGGCGGCCGAGGGGAAGGTGGTCTGATTGAAAATGGAGAGGGTCTGGTCGAGGGGCTGCTGGATGCGGAAGGGGAACGCGGTGATGTTGGGATCGGTGGGGGAGGCGGGGAGAAAGGGTTCGACGTCTGGGTCGGCGGAGAGCAGGGTGGTGTTGAGGATGCGTTGCGTGGCTGTGAGGAAGGTGTGTGAGGCGAGGGATTGGAGGTGTTGGGTGCAGACTAGGGTTGTGAGGTTGGGCGTGGGCGAGCTGATGAGGTCGACGTGGCCGTAGATCAGAGCGAGGGAGGGGCAGCCCGGTGGGTTGTCGGGTTGGTTGGGGGCGGTTTCACCGACGGAGCCTTCGATGGGGGAGTTGTATGGGCCAACGTGGAGGGATAGGAGTTTGCCGACGTAGGATTCATTGGTGGTACCTGAGATCTGTTGCGAGAAAGGGATCTCAATAAAAGGGAGGGTGCCATCGGGCCCTCCACGTTGGCAGCCCTCCGGCAGACGTGCGCGGGCATTGAGACTCACGCTGGCGGCATTAATGCGAGGATTAGCCGTCACCGTAATATTGACAGCGTCGGAGGCGAGGGCAACGCAGCCAAGTGACGCACGGAGGGCTGGTATGTTCAGGTCCAGGACAGCGCTTCCAGTCTCGTCAAGATCCTCCGTAGAGCCGAGAGACGGGAACACGAATTCTGCGTAAGTGTTGATCGGATAGCTCAGATTGGAGCTCTCGAGAAGACTGCAAAGCGCAGCTGCATCTGCTGGATCTATCAACGCCGACTTTGTTGTAGTATCGAAACCCTCGATCTTGGGGAGATCAACAATACGAGCTTCCGACGCTGGATCGAAGGTGAACAAGCCAGAAATAACAATGGTCAACACACTACCAACCAGTGCTGCGGTAGTAGAAGCTGCCACAGGCCAGAGATGCAGCCTGGCTGCTCTCCAGAGGGTCACGGGCGGCAAATCACCAACGAAAGATCTGTCCGGGAACCTGGGAACTGACATTGATCGCATCTTAAGCGCACTCAGCGGTCCTAATAGTGCGATGTTGAAGTCAATCGAATTGAACAACGTGGCTATCAAGAGCATGGTGAGAGCGGGCACCGTCCTCAGCCATACGAGAGCGCTGCTTGCATCGTCTTCGTCGATCAGCACGATTGTGCCTTGTGGGCGTTTCAGTGAAGCTTGGTGCACACCCTCTAGTGTGGCGATAGTAAGCACTGGAAGCACAAGAGTGAGTGCCACCATTGTTGGTCGAAGCATCAGTGGCGTCCACCAGTGATGTTTGTCGTCCGGTCTTGGCTCAGGTTCAACGAGAGGACTCGAAGCTGTAGCGGGGCGGGTTGAGTATACCTCAAAGACTGGGCGCTTGTCAAGTGGCCCAAGACACCATGATGTGCCAAACCGGTAGGCTCGTAACATAGCATCGATGCCCTTGCTGTCGAGGTCTCTGCTGCTGTTGACGAGGCCTACCAACTCTTCATTTGGCGGTATATGGCCGGCAAGTGCGATGAGAGACTCGGGATGATGGGGAAGAGCTGGGCGGGGCCTGACACACCAGACGGCGATAGTAACAAGCACGAGAAGCAACAATCCTCCAAACATGAACCATAGCGAGAGTTCTGTAACCACCAAGCGCTTCGTTCGAAACGAGAGGCGCCCCGGTAGAGGTTCATCGATTGTTCGCCGAATATTCTTGTGTATAATTTGCGAGGCCACAGCTCGAAATACGGTGTTGGCTGCATTTGACACGATGTCATCGCCCACGTCGTCGTTGAGTAATGCCTCGTAACCTGAAGGTCCTATTTCGGATCGTTCATGGAACACAGTATCCGCCATCATCCGAAACATCGTATTTGGAGATTCTTCCTCGAGCAGGCTATTTGCAGCGCTCGCAACACCAAACAGACCCGCTCCATCAAGGATAGAAGCAGTGAAAGCATTTGCCAAATCGTCATCTGTGAAAGCCTCAGACAGTGACGGTGGGCCCTCACCTCCGGCAAGAACTGCCCGCACTGGTGTCTGAGAAGTCTCGTAGAGAATGCTGGAGTTAGTGATGCTCACATGCGGATTGCAGACTATGCTCTTGGTGCGCCTGACATTAGCCGACCAACTAGTCACGTTGACCTCGTCACCAATCCCTCTCGTGGCAGACTCTGAGGCATCGGGAAACTCCTGCGCGTATTCAATCTCAGCGAGCACAAGAAGTTGGATATTATCCGTCTGAGATCCGGGAGCTCTAAAGTCATCACAGTCGACTCGCTGCATACTGGCGCGTCTTTGGATGTTGGGGACTACCTGCGATTCCAAGATGGCCTTGTCAAGGAGGAATGTCGGTTCAACACCTGTGAAGGAGCACCGGGGTGAAGTGACTGCGATTCTGCCCCTCGAAGCGTTGGTGAGCTGAGTATCGACATGTTCGGGATTGATAGTAACGTGAGCGGGCGCACAGCCGAAGTCGGGTACAAAGGTGCGTACGTTTGCTCGAAACTCAATGTCGGATGCACCGGGGGTTGGATGGGAAAGGAAAGTCTCGTAAGCGAATCCATCTCCAATGCCGTCTTGACGCTCAAGACCATATGATGAGATGCCGAAGGCATTATACACTAGAGATGAGTCGGTTCCGAGTGTGAATGCGGTTGCGTTGAACAAAGTACCGTCAAAACGACTCGTTTGCACCAAGGAATCCGATGGTACTTCAACAGCCACATCGCGTACATCAAGAAGTGCTGTCGATGCTAGAGTGATCCCTTTCAACAGCGCAAAACCGAATACACTGGCTGGCACAGCGAAGTGTTTGTTGCCAATAGCCTGCGCAAAGCTCACAATCTGTAGAGGCGAGACGTAATCTAGGCGGAGACTCTTCTCTGCTTGCGCATTGCCATCTTTCAATACTGCCCATGGGACAAGTATCTTCACCTCGTGGTCGAGTTGGCGCCATGCTGCGGCAACAAACACCAGCAGTGCCGTCGGTCCATATGTCCACAGATAGTGATTATCGGTCAGGGTCTCAATGCCGTTGGTTCGAAGACTGCTTTGACGTAGTACCACCAGACCTGCGGCGAGACAAGAAAGTAAAATGCCCACGGCAGACAATGCGGCATTTGTCAGCCAGGAGCGACGCCAGTAGATCCCATGCTGCCTCTCAGCCGTTCTGGTAGGGGACTGGCTGCGCTTAGTAGTCTTCCATACCACGAAGCGACTCTTCGCTCGAGGCCTTGATGACATTTCAGATGCCTCTCGGCATGATTATATGCATTCGATCATGGTTCCAATATGTAGAGGCTGGTCACGAATCTATAATGCGTCGGAATCAAGCTTGAGAAGCTGTGGTTCAGAATGAGGAGAACACGGGGGCCCAGAAGCGTCATCGGCCATCATAAGCGCTGTCTTCCTGTCCATGGCGTGGCTAGGCATGGTCAACCATGCAGCCATCAGGTTTCGACCCGACATACGTCCAAGACATGCTGGCGGTAAGGACCAGATAAGAATCTGGCATCGCCTTCTCGCTTATTTTCAACAGACTCACCTGGCCAGAAACGAAATAGTAAAACTTTGGTTCACAACGAAAATATTACTGGTTGACAGCCACAATTTCCAAGCATGGCTGCATAGAACTTGGGTAGACGCACGCTTGCTGAGTGGTCATGCCCACACTTTGTAGAGATTAAGCGCCGACACGGATCAGGATGGCTCGGTTAGCCGCCTTTCTATAAATAGCGCACTGAAGGCAGCAAGCATCCTTACGCTTCCTTGCATTGCGAATCTGGGTTGGTCCGCCGCGAGCTAAGTTGTTAGGGTCGACGTTAAAGGAGTTGCAAACACAGATGTCGGTACCGTGACGACAGAGTCATTGAGGCAAGACATCATTCACAGCATGACTCGTGCAGCCTTGCTTTCCGCGTACGAGGCTTTGGTATAGGTGGTGCATGCGGTCTTCTCAAGCAACGAAGCAATATGACGCCGTCCTGCTGCCAGTAGTCCACACTCAAGTCTGGGCTCGACAGCGCAATACCATGTTCGGGGCACTCAACAGGATCATAGGACGGCTGGATGCCGAGCCATCCCAGCAGAGCAACACTCAGAATCCGGGCGACAACACCTTCGGCTTCCAGGTCCTGCGGAATCCAAACACAGATCTCGCCCTTGAGCCATTTTTCGACTTCATTATAGGCATCAATGGCCACTTCATTGTGCGTGCGATGTCACCCGGCCGCTGACATGTCTGACGGTGTTATAGGAGTCTCCGGACCCGAATCTATTCTCGACCGAACTCAAGAACTGTGCGGGAGGGTACTGCTCGCTCGACCTGTGGAGCGCGAAAGGACAGAGGACAACACAACTCACGATCCCCGTGCCTCAGCCGCCCGACTCGCTGGGGTTGTCCCTGCAACTTGCACCTTTAAACTCGACTTTCAACGTCTGGCACATCCTAGACATCCCTTCGCCATTGTCGCCAGCCCATGTTGCTGGCCTTCTCCCACATAGCGACTACATTCTTGGTTCACCAAGCGGCACATTAAGAGGCGAAGCTGCCCTGGGAGAACTGGTCGAAGACCACCTGAACAGAAGCTTAATGTTGTGGGTCTACAATTCAGAATTTGATGTCACGCGCGAAGTTGAGCTCATCCCGCGACGAGGGTGGGGAGGAGAAGGTGCTCTGGGCGCAATACTCGGCTACGGGGCGCTTCACCGTCTACCAATTGGCATCGGAGAAGAAGTGCAGGCGCCTGGTCAAGATCTATTTGACGCTGAGCAGAAGACTGAGGTCGTCTACAGTGGGGGAGAGAACGGATCATTTCTACCTGCACCGCTGTCTGCACCACCAATGCTCAGCCCCAGTGCGTCTGCGCCTCCCATGCTGAATCCAAACGCTCCTCCTCCGGCGGCAGGCACTTCGAGAGCAAAGAAGAGCAGACCGAACCGAGCGTTGTCGCCAAACAGCGGGTTCGATGATATGTTCGCTGAAGGAGCACAGAAGAGCGCTGCGCAGGATGCAGTGCCTTCGAGGAAAGGTACACCACTTGCTCCACCACCAAAGATGGGAGGCAAGCCTACCGAAGCAGCTGCCGAGCCGAAGACCGAAGACCTGGGCGAGCCAGGCGACGCTGAAGAAACCTGAAACCCTCTACCATCGAAGAGCCATGCGCTAGACCTGCCTTTCCGGGTCAAGATGGACGAGCAGATATCTGGCCTTCATGCTTACGGTACCGAGGAAGGGACGCTCGCCTCATGACGACCCCTGGACTTCACTCTCCCACCAGCCGACGAATTCCCGCAGTCGCCTAGTGCGCTCGGCAGCCATCCTCCTACCTGTGTCAGTCTTCATCATGTCTCCCAGCTTGAACAGCTTCTCGTGGAAATGTTCTATCGAATCATCAAGACTCCTGGCGCCTTTTGCACCGCCGAAAGCAAAGCACCTCCCAATACCGATGGCACCAATAGCATCCAGTCGGTCAGCATCCTGAACAATAGCCAGCTCTGGGATCTCGGCGATTAGAGCTTGCACTTTCGCCGGATCCTTGCTCTCAGACGAGTAGGAGACGCCCTCTACCAGCCTCTGCAACCGCAGCGCCTCCGGTGCAGACATGCCGACATCGAGCAGGGCATCACGAATGGCATCCTTGGACTGAGCGTACTTTTTGTCTTCTACGTCGTGCAAGAGCGCCCCAAGAAGGACGGTGAAGGCATCAAGGGCTGGGTGAGTGGTCTTTTCGGCCTCGTAGATGGCGGTGGCGGTGGCGGTGACTCGCTTTACATGTCGGAAGTCGTGAGAGGCATCGAACTTCGGGTTCTGAAAGAACTGCTCGACAAAGGCGTAGATTTTGTGGACAGTGGTAGACTGGTCACTCGACAGCGCGGGGTGGTCCGCTGGGTGGGTGAGACCCACCGAACCCATGCTGAGCACGCAAATAACAACACAATCAATATTTGCCTAACGAAAGGAACGAAGCCACCTCAAACACCGCTATCCCTGCTGTCAGTGGTGCGCGAACTCGCGTTTTCGATGTGTAGGGCTGCTCTGGAACGTGTGAGAGGGCGGGTCAACGCGTTGCCTGAATTTGAGCACCGTCGTGTGGTGCTGAATGGCTAGGTCAGCCAATCAAAGGCCAGTAACGCCCGGCCTGCACTGATGCGGGAGCGTGGCTATGTTCGGACAAGCAACATAATATTTGCACTAATCATTCTTGCTTGAGCCGAATACTTTGCTTGCTTGCAGTCACCATACCGTGAACCGACTAGATCCAAGTCGAAACTTGAGCTGAGTGGTGAGAAGGTACGTTGGGAGTACACATGGGCGTCGCGAACTCCTCGACCCACTTCCTCGCGATCTACCTCCCCAGCAAATCCCGCAGCATCGCCTGCAGATTTCCCTCCCGCCAGAGCGTATAGTGGCTCTCCCCCTTAAACTCCCTATACACCGCATCCCCTCCAAGTCTCTCCGCCATGAACCGCCCCATCGCCGGCGTAGCGGACACGTCCTCTCCGCCATACCACAGCCTCACCCTCCCCGGGAACGCCACGTCCTCAAGCCGAAACCCCCACGGCCGCCAGTGGAACTCCATGCCCTTCGCGTGCGCCCACGCGCCCTGGCACCACGCCTGCCGCAGCACCCTCACCGCCATGTTGAACGCGTTCTCCTCGAGCAACACCTCCCGGTCCCTCCCCTCGAAGCCCGCCTCGAAGTCCGCGCGCAGCTTCCTCGCCAGCGCCACGCCGTCGTCGTCCAGCTGCGCCAGCGGCACGTACTGCGTCTCGTACCACTCCCTGAACTCCGCCGGGTGATCGCGCCACGCCTCCAAGGCCTGGCACTGCAAGTCGCTCATGCTCGCGAAGCCGGCCTCGCAGGGCCCGACGCCGGCGCAGATGCCGACACCCCGTAGCTCCGAGGGCGGGAGGTGCTTGGCGCAGGCGAGCGCGAAGCCCGTGCCGCCGCTCGTGCCGACCATGTAGTAGCCGCTGCGCTGCAGGCCCAGGTGCGCGACCAGCGACTCGATGTCGGACGGGTAGTCGAGCACTTCCTGGGCGTCGTAGGGCGTGGAGAGGCCGACGCCGGGACGATCGGGACCGATCCAGCGCACGTGGCGGTCGTGGGCGGCGCGCGTTTCGAGGGCGCCCGTGATGCTGAGGCCGGAGTCGGGGTGCCCGTGGATGTAGATTATGGGGGTGCCCGTTGGGGGGCCGGCGGTGTGGTAGCCCAGCTGGCGGCCGGAGGGGAGCGTGATGGCGTCGCCTGGGATGGGCGGGGAGGGAGCCTGAGACTGCGTGTTGGACGTGGTGTTGATGTTCCTCCTACTGAGACTTGACGGCGGTGGATGTAGCGGCGTCATGAGGCCATGGACACGGAGGGCTCGTGGGGGCCGGCGTGTGCGGTAGGGCATGGACAACATCTTCCTCTAGATAGCTTCTGGAGAAGCGAGCGGAGAGGACTTGTACTCACTTGAGATCTGAACTGGAAAGGGGCCATGCTGCTGCAGCCTTTTTGTACAAGATAGCTGAGCTGGCGATGGATGGGCATCGTATAGAATTCCGTATCCGGAGGAGGTCGTAGCGGTACAAATGACCCGAAAGGGGCAATATGGGGTGGCGGGTGCCTGTCAAAATTCCTGTGATACGGCGGTGGCGGTACGAAAGGCGTGTGACGCCCCGTCCATATCTTCCTTCCACGGGTTACATAGCACGCGTCTCGTGGCTCTGTGGGTTTTTTTTTGTTTCTTGTGCCGATGTTAATATCTAGAATGGGGATCCCCCCTCCCCCCCAACTCATCGACCTTGCGACGCTACGGATGAGTCATGACTACCCCGGATCATAGGCTGGATTGATGATCCTGTGCTCGCTGCCCAAGGAAATTGAACGTTGTCCACGGGTTGCAGTGCAGGCGAGTGCGGACCCTGTTGCCCCTGTTGAGCCAGTGCAAAAGTATCTGTAAAGCAAGTGGACCCTGTGTTCATGGTACAAATCGTCTCTAGAGTTGAAAATTCCGCGAGACGACTGCAGCGGTAATTCGAGCGTCATACCCCGACTGAACGTTGTTCGCACTCGCTTACCGTCTGAGCCCTTGTTATAGTGGCACGAGCGATGTGTGGCCAAGCAAACAGCCAGGGGCTCTGATGACCACCAGTAGGCGGCAAAGAGATATGCAAAACTTCCCTTCACTGGCTCAGAGCCTTATCGATGAGCATCGACGCGGTCCGGCGCGCCACCTTTCCGTCTTCATCACCGTGGGCACCTCCCTCAAACAGATACCACGGCTGTAGATTCTGACACATGCCCACATCCTGCAGCAGGTCCCGCATGAGCCGAAACACCCCGATCATGCCCTTTTTCGTCTTCAGCTTATCCAGGTGCCGGATTGATGGCTGCTCGGGCATCGGCGTCTGCTCGCTCTGCCGCACAAACTCAAACACCAGCGCCGCGATACCGGCCGCAACAGCGGTGGCCACGGACGTGCCAGACCGACGGCTGGTCTCGTGGTCGCGATGCGGTGCCAGGACGTGCAATCCCAGCACGCTGAGGTTGACGTCCTCGAGCGAATAGAGCGGGTTGAAGGAGACGAGTTCGTCGCGGCCGTGGAAGTCGGCCGCGCGAATGCTGAAGACCTCGCGGTGGCTGGCGGGGAAGGTGATGCCGCTGTGCTTGCCGGCGTTGGAGGCGGCGGCGAAGAAGATGGCGTCGCCTACCTTGTCATAGATCTTTTTGGAGACGACCTTTTTGTTTTCGTGGTCCCACTGTGCTAAGGCGAATGACATGCTGATGATGTCGACATGCCATTCCTGCACAGCATGCTCGATGGCCTAGACAGGGTCATCATTGGGGCTTGGTTCCTACGCTCGAATTTGACAGCACTTACCTCGGCGACATAGCTGCCACTCACACTGTTGCGGTCCTTGAAAATGCGGCATATGTAAAGGTCTGCATCTGGCGCTACCTGGTGTGCAACCATGGCACAATGTGTGCCGTGACCGTCTTCATCCTCGTACCAAGGAAGTGTGCCGCCTTGATTGGAGTCATGTGACTCGTCACCACCGTCGGTGATAGCTGTGGACCCAGAAGAAATCCAGGACCTGCCGTCCTGTATTCGTTTCCGAGGTCCTCTTCTAGAGTGAAGCTCTGCGACTTCCGGATGTGCAGTGTTCAGCCCGGTGTCCAGAATGGCGATTCGCGGTCGATTCCCAGGGCCAGACCGTAGTGGTCGCAGCATCTCTAGGAGATCATGGGACTTTCTTAGCCATATGTCGAACCAGTCGTCCGCACCAGCCAGATCATCTTCGTTGCCATTCAATAGAGTTGCGTCCGATAATTTGTGGGGTGGATGTTTTCGGTCGCTTACCGGAGGAGCAGGTTCAGCGGAGGCAGCTGGTGGTGCTTGGATAATCCCTCGCTCTGGACGACTCAGAGACTGTTCGTGTTGAGACTGGTCAGTTGCACGCGGCCTCAGGTCGGTATCTCGAGGGGGGCCTTTATCGAGCACTTCATCTCCAAGGTCAAACGAATCAAGCTGCTTCAAGCGAACGCTGATTGGAGCTGATGCCTGGGTTTCGTAGTTCAACAGCTGAGCACCAGTTTCAGTCGATTGCTCGTTATCCTGTGAAGATTGATGCTGAGCAGATGCTGTTTCAGACTGCTGCTCCAGTCGTCGCTCCTCTCGTTCCTGCTCCACTAGCTCTTCTTTCTGCAGTTTCGCAAGATTATTGGTGATTATTTTCACGTTCTTCCTGATCGAAGAGTACAGGTCGTCATCCTTCCCCAGGACCCTCTTGCCGAGATCGCGAATCTTCACGAGAACTCTCAAGGCTTCCTTGGTCGAAGAGATATCGCCGAGGTTCGACAGATCGACTGCCCTCGCATTCCGCATGAATAGGACATCGTATAGCACGGCTTCTTCGTCCGGCCCATCCGGCGAGTCCAGATCCTTCAAAAGACCATGTTGGATTTTGTCGGCCTTCTCGTGGTCGCCTGTTTCTGCAAGAGCTTCCGAATAATCTCTTTTAGCGCGCAAGACTGGCGGGTCTTTAGGATCCAGGTGACCTTTCACGGCGTTGAGGAAAGAATTGCAGTACTTGACGGCCTGTCCCCATTTTTCCTTCCTGCTGGCTTTATCTGCCTGTCTCGAAAGTTCACGCCAGTGTTCCAACTCTTCCTCGCCAATCATCTGGCCGTATAGGAGGGTGATACAATTGACCTTGAAGGAATTGGTGGCTGTGGAACCAACCAATACCGCGTCCGCTGACCGTCTAAGCCCGGGCTTTGCCGCGCACGACTCTGTCAGGCAAAGCGCACCATAGTCAGGGTTTGACAAGAGTGTTAGTCATCACAATCATCTATCTGTCAAGGACTGAGCGTATTACGGGCCAGCATATGGCCAACATGGGGTGGGAGAGGCAATGGCCGGGATTGATCGAGGTAAGAACTGACACACAAGTCACCCCCTCACCCTGGCTGGACGGTCCCAACAATCGCGTGGGGCAAGGCCGACAGCCCCCGGCGATCGCGGATCGAGCCGCCCGCAACCAAGGCCCGGGGCGAGATGTTCCAGGCTCGGATGGTTACGCCAGTGTAGTAGAGTATGAACTACGGAGTACAGGCAAATACTTCCAGTCCGAGCGGTCATTGTAGAAACTACTCTTCATCTCCCGGAATACCGAATGCTAGCGTGTGCTCGTTCCCCTCGGTTTGCGCAATCGCCGAGTTCAGGCCGAACTCATCAGCCCCTATGTCTTCGTTCTCGAGACGAAGGAATTCGCTATCGTCGACAGTTTCAGGTTTCGGCGCTTTGGCATCGCCATCGAGGACCGTGCCTTTCAGCACATCCTCCATGCGAATCTTGCGAGAGAATTTGACATAAGTGATCTTCCGAAGGCGGTAGCCGAGGATGAAATCGGACGCTCCGAATGAAGCTTTCGTGCTTCGTTCGACTTTGGTGCCCCCTTTCACATTGACGCCCAACGGCGCTGTTCCTCCAGTCGATACCGTCAGATCAACACCAACCTTGGCGTTGAACAGGACTCGACGGTCGCTATCAGTACACACAGATGCTTTTGTGGCACTCATGATGCCTGTGATCATGTAAAGGTCAATGCGAAACTTGTTCCTGCGCAACACTCGCTGCACTTCTTCATTTGCGAAGGCCTTTTTTACCCAATCCTGTTCGGGCTCGATCTCCTGAGTTCTCAACAGCTCCGCCTCTATTTCGTACACGCGTCGTCTTCCTCGCTCGGCATCGAGATCAACACCAAAGCCAAAGATCTGGAGAAGCGACGTGCCGATGCCTGTGGAGACTGAGGTGTCTATCACTATGGTCGCTTTGAAGTTAGGCTTGGTGATGTCCACTGTCGGTTTTGGTAATGGCTGCGGATTGGGTTCTCCATAGTTGAGTGAGGCTTGCGGCTTTCTTGAATCTTCGATGATACTGCCCAGTGCGATGGGCCCTCCAAGCTGGAAATGCCACTTTGGTGGAAAGAAGTACGAGGTCTCCTCGTTCGCCATGACTGTCAACCGAGGAGGTCAGACTCGACGTTTATGGGAACGTCTATACACCCCTGAGACGATGCACAACGATCTAACAGCAACCGGGTGAGACTGCCAGAACCAGACTTGTCGCGTGTGCGCCATCCCACATCCGGCCGAAAGCATTGGATCGCAACTCCAAGTGGCGCTCGTCGTGATAGTGGAAGCGGGGTTGATGCATATTAGTGACCTGTCCCAACCTCCCACTTTTTGCTGCAGCTGGCTTGCCTTACTGCCGATGATACCGCTCTTGGCGATACTCGACTTCTTCAGCTGAAGCTCTATCGAGTCTCTTGTTATCCCGCTTCTTCAGCATCCGCGGCAGGACGTACAGGCGTGGGTCAGACACTCTGCGACAATGATTTCGGGACGATTTTGCATTAACAGTACACATGCGATGCCTCTACCGCCATTCTAATCATGTCGCGTCCGGTGTGCAGTCTGAACCACAGCCTTGTCAGTGGTCCGTCGCCAGCTACCTTCGCTGGAGCACTGCGATGCTCGAGCTCTGTGCGCACACGGAACAGACGAATTCGAGCAGCGGCAAACAGTCGAGCGCTTACCATGAAGCATGCCAAGCTATCTGTTCGAGTCGTTCGATCGCATCGAACGTCAGCGCAGCTCGCGACATGGAGACAGGTATCTCGAGGATCCTGAAAAGGTCTTTGTACGATCAGCGCCTCGTGTTGAAAGGCGGCTGTACGGGGACGGGCCACGGTATGAAGAAAGACGCCCTCATAGGAGCCACCGATCCACAGGTCCAGAGATCGTCCTGGAGGAACCACCTGTTCCGGAGCGTGAGAAGCGCGAGAAAAAGCTGTATGGCAGCACTGTTTATCAGTACACCGACCATGAAGTTCGTACCGTCAAGAGCCGACCTTCTAGGTCGGACGAGAAGCCGCCGTCAAAAGAGTATGTCGATGCCTTCGTGAAGAAATTGGGCGGCAGTCATTTCCAGGGGACAATCATCGAGAATCCGGCTACCCCTGACAAGAGCGACGTACGATGGAAACTCAAGCCTGTAACGGTTCCTAAAGCGCTGGCGACGGGCGAAGTCTCGATTGGAGAGTATCGGAATGGAAACAAGTTCTTCTTTCGAAAGTCCACCAAGAGAGGCAAAAAGCCTCCGACTGCGAAGCCAGCATCCGACTCAAGCTCCAGTAGTTCTTGAGCACGCTTTGAGATCCGTACAGGGGTACATCATGACTGCTCCTCGAAACGGGAGGTCGGTGTTGACACGTGACCCCGGGACAGCCGTCGTCAAGCAGCCTTCGGGTTTAGCGTGAGGTGGCCGATAATGAGCTTCAGTCCGTATTATTGCGCAGGCTGATCAGTCTCGACGATTCCTGGAACATGCTAGCGTGTATGAGAGCTCAACTGTCGGTTAGCTGGACGGTCTGCCCACCGGCAGTTGGGATGAAAGGGATCCAGCCCCTGCAGCAAGTCTTTGGCTATCTTTTGCGCTCCGATATTAGCAAGAGTATGCCATCCAGATCTGTGATAGATGCTCTGAGTAGGTATTATTTAAACAAGGCAGCTCGCTTTGCGGATGCCACCAGCTTCTCCCAAGGCTGTGACACAGCCTTGGCGTAGCACGATCTATTGCTGCCTCTTCTCATCCACACCCTTGCCAGCCTTGATGTCGAAGAATCGATTGCCATGTGACGAAAGCATCTCTACCGTGGCGCCTTGTTTCTGGACCTCTTGATCATGAACGTGAATGGCCCAGCGAGATCCATGGCTTGGCCCTCAGCGTCTCCAATGCACTCGGCTCGGGCTCCGTTCCGGGAATATGCGGAGTCGCTCCGACATATTTGGACCGCAGGGTGTATTCAACGAGACCGAATATTTGCAGCACCGAAGTCGCAGTAAAACCTGTAAAACCACTCAGAACTTCGCTCATAAGCTCATTATAAGAAAGCTAGACACCTGGCGCGGCTCTCACGGGACTTCCAAGCCCACCAGATTACCCACTCGACGCCTCGTTCGCCTCGTTCTGCCTTATTCCTTAGCCAAGCTACTCCAACGTCAGTCGAACCACTCGACCATTCGCAACTAGTCACGATCCAAGTACTAGCCACCCATGATGGCCGAAGCAGCGCCCGAGCCCAAACTCCACGTCACGGCCGACAACGCCCGCACGCTCGTCCAATCCATCCTCATCGGCAACGGCGTGCCGCCGGCCAACGCCACCATCATCGCCAAATGCCTCATCGCCGCCGACCTCCGCGGCATCGACACCCACGGCATGAACCGCATCCCCTCGTACATGACGCGCATCCGCAACGGCGTCCTCTCGCCGACCGCCGAGCCCACCTACAGCGAAGTCACGCCCGTCGCGGGCCAGGTGGACGGGCACAACGCCTTCGGCTTCCTCAACGCGCACCTGGGCATGACGCGCGCCATCGCCATGGCGCACACCTACGGCATCGGCATGGTCAGCGTGCGCCACTCGAACCACTTCGGCATGTCGGCCTGGGTCGTGCAGCAGGCGCTCGACGCCGGCATGATGGCCCTGGTCTTCACCAACAGCTCGCCAGCCCTGCCTGCCTGGGGCGGCCGCGACAAGTTGCTGGGCGTCAGCCCCATCGCCGCCGGCGCACCCGCCGGCCAAGGGTCGCCGCCGTTCATACTCGATATGGCGCCGAGCGTGGCCGCGAGGGGCAAGATCTACAAGGCCCTGCGGAGGGGCGAGGCGATTCCGGAGGACTGGGCGCTGGATGCGGAGGGGCGGCGCACGACGGATCCAACGGCGGCGCTGGGGGGGTCGATGCTGCCGATGGGGGGCCCCAAGGGCAGTGGCTTGTCGGTGCTGATGGACGTCTTCAGTGGCGTGTTCAGCGGCAGTGCGTATGCCGGTGGTGTCAAGGGGCCGTATGACCCGAGCGGCGAGGCGGATGTGGGCCACTGGCTGTTCGTGATGCGGCCAGGCCTGTTTGTCGGCGAGGACGAGTTCAGGAACCGCATGGACCATTTGTATCAGCGGGTGGTGGGCAGTGAGCGCATGGAGGGCGTGCAGAGGATCTACTTCCCCGGTGAGCTGGAGATCGAGGAGCAGAAGAAGCGGGAAAGAGACGGCATACCGCTTGTGAGGGCGGAGGTGGAGGCGTTGAATGCTGAGGCGGTGAAGGTTGGTGTGCCGGAGATGGTGCTGATGGAGGCGTCAACGACTTGATGATGTAGATCAAAGTGAGAGGGAAAGCAGCGTGGTAGATGTTGAATGTAGATGTACAGTTTATTGCTCGTTTGCGGGTTACAGGCACACTGGCCATCTAGGTATCCAAAGGCAGCGCTTGCTTGCTTGCTTCTTCGCCGTCATCGAACCCATAAGCAACTCGAACTTCCTTCTCTTTTCCAACGCGAGTACATGCTAAACATTGACTGAATAACCATTGATGCGCATGCCTCTCCAACCTGCCCCCAAACCTAACCTACCAGCCCAACGTCCACCCTTCTTCGCCCACACTTTCCGCACTTCGTCGACCCAGAATACACTGCTCGTGAGCCCGATCAGACGAATCAAGTCCCACACCCCGACTGCCTCTGTTTGAAACACGCGCTGCAGGAATGGCATGTAGATGACACATAACTGCCCGAAAAGAGACCCCGCGACAGCGTAGTTGAACATCTTGTTGGAGAAGAACTTGAGTTCACCGAGCAGGACAGACTTGGATTCGGACCGACAGGTCAGTGCGTTGAACATGTCAAAGAGCACGAAGGTCGTGAATGTCATGGTTGTATCGCGTTTGGTGACAACTCGCGAGGTCACAGAATGGCTATCAGAGCGCGCAGCAAGTCCAGAAGCCGCCGTTGAGAGCAGCTGGCCGTCTTCGCCCATTTCGTGGATATACATGAAGAACGTACCGAGCATGATCACCGCTGCCTGAGTGAGAACACGCCTGATTAAGCGCGGTGTCAGGACATTGGCATTGCGGGGCCGCGGTGGTTGAGTCATGACGCGTGGGTCTACCGGCTCGACCCCCAGGGATTGTGCAGGTGGACCGTCCATGAGGATATTGATCCACAAGATTTGCATCGCATTGAGAGGGTTGCGGAAGTTGAAGAGTGAGGAGAGCAAGACCAAGCTGAGGGCCGCAACGCTGGTGGAGAGCTGGAAAGTGATGAAGTTTTGAATGTTGTAGAAAATCCCCTTACCTTGCTCAATGGCGCGCAGGATGGTAGAGAAATCGTCGTCGGTAAGGATCATATCGGCAGCTTCTTTCGCTACATCCGTGCCGAGCAGGCCCATGGCGACGCCAATGTCGGCTTTCTTGAGGGCAGGGGCGTCGTTGACGCCATCGCCGGTCATTGCCACAACATCGCCTCGTGCTTGGAGTGCACGCACAATCTTCATCTTATGGTCAGGGCTAGTCCTGGCGAATATCGTTGTGCTGGAGATGGCTTCGCTCAGCTCGTGCTCGGACATCTTGTCGAGTTCGTCCCCCCGCAGGACAGAGCGAGCATCGGATCCACTCGAATGAATTCCCATCCCAAGCTTCCGAGCGATGGCGACGGCGGTCGTCTCAGCATCGCCAGTAATCATAATGACCTTGACACCACCCATCATGAGCCTTCGGATTGACCTGTGGACATCTTTTCGAGGCGGATCACTCATACCAACAATGCCGGAAAAGCAGAGGCCTTGGAAACTGTCCTCGTCCAGCTTCGTTTGGGCGGACCGTGACAAGGATGCTCCGCCAACCCCTGGCGTCGAACTCCGACTCATTGGCTTTCTCACGGTGCCGCTGGCGAAGCCGATCACGCGGAGTCCTTCTTCCGCCATGGCTCGGGCGGCAACTGTAGCTTCTTGGCGACGGGCTTCGTCTAGTATGACCTCTCTACCTTCTTTGGTAAGATAGGTATCGCATCGACTCAAGATGCGTTCTAGCGCACCCTTGATATAAGCAGTTTCGCTTGCTCCGTATGTATTGGCTACCTCACCGAGTGAGTTGGGAATGATGACACCCATCCATTTCCGCTCGGAGCTGAAAGGAGTTTCGCTCGATCTTGGTGCAAGTTGCGGACGGACATCGTCTGCGCCAAAGATATCCATCAAGTCAAGCACGGCTACATCAGTAGGTTGCCCTACCCACCGGCTCTTTGCACTTGCCGCACTCGGATCTCTAGTCGAGGAAAGTACTGCTGCAGCAGAGGCGACAGCCGGAGTGTCTGAACTGGTCGTGCACATCTTCGCGTTGTTTGCGATATTGCCGACCCGAAGAATGGTCCTGACAGCTGCACTGGGGTCCGCTGTCGTTTCAATGGCAAACGGCTGCCCTGCATCGAAGTGCCATATTTTAGTCACGGTCATATGATTCATGGTGAGTGTGCCAGTCTTGTCACTGCATACCACGTTGACAGACCCCAGTGTCTCAACACTAGGTAGCTTCCGGACAATGGCACCACGCTTGGCCATTCGCAGAACACCGAGGGCCAGGGTCACGGTCACAATGATTGGGAGGCCTTCAGGAATGGCCGCAACAGCCAAGGAGACACCAATTGTGAACAGGTCCAGAACTCGCTTGCCTTGCAGCAGCCCAATGAGCATGATGACACCAATGATGCCGAACGAGATGTAGCTTAGCTGTTTGCCTAGGAGGTCCATCGAATGTTGAAGGGGTGTTCGGGGGGCCTCGATCTCTTGTAAGGATAGCGAGATTGCACCGAACTCGGTTTTCCCTCCAGTCGCGATGACGATGCCTTCACCATAGCCCGATCTGACCAAGGTGCCCATGAAAGCTATATTGTGCTGCTGGTTGAGACGCACATCAGTCCCAACAGTGCCCGCCGCGTCCGAGGAGAACATTGGTGAAGCTGGTCTGGTTTCTGGTTTCTGTTCGGCCTGAAGGACGTGGGAGTCCTTTTCGACCGGCTCATTCTCGCCCGTAAGGTTCGACTCATCGATTGTAAGGTCTGCAGCTTTTGTGATACGTATATCGGCTGGAATGCGATCACCGGTGGAAAAGAGAACAAGATCTCCGACCACCAGCTGCGATGCAAGGATGCTAGAGGAGCCTTGCTGGACGGCCGCCCCGGCTGAGCCATTCGATAGATGCTCAGTTTCGGCTCTGCTTTCTTTAGCCCTTTGACCAGCTGCGCGCCGAACATGCGCTGAATGCGGTACAAGCTTATTCAGCGCCTCGAGGCTCTTCTCAGACCTGTACTCTTGGACGAAGCCCACTGTAACAACTATCGTGACTGCAAGCGTGATACTCACGGCGTCGTCCCTGTTACCGATGAAGAGCGAGACTGCGGCCGAGCAGAGCAGGAGAAGAATCAATGTTTCCTTGAATTGTTTGAGGAATCTCAACCAAAGCGGCTCTTCTTCTTCATGAGGCAGCTCATTTGGCCCATCCTGCGAAAGGCGACTTCGTGCTTCCGATGCCGATATGCCACTCGCAAGCGACGTCTGCACACGTTCTGCCGTCTGGTCGGGGCTCAGAAAGGAGTAGGTCGCCGTTATCGATGAGGACAGGCCTGATGGGCGAGCGAGCCCGGGGACTTGTAGAGTTGATGTTGAATCGGTGTTATACACCGGCAAGCCCGGCGAAGCTGACCTTGACATAATTGCATGGTCCTTATCTGGACGGCGAGCTCATTGTTCGCGGTCGGGGAAGAGGCGAGAACGGGGAAAGCAGGGCTGTTGGGGGCCAACCACAAGGAAGAAGCGACAAATGCAGTGGATATTGGACAGGGCTACCCCTACTGGATGATGATAAAAGATGAAGCGTTAAACAGAGTGTAGGGCTGTTGTATACAGTCCGACTGTTTCTTGTTAAGGAGTCCTTTCACATTGACTTCACTTTCACTTTCCCAGGGTGTCGCGAAGCCGCGGTTGTGCCAAGGCGGCAGCGCAGTTTGCGGAGATGTCGACGCTTTCCAACTTGCAACTTGTGACTTCACCTTGCACACGATCACCAGCTTCGTTCGACCTTCTACTCCTTCTCTTTTGCGCAAAGCGATCCTAAAAGGACACTTCTTTCCCGTCAAACTCCCTGGACATCCGTTGTGATCAGTTTGTCATTGCTGTGAGACCAACCAAGGCACTGTTTTGCTTGGGTTGATTCGGCCTTAGGAGCCAGCTTGCGTCAAAGCAGCGTCCATATCTCCTTCGCGTCCCTTCACACCATCATGGCGGAAACTGACAACATGGAAGAGGAGGATCTCTTCGCCGATCTGTAAGTCTACTATGATCTGAATCATCACGCAACCATTGACAATGGCAGTTACGACAATGATGACAGTGCCCCGTCCAAAGACCAGATTCCCGCCGCACCTTCAGCTCCAGAGCCTGTCAAGTCTGACAGTGCGCCCGGCTACGGTGAGGAACCGGATACTGGCCATGACCCTACCTCCTTCGAGATGGACGCAGCCATGCATGACCAGCCTACAAATGGGGCTTCTGACATGGGCTTTGATGGAGCTGCAACGAAGAAAGATGTCGAGCCAGGCATTCAGATGAAAGAAGACGGGTAAGTGGGTTTCATTGCTGTTTACTTTCTGTCGTTGCTTTTCATCCACGGCGGTGGAAACTGGAGGTAGGCGATATTGCAATCCGAGGCCTACGGAGAGAGTCTGAGGCGCCGGTGGCTGGCTGGGCTTCTCGGTTTCTAAGGAGGCACTGCGTATTACGTCCTTTGGTATGATGCCCTCGTGATGCGACAGTTACCGACAAAGACGTTGAAAGTGTTGCTGCTATCCCCCGGCTGCAACCGGAAAGGCCCTATGGAAATATGACAGACTTTGTGCCCCAAAACACTCATCATGGGCGATGGAACTTTGGTCTGGGACACGAGGCAGCCCTGATGGCACACGTGCAAGCAATCAGATCTACAATGAAGCACGCAAATTGTGGCGGATAAATGAGCCCGCAGGCTGTGGAGGACATGGCTTCCAGCCGTTCATCACGTCAGCTGTCTTGAACCCTGCATGGCTTCAGACGGGCACAAGCAGCGCAACTACGCCTCAGTTCAGACCATAGTACGGTACGAGATATGGTAAAGGACCAAGACACACATACCTCTATACGATACCGCAGTCAGACAGGATATAGGTGCTACAAGTATCCAACACTGGTACGCGAGACAGCAGCCTCAGCTTGCGCGTCGGCATTTGTTCAGTAGGCAATGCTGCCCAGCGCAAGCGTGGCAACCAAGTCAAATACCAAACCTCAATCGTCCTCCTGTTGGCCCAGAGAGTCTTCCAGGGCCAATAGAGACAACACCATGCTCAACCCAAGAGCCTTGTGTTTCTGGTGTTGCATCGGCGAGCCCAGCCATCGAAGCCCCCTCCTTTGTCTGGGGGCGACTGTCTTGGTAAACTGTGTATCATCTGCTGGGATCCCGCAATATCCGCTTCGGTCACGCCCTGCTGCGTCGGCGAGGAAGCTTGAGCGCGTTTGGTGTATGAGTTTCCACCCGCTGCTCGGCCTTGCGCATGCTGCGGCAGCCGGCAGCTTACGCCATGTCTCGCCAGATACACGACATGGCCATCACCAACAACCCATAGCGACTCTAGCACGATGGTGCAGTGGAGGGCCCTTGTTCAACGAAAGATCTACATCATTGTTGCAATGTCATGTTATTTGTCAATGTTTTTGATAGCTGACATAGCTGTTCTACAGAAAGATGTTCATTGGCGGTCTCAACTGGGAGACAACGGACCGTAAGCCATCAATGTTTGCTCCTCCTTCGGCCTTTCTGATTGTCTGACAGAATCTCTCCATGACTATTTCTCCCAGTTTGGCGAGGTGCAAGAATGCACTGTCATGCGCGACGGAGCCACTGGCCGATCCCGGGGCTTTGGTTTCCTGACCTTCAAGGACCCCAAGACGGTCAATACCGTTATGGTTAAAGAACACTTCCTTGACGGCAAAATCGTAAGCACATCCCATTATTTCCATCAGCCTGGCTCGGAGATTCGGCAGGGTCCCAAACCCTCCCATATTCGCCGCGGGCGCAGGTTGCGTTTTCAGAAGTCAAGCTCACACATGCAACACCAGATCGATCCGAAGCGTGCGATTCCGAAAGACGAGCAAGAAAAGACTGCCAAGATCTTCGTCGGCGGCGTCAGTCAAGATGCTACAGAGGCCGATTTTACCGATTTCTTTGCCCAATTTGGCACTGTCATCGACGCGACCCTGATGATGGACAAAGACACTGGCCGTCCGCGAGGCTTCGGCTTTGTCACCTTCGACAACGACCTAGCAGTTCAGAGAGTACTGGACTATCACCCTCTAGAGATTCTCAACAAGCCGATCGAGGTCAAGCGAGCTCAACCCCGAGGCAAGATTGGCGAGGAAGAAGACTTTCGTGGAGGTCGTGGTCGCGGCAAGTTTGGACGCGAGGACCGCTATGGCAGCGAGGGAAACAATAACAACAGCGTGGCTCAAAATCAAGGTACGGGAGTGCAAGGCATGAATGGTATGTCGCCTCAAATGATGGCACAGTACTGGCAGCGCATGCAGCAATACTTCTCGATGATGCAACAGCAGATGATGGCCAATGCCATGGGTGGTATGGGCCAAATGAATCCTCAAATGATGGCTCAAATGCAACAGATGCAGCAGATGCAGCAGATGCAGATGCAGAAGATGCAAGGTGGTGGCAGCAACAGCCCGGGCGGCCAGAACATGAATCCACAGCAGATGCAGCAGATGATGCAAATGATGGGTGGGATGCAGGGTGGCATGAACGGCGGTGGCATGGGTGGCGGAGCTCCTCCTACAGGTCCAGCTGGTAGAGGACGCGGTTCGGGCTTTACGCCCAACGAGCAGAACGCCTTCGAGCAGCAGAAGTACGAGCACCAAGCTCGTCGATCACATCCTCCTGGTGGACCCAAAGGCGCACAGCAAGGTGGAGGACCGCAGTCGTGGGAAGGCATGTACGATGACGTGCCACAGCCCGAGGGTGCTAACCAGGGCGGACGAGGCTCTGTCGGACCGATGCGCAACAGCACCCCCACCAACAGCAAGGCTCCCAAGAATGCTCCAACTGGCCCCAGCAATGCTCCTGCGAATGCACCGACTGGTCCGAAAAACGCAGGCAAGCCAGGTGCAAACTGGCGTGGCGGCGGAGGGGGCGGACGAGGAGGTCGCTATCATCCCTACGGACGCGGTTAGTTGACGCGGCCTCGGTGTTGGCATTAGACACGGCGAAGAGGTCTGCAGGTATTCTACGACATGGAAGGAGTGACATGTGCAAGCTGTTGCTCTAGATGATGGGCACGGGCTTCTGACGAAGGTCGGAATAGGAGAGCTAGGCGGTTCTTCTTCATGTACATCACCACGGATTATCAAAAGGGTGATCCAACACCTTACCAATGGCATCAAGCATTCAGGTATGAATGACGAACTTCGGATTGCTAGTCTTCATTACGTAGCACGGATACTGCTCAGTATTTCACTGCCTCACAATAGTGCAATCCCCATTCCTACGGTGGTATTTGATAGTGTGCAGTTCGCGCCGAATAGTGTCAACGGTCACAGCATCCTGCGCTACCAAAGGTCCCACTATTCCTGTTATTGCCTAGCGTGATGATATTTTTGGGAAGCCGGGACAGGAAAACTTTTGGTCCCGTCAGCCACAACGCGAGACGACGCGCAGCCACCGAGATCCATCGTCCCATCATCCCACGACCCACAGCCGACGACCCCTTCTAACTTGGCGGAAGCTGGAGGACCATATGCGTGTTGAAAGCTGAAGCTGGCCGCGAAGAGCAGGCGCTTGCGAGTGTGATACGAGGACATCTGCAATGGCCCTTTTTGGGTTTACGAGGTGCCTCACGCGAGCACTATCTGGTACCTACAAGTATACATCGGAATGCACTCATGTTCCATTATAAACAACCATCGGGGTACGGCATGATGTGGATGTGGCTAAGCCAGATGTCTCGCTTCTGGAAGGCTGCGCCTCAAAGCCTCCCCCCGCTCTTCTCCCTAACGGCGTTATCGAAAAGTACATGCGTACCTGTCGTACGGTAATCCGAAATGCTGTCCAGAGGTACTGTGCTCTGCTGTCGAATAGCATTGGCGAGGATACTTCCCCTTTATGTCCCGGCTGACCTTCTAGCCCTACTAAGTACTCCGTATTACGACACACTTTGTATAGGTGTTTCATGTGGAAGCCCCTCACTGTCTGCTCTTAGGGCCTGGGGCGGACGTCCTAGTCGCCCTCGACCAACAGACAGACGCTGTAACGCTGAAACCTGTCGACCCGCGATGGGGATCCGCTCTCCGCCAAAGCCACCACAAAACGACAGATCCGGGTAGGCTAGAGCCTAGCTAAAAGTCTACTTGGTTACCCCTGAGGAGCGCCCATTCGTTGGGGATGCTCGACCCCTGCCTTTGGCGAAAGTTAGCAGCTTTTCGCGCGGCTTTTTTCCAGCATCCCCCGGTTATTTGACGCGATGGCGAAGATCGGCCGCTTCGAGACCGTCCCATTACCTATTTCCCTCTGCTGCCCTCCGCTGATCACTCGAATCGTCTACACCACTCTCTACAATCCCAAGTTGCTTTCATTCTACACACACACTTTCGCTTCACTCGTTCAACAGCGACCGCACGACTCTCGTTTGCATTCGACCGTATTCCTTTACGAAACCTTCATAACTTCAGACTCGAATCCGCCCAGTGAACAGGCGGCAGCGAAATAAAGGGTCATTGACCCTCAATCCTTTCCTTATACACATATTCCTGCACACCATGTGGCGGACATCTGCATTGGCGCTTCTAGCGTCGACGGCTGTGCTGCCAGCTGTGTACGCCGAGAGCATTCTCAAGACCAATGGGTTTTCAGATTGCGGAGGAGATGGGTCGATCACAGTGAATAAACTTGACATATCGTTCGACAAGGGAAGCAACGAAATTACTTTCGACGTTCAAGGTGACAGCGATAAAGAGCAGGAAGTGACAGCTACTCTGGTCGTCGATGCGTATGGCATCAAGGTCTTCGAGCAGGAGTTCGATCCATGTGACGAGGCCAACAAGGTTGAACAATTATGTCCAGGTAGGTCATGGCCCTACTCACGGACTCTGAACAGTACTAACACTTCTCTGCAGTTCCCAGAGGCTCCTTCGGCGCACAAGACTCACTCGAGATTCCTTCCGAATACATCAGCAAAATTCCTAGCATCGCCTTCAGTGTTCCCGATCTTGATGGAAGTGCTAAGATGATACTGAAAGCGAAAGATGGCGGCGATCAGGTAGCATGTATCGACTCGGGAATCTCTAACGGCAAGACTGTCGAGCTAGCCGCTGTCTCGTACGTGGCAGCTGCCATCGCTGCGGGCGCATTGGTCACCTCCCTGGTCGGTGCCGCTGCTTCAGGTGGAGGCACTGGCACATCCACACCAAGCCCGGGCTTTTTCGAGGTCATGTGGTGGTTTCAGGGTATCGCCATGAACGGCATGCATTCCGTCAACTACCCTAGCGTTTACCGCAGTTTCACCCGAAATTTCGCGTTTTCCACCGGTGTGATCCCGTGGGAAGGCATGCAGAGGTCGATCGACAATTTCCGCAAGGCGACAGGCGGCAACCTGACCGAGTCCAACTATGAGTTCCTACAAAACGCCACCCTTGTTTTTCCCGACAACAGCACCGCCCAGACCAACAGCGACATCATCAAGCGCTCTCTGGTCGCACGTGCCGAGGATGGGGGCGACAAGGTCAATGTCGATGGCATTACCGCCTTTGTCGAGCAATATTCGGTCCCTGAAGAGAACACCTTCATGACCGTCCTGCTCGTCTTCTCGATCGTCGTTGCAGCCATCGTCGTGGGCATCCTCCTCTTCAAAGTCATTCTCGAGGCATGGTCGCTTTGGGGCAAGTATCCCAAGTCGCTCATTACTTTCCGCAAGGAATACTGGCGCATTATGGGTCAGACCATCGTCAATTTGATTCTACTACTCTACGGAATTTGGACGCTCTACTGTATCTTCCAATTCACCCACGGTGATTCGTGGGCTGCCAAACTACTCGCGGGGCTCGTTTTGGCTGGATTTACCGCGGTCCTGGGCTTTTACATTTGGAAGATCACGAGCGTTGTACGCAAGATCAAGAAGACACATGGCAACGCCTCGGGACTCTTTGACGACAAGCCGACCTGGAAGAAGTACTACATCTTCTACGGAAACTACAAGACCGGCTATTGGTGGCTGTTCATTCCCTTCATCGTCTACATGTTCGCCAAGGGCTGCATTCTCGCCGCGGGTACCGGCCACGGTCTCGTTCAGTCTGCCGGTCAACTCATCGTTGAGGCTCTGATGTTGATTCTCCTGTTGTGGTCGCGCCCCTACAACCGCAAGTCCGGCAATTGGATCAACATCATCATCCAAGTCGTCCGCGTGCTCTCCGTCATCTGTATCTTGGTTTTTGTCCAGGAACTCGGTATCGCACAGACAACAAGCACCATCACCGGCGTGGTGCTGATCGTCGTGCAATCCGTTCTGACCGGTGTGCTCGCCATCCTCATCCTCGTCAACGCCATCATCAACTGCTGCAAGGACAACCCGCACCGCAAGCGCAGAAAGGAGGCCGCCAAGCTCGCTGAGCAACAGCGCGACCTCGAAGGAGACGCCTTCCTCATGGAGCCCCAACCCTACTCGTCCTCGCCGCCTCGCAGCAAGAAGCAGATGGCCGAGACCGACGCCGCATACGAACCCATGCGAGGACAGGCAACCGACCACAGCCGGGACCCCTCGCAGGAGAGGGGCTTGATGCACGACGCTGCCGGCATGGGCACGGGCAGGGGCGGCTACCACAGCGTCAACCGCTCCGAAAGTTCCATCCGAGAGCCGACGCTGCCGCAGCTGGATTTCGGAAGCAATAAACCCACCCAACCATATCGGGACGGGTACGATTACAACACGCCCAATTACCGTTATTAAGAAACGGTTAATGTGGTGAATCGTCGAGGTTGGCTTCACTGTTTGTCTCTGCTTTTTCCGCAAGCGTTGGATTTTCGTTTCTCTTTGTTTGTATTGTGAAGTTTGTGCATAGCGTCAAAAAAGCGAGCCCAAGTCCCTGCTGGGTTGGGCCGTCTGTGGCTTTGTTGGGGACGAGGGATGGGTGTATAGACTGGACTGGACTGGAATGTATGTACAGCGGCAAAGGAACATTGTGACTTTTCATGTCGCGTGCCTGCCTGCCTGCCTGCCCGACTGACTGGCTGGGGACGGGGCAAGGAAAGGTGCAGTGCAATGCACAAAGATACTCTAATACTCACGAATATATGACTCCCCAGCGATAACCGCTTTTTGTTCTCGTTGCCTAGCTAGCTGAAACTTGAACTTCCATTTCTGCGCAACCCAAGGCAGAGAGTGGTGGTACCTTTTTGAGGTAGGTCCTCGCGTCAGGATTCTAAACGCGTGCTTTGCCAAGCCTCCCGGATTTAGCCGTGGCTATACACCCTAGCCCTCTATGCGCGAGGCTACCTGCTCCTATTTTTTCCAGCTCCTTCGCCCCCAGAGTCACCATCAGCTCGAAGCTAACGCCAGTATACGTGATATGTGCGAAGCATTCCTGGCCCATGGAGTATGGAAACAGAGATATAGGTTGGTCGTTGATGTGATCGGACATTGTTTTCCCTTCCGTCGGTGAATGCCCTGAGGGCCCCGTGGCTTGTGCATTTCCTGCCTGCCTAAAGCTAGGCTCTAGCTGTGTTATGATAATGCATACCCGGTACGACTACGTGGGAAGCAAAAGTCTGAGAGTGTGGTGGTTTAGCTGGTACTTGGTACTGGTAGCAGGCAGATGGATGGATGCCTGAATACTTACTGCTGGACCAGACTTTGGGCACACTATGCGTGTGATTGATTGATAGAGTTATTATTTGAAAGCCCTGTTGGATGGAGTCTGTGGACGTTTTCACATGGGTGATAGGTGGCTTAGTTGGTGAGTACCTGGATGGTGTGTGCGAGTGAGTACCTACCTACCCGTGGAATACGGCCTATATATATCGCACTTTTATTGCGCGGCGTGCTCTATCGCTACATAAACTCGTTCACAGACTGTTTGGGCAGTCACTGCCCTTCCTGGACACACACACATACATTTCGCAGAGAGAAATCAGTGCCGACCCAACCGACCGACCGACCGATCTCTGAACAAACCCGCATTCACCGTCCGGTACTCACAACGACATATCCACCCCTCCTCCTTGGACCAGCTCATTCACTAACCCCCCCTCCTCCAACCATGCTCTCCCCCTCCCCCATCCCTCTCCTCCCCCTCTCCCACGCCGCCTCCACAGCCGCCCGCCTCATCCACCTCCTCACCCTGACCCTCCTCGCCCTCTACCTCGCCCTCCTCCTGACCCTCGCCCTGCAAGCCACCCGCACCCTCATCCAGCAAGACATCTCCGCCCACCTCGGCGCGCGCGCCACCCATCCCCAACAGTGTCGCTGCCGCTGCTGCGCCGCGTACCTGCGCCGGCGCCCCGGCGCGGGCGCATGGCTTCCCGTCGCCGACTCGTGGCCGGGGGTTCTGCTGCTTTATGCGTTGAAGGCAGGAAAGGTGGTTGCGGAGGTGGTGGTGGTGAGGGATGTGGTTGTGGGGGCTGTGGCGTACCGAGGGGCGGTGCTGGCGGTGGTGATGTTGGGGTGGCGGCTGTGGGAGATTGTGCTGATGGGGGTGTTTGGTGGGTTGGTTTGGGTGGTGGGTGCGGCGCTGGATTCGCTGGCTGTGTCGTGGGCGGGTGTGCTCGTTGGAGGTGCGGTGCTGCAGGCGTGGTGGCTCTACAAGCGTTGGACGAGTGATGGGCTGAGAGGGGCGGCGAGGGGCGTGTGGGAGGAGTTTTTGAAGGGTCTTCTTGGTGGAGAGGGTGCTCTTGACGGGGGAAGTGAGAGTGATGATGATGATGATGACGATGATTGGGAGGATTGTTTGACCGGTATGTCCCTGTCCAACCCTATCTGCCAGGGGTGCTTGCTCACGAGTGTATAGACGACGAATCAACGACCTATGAACCCGAGACCCGGAGCAGCGTTGACGAGCCCGCTCACTGGGGACCCGATGCGCCAGTTCTCACCACCGCAGAAGTCGCCACAACGTTCATGCACGCCATGGTATGCATCGTCGAGCGCCAAACGCAGCAGCCCGCCCACTCGGGCCAGATGCCGACGCCCTCGTGTGTGAAAAGGCGAGGCGGCAGCGCGAGGCACAATTCCTGGCCGCCTACGACAGTAACGACGAAGGGTATGGCGATGAGGTCACTGACAACGAGGAGGCACCAGACGACCCTGAAGATCAGCAGCATCACCACTTTCATCCGGGTGCCGGGTCGAAGACCGCAGCAGATGAAGCCACGGTCCTGTGTGGTGGTCTCGTGCGTCCGCCCTGGGAGGGCGTCGGTGGAGATGAGCAGTCGTGGTGGTGGTGGCGGCGGCGTGAGGTTGCTGTGGAGCTGATGAGCGCTTTTGGCTAGGATCCTTGCTGAAGAATAATGATGTGGACCGTGATTTACTGCGCGACGAATGGCGATCTGTTGCGAATCCGTGGTCCCTGCTTGAAGAATCGAGGTTCTGTACGGAAGAAGAGGATTCTGAGGTCTTGTTAACTTGTCCTGAGCACAGTGAAGCTAAGCGAAGATACAAAGTACTCTTCTTAACAGCCAGATTGTCCCTGAGTGTTACCAAACGCTAGCTAGTAGCGATCTACTTCGTTAGCGTTCCTTACTTGGATGAGCGTGGTCCGTTCTCATTTATAATTTTAGTACGAGCTTCGTGCTTGGGAGCAACAGATCGAGCGTATGCTTGGGTTAGGTTTGCACCCACAACGCTGGTAAAGCAACAGCAAGGCGTCTGATGTTCCCGACTTCCGGATGGTGGATTTTGGCCTCATGTAACTGAAGTTATGGTGCTGCCAGTAAGCAATAGTCTACAGCGGTACAAATGTGTGGGCTACAGTAGCTTGATCAGACCTGATACATCGGATCAAGTCCAAAAGCGTCAGAAATCGTAATAATTGTAGGAACCGCATCGTTTGCTATCGTCAATACACCATGTTCGCGTTGCCTATTTCCACCAACGAACCCTTTTCTCCGCATATCGACAACGTGTCTATACTTCAGGCAGATGTGATGAGTGGCATGGTCACCCAGCATTCTCTGAACGAAAGCATGAAATGGTTTTCAGACAGGGTTCTTAGAAGCATCTTCAAAGTCTTGGGATTACTCTTCCCATCGCTTGTGTTGTTATTGCTCCGAAAACCGGAAAGAGCTGTGAATGCCTTCAAGGTAGCATCGAAATAACGACCGACGAACTTGACTACTCCCTCGGGCGAGGAGCAACGCGAGTGGCAACGGCGTGCAATCGCGAAACAGCCCATGCTCTACTCCTGCCGCATCTAGCTACCACATCTTTCGCTGCTCCGTTTCGAAGGTGACCGGAGAAGTGCGCGCTTGAGCAGAGGTCCCAAAAGTGTGGGCGTAAGGAGAATATTCTTTGCACGTGGCCGGCTAGCAAGGGCTTGATCGGAGGTGGCAGATGTAAACAGGCCATGAGACAGCCTGTTGAAGCAGTATGTGTACCGCGTTGGGCAACAAGGCGCTTTCAGCGGCCTGTTTCTAATTTGTGATCGACGATTCGCCATCGCCGCTCCACGATTATGCTTCAAGTGGCTGGCAGACATGATTCGTGGGTTCAGCCTCATGCCGTATACATGCACATTGGTGCTCGATATAGGAATCACACAGCTTCCAGAAGCGTCGCGTAGAGTCCGCACATGTCACAGTGTGTCCGTGTTGTGATGTTATGGACCGCGTGTCGGCGAGAGAGTTTACAAGTCGTTGGTACTTGGTGCCAAGCAATCACAAAACATTGGTCCTGATTGCCTTGCAGCTGTGGGACAGCCATTTTGTGCCTTGTAGCTGCCTTGTGGGGCCTGATGTTTTCGGAAACATGCATCGCATGTCATCTGAGGAATACACACGTGTTGGCTGCTTTTGGATTTCTGATTCGGGGTCGCAAGATGGGTGCGATGACGTCGAACTTCGTTAACTAACAGTGATAGCTGTTTATACAGCCATCGTCGCTGCTACATCCTATGGCACGGACTGACAGCCGAGACTACACCGTATGGCCTTCGGTTAGCGGGGGCGGCATTTTTGGAACACCTCTTAGCATAAGAGGCTAGTCTACTACCGGAGAAGTTAGGTGCTGAGGAAGTATTCAAGGCAACGCTTGAAACAAGTTATCTAGATCAGGCGCCAGCTTCATCGGGTACGCCAGACTGGCGGTCCTCGACGACGCTCCATAGACACCGCTGGGTTGCGTCAGAAGAAAATGCGATGCACACGCGGACATTCGAGCCTGTGTCATCGTGGATAGGAGCTTCCATTTAATCTGATTTCTTTTCTCTCTCTCAACTACCTAGCTCGTGCAAAGTAGCCATCTAAAGTACAGTATCAAGATCGCCGGACTACCTCTACCTGGTAGATCGACACCGTCTGTCCTAAAGGCAAGAAAGACCATCTGGCGCCCGCTCACACTCCGCTATGAAGTTGCCCAATGATTCACGCATCTCCGCTCGATGCCTCTCTCAACCAAGGACCAAGCTTCCCAGACGCTTTTCGATGATCCGTTCATCCACGGTTCACCACCATGGAAATCAATTACCCATAGCCGTAGCGCCGTCGCAATTGCATGTATCGAAGTTTTGTTGGGGAATATGCACAGAAATCTAAGCTTCCCACCGTAGCAGCAGAGCTGGCTTCTAAGCAGCATCGCCTGACTTCGCTTCAGCAGGCTTCGATTCCACGGGCTTGCTGTCGCTGTCGCCCTTGTTCGGGAAGCCGCCACGACCACGTCCACCACGGCCGCCCCGATCGTCGCCACGACCACGGCCACGGCCACCGCGGAAGCTACTGCGACCGCGGTTACCACCATCGGAGTCAGATGCAGCGCCACTCTGGTGGCCACCGCGCGGGGTTGACCCAGCACTGGCAGCCTGAGAAGTGCCTCGGAAACCTGCACCCGTAGAAGGGGTGTCACGATGGAATCGATCGCTCTTATCCATGAAGAAGCTGAGCGAAGGCAACTTGGCAGTGCCGTCCTTGCGTTTGTTCTGGATCTCATCTTGGCCGGCCTTGAGCGCGGCAGCAGCGTCTTCATTGGTGTCGAAATTGATCTTCCAGGCGCTGTGGAATTTACCCCACGACATAAGGGACTTGATTTTCTCTTTGTGGGGGTCTGGGATATATTCGCGCGCAGCGGCTTCACTATCAGCGTGACTCAAGTAAAGAGCTGTGGACTGCTTGCGGTCGACAGCCGCCGGGCTGGCAGGCTTCTTGTCGTCACCCTTTTCAGCAGTGCCGTTGGTGTTAGCCGGAGTACTGGTCGTGGGTACAGCAGTAGTGGATGGCTGAGGGGTCATCGGCTTGGCCTGAGTGACAGGAGGGGCCGGAGACGCAGCAGTTGGAGGGGTGCTGGCCTTGCCACCGGGACCCGCAGTGTTACGATGCTGCTGTTGCTGAGGTCTAGGAGGCTGCGGGAAAGGCTGAGGTGGAGCGGTGAACGCAGGGCGACCTTGAGCAGGACCCGTAGGAGGACCTTGAGGAGCAGTGACTGGCGCAACAGGAGCAGCTTGTTGGGGAAGAGAATGAGTGGGCTTGCCACTGCGGTGCGCAAAGTTGAAACCTTGAGCTCGCATCTCAGTTCCGATACGACCGCCATCGACCTCTAGAACCAGGTAGCCGAAAGCTGCATCTGCCAAGTTGAAATTCCACATGTTCTTGAAGGCGGATTCGTCGACTTGGCCGGCAGCAGGGTTGCCACCGACAGGACCGCCAAATGGATTGCCACCGTTAGCCGTCGCAGGCATCTTCTCGATGATCTCGAGCGCTTGGCTGAGCAAAAGCTTGTGACTAGGATTGGTCTCGATGGCTTGCTCGACATCGGCGCGCACAGTCTCCCACACGTCATTGAAGGACGCCTTGGAAGCGGCAAGTTTCCCACGGTAGTGATCCAAGGAAGGATTGACAGAGAACTCGTTGTACGATGAGCCATAGCGGAAGTGGAGGCCGGCAGAGATTGAGAAATCAGCCTTCAAGGTCACTGACAACTGGTTGAGGATACCGTCTCTCGCAGGCGAGGCGTGAGTAAGAAAGATGCGGGTTTCCGAAGGATCGTAGACACGGTTGGCAGTGTCGATGAGAGCGCCAATCTGAAGCAGGGTGGTCCACATCGTACCCTGGCCACCGGCGATGTAGGTCTTGCCTTCACCGTTGTCGAAGAGCTTGTGGATAACGACAGCACCACCAAGGCCCAGTAGGCGCAGCTTGACTCCGCCGATCTCAAGCAACCGCGAGTTGACCTCATCGATGATGTGCAGGTTGTCGACCTTGTACTCGCCGGAGCGGAATCTCTCCAAGACTCTTACATCCTCGCAAGCACCCCAGACAGTGTAGACCGGGACATCGAGAGTGATGCTCTTGTTGAGAAGTAGCGGCAATTGCGAGAGGGGCAGCTGGTCTTGCGAGAACATGCTCTTGATGGATTTCGCAGGCTGGCCCTGAGGCGGCTGGTTGATCTGGCGCTTGACATGGTCACTGATGAGGGGAGAATATTGCGCGACATGCTTGAGGGTCCTGTCACTTGTCAGTGAGGTGGCGCTCGATATTGATAACGGCTTACTTGTCGGCTATTCTCTCTAGAGAGGTGTTATCATAGAAACCGAAGTCTCCAGTGTGAAGAATGTAGTCGGCGTTTGCAGTTTTCGCAAGGTCGTTCAGAGACTGCAGGTTGCCTAGGACAAGTCAGATTCTGGTTGATGATCATGCTGGGGCAATCTTACCTCGAACATCCGCTATGCAAAGAACTCGAGTGGGACCGGACTGGATCACACGGCCATTATCTGGCAAGAGAGGACGAGCGCCGGGAACGGGGCCAGAGCCGTTCTGCATGTAAGGAGCTGGGCCTGGAGGAGGGTAAGGACGAGGCTGGAAGGTCATTAGCGATGGATCCCGTGAGATGTGTGGCAGCGACCCGAACTGCGGCGGCGGCATGGTTCCGGGGTAGCGAGGCCCGTGGGGAGGGAGCGGATTGAGGTACATCTCCACCACCAGCGATAGTGCTACAGAGCAGAGAGCAGAGAAGAGGAGGAGCGATGACTTACAGAAGCCATAAGTGAATCGATTCGGGGAGGCGCAGGTTCGAGGGGTCGCGTGTTTGCTGTCGCCCGGATAAACAATGACTCCGGATTAATATTACAGATGCCTAGCAGCTAGTCTGACCTTGAATGCTCTCTTCAGCGATACAGATGCGTATGTGAGAGATTGTCGCTGCGATGTGATGTGCTGGAAGTGTCTGGTACAATTCTACGAGCCCGAGAAACGCGGCAACTTAGCTTGAAGTCCGCAGTCTACGCTAATGACGGCGCTTTACTGTCTTGCGTAAGGTCAATTTGTGTGCCAAGATCACAGGCATTCTGTTTGTCTCTGGCTTAGCATGAATCTTACCTACTCTTGTTTGCACACTACCTGTTTGTTCAGAGCACAAACTCGTTGGGCTGAGCGATGCTGATCAAATAAATTCTGCCGTACTGGAAGCTGGACTCGTCAAACGCTAGTACCTCGGGCCCTTGTTGACGACAACTCTGCCGTTTGTCGATCTATAGCACACTTTCACCTCCATCTACTTTCAGGTTTGAGCCCGTGATGTATGAAGAGAAACCCGAGGCGAGGAATCCAGCGACTCTTCCGACCTCGGCGGGTGATCCATTTCTTTCCAGTCCACCTTTACCGCCCACAGGAATCGTGCCATTCCCATTTGTTGCCTTGACTTCCCCGCCCATATCAATCCCGCTGTGAGAAATGGCGTTGATTCTGATGCCGGTACCCCTAAGCACTGACACACCGCTACGTACCACTCCGAGAGCCGAATGACAGGACATCGTGAAGGCGGGCCCACCCGAAGCCTTCTCACACGCGGTGGATGTTACGATGATAATGCTCCCGTAGCTCTGATCCTTCGGGGCTGCATTGCCGTACATGCCTTTCGCGGTCATCTTAGCCATTGCAGCTGGTGCATATTTGAGAGCGAAGAAAGGCGATAGAGCGTTGTGCTCAAAGGCTGCCATCAAATCGGATGGCGTGGTAGCGGTGACCGTGCCAGGACCCGCCGACATTGAAGCGCAAACCCAGACGTCGAGGCGGCCGAATGCATTCAACGCTTCATCTATTAGTGCAAGCGTCGAATGCTCATTTGGTTCGAGGTGTGGATAGTGAATGGTTTGCGCCGTGTCGGAAGTAGGCAGGTTGGCTGCGTTAGCAGAAGAGGTGCAAGCGTAGATCGACGCCGCCCCGTGTGCTACCTAAGGTCAGCATCAGTAGTTGACGAGGAGCTGTTCATTCGTACCCGCGAGTTCAGCAACGATTGCAGCACCAATAGGCTGGTCAGCTCCCGTAACTACGCAGACAAAGCCGTAAAGCTTTCCATCAGCGCGATATGGACTGAAGTGATTCGATTCTGACTGCATTGTCAAGTCGGCCATTATGACAGACGCCCACTCAAGCAGGCTGAGAGGGTGGATATGCAGTTTCAGTCCTTGAGAGTCCTCGACAAGCACAGAGTAACACAGCTTGAATATATGCCACAGTCTATGACATTTTTGCGGACACGGTTCGCCGAATGATACATGGCTTGACTTTAGGTGGACGCCAATAGGTGGATTCCAGCGCCTATCATGATCATAACGTGTGGTTGGCACCAAGCATTTGTACAATACTTCTCCCGCGGAGACAGCTTGATAAGAATGTCTTATCGTCGACATTCGTCTGAGAGCCTCGCATAGCCTTGCATCCACAGGGGAACCCAGCTTATTACAACCCGTTTCAATATTCTGGGCGAAGGCTTTGACTTTGGCTGTTCATATGCTTTGCGCGTGTACGAAGACTCTACGCAGACAACAAGTATCTGAAGTAGCTGCCGCAGAGGCTCGAGCTTCAGCGACACATGAGCAATATAGTGAGATGTATGGCGTTACTATCTAACAGTACCAGCATATGCATTGCAAAGGTCCTGCTAGCGAAAAGACTCCATTTGATTTAATATTGCATCGTATAAATGATCAAAGAGCTGTGAGACAAGAGCAATTGATGATAAGGAGATGCTGCTGACTGAATGATCCGAGTCTGTACTTGATCAGGCCCACAACTGTTGTGTAAACACGAAGCTTTGCCTGGCCAACATCTCGATGTACTGGACAGCGCATTCAGAAGGTCCGAGGAAGACATCGTTCAGGCTCCTGGCCACAGTATGTCAGGTTAAACAGGAGAGAATGGGGAGGATTGCGATGTATCGCGGCTCGTCTCTTCTGTATCAAATACATGCGGACAACCCGAGAAGTGGATATTTCGGCGTCTACAAACGGTAGCATCAGATCTCTTAACGGTCAAGTTGCCAGAAAGAGGACTTGAAGTGAAGATAGATTATTCTCTGAGGAAGCAGCTTGGAGGAAAATCTTGGAGGAGCGGATCACAATTCGGAAAGTCCAACACTAAGCCATTTTCGGCCTGAACATTTTCGAGAGCATTTCGAGCATCGTGAGACCAGGGAGCATCTCCTGCCATTCATCTCACCATGGCGCCGCGGTCAAGAGGCGCCGAGCGACTCGTCGCTGCCTTCTGTGAGTTTCACCAACCCGCTTCATGCTCGATACTGATGATGGACAGCACCACGAACCACCCGACCTTCGATATGCCGCTCCTGCAGACAGACCCTCTCCCAGCGGACGTACGCCTCGGCCGCCGCAGCGCATGCCACTCCTGAGACAGCGCCTGTCTCTCAACTGACCCCTGATGAGCCGGCTCCCGGTCCCGTATCACAGCCGAAGTTCACTGTCAAAGCCGGCGTACTGCTGGCACGCACCCCTTTGATTACACCCGATCCTCATCCTTTCGAAAAAGCACACCAATTATACCAAAGGCGACTGAATGAGAGGCTAGTCCTTCCCTTTACCCAGTACTTCTACTACAAGCGCGATACACCCGCATTCGAGCACTGGCGAACGAACAAGACAGCTAGGGGTGGAGTCGCTACCCGCGATATTGGCAAGTACAATGCCTGGACAAAGGACAGCTGGAACGACGAGGTTCTGGTCGGAGATGAGACTGCGAACCCTGACAAGCTTGTGGAACAGCTAGTCGGCGAGGAAGGTCGGGGTACCGAGTTTGCGGGCGACTCTGGCCTCACCAACACAGCGGGTCTCAGGAGGACGACTGAGGCTGACCGGTTGAACGACCAGCGGAGTCTTGAGCGTAGCCTGCAGCGAACGCTTTATTTGCTCGTTCGGGAGAGAACAAAGGAGGGGAAGCCATCGAACTGGATCTTTCCCAGTGGCACGATCGCAGAGAGGGAAGGTGTGGCCGAGGTATGCAGTATATTCTTCAAGGCACGGTGCCTTTTTGCTAACGACTCCAGGCTGCGCAACGTGTCCTTGATGAAACTTGTGGTGTCAACATGAACACCTGGCAGGTGGCCCGCCACCCTGTCGGGCACTACGCATTCGAACATGCCAGTATCGAGGCGCCGAAAGATGGTGAGCAGAAGGACGACAAGCAGGTTCAATCCGTTCACGACACGGCGGAAGACGTGGGCGAGAAGACTTTTTTCATCAAGACTCGCATATTCGCGGGTCAGGCGGACGTGGCTCAGGAGAATGCGGCATGGGAGGACTTCGCGTGGCTGTCAAAGGAAGAGATTCAACAAAAGGTACACCCAAGGTACTGGGGACGTATCAAGAACATGCTGGCCGATCAGTGAGCTGGCCGAGCAATACTACACTATACGCCGGGCATGGATCGCTGTAGGGCTGGTCCATTCCTTTGGCGCAATGCAATATCGTGTCCTGAGGCGACGCTAGCATACGGGCGAGCTGTGTTCGAGTTCAAATGTCACTCCGGCGTGAGCATTCATCAAATGTGCGAAGGCTCGTTTGGGTTCGAACATGGGGAATTCAGGCCATGCCATCGGTGAGTGCAGGAGTTCTGGATACCCTACTCTGGGAACTCTGGCGGAGAAGAAACTGTATCAACATCTGTGTAGCAGATCGATGTACAAGAAAGTGAACTAATGTTCCCTACTGAAACTGTCTGTTTGTTCGTGATTATTGGAAGCTTGTCGCGATTCAGTAACGAGCGAGGCCAAGAATATAACCGTCAACACTGCAGGTGAATCTGCTAGGCCTCAAACTGAAGATCAAACGTATATACACTCATACAACTGTGATCAGAACCGTAGCTGCAAAGGCTGCATCATATGCGAGAGGAGCATGAAAAGATCTTCTACCCTATTGCGAACCAAAGTCACATCGCATCCCAAGGGAGTGGGACAATGCTGATACGACCACTAATTTGGCGTTATGTAAGAGGCTTCCTACCTTCACATCTGCGATTCCCTGCGAGTCGAGGTTGTCTACTGGGAAAACCAGACGATCGGAGTTGTATTGCTCAAGTGGCCTGTCGAATGTGATAGTTCGCCAGGCGATGTCCGGTGCACTGTCCAAGGCATGCATTCGACCCGGCGAATCGGGTCACGCTCTCGGATGGACGCTCCTTCTGTGCCTTCGTCGAATAAGCCATGTAACTCATGCGGTACTCAGGTGCACCGAATCGTTGATGTACATCTCAAGCTTATTGCAGAATCTGTGGTGTGATATATAGACCCCGTGAAAGGCTCAGGTGAGAGTGAAGGAGGCCATCCCCGCAGCCGAAATGGGCTACTCACCTTGGCAACGGATGTGATGTTTTCGATTTTTCCCGACTCGCCGTCAAGTGCCGATAGCAATCAAAGCCATCTCCTCATAACATCACAATCTGCCAGGGTACTGCCTGTCTAACGCGACTTTTCCAACCTCCACCCCTTCAAGCGAGATATCTAAATTATGGGCGAGTCTTTGTTTTGACCGGTGCCTGGATCCTGCGAGGTCTTTATCGACGTTCTCCTCACGCACCTTCCGGAAAGCAATGGGAAGGCAGTAGTTGTGCCTCGACCATGGCCTTCAACTTCAATTGGTCGCCGCTAGCCACGGATGCATCCTTCTATCAGCGGGCGAAGGAGTTGCTCACCAATGCACTTAATCGCGCCGGGCCGCGGCCCGTCATCATTGTTGATGACTTCCTCGTGAGCGAATTCAACCTCGGCGAGATCCCTCCCGAGCTCGAGATTGTCGAGATTGGCGATCTGGCCGAGGACAAATTTCGGGGCACGTTCAAGATGCGATACCAGGGTGATGCGGTTCTATCGCTGAAGACCAAAGTGCAGGCCAATCCGCTGAACAACTTCCTGGCAACCAGAAATGCTTTTGCGACACCTCAGCCGCTCGCCGCCGCGACCGGTTTGACGATACCTCTCCAGATCACGCTATCTGAGATCCGTCTTTCAGGCTTTGTTATACTAGTCTTTTCGAAACAGAAGGGTTTGACAATCGTCTTTAAAGATGATCCGCTAGAATCCTTGCGCGTTAGCTCGACATTCGATTCAATACCTTTTGTTGCCAATCACATACAGAAAGAAATTGAGAAACAGCTTCGGAATCTGCTCATGGAAGAGCTTCCTGCTATTATCCATCGACTGTCGCAAAGCTTCTGGTCACCTGAACAGCGAACCGTGGATGTCTCCGAACAGCAGTCTGCCGAGACTCCACGCGATGGGGGTGTTGTTGACCCTTTAGCTAGTCCGCCTCAAGATCCGGTTGACTCGAAAGGCAATGTTCTGTCTGCGGCTGAGATCGCTTCGTTGTCACTGGATTCGTCTATTGAAACCCAATCGCTCTTTTCCCAAAAGAATCTTATCCGCTTGGCATCTTTGACGGATTCACACCGAACATTGTCACTGTTCACTCCCTCGATTCGAGATGCGGTCTTCCGCGCGTGGACTGGCCCGCTAGAACGAGGTGAAATGCCGGCTTTCCAATCTCGAGCGGCAACGCCAGCATTATCCAGAACGCACTCTCATGCTGGGAGCCTCAGCGCATGGACTGCAGACACTGCAATGTCGCGGCCCTCGCTGTATAGCTTTCCGTCAACTACTACAACGCATAGCTTAGGTGGTGGGCGCCATGGAAAGACTAGGAAGAGGAAGAAGCGCGTTGTCAATCTACGGAAACAGCCTGAGACCGGAGAAATGGAGACTGTTATCGAGGATGGCTCGACCGTCACCGACTCGGCCAGCGTCACAGAGAGCACGTCCGAGGGTGTGTCAGTTTTCTCTGCACCTCAAGCTACGACCTCATCAATGTTCGGTCACGAGCACGATCTTCTGAGTCCAGCAGCGAGCCCGAACCTACCACGACGATCTCTGAACGAACGGCGTGTTGTATCTATGCCGGGCATCGAGGCAGGTGAGCCAAGCTACATGAACTCTAGCTCTGCGGACTTCGTGACTTCACGCGGCCCGGAACTCTCGATCCACCACCAGGCGTCGCAAGAAACTATCCGGGCACGTCGACGACTTCCAATTCCTCTGAACACTGATATTGACAAAACGCCACGAGCATCTATGTGTCTACCAGATGACAAGGCTGCAGCACCGGAGCACAGCTTGTCTCGACATAACGCACTGTACGATCTTGCCGCTTCGCAGAAGACCATGTCCGGCCCTTCGCAAGCACAACTTCCGAATTTCTTGCAATTTATCAGCGATTCCAGCAACAGTGGAAGCATTGCTGAACGAGCATGGATGATGAATATGGCCAGTGAGCTGGCCAAGCGATACGAAGAGGAGCGAACCAAAGGAACGTTTGGTCATTCGCGTGAAGCTACCAGCAGTCCTCCTCCAGCATATGCGCAGTAATACCTTGACTCTGCATGGGAATGATTTTCAGCGTGGCGTTTTGGGGTCAATGTATAATTGGGCGCATACCGGACTCGACATCCCTGCTATGGCTGACGAATTTACGACAGATAGATGTAAGAGGAGCATAGGCATATATTGAGTTGTGGGAAGGAGTATTATTAGTGTTTTATAGTGAAATGCACAACGCATCTCGCCTCTAGGAACAAGTACTTTGCGATTGCAGTTCTGGACCTTCTGGTTGTCCTAACAGAAAAGGCTTGGCCATCCACTCTCGCTTCAGAGTGGGGAGCTGTCGGATGCCCCAAGACAAATCCCCAAAGTGCTCCAGCCTCCGCCGAAATAATACCACCTTGCTCCGACCGGTCTTCTCTTACCTTTCTCATCGCTATCCTAGATCTCATAACTGCGCGGCATTCTTCCTGGGTCATTGACTTGATACCAGTGTCCGCAGCATCTTCATCACCATGGACTTTTTCAAGAAGGTAGTGGGCGGCGAACAGAAGCCACTGCAAGAAGACGCAGGTCAGTCGCAAGCTACTCATCACCAAGGAGCATTAATGCCGACATAGATTCAGACTTCGCCGACTTCGCCGCGGCTCCTGATCCGTCTCCAATTCACATTCCAGCTTCTCCTGCCGATGCAGCCGCTGCTGAGCCCACCGGACCTCTGGGACGAGGGCCGGTCGTACCATACACAAGATGGTATCGTGTGTGGGAACGCACACAACCCTCGGACTTCTATCTGGAGATGACATTGATTCCATTTATCTTTCTGGCTCTCCTAATTCATTTCTGGGGCTCGTCGGTCAATAAGAGAAAGGCGAGGAAGTGGATGGCGGTCCACCAACCTGTGCTCGAGAATGAATTTGCCTTGGTTGGCTACCACCGTGCGCCCAAGGATGTTTCTGCCTCCGAAGCGACGCAGGGTGACAGTCTACTTGAAGCCGCGAACAAGCTTGATGGCAAGAATCTGGCGGATGACCTTTTGAAAGAGCAGGCTGCCTACGAATATCAAACATACGCCAGCGGCCGCGCCAATGTTGCATTCATGGACGCAAAGATCATTCTGCACCGTCGCATGAACCCCGCGCAGATGATTGCGGAGCAGATTGTGGGCATGTTCTTCGACTCGGTCAAGCCCAAGAAAGAGCGCGTTGAAGCCGTGCTCTATACGTTTGACGGCAACGAGAAGAACTTTGTCCCACCGCGCGTGCCAGGTGCGGAAGAAGTAGAAAAGGTCAAAGCAACTGGGAATTCTTCGTACGATCCTTTCGTGTTCGCCATCGTGAGCAAGCTTGAGATGCGCAAGTTCCGCGACGAGCGCTACGATGCTTCTCTTACCTTCACCAAGGACAACGCTAAGCTTCCAGACTGGACCACTGTGATGAGCGAGAGCGCCGAGATCACCGAGACCCTGCTTACAAAGGACTTGGTCTCGGCTGTCGAGAAGGCAGGAGATCTGTTGGAGTACCTCATCATTACCGACCAACCAACCGACAAGCCGGCCACGATCGACGAGACGACGCAGAAGAAGCGCATCCATATCTCCTTGCGCCTGCCCAGCAATGGCGACTACAGCTCCACTCTCCCGTTGTTCCAGGCTTTCCTCCGCCTTCCTGACCACCTGGTCAGCCAGGCTCATTTCCGGCCGGAAGTGATGCGCAAGGTCAATCAAGTGCGCGAGGCGGAAAAGAGCAAGCTCAAGAAGGTTGCGGATAAAGAGACGGAAGAGGAGAGATTGAGACAACTTGAAAAGATGAAGAAGGAAGAGCGCGACCGAAAGCTCAAAGGCATGAGTGCTGAGGAGCAGAGGAAGTTCCTAGACCGGGAAGCGGAGAAGAATCGCAAGAAGCAGGAGAAGAAGATGACGCGGAGAGGTTAGCTGGGGCGGAGAGCGATGCAGCCGGCCATGATGCCGCGGGAGGTGTTTGAGGGCTGAGGCACGATCTTGGGTATCGACGTCGGTACAGATCTGCTGGAGATCAGTCACATAGTAGTGACGTAGGATATGGACTTATTTCAAAAGTGACTGTCCTGTGGATCAAGTGTGCTAAGGACGTTGTGGCCCCCAAGTGATTCTTGCTATCCGGTCGAGGTTAGGCACAAGTCCCCAAGGCTTTGCAGGAGTCGGAGGCCGCGACAAGACACCGGTGTTGGCACTTCGGTCAGCGATTCATAAACACCTTGATTCGCTGTGCATCATTCAAGGAACCTACAGTCGTCGACTAAACGATGTGGTTTCTATGGCCGTAATACTTATCCGTGTGATGTTTGCGTCCTTGCACTTTATATCCTCCACTGGCATATGTAGAGTAGTGTCGGCATAAGCGGCAGCCAGAATCAGGGCAAATAGAGCGCTTGCGTGGCCGCCTAATAGTCTGTGCTTGGGGGCGCTGAAACACTCCAACTCGTTCAGACGTTTCGACCCGCTCATTCGCTCACCAAAATAGGTTGACTGGGACACGAGATCGACCCCCAGAATGAAACTCCTGGGCCCACGAGACTCTTGGGCGGAGCACCGGCCAATCGGAGTTGCCTTCGTGTTCCATAAATCAGGGGAGGCTGAAGAGTTTTGCGTGTAACAGGACAACGGGTGTTTGCGACTCCGCCAAAATGCACGACTGCGCCTCCCTTGTTGGTCGTCGAGGGGGTCGAGCATATGGCGTTTCCGACTTCAGAGACATGCTCAGCTGCCTGGTGCAGTTCATCTCAAGCATTTCCCTCTCCTTGTCCATTTCATTGATACCCTAACGGCTGCGTGAAAGGAGCTGTGCTTCTGTTATCGCTCTTTGACTCCTGTCCACAATCGATCGCTCGTTGCTTTGTACTGACTTCTTTGCTGCGTTGCGTTGCCGGCGCTTTGGCCTTGAGAATACACCAGAACAACCTTGGACTGCTCAGCCCAGACCTTCCAATACTCCCGCCGACGACACCATGGTGTTCCTCCTCCCCGCGCTCGCCACACTTCTCACCCTCTCCTCCGCCGCCATCCTACCCCGCCAGAGCACCGACACTTCCACGTCAACGCCACAGACATCGGGCTCAGACTCAACAGCATGTAATAACTCTCCAGACCTCTGCTCAAAAACTTACGACTCAATAACACATCTCGGAGCGCATGACTCGCCCTTCCTTCGTGACGCCTCTACCGGCTTCTCCGTGGCAGGCAACCAGTTCTACAACTCGACCATACAATTGGATGCTGGCGTTCGCTTACTGTCTGCTCAAGTACATAAGTCTAATGGCAACATCCATCTGTGTCACTCGTCCTGCGATCTACTCGATGCCGGAATCCTCTCCACCTGGCTGATGTCGATCAAGGAGTGGTTGGATAGACACCCTCGTGACGTTGTCACCATTCTCCTGGTCAACTCCGACGATTTTACCGCCCAGGAACTCAACGAGCACTTCACTGCCGCCAACCTGACCGAGTATGCCTACGTTCCAGCATCCAAGTCAGCCGCGCCTGCGTCCTGGCCTACCCTCAATGACCTCATCACTGCCAACAAACGTCTGATGACCTTTGTCGCTTCTATTCAACCGAGCACTATCCCGGATTCCATGACCTACCTGATGGACGAGTTCACCTTCATTTTCGAAAACGATTTCGAGAATGTTAAAATGTCCGACTTCAGCTGCGAACCACACCGTCCCACCAGTGTACAGAACAACACGCAGCTGGCTCTGAGCCAGAACAAGATGCCGCTAATGAACCACTTCCTTTACAAGGAGAGCGAATTCTTAAACATCCAGAGTCCCGATATTGACAACATCACGACTACCAACAGTCCTAACACAACTCAGGTTGGTATGCTGGGCCTCGCTCTCGAAACCTGTACAAGCGAATACGGCAACCAGGCACCCACATTTATTCTGGTGGACTTCTTTGACGAGGGGCCCACGGTCCAGGCTGTGGATCGCGTCAACAGCATCACACCCGTCGGACGTACGGTGGTTCCACCGCGAGACCACAACAGCAATGAGGGCAATCTGAACTCCAGGACATTTGCCGGCGTGAGGGAGCTAGTCAAGCAGGTCGAGATGGGTCAGAAACCCAAAATTGGCGAATGGATCTGGGCCGGTGGCTTGTGGGTCGGCGGTGGCCTGAACACTAATGGAGGGTTGAGCATTGGCTGAAGAATATGGCCATGGGAGACGGAGCACAACACACCTTCCATCTGAGATTTAATTTGGCATTGGCAAGCGTTGCTTCGTGAATCATAGCGGTGGCGTTGGAACTTGACTTTTATTGACTATCCCACGATCTGTTGGACGTCCGAACTCGGTTTGGGGCATGGACTGGCATACCAGCGTAAAGCGCGAGGCAACCCATGCATATTGGGATCATGACAGGAAGGATGAGATATGATAAGTCATCTCCTGTAAGACAAGGCAGGATTGTTAGAGACCGGACTTATATACTTTGATGTAGTATCGCGAGACCAGGAACAAGACGCCGAGATAAGGCACCTCATCTACCCAGCTACGAAGCTCTTCCTACTTGAGACAGACCTCGTTCAGAATTTCATACTCCGTACTCTGGCATCAGCGTCGACTTAATGGACCATGTGCCGGTCAGGCGTTGGTAGTGGTGGTGGTGAGGCCTATGAGCACAGCACGCCACCGTAGAGTTGGCGCGAAACAGTGCCGAGGCGAGTGACGTGGTGCGGATCGTGACGCCGTTGCCGGCCACCAGCCAGGATGCAGCTCCATGACCATTCGAACACGACGCGGGTGCCTGCTGCTGTTTTGCCAAATTCAATTTGTTTGCATCTTGTAGAATCCCTCGGCTATCCTCTCCTTGCCACCGACGACCAAGTGCACTGGACTTCATTTGGCGTTACAACTGCATCCTCGCCCAATGTTTGCATGACCGCCCTACATGATTCTCACTTCTCTTGCGACAATTGCGCTTGCGCTGTCTGCGCAACTTGCAGCAGCAGCAGCATCTCCGCCAACGGAAATACACGAGGCCGGTCGCTGTGCCATTCGTGGGCACTGCGGCAAGCAAGGATGGTTCGGTGCTGATCTTCCTTGCCCCGACAACGGCAAAGCTACCTCCCCTTCAGACGAACTGCGCGACTCGCTGGTCGACTTGTGCGGATCGAAATGGAATGACACAGATGTTTGTTGCAATGCCGAACAGGTCGATGCATTGAGGTCCAATTTGAAAAGAGCAGAGGGCATTATCGCATCCTGCCCAGCTTGCAAAGACAACTTCTTCAATCTCTTTTGCACATTCACGTGCTCCCCAGATCAGTCTCTCTTCGTCAATGTTACCCAGACTGATGAAACCTCGGCCGGCAAGCAGATTGTCACCGAGCTGGACAATACGTGGTCAGAGGAGTATCAGAGCGGATTCTACGACAGCTGCAAAGAGGTCAAGAACGGCGCTAGTGGTGGCAAAGCCATGAGTTTCATTGGCGGCGGCGCGAAGAACTACACACAGTTTCTAAAGTTTTTGGGCGACAAGAAGTTACTGGGCAGCCCGTTCCAGATCAACTTCCTGGAAGAACCGAAACATGGGGACAAGGATATGCGACCTCTCGATATCCACCCACATGCCTGCAACGACAGCGATCCAAATTTCAGATGCAGTTGCGTGGACTGCCCGGCTGTTTGTCCGACTCTGTCTGAGGTGAAAGACGTCGAATACTGCCATGTTGGTAAGGTGCCGTGCCTGTCATTCGCCGTCATGATCATCTACGCGGCATGTTTGATCCTGCTAGTCACCGCCATTGTTGGCCATGTTGCGTGGGCAAACCACAAGAAGAAGGAAACCGAGCGAATGCGGCTGCTACATGACGCCGCACCCAGTGATGACGAAGACGAGGATCCATATGTCCTGAATGCGGGCGTCCTGGACCGACCATACCGCAACTACTACCTCAATCACGTTTTCGATCGTGCTTTCAGCAAGCTGGGTTCTTTCTGTGCTCGCTTCCCAGCATTGACTATCGGCACCAATATACTTGTAATTGGGCTTCTGAGTCTGGGCTGGCTACGTTTCGAGGTCGAGCGCGACCCAGTCCGTCTGTGGGTTAGCCCCGATTCGGATGCGGCGCAAGAGAAGGAGTTCTTCGATGCCAATTTCGGTCCCTTCTATCGGACAGAACAGCTATTTCTTGTCAATGATACAGATGGTGGAGAGGTGCTCAGCCAGGCGAACCTTGAGTGGCTATTCGGCTTTGAGGAAAGAATATCAAAGCTCATGACCCCCGAGCACGGCTTGGCTTTGAAGGACGTCTGCTTTAACCCCACTGGAGATGCCTGTGTCGTCCAATCAGTCAGCGGTTATTTCCAAAATGGTCTGGACGACAACTGGAAAGAGACCATTCAGCAATGTGCCGATTCGCCTGGTTCTCTTGAATGTCTCCCTCCGTTCATGGATCCTCTCCTACCAGGCAGAATTCTTGGTGGCTGGGACAGTATCGAGAATATCACTCATGCAAAGGCCTTGACGGTGACTTGGGTAGTCAACAACGCCGAGCCAGGTACCAAGGCCGAATTGGCAGCTCAAGAATGGGAAGAGTCGTTGAAGCACGAGCTGTTGATCTATAAGCAGGACGCCGCTGCCCACGGCTTACGCCTGTCCTTCAACACCGAGCGCAGTCTGGAAGAAGAGCTGAACAAGTCCACAAACACCGACGCCAAAATCGTTGCCATCAGCTACGTGGTGATGTTCATCTATGCGTCTTTGGCGCTCGGCTCTGGTGCAATTACACTTCGTAACCTGATCAGCAACCCTTCCAACGCGCTAGTGCAGTCCAAGTTCACTCTCGGTGTTGTCGGCATCGTCATCGTTTTGATGTCTGTGTCTGGCTCGGTCGGGTTGTTCTCAGCCGCGGGCATTAAGGTGACTCTGATCATCGCCGAGGTCATCCCCTTCCTTGTTCTTGCCGTTGGCGTTGACAATATCTTCTTGATTGTCCACGAGTTTGAGCGAGTCAATATCAGTCACCCAGACGAAGAAATCCATGACCGGGTCGCCAAAGCACTGGGGAGAATGGGTCCTAGCATCTTACTCTCGGCCTCGACCGAGACCATCGCTTTCGCAATGGGTGCTTTTGTGGGCATGCCTGCAGTGAAGAACTTTGCTGCCTACGCTGCTGGCGCCGTTTTCATCAATGCTCTCCTGCAAGTCACAATGTTCATCTCGATCCTGGCCCTTAACCAGCGTCGTGTAGAAAGCTTGCGTGCGGATTGCTTCCCGTGCATTACGGTCAAGAGGGCAAACGCCGTTAATATGCCCGGCGGCTACCTGTTCGGCACCGAAGAGGAAGGCTCACTGCAACGGTTCATCCGCCGCTGGTATGCGGTCAAGCTGTTGGACAATCGGGTCAAGACAGTCGTTGTTGCAGTCTTCGTTTCGATGTTTGCCGCTGGGATCGCACTCATCCCAGAGGTTGCTCTTGGCCTCGATCAGCGAATTGCGATTCCTTCCGATTCTTACCTGATCAACTATTTCAACGACCTCTATGATTACTTTGGCCAGGGTCCGCCCGTCTACTTTGTTACACGAGATCTCAACATCACGGAGCGAGTCCACCAGCAGCAAGTTTGCAGTCAGTTTACTACCTGCCAGGACTTCTCTCTTGCTTTGATCCTGGAACAGGAATCCAAGCGCCCAGATGTCTCGTACATCAACTCCGCAACTGCATCATGGATTGATGATTTCTTCTACTGGCTCAACCCGAACAACGAAAACTGTTGCACCAAGTCGGATGGCAGTCCTTGTCTCGCAGACGGAGAATGGGATATTACTCTCAAGGGTATGCCGGAAGGGCACGATTTTGTCGAATATGCTTCACGCTGGATCAAGTTTCCTACCAACGAGGACTGTCCGCTTGGTGGTCAGGCTGCGTATTCCAATGCAGTCGTTATCGACACCAATCACACCAATATCCCGGCCTCCCACTTCCGCACCTTCCACACACCTCTCCATTCGCAAGAGGATCTTATAAACTCGTATGCCGCAGCTCGGCGCATTGCGCGCGAGATCTCGTCAGAGCAAGACATCGACGTCTTCCCGTACAGCAAGCACTATATCTTCTTCGACCAATACTCCTCCATCGTGCGACTCACCGCCACGCTGCTTTGTGTTGCCGTTGCGATCATTTTCGTTCTCTCGTCGCTATTGCTTGGCAGCCTGCTCACTGGCGGCGTTGTTGCGGTCACGGTTATCATGATCCTTGTCGATATCATTGGTGTCATGGCCATAGCGCAAGTATCGCTGAATGCGGTCAGCCTGGTCAACCTGGTCATATGTGTGGGTATTGGCGTCGAGTTCTGTGCACATATCGCACGAGCTTTCATGTTCCCCAGTAGGCCCATCCTCGAGCGAGGCCGTGGCAAGTTCCGCGGCAAGGACCTCCGCGCGTGGGCTGCATTGGTGAACGTGGGTGGCAGCGTCTTAAGCGGCATTACCATCACCAAGTTCCTGGGCGTCGCTGTCCTAGCATTCACGAGAAGCAAGATCTTCGAGGTGTACTACTTCAGGATCTGGCTGGCGCTCGTGATCTTGGCGAGCACCCACGCACTGATTTGGCTGCCGGTGGCGCTGAGCTGGTGTGGTGGCAACGAAGGCTATGTCGGGAGTGAAGGCGAGGGAGGGCTGCAGGAGGATTTGGGGAGGAGATCGAGGTACAGGGGCCTCTTGAGCGGAGATGACGAAGAAGATGACGATGAGTATTAGGGAGGCGTGAAGCCAATAAGTAGTAGGGTAAAACTACAAGAAGATATTGAAGCTGGCTGGAAGCTACTCTCTAAACATGTTGAAGCTTGGTTGCCCGCATTGCCGTACTCACGGATTCCATCATCTCGAGTGGTTGATCGCAGATTACCCTGAACAGTCGACGTTAAGCTGCCAAGGCGGCCTGCTCCGGGCTCTCCTTTCCGTGGTTCAGTAAATATAAAGGGACCTCGTCGTCCTCCCTCCTGTTGATGGCGAATGCTGGCAGCTAAATTATCGCTTCAACTTGGATCTTACATGACTAAAATCTTGCAAGGCGTCACATACCTGCGCCGAACGCCTCTCACTCGAACGGGTGCCGCCCCCGCTTTGTTGCACAAGGCGGGATGTCAAACCTATCGAAGCGCATTTCGTGAGCATTGTTCCCCCTGGTTGCATCGGACGAAAGTTGACGTTGCCAATGTGAAGCTGCAAACGCTGTCAGCAGCGTAAAGTAAGACGCATCTGACGATGAGGACGCTCACGCATCTTCTCTTGGGTGTATACTATGCTCATCGTGTCTTCTCCAGATCAAATGTTCTCGCGAGGACCCATGCAGCAATTGCTCCTTGGCAGGCGTGCGCTGCGATTTCCGCGACCACGACAAGAAACGTGCGCCGGTCACGCGTGCGTATACCGACGCGCTGGAGCGCAGGATCGCGCTGCTGGAGACTATGATGGCGAGGATGCGTGGGGTTGGGCCGGGGGAAGATGTCGTGGCCTCCACGGCCTTGGTTGAGGGCTTTCAGCATCTATCTGCGCTCGAGTCGGGCGTCGCAGGACCATTGTCGACTGGGACGGAACCGGATCTTCTCGAGCCTTTCATGGGAACTCAGCAAGGTAGGCAGTGCTGCTGTCTGGTTCCTAATGTGCCCTAAGCTGACTGCATTCGTCTAGACGGTTCAGCAAAATATGGGCCAACGAGCATCTTTACCCATGTCATGCGTCCAGACGATTCGAGGGGCGTCGTCGCGACATCTACGAGCAGCGCGTGCGCGACGACCATGAATTCGTTCTCCATCATTCCCAGCTGCATAGCCCTGTTCTTTCGTTACCAATATTCGACACATATGTTCATCCAGCGAGAAACCTTTATCACCGACTTCAACCATTGGTGGGCCCAAGGGAACACCGACCTTGTATGGGGATCTTGTACTCCGTCCCTTGTGAACGCAATCTCCGCCATTGGGGCTTCTAGCTCGGAAGACGAGCATGTTCGTGCCAAAGCCAAACATTTCTATACCAGATCTCTTGATCGCGTGATGGCCGAGGTATTATCCTCGCCCACCAGATGCGGCGTACAGACTCTGCTGTGTCTCGGGACATATGCAATGGGACATAATGATATATCGCAAGCCTGGCTCTTGTCGGGCATGGCGCTCAGAATCTTGCAAGATCTTGGCTTACAGCACGATCCAGACAGATATGCCGTCGACCTCTCATCTGACAGACTCGCCAAACGAGAATCACATCGCCGCTTGTACTGGGGCTGCTACGCCAACGACAAGCTGTTTTCTCTCTTCCTAGGCAGACCTTTGAGCATGTACGACGAGGATGCCAACGTCCAGATATCTGCTTCCGCACCACAGATTCCGATATTCAACAATTTCCTCAAAGCACACAACCTGGAAGCCCTTCTAGAGCCACTCCCAGCAGTTCCGCGTTTCAGCCTGGTCTTCAACGAATTGATTCGCCTTTCGTCGATCCTGCACACCATCATGAAGCGCTTCTTCGCGCCTAGCCGCCCCGACTTTCGCGCCATCGAGGGTGGTCTGGCAAAGGCCGTCAGCGAATTCAACACCCTCCTCCTAGCATTCCACAACAATCTCCCATCTGAGGTTCGTTTCCGGCCGTTAGTTCCAGTCAGTCTGGTGCACGACGAGCTGAGTCCTCGAGTGGCGTCCCTGCACGCCATCTATCATGCCTCCCGCCTGTCGCTAAACAAACCGTTCCTCTTCCTGGCAGCCCGCAATAAACAGCGCCTGGCAAACCTCGACTGGGCGGAACAGGTCCTCGAAATCTGCGTCGACTCGACGCAGACTCTGGTGTCCTTGATATCACGCTTCAAGACGCAACATCGAGGGCTGCGGATGGCGCCCATGATTTTTGTGCATGCGGTCCTCATCGCAATCGCCATCGCGGTGGAAAGCGGAGGGCAGATGACAGCCGCCGCCGCACACGCGTCGCAAAATTCAATAGATGGACACAACGGCCAGTGGGCGGAGTTGGACAGCTACAAACTGCCCCTGTACGGGTTTCTTGGAGACATGGCACCGAGCTGGGGTTTGGCGGCGGAAGCCAGAAGAAAGCTGGAAGAATTCATTTGGGGCGACAGGGGAGAGAGATGCACAGAGGAGGCACGTGCGCAGCAGAACGTCGAGCTGCGAGAGGGTGACGGCGAGGTCGATGCGGATCTGCCACGGCAGAGCCTGCGCATCCCCGAAACATCACAAAAGCAAGACGCCGGTCAACACGACAGCAACAACGGCAACGGCAACAGTGGCAATCACTTGGATGATTGGGCTAACCTGATTCGCCAGTTCGAGCTCGACCACGACCTGGACGCGTTCGAAGACGTGTTTAGATTCAGCGAGTCGTTTCAAGACTAGATAGCCAGCACTTATGTTGTTTTCGGCTGCAGCCTGTCTACACGCGACAGACCTTATAGTGCGGGCCTGGGTACGCCATTTCCTCCAGGTGCAACCTCTTCTCGAAGATCGGGGTCGCTTTTCATACTCGCTTCAAAGGCGGCCCTCATTTTCAGCATGGGCTGCAACACCCAGGTGTTGTAGGGCAGCACATCCGACTCCTCCTTGGGGTCACGGGTCGTGTTGAACAGGTAAGGGCTTTCGAGCCGGCCGCTGCTCTGGTTGACCTTGGGCTCGTAGACGAAGTGGAGTTTCCAGTCGCGCCACTTGATGGCGCGCAGCTCTTGCTTGATGTAGAACAGGAAGCCCTGGCGCAGCGGCTTCGTGTGGGCCGGGTCGAGTAGGAACGGCAGCTGGGAGATGCCGTCGATGGCGCGGTCCGTGGGGAGATTCGACGCGCAGCCCGCCATGTCGAGGATGGTGCTGAAAAGGTCGGTTACGTGCACGATGGCGTTGGAGGTCGTGGCTTCGGGGATGCGGCCGGCCCAGCGGACGATGCAGGGGACGCGGAGGCTGCCTTCCATGGCGGTGTGGTAGGTGCCGGTCCAGGGACCGGCGGTGCCGCGATAGGGAGGTCGGAACTCGGGACCGTTGTCGGAGGCGAAGACGACGACCGTGTTCTTGACGATGGCGGGGTCGAGGCTGTCGAGATGGTCAAGAATTTGGCCGACGCGGTGGTCCATTTCGACCATGGAATCCGCAAACTCACCGTGGCCGGTGCAGCCGTCGAAATCGGGGTGTGGCAGCGTGGGGAAGTGCAGGTGGACCAAGGGGTGATAGAGGAAAAAGGGGTTGCCTGCTGCACCGACTCTGTCAAGCCAGTCTCTGGACTTGTCGACCAGTGTGGCATCGATCTGCCGCCGTTGCGCCAAGTCATAGACGCACACATCTTCCGAAGGGGACCCGGCCTTGCCTCGCATGATGTACGGTATGTCGGCCACGTCCGGATCAAAGCCCGGCGCAGATGTGAACTGGGTCTCATCCGTCGTCCTGGGGATGCCGTACCATTCATCGAAGCCGCGATCCGAGGGGAAGCGACCAGGAATATCGCCGAGATGCCACTTGCCGTGGTGGGCGCTGGTGTACCCGGCATCCCGCAGTATCTCTGGGAGCAGTTTCTCCGATCGACTGAGGCCCTGGGGCAGCCCTGCCGGGACCGACTGCAGGCAGCCTGTCCGTATGGGGTGGCGCCCGCTCATAAGCGCGGAGCGGGTTGGCACGCAGTCGCTCTCCACGTTGAAGTTGTGCAGAAGCAGTCCTTGCTTTGCAAATGCGTCGATGCGAGGCGTCGGCGCTCCGCGCAACCTGCCTCCCCCGTAGCATCCCAGCTCGCCCCAGCCGAGGTTGTCAGCCAAGATGAGCACGATGTTGGGTTTGCTGGGGTCGGTAGACATGTTGCCTTGGTGTCCGGTGTCTTCTCGTCTATCGGCGATGTTGCTGTACCCTCGTGGGTCTGAGACGGTCGCTCTTATCACTTCTGACCAAGCCGATGAATCCTTTGATATCCTCTCTTGCCCACCTATATGCGGATCTGGGTAGTATCTCTATGAAGGCAAGCACAGAGTTCTCGGCACCACATTGCGACAACGCAAACCCTGTTATCTACAAGATCATTTGCCTCCCCGAAAGACGGAATTCAATCCATTCCAAAGCAGGCCGCTGATTAGAGCAGGAGCCTGTGGCCGACCCCGTTGTCGGCAACCATTCGGTTCACCTAATGCATGACGGAGTTGGAGTCCGTCTTGGCCTGGATGTCCCCCATACTGTGGACTCCGATTATCTCTCGCGTGATCGAAGCCAGAGCACTCTAAAGACGTGATAAAGTCCACCCGGGGGGCAGCGAAGATGCTGCTGCAGGTCAGTGCATCGCCACAAGGGTCTTCTCGCCCAGCCTCCCCTCCTCTTGCCCGCTGACGGCGAACCTTTGCCTCATTCTGAGGTCGCGCGACACGACATGCAAACCGACAAGGCGATGACGAAGGAGGACATCCAACCCGCCGAGAGCGTCCGCAGTGAAACTTTGCTGCCATGGACAGAGGCCGAAGAGAAAAGGCTGCTGCGACGGTGAGGCCCCAACGCGAAAAACTCTTCCCTTCAGCTCCAATTCCACGTATTCTAAACCTTTGTGACAGGCTTGACTTCTGGCTGCTCCCACTCCTGGTCGTCGGCTTCTTCGTTCTCCAGCTCGACCGTTCCAACATCGGCAACGCACTCTCCGGAACCATCGCCGAAGACCTCGGGGTCAGCAAAGACGACATCAACGCCGGCAACCAACTGCAGATCGCCGCCATCGTGGCCTTCGAGATCCCGTCGAACCTCGTCCTGCAGCGGGTCGGGCCCAGCAGGTGGATTTCGTTCCTCTGCGTCGCGTGGGGTCTGGTCGCTACGTTCCAGGCCTTCTGCAGCGGGAAAGCGTCCTTCCATGCCACGCGGTTTCTGCTCGGTATGTTTGAGGCGGGATATATACCGGGCTGCCAGTATGTGCTGGCCTCGTTCTACAAGCGAAAAGAACTGGCCACACGGACGGCCGTCTTTTACGTTGGCAATTACTTTGCTGCGGGCACGGGATCGTTGATGGCGGCGGGCATCCTGGATATGCACGGCAAGCATGGTCTTTCCGGCTGGCAATGGCTGTTCCTGAGTATGATTCTCCCCCACGAGCATAGCATCAGCCTCAAAAATCCCGAACTCCCTCGCTAACGCATAACACAGTTGAAGGATGCATCACGATGGCCGTGGCGGTGACATTCATCCTGATCCTGCCGGAAAGCCCTGCTAGAACCGTAGGCCTGGCCCGCATCTCGCGCCTCAATCCTTTCAAGCCGCACGAGAACCACATCCTGCAGCAACGCATCTTCCTGGACGACCCATACAAAGAGGCGAGTGGCAACAAGATCACGCTCGCCGCCGTCGCCAAAGCCCTCGCCGACGTGCGCCTCTGGGGCCATCTGGCCATCAACGTGCTCTCCCTGGCGCCCAAGGGCGGCCTGCAGCTGTACTCACCCAGCATCATCAAGTCGCTGGGCTTCAGCACCTCCCGCGCCAACGCGCTGAACTCGGTCTCCAACTATGGCGTCATTGTGCTGTCGCTGCTCGTGTCGTGGGCGTCGGACCGCACGCAGATCCGGGGGCTCTGGTGCCTGGCTGCGGGCTCCTACTCGCTCATCTTCGCCGGCGTGCTCTGGGGCCTTCCCCTCTCGGCCGACAAGTGGAAGAAATACGCCATCTTGACGGTCCTCAACAGCGGCAACGCCGTCTCCCAGGGCCTCAACGACGCCTGGCTCAGCAGCAACTGCCGCACCCCGCAGCAGCGCAGCATCGGCCTCGCCCTCGCCGTCATGGGCAGCAATCTCGGCGGCCTGGCCGGTCAGCAACTGTTTCGCTCCAGCGATGCCCCCCACTACACCAACGGCTTCCTGGCCATCGTTTGTCTGTATTCGGCGGCGCTGCTGGCTGTCACGGCCCTGATGGCCTTCTACTGGCATGGGAACCGCCAGCTTGCGCGGCTGCCGACATCACCACCGTCGGCCAGTAATGATGGGACCGGCGCGGCGGCCGAAGAGCATGCTGTTGGGACGAGTCCCGAGCAGATGAAACCCTGGAGATACGAAATCTAGATTATCTTCTTTTGGGAGAAGCATATGTCAGAAGGGGGAAGACATCGGGGACTGGTGTGCTCGTAGAGTCTAGCGCAGATCTCGAGTGCCTTGTCAAAGGAGAGATAGATTGTCAGCTACTCGAGCCTTCGTCAGTCTCGGCTTCCCATTGTGGTCCGAAGAGAACGACGTTTTGACGTTCGAAGCAAAGATCAATCGCTTACGCTTTTTCGTTGCAAGAACACACATTGTACGGACCGTTCGGTCGTGCAACCCGTAGCAGTTCTTATTATTCCCAGAAGCTCAGCTTACCCGCCAACCAACCCACCCCCCCTTGAAGACTATATCCAAGATAAACCAGTAGCATCCTCCGCGAATGATTCCTCGATTCACGTCACCGCAGCGCGTGTGGGTGCCAAAGTTGCTGCCTTGCGCAGCCTCATCACCTGAACCAGGGGCAGAAAGGTACAAACAAAGGATTGATAACACATGCTCTGAATCTTCGTCAACCCCGTGCTTTCCTGGCGTATCGTCTCGATAAATGCTCTGCGGATGCCTCAGTGACCGAGGCCTAAGTTCTAACGACCGGCCGACCGCAATTTCCTTACATGTGCGTCTGGTGTCGCCTGAGGAGCAGCCTTTCCGCCGTAAAAGAATTTGTCACGGGAGTCTTGATCGTGCTCGGTATTGAACCACAGGGACTGAGAGGTGTCGTCGTAACGGTGGTCGGCCGATGTCGTCGTCGTCGTTGTCATTGCATGCCCATGATTATTGTTATTGCCGGTACGCTTGGCGTCGACGTTTGGTCCCGTCAGGAACTTGCCATGCTTGGCGTTCCCATAGCTATATGTGGCCGTGTGGGTGACGTTCTCATTCCTCCTTGCAGCTCCAACACCACCTCCAGCTTCCTGCGTCGACATGCTGCACAGTCCCAGTCGCGCGACTACCTGCTCCAGATTGTGGATGAGGAATTCTAGCTCGACGAGGACGGTGTCGAGCTTTCGCTTGTAGTGCAGCGCCCAAGCCGTGCGACGCCAGAGAAGCGCGACGCTGTTTCGGCTGACGACGCGGTCGTCAGTTCGGTGCACGGAATCGCTCGAGTGCGGGAAATCGTTATCAATGAGCGGCCTTGATGGGATGCTGAAGGTCTCGGGACCAGGCTTGCATTTCTCGGTGAGCGACCCAGCTCGCTGAAGGATGTCTTTTATGCGAGATAAGCTGCGCGCAACCACCTCCTTCTCTGCTGCCCAACCTTCGCGCAGGGCCCATGATTCGCAGTCGGGCTCTTGGATGTTCAAATTCCGACCCCATGTCCAGAGACGGGCCTTTAGCAGGTCCATTCTGGTGCACGCCCCTGTATGGTCGGTAGGGTATTCTTTCCCAAGCGTGACATATTCGGCAAGCTCGAGGCACGTCGAGAACATGGTGGCCAGAGCCATGGCTCCAATCACCAGGCCTGCTGACTCGGCCATCTCTTCCGCTATCAGGGTTGGTGTGATCGAAGGAGTAACAGTCGGCTGAATGGCTGAGCAAGCGGTTTCCAAGCTCTTGAGGACTTCACCGTTCCTTCATGGCATATACGATGTGTTCCGACGATCGAACGGGGTTGGGACAATCGACCAAAGATATCTCGTAGCAAAGACTGAGGTAGGCTGGACAATGTCTGCCGAAGAACGCGTGAAGGTTCTCGTGACTTTCGAGGAAGGACCCAGGACACCTTGTGCCCGACGATCCCATATGAGCCGGGCAACAGAACACTGCTGACTGCGTGCAGACCGGTCGAGCGACAGCTACCATTTTGAGCCCTGCACAACCTATTGAGTGTTGTCATCAGAGGAGGGAGGGTCGCACAGATTTTTGCCTCATCAGACTGCGACGCAACCAGGGCGCTTACCTCGTATTGGTACGGCCCGACCTCTCTGCCAAGGTCACACAACAGACGCATTGTTACCCCATCCTGTGTAACCCGAGATGCGAGGTCATCCACACAGAACCCTCGTCGCGCTGGTACGATGTCCGTGGCGAGAGTTGGAATGGAGAGCGGCTCGCAGGACGGCGCAGACTCGCCATCCGGGCATGTGGCTGCCCAGCGTGGGCTGTTGGCTGTGATGTGGCTATGGATTCAAGATAGGCTCCTGGTCAGAATCCCTGGAGGAGCCACGATCAACTTCTACGTCCAGAACGCACCCTACGGCAACTGGATCTGCGCGCCTTACTCGGCAATCCATCATGGTAAGTGCCTGCCCTTTCTGTCACTCTTCTCTCAAGGTGAAGCCGAGGCGTGCTCTGGAGACCCGCCGCAGCAGATGGCAATTTAACAAGCATCTAGGCCCATCACAAGTTGCTTCTTCGCCATCCCCGTTGCATTCCGGAGGCGGCCTCCCCACCCAGCCGTGTCTCGTAACTGGTGGGACCATCATGGCTGACCCGAAAACACCTGTGAAACACACTGACGCCCCGAACGATGACGCCACGACCCACGACCACGACGAAATGAAAGACTTCAAAATTTATGGCAATGCAAAGAAATTCCATCTTGGAAGAATCTTCCAGCTATGGAATCCCGCAGACAACGAAATCCACAAATGCACCTTCATCGTCATCATTGACAAGCACGGCTCCGCTCAGTGTCTGAAGGTCTACAACAGCGAAAACCTAGCCCCGGAAAAGAAGACGTACGCCGTTCCGCTGCGGATATGGGCATCTGCGCCCCCGCCTGTGAGTGAGACGAACTACCACACGCTAGAGGTGCACCCAGAGGTCAAAGATCCCGGTCTCGGAGAAGCCTACGTGAACGTGCAGGACAGTTACCATGTCGAGTCCATCACATCCAAAAGAGTCCGCAACATTGGTTATGTCAAGGCCGAGTGGCGGTCGACGCTGACCGAGTATCACAATTCATCATACTCAAATGGATGAAATAATCCGTTGCCACTGCAGAGAGAAGCCTGGCACAGGTACATATTTCAACGATGGTTCTATAAGATTGAAGAAAAGAGGCGGTAATGATATATGGGGTTGTATGGCGAGCGTGGGAGGATTCCGGGAGTCATGTCTACGCCAGATCACATTAGACTCAGAGGAGGTCGGCCTTTTTTAGACGATGTTGGTGTTCCTTGTCTATGATGCTACCACAAAAGCGTTGCCTCTTACTTCACTTTACAAATCTTATTGTACTTATAGCATAGCGTCTTCCATCCTGATATAAGCAACAACAAACTTTACAAGAATCTTTCGAGCTAGGCTTGACTCGATGAATTCCTCGGCCACACGACCAGTGTGAACATCAAATCAGACACGATGCCATGTATCCACCATTCAGCGAAGAGTATATGCGGGACGAGGCAATCTCGGAGTCGTCACTAAACATGCACAGCTCAGCTGATGGCTAGAGGAGCCACAGTGTCGGTGTCGAGCTCTCCTACATCGGCACGCGGTTGATCCCGAATGCTCACAGCCTTTTCGCCCGGCCATTGGCTTCCATTGCTTATCACAAATCCTGAAAGGGAGAGTACGAGCGTACGTAGCATGCTTAGCGTTGTTGGCCCGGTCTGCGTTGAGGATAAACCGACCTATTCTTCCTGTCATTAGTTCAGATATGTCTTGTCTCATGTGGGAAAGACGCGGCCAATGACATGATTACTTGCGAGGGCTCGCCTGCATTCGATCTGCAACTTTGTTTTGGTTTTGCGCAGGGTAGAATCGTATTGTACCCCCCAAGTACTCTGCGGAAAAACAATCCCATTGGAATGGGCTGGCTACGGCGGACCTTGACACCAGGGGCGCACCGGGTCACCGTAGAGGCATAATCCCCATCTCGGGCGCTCGTGGCTATGATTCATTCTTGTACGGTCAAGACGTATGTCGTTGAACCCAGTCATGGTCGTCTCTGCAACAGCATCAGCATCTTGCGATAGTCCCGATGTTAGTCAGGTCATCGAACACTTTTCTCAAGCGCTTATTGAGGATGCCTATCAGTCCATCAGGCAAACACTGACTGTCTCTCCTATCTCCAACCGCGGTCAACAGCAGGCAGTGAAAGTCTTGGCGTAGAGGCGTCTCACCGGTATGACGGGTTGCGGCTAGCCTTGGATTGGTTCGGAGTCTCAACGGTGCTTGCATGTGATTCGCGCGCCTGTCGAGTGTCTGATCGAACCAGATTGCGTCAGAATGCAACAACCTGTAGCCGGTCGAACCCAGACGGAAATACCACAAATGCTCGCAAGTGACGTAATTGGGGACGTATCCAATACGAATACAGACTAGCGTTAGGATACGTGACCCGGCGACCTCGACCGCGTTCGACGTCTTGGTGGTTCCGCCACCAGAAGTTCCTGCGGCGGAAAACTAATGTCGCTTGCCTATTATAATCGACCGAGCCATTTTGCTCTTGGCCAGCGTCTGGCCGAGCACGAACACTGACTGACTCTTCAACAGCTACTCTTTGTCTGATATGATCCCTAGACCCCGCGATCTTTCATATGTTCCGTGTACCCCACTATGTCTCCGTTTCAGGCAATACGCCCCGCATCTGTGAGTGATGCTGGCAATCGAGGTGCTGGTGGAGGCGGACCTGTGAATCCACCACTCATTGCCATGGGCTCTCAGGATGTTTCCTACGGCTCGAAACCGGCGTTGACTTTGCCCCCCAAATCAAAAAGGGGTCTGAAGCATGTTCTAGTGGCGTGTCAAGAATGCCGGCGCCGTCGACGAAAGGTGAATTTACCCCATCAGCGGTCAAGTTGACCAGCCTTCCCTGTCACATAGGGTTGGGGGGTTTATACTGACTGAAAACGCCAGTGTAGCGGCGACTATCCATGCGCACACTGCGAACAGCGAGGAGCCACTTGTGTCTTTAGCGAAGAACCCGACGGTCGTCGACGGGAAGCCAAGATTCGAAGGATCGAGCATCTCGAGAACGATAGAGCTGTTTTACAGAATATCCTCCGAATGGTGCGGACGCCCGAGAGCGAAAGTCCAAAATGTGACAATTGTGTTAGACTTGGTACAGATTGCCACCACACCACGCCATGGCAAGGTTTATCATCAGAGCTCAAACGTAAGCTCGACGACATGCGACTGTCACATCCAACCTATCAGGATCTCTTCAATTTGCTTCAAGTCGCGACAGACCAGGATGGATTAGACATCCTGCGCAGCATCAAGTCTGGCACTAGTGCCGAGGATATCTGTAATCACTATCAGCATGCCAACCTTCAGTCACAGCTTGCTCTCGTGCCCGAGACGCGGCTACGTTTCGAATTCCCCTACCTTTCGACTATGCCTGAAAGCCTCCTCGTTGGTGATAGCCCCTATCTCCACTCACTACTCTATGAGATAGCGCCCGTCTACCACCCACCTACATCAGTCGCACCCAGCCCTCAGCTTGACTCGGCATCGCTGTCATCCAGGTTTCAATTCTCGAACTGTTCAGCCCGTACCGAGGAGGATCGGAGCTTGTATCTAAAGCCATTCCACGCGGCACGGGTTATTGAACCTTGGCTCTCAGACGTGGACCTATCATCATGGACAACGATTTGTAACGACAATATGCTCATGCGGGACCTCCTCCGAGTCTTTTTGCGATGCGAATATCAGTTCAGTGCCGCATTCCGCAAAGACTTATTCCTGGAAGACATGGCTACGAGGCGGGACGACTTTTGCTCCTCGCTGCTCGTCAACGCCGTACTCGGCTATGCCTGTGTAGGATCTTTTTCCTGTTTTCTGCCGCTCGGCCAACTAATCTGATCTCTCTGATCTCAGGTCTGCTACCCGAAATTCTCCAATTGCGCCGAGTACTGGAACCCTTCAACACTGGGGCATCGCTTCATTGCCGAAGCCAAACGCATCTGGGAGCAAGAGGCTTCCCAAGCGCGCATCACCACCATACAAGCTGGAATAATCTTGACAGTCTTCCACAATCTGTGCGGTCTTGACGAGATTGGAAAGGCGTACAGAATCCAGGCTATCGCTCTGGCTCACAAGCTTCACCTCTTCGATGCGTCATTCAGCCATGGAAGCAAGAGATTACAAAACGGCAGGGCCTTCACTGCGTGGGCCTTGTTCAATTGGGAAACGTGAGTACACACTCTCTCTGCGCCGACCCAGACGTGGTCACTGACCATTTCTAGACTTACTGCCTTCTCCTTTATGCTCTCACCACTGCTCACCAAGCCTCCCGATTGGCCCCTGCCAGATCCGTCAGAAGATGCACAATGGTACGGCGAAATATGGCTCAAGTATCCTTTGAGCGATCGCCTTTCACCCTCGAACTTTGCGCACCTCCTGCGGGCCAGATGTCTGTTCCGGATCATAATGAACGACTTTTGCCATGCAGCCTTTTCGAAAGGCTCGCGTGTGACCCTGGCTGGTGCACATGGGTTTCGCGAGCGCCTGAGATGCTGGTACGATGAGCTGCCGGGGCCCCTGCGACCAGAGACAATCGTCCTTCCTGGTCACTTGCAACTCCAGTAAGCCTCCCCTCTACCTTTTCCAACCTCTCCAACGTCACGCAGAAACGATTTGCATCAACGATTCGCATCAACATTTCCAAGCCACTTGGCTAATCGTCATACCGTGAAACAGCATCTACTATCAGCACCTAATGCTCACAATCTTCGAACCCTTACTCGACGCCAAAGACGTCGGAGAACTGGACCCCAAGCGCATCGTCGCCGACGCCAAACGAGATCTCGAGACCCTCGTACGCCTCTACTACCTCCGCCACGGCTTCGAAGCCATGGATCTCTTCATCGTCATCCCCCTCATGCTCATCGGCTACAGCTACATCGCCGCGATCGACAGCAACCAAGTCCCGCACCGCGAGCTGGAGGCCTCGCGCTCCACCCTCATCCTCGTCGCCCAGGGCCTCTACAGCCAGCGCCACAACCATTATCTGGCCGAAGCGCTCTTTCGGGTCCTGCGCGGCAGGATGAGGCCCCGGGAAGCGGCGCTGCTCAGGGACACGATGAGCTTCGACGAGGCCGAGGCGGATCTCCGGCAGGATATGGCGCAGGCGGTGAAAAGTCATTGGCCTGTCGCGGTGGTGAGAAAGATTGATGAGCTCGATGAACATATCTTGACGAACCTGGTGGAGAATTATGCGCATTTGAATATTGAGGAGATGGGGTAGCGCGTGGGGGAAATGAGGGGAGGGGGAAACCCCATGGCGGATAGAGGGTAGAGGGTAGAGGGTTAGAAAGTGTGGACAAAATCCAGAGAGGCGTCATGGTAGTGGCCAGGCCGAAGCGGTTTCCACGGATAGGGTTCACTCAGGTCCACAGCGCAGCACAGGGAGGCTCACTCTGCATGACGCCTGTGTATGGCCTCGGGAGACCAGCCTTTTGTACAGCCATCCGTGGAAAAGATATTGGTCGGGCCTGATGGAAGACGTGCTCGAGCATTTCTCGTCTCATCATTTGTATCTGTATCTGTATCTGTATCTGTATCTGTATCCATAGATCGTCTAAGATAATCTCGCTAAACGCTGAATCCTTTTCTCTTTCCAATTTGTCTTTTCTTGCTCAAACCTCTCGTGGAACCTCGGCCGCAGCCTCAACGTCAACGTCAATGCTATGCCTCATTTGCCATGTAAGGCTCCCGCCTCCCTCTATACAGGCAATCAGCTCTTCGCATCCAGAGATTACCGGGGCCCCAATGCCGCCGCCGCCGCCGATGTTGCTGCTGCTTGCCCTACACTTGAGGGAGGGCAAGCTTACTTGTACCTGTACCTGTGCCTGTTCCTGTTCCTGTACCGGACACCTACACCGAGCTGAGTCCCCCAACTCCAGCTCCGGTGCGCATCATTTGTGTCGTCCCCACACAGTTTCACAAATTTTGAGAGCCTTTTTTCTTTATGACTTGGAGACGACGCCTCTCCCCCTGAACGGCCAGGCCATCTGACTCGCGACATTGATCTCGACGCCCAACTCCTCGGCAAACTGCCAGACCAGCGAAGGATTTTTCTGAAACCAGCGGCCGGAGAAGACGGCGTCCAGACCGCCCTCGGTGACGAGCTCGTTGGCCAGTTTCCCGTTGTCGATGCTGCCGACGCTCGTGACGAGCAACTTGTCGCCCACGCGCGCCTTGATGAACTTCGCAAAGGGGGCCTGGTACGCGGGCCCGCCCTTCATCTGGGCGCGCGGGTCCAGGCCGCCGCTGGAGACGTCGAGCAGGTCGACGCCGTGGTCGGCCAGCAGGGCGGCGAGGTCGGCGGACTGTTCTTGGGTCCAAGACTCGCGGACCTCCGAGACGGTCTCGAGCCAGTCGGTGGCGGAGATGCGCACCAAGAGCGGCATTTCTCGGGGGATGGTCTGGCGCACGAGGTCGACGATCTCGAGGGTCAGGCGGGCGCGGTTCGCGAAGCTGCCGCCGTAGTGGTCGGTGCGCTGGTTGGAGACGGGGGAGAGGAATTCGTGCAGCAGGTAGCCGTGCGCGGCGTGGATTTCGATCAGGTCGAAGCCGACGTCGACGGCGCGTCGCACGGCGGCCACGAAGGCGTCCTTGAGTTGTTGGATGCCCTCGAGCGTGTAGGCTTTGGGGTGCGGGTGTTGGTCGTTGTAGGCGACGGCCGAGGGGGCCCAGACGTCGTCGGGCCAGCCGTTGGCGGCTTCGACGGCCGTGGCGCCCGAGGACAGCCAGGGCGCGACCGTGCTGGCTTTGCGGCCCGCGTGGCCGAGCTGGATGCCGATCTTTTGGCCCTGAGAGTGAGCGAACTCGACGGTCTTGCGCAGGGCTTCCTTCTGCCCGTCTTCCCAGAGGCCCGAGTCTTCGGGCGTGATGCGGCCTTGGGGTGTGACCGAGGTGGCTTCGACCATGGTCAGGCCGGGACCTCGCTGGAGGATGCCGCCCAGGTGGGTGTGGTGCCAGGCGGTGTGGTAGCCATTCTCGGCCGAGTATTGGCAGAGAGGGGAGAGGAATATGCGGTTCTGGAAAGTGGTGCCGCGGATGGTGAGCGGCTGGAAGAGCTTGGGCGGCGCGGAGCCATTGGACTGGGGGTTGGCGGCGGTGCCGGCAGGAGGTGTCTGAGCTGGCGTGAAGTATGGCACACCGGGAGCGGGTTTGTTCTCAATGATGGTGGGCACGCCGGCAGCTTCTCTAGTCTGGTCGGTCATGGTGGCAGTGTGGGTGATAGTTTGTAGAGACGACTGGTGTGGGAGTGACTGTTTTATCACGGGATGGAGCGGGAAAGGAATGAACATATATATGAACAACTGACAGGTGCACCACGCCACTCACACCAGGCCTTAGTCACCGAAGTACCGGCCGTAGTTTACTCAGTACAGCGACATTGGATGGTCCGATATTGCAGCGGATGCTAGGGTCAACCGCGATACCGGCCGATGACGCATCTGAATGGTGGTGACTTTTTCTCGTGGGGCTAGACTCCAATATACAAGGCACCCACTTAAGATAGACCTGGTCCACAATACAACGATTGGCCCGGGGCACACAAGAAGATCTGCGAGATGACAAAGAGCGTCAGAACTTCTCGCCGACGCCGCCGAGAGATGCGAGCAAAGTCTATCGCTGGTTGCAGCAAGACATCCGCAAGCCAGTGTCATGTCAGCATCGCTTCTACCAATACGTCCCGTCTCTCGTGCTCTTCGCTTGTTAACTTAAGAATGCATTCTGTATCAAACGCTTGCTTGACGCTAAACATTGCCAATCACCACCATATATCTCAGTTTGCTCTCTTTGGCGCCCCGACTCAAGTCGTAGCTTGCACCACCGTCGTCCAGCACCATCTGCGAGCTCTTCCAGCCCCAGCTCTTGCTGACAACAAACTTCTCGGGCGCACTCTCATATATACTGAGCAGCCGCCCTGCTTTGTCTGGTGAATAGATCTTGAAGTATGTCTTGATCACGGGACGTGTGTCGAGATATGGTGGCATCGTCGGCACGTTGTTGCGCCGGTTGGTCCGCAGAAGTTCTTCGTCCTCCTCATCCGAGTCGAACAGCCGCGTCATATTCGACGTGCTTGACCTGCGTGGGCCCGTCCAAGGTTCAGGAGATTTGGCTTCCTCCTTCTCGACCGTGCGGCTTTCCGGAAAGGTTTCCAGACTCCCTGTCTCATGGTCTCGGTCCTGCCAAGGTCGGTTTCGTCGCTCCGTCTTCCGGAGCAGCATCTCCCGCTCTAGTTGCCCTATCCGATCGTCAACGCTGGCTGGGACAACCTGAGCCAGCGGGTCATCACTCGGCGAGCTTTCTTTCGCTCGGTGAAGGTATATACCAAGTTGCTGATTTTTCGACGTGTGCACTCGTTGAATGTAGAGATTCCATAACGATCCCGCGTACCAGAACGTCTTTGAGTATATCCGCTTCTTCTCTTTGAGCGTACGAGGGTTGGGGAACTCGGCCGAGAATCGGAATGGTGGAATCGACGTATACTGCGGCGCCGCTGCATTGCTTAGGCTCTGTGACATTGGCCGGCCACTGTCTAACACAAAGTCGGAAGCCCACGTCATGTCTGTCGGCTCCAAGCTGGCCGACAATCTTGCTGTTGCCTGAGTGGTCCAGTCGGTGTTGCTGGCCGTCGCTGCTGCATGCGCCTCTCGAGTACCACCCATTACGCACGAAATATCGTCGCTCGGGATCCAGAATTTCCGCGGTCTGCCGTTGCCATCCCAACTTGCGGATTCTTCATCTTCGTCTTCGCTCTGATCCGCAGCACGAGTATCGCGCTGTTTGCCTTTGCTGGTACCGCTTGGTGCATTTGCAGCGCTTACGTCCTCGTCATCTTCATCCGCGACTTGGGCTAAGCCGAGCTCCAGGTCATTCTCATGAGCATTCAAGACTCGCTGTCGGAGTTCCATAGACATCCAGAGAGCATCTGATATGACCTTCTCTGGGAGGATGGGCACTCCAAAGATGTCTCGGTGCGAACGTATTTGCTGTAACTGCTCGAAACGCAGATGTATGTAGTGGATACCCTCATCCAGTAACACCAACAAAGGCGCAATTTCGGGCGAGGTATACAGTGATACCCACGGCGCATCTCTGTCAGACACATTCCGGGCGTTTCCTAACCCAGACTGCCTTCGATACGTGGTGTCGAACCGGACGGCAAAGAAGCGCAATGACATCGGTTTCGAATACAGGAATCGTCCATCGGTGGAGACCAAGCCAGCTTCAATAGCCTGCGCCTTTAGTTTGCGGTTGAGAATCTTGGTAGCCAGAAACCAGCGTTCCCACTCGGATGGGACGAAGAATGGATCGCCACCGATGACTTCCCTGATCAGTTCTGACGGAATGGCGTCCCAGTGCTGATACTCCATCTCCCACCCTTCTCTACAGAGCATAGCTTTGGCAGATGCCATTATCCTGTCGCCCGCTTTGCCGTAGTAGTTGTTTGTAACTAAGCGGATGAGATGATGGAGCGTCGGAGGCTGCATCTGGCGCAGGATTGAGTCAACACTCGACTCGACGAGATCGGGCAAGTTCAGCCAACATGCTGTGGCAAAAAGGCTCACTGCTTCTTGTTCCTCTTGCATTGGAAAGTGAGTTCCATACATCCGTTTCAGAGCCAATTCGAATGCAGTCTTAGTAATGTTGGAGTCTATCTCCTCAGGGTGTAGTTCCATTTCTTTGGCAGAACTTTCAGCCCACGGTCCCGAGAAGGCAGACGAGAAGAAGGGGACCCTGTCAAGCACGAGCTTATGCAGCCGGTAGGCCTCCCCGAATGCCAAAATTGTAATGTCAGAATGCCGACCTTCTGCAAACCCTTTGTGAAAAAGATGGCCAGTCAAGGTCGAGGTATCGTTGAGGCTTCTGCCATGGTTGGACAAACTGCGAAGATGTGAATGTAGTCGAGAAGCTGGTGCCGGCGTTGCAATGTCGCTTACGGCAAAGAGTCGTGAAAGTGTTGTTGGCAACGTCGAGTTCTCTTGTACCATGACGGAGGATCCAGTTTCAGGGTCATCCAGATCCTTCTCTAGAGTGAGAAGTGGCGGCAGTGCGGACCTTGGTGGAGAGGATAGTACATCATCGAACCTTGGTGGCTGCATTCGAGCGCTGGCACTAGTCAGTGCTGCGTATGGACCGGCACTCGTCGACGTTGTAGCAGCGCTGAGTGAGGCAAGAGCGGTATTCGCGCTCACTGAAGCGGTCGGGGGCCCAGACACAAGTATGGAGCGCAGCGGTGACTCGAAGATGGCTTGAGAAGACGACTGCTCACCTGCTGCCAGAGCGTGGACTTGGTTGGCAGAGGCTGCTCGACGCTGTGCAGGTCGGTCTCGTGACTCGGGTTGTGAGGAAATCGACGGGCTCAGGATACTTCTGGAGAAGCGCGGGGAGTCGTGCTGGTTCGAGTTGCCGTTTGCCTCACTTGAGGGAGGGCTGCGTACATTTTCGTCACTGTCGACACTAGAGGCCCCTAGTGCAAGGCTTAGGGCGTCTGCAGCACGCCCTCGTCGGGGGGTCTGGTTGCCTGCCATGAGACGCAGGTCAACAGTTCCTCAGCATAGTCAAGACTGATCTAGCCTGTTGCAGGCTCAAAGTGCAGATGAGTGGCCGGGCCTCACGTGGGTAGGGCAAGTAAGCTATGATACCAGCCAGTCTCCAGGATCTGTGGTGCAGACGAAACGGAACACAACGAAATTATCTTCTGGGCAATAGTACTCAATGCTGCTCACCGCTTGGGATTGCTGAGAAGATTAATGTAGTGCGAGTGAGGATATATGGAGGAGGTTGGACAAGAAACATGTCATGCGCCACAGAAACCCTGCCGTTGCCAAACCTTAACCCCACTCGCACCTGGCGTTTAGACAAGTTTATCTCCCCGACGCTGCACTGACCGCAGACGATGGCCCCTTGACCTCGCAGGGTGTAGCTTGTGAAGTTACTGCTCCGAACCTCTCGCCTTCTCGGAAAGACTCGTCAATGATGAGATGAGTGTGTCGCAGTGCCAGAAAACAAAGAAATGACGACGCAACTCCCTCATGACGAACCCTCAGTCCGCTGCCCTCAGTCCTGTCCGTGAGACCTTCGATAGTGTACCTCTCGAGCCTCGAGCCGGGCAGCCCGGAAGTAACGAGTCCCGGCATGCTTTCGAGAACGGCCATATTGCCACGAAACATGTTGCAGAAAAACAGTTTGTCGTACAGGATGGTGACGAGGACGACACCTCCGTCGCCTCACCGATCAATGCTCATGGATATGTGTATGAAGACCCAGGCTCCCAAGCTCTGAACGGTGGAGGTGGACCCATAAAGAACGGCTTCGACTCTTCGCAAAGTCCTCCAAACTTACGAGCATTGGCCCAGTCACCTCATATTCCAGACCGCCGGCCTAGCAGACCATCATTACCCTCTTTGCCCTCCCCTGATATCACTGGCTCAGGGTCCTCGGTACCGCCTTCTGCCATAGACAGCGATGCGGCCTTGAGGCGCTTCTCGGGCGAAAGTCAGAGCAGATATCAACGACTGCGAGGCTTTTCGGATCTTCCTCCGTCTCCTGTCTCGCCAATCGGTCAGGCTGTCAACGGAGCCCCAGAATCTGATCGAAGACGCAACCGCAACTTGACCATTGATACGTCCGGTCATGCTCTGCTAGACTCGACTAGCCCCAGTTCGCAACGTCCGAGCAATTTACAGCGAGCGCTTTCCACCCCTGCTGCGTCTCGCGCGGCCTCCACTCCGCGCAAGTCAGAGAAGGGACGGGCTGGATCTACGAGTCACGAGCCCGACAGACCGAAAACCGACAAAGCAAAGCTAAGGCCATCAATCAATACTGGAAGATCACTTCCATCGCCAATGCCTCAGTCGTTCCCACTACCGCCTATGTCCATTCCGACATACCTGCAACTAGAGCTATCGTCACAACGTCCCTCAAATCATTACATTCATCGGTCGGCAACAAATGACTTCCCTTACGAATCTTCGCGTGTGAAGATAGAGCGGTTGCTGAATTTTCTCTTTCTACCGATGCATCTGGAAGGCGTTCTGTGGTTCGGCATGTTGGCATGTTTAGACTCGTGGCTGTACACGTTCACGATTCTGCCTCTGCGGTTGCTTAAGTCGTTCTACATTCTTGCGCAGTCGTGGTCCACCAACTTGGTCAAAGAGGTGCAGTTTGTCTCAGCCTTCATCTACACAGGATCGGGCAGAATGTGGCGGCGTCGTGGCAGGAGCGTGGCAGACCGGAAGCCATCAGGCAGTGAGCCCGGATCGGCAAAGATCAAAGGTGACATCGCGGCGCCTGGACCCACGCGCAGGCTTCGGCACCACCGGCGATCAAAGTCAGTACCCTCGAATCTAATGCCCGACGACAAGGCGGACATTCTAAAAGGACTACTCATCCTTTGCACTTGCACAATATTACTTCGGTTTGATGCAAGTCGAATGTACCACTGGATCCGTGGACAAGCAGCCATTAAACTCTATGTGATCTACAATGTGCTGGAAGTGTGTGACCGCCTCTTCTCTGCGCTGGGTCAGGACGTACTCGAGTGTCTATTCTCGCGAGAGGCGCTGGAGCGGAAGCCAGATGGCCACAGCAAAGTATTGCGGCCTTTCTGGCTGTTTATGCTTGCTCTGGCGTACACCATCATTCATTCTACCGCGCTCTTTTACCAGGTCATCACCCTGAATGTGGCAGTCAATTCATATTCCAATGCGCTCATTACGCTGCTACTGTCCAATCAGTTTGTTGAAATCAAATCGACGGTCTTCAAGAAGTTCGAGAAGGAGAACTTGTTTCAGCTGACTTGTGCCGATGTGGTTGAGCGCTTCCAACTTTGGCACATGTTGGTCATCATAGCATCACGAAATATTGCTGAGACTGGTGGTCTCGGTCGGGGCTTCGGGTCAATTAAATCGGCGGCGGCAGTCACACCCGTGTCGGCACTGAAGAACAACGTCACTCTCACCCAAGCTGCACCGCCGCTCTCTGTCTCATCAATTCTTCCGCTGTCATTCACGATGGTTCCTGATATGGTTGCATCGATCACGTCGTACGTACCGACCGTCAGCCATGTCCTGGGACCGTTTCTGGTGGTGCTGGGATCGGAGATGCTGGTGGACTGGCTCAAGCATGCATACATCAACAAATTCAACAACACGCGCCCAGCGATATACGACCGGTTCTTGGACGTGCTTGCGAAAGACTATTATACGAATTCGTTTGGCGATCAGAATCTGACCAAGAGGCTCGGCTTGCCTGTCATTCCCCTAAGCTGTCTGCTTATCCGGGCGAGTGTACAGACATATTATATGGCAGTTGCGGTTTGGGCACCGGCACCATCTACCTCGAGCACAAGCCTGGCGAGCATACACGAGCAGTACACAAGCAGTCTCGGCTCGAGCCCGCCCTCTACCACCGCGGCGATTGCGTCCACGCTCGACTCACTGCTCGGCGGAATACCGTCTGCGCTGGCAAACTCCAACGTTACGACTCACCTCACTGCAGCGCTCATTGTAATCATAGCATTCTTGGTATTGCTAGCGATGAAACTGGTGTTGGGCATGGTGCTTTTATCATTTTCACGGAACCGGTATCGGTCAATGAAGGAGCGCGAGAAGGAACCGATCTATCACGTAGAGGGTGGGCGACGAGTTGGTGGATGGGGTGTTGTCGAAGTCGACGAGGACAAGCGGCGATGGATCTACGACGATGACGCCGGTGGACTTAGAGCGCTGCAGGAGCGAGAAGAACGGGACAAGATGAAACGGGATAGAGAGCGAGAGAAAGGCGTGGGCGTGGACAGCTTTGATAAGGTCAAGCGCTATGAAATGATAGCGAAGCGAATATGGTAGTCTAGAGTGTTGATAATGATAGCTATTGGGCGTATGCTCGTGCGGTCACAGTGTGGTAGGACGCTACTAGTAGAGTGAAGTATGAACTATTCATTTCGATACTCGGAGTATGTGCCGGGTCATGATTCATCAACTCATCGACCGACGCGTCGCTTGTGATCTATAACACACATAAGCGAGTCAGGGGCAGACGCCGAAAGACAGACTCTGCCTGCTTTCCACGGGCAGCAAGCAGGCTTAATCCTGGAAATGTGGACTGCATAGTGGAGCGGGCTGGGCGTCGGGCAGTTTCATGTCTATCAGCGTTAATAGGCTATCCAGGCTATCCAGGTCATCCAGGTTGTGGCGGTGACCAATGCAGGATGAGAGTATTGGTTAGATAATCCCTATCTTGAGATCGCGTTGGCTGGCGATGGGCACATGGCCGCCTGACGGACAGTTCCGGGCACAGAAGACCTCCGGCCCACATGCCATGCTCAGAGCTGCTTCCCCCTGGTACTGGATGTGCGATAATTACGGTGCGAGACCGAGGTAGCTGTTACTTTCACTGTGCCCCGGGGTAAGTTTTCGGAAATGTCTGAAGAGGGACATGGGTGGAGTGGGCGGGTGACTTGTTGCGCCGGGAGGCGGTCGATAGTCGCTGTCGCGGAACGTCCAGTAACGGTTCCGAGAAGATCTTTTTCGTATCAAAGGCTGCAAGGAGAACCTGGCTGTTAGGATGGAGACAGATCAGACAGCGGTAGCCACACGGGAGCCAAAAGACTGTGCGAAGATCAGGGCACTGGCAGCGCGCACTGCCGGCCGGGGCGCCGCGACCTGACCACCTGGGACCTGACCCATCAGCGCGACGATCGATGCCCATCTTTGCCCAATTGCTCGGACTGGCGACGGGAACCACTGAGTGAGCCACCGCGCCGCCCCATCTCCGTCATAATCTACCAACGTCTTAGAGTACTTGGTGTAGAAATTGCACAGAAACTGCTGTCTCGCGTACAATTCATGGTGGTGCAGAGACTGCTCGGCTGGGAGTGTGTATCTGTCTGCTACTGATTCAACCCCGACGTCCCCCCACTGCGGCCGCCGCATCTGCACCGGCACCTTGCACCTGCAGCTGCTAAGCGCCTGCTCCTCCTGCCACCTCCGCCCACGTCAACCAGCACCACCTCTTCCTGCCTGTTCGTGATCTCAACATCCCTTCACCATGGATTCCGACTCGCAACACAGTACTGGCAAAAAGCGGCGCGCAACTCTCACCAAGAATCCTCCGCCCTCGGCCTTGTCCTCCCGACCTTCACTGCGCAAACTGCAGTCTGCTGCGTCGTCAACGTCTCTTCTCCAACGAGCACCTTCTGCACCCTACCCTCGCTCTCAACAAGGCTCTCATTCCGCTCGCGATATTCACCAGCGCACAAAGTCTACCCAGTATGCCTCATCCGTATCGTCGCTCGACCATCCTAGTACAAACCCGTCGCCTATAATCCCCTCCACCGACAACTTCGCTTATCAGCAGCCACCCAACTCACACCACACCGATCTCGTGGGCGCGCCCTTCGATGCTTCTGGCCTTCTGTCTTCCATCCAGTCGGCGTCGACAGAGGGCGCTCCGTTGAACGCAGTTCCTCAGCCGACAGCTAGACCACCTCCCCCACCATTACTACACACCCACACAAGTCCTGATATGCGAAGCCACCAGTTCCAGGGCGTACAAACAATTCCGCCCGGCGGTCAAACCATGGAGACGACTCCACCGAAAGAGAATGGCATCATGAGCCCGAAGCGTTTCTCCGGCGAGGGCAAGCCAACAACCACCCGCAAAAAGAGCGGCTTCTCCAGCTTTGTGAACAGCATGCTGGGCTCGCCCCGCACAATTAAGATCTCAGCGCCCGAGAACCCAATGCACATGATCCATGTAGGATATGACAATCATACTGGCCAATTTACTGTGAGTCTACAGCTCCCCAACCAACCCTCAGCCACTGACCGTGAACAAGGGCCTACCAAAGGACTGGCAGCGCATGCTGACCGACGCTGGTGTCTCCAAAAATGAGCAAGAACAAAACCCCGAGATGATGATGAACATTGTTGAAACCTACAAGAGTAATTTCGGAGAACAAGACCAAGCTGTATGGCAAAAGTTTGATCATGCGAAGTTTTCAGATTCGCCGGCAAGCAGTTCATCTAGCTATCAACAAGGCGGTAATACACCTACCGGCGGTGTCAGTGCAGGTCCATTTAGTCCTGCTGGTGTAATATCGCCGCCTCAGAGTCCTCGATTCCCACAGAACCACGAAGGCAGTTTCGAGAATCCCCGCGCGCCCCCTCCCATACCAAGGCTACCTTCTGGCCCGGGAGCTGGCATGAAAAGTGCCCCTGTGACCAACATGATGCCCAACAGAGCGCCACCGAAACCACCTACGTCGGCACCCAACATCGCCGTGCCTCACCGGCCGGCTCCAGCCCCACCTGTTACTACGACACCTGCTGGTAGACCAAGTCAAGAGCAGACTCGGCCGCCGATTCCTGCAGCAGCCCCGCCTCCTGCCCCGATCACTCCGGTCGAAGGTCCGCGCTCGAGATCGGGCTCGAAAGGTCAGCCTGGTATTACGTCGCCGAAGCCAGCCCAAGGTATCACCTCTCCAGTGATGTACCAACAGCAGCAGGAGGAAGCCATGCGCGTAGCTCAGGAAGCTATTCAAAGTAAACAGCTTGACCGCTCGCGCAGCCAGCGGCAACCTGCGCCGGCAGCCAAGCCGGAGCAACCTTCAATACCTCAGCAACAAGCCCCGGCGGTACCTCCGAAAATTCCGCAGCAGCAGAGTCCAGGCATTCCTCAGGATCCACAACAATACGTGGCCGTTGCTGGACAATATCCCAACCAGCCCTCCGTAAGTACAGCTCCAGGTGCGGTGCCGCGGCCGAGGAACCGCCCCCGACAACCCAGCAACGGGGCTGAAGTTGCGGCAAGGCTGCGTGCGATTTGCAGTCCTGGAGATCCCACTCAAAAATATACAAACCTCAGTAAGATTGGGCAGGGGGCTTCAGGTGGTGTGTTCATGGCATCCGAGGTGCATACCAGGCAGTGTGTTGCTATCAAGCAGATGAACCTCGAGCAGCAGCCAAAGAAAGATTTAATCATCAACGAGATCGTTGTCATGAGAGAAAGCAAACACAAGAACATCGTCAATTTCATGGATAGCTTCCTTCACGATGGTGATCTATGGGTCGTCATGGAGTACATGCAGGGCGGCAGTTTAACAGATGTGGTGACGTTCAACATTATGAGTGAGGGACAGATTGCTTCGGTCTGTAGAGAAGTGAGTATGATAATCTACGACAAGCGGCAGGGCTAACGATCACAGACATTGTACGGACTCCAGCATTTGCACTCGAAAAATGTCATCCATCGAGATATCAAATCCGACAACATCCTTTTGTCCAACAAGGGCGACATCAAGCTTACCGATTTTGGTTTCTGCGCTCAAATTAACGACTCACAAAACAAGCGGACGACTATGGTAGGCACGCCGTACTGGATGGCTCCTGAGGTCGTTACCCGCAAGGAGTATGGCCGCAAAGTCGATATCTGGTCATTGGGTATCATGGCCATCGAAATGATCGAAGGCGAGCCACCGTATTTGACCGAATCTCCTCTCCGAGCGCTGTACCTCATTGCGAAGTTTGGGACGCCCCGCATCAAGAACGAGCAGGATCTTTCCGATGTCTTCAGAGATTTCCTCTACTTTGCTTTGAAGGTCGAGCCCGAGAAGCGTGCTAGCGCTCATGATCTGATACATGTGAGTCACTAGCCCCGTCTACTATTCGGGGTTCACTAATTGTCCAACAGCATCCTTTTATGCGGAAGTGCGTACCTCTCGAGACTCTTGCACCACTCGTGCAGGCTGCTCGAGAGAGTCGAGCTGCCGAGAAGTCACAGCGTGCTGCCGCGAACTAAACAGAACTGTTTCAACCCTGAATATGTATACTACGAAACGCAAAAGCACTAGCCTCTTTGGGCCACTTGTTTCGATGGCTTCGAACAATTCGGCAACCGGTTTGGGAGACGCCGTGCTACTACTGAGGGGCCAGCAGCCTGGTATTCCTCTATGATTTTGATGTTGTGCACTACGAGCAATGTTTACCAGTTGATTTGAAGCACGAAAACAGAAATGAAATATAGAAACGCATGGGTATGATAAACGGCTACCGGGTTGAAGGCGAGCTTCGATTCTACACGACACTCATGGTGCACTCTTGGTTCGATTCTAATGGTCTACTATTGACGGGGAGGATTGGTGGATTGGAAGGACTGATCAATAGGCGAATGGAAGGAGGCAACAGCGATTATATCATCTGTGATACGGGCTCGCTATATACACCTGAGAAAGCGGCGTTTCTGATTCTAGATGTCGAGAGCCTGGCGAGGGAGGTCATTGAGCAGGATGTGGCTGCGCAGATGGGCAGATAGGCAGCCTAGTGTATTTCTGAAGGAGACAGGCGCCCAATCTATTTGACGATCCCGGCAGCGGCGCGTTGTCGCTATCGAGTCACGTCTCGTCCCGTCAAGTGTCAATATAAGGCATTCACGCAAGATTTGGCCGCCTTATATGCCCTCGACTAACCGAAAAGCGTTAGTCTAGACGCCCGCATCGACTTCAACCTCCACATCTCAGCTACCCGGCATCACCCATAGCTTCTCTGGAACCCGGGTAGATCTACGAAAGGTAGGTGGCTTACCATGCTGTAAGACCCATCAGAGGCTAGTCGGCGAGTAGACTCGACGTGCGGTACCTCACCCTGCACGAGAACTCTAAATTAAATGGTAGAAGCAAGTACTTCATCACAACCTACTCAAGATGAGCAATCAAGGCACCTATCAGGCGGGCTATCAGGCTGGCTACCAAGCTGCGCTCCTGGTCAACTCTCAAGCACAACCTTCTCATCTCAAAACCCAAGCTCCGTATCAGCCCCCAGTATCCTATCCTCCTCAAGAGCCCCAAATCAAGCCAAGACCTCAATTGCCACTTCGACCGGCGAACAGCACCCCCAAAACTCGAAACAATCCACTTCAGCCATATTCAGCCCAACCTTATCCCCCACCACCACCGCCACGGCCCCTACTCGCCCCCCAACCACCCCAGATCTGGCAACCTACCCCCGGCACGACCTGGAACTACATCCTCTCTCATCCCCTCAACCTCTCCCCCTCCCCACCCTTACTCCCCCTCTCCAGCGCCGAAGTCTACATCCTCGACCTCTTCGACACCCCCACCCCAACAATCACCGCCCTGCACGTCCAAGACCGCAAAGTCGTCGCCTACTTCTCCGCCGGCAGCTACGAGAACTGGCGCCCGGACGCCCGCAGCCTCGATGACAAGATCAATGCCAACAAAAAGACCCTCGGTAAGCCCATGGATGGCTGGGCTGGCGAGCGCTGGCTCGATGTGCGCAGCGAAGCGGTCCGCGACGTCATGCGCCGCCGGCTGGACCTCGCGCGCGACAAGGGCTTCGACGCCGTGGACCCGGATAACGTGGACGGATACGACAATAAGAACGGCTTGGGGCTGTCGCGCGCCGATGCGGTGGACTATGTGCTCTGGCTGGCGCGGGAGGCGCACGCGCGTGGCTTGGCGTGCGGGCTGAAGAACGCGGGGGATATCGTGCCGCAGGTTCTGGGGCACGTGGAATTCGCCGTGCAGGAGCAGGCGCTGCAGTTTGATGATGTGGATGCGTTCATGCCGTTTGTGCGGACGGGGAAGGCGGTGTTCCATGTCGAGTACCCGAAGGGGGAGAATGCGGAGAGTAAGAAAATGAATACGCTGGTGAGGGTGGAGGGGCGGGAGAGGGAGGCGGCGTTGAGATTGAGGGGGGAGGGCTGGAGTAGTATTGTGAAGAATGTCAAGTTGGATCAGTGGGTGCAGATGGACTGAGCCGTTGGTCCTTTCGGACGGTTTACTTACGACTTGTATGAGCCGGGGACTCGGACCTCTCTGGCTTTTCTGGCACCATACGCGGCATGCATCTCTGTAGATGCCGCGTTTTCCTTTGCGATATGGGTGGTTGCCTGATCGCCTCGTGCCAAGCAAAAACGACCAACCGGCTTTTAGCTTGATGCTCTGGTCACCTGAGAGACAACAAGATGTGAAAAAAAAGGGCAGTGAGGGCAAAGTGAACCGACTTAACAAACCGGTACAGGCGCACACAAAAATATCTAGCCACCTTGACAGCCAAAATGCAACAAGGCAAAAAATGCAAAAAGAACAGAGGAATATGCTCCCATAATCAGGAGGTCTTTGCGACCCATGTACCTTTTACGGTACAACTCCTAACTGAGAGATCTTGACCTTGGCTTGCTATGGCATCTTTCTTTTTTTGAAGTATTCCTCCCCGAAAACTACCTTGCTGCAGGTGTAAATTGCTGCTAAGGCGTAAAGTTTTCAGTGGCAACGACTCCGACCCCAGGACTTAGTGGTTTTCTCCTGCCTGGTTTTGTGGGATTGTAGGTCTGTGCGATTGTTGGGAGGGATTTTGGAATTTGTGGTATTTATGCAATGGAATGATTGCTGGGCAGAAGTTAGGCGGGTTGGGTGGCTGAGGCTGGGCGGGATGTTTCGGGGTCGTGGTAAGGAGTGGAAGGATCTTCCTCAGCTCTCACTGTTGGCTCGAGGATATTCAGACGGTATGTGATTGTACATCTGCACCATAAATGTACAGCACTTACCTAATGTCTTCAGATCCAACCTTTACCCGGGGCAAGGTGCCTGAAAGGACTGCCAAGTGGCACAGTCCGCATTTCCTGACAGCTCGACTCACCAGTATCGGCTTTGACCTCGAGCTCCATGTTCTGATCCGGAAGCTCAAACTGGCGGTGGAGGAAACTTCAGTGGAAGGATCCGCCAGGACCTGCCGAGTCTGGGCTAAGCCAACGAAGGGATGATAGATTGCCTCACCAACAGTTCGGACGTTGAGACACAGCTTGACGAAGGCCGAGATAGAGAACTACAAAATCGCAGCTCCATCGGTCCGCTGAGCATGAAGCGGTGGCTTACTGAGGACAAGCTTGCGATCGCTCGGTGTTGGAGTTGGCAGTTTGCTGTTGGAGGAGCTAATCGGGAATTACTGTTGGACGCGCTGAAGGCGATGAATGCTGCCGAAGAACAGAAAGCACTGTTGGCTTCTGTACAGAGATATGCGTCTTCTGTTGAGGAGATGACACCAGGTGTCCGACAACAGTATCCCTTTTCACTGGAAGAGCCACCTTTTGATCCACTGCAGCATTCTGCCTCGGTTGCCACAAGCCATTCGGACCCAAAACGCGAATAGTTCGCATTGCATGGGTCGTCATCAAATCTGCCGAACCACGATGCACCCCTCGAAGCGTACGGCCAAGTACTCAGAAGATACGTACCTGCTTACCTGAGCACCCGCTAGACGATCATAATATATCAGGCGCACGGTAGAGACTAATCACCCCTCTAGAGCCCATCGAGCTGGTCCTTGGTAAGCTGACTCGGGAAGTCCTAAGAAAAAGGCTAACGGTATAAGGCACTTTTCAGTCGGTGTTTGTAGATCCTGTAATCCAAGTTCCAACAGTCGCGCGGCTGTTGGCGACTAGCATCACGTCCATGTAGTCCACAATGCGATGCAAATTCCAGCTTTGATAATCAGAGGCAGTGAAGTTCGTTGACTGCCCGACTGCGCCTCATACACGAGGTGGCTGTGCCAAGAGATGACGTTCGCCTGTGACGATGGCCGCCTGCAAGGATCCACCTGCCACCTGCCACTGCACTTGGAGTCCATTCAGGCTGCGGTCCATCGTCTCTGACCTAGCAGGTAATCAGGCATCGTCGTTCCGCGTCTCGGGAACACTCACCTGCTACTCTCACTTATAACCCCCTGAGATCGCACTCTTTGAATTTTCCCCGCTATCATGTTTCGAGCGCAGCAGAATACCTTCGACGATGCTATCGGTAGGTTAAGCAAGGCTTCGGCAAGTGCTCTTGAGGTTAACTCAGCGACAGCGAAAGCGACGGACGAGAACCTCACATCCGAGAACTGGGAGTATATCCTAGATGTTTGCGACAAGGTCGGCGGTAGCGATGCAGGCCCGAAAGAGGCGGTGGCTGCCATGATTAAGCGGCTCGCCCACAGAAACGCCAATGTGCAGCTATATACGCTCGAGCTGGCCAATGCATTGTCGCAAAACTGTGGCGTTACCATGCACAGGGAGCTCGCGTCGCGGAGCTTCACCGATGCAATGTTGAGACTAGCTAATGACCGGGTGAGTTGGCACCAGCAGAAATACGGACGAAGACTGACGACCGTAGACGACACATCAGCAGGTCAAGAGCAAGATCCTCGAGCGTATGGAAGAGTGGACAAAGATGTTCAGCTCCAACAGCGAGTTGGGCATAATGGAGCAGGCTTACATGAGGCTCAAATCACAAAGTAAGGAGCTCGTAGTATTTCGGGCCCCTGGCTGACATATCTAGATCCTAATCTACAGCCCCCACAAGCGCCACAGAAGCAACGCATTACAGACTACGACCGACAACGAGAAGAGGAAGAACTGCAGATGGCTCTGAAGCTCTCGATACAGGACAAGCCAACTCCTGCGCCATCATCATCATCTCAACCCAGCGCCGCAGAGCTTTCGGCGCAGCCATCTTCCGCTACCCAGAGTCATGCTTCCCAGCCAGTGCCGCCTGGCACAACAGCAGCCACGGTATCACGTGTCCGTGCCCTTTTCGATTTCCAACCTTCCGAGCCTGGTGAGCTACAATTTCGCAAGGGCGATGTGATCGCCGTGCTTGAATCTGTGTACAAGGATTGGTGGAAGGGGTCTTTGCGGGGCCAAACCGGCATATTTCCTCTCAATTACGTCGAGAAGTTACAAGATCCTACCGCGGATGAACTCCAAAAAGAGGCGCAAATGGAGGCAGAAGTATTCGGGCAGATCAAGAATGTGGAGAAGCTGCTGGCGCTCTTAAGCACAAATTCGGGCGACATTGGTGCCAGAGAGAACGAGGAGGTTACCGAGTTGTACAACCAGACACTCAGCATCCGGCCGAAGCTGATCGAGTTGATTGGAAAGTACACGCAGAAAAAGGGTGAGTTGCGCAATCTAGGTTGAAGTACGAAGCTGACCATTGGCAGATGATTTCCAACAACTGAATGAGAAGTTCATCAAGGCGAGACGAGACTATGAAGCCATGCTTGAGACCTCTATGGCCCAGTCCGCCCAGCAATATGGTCGACCGGGACAGCAGCCGTATGGCTATGGCGGCGGAGGCCCGCCACCCCAAGGCTACCCGCAACAGGCGCAACGGTTTTACACACCGGACGGCCAGCCTCCCAACTCGGGCTACCCAAGTCAACCGCCAGGACCATCTTCTCAGATTCCTCAACCATACCAACAACAGCAACACCCTCCGTATCCAGTCTCGTCCCCAGCACCTCAATCGCATACTCCTGGCCCCCAGGCTCCAACACCCGCCCAGGATGCTTACGGCGCCTACCCACCTCAACGGCGCCCTTCACAGCACTCTGAATACCAACCCCAGGAGATGGGCACCTCTCTTTACAACTCTCCCGTCGATTCCAATGCTCCACCTCGACACTCCTTTCCACCACTCCAAACCGGTACGGCGCTGCACAACCAGTCACAAGCGCAGCTCTCGGAACCAGACTATTCCGCCTCGGTGTACTCGGAGGATGCGCCGGGGCAGCAGCTACCACATCAGCACACTGGCCCGGGTCAGCCTCCGCAACACGCACCCCCACCGCCAGGCCCTGGAGCACAGCAAGGATATCCGCCACAGCAGGGGTACCCGAGCAATCCGCCGCCGCCCAGTCATGCACCACCGAGTGTGCCTCCTCCGCAGAGTTTCAGTCCCGGGCCGGCGCCACAGCAACAATATCAGGCATATCAGCCGCAGCCGCAGCAACAGGCAGGCTACGCTGGGGGCGATCCGGGGAGGTTCTACCGATGATGAGCGCCATGTAGAGATGGAGAACTGGTGAAGGCTCACACGTGTTCATACTGGCCACAGGCGTCCACAGCTCATCCGGGGCGTTATTGGTGCAATAAAGTCAGCATGCACAACAGTGCCGCTTGTGGATATTAGCCTCCCCGTGGCAATCGCCGTGTGTTCCTCCCAAGCGTCGACAGCAAGTCGAGACGCCAGCGCAGGAATCGGCACGCCTGGGTCCCCCGATGGCGGCGCATGGCTCCGCTCTACCATCTTCGGTAGCATGGGTGCCGAGATTCAGAGGACACATGATAATGACAGACCCGAAGGAGAATTATGCCAAAGTCAAGGTGATAGCAGACTTGTAATGTTGGCAACTAGAAATCAGATTGTGGCGTAGCGTGGCACGGTATGGCGTGGCGTGGAGTGGCGTGTGGAGCATCGTATGGCGAATACCGCAAATACCCCCCCCCCCCCCGGATCCAAGCATCCGATCACAAGCAAACTCCTATTGCAAGAAGCGAACAAGACCTCCTGGTTTCTTCAGCCGTATTATGTACCAAGGCTCCATGGATTTCCGAGCGCCAATCTCCTCTTCCATCTCCGTACAGTAATCTGTCTTCACGTCGCGTTGATGCGACACTGTGGTGATGCCCCCTCCTACCGGATTGATCTATGCGACTCTGCGATCGAAAATGTCTAGCTTGTCGATTTCAAAAGACTAGATGAAACTGAAAACTTGCGACATGAAGACATGAAGACAGGGAGACATGGAATGCTTCGCAGCGCGCCAAGGATCTCCGGCTGTTGTTCGTTGTTTTTTCGGACCAATTTCTTTTCATACCTGCATGGCAGGATGCGGTGGGGATTACGCTATGTTTTCCGGGGAGGGGGAGGGGGGACAGGGCAAAACTAGCAGAGTCGACGACCTTCAACTAATTAGGAGCCAGAAGGAAAGATCGAGAGTCAGCGCGCGGTCCGTCCGGTATGTATATATACTATACTCATGGATAGATACGCAGGGGCGGAAAGCATGGAAGTTTGTGTGCGGAACGCAGCCGCTTTGTAGCCTCACTCGTATTGCGTATTGGAGCTCTCACATGCAGTGCGTGGCTGTGGTTTTGGGACAGCTGCTGCGGTGCTAACCGTGGGCTGTCCATGGAGCGTAGTCAGTAGGCTAGATCGGTCACATATCTATTGTCGTAGTTAGCTGGTCTTGCAAAAGTATTGTTTTGATGATGGCTGTAGGCGGTCAACGTTAGGCAGCCAGTCTGGAAGCGATGCCTCGGTCCGCAACGCAGTGGTATCTTTGAGCGAAGGAAGAAGATGTGAGTGATGTGAGGATGCGAAGATATGTGATCTGCTTGTTGTGTCTATTTGCAGGCCGCGAAAGGGATGAGGAACGGTCTCCGGCGTAGCTTGTCGAATCAAAGGAGATTTGATCTTGCTTGGTCAAATCCAGTTTCGCTCTCGGCCGAGGATTAGAGGAGCGGGCTTGTCCTGCCCCAGGGTTTGGTGGTTGGTAAATCGAGCCTGCACCTCGTGTATAGCCCAGTTCCAATGTCACGCCATGCTGCGCTCTCTCCTTCTGAAATGTAATCTATTTCTTGTCCTGTGTCTGCAGATACTGGTACGCACCAAAAGCGAGCAGACCTCCCACCAGCAGCACAGCGTACAACGCAACGCCGAAGCCGGTCTCACCGCCAGAGCTCTTGCCTGGGCCAGCAGAAATCTTGTCGGTGCCGCCGGTGTTCTTAGAAGGCGGGTCTCCAGCAACGCGCTTCAGGTTGCCGACCAGCATGCCGTCGAGGATCTCGCGGGCTTCGTCGCTGTGACCGACATCCTCAAACGCCTCAGAAGCATCTTGGCCACCAACGTCGAGGAGAACTTCTTCGCCGCCGCTAGAGTGACAGAGAGTCAGTGGGGCATCCAAACAGTCAGGACGTACTCAAATGTGGGGCCTGAAGGTGCGGAGGTGGTAAGCATGAGCAGACTTACGGGTGCTCGTCAACGAACGACGAAGCGTTGTAGACTTTGTCGTGAATCACAAGGTAAAGGTCTTTCTTGGAGTTGTGCGCAGACACATCGGCAAAGGTGAGTTCTTCCGACATTGTGTAAGTGATGTGGGTTTTTTTGTTGACAGCACTGTTGGGTGCGGCGGTGAGCGACGGAAGTGCGAAGGGTGCTTGGAAACGACGTTTGGGAGTTTCTCGAGAACGAGAAGCCGGGTGGTGACGGTATTGGTAGCAGAAGTGAAGGTCGGGTGTGGAGGAAGAGGACAGAAATGTCAACTGTATACGCTTTCTCAGATAAGTCGCAGGGACCAAGTACTATCAGATCGCCAATAGCACAATTCGGCAAGACTCGGTTGCCGTCAGGGCAGCGGTGGTGCACGCCGGCAGATCCAATCGGAGAGCCCCTAATAGCAAGAAATCGGCTGCGTTCGGGGCTCGTATTGGCCCCGAATCGCAGTCGATTCAGGGTAATCCACGGGCGGAAAGCGCAGCCCAAAGAGGCAAGCAATACCGGCAATCATCCCCCGCACAACTGAACAGAACGCGCTTGCTGCAAGTTGCAACCCCAAACTCCAAACAGCGCGTTTCTTTCCGCGACATCACCAGCCCCTGCACTACAATTTATTTCCTTATGGCCCGCGATGGCATCGGGGGTTGTCTACGAGGGTGTCACGCAGCAACAAGACGGTAACGAGACCGAAGTCAGTCAGCGAGCGCCCAAGTTGTTTTCCGGCCTCAAACTATGGTTTTCTGCGACCGTCCCTCTGAGATCCTGGCTGATCGAGAATGCAAAAGCGAACGGTGCAGAGATCGTCCCGCTGGACAGACAAGCCGATATCCGACTAGTCGATCATGCGAGAAGGCTCAACGCACCGGGCACCCATTCTTATACGTTCATCGAACAGTCAATCAAGAAGGGCATACGGGAAGATCTCACTGCACACCGAGTTGGGGTGACTGCTAGCGTTGACAGACCTGTCGGAAGCATTGTGACTGGACCAAAGGGCACCCGCACTCCTTTCACGGAAGAGGAGGACCAATTCCTGTGGAACGCCATCAAACCACTGGAGGCTCGAGGAGGATCTGTTGCTGGAAATGAGGTCTACAAGCAGATTGCCCGTCTAAGGCCACGCCACACGTTTCAGAGCTGGAGGGATCGCTACCTGAAAAAGGTCCGCCAACAGAACAGATCGATCACTGGACAGGTGTCTTTAGAAGCGGATTTGGCAGACCAAGCTGATGAATCCAATGCAGTGCAGCCACAGGCCGATGCACCTGCTCAGCGACCGTTGAAGAGACAAAGTCCCCCATCTCAGGGCTCCCGAAAGCGACCGAGGACTGCTGATGGTACTCCCGAGGCTCCTGAGAGGTCTGTCGGGGAACCACGCCTGCCACTCTCACCCATCAGGGTCAAACAGGCTATAATGGACCATAGAATGCCCAGGAACAATGGCCCTCTGCCCACCCCTTTATCACCGTCACGAAACCACAGAGTCAGTTCTACAGTCCCGACTGCAAATTCACATTCGGCGAGACCTCCAACGCTGTCGCCAGAAAGGTCACCACGCCGCAAACCACTGTCGACCCGACACCCGAGCGAAACCGTATCCTCTCCACGTGAACCACGTGAACCACGTAATACCTCCGCTCCACCGAAGAAAGATCCTGATACTGAGCCCAATGAGTTGCCTGAGACGTATCCTTTAAATTTCAGTCCGCAGCACTACGAGATACTGTTTCGAACCACTCCCGCGATTCTCGACACCGACAGTGAACATCTTGGCACCGCTTTCGACAAGGTTGCCGAGACCTACAGCACGCTTGGCCGCACGGGTAAGGACTGGAGGATCTTCTGGCAAAACTATGTGCTTCCTAGGTATTGTCAGCAGTTCAGCGTGGATATCAAAACGCTTGACCCAGAGGCTAGAATTCCCAGTGTCTGGAGTATACGACGCATACCGAAGTCGAAGGACGAGGCACCGCCAGATATTGAGTGTGCCCAGTGCTATATCAAAGAGTCTGTCCATTGGAGGCATGACAAACAAGGCCGAACCCTGTGTGACGGCTGTGGAAGTCTCTTGAAGCAAGCACGCTTCCGAAGTCTGTCTGGTGCTCTTTCAGAGCTGCCTGAAGAGGTAGAAGAAAGCCAGGAACAGTCAGATGCGGGAAACGAGGACGTGGCATCACTTCAGAAAAAAGCGGCGGTGGTCCCAGCGACAGTGCATACACACCTTTACTCGGACGCATGCGTGCAGACATCACCTATCCTTGAACCTCAAGATGCCAGCATCAAGCAGGAAGAGGGTAATCATGAACACGCACCTGACCCACGCCCGCCTGGACCAAATGAAGCCAGAAAGAGGAGTACCGGGAAAAGCTCTCAGTCTAATTCTCAAGAGACCGCCGCGTCACAGGAAACATCAAACGTGATGGCCCAGGCTATAGAAGGTGCCACCGAGGAGCCCAGCTCCCCTCGCGAACCATCATCCTCGGCATGGGAGACCAAGCGGGTCAACACGGGAGAAATCGAGACTCCGCCTACCCCTGAGCACATACAGGCTCCGGTGGGTAGCTTCTCGGCGCATGACGTACCAGACAGTCCGCTATTTGTGCCTCAGGATAGTGAGAATGAGCCTATTCTACCGAGCCCACGCCAAAGCAGTCCCCTCAATCTGCAATTCTTTGAGAACGAGTCTCCATCGAAGATATTATCCTCGTTCTCTCAACGCAATCGCAGAGCAAGGTCGCCTGCTTCGGAGTCTGGCTACAACTTCGAGACCGCGCCGAGTATGTCACAATACTGGGAGACAGCTCCTCAATCTCCGCAACGTTCAGAGCGCCGCCTCTCCACGCAAGCTCTCTTCGAGCAGCCCACTCTTGCAGCTGAGTCTTCAGAATTCGACCTACCGGAGCCTGACGGTGGATGGGAACTTCTTGGCATCCCTGAGCCAACTCCTTCTGAGATAAACCTCGACGATGAAGAGGATCAAGTGGATGCCAATGTGGACAGAGATGCGTCCGCTTTAGAAGCTGCGCCTGGCCCAGACGTGATGTCGATCGACTCTAGTCCCAGCGCGCCCGGCGAAGTCGATGAGGAACCGCCTGCCATCAGTCTGTGGCTTGCCGACCAGCGAGACCTATATCCACCCAGTACCATACGTGCCATCGTCCTCGAACATCTCCTCTCCATCGCCATTGAAGCCACGTCCTTTGACTTTGCCCTTGCCGCCTACATCATTCCCGCTATGATCAGCGCGAGTAAGACGGAAGATGGGAGACGATGCAGGCGAGAGGGACAGTGGAAGCGACTCCTTCCGAAGGCGGAAAAAGGCGTTTGGACAGAACGAGACGATCGATCACTGGCTGGAGATCCGGATGATATGGGTGTTAACGGGGGGGAGATGGCGCGGTTGCAGAAGAAGCATGGCGAAGGCGGCGTGCAGGCTCGGAGGGAGTTTTTGAGAGCTTATGCGGAGGCTTAGCATTCTCGCGGTTCACAGCTGATGGAGGGCTCAAATGCGCTGGAAGAAGTCTGCATGTATCAACAGGCCTAGTTCGGTCAGCCATTTTCTTCTGGGTAGCACCGTCTTGGCGCTCGAAAGGGTGAGGAGTCATGAGATTGGAAGGGGATGCCGATGAATCACGAGCTATGTATCAATATGACTGACGATGGGGGATAAAAGGCTGCTGGGAACAAAAGCGTGCCAAAGACTTTTCATTTCGGGTGTTGTCTGTGTGTTTGCGGGGTTGTTGGCTGTGTCTAAGTCCGCGTCTACTTCATACCGGACTCAGGAAAGAGTCAGAGCAGCTTGTCGTTTGTAAAGATGTCCCTTGGGGAAGGCTGTGAGCTAGGAGAATGCTGCTTCGAAGGCAATGCTCACTGCTCTTGTTTGTTCTCCAGGCCAGGCTCTTGGTGTGTGGCAGTCGTTCTTGTGGCAATTTGAAAACCATTCCATTTCGTGTCCCGTTGACATGATGTGTTCGCATCGTCGACTGTTGGTCTGCCCGTCGAAGTATGATCACCTAGTGATCAATCGGTGTGCTGCTCTGTCCTGGCAGTTTTGGTGTTGAGGCTAGGCACTTCCTCGGACGTTGCTGGCTTGGAAATTTACCTGGGTTTCCACTTCGCGCAACCTGAGTCTGCAGTTTGGCGTCAATTGGGTTGCGTGTCTCCATCGAATACGCAGCGGCCACCCAAGACATCCACCTCTTGGAAGAGGTACTTCATTTGTTCTTCGTTATGCGAATCTCCCGGTATGATTCCGCATCAACAATCTCCACCATGGTGCTCCATGATTGCTCCACCACATCTACATATCTTGCATGATCGACGTACAGCTCGTCAACATGAGAGGGATCAACTAAAGAGATTGTGTTAATGTTTGAGCATCCAACAAGTAATTCTCTCCCAAAACTAGAAGCACGATGTGTCCCCGTCCGCATTCCGAGGACTTGAATCATGCGCAGGCTCGATAACGACTCAGCGAAGCGCTTCAGAGGATGCCAGATATTTTCGAGGTCGTTACCGGTGCACTTCACGTCCAGAGTCAAATGGCCGGGTGGGTCGCTGTAGATTCGGTGCTTCAAGTCTGCCTTCGTCATCTTGCCGAGGCAAATGTGCAGGTGTGTGAGGTTTGCAAGCTTTGTAGGAACGACTCCTGCTCTGGGATGAGAGAGGACGGTATACTCCTCACACAAGCCTGACAACATATGCAAGTGGTTGATGAACTCCCAAGACGAGTCGAATCGTATGACTGATAGTTCTGAGACCAGAAGGGCAACGAGTTCAAACAGCGGACTTGGGCCGGTGGTGCGTGAGCCGTTGATTCTCAATGGTGTATCAGACCAATCCAAGCCAATATCTCCTAGAAGGTCTTGAATGTATTGCTCTGTCTCGCAGAGATCGCAAAATTCCTTTCTCGAGTATCTGATTGTAGCGCGGTAGGGGTGGTGGAGGTAGCGAATATGATCGGGAACCCGTGGATTGCGAACGATCTCTTGCAGAATGTGGATAGGCTGACTCACAACTTCGGCAGTGCAATGGCTGTACTCCTTGTGCTCACCGAATCATATCACTGAGAAACACTGAGTGAGCTTGCGAAGCTCGATCATATATTTCTCAGCGAGCTTATGGATGCGACGGTTTGTGAGAGCGAAGTGGACCAGGTCTTGTCGGTGAATAAGATCAAGGATCATCAGGAGAGCATCGTCGTCGAGACATAGCAGCGACTGCGTCATGTTGACCGATTGCATGCTGGTAGAGTGCGCGAATTATTGTGCTGGTGATGGTTTTTGAGCAATTGCCCACATGTAAGCTGCGGAAGACGATGGGATTCTGATGAAAGGCCAATAGGTGGCTAGGAAGGCACCGCGCAAGGCAAGGTGGGCAAAATGTAAGATTTACGACGACCTTTGCGCGACAAAGAAGGTCAAACTCGATGGAGAACGTTGACGAGAGAGTTAAAGTCATGTCAGATCAACTTCAGTCTTTGCATTTCGTCGGAAGTGTCGACCGAAGGCGTGCCAAGCCTTGTTGCCTTATTGCCTCTTTCACGCAGCTTCGTAGTTGCCGGGAAGCAGAGACAGGAGCTGCGAGAGAAATCTAACACTCAGAGTATCCTTGAAAGCCGTTACTGTAGTGACCAAATTATCATTCACTGCTTACAGGATCATTCTATTTCCCCTGATATGCATCCGGCTATGAGCGTTCGTATCATAGATGCAAATATAATTGTATCAATAACCCACGGACGCGGGGCAAGTGCACTTCCGACGTTTTGCGACAGGACTCTTTACGACGATACCATAACGGCAGAAAACAAAATTTGACCAGAAGCGTCGTGATACATAATACGTTATGGAATCATGTAGTAGAACCGCCTCCATCAACACACCACCCCATTGACTGCAGTCTGCAGCAAAGAGCAGTGATAATGAGTTTGATAAGAGCTTGAAAGCCGTGCAGGAACTATGGATGAATGAGAGGAAGCATTTGCTCACACAAAATGGCAACATCTGGTTGGGGCAAGAGTTCAAGCCTTGGTGATCACAATGAGTACAGAACTGGCATTGGTCCATGCGGTACAAAGCTTTGACCCGGAGGAGGACACCACCGCCGATGCGCGATTGGATCTCATTTGAAACGGCTCTGGGTAAGCATAGAGGAGACCTAACGTACTAGATACCCGTACTGGAACGATGTATCAGCATCTCCGACCATTGAGGATCCTCATGCTTCTCAAAGGGATTGAAACCTTGACACTGGAGATTTGTTGTCCTCATTCACCTTGGGCGGAAGTTCTCCCACCTTTCAGAATGTATTGGCACCGGAATTCGAATCGCCGAGATTGGCTACTACAGCTAACAAGCAATTCCATACAACCTGTATATATGAATGCCAACCAGTGAGGTCGAATGACCAATAGTCATTGTGTGCCCACAGAAACCTCAAAAGAAGTTCAAAGATTTGATTTGGACATAGCTGTTCCCATCCGCTCGAAGGGCAGGCAATTTGGCTGCTTGAGGATCACTTCTCATTCTACGGGCGCCTGCGGGTTGTCTGACTTCATGCGGTGGCATAAGCGTGAAGGATCTCCGAGGGCCGTCGATCTCCAGGCACGATTCGCTGCGCAGTCACGTAGCCGATATTGGAATCATAATAACTACCTCTAGGGTTTCTTTCGAGATCGAATGTGCTAAGGTTTACAAGGGGGTAGAAGAATGGTTGAGCGTCTCGCCACTCTACTCTCATTCGCTCCCTCGCTGTCAGATTTACCCTTTGACCACTCACCTTCTGGCCAGCTCTTCTCTCTCCGTCATCTGACTTTGCTGCCAGCCGGATGCCATTGGTGACCATTTCCCCAGATGATCGACAGAGGTCGGTTGTTGTGTATGCAGCGCAATATGATTGGGTTATTGACGCCGGAGATCTTCTCCGAATACACGTCCCGCTGTCAGATCTCTTTGGACATTCCATCACAATGAGGCAGATTCTTTGCTGTACTCTCACCGTCGTTATTCCAATTCTTGGCTTGAGATTGGATTCCGCATGTCGCTGCAATGCCAGACTTTGCCATCAGCATGGAAGTACAAAACAAGGCGACCTGCCACAGCTGGACTCAATTACTCAAACGCTCGTTCGAACCCACGCTCATTAACTACTAACTAATTCAGATTGCTTGTGTTGATAATTAAATAATTCCGTCCAACCGCCATAATGAAGTTCAACGCCATTCTTGCCGGCACCATTGGCGCTGGGCTCGTTGCTGCCTCCCCCGTCGACAAGCGCCAGGGAACCAACATCGATGCCACCGTTCTCCAATTTGCTCTGACGGTATGGCTAGCATCCACGAAGCAAGACCTCCTGCTGACGAGAACAGCTCGAACATCTCGAGAATGCTTTCTATGTCGGAGCCCTGAAGAAGTTCTCCGAAGCCGACTTCTCCAAGGCTGGTTACGATGCCACCTACTATGAGGATCTCCGCCGCATCGCCGAGGACGAGCAGAGCCACGTTGCGCTTCTCACCTCTGCCCTGAGCGCTGCCGGTGTCACTCCCGTCGAGCCTTGCCAATACAGCTTCCCCTACACCGATGTGTAAGCAAGTTCGAACATTGCAGAACACACGCTAACATGTCCCCAGCAAGTCATTCATCACCCTCTCGTCCGTTCTTGAGGGCGTTGGCACATCAGCCTATCTCGGTGGTGCGCCTCTGATCACCAGCAAGGACTACCTGACAGTCGCTGGCTCCATTCTCGTCACCGAGGCTCTGCACACCTCTTACCAGCGTGCTGCCGTTCCCGAGGTGCCTTTCGCCAGCCCATACGGCACGGTGAGTCTCAACAGATCAACATCAATACCCTTACTAACACCCATCTAGCCCCTTGACCCGACCTCGGTCTTCACGCTGGCCGGTGCCTTCATTACCTCATGCCCCGCCACCAACGCGGCGCTGCCATTCGTGCCCCAGCCCGCGTTGGCCTACAACGCCACCGAGTCCTGCCCCAAGACCTCGACCAGGCGCAGCAAACGCAGCATTCTCTGCCGTGCCCCCAAGCCCGGCAGCCCCGGCTACAACAACGGCGGCGGCTACAACGGCGGCAAGAACGAGACCGGCAACGGCTGGAACGGCGGCGACCACCCCACACCCGAGCCCATGGCCTGTGAGCTCGTTGCCGGCGGTAATGTCGTCTTCACCGCCAATGCCACCATTCCCGCCGGTGCCTATGTCACCTTTGTCTCCGGCCTGGATGTTGCTAGCGTGCAGGGTACTATCTCCGGCAGCAACATCGCCGCGCAGATCCCTGCCATTGCTCTCGGCCAGACTTATGTGCTTATCACCAGCGCTGCTGCTGCGGGCGGCAAAATTGACCCTGCCACCGTCGTTGCTGGCCCGGCTATCATTGAGGGTAGGTTTCAGTTTTCTCCTTTTAACGCTTGAAGCTAACGCGGCATGCAGTCACTCCTCCCGCCCCCGTCGTGAACCTCGACATCTAGAGTTGAATGATCAGCAGGGGACTGCGCTGAAGGGTGATATGGATGCCATGTGATGTTGACGGCGTGTTCGTTTGAGGTGCTTGAGGAGTATGGGTCTTGGGTGGCACAATTTGGCGTGATTGGGCAGGCATGGGTATTATGGGTGTTCTGGGATAGGCGACGGCGTTGACGAGATTGACGAAGGCTGTTAGGCCCCCCTGCCACGGGCGTCTTATTCAATGAACATGTACGACTTGGTCTTTGTATCTTGATTTGTACATAAGAGGCCTTTACTGACGGCCCGTACTTCTGATCCTTTCCCACCGGCCGCGCACGCCGATGAGTTGGGCAATCGGGGCGAGTTACGGAATGCCCAGCTCCTGTTCAGAAACACCGGCCCAATCTTTCCTCCGCCTACCGGCATGCTCACATCCTCCCCACGCGCTCCTTCTGAAGCTTCCGCCAATACGCCGCACAATCTCGTAGATCCAGCGCTCACTCTCGTTCGGATACGGCACGGGACTCAGCCGGAACAGATCCTCCTGCGTCGCCTCCACCGTCTGTCACGTCTTGTCGTCCTGCACAATAAGCGCGTCATGCGCCCAGATTACCGTCGCTATCGGTGTCAAATGCTCCTTGGACCACACCTCCAGCACCTCCCTAGGCATCAGCGCCGTCTCAACCAGGCCCGGACAGATGGCGTCGAGGCGCACGCCTTCCTTCTTGAGGCCTTTGGCCGCGCTGCGCACGAGCCCCACGACCGCGTGCTTGCTCGCGCTGTACACCGGTAAGCCCTCCGCGGGGTATAGGCCGGCGCTACTGGCCATGACGGTCATATTGCCGCCCATGTAGCCGTCATGGCGCCGTGCAGCTAAATAGCGGTACAGCCAGATGCCGCCCACGACGGCCTTGACGTTGATGTCTAAGGGCAGCTGGTCCGGAGGCTTGGGAAGGCCCGTGTGATCTGCTTCAATCATGTCAGCAATGTGCAGGGCGAAGTTGCCTGATTCGGCCCGAGGAAGGCGGCGAACTTTGATTTCAAGGCATCCGCTTGGCTTCCGATATCTGCTCCAGACGATGGCTTCCCCATTGTCGCGATCAAAGGCTGCTTGGGGACCCATCAATTGATCCTTCCAATCGGTGGGCCGAGTGTTGCAAAGAGTGTGAAGCAACGTGGTGTGGTGTGGTTGGAGATGTCTCGGCTTTGGGGTTGACAGCCACCCATTACAGTATGTGGCTTGCACAATACCTCGCGTCCAAGACGTCAACTCCGCACGAATCGCTAAGCCGGCGAGGATCTCGCTAATTCAAGGCGTGAGAGCACCAGGAACACTGCACTCCGGCCTCAGAACCTCGGCGAACCCCAACATACATACCCCAGACTCGCTTGGCATGCACCCCATATCTCCAACGCCAACCGCGTCCGTGCTCTGAAGCCAAGCTGATCAGCAGAGATATATAAGGAGACGCGGTGGACCTTTGACTCAAAGTCGGTCTCCTTTCCTTTCCTTGCCAACTTAACACACAGTCCCTCCAGCATACGCGATTCCAGCTGAGCCTATCGTCGCAATGGCTTCCGTCAACAAGGACACTGCCCTCGCCGAAATGGAGGCTCTTCAGACCAGACCTTCGACCTCAGAGAAGCGAGACCAAACCAAGGCCGCCGAAGTTGAGTACACCGAGAAGACCGAAGCGCAACCGGTCCCACCGGCCTGGGTCGAGGGCACGCCCGAGGAGAAGAAGCTCGTGCGCAAGATAGATTTCTGGTTGATGCCCTCGATATGGATCCTCTACTTGTTCTCCTACATGGTAAGAGTCGCAATCGGCCGATACTGAGAGCATCTCCCGAAGACTGACGGAAAGCCAGGACCGAAGCAACATCGGCAACGCGCGCATCGCCGGAATGGAAAGGGACCTCGACCTGAGCGACAATGAATACTTTCTGACCATCATCTCCTTCTTCGTGGCCTATGTCGTGTTCGAAGTGCCGTCCAAGTAAGTCGCAGCGCTGTCGCACCAGCTGTCCATCGCGTGCCGGCCCAGCACAAAGCTAACACCCAACGCCCAGCATGATCCTCGCCCGCAGCCGCCCTTCGCTGTACATCTCCTTCATCGTCGTCCTCTGGGGCACCGTCGCGGGGCTGATGGCCCTGGTCCAGACCCCGCTGCAGCTCATCATGGTGCGCTTCGTGCTCGGCATCGCCGAAGCCGGCTTCTCGCCCGCCGTGCTCTACATCATTTCCGCCTGGTACCGCAAAGCCGAGCAGAGCAAGCGCTACCTCTGCTACCTGAGCGCAGGGATCCTCTCCGGCGCCTTTGGCGGCATCGTCGCGGGCGCCATCGCCGCCAGCCTCGACGGCGCGCACGGCATCGCGGGCTGGCGCTGGCTGTTCCTCGTCGAGGGCGTCACCACCGTCGGCGTCGGCCTCATGGCACCCTTCTGCCTCATGGACTATCCGTCCAACTGCAAGAAACTGACCCCCGAAGAGCGCAAATTGGCGTGTGACAGGCTGGCGGCTGATAACATCAGTTTCACCGACGGTGAGAACCACATGAGCCATTGGGAGACGCTGACGGGCTGTCTGCGGAGCTGGCGCGTGTGGCTGCTGGCCATCGCGTATTTGGGCGTCCTGGGCCCGTTTTCCTTCTCGTACTTCTTCCCCATGTTGGTGCGGGGATTGGGCTACACGGCCGTCAATGCGCAGTAAGTTTGTTCCCAACGGGGGGGGAAAATCCCCCAACAACCTCATGACTTCCAGAGGCACAAAGGGAATCCACCGACTGACCAAAACCCCCCTACCAGATTCATGACCGCGCCCATCTACTTCGTCGCCTTCGTCGTCGCCATGCCCGTCTGCTGGTGGGTCGACCGACACACGCACATCCGCGGCATCGCCGTGTGCATCATCCTCAGCGCGGGGGCCCTCTTCGCGGCCCTCGCCGCCGGCATCCTCGACTACACGTCGCGCTACGTGTTTCTGTGCTTCATCACCGCCTCCGTCTGGACCGCCGCGCCCGTCGCCCTCGGCTTCGCCGCCGACATGCTCTCCAACGCCGACCCGAATGTGCGCGCCGTGTCCATGGCGTTTATCAACACCATTGGCAATTCGGGGCAGTTGTATGGCGCCGCGCTGTTTCCGAGTAGTGACGGGCCGAGGTATTTGACCGGCTTCGTGACTTGGGCGGCGTTGATTGCGTTCGCGGCGGGATTGTATTGTTGTGCGTTCTTTGCCTTTAGACGGTGGCCTGTTAAGGGGAGGACTGTGTAGATGTGAGTTTGTTTTGACGCGGCGCAAGTGTCACGAGGAGGTTACGTGTGGCGTCGACTGGGGAGTCTTGGCCGCAGTAAGGTATGATAAGTGATCGAATGAAAGATGCCCGCAGTAAGCCGCTGGCTGATGAATCAAGTGGCCCAACGGCCTGTTTTGAATTTCTTGCTACTTGATTTCGACAAATTCTTTGGCTGCTGATGATTTCCAGTACTGATTCTGCTCTGCAGCGCCAGAGTTGGATCATCGCCGCTGAATGATCGGATCGGTCTATCGGGGTATCGATCTATAATGGGTATCGGTCTACTACAACTGTGACGTCTTGCTGCCGGCGCGTTTAGTCACCCAGTACATCTTCCCGTCCTCGCCCGGTACACCGGACTGAGATCCCGAAACGTAATTGCACGATTGGAACGTATTCCAGAGCGACTTCATGAAGGACTCGTCTTTGGTCTCGAAGTACTGCTCCTTGAGCAGAGGTTGAATGGCCCTGGTGGCCTCCTCGGCGTGGTAAAAAGGGATCTTGGGGAAGAGATGATGTACAACGTGGTAGTCGACGATCTCGTGGAAGAAGTGGCGGCCGACGAAGCCAACGCTTCGGTCGATCGTGCCAAGGGCACCTTTAGTGAAGGTCCATGACTCTTCGGTGTGGTATGGCACATCTGGATGAGTGTGATGGAGGTAGGTGATGGCGACTGTTGGCGTACAGGTCAGTGACGGAATCTTCAGCAGGATTCTCGGAGAGTAACTTACCCAACCAGTGGTGGACCCAGAAGTAAGGGACAAAGTAGAGGAGCGCGGTCTTGTAGACGCCCACTTGCGAAGCAACAACAGCGAGGAAACTCAGGGTCAAGATAAGGCCTAGATCTGAGATAGCGATCGACCACCGCTGAGAGTCGGTGAAGAGTCGGCTCCGTGGATTGAAGTGGCTATGATCGAGCGACTTCTTGGACTGTTCGCTGGCGGGAAGGCTGTTCTTGCCAGAAGTCGGGTACAGGAAAAGGTAGATTTGCCAGCCAAGCAGCTGATGCTGGAGAAGTCGAGCCAGCGTGACAATAGGAGTGTCTTCGGCGTAGTCGATAAGAACTTCGAGGCGGCTAGGGTTAGAAGCACGGAGCTCCTCTTCCTTCTCGGGAACAAAAACAACGTCTTTCGTGGGATGTCCAGTGTATCGATGGTGGCGGGCGTGAGTGATCTTCCAAGAGAAGAATGGCACGAGGAGGAAAGAATGAATCAGCCACCCCAGGCAGTCGTTGAGCTTTCCGTACGGCGAAAACGCGCCATGCCCACATTCATGGCCAAGAATCCATAGTCCGGTGCCGACACAGCCTTGCAGGTACGTATAAGCGCCCCAAGCTAAGATCCGTAGAGCCGGAGAAGGTATGCGCTCGATCTGAAGAGCCAGGGTCACCAAGATACTGGCATAAATGATGTCGCGGGCGAGGTACGTGAGTGAACGTGTAGCAGATGATTCAAAGCATTTTGCCGGAATAGCCGCCTTTAGGTCTTTCAGATTTACCGAGTCCTTCAGGTTCACCGAGTCGTCCATGGCCGTAAAATTTTCCAAAGTCGGAGTAGATGCGAGGGAAGCTGAGCACCACGGCGCTCTCCTATATATTTGCTCCGTATCCTGGGCACGGGCAACGGGGAAACTCCATGCCTGCGAGGCGCAGCACGGTTCACCTTCTCATCCACAAAAGGGTTGAGATTTTTGCCAGAGTGTTCCAGACTGGCAATTGCGCCAGACAGCGACCATGGGTCCACAATGTGGATATTGCAACGAGTTTGATCTCTTCTAGCTCATCGTTGCCAAGGCCGGATCTCGGTGGGTGCCTTGGCGGTGCCCTGCATCCTGCGACCGCACCGACAGCTAGCTGTAGGCAAAAATCAGCCACTCCAGACTTATTAATGTCTGGTTTGAATGATATTCGTTCTGTGCAAGTCAGATAGACCCGAATTGCCTTCGGATATGGCCCGAGGCTAGGTAGTCCAGGCAGGGCGATCCGCAATTTGTATTGCTGCTAGGACACCGCCTCTCCTAGGGCGGGAAGTTTTTATCTGTTGGGTGAACGACCCTGGCTATGGGCCGGTGTTACGGCGATGCTTCGGGTTAGCTCCAGGAGCAAAGCATCATAAGGGTCTCGATCGGCTCCGCTACCAAAATGTGAAAAAGCTCGGTCGCGCCAACCTCAGCTCCTGTGTGTTTGGGGAGCACGCACAATCACATGCGTGCCAGGGTCAGATGTGAAGGCGTCAGAGATGTGTTCGGCCAGATCGCCTCATCTCTTATCGTGCATGAGGTTTCGTGGGCGATTGCAGCTTTTTGCTTTCTGGCGTTCTTCGGGTCGGCAAGCCTGTCACAGAGCTAGGGTGCCCCCACGTGCGCCCCGACATTCCCCGAGGGTAGTAATGTCTGCAAAATGGAGGAAATTTTGGGTCGCAGTGAAGCAGTCTAATTCTGCACCTCCTCTGTTAGGCAAGGAACCGAGTCCCTGGCTCCGCAGACCCCTGTCGATCCGAAATGGTGGGCCAACTTCGTGACGAACTTAGATTTGACCTCACCGCTGATTGTTCGCCCAGCAGCGTTTGCCGGCAGTCATTTTTAATAGGTATCGAGAACGTAGCTCCCTATGTGTCACGATATCATGGGAGATCTGGGGAGTTTCGAGCTTCGAGCTTCGTCTACGATATCGGGCATCTTCAGAGGACAGTAGAGATGCGGGAGGATGACGGAGACGTTTTTGCCGGCGTCCAAGCGTTACGCTGACCACGGGAAAGGATCTCGACCACGATGGGCTTGGGCTTGGGCTTAGGCTTTCTGGGGAGCTTGACAAGCCATGGAAATTTGCGAGCTGATGTTTGAGGAGATCCAGTGTGAACAACTGATGCAGATTGTCTCATGCACTGAGCTGGTCGCTTTGAGATCAGGTAGCGGGCCCCGCCTACGACAGTCTTGGCATTGAGCCTCGTCCCGGCTGCCACGAGGCTGTCCACGTTGCAGCACTGTCGCCAGGCTTTCAATACAACTAACGATCGCAACTTACGATATAAAACAGTGAGTATTGGAGAACATGACACAGCTTGACCTTCACATCCCATCGTCCTCGCCAGAATCAGCCCTTAGAGTTTCGATTCCTTGAAGACCTTTGTGCGCAGCCACTCACCAATCATCTCATTGCACTCCTCCGCCCTCTCCCACAGGCACCAGTGGCCCGCATCTACCTCCCGTCTTGTCAATTTCGGGATACGCTGACCCATCTTCGCCGCCATCCACGGCAGCAATGCCATATCCTTCTTCGCGAGAAGGAAAAATGTCTCTTGCTCCACCTTGATCTCCTTCTCCGAACCCTTCTCGTCGCCGAAGAAGGCCTTCATGTCGTCCAGGTAATTCAGCTCACCTGTGCGATACCAGTTGAGCGGACCTCTCAAGCCATGTCGACCATATTCCTGCACATAGAAATCCATCTCTTCCTGATTCAGCAGCCGACTCGGCTTGTCCATCATCTTCTGCTTCTCCAGATCAATGCCCTTCTGAGCCGAAAACGCGATTTCGCCTTTGACCGTCCTCCCACCATATGTGTTCGTGAGGAACTGCCTAATGCCCTGCTTCGAGTTACAGGCCTCCTCAATCTCCCCCGAGCAGAAGTGCAGCTGGTACCCGAAGTTGGGCAGTACCGTGTCGACGCGTATCTGGAGCGGCACGTACTTGGGCGACGGCGGTGTGAACGGGGTGCAAATAACCATAACAGCCTTGTACAGCTCCGGCGTCAACAGTGCCAGCTTCCAAGCGATTGCGCCGCCCCAGTCGTGGCCGCCCAGAACCACGGATCCGAGCCCGAGCTGGGCAAGGAGCGACGCCATGTCGTCTGCAATACGTTTGTACGTGTAATCGCGGAGCGTGTACTCGGGCGAGTCGGTGCGACCATAGCCCATGCAGTCAGGCGCGATGACATCAAGGCCGAGGGACTGCAAGTAAGGGATCTGATTCCGCCATCCAAAGGCCATATCGGGAAAGCCGTGGATCAGCAGGATCGTGCCTCGGTTTGGCGTGTTGGCAGCACGGGGCCCGTAGATGTAGCCATAGGTGCGGCCGTTGAGGTGTGCGGAGCGGAGGCTGACACGGGGGTCATGGAACGGCTTGAGCCTGTTGACGGACATGGAAGGTGGTGGTTGACCCTCGGGAGGGTCGTTATATAGAGGGTGTATCTCGTGCTTAACAGTCGTCATGTGAGTCGCTAGCTCATGCACAGTGGTAAGCTGACATCCAGAGCGGATGTGCTCGACCCGCTGCTCAAATATAACACACAGCGAGATGTTTCTTGATGGTAAGGGAACCGAAAGTCGGTGCCGAAGCGGAGAAGTTACCTAAGCGTGATGAATGGAAGGGGTTTACAAGGGTCTTATGCAGGTGTTTGTACGTCGTGGAGCAGAAGGTAAGAAACGAAGCGGGCAAGCCGTGAGATGATCGAGGTTGCCTTATACTCAATCCATTCGCACCGGCCGAAGATGCCGAGGCCCATACGCAGAGAGGCGGGGCGCCAAGACTCAGAGCTTACTGCCAGTGAACGTCCAATTAACTACGAGATCAATGTTTGAACTACGAGCCAACACGTCTTCTGCAGCTCGTAAAGAGCAATGCTGGTGTTATTCATGGAGAAGTCGCGTCGCACATCTGGCAGGAAGTGCGTGCAGGATATTGTTCCAGGTGATTAGTGATCTCGAGAGGGTCTCGGTACCGAGACCACGAAGCTGTAAGGGAACGCATTGCTGGTAGCCAGTACAAAGACCACGCTGTTGACTGGTTGCATCTCGTTCGCTAGACCCTGCTGTCATTCTTTACAGCCGTGTCAGGGGGGGATTCCTCCCCATGTTTGTGGGGGAGAGATGCTCCAGATTTAAAGTCTCGATATGTTCGATGCTCTTGGCCATTGACCAGACGTAACATGGGTCGCGACCCGTCAGGTACCGATAGCTAAATCTCTCAGTAGATAACTTGATCCTCGTCGTGTCCCTCGACAAGCTCATCGCCTCCATGATCATCATCCTTCGTTTTCTCGGTAGAGCCTGCTTGCTCCGGACTCAAAGATTCCGAAGTGGCAGGTTGGTCGTTCGTTGTCTTTGCAGGGTCGTCTTCTGAGCTCGCTGCGTCCGGTCCTGGACGAGTCTCAGGTGTCTCGTCACCCGTGTGACCATTCGTGCCGGCCTCCTCATCCCTCTCATGCTTCCTGTGCTTGTCACCGCGAGATTGGTCCTCACGTCTGTCGCCGGCGCCCTCGCCGATCCGCGACCCCCATTCCTCCAGCTCGCGCCTCACCACCACCTCGACCTCCTCACCCTGCGCCGCAACCTTCTTCTCCTCATCAGGCCTCATCTCCCACGGCCGCCAATAGATCCTCGGCTCAGCCTTAGTTCGCAAACACCCCGCCGTAGCTCTCATATTGGCGTGCCGTCTCCGCATAGCTTCCTCTTGCCACCGAACCTGCTCTCCTCTCCTCTGGCCGTCCAATTCTTCCTTCTTCCGCCGCCTTTCCTCTGTGCGCTCCTCGTCATCCCGCTTCAGGCGCTCGCGTTGCCGCGCCTCGATCTCGTCGCGGCGCTTGTGTGCAGATGACGTTTTGGAGCTGGCGGAGGAGGATGCGGAGAGGGTGGAGAGGAGGCCGCCGAAGAGACGGCGATTGCGCGATTTCTCGGCTGCGGCGCCGCCGGCGGGCAGTGTTGACTTTCGCCGTGATGGCGATGTCGCTGTCGCTGAAGGGGGCGGAGAGGGGCGTTGAGAATCATTCACCGTAGCGGTCTCCAGGCGCGGGCGTTTGACCGCCTCCGGGGAGGCATCTGCATCGGACGACTGCCGCCGTTTTAGAGACGGGGATGTTGGCTCCTCGTCTGGAGTCGGCAAAGTGGGTGGTGGTGCGTCCGGCACAACGACTGCGGACGAGATCATTGTCGTTTGGTCCGAGCGATACGTGTGTTTCGTCAGCGCGGTGTTCTGGGGATACAAAGTCTTCCCAGGCGTGACCTTCCACTGCGGAGACAAGAGCAGCTCCTCCGCAAATTTAGCGCACGTGCTCAGAGCCTCGCAGAAGTTCCACGAGGCTGACAAATTGTCCCGCATGGCCACCCCAAAACGCATCGACTTTCTGCATCATTCTCACATCTACACCATCTCTCTTCCTCAACCACAAAACGCACCCGCACCTCTCAGCTCACACCTAAACCTCGTTACTCCAACTCAACACTCACCGTACCCAACAATGTCGCGCCACCACCCCGACCTCGTCATGTGCCGCAAAGCGCCCGGCATCAGCATCGGCCGGCTCTGCGACAAATGCGACGGCAAATGCCCCGTGTGCGACTCGTACGTGCGGCCCACGACGCTCGTGCGCGTCTGCGACGAGTGCTCCTTTGGCAACTACCAGAACAAGTGCATCGTGTGCGGCGGCGAGGGCATCTCCGACGCCTTCTACTGCTTCGAGTGCACGCGCCTCGAGAAGGATCGCGACGGGTGTCCCAAGATCATTAATCTGGGAAGTAGTCGCACGGATCTGTTTTACCAGAAGAAGAATTTTCGGAATCAGCAGTATTGAGCGAGCGCGTAGGGTTCGGTGGCTGAACTGGCCAAGATTAAGATTTTTGCATTTGCTACATTGGCTAGGCCCATGGTCGTTGTCGAGTGAATATGGGACAGGCCTATTTGATTGCAGCCTGAACCCCGGTTAGCAGGATGGAAATGTGCTTGCACCCCAGGGTGGGCGCTCTTCGAGGAAACGGTCAGTCAGACATGATCCTGAAGGGGTCACATTGCCATCTGCAATACAAACAAAACCTGGACAGCGATGCGAGAGACGCCAGAGCGCCCGGTGGAAAGCCAGGATATCATACCAGGGAAAGACACAATCGACATATATCAACCAGGCCAATGTTGTTACCGACTGACTAGGTCTCAAACCTAGCCCAGCGGAGCTCATCATGATATGTCTACGGAATGGCCTCGATTCAGCAGCTTATTGTCTCAACCTCGACTTATCTACGGCCAGGTCGTTTTGGTCTCGCAAAGCCACTCTTGGCTGCACCTGCATCAGCACCGCCCGACACGCCAGCTTCGTCATTGAGCCGCTGCTCTGTGATCTCTTCGGGATCGCCGGCCTCTAGGCGCTTCGATACCTCGACGCCCCCGCTTTTGGCAGCGTCTAGGACTCCGCTCCGACTCGACGCATACACCATGCGCTCCTTCACCTTGCTCGTCCCCGGACAAACGTACAGGAATAGCGCGGTGTCCGGCGCCGCCGGATGTCGGTAGAATGAATAAGTGGGACGGTCACTTGGTATCGACCGCGCCAACTCCGCCGGCTGCACCGCATCAGCGTGCTGGCTCAGGAGCGTCAATGTTTCCGTAGCAATGTCAATGCCTAGTTGCATCACGCTACCGGCGCCTGCAGACGAGAAGCTCTGCAGCGCACTCTTCGCATCGTCCGTCATCTTCATCTGTAGTTTGCTGCCCCCTGATGTAGGCCCGCCGCCCATGCCACCCAGCGCCGTCCCGCCAGTTCCATGCCGTGACTCTTCCTCGGCGCGCTTGACCGACTGCAGCTCTCGCTCTTCCTGGCTCAATAGATTGGGGTCAACTCCTCTGCCGCTGCTGCCGCCAGCCCGCTCAGCCCATTGTGAGGGCTCAAGAACCTCCTCGGCATCGGTGACAAAGAGGGTGTCCTCGAACTTCTCGAGACCCAGCTCACGCACAAGGGACGAGCGAGTAGCGGCGATGAGTGTTTTGGAGCGGACGGGAGCGATAGAGGGCACGTATGTGATTGCTGTAAACGTAGAAGCGGAGGGAGTCTTGCGGATGAGTAGGTAGATGGGGGTCTTGGGCTCGAGGTGGGGCGCGAGCGAGGGGAGGGAGGAGTTGAAGTCGCCGGAGAAAGGTATGGGTTCTAAGGGTTGTATGGATTCTTTGTCGATGGTGGCGGGCAAGGCGAAGGCGTCCGATGAGAGGAAGTCGGCGAATGCGGCGTGTAGGGTTTCGGAGGCTGCAGGGGTGGAATGGTCAGCGTACGGATGGAGGGGCAGTGGAGGGAGCAGTACCTGAAATTCCGGACTGCATGTTGTCGGGGAGGCGGTCGTCGAGAGGAGTGGAACGGCTACGAGAGGATCACAGAGGAGGGAAACGCTGGCTTGGGTTCTCTGCAAGCAGATGTGTGAGGGCAGAAAGCAGTTGGCACATGGGTGCAGTGGGCAGTTGCAGGGTGGATCCTGCGGCGCCCGTGCTTCATGCAAGCGAATCGTTTGATCTTCAACTTCTATAATGACTTTGGTACCGTACGCTCATAGCTCCATCTCGATGCTGTATACTACACGTCCGAGCAGTCGCCAGCTTTTTGGATACTAACTCCAGCAATGCTCAACAGAGTACCGGAGCCTATTATTCCTCATACTTGCCACCAATGAATGCCATGCTGGAATTTTCGATCTTCCCTTTGAGGTATTCGTACACGGTGAAGGTCACAGCCTGACCAGGCGCAACTCTTGCCACTCGCGGGGTGATTCCCTTGTAGAAGGCTCTTGCGCCTTCTTGTCGGAACATGTCTTTGGCAATCATGGTGATTCTACCAATCGAAGTCTGGCCGGGTTCCGCAGGCGTCTTCTGCAGACGCGTCTTGATCGTGTCGATGGGCGCATTGGAGAATGGTCCCATCGCTCCTGATACCAATCCGATGATGGTAGTTTGGTAGGACGGTAGGTTTTGGTTCTGGTATTCGGGCTGCAATCTTTGCAGTATTTCCTTGAACTCTGTATAGGCAGTGAAGTTTACTGCCTGATTGGTGCCCTGCCGTAGAGCGGTCAGTGACACGCCGCGGTAGATGGCACCAATGCCTTCTTCCTTGAGCACAGTCAGGAGAGCGTGCGGCGCACTTCGATACTTCGGTACATCGAGCGGATCGGAAAGACTGTGGTACTGAGCCTGCATTCGAATCTTGACAACCTCCATGGGCGTGACCACAGCCACCGCTTCTGTTACACCGGCGCCGAGACCAGCTGGATCGCGTCAGCGGGGCATGCAGTCCTGAACTAGCTGCACTTACCGAAAAACGTTCTTGTCGAGGTTACCTCACCGTCGCTGTTTGCCAGGAGCTGTTTGTACCACTCGTAAGAGGTAAACCGGATGGCCATTTTGGGGACAATGCCCGTCAAGACGGCACCCAGGCCCTTGTACAGACCGAAGGCAGTTTCCTTTTTGACAATATCCTTTCCAGTCGCCAGGAAGCCTCGTTTCTTCTGTCCGGGTGCCGTTTTCCTCCGCGACAGCTGCATTCTGACTTTAATCGTATCCAGAGGATGACAGACAAGGGCTTCCATCATGCCAGCACCACCGCCAGCAACCAAGTTGGTGACAGCGCTGGCCGGCTTCTTGCCTCCCTCGCCCTTTACGCTTTTCGCAGACATGGTTGTAGCCGCCCGACGTCAATTTATGCTCTAGGTTGAGCATGCAATGATAGTTGACCTCTGCAAAAGACAACACAAGCTCTGAAGTGGGATGAACGAGATCTGTCGAAGATCGTATCAAGTGATTATTGTAAATTAGGGCAGTTGCAAAGCTGGTGGGAAACGTTGTGGCTTGATCGAAGCTGGTCCAGTTCCTCTCGTCGTACGTTTCGCGCCTTAGGTATACGAGAAACAAATCGGCCACAGCACGGTATTTCAGAGCAAAGCAGCAGTTGCAGAAATATGTTCGGAACAAAGAGACGCGCCGGGACTTCACTACCGCGGTGACTCAAGTTGCAGAGCCCGTTATGATCCGATGGTTTTGAGCTGAAGGTCGAGGACGAAATCTGGAACGCGAGCCTTTTCACCGAGGCACGGATCTGAGTCGGACGTCATCCTGCCAACCCTCGCTCACCCGCATTTGACCAAAGCATTCTCCGGGGGCTAGCAGCTTGGGGCGATCAGCTACTTGAAGTCACGAGAACTGACGACTAGCTTCTGACGATGAGAGGGGCCTGTGGCGGCCAGTAGCTTAGCTTTTCCGTTTGGGCATGCTGGTGACAATTGAGTAACAAAAGATGGCCCATGCAGGATTTCAGGGATCTGCATGTGCTCCAATTGAGCCTCGTCCGTAGGCGCCTTTGGAGGAAGAGAGGGAGGCATGCGGGGGTGACAGGAACCAAGCATGTGGTCAAAGGCATAGCCGAAGCCCGGAGCCCGGCGGCGGCCAGTCACACCCCTTCCATCCGTCCTAAACACCTTGGCATGAAGTAGGCCCAGCCCCTGGGCTTCTCGCCGGCGAGAAACATCGAGGATCTGTATTTCGCGATGATATCACATAGAAATGTACCGGTCTTCTGGGGGCATTTGCAGGCGGATCAGTATCCCGCAGTAGCGATCAAGATGTGTTACCTTCTGAGCAAAGGGTGATGAGGATAATGGCACACGAACCCAGACCCGGCCGACATTGGCGTGGATTTAAGGCAGTGGTTTGTCCATGGTGCTTTCTGCGGCACAGAGAAACTGCTTAGGTAGGTAGGTACCTATGCGCTGAACAGCCCTAGCATGGACAAGGTACAGCTCTATTCCGCGCCCGAGATTATCACTAGAAACCGATCCCAAGCTCGAGGTGTGCTGCCTTCCAAGTTATCTGCCCTGGACTTCTCTTTGCGCTTACAGAGTACTCAATACACCGCTCGATCCCAGTAGAGCCTGCACGCATTATGGTAGCAAGTGCCAAAAAAGCAAAAAGAAAACAAGGACCTTGCGGAATTGAGCCGAAGGTGGGGCTCGAACCCACGACCTTGAGGTGTCTTATGGACTAAGAGCCACACGCTCTACCGATTCTGAGGATTCGTTAGAGGCTGTCTGAGATGGAAGCATACGCGGAAACTTACGAGCTACCCCGGCAGATTTGGAGATGATTGTTGGCACCAAATTTTGCGTGTATAAAATATATCCTTACATTTTGCAGCGCCCGGAGAGCGGGTCATTTTGGGCCGCACATGCCAATAGATTGTGGAAACAGCCTGGAGCACTGGATTGATCCTTTCTCAAGTCATCTCAAGCTCGTCTGCCTTCCTTCCCCATGTATCTGTGAGCCCGCCAGCAACACCATGGCATGATTCCTTACTTCTACGAATATTTCTGCCCGCTGCCTCCAGTACTTCGGCGATTGCATTGGTTATTATAAACTGACTCTAGCGACTTACGAAGCCCCCGGGCACTTTAGGACGGCGCAATGCCCTTCATCTCGGACTTGAGACCGGCTACAACATGTCGTGGCCTTGAAGTGTTCATCCTGCGAAGCTCGAAGCCAACTTTCAGGGATACCACTGCGTCGACGAACGAGCGGTTCAAAGATCCAGACTCTCGTCTTGGCACTCGTGTTTCTCGGCGTATAGTATGCACTTTGCTCAGCTAGTCCTTCAGCTGAAAACCCGTGGTGCTAACCCCAGCCACTTACGCTGCAAAGCTGAAGGACTGATGCGTTGGCAACGAGGCTTGCCAACGCGTTCTCTGACATTGGAAGCACCCAATCTGTATTCAGACCATTAACTATCGCTTGAGCCGCGTCCGAAATTGCTGCAGACCTACAATCTCTAGCTCCGGCATGATGCTTTGCCTTGGTAATCTTGCCTGTACCGTCGTATTGGCTTCACTCGCTTCAGCATTCCCCTCCGCAGCTCACCTAGTCAAGCGCGATGCAAGGGAGACGACTGAAGCTCCACCAGGTACACTCTCAATTCTACGTCAAAGTCGTATGCTAACCCCATACGCACAGATTCTGCAGATCCTGGAAGCTGGCAATACGCTATTTCCACCTATGTTACAACATACATTGTCATCAGTACAAGCATCTACAGTACCTCCAGCTCCGGCAACGAAGACTACTTCACGACAACTTACATAGCCACCGATCTACAGACCATCACAACTACCATCAGCTTCTATGGCACAGAGCCGACAACCACGGCCCCTCCATGCCAATTCTCTCTCGGACAGACGCCATGCGGCACCATTTGTTGCGAAGCAGGCCAATACTGTGAATCAGTCGGCTCGTGTAGGGCGGTCAGCGGCCCCTGCAGCAACCCATGCGGCTTCAACGGGGCACTATGCTGCGCCGCCAGTGAGACTTGTCGCACCGATGCCAGTGGCATTGCGCAATGCGAACCAAGCGGAGGAACGGGCTCTGGCGGCTGTTCGAACCCCTGCGGTTTCTATGATCAGGTGTGCTGTGCGACCAACGAGGTCTGCGGCACGAATGCCAACAATGAGGCAATATGCTTGCCCTCTAATGGGCCAAATGAACCGAGCTGTCCCCTGTCCACAACTGTTTATACGACCACCAGCTCGTACGAGAGCACGGTCCTGGAGACCATCACGATAGTACGCACGCGGGTCGAGACAGGTGTCGAAACCATCATCCGTACGGCAACTTTCCAGCCATACCCTCAGCTTTGTCTGGCGGAGCTTGGCCAATTCCAGTGTGGAAACATTTGCTGCCTGCCAGGCCAAATTTGCCAGTCTCCCGGTGTATGTGCCGACCAAGCTTGTGCATCCGTTCCGCCGAATCTCAACATTATCACCATCACAGAGCTGGTGACTACCACTGTGCCGTTTGCGACGCCTGTTGCGACCTCTCGCTAGCGTGTGACTTCCAGAGGCCAGTTAGGGTACTACGAAGTAACGAATCTTTATAGCAAATACAGCAGCATTATGTTTTTCCAGCTACCACAGTCTTGCGCCAGGTTCTTTATGGCGCCGTGCCCGGCCCGCCCTACTCGCCAACCCAATCATAAACCATGACACCCCTCCACTCCTCTCCCTGAGCGTTCCTCACGTACACCCTCCTCGTATGCCTCCTCTCCCCACCCACCTCCTCAAAACCCCAAAGATGCCTGGCCTCCCACTCCCCCTCCTTCCTCCCCTCCGCCTGAATAACCCTCCCCTCACTATCCCCCCGCAACCACGGCCCCTCCTTCAAACCCTCGCCACCCGCCAAAACCCCCGTGCCCCCAACCTCCCCCACTCCAATCCACCGACTCCTCCCCTCGACCCTCCCAAAGAATCCATCCTGCCCTTCCCGCCAGTTCCAGTCCAGGACATACTCCTCCGTGGTTCCCGGGATGTGCCCCGCCGTGACGCTCTGCGCCATGCGGATGTGCTGCTGGTCCGGTTGCGTGATGCTGAGGTGGATGGATGCCGCAGAGGCGGCGGTGCGGACCAGAGCGGAGACGCCCTGGAGGGCGAGGACTTGGGCGAAGTCGTCGGAGAGGCGTTTGTTGAGTTTGTAGGTGCCGCTGAGGGACTGCAGAGTTATGTGCGAGGGGGCTGCCATTGTTGGGGGAGGGGTGGTGTGTGGGAGCGGGGGCTGTGTGAGTTATGGTGTTGGTGTTGATTGAATGCAGATGATGGCGAGAGTGGTGGTGATGGGAAGCGGAATGGGGGATATTGTAGGAGGTTTAGTCGGCCTGATCTTGAGGTCGGAAGACAGGGGTGTGTTCGGGACGAGAAGATGTCGTCATGATTTCGGGAGGCGGCTGGTTGAGATTGTGGTAATGGTGTTGCGACTATAGTCCTTTATATGTTTTGGAAATACACGTTGTCTATTATGGCTTTACAGAATCTGTAAGCTTCATTGCAAGTTCATGATCAGGAAATGGGAGTGAATGTATGGTAGATCTCCCCCAGGGGCATTGATTGGTTGGTAGCCCGGACGAGGCTGGTGACACCAGGGGCAAGGCTTTGAGTTTGGCGAATTTCGTTCACTACTCTAGTATGGTGCTGCTGGGTCATTGGTAAACCCAATTTCTCCTTTGGCCTGAGAGAGTCTCAAGCCTATTCTAGTGCACCCTGATAAGTTCTACAGATCAGGTCGAAGTATGCATACACTTTCTCAGCCAGTCCACGATCGCCTGGTGTACGCATCAGCCCATCCAGCACAGCCAAGTAGTTTCTGACCACTCGCTCCTCTCGCCTCTCTAGCTCAAATTCCTCCGCAGCCATTTCCGCAATCGGTTCTTCGACAGCCTGCCCCTGCCCCTCCTCCGTCTGTCCCTTCGCAACCTGCTGCTTCTCCTCCCGCTCCTTGAGCCTCACACTGTGCTCCGCAAACTTCTCTCATCTGTCCAAGATACGCCGGTTGAGATCTCTGGCGTGCCGCAGCGCCAGCCCCATTGCCTTCAGGAATGGCTGCATACAGAAGAGAGTGACGATGGTCTGCACCAGGTCGGCACGCGCGTCATCTTGAAGCAGATCGCGGGAAGCATTGACGAAGATCTTTTGGAGCTGTAGTTGTCAGCGTGTGATCTTGAGCTTGGTTGTAAGCTGGCTGTTGGATGGCAAGAGTCACGATTGCTGCAAGCATAAATCTACTGAGCAGAGACCATTCAGGCAAATAATTAGCTGGCGAGCAATCACGCTTGCTACTCCAGCGTTATTAGTCTTTCATTGTTGTTTGTCGTCGGTAGGCTTTGTGCAGCGATGTCGGCAACAGTTACAATCTCGACAGGGCACCGGGAGAGTACCAGCGCGCCATGGTTACCATCCACTGCAGCGATCGGACTCGAAAGCTCATAAAGCATCAAAAGCACCAGTCTGAAGAGCATATAGTAAAGACACCACAGATTGAAGTTGGATGCAGGATGAAGACTGCATTTCCGTTTCTTGGTCCCAAGGTGTGTTGGACAAAAGCTCCGAGTTTCGGCACAGCTGAGTAACCCCTGAGGAACCAATTACAGTGTCAGCGCAGCAAGCCAAGATGCCATCAGGTAAAAGGAGTATGTTTTCATCCATGGGTAGAACGATGGAAGTAGTTGTGCCCGTTAGACAGTATAAGCTACAGAAACTAGCCAGAATGGCTTGTATAGATCTGCCGGACCGTAGCCAGACTCAGCGCCAATGTGAAAATACTGACGCCAACTTCGATGCTATGAGACAGCGAGATAATACCGATTCCCACAAGCAACCCAGTAAATGCAATCAAGATTGATAACCTTGCAGACTTGCGAGCGCAGGATCTATGCGAAAGCACCGTGGCGTGGCTTGCAATGGCGCTGGATGATGGGGCAGCATAGCAAACACGAGGGTAGCGCATATGAAATGGCATAGTGTCGACAAAGTGATTCGGCTCGTGAAGCATTGCTGTCAGGAGCTCGTCATAGTCATCCACTTTGAGAAACGCTATTCGCTGGCCTGAACAAGCTTCGATATCCTCAAACTGAATCTAGGGATGCTGTTAGCGTTTCTCTGTCGCAGTCGGTCCGAGGTAGAACGTTGACATGACGTACCTGAGAGCAGTCGACAATCGACACAGCTACTTCTTGGCAGGCTAAGAGTGTATGACAGGTCCACACCAGATATGCTCTGAGGCCTTGACCGCGAAATTGGTGCTGTAATCGGGTCAAGACCTGGCTTGTTGGGTCTGTGGGAGTGATTTCAAGGGGGCAGTGTAAGTAGTAGGACCTTGTACCGCATCGGAACAAAGTACGCACCCTCATACACTGGGAATCATTTGCGTCTGCCATGATTTCTCTTGCGCGATTCGTCCATGTATGGGCGGCCGAGATGCCTTTATACAATCGGCGAGATAATCGATAATGGTTCATGTTGAATACACGTCCGTGAGTTGAAAACTAGATTGTCATATTTTAGGACCGCAACAACCTGTGGATGTCTGATATGAGAACACTGATGTGAGCATACTTTTCCCTGTCGCAGCGTATCATTATGCCGCCTCAACCCACACGCGGAATAGCTCTAAGGGGGCATTCACGGTTGTGAGTGAAGTTGAAGTCCGGGAAGCTTGGCACTAGATGCTGCGGCTGTGGCTGAGCTTGACCGGCAACCGATCATTGGTGGAGACGATCAATAAGTGGGTGTTCCCAATGTTCGTGTCCCATCTCACGATTGTGAGTTCCAGCCTGATATGTATCGCTTGCCACACCGTCTTCTCTCCCATACCTTTGACCGCTCTTTCGGCTCAGTATCTCTTCGTCTATCATGAGTCACCATCGTTGCAAGTCAAGATAGTTCAGCTCACTTGGCTGCCGACCCAGTCTTCGTTGAATTTAACTAACACCTCTTGCGACCCAGGACAAGTCCAGGAACTTATCTCTCCACACCGTCTCTTCAAGCCTACATAGATCAAACGTTCGTTTAACTATAGAAGCTTCAAAGAGCTCTTGTTTCGTTAAGCTCCTGTCCATATGGACTCAGGAGAGGTATTTGGAGGGTTCTATGCCCAAACTCACTCAGCTGCAAGCAGGAATGCTTTTTTCTATCCGGATTTAACATGTCATATATGTGGAGAGATATCAAAAACTCCTTCGGATGCAAAGTATGTTTAATGTCGTTGAAAGTGCCAACTTGATCATCTAAATAATGGCAGGAAGCACCAAACACGCCATTCTAAGCCTTTCAGATGTAAAATTGAGGACTGTTCCCGACATCATGACGGGTTTGCGACAAGTAACGATCTGAACAGGCATCTGAAAAGTGTTCACGAGGTGGAAGTCTCAGGTTCCAAGTCCTGGAAATGTTTCGCTCCAAACTGCAGCAAACCCGACAAGGTCTGGCCACGCATGGACAACTTCAAACAGCACATCGTGCGAATGCACCCTGGAGAAATCATGAATGATCTCATGAATGCTTCGGATGATTGGTGGAGCACAGCAGCCGGCTCCCAGCAATTCGCCGAAACAACCCCTACGCTTCGCAACATGTCAAAGGCGCACGTAACCCTGCCAACGACGAAAGAGCCCGAGAACAGAATGGCCTTTCAGGTCAGCAAGGTTCGACCGGTACCATTGCTGGCACGCCGTCAATCAGATGATAGCCATCTACTACCGCCAATCAAACAGCCGTGGACTTGGAATGCATTGACACCGGCCTCGAGGCCCGGGTTGCCCGTGAAGGCTATGTCTGACTACCAGCCTCATCGTAGCTCTCAGAAGCAGATTTTGGCATCGCATCCAGGAAAACTTGATCGGCATACTATCAATGGAGACCTGAATATTGAAGTCGATAACCAACTCTCATTATTCAATGATTCCCCATACAACTACGAAATTTCTGCCAACTTTGCCATGCCAGTCCCCCCCGTTTCTGAAATGATAGGCCACATGGGACTTGAATGTCCGGTGTCACTCACAATCAGCGGTTTTAGCAGCGAGGAACCAATCCAGGATCCGCCCACGCCTGCCGGAGTAGCCGAACTCAATCTTTCGTTGCCCGATGAAATGGATCTGGTGGCTTTTTTGGAGGATGGCATGAAGACGAAGGCAGACCCAGTGCCCCGCAGTCAATTTCGGCAGGCAAACCACGCGGCGGAAAAGTCGCAAGGTCGCACAACGCCCTATCAGAACGATGGGCTGAACAGCAATGCCAGACTCAACTCAAGGAAGTGGACACTGGGGGAGATAAGGCGTGAACAAGTAGCCGGACGCCCTCCAGAAGTATCAACCGCCGCGGCAAGTAGCTGGTCGACCAGCGAAGTTCAATCTCATACTACACATCCCGACATTGTTGGCCAACGACTTGTTTCACCACTTTCTCAAACCAGTCCACTCGGGATTCAACCACAACTTAATGACACAGATCACGCATTTCCGGTCCTGGGTCAGTTCAACGGACGCATATGCAGCCCTAGCACAAATGTACTTAGTGGTCAGCTGTCATCCAACACTGCGACAGGCGACCACAATATAGCGGCAGTGGAAAGCGACAGCGAAGTATCCGAAGGTTCAAGCTCTGGCTACTCAGCTTCTGTACCAGACAAAGCTGAAAGTCTAGTGCTCAGCATATGCCATGCCGTTTTGAATCGCGTACTCGGAAAAGTGGCGGCACAACATGTGCTTCATATAACGTCGGTGGCTGGTGTTGGCGCAAGTTCTGGGGCAGTGACGGACCATACAAGAAGCATACGCTCTTCCAATCAATCGTCCAGCAGTCGTAAGCGCAAGAGCGACAAGTCCAATGTGGAAGGCAACGAGGAACATGATGGTCCGCGCCAGAAACGCCGCCGCTGCCACGATGCCAGCGTTGATGAAGATGCGCCCCGCCGTTTAGCCTGTCCATTCAACAAATACGACACGCAACTCTTCGGTCCCGAGTCTTCCGAGACGGACTATCATAACTGCGTAATCTTCAGCTGCAAGAGCATTGCGCACCTGAAGTGAGATATTTCCATCCAACTCGGTCGTGCCAACTCGCTAATGTCATTTAGACAGCATCTAGAGCGCAGCCACTATACGCCACCTTTCTACTGTTTCAGATGTTACAAGCGAGACTTGAAGTCCCAAGCTGCAGTTGCTGCACACCTGCGTCAAGACCCAATATGCGATAACCTCGAACCACCACTATTTACCGAGCGGATTAGCACGGACCTCATCGAAGCCCTCGAGCTCAAGCGAAAGAATCCACCTGGTACGGACCCAGTACGCTACTGGCACAAGTTATACGATGCTTTCTTTCCTGGTGCGGCTGAGATTCGACCGGTTAATCCCTGTAAGTTGAGACTCTTCACGATTCCAACTCCCGTATGCTGATGCTCAGGATGCCAGACTACGAAGGCCCTCTAGTTGAGATAACAGAATCACTCGTGAGATTCTCTGGGCAGGTGCTCAATGACTTGTTCCCCGCCGTCTTGCAACGACTAGGTTTAGAGGAGCACTTCAGCGAAGACAACCACTTGCGCTTACAAGATGATGTAGTTCAAGTCGCAGTACAGCAATATGTGGAAGAGCTTGGTCAACGCCACCGGAGCCAGTCTCGTCGATTGCCAGCGCCGCGTTTGGGTCATCGAGCGTCAGAAGCGATCGGGGACACGAGTCCACAGACACGTGGCGCTGACAGCAGTTCAGCGGTTATACTACCACAGGTCGCCCAAGGGCTTCCGGCCCAGGATACAGGCACTGCTGTTTCTACAGACCCCCTAGCCACGCCCGAAGCAGATCTGACTGGCGTTAACACGCAAACGGCCCTGAATGGCGACCGCCCAAGCCAGCAGCCATCACCACTGGAGCATCAAGCAGAGGCGATCAACAACATGCAAGATCGCAACGGCGGCCTTCTCCAAGGCTGGGAATTCGTCGACCCCACTGACCCAGAGTCCGATCCCGTCCCGGATAACCTGGCTGACTTTGATTTCTTGGGCGACGCGGCCTTCATCTTCCCTCCGTCGTGGCCAGTCCCAAACCTCGATCTCGACCTGGGTGCAGAGATCACCGCGGCGGTCATGGCTCAACAGAGTTGATTAAGCACAGGCTACGATCGATCTCGATCTCAGTTGGACGGGGGAAAATCAAATCGCGGTGTTGCTGCTCGTGGAATCGAGAGGCTGAAAAGCTCTGACTTTACAATAAAGCCAGGACATATGCTGGGGCAACGTGTGGTGATGCTACAGCAAGGACTGTAAAAAACGCAACGACGGGAGCTGTGTCTTCATCACCTGTCGGCTCTGATTTCATCGTTGGATGAGTGGCAGCGCGCGTAGCAGACACCAGTGGCAGCTCGCTCCTGGCCTCCCAGCATCGTCCCACCCACAGCGAAGACAATCCGTCAAGGCTGCTCAAGCTCAGCTCACGCTACCCGTTTTCCTGTCATGCAAGACAAAGACCTACACCCGTCTAACCTCCCAACCCTCATCGCCGATACTCTCAACGATTCTCCTTCGCCTTGTTCTTCGCCCCTCCCCCCAACCGCTTAAACTTCCTTGGCTCCTTCCGACTCATCTTCATCCTATCCCTCGTCCCCTTGCCACCCTCCCAAAACCCGCCGCCTTTCTTCCCCACCAAACCCCTCCCACACGTACCACAGTCCTCGGGCCGATAGTTCTGTTCGCGCGAGCAATACCCGCAGATCATGCGATTGGCGTGCTCATTTGCGTGCTTCGGCGAGCTCTGCTCGTCGTGGCACCGGTCGCACGGGTATACTTTGCCGCAGCAGCTGAAGCGGAACCAGCGCAGGGATTTGCGGTAGTGCGTGCAGCGGCCCGTGTCGGGCAAGGGGGTGCCGGTGGTGATGCCGAGCTTCTCGCGTGGGGGTTTGCGGCGGGGGAGCAGCGGATGGGAGGCGTTCGCGGCGGTGGAGACGCGCAGGAACTTGACCGAGGGAAGCTTGAATGTCATTTTGTGGTGGCAGGTGCGGCAGATGACGAGGGTGGTTTCGCCGCGCACCGAGGTGACGCCGGGGGCGGGGAAGGGCGTCGAGCAGTCGGAACAGGTAGGCGCGAAGATGCTGGGGAGCATGTCGACGACGGTGCATGCGGTGAGGTCGAGGTGGCCGGCGCGTACATTGTGTGCGTGCACAGGCATGGGGTGGAAGGAGGCCGCGACCTCGTAGGCGCATTTGGGGCAGACTTGCGTGACCGTGAGGGTTGTGTTGCTGCTCGGCTTGAGGTTCGCCATGTCGATGTTGGTCTTGCAGCGGTCGCATTTGAGCGTCAAGGCGAGGGAGGTGATCTCGAACAGCTCGATGCCGTAGAGCTCGATGTCTGGGAAGGAAATGGCGATGCCCTTGTCAGATGTTGAGGTGGTATTTGTTGCTGGTAGCGTGGCTCCGCCTTCAGTCTCGCCCTCTTCGGACTCGCTGTAGTCCTCGCTGTCGGTATACTCCTCGCTCGATGATTCATCAGACTCGCCATCAGGTTGGTCCCACTCGGGCGGGCGAGGAATGACCTTGAGATGTGGACGCTCCGAGTCCAAAAGCTGCTCTGTTTCATGCTCCCGAGACTCGATCGTCGTTGGGGCTGGAGCTGGTGTGGGCTTCTCCACCGGCTTAGTATCGGGGACTACGACAGCTTCAGTAGCCATCGTATGCATGTTCACAGCCAAGTAGTTGACATGTGCCATCAACGTCATCCCCGACTGCGCCCTTGCATGCTTCTCAAATGCTATCTCCACATTCTGCGACTCCTGGCTTTCCACACCTTTGATGTGGACTGTGCAAGGCTCAAGGTTGTACAGTGGAGGTACGAAGAGCACCGCCTCTTTCACCGCCTGTAGGCTGACTGGTAGTCGAGATGCCTTCGGAACCTGAATTGGGATGGTGTAAATCGTGCCATCCTGTGACTTACTGTAAAGTGGCAGGCGGCTCATGCGCGCCTCCAACTGCCGCACATCAGCCTCTCGCTTTGAGCGGGCGGCTGTCTTCTGCTGCACAGTATAGACTGGTAGCGGTAGCGGTAGCGGGGCAGGTCTGCTAGGCGGAGGATCGGCAGGTTCCCTGTGCCCCTGAGCCGCCTCAGCCTCGACAGCCGTTGGCCGTGCAGGTGCATTTGCCGAGATTTTCAGCGTCTGGGCTTTTTCGGTGGTAAGGAACTGCTCCAGATTGCGATCCAGGTCATTCAATAGCGCCAACAGTGTCTTCTTGGGTGACCGCTGAACAAGCGATGCAAAACCTTGTTCCACATTGATTTGATATCCTCTAGGCATTTCTCTATTGCCGATCCTGAGGACCAGACCTACCCCAGAGCGGGGATACTCCCCCGGCACCGTCAAAGTGCATTGCAGGCCACCCTTGAGCTCGAAGGGAAAATCCGGATCCGATGGCTCCAGCTTGAATGTCAATATCGTGCCATTCTCGGTATCCTCACGTCGAGGCGAGAAGCGCTTGAGCACCTGACCGAGCTGAAATTCTCGTGGGTTGGTCTGCTGCAGCGCTGGCACGGGTTTCTGAACGACCTGCCTTGGTCTAGCTGGCCGTGGGCGATGCGGGATGGATGGCTCCGAGGCATTTGCGTTGGTGTCAGGAGATTGCGACTGCGGCTCGGGATTCACCTCTGCTGGTGGCCGATCTACATGGCGATACTGACACTGGTCACCGGCACGACAACCTGCTCCGACGAAGTTACGTTAGCCTTTAGGTGATCACCACGTGCCGGGAGAATGATGAGGCGCGGCTAAATACCCTTGAGGTGTCACCGGGGCTATCATGGCTAAGATTGGCGGTAGGCAACCCCTGCCCTGATGAAAACAATGTATCAGGTTTTGCAGAGGCGTGCCGTGCCGTCGGCCATCAGGCAGGCGAAGTGTGTCCAGCAATTGCCGGTGCATGCGTATAGGGGATTGTAAAGACACAAGCGAGAGAAGGGGCAGGATGTACCTTTGGCAGTGTGATAGAAGCGACAAATTGCGCGTGACCGTGACTGCTGGGGCGAGATGGACGTCGGGGCGGACTCTATTGGGTCTGTCGGTGTTTGGATGAGATCAGTGGTGTTGCCTGAGAGTATTACTGGGTCAACAACAGTGTATCGAACCAAATTTGGAACGTGAGGAAACCAGGAAGTGGCGATTTGGGTGACAGTGCGACAGCAAGGCCATCAGCTGATGGCGATAGGCAGCACAGCGGGGTGTTTCACAGCGCACAGCGCAGAGCGCACGACAGCAGTGCATTATGCAGGTGAGGATTATCTTGGGGGCGGTTGCAGTGCAGGGTGCGGCGTTCGAATGGTGGACTAGCGAGACGCGGCAGCTGGCTGGCGCCGTCGTAGCCGCCGGGAGGACCCATAAGAGGCTCGCTCGCAACGCAGGACGGGGCTGAGATGAAGGATCAAGTCAAATCTTACCGTGGTAGGTGACGGCGACTGGCTGCTGGCTCTCATGTGATGGCAACATGAGGCACGAGTGACATGTGGTTGACGAGTTGTCCTGGGGCGTGACAGGTGTTTCTTGAAGACGTTAGCAGCAGACCTTGGTTTCGGGGCACCAGGCACGACGAACCCTGGAATTGGGTTTCACGATGTCTACCTGGATCCTGTCGCAGGCACGCGGGTCACTTTCAGGTACGCCGGTAGAGGGTGAATTTGGGGTAAGACCGGGAGGATCAAAGATCGTCGTTAGGCCGGTGTGCGCGTGATGTGGTGCGCAGAAGGGCAACAGAAATATCCCCGCGCGGGGTATAAGTGGTTCAGGCAGCAGAACTTGATTCGCAGTACCGTAGAAAACGACGACAAGGGGCAAAGTCACGGCTGTCGCTCGCTAAAGGATGCAGAATGGCACAACGCCGCGATGATGTGTGGTGGTTGCATTTCCTTCAATTTATCGAGTGCTGTGTACCGGGGGTGAGTCACCTGCTAGAGCAAGTGCGTGTCACTGCAACTCCCAATTGCCGTATTCGCAATCTTCGTTGTCCGCCTCCATTGGCACCGCATACAGTGTATTCGTAGCTGTGACTCAGGCATCAGCCACGCACGGTCTTGGTTCGACGGTGATCAGCCTTGCCTTCGCAGCTGTATGCTATGTCACTATGACTACAAGGGAACTGCTGATGACCGCCACTCCTCTCCCCCAAGAACCTTTCTCGTCGCGGTCGCCGGCAGTGTTACCCCTGCCACCTTATTCGCCATCTCACAACCATCACCTCGTAACCCCAATCTAGCTTCCGGGGGCAGCTGTCCGCGTCTCGAAGACGAGGCCATGACATCAGCATCATTCCCCCGGCCAGAGCTTAACAACAACGGTGACCACTGCCGAGGGTGCGGAAAAGAGTTGCGCTAGCCCAGAGGTTTGATTCTGATCCGGTGACCCAACAGTGCGAGGATTCCCAACTTCGGTCGCTTGCTCGCATCAAGGGTGTAATCGACGGATCCAACGGCGGGGATGAGGTTCCGCAGCTCCTAGACACGCGCTGGTGTCGGACCTGGGTTGGATGGGTGTGTGTGGGTGTGGATAGGGGATATCTGATCAAAAGACGGATGTGACGCACCGCTGTGTAAAGATCGTGACGGTGTAGACACTTCGTTGTTGGGTGCATACCGCCCCGAAATTTTGTAACCTCCTTACTGCACTTCTATCTATATGATATTGGTACAACTCACAGCCACCAAGCCTGCTGCAGCCTCGCGTGGCTGTAGCTATCTTTCGTACAATGCATGCATAGCTTTGTTTGTTTCGATGAGATTCCAAGTGTCTGATATCCGACCATCTGCACAGCCTTCTTTTGCATCATGTCACCCAGCTGGTTGAGAGACACTCGACTGTACGACGCTGTAAAAATTCCATGATTGAAGATGGAAATGTCCATTACCACGTGCATCTGCAGGATCCTCACGAGCAATCCTCCATCTCATACAACAATCACATGAAACTTGACGATTACCCCGGTAAGCAACAAACTGGATCCCAACCCACAGTTGAAGTTGCAGTTACAGTCGCAAGCCACACCCGCCGCACGCCAACGGAGCTGTCTCGCAGGCTGGTGAAATCATCATAAAACCGAGACACGCAGATTGGATGAGAATCAATCAAGGCGCGACATATACGCGTCTCGCGTTTTTCAGAGTCTAAGACTCGCCGCCGCCACTGGGGATTTTTTTCTGGGCCTTGTCTCGGTATCCATCGGTATCGATCGCCGAGTGCATTGCAGTGCAGCGCTGATCGATGTGTGACATGTGCCATCGTCCTTCATCGACAGGGGCACAGCAGTCCTTTAGTCTCAGTCTTACCATCGAGAGTAACATGATGGCGCAAGATCACGCCCTCTCGTGCGAGCTCAGAGATTGCTTCTTCAAACGCAGACGTGGAAAGTGGCGTTTGTTATTGTCGATGCTACCGTACGACCCGCGTTTCGCGGATGCACGCGCGGTAAATCCTGTCTGCAGCGCCCACGTGCGCCGCCCAGAGAACGCTTGGAGTGTCTTGGAGATGGTTGTTCCTGGCTGCGCGCGTCGCCTTTCGTCCTTTGTCGCCAAGCGAAGAAGTGTTGGCGCCCGGCGGGGGCGTGGCAACCCCAGAAGGGGCAGTCCGGGCGCAAGTACTCCCCAAAGTGGTGATCAGCAAGTCTCCTGGGGCGATGACGAGGATCTGGTTCAATTCCCTGCTTTTACCAATATCAAATATTGCCGGCTGGTTAGCGAGTGTCAAAGTACCTCCAGTGTTGCACACGAGCGACGTCTGACCTTGTCACCACCCCCAGCAGTGACGTTTGTGGCCCATCGCCGCCGCCATTATTCCCGCCCTTTTCCATTACCCCGGCAATTCGTAGACTCGCTTCTCAACTCGAATACATCCGTACCAGACCATACCACACCACAGTTGCCGACGGCATCGTGTTGTGCTTGCGGTGCGGTTGTACGCTTCCGACATGCTTTTCCACCTTCCGCACAGCCCATCCTACTGGTCAGCTTATGCAACATGCTTGCGAACCTGGGGCTGCGGATACGCGTCTGTCTGAGTTCAATCTCCCCAAAGACGGGTAAACCCACGCAAGGTGGTTGCGATGTCCTTAATTCATCATATCGGAGACTCCTCCAAGTCCAGAACATTACGTGGAGGACGAATATGACCGGAAAATACCATCTGGTACCCTGTATTCCTTGTCAAGCTACGATGCAGCCAGGTATTCCTTTCTCCTGCCAGTACCGTACGTGAACACGCACGCGCCTGGGGCAGCATTTATCCAACCCCGTACTTGCATTTCCTAACTATAGGTGACCCCAATCCATGCCATATCGACACATCCGAATTTCCTTCTCCATCAAAGCAAACATTCCAGCAAGTCACTCATCCAGGCTCTTCGCCTCTTCTTACCCTCACCTCGCATCTCCCCCTCCACCAGCCCTTGCAGATCTCCTCCGATCGCGATGTTCTCTAGCATCAGCTGTCACGGAGCCTCCCATTTCCATCATTCCACTGCTCCGCTCCCCCATCACACAAGCCCACGGGGAATGCGGCTCTGCTACGTCAGGTACCCACTCGCGATCAGCAAGCAAGCAAGCAACAGCTTCAGAGAGAGCAAACCAGACCGAGCAAGCCAAGATCAAACAGCAACAGCAACAGCACCCGACTCGAAGGAGCTCAGACCCCACACCTCCCACCTCCATCATGACCACCACCACCACCACCACCACCATCATCAGCACCATCAGCAGTTTGTACTGTAGATATCCACTTCCGTCCCCCCACCCAACCATCCAAGCCCAGCTATCTTATCACTCGCAGAGCTCCATAGCCGCAGACTGCACTGCACAGCACTTGACAGCCCTTGCACAACACGTGAGCACCATCATCCCCCATCGGCTATCTCAATCTACAGTACATCTACCTCAAGCTTAAGTTGCACAACGCATGCCCGTAGTTTGGTGCCTAGTCTGCATGCTTCTTTCAGGTCTCGTGATAGTCCGAGGTACAGGTAGCTATCTAGTAAAGCTACGGAGAGGACCGATCAGCACTAAACTCCAGCTGGCCGCCCTGCCCAAACATACCCCAAGAGTTTTGTACCTAGCTGCTCTAAGCTTGGGGGGTTTTGTCTGTGTCTGTGTCTGGATCTGGCCGACCATATCTAGTCATGCCAGCAAAAGCTACACACACACATGTGCAAAACCTCTTTTTGTACAGCCAAGGTATGGTTTCTTGAGTTACGTACGTTCCTTCAGAGATTCCGTCCACAGCAGTATTGTAGGTACCCGTACAGGATGCAATAATGAGGCGAAACGGGGGGTGGGGGCGAGGCGACGCTAAGGTGAGCTCGTCGGGCGAGGCGAGGTAGGTAGTGGCCAAGGGGGAAGAGCGCTAGCTAGCTCAGATACAAAAGTAGTCGAACACAACTATTGCTGCTAGGCATATGCAGGGTTAGTGTTCGTCTACGGTCATACAGCGTAAGAAGAGTGTTTCAAATAGTCATGGCATGAAGCCCATTCTGGAGTCAGGTAGAGTACATGTACAAATTTGGGGTGCATAGCAATTAATTGGTAAGGTAGGTACCTAACTAAGAGGTACTTGGTACTGTTCCTCGGTACCTATTACCAGTAGTAGGCAAGGTATGTTGTACCTAGGTAGTGTAGCAGTATGTCCAAGGGGTGTTCCTTAAAACTGTTGTTGGTACAGAACATGGCGGTCCGTCAGGTACAGTAGGTCGGGTGTCGGGTGTGTGCCCCGGATCAGTCAATCCAGTCAGAGTCCCAGCCTTGCGTTGCGTGGCCATAAGGACCAGCCAGAACACAGAAGCAGCTTCTGACGTCCGCGTGATCTGTCAGAAGTCAAAGACTTTCGGGCAATGTCTCGGTGGACTGGACTGGCCGGTTGGGTGGTTGGTCAATCTCCGTGGTCGTTGCGGTGAATCGACTGTTGTGTACCATCGGAAAAGATGATCTCGTGGACAAGGAGAACTCGGCCAGTCGTACGTAGACTGGCTATGGCGGACAAGACCAGACCCTAGACCGACGACCACCACAACAACCCCCACAACCATCGAGATGACAGTCTTGGCTGCCAGCAGGAAAGCAAATGTTTGTTACCAGCCCGCCTTTGCACTCTTCCCACATCGCGCGTGCGTCGACCTGTATCGGTGGTGATAATACTCTTCTCGTTTCTCCCTTTGTGAACCCCAGCCCACAAAAAATAATGTGTCGAGGTCGACGACATCAATGTCTCAACGCCGAAATCCCATGACGGGTCGTTAAAGCATGCAAGCGTGCAATTCAGTCGCACAGATAAAATAAAGGCATCATAAGGCCATTCATCTCTCAATATTGTACCCGCTCAAAACGCAGCAATAATCATCAATATCAAAAAAGCAAAATTAAAACGTATCTTTGCATCCCATCGTCACCAGCCCTTGGCGTTGAACTCCCATGGATTATCAAACTCTTGATTCCATGAGTTGTTGCTGCGGTGTTCGGGCTGCTTGGGTGCCAGCGGTGGTTGCTTTACCGCTCCCTGCAGGTTCGCCATGCTCTGCGCATTGCGGTTGCGTTTGAGGAACGCATTCACCGTCTGGGACTTTTGCTGGCGTTCCCATAGCAGGTTCTTCCGCAGTGACTCGGTCAGTTCCGTGGAAAGCATATTCCGCCGTGTCGTCCGGGGCGAGTGTGCTAGGGTCTGGTTCGGTGGTTGTGGCATGGCAATGGGCATGGGCCGCGGTTGTGGTTTGGGATCGGATCCCCGCATCATTAACCCGCCGTCTTCGTCGTGATCTTCGGGTGATCTCGGGAGTGAAGGTCCGTTCGGCGACGCGGCCCGAGACCGACGGAATGCCGGCGACGAGCGCGAGGCTTCGTTCTGCAGACCCGAGGTACGACGACGCTGGTCGAGTTGCATGGACAGCATGCTGGGGCGGGAGACGAGATCCGGCCGGGACTCGACACGGCGGAATGTGGGAGGGTCTTGGGCGGGAGTCTTGTCGTCGTCCGAGGGTGAATCCTCCCAATCATCGTTTTCTTCTTCGTCGAAAACGCTGTCACCGTCTTCGCTGTCGGTAGCAATGGCGCCTTCATCTGCTTCGGCATCAGAGTCCATGCGTCTTTGCTCGACAATGTCACGGAAGGAGGTGGTTTTCTTCTGTAGCCGGCCGGCGATTTGCTGGCGGTTCAGGCTGTGGGATAGCGAACTTCGAGCCGGTGGCGGCTTGAGGGCCGAAGGTCTATTCTCGAAGGAGCTTTCGTCGTCTTCTGATGAGACGCCTAGCTGGAACATGCCTGGCTTTTGTGCGGGCGAGACGGCGAGTTTGCTTGAAGGAACCGGCAGTCCAGACATGGCCTTGGCTCTGAATGAAGTTGAGACAGGCGAGAAGCCATGCACAACTGAGCCACTTCTGATTAGTCCGTCTGATGATACCGAGGTATCCGAACTTCTGTGGTCGCTTTTTCTTGTTGCTGATGTGCTGGTCGTAGTGATGGTGGTTCCCGATATACATGAGTCGGTTGAGTTTTGTAATGGTTTGCTCTCTGTTTCTTCGTCGGTCGGCTTTTCTGCTTCAGCTGGTAATGAAGATATTGAGGCTTTGATTGATGGTGATAGAGGGCCCAACTCCGACTTCTCTTGTATTTGGACGACGATCTTCTTCAAGGTAGTGGGTGTAAGGTGTGGCTCTTTGCCTCTGGATTTCGACAGGGCGCTGTCTTCGTCTGCAAGGCTGGGACTTCTCCTTCTCTTCTCCTGTGAGATTTCCTCTTCCTCGCCTTCGCTTCCACTTTCGTCTGAGCTACTAGGTGAATTCGATAGTGAAGGGACCTGACTTGTGCGCGCGGCGGGTACATCGATGGCTGGGACAATCGACTTGTCAGGTTGCGGCGGACAGCACAAAGTCTCTCTGGCCCATAATCTCCAGCTCAGATTTTCTAATCTCGATCCGTCCTTGATGTTCTGAGAGCATTTGTTGAAGACGGTCCACATGCCGAAGAGGGACTCTACATTTCGGGGATCTACTTGGTGCATCTTGGCCGCGTCCAGGGTTAGGACGGGCGCATTGAGGCGCGAGGGCATCGTCTCGGGTGCCCTGAGGGCAGAAGCAGTGTTGGTAGTGCAAAACTCGCTTAGAATGCGAGAGAGATGAACGTATACCTGGAGGGGTGGCGGAGGAGGTGAATGGTGGCCGGTTGCAGATGATGGGATTTGGCGCAAGCCAGGGCCACAGATCGGTGACGCACGTGCGGAAGGCGAGAGGATCGGCTAATCCATGCCACCGGTTTGCCGGAAAGGTCGTCGAGGGTAGCAGGGCGAGAGATGCACTGCAATAGCAAGTGCGCACGGGAGGTTGAGGTTAGAGGATGGGCATCGAAGGTTGGAGAATATGAGAAGAGTAAGTTGAGAAACCCGAGCACGGCGACTGGACTATGTCAAGGGTGACAGTTGGAGGGCTGTGGGACTGTGGGACACAGCCGATCCAGAGGCCGAGCCAGAGCTGGATTTTGTGGCTCTAGAACCCGACCCTTTTTCCCCCATGGAGCTATGGAGCGTGGGTAAGGAAAACCCAAGGCGCGATGGAGCCCAACAGGGTTTCTCTCGCCTCAGGCATAACCTACTTTGGAGCTGTCTACTCGCACATGCCAGGTCAGCGGCTTCAAATGACGCTGAAAAAATACCGTGCGCGCTTCGTTACCGCCCGCGGTTTAGGTGCTTCAGGCAGCAAAACGGCCCTCCCCACTTTTGGTCTCCGGGCGTTTGCTCGGCCCCCCAAAGTCGAGTCAAACACCGCCACTCAGCATTCGCTGTCGTCAAGCAGGTTGAATGCGCGGTCCTTCGACCTTCTGCCACTCACAACGAATACTCTGCGCACACGGGCAAGCAGGGACCTGGATATCCCACACATGACAGCGTCCCTCGCACAGCTCTGACAAAAAAGCAATCCTCGACATTGCACATGACCTCTAAATCGAAATTAGCCTGAGAAAGGTCACGACACGCCGACCCAAAAAGCCAAATCCGTCTTCCCCGTGGCTAGTCGAAGTTTTTGTTGCAACCGGCTTTCTCGCTCTGGCGAGCCCGATCGCCGCAACCGTGTTCACGTGGTGCTGGAGCCAAGGGTTAAGCATCCCCCGGGCCCTGTCAAGCCTGTGCCTGGCGTCGTCTCCGTACGAGGAGCTGCAAGGCTTCCCCTTCCGATGCGCTGTCCAGCTCATCAACTTGCGTTGTCCAGCTGACCTCCCTTTTTATTTCTTTGTCGCCTGATTTCCGTGACCATTCTTTCCGTGTCTGAGCGCTATACACAGCGGCGTTGATGAGATAACCCAGTCTCAGTCAGGATGTGCCGAGTCAGCTACCGGCGACGCCCACTCCGACTTCTCGACATGTGATCTTACCCTGCCTGCTAGTTTCCCTAGCTTGCCCAAGACGTTGCACCGACAGTTTGGTTCTTGGAGACGACGGGAGCCGTCCCACGCGGCCGCGCTACTTGGGCCTGTTCATCATGCTTGCACATCACCTGGTTCGATGGCCAGAAGTTAGAACGCCGCCGGTGGTCAGCACTACCGAGTACTATCTTGTGTATGCCTCATCACGAGGCTGTCAAATGCGCCCTCATGTAACATCTCGCCGAGACATCAGCTAGCTGAGCGCCACCGGATATAACGATTGCCGGGGACTCCCCACGCACATACTGGTGGCTTTTGAGATGGCTTCTGGTTCGGTCAAATTCCTGGAGTTACAAAATCCGTGCTGCGGGAGTTCCATGGCTCACGGCCAATTCGCATCAATGCACTGATTGTCCGTATCAACCGCTGCAATCATCTTGTTGAGTGGCTTGCATCCCATGCGATATGGCGGTGACCCGGCTGCAGCTGAGGCTTGCACAAGCGCGCTCATCACCACCACAACTCGTGGGATATATGCAAATAATCCCTGGTGATCAGCTCGTAAATGCAAAGAAATGACACCGTTAGCAGCTGTTGAACCAACCGTTGAATGCCATTCTACTTCTGCAAGGGCTGTAACACCGTTGTGATTCCGAGTTTTGAGCGCGTTTGTTGCCCCGGCTTTTCGCAGCACATGTTGTGTCTGCACCCCGAATGGCACGGGGGGGGGGCCGAGAAAGGATAGGCTCCATTGGGTGTGGCGTGGGCGGAAGCGTGTCCCTGACTTCCGGTCGCGAGCCGTAGCAGGGGCCGAGGCAAGGGGGCAATGTCGGAAGCCAAGCGCGCTCAGCCTCGCCAGAAGCCACTTGGGGTGCTTGGGGTGCTTGGGGGTGATCATCTGGACTTCGAGATCTGCATCTTGCGCGGGCCTCGCCGCCGTTAGAGCTCACGACGATCGTTTCGAATTGCTTTGGGAAAACAGAGAACTAGTCGGTTCCGCATTTTACGGATCATAGGCACACATACACACCATTCGTGGTCCGAGAATGATGTTGTATATTGCCAAAAGAAAGACATCGGATCTCAGATTGCATTCCTTCGGACCTGAAGTGCCTCCCTTCGTACCTGTCACATTTTGATGGGCACCTTTTTGAAGGGCCATTGCCCCCTCGTCTGACATAACGGTGATGTGATTGCTGGTCGGTGATCTCGGTTTGCGCACCTCAGACTGCTATGCGGCACCTGACTGCCTCGGATTCGAGAGCCCGCCTATCAAGCTGGTGGACGCCCCTTTTGTGATCAGGACTGAGCATCTCGGTCACTTCTGCAGCCACCGCAACGGCCTTCTTCCTGGGCCAGTACATGGAGGTAGCCACGTCAAGCTACAAAGACGGTAAGCGCGCAGATGGACGGCTCACTGACGGTATTGAAGTGACAAGACAGTGTTGACTTGAATCTACATCCCCTATGAAATGGCACGGTATGGACCTTGGCGAGAAACGTTGACTGCCTCCCTTCACTGACTTCAACCTGATATAATGAAGCTGGTCAAATCCAGCCCAGAATCTGGTTCAAACAGGCCATCAGATTCGGTGCCTTAGTGCAGTGGTCAGCACGTTTCGTTGTGGTCACTAGACTCTACCAGTCTGCTAGTACAATTACTACTCCCGAAGAGACCTGGGTTCAAATCTCAGAGGCGCCATTTGTTTTCAATTTTTGCCTCTCGAGCCAGTGCCGGCGGTGCTCTTGTGCTCGGTCACATTATGATGAAGCGGATCTGAGTGTCTATCATGGGAAGCGCGGTTTTCCATCTGGCCTAGTTGCTTTACCATCCCCGGCAACTAGCAAACACGTCAACAACCTTATCCGGAGTGGCAGTCGCAGAGTCAACCACAAAGTACCATTCGTACATGGCCATGGTGATGCAGGCATGGTTGGGCCAAATGCGAATCTTCTGACCGTACTCTAGAGGCAGCTGATGACCCGTAACAGATGGATTCTCGAATCCAACGATCCCATGCTCCTGGCTAATGCGCTTCACAATCAGTCGGCCGTCTTTCGACACTTGGTATTCAGCCGGCATGTGCCACTGGCTGACCACCCCTTGTCCAGGGTAGTCCTTGCAGGGCTCTCTTGCTAGGGCCAGGCAGCCCGCCGAGATCAAGGCTTCCTGCTGCTCAAGTCTATTCGGATATAATGAGCAAACTTCAGCAAGCACCGTGATGCCAATGTTGTCGTGAGGATCTGTCTTGAAGCTGCGGCTCTGGGCTGCTACCTGCTGCATATCGAACAACGGGTAGACGCCGGCGTGGATTTCAAGCTCGAAGTTTGAAGTTGTCAATTGAAGAACATCTTTGAGCGAGCTAGCTGTCGTCGAACTTGACGAAGCCGTCGGCAGGATGTTTTGGATCGAGAGGGCGGTGGGGGAGGCTCCAACACTGATGACAAGCGGAGTCGCTCTGGTCTGCGTGAGGTTCTTGGTGGCTTCTCTGCACGCGTCAAGCTCCTGTTGTAGGTAGGCCATGGCTTCATCTGGGGAATTGCCGGCATAGCTGTTGCTGTTGTGGGTGTAGAAGCCCAAGAATTTAACGACGCCGTTCTGCTCCAGCTCTGCAACTTGGGACACGAGTTCTGCCATCTCGCGTGCCTCTGGCGCAAGGCCAGCCCGGTGCTGGCCAGCATCTGTCTTGAGAAAAGCACACGCAGCGAAACCAGCGAGTTCTTTGAACTTATTCAGAACCACGAACTGAGCCGGGTGGTCGATCATGAAAGTGAAGCCCCCCTCTCCCAGCTGCTTGCCTACTTCGGCCAGCCGAGCTATCGTCGACGGCCCAGGAGGGATGCCGTAAAGCAGATTCACCCTCGCACCCCTGCTCTTGTATTCGACTAGAGCGGGGGTCATGAACTCTGCCTCTGCAACGGTTGAGACAACGATGCGGGCATCTTTGGTGTCATGTCCGACCTGATAGCGCATCAGCTCAAGGGTTTTGTGAGTCTTGACATGCGCTCTGAAGCTGAAACCAAGTTCGTGGACGGCATCAAGCATCAGCTCGGCGTTCTTCTTCACTTTGGCGACATCGAGGATGGCGGACGGGGCCGGGAGGTCTTCGACGTCCTTGCCCAGGTATAGAGCTTTGATCTGATCGACGGGCGGCAGCGGCGATAAAGACATGTTTGATACTATCACATTGACTGGGTTTCTCGTCGTGGTACGCTCTTGACGGTGCGTGGATGCGGGGTTTTGTACGCATGGAAAGTTGGGGGTCATCGTGGGGTGGGAAATGGGGTGATTAAAAATGCTACTGCGTGACCATCTCCGAAGCCGCCATTTACATACATCTTTAGCAGTAGATCGATGCCTACCACAGCTTTCAGTCCACGCTTCCTTCATCGAGATGATTCTGATTTGCGCTTGCGAGAGTTGGGAGTCCATGACTGCCCCTGCACAGTCCGCCGGTATGGTACACGAGTATGGGCTCACAGATGACTGGAGAAACCTCCGCCCTCAAACCAGGAATAATAGCCCAAGTTCGCAAACACTTGCCTAAGACCTGCCGGAACAGACAGCGGCACAGGTCCCGTACGCTGGCGCAGGGTCTAATTCAAGCCTCATCGGCACGGTCTCGGGCGACATAACGAATAATGTTCACATCGGTGGGGTTATCGCGTTTCAGAGGTCTTCCCCTGTTCTCGAATGCCACAGCTTCTCACAGCAATATTCTCCGGCCCGCAGATACCAAGCTCGAGCACTCCCTCGTGGCCCCAGAGCAATTTACGTGTTGATTTCACGCTGCACCTGGTGTGGCTAACTCATAGTCTCACCCGGCACATGGGCAATGAGATGCCAACGTCGTCAGGCGTTAGCAGACGGTGCCAACGCGTCTAAAATTAACGAGCCCCACGAGGGAAGCGTCCCGTTGTCCCTACTCCGTAGCCTCCCTGATCCCGGATCGCCCCCAAAAGACTTCCATGGGCCATCCCAAATCCAACACCAGGCTTCCCTGCCACGACCGAAGTCCGCAGTCCCTTTCCTTTTCGCTTATGAATCCCCTCGCACGTTCTCTTGATCTTCGGTTCTGAACCTGCGCCAGTCTTTCAACGACTGTTGTGTCGATCATTCCAAGCCCCATCCGCGTCGTGTCACGATCTACATTTCCTCACAACTTGACGTTTGTGCAACAGTTCAGGCCCCTGTCCTACTTCCGGGTACCGCTTGCGCCCCGACGACCCCCAAGCCACGTGCACGTGCAGGATAGGAGCATCGGGCCTTTGCAGACACATCCCCAAGGCAAAGGTTCGACGAACAAGCCGAAGCCGAAGGAGAGCAACATATTGGATCAGCACAGTAAGGTCGTGCGTATCACGGTGACCATGACCATATTGCAAACGCACACGGAGCAGCCTCCTGTTTGAGCCTGCACAGCAGGAGCCCGTCTTACACCTTAAGACATTCGACATGTCAATCGCCAGTAACGATGCCGGGCAGGAAGTGCTCGTGCGCCCACCGGCCCATCCCGTTCCAACCCTCCAAGGACCTTTCGAGGAATCCATGGTGGAATCCGTCAGCGATGCTGCCGACTACGACGTACCCATCGATGCGGTCTCGCGTCGCACAATGCTGTTAGAGGCTCCGACGTACGAGCGCATAATAGCGGGGAGATGGAAGCAAAAACCTGGGGAGAAATATCATCCCTTGTGGAAGTTGATAGCGCAGATGACATTCGGTCTACACCTACTGGCCCGCAATTTGGCCAAATCAGAGGATGAGGTGATGAAGATCCTCCAGGCGCATGTGGACGACATCGACAGCTTCCTTGAGCGGACTAGCGAAGACTTTGATCTGGCTCAGAGCGATATGCGCGAGCGACTGCGATGCCTGAAGTTGCCGCTCCAGCATACCGAAATTTTTGACCGTATGCTGGAAGATCGCAACTTCCGCGCCTCGATCCTTGAAGGCAACGAGAAGATCGAGCATATCGTATCGCGAACGAAGAAGGCTTTGAAGGATTCGATGAAAGATGTTCAGAAAGGCTTTGATGCGGCAAACGTGCTCGACACCTACATCAATGGTTTGTCGCGCACCTGGCACAGGGACAGCCCGGAGCATGAAGCCGTGCATGTCGCCATGGTCGGCAATGTTGAGGGGTGGAAAGGAGCGTTTATGGACCTTCATCTTCAAGGCAATAAAGTCGCCGGAGTTCTGAAGAAGCTGACCGAAATTGTGAATGAAATGGAGAAGCGAGCGGCAGCCGTCAGTCGAAGCCAACTCGTCAAGTCGCAAGCTTCCATGGCTACCATCGGGCAAGCATCTGCAGGATCGAGAGGCTCTGCACACAAGCCGTTGCCCATGGCTCCAGACCACCGACGATCTACTCGACATTCGTCACGCAGCAGTACAAATATCCTTCGTGATATTTCCAGTCCATACTCTGGCCGTGGCTCGAGTCAGGACGAATCATCTGGAGAGTCACCACGGTATGGCTCGCCACAGCCCCCTTCTGGACGACAAACGCCCAATACAACCCTCTCAAGTGTGCTCCATGCCGCTCAAGAGTCAGCGATTGATTCCAATCCTTCACAAAGCCTTGAAGAAGCAACGAAGATGAAGGTCGATGCCCCTGCCATCGAACTGCCGGCTGACGTCCCTGAAGACGCTCTTCGACAGGCACCCATGTCTGTCAAGAACCGCTTAAGCTACACATTGGGCCTCAAACCCAGGGACAACATCGATCACCGCATTTCCAGCATCTACTACCCGCGAGCACTAGGTGACCTACTGAAGGTCCAGCAGTCTCCACCTGTAATGAACACCCCGCAACTATCAGCTGTCAAGTCGGACTCGCCGCACAGTAGCAGCGACTACTTCTCCGCCCATATAAGAGGCTCTTCCATCACCGTTGTTCCGGTGGATGGAAGTGGCGGCACCACATCCAACTTGGCGACACCTGACAGAGACGTCCCTCGCATCGCCGTTCGCACCCCATCAATGCCAGTGGAAGTCCAGCGCGTTGTCAGTGAACAAGTGACTGTAACATCAAGCCCTGGTCTGAACTTCCATCCGTCGGTAATGGACATGGCGACACCGCCCCCTCCACCGGTTGAGCTGCCGGTGGAGAACGAGCATCAGGAGCAAAAACCCTTGCTTGACCATCACAGGCAGCAATCCCAGTCGTCGGTTGGGCTGCTGTCCAGTTTAGGAGAACCCGGGCCGGAAGTCACCAGTAGTGAGTTTGGTGGCGAGAGTGCGACTGAACCACCGCTTCCTAGCTCCCATTTATCAGCGGCAGGAGCTGGTAAGGCTCCGCGCGTTATGTCGGGCATGGATCTTCCAGAGACAGTGATGGACTCGCTTGCTGCCACGAGCAGCAGTCCTCCCAGCCCAAGACCAGAAGCAATAGCACTCCCAGTTTCGCCGCCGCCACTTGGTAGCACTCCAGGCACACCGGGGGTCGATCAGCCCATGTCTGCCGTTATTGAACAGGGTCAGGACAACAGCACACCGCGAGTGCAAACGCCAGTGGCGGACGCACAACCGAGCTTCTCTCAGCAGAATAACGGGGACGAAGCCGAGCATCAGCAACATCAAGATCCGACACCTACGAGCCGTGCCTTCATTGCTGAGCTCGAGGCGCATGTACCCTATGACTCACGCACGTCCACTCCGAAGCAGAGTGCCACTTTCCCTGACAGTCCCATAGAGATGGAAGCGCCGGCTGCGCAATTCATTCTTCCTTCACGCGCGTCTGCGAAAGAAATCAAAATCAATGCGCCTCCAACGGTCAAGCAGAGGAAAAAAGCCTTCCCACATTCCGCACAAGACGTCGTAAGCAAGGGTATGAAGCCCAAGGACTTCAATCGAAACTCAATAGTGCCAGAGCCGATCCGACCGCTGAAGCTAAAGCTTGAGAGGAAGGGAGGAAAGATGGTCCCTGTTCAGGTTCCCAGCCCCAACAGCGAGTCAGTGGACCACCCAAAGACACGCAGCCCCCGTCTCAGCACCGACGTAATCAGCAGTATCCTTGACACCATGTCAGACACTCCTGCAACGTCACCGAGTACGGAACCCTCGCAGTCAGACGTCTCTTCGCCTGCGATCGCCAGAGACCAACAACGCTCGTCGACGCAATTCGGCCCTCCCGGGAGTGCACCTGCGCCTCCCGGTCCCGGCGGCCGCTCCATGGTAAACCCCGACTACGCCAGCGCCGGTGCGTTTGAGGGAGAGCGCAAGCAAGGCTCGAAGCCGACCAAAAGGCACAGCGCAGGCGGCAGAACCGCAAGTATCAATGGCATCAAGGAACTGATATCCGGAGCCAGCAGCAGACGGCACTCGACCGAGTCTGTCAAGACGAGAGGCCCGTCAATTTCGTCGCAACGGGTCGGTAGTGATATGATCGACTCCACCGGCAAGGATGTGCTGTGGTTCAAGAATCAGAGCAAGGCGAACAAGGCCGGAGCGCCTCAAGCTGTGGGCGTCACATCGGTTTGATGAAAAGCCGACTGGTCATATGCGACTACGTAGCGATGACCTGGGCATTGGAGCGGCTGAAGAGATGTAATCCTGTTAAATATTCTGTTTATTTGTTCTGTATATAGCTCACCTTCGACGACTGATGACCATCTGTCTTATTTGTGGATAGCTTGCCACCAACTATGGAGTATAGTCCCTAGATTCATATCAATATCAATCAATGGATCAATAAATAGCTCCCCCCCGCTTGGGAATGTTCGAGGCTCGGTCTCGGAACTCTATTCCATGTCGTGCCTCATCAGCCTGAGGCAACCAAATTCCACGAGAAATGCAATAGGTCTGGATTATGCGATCAGACGGTGGCCTACCGCTTCATGCTTCCGATCTTGACCAGATCACACGGCAAGAGAATACAGGGATTGGTCAACATTCCCACATAAATTATGAGGCAGTTGATGTGGAAAAGCGGGGGAGTTGAGCAAGGACCGCCTAAAAGGGCCACCGTTCATAGGCGGTCCAGGCGTCTGCGCTTCAGCCATGTGGAGAGGCCCCAAAGGTTCAGCCTGTCTAGCTGCGGTGCCGCCCACTGCCCAGACGATCGCTTCGCCGAGCCATAGTTCGCGGCACACCTTGCTGCCGCTGCGCCTTCTTGTAGGCGGCGACAGAGCTGCTCTCCTCACCTGACGGCGACCACCACTCTTCAGATAGAGGAGGCCGTCGAGAACGACTGTCGACCGGTACCAGCGACCGCTGTGATCCCACATTACACCGACAAACCCGACTCCAACGCCGATCAGATGCAATCTGCTCAGCCCGCCTCAGCTTGAGCTCCAAACGCGAAGACCTCGCTCAGTGAGCCCACCCTGCACCTCGGATCGGTCTCCCTCCCAACGACTTTCGCTGCTCGTCGCGTTGCGTTGCGATCCGGCCTTCCAGTATCTCGGAGCATGGTCACGACCTCATCCGTACCTCGCGCGGAACGCGACATGGTTTCTTCCAGGCTGCCTGCGTAACAAGAACAAAGATCACTCACGGGTGACTGGCTTTTGGTGAGTTTTTCTCTGTCGTGGGCAATTGTATGAGTGTCTTGGGTCGATGTCCGTTGCCATCGTATGCGACGGTCCCTCGAGCTGAGCTCTGCGACCCTTGCTCAACTGCGCTTCGACTGCACATATGCGGCCTTGGACGTGACTCACCGTCACGCAAGACTCTTTGCACACGATGCCTACGAGGTTGAACAGTTTGATGGTAGTTGTCAGCCAGTGCTGATCATGGACTCACCTAGGCCGATACCGAACCCCCTCGCCTCCTCATCATGTATAACGCTTCCGATGGCGTCTCGCCACAGACAAGGCAGAAACCGTTCCCTCACGCCGCCTCGAAGAAAGCCCTGGCGATTTTGGGTGAAGACGCTTCGAATCCGCCGAATCAACAGAGTCAACAGAACCAGCATGCGCGACAACAGAACGCATCTGTTGCTCCATGGGAAGAGCCCAACAACGACGAGAATATCTCACCATGGACTGGAGATCCTCAGAACCAGACGGGTGGTACCAGACCGGTTAACACCTCATACTTCTTTGACGCAACCCCTCGAGAAGCGCAGTTCCAGCAGCGACGGCCGGATACGGGACAGACCAATAACTCCGACGATTTTGTGATGGATGACAGGAGGCCCTCGGTCGCGAGCGCCACTACTATTAGCAGCGCCGATTCGAAAGGCAACGTCAACGGTCGGAAGAAGAATCTTAATAAATTCCTTGGAGATGACCCCAATGATTCGAGGAAGGGTTCCTTCAATAACTTGCCCGACCAGCTGAATGGGAACGAAGGTGATCGCTCAAAGCGAAACAATTCTGTGCAGACCCAGAACACTGTGGAAGAGCGACCCAAGACTCCAGCTCCTCCACCGTCCAGCGATGTGACCCCGTGGGACTACCAGAATTTTGAGGATGTCTCGAACTATGGCTCAGCTCCGGTGAGGTCAGAGACGGCTCCCGAAGCATCCCAGCAACCGCCATCGTCTAGCAACGGCAACGGCAACGGCAACGGCGGCTCGATTTCCTTCCGTCGAGGTCTCTTGCATCGACATACCAAGAGCAAAGAGGAAGGACCGAAGGGCAAGCTTGCTCCTACATCTGAGCCGAAGCGCCCATCTACTAGCAGAGAATCTTCCAACCATCATGTAGCAACTCTTAAAACGTCCCAGACTTTCACGCCGATGAGCTCCACAAACACGCTCCCTCGATCGACAAGTCCAACAGGATCAGGCCGCAAGGAAGCTGCTCCTCAGCAAGAGAAAAGGTCTTTATTCTCCAAACTCAAGCATCGACACAAAGAGAAGCACGCGCACCAAGAACCTCCCAAACCTCAGAACGAGCCTCCACCGCCAGAAGAGGTTCAAAAACGAAATCGGACCTTCTCGAACAGAAGCGTTGGCGAAATCGATAAACGAGATCGAGAAACAAGTGTAGCGTCGGCGGATAGTGCGTCAACTATCAAGCCAGTCGAGCCCATGATGCCAAAGATCGATAGGACGTTCACCAGCTCGTCTAAGGCGGGCAGGTTCACGCGTCATGGTCGACATAGGGGTCCCAGCGTTGTGAGCGAGACGAGCCAAAAGAGCAATGCTTCAGCTCAGCAGGCGCCCATGCAGGCGGGTGTCTTCAACCTGGACACGAATTTTGATGATCTGTCGGATATCATTAGCCAACCCCCAGTGCCTCAAACGCCTGGAGATGCCGGCATATTCACTGGCAAGCCGCTACCAACACCTTCGGCTGAGCTGGGCGCACCCGTCTGGGACGCCCCCGATAGTTGGGCGGTCAAAGGCCAGGAAGACGAGGTCCTCAGCCGGATGCCAGAAGTCAACGAAGATGGTCTGCCAGCGATCGAGGAAGAGGATGGCATTGCTTACTTCATGCGTGTCTTCCGAGCCGATGGCACGTTCGCAACGCTGTCTATGACCATCAATGCAACCGTCGCAGAGGTGTTGCAATCCTTGGCCAAGAAGTCTGTTCTACATGACTCGATCGACAATTACCAGCTCCTGATCCGGAAGCATCAGCTATCTCGGGAGCTCTTGAAGGGCGAGCGCCCTATCGCCATGCAAAAGAAGCTTCTCCTGCAGGCTGGCTACACCGAGCGTGATCATATCGAGGACATCGGCCGAGAGGACAACAGTTACCTGTGTCGGATGACTTTCAGTCACGAGAAGCATTCTGGATATGGCAGTGGGCTTGACAACGATCCGTCTTTCAACAAAATGCAGAAATTTAGCCACGTCGATCTTTCCGGCAGATCGCTGGTGACGATCCCGATCATACTCTATACGAAAGCTCCGGAGATTATCTCACTCAATCTTTCCCGGAATTTGGCCTTGAACGTGCCCAAAGACTTCATCACGGCTTGCATCAACCTACGCGAGATTAAATTTACAGGCAACGAAGCGTGGAAGGTTCCGGCCAGCCTTGCCTGGGCAGGGCGCTTGACGGTCCTTGATATATCCAACAATCGACTGGAGTCTCTTGCCCATGCTGAACTGCAGAAATTGGTCAGCTTGTCAAGCTTGAAACTCGCCAACAATCGACTGACCGAGCTACCAACGAATTTCTCCCAGTTTCGCCAGCTTAGAAGTCTTAACTTGTCTTCGAACGGCTTCACTACATTCCCAGAGCACATTTGCAGTCTCAAGTCGCTTGTAGACCTCGACATAAGCTTCAACAAGCTGCCGCATCTACCCAAAATATCCCAGCTGACCACTCTGGAGCGATTGTGGGTGACGAACAATGAACTCAAGGGCCCTTTTAACGAAGGCTTCAAGAGTCTGGTCAACCTCAAGGAGATCGACGCCCGCTTCAACGGCATCACCAATCTCGACAATGTCACCGGACTGCCGAATCTTGACTCGCTACTTGTGGGCCACAACAACATCTCGACCTTTAAAGGGTCATTCAAGAAATTGCGAGTACTGGTATTGGACCACAACCCACTGACAACATTTGAGCTCGAGGAATCTCTTCCGACCTTGGTCAACTTGAACCTCGCTTCAGCAAAGCTTGTTGAGTTCAAGGAGACGATGTTTGACTTCATGTCCAACTTGCAACGGTTGAACCTGGATAAAAACCATCTCTCCAACATGTCTTCTCAGATCGGTCGGCTTGGGAAACTCGAATGGTTCAGTATGGCCAAAAACCCACTCAACTTGATCCCTCCCTCTATCGGCAGCTTGGTGGAGCTCAAATTTCTCAACATCAGAGAATGTAACGTCAAGAGCCTGCCTCCAGAGATATGGTACTGCAGGAAACTGGAAACACTCAATGTTTCCTCGAATGTGCTCGAGACCTTTCCAAAGCAAAACGCTGCACCTCCACCACCAGATGCAAAGGATATTACTCCATCGGCAACACCAGGACTATCTTCATCGCCTAGTTTCGAAGAGCTTGGTAAACTCGAAGACTTTCAGGCACGGCGGCCGAGCCAGGCCTCTGCCGGAACCATGCTCAGCGTCGGCAGCTCGCCTGGCGGATCGGCTAGGAAGAACTCTTTTGCGTCATTGCACAATCAGCCAAATCGAAAGATGTCATCAATTTCTAGGAGTAATACCGATATGTCTATGACATCGGCATCGAGGAAGGACTCCAACCTGTCGCAAGCACGTTTACAGAACACCTTTGCTGGCTCCTTACGTTACTTATCACTCGCCGACAATCGACTTGAAGACGAGGTATTCCGAGAGCTGGTCATGTTACCAGAGTTGAGGTCACTGAATCTCTCCTACAACGAGCTCGATGACTTCCCCCAGGGCGTGCTGAGACGTTGGCCGCAGCTTCAGGAGCTGTACCTGTCTGGTAACGAATTGACTTCACTACCGTCGGATGACCTTGAGGAGAGCAGTAACTTAAGAGTCCTGCATTTGAACGCGAATCGCTTCCAAGTACTTCCCGCCGAGCTTTGCAATGTCCACAAGCTCTCCACACTGGACGTTAGCAGCAACTCTCTTAAGTACAACGTTTCCAACTGGCCGTATGACTGGAACTGGAATCGGAACACTGCTCTTAAGTATCTCAACTTTTCCGCGAATAAGAGACTCGAGATCAAGCCGTCGGCTCATCAAAATCAGACACAATTCAATGCGATGAACGGCGGTGAATCACAGGATCTGACCAGCTTCAACACCTTAAAATATCTCAGAGTGCTCGGTCTGATGGATGTGACATTGCTGATCAACACAATTCCTGATGACAACGAGGACCGCCGTGTCAGAACATCTGCCTCGCTTGCTGGTGCTTTGCAATATGGTATGGCGGATACGCTCGGCAAGAATGATCACCTCTCGACACTCGACTTGCTCAAGCCGAACTTCAGAGGCCATGAACAGGAGATTCTGGTCGCCATATTCGACGGCCAGGCCATTACCACTGGCGGCTCACGCATCGCCAAGTATATGCATGAGAACTTCGCGGGTTCCTTTTACGAAGAGTTGAACAAAGCCGAGAAGGCTGGAGACACTGCAGAAGACGGCCTGCGACGCGCATTCCTGGGCTTGAACAAGGACATGGCCAACTTTGCCAGCAGCAACTTCGATGCCCGCGAGCACAGGCTAGCAAATGGCATGAGGACCAACTCTTTGGCCAATGTACTTGGACCTGACGACCTGAACGCCGGCTGCACTGCTGCGGCTGTGTATCTGAATGGAACAGAGCTTCATGTTGCGAATGTTGGCGATGTTGGCGCTATCCTTATCGACTCGCGTGGTCAGCATGTTGACTTGACATTCAAACATGATCCTGCATCGCCCAAGGAGCGTGAGCGTATCAGGGATGCGGGCGGCTATGTGTCGAGGCAAGGCAAGCTCAACGACAGTCTTGAAGTTAGCCGAGCATTTGGATACTATCGCAATATGCCCTCGGTCATTGCTGCTCCAAGCACTATGCATTGTACGTTGTCGGAGGGCGATGAACTTGTGGTTCTGGCGACACGTGAATTTTGGGACTATGTGACTGTCGATCTAGCCATTGATGCTGCCCGCGCCGACAAAGGTGATCTTATGCTCGCAGCACAGAAGCTTCGAGATCTTGCGATCGCTTTTGGCGCCCGAGACAAGATTATGGTAATGGTTCTCGGTATATCTGAACTTCGAAAGCGTGGAAACAACAGGTTCCGGGGAACGAGCTTATCTCTTGCTAAGGAGCTCGGTGGCGATGAGGGGACTATCTTCCCCAGTTCACGCAAGTCTCGCAGAAAAGGCGAGACTCTGGTGGGCGACTCGAAGCTTGCTCGACTTGAGGAGCCTGAGGCGCCTATTGGTGATGTGGCTATCTGTTTCACCGACATCAAGAACTCGACCGCGCTGTGGGAAATCCTGCCTGTCCCGATGCGCTCGGCTATCATGATGCACAACGAACTTATGCGGCGACAGCTTCGCATCATTGGAGGCTACGAGGTCAAGACCGAAGGTGATGCCTTTATGGTTGCATTTCCCACCGTAACCTCAGCGCTGCTCTGGTGCTTCAGCTGTCAAAGCCACCTACTCGAACTGCCCTGGCCGACGGAAATTTTGGACACTGTTCATTGCCAGGAGAAACTAGATGCTGATGGACAGGTCATCTACAGAGGCTTATCAGTGCGGATGGGCATGCATTGGGGTCGACCAGTGTGCGAGCAGGACCCCATTACACGGAGAATGGACTACTTCGGACCTATGGTCAACAAATCTGCGAGAGTTTCAGCGGTCGCCGATGGCGGTCAAACAACCGTGAGCAGCGACTTTATCGCTGAAGTGCAACGAACTCTCGAGCAGTACGCTGACGAGGACCGTCGGGACTCGGTCGGGTCTCAAGACACTGTCAGTGACGATCCCCTCGGAACCCAAATCCGACGCGAGCTACGGCAACTCAGTAGCCAGGGTTTCGAGGTCAAGGACCTTGGCGAGAAGAAGCTCAAAGGGCTCGAGAATCCGGAGTACATCTACCTCATGTATCCGCATTCGCTTGCTGGCCGCCTCAACGTCCCACCGGGCGCTGAGACACAAGTCTCAATGGGCGGCAATGGTCCACAGGCCGAGAATCAACCGGGGGCTCTGGGCAAGGACAGCAAATTGACGCAACTTGACGTTGACCATGTTTGGAACCTTTGGGACATTGCTCTTCGCCTGGAGATGCTGTGCAGTGCGCTCGAGAGCCCCGAAAAGGCGGCCGGTCTGCATAAGCCGGAACTGAGCCTGCTCACGAAGATGAAGACGCAAGGTGGGGACATTAGCGACAGCTTTATGATCAACCTGCTGGAGCACCAGGTCACCCGTGTTGAGGTAAGTCACACTTTCCCGTATTCTGCGACAATGCTAACGAGAGGAGACATGCGTTACGACGTTGCAGCTCAGAAACATGTTGAACCCGTTCGAAAAGGGGTCGTCGTTGCTGGACAAGGCTGTCCCCATTGCCGAGCTTTTACAGAAGATGCAGGGTTTGGTCAAAGAAGTTGAAGGCGCGAAGCGAGGTCGATCTACTGGGCGAGTGGTAGAGGAGGAGTAATCAGCAGCCATGAAGAGAAGGGCTTGCACATATCTGTTCGACGTCATCGAAGCAGTATTGGTGACTTGTCTCATTTGTTGCATTCTACAAGGCGTTCAGGGAAGAGCACAGTCTCATGAATCGAATAACGCCAGAAGAGCTAGGCAGGAGGATATCGACATGGAGGCCTTGATTGGCTCATATTACGCTACCATGACCATTCGGGAGTGACGGAACGGCACATTGATTGCCAGTGGGCGTGCAACATATTGTTAGGATGGCTTTGGGTTAAGGTACCGTTTCTTCCTCAGGAGGAGAAGGGAGCACATGTCATCAACCTGTGCAACGGAATACACCTTGAGCTGTAGGATATATGGGTCCCTAACATAGCTAGCGTTCTATCATATCACATACCATACTTGATAGCGAAAATCAAGGCGTTCGCGGAAGCCGCGCGAGGCAATCATGTGCTCTCTAAGCGTGGAAGTATAGATGAGTGAGCCCTGGTATGCGGCCCGGCTGCTTCCTATGGCTTGGAGTATGATTACTCCTAGCAGGTTGAGCCCGCGTCTGCAGGACGCTGACAAGCGGAGTTGTCCAAGACAGATTCAGCGAGAGATACTCCGATGGCATGGGGTGGTGACGGCGACAGTGGGGTGCGAGGGGGGTTTACCGGGTACTAGATGCGGGGTGAAAATAATGCTACTGTAGAGTATCATTGACGTACCCGGACACGACGTTCATATCCCTCAGGGGGAGAACTTGAGAAGCCCAGAGTCTTGATAGAGCCTCCGTGTCCCTGAAAACGGCAAAGGGCGATCGACCGGGGGTCCTGTGTGGTAAGTACCACTTACTACAGCAATCGACTAAACGAACGCTTCCTTGGCTTCAATCAGCGGGGTCGGGTTCACCACAGCGGAGACCATTCCCGCCCGGGTACACCATCCTGGAGCTTGATTGCTGTCGTGGATTGAGATAAACTCCGACATCCCTGCTTTGAAGAGGGGGAAAAAGCTGGTACCAACACGTTCTCCAACTGGAGGTTCCATCAAGGTACAGGAAGCGACCGTCGAAGAAGAACACTAGGGAAAGCTCACAAGGCGTGTGAAGGATGACACGGTGTTGAGGTATTTCACTACTGAAATTTCCTCGTTCTTACGCCCTTTACTGTCCAGTCCTGCTTGGTGTGTGATTCGGCTTCCGTCTTGAGCTGAAGGCTGCTCTCAAGGTAACAAGTAGTCGTGACGAGCACGTTACTATCTCGCCATTGTCTTGGCAGCAGGACGACATTGTTATTTCAATCCACCAGAGAAACCATCAGACGACCACCTTTCCCTACAAACTTCGCCAGCCATGGCTCCCTCTTCCTCCCCCATCGAACCCAATCCCAACGCCCACCCCTCCAACATCATCACCGCCCCGGGCCAAAACTACCGCTTCACCCTCCTGACCCCGCAGCTCCTGCGCTTCGAATGGTCGCCCTCGGGCGCATTCGAAGACCGCGCCTCCACCTTTGCGCTGCACCGCGGCGCCTTCGCGCCCGTGGCCCACCGCATCAAGGACAACGCGCCCGGCGCCCCCGGTGGCACGGGCCAAGGCGGCTTCGAGATCCTTACGGAGTTTATGCACGTCGACTATGACGGCAAGGAGTTCTCGCCTTCGGGGCTGGTGGTGGATGTCAAGGGCCGCACGACCCTCTGGGGCACGCAGTGGCGGTATGGCTCCGAGGAGAAGGTGGGCGCGGGCCGCAAGGGGAATCTGGGCGGCACGGCGAGGACGCTCGATGAGGTGGATGGCCGCTGTGATGTCGATGTCGGGGTGTGCTCGCGGCTGGGCTTTGCGGTCATTGACGACTCTGGCACGATGCTGTTCGACCCGGCGTCGGATTGGGTGGCGGGCCGGCCGGGTAGAGAGGCCGGGTACGTCGATGGGTACCTGTTCGCGTACGGGCGCGACTACCGCGCCGCCGTCCGGGACTTCTACCGCCTCTCGGGCCCGCAGCCCGTGGTGCCGCGCTGGGCCCTGGGGAACTGGTGGTCGCGCTACTACCGCTACTCGGACACGGAATACCTGGCCCTGATGGACGCGTTCGCCGCGCGTAACATCCCGCTGAGTGTCGCCGTCATCGACATGGACTGGCACTACACCTACGACGAGCGCGTCCCGCACGCCGGCTGGACCGGCTACACGTGGGACCACAGCATCTTCCCGGACCCGGCCGGGTTTGGGAAAGAGATCCACAAGCGCAAGCTCAAGATGAGCCTCAACGACCATCCGCACTCGGGCGTGCACCACCACGAGGAGAGCTACGAGGCCATGGCCAAAGTGCTGGGCCATGACACCTCGGAGAAGAACCCCATCCTGTTTGATCCCACGAGCAAAAAGTTCATGGACGCCTTCAACGGCGTGCTGCACCGTGAGCTCGAGCGCAAGGGCTGCGACTTCTGGTGGATCGACTGGCAGCAGGGGCGCTTCAGTCGCGTCCCCGGCATCGATCCCCTCTGGGTGCTCAACCACTTCTGCTTCGAGGACAACCGCAACGTCGCTTCGGCTTCCGACTCCGCCTCGAAAGAAGGCCAGCAGCAGCAACCCATGATCTTCAGCCGCTACGGCGGGCCGGGCAGCCACCGCTACCCCGTCGGCTTCTCTGGCGACACAGTCACGACATGGGCATCCCTGCAATTCCAGCCCGAATTCACCGCCACGGCCTCCAACATCGGCTACGGCTGGTGGTCGCACGACATCGGGGGGCACATGTTCGGCGTGCGCGACGACGAGCTCGTCACGCGCTGGGTCCAGCTCGGCGTCTTGTCTCCGATCATGCGCCTGCACAGCACGAATTCCCGCTGGATGGGCAAAGAGCCCTGGCGCTACCGGCCCGAGAGCGAGAAGGCTGTGGAGGCTTGGATGCGCTGGCGACATCGCCTGCTGCCGTACCTGTATAGCTTGGACGTCAGGGCCGCGAGGCCCGGTGGTGAGGGGATGCCGTTGGTGCAGCCGCTCTACTGGCATTTCGCCGAGCTGGACGAGGCGTATGCCGTGCCGAATGAGTATTTCTTCGGGTCGGAGTTGCTGGTGGCGCCGATTGTGACGCCGCGTGACGGCCGGACCGGTTTGGCGAGCGTGAAGGCTTGGCTGCCGCCGAGGATGGGCCGCTTCGTCGACATCTTCACGGGTGTCATCTACGATGGGGATCGTGAGTTGACGCTGTACCGTGGGCTGGGGGAGGTGCCGGTGCTGGCGCACGAGGGGAGTGTGGTGCCGTTGGATGGGGAGAGGGTGCCGGGAAATGGAGCGGAGAATCCACAGAGGTTTGAGGTCTTGGTGGTCGTGGGGAGGGATGGCGAGTTTGAGCTCGTCGAGGATCAGGGTGATGATGGTGAGGGGCTTAAGAAGGAAGCTGAAGAGAAGAGGGGGGAGGAGGGGGCAGTTGAGAGGAAGAGCTTCGTGTCCTGGAAGCAGCAAGATGGCAAATTGACGGCAAACGTGGCCGGCAGAACCTGGAGCTTCCGCTTCCTCGGCGTGACGGAGGTCCCATCAGGATTGAAGATCCTGGTCGACGGCAAGGATGTCACATCGGACGCCAACGTGGCCGTGCAAGCGTACCCCGAAGCGCCCGGTCTCCTGATCGAGTGTTCCCCTGGCTTAGGCTTCGCGAAGTACGACATCGCGGTGGAATTCGGCGTCGCCGACCCGCAGTTGAGTGTCCGCGATCATCGGCAGAAGGTGGAGGAGATGCTGCTCTCGTACCAGGTCGAGTTTGCGCTCAAGGACAAGATCTGGAAGATTGTCGAGGGCAAGACGCCGGGGAATGTCAAGGTGGGACAGGTGTTGGCGCTGGGGTTGGATGAGGTACTCGCGGGGCCGGTGGTGGAGTTGTTGGTAAGTGATATTCGGGGGTGGGGTGCGTAGGAAGGAGTGTGCTGTTCCCTAGAGGATTTAGATGTGTATAGCTAGATTGATGGCCATGAGCTTCTCAGCTTCGAGGGGCATCTGTGAATTTGAGGTGTGGGGGTGTAGCTGTGAATTCCCTCTTAATATCGCAACAAGAGAAGACTAGCAAGGATTCACTAAGTCTCGGCCGCTGTAGTAGCATAGCAGTTGTGAATCTATTTGTCTAGGATTGCTACTGCACTACTGTACTGTTCCAGGACCCTGGTACCTTAGTATTCGATGACTTGCAGTGCTCGAAGACCTATCAGAGGCGGAACTGCTTTGAGATAGAACTCCTCAAAGCGTATAGTGCCAGCCCGCACGCCCTTCATTCTGCCTCTCGCCCCTATCCACCGCTTTATTGCACTTCCAGAACCAGATATCCATGATAATGATGAGCGAGATACTCAGCATGCTAATGGCAAACGTGGTCCAGATCCCAGTCGTATACGCGGGACTCTCACTGCTCTTGAAGGCCACGCCGGCGGCAATGCCTCCAACGCCTCCACCGATGATGCACGTCGCCGAGGCCACGGCTCGCTTGCTGTGCGAGGTGATGTTGTTGGCCTGGTACGTCAGCACGCCCGGGACGCAGTACTGCAGGAAGCCGATGCCGAGGAAGGCGCCGAAGTAGCGGAAGCCGTTGCTGCCGCCGTAAGCAGTGATGATCATGCCGATCGAGGTTAGGAGCTGGTGCACGGCGATGATGGGGCCACGGATGTGGTACTTGTCGCCTAGCGTGCCGGAGATGTAGGTGATTACAGCGGCGAGGACGTATGGGGGCGCAGACAGCAGCTGTGACTGGGTGGTAGAGTATCCCATGCCCGCTCGTAAGATGACGGGCAGGAAGTAGGAATACGCGTAGCCGGGAAGGGTGCATGCCATGAGATTGATGCCCCAGAAATACAACCGCCAGTCCTTGAGGTGATAGAGGATCTTGGCAGGTGTGATCTTATCCTCTACGGCATCGCCACGGTCGTTGTTGATGCGGTCGATGACGAATTGCTTTTCCTCTGGCGTAAGGAACGTCTTTATCTTAGAGGGGAAGTCGATGATGATGAACCAGCCGCCAATACAAACCGCGCACGTGATGGCACCCTCAATGATGAAGATCCATGACCACCCGTTCAGCCCGGCCTTGCCACTGAGCAACGTGAGCACGTAGGCGAAAATGGCACTGAACCCTCCAGTCAAGACCGAGAGAATCCAGAATGCAGCCAGTCTTTTGCCCACTTCAAACCTCTGGTACCAGCACGTGATCAAATAGGTGCAACCAGGTAAGAATCCTGCCTCTAGGATGCCGAGAAGGGCACGACACAAAGCCATCGTGCCCCAGGATTTGGTGAAGCCCATGCCAATGAGGATCGCGCCGAAGGACACGCCGAGAAAAGAGAGCCAGTTGGCAGCACCGGCCTTGGGGAGGATAAGATTGCTGGGGATCTCGAAGATGATGTATGCAACGAAGAATACCATGACGATAATGGTGTAGCGATTACCGATGTGAAGACCGAGGTCTTCCTCCATGCCAGCCACAAGTGCGAGGCCAAGGTTCGTACGATCGACGAGGGAGATGCTGTACATTAGGCCGAGTATGGGTAGCAGACGCCAGTCAATCTTGCGGATGACGCGCTTTTGGTGGTCGAGTGGGATGCCATAGGTAAAGGTGCCCTGAGGCGTGGCATCAGTAGTCTGGGACTGATCCTTGAACTCTTCAATGTGGAAGGAGTCGGCCTTCTTGGACGAGGCTGTGACGGGCGGCTGTGCTCCGGCCTTGGCCTCCACGTCGTTGAGGCCAAAGGGTGGTCCTGCGGGATCCTGATTGTGCATCTTGTAGACCGTTGATCTTGACTGGCACTGTAGAGACTTGTAACCAGCAGGTCGTAGGTGAAGCTAGCACAAGCATTTTGAAGCAAGACGAATATCCTGGGGAAAAGCCTAAACTTGAGGTGGCCCGAGGTTAGATCGGTATCAGCGGATCCATCAGGCATTTTCCAAGAAGGGGTGACCAGGAAATTAGCATGTCAACACGCTGAATGCCATTCAGGACGCCTAGTGATTCGTTGGGCTGTGACTGAAGAGAGTCCGCTCCCCTGAGTCCGCGGCTTGGCATTGGAGAATATCCTCGGCAGTGAGAGACGAGAGACATGCGCGGCACGGGTGGTTCGGGAGGACGAGAGCCCAGAAGGAACGAGCGGTGTAGGAGAATGGGTGATTCACGCGAACGAGCACGAGACTGTATGGTAAATGATGGTGGGAAGTTGTTGACGGTGGATTCACGATTCTTGACCCCGCAGAGACTGGAATCTGGGGGCACCGTCGGTGATGGGGCCGATGTTTTACGGTCAGAGTCCGGGGTGTGGAGACCGTCGAATGGCCCTTATCTCTTTCAAATTTATTCATATCTAAGTCTCTATAGATCATGTCCATCTTGTCTCGTGCTGACTAAGAGCTCCTTACAGAAGTTATATCAGGGCGCAAGCATGGTTGTAGAGGCGGATTCAGAAACTGAACCCATTACCATTGACGAGATCAAAACGATCGCCAAGAAGAAGCTCAGCAAGCAAGCGTGGGACTACTACATCACGGGAGTTGGCCCAGAGCTCACCCTGCAGCGCAATGAAGCCATTTTTGACAAGCTCTTCCTGCGACCACGGGTCCTGCGCAACGTCAGTGGTGTAGACACAACGACGACTATATTCGGGAAACGGTACGCATTCCCTGTAGCTATCGCCCCCTCGGCATATCAGAAACTATGCCACGAAAATGGCGAGGTGGCTATGTCGCGAGCAGCAAGGAAACTTGGGACGAATTTCATCCTTTCGTCGAATGCTACCACATCGATGGAAGAAGTGATGCAAGAGTCCCCAGCCTCGACGGCTCAAGCGCCGAATTTCTGGTTTCAACTGTATGTCTTGAGGAACAGAGCCGTCGCAGCGGAGCTTATTCGGAAAGCTGAGACCGCTGGCTACGAAGCACTTTGTGTTACTGTCGACACGCCGATCATGGGCAATCGCTTGCACGAGAGAAGGGCGCCCATGACGCTGCCGCCACATCTCACACGCGCCAATCTCAGCACAGAAAAGGGATCCGGTTCGAGCAAGATCCGTTTGGTTTTGACAGCCAAGACCGCAGCAGAGGCAAAACGCATCTCTGAGCAGCACTCTGCGAATCTCAACGACGACACTCTGACATGGGAGGAGTTTATCCCATGGTTGAAAGCCCAAACCAAGCTCAAGATCGTATTGAAAGGAGTTTTAACAGCAGAAGATGCGCTGTTGGCGGCCGAGCTGGGTGTCGACGGTATCGTCGTATCAAACCATGGCGGTAGACAGCTCGATGGGGTTCCCTCAACATTAGAGACCCTCCCAGAAATTGCTGCCGCAGTCAAAGGACGAATACCCGTAGTCTTTGATGGCGGCATTACAAAAGGCAGTGATGTGTTCAAGGCTCTAGCACTGGGGGCGGATCTGTGCTTGATCGGTCGCTCAGCTCTTTGGGGGCTCGCGTACAAAGGTCAGGAGGGTGTGGAGGATGTCCTGCATCTGCTCGAACGAGATTTGTGGCGGACCATGGTGCTAATGGGTGCGAGATCCGTGCAGCAAATTTCTAGAGATATGCTTGGCGTTGCTAAAAAGGATGATTTTGGTATTGCGAAGCTGTGAAGGTATTTTGGTGATGAGTCTACCATGAGGGTTGACGAAGGGCAGAAGGTGGTCAGTATAGAGATGCCAACATTGAAGACGGTCTTTGAGCGGTCACGAGATGGCGATAATTAATGGGGAGATGGGTGGCAAAAGCGGCTGAGTGACGCCTCTGCTCACCATAAAGCTCATAGCTGTGTTTGAAGAGCGGTGGATACAGATACGTAAGTGCCATGGCGGTGAAATGGATCTGGATCAGGTGTAGGTACCAGAGAATGGGTGCAAGCATGCTATTTTACCAAGTGCTGTTCAGTCCGTCAACACCCACCGGCTTCTCAGCCAAGGTTGTGATCCTGAAGCCGTGGCGTAATCCCTCTTCGGCACTCTGCACATCATAATCATTGATCGCTGTATGAGCCGTGACGCGATTGTCCCAAAGCGTAACGGTGCGATCGTCCCATTTGACTCGGACCTCTGTTGAATGAGCGTCAGCTTCTGGTCGAACGAACAGCAATATCAACTTACGCAGATCTGCCGACAGAGAGATGTGCTTGAAAAGCAACTGCAATATAGCATCGGACTCCTCATCCTTGAGACCGATGATGCGCTTTGTGAACCCGGGGTTGACGAAAAGTGCTTTGCGGCCAGTCACCTACATGATGTGTCAGTGTATGCTGTATCGCCGTCGTAACTACAACTAAAAACAGAAGAGGTCTTGCTTACCGGATGCACTCGCACGATAGGGTGTTGGCTCAGCACTGGGTCGCGTCGGACAAACTTGCCGTCACGCCTGGCTCTCTCTGCCTGAGCGAAGCCGCTATGCTCGGCTCGGAGACCCTCAATCAGCTTCTTGATGGGGTCACTGAGGCGTTCATATGCCAGCGTCTGGCTGACCCAAGCGGTGTCACCGCCAGTGGCCGGGACGGCGAGCAGAGTGAGCAGAGTGATGCCAGGCGGCTGGTGTTCGTAAGATACATCGCTGTGATACCCCGTTGATGTCAGTCTAGAAGAACGCTGCTGTGCTCGGTAGAGGTTGTCGGCGCCCAAGTAGATGTTATGGAATTCAAGGTTGTCTGCAACATGAGCACCGACAGGATGAACATGCAAGGGTCCGAAGTACTGGCCGAGGGTTTTCTGTGCGTTGGGACCAATGTCCTTGAAGTCTTGGTCGCGAAATACAACAACACCACGTTCGGCGAGAAGCAGAGCAAGTTCGTCCTTCTGTGCGTCTGAAAGCTGTGAAAGCTGTAGTCCTGAGATCTCGGTACTAATGCCTGGGGTGAGGCGTGTGATCTTCACGTCGTTGTCGCTGAAGAGCAGATTCGGTTTGGCCTTGTCGGCATTGTGTCCACGATCATGGAAGTCGAATGGCTCAAGCGGCGGAAATGTTGTTTGTTCATCGTAGCTGTTTAGTACATTAGTGGCACGCTATTGACACCGTTTGACATGGCGTACACAGGCAGATAAGCATTGTACTTATACTGTCAAAAGAGTCAGCACGTATACCCAAGACTTCCACGGTTGCTATACCTCGTTGTGCGCTTCTTTGTCGTATGCTGCACTCAACTTGATGTTTTGGGTAGTCTCCGAAGACACTTGAGTAGTTGAAGCCATGTTCGTAGTCTGTGGTATTTCAGTAGCAGGGGGATGTAAGAGATCTGTATCGCTCTGCTCAAGTATTTTAAGCACTCCCATAGATCTTTTGACCGGAGTCGCAGGAAATCTGACACCATATTGGATTCTTTTTGCTCATTCTGCAGTGCAGGCGTAGATTTTCGAGGTGCATGATTAGTACTACTTGGCCACGGGTTTCCAACAACAGACTTGTTTCGCAATTCGCATGACTATGGCATGATTTAGACGCCCGGCGATTCGCGCAGGGCCATATCCCACATTTCACGAATCAAGAATAGCCCCCGCTCCTGTGTAGGTTGGACTCGATCACGTCCCACGTTGGGGCGACGTGCGATGAACAGTCCAAATTACGCCATCGCGCCGAGCCGTGCCCACTCCTGCTAAAGAGGAAGCTGGTCAAGACGCCTGTTATTCAATTCATGTTCATTGGCAAATGGAGTTGTTGTTATCTAAAAACGCCCAATGATAAGCCTGCCTCAGAGCATCGATGTGGGGTGCGACTCACGGCACCGCTAGTCTCGAAAGCTGATATGATTCTGGTTGGACTATACTGAAGATTGCACAATGTTATTAGGTCGCTTTCGGACCAATTTCGCCAACAACGAACGGCGACGATGTATATACACGGCTGATCACAGTACCCGCAGGCCAAATGTCCGCGCCCTAAGAGGGCGAAACCACTAGCATAAAGTTCCCTCGTTGGTAGTGTATCTAGACACAGTGGGTCACCTACACCTGGTAGGGCCGGGGAGCCGGTGATACGATGCCCTGCGCACCGAGCATGTGCTCATGTATCGCTTGATATCCGCTGGTCTAGCATTACTGCCACTCCCTTAAGCTCAGCGTCCGGCATTAAGCCAAGGGGCGGACAGGGCTCTTGGTCTTGATTGCCAAGCTATAGCATCATGATCGCGCTCCTTGCGTGACCGATCCAAGCGCCAACATGCCTACCCGCTGTGCAAGAGACCCTGATTCTGAACCTTGGGCGACATCGTCTGTATGGGATTAACGCATCCTCTTGCGTGCAGAAAAAAGTCTTCGGCAAGGATGTCTTGGCTAGGTTCACGCCATCGCGATGAAACGAGACATACTTGTGCATACAAAAGGTCCAAGGAGCTGCCGCAGCTTCTCCTACATGTCTATAACTCTACAACCTTGTTGTACATCTGAAATATGACAGATTTCAAGCGCGCAAGCTTCGCTAGGGGCGAACCCATCGATCCTGCTTCAGCGGAGTCTGAACATACTTCCACGGATGAGAAATCTGAGGAAACACAGGTCCATCAACGGCGTCTACAAGAGCTTCAACACTCAGAGCCTCCTGTCTTGCCAATCACAACTTTGTTCCGGAAAAGAAAGAACCATGAGTTGGACCAGATTGCCACACAGCCGTCAGTGTTTGATGACCCTGCCTCAGCAAAATACTTCCACCCGACCGAACGATACGAAAACTTGCATCGCTTTGATCCCAATTTCCGCTGGACCTGGAGAGAAGAACTCGTAAGTTTTCATCTCCAGACCTAGTCCTCCGCTGAAAGTGTCTAGCCTTTGATCAACAAGATCGACTGGAAAATAACTCTATGGGCGTGCATTGCTTTCTTCGCCCTCGATCTTGACAGAGGCAACTTGTCACAAGCAAACACCGACAACTTCCTGGAGGACCTAAATTTGACCACAAATGGCAAGTCATTGTCTCGGAGTTTCCAATACTTGCTCACCTTCTAGACTTCAATCTCGGGAATACCGTTTTCCGCTTGGCCTTCTTGTGCGCAGAGTTGCCATCCCAACTCATCAGCAAGAAACTAGGTATACTGCGTCACTTTGCTATTCATGTGCCGGTGTTGACAAATGGCAGGACCCGATCGATGGATTCCAACCATAATGTGCCTCTGGAGTATAGTCGCTGCTGCACAGTTCTGGCTATCTGGGCGGCCTTCTTTTCTCCTCTGCCGCGCCCTGTTAGGCATGCTTCAAGGAGGCTTCATTCCTGATGTAATCTTGTATCTGGTGAGTGCCACATCTGGATCGCAAGCTCATGCTGACAACGTTCAGTCTTACTTCTTCAGTGAGTTTCTCAACCTCTTCATTCGATGGAAGGGGTGATCCGCGGCACATCATACAGGAACAAGAGCTTTGATAATATTGATATCTTTTGAACTGACAATACCCATCAGAAGGCACTGAACTCCCATTCCGGCTGGCTCTATTCTGGACTACCCTTCGAGTTACAGACATTGTTGCGCCAATCCTTGCCTTTGGCCTTCTAAGGTTGCGTGGTCTCCATGGATACGCTGGCTGGAGATGGCTCTTCTTAATCGAAGGTCTTCTCACGCTTTCAATTGGCGCTTGGAGTTGGTTCATGATGGCCCCGAGTCCCACACAAACACGTTCCTGGTATCGACCTAAAGGATGGTTTACCGAGCACGAAGAAAAGATCATGGTGAACAGGGTCCTCAGAGATGACTACAGCAAAGGAGACATGCACAACAGGCAGGCTGTTGACTTGAAGTTGCTGTGGAAGTCCATATGCGACTACGACCTGTGGCCGTTGTATATCCTCGGACTTACATTCGGCATCCCGTCTTCGCCTCCCGACACGTATCTGACGCTGACACTACGGACCCTCGGATTCAGCACCTTTGACGCTAATCTTCTGAGCATACCCGCTCAAGTCGGTAGTACCATTACCGTCAGTATTCCTCTGTTCTTCTCAAGCCCAACTGACCGGCGAATAAGATGCTCACTTTGACATACTTCTCCGAAATATGGAACGAGAGATCTCTCCTCGGCTTGTTCGCACAGGTTTGGATCCTGCCGAACATCATTGCACTCACGGTAATACCGTCGGCGGCTTCGCCGTGGGTCAAGTTTGCAGTCGTCACCATACTACTATCATACCCATACCGTGAGACCCCTCGTCGATGAATCACGAGCCAGAAACAACTGCTAAGCCGACGCTAGCGCATGCAATGCACGTGGGCTGGTGCAGCCGCAACTCCAATTCGGTCCGCACAAGGACCGTCTCGGCCGCTCTCTACAAGCAAGTTGATTGTATTCCCCACCATAGCGTCCTGCTAAAACTACAGCAGCATGTTCGTCCAGACCAGTGGAATCATCAGTGCGAATATCTACCGCCAAGACGACCGGCCCGACTGTAAGTCCAACTCATATATAGACTACGGCATGAACTAATGATACACACAAAGACCGCCGCGGCAATCGCCAACTCACAGCAATCTGTGCTGCCAACATTGTCATCTACCTGCTGGTCAAGGCGTATTATCTATGGCGCAATAAGCAACGCGAGCAGGAATGGTCGGCCATGACTGTGGAGGTAAGCAATCACGGTCCAGCTGACATCGTGGGGGCCCGACATGCTGACTTGTGTGTCTCTATCTAGCAACGCCTGCACTACCTGGAGACAACGAAAGATACGGGGAGCAAGCGTAAGGATTTTCGGTTTGCGCATTAGGCGGCGTGGGGGGGTAGACACGTCTTGTGGAGCGCGTCTTAGTGGAGATGGATAAGCCCAAGCAGCTGGGGGTGGCTTCCTTATGGCACTCTGGTCTGGAGGTGTCTGCAGGGCATCTTGATGGTGTGAAGGGAGATGGCCGAGGTTTTGGGGCGGCGATACAACGACCGACCTGATATACAACATGACTCCACAGAGGACCGAAGGCACAGAGCTAGTCCACGAGTGATAATAGTCGAGCAATGAAGTCGCTTTGCAGTCTGATTTTTGACGTAAGAATTCAATTGCCAGCCAATGTTACGAAGATGTCCAGGGACCAGTAACGCGCTTCAGTGGCAAGTCTGTTGAACCAAAGAATCATCGTTGCCCTAACATCTCGTGTTGGCTGGTCCCCTCCTAGGGCGTCACTGCTGTTCACCCTCGCCGTGCAGTGCCGATGCTCCACGAACAAGAGCCTGCTGCGAACTTCGGATCTCTGGATTACATCCAAGTGCAGCTACTAGTAATCTTCCAGGATGTTGTGGCGAACAATGGTTGAACCGTTCCCAGATTCCTCCAGCGACCAGCACTGGTACTGTTAGCAATGCCTTGTACCAATGGGAGGGATGCATACCATGCCAGGTGACATACGGATGATTGGCTGGCCAGTATGACTGTCTTCGCACTCAGCTCCAGAGAAGACTGAGTGTTTGAGCTTGATCTGATCAGTTTCAGACGACCGCAATATCGTCTGCGTGCCTTGCAAACGCATATCCAGAAAATCTTCTTCCATGTCCTTGAATACCATCTGCATCACAGGCTCTTCTAGCGGCCAGCGCTTGGCGATGAAAGACTCGGAAACGTAGAAGAAGTGTCCGAGAGAGACTAGGGTCAATTTGGGGAAATTCTGATGCGCCGGGCCTAGCAGCTCATGAGCTTTTGTCCACACATGCCGCCCGTGCAAAGCTTCAAGGTTGAGGTGACGGAGTTCGGTGGTAATAAGATGCGGCACGACTCTCACGAGGGGTGGAAAAGGCGCACGCCGGAGGTCGGGGCAACGATCGGTCTTGATTACCCGGAGAGACAGTTGTTGAGCCGCATGAGGCGTAAACTCATTGCGAAGCAGACGGCAGACCTGGTGTAGGCATATTTCGACCTCGGGTTTGTGGAAACTCTCCATCCAGCCCGAAAGAGTCTCTAAATCGACCGCATCGGTTGGTTTGGAGCGATAGGTTCCGAATAAAAACTTGCATCTTACAGCAGGGATGACCTTATCCGGCGATCTATCAATAATAACTGTGGATGCCGCGTCTTCGCAAAGCATGTCATAAATGCGATATCGGATCTCTGATGGAAGTGTAGTAAGAGTCGTGGGCCGGCTCGCGTCCTGTAGCACGGCTGAGAATTCCTCGGGGGTTGACATTCTGTAGGAAACCCGAGCTGCAACGCAGCGGTGGAAACCTAAGACTATGAAGAAAACGAAGGATGACCTGGGAAGGCGGTCAGGGTGAGCAATGCTGTTAAGGGCAGCGGTGTGGTTTTTGCTACCTCTGGCATCTCCGCCCGCCTTAGCATGGATACGAATACGAACGACTTGTCACAAGTCTAGATGATTTATATAATTTCAATTATACAGTACTTACTATCTTCAAAACCGCACGGGTGTGTTGACAAAATTTACTTGGGAGCTAGGCGATCGCGACTCTCTGCTTCTAAAAAACAATGCACCAAGCCAGCTATGGGTTTTCGTCAACAGAGATAACAGTAGTGCCCCAGGTGAGGTAGCCCCTGAGAGTCGGATGGTAGAATCCATCGTTGACTGACAGTAACTCTCTAGGGATAGGCTCGGAGACCACGCATTACCAAGCGTGAAAACTGCCCGTAAGGTAACTACGCTAGGCAGCTCATCTCACCTCAACATTGGGTAATACTTGTGCTTGTGCTGGTAAGACCGTTGATGCCAAGGCTTGCAGAGTGGGACTGGGCAGCGAAGGTTCAGGCAACAAGTGGTGGACAGCCAATCAGACACTAGCCGCCTCGTGCAGTGAAGGGAGAGTGGGACAAATGCTGGTCAGGCGTCAAGTCAAGTGGTTGAAAGTGGCATCGGTCATGTTCGATCATGGTGAAATCGCTTGGCCGCTAATTATTGCTCATGTACAATTCTGCATCTGCATGTCGCGAATCAAACAGCCGGCTTTGCGACAACGAGTAAAACACTCCAGCCCTGAAGGCTATCATTCAATCTTCTTCCACCGCAGCCCGCTGTAGCCCAAGATTTGGGAAAAGATCTCGTCTCGAAGCAGCAAGTCGTAGACGCAAAGGGTCTCTCCGGCCACTGTTACAAAGTTGAGCCCTTTCATTTCTTTGCTTCGTGTTGGGTTCTCGACCTATTGTGTTGATTTCAGTGGATGTAGGTATGCTTTGTATATGTGCCATACCTTGTGCATGCTATCAAGCTCGTGGTATCTCAGACACCAGCCATCTCCAGCTGGGCCGTTCGGTGAAAGGGAGATCGAACGGGTCGTCACCTTCAATACGCCAGCGGTGCAGTTGTAGTTTCCGATCATGCGGACATTTCCTGCACCGGAAGTACGTTCACTATATGCGGCTGGATCGTCAGCAGCAGCGCCATGGACATCATCTGCAATATAAGACGCTGCTTCCGCCTGCAATCGAGCGATAGCCCACTCGGCTGTAAGTGTTAGCGGCAGCAAGCAGGAGCACGAAGTATCCCACCGTGCGTGGGGATCTTCCACATCAACCAAGTCATCGGCGATGTGAGCAGTCGGTATCGTGGGAACTTGTTCCTAATGGGCTCCATGATGAAGAACATGATTCCTGCCGCGAAGAAGCTCATCTGTACGAGCAGCCAGGTGGGCGCCAAGGTTATCAGTATCACCAAGGCAACGAGTTTGGAGAGCATGATGCGCGTGCGTGGTGGATCGCGCCACTCGTAGAAGCTGGCAGAAATCAGTACCTGGTCTTGGTTCACGGGGTGGAAACCTGCTTCTGGATTCTCTCCAGCACATCTGCCGTGTGTTCTGACCGATGGAGCAGAATGGGTCCTGCCTGGTCAATGACCTGATCGACCCAGCCTCTTGTGCCATATTGCAGTATCAGTTCGGTCAAATCATGCACGCTCGCGTTTTGATTCTCCGCTTTCGTGACTACGCCCCGTAGTTCACTTAGATCGCGGGGGTGCCATCGTCGGTAGAAGACGCCGAAGATTATCAGGAGGATCTATTGCATTAGCCATCTGTGTATGTGACGGAATAGAAACTTACTGCGGCGCGGGTGGTCAAATTGAAAAGCACAAGCACAAAGTATACAACCATGCAAGTTGCGCTCCTCGAGGGATTCTTCCACAGCGAGAGGCCCCGTAGATGCATCATAAGGTCCTGGAACGGCGCAGACACGATTACTACCCTTTCGACGCTTGATGCGAGCAAAGCTTCAGTGGGCTTGGCTCTTTCCGGGGCATCGTTCAGGGGTTCCGCTCCATGGATCTGGAGCTCGTCTTGAAGCAGCTGGGCAGAAGTCAGAATTGTCGAGACCGTCCAACGACTGGCAACCCACCTGTTGGCTGTAGGATATCCAGTGGCTCCATGAATCTCGGAAGCCGGGTAGTTGCGGGTGTGTTGCTGGGTCGTGCAGTCGTTTCACCCTTCTCACATGTCGGTCCATGCTCCAACGAACGAAGGCGTCCTGCCTCGCGTGCTTCAGCTGCGTCAACGTCTCCTGCTCAGCTTCCTGGTTTCCGTCGGTGGCCTCATCAACCTTCTGCTCCTGCCGCAGCAGTATCACACTCGCCCCATGCGGCACTTCCGACCGAGCTACATTCTCCGCAAAGTCGTCTCCGCCTTGATCGCGTGCCACGGTCTGGAGCGCTGATACAGGATGTTGAATGAATTGCTTGATGGGTGGATATTTCTGCCTCGCTCTCAAGTCATGCTCCAGTCTCTCGTCTGAGCCGATGTCCGGGGCGGGTGCCAGTAAAGGAGCGTGTGCTTCTTCAGGCGCGGTCGGCTGGTCAGTGGCGTCTGCTCTCTTGTCCTTAACGGTCCTCTTCAACTTTCTCAGACCATCATGCGGGTGAGCCACGAACGGAAGGAAGGTCAAGTCGCCCAGAGTGCGGCGGATGGATGGTTTGCGGTAATGCGATGTCCCAGCTTGGGGACGAGGGTGGCTCCCTTTCACCTGTGGGCTGACACCAATTTCAGCGCGGTCCAGACCTTGTGATACCATGCCGAAGCCATGTTTGTCGGATTCGGACGCCATCCCACTCACGTATCACCGTCACTTACCCAAAGTCCTGCCGGCGGGCTTCAGTCGAAGCATTTCTGAAAAGGTGGTGGTGGGACTGTAGATGACGTACAACTCCAGAGTAGTCACGCGGTTACACTATTACCTAACAGTGGCTTTTCCACCCTGCCGTGATTTGTTACGGATCACTTCTCCATCAACTACCGATAGGGGTAATTCGCATCTCATGGGGCGCAGTAGATATGCCATTGCTGTTCGCTCTATTTTGAACACGTCCCAGACGCTGGTGAAATGTAGCAGCAATGAACTGCGGTATACCAGTCGGTTCCTTCTCTAGGTCCCTCTTCGTTTCACCCCTGAAGACGAGCGTGTCTCGTCTACATCTTCTCATGGCCCCTTATCCAGCTCTTGTAAGTTGCGCTTCCGCCAATGCCCTTGCTCCCTCCATGATCTGCTTGAAGTCTGCACCGCTGCCTCTTTCCAAGACGTCCTTGGTGCTGTCAAGCAATTCCCTCCGCACCTTCGGCCAGTCGACACCCGCTAGCTTCCCATCCTGCTTCACGATCTTGCCATCGACAAACACCGTATCTACGGCGCTAGCATTCGCGTACAGGACCAGTGCGGCAATTGGATCACTGATGGGCGTCATGCGCGGACTGTCCGTCTTGACAATGAGCAGATCTGCCCGCTTGCCGGGCGTGATGCTGCCGATGTAGTCTTCCATACCTACGGCCCGCGCCCCGCCCATTGTCGCAAAATCCAAGGCCTCCTCGCAACGCACCGGTATCTCCCAGGGGGCCCCGCCCTTGTGAGCCATACTTCTGGCATGGCGCTCCGATTGGAGTAGCAAATGCATCTGTGCAAACATGTCGGGCGGGTTCGAGCATGACACATCGGTTCCAAGGCCGACACGTCGGATGCCTGCTTCTCGGAAGGCAAAGGGGCCGGGTGGCCCCATAGCCATCTGCGGCACGTTAGCCCAGCGATCAAAGCGCCTTTATGCGTGACGACTCACCTGAAGCTCGGTATCAGGTGTTGCTGAGAGGCCACAACCACACTTCTTGATCGCCTCGAGTTCATCGGCTTGGAGGGCTGCCCCGTGGCTGAAAAGCAAGTCTTTGTCGAGCACGCCCTGCTCATTGAGATTCCGAACGGTCCGCAGCCCAAAATCGATCCTGCCTAGTGCCACATGGGATGTGAACATCGCGCTGCCAAGAGAGCGCGCATGCGAGATTTCCTCGATGCCCTGCTCGACGGTCACAACTTCATACTCCGTGCCGGCCACGCCAAAGCGAAGCAAGGTCGTCGGATCATTAGCTGGGAAGAACTGATCTTTGACGCGCTTGGAATCCTCGAGACGCCACTCAGGCTCCGATTGAGGCTTCATTCCCGTGTCGAGCTCGGCCCAGGTCGGCTTGGGATTGGGGTAGAAGCCGTAACAGAAGACGCCCCGGATGTTGGCGTCGAGAAGGCCTTTGACGGCACTATCGGCGTGCTCGGGCGAGTTCATGATGTGGGAGTGATCAACGACGAACGTCGTGCCGTTGTCAATGCACTGCAGAGCACCGCAGTAGTTGCCCAAGTAGGCGTCGTGGGCTGTGTAGCAGCTGCCGTAGACCGTGCGGATGTAGCCGAAGTATTCGAGCTGGGGAGCGTCAGTCAGGAGGAGTCTTCTCATGTCTCGCTGCACTCATCACTTACCAACACAGAGTTCGACATGATGCCGGCTAACTGGGTTTGCCACATATGACGGTGCGTGTCTATGAAGCCAGGACAGATGATGGAGTCGGTGCCGTCGATGATGGTCGCGTCACTAGCAACCTCTAGATTTGGCCCTACATCTTTGATGATGGATCCCTCTATCAGCACGTCGCAGCTACTCTGCACGCCGATCTTGGGATCCATTGACACAACGGTCGCATTGCGAATGAGGTACCTGGACGTCATGACGATTGTGTTTCAGAGGTCGCTAGAAGCTGATCTGGCAGACAGCAACCTGGAACTACTGGTATTTATTGTAGCCGGCGTTGGTGGATCGGTGGCCGCAATGGATGTAGGGTATTCTTGATTTGGTTATGAGCCACTCTTGGCGAGCGTACGAGAAGCCAGCGGTGCACAGTGCTAGCTGACGAACCGAATGCTGGAACACTGCTTTGCTTTATAGCAGAGACGACGCGATCAATTGTCGTATGAGCCAGAGGTTGGCACGATGCAAGTCAATGTAGTAGATCGCACGTTCGCAAATCAACGTTTACAGAATTTCATCTTGCGGATCAGCGTGAGCTGAAGCGGCAGGTAGGGGGCCTTGCGCGTAAATCACCAATCGTTTCAGCTGCACTATGTCAAGCCAAGTCTTGTGCGGGCAGCATACATTAGTCACCGAGGCTGTCTAATAACCACTCTGGTTCCATTTCATCCTCGTCCGGGTCGTGGCTGAGCCGGGATGTTGGCGAGTCTAGCTCGTCTGCTCCATTTGCCGCCACCCTGCCAGCCGTGGCCCTATCAGCGGTTGATGGACTTTCTGTACTAGAGCTGATTGGTACTGGTGCTTGCGTATAATCTGACTGCAACACATTAACGTTCCGATCCGATAGTGTTGGCAGTATTGGCGATGTGCGGGATACCGCAATGTTCAAACGGCGCTCAGCCTCCGATGGATACAAGAGGCTGCCTTCCGGGTTAGGTGACTGGAGTGATATTGTCGGATCTTTCAGATCCGCAAGCGCTTTGTCAAACGATTGCTGTGGTTCAGCCATGCTTGTGACTGCCGACGTCTCGTCGACAAGGAAGCCGCCGCCTGGATCGGATTGTTCGACAACTGCATCGATGTTGCTGTCTTCGAGAACAGCTGGATCGCTTTCTTCAGGCATGAATCCACCACCGAGCTCGTCGTCTTCCGCAAAGAAGCCCCCAGCTCCATGCCCAGGCTGACCGTGGCTCGAGACGGTGTCACTTTCGGGCTGATTGGGGTAAGCGATTGATGGTTCTGGCAACCGAGGCGCTTGATGTGGCGACTCCGTGACCACGACCTCTGAATATGTAGGCTCGGAAGGAAGGCCAGTAAGTAGAACCTTAGAGGTGACGTCCGAAACGACCGATGACTGCGCTTGCTCATCTTCTGCGGGTGCGTCGCCAGCTTCCGGAACAAATCCTCCACCCTCTTCATCGTCGCTTCCATTGTACATGGACACATCATCGTGAATCTCGTCATCATTGCTGTTGCCGTACTCCCGCTGGATGCGTTCCCGAATCCGGAGCGCCGTGAGCCATTTCTTCCAAAGTGCGAGTAGTAATGCACTTCTCTTCTCCTGAGCCTCCGTGCGTGCATCCGTCTGCAGCCCAACAATGACTGCCACCAAGCCAAAGCGTACTTCGGAGGACACAACGACTCCGTTGAGAACAGCAGTGCCCTGTCGGCCCTTGAACTCAAATCCCGTTACTGCTTCCACGTAGTCAACGCCCATCAATTTTGCGGCTCTTGCTGCGAGCTGATGCTGAACGTGGACTGCTCCAGCAGGGATCATTGCTGGTACATAGACATCAATATTGCCAAACGCGTTGCGTGGAATCCGGCCATTGACCACGGGCGGCGGCATGTAAACCTCGGTCTGGAACTCGGCATATAGAGCGGCATCATCTTGAGCGTCAGGATTGTCATCATCAGCATCGATATTGCGCCTGATTTTTCGAACCACTCTCTTCAGCGGGACTTCGCCTTGCTTGACATCTCGACCTCGCCTATACCATGCATCGGACGTGCGGCAAGTGTGAACATCGCTGCGTCGGTAAACACTCTCCAGCTTCTGGCTGTTGTGACCGCTACCAACGGCAGTCTTTCCCACTTCACGTTTTGTATGGATGACTTCGTTCATACGAAGATGCCGCTCCAGAACGTAGATCGGATGGCCCTTGAAGTCTTGGACATTCTTTGGCATACCCTCGGCCTCTGAGCGACGAAGGAGATCAGCATCTTCGATCTCATCTCGACTCTCGGGGAAAGGTTTTGCAAAGTGTGCTAATGTATCATGCCACCAATGCTCGCCGTCTTTGGTACTCTCGACACGTGCTTTGCGAGTTTTGGCGTTGAACCATTGGACATACCGTCTTGTCACATCGCGTGCAGACCCATCATCCTCTATGGCAACAACGTAAGACATTGCGTTCAATGGATCTGATGCGGGCGGCTCGAATCCAGTTTTGGGTTTATTAATGGTATTCCGGACCAACGGATCGAGTGGAATCCACATTGAAGCCGCAGGCGAGAAGACCTCGACCCAATAGACTGGGAAGGCGGAGTCCTTTTGCTTCTTACGGGACGTGCTCACAGTGGAGGTGCCAAAGCTTTGTGTCGGAGCAAAAGAGTACTTTGGCATGGCCTTCTCTGGAGTCTGGCCTTTAGCAGCGGCTGAGAATGGGAGAGCCTGAAGAGAGCAGACTAGGCGTGTCTCAACGGCCACTGAGCGGAGCAACGCGCAGAACATCTGCGCCCCTAGATCTCGCGAACCGCGCTGCGTTTGCGCGGCAGATCTGAAGTCGTCGAAATCCAGATCTTCGGACAAGCCGCTCTCTTTCTCAACCTGAATATCGTCACGCCATGTTGCTCGCCGCATACCCCTCCCGATGGTAGTCCAAGTCGTCCGCCAAAGAAGGCAGATTTCCTCGATGCCCTTGTTGAAAGAATGAGAGCGTTGCAGCTGCGACTTCGATTCATCCTCGTGCAGCAGCTTGACGACCTTGCGGGGGACAAGGGATTTCAACGTTGCTTGCACATCGCCATCCTCGCACCAACGATTTCGACACCACATTGAGAGAAGTAAGAGGAACAGGTGAGCTTTGTGCCACTCTAGGCGCTTTCTCCGTTCTGCGGCTGATACGATCTGGCGTTTGGGAAGACGCTTGGGTGTCTCGACAGGCGCTGACACATCAACAGTGAAGACTTTCTGCTCGGGCTTCTCATCTTCCTCTGAGACCGCCAATTCAACATCTTCAAACTCGATATCGTCGTCAGAATCTTCGAACTCATCGTAGATCACTGGCTGATGATGTTGAGGTTCAGCAGGCTCATCTTCGCTCGGTAGTAGTGCGAAGGCAAGCTCTTCGATAGGCTCTACATGCAATTGGGTACTGTTCACCGGGTCCTCGTCCAATTTTCGGCGCTTAGTTGGCCGAGCGGATGCTCGAGGCGGCCCCGAAGCCTCCGCTTCTGCCAGCATCTCGTGATAGACATCCGGTATGCTTGACTCGGCGACTGGTCGATTTCGTGCTGACCTACGACCCCGTGTGGCCACGGATCTGGCCGCTGCCCTTTTCTTTGGCGGCATGACTTGGGTATAATAATGCGAATACGTACGACTTCATCTCGAGCGGGCAGCTTCCGCAGCGGACGAGCTTATGACCAGGAGCACTGGACTTCCAATCGACGGTGAAACGTTGACAACGCGGGAAGCATACAGGTGCCATGCACGCTGAGTGCCAATTAATGACTAATTGAAAGCCTCTGTTGCTCGTTGAGCGGACTGTGAATCGAATACGCCCTCAGCACGCGAGCGCGACAGCTGACGTCAGTGCCAAGCATTGAGGAAGGCGTCATCACGTGATATCAGTATGGTGTTCAGTATGCCTTGGAGGAACTCGATTTTAATCTAAATGACACCGCTTGCACCGTATCCCACACAAGTGGCAGCCAGAGCTCCAAGATGTGGGCCTTGTAATGCGCTTCACACGAGCCTAACCTGTGCACCTCTCCTCGGGTGGCCGCCAGCCTACACCCAGGCCTTCCATCACGTTCCTCTCCCTCTCCTCCCACGTTTTTCCATTCCCCTCAAGTTCCACTACCGCCCCACTTGCCCGGTCTCTTACTCCGCTACTATCAAATTTCCAACCTTTAACTTTCGCCGCAAACCTCCTAAGATCGCGTTGGAATGTCGTTCCGCCGCTCCAGCCAAGTACCGCACATCCTACCGTGCGCCATGGGCTCAGAATGATGTCGACTCGCCGGTGTATGTTGGAATTCTTCTGTATCGTGCCGCTTTCGCTGTCAAAGTTAGGGTCCTGCCATACGCACAATGCCTTGTCGAGGCTGTCAAAGCCGTGGCCTCCGTGACCCTCACCTCGAAAAGGCAGTGTCTGCTGATCGCGGTCGGACGTTGTGGTCTGAAGCGTGAGAGTGTGCGTGACCCAGCCTTCAATTTCAAGGCTGCGGACAACATCTACCACGAGCTCGTGCGTGACACCCTCGTCGCGGTGCGAGAGGATAACATCCACGTCGCCGCTTTCCTGCTTCCCACGCCGGTAGCCACCGACGATCACACACACCATATCCCGCTCCGTGCCCCAGTCGGATTCCTTGATTCCCTTGCAAGCTCTCGCGTGCCGAAGAATCACTCCAGCGATCGCCTCCACTTCCGCACGAGGGATTCGCTTCGCAAACTCAGCGTAGAACTTTACGCCAATCTGCTGCACTCGATTCAGCGAATTCCAATGATATTCAACAATGTCGTCAAGATCCTTCAAGCCATGGGTATAGTACAGTTTTCGGGCAGTATCCGCGCCCACACCCCAGATTTCGTAGAAGCCTCTCAGTATCGTTAAATCTGGGTCTGCGTCAAGTTGCCGCACATGTGCAATGCTGCGTTCTGCATTCGTATCCGCGCTATCGAACCACTCAAGCCACAACTCCGCGATACGCGAGTTACAGCCTGGTAGTCGCAAGATCTCCGTCTCGCTACTGAGCTCGTGAGGGTAAGCAGCAAGAGCGGCAATAGAGGTAGAGTAGGCGCGCACACCAATGGCGTCGAGAGTCAAAATGCGCGCAAGCTTGATTTTCTGCAGTTGAGAGATGAAGGAATCGTTTGGGCCGGTGAGCAGCGTAGACCGGCAGCAGGCATAAGAGGCGGTGTTGGATTGTGTCGCCCAGGATGGTAGGGCTGGTAACTTTGACGGTGAAGGGCCTCGCGATGAGTTTCCTTCGGCTTCGGAAGTCGTTGTTCGGTGAAGTCTGGGAGGTGGGCGTTTGGTCAGGCTGGGTGCGGTTCGAGAATGGGATGAGAAGGGGCGTGGAGCGGGAGGCGCAGCGGAGGGGACGGCGTGAGTAGAGGATGGACCGGGCGTAGCTTTGATGTAGGTGACGGTGGATGGTATGGGTGGAGGCGTGCTTTCGCCTTTGGGCTTGGTAATTATCTTACCGGCATAGACCACCTGACTTTGGTGCGCAAGCTGAGTGCGCTGCTTAATGCACGCGTCCAGCCATTCTAGCTTGATTACGAGGACGTGAGAGCTCAGATCTGGCCAAATGGGAGTGGAAGGCGGCGAAGGAGGCGGGCCCGGGCTGCTGGTGCCGGAGGACTGGCTGCTGTTGGGATGTTTTCGCTTTCTGCCACGTGCAGCTGGACCGCTTTCGCCCTCTGTTGCCAAGGCGGCTGGAGGCTCACCTGGCTCGGTCCAGATACCTTTCGACCGTAGATCAAAGGCCGCCCTTTTCTTTTGCGATATTCGTGCTAGAAAGACACGGCCCTCGGTCGGGTTGTAAGTGAGCGCGCCACCAGCGGCGTACACAAGATCCTCATATTCGTGTAGCTCCTCCGTCGACAAATGCGTAGAGAGGATGAAGATGGGTGGTGCGGAGCTCAGGTCTAGAGCCGCAGCATGTGGTGGAGGCATCACTGCTAGTCCAAAACACTGATACCCTTAAGCCAGGACTTAGCATTGGTTACCAAGAATTATACCAAGCTTGTCCCTCATCGGCTCTGAGCGACTCAGACTGCCCGATACATACAAACAATTGCCTGAAGCGCTCAAGAGTATCGCCCCAGGGATGGTAACGGTGCTTGTCGAATCGCGATCCTGGGTGAGGCGTATGACACGACTCGGAGAGTGACATCATGCGGACTCGAGGATGAATGTTCCGAATACGCGGTGAAGGTGAAGAATAACAGGACAGCTACCTTTTGCAGCAAGCTACATCGTGGACGTATCCTAAAGCCGCACTTCAACCTCAGTTGAAAGGCTGGTTTGACGAGTGGAAGTAGTGAAGTCGAGCTGCTACTACAGTAGAGAAGACGTTGGGCGCGTGGTGGAGCTGAAGCCTCATGGCTCCTTCGTCCCGCCCTAGGCGCCTACGCTCGCCGCCTGGTTTGCCTTCCACGCCCCTGACTGACACTTCTCCTCGCAGTCAAACCAGAGGCACGTATGCTTGAGCTCCTGAAATATGAGGCTCTCGGATCCACGCCGTACATTGGGTCAATTTGATCTGCCATGAAGTTGCTAGGCTGCAAGCCATGGCACTGGCACCCAATGTCATCGCGCTTGGTGGTGGGTGCAGTCGATCCGCCTACCGAGAGGAGACTTGATCTGTTCTCTCCAAGTCCTCGATGTGTCATAGTGCTGCTGTAAATTATGCTGCAGTCCTTTTGAGTCGTGCCGGCCGGCGTAGGATGTCCACGAAGCGGAGCCAGAGACAATGCCGTATTTTGATATCAGTCATGAAGGCGAGGACGAGTCGCAGGGGACTCGTGATGATGATTCGGAGTTTCGTGAGGACTCATGTGATGAGGATGGCGATGATGGTGGTGGTGATAGTGAAAACATAAGAGCTATCCGTTAATAAAGAAATAGATATTGCTGGCTGCCGTAACGTGAGCTCAATTTTGGACACTACATGATATAAAGATACATTTTATGGTTGAGTAGCACCCACCAAAGTTCCACCTCGCGATGCGCAAACATGACAAGTACCCAAGTGCTTCCACATACCAATACACTGACGGACCGGCTATGCTTCGACCTCCCCAGTTCCAAAGCCACCCCACCCGTCAAACTCATCCGCAAACCTGACTGCGCATTTCAGGAACCACTCGTCCTTGTCGCCCCAGGTCTTTGCCGCCTCCATCATGGCTCTGCAGCCCTTGACGAAATGCGCGTCATACTTGTGCCCACCTTTCATGGCCGTGTCGCGCACAAAGGTCCAGTCTCGGCCCTTGAGGTCGTAGGACTTCTGAGCCTCGCCGGCCTCGAGCAGTGAGGGACGCAGTTGGGCGACGTAGATGGCTAGCGTGATGAAGAACCACTGCTTGACGAGGCGGACGTGGGTGTTGGCTGGGAAGAATGGGAGGAGGATGCGGATCGCGTGTGAGGTGGTCAGCAGGTGGACGAGGAAAAAGTCGTAGCCGTGACCAGGCGATGGAAGATGTGGGGAGGTGGAGATCAAGAGGAGAGATGCCAGATGCTGGGATTGTGTGAACTGCTTAGTGGGATCGGTGATGGTCCAGCTGTGAAAGTAGGACATGAGGATGTCGGCCAGCTCGGGATTGTTGAGAAGGTCCGTGAGGTTGGTGCTGCCGGGGGCTGAAAAGACATTGTCAAACCGCTTATCGGCATCAACGCGATTGAAGATTTCGAGCAGGTCGGTGGTGGAGTTTTTGATGTGTTTTGGAGGCTTCTGAGTGGAAAGTGAAGCTATCTTTGCATCATAGCAGGTGGCAGCGAGGCCGAGGGCCTCCATAACGACCTCACGAGATGTCAATTCGTAGCCATAGCCTAGATGAATAAGAGGGTGACCCAGGCCACCGACAAGGCAGTCGAATATTGGATAAGGGGCATCGGAAGACTTGTCGCCTGATTCGAAGAGGTATTTGTTGACAACAGCTTTCCAGTCGTACCCATTTTCAACAAGTTGATCCTCGAAGAAGTCGACCCATGCTCGTTGGTAATTGCGTTTGGCGAGCTGGTCTCTATGATCGTGTTCGGCTATTTCAGACGGGGAGTCCTCCCAGGGTTCAAGATTGTCGTGCTTGGAGATATCCTCATAGACATCGTTGAGGTGGTCTGCATCGGACTTGAGCAAGTAAGCGCTGCCTAGGATATGAGGAGAGTGATTGTGGAAACGCAGATGGTTATACAGGATTGAATGTTGGGCATGGTTGAGCTTGAGTAGATGTTTGAGGCGGCGACCTGATTTGTCCGCTGCCGTCTCGATATCGTGAATCTCAACAGAGCCAACATTAATGCCAGAGCTTCCACCGAGCCCGGCATAGGACAGGAGAGATGAGAGCATGCTTAGATGGGTGTCATTCAGGTTCCCAAGAGACCACACAGCGTTCTACCTCATGGTGTGAGGTATTTAGGCGGGCCGTGCTCGTATGGTTTGAGTGAGAGCCCCCGCATGACGATATGCTGCATATTCGTTGGGCAAGGCTGGGCGGCGAGGCAACGAGGCTGCCGGATGCAATGTCTTGCGCTTCCGGCGAGAAGTATTGGGCGTGTCTTTGCGCAGCCAACTTACAGCATTAGCTTGATCACGGTTATCCGTGTGTTGTTTGCAGCAGTTGACGCGTCCTTGTGGGAGGGGAAGCCAACGTCCAAGGCTGAGGATCCAGCTATCTTTAGGCGGCGATCGCGGACTCCAGGCGTGGCTCCCAGGCGACTTGGCGGTGAACTGGTCCCTGAATTTTGGGGAAGGGTCCACCCGAAAGTCTGCCTGGCTACCACTTGATATTGAACTTCACCTGCGGTGCAACGCATGAGCTGCCCGCTTGGCTGCGATACCGCTGCGACTCACAGGGACGCCTGCTACGCCTGGCATTCCGCAATGCTTTCCAATGGCTTCACGTCCTGCCAAAAGGCAGCGAAGGTCAACTCGAGTGCTTTCGGACGACGATGACGAATACCCACCTGCTTCTGATCTGCCGGTCCGAACTCCTAAGGCTCAGAGACAGCTCTCACTCGACAACGGAGGCGGAGCAATTACGCTTTCTCCCAGCTCTACGCGCACACACAGTCTGCAATCAACACCAAAGAAGAGCGGTAAAGCATCACCAAGGACCAGCCCAGACAAAACACGAAAGAGTACACGGTTGAAGGAGCCTGAGATTTCCAAATCGCTGCACAGCTTCTTTGGGAAAGCCTCGGAAGAACAAAGATGGCAACGAAACAAGTCAAATACGCCCGAGGTCGTTCTAGCCGGCGACGACCTCGATGCGATCGTGGATGATGACCTGTCGGACGAAGCCCTACTGGCTTTGGAAGAGTCTGCCAGCAGCACAAGTGCACTCGATAGGCGGAAATCTATGATCAAGCCTGTAACCAATGGGATGGGCACATCGAATGGGAGGAAGTTTGTCAAACCCTCGATACCTTTCAAGAGGCCAAACGCGCCATCTGAAAGCCCGTCTGTGAGAACTGAACAGGAGTCTTTCGGCCCATGGTCGGAGCGATACGGTCCGACAAAACTCGATGAACTCGCCATACACAAGAAGAAAGTGTCTGACGTACAACAATGGCTTGACGGTGTCACTTCTGGCCGGCTCCGCCAGAGGCTACTGGTGTTGAAAGGCCCTGCAGGCAGTGGGAAGACTGCCACGGTGGGGCTGATTGCAAGGGAACTTGGTCTGAGCCCCGTCTTTTGGCAGAATCCAGGGGTGGTCGACACTGCTACAGGTGGCTCTGTGGCCGCGCAGTTCGATGACTTCCTCAATCGTGGCGGGCAGTTTGGAACTCTGGGCCTCACTGCTGCTCACGACACCGAAACAGCCGCCGCTGCGGAAAGGCAGCTACTGATTGTTGAAGAGTTTCCAACATCGATGGCGAGATCGGCAGAGTCCTTCCGCACGGTTGTCAGTCGCTTTCTTGCTCGAGGAAGCCCAGGTCCTGCACAGCCCTTCAAGAACGTGCAACACAGCAGTGTGCCGACATTTCCCGTTGTCATGATCATTTCAGAAACACTGCTCAGTTCATCTACAGCTTTCTCTGATAGCTTTACTGCTCATCGTCTACTTGGCCCCGAAATTCTCAACCATTCCTCTACCAATGTTATCGAGTTCAATCCGGTGGCACAAACTTTTATCCACAAAGCACTTGATCTGGTAGTCAGGAAGGAGGCTCGAGATTCTCTGCGGAGACGGATCCCCGGCCCTGCAGTGATGCAGCGTTTAGCAGAGATGGGCGATGTCCGCAATGCTGTGAACGCTCTCGAGTTTCTGTGTGTACGAAACGACAGTAGTTCGGACTGGTCTGGCACTGTTGCTGGTAAATCGAAAAAGTCTGCCAAAGACTCTGCAAACCTGACCGCGATGGAACGCGACTCCTTGAAGCTTGTCAGTCAGCGAGAGACCACGCTTGATATGTTCCATGCTGCGGGCAAGGTTGTGTATAACAAGCGCGAAGATCCACGGGTAGCAGATCTGAAAGCTGAACCACCACCTAAGCCACCCGATCATCTTATGCATCTCTACACTCCGAAAGTATCACAAGTCGACATCGAAGCACTGTTCAACGAGACCGGCACTGACATTCAAACATTCATCTCGTCCCTGCATGAAAACTATGCTCTGTCCTGTAATGGCGACTCTTTCGTTGAGACGTTCACCAATTGCGCTGCGGCACTCTCAGTAAGCGACACACTCAACCCCGAGTCCCGAAGGTCTCTCCGCAGTAAGACAGGCAATGCTGCAGTCAACTATTCAGCAATGCAGACGGGCGGCACGGACTCCTTGAGGCAAGATGAGATCAGCTTCAATGTGGCTGCACGGGGTCTTCTCTTTCACCTGCCACATCCGGTCAACCGTGCAGCTCCCAGTAGCGGCAGAAGTGCCGATAAGTTCAAGATGTTCTATCCCACGAGCTTGAGATTGTGGAGACCTACGGAAGAAGTCGATTCCCTCATCTCGTTGTTCACCCATGACAAGAGCCTGTTAAACGAAGGCCTACAGTCTTCGGTCGGCGGCGTGGCCAGCTGGAAGAATACCAGCTTTGGTCCGTCTCATTCAGCTCTAGAAGATCTGGCAGACGAAACAGTTCCGCCAAGGAGAGCTCTGCCTTCGCGCGATGACCTTGTTGCCGATGTATTGCCATACCTGGCTCGCATCAAGTTGGCCCGGAAGGAAGATACCAAGCTCATCGACCGCATCACGCAGATCCAAAATCTCAGTATGCCACTCTCAGGCGAAGAGCCAGATGATGAGCAACCCAAGGAGGAGATCATCGTGGGAGCAACCAAAGTCCGAGGCAGTTTCTCAACAGCAGCAGCAACCTCTCAGTTGAGACGGCCAGCTGGAAGCGTAACCCCCAATCAGATGGCGGCGCCACTCAGTCGAGGAAGCCAGAGCAGAGGAGACGACAGCACGAGCAGCCAGATGGAGAACCTGTTCCTTGCAGATGACGATATAATCGATGATTGAGCCGGAACAAGGCGTTCAGGATTAAAGGGAAAATGCAGTGTACAGGCCTCGGTAGTCTAGATGGTCTTGTCCAGCGACGTGGGATAGTAGGAGTTGACGGTACACTTGGACGCCGAACATAAAATATACCAACAGTCAGTAGCAAAAGTTCCGATCGTGGTGAAACACGTCAGAGGGATGTTCGCACTCGATAAAGCAGATCTATTCCGTTTCTTTTGTTAGTCCTACATACCATTGCCGACATACTGCGGCCGCAACGCCCAATCCACCATGATGCGTGTTGGCTGTACGACCGACTATCTGTCCGCCCAGCCAGCCAGCTTGGTAGCTAATCTGCATTGCTCCAGTCTGTCACATTTTCATTCGTAGCCCAGCTTCCGCTTCACTTTCACGCAACCTTCTTCTTCCCAATACTCGTATCCAGCTGGCCCACGGCCCACAGGACGACAAAGACGGCCACGAAGCCCGCAACGATGGAGAGGGGTTTGCGCAGCGCCGCCGCGGTCGTGTATTCATACGTGACCAGCAGCTCGGCGTCACGGATCTCGTCTACCACATTTCTGGCCTTGAGGGTCAGGCGCGTGCGGCCCAGTGTGGTGTCCATAAAGGTCTTGGTGGTGCCTTCTTCGACTTCGAAGTCGGGGAGGGAGGGGCCGACGATCTCGTGGGACTGGATTGTGGCGCCTTCGGGGAGGAGGACGTCGAGGGAGTAGGCGCCGATGGAGAGACCTTCTGGATTAACGGGCGGGCTTAGTAGTGGGGCGCGTAGGACGTATGTTGACGGCTTGGCGGCCAGGGCGCGCACGTAGCTGCTCAGAGGCGCGTTCCAGCCGATGCGGAAGGTGTAGTTCCATCCGCCGAACAGCGGGTAGCGCGGCTTGAGCTCCAGGTTCGCTGGGCGGGTGGGCGAGGTGCGGGGTGTGGGTCGGAAACGAGAGGTGGATACGTTGCCGATGTCGTCCGTGTAGTAGGGGTCCGCGGACAGGGCAGGAAGGGCGAGGTTGAGTTGGCGTAGGGCAGGGGTGGATATCTGGTTGGATTGGACGTAGAAGTTCTGGGTGGCCCAAGAAACGCGGCTGAAGTGATTCGAGAGGTGAGCGCCGGTGTTGGTGAGCGCGTAGTGGTCTTCTGTAGCTAGGTTACCACCCCAGTGGGAGACCTCGAGGGAACGGCTGAGGGTGGTGGATAGCAGAACGGGTTTGGTGAACTCGTAGCGAACGGTCACAGGATGAGAAGTAAACGGTGGTGTAGTAGTGTCGTATGGCCCGTAGGTCAGCGCAGAGCCCTCCTTGGTGGGATCGGCGGACTTTGTAAGGCCCTTGGTCGTGCTATACTCCGGCACATCGGCTGAGGGGCTTTTAAGCTTCGTCTTCTGCTTGAGGGTTGGATAAGCGGAAGGGAAATAGGCGGAGAAGGAGTATGTCAGATACTGCTTCTCATCTTGCTTGATGGCTGCCGGGAGGGGCATGAGGGAGTTGAGGAGGTGGTAGGAGATGGAGAGTGTAATCGAGTCCTCGGATTGGACAGGCGTCGGGAGGTGAATGACGAAGTACTGCGTAGGCCTGCTGATGTTAGAGCTTTGCCTCACATGTACCAACACACTCACTTCGATGACACATCTCCGTCCAGTACAGCAGCCAGCGCTGCGGTAGTCACCTTGAACTTGGTCTTGGTGTCGTCGTTGCGATTCCGCACCTCAAACCCTCCAACATTGCCAATGACATCGTAATCAAATGGGAAGTAGTATTCAGACTGTGGCGACTTGTCCGTATTCTTGATAACCAGATTCACTGTCTCGCGGACATAGCTTTTCTCAAGATTGGTGTTGCGCACCAGGTTGGCGTTCTCCCATACCTGCGGAGGCTTGAAGTCTCCCTGCAGTATTTGTCGGGTCGATTGCGGTGTGGTGAGGTTGGACTCTGCTAATGAGGTGCCGAGCAGCAGCGATATCGCCGCTCCCAGTACGCCGAGCCTCATTCTGTTGGCATTGATCGGACGGAATCGAGCATTGGATTACCGCAACATGTTCAAGATGCCAGATATAAGGGTCGCGTTGAAGGCATCCAATCACAAGCGGTGCTTCGTAGCCTCGCCTTGGCGTGTACGGTGCGCGGTGCGGCCATCATGATTCACTTTGACACAACATCGAACGACACTTCTCCGACTTCATTTGACTCGGCTGCCACTAATGTGGCGCTGCAGCTGTGAGATAGACTGCGTGGACGCATGGGACTCAGGAACCCTAGTCAAGCCAGTCTAGAGCAGACCACCAACGGTGCATGCGTCTTGAGCCACCTATTCAGCAGCATTGCGAACTCCGAATTTCGGCAGCGAATTTGGCCGCGACCATGATCAGGCGTGCTACGAGATCCGAATTCATGGTTGCTCGGGGAAAGTCCGGCTGCAGATGGCAATACTTACTCCCTCCCGCGACACCGGACACACAGCTCTTAAAGTGTAATGATGAATAAGTCCCGCTACGCGCCCGCTACGCGGCCGCAGAGGGTCTTCGTTGCTTGAAGCCGTTCACTGACTGGCTTTATGCCATGTCCAATGCTCCGTCAACGGAATGTAGAGCTGACTATATAGACATGTCACAATGACATCTCCCCTGAGAACTATTCCTCCAACATCCAACCCAACCAGAGTATCTAAGCCATAACATCATGTCAGAAACACTGCAACCACCAGCAGCTGTCACAAAGCAACTCGCCCACTGGATCTCTTCCACCACGAGCGCCGACATCCCATCCGAGAATCTCACACGGGTCAAACATCTCATCCTCGACGGCATCGCCTGCGCCATCGTCGCCGCCCACCTCCCCTGGTCCACCACCGCAACCCGCGCCATCACCAGCGCCGAGCCCTCCGGCCCCTGCACCGTCATCGGCTGGCAGGATCACACGCTGGGGCCGCTGGCCGCATGTCTCCTCAACAGCACCTTCATTCAAGGCTTCGAACTAGATGACTACCACTCTCGCGCCCCACTCCACAGTAATTCCCTTCTGATCCCCGCCCTGCTCGCTGCAATCGAATCCCCCCTGTCGACAGGCCAGACCATCACCGGCCGGGATTTCCTGCGTGCCTACGCCGTCGGCCTCGAAGTCGGGCCGCGCGTTGGTCTCGCCCTGCACGGCAACGACCTGTTGACCCGGGGTTGGCACTCGGGCGCGGTTCAGGGGCCCAGCGCCGCTGCAGCCGCAGTCTCCAATCTGCTTGGTCTGAACGCGCAGCGGACCGAGTGGGCCTTGGGCATCGCGTGCACACAGGCAGGCGGCCTGATGAGCGCGCAGTTCGGCAGCGATGCGAAGCGGATGCAGCACGGATTCGCGGCGCGCAACGGGCTGCTGGGCGTGATATTGGCGAAAGAGGGGTACACGGGCATCGAAGACGTGTACGAGCGCGACTACGGCGGGTTCCTGAGCTGCTTTGGTCAAGGAATGGTGGAGGGACGAGACCAGCCTTTTGTCGCCCACGAGCTGGTCAAAGGTCTCGGCGAGGTCTGGGAGATCGAGGGCGTGCGCGTCAAGCTGCACGCCGCGATGGCGGGCCTGCACTCGACCATCGACTGCATCGAAGACCTGCAGAAACGCCACCCCGAGCACTTCGCCGATGGTGGCAAGCTCGACCAGATCGACCAGATCGTCACCGCGCACGGCGACGCCATGTACCACCACGGCGGCTGGATCGCGCCCGAGCACGAGCCCCTGTCCTCGACGGCCGCGCAGATGTCGATCCAGTACGCCGCGGCCGCGCAGCTGCTGGACCGCGAGGTCCTCATGGACCAGTACGGCGCCGACAAGCTGAACCGCCCGGCCATCCGGCAGTTGATGAAGAAGGTGAAGCCCACGCACACCACCGAGTTCGACAAGGATCCCACCAAGGTGTTCGCCACGCACGCCACCGTGCGCTTCAGAGACGGCTCGACGGTGGAGACGGAGGTGGCGGCGCCGAGGGGCCAGCAGCCGCCGGTCAGCAATGAGGAGATCGTGGATAAGTGGCGGCGGCTGGTGCGCGACGTGCTGGACGAGGAGCGCAGAGCGCAGATCGAGCAGGTGGTCTTAGACCTGGAGGAGGCGGCGGATTTGCGCCCGTTGTTGGCCCTGTTGAGGGGGGATGTGCGGTGTCCGATTAGGGTTGAGGGGACGGATGGTTGATGTGGGTTTCACGACGTTGATTGGGCTTGGAAAGGAGTTAAAAGGGCGAGCGAGGCTGCTCAAGGAATAGTGAAGCCCTGCAGAGCAGTGGGTGCTTGGCGTTGGCGTTGGCTCATCGAACGCAGGGTTCAGGGACAGACTGGCTGGGGTTTTGTTTCTGCTGTCTCGGTTTTCGGTGGGAGATTGACGATTCCGGATCCGGCGAGCTCGAGGTGAGTCTTTGTCTCGAGGCCTGTACGGTTGCTCGTGGCTGGACAGGGGCCTAAATACTCTAGAGTGTAAACATCAGGCAGCGGAAGCCTGGCACCGAGTACAAATTGTTTCTCGCAACGTTGTTCAACTACACCAATAGTCGCAGCATTCGGATGCAATTCTACAACTCTGCTCGTGGTCGAACTACCTTGATTAAAACAGCCTACTCCCACCAGCACCACCATCACCCACCACATCCGGAAATAGCACAGAACTATTGCCATCCACGACGATCCAACTCCTCACCACCGCCGTCCCGTTCTCCACCCCCTCAACCTGCTCCGGCGTACACGTCGCCCCAGGATCCAAGACATAACAGTACTGCAACGGCTGCTCCGGGGACTCATTCCTATGGCCCCACGAATCCTCCGGCCCTATACTACTATACTCCCCATCCACCGTCGACGTCTCCCCCGTGGCGACATCCACATTGAACAGACTCCTCGTGAAGACCCGATACGCCGTCTCCGGCTGGTAGAACGGCACCTCGTGGCCCGCCTCGTAAACGCGCGCGAAACTCAAATTGCCGTGCTGACGCACCATCCCCCCCTCATACGAGTCGTTGGCCATGAGAGGCGCGTAGCCCGCCGAGGCGAACTCGGCGGCGGACGCGTGCGGGATGGCGAGCGAGACGGCTTCCCCGCCGATCCAGTTGCAGGCGTAGTCGCGGTCGCCGTACATGAGCGTGACTTTGATGCCGTTGTCCAACAGGTAGGCGAGGTCCTCGAGCCAGCCGGGCCGGACGTAGTCGCCAATGGAGCGGAAGGCGGCGCCCACGGGCGAGGAGGATTGCGTCCAGTTCAGTGGGGTGCCGAGCGCGGCTTGCACGTGCGGTTGGTTGAGGTAGCCTTCGTAGAAGGGCGGGGGGAGCGGGTCCGGGTCCAGCGTGGCGAAGTCGTAGTAGTTGCGGCCCGAGACGTCGAGGTAGGGGCCGCGGACGCGGGAGGAGCAGAAGTTCTCGGCTGAGGCGCAGAGGGCGTTGAGGGTTGAGTTGGAGCCTGTGTCGTCCGGGTCGGAGAGGGCGGCTTGGGCGCGGCAGGCGTCGATCTGGTCGCGGCAGCCGCCGGGGCCGTAGTAGGCGTCGAGCATTTGTTGGTAGATGGTTTCGTTGACGGTTTGGATGCCGTACGTGTTGTTGTAGGCGATGTGTGGGTAGGATGGGTACATGACCTGTCGGTCAATGCAGCCGTTGATGATCAGGAGGGTGTCGAGATTGAGGATGAACATCTCGCCGTCGTCGTCGGTGAAGCTGCCGTTGGCGATCTTTTGGTTCTGTTCCTCAAAGAAGGCGAAGAAGGCGGGACCGTAGCGGCCGCCATAGGACTCGGTGGCCAAAGAGATCTTCTGGTCGGTTGGACGGTAGAAAGGGAACTCCTGGAACCAGGTCTGTGCGAAATGCCAGAGTGCAATTGCGGCGTTTCGGCTACCTAGGGCGGTGCTATTGCCGTCCTGCGATGGGTATGTGCCCGTAAGGAACGTGGCGTTCTGATCCGGGAGGGGATCGGTATCATTCAGGAGTGTGATGTCGCCTGATACGAGGTTGGTGGTGATGTTGGTGAGCACGTCATACGAGAAACCAACTTGTACAGGCTGATCAAGGAATAACATATTGACTGAGACTCGTGAGCTTAACTGACCGTACTCATAAGCGTTTTGGCCTACCTTCATTATTCCACGACCATTCGCTTAACCTCGTGCTATTGGAATCCGGGTTGACATAGCACGGTCCATTCTCGACCAGTAATCCCAGCATCGATGAGCTTCCGGGGCCACCGTTCATCCATATTGACAGCGGGGCGGTACTGGCGTTTTTCCTCGCTTCAAAGAACCAGAAAAAGGTGTTTATGGGATAGCTTTGTTCCTCGCCAAGGTCGTCCAGGGAGCCGGGAGGGAGATGGACGTAGCCCGCGAATGCTCTGACTCCAGGCGTGGTCTCGCAAATATAAGTCTCTTTGTAGGAGATGGTCACGTTGTCACCAAAGCGAGACTCTAGGACCGTAACGCCTTCCGGGCTGGTGGGAAAACCGGCCAGAGCAGGCTGAGACAGGCAAAGCACCTGTAAGATGCCATGTAGTAGGCTAGAGAGCTTCATGTTGTCGTTCAAGCAGCTTTGCAGCTATCTGCAAACAATAAAAAAGTAACCTTGGTACCTAGCTTCCGCCACATGTTTTTATATCCAGATCGCGGGACGTTCTGGTACATGCCTATCAGTTGATTGAGGGGGCCGGTGCAGATCACAAGGACGATGTCACCTCTGCCATGGATTCGTCCATGAATACTCCGGCTTTCTGCTTGTGAGAAGCACCAGCGTAGTACTCTTAGGGAAGGTGACAAGGATCAAGCTGTGAAAGCTTCCCTTCGCTTGGCTATCGCATGGCGGAGTTTGGCAAAGCTTCCCTCCCATGCCACGGCCGGCGATGGGGGTCGGTGCGGGGATCGGAGAAGCATTCGCTCACTGGACAAGATATATCCGTACAAGTACCTTATCGAAACTCCATGAAGGAGACGTCGGCAAGGTCGGATCGGGTGCATGCTTGGCATTCCGACGGGCTCATGACCAGGCATCGGTCATGGACGGCGACACCTCAGTCATGAATCTAAAGCGCGTGTAGAAGCAGATACATCCATAACCATCTGGGACCCTTTTCCGAGTATATACTATAGCCTGTATGTACTATAGCCTCGATCTAGGCCTCGGACGCCACTTCGCATACGGATGCCCCGTCTCCTCCGGCACAAGATGGTCGACGTCGGACGTGTTGACCAAGCCCGGATGCACTTCCGTCAGGTCTTTGATACCAATGAGCTTCATGACGCTTTCCACCTCGTCCTTGAGAACTGCGCGGTGTGTTAGTCTCTGATGACCGGCCATGATTCGACAAATCTCCAGAGCCCGGAGGACAAGGTAACACTCACTTTCAACCAGATGCTCCGCCCCCTCCTGCCCGTAGTGCAACGCGTAGAGGAACGTGCGCCCAATGCCCACCGCCGTCGCGCCCAAACACAAAGCCTTGACGATATCGCCGCCCCTGCGGAACCCGCCGTCCACATACACTTCCATCCGCTCAAACACTTCGGGGCAGCACTTGTGCATCTCGAGCAGCAGGAGGATCGACGGCGGTGAGTAGTCGAGATTCCTGCCTCCGTGATTACTCAGCACGATGCCTTGCACGCCGTGCTGCAGCGCCAGCCGCGCGTCCGCCGCACCAGTAATGCCTTTCAGCACGATAGGCAGGTCCGTCTGTCGCCGGATCCAGGCGATGTCCGCCCACGTCATGCCCTGGTCGATGTAGCTGCCCATCATGCGCGTCAAGCCGCCGCCTTTCTTGTCGGCCTGAGCCCGCTCCCCCGTCACCGGGTTGGTGATGACCTCGTCGACGCGCAGGCGCTCGTCGGACTCGCGCTTGCCGCGCCCTGCGGCGTCGACGGTGAGGAATACGGCGATCATGCCCAGGTCTCGTAGGCTGTGTAGGATTTCGGCGGATTTGGACCGGTCTTTGTTGAGGTAGAGCTGGAAGAGGAAAGGGTGGTCCGGCGCTTCAGCGACGACATCGGGGAGTGGGTGTGAGGCGCTTGTCGAGAGCTAGATCGTGGCGTCAATGTAATGTACTGGTGTTTGTTTGCGGCGCAAGCACTCACGATTTCGAGAATGCCCGTGGACTTGGCCGCACGGGCAAGAGCCTTTTCAGCTTCGGGGTTGATCAACTTGGCCAGACCAGTAGGACAGATGAAGAGCGGAAGCTTGACGGGCGCGCCGAGGATGGAGCTCGATGTGTCAACCGTGCTGACGTCTTTCATGACTCTAGGCCGGAACCAGATCCGCTTGAGCATGGCCTCGTTGGCATCTCGCGTCCAGCAGTCAGTGGCTGCGGTTGAATAGAAGGCGTAGGCTTTCTTGGAGGCCGTCTTGGCTGCGATTTCCTCGAAGTCGTAGCTATGGAGCAGGGTTGTAAGGATAGACCCTCAGATAAGGGTATATTGCGATCGACTTACCTGTTCAGAACCATGTGCAGTGGAGGCTTCTCGTCTTCAGCCGCGACGGAACCGGGGGCTTCTGCGCGCGATAGGGCTGTCCATTCTTCTGTGATCGAAGCCGAATCCAAGTTACCTTTGAAGCAGTCCAGAGGTAAGTAATCTCTCAGCATGGACAATTGATGTATCTCTGAGTACGCTTTGGTGGCATCTCTGCCGGCATACTTGTATAGGACTGTGGCATGAGAGGTGAGTTGCCGGGTCTCTGAAAGGGATTCCAGCACTCACTTGACGCTCCCCCAGGGTGCTCACGGGCGAATCCTGTCACATCCCAGACTTGATCTTCAATGACCAGCCAACAATCCTCGGAGGTGCCGTGCCCAAGGACCTCCTTGGTTGTGATAAGCTTGGTCTCCTCCATTGCTGTCTTCCACTCTGGAATTCCTACCCGGCCGGATCGCACATCAAGATCGGCGCTATCTACATCAACACTGTCTGGATAATCTGAAAGGTGTTATAGCACGGAGGGGCGGGTAGTCGGGAAGTCGACCGATGGCGAGATCGGGGTATCGGTGGGGTTCTCCAACGTCTTCCCCACGTCGACCGAGTATTCGAGTGCGCTGGATATTGAACTATTCCGACAGCATCTCCTCCCGTTCCAGCAGTCTGATATAGTCACCTATCACCATTGTCAGCTAACGACCAAGCCGAAATATGTAGACACATACCCGCACGGCGCCAACGCCTATTCAAGATCTTCAAGGCATCAAGAATAGTTTCAGAGACGATCACCGCCTCTTGTTTACCCTCCTTGATGTACCACCGACACTCCGCTGCAGCCCAGTATAGCGCGTGTGTGACCAGCATGCTTCCAGGATGGAAGCTCACCGACAAATCTCGGCAGACTCGCAGGGCAACATGATACATCCGTTCGACGCATTGCTCCAGCCCAGCGAGAGCAAGCTTCTGCATATCGGCCTCGTCGCCCGTCGGGAACATGAAGTTGTCGCCGCTTTCGTTGCATGCGTATAGCTCGTATAGCAAGAAACGCGCACTGCAGCAGATGGCAATGGCGTCGTCAGAATAGTGCATTTGCGGAGGCGTCGTGGTTTTCTGGATTGTGGCATCCAGGGCGAGGAGCGCACGGTCGAGTTGCATGGCCTCCCTCAACCGAAATGACGTGTCAAGCTGATGGTCTGCGCAATGCCTCTGCACTCGACCCAGGACATGAGCTGCCTGGCAGATCTGGGCATAGCGCCCGACGTCGGTGCTCTCGAGATTCGGACCAAAGACTAGGCCGTTCCCGCTGATTGCGCCTTGCTCCCAGAGATCGTCGTTGCACGGTAGCAGCTCATTGTTCAGAGGCTCTCCTGTTGCTAAAGACCCGCCGTACATACCAAGATTGACGATCCTGAAGTGTTTTAGCTACACCATGAGGAAAGCTGCGCGACTTACCGGTCAAGCACCACGACAGCCCACCAAGTTCGCCTCTCTTCTTCTCTTCCTGTCAACGTTGGAGCAGCCCGGAACAGTTGAGGAGCGTTTTTCCGGTCCTGGAGGCCCATAATATGGCCAAGCCTGGCCGCATGACCGATGGAGAGGTAGCCTGCGGGATAGATGCCATGACCTATCTCATACAGAGCAATCAACAGCTTGGCTTGAAGTAGAGCCAGGGACAGGAGTGGCGTGTTCTCAATCCGAGCGAAAAATTGTCGACAGGTCCAGTACAACAGGGATCGTGCATCTTCAGTCTCAGACAGAAGCTGCGTGGCGAGCTTCATACACAGGAGCAGCAGGGCGGTGCTGGCATCGGACTCGGTCTTGAGACTCTCCGCCCTCGGCAACAGTCTCTTTTTGCTGATGATGGGAAACCAGTTACTCACAGTGCTAAAGAACGCACTGCACATGGTCATGAGCTCGTCTAGGAATCCAACATCAGTAGACATTACAAAGTCGCGATTTTGGCCAATGATTTGGTGAGGAGGGAGAGCCAGGCTTACTCTGACTGCCCAGTAGATGTAGAACTGGTGCTGGTACGTGCATCCCCGGATCCAACACGCTTGACGAGAGCTTCGCGAACGAATCAGAGTCTAGGAAATACAGGCTCGACGGGAAGTGGGTGTTGTAGTCGGTAGGTATTCTGTTTTTGTCAGATGCTAAATTCTTCGAAGTCTCACAATTCCATCTGCACTTGGGCTGCCGCGACAGCTAGTAGCGAGATGGAGAGAGTAGTCATATCTCGCATCAATGCTTGTCCACCAGAGGGGGAACACTCACGCAGATAGGTCCGCAGCCGTCGCTTCCAGCCCAGGGTCAGTATCGGAACCCGTCTGCCGATGACTCGCGCGGCCATCAGCCCGCTTTAGCAACATCTCAAGCGTCTGTATCCTATCGACCAGCCGCTGCCTATCCGACGGCGAACTAGACTCGGACGTCGCCTCATAGCCACAGTCCTTCTCGAGGCGGATGCACTGCCTGCTCATCAGCGAATTGGAACACTTCCTCATCTGGGACAAAGTTTCTTACCAGTGAGCAGGCCGGCAGCTCCTTGGTGCACTTGCGTTTCAGCTTTCTGGTCGTCATCTGTCAGCAAGTTGTACACAGCAGAATCATCAAGCGCGGAGGAAGCGGCCGCACCTGCATGGTTGGCATGCTTGGGGCGCGCGGCCGGAGACGTCGACGAGGTTGCCGCCTTTGCGGAGACCGGACATGGTGCAGACCAGTCGGATCTGGCTTGTAACGTACGCCTTTGATCTGCCGTTCAAGACAGCTGGATCGTGGGCTGGAGAACAATAGTACTGTGTAGGATACTTGGAATTCCAATTGCTGCTCGAAGCAGAATGCCATACAAACGCTCACCAGGCGTCGCAGTCGTCTTTCAGCTGGAACAGCCAGCATGGACAATTGAGCAGACTCCGTAAATAATGCCTGGTGGATGCTCCTCGTACCATACTCTGTAGCTTAGGAGATTCCCTATCTGGAATTGACGATGGCAAGACAGTCACTGCTGAAAGAGGATTGAGCCTGATCCTAGCAGATATCTTACTCGCGTGTTATCGGACCTCGAAGTGGAAGAGCGGCCGCTCCTTGGCGGACTGAAACTGGCGAGGCATGGTCATTATCGCCCTGAGGACCTGGTTGTATTCCTACGAGCGGCCGCTGTGCCTTTCTCGACCCGAATAGTCTGCGTCCCGGATCTATTGCTGATCTAAGTCGGTCTTCTTGATCCTAGCAACGTCCTACCTGGTGGACACTCACTCCCTCGCAGGCTTGCGGTGTCCGAGAGAGCCCAGACTGCATATTCCGTGATTTCACCCGTATGCAGCGGTTCGCTGGATAGAACAATCTGTAATCTGACATGAATTCAAAACCAATCTACTTCTAGATATTCTCTTGGGGCACCCTCTAGGCACCTCCTGGGCACTTTATTAGGCTTAATCGGGGAAGTTTCCACTTGGACATAGTGAGATATTACTAAGGGAGGGCTGGTAGATTTGGTTTCGGATTCATGTTAAATTACGTTTTGTGAAATCGCGTGGCTGTACGGGTATGAAATAATTGTGGAATATGCAGTCTGGGCTCTCTCGGACACCACAAGAATGAGCATCCGGGAATGTGCTGGAGATATCTGTATTGCATCGAATTTACCGACTACCCGGGTATTTAATGCTTCGCCCTCAAATTCAGGCATGACGGTTCCTGTAGCAGCTCGTGCGTACAGTCTGCTACTCGCGCCTCTGTTTCGCGCCTGTACCAATCTATCGTCTCCATGTAAATCGTACATATCATCCTCTGCAGGCCTTGATTCGATTAACCCTTTTGTGAGTTTGCTCTGAACATATGCCTGCCATAGCCGTTGGTGTCGAACGTAGCAGCTGGCACTGGTACCCCGTGTCCCTAGTGAATTTGGTGGTGATATCTCCATTCCATGTCCACCAAGGTAGGGAGGTCCTGACAACCATTGTTGATTTCGCTATCCTGCGCTTTCAACGTCTTGCAATCGATTCCACCATATCCGCGAGATCAAAGTTTTTTCGTCCACCGTTCTTGACTGCGGCTCTGGTTTGATAATCCCAAGTCTTAGGCCAAACATCGGCTCTCTCGGTAAGACCTGACCTCACTCAACATCTGTCAATCAGTCGAGCCGAGACTTTGGATTTTGCTTGTGCCATCCGCTCGACCGCCAAACATGTCGTCCCCAATGCTCTTGGCCGCGGCCGTGACCTGGCGCTTCCATGTCTCAAGCCAGCCCTCGGCCTCCTCATTGAAATATCGCCACGCCGGGCTGATTATAGGAAACCCAGCAGGCACTTCGCGTTGGGGTCCGAAGCTGTTGTTCAGATCGGACGTGTGCATCTGCGTGGTTCCTTGCCTCGATGTGACGTTCATGTCGAGGCCCGTACCGTTCTCTTCAATCAGCTTCATGTTGCGTCTGGGGCTCAGAGGCCGAATGCCGGTATCATCCCTCGCAGATCTTTCCACTTCACATTCGTCAGACATCTAAGCTGGCATTTCAAGCAAGCGGCTCAACGTTTTGCGGAGCTCGGCGATTTGCGCCTGACACGCGCCCTCCCACTGTGTCTCGTTGTGATCCACATCGTCAGCGTCCCTGTCGACCAGCTTCATACTACAACTCGCAGTCAGAGGCTGGCCACCGTTCTGGTGCTTCGTAGCCTTTTCCACTCGACGGACAGCAGGCAACTCGGCTGGCATGCTCAGCAACCTACCCAAGGTCTTGCGGAGAACGGCCACCTGCGCTGGTCCGGCGCCCTCCCATTGCGTCGCTTCGCGATCGACGTCCACTACGTGGTCATCCTCCTGCTCAGCAATGATCTGCAATCGAGAGTCGTCTGACAGCTCAGCTGGCGGCATGTCAAGCAAGCGACCTAAAGTTTTGCGAAGACCAACCACGTGCGCTGGACTGGTCCCCTCCCACTGCGTTTCTTCGTGATCGATGTCCATCATGTAATCGTCATCCTCCTCATTGGTGACTCTTTCGACTTGACACTCGTCAGTCACCTAAGCTGGCATGTTAAGCAAGCTACCCAAGGTCTTGCGGAGGCCAGCCATCTGCGCCTGGCCCGCACCCTCCCACTGCGTTTCTTCGTGATCGAGGTCCATGGCATCGTCGTCCTCCTGCTTGTGAACTCCGTTGCCGTTTATGTGTTTAGCGAATTTACCGAGCCCCTCCATCGCGTCTCTTTGCGCATACCACTCGTCAATGTCAATGTCGAAAGGACTGTTGTTGATATTTGCGCCGATGATAGGCATGCCGTTCCACAGCGAAGGACCAACTTTGTTGGCCAGTTTCAGATCGCCAGTCCCTAGCGGCTTCCGGCCTCTGGCTTCCAAGCTTTCTGTCGGCAGGAGATCATTGTCGCGATCACGTTGCAGCCTACCAGACTTGACTTCCTGCTCTTCTTTCACTACTCTCCGCTTGTATTTGGCCAGCATAACACCTTGGCCCGCACCGTCATTGTAATCGGGGCCGTTCACTCGTACACGATTGTAGATATCGTGCAGCAGATTCTTGACGTAAGTCTCGGTAGCAATGCACACTAACTCGGCAGATTCCATGGTAGTACCGGATGGGACACTTTCCTCATAGCAGATTGGTACTATCCTGGCAAACACGTTTGTGGCATCGGGAAATTCGTGCGTCTCGCTGTACAGTGGCTGCGTGTAGCGTTTCCGGATCTCGATATCCCAGTTGGTCTTGATCCCTGTGCCGGACGAAGCTGGAGGCTGCGGCGCTCTGATTTTGGCGGCATTCTGGTATTGCTCAATGCTGGTGCGCAGGGAAGCTGCCGACTCCTCTTCGAGCGAGGCTGCGGTAGCGATTCCTGGCTTTCCTTCTGTGGCGATGGTCTTTAGTCGACGGCGATCACGGGCGGGGAGTGCCATGATCTCGGCCTTCAACCGTTGCTCGCTCGCGTCGCTGATGACGGTAGCCTTGGAGGCGGCACCGGTCTTATCGCTGGCTGCGCTGACCCATGCTGCCGGTCCAGGCTCGGGTGAGTCGCGCCCTATATTGAGGATGATCGCGCATATCAACGTATTATGTGCGTGCTCCGTGGCGGGCGTTATGAGGATGAAGTGGTCGCATAGGTCACCGAACTCATTGGCGGATAATTCACCTATTTACACCGTTAGCAATCAGATGCGTCGCTCACAGGGCATGCACTTACCCCGAATGAATCGTGTGAGAGCATCGTAGTATGTACCCCAGTTGTCTGCGATCAACGATTTCAACTCCGCATAGAGAGGCTCGAAGTCGATGCGCGGGTAACCCTGTCCGCCTTTCGAGACCTTTGAGGACGGAGTCTGCGTAGGCTTCACAGTGCTTGATGAGGATGCCACAGTATCTGACCGCGCGAGCGTGGCTGGGTTGAAAATATCGTCGATGCCCGACATGTTGGAGGTTGCGGTTCCCGGACACGAACTATCGACTGCGCAATGCGCGCGACTGCGAACCCGAGGCTTCGGCGGGATACATTCGCAAAGAGAGTCGGGACCCCACGTCTCTGCTGAGCACTGGAGGGGGCGAGAAGCTTTGTCGGAACAGACGATGCAAAGGAATATTTGGAGGGGAGAGGACGAGGGTGCAAGTCCAAGTTGCACATGCGACGTCCGCGGCTGCCAAGCCTCGAGGTCAGAATGGGGTACTCACAAGACCAGTCTAGAAGTCTCTCTGCCACGAGGACAGTAACAACATCTCTCACTATTCGTCTTGGGTGGTTCGCTGTTATTGCTACGGCAGTGTGCTGTAATCTAAGAGATCGGTCCACCTGGCACGATCAGATGACGACCCTCCACTTCTTTACAGCGGCGTCGGCACCTGTACTATAGACCGTTTCCCCAATCCAGGCAATGCCATTCACGCCTTCTTTGTGCGCATTTGTGGCCTTGACTCTCTTGCCGGGCTCCTTGAGGCTCCAAACATGGATGTTCGTGTCAAGACTACCCGAGACGGCACCTGATCCATCTGGCTTCCAGGCGATACTGGTGACCTTGCCAGTATGAGCGCTCCACCGATCAGTCACGAGCTCCACAGAAACAGATCCGGTGAGAGCACCTGTGATGCCCGAGCTGACCTTGTAGACATAAATTTTACCAGCCGCAGTACCCGCCGCGAGCATTGACCCGTCCTGAGAGAAAGCAATTGCTGTGATTGGCGTAGCTGAGACCTGGTCTATAACCGCCGATTGCTTGGGCGCTTTCCCAGGTGTCAGAGTGAACAGCCGCAAGCTCGAGTCTGATGCACCGATTGCGACTGTGCTGCTGTGTGCACCGAGGGCACTAGGAGATGATTTGAGGGGCAGCTCGCCGTCCTCTTCCCCATCTCGATAGACGATCACACTCTCAAGTTGAGCAACCACAACGAGAGAATCGGACGTGCAGGTGAGGGCCTTAGGCTGCGATGAGAGCTTCGTAGATTGGCCGGTAAATGTCTTTGCATTTGCGTCGACTGTCCGGAGAGTGTCGTCCCAGCCGACAGAGTAGATTTGTGGATGGGCACCAGAAGACGTCGCGGCAAGACCAGATATGATGTTGGTATGGCCATCTCCTTCAATAGATTCAGCCGAGCCCGTGGCCGTATCCCATGAGCACACTCTACCCTCGGCGCTGCCCGTCCACAATGTGGGTTTGGCGCCCTCGGATGACGATGTCAACGCGGTAACGTTCTTTTGGTGACCCGATAGGATTTTACTTGGAGTGGTGCTGCCCTCGTTGAGGTAGAGTAGTTCACCGCTCAATGAGAGCGACACCACCAGTCCATCGCTTCTATTTGGCCAGACCACGCCCACCTGCTGGTTCGAAACGTCGACGGTCTCACCGAATGACCATGTGTGCTTGACTTTGCCAGCCTCTGCGTCCCAAATCTTGACTGTGCGATCCGCAGAGCAGGTGACAAACTGCTTTGAGTCTTTCGACCATGAGACGCCAAAGATGCTGCCAGTGTGCCCATTGGAGCTGTCTACGATTTCAGTGTTGACAGCGCCGGTCTTCCCGTCATATAGGTAAATCTTCTTGTCGCCTCCAACACTGACGAGATGTGTGCCGTCCGGAGAGAAACCAATTCCGTAAATGAAGTTGGTGTGATTGCCTCTTCCAGGAATATCGTTAAACTTGAACGGCGGGCCTTGATAGAAGACGAGGTTCTTGTCGTCGCCAGCAGTTGCTGCTCTTATGGGTCTCTGTTGTCGTATGCTCACGGCATTGACTTGGGCAGAATGACCGCTGATCTCACCCACCGTATTGCCCGAATCTGCTGTGACGCAATGTCCATATCGCTGTTTACCGTCGCCTACCGCGATGATCCTCTGGCTGTCACCGTCCCATGCAATGTCGTTGATGCGACCATTGATGATCGAGTATTCCCCTTTGGTATTGCCAGAGCCGTTGGGCGAGCAGTCCCAGACGCGGACTATGCCTGAAGCATCACCGGACGCGCAATAGAATCCGGAAGGCGCGATGCGAGCAACTGTGGTATTCGCAGTATGCTGTGTATATTGCGTCGACAGAGCCGGGTCGTCGATGGACCGCAGGAAGATAGACTTGTTGGAGGAATAGGCTATGCGCTCACCCTTAGAGTCGGCGGAGAGCGGGGTGGGCTGTCCTCGAGTGGTTGTTGGCAGAGCGGCATATATGCCGTCTGGTGTATGCTGTATTAGCAGGAGGAAGACGATTACATAGATCTCAGACCTTACCTGGAGAGATAGACATTGTTCAGGGTGGTGCAGAGGTGTTTGAATGTTCGGAGCAGTCTGGGGTTTTGGTGCCCCGCGGTCAGCGGAGCGGAGCAGGAACGCGTCAGTGGTTCTCGAAGTCTGCACTTTCGAAGCTCTTAGAAAATGCGGCGAGGAACGACAAAACGGCAAATTGGTGCAAGTTGTGCTAATGGTCATGTCATACAAAAGTAGCATTACATCTTCGCGCCGCTGACGCGCGTGGAATTACGCAGCCTCGAAGTGTCAGCCTTGGGCAGCCCCCATTCACAATCATCTCGTAATAACTGTCGGCTACAACCAGCCTTCACAGCGTCTTTCCCTCTAGAGCTGCTCTGCTATCGTTGCCTGTAGGCCGAGTAACGTTTCGTCGATAGTGAGTCCGTCGAACGACACGAGGCTGCGGAAAACTCCATTTCAACAGTACCGGAAAGGAGATCGGAGGTCGCCATGTCTGAAGCACATAGTTGTAAGCGTCTCTGGACATAAGCGACCCTCTCAGGTCGTCAGATGGAGGGCATTCCTCCTTACCCTGCAAGTCTTGGGACCGGAAGTAGCTGAGCCAGGAACCGCGTTTTCCAATTGATCCAACATGTCGAATTCGCTCGGCACACTCATCCTATTCATCTGCCCCGTAACGATTGTGCTTTGTCTTTCAGGAATTCAGGATGTTTGTAGACGCTTGGGATCAGTCCTAGCGCGATCGCTCTTCGAACAGCCTTTGCCATTCTCCTCTGATTTACGGGCCTCAGTCCAGTCTCGCTTCTCGGCCTTATCCTGCCTGTGTCGGTCACAAAGTCCGACATGACGGAAAAATTCTGCCGCTGTCAGTTTCATTTCATCAGACGGGTGGCCTCCACAGTACCTTATACAGGCTCAACGGGTTTACGGCAAGGATATCGAAAACGTCTTTTGTTGGACTCCTCCTCTTGTTCCATTTTCGCATTTCTGCGGGGCTCAAATCATGAGGCGCGTAGACATCGCCAATCTTCCATTCACGTTTATGCTGCATAGACAGCTGGGCTGCTGCGTATTGATTCGTCGGGTCGTTGGAAGCATGTCGTTTCGAAGAAGCTGCCTTTGTTAGGTTTGTGGATCCTTGCCAGATAAGAATCGCAACATACAGGAATATGTGACCCGGGGTAGCTGTGCTGAGAACTGTCGAAAGCCCGTGAAGCTGAGCGCAGTTGCGGCGGAAGCCACGAGCTTCATATTGGGCCTCGGGGGAGTGGCTGGAGGTTTTGAGTCGAGGGCACAGCGATGTATCGATTATGGGAAAGGCTCTGACCCCGATGGACTGCTCGTAGGATATACGCTGGCCGGTTGAGGATGAGCTGCTCTCACTGAGTTGATCAAAGGCCGCTCCGTTGACAACGGCGGAAAAATGTCGGAACGGAATTACCGTGTCCCGGTCAACCCCTATTCGCAAGGCTGGGAAACAAAGCCGAGAACTGATTTTCAAGAACACAGACATCTCATCTCATTAGATCTATCTATGGTACTAGCTCGGCGAGCTTCCCATGTAGGTCGGCTTCCAGATCTTCCTGTTCGTCCTTCCCATCAAGCAAGCCCAGGTAATAGCTGAGGTCACGCCCGTCGAACTCTCTGGTTGCGAAACCCGTTCCGAGAAATCTCCAGATATCATGGTTACCTTCGTACGTGATCTCATAGTCCTCGAAGCGTGGATCTCGCAATAGATCCATATAAACGAGCCGAGACGCCGGAAACATTGGCAGTGGTCCATCTACCCGACCCTGTTTGAACCAGCTCGAACAGGCCTGTGTCCATGCTGTGCGCTGCAAGAAGAGTTTGGCGTGCTTCGCAAAGCTATCGGTGACGTCTTCCTTTGGCGCCATTGCTTTGATGCATTCTCGTTGCATCTTGGATATGCACTGAATGATGTTTCCAGCCAGGTTCTCCACGATCGGTAGGAAGCTGCCATGGCCGAGAGGACCATATGGTCCAACCATCATCCAATAATTCGGCATGTGCGGAACACCGATGGAAAGATAGCTGCTCGGCTCGTCCTTCCACATCTTTGCGATGCTCTGACCATTTCTCCCCACAACTGGAAAAACCGGAATGAACGATGTGTTAAACCCGGTAGCACAGATGATAACGTCCACTTCATGCTCCGCCCCATCAGCAGCGATGAAACCCTTCTCTGTTATCGATTTCATTTCCTTAGTGAACATGGTGACATTTTCACGGTTCAGCGCCTCCAAGAACCCGTTGCCAGGAGTCGGTCTCCGGCAGCCAACGCCAAAATTCTTGGGAATCATGGCTTCCATCAACTCTTTGTTGCCACCGAGCTTCTGTTCCATCTCGTTGGCCGCAAACTCTTTGGCCGCTTCGGCCTCGGGAGTTCCATTGAGGATGAACTTGAATCGGACATTCAACTCGCTCTCGATCATTTTGGAGTATCGAAGAAACAGCTCTGGGTCATCTTGGAACAGCTTTTGCTGCTCTGGAGTGTACTTGAAGTTACCTCCATTGGGACCAGCGAACCTTTGCGCAAAGCCTGCAGTGATCCAGGTGGGCGATCGGATCCACGTGTACAATTGTTTGACCTGAGGTGCGATTTTGGACACCACCTGGATGCCAGAGGAGCCAACCCCGATGACTGCAACTCGCTTACCAGTAAGGTCGAGAGAAGTATCATATCGAGCTGTGTGAGTCAAGACGCCTTTGAAACTGTGCAAGCCATCGATGTCAGGCCACTTCCAATTGCTAGAGATCTGGTCAACACTGGTAGGTCCATGTCCAGAGGCCGACTCACTTCAGCACACCTCCGCCATTGATGACAACATCGCATGTGTCCTTGAACTCAGCTCCGTCTGGACCACGAACGTGGACATCCCATTTGCCTCTGCCTTCGTCCCAGTAAGCGCCGGTGACGGCGTGCTCGAACTTCATGTATTTCAGAAGATCGTGATCAACCGCAACCTGCTTGAAGTAGGCCCAGATCTCAGGACTCTCGGAACTTTCGCATGTCAGCAACATAACGGCCCGTCAGTCGTCATTTCAGCATACTAGTATTGTGACCAATTTGGGTTCCTTGCCCAGGTAAATTGATAAGATGCCGAGGGAATATCGCATGCACAGCCAGGATATCTACGAAAGGTAAGCCACGGAGCGCACCCTTGAGAGCGAACCTACCTGTTCTCTAACCAAGTTCCACCGACGTCTTTGTTCTTCTCATATATCTGCAAGTCAACATTCTTGAGGCGCTGCTCGGCAAACTTTGAGAAGCAGATTCCACTTGCGCCACCACCGATATGGACCACGCGCAGTTTGCGCCTCGTGTCATATGGCTGGTCAAGGATACGAAAACCATCCGCGTCGGCGACCGGCCATCCTCGCTCATTGCGTTCCGTCACGCCGGTTGGGAAGCCCTCGTTATCTTTCGCGGGCGCCATTTCCGCGCAGAGGTCGTATTCAGGCAGTGAAAAGGCTTGGCGCAGGTCCACCTTCGGGCGACAACAGGCAGGAAAGCTTCCAGTCAGTGACACTGGTAGACGTAGGGCGACACTGTGACAACGTATACGTTCTCTACGATACAAGAAGCGATTTGCAACTCTGGAGGAGGTGCTGATCAATAATAGTCCGGCTGTCATGATACAATAAGCTTTCCCACTGATGGAGAACCTCGGCCGGCTTACTTGACTGTCTGCACCATCCCCACCAAGATGCGGAGAACTGGGACTCGAGCACGCCACGACTCGTCGCTACTGCGGAAAGCGGAAAGAAGGCCAAGAATACACATTCCCGGCCCAGATAGGTACTGTACATGGGTGCTTACTGTGGGAGCCATTATTCCGGAGCCATTACTTCGCCATCGCCAGCTGCTCCCCTTCATCGATGGTCGGCACGATCGTGAAGCGCATAAGCTTATGGTCGTCTCCATCGCTTGCTGGGTATTCAATCAACCGAGCTGGGAATACCTGCTGAATCTGGAAAGGGCGTATATGAGACGATTTTGCATTATGTCGTCTATCCTGGTCGCTTGCATTCGCTTCAGGATTGATCCACCGCGTCCCATTGCTTGAGGGTATCAAAAACGAGAGTCCATCCGTTCCAGGCATTACATTGGCGCGAAAGCCAACCAATCCATCTGAGCTGGCTTCTTGACTTCCACCTTGTGCACTTCCTTATCGACCCTCTCTCGATCCAAGATCTTCGGCACGAGAATCTTCAACACGCCGGCCTCCAGTTCAGCCGTGGCGCCGTCATGGCTCACATCGACGGGGAAGTTGAAGGCGCGGCCGTAGACACCGGTCTTGCGCTCGTGGACCGTCATGAAGTAGCCAGGGTCCTCCTTCGGCTTGGCCTCTTCGCCGTTGGCCTCGTTTTCCGGCTTTTCCTCCTCTCCCTCCTTCTTCACCATTTCCTCCTCCTCTTTCTTCTCCGCCTCGGCCTCCTCTGTCTTCACTCCTCCATCCTCTCCCTTCACTAACGCCCTCAACAGCAGCGTCCTGGTACTGACCCACTTGAGCGTCATGTCATGCTTGTCCTTCAATCCGGGTAGCTCGACATCAATGCAATACTCCGTGGGTGACTCGCGCAGGTCGATGCGCGGGCAGAGCAGCGTGTGCGGCAGTGCTGCCGGGTTCCCGAACGATGCGAGTTCCTTGAAGGCGTGTCCGATGGCGTGGCGCGTGTGCTCGAACGGGTGGTGGTGGAGTGGGTAGTGCTGCGGTACCCATGTGGTGGTCCATGGGTCGGTGTAGAATGGCGCAGCGGCGTAAGGAATTTCGGCCATTTTCATTGGTATTGGGTTCTGTTGTTGTTGTTCTTGTGTTGGTTTCGTATTCTTGTTAGACTTGGTCCGCTGGGGGGCGATGGCAAAGGCGCACCCATTATATAGACGCCGGCCTCACGGTCCAGGTGATGTCCGCAGTGCTTGGTACTCTGCATGGCGTCACGAGGACATTGATGGAAGACACTCGAGCTTCCTTTGGTATTCCACGCATGGCTACGGCAAGTAGGGTGGCGTGAAATGAAGGCACCGCGATTTATGCTGCCGAGGGACTGCGCCTGCACATGACCGCAATGGGCGCTCTGAACACGAGCAAACTTCACAATGGGCCGTGCCGGTATACCACGAAAACATGATCAGGACGGGCTATTCCATGTGGTGATCCGGCCACGTGCCGGGCTCTGCTACCGCTGCCAGGCACTTAGACCGTCGAATTCTCAGCGACAAGACTTTGAACGACCAACAAGCATCTGAGGTCTTATGTCCCATTAATAAGACACCACCCTCTCGCCGCTCAAGTAAACAACGCAAGTGGCATGACCGAAGCATTCCCAACTTGGCATCTGCAAAATCCAGACGGGCCTTGACGGGGGGCTCGGCCGGCCTTCTCGGCTGTGCCAAGTATCACACCACCCGCGCGGAACACCGAACTAGACCCCAGCGGCCCTCACCGACAGCACACCACACCACACATGTTCAAATCCGCGCAAATCCTCCATCTCCTGCCTCCTACGACCCTCTCATCTCTCTCTCCGTAGAATCTGCCATCGTATCTGCCACACACACAGCCAACCTCGCCACTTCGCCCACCCAACGTACAGAAACAACAATGCCCTCCCCAGCATCCACCCTCCCCCGCCTCCACCTTCTCGCTTCCGTGCCAAGACGCTATCACCCCACCACGAGTATCACCACCACCAGCAGCTACAACTCCAGCATCCGACTCTACAGCGCCACCGCACAGAGAAGTCTACCGACAGCGCTGGCCCGCGCGGGCCGCGCTGCGGATCTACGCTCGCATCCCGAGTCCGGCTTCACCCAGGAAAAGCTGCCGGACGTCAAGGGCATGCATCATTGGGACGAGGGGCATGCTACCGAGAGTGAGGCTGATGTGAGTGTTTGACCTGATCTTTTCGTGCTGGCGGTGGTCGTGTGCATGTGATGGGCGTACGGGGGCTGGTGGAAGTAGTGCAGAGGTGGGAAGGGAAAACTGTGTTCGGAGGGGCGGGCGGTTGAGTGTCTCTGTTGGGCTGTGGTGTTGGATGCCAAAGGGCAGAAACTGTTGCTGACGATTCTACAGGTCCACGCGGATAGGGAGAATATATTGGGCATATTCAAGGGGCTCGAGCCGGACCGGCTCAAGAAGGCAGTCGAGAAGGTGGTGGACAGTGTGGTCAAGAAATGAAGGAAGGATTTCATTCGTGACGACTCTATAACACTTTCTTGTTCCGGTGTTTCGGATCTAGCGTGCGGCTCCAAGCCTGGTTGAGTGCTCTACAGAAAAGAGGCTATGCTACGTTGAGTAACGACATGTCCCAAGTGTGGTTTCGTGTCCAGTCCTGACCCGCATCATCGTCTTCGAGTTTCTCATCTCTGACGAACGCTTCTGCTAGCTGAGTTGGGAGCGTTTTTGTGGCGGCTGCCGTTCCATAGTCGGAGGCCACAGCTGTGTCTTAAAGAGTTCTGAGGCCGTTTTCGTTGCTCACCTCCACCACATGTTCGGACAGATCATGGCTCAGTTTCGTTGCTCGTGCTGTGGTTTGCCTTGCCCAGCTTACGTAGCTCTTCACCTACATCGATGTGGAAGCGTCCGAAATGTTGTCAGCGGAACTTCGCGCCAGGAATCACGCCCAGCGTAAAAGGCGAGTTTGAAAGTTGTTCCGCTGTGTTAGTGACGGAGGCACAGAACCTTCGACAGCTTTGTGCTCGCCGGCAGAAACTATCGAAGTAGCATCAGTTCGTCCCCTTTCCAGAACCCCATCAACACGATTCGATGACTCGTGAATGTCCACTTCTGAGGTCCTCAAGGTCACGCTACTCTGCGAGAACTGTTCTCAAATGCTTCCCTGCTAGAGCTGCCCATGAGATATCTGGATCCTCTGACCACGGGTCGAACGCCGGAATCATGATTCTCTTGACATGGAATCGTGCCGCAGGTCCGGGGGTTGTCGCCTTATGCAGGCGACGAGGCTGCAGCTCAAAGGGTGAAGTGGGTCACCTCGTTCGATCACGCACGGATCCCAACGGCGTAAGCCGACACACCTCGACATAGACACACAAGACAGCGACGTTGGTTCTTTCCAATCTCAGGCACGTGCGGGCCGATCCGAAGTGTGTTGGTGCGCATTCTGCAACGTTTTCAAATTCAAACCAGGTCGGGCTGAAGCACCATTACCAGGACCAGCTATTGTACGAGGTACGCTCCTCCAAAAACACCTAGGTCATTTTTCATATGATAGGTCGAATGTTTGATACTTTCTGATGATCATTCGCGTGCTCACGGATGGCCAACCACCCCACGGTGATAGTTGAAGTTCAACCCATGGACACTACAAAATGTATGTCTCCACGAGCCTGATGTCCAAATCTTATGCCACATTTATATTTCGAAGATTGTGTTCCTGATTTGGTGATATACTTCGATAAAACCTACTTCAATGTTACAGCAGAAGAGTTTTACACAGGGTGCGCATATTCTTGGAGTCCTTTTCAAAACGCTGTACAGTGCGAGCAGAAGACTCACCACCACCTGCTGGGCGAGGAGGTTCGATCAAAGCCCCGCTAGGCTTGTCTTGGCAGCAGTGTGAACCCTAGCCCGACTTCATCTCTTCGAGGAGCTCATCTTTGCTTCGTGGCTTCTGCCCGGCTGCAGGTAGTCATCTGGTCATCATTGATGGCGTACTGCTCTCTCTCGTTTTGAGGACTGTGTAGATAGTTTCTCAACAAGCGGCGGAAACACTCCGCTCTGGCCCCGCCGTCGTAGCGATCTGCATACCCTACACCTTGGGTTACTTCGGTAGATCGAATGGTGGAAATGCGGCGTTATGAAGCTTCAATGTACTTCTCCAATTGCACGATCTCCCAGCCTTGGCTCGGGGCATTACACGATGACCATCTGTGGTCCTGCCACTTTCCTTCCTCAAGCCGGCTCACGGTGAACTGATCGACCAGCGCCACACCAAACATGAGGCCGTTACAAGCTGCATCCCACTTTCTGGCTATGGCTGCTGTTGCTCGTGCATCTTATGTTGACTCACTGCCCAGCAACGCCCAAGAGCTCTTCAGCGAGTCCATGAGCTGGATGGACACGTTTTACGACACCGAGGCAGGCTACCTTTACGACCTGAGCGCCCAGACAGCGCTCGACCATGAGACTCGCTCGTCAGCATGGTACGCGTTGGGACTCTTAGCACGTAACGAAGACGATAATGTCCAGCAGGCCGAGAAGATCGTCAACAACATCATCTCTGGCCAGTTTCGGAACGAGTCGCAGCAGTGGTGAGACCGGATCTCTGGTGGCGAGTACGCACACCTCGCTTACCATGGTATAGGTATGGTGACTATCAGAAATTCCCGGAGGAGCCCGCGGTTGGCGTCTCAGCATATCCGTCCTCCATCTACAATAGCTGGGATCCGAATTGGCGAGGGTGAGTATCATCCGAACGAGCTCTGTATGCCGGAGCCCTAAGCGCAGTATTCTCCCCCTGAGATACTATTTATCCTCTGCCTAGCCAGCAGCACCACTGACCGCACCAGATTCGTAGGCACGACCTTCATCATGATCCTCGAAGAGTTCCCTGCGCTCCTCAGCCCAGAAACCATCTCCGCGATCGAATCCTCCCTCTACCTCACCGCCGTAGGCGACACCTACCGCGTTGGCGGCGTCGACTCGGACAACCTGTATCCCTCATACAGTAACCCGGCAATCATGCGCGCCTTCACCTCAATCTACGTAGGCCTGAGCCAAAACGCCAGCAACCTAACCGCGGCAGGTGAGACGGAAGCACACGAGATCATCGACCTCTTCTCACGCGCCAACACGCTCGCCGAGTTCAACTCGGGCACCTACACGGGCGTGTCACTTTTCGCGCTGACCATGTGGGTGAAATACCTGCCAGAGGATCACTTCATGCACCAGGAGGGCAAGGTCATGATCGCCGAGACCTGGCGAGCCGTGGGCCAGCTATGGCACGCCGGGCTGAAGAACATGGCGGGACCCTGGGACCGCGCCTACGGCTTCGACATGCGTCGCTACCTGAGCTTGTTGGCGCTGTGGTTCTGGGTCGTGCCCGAGGTGGGCAAAGAGGCTGCTGGGCTTCCGCGTTATGTAAGTCCTGTCTTCCGTCATAGGTCATCACGTCCCCAAATATCGCAAGCTGATCAATTTCACCAAAAGCCCCAAGTCCTCTCCCACTCCGCCGACTACGCATGGGGCCCATTATTCGCGGTCCTAGCAGACTTCCACACCGCCCTCATCCCCACCGAGGTGCTGCCCAAACTCACAACCTTTGCCGGCGAGCACACATTCAACAGCTCCGCCTTCTCCCCTCCCTGGGACCTGGTGCCGCGCAACATCTCGGCCTGGCTGGCTGACGGCATCAGCATCGGTGCCGAAAGCTTCGAGCAGACCGTCGTCGGCGGCGCCGTCAGTAACCCCAGCCAGTTCAGTCCGGCGGCCGTGCAGTGGGATACCGGCGATGGCGGGATTGGCTTCATTTCTGTACGTTCGCATCCATTTCTATCCGTCCACGTGTAGCGCTCCCACTTCTTCCCCTGCCTTAGCTCTCCCGCTGGCAGCGTAGTCTACTGACATGTGCCCCGTCCTCGTCAAAGTGGTACGCCACCGAGCCCTCCCTCACAGCCACCGTCTCCCCCTACAGCCTCACACTCTCTTACCCACGCGGCAACGCCTCCTCGATCTTCAGCCTCATCGTCTCGCCGTTCAAGCGGCAGCCGACCGTGTCCTCGTGGGCGGATCTTGTAGGCCTGCGCGCCAATATAATGACGAATTTCGGTGTGGACGGCAGCTCCTCCTCGACTTACAACGTGACGTACGGCGGTCGTAACGGTGGCGCGGACGAGCCGATCAACGACTTTGAATTCTGGAACTTCACGTACGTGGTGCCTGAGGGGGTGGAGGCGCCGATGTTGAGGCTGGAGTTGGAGCTTGTGTGACAGTAAGAAGAAGGACGGGCGGCAGTCCGTGGCGAGCAGAATCAGCGCTGACAACTGAGGACGGGTGCAACGGTAAGTTGATCGGTGCTACTTCGCAAAAATAGGATGCCTGGCCAAGTCTTGAATCATGCTGCCAAAAGCATCAATTCACAACAAAAGGTTGAGGCGAGGCCGGTCGACTGGCATGCATGGGCAGCACTCGCGCCCATCAGCAGAAGTCGGCCGAAGCACCGTGCAGAGAACCTAAACGAGAGCCAGTTCCGCTGCGTGTGGAAAGTGCTATTGCATTATCGACATCTGATCAATCCCTTCATACCCCGTGCCGCATCCTCAGAGTGATAGACCAATGCCCGGTCCTGCGAGATGAACCATGCCTGTTCCCCCCTCCAGCAAATAGCGCCATAGTATGCATTTGACCACACATCCCAGATGCCGCTGAAAGACCCAAAGTGCCCGGAACGGAAACCAAATCATCGCGTACGTTCAGAGAGTTCAAGTCGCGTCCCCAGTTATCACCAGGCAGCTGCCGCCATGGCGCTTCTCACCGCTTCATATCGACATTGACGTAGACTCTGCTCTCAACGATGCGTCCGCTGCGCCGTCTCCCCTCTCCATCGACGCCTTCCTCGCGGAGAAATTCGCTCACGAGAGTCTCGTCTGTTCCCTCTCGTCCGTCTTGACCCTCACTCGTGTCCCTTCTTCCGCTGCCGTCTAACGCCCGCAGGCCCTGTAGGTCATCCTCTCCCATCTTCCTCGCTGTCTCAGCCGCAATGAGAAGGCCCTTGCGCGTCAATTCCCGCTCCTCCTCTGGCCCCACAAAGCGATGGATCGTCCGATGGTCCATGACGCGCTCCTCCTCGTCGCCACCGCCCTCCACCCACGTGCCCTTTCCGGATCTGCCCTGCCTACGGTAGGCCGAGAACTGCGCCGCCAAGGCTGCCGCATCCTTCTTGCGCACACCCTGCTGTCGTGCAAGGAGCGTGCGGGGATCTGGGTCTGTTTTGGGCCAAGGGAACCCGTAGAGCATGCTGTGCCGCTCGCACCGGGGACATTCACGCCGGGTCTGGTACCCGTTGGCCTGGAGGAAGTAGCCGTGGCAGCGTTCGTTCTGACATCGCACCCATCGATCGTGCGGTTGAGCGAGTAGCCGGCGCGTGAGGACGTAGTCGCCAGGGACGCGGATAGTGTCAGCGACTGGGTGAACTGAGAGAGTCGCGCGAACTGGTGGAGTCGAGGCGACCGGCTTTTCTATGGAAGGAATGATTCCTGGGTGGGGTGGAATCTCGCCAAGGTTCAAGGTAGGCTCGATAGACGCAACCGTGGACACCTTAGTCATAGTGAGTTTCGTCATTGATGACGGCGGAGACGTCAGAGTTGGTTCAGACGCTGCGGGAGTAAACACGTTGTTGCCATTCGGAAGTGGTGTGTTGTTCTGCTGTGTAGATGCCAATGTCGAGGCCGCAACAACCTCAATCGTGTCTGCCGCAGCATCTGTCGGCTCGTCGTTCTCGAGGACAACTTTCTCGACATGCTCAACTTTGATCGTGACAGGTTGCACGTACGTTTGCTCACTACTGTTGTCGGTCTCCGACTCCTGGCTCGAAGGCGAAGTGGTGGAAGGAGTCAGGGGAACGGAAGCCCGCCTTTTGCTTGAGGCGCGCTTGCTACCTCGGCTGTTGCTTGGCTCGCCTGTCGTGGCCGTAGGTGATGATAGGAATCGACCTTTGAAGTCACGCTGAGGGGTGGCCGAGCGATCTTCAGATACGCCTCTGGATGCAGCACGTGGGACTGCCGAGCCGCGCCCCTCGAGCTCGTCTATCGCAACCTCAGACTCGGATGTGCTAGGGGGAGTCCAAGAATATTGGAGCTTCGATGGCGATGCCACGGACTTGGCCTTCTTCACAGAACGAGGTAATGTTGAGAGGGAATCGTCTCGTTTCCTTTTCTTGCTGAGCGAGTTGGTCGGTAGCTGTGGAATGGGTGTGGAGGAGCCACTTTCCGGCTGAGTGAAGGCGGCCTTGGAGGTCCACCCGTTGTGCACATTGGCCTCGCAAGTCGAGCATAGGCACTCGACATTGTCAGGGCCAAAGTAACTGTCGCCGTATGACACCGTTATCTCCTCTCCGATAGCAATGTTTCGCGTTGCGACAACTCTCATACTATCAACGCCTTCCATCTGTAAACGTGCATTGGAGTCGCAATCATGGTTGGCGAAGCGGGCTGGGCCCAAGAACATCTGGTCGCTTTTCTTCCGATTATTGACCACGATACTGAAATTCCGGTTGGTGATGTCCAGGTCAAGAGACTCCTCGGTGGTCAGAGGAACTAGAGTGCCTGTCAGGTACTTGATGACCTCTCCTTGCCGGATCCGCTTGCGAGCAGTGACAGCCGCTTCGTAGGTAGTAACAGTATAGCGATTCGTACTGGATACCTCCCAAGCACAATCGGTTTGGTACATCAGAATGTACTTGCGAAGATGGGCGATGAAGTGTTCTTTTTGAGACTTGTTTTTGAGGGTGTTCTGATACCGTTTCAGTCCCGGCAGGCCGAGCAAAATCTTTTCTGCGGCCACAGGATCTTTGCCGACAATCACATGCTGCAAGAGGATCTGGGGGATCTGTTCCTCCTTGATGCCACGGACGGGGATGTGTTTCGGCCGGTACTTGCGAATTTTGAACTTGTAAAATGCCTAGAAGAGGTCAGAGCACGCGCTGATAGATCGCGACAGCGCCAGCATACATTATCAATCATAACATCAGAACAGACGTCGTCGTGACCAGCCAACTCAGCAAGGGTTAGCGGCTGCTTCAGAGGGCCATCTTTGGCTTTGATCTTGCGACCCATGGTGCGATGGGTTGACAGGCGCAACGTTGACAGCGAGAACGACAGGTGTTATGGGAACATGTAGTTATTCAAACGATTGTGAGGCAATGCGGAAGTAGGAGCGCGTCCTCCGGGGAGGCTGGGAGAAGTGACAGGCGATGCGATCGCAGAGGGGAACGCGCGTGGATTTTGAATGCCGAGCTCCGGCCCTACTGGAAATCTGCGATGAGGTCTGGCAGATTACAGCACTGCAGTCAGCGACTTCTTTGTCGCATGAGCGAGGCCAGACATCCTGAACGCCCTGAAAACCGAGGGGAGAAGAAAGAGTGACAGCTGAGCGAGGGTCAGGGTAGAGTTGCAGCGGTCGACCCAGAGCGCTCGACATAACATCCAACCGCCAATCAGCGCGTGGCAAGCGGGTACTCCCGCGGTTGATTTCTGGCGCATCTAATTCGAACATCCAGAACCGAGCGAGTCCATCTCGCTGCCATCAGCTGCTGCGAGCCTGGTCATGCTGCCACGATGATACAACTAAAGGTTCGGAACACTGTCACAAGTCAAGCTGTGCTTCACTAACATATGTGCAGACGATGCTTAACTGTATCGACAACTCAGGAGCCGCCATCGTCGAGTGTGTTGCGGTAATGCGGAAGAAGAGACAAGCGGCAAGAATTGGTTGGTCATGCTGGAGTAATCGCTCATCAGATGTTCATTGACGATGTGCAGGCGACAGAATAATAGTGGTCGTACAAAAACAACGGTCCTTCGGTGAAGGCAGCTCTGGCGGCCTCAGCATCTCGAACAAAGTTCGACGAGGCGACATCCGACACGCCGTAGTAGTGCGCGCGCGGAAAGAGGAACAGAGGAATGATGGCAGCTTGATCAGATTCGACGACAATGCCTGCGTATTGATCAACAAGAATGGCGACCCTATCGGATCCAGATTAACAAGTATGATCGGTCCTTCCTCAACTAGAAGCCATCTAACATTCTCTCAGGTGTTGTCGGAGCCGAATTACGAAAAAAGCAATGGTCAAAGATTCTTTCCCTTGCTCCGATGCATGTATAACAGCTTGGATGTGTATCAAAAGACATGCATAGCAGCATGGCGCTGGGTATCAAAATGTATAGAATTCATTCATGGCCACTCCAAAGCTCACCGCATCGTTTTTGCCGTGAAAACGCCTTGACCCATGCAGATTCGTTCCTCAAAGTTGTCGTTAAAATGTCACGATTTCGTAAAGACGAAACTGCAGCTCAGGCATACGTAGTAGAGTTTCTACATCGTTCAGTCCTTGTTGATTTGCCAGGGATTGGGAGCTACTTACCATGCCTGTGTCGCCACCTCGCTGCTGCGACTGGAAGTATACGGCGTCCTTCTCTTTGCACTTGGGGCACGTGGTGGCGCTTCGAGGGAGCTGTTGAACGGGTCAGCAAGGCGTATCATCAAGAACATGGGCGTGGCAATGTACGGTTGGGTCGTTGGCGACATCAGTGGTGACGCCAGCCGTCTCGGTCACGTTGGATCCAAATTCTTTCCGAAAGGTGCAAGCTGGTTCACCAGCTTCGATATGGTGGCACGCTTTACATACGAATGAGAGAGTGCGGGTCGAGGCGTCCTCTTTGGGATATAAGAGATTCGAGCTATCGGTAGTTAGGAGCGACTGCCAGAGGATCATCTTACGGGGGAGCCTACCACTCTTGACAGAACTTGAATACAACAGTCGGGTTCACGAAGTCGCCCTCAGGCGCAGGTGAGGCAGCGTTTGACATGTTGGTAGCGGCGGTGGTGGTGCTTTCGACTTCGCTGTAGGATATTGACAGTAAGCGTGACTCTGTCTACGGACGCCGGGTCGATGTAGGCTCGTGCTGCTGCGATGCGAGAGGAGATCAGTGCCCACCTCGGTGATCAAGATTGTGTAATGGCGCTGCGAAGGTTCCCACCTTCGTTCCTGCACTTGTTCGCGACTCGCCGCACCTTCCTTATGCGGAGCAATATCTTGGCATTAATTAGCCGGGCTGAATGCTGAATTGCGGGCGGCAAGGCTGTTGGTTCTAAGTCCCGGTCACCCCTCTCAACCAACCAAGCGATCGGCGACACTTCTTCTACCCCACTAGAAGACTACATCATCTGTCTGTACCTTGCAGCACACATTTGATCGACTTGTTGCGTTGCAACCTGGTAATAGTGTAGTCACACCTCATATCACATATGGTCAGTTCCGCCGTCCCCACTATCCGCACCATCAACTCATAACCCGCAGTCCGACACAGGCCTTCCTCCCGACTGGGAGGTGCGACACTCCAATTCCAAGAATCTTCCATACTACTTCAACTCCAAGTCTCACGAGTCGCGATGGGAGCCGCCCGAGGATGCCGACACCGAAAAGCTCAAGATCTATATGGCTCAGCACCATAGTGCGTCCTCAACCCGAGTCGATGGCTCCGCAGGCGATGGCAAGATTCGTGCCGCCCATCTACTCGTTAAGCACAATGGCAGCCGGCGGCCTTCAAGCTGGAAAGAGCAGAACATCACGCGGTCCAAAGAAGAGGCCATGAAAATCTTACAGGGCTACGAACAGCAGATCAACTCGAATCAGACTACCCTTGGCGACCTGGCCGTCTCCGAGTCCGATTGTACCAGCGCTCGCAAGAGGGGCGACTTGGGCCTGTTCGGCAAGGGTCAAATGCAGAAGGAATTTGAAGACGCTGCTTTCGCCCTTAAGCCGGGCGAGATGAGTGGCATCGTTGAGACTGCCTCGGGGCTGCATCTCATTCAACGGTTTGTTCTCGACCTAGGCAATGCATGATTCGCGCTGACTCAAGGCAGGATCCAGTAGTTAACTCTGGTGGCATGTCTGTCCCCAGGAAGACCAGACATTGAATTAACTAAAAGTCCATGTTTGTCAGGTTTTGTGAGCATTGCCTGAAGCGGCAGAGACAAGACTCCGTTGCGAGCGCTTGGTGCATCGAAAAGATCGAGGATGACCAACGTATCTCGTCTCACCGTACTTTTAATCGATGAGAACAATCAGCTCAGCTATCGAATACCCATGAATCCCTTTAAGAATGCGGCGATTGCGGCTATTACAAAATGCATTCGAGCCTGGCACATGACTGCGTGACTGCTTCGTAGATGCTTGGTGACCAACGAAGCGCGTTTTGCGCCAGCTCGTTCCCACCAATCTCCCTGGTTTACTATTTTCATCGATCAAGGCTCCCGCTTGCTACAAATTTGGTATGTTCTAGGCGACTTCCGCCTATAGTACCGTGACTCGCCTAAGGTGCTCTATCAAGTTCTTGGCGGCAGAAGACGCTGACCAATGAGAATACACGACGAGAATGATATACCCGAGTCGAATCATAGTAAGCCTTGCCTGTGTCGCTTCAGTGTGTGTTGCCAAGTTGCTTTCCATCTGCCTGCGCGAGCTTCGCACCGAAATCCGGGCGCCGCACAAGTTCATGGACGCAGCATGGCTGTGCTCACCTTGCTCCACGAGAGACCTTACGCGGATCTACACAAGGCGTGCTACATCACAATCCAGCATAGACCGAGAGGAACCCAGAGAAAGGGGCCAACAATGCCTGATGTGAGCAAAATTTACGACCCCCTAAAGGGAGAACAACAAAGGGGTGGGGTCGAATAAGGATCTACAGAACACAGGAGCACCTGACATGCAGACTTTTAGCTCCGTGGAGTATGGTCTAAGACATTGAAAACATATCCATCCGTTCTCAAAAGGGTTGGAGTAGCGTGTATGGCCTGGAAGGTGTGTCACAGACGCCGTCTAGCTATAGTGGTGGCCTTCGGCAGCGCACTCAGTGGAGCTCGAGCATAACGAAGCTTCAATGCTGTAAGGCATGATGCAAGACGTCGGCCAAGGTGCTGGTTGTTCCAGCTAACCAAATGCTATAGGATCAAACGACGAAGTGTCCATTCCTGACCACTAGATTAAGTCATCTGTAGAGCCTGAGGAACGGGATGGAACGCGAGCTGGCATCAAGGCTAGCAACGTAAGATCCACGAATGGATCAGGCCTACAATCAAGTGCCGGACGAGATGTCGAGAGCGTCAATGGATGTCTGGGTGAGTGCCAGTGACGAAGGTACATAAATGAGCAAGAGGAATGCTGCTCTTCCTTCTTTTTTGCCATAGCGACACCAAGCTCCCTTTTCCACATTATCTGATCAGCGAACATCCAATCCTTGCACCGCATCCTGCCTCTGTGAATCAATACCTGACAACATGCATTTCCTCAAGCTCGTCCTCATTGCCGCCAGCGCAGTCTCAGTTGCCCAGGCTTGCAAATGCGTCGAGGACGGAGAACAGGTCGATGAATGTACAGCCAACGCTTGTGGCCGCATCGCGGGTGGGGTTCTCAACGGCGACGACTGCGACGCCGATAGCATCTCAGAGGCCCTAACCCAGTTTCGATTGCTCTGTGCCGACTGCATCGGAGACAGCCTTGAGAATCATTCTGACTGTGACCGTTGAAGTACGTGTATGGCTCGAAGGTACGAAGCCTCAAACTCGTCGACTGCTCTGGCACCCGGACTAACGGTTTCAAGAGGCTTTATGATCTTTGTCATTCGGAGGTCTACAAGTGTTCTCCCATTCTGGCGATACAGAGACAAAATGCATGGTCGGAGAATGGAGGCCGCCTGAGTTGTGAAACAGGTTTTCCCCTCCGTAGGGAGGTTTCCTGTAAATAGACAGATGGGAACAGCCCGAATTACGTCAAGTATAGAACTGGAAGTACATTGAAAATTCACATTGACTTCTCTGCACTGCAGAGTGACTTGATGCCGCTCTCTGTGCCCATACGCTGAAAGAATAGTCGCCGAAGGGTAATATAATCATTAGCCATATGTGAACCTGATCCACGGATATCAGACGTCAACAAAATTCATGGGAGGCTTCCCTAAGCTCACAGGAAATTTACATCACGAAGCCTCCACTGGTAGTACGCAAAGGCTTCACGTCAGTCTTGCACACCCCCAATGGGACACACCTTGGCTTGTGATTGCAGTGTGTTTGACGATGCATTGAGTGGAAACACAGCGAAGTTCAAATCATACTCAGATATGGTACTCGCGCTTGGAAAACGAGTACTCGTCTCAGCCTTTTCCAATCATGAAATTCATTCTTGAAAAACAATAATGGGAAGAGACGTGCCATGCCGTCTACATGTTATGTGGATGACACGGCAACTCGCTTTGTGCATGAAGCCATCCTTAGATACCGCCTTGAAGCGTGGCCAGACATATAATCATGCGTAGGATCCTCAATTCTGATCGACTAACGAGAGCCTCGCCATTCAGCTTGGTGTGGCATATCAATATCACTTGCTTTTCGTCCACTGTACACTGCGGACGTTTCTGTGTTGAACTTAACTCCGTTCTCCTTGGGCACCTTGCAATCTTGAGATGCTGCAGCAAGACAGATACTACCAAACTGTTCGGCCCTTTTCTCTTATAGCAACGGACGTGTCACTCAACATGCCAACATTGCCAAACCCCCCTTTTCGCTCACGGGACAAGCTGAATATCTCATAGAGATTCATATACCTACTAATATATTAGCCATCAGACACCTTGGGAGGGGGGCCAGCCAATAGCTTGTACACAGCAATATGAAATGCACGGGACGGTCTACAACCCAGAGTGGGACGATGACCACAATATGGCCCCTCATCATTCTTGATCGCTGAATGCTTACACGCATGAACAACTCTGAAGAGGCGCGTAGCAGAGATACTAGTAGCGCAGTGTTGTCGCAGATCAGGCAACGATCCTAGCGTTCTTCAAGTTGACTTGAGGTCGAACCTTAGTGGTAGATTCCGTATGGTTGTATGTATTATTTGAATGCTGCCGTTGCGCATGGCACGACCAATCAAGCACCTTCGCCGAGATGCATGCTCTTGTGCTACACCGCAGGCACCCCAGGCAATCGTTACTCCGCGGTAGCACAAAGGCTGGACCACGATTGGCCGGAGACCTTTGACGAATACGCGCTTAGTAACGTCGGCCTACTCAACGGCTGCAGTGTAAGCACACTATGAATCGCTTTCCTATTCAGGCCTCCTGCGCAGCAAATGTCCTAAAACTGCAACTCCGACAAGACTGGGGGCCATAGCATAATAAGGCGGAGATCGCGATTTTGATGTCCGGTAGTGATAGCTTTATCCCTATTCACGGCTACTTCAATACACCTAGAACAACTCCCTTTGATTGCGCCTCACCCTTGGACTTTATACGGGCTTCAAATCATTGCCCAATACCCAGTGATTGAGATACAGAATGTTCGTCGACGTCATGGTCCGGGTCGCGCTGGCGACATTGATTGTTGGCGTTGTGATGCTCTTTGGCACCTGGATCTACCGAATAACCCTTCACCCTTTGGCGCATATACCAGGCCCAAAACTTGCAGCCATGACCAAGTTCTATGCAATGTTTTGGGACTGGCGACCCGCGTCTTCTTACATCAAGAATTTCGCTAAATGGCACCAGCAGTACGGGCCCGTCGTCCGAATCGAGCCAAACCATGTACACATCCTCGATATTGATGCGTACAACCAAGTATTCCAGATTGGCACCAAGTTTTATCGTGACCCGGCTCTCTATAGTGTTCCAATATTACGAGGAGGCTTCTTCAATAAGCTGCATGTCAGGGAGGCAAAACCACATCGGGACCTCTATTCACCCTACTTTTCACGCAATGCGGTCAAGAATCTCGAGCCCTTCATTCGAGACCATCTACAAGTCTTTCTGCAAAGGATCGACGAGATGGCAGCAAACAATGATGCGATCGATCTGAGCCGTGGCTATCGTTGTCTCGTGGCAGACACCATCATGCGGTATAGTTACGACAAACCTTTTGGGGCTTTACAATCGCCGGACTTTTAAGTATCAGATGCTGGAAGATCTTGAGAGGTTCTTCGATTTCTCGGCAACTCAAACAGGCTACATACCAACTCTCGCAACCTCGCTGGTTGATCTAGCAGGAAGAGTTCCCCGGCCTTGGTTAAAATCGATTCCAGGCCTTCGTGCAGCATTCAGTAACCTCGACGGATGTCACAAAAGAGTCGTTGAGTTGAGGAAAGAGACTTCAGCTCAGCAGACTCCATCAGTCTTTCGTACTGCGCTGCACCCAGACCTTAAAAAACATCAGCCTGTTTTCAATGACAAGGTTCTCGCTGCTGATGCTTTTACGATATTCACAGCAGGCACCGATACCACAGCCCATACGCTAGTCACAGGCACATGGTATCTCCTCCAAGATCCTTCAGTCATGGAACAGCTCCGGAAAGAGCTCAAGTCGGCCATACCCGACAGCACTGATGTATCGCTCACGTGGTCTTCACTTGAGTCGCTTGAATATCTCACTGCGGTGATCAAAGAGTCGCTACGCCTATCTTATGGCGTGCCGGGCAAATTGCCTCGCATGGTCCCGCCAGCAGGTGCTGAGCTTGCTGGATATCGACTTCCAGGCGGCACTGCGCTCAGTATGTCCTGCTACATATATCATCAGCATCCAGCCTACTTTGCAGAACCTGAGAAGTTCCTGCCCGAACGATGGCTTGATCGTGAGCAAGCAGCGAGTATGGAGAAGTACTTCATGCCCTTCAGCCGAGGGAGCAGAGGCTGTATCGGGCAGAACTTGGCGTGGGCAGAGCTGTACTATACGTTCGCCTTCCTGTTCCGCCGTTTCCAGCTGGAGGCATTCGAGACTACTGAGGCCGATATGGAGTGGCACGACGCGTTCGTGGTCGCAACGTTTGGACACCTCAAGGTCAAAGCACGAAAGTTAAGCTCTTGAGCATAAAATGTAGCGGCAGCCAGGGGTCTAAGCAACACACTTCATATGAGTGAAACCTAGCGCTCAGCAGCGGACCATGACCTCATGGGATAGCATATGCATTCGCAGACCCAAGCACCTCGCTGCTTTATCTGAATCCACATAAGGGGAGTCCGAGTGGTGGTTGTGCGATACTGAACAGAGGCCAAGCCACAGGACAGCAGCACAGCAGTTGTCGCTGAGTGGCCTCGTCGTCCGATCTCAAAAGTCGCCTATCCGAACCCGCACTCATCTGTACGTTGTTGAAACGGCTTCCCAGGCCCGAGTCATGTATCAGGATACCCCAACTTAAGCGAAGCTAGCTCCTCGTTTCGAGATCGATCAGCTTTAGCCGATCAAGCCCGGAGTCGAGGTGCTGTGAGAGACGCTGGGTTGCACCAAGCAAGATCCCTTGAGTTTTCCAGGACTGAAACTGATGGCAGCTGCTTGGTAACCTGTGTATCGTGGGATCTTAATAACAGCAACACGGCTAGCATATCTGTCCCTCCCTTCCTCAACTACGACGCGAGTATGCTATTGCGGCTCTGCCTAGGCACATTCTATGTACCGCGAGAAGATAGCTGTTCGTCAGACACCTACCGGCACAAAACCGGAGCCATAGGGGTAGGATATCAGACAAAAGTGGGTCCTGTAATGGGCTGCCAAGATCAGGGGTCAGCCTCTCTCACACTTCGCAACGAGCTCCCTCGTCTCCATCATCGCCTCGAGGCTCTCTAACGGGCTTCTGTCTTTGGCTCGCTAGGCACGACTCGAAGGCGTGTCTGAAGATCGTGGACTGGAGATCCGGCTAAAATGGCTTTAGAAACAACATGAAGCTTCCCCACGTGTCGCCGTCCGAGTCTCATGTCATGATGCGGCAGCCTGAGTCTCACTATACAGCTTCAGGTCGGTCGCAAATGCGCACAGAGCTATGGACAGGTAAACGCAGCTGTGATGGCTCGCCTGTGGCTAGAGGTGATATATATCTCAGTCGACGATCCCACATTATGCTCGATTCTCCAGCAGTGCTCACCATCATCTCGACCCCCCACCTCAACACAACGATCTCCTTGCCTCATTCCGCCGGCCGGACCTCCAAGTCTTCGATTCTCACTTCCTCAAAACCACCCAGTCAACTTCTGTTGCCCCATCTACAAAAATGCAGATCTCTATCTCCGCCGCCTTCCCCAGCCTCGCTGCTCTCTCCCCTCTCGTATCCGCCATCGCCGTTCAGGTCCGCGAGCCCCAGAACCAAAACCGCCCAGTCCCCACTGGCGACTGCTGCGTGGCCAACACTTCGCTGAAGCAGGACACTTGCACCGCCGCATCCGGCGCAACTGGCCGTTGCGTTCCTGGCGGCAATGACTGTAAGTGACGCGCTCTTCCTCCCAGGTAATCTGTTGCAATCGTGACTAACAATCGAAAAAGGCGGCGGATCGCTGAGCTGTGTCGAGGAGTCGGGACTCGAGTGCGATGACAGTGTGATTGAGCGTGGAAACTCGCTATGCCGAGCAATCGCTGGGAATGGTGGGTTGTTTGATGGAGCGAACATCATCCAGAGCTTGGCGGATGCGACTGTCAACTAAGCCTCGTGCGGCGAAGGTGCACGGTCTAAGGCGCACCGGAGCTAGGGCGAAGAGCAAGCATCATGTGTCGATGAATGGGATATTCCGACGCAGCAGCGATTGGTACATAGTCCAGGCGGATAGTTCTGTGAAGTTGAGCAGCTCTAGATGCGGCAGGCTATTGGTCTGGACCACTCTCAGCATTTATGCACTTCGAATCTACCTGTTACTGCCAGCAACTCTCTTCCCACTTGGTCTCTGTCATGGCCTACGATCAGAACCCTACCCAGCGTGCTTTTCGAGTTATGCACCGCCAGGCTTACGGACCCAGTCAGAGAACAAGACCTTTGCACAGGTCAGGCAGTGAAAGCCTTGGCCATGGAAAGGCGACAACCTAGAGCTGCATGACCGCACGAGAAGCCTGCACACACACGGTCAGATCGGGTGCATGCGGTTCCCAAAGATGAAAAACCTCTTCGACTTTCTTGCCAACATGCTGACAACCTGCTAGGATGCTGCATTCGGCGATCTTCTCTTTAATTGGACAGCACTGCGGAGGTTGAAACCAGAACGGCGCGTGCGTTTCCCAAACCGGGATCTGGAGCGCCACACTCGGCTACAAGGGACACCACCTCCAAGGTATATATGCTGCTCTATAATGCCTGTGAAGGGACTGTAGAGAGACGCTCGAGTCTTGCCAGGGCATGCATCCTTCCAGCAAGAGTAAACGCCGCATCTACCGAACAAGAGCAACTGCCCCACAACCATGTCTACCCGCGACACCATGGCCTCCCTCTTTTCATTAGACGGCAGCACAGCCATTGTGACAGGCGCGACAGGCGGTATAGGCCTCAGCGTCGTCCCCGCGCTAGCCGAGATGGGCGCCGACATTGTCTCCCTGCAGGTTCCAGGCGACCCGCAGAGTTCCACCCTAAAGGCCGCCATCGAGAGACACGGCCGCAGCTTTCAGGCCTTCGATTGTAATCTCAAGTCCGAGACCGATATTCAGCAGACGTTCACCCGCATCTGGGAGGCCGGCATCGTGCCTGATGTCCTGCTTCATATGGCGGGCATCACGCACAATTCGCCCGTTCTCGAGACGAGTAGCGAAACGATGAATAATGTCTGCTAGTACCTCCCTTCCACTATAGCAATCCTCCGATCTTTCGCTGCCACCCATGATATCAACTGACATGCTTTTGCAATGCTGGTAGGTCATCGATCTAAACGTTCGTGCCCCCTACATCATTTCCCAGCACTTTGGCCGTCGCCTCGTGTCGTTACACCATCCGGGGAAGATCATCCACATCACCAGTATGGCGGCCACTCTGGCACAGGAAGACATCTGCGTGTATGCGGCCAGTAAAGCCTTCGTGCGGCAGATGGTGCGTGGCCTGAGCAACGAGTGGGCGAGGGAAGGCATTCAGGTCAATGCTGTTAGTCCAGGGTGAGTTCTAAGAAAGTATTTACCACTCTTGAGGCAAACAGGAGGTTGACATTGATGCAGTTTCATTCAGACGCCCATGAGCAAGCATCTACACGAGAATGAGGATTTCAGTGCGTATGTGAAAGGAAGAACTAGTATGCGCAGATGGGGCATGCCGGATGACTTGAAGGGCGTTGTGGCGTTCTTAGCAAGCCACGCAAGTGACTTCATTACCGGCGAGGAGATCGTGGTAGATGGCGGAGTAATTGGACGTTAGAGGACGGCGTGTGGCACACCTATCATTTGTGTACCAGACAGGTCAAGTGGGATATGCGACCTACTCGGTGCTCATTGCTCTGCAACGCCTCGCCAATTACCCCTGGCTCTGCTTAGTCCTTCTCGTCACAAAGCGATTTGATGGGACGGCACTGTGGTGTCCAATTGCGCAAAGCCCATTAAGGAGACTGCAACACTTCTAGAGCTCAAGAAACCGTGGAGGCCCCTTAAAGAGCAACGGATTTACCTGTTGATACCTGCGTTGACCGCTCTCAATTGGGACAAAACATATCAAGGCATATAAGTAACCCGCTACTTTCTGTCCAAAGCCGTGTGCTAGCATCTCTGACCCCAGCGACCGTCCAGACGTTGACGAATCTGTGAGCGGCTGGTTTCTCGACCAGAGAACATTCTCCAGGGCGAAGGCAGCGAAAATTGCCTGGACATTCATCGGCGTGGTCATGTTTACCCTCTTTGTCTGCCTATATCTGAAGGCCTGCCTCAGAGATAGGCGACAACAGGCGTACGCGTCGTTCATATGTCCAGGCCACGAAATATATGGTCTGCCGATTGGAGGTGGGAGCCCGATTCACCAAGGAAACCCAGGTGGTTGACGGGGACGAATCGCCGCACCAAGATGAGATGGGCTTCTCACATGATCTTTCAATGTCGGTGACGTGAGGGGCCAGGAGTAGGGTGGGCTGCGTGCAAAAGACCAATTCTCAAGTCAACCATTTGCAGTAGAATATGACTACAATTCGTGGTCACTGGCTGGAGTTGGAGCTCCTAAGACTGGGAAAGAGTGCTCGCCGAAAGAGCTTGTCTTTAAGAAACATTTCAATTGCTTGCTGTCTAGGTGGCTTTGAGGGCGTGCTATAAGTACATCTTCTCCTCAAGCCATCGTTCAGCTCCATGTCGAATTCGCGTTACTTCTTCTCCTCTTCCTTCTTCGGCTCAGGAGGGGGAGTAGGCAGCTTGAACTGCTCTGGAGTCTGGTTGGTACCGACACCGACTTGCTCCCATGCGCTGGAGCCGCCCTCAAAGTTCCTCCAAGCTTGGCTCATTTCCAGTGGCTCCACCACAATGCGTTTCTTCTCTTCATCATACCGAATTTCGGTGTAGCCAGTGAGTGGGAAGTCCTTGCGCAAAGGGTGACCATCAAAGCCATAGTCCGTCATAATGCGTCTGAGATCGGGATGGCCGGTGAAGAAGACGCCAAACAGGTCATAGACTTCGCGTTCATACCAGTTGGCACCGTCGTAGAGCGGCGTGATAGATGGGACAGGCGTGGCTTCGTCAGCGTATGTCTTCACGCGTATCCTGCTATTGTGTCGGACAGAAAGCAAGTTGTAGACGATCTCAAAGCGATAGTCTTTGGTGGGAAAGTCGACCGCTGTGATATCCGCTACCATAGTGTATTCCGCAGCCGTATGGTTCTTAAGAAACGAGAAAACGGGCAAGACGCCGGTGGGTGTGATATAGATGCAGAGCTCATCTTTCCAGACCGAAAACTGCTGGATGTATTTGGGCATACATGACATCAAGTACTGGCCGTACTGATGGAGAGGTAGAGACTTCTCTCTGTGTTTGGAGGATTCGTCCACGACGGGGGCGGAGAGCTGTCCCATAGCTGCATAGATGTTAGCAAAGATTCTGGCAGCTCTGCAGGGTGCGCTCACGAGGTCTTGGAGCCTTGCGCAACTCAGACAGCAGATCTGGTTTAGCAGTGCGTTGGTCTTCCCCAGCTGCGCGAGGGGTGGATGTGCTGAAGGAGCGCAAAGCGGTGTTCCGGGCAGGGCGAGCAGCAGCGCTCAGCGCCTTCTTGCTACCCAGACGCAGCATGGCTTGGGGCGTCGACATTGTAGGGAGCAGGTGTTGTTAACGCATCGCCGCTCAGCTGTCATGGAAAGATATACTCCAAGTGTCATAGAGCTCCGAAGATGCGGCGAAGCGATGGTGCCCACGTGACCGAGCTACCGCCCAATAAGGCAAGGCGCGGCGGCGCGATTTGATGCCAGCATCGACCAAAGTCATCGCCATCAAACTGCCACCATCTCGCTACCGCGCAGCCTCTGCTTCTTCAATATTTTAAACACCCTGTATCCTAGTAGTCATCTTGAATTGCCTTGCAGTTGCATCTTACTCAATCCGAGTGCGCCATTTTCCCTGTTCAGTGCATGGAGAACAACTGCATCTTGTACTTAGTGGTGAAGGAGTTGAAGGTGTTACAGACAGCCTTGACACATCCGAGTAATCATGAGTCGATCTCAAGATACGGTCATAGACGACGAGGAGGATACCTGGTACGTTGCGAACCCATGCTGTGTCTTCAAGATTGGTTACTGACTTGTTGCGCAGTCCTCTCTGTATTGAAGAGTTCGACCTTTCTGACAAGAACTTCAGACCATGTCCATGTGGCTACCAAGTACGTGAAACAGCATATTCACTCTTTGCTGCTTTATCGCTGACCACTCCCGCAGATATGTCAATTCTGCTTCAACTCTCTCAAAACCACATACGAGAAGAGCACTTGCCCCAATTGCAGACGGCCTTATGATGAAAAGACGATTCAATACAAGATTCCGACCGCTGAAGAATTCAAGGCCGACCAGGCAAATAAGAACAAAAAGCAAATAGCTGCCAGGCGCAAAGAAACTGAAAAGCGCGAAGTCGAGACTTCAAGTCGGCGAAACTTAGCTGGAGTACGAGTGAAACAACAAAATCTGGTTTATGTGATTGGTCTTGTCCCTCAGACCAAGGACGAGTCAGCTTTACTCCAGACACTCCGCGGTCCCGAATACTTCGGTCAGTATGGTGACATCGACAAGATTGTGGTCAGTAAGGCCAAACCTGGCGCTCCAAATCAAGGTGTTGGCGTGTATGTGACGTACGCCCGAAAAGAAGACGCCGCTCTGTGCATTCAGACTGTCGATGGCTCAATGAATGGCGACCGCATGCTCCGCGCTCAGTTCGGCACCACCAAATATTGCTCTGCTTTCCTCCGTGGCGAGACTTGCCAGAACAAGAATTGCAGCTTCTTGCACGACGCTGGCGAGGACGGACAAACAAGCTCTCTGCAAGGTGAAGCACATGCACCGAAACCAAAGTCTGCGACCATCATGGTCCCGCCTCCTCGTCCAGAGTCCACTACCCATTCAATATCCTCGCAGCCCATGGCCCGTCAAGGCAGCAAAGATTCCGAGGGTCACAAGGACAGCACTGATGCCTCAGCACTGCCATCAAGTGCTAGCTGGGCCAATGCCCCGAGTGCAGCAAAAGTTCGACGGACGAGCCAGTCTACAAGCCGAGACACACCTAGCCCACGTCTTGCCCACACTGCACCTACTTCACAAACCCAGCCACAAAATCCAGAAGCCAAGGGCAAGCAAACTGCCGCTGCTCAGCCTGTGTCCGAACCCAGCAAATCGATAGCCCGGAGCAGTCTGCCTCCCACTCGCGCCAAGTCCAAGGCCCCATCAAGTGACCCGATACAAGCTCTTTTTGACCATCTGCTGGAGACGAGCTCCCGTCCGTTCCAATTCGTGTTCAGTGACGCCTGCCTGAGTGATGAAGAAAAGGAAAGGCTGAAGGACTTCCCTTGCCTGATCGACCCTTACGGAGGTGCCAAACGTCGGGCTATGCAAGACAAGGAGGAGGCCGAGCGAGCCCGCCTAGAATCCGATGCTAAGACTAAGCTCGAGGCACAAGCCAAGTCTGCTGCCGAAGATGCGCTGGATGATGAAAACATGGGGGCAGGCAGCCTTGCACTCGGGGGTGAACCAGAAGACAACCCTCGGAGTTCATCAGCCCGTGGTGCTATCGGACGTCCCACTGCTGGTTCAGCATTCATGGCTGAACAATTCGCTACCATGAACCTCAACCCTCGCAGCTTGACCCCACAGCAGAGACAACAAATGGCTTTGCTTTCTGGCAATGTGCAACAAGCTCCTGGCCTCCAGCCTCCATCTCAGAATACTGCTTTCGAAATGTCCGATTTCGACCGCAGCGCTCCTCAATTCAGCCAGGCCCAATACGACCAAATCAGAAGTCACCAGCGTCATGGCTCACGGTATTTCAATTCCGAGACAAAACCTAGTGGCAGTCGCTTCCAAGGACAGCAGCAGTCGCAGCAACAACAGCAGCAACAGCAACAGCAACAAGGTTTCTACTCTAGCGGCGTCCAGGGTCCGCCTCCTGGCTTACCTGCCTCCGGTACACCACCCGTCAGCGGTGGAGGTATGTTTGCACACGGACAGAATTTTACCAATCCAGGCTTCGGCGCTGGCAAGGACGCAAATACAGATTTGCACATGAGGGGAAGAAGTGGGACTGGTGCAGGTCCAGATGCTAAACGTGAGTTGCTCCTCTCTTTGCAAGATAACCCCCTGCGTTCGCCTCCGCAATCGTCCGCCCCTGCTCCTGCTCCCGGCCTCTTCAACCCGCTGTATGGCCAATATTCGGGTGCGTACCAAGATCCGGGACTCGTCAAGCAGAGGAAGAAGGGGAAGAAGCACAGACATGCTAACACTTCCTCTTCAGGAGGTGGTGTCGAGCATCTTGCGGATCCGAGCATTGTCCAAGCCCGCATCCACCAAGGCCAGGGAAGCAACACCGGACAGGGGCAAGGGCTTTACAGCGGAGGCAACCAAGGTGGGTACCAACAGCAACCCATGAATCCAATGTACGGCGGCGGCGGCGGGTATGCTCGAGGCTGGTGATCGACCTCGACAGTTTGGCTCCCAATCACTAGCGACTTTTTGTTTTGCGTTCTGTTTGGCGTTGGGGGCTACAAAACTCGAAACCCCTAAGCGAATGGCATCGGGCGAGTAGCTTTGAGGTCAAAGTGAAAGCTAGGAGTTTCGTTCTCGACAATTACGGCATATCTTCGAGTCCACGTTCGACATTCTCCGCCAGTGGTGACGACCGGCATGTATGTTAGTTACCCTCCCTGTCTGCATCTATAGGGGCAGTCAGCAAAGCACGGTTCAAGTTCTTACATGTCTACCAGGACTCTTGAACAATAGGCTTTTGTGTCCTTCAATGTAGCCATTTCTACTGTACACTAGCTTTCACTGTCAGCCCGTCACTCTACCGCCGCTTACACTGCCTGCCGCCGCTGCCACGCCTGGGAGATCAACGTGCTTATCTACTTCATCTGGAACAATTAAGTTCGAGCCAAAGCTGACTGGAGTTATAGTGCATGACAAGAATTTCCCACCTCTGCCTGTCCGCACGGAAACACAGCCATCAGTCCTCCACTCCAGGGTGTCATCTTTCCAGAGCAGATCGTCGACACCCCGAGTTCCTCCTGGTTTCGAATCCCATGTTCAGCCCCCAATTGGCTCGATCTCTGGAAGTGGTGTTGCCACCCCCGACAGAAAGGGTACACCAGTGGACTCAAAGATCCAGCGCATCGTCTCAACTACAGTCATCCCCGCTGTTCCTGACCTGCCCATCGCGCCTCGCACCAGCACACCGAAACCTTCGAAGGATGTCACCCGAGGCAAGGAAGTCAAGGCTCCCAACGATCAAGTGATCACAGGCTCAGGGGGCGAAATGAATAACAGCGACATCAGTCTAGGATCTCCGAAGCCTCGTATGCGCCAGCCTGCGCTCCCCGACAAAAAGGACCCCGTTGGCGGCCAGAACGAGGCGTTAACAACGTCGCCGGCCAAGACACCGCCCTCAAAAGCATCGGCGAAAGCTTCTTCGATCGGGCAAAAGAAACCTACGAAGATCGACATTCCTATTGCTGCAAAGTCGACAGACGTGGACAAGCCCACAACTCCTACGCAAACTACAGCGCTAGAGGCCCAAAGTATCGTGACGCCATCAGCAACGGAGAGCCCCCGGGCATCAACACCTGCAACCACAACTTCGGAGCGTGAGCGTGTCCCGGGTCCTCGACCCAAGACGCTTCGCTTGACTACGACGAATACGACAAAGCCAGTCACACCTGGTGTGGAACAAGTCCTTCCCTCTGCCACCATAGAGAAATCTACACCAGTATCCACAGTTACTGTACCTACCAAAGATCCTCATCACTTCCCCCATCTTCCTTCGAGACAGCACTCGATCTCTTCCGCTCCACGGCTAGACAAGGATAGCAGACCAAGTACGCCGATGTCTGAGCAATCCCACCCGACCTCGACCACCCACTCTAGGATGTTGTCGGAGGTAGCCTCACGGTCTAGCACTCCACCTCCCGGCGGGAGTATTGTTGGCTCTGCACCCGAACGGGTGAAGAGCAAGAATCAATTGAAGAAGGAGCGTCGCGAAAAATCCAAGGCCAAGGAGAAGAAACCAATCCCGGATCAGGTCCCAGACGGGAGCGTTGCACCGAGCCCTGTCAAAGGCACGCCGACCACTGAAGAGGTCGGGCCTATCGTATCCCGCCAGAAGAAACAGAAGAAGGAAAAGACCAAAAAGGTCTACGATCCACCTTCAGCGAAGACGTCCAACGATGCCAAGAAGAAGGAAGAGTCTCAAGAAAAGATCCAAGAACAAGTCGAGAATCAAGAAGCTACCAAGACTAAAGTTGAGGTCACTCCTGAGCCAGCTATCATTGAGTCTGAGACCCCGACGGAGCTAGAGCCCGAACGTGAGCCTATCGAAACATCGTACACTGTTGCCGACTTTTATGCCGATCTCGCCAAAGCCAATGCTCCGTCCATGCAAGCGCTACTTGCGAAAAAGACGGCATCTTTTGACAAGATCTTCAGCCATCTTCTCGCTGACGGCGACATCACCAAGGATCATCCCTTGCTCAATCCTCCCAGTCTGACTTCCAAAGAATACAGGCTCCCTGGAGATAGTCGCAAGGGCCAGGAATACCTTGATGCGCATGGGTACACCACGACTAGTGCCTTCGGATACGTCTATGTGCCACGCAGCCAGCGGCGTGAGCTGCTCGATGGCAGTCATATCAAGATTGGCGAGGAGGTGGCCGCCAACGGGAAAGAAGACCTGCTCAAGAACTGCCTGATCACGCCCAGCGGGACAGTGATGCGCCATCTCACCAGCAAAGAAGCCGACCGCGCCATTGAGCTCGAGGATCGCCGGGCGTACTACCGCGAAGAATATGGAGACGACGTTGGAGGCATGCACGCTCTCGAGGCGCGTCTTGAGAATGATGATAATATCAATCTGGAGGGCGGCCCAGAAGAAATTGTGCGTCGAGGTGAGAGCAAGGGCGTTATTTGGGTGTACGAGGAAGGGGATGATGACGATGACGTTGACCCTGGAGACGAGACCGAGGAGGAGATCTTGGAAGCGGGTGAGTACGATGATGAGGAGGAGGTCTGGGAAGGGGACGATGATTACGACGATGACGATGATGAAGAGGACGCCTTCGATCATAGCACCAACGTCGCCCGCGAGCGCAAGGTTAACCTCCACGCAATGACCCACGAGGAGCTCCAGAAACGCATCGCGGAGACGCAGCGCGAGGTCGATGCTTCACGCAGGGAGATGGAACGATTGGACAAGACCATGGCCAAGGGCAACAAAGACGTGGCCAAGTTCCGTGACCGCACGTTAAAGAGCTTGTGAGGAGGGTGATCGAGAAGTGAAAGTGGCTGAGGGCCAATTGGTATATGGATGTTTGACGACCTCGAAGTTGTCATGGGTGAATGGGGAGATGTATTATTACCGCTGTACATAGTGTCCTCCCTGTGCATATCCACGAGCATAGCAGCCACGCACTGTGAATATCCAAGAACTGTTGATACTATAATACTGCTTACGCATCTAACCGAAATTGCTGGGTACTGGAAAGCGACACCAAGGTTTTGGCGAACAGCAGAGCGTCACCTCTATATTCGTGGCAATTATATTCACCTTGTGTTCACAAACACCCAATATCTACCTATGCTGCCTGCAGGCGCTCTACCGACCTTGCGTATTCCACTCGGCCCACCAATCCTTGGACGGCGGCCTCCTGGCTAGCCCCCAACGCTGCAACTCCTTGGTCTCGTCCCCAATTGACTGATCCGTGGCCCGCCAAATCTCAAAATCAATGATACTGCACGTCTTGGTCTCAGCGTCCCACATGACATTTCGCAGCCCACAGTCCGCCGGCTCGATGCCCAACGCATACACCGACCGGAGAGCATGCAGAAACTTCTCCCCTATCTCGGTACGCTCGGCGTCGCTTTTCTCCCAGTACTTCTGGTTGAAGACGGGCTGGCCTGGCATCTTGGTCATGACCGTGTAGGTAATGTAGCCGTCGGGCAACGGTCCCGAGGGGCCCTGCCGCGAGAGCTTAGACGCCAGGAGCCGTGGAACAGATGAGGCTTGGGCGTCCGCAAAGACCTTTAAGACCTTGAGCTCCTCGGCTGTGGTGGTGCTGGGGCCGGGCTGGGGGTCGTTGCTTGGTCGGCGGTCACCGCCGGGTATCCTGTTTGGGTGAGAAGGGGAAACAACATCGATACTCGCGGATCGAGCTCGACTTACTGGACTTTTATTTTCATGATGGCATCCTCGGTCTCGCCCTCGGGTTTCGTTTGCCGGCAAGTGAAGAGGATGCGGCTTTCAGCAGGGACACCATCGTGGCAACTCCGTAACTCAGTAATGGGCTCTAACAGTCCATATGATGCGTCGGGAAAGTCGATGACATGGTCTAAAAATGGTGGAAGCATGCCGTTCGTGGTGTTTGTCATGCTAGGCTAGGTTGTGGAAAGCACACTGGCAGCTCAGTAGGCAGCAAGCGAGTGGGGTGAAGGAGAGACAGCAGCGGTCCAAAATGACAGCACGACGGAAGCAAGGAAGAGGTAGTCACATTCTGTATCTGGGCTATCCTGCAGGCTATGCATATTCGGATCTCACTTTTCGTATTCAAGATCTCTGATGCCGATGTCGTTGCCAGTCGATGGCCTCCGGTAAAGCGGCGGGGTCCTCATGGCGGCACCACGTTTCTCCTTCGGCCGAGGCGCCCGCTTTTTCCGCGCGGTAGAAGCAAGGACGAGCTCACTTTCTCATTGGAGCGGCGCGTCTGTGGCCATCATCGCCGCGATCACAATTTCCATCTGCGTTGGACTGCACGCAGCCATCTCCGGCTTCAGCGTAACTGTCGCTTAAGCTCAAGATGAAGCCGCAGCCCTTGCTCACGCGTCGGCTCTTCCGTGCCATCCTTGCGAACCGGCCATATCACACAGCAACATGCCCCCGACGAACCGTTAATGCACGCCGCACCGTTGTGCCAGCTCTCCAACCGTCCCAATCCTCCCAACGACGCAATCTCTTCGGCCTGTCGCTAGGCTCGACCGTGAAGCAGCTGGCTGGAGCAAAGCCCACGGTCAAGAACATCGAGGCTGCTCTAATCAAGCTCTCGGACTATGTCAAGGCGGCCCGAGACCAATCTCGACCACCGTCAAATAAAGACCTAGTCGATGCATTTCACTTTCTCACTCAAACAAGAGCTGGACAGGGCAAGCCATTGACAAAAAGTGAGGTGTACTTGACGACAGAAGCGTTTCGATATTTCATCGACCAGGGGCTCTTCCTCGAAAATGACGGCACATTGTCGAGTACCGAATCCAAGCAACGAATCTCTGGAGAGGATCTGCTGAACACCCTCACTGCACTTGTTCAGCCGGATGGACAAGAAGACAACAGAACCGAGAATATTGCCCTCGCCCAGCTGGTGATCGATCAGTATCGGCAGCATGGATATACTTCCGATTCAAATGAAACAGAATCTGCTTTACAAACCTTTCTGGCCGTGCTCGCTACCAATGGTCAAGCCGAGCGCGCGTATCGGGAACTTAATCTGGTGAACATCGATGTTGAATCTCGGAATGACACCTGGTGCCGAGTTGTGCGTGGTCTTTATGCTGAAGGTCGTCTGAAGAAATTCTGGGATGCGATAGTGGATCCCTGTCCACGCGGAATCATGGACAATTCAGTATATGAAAGCCTCGTGTCATACTTGGCTGTTCGCCACGACGTCGAAGCAGCGCACCGCATTTTTACCATGCACCAGAACGACCTCAAACACGGCAATACCACCATTGAATCCCAGATTCAAGACTCCACCCTTCTACAGCTGTTGCGCTCCTGTGTGCAGACCAATCAACTGAAGCTCGGAGAGGAAGTCGCGGAAGTCTTGCAGACTCTTGACCGTCAGGATGCTATCCACGATTCGCCCAATCTGGTTGTCCGAGGGCTGCTTCTTTGGCATGCCGCTACTGGTGCAGACGTCCAACAGCTGGAGAAGCTGCTCATGGGTTACCTCGAGAGATACACCGACTCGCTGGATGTAGATATGATCATCTTCAATGAGCTCGTGGCCCATGCCTACTCGAAAGCCGACCCCGCACGGGCCGATAGCTACATTCAACTTGCGCAGACGTTGGGCGTCGTACCAGATGCACATACCTACGCACTGAAGCTTGACTATGAGCTGTCAGTCAGCGAGCTGGATGCAGCACGAGCAACGTTCGAAGGCTTGACAATCCAAGATGTGCCGGCAGAAAGAGTTGATGTGCCAGTACTGAACAGGTACATTACCAAGCTAGCGTCAACTCGGATCGATGATCTGCCGCTCATGACACGAGTGGCAGACCGCATCACTGAGACCGATGCGGATCTCAGCGTTGGCGCCCTGGCTGCCCTGACGTCTGTCTTTTTGCACAAGAACGAGGTACACGAGATAACGAATTTGCTTCGTTATCGCATCGAAAACCTCCCGTCCAAAGAGCGTGCCAGTATCGCCCAAGTCTTCAAAGATTTCATCCTCGACCTCAATGTCAAGGAGCAACGAGCGTTCAATGCATATGAATTACTCAGAGCCGCTTTTCCAGAAACGACACCCGCCGAGCGACTGGAGATTATGGATTCGTTTTTCAGTCGAAAGAAGTCCGACCTCGCCTGCCTTGTTTTCGGTCATATGCGACAGAGAGACGAGATCGAAAATCGACCAAATGATGCAGCGTACGCGCAGTGCTTCTACGGGATTGCGAGCTGTCGAGACGTTGACGGTTTACAAATGATATACAATATGCTCAAGATGGATATCTACGTGGAGCAGACTACGAAGATTCACAATGCCATGATGGCGGCGTACGCAGCGTGTCAGACGCCATTCACTGCCATTATTGATCACTATTGGAAGATCATAGATTCCCGAGAGGGCCCCACCCTCAGTACCTTCAAACTCGCGCTGCGAGCTTGTGAAACTTGGATCGGCGCCGGTGGTGAAGAGGCTCGTCGGATTATGGCTCTGATGCAGAAGTGGGACTTGATCATCACAAAAGATGTCTATCATTGTTACATTGGTGCTCTAGCAGGGCAAAGCCAATTCGAGAATGCTATCGAGCTCGTTGAGCACATGCAAGAGGACATTGGCGAAGCGCCAGATGCCACAACGATAGGCGTCCTCTACAACGCTGTTCCCTGGCAATACCGAAAAGACGAGGTTGAAGCTTGGGCGAGGAAAAGATATCCAGACCTGTGGGAGGAACTAGTCTCGTATGGCGACGAGATCGACGAGGAATGGGAAGTGCGCTACTTCAATGTCAATAGAGATATTGACGTGGATGACGAACTGTTGTTCGGCCGGGGTGAATACTTGCCGATGCTGGCCGAGCAAGCACGTCTTGGGCTGCCCTCGCCAGATGACCCAGATGCGCATCAGAGCTAGCCTCGCCATGCGATAGGAATACCAATCTTGACCATTAGTAGCATTCAAATCTCGTACAAAGATAGCACGTGAAACACAACCAGAAGCCGATGCACAGTCCTGCATCGCCAACGATAGAGATGAATGAGCAGCGCGATCGCAATGGCGGATGGCTTTCTCTGGATCAACAAAGATAGCAAGTCTGCATCTTTGTCCTGAGCCGCCATGCCGAAACCAGAGGCATCTTTCAATTCGTGCAACAGAAGCGATGAGCTCCTGAGCGCGCTCGCAAGGCCGCACGGATCAATCATAAGCACAGAGAGAGCAGCAGCGGCACCAGTAACAATGTTGGAGAGGCAAATATCAGCTCGCTATCAAGCAGCCAGTCGATAGGCAGTCCGCGACGGTCAGCCTCAGTGTCAACCCCACACGATATGGCCATCAAACCGCTGAACATCCGGTCCGGCGCGTGCGTCGATCCTTTCGACAGCACGGTTGTGCACATGACCAAGACTACGGAGGCGTCCCTCAAGTATTACTGGAAAATGAATTCTCACGGGCGGACCTAACAACAAGGAAGAAGTACTTCCGCCTCACGTCCGCGCCCTACACGCATACGATGCGGTTCGCGATCAAGCGACACGCGAGGCACTGTCTGATCAACTGGCTCTCGTGGGACTGCTGGCCACCATGACCGCACGCATGGTCCACTTCTCTAAGCTCAGCTTACCCGGCAACGCGTGCCCGGAAGACTATACCCAGGAAACCATCAGCATCCTTCGTGAACGACTCCTCGACTCACAGCAACGTGGCGTCAGGGCTCATCCCTCTGTCTACTTTGGCATCTGGCATCTGGCGCCTGGCATTGGCGGAATGTATCTGCGGGCACTTTGACGCAGTGAAGGTGCATTTGCAAGCGTGCCGGGAGCTCCTGGAGCACCTGCAAGAGACAGATCTCACAGGGAATTTTGTGCGGGCTGGCGTCGGCGCGCTCGACCTCTTCCAGGCCATCGAGACGGATTCACGGTAGTTTTTGATATCGCCGCATGCCTAGCGTGGGCCAGAGCACGAACGCCTTCGTGAGATCAGCATGGAGCTGCAGGCCCTGGCACACTCGGAGTGTGATGACTCTCTACCGGCAACAGGGCGTCCAGAACACCCAGTCGCATCCATGATGCCCTTCGACGACATCCTTCGACGACGCTCACGAGATCATGCACCTCGCCCTCGGAGACAGCCTAACCGTAGCACGGGCCGCCCACGTCTTCGACACCTCCGTCGACGCCATCATCACCGACCTCCTCGCCTGCCTCACGGTCGCAAAATACGTCTGGCGCAGCCCGCACGCCACCAACAAAGACGTCGTATGGATGTGCGCCAACGCCAAGGAGGTGCTGCGCCACCTGTGCGTCCTGCGCACCGACCACAGCGTCACAGGCAAGAGAACCGAATCGCTGCGCCTCGTGCTCATCATCGTCCTCTCACGCGCCGTCACCCGCGACGCCTGGCGCTCCAGCGTGCCTAATATGCGCCGGCTGAAGTGCGCACTGCAGGGCGTGGATGTTAATCGGGGAGTGACAGAAAGCTCTGCTGCATCTCACGTTGCCCCGCTGGTCTGTTGACACCATGGCCAGTCCATAGAAGGGTGCATATGCGTGTTTGTGGATATCATTGGTATCTGTCTGTCGTACGAGTCGTTGGCGCACTCTATTTGCAGTGTCTCCATTCATTCGTTCGTGCCCCGGGCTAGTGACTTCATCCTCTCCGCCCCTTCGGATTCCCGTTCGCTTGGCTTCCTCTTCATGAGGTAGGTGTCGGCCCTCCAATGTGCCCGGGGCATTAGCTCGCACTACCATGGTTGGGGCTCCGATTTCGCGCACGCCGTCTGCTCACGGCCTCCATCCAGACATCGTATGCCGGCGTCTCGAGGACACGATCCCACCACAGGAAACCGGCTATTGCCTCTTTCACGCTCGGCCAGTTGGCTTGCTCCGCGGGGATGAAGGGCTGCTGACTCAATTCCTCAACACAAAACTCATCGGCCAGGCCCCATGTTATGGAACCGCAGCCGAGCATAAGCAGTGCCCACAGTCGTAGTTTCATTTCCTCCTCGGAAGAAGTTGTGGATGATGTCATTGATGGGAGTGCCATGAGCGCGCGTTTCAGCTCTTCTAGCAGTCGCGGCCGCGTCCCTGACGCGGGAGGCAGAACAAACAAGACAAGGTCATTGAAGATTAGTGCCGCAGGGTGGGCTACAGCGTCAATGCCATGCAGTTTGGGCGGATGATCTTTTGCCGGGTACAGTTCGAGCAGCTGCAGCTGGGCGATCATGCGCATGTGCACGAGGAGTTGAAAACTTGGTGCAGCCGGAGCATTGCTCACGTACAGATCCAGCATTTTAACAGAAGTACGGACGCTAAGGACTGCTTCGCGGAGGGAGGTGTTGCTGAGAATAGCGAAGCGAGTCGGGCTGCGGCCGCGCACAACGGGCGATTTGCTATATTTTTCCATGACTGGGGCGGGGACAGCGGCGATGGCGTGCCACATGGGCTGCGTACCTCTCCGGGTCGCCACAAAGATGTCAAAACTGTGGTATGAGTGTCAGCACCGCTCTGTATAATCATGGTCGTGGTACTACTTACTGGTTGAGCATCAGCCGTAGCGGCAGGTCTTGGTCAATGGTGTCGCAGCCGACCCATTCCTCGCCGCCTTTGAGCTCTACAACCTGGTAGAGAAACTTCATGTCCTCTGGCAGGACCCTACTGGCACCGAATAGTGAGGAGAACTCGCCCATTAGCATGGGTGACTGCCGATATCGGCTGTAGCTGAACGGTTCCCTGAGACCAGAATGGGAAACCAAAGACAACAGCGCGGCAACCACATTAGATGCGGGTGGTCCGGAGGCATTAGCGATGTTCTCGTTCAGCCATGTGATGGAGCGGTTGCGGTGCTTCTTTCCAGCCGCCATGATTTGGCTCTGCAATGTCGGATCTTTTGTGCGGAGATACTGAAGTGAGATTGCAGCAGCAGCATCAATCTGGTAGTCGATCTCGGAAGGCGAGTCAACTGGGGAACGGCGATAGAAATGGGCTGCCTGGTCGTGGGGGACCAAGGGAACCAGTGAAGGCCATATCATGGTTTGTGCTAGGGTCTGTCAGCCGATATTTGGCACGAGACCCACTCAACAACCATCCTTACCATCATGCAAATATCGCTGCAACACAGTGGGAAGCGTGCCAACGACCGTAGTCTGGAAGGGATCTGTCTTGTCTTGAGAGAGGATGCTGAGGGGCGATAGGGTCGGCCCTGAGGACTGTCCTGATGCATCACGTCCCAGAAGCGTTTCTATCGATGGTAAGGTGGGATATCGTCTGACCGGTCCTCTCATAGGTCTCTTCAAGACCGGCGGCGTGTCCGGAGTTTCTTCATGGCTGACACATTTGACGTCTGCCGTCAACTCCCTGTTCTTCCTGGCCGATTGTCGAGCTGCGTGCGCGCGTCGTCGAGCATCCTGCAGCTCCTGATTGCGCTTCGACTGTTTCTGTCCATGAAAGACAAACAGAATCTCATTGGGCCGGGAGTTAGCCATGGATAAGCGGTGGTCCTTTGTGTAGCCGGTGCCAACATGATCCACCCACTCCGGAAACAATCTACTGGCCTAGCATGGTGCCTTCGTCTAATAACGAAAGGACCAAGAAGACGTGTAGTGGTTGTGCAACAGCCAGAGAAGCCTCTGCACGAAACTCTGCCCAGCTTGCTGGAGAGCAAGTAAGCGCGCGAGAGGGGGCAAAGCTGATCCGGGGAGAGCTTAGGACGATCGGGTCGGCGGGTGATAGAACAAAAATCTGGGTCAAGGGTTTAATTGAAGCCTGGTAGATTACGCCTGATGACTAAGTGTCTTGTCGTCGTCGGTGGCCACCACTATAACTTTTATTAGCTAACTTAAACGTTGGAGGTCTGGGGGGACTACGTCAGGAGAGTGTTGGAGATGGAGATGAAGCTTTGGAAGCCTACACCCGGTTCCCGAGCAAGCTTGCTGCTGGCGTACGGTAACGGGGAAAAGCGTGGGGTCTTGGATGCACGGAGTACGTGTTAGTTCGATAGCGGAAGTGGACAGCAGGGGCAACAAATAAATGAAGTGGGAAGCCTTAAACCGAGCTTCGCCAGTCTCGAGGGAGAATGCAGAACGCTACTACCGCAGACGGAAAAGGCGAACATCATGTGGTTGGACAGAATCTTGACCTCGCTGGTGTGCAGATCGATCGGGGGCTGGAGCCACAGCCGTGCATTGCAAGCGCTTTAGCAGGGCAGGTGCCGCTCCCCTAACAGGAAGGTGCCCTGGCACCCCGGATCCGCGTACCCTGGCCACGATGCCCTTGGTCAGTGTTTGCACGTTAGAGCAACGAGAGAGTCGTCTATTATTACACCTCGGGTGGAAACAGCCCTCAGACGTGCTGCCAATGGCGCTCAATGATCCCTCAATATACCGAGCCTGAGGTGATCATCCTCCTAACCATCGTCTCCCACTGATATAGTGCGCCCCCAAACGCCCAGGCCAAATCCCACCAATATCAACGTGCCTCACACGCCATCTACGCGCTGGTGTATCTGCGCATCTGCTTCCTGCGTCGCTTACTTGGGCAAAGTACCCTGCAGGTTGTTGTCTGCTGAGGCCGTCCTAGCCCAACGCTGGCCTGATGGCAGGATAGTATGCTCCGGCCTGGGTTTCCCGGTCACTCCAAGTGCCGTCAGCCGCTCCTTCGACCGTAATGAGTAACTTGATGCACGACCAGCGGCATTGTTTGCCCTGTCAAGCCAATTCTCATCCCAGTAGGTGTCGTGACCACAAAGGCGCTGAGGTCAAAGTCATCGGGATCAGTCAGAAACATTTTCCTCCTCAGAGCCCGTCGGCATAATAACGTACAGTATCTGCCTCCCTCCAACGCCCTTGAACTCCCGCGCTCCCATAGACTGCACCGCGAATTTCATCCGTCGACGGCCCTCATCCTTAGATCGCGCTCTTAGACCGATCGTTAAATTCCTCGTTCGCCCTACCAGCTCAGCTTCAAGCTCCTCGAGCTCCTCCTCCGCAGTATTGCCCACCTCACCGGTCCTTCCGGTTCCTTCCCGATGCAGCGCCCGTAGGAACTCCCTGCTCACCACAATCTGACCAGGGTCCGTTGCCTGGATGTAGCGCGCACACCGGTTGACCATCGGGCCCAGGAAGTCCATGCGCTGAATCAGCGCGTTATACTGCAGCGTCGGCTCGCCGTGATGCAGGCACATGCGCAGCCGAATTTTACTGAGTACTTCTTCATCAGTCTTGCTCTCATCGCTCTCCTCCCCCAGTCCTGACACACGCCTCGGCCCCTTCCCAATGTCATCGAAGTGCCGTTGAAGCGAGACGCAGAATGCGAGCGCATCGCCTGCAGACTCAAACGCGATCATGAATCCATCGCCGTTCTGCTTGACCTCGTAACCCGTATGTCGGGCCATATAATGTCGGAGGAGCTTATCGTGGGCAATCATGGCGGCCGCCATGCTGGTAGCATCCGCGTCCCAGAGCGCTGAGGATGACGCGATGTCCGTGAACAGCAGCGTCATGCTTGGACTGCTTGGAGCGAGGACAGACGCGTTGGGGGCGGTGAGTTCTGTGGTGGGAGCACTGCCTCTGCTGTTGGTGGCAGCCGTGGCAAAAGACCGCCTTTGTACGTCGTGGTTGACAAGGTGACTCCGTGAGAGAAGAGGAGATCGAAGAACGGTTGGAGAACGGCCAGTGATTGAAGACACTGTCAGGACTTGGTGTGCAGTGGAGCTGGCCCTGTTCCGGGGTAGTGAGGCGCTGTTCCAGGCGCTGGGTCCGGCAGTAATGAATGTTACAGGGGAAAAGCGATTTTGGAAGCGCACGGTCTGTGACATTGTGATGGATGTCGTAACAATGGGGTGCTTCGTAGCGGATGAGGCGTGGCCCTCCTGTTTTGCTGTGGATTTATGGAATCGGTCATAGTAGATTCAAGGATGCCCAGGGATAAAGTCTTGTCTTTGAATGTGGTAGAAGGTTAATGGTTGTATATCAATATGGAAGCCGTTTGTCGTGCTGTGACTGGGGACAGCGCTTTGTAGCGGATTGTCGTCCTACGTTGTTCGACGTGTTAACCAGGTGAGATACTCTGACGTGCGTGTGATGTAGGCTGTATCGGTAAGGAAATGAGGACACAGTTAGGAGAAGCGTGAGCTTCCGCACTAGTTCCTCGACACCAAAAGCAGCTTTGGGACTTTCCACGAGAAAAGCATCCTGGAGTCTCCAGCAGATAACGTCCATGGACCTAGAGCACATCTCCTACCCAGTAGGCGGGAGGGTTCCACGGATCCGCCCATAGCTTCCAGATCTTGAAAGCCGAAGAATGGGCAAGCGAAGCTTCGATAGGCGAGGGAAGCCGAGCTGAGCTGAAGTGGTAGCTACCCCTGTCGAATGACAGCACAGGTGGGGTTAAAGGAAGTGGGATTCGGGATTTGGGCATTGGAAACGAGGCTGGTTTTCTCGACTGCTGCAACGCTGGTTCGAAGCGTTGGATCTTGATGCGTTGCTTATTTCAGAGAATGCGATGGAAGGGTGAGACGCAGCTAGAATAGGTAGCGTGTGTTGCAGTTTCCATTATTGCGTATAAGCGGGAGCCCAAGCAGAGGCTTGAGAGTAGACCCGTCCATCAACAAGATGTGTGTATGAGGTATGCTGGATGCCTTTCGCGCTGTGAACACCACAACTTCTACCTACTGGCTTCTACCCTGTCACTCGTGTTGGCAAGTCCAGAGCATGCTATACCTCGATATCAATCCATCCACCACCGCCCTCTCGTCTTACCGCCCTCAAGCCTGCCATCACGTCCCGCTGCCGCTGTCTCAGCTCATCGAACGTCCTCTGCTCCCTCGCCCATGCGGCCTTCTTCCTGACCAGGGATCCGCTGAAGTTCTCGGTCCCAGGTTCCCCGGTTTCCTCATCGACCCTGGGAGGCTTCACTGGTGTCCATCCGATCTTCAGCACGATCGTGCTGATGCCACGCCATGCACCGTTCCAGTCTGGCCGTGGCCCCATTAGCGTGTCCAGCTGGGATTCAGAGTAAGGGTCGTATTCGTCTGGGGTGTTCCCCTCAGAGAGGCCAGCGCTCAGTAGGGTGGTACCCAGTGGTTGACCATGCAGCTGCCGCCACATCAAAGCATCCCACCATTGTCCACAGCCGGACAGATCCAACCACTTCAACCCAGTCAGTTTCCGGCTCAACGAACGTAAAATACCCGCCGCTTCCCGCCAGTCGTTGTCCAGTTGGCTATACATGTTGGTGCCTCCATAGACGATTCGGGGAGACGAGGTGGATGGGTTGGACCCTGTCGTCGAATTGGTCACGGTAACCCGGGTACTCGCCGCGATAGGGGTGTATGTGGGCATGGGCCAATGAGCGAGGGACAGCGATGAGAGCGTGGGAAGGTGGGTGCATAGACGCAGGAGAGATTTCCACGAAGCCGCTGGCGAAGTGGGGGACAGTGCCAGAGAAAGATGAGTCAGGTTTGGAAAGGTAAGGGGTGTAGGGAGAGTCGTAGGAATGCTTGGTGCCGTAGAATCAAGCGCATCCCAGGCGTCGGGGACTTCTTCGGCTGCTGTCACGATCTGTACCGGCTGGATTGCTGGCTCTGAGTGGAGCAGGTCTTTCTCAAGAGACCTGTGCTGCACCCAGGAGCCTAGTCCGTGGGAAATGTCAAGTCTGGCGACTTCTCGCCGATCGTCAACGTCTGCTTCTGCCGCGAGGAAAAGCATCCGCACAGGATTGATCTGTACATTGTCGTTGTAGACAGCCAGATACGACAGCAGGCTTTCCTTGAGTTTGGTAGGTAGTTCGGTGAGGTACAGGGCATCATATTCGACGTGCCAGTCCCAATTAATCGCCATCTCTTTCAGGGCGTAGTCCTGTAGGGATCCAGGCGGTGGGAAGGCTGCTCCCGGTAACACAGCTGGAGCATCGAGTGCGCGCATCGATTGGAACGCATCGTGACTTGCCGACGCAGAGGCATGCCTGCTGTTTATTAGCCAACTCCTCGGTGGTGGCGGACCAGGCACAGTCCGAAGGCGCGTAGGACCGCGATCGCTCGTGGGAGTGGGCGTGGCCCGCGACCGTCGAAGGCCAATACGGGGAGGTGGACCCGTCGGAGCGGGCAGACTCAGGGCTTCTCGCACTTGAGGATGCACCGAGGAAGTCACGGGGGTATTGGGCACAGGCACTGACTGGTCTCGAATCTGCAGACGACGCGACTCTCGAATGAGGTCGTTGACCGAGGGGCGCGAATCATTATGAGCGGTAGGGTCGCGCGAGGACGATGCTATCGTCGCAGGCGAGCCGGGTTTGATGAGTAGGGCTTTCCCCGTGCGCTTCTTGGGCATAAAAAGGGTTGCGAGAAGGTTGGATAGTCGGTCGTCTGCAGAGAGTACCTGTCGGGTTGTATATGAGGAAGAAAGCTTGCGAGCGTCGCACTGAGGTGAGTCAAAGATGAGGTGCCTCGCCGCAGTTGGCGTGATGTCATTGGTCAGAATCAAACACAAGTATAGCAGGCTGAATCACTTGCCGCCAATGGCGATTAGCAGATTCGGGCGGATTATGTTGATGCGTGACTCAGTAGAGCATAGTTCTTGGGTATTTTAGACAGGTTCTTCTCTATCTGAGCCCTGAGAGGCTGACCGCTCATTAGGAACAACTCGCGTCCATCGTGGCTATACTGTCAGAGCCAACTGTTATACACGGGCGATTCGGTCCAGGACACTGTCAGTTGAGCCAGCGTTCCTTTGCAGCCATCTGTGGGGGCGAACCATCTTGGGTCAAGACTGCTCTCCCCTTTTCAGAGGTCGAGGGTTGACACTTGCTTCCTCCAACTCAGCAAGCCTCCAAGTGTGGGAGTATGGAAGTAAAACCCAGGGTGCTACGTCCCTCGCAACTGACATCTCTTGCATCTTCTCGTACTCCAACAGAATCGCAGGTACTGATCAGCTTCTTCTGAACGTAGCCGTACCTCGAGATCGGCTCCGACCGGAGTAAGTGCGAGCGTGTTGAACATGCGAATGTAACGTCTCCTCCTCCATCGCATGTGTTACTGACACGGCCCGCTTTCGAGACCCGTTCCCGACTCCGCCTCATTTTGCATCCCAAGCTGGGGTGATCGTTGTCGATGTGATGAACGGAGAAGAAAGCGGCGGGATGAGAAGTTTCAGGCGCTTCGGGAAATAGGTATTAAAATCCGGGAGGATTGACACGTTGGCTGACTCGGGTCCATTTGGGTAGCTCTACAGCACGTTAGCATTCGTTTCTCTGTCGGAGTGGTGATGAGACTGACTGTGGATGCCTTTCCGATAGCTTTTCTCCTTGCGATCAAAGATGGTGTACTTATCGCGGGGCAGCATCTGTTCTTCGCGGGGCATCTCACTATACCAGCGATCGATAGCTTTGCTGCTCATACCGCCCTTCTGCAGTGCAGCACTGACCGTATCGACAACTTGATCGACTAGCTTTAATCGTTTGCGCTGGCGCGCTTTCTGGGGAGGTGAGAGCCTCCAAGGACGCTTCCTGCAGATCCGTTAGTCCAGACGCAGACATACGAGACACAACACATACCAGAGCAGACCGCCCAACAGGCGCTGCGTAGGACGGAACATGGTGTTGATATCCTCGAGGATGCGGCAGGGAATGACGGATTGACATCGAAGCTGCGATTTGGGAAAACGACGCTACGCCGGAGTTAACACTTTTTTCGCTCCGGCTGCGCGTTCTCGTCATTGACGCGTGCGAGACATGCTCAAACCACCTTCACAAAAGGTGCCACCCTCTCTCATCTTTGCACTTATCCTCGTCCAGCTTCACCGCTGTTAGAGCCGTCGCTCACTCTCCCGATGGAACCAGATGAATAGACCACCGTATGCCCCGAATGGTCCTCCGGGCTATCCCACCGTTTCCTTCAATCTGGAAAGCCCAAGCCTAGTCTGGCGCTCCGCATCGTATCAGACCCTCCTTACCGTCGCAACTCTTTGCCGTGGATTCCTGTTCGGCCTCAACAAGACTGAAGTTCACGGCCTTCCGCGCTTCCTTGAGCTTCTAAAGTCGCGCGCGGACCCGTCCACTCGGCAGCGTGGCCTGGTCACAGTCTCCAATCATGTCTCGGTCATGGACGATCCCCTCATCTGGGGCGTCCTACCTTTTTCCTTTCATGCCTACCATGGCTATCTGAACCACCGTTGGGGGTTTGGCAGCCACGATATATGTTTCAAGGGTACCCTGCTCTCCCATTTCTTCACCCTCGGTCAGGTCTTGCCCACCCACCGACTTGCTCATTCCGTCCATGGCGGCCCAATGCAACCGTCCTTGACTGAAGCCATTCGTCTCCTGTCGCCTATCCAGAAGATATCCTACACACCCCGACAGCATGGTGCCTTCAGCGACTGTACCAGCCATCCTCCATCCTGGCCACGCGATGCTGTCGATCCTTTCTCCGACACCAACATAGACCCACAGTCACCTCACTACGCTTCGTACACCGATGACGAGCGCCTCTACCTTGCTCCCTCACGCTACCGCGCCAATCAACTCGGCTGGGTACACATATTTCCCGAGGGCATGATTCACCAGTCTCCGAATTACAATATGCGCTACTTCAAATGGGGCGTCGCTCGTCTTATCCTCGAGCCCGCCGTGTGTCCCGACGTTGTTCCCATTTGGATCGAAGGCACCGACCAGGTCATGCACGAGAGTCGCGAGTTTCCACGCTTTATCCCACGTCCGGGAAACCGCATCAGCGTCACCTTCGGCGAGGCCGTCGACCCGGAAGCGCGTTTTGGCGACCTGCGGCAGCGATGGCAGCAGCTCCAGAACCGTTGGATCGAAGAAGCCGACCCCGGTGCCACGAAAGCCGACAAGGAGCTCACGCTGTTTGCGTCTCTAGGCATGGGAATGCAAGGGCTTTCCTACAGTGCAGAAGTGCTAGAGCTCTGGATCGAGACCACACTGCGGGTCCGGGAAGAAGTGCTAAGATTGCGGAGGGATAGAGGCTGGCCGGACGAGGACCCCAAGGCCAGCGTCGCCGAGACGTGGGTGAGAGAGGGACCCAAGCGTCAAGGGCAAATGGAAGATGGTACATGGGTAGGAGACACTTGAGGCTTCGCATCACTAGTGGCCAGTCTTCTTCGCGTAGAACCTTGAGGCATTACCTAGCGCAGCGTAAGAGACAACAGTTTCGTAGACGGATTGAACACTTTGTTACGAGGGGACGGCACCAATAGCCACTTCAAAGGGATCAGAAATCGTATCGTCTCGTCTTGTCTTGATTGCACATCACCGGCCTGTCTATATACCTTAGACTAGTACAAGCATTTCACCCTCTGTATCTAAAAGTCTGAACAAGAGGAGACCGACTTCGAACGCCCTCGCTCAAGCTTTGCCTCCATCGACGCGTACCTCAGCGCTGCAACAGACGATAGCGCCAGCGCTCCTCCCCGTCGTCGCCTGTGAGTTTGCATGTGGCGAGGCATCGGGTCCAGTTATCCAAAAGAGCCTGACCCAATTATTCCAAAGTTCAAGCTAGCTGAAATCGATGCCTCAGTCCAATGCACCGCGTAGGGAGTATCCAGCTCCAAGCCCCGAAACACCAGAATCGCTCATTGCTAGCCAATTGCTCCTGCTCCATGCTCATGCTGACCAAAATCATCACATCGTCCTCGATATACCGCACAACGCGCCTTATCAGACACTCACTTCCTGCGCCCTAGCTCCCTCAAACCCCTGCTCCTCTTCCTCGTCCTCTCGTGTTTCTTCAGCCCAGCTGCCCCATAAGCCTCTCTTTCCCCGGATCCTTAACGGCAATCCAATGGCCTTCGCACTCTGGTCCACCTTGACCGCATCCTTCGTCGCCAATACCAGCACCTCGAAGAACATCTTCGTCGCGTCCTCCTTGCTCGTCACACGTTCTGGCACCAGGTCTTGTAGTAGCACCGATCTCTTCTGGCTCTGATTGGGGCTGCCATCGACCGATCCACCTAGTTTCTCACGCAAGAGGTGCACAGCTCGCTTCGTGCCCAACGAAACAGGGCCCGAGTCAGCAGGATGCACCAGAGGCATGGTTGTATCGTCAAAGTTCAAGCCTTCGTCGCCGTCCGCGAAGATACCCTCGTCATCCTCGCCCCGCACCATATCCTCAAGTCCAGGGTTGAGCTCATCAATTTGTTCATGTGTTACGCCTGGACGGTCCACACCAGTATCGATCGCTTCATCTACCACGTCGTCGTCGAGCTCGAGTCGTGGACTCTTCTGGCTATGCGCATCCTCCTCGTCTGAGATCCCGCCGATCCCAGAATCACGCTTTCGCTTGCGACCTGGCCCTGAGCGGTAAACAACATCGAACGAAAGTAGACCTTGCAATTCCGGTGCCCAATGGCGGGAAGCACCATCATTCATGGCGGAGGTTACAAAGTCGCCGTTGCGCTGCATATTCTGTAATGCCAGAAGAACAGGATCGCGGGGAAGGAATAACGGGGCCTTTAAGATCTTCGAGCGGTCTTCAGATTGGGCTTTGATCTCTCGGTTGTGGAGGACAGTCTCGACATCCGGGGCGATAGGCTTGACTTTTTTTGATCGCTGCTTTTGCTGCACGGCGACTGAAGCAAGCGTGGTGTCGTTCATGTCTTGAGCGAAGGTATGATCGTTTTCACGGAGTGCTTCTGACGGGAGATCTGAGAGGGCGGACTCGGCTCGATGAGTGCGCTCAGGTTCGGCGGCGCCGGCGCGAAGCTGGGCAGTTTCATCATCGCCTAAAATCACGCCATCATCCTGCTGCGCACCAAGCATATCTATGTCCTGTTCTGGGGGTGCGATGTCCGCTTCGTCGCCAAAGTCGAGCACCAGATCGTCGTCCTTGTAGATTTTCTCACCACCCAGCACCTCATCTTCGAGGTCGCGCTCGGCAGGTGCGTTGCGGCCTTGCTGGATACTGATGGTAGTATCGTTAGGCTCGAAATCATCGCGGTCGCCAAAATCTAGGCCGAGATCATCATCGTTGACTAGGACGTCGTCGCCTGGACTGAGTCTTGACTGTGTGCTTTGTTGTGGGTTGAGAGTGCTAGTCCAATCCTGATCGAAGTCTTGTGAAGGGCCTTCAAGAGCTGGCTGCTGTGTCAGAGGGTAGGCAAAGTCCATTGATGGGAAGAGGTCATCAATAGTCAGAAGATCTGGCAGTTGTAAATCGAGACCAGCATTCGCGTTTGTTGGCAAGTCATGGTTTCCAGTGTTCTTAAAGGTCTGGGAGAGGTTAGTGCTGCTTGCGACAGGGTACAGATATCATACCATTCGAATCTTCAACAGCGCTTCATGACAGTCGTCCTGTAGATATTTCGCTTTCTTGCCATAGATACGGACAACACCCAGCATGAGCTGACCGCTCAGTCTGAGAGCCATTGGTGCATGGCCCTGATTGACGATTGCGCTGATATCCTGGGGAATGTCGGACTGAAGAACTTGAGATTTGGACAGCTTGCGGTCGAGATTGGCAGCGAGCCAGACGCGAGCCAAAGGCCCGGTCTTGGATAGAAGCGTGTCTGAGTAGAACATTGTGGTATTGTGATTGAGCAGGCGATAGCTCTTAAATCGTCATGGGGTTGCGCGAAATGATGTGAGCGAAGAGATTCGGCGATCGGCAACGCGTCGCGAAGTGTTATTTTACTGCCTCCTCGGGCGCGCCGCAATTTAGAGTGGACCAAAAGGCGGTATTTTTGATGCAGTCAAAGGATACTTGAACTTCAACAGGAGAGTAGAAAGATGGAACGCGTCCACGGAAGGAGGGAGGAGGTGGTTGGGATAACAACATCGGAGGGGGACAGTTGAATGCGAGAGGCTGGAAACGCGACACTCGGAAAACCTGCCTGTTTAAGACACTGCGGGTCACCCTTGCCGCCGACGTCAACGGCCTCGACGGCGTTGGACTCGACTGGTTCAAAAATTGAACAGCACGACAGCAGTGTAAGATGTTGAGGCTGCATTGCTAACATGTGCACTATGCTCCTGTTCGGTCACTCCAGGACAATCGAAAGGCAGCCTTCTTGATCCCCCCTCCAGTTAGCGGTGCTTCTGAAGCGTGTTCAAGGGACACACCGCAATCATGGCCCACAAAAAGTCGCAGCAGGAGATGGTTCAGGTCGGTGTGTGACTCCTGCGCTGTGACTCTTGCGCTGGATGTCTACTGACAGACGCGATGGACGAGGTCTGCGTGAGAAAGCGTGTGCTGATACAAGCTATAGGCGGCAATGAACGATCATCCTCGCCATTTTGGCGCACGCGACCTTCAGTAGACCGTCAGCCTTCAGGCAAATCGACTAAGGTCATCGGCGCGTCGTATTCCCACGCCGATATGCTCAAATTTGACTCTTTGTCCCTTGGGTCCAACTCACGCCCACGCACACCACCAACGACTTCGTCCCGAGCCTCGCCCGCTCCTTCGCAAGACCGCAGGTTCCAGTCGCCAGAAACCAAACCCTACAGTGGCCTGGGCACATCGTCGCTAGGTAGCTGGGATGTGATCAACTCACCGGACGATGGGGACGATATTACCTATAACGACGAAGATGAGGACGAGTTCGGGTTGCCTAGCTTGGAAAGTATGCGCAAAAAGCGAGGCACGAAGAGTCCAGCGATGCCGGGAATTTCACCTCAAGTAAGCAACAACACAAAACTTGGCCCTTCGCCACTACCGCAGCATCATCGGTCGAATAGCTTTGACATTGCGGAGGAGCGAAACCCGCTATCGTACCCCAGTGCAAAGAAAGGCGAGGGCAAGATCTTGCGTCCGCAGTACAAGGAGCTGTTGAAGGACCCTGCCAACTCTTTACACCTTATTGACCATCCTTCGCTGCCCCAAGGTGCTGATGCCAAAGCTGCAGAGGCCCACAGCACCCGCATTTCCCGCATCAACAAATTCAAGCGTATACTGCAATCAAGCTCAGTATCTATGCCCGAGATCCGAGCTGCAGCCTGGTCGGGTGTGCCAGATGAAGTTCGTGTTATGACATGGCAAATACTACTTGGTTATCTGCCTGTTAACAGCGAACGTAGGGTGGCGACATTGGAAAGGAAGCGCAAAGACTATCTAGACGCTGTCAGGCAGTCTTTTGGCGGAGGCTCCAGCGCCACGAAGAACGGAACGGAATCCGGCTTAGCTGGAATGGCTTCAAACCCCCCTGTCACTACAGGGCGAGGTCGTGGACTTGATGAAGCCATATGGCACCAGATCAGCATTGATATTCCCAGAACATGTCCGCATATACCCCTTTACAGCTACGAGGCTACGCAACGGTCCCTGGAACGAATATTGTATGTTTGGGCAATCCGACATCCGGCGAGCGGCTACGTGCAAGGCATCAATGATCTCGCGACGCCGTTCTGGCAGGTTTTCCTCGGCATGTACATCACAGACCTTAACATTGAGAGTGGCATGGATCCCGGACAACTTCCCCGACCCGTGCTTGATGCGGTGGAGGCCGATACGTACTGGTGTCTGACGAAGCTGTTGGATGGCATTCAGGACAACTACATTGTGGGACAGCCAGGCATACATCGTCAGGTCGCGGCACTTCGCGATCTCACCACCAGGATAGATGCCGGACTAGCTAAACATTTTGAAAGTGAGAGCGTGGAGTATATGCAATTCAGCTTCCGGTGGATGAATTGCTTGCTGATGCGGGAGCTGACTATCCGGAATGTGGTCCGGATGTGGGACACCTACATGGTACGTTTGCTTCATCCCGTGGCCCTGCTCTCGCCTAATGTTTTATAGGCTGAGGAAAATGGCTTCTCCCAATTCCACCTCTATGTCTGCGCTGCATTCCTGGTCAAGTGGTCTGATCAGCTCTTGAAAATGAATTTTCAAGAGATCTTGATGTTCCTGCAGGCACTGCCGACGAGAGAATGGACGAACAAAGATGTTGAGTTGTTATTGTCGGAAGCGTTCATCTGGCAAAGCCTTTTCCATAAGAGCAAAGCTCATCTTAGGGGCAGTAGCTCTAATGAGATGCGGATGGGGGGTCTCGGTCCGCCCGGGTAAGATACCGAAATATACAAGACCACTCCATCCTTTGCCTTGTCCATCGAGCAATTTTGCGCTTCAGCCTCGTCACATTGATGGGTCATATATACCAGACACCGATCTAGCGTATATATTCACCAAGCTGTTTCCTAAGACGGAAGCTGTAGCTAATCTGTCAGGGACAGCGAGTTGCACTATTGCTCGGCTACATTCACTGTCCAGCTTGCCAAAGCGGTCTTGGAGTACCTCTACCTTTCAGTTGCAAGGTAAGCAGCACGAGGGATCCAGGGACGCCAAGACATCTACTGCCTGCTCGCTGTTGACTTCCTCTTTCGGCAGGTACAAGCGAGGCTGTATTCGCCTCTTTGCTCTGTAAACCCGAGGAAATGCGCACCTTGTCGCACATAAGAGATCGCTAAACGCTGCAAGCTAGTTGTAGCATATTGACGCCACAGACATGTCTCTACCTGAACGAGACGCAGCCGCCAATGACTAATTGTGGTAGGTTGAATCTCATGACGTATCCCTCTACAGCAATGGAGGATCATAGCCTGGTATGACGCGCACGCGAAATATGTTGACGTCCAGTTTTCGAGTTCAGTGATACCCGCGATCCATCATGGTTTAATGGCGCGCTTATGTTAGATACCAGAACCTTCGGCGCGTGCAGTCACGAGCTTGCAACCGAACAACCACTTAAATAGGGATGGCCGCCACAACCGTCGCCGCAAATTTCTCTCGTGGCATCACCAGACCGTCTCATTGCCTGCGGATACTGCACCAGAGTACTTTTCCACGTCAAAGCCTAAACCAGCAGAGTATCTTTCGATTCGCGTCGCAGCCAGCAACACGCAATTTTGCGTCAACCATGTCGTTCAAGACTCCTTCATCGGATCCACCGAAACATGAGGCCGTGTACTTCCCCAACATGACCAATAGTCTCCCTGCCGAGTCAGGCGATTTCCGCCGTGTCCTTTGGACCGGTCTTTACAGCCAGCTCGTGCTCATGACGGTGCCCGTGGGTGGTGATATCGGTGACGAGGTATGGAATTGTCTGGCACCATCCATCTCCTGTGCGCTTCCTCCTGTGCCGCCGCTAACACGCGTTTCCACAGAAACATACAGTCGACCAGATTCTCACATTCACGAGCGGCACTGGCCGCGCCACCATTGCAGGCGTCGACCAAGACGTCAAGGCCGGCGACCTCATCATCGTCCCCGCGGGGACGCAGCATCAGTTTGTCAGTACTGGCCCAACACCATTGATCCTGTACACCGTCTATGGACCCGCAGAGCACAAGCCCACTACGGTGCATAAGACGAAGGAGCAGGGCGAGAAGGAGGAGGACGAGGGCATTGATGTGGCGCCGGAGTGGAGTCGGAGAAGCAAGCGCGAGAATGAGCGTTTGGGCCTGGTTGAAGGAGAGGGCATGGAAGAGCAGTAGCATATCCAATGCCACGAGGCTGTTCTGGTTCTGGGACAGCGAGTCGCGGGCGCGGGGCTGTCGCAGGTCCGTGGACGGACTTGTAGATCAGTTGCGCGTTTGTCTCAGTTGTGACCGGCAAGAAATATGAGAGCTGTTCGCTGACGCTGTCCTTTCACCACGATCACCTGTTCTTCTTGCCGACAACTTTCGTGAAACCATCTTCATCGATCTCAGGTGCGGGCTTCTCCTTCTTTTGAGCCGAATCCGGGGTGTTACCCATCTCCACGTCTTGTTCGTCATCGTCGTCGAAGCCGTTGAATTCGTCCTCGTCATCCCAGTCCGTCTCCTCGCCCTCATCGTCCTTTCCCTGCACGAAATTGACTTGCTCTTTCTTCCCACTCTTCTGCTTTTCGAGGTACTTGGTATATGCGGCCTCCAGATCCCCAACATCACCCTTAGCCAACTTCTCCATCCCACGCCATATCGCTTCGGCCGTTTCCTGCGCACTCCCGTCGTCCACCACTAATTCGAATTCGTCGTTCATCACGTGCAGAAGTACCTCTTCTAGATCTGCAACCTCGTGTAGTGATGCTGGCTTGGAGGTTAGCAGTTCAGACACGGCGCCCGCGAGCAATTCGCGTTTCTCCGCCGCGACCTCCGGGCTGCCGCCGAAAGAATTGCTGATCGCGAAAGTGAGGGTCGGCCAGGCCCAGAGTGAGAGGGCAACTTGTAGCTCGATGAGTGCGGGGAGGGTTGAGGGAAGGGACGCGTGGGGAGTGGCGCTTGTGGGCTCGGACGTCAGCACGGGTTGCGCCATCGTGAGGTTGCGCGGGGCAGGCGACGAAGGTGGTGGGCTGGGATGGCAAGTGCCAGGATTATCCCTCCAGGGATAAGTGCCAGAAGCGCTTTGAGCGTTGTACAAGAAGTTGGTGATGGGGTGACCTGCGCGTCGGAGTACTTGCAATGTCCGTGGGTCGTCGTCCGCCCCGAAATATCGAATACCGGTCGCAACTTGGGAGAAAAAATATGGCGGACTCGGAGAAACGAATGACCGACCATCGGCCACAATAATGCCAAGGCCATGCTTGTTTTCTGTCTGATTTCACTACATGGCAACCTCGATTAACCCTTCTCTTTGCAGACTCCGAAATTGTTGATCGTTTCTATGACTACCTGCTCGGCGAGACTGCAGCCAGCCAGCTTGAGTACACTTCCCTTGAGCAGCTCGCTCGCTGTAACCTGACTTCGTAGCGGATGTGTCTTAAGCGCACCCTTAGAAATGTCGACAGCGTCGTGATTTTCATGCTCAATCTTCCCACTAGGCCAGAGCTCGGTATTCATGTTTATCCCTGGGTAGATGGCATTCTCTCTGAATGACTTCCGCAATCATCGTTCGTTGGATTTGTTCCAGGATGAAGAAGTCTTCACTAAACCGCAATAATCCCGGAACAGTCCAAATTGTTGGCATGGCGTGGGACTTGAAGAGCGATTGGATCTGGGTGACGTACCACATCTTCTCGGTGGAATCACTCCTTGCGCACATGGCCAGCACGAGAAGCATCCACAAGAAGACGCTTTCGGCGCCGTTCCATAACTTGCTGTTTTGTACACAGGGGTACCCAGCGAAGGTTTTCGCCCTATTTGTTGCGACAAGAAGTCTGCCAGCACCGCTCATAGTCAACAATATCCACGCTATAATGGTCATTCAAATCATGTCAGCTCGGGTTTCGGACAAGTGCATCCGCAACAAGGCTTTACCTGTGGTGGCCAGGGACTGGCACCACGGCCTTGCCAAGGCAAGGCTCCGGGCATAGCCCGGACAGGTCTACCTGTTACCGGTAGATAGAAGATAGAGAGAGGAATAGACATACTTAGACCAACGCTTCCGCTCCCCATTTTCCGCTCGTACGTAGCTGTCCGCTACATTACCAGTCTGTGATACGTGGCGCAGGTACAGCCTCAACATCGCACATGACACAGTATGAGCATGGCTAATCGATCGTCTGCACAGAGTCGGTCGAAACTGTCATTACCAAAGATCGGTTGAATGATCGACTTGTATTCTTGATGCCGTCCGCGATCTCGGTAGATCATTACAGTCACGAGTCAATCAGAAAACCGTGCCTCGATATTGCCTTTCGAGATGAGGCAGCCAATTTACTGGGCGACCTCGCCGAGATTGAGGAGGTCGTTCGACAATATTTTGCTACCAGTTTTTTTCAACTGCCTATACTCTCGAAACGCCGTTTTCTGGATGATCTACCATACGTCTATTTCAGACCTCGTGCAGACTACCTTCTGCTGTGTGTGAGCATCAGTCTCATTCTTCAAAAGCCAAAAACGACCAATTTCGTGGGTGAGAGTATGCAGTCTTCACTCTACGTGATTACGAAATGCCTCATTGCTAGCCTAGAAGCTGCTAATTACGTGTCCTTGAATGTTTTGCAGTCGAGAATGTTGGTCTGCTTGTATGAGCTTGGTCATGCCATCTACCCCGCCGCCTCGATGTCCATCTCGGCCTGTGCGAAGAGTGCAAGAGCCTTGGGCATTGAGCGGAGTTTCTCCCAAGGGCGTGGTACGCAGGAAAACGGTGATCTAGATCCTGCAGGTGCCGAAGAGGAAGTTCCATATTGAGCCTTGATGGGTAAGCTAGCAACACGTCTCAGTTCCTCTTGGAATGCTCACCCAACAACAGGTATATCAGCCTCCGCACAGGGACAATTGTCTAGCGGCTGGTGACCCCTCCCCGGACAATATCGTACCTATGGACGATACTAGGTGGCTTGAAGGAGTGAGGCTAGGAATTCATCTCAAAGGCTGCGCTAACATGTTCCATAGTCAACATCTGGAGACGAGCCCCGAGCGAATTTGCTGACGCCGTCCGACATTCGCGTCGGATACTTTGCTTGGGAATTTACAGATCCTTCATCTTGTCGGCCGTCTTGTCAGGCACATATTTGAGCCTTCGGCCGATATAGCCTTCCACACAGCCGAAGATCATTGGCGCAGCTCAGCCTACCACCGAACGATCGTGCCGTCATACCATGGCACACGAATGAACCAGCGTCAAGGGGGGACTGTGGAGGAAGTGGGAGTGCTTCTATCGCTTACCAGTAGAGAATGCAAGAGGATGGATAATGTCATCGTACATGGGCGAAGAAACGCGGTGCTGTAACTGCAAAATCCAGTCTGGACTGCGGCCAGTAGATTCTTGGAAGCCAAGATCGGAGCGTTGATCGTGTCTATCAAATCTGGCTTGTGTGAAGTATACAATAGATCAAGAGAGTAGCGAGGAGTTACCAACCACCGAACCCGCCGCTCGCCACACTGAAGGCTTTGAACAGAGCATATTAGGTAAGCTGAACTCGGCCTTGAGACTTCTCAAGGAGGCCTAGAGCAGCCTCTAGCCAGACCGGCCGGTAGGATGGGGCATTAGCCGAGGGGCCAAATTCTACTTGACCAGGATGTTAGCCGATCACAAATCTTTGCCAACCGCTTATTCGCGAAGGTGTACATCACTCGAGACTTTGATCATCTAGTTGCTCAGCATACGGCAGTCAACTCGGTGACCAGCTACAACGCGTGACTGCCTATGGAACGAAAGGTTCCGGAAATTGCCCAGCAAGAACTACTTAGGATGGGATACCGCTCAGCTGGGCGGAACGTCATACCGGTGCGCCAAGCCTTTGACGATCTTGAGTTCTTCATGACCTCCACCCGTAGCTGATGTTAAGCCTGCTGTCAGGTCTTGCACCTCTTGCGAGAGGGCCTTCGCTATGGAGGCGGATATTTCAGTAGCGAGTTCTGTGAAGCATGGCCTCGGCGTAGTCACCTTCGAAGAGGCGCTGGATGAAGATTTGCGCCCCGTTTTCGTTCTTGACCTAACGCGTCTCGCCCCCGTCGAGAATGGGCCACTGTATCCACTGTTTTGCAATCGAGCGCTCGCAGAAAACAAACAGCTACATGATAGCGTTCTCGGGTTCTCAACCGACAAGTCCTCCGAGGAACGACCTGAAGAATACCAGCAATTTCGGGAGTGGATATCCCGCTTGCGTGGCACCCAACTTCCAGGGCACAGTTCCCATGCAGGCTTCCGGTACGACGGGGTCTATTGGACTTCTTCCATGGTTCGCGGTCGCTACCAAATCGTCTCCGGAAATGTCTGCGAGCATACTCCGGCCGTCACGCTGACAGGATCGGCAGCGAAAGTCGTGGTCGATCTCCCCAGGGACGAGCTAGCCAGAGACCAGAGCAAGGCTGACAATCATGGATCAGTCACGACCCATGGACTTGTCCCTAACGTCTCCTTCGATGCTGGCGACGCCATTGTACCATCGAGGATTCCGCGTTCGGTTGCTGCTTCGAGACGGTACGACCCAAAGCCTCCTCCGTCGGTGGAAGACGAAAAGGTGATGATCCCGCAACGGTTATCAGCGAGTATGTCGACGGATTGGACAGCACCAGACCCGCTGGGAGTCCTCACACCACATGAGATATTCGCGCGGAACACTGATTGGGCGTCGACACCTTTAGGACCAATGTCGAGTTGGTCTCCCGAATTTCGCGAAGTGGTCAATCTTCTCATGCGCAACCCGCATCCAGCGACACTGTTCTGGGGTGAAGAACTAACCATGGTTTACAATGACGCATACCGGATAGAGGTGGCTGGGAACAAGCACCCAAGGTTGATGGGTAGTGGCTTCTTCGGACCTTTCGCGGAGCTGTGGGAGAGCGTTAGACCCATCTTCCAGGAATGCGCGCGCACGGGCAAAAGCATCCGGAAGGAGAATGATAGACTACTCATCGAGAGGTACGGCTACCTCGAGGAAACATTCTTCTCCTGGTCTTGGACGCCGCTGTATGGCGGGACTGACCGCATTTTGGGCTTCTACAACGCCCCGTTTGAGACCACATATCAGACTGTTGGCAGTCGCCGTATGGAGACCCTAAGGCATCTTGGTGAACGAGTTGCTCCAGCAAGATCAGTGAAACAGTTCTGGAGGGATGTTCTGATCGCTCTGGATGCGAACCCCTACGATATCCCCTTTGCATCGCTGTACTCGATCACAGATTCTGATGGAAGCGATGCATGCTCCGTCTCCTCTGGCGGCGTTGTTACATCGAAAACGTGCGCGTTAGAGGGAACCATTGGTGTGCCCGATAATCACCCTGCTGCGTCGCCAGAAATTGACCTATCCGGCAGTGATGGATTAGTTCCTTGTTTTGAAGAAGCGATACGCACCCGCGAGCCTGTGGTTCTGCGAGTCACTGACGGAAACCTACCGGACTTCTTGCTTGAAGGAATCAGCTTCCGAGGATTTGGAATACCATCGAAAGAGGCTTTGGTTGTTCCAATTCGCCCAACAAGTGGACAGAACACAACAGCTCTCCTCATGATCGGACTCAACCCACGGCGACAGTATGATTCCGACTATCGGACTTTCATCACCATGCTCAACCGACAGCTGGCGTCCTCATTGGCTTCGGTGGTACTCCTGGAGGACGAGGCGAGGAGGAATCGGACTGCCGCCGAGGTCGCTGCTCTTCAGCGCGAGCAATTGACGGAACAGCTTGCTCTGCAAACGAGTCGACTGCGCCGAATGACCGAGTTTTCGCCATTTGGAATGATGCTTGTGAGTCCAGATGGCGTGCTTCTAGAAGGGAATGATCGCTATTACGAAATGACCAATCACTCGAGAGACATTGCATTCGAAATGTCCTTCATGGATACGGTCGCCGACGCAAGCAAATCGGATGCAATCACTATGTGGGTCAATGCGATGCGGGATTTGAAGCCCACTACAGGCGAGATACAGCTAAGCAACAACTACAACACTGAGATTAACGAATTGACTGGCAGACCTATTGATTGCTGGGTATTGGCATCTGTTGTACCTGAAATCGGACCCGACGGCACACTGAGGTCAGTGTTGGCATGCATCACCGACATCTCACACATGAGGTGGGCCCAAGGCCTTCAAGACCAGCGGCTACGTGAAGCCGAAGAAACAAAACGACAGCAGAACGCATTTATCGATATCACCTCACATGAGATGAGGAATCCACTAAGCGCAGTGCTCATCTGCGCAGATGATATCCGCGACACGCTGACGGAGCATCACTTCTCTAGAGACGACGCAGAAGTTGTCAAAAGCTGCATCGAAGCTGCCAGTACCATCGCGCTATGCGTGCAGCATCAGAAATCGATCGTCGATGACATCCTTACAATCTCAAAGTTGAACTCGAATCTGTTGGTGATCTCGCCCATGCCTACAGAACCCGTTCGAATTATTCAGGAAGCAATGAGCATGTTCAGAAATGAGGCCAACGCGAAAGAGATCGACATGAGCCTGCACCTTGATCCATCCTTAGAGGATCTGAATATTCAGTGGCTGATGCTTGATCCCGGGCGTCTGGTACAAATGACCATCAATCTGATCACGAATGCCATCAAATTCACCAAGCAGTCACCGAAGAGGTCGATATCAGTGTTTTTGGGTGCCTCTCTGAGCCCTCCTGTAGCAACCAGAAATGGTTTCCAGTATGTGCCAACCAGAGAAGCACATGTCGACGTCGCAAGTGGCAAGGAGTGGGGAAACCACGAGCTTGTTTATTTGCGCGTCAAGGTGGCCGACACAGGTTGTGGCCTTACTGAAGAGGAAAAGCAGAGGCTCTTTGAACGATTTGCGCAGGCCTCTCCACGCACACACGCACACTATGGTGGCAGTGGCCTCGGGTTATTCATCTCTCGGCAGCTTGCGGAGCTACATGGGGGCCAAATAGGAGCAGCGTCAGAGGCCGGCCAGGGCAGTACTTTTGGCTTCTTCATACAATGCCGAAAGACCTTTGATCCTGTGGTCATCAATGGCACAGTCATGCCGGCAACACTTGACCCAAGCCAGCGAGTAGGAGATATCAAGGCGGAGATAGCTGCTCACGATACTCGACTTGAATCTACGGCACAAGACGTGTTGATGGCCGAGTCACAATCAACTGTCGATATTATCAAGTCAAGAGAGCTTCACGTGCTTGTGGTGGAGGACAACCTCGTCAACCAGAAGCTTCTCAGGAAAGGCCTGGAAAAAATGGGCTGCACAGTGAATACTGCAGACAACGGCGTTGTTGCCCTACGATATCTCGAAACGACTGAGCTGTACCAACCGGGGCTCACGAGATTATCCGTCATTCTGATGGACCTGGAGATGCCAGAAATGGATGGCTTAACTTGTATCGCTCGAATCAGGGAGCTTGAAGCAAAAGGAGTGCTTCGGTGGCATGTCCCAGCCATAGCCGTGACAGCAAATGTCAGAGCAGAGCAGGTCACAATTGCCAGAAACAGTGGTATGGACGATATCGTGTCAAAGCCATTCCGCATTGCTGAGCTGGTTGGAAGGATCGAGGCTTTAGTGTCAGCCAATCGCCACCCCGCCCGGTGAACGGCGCCCCAGAATATAAGAATAGCAATGGCCTTCAAGATGCACTTCGTAGCGAACGAAGAAGAGATGATGCCAACAAGTTGGCTTTCAAAATGCCTAGATCGCACCTCCATTCGTAATAATCGTCAGCTGTCCATACCCACGACTGCTGATTCAGAGGGTACCCTTGGCGGCTACGCTTTTCGCCCACTATTGTGATCTCTCGTCTCATTATCTCATATGCATCTGTGTACCGCACGCTGGATATCCTCAGCGAGTACCGGATCCTTACGGAGTGCTATTTAGGTGTATGCACTACTCCGGTTCTCGCAGGGGGCCTTACCCGTCGGCTGCATCAAAGAAAGAACATGTGTTGGATTGACTATCCTTTGAAACCTTTACAAACTACAGCAACCAACTTCATTGCAATTTTTCCCTTCATTCGGAAGACATGGCGACATTGACTCCTATCGGCAATGTGAACATCAGAGTTCTGGTCAACGACCAGCTCGATAATATCGCCCCCTCATGGAACGACCAGGTGGCAGCGCCAGGTCTCTTCTCCCACGTTCCGCTCAGAAAACTTGACGAAGAGGAGAAGCTCGGGAGAGCCGGTGCAGAACATGAGCTACATCTACCAAATAGTTGCTGCGGAGCCCATGGACTGAGTTTGATGATTGTGAGTCTCCTGTGGTCCTCGCGACGGGTAAAGCCACAGCTCATTGACTATTTCAGACGGTGGGCAAGGAAGACTCGAAACATACAATCTTATTCGATGCAGGACCCGAGGGTAATGTGTGGGTAAAGAATGTGGTACGCCTAGGGCTGGAGAAGAATTTGAAAAGCTGACCGGTGTGACAGGTGGGCTTGAAAAGGCGATTGGTCTCATCAACTCTCACAAGCCTGAGAGCAAGGGGCCGGTGGCGGTTGATCTCCATCCAAATCGACCAGAATTTCGTGGGATGATGACTCCTCGCGGGCCGGTAACGCTGGAAGCGGACCCGACAATAGCACAACTCGAGACAGCGGGTGCAAAGATTGATCTGAATACCGATGCTCACGCAATTTTGGGGCAGATGTTCTACGTTTCAGGCGAGATCCCACGCACGACCAGCTACGAGACGGGCATCGCCAACGGAATCCGCCTCGACACAAAGGAGGTCGGGTGGCAGGAAGATCCGCTCATCATGGATGAGAGATTCGTCATGTGCCATCTCGAAGGCAAAGGGCTCGTTGTCTTCACCGGCTGCAGTCATGCGGGTGTTGTGAACGTTATGAGGCATGCAGTCGAGCTGGGTGGCGGCATTCCCCTCTTCGCCATAGTGGGTGGCTTTCATCTGACGGATGCCAATATCCAGAAACTAGAGAGCACCGTTGCCGATTTCAAGCTTATACAGCCTACTGTAATCATGCCTGGTCACTGTACCGGTTGGAGATTCCAGGTGGAGTCCGAGAAGACTCTGCCGGGCAGGGTTGTTCCTCTCTATTGTGGTCAGAAGTATGGCCTGACGAGCTGACTTGAAGGGTTCGAGGTCGGGTGTCAGCCACGAATGACCAACGGTGGGTAGACATGGTACATTCACGAGGAGTAGTGCTGCCATATGCAATTATATACCAAAGAGCAAGCCCACTTAGCCGTGTGTCGCAAACAGAAACCAATCGTTAGAGAAACGTTAGCTACCGCTAGTACCAGCCTGCGAGTTACCTTGACCCGCAAATGTCGTCTGCAAAGACAAGGTGAAGTGGTAAATAGGCCATTCCCGCGGCAGAAAAGTGACAAGCGAAGACAAAAGCCGGCGCGGCGAATCGTCACTCCGGAAGAAGCACGCTAGTGATGTTTTCGTGGCCTTTGTTCTTGAGCCACAACTTGACCTTCATCTTCCGTACACTCCTTCTAGAGACAAACTTTTCAGCAATGCCACCATACAAAGCACCACGTGGTGCGAGACAGCGCCGCAACTCGCACGGCGTCAAGAACGCGCCAGTCATGAAGCGTCCCGCACAGCCTAAAGCCGAATCACCACAAGTTGTTCAGCCGCTAATCTCCGACGACATCTCGCCGGAGGCCATGCGATTTGCGGATCTCGCCAATGACAAGCTTCTAGAACCCATAATCATCGACACCATCACCCAAGATCTGGGGTTTACCCACATGACTCCCATACAAGAGGCTACTGTGCACGATCTACTCACGAACCGAGTCGACTGCTTGGCGCAAGCCAGGACCGGCACGGGCAAGACTCTGGCTTTCCTGCTGCCTGCCATACAAACATTGCTAAAGAAGCCGCGCCGCCATGGGAAGATCTCAACACTCATCATCTCACCCACTCGTGAGCTGGCTATGCAAATTGCCAAAGAGGCTTGCGGTCTTCTTGGCCGCCTTCCCATGTACAAGGTCAGCTGTGCCATCGGCGGCACTAACAAGGATCGAGAAGAGCGAGACATTCTGTCCGGATGTGACATCCTTGTCGCTACCCCCGGCCGTTTGTACGATCACCTCAGCGACTCGCGAATTTTGGCTTCATTCTCGGAACTCGACACCTTGGTACTGGACGAGGCGGACCGCTTGTTGGACATGGGTTTCATGAAAGACCTCAAAGATATCATCGCTTGCCTTCCAGACCGGCAGCAGAAGCCTCGTCATGGCATGCTGTTCTCCGCAACCATCGCCGATCACGTCGAGAAGTTCGCCCATCTCGTTCTATCCCCTGGCTACAAGTTCATTTCCACCATACCCGCCGGGCAGCGCAATACACATGAGCGGGTTATACAACAGCTCATCACCGTGCCTACCTTTAGTGACGTCCTCCCTGCCCTGATATCCGCCATCAAGTCGGAGATGGCGCTCGACAAAGACTTCAAGGCGATTGTGTTTGCCCCCACGGCTGCTTTGGCAGACTGGTACAGCATGACGCTCGCCGAAGTTAGGGGACTGCCGCCAGTGTCAACGCTACATGCGCGGATATCACAGTCCAAGCGAACGAGTGTCACGGATGCCTTCCGCAAATCTTCCTCCGTCATACTCGTCGCCACGGACGTAGTCGCTCGCGGCATGGATTTTCCGGAGGTCTCGGCAGTTTTCCAAGTTGGATTGCCTGCAGATCGAGAGTCCTACATTCATCGTCTTGGCCGTACTGCCCGTGCCGGTCGTGAAGGGCGCGGCATCTTCATCATCGCCGAAGCCGAAGCCTTCTTCCCAAAATACAAATTGAAAGACATTGAGTTTTTATCAGCAGGCACGACGATTGCTGCCGAGGATGCCGAGCTGGTGCAGAAAGCCGCAGCCAAGGCCAACATTCAAGGCAAGGTCTATCAATCGTGGTTGGGCTACTATAAAGCCCATCTCAAGGCGCTGAATTGGACTCCGGAGAAGCTTGTCGCCGAGGCCAACCGGTATGCTATCGATGCGCTCTGCGCTGGCGGAGTGCCGGAGATTCAAAAGTCTACGGTGGGGAAGATGGGGCTCAAAGGCGTCAAGAATCTCAATATCGTGGCTAATATTCCCTCTGCAGGGCGAGGAGGTGGGGGCGGCGGAGGCGGCGGCGAGGGACGACGCGGTGGCGGCGAAGGACGAAGAGGTGGGAATAGAGGTCGAGGTCGTGGCCGAGGCTCGGGTTGAAATATGCCAGATCAGGACCGAGAGATACCCATAGCACGCGGCGTTATCCTTGCACGGGAGACATAGACTTAGAACTTGCTCTAGCAGGAGCATTCCGGCACTTCCTAATGAAAAGGCTCATTCGGTAGCCACTTTGATTGAAGGCATCTCGGCATTTGAATCTGCTCCTGACGCAACAAGGCGATGGACAGACATCGGTGCCTACGCAAGCCCGGCTAAGCCCTTGTCTTTGTACGACCCACCCATGAGCTCCATCGCCCTCTTCAAGTCATCGTCTTCTGTATGTTTTCCCTTCCCAACCACTTGGAGAGTAGCAGGCACGAAGATACTTTCCTCGATCTCCTTGAATCTTCCACCGCACGAGTGCATGAACTGGCCGTTCCTCGAGGAATCAGCCATGAGTATGAGGGCGCTCCGAGCGGCGTCTTCCGGTTCCTGGAGCTCTACGCCCAGCTTCTCCATCATAGCCCCAGGTACAATCCCTGTTCTCGTCCAACTGGGTCCGATGGCGTTGATGCGGATTGGTAGTTTTTCATCGACCAGAATCTGGTGCATGGCGCGCATGAATCCTAGGTTCCCGTGCTTGGCGCTGGCTGTACCCGTCAGTCGATGATATGACTCGGAATTGCAGTGCCTACCATAGTCGACGGCTCGAAAGCGTGAAAAGCCAGCGATCGATGAGGTGATGACGATACTGCCTTCTCCACTTTGCTGTTCTGGCCTCATGTAATACATGCCCAGCGTGGCGGTGTTGATCCAGCCGCGAAGATTTACCTCCTGGGACTCAAAGGAGGGTTCTTTCAGATCACCGTTCTCGTCGAGATCGGTGGCAAGGTAGTTTGCCCTGACGGAGATACCAGCGTTTGCAAAGACATGATCGATTCGGCCATGCACGTCTTTTGCCTTTTGGAACAGGGTGAGAAGGTCTGACCACTTTGTCACGTCTGTCTGCTGATAAGCAAGTGAATCATGGTGGAAGCCATCTCGTGGAGGCTGCACGTCGCCGATTACGACAGACGCTCCAAGTGACAAGAGCAGCTTCGTCGCTGCAAGACCTATGCCAGACGAACCTCCTGCGTAGTCGTTAGTAGCAAAACTCCATCCACGATTAGGCACAGCCTGACACCAACGGAAGGATCCTTACCGGTGATAACAACCACTTGCTTCGCCAAACTGGCAAGGTCGGTGTCTCTCACAAGCACGTCGGTCATAGCGGTTGGGTCTTCAAGGTCAAGGTCTGCTTGAAACTCATTCCAGGCTGAATATCCTAATAGCATATGGAAGCGACGGAGATTCTTAAAGCATCGATACCCCGCTGTCTGAAGCGATATGCGAGGCGGAGGTACGTGGAGCTGCCGAGGCTGTCACAGGGTTGGGTATCCATTACCCTGAAGAGCGACGTGGCAGGGATCTGCCAAGGCCCTGTTGGAGCCTATGGACTGCCATGCGCAGAACGGACTCCCCGTTGGGTTTCCCAGCATTGCCTGATTGGATCGCAAGAGTGTCACAGCATGATGGGATATGCATTCAGTCTCGCTGATGAATGGAGCTTTGAGCGTCTGGATCGAAGCAAGTACCATACTGCACCCGAAGACATGGACATCTGACCCTTCGTGTGATGTTGGAGAAGTAACCCCTACACCTGAATGCAATAGGAGTACTCCACTTGTCCTCCACTCCAGAATGTGGGGTAGAAGCGAAGCTCAATCGCCTGGCGCTGACTCGCCTCAGGAGCGCCCGAAGTGTCCATCAGTTGCCGAATATGCCCCGCCCGCTGTCAACTCCACCACGCTGGCCCCGGATCTCCACTCGTATCTTTACTCCGGCTTCCTACGGTGTATACCCGATCCTTTATAGTGATCGCCTGAAGTTCCGGTTTCGAGGTCAACTCTCCAGATCTTCCCACCGAAAGATCAGGTCCGCACTGCCAGTCAGTCCTTTCGGTGCGTAACGGTACCATGAAAGGTATTGGTTCGGCTCAAGGCGAGCGCGGTTGGTTTAAGGTTTCACCGCGGGCACTTCCCCATCCTTATTTACTGGCTCTGTGCTCAGAGCACCGGGCATCGGCACTGGATTACGAGAGCCAGGTGCGTATCTTGTGCGCATCGCAGGCATACGTGACGCCTATCACCGCCGCTGCTTATGCTGGTACTGAGGGGGCACCGAAACAACAGTGATTCCATACGAGACCACCGCAAGCCCCACTGGCGCCGTGGGGATGGGATGGCATGCGGAACTTCACAAGTCGCGGCCCCTTTAAAGACGCAATGATGGCGCAGTCGGCGTGGGTGGGTCCTCGATCGGAGCAGGAGTCTCTTGCGATTTTCCAACGACATGATAATCGGAAATTAGTACTCTTGTATGGGCACATGTTGACAGGAAGGAACACCGTGGAACTGTCGAAATCCTGGAGGCTGCCGATCTCGTGATAAACTACCTGCGTCAGGACGTATGGTTTATTGACATTTAACGGCCATTGTGATACTAGTCCGCAAGTTGAAGGATAAGGCTTAGAAGCGCGGGATATTTGCCATCTCCTTCGCAGGCTCAAGCATCGTGGAATCCCCAAGTCGTATATCCCGATGCGCTCTTCACGTTGTAGAATGTTGACCGGTCGTATTGCGTGAGCGCAATTTTCCTGAGCACTCGCAAGGGCAGGTCAGGGTTAGAAGTGAACCCACGCCCAAACGCGATTGCGATCTCCTGGTCCGGGCTCTCTTCGACGCGTTTCTGAGCCGACTCTGGAGTAAAGCCTCCTGCCAATATGACCGGGCTAGCATGACCCCAAGCCTGCAGCGCAAAATCCAAAGACTCGTGCTTTGCATGTTCGCGATCCGTGTTGCCTGAAACGCGAGGCTCAACGAGGTGCAGATACGCCAAGTTTAGATGCGATAGCTTCGAAATGAGATCAGAGAATTGCGGCACAGGATCGGTCATGCCCATGCCTTGGAAGTCGGTGAACGGCGCAAGTCGTATGGCAGTTTTCTTTGCGCCAATCGCGTTGCCGACGGCTTTAGCCACTTCGACAGCGAAGCGAGACCGATTGGCGACGTTTCCACCCCAGCGGTCTGTACGTTTATTGCATGTATCTTGCGTGAACTGGTCGATAAGGTAGCCATTTGCCCCGTGAATCTCAACACCGTCGAACCCAGCTTCTACCGCATTGGATGCAGCCTGCGCAAAGTCATTGATGCATTGCTGGATTTCCTGATCTGTCATGGCGCGGGGCGTCGCATGCTCGCTACTGATAGGCACAGGGCTGCTGCTTACCATTTCCAAGCCTTGCTTCTCGAGAACCTGAGGACGTGCGGCGCGCCCGACGTGCCAAAGCTGCATAAATATGAAGCTGTTCCGTTTGTGGACTGCATCTGCCACAGCAGTCCACTTGTGCATCTGCTCTCGACTGAATACGCCAGGGGCATTCATGTCTCTGCCCCGCGCCGTTGACGACACGAAGACAGCTTCGGTGATGAGAAGCGTGCCGGGAACGCTGGCTCTTTGCTCGTAATACTCAATCATCATGTCCAGTGGCACCTGCTCGTCATCGGCGCGAAGTCGTGTCATAGGTGCCATCACAACGCGGTGTAGAAGGTGGCAGTCGCCAATCTGGAGAGGTGTTGAGAGGGCAGCCATGTTGGAGACGTGTCTGGTGGCTCCTCTACACAGCCTCCTCGTCCGTTATGACTGCTCAGCAGTCGAGATTTTCGAGCATTTCGGGGTGGGACTATGGCAAGATAAGAATGGAGAAAGCCTACCTGGAGCTGAAGAGGCATGAAATTACGGAATCGGCAGCAGGCGTCAAAAGTACCGGTGGCACGTTGCTGCCCCGAACCTACCCCCTAAACTCAGTTTATTGGGGTATCGGGGTAAGCACGATTAGTCAAGTGAGGTGTCGAGACACGACTCCTCCTCTTCATTTCGACTCCTCGACAAGACAAGCTGTCTTGGTGAAAGTTCCCATTTCAAGAACAACGACTGATACCGCGAGCTAAAAGAGTAGATCCATTTTGTTCACTCAGTAAGGCAGAGCGGCGATGTTGACCTAAGCTGTTCCGCACCCAACCCATCCCCTGGCTGGCGGAGTTCACGAGTAATGGGGCACCACTGGGGGAGTTAGGCTACGGCCAAGTCCGCTGGCCTTCTCCCCGACTCCGACAACGGCGGTGCGGAGGCGCGACGCTTACACAAGCAGCGTACCCCATGGTTCCATGAAACAGCAAAACACAAAGTCCCAAAATGTTTTTCGAGAAGCACTTGTTGCTGGGCGCAATATCTACCATGGCGTTGTGCATCCAGCGGTGCTAGAAGCAATGAGGAATCCTACGGAACTGAAAATTGCCTACGGGACTTGTGCCAAAACTTACATTTGACCATCGAGCCCAGATTTCCAACGGCGTCTTCATCACGACTTTAGCACAGCATGGTCGACAGCAAAGATGAGTCCCAGCCCAGAATATCCGAAGCGACTCATTTTGTCGACTGGGAAGGCCCTGACGACCCCGAGAGACCGATCAACTGGCCTATCTACAAGAAAGTGTTGGTCACGATAGCATCTGGCTCATTCGTCTTCGTGATTGCTTTCTCTTCCAGTGCTTTTGCACCAGCACGAGTTATCACTGCCGAGCTATTCGATACGTCTGAGGTGGTGATGAGTCTGGGGGTCTCGCTCTTCATCGTTGGATTTGCCATCGGACCTCTGTTCTTTGCACCCCTCTCCGAAGTCATTGGTCATGCAGCACCCCTGGCAATTGGATTAGGAGGTTGCGCAATCTTCCAAATTCCTTTCGCGCTTGCGACCAACATTCCAGTTCTGCTCGTTTCCCGGTTCTTGCAGGGGTCTACTGCGGCGGCCATCATGTCTGTTGGAACCGGCATGTTTGCTGAGGTCTATGAACCTGTTCAAAGAGGTGTTGCAGTGAGCTGTATGGCCTGCTGCATGAACCTTGCTAGCGCAATCGCGCCGATCGCTTGCAGTTTCATCGTGCAGGACTTGGGCTGGCGTTGGATTGGTTGGATTACGCTTATATTTGCGGGCGCTGTGGCTGCAACAGGCCCGGTCACACTCAGAGAGACTTCACCCCGGATCATCCTTCTGCGAAAAGCCCGACGCCTCAGGAAGAAGACCGGAAACTCCGAACTCCGAACGAAACATGCAGATGACAAGGTTGATTTCGGTGTGTTGCTTCAGAAGTACCTACTGGTGCCTGTCAAAATGTTCTGGACTGAGTTGATTTTGGTTGTCCTGACGGTTTACCTGACATTCGTGTACGGCACCCTCTACTTGTCTTACCAAATGTTTCCGATCGCTTTCCGCCAACGAGGCTGGTCGGCGCCTGCATCAAACCTGCCCTTCGCTGCCGTCGGCTTGGGGATCATCACAGCCTGGGGGGCCTTCTCAATCTTTACCCTGACTTGGTTCAAAACGCGGCGTGCTCGACAAGGGTCAGTTCCAGAGGACCGCCTTCCGCCTATGATTGCCGGCAGCTTCATCTTGCCGGTGAGCTTGCTGTGGTTCGGGTGGACTGGGAGCGTCCACTGGGCATCCCAGGTTATTGCCTGCTTCTTCATTGGTATGTCACTTCAGCTTATCTTCATGTCTGGTGTAGTGTTCATCGTGGATTGTTACGGTCCCATGTCCAATTGTGCCATGTCTATTCAGGTTGTTTTCAGAAGTTTCGCAGCTGCAAGCTTTCCTTTATGGAGCCCACCAATGTATCGAAGTCTTCAGGTGTCCTGGTCCTCGACGTTGCTCGCTGGGATTGCTGCATTGCTGTTACCATTTCCAATTCTGTTCATGCGACACGGCGCTCGCATTCGCAAATCGAGCAAGTACACCGCGCAACTGGGCTGAGCTCTTCATCGGGTGTAAGATGCTTTTTTGTGTCAAATCGATCGCATTCGGGGCCATCCCGGTTGCATACACAGTTGGCCTAGGACGCACGCTCGTGCCATACGAAATTTATATGAAACCGTATGGCCCTTACGAGAGCCCTCAGCAAGGTAAAGGCAATGTCATGTCCAGTCGGGCCTGTGTCCACCATGGCATTCTTGCGGGCTAGGAGCCACGTTCTAGCTTAGGAGTCTGGTGCTCGCATCGTCTCTCGGGGTATTTCAGGCTCAAGGTCCGAGATCTCGGCTGTTGAAGGATCAGATACTGCCGCCAGTCGCTGGTCATTGGATCTGCTCGGTCCAGCACACAGACGGGTCATCTGGGATGGTATGCTGGCCACGTTTAGCAAAGAGCCCCAATCTCGTTTGCCTTATCCGGTGCATGAGGTCGCACGAAGTTCGAACTCCTGAATGAGACGTTCTTGTCTTCAACATTGCTTTTGCTTGGAATCACTGCAGTGTGGACTGAAGCCGATGGTGGCTAGCGTGGACCCGATGACCAAGATGCGGAAAGAACATAGGAGAGCTACAGAACATTCCAGGGGAAGCTGTAGCCAGAGGGGTCTTCTGGCCTTCGATTTGTCTGGTCCTACCACAGTGCACTGCAATATCGAGTCGTTGGGAGATCCCACAGTCCACCTTTCATTGCAACGTTGGACCAGGTCGTCGCCTACTGTACTTCCTCTCAACCTCCACTGGCCTCCATTCCAAAACATGATAGACGACGGACTTTCCATTTTGGGCCAGCCGTAGACTTTCTTCCCTCCGCACGGGGAGCACGTGTCCACCGTCCCAGAGCCGCTCCAGCGGGGGAAGTGCGTGGCAGCTCCGCGTCTACCCCTGACTCCTTTAGGACCTCCATTTTGCACGCGACAACTTCATGCTGATAACGCCGCCCTTGATCCTGCTGTCAGCGTCGGTTGCATGACAACTGGATCAAACGACCCGGCATTCCTTCTTCTGGCTATCCGTGGGGCGGGTGCCAAGACTGGCGCAAATTTTCGCGAATGCGGGTGCCCCAAATCTCACCATCCACAGGACTCCGCTACGAGCTAGGCCTGGGGATGGTGGAGCTTGGTACTCTTGCTTCATCTCCCCGCCACTCAGAGATTCCAGGTAGCCACAGTAAGGGGCCCCGCCGGCCCGCCCAGTTTTCTGTGCCTTGGACGACATTTTCCCAACACGGCATGCCGGTTTGGCAAAGGCCCTGGCCGAGAGCGGGATCATGCACGGATGCTTTCTAGAAAGCTGCCACACGCGTCCCAGTCCATCGAGCACCTCCCGCGGGACATATATAAGGTAGGTACCGCCCTCTCGTACCTTCTCCAGGTTCATCACGATCTCCTCTCGCATTATTCTTGGACAATCATACCAAAGCCGCAGACATGACGTTCCTCGAGCTTCGGGGCAGAGCCCTTATCTTTATGATCCTAATTACATCGGGACTTGACTTCCTGCTATTTGGGTACGACCAAGGACTCTTTGGTGGTATCTTGTCTGGCGAACGCTTTCAGGACACTTTGGGCAACCCCGATTCGACTATGACAGGCCTTGTTACTGCTATCTACGATATCGGCTGTGCGTTGGGCGCCGTCGCTGCTTTCGTATGGGGCGAGAGAATCGGCCGAAAGAAGTCTATCATCGCGGCCAACGTTATTGTCATCGTGGGCGCAGCGGTCCAGACCGCCAGCTTTGATTATTGGCAGATGTTTGTTTTCCGCATTGTCGCCGGCGTTGGCGTCGGCCTCTCCACTGTCGCAGTCCCCATCCTACAATCCGAGACTCTTCCGGCTCACAACAGAGGAGCCTTGCTCGTTGTTCAGAGTGCGCTGATCATCATCGGCGTTGCAATCGCTTCTTGGCTCTGCTTTGCCACCTTGTACGCCGAGTCGAGCATGCAGTGGAGATTCCCGGTCGCCTGTCAATGTCTTTTCGCGGGTTTGACAGTCATCTGCTGTCTTTTTGTCCCCGAGACCCCCCGCTGGCTCGCCAAGCACGGACGGAAAGAGGAAGCCCGCCATGTTATCGCACGTCTCCTTGATCGCCCTGATGACGATGAGGAGGTATCTGGCCAGCTCACTGAGATCCTGGAGAATATTGCCGCCGAAGTCAACGAGGAGGAGCCCACCTGGAATGAAGTCTTCAGCAACGCAACCAAAGCGCGCAACTTGCAGCGCGTGCTCCTGGGCATGGGTCCATACATGATGAATCAGTGGTCTGGTATCAATGCTCTGTGCTACTACTTGGCCTACATTTTCCAGGAATACCTTGGATACAGCCAATCGATGGCCCTGATTCTTGCATCAGTGGCATTCACGCAATACGCTATCTTCTCCTGGCCGCCATATTTCTATATTGACCGCATCGGCCGCCGCTGGACTGTCATGCTCAGCTCTGCCGGATGTGCGGCTTGCATGGCCATTATTGCTGGCTGCTTGTTGAAGACGGAGTACAATATGGCTGCCGCAGCAGTGGCGTTTATGTTCCTTTACCTTGACTGCTTCACGCTCGGCATTCTACCCGTCTCATGGTCCTACAGTGCTGAAATCCAGCCGCTGCGTGTGCGAAACAAGGCCACAGCCGTTGGTGTCTTCAGCCACTGGATGTCCAACTTTGTTGTGGTCATGGTCACGCCAATTGGGCTCAGCAACATCGGCGGCAACTACTTCTGGATCTGGGCCATCGTGTGCGCCAGCTTCATCCCACTCACTTGGTTCTTCGGTGTCGAGACGTCCGGTCGCACACTGGAGCAGGTGGATCAGATGTTCCTCGATGAGCCGCGTCTCTGCATGGGCCTGAACCCGAACCACATCAAGGTCATTCACCAAAGTAAGGCGGATGAGGAATCGAGATTCAGAAACATCACGGAGAAGAGGGCTAGCATCTCCGAGGTCGAGCAGAAAGAGTAGAGGAGTGTCAGCAAGAGGTGCGATCATTGTGGCAGCAACATCTTGGCGCGGTATGGGGCATCCCACACCTGGCGCTTCGCAATACAAATCCCCATACGGGTGTGAGAAGGTGTGTGTGTAACTGTCACGGAAAAGGGCAACGTCATGGTCCTGTACAGACTAGAAATAGATGTACCAATCGTCATCATGCCTTAGAATCTTTGGCTCTCTTGACCCTATCGCCGTTCTCCTTATGCTCAATTTCGAGTGCCTTCCTTTTCTTAGCGTCCATGTCGTCCGGACTCATGCCCTCCTCATACTTCACGAGCACTTCGCCGTCTTCTCCCAGGATATCGCTTGAATTGTCCAACCCAGCCCACTTTACCCTGTCGTCATGTGGGAAGTCTACTATTCGCTGGGGGTAGAACATGTGGCAGGTCGCACGGAAGGCTTCACGGGCCTTCTTCGTGTTGATGCCCTCGATGAGGCTGGGGAACAGTAGTATCATATTACGCCCCTCGTCCATGATGGGCGTGCGGCAATAGGCGCATGAGACTTTGCAGGGTAGATGGTGCGAAACATCCTTGTTCGTGGGATCGTACCAGCCGAGATCGTGGTGGCCGTTGGTGAAGTTGATGTCAGACTTGTGGAAAATGGCAGCCCATTGGAAGGCAGACTGCTGAGAATTAGCTTGGATTAATGGAACACGAAGATCGGGAGCATACGGCGTGAAGTCGCTGACAAGTCGTGCAATGGCAGTACTTGGACGCAAGCGGCTTGTCTCTGCTCAATTGATATGTGACTTTTCCACAGTGACATGAACCATTCCACTTCACTTCGAAGTCATCATTCTCGCCGTGTACTTTGTACGGCTCTCGGTGCTTCCACTGGTCAATGTCTCGATGGGTGGAATCGCCAGCCTGGTATTGGTGAGCTTGAGGTTGGACCGAGCCGTTTGGCTTCTCGTCGCTTTGGCTTTGCTTCTTCGGCGGCATCGTGGAGAAAGAACTGGTAAAGGGAGAGCCAGCACGATGAAAAGTCGAGACTAGGTGAGGGGAGCGGTATAGAACAGTAGAAGTGGACAGGATTGCACGACCACCCAAAAAACTTGGTGCAAACCGCATATGCATGGGATTCGAGGCGTAAAGACTCCAGCTACGGCTCACGATTCACACGAGGACTTACCGCTTCAGCCATGATTAAAGGCAAGTGCTCAACCTCTGACGCTCGGATTATGACCACAGGGGGCTCCGCAAAGTGTCAATGACTACCCGGTATTAGCCTTCGCGGTCATCATATCCAGGCCAGCCATACCGCGACCTGAAGTTGATGATGCGATGATGACGCGCTGACTGTGTTGATGTGATTGACAGGGACGCGGTCCGATGGGAAAAAAGGTACAATCTAATGATGAGCAGAGTTTGAAATCTCAATGGTTGCGATCGTTCCCCAGATTCCACCAGTTCTGAGCTTGTCGTGACGTCAAGGGAAGCTCTTTCCGGACCGCGAGGCTTGGTCTGGACAGCGATGCGCACTCGCCGCGACCATTGTTCACGTTGACATGGCGGCAATTCCAAGTACTCGTTGCAGCATGCTGCAAACTGAGTCGTCCTCGAAATGTCGGTGACCCGTGCCAGGACCGCGTGAAGATGGGTGCATAGACTTGGGTCTCTGCATTCCTCTGATATGTGCCGAGACATTTCCCGAGTATATCTCGCCAGCAGCCTGGTTCGACTTACGCTTGTAATCATCTTACAAGTGTTTAGACAGCTAAGCATGGAATTATTTACCGCCATCAAAACATCGCCTGTTCTGTCGGGCCTGCTGTACAATAATGTCAGTCGGTACTCTATCCGACGACGGATCTAGCCTTCAGCGCCTTTTGGTATGGCCCGAGCACTCCCCGGCGGACTACATCGGTGATCGAAGATCGTTATAACCCCCGAACGACAAAGAAGTCTAAAGATCTTCGCCATCGTCTCGAGCATCTGCTTCTTAGGCAGGTCTTCATTCCTGGGGCACGACCCAGAAAAGCGATCCGGCTGACCAGACACGATTTTGGAGTTTTGGGCACCTCTAGAAGCCAGAGCTTTCCTAATGTTGCGTATAGCAGACGTCGAAAAGCGGGAGCGGACTGTCAGCCAGACAGCTTCAGCTCGCACTTTCGTCGACGAGAACATCCCAAACGAAGGTCACCTTCCGGTACCGAGAGGGCAGCTGTCGAAGCGGTTGTATGTCCGTACGTGCTTGTCTTCGCATCGGTTGTTCTCATCCTTCCGCAGGGCGAACGTGGGCCGATCGAAACGATTGTCACGTTTGATGTGGGATGGCAGATAATATGTCGCGGCTACACATTCCCAGCTTCAAGCATTGGCCCTTTGAAGTGCTTGTTCTGCCTGGGGCACTAGTTGCGTTAAACCCTTCTCTTTCAACACGGGGATCAGGCCGGTCAACTCGTCTTTCGCTTTGATCTTGTCGCCCAGTTCGAGCAACAGATCCGACTTCGTCATTCTCGCTGAAACGATAGCCATTTGGCAGATGGGGTCGCGATCGCCATCAGGAGTAGCATCGACAGCTGCGAGCGCATGGTCTGCCCATTTCAGCGTGGCCCGTCGAGCTGCAATCAGTGAGTCCTTGGTAGCTGGCCGCCCATTGATCTTGGCGTTGGGTCGTTTCGCCGCAAGATCCATCGTTGAAGCAATGTTGCTCAAGACCTGCGCCTCCTTGCATGACCGGGAATTGTTGCAAGCGGCACGAAGTGGTTGAAGCGTCAACATGTACACCTGTACAGCATTTGCCTCTTCACCAGTCACAGCATACAGATCTCCCATCTGCGAAAGCATGGCAGCAATCTCTTCAAATGACATGTCTGCTGCGTTGTCCTCCGTGAAACCTTTCGTTTGTGGGTCTTGCGTCTCCTTCACCAGCAAGCCAATTGCATCGGATAGGACTTGCTTCGCTGCGGGCATATCTTGCAGGTAGTCTGTCTCGTAGAGGGAGGACATCTTGACCCTGTACTGAATAATGCCTTTTACCAGACGTCTCCGCAGTGTTTTGGAAGGCTCATCGGTTTTGCCGCTCTGGTCCAGCTCTCTCATCTTCTCTTCGCAGTCTTTGGAGAGTAGGTTTAGCACTTCGACCGCAGATTTGACGTGTCCAAAGTGCTCGAGCATCTCAGCATACCTGATCCGTAGACCGAGAAACTCTTCGCCAAACGGATCCATGGGACTCTCGTCTGCAAGTCGAATTGCTCGCTGGAAGTACTCAAGAGCCATCTCCTTGTCCGGACGGACATGTGTATAGTGCAGAGCAACACGGAGCTGCTGTTCAACGCCATCGGGATAGTTTGAATACTTGGGACCTTGAATAAAGTACTCATCGTAGACAACGATTCCCAGCCCCAGCACAGAGGCTGTAGTAGCAAGCACGAGGACAGGGAAGCCGATGGGCCTGTCGTTGCGAGCCTGAACGATATAATTGCGTATCTTAACACCAAGCGGTACTCTGCTTCTGGAAGTGGAGAGGAATCGAGAGCGGCCGAGAGGTCGGGAGAGACTAGGCGCGGCGAGTCGAGGCGTGACACTGCACTTCGCCGCAGGTGTTCTGAGTCCCGACCCCAATGTCCAAATAGCTTTCATTGTGATGCGATTGCCCAGCGCGGGTGTCATGGCTGAAGGACTGGTGATGAAACGGAGGCTCAAAAAATTGGAAGCTGCGCCGCTCGCATGTCGCGTCGACGTCATCTCGTGGCCGGCGTACGCGTAAATTAACGCCTTCCCCACACTTCACTACCTCCGTGCCATCTGTCTCATAAAGCCAGCAAAATGTGCGGCAGATACGCTCTAGGCATCGTGAGTATCTTGCGTCCCATCAAGCTGCGTTGCTAACGTGCCAGCGTGCCTCATTTGTGCGGCATCAGCTCCAGCAGCAAGGGCTGCAGGTCGATGATGCCCCCGCTGACGATGAAGCCCGTGAGACTTACAATTTCCCTCCGGGCGCATACGGACTCGTCTATCGTGCCGACATACCCGATCAAGGCATTCCTACCGACGAAGAAACGAGAGACGGTGGAAACGAGCAGGATGCGGAGGCCGCACAGCCTGATACCTACAACTATCAGATCAAGGTCATGAAGTGGGGATTGATCCCCTTCTGGACCAAACGATCGCCGGATTATGGCTCTATGATGCGTACAATCAACTGCAGAGACGACTCGCTATTTGAGGACCGCGGCATGTGGACGTCGATGAAGCGCAAGAAACGATGCATCGTTGTTGCCCAGGGCTTCTACGAATGGCTGAAGAAGAACCCAAGTGGCAAGGAAAAGATCCCACACTTCGTCAAACGAAAGGACGGGAACCTCATGTGTTTCGCCGGCTTGTGGGACTGCGTCAAGTACGAAGATGCCGACTCAAAACTGTATACGTATACCATTATCACGACCGATTCGAACAAACAGCTCAACTTCCTTCACGACCGCATGCCTGTCATCCTTGATCCTAGTACCGATGCGATCAAGATCTGGCTAGATCCGAAGAGAAACAAATGGTCCAAGGAACTGCAATCTCTGCTCAAACCGTTTGAGGGCGAGTTGGATTGTTATCCTGTAACGCAAGAAGTTGGCAAGGTTGGGAACAACTCTCCCAACTTTATTGTACCCGTGGACAGCAAAGAAAACAAGAAGAACATTGCCAACTATTTTGGCAATGCGCAGGCGAAATCAAAGCTGATCAAAGAGCCGCAGGAGCATCGAGCGACCGTGGACCACGACGGTTCAGAAGACAACGCCCCATTACCAGTGCCGCTAAAGGAGGAATCCACCAGTCAGAAGAGGGCTCACGAGGACGAAGGTCTGCCAGACGCGAAACAGCAGAAGTTAGGTTCGCCTGACAACAAAGCGATCTCTCCATCCAAATCTGCGCCTTATAAGAAGCCGCGGAGTGCCACCAGCAATGAAGCCGCTATCCTGAAGTCGAGTCCCAACAAGAAGTTGGAGAAAGGCAATCAGACGATCACGAACTTCTTCGCAAAATGAACTCGACATGACACAAATCTGACATCAATGCTTCTAGACCGTACCTCAGCTCTACATGGCGACGAGATGATGGTGAATATGCAGACGAAGGTTCGCGGTCAAGCCTTCTTCCATTGCGACGGTGTCGTCTACAGAGGTGTCCGTTCGCGAGGTCTAACCGTAGCAGCGTCATTCGCCATTTGACAGACGCGATTCGCCTGGTGTTTGTTCAAGCTATCGGCCATACGAAACCAGTGGGCCGGTTGTGAAAGTGACTCATGCCCGTCTGCAGCATTTCGCACTGAAGTTCTCGAACTTACGGCTCCCTGTGGATGCCAGTACCAACGCTGCATGTCGAGAGGCAGCAGCTTGCCGAAGCGTCAGTTTATACCAGGTCCTTAAAGAGGTAACTAATCTGTCAAATCGCCCACGACAATCCCCACCAGGCCAGGCATGCATGGACAAAACTACCAGATTCAGCACCTTTGAGCAGCACTCGAGCAAGCCGCCGCACCCAGCCTCCAGCATGTTCGCTGAGGGGCCCAGTCTTGGATGAAGGATTTGGTCTTCTAGCAATCGTCTAGTCACAATGAGTCATCCGATCTCCAGTGGACTGGCATTAGATGGGTAGCGCACCGGCTTTCCCAATGTCCTGCATCCATCATACGCCGAGAAGGAGAGTGATGAATTCGGCTACATCCAGCGCCGGGTCATACGCTACGGGATGTCAAGCAGCCAGATGATCTCCCACCACTGCTCATCGCCATAGTGCTAACACTGGGCTCCACCATCTTCGTAATCAAACATGTCTTCGCATGCAAATGAACGTCAACGGAAGTGTATACTCCTGCACCTTATTATCATCCTGGTCCTGCGCCATGCACAGTTTGCCTGAGTGTTCCCATAAAACAACTCTGCCTAGAACGCTGGCCTCCGCGCATAACCCTGATCAATCCTGTGAGTCAAAAGGTCGGTGCAGAGAAGACTTTGCAGCGCAGAGTGGTTAGAAATCCTTCACCCTATGCCTCATCACCAGCAGGCACGATCAATCTGTCGGCCTCGAGCGACCCATCCCGGTTGGCGACTGAGCTTTCACCTCCCTTACGGTCGTTGCGGAAAGAGAAGTGCTCGACTCCAGGTTCGGTGGCGTGTTGAGCAGGCGAATCGCAACGACGCAAGCGCTGATGGCAAGTTGGGCAATAGTTATTGCTCATCTTCCATGCCTTGAGGGCCATGGCGGCGGAGTTGAAGGCGAGGATGAGGTGGAAAATACTACAGAACATAAGCGAAAGCCAAGCTAGCCACGAACTTTGACGTACCCTGCAGTCAAGGCTCCGAAGCCAGCGTACATATGCAGCACAACGTCGCGCCCGGAGCTCCCAAGGCGGACGCAAACGACGATATGCAGCACCAGCAGCGCGATGCCCAGACTCAGATCCACGGCGGCTTTGACCAGGTTTGTTGGCACAACAATGCGGCCACCGGTGAGCTTCAACCCACCGCGTCGATGATCAGTGTAGGTAAAGAGCGCAGTGGTAACCAAAGAGGCGGCGTAAAAGGCGACAGTAGCGCTCATGGTGTCGAAGAGGTGCCCATCATTGTACCACCAGTCGCCCTCAAGCTGCGCGGTGTCCACTGCGCTGAGGATAAGGCCAATACTAGAGTTGACAAGTAGTGGTGCACGCAGGAAGGGGATCATCTCGAAGATTTTTGATGCCATGGTTTTTGTGCGTAGGACTCGGTAAAGCTATTATGAGTGACAATGCTTCCTGGAAATAGATAAAGGAGAACGAGGGCGAGTAGGTGGTGGGCAACTATTGTATGAGAGCTCAATCATGATACTGCATTGGCAGCAACCGTCCGAAATACTGGTGCCTGCTCCTGTTCCCTCTGAAACAGGACAGGGCAACATGCTTTGGGGGCTAGCGCTGGCCAGTTCATTGCATCGAGGAGTGCTCATTGGTCTGAGTGATAGAGTGTTGTGAGCGCAAACCGATGGGGTAAGTGCACTTAACGAAACCTGTCCCACCAGGGTCGGTTGACTGAGGGACTGTACAGTAGTGAGCGGGAGGCATGCATAAGAATAGCAGCGTGGAGCTCTGAGCGTGCCGCACAGCCAGGACGAGCACAAGACATGACAGGTCCCAAACTAAGCAAGCCACAAACCAAGTGCTCGGAAGACCCAAACTGCTTACCCATGTAGGGCTTAGATCTCTGCCCTGGTATAGTGAAAAGCAGCCTGAGCAGCGACAGCGTAGACTTTTCGATGGAGCAGTATACACGAAGCGTCTGTTGACGATCGGAAACCGGAAATCGTTGCTTGACTTCAAGACTTCGTTGATTGGACAGCCTGATCGATGGTCATCGTCCGTCTTGGCGCGGGGCTCGGCATCTGTCGTGTTCCCCTCCGAAAAATGTCGGCAACTCAAGGCCGGTACACTCCCCTCAATACCAAAGCGCCCGCATCAACACCAGATATTGCGCATGTTAATGCCTAGAGACCCGACAGTATGATGTTCGGCGCCTCACCGGATCGGGGATTCACGACCCGCGACTTTCACCCGCAAGACAACTTCATCGACCCGCGCGATGTCTTCCCCTCCCGCTCCCGCCAATCACGCCGCAAATCCCCATCCACCCAACAGTATGCTCTGCCTGACCTTGGCAGCTCGCGGCACTTGGGCTGCTGTGCTCCAGCAGAGAAGCCGGCAATCGGATGTGTGACTCTCGCAGAGCATGAGAATCAGGCTTGTTGCGGAAGTGGCCCTTCCAGTCCCAGGTCTTGTGAAGGAGACTGCGATCAGTGCGAGGATTGCTTGGAGGATCACCAGCTGTGCGCTGATCAGGATGACTGTGTAAAGGACTGCGATGAATGCCTAGATGAGCACGAACAGGCTTGTGGGCAGCATGGTCAGGTCTGCCTAGACACGTGTGACGACTGTGATTTCTCTTGCTTCGATTGTATCGACTGGAACTCCTTCGAGAAGGACAAAGATCTCGGTCTCAGCTTCAACGTTCCACTGTTAGGACAAGAGAATGAATTCGACATCGACTTAACGAATCTTGACTTTGCGACCGAACCCAACTTGCTCAGCAGCTCCCTCTCTCCTCGCGATTCCATCAGCGCATGGGATACGCCAGTCGCGCCAGTCAACCTCTCCATGCATCATCAATGCATCGACAGAAATTACTGGAACAGCCTCGGTCAATCTCAATTCTGTCCCGACGGCAGCACGATTCATCCAACATCAAGCAGTTTCCCAACCTGGACACAGCAAATGCCACAATTTGGCTGCCACCCCGCAGCGATCCATGCTCAGCAGCCCTTTGCCCCTGCAATGTATCAGACGCCGCCACAGTCTTCTTCCAACTTCATGCCACAGCCGCCGTTAGCGAGCCCAATGATGCAGTCGCAGAGTCCGCAATTGCCAACTAACTCCCTGATATGCCAATGGTTGATGCCGTGCGGCACAACTTGTTCCGCGTCCTTCGCCTCCGTTGCTGATCTGAAGAAGCACTTGAAGTCAGCCCATTGTGTCAAGGGTATCAAATCGTGCGCATGGGGTGACTGCACCGCCAACTTCGGCTCCGAAGCGGCACTCACTGGCCACATTTCAAAAAAGCACCTAGCAGCTGCCAATGCCAACGACGATAGTGGCCCCTTTAAGTGCACGTTTCCAGGCTGCACCAAGTCTTTCATGTACAAACAAGTTCTCATGTCTCATCTGGCCTCTCACTCCGGCGATAACAAGGCCTACTGTCACATTTGTGACCAATTCCTGAACGCTGAAGGCTCCAACTTTCGAAGACACATGGCAAGCCATAGACCGAAACATGAACATCTCATCTGCAAGTGGCATCATCTGGGCTGCAAGAGAAGATTTCCGCGCCTGGACAATCTCAGACGACACGAGGGCTGTTGCAAGTATGGCAAGAAAGCTGCTATGCACCACCATCACTATCATCTTCACAACAAAGAAGCTACAGCGCATTGATCCCTACGAAGGTAGAGACTATCCAGCCCTATGGCAAGGTAGAGCGAAGATAACATGTGAGCAATGCACAGTTGAGACCCAAAGTAACGAATTAGGTTAAAGGCCACCAGCAAATGGTTGATGACAAACTCAAATAGCTGGCAATGAGATACGACTGGCCATGTAGCTTGTCCAGATGTTGTCCGACTCTCGTCTTGAGAGCTCTTCTAGTCTTCTGATCTATCAACCAAACAAAACTTCTCAGTAGCCAGAAGTCTAGTCTATCCGTGGCTAGAAACACAATGCTCCGCCATCAACAACCGTCTCGCTTCCCGTCATATAACGTCCTGCTCTCGGGCTGCAGAGCAACACTACCGCCCCAACAACCTCTTCCACATCCCCCATCCGGCCCATTGGACAACGACTTGCCCAAACGTCGCGGACCTCCTGCAGACTCTCGCCTGCGTTCAGCACAGTGTCCAGATACCCAGGACTGACACAGTTCACTCTCACTCCAATCCCAGCCCACTCCGCTGCCAGGTTACGCGTCATATGGCTGACCCCCGCTTTGGATACATTATACGCAACCTGTGGCTGTGGGAAGTTGGTGCTGTGTGCACTGATGCTCGCCGTGAATACGATACTACCTCCGGTGCCGCTCTGTGCGAAAAGCCGCGCCGCCGCCTGCGCGCACAAGAACGAGCCGCTCAGGTTCACATCCACAACGTTCTTGAACTGGGACGCTGGCGCCTCGATGCTGGGCACACAGCCGACGATGCCGGCAAAGCAGCATAGTGTGCTCACATGCTTATGCGCCTCCGCCACGGCGGCAAAGGCCGCGTCCACGGAGGATGCATCTGTGACGTTGCACTCGTGCGTGGTGACGACACGGCCGGAAAAGTCAGCACGAAGCTGCGTGATGGAAGCCGCAGAGGACTTGAGCGTAGCTGCTAGGTCCAGGAGAGCAACGCCGCTGGCGCCGTGTTCGAGAAGGGCACGCGCAGCGGCAAGCGCGAGTGTGCCCGCACCGCCAGTGAGGATGCAGGAGCCGGCGATGGCGAAGCGTGCGAGGGCGCGGTCGGCTGGAGAGGTTACGGAGATTGGAGCCAAGGGTTTCGTCAACGGGTTGGAGGCGGTTGACAGCGTCATTTGTGGAATCACCCGCGAGGTGAGGCTGGCACGCTCATCTTTTGATACATTGACATGGTGACCAGCCACTACTGGTTCGCTGCCGTCGCCCATCTCTGCCGGCGGCGAGACTGTTAGACGTATGCTCCGGGGAGGTGCAAGGACAATTGAAGTCTAGCACTTCTCTATATACTAAAGGATGAACTGTTTTTGTCTGAGCTACAACTATATCAACCGGGGCATCCAGCGGCGAAGAATTTATATTCCTACCGCCACAACGGGCGACCTGAGTTGGACCTGACCGTCTGGTTGGTCAGTAATGACGAGAAATGGAGCAGCCACCTTTCTTTTCCCGTCCGACTATCCTCCGAGCGGGCCAGAGTCGTCCGCCACATACCTGAGGCCATCGATGTTCAGTGAGGGGAGGAGGGGAAGGGTGGAGAGGAGCGTTGGACCTTTCCCGGAGACATTTCTCCTTGCAGGAACGCTGCCTGTTTGAGTGCAGGGGAGCCTAAATTGGTACAGGCTTAGCGTGTTCACGCCCGAGCTTGAACGGCAACTGAAATAAATCTCGACTTGTCCTTGCCGTGGAAAGATGAATTCCCTGCAGACTGTTGGTTGGCGCCTGGTCTTTTTCGTGGATAACTTTGACAAAGCAGAACGCTCATAAGCAATATGCTGATACATGAGGCCTCCTCCGGCTGCCGAATGGACCGTGCCGCCCGAAGCTGTGCCCAGTGAGGTCGCGGATCGCTTGTTGGGACCGATTCATGGCTATAACCCCTCGAGACCAACCGGCGAATGCCTGTTACAAGTAACGCGGCATAGCTGAGCAATGTTGAAGACTCAAGCGCGTTCTTCGGCCACTTGCAAACTTGATGATACTACGCGGCACGCTGCGGGTTGCCTATTGGCAGTGCATCGCTTGTATCCCCCGTCAGCGACCAGCTCATGTTCGCGGTTTTTGGCCATATATGATCCATCTGTTACACCGTCAGCGATAATCCGCGCCAGCAGCGTTCGCACTCACATAGGCCAGTACCCATGGATGTCCTTTCGATTTAACTCCTTGCGGCAGTGCGCGAGTAGAACTTCCAGCTCCTCGACACTCCATCCTAGCAGCTCGGTGAACAGTTTGACGCTCAATCCATAGGCCCCATAGACCAAATTCGCTCGCCCGAACTCGCCGGCCTCACGGAGCATGGGATCCTTCGGCCACGGCCCAATTGGTAGCTTGAAGTTCAGCCGCGTAACGTTCTCGAACCCAGCATTGCGCATTTGCTGCACGACTAGATCAGGATTGCAGTGTCCACCGATACCCGTTTTGCTGATGCCCTCGGTCCAAAGCTCCTCCCACTTGGTAAGAACCGAGTCCTCAGGTAATGTGTTATCATCAGTCCGGCGCGTGTAGCTGAACTCTTGGCACTCAACCCAGCCGCCTGGCTTGAGAACCTTGAGGGCTTCATCGAAAAAGTGTGGCCAGTTCCTCAGAGTCATGTCGTTCATTATGCGAGTGTGGACGAGGTCGAACATGGTGCGCCACGTCCAATCCTCGTCAGCATCCGCGATCTCGAACGTCAAGTTCGGTGGAACGTAGCTTGGTTGAATGGGACTGAGATCAGTACCGTAGACCTCAGCCGCGGGATAAGCATCTGCCATCTCTATGGCCCAGAGGCCAGTGCCAGTGCCAATATCCAGGACGCAGGTCGGCTCCACGGGGGCGAAAAAGAGCCTGTTACCCATGGACAGCCGTACGGCGTGGTACATAATGTCGGTCCGTTCTTGCTCGTCGGCGTCGTTGGGAAAAATGTACTTGCCGGCGTGATAGGCATGATATGTGCGACCATGGGCCACTTCATACTGGTAGATACTCGATGTGACCGACTGCGTGGACGATGCACCATCATCTGAGTCGTAATAGGCCGAGTCTCCCTCGCCAAACGACTGTGGATCAATTAGCGAACGGCACCGGCATGCACGGGGCGTAGACGAGATTCAGTACCGAAGTATCCCGCACTTCGATTTCGCCTATATCTTCAACATCATCTGCCTGCACTTCTACATCGTTGGTCATGACTGCTGGTAGGATGTTCTTATGAGAATACGTAGTATGTAGAATCTAGGTCGAAAAAGAGGTGCAATGGGGGAGTATAGCTGAGGAACTGGTCGATCGCGTTCTCGACCGTTGAGGCCGGGAAGCTTGCGGGCCGCGGCGAATGTGTCCTCAGTAACCGGGCCCTTGTACCCGCATGCCCCGCGGCAGGCCTGTGCGTTGGCGTGCCTTAGCGGCTGGCTGCGTGTTCGCCCATCCAATGTTCTTGTGGGTTTTGCAGCTGTCACGATCTACTTTGTCCCTCTTCGCATTCGATCTGCTAGCTGAGCAGGGATGCTGGCGTTGCATCCTGCCGTCGGCGGGGACGCGGGCTACCCTGACAGAATGCGGTCGATTATTTCAGTGATGCCTACCGACGAGAGCTGTCAACGGCATCTTTGTGCGACCACACCTGTCAGCTGTCTGTCAACACTCTGAATACAGCAGCCGTCAACATGCCGCTACGTGATCAAATAACAAGCTCGCTACCAGATCTGAGCGTTCCGATACTGCTTAGCGTGGTTGGGGTCTTGATCGTGTCATATCTCGTCGTCGACGTCTATCTGCAATACCGCAAGCTTCAGCACATCAAAGGCCCGTGGCTGGCTGCCGTGTCGCCAATATGGCTCTTTTACCACACCTGTCGTGGAGATCTGTACCTCGCAGTTGAGTCTGCGCTGAAGACATATGGTGCGTCGTTTGAAGTTCTCAGTGGCGTTCTAATAGCTGGTAGGCTCGCCAGTCCGAATTGCGCCCGATATCGTCGCGAGCGACGACCCGGCCATGCAGCGGCACATGGAAGCGCCTCGGTCGGCGTGGAAGAAGGGTCGCTGGTTTAAGGGCATGAAATTTGATCCACGCATGGACAACCTTCTCTCTATGGCCGATGACGATGCCCATGCGAAGTTGCGCACGAAATTGATGCCTGGCGTAAGTTGCTCTCCGCTCGCGCTAGACTTCTCGAGCTGATAGACCACCTGTACTCGGGAAAGGAAGTGCCGAACCTCGAGCAGGATGTTGATGGCCGCGTTAAAGAGCTCATAGAGCTGATCGACCGCGACTACGTTGATAAGCAGGAAGCCATGGACTTTGCCCAGCTTGCTGGCTATTTCACCCTAGACATTCTCACCAAGCTCGCCTTTGGCCACCCCATCGGCTATCTGACCTCCAACTCAGATCTGTATGACTACCACAAGTCATCCGCGGCGTTCTACCCAGTAATGGAACTGAGCTCGAACCATCCCACAATCCTGAACATCCTCAACAGCCCATTGATGAGGGGTGCTGCACCCAAACCAACGGACAAGGTTGGCTTTGGGGCGATCGTTGGTGTTGCCCACAAAGCTGTGGCCGAGCGCTTCCAACCAGACACAAAGCAGGTCGACGACATGCTTGGGTCTTTCATTCGTCATGGCCTTAGCCAGGAAGAGTGTGAAGTCGAGTCGCTGCTGCAGATTCTCGCCGGTGCCGACTCAACCGCCACGGCCCTCCGTACCACATTCTTGTTCATTTTATCGAGCCCTGCAGCATACCGAAAGCTCCAAGATGAAATTGCGGCAGCTGTAGATGCCGGCAACATCTCCTTTCCCATCATCAAGAACGCCGAAGCGCAGGCGCTACCGTATTTGCAAGCGTGTATCCAAGAAGGGCTCCGTATGTTCATGCCCCTTCAAGGTCTTGCAGGCCGGGTGGCTCCCAAGGGCGGTGACACGGTCAACGGTGTCTACTATCCCTCAGGTACCGAGGTAGGCATGTCAACATATGCAGTGGGCCACCGGCGCGACATCTACGGGCCGGATGCAGACACCTTCCGACCGGAGCGCTGGCTCGAGAGTGATATCGAAAAGCTTCGGAACTATCAACGAACAAATGAGCTGGTTTTCGGCTACGGCAAGGTTGGCTGTTTGGGGAAGCCAATCGCAATGATGGAACTGGGCAAGGCCATCACCGAGGTAAGGGCATGCTAGTGCTCATACTCCAATTACTGACTCTCTGTTAGCTCTTACGTCGATACGACTTCACACTGGTCAACCCTTTTAACAATATTAATGTTAGGTCAAACTCCGTGGTTGTTCAGACAGACATGTACGTGAGGGCGTGGAGACGAACATCGAAGGACTAGGCGTTGCTTGTTCTCTGCTCATGCGTAAGCAAGTTGTGATATAGATACATGAAGAGAAGACAACGGCAAGATCAAGACGACTTCCTCCCAGCCGTGTTCTTTCGCAATCATAATGCCTCCACTGATCAGTCTCTTCTCTGTGCGCATGATGTACTGTGACAATCCCGGCTTCTCCGTGGCTGCAAGTTGTCCTCTATTGCCGGGAGCGCAGAACGTTACTCTGCAACAATGAGGTGTGTCGGTCGAAGGGCATGTCTGTAGAATTGTTGAGGAGCCCGATCGCACCGCCGCGTGGGGAAGGTTTGGCGTTGCTCCAAACCCGCCTGGCTGGCCCACAGGCAATCCGAAGGAATGTTTTGCCACCTCGGGTAGCGCCCCGCCTTCTCAAACAGCGACGAACGACCGCTTCGGCCCATGACTCTGGTCACATCCGATCAGGGAATGTCAGAGCTACGCAAAGATCGTAGACAAGATGGCATTCGGAAGCGAGTCCCAAATGCGTATGTCTAGAGATGCTGAGGATGTGTACTACAGCGCTGACACAACCAAAGTTGCCAGCGATGCCGGCAGCAGAAGATACGATGTTCCGGCAGAGCTCCCTGCCAGCAGTGCACGAAGAGAAATCTGAATTGTATTTTCGATGATCGAGCAGAGAAAATTCTGGTGTCGCGAGGGTGAGATGTGCCCGCTCCTTGATGAGTAGAGGTGGCTGACCCGAGGCCAAAAAGATTCATCGAAGACCTAGAGAAACGAGCACAAGGCGGTGCCGAAACGGAAACCATCTATGCTAACCAACCGATCGAATCCGGAAACGATTCTGAACATGCCGGACTACCGTCGATGTCAAGGCCGTCAGAGGCGCTCGAACACCTGACAACGCAACAGGTTACCGATAGCGCCCGTCGGGTCACGATTGTAGATAGGCTGTCTGAGACCGACTCTGGGAGAGCATCGCCATCCGCTCACTTGGTCAACCCATTCTCAAGTTACTATCCTCGATATGTTGCTGATAGCTCGGGTCAGCCGTATTATCTGGGGACGTCTTCAAACTGGGCCTTCAACCGCCGGGTGCTGTCAATCGTCCACGAGCGACTGACAGGGCAAGCGCCTCCTGCTGCTAACACGCCGTTCGACGGTACCATGTATGACTTGGGGTGGGATGGCATGCGCGATGATGGTGGGACAGACATGTGCGAGCTACCGTCTGCTGACCACGCCAGCTATCTCATCAGTGCTGTCAAATTCCACTGCGGCCAACTATTTCATCTGTTCGACGAGCCAAGCTTTATGCGGCAGTTTGATGAATTCCACAATGCGAATACGACGTCGAAACCCCGAGGTTTGTGGTTTGTGCATTTTCTTCTCATTCTTGCGTTTGGGAAGGCATTCGTTGCGCGTCGCAACAACTCTCGGAGGCCTCCAGGCTGCGAACTGTTTGTCCAAGCAATGAAACTAATGCCGGAAATCACCTTCCTCCGCACGAAGCCTCTACAGGCAATAGAAATACTCTGTTGTAAAGCCCTCTACTTGCAGTGCCTTGATTTCAGGTGTGCAGCATACAATGTGGTGAGCAGAATGGTCATCATTTCTCATGTTGAGGCTGACCTTTGGTGAAGATTGGCCAGGCGCTGAGGTTGTCCCTTGAGCAAGGCATGCATACAAACATGGAAGATCAAGGCCTGGACGATGCGCATGTACAGAGATGTATGAATGTCTGGTGGACAGTGTATATACTAGACCGTCAGATGTCTTCATTGATGGGCCTGCCTTTGGCATTGCAGGACAACGACATCAGCGCCCCTCTGCCAACAATCTCTGGGTCGGTCCAAAAGAGCCTCGCATTGGAAATACATGTGAAGCTTTCTAGGATTCTCTCGCAAATACTGAACAGTGAGTCAAAACATGGAACGCGCCACAAATGCGGCAAGGGCGACTGGTCGACAGGGATGCGGACGTCTAGCGTTTGCTCTCAAGTGTCTCAGCCCCGAGTTTGGCGTGATAGAGTAGTCGCTGATGTCGAACAGCCGTGTACGGAAACGATGGACGCCTTACCAGGAGGTTTGTATCGAGCACGAAGAGTGCTTTGAAGAATATCGCTGAGGTGAGCGACGAGCTCAAGCACGCATTCGGAGGCTTGCTCGGATCGTCTACTGGTGGCATCTCGCGCGTGGTTGCACACCTTCACCTTTTGCACCATCAGGTGGGTCAGCATTCTACTGCACCGATCTTGCAGCTGATCAATCAAAGTGTGTAGTGCTAGCAACAAGACCGCTGCTCTTTAATCTTCTTAAGATGAGATTTGACGCGCCCAACGGGGGCGGCCCTCTCGCTGCTGCCTTGGGGAGCGCAGGTCGCTTACTGCAGACCTGCGTTGAGTCGTCTCAGCATATTGTCGCTGTCCTAGACAAGTTAAAGGAGCAGGGCTTGTTGGGTCAGTATACCGTCTAGTCCTGATCTAAGCTAATCTCATAGCAGAGAGTTTCCTTCCGTTTGATCTCGAGGCAGCAACTGCAGCCAGTATGGTGCTGCTGCTGGCGCCTGTACTTGATGGAGAACTCCTGACCAACAATGCGTCTTGGCTGGATCGAATATGCGCTCTTTTCGACGAGATGATCCTGCACGGTCAACTACAAGCGTCCAGTCAAAAGTCCGAGTTGCAACACTTGCAGCAGGTATTTTGCTCGATTCCTTATCCGTTGACTGAGAGCCCAGACTTTCCGGACCGCGCTGTTGCCAATAGTCAGCCGACTGCGCCAAACGCCGCTCAGTCGTACGGTCTCGAGCCCGACCAGGCAATAATGGACATCACTTTCGATGAGGATGCTATCTTCCGAACAGATTTTACTGCAGAACAGCTGATGTCACTCGCGGATACCCTCGATTTGGACGGCATCGATTGGATGACGACTGGATCTTCTAATCTGGCCGAGCAGCTGTAGCTCTGATAAGGTCCCTATCAGAGACACCTGGCACAGTTCTCACATTACCTGCCTCAATAGGCTCAAATCTCCTGGCGAGCAAACGTTTATCTCGGATGTGCGCCCGGATGGCTTCCCGATGCCGATGCTTTCGGACATCTGGTGACCAGGACATCACGTGCTCTATCCGCACGCTCGTCGTACGCAGACCTTGGCATGGGATGCTTGCCCCGCTCAGTTGTGTATGCAAGAAGATGATATGGGCTTGAATGCCGCTCCCAGACGCCCGTCGAGCATATCTCCAGAAAAGTTCTTTGCAGTACTGCCATGGCCAGCGGCATACGATTGAATCGGTTTGGGGTCGATACGAAACTTACAAGTCCCACCAGACCAAGATGTCTCCCATGGGCTTCTACCAGTATTGGTTCGATGTATGCGACGCCTGGCGCGAGGAACAAGGCCACATATGCTAGTGCTTTGGATGTCCCTGTGAAGCCGACGGAGACCTCCATGTCACCATTGGCTCGTCTTCCGACATCCAGTGTACTTCGAAGTCTGTTTCTGAGCATATTCTTCACGTCACCATTGCTGTTCCGACCGGGTCTGGCAGTGTTCAAAGCTATTGCAACTTCCGAATTGGCTTTGCTCAATCCCGACAGAAATCCTGTGCTCCGAGCCGTGATTCGGCCATTAGTTTATGACCAGTTCTGCGCTGGCAGAAACGTGGCTGAGATCAAGAAGACATCGTCCGCGATTAAGCAGCTGGGCTTCTCTGGCGTTGTTCTTTGTTATGGCAAAGAAGTACAGCTCGATGCCAACAATAAACCCTATGGGTACGGAGAGGGTCAGATGCTCAACTTGGAGGATGAAGTCAAGCAATGGCAGACCGGGTATCTCAATACCCTGAAAATGGTTGGCCCAGGCGATTGGCTTGGGGTCAAGCTCACCGGAGCTGGCTTAAATATCACAAAGGCGCTCCTTGACGGTCAATCTGCACCAAAGGAGTTTGTCGAGGCAATGGAGGTTGTGTGTAGGCAAGCACAATCCCAGGGCTGTCGGATTTGGATCGACTCCGAACAGCAGGTGCTGCAAAAGACGATTGACGAATGGACGTTCGATCTCATGCGGCGGTGGAACAAAGGCGACAAAGCCTTGGTATTCAACACTGTGCAAGCTTATCTGAAATGCTCTCGGGATAAGGTTGAGCATCAGCTACAGGTCGCCGCCAAAGAGGGTTGGCGCTCCGCAATCAAGTTGGTGCGCGGCGCATACATGAGCAACGACAAACGGGAGCTCATCCATGATACGAAAGCAGAAACAGACGCCTGCTACGACAGCATAGTGGAAGACTTGCTCCATGGAACCGGGTTCTCCGCTTTTCAGTCATCCCCCGAACTGAAGCACGATCTGGTCCTAGCTGGACATAATACAAAGACCATCCGGCGCGCGGCGTCAATGGCATCTGACCTTGCCTCACGGAGGCAGTTGAAGGTTGTACCAGAGTTTGGCCAACTTCAAGGCATGGCCGATGATATTGGCTGCGAACTCTTGCAGCTCGGCGAGAATGCTAGCCGTAGCGCAGGATCTGGCATGTCTTTCGTGCCGAGGGTCTACAAATGCTTGACGTGGGGCTCGGTTCGAGAGTGCATGCAATATCTAACACGAAGGTTGGTGGAGAATAGAGGCGCGGCGGACAGGATGCAAGAAGGTGCTGTTCAGCTGAGGCAGGAACTCTGGCGAAGACTCAGTTTCAGGTCTTCTTGAACGACGTAATGATTGATAGTAGAAATCAAGTGCGTTCATATATGCAGCGAGGCGACACATAGGCTCTTGTTCTACTCTACGCATGCTTGGTGCCGGTGGTCTTTACTCCCAATATGCTTGCCTAGACAGGAGATGGGTATTGGGAAAAGTAGATTGTACATTATACCGAGCTCGCAGGAGTGTTGTCAAAGAAGAATGCCTACATTAGCTGCTCGAGAATATTCTTGCGTGGGTGGGTGTGAGAAGGTGTTTTGCGTAGCCCTCGAATGATTCAGCTCGGTATATGCACTTTGACTGCAGCATGCCGTGCTTGGACAAGGAAATCCGGGAGAAACAAGTGATACGATCGCTAGATACTTGCTAACAACACAATCGGACAATGCGTGACAGGCAGACAAACTCCTTGTAGCATGCTAAGGCTATCACCATGCGAGTCCTTCCTCGTTCACTCGACAGGAGAGGCTGGAGCAGATCTCAGCATCCTCACTGCTCATAGAGGCGGCAGATGGAAGTTGTTGCCTGGCAGGCCACACTTCTTTTTTTGCCGTCTTCTCTCGCTCGTAGTGCTCCCTGATAATCTTCCGGGTGACCTGCTGAAAGAACAAAGGGCCTTTCTCCAGCCGTGGATGCATCTCACCATTGACAAAAATCTCAGCATTGAGGTTCTTCTGCGCAAGCTCGCACAGTATTTTGTCCTCGCTGACTACCTTTGCATAGAGCTTGTGAATAAGTTCGAACTGCTCGTTGGTAGAGTTCTTGTTGCGGAAAATTTGATAGTGCATCGATGATTTCTTGGGCCCGTTTGGTAAGAATCGTTGAAGCATAATGAAGTGCGGACTTATGTGTTAGCAAGCACAGAGATGTTGGAGAAGGGTGACATACAGGACGGAGATAGAGACATTTGGGAAGAAGTAGGTGCTGGCGATTGCAAGACCCAATTCCTTCTGCTCTGAGGTTGGTGTCGATTGATGTTTGATCCAACCATGGTCGGTATCAACCTTGTGCGTTTCAATGTCGGCTAGAGTAGGGATATCAGGATGTGCTGTCGGGCAATGGTAGCATTCATTGAAGTTGTCCGCCAGGATCTTCCAGTTGTATGCTCCTTCCTGGTGATACTCGTGGTCAAGCACATAATCGTCGAAGTTGAACACCTTGTATCTCTCTTGTGTGTCAATACCATCAAAGTCCTCTTCCCACGGCACTTCTGGGATCTCCTTGCTATCCAGATTGGCCCAGATGAACCCGCTTGCGTCGGTTCGGACGTGAATCTTGAAAAGGCCATTCTGATTCTTGTCGAAGCCTGCGAGCTCATCGTATTTTGGTGCTTTGGCCAGTCTGCCATCGAGTCCATATGACCAGCCATGGTACTTGCACGCAAAGATTTTGGCTGTGCCTTTCTCTTCTTGGACCACCGGGAACGCACGATGGCGACAAACATTGTGGAAGCCATTGATCTCGCCTTTCCTGCCTTGGCATAAGACGAACTCGTAGCCAGCAACATCGAACTTGATCCAGTCACCTGGGTCAGTGAACCGAGTTTTGTGCGTAATAAGCATCCATCTTTTGGAGAAGATCGCTCGTCTCTCGAGCTGGTACATCTCTTGCGAAGTGTACCAATTCGATGGCAGAGCCCGAACGGCGCTGCTTTCTTCGACCGTAGGAGTGCGGCCGCTGAGGCCAAGATAGTTCAGTACGCCCATATTGTGTTGGTGGAAGTCTCAGAGTCTGTGGCTTAGCTCAAGATATGAATTGAATTCGAGACTATAATGTGTTGGCACCGAGAAAGATGTGATTCAGATATATTGCTCGCGGATGTAAGTATACTCAGGCAACGCCAGCCCAAACCCAATCGGCTGTCGGCGATAGGAAACCAGCGTCGCCTTCGCCTATGACCACCGCCGAAGGCCTGAGCAATCTCACAATCAATGCTCTCATGAAGCATTCCCAATGAGGAGATTATTTTCATGCCTCTCCAGTGAGTGCCGCCAATGCGCGTCCTATAGAAGCTGGTTGCCGCCCGCAATTGGATCGGAGTGGCTCGGTCAATAATGCCCTTTGCCTAGACCGCCAGTCTATGGCTATCAGGGTCATGATGCGGACAGTATGGGGCTCACGCGCCCTCGGTGTGATTGGCCGGACGAGCAAGTGCTCTCACAATCCTTTCCGGATGCGGATGATGTGGCTTGACCTCCGGAAGTCTGCTCAAGCACATCCCATCACCAGCTGACAGATACTGAATCACTGGTAGATCGTAGGATTCAATGACTGAAATAAGTATTTGAATCCTGGATCGAGGAGTGACTCCTCACCAGCAATGATCTCGTGACGCCAGTGACCTTTTATCTCACCTGCAGAAAGTCGTCGGTTGTACTATGAATCTCGGATTAGGATCCGATCCGACCTCCCGCATCGATTTTGGAGAAGTGGGGAGCCAGCGACGATGTCCGAGGCTCCAGAACGTCCAGCCACGATAGTGACCGAGCAATCCCACGAGGTCGGTACTGAGACCGATAATCACCACACTTGGTTCAGGTGTATTCCACAATTCACCTATAACGGGCTTGAAGTCACGATCAAGTGTGAGGTAGTACGACTACCATCAGAGGAAGCGCTTCCAAAATGCTGCCAAACAAGAGTGCACGCATCGCCATTGCGGGGAGTGGGACTTGGGGGCTTTCGACAGCTTTACATCTCGTTAACGCTGGCTACACCAACATCACGGTCTTCGATCGCGCCTCAGAGATACCATCCCGATATTCAGCGGGCTTCGATATCAACAAAATAGTCCGACCCGAGTATGAGGACCCTTTCTACACAGAGCTGGCTTTGGACGCCATCAAAGGTTGGAAAACACCACTGTTCGGCCCGTATTATCACCAGACTGGCTACGTTGTAGCGACGTCCGACCGCGCCCCTGAGAAAGCTGTTCGACATCTTCACGAAGCTTTGAGCTCGATAAAGGAGCACCCCACGTTCAAGCCATTTATCTCGCCATTAAGTTCATCCAATGACTTTAGAGAACTTTTCTGGCAGTTCACCGGGCAAGTGACAGGTTTCAAAGGATACTTCAATCAGTTTGCTGGTTACGCTCATTCCTCAAGTGCCATGAAGGGCATCTACACACATCTGACACGGCGCGGAGTCAAATTTGTGCTTGGAGATGCCGGCAAAATTACGCAGCTACTTTACGACGACAAAGGCAAGCGAAAATGCACTGGAGTCAAGACCTCTGACGGGCTCGACCATGCTGCTGACTTGGTAATTTCATGTCTGGGCGCTTACCAAGCTTCACTCATTCCAGATGTTGGCACTTTCAGCGTGGCCAAATCATGGTCGGTAGCCCACGTGCAGCTCACGGAAGAAGAGTGTGATCTGCTCAGGGGCATACCTGTCTTGAACGTACGAGATCTGGGTTTCTTCTTCGAGCCTGATCCCACGACGAAGTTGTTCAAACTCTGCCCGCTGGGAGCTGGATATGTCAACAAGAGGGAGGATGGCATATCCTTACCTCCACTGGACAAGCTTCCACCTCCCCAGGACTATATCCCCGTCGAGGACGAGCGAAAGCTACGCAGGCTGTTACAAGAGACGCTACCATGGATGGCGGATAGGCCATTTGTGGATCAGAAGATGTGTTGGTTTGCTGATACAGCGGATTCTGAGTACTGCGTCGATTTCGTCCCAGATACCGACAACTCGTTGATCGTGTTATCCGGAGACTCTGGCCATGGCTTCAAAATGATGCCAATTGTTGGATCATGGGTAATAAAACTCCTCAGCGATGGGCATCAGAGCTTGAAGCGCTGGCAGTGGCGGGCTCCGAAGCAGGGTAGTGCAGAAGACTGGGGTGATGAGGTCTCATGGAGGATCGGCAAGACAAAAGAGATACGTGAAGTCATTGAGGAGAGAAGCCGTATGCTCAAGGCGCGATTGTGATTCGTGTCACGTGTAGATGCACTAGACACGATTGAACTTTGATTACAATCACCAAGAGAGGGCAAACCTGACCTCTTCCGCCATCTTTGGACAGGTCGTGTAAGCCAAATCCGTGCGGAGACTACGCTGGAGCACGAGTAGTTGCAGCCCAAGGCTTGTGATTGATTCAAGTGCGGAAGATCCTCCGTCCATCAAGCAAATGTCGTAGGATCTAGCCGCAAAGAGCACATCGGAAGGCCTGCCGATGGAACGCTTGCCCCGTCCGTTGACGCCTGTGGTACAAGTTACATTGTATTGCCGGATCAGCTTTCTGACTAATCGCCACATGCCTCTGTACCCGACGGGTCCGCCACCTTCAGCCTTGGAATTAATTGTTGCCATCATTCTGTTCAGAGCGTATATTTGGCATAGAGCAGGCCATCCATCCACCAGTATCTATATGGATGTGCAGACTTCACTCACATCGAGAGCTTTGGCGGCTTCTGCCGCTGCGGACTCAATCCATCCCCTTCCTCCAGCTACCAGAGATATGGTGGCTGGAGCAGCTGGAGGCGCGGTCTCGGTGCTCTTGGGTCAACCCTTCGACTTGATCAGAGTAAGATTACAGACTACCAACGCCAGCAGCCCGATAGCCGTAACGAAAGATATATGGCAGCATGAAGGGTTTAGAGCTTTCTACAAAGGCGCTGCAATGCCGTTCATCTTTGTTGGTGCTGCTGTGAGCATACAATTCACCGTCTTTCATCAAGTGCGGCAGCTTCTCGAGCAGCAGAACGCAAGGACGGGCCATAGCCGCCTGTCGATTAGCCAGAAGTATCTGGCTGGAGGTGTGGCGGGATTTGCAAATACAGTCGTCTCCGGTCCTGTGGAGCATATCAGAACCAGACTCCAGTTGCAGCCTCGAGGAGAGAACAAACTGTATGCAGGGCCTAGGGACTGCATCAAGCAAATCTTGAAAATGGCTGGGGTGCGAGGGTTGTTTAAAGCGTTCCCTGTCGCACTTATCAAAGAGTTTCAGGCTTTTGGGTGCTATTTTGCGTCGTTCGAAGTATCGGCGTACTGGCTCTGCCATACCGCTGGCAAAGAGAGGTCCAGCATGAGTGTTTGGGAGACTATTCCTTGTGGTGCGCTTGGAGGTATTGGGTTCTGGGTTGGAAGTTTCCCTATTGATGTCGTCAAAACGAAGTTGCAGAATGATGGCTTCGGGAACAATGCTCGTTACCGTAATACGTGGTCAGTGGTCACCCATACCTGGCAAACGGGTGGCATGAGAGCCTTCTGGAGAGGGTTGGCACCCACTCTGATCAGGACTTCGTTATCTTCAGCAGGATGTTTTACAGTGTAAGTCACGAGCATTTGATCAACCCTCAACAACTGCTAACTATGACTAGCGTGGAGCAAATCAGGCGTTGGATGTGATTCTGTTATCCAAGTTTGCTTGCAGCTTCTATAGCGACTTTCATCGCTTTCGCCGAAATCCCGCGGGCGCCACCTTCTTCAAGAGCTAGATTCCCTTGAACCGTGCAGCCAGGCATCGCACAGATAGACTCTCTGAGAGTAGATGCTCGTTGATCCTTCAATAACATAGATGTGCTCATCAGCATTTGTGCCACCATCACATCTGCTTTCTCACGTGGAACTCCAGCAGCTACAGCACCATCGATCATGCCATCCAGGAAGAGCGCAACGAATGCTGGCGCGGATCCACAGAGTACAGTGCTTGCGTCCATGAGCGATGACGGAACATGAACTATGCCACCGAGGTCTGAGAAGATCGCATCGGCCAAGTCGGCGAGGTGTTTGGGTGGTCGAGGATCAGAAACTTCGATGGCAGTTGCGGAAGCATTTGAGGCGACTGCGAGGTTCGGAAGTGCTCTGACTACCCAACATCTCTCGGGGGTCTGGTCGTTAAGCAGCGTGTCTTCAATGGTCTGCCTGGTAACTCCACCTAAGACACTGATGAGAAGCTTGCCACGTAGAGCATGCCGCAAACCAGTTTCACTTAGCACCTCCGATGTCGCTGTGGGCGGGCAAGCAAGGATAATAACATCAGAATCTGCCGCAACGCTGGCGTTGTGACCTTCGAAGACGGAAACCTGCGGCCTCGCCTCGAACAAATGTTTCAGTGCCGTCGCTGACGCCTGAGACGTGACGGTGACTTTAATAGTACTTGTGTCGAAGTGTCGCTGTTTATTGGCTAGAATGCCTTGCACTATTGCGGTTCCCAAACTACCTTGACGACAATTAGCGCTGTACATCGAGCACGAAACCCTAATACTTACCACACCCAATAACCCCAAGACGGGAGAAACTGGCCCCTGCTTTTCTATGATCCGTCATGATGTCGCACGTTGTTACTGTATCTGTATTCGTTCTCGAATCGCAGGCCGATCAATGAATAGTTGGTTATACGTCGAGAAGAGGTGCTAGTGTGGTGCCAAACTCCGTTCTTGGCGCTCGGGAGTGCATCCGATGACCGAATCTGGCTTCCGATCCATGGATGCAGGCTTGGCCGAATCGGCAACCCACTCCGGGGACGATATGGGCGTCTTCTCAACCAGCTCTCAAAAGGCTTCGACTCGTCGCTAAGGTACCGTATTGAGCACTGTTGATCGCATTTGACAACGACTTTCAGAATGCCGTCCATCAGGCCATGCCACCTCAGCCAGCGCCCATTCAATCCAAGAGCATACCAGCGGATAGAAAGCAGTCTTAGGAGATCGTTAGCCACTGCTGGAACACACCGAACGCCCAAGCCATTCAATGAACAGAATGTACGTATCCTTGACCTACACAGTCCTTGCTGACAACCCAAGCTTCACTACGCCAAGTCCTCGCCAGAGAGGAAACAGTTGGAGGAAGCACTCAGCCGGCTTCGGTCTCAGATTCCAGTAGCAGTACCGTCTATCGCTTTTCATGGAGGAGGAAAGCTGTCGCAGAGTATGCCTGCTGATCACGGAACCGTCCTTGCAAACTACGAGACTGCCACAGAGCAAGACGTGTCAACAGCAATTGAATCGGCTTTGAAGGCGAAACAGGAGTGGACGAGCATGTCGTTTTTCGATCGTGCGGCCATTTTCTTACGTGCTGCCGAGCTGGTCTCGGGAAAGTATCGCTTTGAGATCATGGCGGCAACAATGCTGGGTCAGGGTAAGAATGCCTGGCAAGCAGAGATCGACGCAGCCGCAGAGCTGGCCGACTTCTTCCGTTTCAATGTTTCTTTCGCACAAGAAATCTACGACCGACAGCCGACAATCAATGCCCCTGGTCATGCTGGCCGAACCGATTGGAGACCATTGGAAGGATTTGTGTACGCCGTCTCGCCATTCAACTTTACCGCCATCGGTGGCAACCTAGTCTCCGGACCAGCTCTGCTTGGTAATGTTGTGATATGGAAGCCATCGCCTGCATCGATACTTTCAAGTCATCTGGTTTACAAGATACTGTTGGAAGCTGGACTACCTCCAAATGTTGTACAGATGGTTAATGGCGACGCCGAAATGATCACCAAGGCTGTCTTCGACCATCCTGAGTTTGCTGCCTTGAACTTTACAGGATCCTCCGATGTCTTCCGATCCCTCTACTACAAAGCCGCAGAAGGCGTCGTGACAAAGAAATACAAGGAGTTTCCCCGGTTTGTGGCCGAGACCTCCGGAAAGAACTTTCACTTGGTCCATTCTTCGGCCGATATCTCCAACGCGGTCAAACATACCATGCGAGCGTCGTTTGAGTACTCCGGACAGAAGTGCTCAGCCTGTTCGCGTATCTATCTGCCTGCAAGTCGATCAGAGGAGTTCCTCGACGAGTTGAAGACTCATCTGAAGACCATCAAAATGGGCGATCCGGAAGACTTCGGCAATTTTCTGGGACCTGTTATCAATAAGCCAGCCTTCGACCGTGTCACTAAGGTGATAGAATCGGCGAACAAGGACTCCCAGCTCGATAAAGTGGCTGGTGGAGGATACGATGACAGTAAGGGCTACTACATCGAGCCGACGGTGTATATCGCGAAGACTCTCGAGCACGACCTGTTCAATAAGGAACTTTTCGGGCCTGTGCTGGTCGCTTATGTCTACGAAGATGCCGAGTATGATTCTCTGCTCGCGAAGATCGACAAACAGGGCGGTGGCTTTGCTTTGACTGGTGCCATCTTCGCAAATGACCCCGTCGCAATCAATAAAGCGGAAGACAAGCTACGTTATGCAGCCGGTAACTTCTACACCAACTGCAAAACTACTGGGGCAGTGATTGGACAGCAATCTTTCGGTGGTGCCCGAAGCAGCGGCACGAATGACAAGGCAGGAAGTGCTGACTCACTAAGACGATTCGTTTCTCCTAGGACGCTGAAGGAGGAATTCAACAGGTTGGATACCGTGTTGTATCCCAGCAACTTGTGACAAAAGTATCGCAACGTTTAGGAAGGAAGGATAGACGGAAGATTTTGTAAGGTTGTGATGAACTCCTTGCTTGAATTTGCCCTGAGCATGTTATGGAGGTGGAGGTGGGGGCTTGAAGCACTGCAGCGGCGTCTCTTACCGCACTGTTTAGGCATCCGCTGCTCGCAAGGTTATTATCACGATGAGATAGAAATATGGCACACCCGCAGTTCAAAACGCTTTCTTTATGAAATCTCATTTAACGGCAAAGGCGCCACGATCACACTTAATCGCCCCCAGCAGCTCAATGATATCGATTCAGCTTTACCCTACGACTTTCGTGTGGCTGTCAAACTTGCAAATGAAGACGGCAGAATACACTGCATTGTAATCAAGAGTAGCGGTCCCGGCTTCTGTAGGGGTTGTGGTCTCGTGAGAACTGCCGAAACAACATAGTGTGGGGCCACTGGAAGCTGCCATAAAGTCAGCGAGGGAAATGATCCTTTCGAGGATTATCACATGATGTAGGAATATACCAAGTGCTATGGCGAGCGCTCTCACAGCCACAAACCAACTATCGCTCAGGTTCATGGCGCAGCTGTTGCTGGGGTGAGCGACATCGCTTTCATGCGATTGGATAGTGATAGCTGCTGATGCGAGTATCGGGTATACGCCGACCCGAGTTTGAGACTGCCCAACGACAGCGCCGTGAACCTACAGGCTCCGACACGAGAAAACGAAGCGTATGCTGCTTACGGGTGATTTGATTGACGGGAAAGCAGCGGAAGAGTTGGGTTTGGACCAGGAAGCAGTGCCTCAAGGGGACTTCGAAGAGACCGTACCGCTAGATCAGCCAGGATGGACGCCAAAGTGTCGCAAATTTCAGGGAAGCTCTTTGTGAAAGGTTGTGAATGGCGTGGAGCTTGGCAGCGGCGAAGAACTCTGTCTTCTGGAACTATCATGCTAGGTCATCTAGGCTGATCACTCGATTGACTGGTACCATGCCACCCAAAGATCTATTTTTGAGGATCCGTAGCTCTTCAGTCTACTCGGTCAGAGGCCCTAGCGTCTGATCTCTCGCAGAGATCGGGCCTGAGTGGGATTGACCCCATCGATTAGAGTGCTGCTGTTGGCAAGGATGGCAAAATTCGCGAACTATATAGTTCTCTGTAACAGCACGAAGCGCGGACCTCCCCTTTCAACCACCATACGAAGTCCCAGCGCAATAAGATACTGCAAACGGCCATGGCGGCACTTGGCGCCTTGAATTCTGCCAAGCATAAGTCTCTGGCTGACGGTCTACACCGAACGACCATTCAGTCACTCATAACCAGTCATAGCTCCCACTCACTGGCTCATTTGCAGAATAGAGTCCTGACGATTGACTTTGCGATCTGGTCGCGTACGTTATCTCGACAACAACGGGCCATGAAAGAGCTTGATCGTCTGAAGTTGGGACATAATAGTGCGCTGCTCATGCTGGTCTCCAATCTAGTTGCGTCGCTGGTCACAAACTGGCGACTTGACGCTATGAACGTGCACACTGACGTCTGAGACTCGCCCGCCCATCCCCTGAGGTACAAATGGATATGAGTAAGTGGCAAGTTTTGCATTGGAGCTAGTCATCAGTAATCCTCGCCGGCCACACGCATCTCTTTCTCGCATCGAACACCCACCATACTCCTGCAAAGATGGTAATACCCCCCCAGATCAAAGAGGTATAGTTCATACTCACAGCATCAGTCGGCAGCGAGTACGGGAAACAGTATATCACAAACCACACCACCATATACGCACACGCGAGGAAGTGCACAGCATACCCAAACACACCCTTGATAAAGAAGGGACCTGGCTCAACTTTCTTGCTCGAGCGCTGTGCGAGGTACGGTACCGCCACCGCGATATAAGATGATGAGGACAGCAGAATGAAGCTGGCCACGAAGCTGTTGAATGCTGAAGAGCTGAAGAGGTAGATGATGCCGATCAAGCTGACTACCACTGTTCCAGTTACGGTCGCGGCGACGGGCATGTGTTTCGAAGTACTTACTCGGCCGAGGGTCTTTGGGAAGGGAGTAGCATTCACTCGTGCTAACGTCCACAGTGTACGTCCAAAGGTGATATGGAGACTTATAGTACATAGGATCATCGACAAGAGGATTAGGACCATGAGTACAGTCGTCCCCGCATCGGATCTTCGCGTCGCTTGAGAGTAAATCTCCGCTATGGGAAATGAGGCGCTCAGCAATGCGTCATAGTCAGTGATGGAGTAGAGAATGGTGATCAAGTAGGCGAATGCCGAGACGAATCCAAGGAGATATTGAGAGGCGATGGCCTTTGGAACATTGATCTCCGGGTTCGGAATCTCCTCCGCGAGATGTGTCGTGGCGTCCGGCGTACCCATGGCGAAGGCACCGTTCAACATGCCTGCCACAAAGACAAACCCATCTGGGTAGCCGATGTGTGCTTCCCAACTGGCCCAGACACTTTGGTGCTTGGCTGATGCGGCATTTGTATCCAGCATGGCGGCACAAACGACGATGGTGGCGATGCCACCTATCAGTAGGACGAGTAGTCCAACGATGTTGAGTCGTGGTACCGCTTTGTTGGCCATGGTGACAAGTCCGCATGCCACCCAGTTGAGCAACAGGTAGCCAAGGAGTGTATGCCTGTTTCTGAGGTGAGCTGATATTATGTCCAATACATTGAGACGACTGACCATCGCTTGACCTCAAACTCAGGGTGTAGGTAAGCGTGTATCTCGAGACAAAGGTTGCCTGCATTTAGGGTCAGCAACAGTCGGTAAGATAGGAAGACTTTGTGTAACTCACTCGCAATTGCCGACACAGAAGCAGCGGCAAAGATCCAGGCAAAGCAATTCCAGTAGCCGGCGAGGTATCCAACGAGTCTGCCATATTTCGGACCGGACATAACAGACGCCCACAGATGGACACCCGCCGAGGATGGCAGGGAAGACGCAAGCTCTGCTATCACCGCAGCCACTGCGAAATAACAGAGTGAGGCCGCAAAGAACTCGTATATGGCCCCAGAGGGCCCCCCATTGAAGATCGATGTTGCAAGTGAGCCTGCGAGAGCTGGCCAGACATTGCCAACGACGAGGCCAATACCAGATAGTGAGATGATGCTGAAGTTCTTCTGTAGTGGCTGTCGCAGCTGTGCGCCGTAGGGGTTGATGCTCTCTATAGTCCCAGAATGCTCCGTTAGAACCGTGCTCATCTCGACATCGGCGTTCTTTGTCGTGGCTTCTGTGGGCTTTCCGGATGTCTGGATTTCTAAACGATCCATTTTGAGTCTGTACATACAGGAACGATCCCGAGGCCTGTGGATGATGCTTGCTTATAGAAGTCTACACATAAGAGTGGTTTAACGTAGCTACCTCGGTAGCGGTCCTCACTAGTGGAGCTGACCATTATAATATCCTCATAAACTTATCTTGTTATCAGCACATATCTGTAGGTATCATTCAAAGAGACTCGCAATACCCCGGGGACTCCCAAAATCATTCCAGATGACGCTAAGATATGCAAGGCCAAAGCTATAGTCGAAACTCTGCCCGAAGGCGTTTCCTATTCGGGAAGCTATAGCCTATAGGCTGGAGGACACAATATAACAGTATGGGTCTGGCTACCTTAGGAGCAGATAACACAAAACTGCATGGCAACAACGGCGACGTCATGGTATGTAATCATATGAGGGGCCTAGTTGATGATCGATATATTTGTGTTGGTGGTCGAATAAGAAGATGAGCAAGGTGCCCAGTTGGCAACTATCGACCACGCTGGATACATTAGGCAAGCAAGGATCATGTCCTCTAATATCAAGATCGCAGTTGCTCAGTTCGTGCCGAAGGTCTGTGCAACCCGCGGACCGTGTCCACGCCCAATGAATAACAGACTGACATATTGCCACCAAGCCTCTTGCCGTTAATAAGAACTTCGCAACCTGTGAAACTTATGTCAAGTCAGCGGCGGCCCAGGGCTACGATCTCATCGTCCTTCCAGAGTACCATCTGACCTCATGGGTTCCAGATGACGGCCGTTTCTTCAATGCCTGTCAGGACTCAATTTCCTATCTTGTCAAATACCAAAGCCTGGCGCGAGAGCTCAACATCAACATCGTACCAGGGACAGTGTGCAAGCCTGTGGAGACTTCAGATGGAGGCAAGCCACTCTACTTCAACATGGCGTACCTTTTCGGGGCGGGCACAGGAGAAGTTTGCGGCTCCTATACCAAGAAGAACCTATGGCATACAGAGCGCCAGCATCTGATAACGGACACAAAACCACACCTGGCGTTCGACACTTCTCTTAAATATGGGGATGGGAAGATAGTCAGAGTAGGACTGCTGATCTGTTGGGACCTGGCCTTTCCTGAACCCTTTCGTGCCCTGATAGGTGATGGTGCAGATGTGATCATCATCCCTTCGTGGTGGCATCGAGAGGATGCTGGGGAGGAGGGGTTTGCCATTAACCCGGATTCAGAAAGGCTCTTCCTGCAAAGCGCGACGACCTGCCGAGCTTTCGAGAATACTGCGGCCATCGTATTCTGCAACGCTGGAGGGTATAGCTCCGTCACGCTACCGATCGTCGGTCCTGTGGTGCAGATGGGACTAGAAGAGGGCATGGAGGTTGCCGAGATCGACCTCGAGACTCTCCGGGTTGCAGAGAGCAATTATCGGATTAGACCAGACCTGATATCAGGAGGTTTGCATTATAAGCATGCCGGCCAAACAGGACAATCACTGAGCTCCATCATTACGTAGCGATCAGTACGGCAAGAAGTCAATATCGTCAGAATCGCTGCCATCAAACTCAGTGCCTCGTACCTCTGTGCTCCATAGCTTCTTGAGGAAATCTGCTGTGCATGCAACGTTCCCCATACCGAAGCACGCCCGAATATGTGAGAGCAGCTTCGTGAGTGCCCACCTATCACTTGCCGACGTAGCTGCGCAGCCGGCTTCGAATAGCGGAGGAAGTGTGGCTACGCCAGGACAGGGTTTGGCCATGATGTCCATACTGCCGATGCATGAGATGATACGTTGTACTGAGAATTGCCTGGAATATTCAAGTGAGGTTGCGGTACTGTCAAGACGCTTGTAGAGCTGTATTAGAACCATATGGTGGTAGGCTTCGTCGAGCAACCAGAAATCCCTCTTGGTCGCTGCTGAAAGGCGCTCGGCTATTTCAGGCAGAAATTGAAGTGTTCGCCTTTCAAGCATCGAGTTCAGCTTGAGGACTAGATCTTGGTTTTCTCTTCTTGTGTGGTGCAGGTGCTGCTCCTGAAGCATGATGAGCTCGGTTGAATCTTTGCTCATTGCTTTTCGTAACGCTGCCTGACCTTGCACGGCCTCGATTATCGGTTTCAAAGACTTCGAGAAACCTGCGAGATCATCGATGTAGTCGTCTGTTTCGTTGCGATCGGAAATATTGTATAATGCATGGTTGACCGGTGTATGACGAAGAGCAGCGATCGTAGTCAACGAGGTGTATAGTCGTAACAAGACTCGCTTGGAATGCTCAAACTCGTAGCCAGACTCTTCCAACCTTTGCACTAGAGCCGAAGCACCCTTTAGATGCACAATCCAGTCTTGTCTATGAGAGCTTGAAGACACGATGTTGCTAAGGCAAAGGACCAGGCTTGTAGCCAGAGCCACTAGCAGCCCTTGCTGTCCTGATCCGACACTCATGCCATCTTGGAGAAGTTTGACTGATGTGGCATGGAAGCGGAAAACATCAGCCTCTGTCCGCTCCAGACCTACAGAAAGCCTATGGCTGAAGGCGACGCAGAGTAGGGCAGCCATGACTTGCTCGCTTGCCATTGCCATAGGGACCAGCGCTGAGCATATATCATGCTGCATCTCTTCATGGCAGGACAATGACTTGGACGTAGCATGTTGGAAATAGTCCAATAAGATGCTCTGTCGAGGATTGAATGCGTCGAGCTCTGGGTATGTATCGAGCCGATGTTGCAGGCTATGTTTGAGTGCTTGGACAAGACCCAAAGAGCCGGTTGGTGGACGATGGCTGGTAGATCCTAGAGTGATGCAGTCGTCATGCTGTTGGATCTGCTCGTATTGTTGATACGGCAAACCGGACTTCTCCAGGTTGGCAGGCGAGGAAGCATAGACAAATTGGTCTCCAAGAGACCTTCGGTCCTGACATCTGATGTGATTCACACCAGCGGTCGAATAATCGACATTTGGGCTGTGTGCTTTGTAAATCCCTGCCGAATGCTTGTTCAGACACAGTCCAAAGCGGGACTTCTTGAAAGGGCGACCACCCCATGAGAGTTCCCGTGCATATTCACACGCTATACTCACGCTGCGGCAGTACTTGCAGGATGGTTTGCCTTCGTCACAGCGCCTATGTCGCCTACGGCACTCTCGGCAACCATTCCTTGATCTCTGGGTCGGTGTTTGTGCTAATGACATTGCGGGTCAGGAGAGATCCTAGATGGTAGGATTGTTATCTCATCCCCTTGGGTTCAGAACCCCACGAAGTGATGATGGACATGAGAAACTTCACTATTGTACGCGGAGGCTATATTTTGTTGGACGATGACTTCCATAGGCTATAACTGCCCAGAGAGGTCTTTGATGCAGGGTTGGTGAGGTGATAAGCCGAGTTTCGTGAAGCTTTGCAAGATTTGACAACTCTTCCGAATTCGGCCTGGCGTAGGCTGTAGATTCCTCTTCCAGTTTAGGCTGCAGTAGAGTTTGCTGAAGCGAATACTGGTTCTTGGCAAGGCATCGGGCTGACTATCTACCAACACGTACTTAGTGCTACAAAGCTCAAGAAAGTTGGGCTGCTGATTCGTACGGCCTTCAATAATCATAAGTCTAGCCTCTAGACGGTCTGCAAGCACGCGATGGGCCAGGCCTCGAATCCGAATATGTATGATATTCTTGCACGCTACCACACTCCTCCCTGAATGATGTCAAAATCCTTTCAGGGGCTTTTTAGAGTCTAAATTGTTAGCCTTCTCACCGAAGCGCATTCCAGTGGGAGCTAGATATGGCGATAAGTCTCGTCATATGGGCTCCACTATACTTTGTGTCTACTTCAACGAGTTTCACGGCCCCTCTTATCTTCATTTTCTCGATATCTCGACAGCGTCGCAAGAGTCTTGCTACAGTAATCAATGTCTTCCCAAGATGTAACCACACCGCTGCTGCCGCAAAGCGATCAGCAAGCAGTCGACTCCCTCCAGAAACCATCAACTAGCACGTACTCAGACGTCAAGCACCTTTTCAAAGCTACCGTCCCAATCTCGGCCTCCTTCGCCATACAAAACATTGTCCAAGCCATGAGCGTTATTATAGTCGGACGCCTAGGACCTCAACAACTGGGCATAGCTTCATACGGTTATATGTTTGCGACATGCACAGGTGGCATGATTGCAATTGGAGGTGCGACAGCTCTTGATACATTATGTGGCCAAGCTATATCCTCACCTAGCTTCAAGGCCCAACCTACGATCATGGGAATGCACTTACAGCAGAGTATATTTCTCTTGAGCATTGTGTTCTTGTTGGTCATCACTCCAATCTGGATATTTTCAGAGCAGTTGTTCTCAGCCTTAGGCCAGGACCCGTGGCTTGCGGGAGGCACTGGAGAATTTCTGTTATGGATGTTGCCAGCAGGTTATAGTCAGATGGTTGCAGAATGCCTCAAAAAATACGCACAAGTGCAGGGTCAAAGCAACGCCGTCGGTTGGTTCACGCTTGCAGCAGCAGCAATCGGTATAACAGCGAACTTGGTCTTCGTTCATGCCACAAGCCTACAAACCAATGGCGCTCCAGTCGCATTTTTTCTATATCAAGCCGCTACAGTCGTCTTCCTGGCTGTTCTTCTGGTGAGAAAAGAGCGATTCAAACAGACTATTGAGCGTATCAGAGGGTGGAAGCAGCTGTCTCAAGGCTTGATGAGCAATGCATTCTTAGCCATGACAGGTGTATTAACCGTTGCTACAGAGTGGTGGAGGTAAGATATTGTTTTATCAAACGTACCAGTTAGCAACATTAACGGTAATCTTCAGCTTCGAGATCCTAGCTATTATGGCTGCAGAGCTATCCACGAACGAGATCAGTGCCCAGAGTGTGAGTCCTAGGCCCTACTCCCTTGCTTGTGAACGAAACTTAATAACATGCTCATTTTAGATTCTTATGTCTGCAGACCTCATCTTCACAACTGTATCTCTCGGCATAGGTGTGGCAGCTAGCCATAGAGTAGCATATGCTCTGGGTGCGCAAAACATATCCCTTGCACGGTATGCAGCCTTTTCTCCATATCTGCTATCTCTATGTTTGGGGACCCTGGAATTTGTTCTAATCATCCTCTTCCGCAACTCTTTCGGCTACCTCTTTACCTCGGATCGCGAGGTGGTGGAAACAACGGCGATGGTACTCCCATTCATGGCATTATTCCAGATTCTAGATTTGTCAAATGGCGGTTGTGGCGGTATCCTACGAGGAGCAAGAAGGAATTACCTTTCTGGTCTTTGTAACTTTGTTGCGTACTACGGAGTTGGTTTGACGACTGCATGGACTCTTTGCTTTCAACAAGGCTGGCGCTTGACTGGACTTTGGGTTGGGATAATTACTGGGAGCGGTGCATTGCTGATTCTACAAACTGGCTGTGTCCTGACATTACCTTGGAAGAAGCTGGTAAGAGAGGCATCCGGAGCTGTCTAGTGGTAATTACTTACCGGTGGGTATTGGGGTTGAGAGCAACAATGTCTTCGATATCGTCAGCCGGATAGATTGCCCATAATATGGAAATGGTCTTCTCTGTACCTTGTTGCTTTCCCCTATCTATCTCGACGATGGTGCCGACACCCTGGATCATCATCGGCCGAGGCGTTGAATCAACCTTACACGGTGAGTTTATGAGAGCCCTGAGTAATGGCTAAAGTCTTGACTGGATTAGTGGCATTGAACTTCTACCAGAACCCATACCCGAAAGAGGAAACTATAGGCTACGATCGTCATTGTAGACTTGACTATCTTCATGTATGTATTCGAACAAGACTTGAGGTCTCTGTTTAGTACAGAAGAAGATTTTGCGTCAGAATATGTGAACAGTACATAAGCCCGACTCTACCGTCGACTTACGCCTCAGAAGTATCGCACAAGCCTAGGCCATAAATCCTACAGCTTCTATCGCCAAGTACGATGTATACTTTATACAAGTCTCTGCTCTTCGGCTCTCTAGCCACCTCAGTATATTGTGCCCCGACAACCTCTAAGGACGACCAATGGCCTTTGGTTGCCAACGACAAAGATCGTAACGACGAGTTTGATCTTTCACCAAATGCAGAGTATGCGTTCTCTGGGATTGCAACGTTCGCCAGGCTTCCAACGGTACAATGTCTTATCGAAGACGGTCCAGTAGACGATATTCTCGTCGTTGGCTTTCCATTCGATACCGCTACATCATACCGCACTGGGACCCGCTTTGGACCGAATGCAATCCGGCAAGGCTCTCGAGCCGTATCACTGGCGTGAGTCTCAGCTTGAACGTAGTACGCCTATTCAGTTTACTGACAGAAAATGTTTGACCCATTCAGCGGACATTACAATTTCCGCCAAAGCATAAACCCTTTCACTCAGAACGTCTCTATCGTCGATTGTGGCGACTTCCCAATCTCTCCTTTCGACAATGCTTTGGCTTTTGCGCAGATGGAAGACTGGTCTGCTAGGCTTCTCAATAGAGAAGTCAAGGCTCAAGACGGCGGTGTAACATCGAGGATCGTATGTCCTTCGCCACTAACTGGACCGTCAGATAAGGCATCCTGCTAATTCATGAACAGACTGGACGCAAGCATCCACAAATCGTAGCCCTGGGTGGCGATCACAGTATCTCACTTCCCATCCTTCGATCACTGCACAAGATTCATGGGCCTATGTCAGCAATTCACATCGACGCGCATATCGACACTTGGTCTCCCAAGGTGTTTGCCGGCTCAAATGGCGCTCCAAGTAAGCAGGCCGAGTTCGCCGACGGAACGCCCTACTACTGGGCTGGCATGGAAGGTCTTTTAAGCAAGACCTCTGTCCACGCGGGCATTCGCAGTACACTCGACTCTGCGGCGGACCTGGAGCTCGACGCAGAAGTCGGATTCAAGATAATTCCTGCCGGCGCTATTCTGCAGCGTGACGGTCTACAGAAAGTTATTGATACTATCCGGAAGACAATCCCTCATGACGAGCCTGTATACGTCTCATTGGACGTGGATGTGTTGGACCCTGCTTTTGCACCAGGAACGGCTGGTCCTGCATCAGGTGGCTGGACACCGAGAGAGGTGATTCAAATTATCATCGAGGCTCTTGCCGGGATGAATATCGTGGGTGTAGATGTTGTTGAGATACTTCCAGGGATGGATAGTGCTGAGGTCACAGGCATTGCCGCTGCCGAGTTCACCTTCGAGGTAAGTATACCTTCTTGATAGAGTCTTCCACTCGCTAACGATCGGGTACAGCTGATTACCCTATTAGTTAAGAATCGAACCTAGAAGCTATTGTTACGAACCACATCTGTGACCCGGTAGAGGCCAGCGTGTGGGACTTGATCGGGTGTGCGAAAATTAGGTGTAAATTATACGACTGTATACCACACGCGGAGTATTATATATAGGCCCGAACGTCCTAAGGTACCCCTAACCCTCATGCGCAACCCCCCTTATTGAATGTCACGTGATTTTGCGAGGCTCTGTCCCAGCCTTGTTCTCCGGTTCTGGAGGCCTGCCCCACGATTGGGTTGTGTCCACCTGCGACCTTTGTTTGACCGCGGTCCTAGCAATAGCGCCGTTGCTACGACATAGACTGTACCTACACATCAAGTGCATAAGGTAGATGTAACAATCTAGCAGATTAGACTGTAGGACTTATCTTGATTATAACAACTCGACCTTGTTTAGACCCAATTGCAATCATGTTGCCCTTAATTGCAAGTGGATCCCCACGATACTCAGGAGGAAGCCAGAGGATCTTCTCAGTGGCTCGAGACACCCAATCACCCTGGACAGACAAAAAGCACAAGTCATCAGCAACACGAGGTTCAGTAATGGGCACCGGTCGTGGCAGTGGTATGACTCCTCGACCAGTTTGAATGGACTGTCCGTTGCTGGAGAATTGCAAGACCGAGATGTGACCTAACACGTGTTTGAGCGCGATCGGGTGACCCAGTCACATAGAAAAAGGGGTCTTAGCAGGGCTAAATTGCTAGCGCGGGTGATCCAGTCGCGGGTGATCCAGTCACACAGTAATCCTGTAGAGCCTCTCAGATACCTCTCACCAGGAACTTAAGGCAGCAACTGCGTAACAGATTAGATTGGAAGCTATAGTGGCATGTCTCGCACGTCCTCTCCAAATTTCAGCTCAACTACCCCCACCATAGAGGAGCCAGAGTCATCAGAAGTGTCAACACCAAGGCCAGATCCACCACTGCGGTACCTACAGGCCATTCCACAGTATAGAGTGATCCTGTGTACCGAGTATCAATAGGCCTACACACCCAATAACCACCTGTTAGAGTATCTCAAACATACACATGGCGTCAAGTATTGTACGCGACAACAAGTGAAAGATTGGATCCGTAAGTATAATATTGTAACAAGTGTTAGCAACCTGTGATACTATAGCTCACCCATCTCTAGGCTACATAATAGACCTGGGTAGCTGTGTAATATAGGTAAATATATACAAGTCAGACCTAGTCTACCTAGAATACTAGAACATTGTCGTCTACAACATAATCTACACAGCAAAGCACAGGTGCGAGCACATAGCGTGTTATTACCCGTGCGGCTACAAACGTAGTTCACTAAAGCTAAAGAATATTTTATTGTCGACCTGACTTTGGCCTCTATAATATCCACTAACATCAATATCTAAAAACCCGACATTTCTACACCAACATTATCATCAAGTTACCCTCTTGATTTTGAAAGTTCTCAATTAGCATTATACAGTTTCTAATCGCAATTTTCCTAAGCCTAGCACACCGCTAAGGCCAAGCACCAACATGTACCCTAGGTAGTGTATATAGCCGAACTCAGTCTATAGCAATACCTGACCTGATTTTCTAAGCATCTTGTTGATATTAAAATTAAGCTGATCCCATCTATATACACAGCGCCCCAGCAAGAACAGGATCATCCCTTCCTCTAGATTACTACTTAGAGTGTAAGTTAGGTGTTAACTATAGCGCACTCCAAAATCAAGTCACTGTATTACATAGAAGCCAAACAATTAAATACATTCCAAGTTAGCACTGTAAGTCAAGATCCTTTCACTTGGCTTCAGTTAACACACTCTCTTAACACTTATATTTCTACCTTTATCTGTCTGGTGTGCTACTTTTACTGTATTCAGTATGAGGATCACTACCAACAGGTTATGTTTAAGGAGAGCCCTGCTCAGCATAAGGCATACAAGAGGCTATCTACAGCCATTAAGATATATCTTAAGGAGGGGCTGTCAGATTATAAAGGCACACCTAACCATACCAATCACAACGCTACCGACAGAAGACTTCTTAGCGCTGTTAACCAATATATGTTAGCTTTCTGTATCACACTTGTTAAGCATCTCACTCCCAAAGGTAACTTCTCTAGTCCAATTATATTATTCTATACCGCTATTTATTATACTAGCAGTAGAGGCGGCTAGCTTCTAAAAGGACGCTATAGTGGATTGCTAAGCTAGCTAATTTACTGCTATCAGCTTATTATCCTTACCAATACACACATCCGGGTAGATCAGGGTGACTACAACAATATTAATGCCATGTTAAAGGAGCTAGGGTTAGGGTTAGGGTTAGGGTTAGGGTTAGGGTTAGGGTTAGGGTTAGGGTTAGGGTTAGGGTTAGGGTTAGGGTTAGGGTTAGGGTTAGGGTTA